ACACACACACACACACACACACACACACACACACACACACACACACACACACACAACCTACCTACCTAATAATAATTACTCAATACTTCCCTCAGCAGATGTATGAATTCTTGATTACCTTCAGATCCGGTTCTCGCTCTACACGCTAACTCTATCCAACCACCTCTGCGCCTACATTCTCAACTCCACCAAGCTCTCCACCGCCATTGAGTGGCCCCTTCACCTCATGCTCAGCATACCTTGTCCCCTCACGTCTTGGATGTCCTCCATCTCCCTGCCGTTTATCAAGCGAACCATACAATTTACTCTTGCAATCAATCCGTCGTGGCCCACCCAATGGTGGTGGTGAGACTGAGAGAGGTACAAGGTGGAAGCACTCTCCATGCAGTATCGAATGTCAATGAACACGTCACACGCCGGGCCGGCGATGATACTATCAAGGTGTCGAACCTGTGAGGTAACGGGTCATCAGAATCACTGTTAGAAGGTTGCTGTCCGAATGACTTACCTGCCGTCCCTGGTGTAAAACTGAATCTGCATGCACAACAGTTATGTACGCCACGGATTCCGGCGAATTGGATGAGGTTAAATCCCTCTACTCATGCAAAGTCAAGCCCAACCAACACAAAACCGGCAGGCGACACGGTGCGAACCCCAATTCGCTCCAGAAAAGCATGGTGAAGGCGAAAAGGTAACTCGGAACTTTTGAAAGAAATCATGATTTAGGGGCTCTTCAAGTTTCAACATCTCGGTCAAGGCAATAGCAATGTCAGCTCTAATTAAATTCTAAGTTGATAGTGAAGACAATTGACGATTTTGTTGCTACAATAAGCACTGAAGCAGGGAATCAAAGTCTCTCAGCTTCACAAACCCACACCCGCTCCCACTTTCACTTTCGCAATGGGTTGGCGAGACGAATGGCCGTTGATGCCTGATGGCGCTCCCTACGATGGCAAGAAACTCTTCCAGCTGGCTCGGGCTGGCAAAAGCCCATTCCACCGAGAATGGGATGTCCGACTATTGATCAGGGAGATAGAGGAGAAGCTAAACACGACTGTGACGGATATTCCTACCATCGACAACGGTTCGAATAGTTACGTGAGTGAATTAGTTGCTAGGAAGCCTGGAACGAACTCTTTGAATCCATTCTGAATCATTCCCCAGAGCTTTTTCCTCCAAACTTCAGACAGGTTCGACCTGGTTGCCCGCCTGGCTCGCGGCGATGTCAACATGCCGGATTTTGACGGTTTTCCGGTCGATGTCCAGGCTGCTAAAGTTCTTTTCGAGGGCGCCGTGTATAATCTGCTTCGGTCAGAACCAGATATTCGTGCCTCCCGTCTGCTCTACTTCCGCGCGCCTGTTGAGCAGGCAGATTTAAAACCAAGCACTGTGCCTCTGGACCTGAGAGGTCGGCGGCTGTTTGTGTTCGAGAAGTCTGAAGGGGTGAAGAATGTGTGGAAAGAACTCACTCCTAGCCACAAGGTATGAGGAAGAGCACACCATAACAAGGCGGCGGCGGCCTTGGTCTCAACATTATTAACAAATCTCAATGCCTGCCAGCTCCTCCTCCTCAACCAACTCGCCACCTCGCGTGCAGCATTATTCCGCTACAACCCACCTCGCGACTTCACTGACAAGTTCCTCCACGGACGCTTATTCGAGTTCAGGCCTAACTCACTGTCCATGCCCGTCGCCCCTACCCACGAGTTTTGGAGCCATGTGCTCGAAGCCAAGATCAAAGCCACAATCCGAAACGAGGGTGACATGATCGGATGGGAGGGCGACGACGGGATTGTCGGACCTCGTGCCCTAGCAGCCAAGGAGTCTCTCCTGAGGGCGATCCCCTACCTGCTGCCACCCGATACCCCCGAAGCATCTATGTACAGGCTTGTTCTTGAACACGGCGACTTCGGCATTCACAATACAACTATCACGACGCAAGAGAACGGCGAGCCTCTACTGACGTCTCTCTTTGATTGGGAGACGGCATGTATATGGCCTGTGCCGCTCTCCGATCCTCTTGTAGCGGTTAGCCCTGTTGATTTAATCGTCGATGAGGATGCTCGGCCTTCGGCCACGCGGTTGCCAAAGGACACAACTCCGGCTGATCTTGAGACATATGCAGCCTGGGCGAGCCATTATATAACGGTAGTTATATCTCTTTTATCGCCCTGCCATTCTGCAATGCCCACTCCACGCTAACCACTGTCAAAGAAGCTTTATCATGAGGCGCCGGGCTACGAGGCCGCCATACGGGCCGGAAAGGACTTTCGCTACCTGTGGTATGCTCTCCGAGACTGGCGCGGGGATGATCCTGAAGAATTCTTTGGGGCGTTGGGGGAATGGGCTGAGAGGCGGACTCGAGAGATCGGAGGGTTTTGAAAAAGGAGGATGACGTCGGGCGCTATTCTTACAAGCGAGCGTAAAGACGGCTTGGAACCGAGTTATCAAGAGGGCTAACGCCAGTTTTCAGCAGCTTTGAAGGAGAGGAAAAGCGGCCGGTTGGGGTTGTAGGGTTTACATTAGACCGTGACCATATACAACGCTAGCTAGCAGATAGACTTCATATCTGGTTCTCAGATCGATCATTTTTCCTATAGCCTCTATCTAGCTCATACCTTGTCACGATTTGGCTCGTAAAGGAACCAGGTGGGTCACTGTCAAACAGGAGCATTCGGACCTCTAATCATTTGAACAACCAAGGAGAGGATCATACTTGTATCTATTACTTGCCGGACAACTGTTCATTACCAGCTTGTCAGCGGAACCTTATCTAACGCGTAATTATATGAGTGGGAAGTAGCCTAAATCCACCCGCTACGGTTATCCTCCTCTCAAGAAATCAAATGGGAGAAAAAGACTGCGGCAGGTAACCAGGATTGTGAGCTTGGCCTCCACTTCTCCATGTTTGTTTCAGACAATGTTATGTCAGACTATGGCCGGTTGACTAGTTGCGGGGGCGGCCTGCGCTGGGGAAACGTCGCCTCCCAGGCACTCATGACCTTGATCAGCAGATCATCCCGGCCTCGTCTTGTGATGGCTGAAACCGAAAACGGCCGGCCATTGTAGTCCAAGTACGACAGCGGCATTCCGCAAAGCGAGTAGCCTTTCATGGTGTAAAACGTCAGCCTTAACTTGTTTTTTGGTCTTCGAATCAATTGTTTTCTTAAAAGTCCTCTTACCTCCACCAGTTGCCATAGACGTGAGGCCACTATCCGTCGGACCAAGGATAACGTCAACTTCATAGGTCTTGAGAACCCGTTCAATCCCCTGGTCTCTGGCGACGTGCCGGAGATGCTCCAGGTGCCGGTTGTACACTTACGAAGATGTATTTTGGTCCCGTGCCTTGATGAAGCCGTCCTGTCTAGGGTGATCTAAGCATAGTGTTAGCCATACGAATAGAATAGACCCTCAGGGTTTGTGAGTTTCATACGTGGCGGAAGCTCCTTGTCGGCATGTTTCAGGTTGTACTCGATCAGCTCTCCAAGCGATCGGACCTCGCTCTCCTCAAGATCCTGCAGATAAGCATTGAGGGTTGTTTTCAAATCGGCCGCTAATCAATGTTAGCTTCAGCTGTAAATCATTAGGCCAGGGTTGACAGACTCGCGATAACGCCCTCGCTATTCTTCCCATCCAGCTCAAACTCATCGATCGAAATGAGATCGACATCGTTAGCAAACTTTCGTCCTTTGACCGGATGACATCATACGCCTGGCGTATTTCTCGGTTCTACAATCGCAAGCAAGTAACGATAAAATTTGACGACGTTTCAAGATGCACACATACGATTTGGGCCTCAGCCCCGTCAACAGGCTTAACAGAAGCTTCGGGAAACTTCCACTTGTCGGGATCGAGAACCGCAACTGAGATATCTGACCAGGACCCCGTCAAACTTCTTGTGAACGACTCAGATCGTGGTCTCGAGGCTAAAACATCCAACAAGATAGCCAGGTCGTGAACCGACTTCGTCATGGGCCCTGCCGAGTCGAAGTGGTGAGATATGGGGACAATGCCGTCCTGGGGAACGAGACCAATTGTTGGCTTGATCGTGTACAGAGCAGCTCGACCAGCAGGGCACACAAGCGATCCGTCGGTTTCAGTGCCAATGGCAAGCGGCGTATACCCGGCAGAAACTTCAACAGCGGAGCCAGAGGATGAGCCTGAGGGGTTCTTGGGTGTTGTTAGGATTTCCAGCTATTAAAATCAAACCAAGGCACCGGGATACCCACCGAGTGACCATCCGTCGAATCGTCGGGGTCAACACCCCCAAGGATGTAGGCTGACTGGACTTGTCCGCCCACCGCAGACCAACCGCTTGGCATATCAGATCCCCTGCTGACCGTCAGAAACTTCATTCATGGGAAGGGGGTCTAGTAGATCTCAAGTTGTTATCGAGAGTTGGAGAACTCCTAAACGTTAGGGAAACTGTTAGTAATTAGATGACGCGATTTCACGGCTACGTTGAATCCGGGATGTTTGCTCACGCTCAAGTTGGCTTTTCCGAGAATTATAAGCCCCGCTGCAATAAGCTAAGAATTTGTTGTCAGCGATATGGAGGGGCTCGGTGGTGCGTTGACTTACCATACTCGGTCAATGATCTTTGCGTTCTTACGAGCTTTGGAGCTCAGTAGAGCGACGCTTCCGGCAGTCGTTGCAAGACCTAGTGTTGGGGTGTCAATATTGTCCTGCAGATTTTAGTGTGGAGAGCAAGAAAGTGCAGAGGAGATTGTGAACCCTAACCTTGATAGTGATCGGGATTCCATGCAGCGGTCCACGCAACTTTCCGCCAGCTCTTTCCCGATCAAGCAATCTTGCTATCTCCTCGAGAACGTCAGTTGGCGTTATACTGATCATGGCGTGGAGGTTGCCGTCGTGCTGCTGGATCTGCGTGAGGCATTGCCGGACAAGGTCGAGGCTGGTGAGCTCGCCTTGGTCCAAGAGTCCTTGCAATCCTTTGGCATCAATGGTGAGGAGGTCAAAAGCCTGTCCGCCTTCAGCGCCTGAAGTGCGGGCGAGGCCGAGAAATGATACGGTCTGGCCCATGATCCCAGGGTTCGCCTGTACGCTGTATGTGACGCCGACACCCGGGGCCGGGGGAATAAATGAACGTCAAGAGGAACCCGACAGAAGAACACAAAACCATCACGTGAACACCAAGGCATGAACGACAAAGAAGCTTCAAACAACGGAGAGGCAGAGTACGCGAGGAGCCTCGGCGGTAAAGGAATTCAGGTAAAACAGTGGGAAACTGCGGGAAGGCACGCCCCGCACAGTTTGGAACTTTGGTCTCACTTTTCCGGGCGAGACGTCAGCACAACCAAAGGTTCTAGGATCAGGTGTAACAGTCAGAGGGATCGATCCTTAATTGTAGAAAATCTTGGGTCGAAAAGGCATGTCACAAATGTCTACATACCTAAGGTGGTATTGCAGCAGCGAGTGGGTAATTACCCTTTTATACTGTGACACCTTGCTAAATACCCGAAAAACAGCGGGAGTGCCGTCTATTTCCCATGAGCGCCGCCCAAGCCATAACTCTACGGAAAAAGCCGATCCGTTCGAAACCTAGAAGTGCGGGCACATGCAGCATAAGGTAGGTGACTATCACCCTGGTTGAGTAATTAATGGGAGGCTCACGGTGGGAAACCCTGGGGCCTGGGTCACATTTGAAATCACAACACCCAAGTACAAGTACCATCAGCCGGCAACGGCTATGAGAGGTAGAGGAGGTGTGTCCGTTGACCCTCGCTGTCCTTGATACGCCGAACCAAGCAGACGTGCCTCGAGCAAAGATACTCAGTCGCGGGGGGCAGATATGTACCAAGAAGGTGAATTAGACTCGGAGGTATTCCAGCCTCACACAAAACTGGCACTCATACCTGAGTGAGCATTGTAGGCTGGCGGATGTGTAAGTGCCTGTCATGGTCCTCGTCCTCGATTGTGCCGATAAAGCCGTTGGGGTTGCTCTCCGGAACTTGATCACAGCGGAACGACCACATGCTCAACCCGTCAAACCGCACGTATCTTCGACCGACCCCCAATTAATAGGTAGTCTGCCAACACCCCATGGGCGGCCAACCTTGTAAATCCGCCCACGCTACAACTTTAAGAACTAGGATGATAACGATAGCTTCCTGTCTTCATAATTGTTTGAAAGCGGGCGCTTATATCTCCTACTCAGACTAGGTAATTAGGGAGGGTTAGCAGAGGACCAGTACCCCCCAGTCGCCCGGAACCTAGCCCCGCCATTTGCACATTCCATATTTATATTTCGAAGTCTCATAAGAAACTCGCTCCTCGGGATCTTTCATCCTTATCAACTAAGGGGACCTGAGTAAAGTTGTAAGCGTTAGAGTAACCCTAACCCTAATAGATATTTTCAACAGCTCTCAGTGATATCCACCAACTATGAAAGAGGGTATCCATAGACCCACAGGAGAACCACCAAAAATATTTAGAAATAGCCAAAAACATACAACACGGGGGATTCCCCAGTCGTCACCGACCTGAGTACTAGTCCCGCGGTCAGTAGTTTATCTAGGGGAGAGCGGACGGGATCCCGAGCTTTCTACTGCCTATGGTCGTATGTAGCAGACAAGAGTCTCGCGAGGATCTTATGTACCATGCTAACGGGGGGCCTTGGTGTTTTCTGCTGGACAGAATGGAGAAAGGCGGTGGGCAGTTTCCTGGCGATTGCTGACTACGCCAAGACTACAACCCCTGCACACACACCCCACCTTCAACCTTTCCCCCACCACTGACGTCGCAAACGGAGCCTGGAAGTTTGGAAGTTGCAGCCAGCCCAGAGGTCATTGACAAATAAGGAGCTCTGGGAAATCTCCCACCGGAGGATTGGTTACTCTTTCGGTCTTCTCCAGATCTCCAACCCACAGTTTCCAAGTGACTCTTTATCCAGTGGCGCAGGGGGTGGCCCATCGCAAATCGGCCCTCAGATCCATCGTTCCACCCAAGTCACGCGGGGCGACTACCCGACCACGCCGAAGCAAGGGCGACTATAAAGCTGAGAAGTTCCCCCTTGGAAGACCAGCGTCTATTTTTCCTCCCCAACCTAGTTTCTGTGTCACTCGACCACAGGAATTACCCCACAATCACCACAATGGAGACGCCGGCGGTTCCAATGCCTAAGGATGAGCGGGAGAGGCAGATCCTCAACAACCTCACTGCCATCCAGGACAGCCTACTCCTCCTGAAAAGGGACCGCACCAAGTACATCCGGACCCAGGATGTCGTGGTCCTGCACGACCAGCTCATCGAGCAGATCAGGCAGGTGAACGAGATTCGAAAGGGGCAGCAGACGGAGGAGAATCGATGTAGGTCAACGGGAGATTCGAGCAAGTTCCTCCCTTTGTACCTCAATGTACTTACGGAGACAAATCACAGTGGATAAGGTCCTAGAGAGTTGCCTCCAGCTCATTTCGCTATTCTTTATGACCATCGGACGGACGACCGAGGCGCCGGCTGCGTACGCGTTGACATCCACCATCAAGCGCCTGCTCGACCACCTGACGGAAGCCCGCATCTTTTCTGGAAAGGACCTGACCAGTATATCTAACACGCTAGACCGGCTCGAGGGGATCTTGAAGAATACGAAGAAGGAACACTCTCCGTATCTTGTGGAGCTTTTGGCGAACAGGGAAAGCCGGTGCAGGTCGGTGTTGGCCAACTTGCGCAAACAGCTCGACCAACTGGACGAGCCATTGCAGGTCATTTACGAACGCTTAATTTCTGTTATGCGGTCGATGTCGCTTGCCAACACAAAGTCGAAGGTGGGTGAACGAGAAGGATTGGTCTGGTTCACGGCGTGCGGTAAACCGAAAGTGCTAACACACCCGCAGTTCTCAACGAGCGAAGTGCAGAAACTTAAGGCGAAACTGCAAGAGATCAATGCGACTCAGGTAGATGGCAAGTTTGTGGATGCGGAAGGCAAAGAGTACCGCGGGAGCGAGCAGGTATCGGTGCTCCTTGGCCACTGCTTGCGGTGGTCTGACATTGTTCTCGAGAGGTATGCTCCTTGATACTTGAAATTTTCCAAGCCCCGACTGACCCCCACTCCAGAAAAGGCGTGATCCCCGAGGGGTTCAAGGACAAGTACAACATCCTCATCGGTATCCGCAACGACCTCGAAAAGCTCTCCCTCACTCAGGCGTGGTCGCTACGCGAGACCGACCTGTACGACTTCCAGCGGCAGCTTGACAAGATTGACGAGGCCCGTGTCGACGGCAACTGGCTCGACCCGGAAGGCCATCCAGCTGAGCTATACGTGCAGCGCACACTGCTGTACCTCATTCGGCGCAGCTACGGCTACATTTACTACCTTATGAACTCATCCGAGCCCGTGTCGGAGGCCCTGCTACCCATCTATAACCAGCTTCAGACCCTGAAGCGCTGCTTGATCGAGGTCAAGAACTCAGGGGGCGTTGGTTCCGTGAGAGAGCTGTACCCTTATAGCATGAAGGTTTGTCCTCTCTAGCGCTTTTCTAACCTTTTGAGATATCCGCAGCTAATGAGTACTGCCAGTTGAATTCCATCGACAACATGCGAGTGGACGGCAAGTTCATGGTGGGCAACGACATTCCCGAAGGTCAGGGAAATGTGAGCGAGCTACTGGCGGAGTGCTTTGACCTTAACTATGAACTAAGGGTAGCAGCCGAGGAGCTCGAGGAGAATGAGAACCAGTCACCGGCGCCGCAAGAGGATGCCTCATAGTTTACTGTCGGGTCGCGGTTATTTCGATTATCCCAGGGGATTGGTTGGTGTGTATGAGTACGGGAGGAGGATTCATTATCACGCACGGCGTTAGAGGTCTGAGATACGGCGGCTTGTTGCGGTTTAATTTGGTAGGGCTATTCCGGTAACGGGCTCAGTGAATGGCCTGGGATAGGGGTCCATACTCATTGTTTAGTCTGTAATGTTGCGGGACCATTGGTTTTCGTGCGTGCTTTTGTGGATCACGGAGTATCTTCAGGGGTCATCCGACATGGCTAAGGGGTCTCTATGAACTAGCCTCTTGAAACTAGGTTATATTGGTCCTTGGTCGTTCATCAACGTGGCACTCGATAGAACCCCATTTTACCCCCTATTTTTGGTTGCGGAAGGCACAGAGGAATGGCCAAATTTGAGCCTGTCAACAAGTATGTCAGTGACACCGCTAAACTTCACCGGCTTAAAACCCTACTGCATCACAAGCCAAAACTCTCAAACTAGACGGCATAACCCCTTTCCCATACGAAAAAAGAAAAAACAAGAATAAACGGAGAAGCGAAGAAAGAATTAAAAGAAACCAACTCACATTCTCCACATCCCACACCCCCGACTTTGCATAAATATCCTGTCGCAAGATCTCCTTAATCTCCTCACGGCTAGCAGCCTGAATCACAATAGTGCTGCCAGCAAAGGAGAACTTGGAAGCGTCAGACCCCTCCGGAACTTCGTTCAACACGGCGCCTGTATGCACTGGTCTTAGCCTCGTTCTTGAACTCGTCGCCGTTGTTGAGCTGCTGGGGAGGTACCGGTGGTATGTGCAAAAGGTGACTTCTGGGGAGGGGAGAGGGGGGAATACGTACCGCCCATTTGGAACACGCCCGAGTCTTTGAAGGTGCCCAGGCCGGCGAAGTGTTGACTGATGAGATGTTAGTGAGTAGGGGGTAGGACATAGATGGGAGGGTATAGTGTGGTTGTTTGAGTGGGACGGATGAGAGGGACTTACGGCCGGACCTCGATCCGCTTCTCATGGGCGCCGGGGAAATCGGGGATGACGACAAGCCATTCAATCTTCTTGGGCGCTTCGGTGGCCATGGTATTTCTTTGCTGGTGGGGGTATCGGGTGAGAGGGGAAGTAAGACGGGGGGTGTTGTGGGAGAGGGGAAAAGAGACGGGGAGGATTCGTGAGTGATAAAGGCGAGTACGGATATAGGGTTGCGAGACTGAAACTGCTCGGCTGGAGAAACTCCGAAGGGTCGAGGCCATGGACTTTTTATAAAAGCTAAGAGGGAAGAGAGTGAGAGAGGTCGATCTCGGGAAGTAAGGTAACAGGCGGCTTAAGTCCGCGTGGCCGGGGTGGTTTAGGATGACGGATTATGTGAACGGCAACTAACGGCCCGATCAGGAGTTATATTCAACCTATGGTAACGTCATTAGGATCCGTGATGCAGCGGTGCGAGATCGCTGTGGGTTCACGACGGGGTCAGATGTGGGAACATTGGGGAATGCGGGGTTACAGGGGCGTCAGCAGTGAGCTTCCAATGTCCATTATCGGGCGGCCCGGCACCGAAAGACTTTGTACATAAATCGAGGTTCATTAGCTTCAGGATGTGGCTACGTGATGAGCTCTAGGATAGGGCTATGTATGGTTCAGGCGCTGGCTTCCAGGTTTCAGATGCGCCCTTTAGTCGACAAGCAACTCCGGAGATTCAACCATGCTGGGTTTTATTCGTCGTTTCTTCCGCCCTGTGAGGGGTAGCTCGGAGCCACCCCCAACGACTGTACCGAGATCGCATCTCCATGCTATCTTCAGACTGCTTCATCAAAGCATACCTATGTAAGTTTTGTAAAAGTAAAGGCGCGTAGACAGGCGAAATCCTCCTCTTGTTTCCCACAAAGCCCAAACTTCCGTAACCCCCCTTAGTTCACAACCAACACAGCACTGGGCGTCAACCCAGCTTCGGCAAGCGTCTGCCCAAAGTCCACACCCGCCTCAAAAGTCTTTTTCGGGAAAGTTGTCGTGAACTTGGTGATGGGCGCGCCCACCTCCGACTCGATCTGTTGAGCCACCTCAAACAGTGTCGTCTCACCGGGATACGACTTGACGAGATTCCCGTTCTGGGTCTGCAATCTCAAGCGGGCATTCGCCGCGCCCGACCCGGACGATGACGACGTTGTCGGGGCGGTTGCGGCGGCTGCCACAGCGGCAGCGGCAGATGCAGAGGTTTGGCCTGGAAGGGGCTTGCCCTCGCGCATCGCCTTGGCCTCCTCCTCTCGGCGCTTGCGCTCCTGCTTGTCGGCCTCGATGCGGGCCTTGATGCGTTTCTTGGCCTCCAGGTCGTCGAGTTTCTCCTGACGCTTCTTCGCGGCCTCCTTGATTTGCTCCTTGCGCTGGAGCTCCTCCTTGACGTCCTGTGTCTCCTTGGTAGCTTTTTGGCGGATTTGCTGGATGGAAAGTTAGCGTAAACCGAGTCGGTGAGTTACAACAATGAGGCTTGAGGTACATACCTCGTTACGCTTAGCTTCTTCCTTGTCAACGACGCTCTGGTTCGCCCTCTTCTCCTTCAGCTTCTGCCGCAGCTCCTCCAACCTCGACTTCTTCTCCTCCTCAGTAAGGGGGGCGATTTCCTCTGTCGATTCGGAGAAGTCGGTATGGTCTCTGTGACACGTGTCAACACCTTAAATACAAAACGAGAAAGGGGTTTCCTGATAGCATACGTCTTGGAGGCGTGGAAGGAAGCCTGATCATGGTTACGGAACTTCTTGCCGCACTCGTTGCAGACCAGAGAAGAGGCGGTCTCGCCGGAGGGAACAGACGCTTCGCCTTCTTCTTCGCCTCTTGTCGCGCCAGCCGTCGTTTGCGCCGCCTGGAGCTCTTCGAGTGGCTTTTCCTGGTTCTCCTCAAGCCAGGTCAACGCCTGCTGTACTAATTTGGTTTCAGTAACTGGTAGAAATAATACAAAGCTGAAGAATGAAATCTGTTACTAACATCCGCCCGTCCTCTTGACTGCGAGCTCGGCACGGGCTCGCTCAAAGCCCATTTCGAGCAGGAGGTCGAGATCTGACTGTGTCATATTTGCGGATATTATATGATGGTGTTGGATTTGTGGCCCTGGTAACCCCTCAAAAGTTGCGAGTTCTCGTAGTTTTGAGTCTGGGGGCGGTGGTTGAATGAAGACGGGTTAAACAGCCAGGTGCTGGTGGTGAGGCAGGCGGGGCAGGTTAGTGGGCTGTTGGGCAATGGAGCCTGAGGGTGTTCAATCAGTGCGAAGAAAGAGCCCACTTGCTTCGTAGTAGGTAACTAGATGGGATGTTGAACTGGTGTTTAGAATGTCAAAGATGTGGAGAAAATTGTCCTTAAAAATCCACAAGAGATTCAGTAAAAGCGGCCCTTGAATACACTTCCAAATTGCTGTTCACAGCGAAATAACTGACGGCGTTCATAAACCGTAGGAACAGACGTCATCGCAGCCTGGAAGTTTGATTCGACCTGCACAAGCCGACGATTGGTCATCCGCTGCATTCGGCCCAGGGTTCGGGTTGAGCTTCTGGCCCCCTCAAGGCCCCCAAGTGATCAGCACGGGCCCACGGACTTGGATCCCTCCCTTTCAGCAGCCAGCGCAGTGACCTGGCAGCCAACCTACCGCAGCGGAAATGTCGTAACACGCAACAGACAACCTCCCCGACCAACTGCTCAGTCTCCCTTTTACAATCGCCCCAAGAAGCCGATTTCCCCCCCCAACCACAACTAGCGCGAACCCGAGCCTTAATACTCCTACCTACCCTCCCGCGCGACAACTTTTACGACCAGCAATCTCGACTTTGCGATAAACCGTGCCCGTTCTGGTCCTCGGCTTCCCATTGCATCCCGCGTCGAACTTTTGCGCCCGTGACCACCCCCACCGATTGAACAAATATCCTCCCAGGAATCCTCACGTGTCTTTCGCTGGCTAGCCGACAATACCGCGAACATGTCCGTCGAGATCGATCCGGTGGAACTTGGGTTCCGCAGTACGTCGCCTCGCGCCCCGAATCACGTTCTCAGGGGGCAGAGTATCCGCAGGTTGTCTAATCTCAGCCGCTAACCACTCCTTAGGGCCTTTCACTGTGGAGGTCTCGCAGGTCCTCAAGATCAAGAACGTCAACTCGTCGCCTATCGCGTTCAAGGTAATTACCAACTGGGCTTCTTTCACGCTCGTTTTCTTGCCTTGGGGTCACCTTACTGACGGTCGCAGGTCAAAACAACAGCCCCTAAGCAGTACGTTCGGCTATTGTGGAGCCTTTGCAGGTCTGGAGATTAACGATTGATGCAGGTACTGTGTACGGCCAAACTCGGGTCGCATCGAACCTGGTCGCGATGTCGAGGTGTCGGGTACGTCACCCCCCAAAAAATAGCAAACCAGATGTCATTTTACTAACCCCATTGCGTTGCAGTCCTCCTGCAGGCCATGAAGCAGGAACCGCCCGCCGATGCTAAATGTCGCGACAAATTCCTCGTTCAGTCTGTCGTTATCACCCCCGAGAAGGAGTTCACGAACGTGACACAGATTGTAGGTTTCAAGACTTTTTGTGCACAAAAGGAACAAAGGGGCTAACCGTTTTTACAGTGGGACGGCGTAGAGAGGTCTGCGATCCAGGAGAAGAAGATCAGGGTCACATGGCTCGCGCCAGCAAACGATGGCGCGGCGCATTCGGTCGCGACACCCGTCAGGTCCACGGCCGTCAACGGGGTTTGTTCCCCCTCCCCTTCTTCCCAAAGGTGATGATCCCTTAGCAAATAAACTAACCCTCACCCCCTGCGCCAGTTCGAGTCAACCCCCGACACCGCGCCTCCGTCCTACGCTTCACCCCACGACGATGACACCACTGCGCTCGAGGACACCACGGCCATGTCGACGAAGCTGATCGACATCGACACCCCAGAATCCACCCCTCAGCGCCAACAACAACCACCCGCACCAGCCTTCGCCGCCCCGGCCGCCGTCGCCGCGACCGTCAAATCGGCCGCGAGCGCCACCTACGAAGAGCTCAAGGAGCAGCTCGCCAAGGCCGAGGCCACCATCGCCTCGCTCAAAACCGAAGTCGCCAGCGGTCTCAGGCAGCGCAAGGCAGTCGGCACATCCTCGGAGGGCGAGAGCAGCAGCAAGGCGGCGCCGCAACTCGCGCAGCAGCAGCCGCAAGGCCGGGCTACGGAGGGCGTGCCGGTCCAGATTGTGGCGGTACTTTGCCTCGTCAGTTTCTTGCTGGCGTATTTCTTCTTTTAAACCAAGCAAGCAAGCAAGCAAGCAAAAGGGGAAAATACAGCTAGCTAGCTACGCGGGTAAACCCATTACGACAGGCGCAAAGAGACAGCAGCAAAGCAATAAACTTGTCACTGTCGTTGTCGCTATCTTCCTCGCTGTTATCATCGCTCTCTTCATTTACCCGATGTACCACCCTGAGCGGTTGATGAAACACCTGAAGCTTTTCTGGAGCAGGATGAACCTGCCCAAGATGATTCGCGCCTGCGAGGAGGCCAACCGGGGAGATAAAGGGAAATGTACGGCTACGGAATTACAGGCCGGGTCGGCCATCTATGTGAGGGTAATGAAATGAGGGGTAAGGACTAAGAGAATGGATCGGTGGGGGAAAGGGGGAAAGGGAGGAAAAGACGGGGGGTAGGGGATAGGAAGGGGGGAGTGGGAGGAGTTGGGTTAGATATGTGTATGTACTTGTTGAGGAGGATACCTCTTGGAGTGCTGTTCGCTCTTTTTGTCTGTCTGTCTCTTTTTTTTTTTCCCGTTATTCCCTTGCGTTTTGTGTTTTCTGTTTTTCTGCTTTCTGCTACATCTTTGCCTTTGCGCATCTCTGCTTTTACTTTTTTTCTTTGTCTTTTGATTATTTACCTTACCTACCCACGCTGCTGGATTTGACCTTCTTCGATCTAGGCAGGCAAAAAGAGCATACTACCCATGTTCCTGATGGTCTCTCCCTCGCAGTGTGAAATGGTCTAGGTTGAGATGGCGGTTGTGACCTATCTCTACGAGAACGTGGCTGTCGCGGTGCTCGCAATGGCATACCCACCGCCCGTCGAAGCCGGGGAGAAGCTTGTTTCTCGAGGGGTATTTCTAGAGAGGGGGGGAATACAGTGAGTTGGACTGGCTACCACCAACTGACTCGTTCTACCTGACCAAGTCCAAGTCCCTCTGGTTGGCTATTCCTCGATATACCCAGAACGAATCGAAGAATCCAGGGCTGACTGACATTCTTCCCTTCCTCTGTCTCTCTCTATCTCTTACTGTGTATGTCTGAGGCGAACCACGTGTCTGTCTGCTGTCTGTCTCTGTCTGTCGCAAGAAACATGGACCCCGCTAGTTGGGGTGCCATGTGTTACTTTTCCCTCGGCACTTTCCCTGTCATGCGTGGCAATGGCGGGCAGGTGTTCGGGTGCGGACCGAGACGGTAGGGCTGTCTAAGTAGTAGCCAGGTGAGGTGGGGTTGGGGTGGTTGTATTCTTGTATTCTTATTATTTTTATCCTCATTGGTGTTTTACAAGGTCGTTTTAATGGCGTTTCACATGTAGCTAGTTCGGTGAACGTGACGAAATATCAGAGCAACTCACTATCAGGTTTCAGTAATCATTACCATCTCTAAAGAATAGGTGGGTATGGAACATGCTGCTACTTATGAACTCAAGTACATTTTCTCTACTCAATCTCTCTCGCTGCTGTACTATATAGCTGATATGCTGAATGATAACAAAATCTGTACCCTGATACGACGGTTTATGTACCAAGATGCCCATTATTTTCCACCCTTTCTTTCTCTTTACATATCCTCTGTATATGTCACCTCAACTTTGGGCCTTTACAACTTGGCCTTGCCCTCCTGCTTGAGCATAGTCTCGGCGACAATGCGCCGCTGAATCTTGCCCGTGGCCGTCTTGGGCATGACGTCGGTGAAGTACACCTAACAACCAAGGTTAGCTACTATATTCCCCGAGAGTAAACACCCCCCCCTCCCCCCCCCCCAAAAAAAGACGACTTACCTTCTTCGGCACCTTAAACCGCGCCAACTTCTCCCCCACCCACTTCCTCAACTCCTCCTCCCCCAACGTCCCCACCCCCCCCTTCCTCACAACAGCAACCCCAATCTCCTGCCCAAACATCTCATCCGGCACCGCAAAGCTCACCGCCTCCGCCACCCCGGGATGCCTCGCCAGCACATTATCCAACTCAATCGGACTAATCTTCTCCCCGCCCTTATTAATCAACTCCTTAATCCTCCCCGTAATCACCACATACCCGTCTTCATCCTTCCTTCCCTGGTCCCCCGTGCGGAAATACCCGCCCTTTTCCTTTGCCACAAACGCCGAGGCATTGGCAGCGTCATTGTTCAGATACCCGCTTGTGACGTTCTCTCCACGGATGCAGATTTCGCCTTCGGCTCCCGGGGCCACCGGGTCGCCGGTTTCGGAGAGGATGACGACTTCCACGCCTTGGCCGAGACCGACGGTTCCTGGCTTGCGGGGACCGACGGAGGGGAGCGGGTTGGAGGTCATTTGGTGGGCGGCTTCGGTCATGGCGTAGGCTTCGAGGACGGGGGCGTTGTAGGTTTGTTCGAGGGCGTGGAAGACGGTGGGGGATAGGGGGGAGGAGCAGGAGCGGATGAAGCGGATTGGGGGGACGGGGGATGGGGTGGGGTTTTTGAGGAGGATTTGGTGGATTGTGGGCACGGCGGTGTACCAGTTGGCGCGGTGGAGGGTGAAGTCGCGCCAGAAGTCGGAGGCGGAGAATTTGGGGGGCACGACCATGGAGCCGCCGGAGAGGAAAGGGGCGAGGAGGCCGCAGAGGAGGCCGTGGACGTGGAAGAGCGGCATGACGAGCATGGTGCGGTCGGATGGGGTGAGTTGGTAGGTTTGTTGGATGTTGTGCATGGTGCGGGTGAGGTTGCGGTGGGAGAGGGGGACGACTTTGGGGCGCGAGGTGGTGCCGCTGGTGTGGAGGATGAGAGCGGTGTCGTCGGGTTGGGGGGTGAGGACGGGTTGTTGGGGTTTGCCTTGGAGCTGGCCGCGTTCCTTGATGTCGAGAGCGACTTCGTGCTTGGTGGCGTCCCAGTAGCACTCGGCGATGGCAGCGTTGAACTTCTGGGCGGCTTTCACGGCGGGGGAGGCGTTCTGGTAGGCGCCGCGGGGCACGAGGACGATGGCGGACTTGACGTCGTCGATGTAGAACTCGAACTCATCCTGCTTGTAGGCCGGGTTGAGCGGGGCAGCGATGGCGCGTTGCCATGAGGCGGCCAGGAAGGAGACGATGAACTCGTACGAGTTGACGGTGGCGATGGACACGGCAGCTCCGTGGGCGATGCCGAGCGCTGCGAGCTTCTGCTGGAACGACGTCGTCTCGGCCACGAGGTCCTTGTAGGTGACGGTCAGGGCGGGCGACCCGGGGATGATGATGGCCGTTGCGTCGGGGGCGCCCCGGATGGAGGATTGGAGGGTGAGGCCGGTGGCCATGTTGAGTGAATCCAATGAGAGGGTTTTTATGAATTGAATATGTGAGGGTATCGCGACAATCTGTCTGTCTGTCTCACAGGCCACGTGGAGCCGGCGCGTATGTACAAGAATGAATCTGAGTGTTGTATAATATTCAAAAAGGCGAAAGAACTATATGAGGGAGAGAGGGAGAGAGAGAAATCGAGATCAAAAATAACCTCCGTTCATCTCAATTGATATGCCTTCACAACCGAGATCCGGGAACCGGCAGCCAAACCGAGTGCCGTGGCCGTCGCGACTGAAACTGGAAAATGGCCGGGATCCGGATCGCACCATCCGCGCTTGTCCCGAGACGGAGGTGGGTCTGACACTCCCAGTCCCAACACATGCTTGGAACACAAGGCCCATGTTACATCCCGCGCTCGGGTGCTGCTGTCAGGGCGTGGGGGAGCAATTGTGTGAGAAGTGTTCAAGGGCTTTGGTTTCAGGAGTATAAAACTAGTAAAACTGGCCAATACTAGAAGACTTGATGTAGTTTACAATGTTGTTTACAGTACATGCAGAATGGCTGCAGGTTGCCATGTGTGAGGTGGATCGTAAGGGGAAGAGCTTCAGCACGGATGCATAACTTAACGAGACCACGTGAGACATGTCCCTGACAGGGAGCTATTTTTTAAGAAATATGAAGTCAAAGTCTCCAGGTAGAAGACCAATTCATAACCCAAAGCTGTCATATTATTAGCATCTAATAAATTCGCCTGTGCGATGAAAGAGGAAGATACGAGGTGTCAATTTCGAGCTCCGGTCTGTGTAATTTTCGGAGCTTCAATTCAAGGATGAGATTCTGTAATTACAAAGTACAAAGTACTCCTCCGAAGCCCGTGGTGGGGCGATAAGATAAGAATTCGGCAGGCATGAGCACGGTCACTTCGCGATGTGCTGTCCGACCCCCATCATTCCCACTCGCCGACGGCACGGCAACCACAAAATCACCTCCCGGTTCCGAATCACTCGAGCGCCGGCACCATGTCGAAGCGATACGCATTCGTTCCAATGGACGATGAGCCGGCGCCGGCGCCATCATCCAAGGACGACCGACGAGACCGACGAAGAGACGACCGAGACAGAGACCGAGACAGAGACAGAGACAGGCGGGATCGAAAACGCGATCGATCCCACAACCGTTCCCGGTCACCACGCCGACACAAAAGCAGACGACATGACGGCGACGCATCCCCACGACAAGACCGACGCTCCCGATCACCACCACCACCACGACGCGCACCCGACAGCTCCAAGCGCAGCACCCGCACCCACGATGCCACCGCCGACGACACGGCCAACAAAATGTCCGACCTACGCCTCAAGTCCCGCCAGCAATACCTCGCCAAGCGCGAGACCGAGCGGCTGGCCCTCCTCCGCAAACAAGTCGCCGAGGAAACGGCTGAATTGCGCTCGGGCGTGCGCCTGTCAGAGCGCGAAAAGGCCGAGTTCGCCAAGAACCGCGAGATCCTGCGCTTGGCTGAGGAGCGCGCGCATATCGACGATTACCAGGACGGGTACCGGCTGCCGGATCAATACGGCGGTGGGGCGGATGGGAAGAGTAAGGAGGATGCGCTGTATAAGCGGCATGTGGAGCGGGATATGTACGGGAATGAGAAGCATGTTACCGAGTATGAGGAGTGGGAGCGGGAACAGACGGTGAAAGCCAAGGCGCAGATACAGAGCCGCGAGCGGGACCAGGAGGAGGGGGAGTATGATTTTTTGTTGGATGAAGATGCTATTACGTTCGTGCGGGATGCGGCCAAGTATGCGCAGCCTAGTGATGGGCTATCGCAGGAGCAGAGGATTTTGAAGGACAAGATTGATGCGGCGGAGAAGGCGCAGAAGACGATACAGGAGGTCCGGAAGAGTCTACCGGTGTATGCCTACCGGGATGCGTTCCTGGACGCGATGAAGGAGTATCAGGTGATGATCCTGGTGGGTGAGACGGGGTCCGGCAAAACAACACAGATCCCGCAGTACCTGCACGAGGCCGGCTTCACCAACGACGGCATGAAGATCGCCTGCACACAGCCGCGTCGAGTAGCCGCCATGAGCGTGGCCGCGCGTGTGGCGGATGAGATGGGCGTGCGCGTCGGCCACGAGGTCGGCTACTCGATCCGGTTCGAGGACTGCACCAGCGACAAGACCATTCTCAAGTACATGACAGATGGCATGCTGCTGCGCGAGATGGTGACCTCGCCCACCCTCGAGGGCTACTCGGCCATCATGATTGACGAGGCCCACGAGCGGACGGTGCACACGGATATCTTGTTGGCGCTCATCAAGGACCTGACGCGCGCGCGGCCGGAACTCAAGCTCGTCATCTCGTCCGCCACGCTGAACGCGGAGAAATTCAGCGCCTACTTTGACGACGCGCCCATCTTCAACGTGCCCGGCCGCGTGCACCCGGTCGATACCTACTACACGTCGGCGCCCGAAAGCAACTACCTCGAAGCGAGCCTGGTCACGGTGTTCCAGATCCACGCGACGCAGCCCGAGGGCGGGATCCTCGTGTTCTTAACAGGCCAAGAGGAAATTGACAAGGCCTGCGAGCGCGTCGAAGAGATCAAGCGCAAGCTGGGCAGCCGCGTGCCCGAGATCATCGCGCTCCCCATCTACGCCAACATGCCCTCCGAACTCCAAGCCAAGATCTTCGAGCCGACACCCCCCAACGCCCGCAAGGTCGTCTTCTCGACCAACATCGCCGAGACATCCCTAACCATCGACGGTATCGTCTACGTCATCGACTGCGGCTACGTCAAAGAAAACACCTTCAGCCCCGTCGGCACCACAGGCCAATCCACCCTCGCCGTAGTCCCATGCTCCCGCGCAGCCGCCAACCAACGTATGGGCCGCGCCGGCCGTGTCCGACCTGGTAAATGCTTCCGGCTCTACACCAAATTCGCCTACCTCTCCGAAATGGACGAGTCCCCCACCCCCGAAATCCAACGCACCTCCCTCTCCGCCGTCGTCCTCCAGCTCAAAGCCCTGGGCATCGACGACCTCCTCGGCTTCGACTTCCTCGACCCCCCGCCCACCGAACTCCTCATCAAATCCCTCAACATGCTCTACGCCCTGGGCGCCCTCAACTCCTCCGGCGCACTCACCCGCGTCGGGCGCCAAATGGGCGAGTTTCCCGCCGAGCCCATGCTCGCCAAAGCCCTCATCGCCGCGACGCAGGAAGGCTGTGTCGAGGAAGTGTTGACGGTGGTATCCATGCTGGGAGAGGTCGCGACTTTATTCTTCCGCCCCAAGGACAAGAAAGTCCACGCTGACAGCGCCCGCGCCCGGTTCACTGTCAAAGACGGCGGCGACCATATCACGCTGCTGAATGTCTACAACCAGTGGGTCGAGGCGGACTACTCCCCGATCTGGGCCAAAGAAAACTTCCTCACCCAACGCTCCCTCACCCGCGCCCGTGACGTACGTGATCAACTAGCCAAACTCTGCGATCGCGTACTAGTCGACGGCGTAGTCGCCAACGGCAACCCCGACGGCGGGGGGGGTGTAACCCTCTCCTCCTGCGGCGGCATCGCCAACATGCAACCCATCCTGCGCGCTATAACATCCGCCTTCTTCCTCAACGCAGCGCGTCTCAACCGCGGCGGGGACGGGTACCGCACGCTGAAGAACAACATGACGGTGTATGTGCATCCGAGCAGTGTGGTGAAATCGATGGACCCCCCGCCGAAGGTGATTATTTACCATGAGTTGGTGGTCACGTCGCGGGAGTATGTACGGTCGGTGATACCGGTTGAGGCGAGGTGGTTGACGGAGTTTGGGGGGCATTATTATGAGAGGAAGGATGTGGAGGTTTTGGAGGGGAAGAAATTGCCTAAGGAGAGGAAGTACTAACTACCTATTAGGGGTTATTTTAAGGGAAGTATTGGGGCAGGTTGTCAACAGGACGGCCTGGGACGGGAAATAGTCTTACTATAATATGGGCCATGTGTTACGGTAGTTATTTCTAGCAGGCGTCTGGAGCGATTGGAATCGAACTTGAAGTTGAGCATCCATCTCTGCGGTTTATTACCTGCCACTAGTTGCAGGTCCATTTCCGACTCAAGTATGAAGGGCCCTTGTTTCAACCCTGCCCATGTTGTCAAGTGAATTTCAATTTCAACCAGTCGAGTGTAAGGATATTAACCAACTCGTGAGCTTTGTCAATCTCTGTCCTCGCAAGCTAATTCTAGTCACCTTGCCGAAGGGACTCGCTCATAGTGACATATTAACCGGATGTTGGAGTTAGGTACCTTAACGTTAGTGGATGAGATGACGGAATGGTGTTTAAGTCATGCAGCAGCCCCACTGTATTACAGCACCTCTAGGGGCCCACAGCGACCTCCGGCCTTGCGCGCAAGGCTGAAGTCAATCTTGAACTTTCAACACCAAAGTTGGGGTCTTCTGGTCGTCTTTCACAACGAGACGTCACAAATTCCCCAGACACCGCACAACATGGCGGCACCACCTCCACAACCGCCCGCCCGCTCGGGCATGTCGCTGTACGCCAACCTGCTCGACGCCGACGGCTCGGCTTCCATCTCGCGCGACCCGGTGCGTTTCAAGGACGACAAGAGCGATGTGCCGGCTAGGAAGGCCATTGATCCGGGTATGTAATTGCTTTGTACCTAGTTTATGGCCGTGTTCGTTGATTTCTCCGAAATGATATTCTAACAATTGACCCACCAGCCCTTCGCTTCCAGCCCATCCGCCGTCCCCAGCTCACCAAACCTTCCGCCAAACCAAAACCCGCCTTCCCCAAGCCCCCCTCTGCCGCTTCCATCCCATCCACAGGAACAGGCACAACAACATCAATCCCACCAGCAGCACCACCACCCACAGACGACCCCCCACCAGCACCCATCCCCCAACCCCGCGCCACCCTCGCGGACTGGGCCGCCGACGACGACAACGACTACGCAGCCGCAACAGCCGCCAACGCCGCAGAGAAACGCCAGCGCGGCGGTCGACGGAACAAGAACAAGAAGAACCGTAAGAGTGAAGGGGGTTATGCGCGTGAGACAGACTGGGATGAGTTGTATGACCCTGCAAGACCGACGAATGTGGAGGAGTATTTGAGGAGTGAAGAACGGGTCAGGGAGGTGAGGGAGTGGAGGGGGGTGTTGTATGCGAGACGGTGGAGGGAGGAGGATGATGAGGGTGAGAGGGAAGGGGGGGTTCGTGGGAGGAGTGGGAGTGATGGGGAGGAGGGGAGTGGGAGGGATTTGGGGAGTATGTGTTTTCATTTCTTTATTTTCTTTTTCTTTCTCCCGTTGTGAGATTGGCCACTAACACACCCACAGACCAGTTCGCGCCTCCAGCATCCTTCAACTTTGCACCACCGCCCATGTCTCCACCCCGTGCTGCGGCTGCCGCTGTCCCAGACGACGCAACCGGCGACGACGCCTATGCCAGACGACTCGCGCTATCAGGCATGGCACAACCACCCCCACCACCACCCACCGACGGAGACACCTCCACCATCTCCCGTGCCCCCATCCGCTACACCCAACCCCTCCACCTCGGCCCCGACAACGACAACGACAACGACGCAATGGACATCGACGTGAACACCACCAGCAACCCCACCCCCGAAACTGCCGAAGGTCCCTCTTCCCGCCCAGGCCAACAAGGTTTCGCCCAGCGCCTCATGGCCAAGTACGGCTGGACCAAAGGCTCCGGCCTCGGCGCTTCCTCGACAGGTATCACCACCGCGCTACGTGTGCAAGTCGAGAAGCGCAAGCGTCGCCCCGACGCAGAAGGCGGCGGGTTTGTGTCGGGGGGTGGTGCTAGGGGGCGGGTTATCGCGCCGAAGAGCAAATCCCAAGCTCATTCTCAGTCTAACGCTGCTGCTTCTGAGAGTGGCTCGAGTGGGAATGGCAAATTCGGTCCCACGTCTGTGGTCATCGTGCTGGACCACATGCTGGACAACATGCCAGATCTGGAGGCGGAAGTCGAGGATGCCGGGCTGGGTCAGGAGATTGGAGAGGAGTGTGGCGAGCGGTATGGGAGGGTGGAGAGGTTGGTGGTGGATATTGAAGGGCGGAGGGTGCTGATTCGGTTTGTGGAGGCTGTTTCGGCTTTGAGGGTGAGTTTTTCCTTTTTTTCCACCCCTTTTCACTCCGTACTGTTCCATTAGTTGCTGGATGGATATGAGGTGAGGTGGTGGACCCTGCTAACTTGATCAACTCCTTCAGGCCGTCAACGCGCTTGAGGGTAGAGTCTTCAACGGCAACACTATTGTTGCGCGGTTCTATGACGAGGAGAAGTTTGAAGAGGGGATTTACGATGGGTAATAGCTTGCTAGCCAGCTTGACTGGGAGGTGTGCTGGGCGGAGAGCAAAAGAATGAGTTAATGAATAAAATGGGACGAGATCGTCGATGGGGGTAGGTATGATTTCTGAGTATGCTTGGGTCCTACCTATCGAAGGCCACCGTCCTTGAAGTAAACTTCTTATGATACGAGTGCCTGATGTGGACTTGCTTGTATCTTGTGGGATAGGTCCAGGAAACCAGCGGACTGGGTAGAGCCGGCAGTCGGTTGATCCACTCCTTGACCGTCCGTTGACGAGGTGAACGTTCCAGTCGACGAGTAGATTTCGACGTTTACCGTTTGTTATTACTGGTGGCGTCGATAAACTCGGTTGACGCCAAGGACGGGGCTGAGACTTGATGCCTTTCATACTAGGTAGCTAAAAGGGGAAACCTAGCCAGTGGCAAGTAACGAACCACGGATATGGATGTTCAACTTCAAGTTCGATTTCAATCGCTCTAGACGCTTGCTAGAAATTGGTCTACCGTAACACATGGCCCATACCTATTGCAGGAGCCGTCGGGGCGCTGTAATACAGTGGGGCTGCTGCACGGCTTGGACATTATTTTCGTCATCTCAACAACCAGCCCGCTTTAACATCTAGTAAACTTGTAACCATGAGCGAGTCGCTGCAGCAGGGCGATAGAGTCAACTTTCGAGGAAATAAATTGACGCACTCTACTAGCTAGCTAAAACCCAATTAGTTAGTTACTGAAACTCGAGACCGATCCACCAGTAAATGCAGCGCAGGCCCAGCAGCAGCAAACGAACCCGTATCCGCAGCGTCGAATGGTGCATAAATACGAATATGCCGTGATCTAATGATTTACAATACGACAAGCATAACTAATACGAACCTCACACCCCATACAAGGTCGAATAAGTCGGAATCCAGACACTTCGAAACTCGTCGACTACCTCGTATTAGCCAGACATTGACACAGTAATCATCCCACAGACACGGCACACAACCATTCAGAAAAGCAGACCCAGTTATTACAATTTCTAAGAAACTTCATACAAAGCAAAATAAACAACCAGACACACCCCCAAGTCCACAGACCCAACGTTGATGATTACCATCCCCTGACTCGACCCAACTCGGCTCGACACGCCTTCCTTCCTCTGCCTCCAACCGGCCCGGCAACATCATTACTCTCTTGGCCGTTTCCGTTTTCCCATAGCCATAGATGCATGCCCTTTTCTGTCCCCCCATTGTCCAAACCACTCAGGCCTAACAAAGCTGTTACTCTTCTCATCATCGCCGAGGCCGGGTTTCCAAATAAACCTGCCCAAACAAACATGCACTGCTAGTCGTCATACCCCGTATCATGAACGCGCTCCCGCAAAGCTGGAGAAACGATATCGCCTGTCACATGGAGAGCCCTGAAAAGTAATAAGGAGGGATGACCAAAGCCAAATCAACAAATCCAGCGTCTCTATCGAGATATTAAGTCTAGCGGTGCAGTATGTATGACGACGGGTATTGGATGTCGAGGGCCGGTGAAGCGCGGAGCATCAAAAAAAGAGCGGCGAGCCAGCAAAAAACTCGAGACAGTCCACTTTCAAAAAGGAAAAAGACAGGGTTGAGGTAACAAGGTGACGAGCCGATCGTGCACGGGGCCGCATAGAGAGACAGAGAGAAAAGCTCGCATTGTCCGACCCAAGTAAAACGCCAGGTTTCCCAAATTTGACAATCGTGGTATCCCATCCCTTAGAGAGCCGAAGCCAGACCAGCGACAGCGACAAGGCCGAAGAGCGCGGCGTTGAGGACAACGCCCGAGGCGCTGTTCTCACCGTCGGTGCTGCCGTCAGTGCCGTCAACGTTGCCCGAGTCGGAAGTGGAGCCGTCGGTGTCGTCGTTGGCCTGCTTGTTGTCGGCGGTGCAGGAGAAGACACCCTCAATGTCGCCGTTGCCGCCCTGGCTGCGCGGAGCAGACTCAGAGAGCTTGTCGCAGGACTTGCGGATGTTGGCGGTCGAAGAGACGTCAAAAGCACCCTTGACGTTGTTGAGCGACGGGAACTGGATCCTACGAGGTTGTTAATATGCGGCACGCTATTGGGAACTTGACAATTAGATGCGGAACAACGTACTCAGTGAAGTTACCACGGAGCTTGACAGCACCGCTGATCTTCTGAAGCTTGGGGAAGAAAGTAATACGGTCAAGACCGGTGTTGTTGGCGATGAGGAGACCACCGGCAATCTGGGTAAGCTTGGGGAAGGTCATGTTCTTGAGGAAACCGTTGCCGACGAACGAGATGTCACCAGTCTCGGTCTTGGTGAGGTTGGGGGCGCTGAAGCTGGTGAAGTAGTTGGAGTCGAACTTGGCCGAGCCGTTGACCACCTGGAGCGAAGGCACCGAGAACTTGGTGACGTTGGCAATGGCCATGTTGGCGATCCAGTTGAGGTTGGAGAGGTCGACCTCAAGGTCAATACCGTTGGCCTGGATGACGAGCTCATCAGACAAGTCCGTGAGCTGCGAGGTGTACTTCTGCAGGCGGCGGTTGTTGTCGATCTTGAAGCTGCCAACAGACTTGAGAGCGAAGCCGTCCAGCGTGTTGAGGAAAGTGTCGCTGATGCGAATGGTCTCAGCCTTGGTCAATGGGCCGAGAGTGAGGGTGTCCAGCCGAGTAGCCGCCACCCAGTAAATCGACTGGACAGTGGTGAGCTTGCCGAGGTCGACCGTGTTGAGCCCGGTCACGTTGTTGAGCCTGAATTGACCGCCAACGGACTGAAGGCTGGTGCTCGTCAGGGTCGTGATTTGGCCGTTGTCCTCAACACGGAAGTCGCCAGTGATTTGCTCCGGACCCGAGATATCGATGGCAGCGCCGCTCTGAGGGCCGACAATCAGGTTACCCTTGATGGTCCTGCAGCTCGCCAGCTGGCTCGCATCGGCTTGGCTGTTGACGGTGGTACCCTTGCAGACACCGGCTTGGGCTAAACATGTCACGTCAGCTGCTTGTTTCGGACCCAACGTTGAAAAGAAAAATGGCACTCACCAGCGGCAGAGCCGATCGCCGCAAAGGCGGGAAGAAGATTCTTAACAAGCATTTTGAAGAAGTCTGTTGTTCGTCACCGTTAGTTCCTAATGCAAAATTCCCCGTGACTCCCGCCGTAATCCAATGCCGGGCGTTGGTGGATCAAACGAAGCGAAAACAAGGTCAAGTAGAAGACGAAGTGTTGTGATGCAATTGCGGAAATGGCGAGTGCAGGTATCTCATTCCCTCCGAGTTGGTCGAATGTGCAATGTCCGGGGAATCCACGCGATCCGGACCGCGACGTGGTAGGCAAGAGCAACCTGCTGCTGTCCCGAAGCCCCGAAGAATCTCCGCCTCCCGCCTGTCGTCCAAGTCCGGCTCCCAGGTTGGAGCGTCTCCATGGCCAAGCGTAGCTCGTAGGAAGGTGTGATGGGCCGGGTTACAGCGAGACTTGATTCGTGTGGAGGGCTGAAACCGGCGATTCGCGTCTCGTGGAGAAGCATCAAGCGTAGACGGCGCGCTGTTGTGGCTTCTGGTTTCGTGCATACACTTTCCACCCAAACCAAATCTGCGCAAGAGAACTGACTTCTGCTCTCGTCCACGTACCTTTTCTGAATTATTTGAGGTTAAGAGGAATGACCTTGGCACGGATGAAGCGGAAAAGTCAAGAGGTTCCAAAGCTGGATAGAGAGTGCGAGAAAGATAAATGGGCGAGTGGTCGTAAAAGGACCTCTTCTTCCACGGGAAAGTTATTAACGAGTGTGGTGAAGCAAAAAAGCTAGCGAGAGGAGGAAGAAGTTGGTGCGGCACGGGAAGGAAGGAAACAGGCGTGTCTTCAAAGAAAACGTTCCGGCCAAAGGGGGCAGAAAACACAGAAACCTGCCAGGAAGGGGGAATTGGGGCTCGAATCTTGCAAGTTGGACCCGCCTTCATCCGGGCACCCCCCCTGCAGGAACAAGGGGCCGCCGATGAGCGCGGTTGGCCACGTCTTGGTGCCTCCCCGGAAGATTGTCTCAGCGTTTCAGGGGCTGGACCGCGCTGCCAAGTTGAGTGTGTTGACACTGGCGATGGGACACCCATGGCGCGAAGCTTTTGGATCAAGCGTTTCTCCGTCGGTTTGCTCATATTTCTCGCCCCCAACTACGGCGTCTTCTATGTGCCGTTACCTTATTCCCCAGAACGAGACGGCAATTCGTGTTATCTCATCCCACGACGATGTGCATGGATTTTTAAGTTGGCGAGATGAGAGGAGTGGCTCTAGCAGAGAATCCTTGCTGGACAGTGTCACTGCTGTGGGTCAAATTCTTGGATGAACATGGTTCCCCTTGGAGCTCCTTCCAACTTCCCAGCTCGGCTGCGCCATCCCTCCATTCTCTCACGGCGACGTCGATGGCGCTTTTTAGCTGCTTGGCCGCCGCTGGTCAAGCTGGACCAAATGGGGCGAGGCTCTGGTTCCTCGGTCCGTCCTGGAATTTTTCAGGATCGAGGCACAGATCGGAAGATCGGGGGAAGCAAAAGATTACCACTTCGAGAAAAAGGCCTCCGCTCACCAATTCCTTTTTTTTTTCACTAACTGACATCCAGCCACGCGCTGTGCGATTGTTTACTCTTTCCCCGGTTGCGCTGTCTGAGCTGCGCAAACCATGCAGCTAACGTTAGTGTATTTGTTCGCGCCTTTGCAAAGCTCCGTAGCACGTGCAGCCGGAAATGTCATTCGTTCATCCGTTCCCGAGCAAGCGCTGCCCGACTTTTTCGTGGATGACGTCGCCAAAAAACAAAGAATTGGACACGGGACGGAGCCAAGAAGGTCGGGAAGGCATTGGAGACGCGGGCTCCCTCATGATGTTTCGCCGCCTGGCCACACAAACCGAGCAACACAACCCGGCTTTGACCCAGACTTGCCAGACCACGCACCACAACACACCGAACGATACGAAGATCCGTCCGTCGTCATTCGTGATTGGCCAACCAGCGCGACGCGAATCCCAAGTCCTCTCCACCTTGGTGGGCTTCGATCTTCGTAGTCAAATTCGCCCCCATTGCGGCCGTCGTTAGTGAGGCAAGAGAGGCCGGCGGCTGTCAAGCATGTTCTCAAAACCTCTCACGTTTTACCGCATGCCATTCAGCACATCATATCCGTTTCCAACACCGCAAGCCTCGAGTACCTACCTTCCTGGGCAGGTCCGACCTCCGATGGGATGAAGGTAACCTGGGTGCCTGTTAATCCGTGGAAGAAAAGCCGATTACCTATGTGCCGAACCGTAGCAACCCTCCCATTTACAGGCCGACCGCCGCCGGCACGCCCCATTACCGCGCATGGTAGAACTTGGGCGAAAAATTGACTTCTTCTTCTTTCTCCCATTTACAGAAAACCTAACGCAACTCCGTCGGTACCGTCCATTAGTCTCTCGTGTAGACACCATTATATGCAAACACCAGGAGGTACAAGACATAGGGACACAGAGATCCTTTCCCATCCACCGGGACCTGCCAAAGTAACAGACACGGCCGCTAAACTGCGAGACCTTGATCTCGATCAAATTTGGTCCAGGAGCCGGGCGTAGGATGGTGAAGCTGTCAACACACTTGCCGGTGTGTTTTGTTTAAGGTACATACATCCAGGACTTGCTGGCGTTACTGTCAACCCAGGCCCTTCTTAACGTTACTAGCGAGACACCGCCAGATCTCGACGACCACAAATGTCGATTCGGGAGTTTGCATCATCCTTATCCATACCCGGTAGGACACTTTGCCATCCGGCGCACAATGCCGTCTAATAAACAGTTTGGGTAAGTCCGTCACGGCGAAGGCAACCTACGGAATGCCAATCCGCGTCAACTCTTCCCTAATACGAGAGCTACAGCTTGGGGCTCATTGACATGTGAACCTCACATCTATTACCATAGTGATTGCTTCCCGAGCTAATGTCTTATATTTTTGAGTTGAGTAGCTGAGTCTAGGATCCTCCGGGGCTTGAGTCCATATCAAAAGAGTAACGGCTTCGGGAAACAATTTAGAAGCCACCTCCATACGCCGTAACTTACTTCAGCGGCTTCCTGGTGAATCTACCAGCTCCGGGTATTATTCCGCAACCCGGCCGGCCTGAAGCCAAGCCGTGCACACTGGCAAGATCAGTCTTACCACTTGTACACATGGAAACGTATAGAAACTCGAAATCAAGATGTCACTGAAGTCGCCATCACCAAAATCGGTACTGATTTAACCGCCTCTCCATCGTCAAATGTGTGTGGGAGTAACTTCACCGTAAACTCCGTAGTACGTGTATTAACCTTAATAGCAAAGCTGCACAGTTGAAAGTTCACGCTGGTTGCACACCCCCCCTCGGCAGGGATAACGTTGCCGTTGCTGCGCGATCAGCGCGCTGTTCTCCGAGTGTAACGTTCGACACTGCCTATGAAACGGCGAGCGGCAGTGATATCTCTCCAGGTCGGACCGCGCAGCTCCTTGTTCGTTACCGGGCCCCTTCCACTCGATAGGATGATCACAACTCGCAGGCCTCCCACGTTCTCAAAGAATCTTTTCTGTGTCGAAAGTTTGAAAAGGAGCTGTGTTATGGGTGTCTCATGTAAAAGCTTCGCTCGGAAGAGTTGTCAAAGAGGTATTTTCCATGTCGACTAGCGACCCCACGCAGAGCACAGTGCCGCATTTCGCTGTGTTTGGTGGAGGCCAAATATCGATCACCCACTTTGAAACGTCCACACTGGCGCTCGTCACCGATCTAAACTAGGGGTGGTTTGGGTGGCTGGGCCGCTATCAGCGACTATCAGGGTCACGACTCACCGTTCCAGGTTGCGTGTGAAAATGAAAATAACAGGATAAACGGAAACAAAAACTTTGCCTGTTTGGTTCGTGCAATTGGCTTAGTTGAGGCGAGTCGGCTCATGGGATGAACGATGCATTGACCGGAAGCTTGTTTTTCTGGTACCACAACAAGCTCTAAGCCACAGCCTGTGCGCCTGTCGACCGCCACTGCAACAAGTTTCCAGCTGGAATTCGTCAGGCAATGGAGACAGCGCATGTTTCTGCGTCACAGCTATACATGGCAGGGTAAGATCATGGCCGATTACACGTATGGAACGGTCCCTAGGACAGAAGGAACGGCTTCCCAAAAGACAGTATGTATCCACGTCGTCTGATGTTCTTGTGTTGTCGATACACAGGGACACAGGCACAGACCGCAAACGCAACCACACAGGCCCAGACGGGTATGCAGACGCAAGCAGAATCTATAAACACAGACCAGGCCAGACGGCCATTCTCACAACCCGCGTTCCACTGTTTGACACGGTACAACGGAGTGTCCACCAGCCGACCACCCGACATGTCTTTGTCTCTCTCCCTCTCTCTTCCCCGCGCGGTCTTTCATCTCAGTTACTCCATCGTGCTAATATCCGTCTCTTCAACCCGCCACATATACCACATAAACAACGTCCGATAAGGCCGAAACCGTTCACTGATCTCCTCCATCTCCTTCTCGCTCATATACTTCCACTTCCCGCCGCCCTTGGCCTTCAACTTGCTCACGTCCCGTCCAACAAATGCCGCCATCCCACGCTGCACCCCCAAGTCACCAGTCGAGAAGACGTCCAACCGTTTCAACGCGAAACACGCAAACATCTCAACACTCCATTTCCCCAGCCCGCGCACGGCAATCAGCTTCTCAAAGACCTCCTCATACGGCGCATCGGCGAGCATCTGCGCGGTCAGCTCGCCCGAGGCGAACTTCTCGGACAGACCCTGGAGGTATTCGGCTTTGCGCTGCGAAAGCCCCGCCGTGCGCAAGGTCTCAATCGACGTCACCGCAACCTGGTCCGGAGTCGGAAAACGCGGAGCGACCACCTCGGCATCGGGCAGCGCATCAGTCTCCAGCTGCGAGTTGAACAGGTTGATGAAGCGGGCCTTGATGGACTTGGCCGCGGCACCGCTGACCTGCTGCGAAATGATGCCGCTGCACAGCGCCTCGAACGGGTCGACCTGCTCGGCTAGGCCGGCGGGCGAGAAGATGCGGCAATGGTGCTGGTCGATGAGCGGCTTCATCCGCGCGTCGACCTTGATTAGGTAGGCGCAGGCCTCCTCGAGGATGTTGGACGATGTGATGGTGGGGGTGATCTTCGTCGGGCCCGTCGGGGCGGGCTTGACATCTCTGCTGCTGCTTAGCTTGGAGCGGATCGGCTCGACGGAGGTCGGAGCGATGACCCGGGATGTCTTGGGCGAGCGGAGGACCGCATTGGTGCGGTTTGGGTCTGCCAGACGAGCGACCGCGGCGGGTTTGGGCTTCTGTGTCTCTATGGGCTCTGCGATGAGATTGACTGCGGTAGGTGTAGGTGTATCGGGCGCTTCCTCGACAGCCTTCACCCGCCGCTTCCGTGGTGTGACGGGCGCCTTCGCGGTCTCCTCCGGCGCAGAAACCTGGGCTTTGCGCTTGCGAGCCATTACAGCCGGCCGAGGTGGTAGCTCAACTACAGCGGCATTGGTGGCCACGGCCGCAAGCCTGGCAGACCTGCGTGATGCCATGTGTTCGGATGCAAAATGCCAGGTAAGGGTCTCCTGTATCGAGGCCAATAGTAGTCCCAGCCAGGGAGGGGGCGGAGAAGTAAAACAAGTCGGGAACAATGTCCAGATTGGTCACGACATGCCAAACAGGCGATTCTGTGACGGGTGGTTTGTCCTCGCTGGCAGTTGATCACTTCAAAACGAATGTGAAGCGCAACGCCGTGTCTTCTAGCGGCAATCTCACGAGAAAGAAGACATTGCGAAGAACCAACTGCCAAAGGCGGGGAACCCAGACTACTTTTGTCGCAAGTCGGCCGGGAAACGCTCCCTGACTAATTACCCAAAAAGGAGACCGCATCTCCTCAACCAGTGAGACGCGCGCTTTTCAAAATGTCAATCGCGCTCCTTCCACCAGATCACGTGATTTAGCTCCGGGCGACAAAGTGCTCCGATTTTCTTTGAACTAGTACCCGATTGGGTTAGTAAGTCAATGAATCTCACGCCAAGGCGGCCGAGGCGGGAAGATTGAGCTCGGCATGCTTCTGGAATCCCGGCTCTGTTGAAAAGCGCAGGGTGTTGAGGTCCAGAACCCAACGGGTAAAATCGTTGATTCGAAAACGGGGTCTTCTCTCAGCGAGCAACTTATTAGCTTCCCCGGGACGAGATACAGAGGCCGATGAGCATAAATCTTGGCAGTGTATGGAAGGTGACAACCTGGAAGCTCCATGATGCAAGGTTGTTTTGTGGGGTTCTTGAACATCGAGACCAGATGGCAGACGCGCAAAGCTTGAAGAGGAAGGACGGAAACGGGGAACCGTTCGGCGGGATATTTGTCGCGGAGAATCATCTGAAACACATCGGGCCTTCAATATTGTCTGCACAAATCGACGGACGTAGACGTAACTGGAGGGGGGGCAAATTTGAGCGATACGAAGTACAGTTGCTGCTTTTCGCTGCTGGGGCATCCCGTTCCAGTCCATACGGGAACGAAAGAAGCGGCCATATCTACATAGCATATGGTGTCGAAACCCTCCATTGCCTCCAAACGGAAATTGACCACAGGTTTACGAGGTATGTCGTGTAAAGAAAAGCAAGGAGGTTTTTGTCACCAAATTTGCCGGGACGGTTATTGTTTGCTTCAGGGTACCTCCGCAGGTGCCATTCCGCAACGGTGGCTGAGTTCCAGGCCCCAGAAACGGGAGTTAAAGCCCACCAAATCCCGGCACACCCCCGCCAAGAGACGACGCTAATCTCTGTGAGGTGCTCCTGTTCACTTTGGCGACATGTTGAATTTCCATCGTCCACTCCCACACGCCCAATAGTTTGATATTTCTCATGTATTTTGGCCCTGGCTAACGACGGACGCCATTCCCGCAACGAGCCTAACTAGCCACGAACCCCGCCTCTCGCGGTTGTCACTACGCCTAGCAAGTTGTGACCTAGAATCGGCAAGCCAACGTCGCCGAGCCCGACGACCCTTCCATATCATCACCCCAGCGTCGCACCAAACTTGGCCAGCCCGCCGCGTGCGCCCCTTACAACGGGACCGACCCTTTGCCACACGGCATCCCGGATCGGCTTGTTAGACAAGGACGGGGCCGGAAACAATAGACGGGGACGGCTCTCTAAGCCAGGCGCCGCGCAATTGCTGCGCGTGGTGTTGCCACAGGGGGATACAACCTGACAAGAGACATTGAAGATGCTGTTCCCGAAGGGCGGCGTAAACTGGAAGGGCGCGAGAACGAATTTACCTCCTACGCGGGGATTGTGGAAGCTACTCGCAAAATCGCGGTTGCTTTTCCTCGTCGGTCTTACCGGCCTAGTAGTTTTACTATGGCGCACCATCCGGAGCACCACACCTCGTGTGCAGAGGTCCGACACCCTTAAGTTTATTTTTCTTCGTTGTTACCAGCGGCGTTGGGCGGGATGTGTGTAGCTAACATTATATCCGTCGACAGCTTCTACTGCTGGGGTCCGTCTAAGTCGCCCATGGAAATGACGCCAAACGAGCAAGCAGCCTGGTCCTCCCACCTCACGACCCCCGTCATCTTCAACCACCATGCCCCGCTCGAAGTCGACTCGTCAACCATCCAATACGTTGACCTGAACCCCATCAAGTCCACAATCAAGGCCGTGCAGAACAAGGAGCGGGTCCTCCTCCTCACTCCGCTCAAGGACGCCTCGCGCTACCTCTCTAAGTACTTTGAGCTCGTCGCGAAACTGACCTACCCCCACGACCTCATCGATCTTGCCTTCCTCGTCAGCGACACCACCGACGACACCGTTGCCGTGCTTGCTGCCGAGCTCGACCGTATCCAGAAGCGCGACGACGGTACTGCCTTCCGCAGCGCGACGATCGTACAGAAGGACTTTGGCTTCACTCTCAGCCAGGAGGTTAAGGACCGTCATGGCTATGAGGCCCAGGCCCCGAGGCGCAAGGCCCTGGGGAAAGCCCGGAACTACCTCCTCTCGACGGCGCTGAAGCACGATCACTCGTGGGTGTATTGGAGAGATGCGGATATTGTAGACAGCCCGGAATCGATCATTGAGGATTTCGTTGTCCATGATCGAGATGTTCTCGTTCCCAGTACGGATGACCCCTTTGGTGACGAAATCTTGAGGGCAGTGAGCTAACGGGTTACAGACATCTGGTTCCACCGTTACGAGGACGGGCGCGATATTGAAGGGAGATGTGAGTGTGGCCTTTTCTCTCAAACTTGGACCATCTAGCTAACCATGGAGCAGTCGATTACAACTCCTGGGTGGAATCCGACAAGGCGCTCAAGCTCGCTGCGGGCCTCAAAAAGGACGTCATTCTCGTTGAAGGTACGTCCCACTCTCTCCCTCTAAGGTCTGCCAGAAATTGGACGGAGACTGATCATGCGCAGGCTACAAGGAATTCGACACCGGGCGCACCTACATGGCGCGGATGGGTGACTGGCGGAACAACAAGGACGAGGAGATCGAGCTGGACGGCGTCGGCGGCGTCAACATCATCGTCAAGGCCGACGTTCACCGATCAGGTGCGTTAAACCCCTCTGACCAGCTTCCCGGGTTAATCACGTAATAACTAACACGGCCAATTCAGGGATCAACTTCCCATGCTACGCCTTCGAGAACCAGGCCGAGACAGAAGGCTTCGCCAAGATGGCCAAGCGTGCCGGGTATGGCGTCTACGGCCTCCCCAACTATGTTGTTTGGCATATCGACACGGAAGAAAAGGGGGGGAACGTGTAGTGATTGCTTGGCGATGCTATGTCTTCACGCCCCCTCTAATTCCTGTTCCCCCATTTTGGTTTACCCGCTTTTCACGGCTTATACGACAGCCCATGATGTGCACAAACACAAACGCATACACACACCAAATTATACATGCTTTCCATGACGTTTTGAGGGAAGGCAATCGGCGTTGGATGGGGTTCCGGCGGTAATGGTGTCTGTCTTTGTATCTGTCTCTTTAGCCTTCTCATTCCGTTATTCACCACGGTTTTTTGGTATTCTTTTACTTCTCTCGGAGGTCGAGAGTGGGTGGACATCGAGCGTTGTATTCGAGCTGTTCTGGATGAAATTCAAACTTGTTGGTGGTTCTTCTTCTTTCTGTATGTCGGCCCGACGGTGGAAAGGCGTGTTTTACGGGAAGGAATTGGAGACGCCTCGATAATCTTCCGTTCATTCAGTACGTGGTATAACGCATGGTTGGAGAGCAATGGTCCGGTGTTGTGTTTGGGGATTGAGTCTATGTCCCGGGGAAAGGAGGGTATTATTGCAAGATACACATGTTCTAAAATGGCGCTCGTCGTTTTTTATGGCAGGATAGTGTTCGCTGCTTACGGCTCGACGAATAATAGGAGATCGCTTGGGTCCGTTTGGTTTTCTGTATCGGACGAGATTTTGGATTTGGCGCAGGGCAGTAATGATAACTATGCATTCATATACTTTGACCGATTTTGAGCGGTGGCGGCTGTGTTTCATATTTCCTCGCCCTAAAATCTAAGACTAAACATACTTAGTAGGAGAGGGAGAACATGAACAGAGGCACAAACAGGTCAGGTAATTGAGACTATACTGGCTGACAGGCAACTTGAAAAAAGAAGTCAAAAAGCTCACTACCCAGTCCAACCACGAGTTGCGTCCATGAGCCTGGCATTATCACAGCCGTGACATTGATCATATATTGAACATCCATGAGTTTGGATTTACTATGCTGGACGGCAGTGACGGATATACACATCAACCAGATCGGCGGCAAGCCCTGCTCTCCCAAAACACCTCTATTTTGACTCTCTAGCCACAGTCGTGATTGTCCTTCCCCCCTTTCGTAAAGTACAGCCCCGCCATCATCTAACAAGAAAATCTCTCCCATGCATCCATCATTGGCGTGGTTTGACGTCAGTTCGTCAACCCGGTCTGCCCAATCCCAGTCCCAGTTGACAGCCCGTTTAGTGCTTCTTGAGGACGGTCAAGGTGTTGAGGGCTTCCCTCTCCTGGTTCTCGGCGTAGACCTGCTCAAGGATGGGCGACAGGTAGGGCGTGTCCTCCTCGGGCTTGGTCCACTCGTTCCTGGGCAGGATCTTTTGCTGCAGGCTGAGTTGTGTCGCGCGGCGGATGCGGTAGATGCGGTCGTAGTTCTCCTTGGCGTCCAGACGGCTTATCGCCTTGAGCACATCCTCGTTCTCTTCGGAGAGCAGGTCGTCGGCCCTAGTGGTGAGAGTGTGTGTTAGAATTAATTCAATGGGAATGCAATTGGGTCACACAGCGACACGACAACACAGAAGTACCGTCGCCATCACCATCATCACCACCACCACCGCTACCATCATCACCACTATCATCGGGCGCAGGGGGGAACGCACTTAAGACCCATCTGACGGTAGCCGGCGGCATTGGCATACCACGCGGCAAGAGGGGTCAGCAGCTGCTTAAGCCAGGGCCGCCGGAGGACGAACGGGCTGAGGGACGGCGCGACAGGCATGGCGGGCGTCGGTAGGTGGTTGGTTGGAGTACTGACTGAATGTTGTCGTCAAACAATCAATCAAATTGGCGCGAAATCATTTGAGGTTCACAAGCTGCGAGAGCTCCGGGAATTACCGTGGGGTTCTTGTCATGGCCTGAAAATTCGGGCAGCGAATTTTTGTGTAACGTAAAGCATGACGCGGTATGTTTGGTATGTTACACCGGCCTCGAACTGCTCCCCCAAACAGCGATGAGGTAATGGGTCCCGGCAGCGAACCCCGATTCCGGATTTCCATCATCCCACTCTCAGGTGCAATTGATAACGGTGGACAGCCCTGTTCCCTTCTGCCAGGATCCTCCACGCTGGCAGGTTCACTGACTGGTCAATGAATCTTCATCCGAGACATGAGAAAAAAGAAAAGGGTTTGGCTGGATGAGACGAATCAACCGCTTTGTTGTGTGAAGACAACAAATTGAACCCGCGGGATCCCGAATCCAAAGCCTTTTTTTCCTGCAGCTGAAGGACGGCCCGCTGTCCTGCACCTCGGTATCAGTCTTAACGGTCGGCTGCCCTCGTGCTCACTCCCGTTCCTTCCTTCCACCCCCGATAACTCTAGAAGCCCGTCCTCTTCTCAACAATTACACTACTCTTCAGTCTGAAAACAATCCTTCCCCCAAACAGCCTCACCAGCAAACTATCAAATCCCCGCCTTTCGAAAACACAACCTTCCCAGCAAAGCGGACAAAGGCCGGATTACTAGAGCCCGCGAATACAATACCCCCGCGTGTTCCGGTTCATCGGTGCTCACGGGTCTCCGCAGTGTCGGATTGTGCAATCCACCACCCCGGTCCACCCGCGCGCCCGCCAAGAAACATTTCCCTTCCAAGTCCCCGTCAAAGTGTCGAAACTCCCGCTTTGGTGAACGAGGGACGTAATCAGGGCGCGCTCGTTCGGGCAAAACTCCCAGGCCAAAGCACTCGGGATTGTCATTCACCACCTGTGCGCCCACAAGCGTCAAAGCCCATGAAAGGCGCCAATTGTTGCTAGCAGAAGTCACGGTCCCCTGCCTGCGCGGGCATCTTCCCCGCACATCGGCATCAAAGGGAATCGCAGACAAAACCAACAACCGCCCGGCGCTACTAGGCTCGATGATATCGAGAAAACCTGTGACGAAAACACCACCTTGATTTGCAAACACAAAGGACCTCGCGAGTTACAACACACATTACCGCTTTAAAAAAAAAAAAAGCCCCGAACGAACATCCGTTTACCAAGAAACCAACCACCACACAACACCACATTCCGACACCGATTTCCCTCTTCACTTCTCGAGGCGGAATGTCTCACAACGAACACCTTTCTCCCGACACTCAACCGACAGCTGGATCACAGTCAGAATATGGGGTAGCGCTATCTGAGCCCCAGGCCCCGCAGTCACAGTCGGCGGATATTTCACCATCTAAAGGGACAGACACGGCCCGTTTGGCCGCGACCGAAGCGATGTCCGATTCAACTCCACTCACAGCTTGGGAGCGCTGGGCCGTTGGTGCCTCAGAATCCCAATTCAATGCCCTGTCAGGCGCCGTCGGCGGCTTCACATCAGGCATTGTCACTTGCCCGCTCGACGTCATCAAAACCAAGCTGCAGGCTCAAGGCGGCTTTGCGTCGCAATTACCTGCTGGGCACACGAGGGTGTACAAGGGATTGTTTGGGACAGCAAGTGTGATATGGAACCAAGAGGGGCTCCGGGGCATGTACAGAGGCTTGGGCCCCATTATCATGGGTTATTTGCCCACCTGGGCAGTATGGTTCACGGTCTATAACAAGTCCAAGAGGTTCCTCGGGGAGTACCACGGTATGTGCTCAACTGCCAAGCAGCAACTAAGTTCAGACTGTACTAACTAGCCCTACAGATAACAGCTTCGTCGTCAACTTCTGGTCATCGGTAGTAGCGGGCGGTAGTAGCACTATTGTCACAAACCCGATTTGGGTTATCAAGACCCGCCTGATGTCACAGTCGACGAGCCACGACAGGGCGCGGTTCTCGCTGTTTCCAAAGGGCGCCAACACCCCAACATCACGGCCAACGCTGCACCAGCCGTGGCACTACAAGTCAACATGGGATGCAGCACGCAAAATGTACACGACAGAGGGCATCCTCTCGTTCTACTCCGGGTTGACACCAGCACTTCTCGGGTTAACCCATGTTGCCGTACAATTCCCAGCCTATGAGTTCCTTAAGCTCAAATTTACGGGGAGGGAGATGGGTGCGGCACCCGTCCCAGGCGAGGACGAGAAGGCGCACTGGTTCGGTATCTTGTCTGCGTCGATAATGTCGAAGATCCTTGCGAGCAGCGCTACTTACCCGCACGAAGTGATTCGAACACGACTACAAACGCAACGGCGACCAATGCCAGGATACGAGTACATGCAGGGCCTCGGCGGTACACAGGCGGGGACTAACGGGTCCGCCCAACCGCCAAACGCTGGGCCGAAGTACAAGGGTATTGTCTCCACGGTCCGAACCATGCTTCGAGAGGAAGGCTGGAGGGCATTTTATGCGGGACTGGGCACAAACATGACACGTGCCGTGCCGGCTGCCACTGTGACCATGCTCACGTACGAATACACGATGAGCAACCTCAACCGTATGAGGACAACTGGGAAAGCGAAGATGCAGCAGGAGCAGTCGGAGCGAAGGGAGTTTTCGGGGGTGTAGATTTGGGGGTCCAGGCGTTATTTTCCGATACCCAAACCGGCTTTGTTTCGGTTCATTTTAGAGAAGGCGATGCGAATCACCCATCAGGACATCCTCCCCAAGGCTGCCATCGTCACATGACCCTGTTTTTCGAAATCAATACGATACCCCAGCCCATTTCGATCAGTTCCCGACCTACCCGTTGCCCGCGCAACACCCTTTCTGAGCACACCCAGTCGTCATCCGTCTCATTTTAGTGCCTCGTATTTTCCACCTCGAATTTGGCCATGGGAGAAACCGTGGTGGCACAACAGATAGTTGAGCTTTCTAGCAAGTATCGCCGCTGCGAGAAGTCATGGTGGCAAGCTACCAAGTGAGAGAGCGAGCAGGAAATGGCGACGTTGTTTTTGCTAGACCGCACTGCACAGCCCAACAGCTTTCTGTTTCTTCCAGATTTCTACCCTTCCCTTCTGCTCCTCCGTCCTTTATCTAACACCTTCGCCACCCATTCCCCTATTTTTTCCAGCCTTATTTTTTTCCGGCGGGCGGGCGGGCGGGCGTGCAAACGGGCAAAATGCATGTTGCATCCACGGTATCTATGGATTTGATTCAACGGAGTACTTGGGAAATCGGACCGGCCGGGCGATTGAATCAGCTAAGAAAGAACAGGTGTGGTTCTTACGTTGGTTTTTGTTTTGTTTTGTTTTTGTTTGTTTGTTTGTTGGGTGTACTGTACATGGCATACATATTTGCATAGACGGCCCGGGTGGGCTGGCTGGCTGGTGGGCGGGTAGGCAGGTAGGCAGATGGGGATTTTGCCGAATTGGGGGGGGGTTGGGGGGTGAAATGTCTGGGTTAGTGTGTGAATATAAGATATCGATGTGTTCTAATATGGGTGTGAATCTGTGGTGAAGTATGTGATGTCTTTTAGTAGTAGAGGTGTTGATGTTTTATCGTGAGTAGAGCCCGAGTAATAAGGCTCGAGGTCTTAATGTAAATGCTTGCCAAAAAAGGAGAAAAGAAAAAAGTCGCGATACTCCTTTCACCATTTAACGGACAGTTTCCTTCCTTTCTACCTTTTTCTTCCTATTTTTTTTGAAGGGACATTCTTTATGTTGGTCTTTCGTCAGGGACAGTGAGTTAACTAGCCATTTGCCTACAGCAGCTGGGCGAGCAGCTCCGCCAAACAACTTTCGCGCACGTTTGTCCGATTGCCTATTAGTACAACCCCCAAACTTACAACCTCCCGACTTAAAACCTCTCCACTCCGTATTTGATCATATTACCTCAAAACATAATACCAGGCCATTGGTTACATGGGATTGAATGCCCTAAGCAAGCGTGAAACACAATAGCACCACACACCTCCAGAATGAGAAATGTCTCGTAGCATCAACCCACGGGTATGTCCGACTGACTGCAAGGCAATCCTAGCAAAACACCTTTTTTCCATGTTGTATCCACGAGAGATGTAAACTAATACGTTCGTCTTCCCTTCGTTTAGACCATCATGGCACCGGTAGCCGCGTTTACCATGGCTGGTGTTCTGTTCATGTATGTGGTCCCTGATTCTGAGGTTGCTCCTGCGGGCTCTGTTTCTTTGGGTCAGGCGTAGTAGTAGGGGTCCATGGGCCTTGTTGATGGCTGATTTGAGATGGTTAAAGGTACACACGGTCGTCAATCCGGGCTGCGAAGAGCAATGCCGTAAGTGAAAGCCTTTTTTCCTTTTTAGGGAGCATGTGTTTTTGGGGGCGTGGTTTCGCCGCGGCTTGAGAGCAACGGCCGCAATCATTTGGTTATTCCTAAGGGGTTCCCGTTGATGTTTCGTTCTCAGACACTGATTAGATTCATGGACCCAGAAGCTTGACAAGGAGAGACAACAAGCTGCTCGCCAATATCGAAATCAAGATGGGGAGCAATAATCCGGAACTGGGGTTATGAAGCATGTAACCTTGACATAGGGGCAAGTTGGGACGGAGGAAGGAAATATAAAGATATCAGCTTGATCAATCAGAGGCCAATTAGCAAAGATCAAAATATATACACAAACACAAGTCCGGCTGCTTTTTGTTACCCTTACAGCGAGTCCGAATCCGCAACACCGAAAAAAGTCCCAGGTTTCAAGGCCTCTCACTTCACCAAGCGCTTCCCAACACAGCACACCAAACCTCTGCTTCTACTCCTCCTTCTTCTCACCCTCCCCATTCACCCCCTCCTCCTCCTTCTTCTCCTCCTTCTTCTCCTCCACCGCCTCCCCATTTGTCTCCTTCACCGGCGCATCCTCCTTCCCCTCCTCCTTCTTCTCCTCCTCCTCCTCCCCGTTAGCAGCCTCCCCCAACCCCTCCACCAACCCCCTCACAACATCAACCGTCGCCTCAGGCCCCCCAGCCTGCGCAGCCAAAACCTTACCACTCTTATCAACCACAAACACGCCCCGCGTAGTACCCTTGGGGGTCTTCTTCAGACCGATGGCGCCAATTAGCGTAGCAGCCGGATCGCAGAGCAGAGGGTAGGGCAGGTTCTGCTTGGTTTGGAAGGTGGTGTTGGCTTTAGGGGAGTCGGTGGATAGGCCGTAGATGGACAGACCGGTTGGGGTGGTGAGGGCGGTGTGCGCGTCGCGGAAGAGGCAGGCTTGTTTGGTGCCTTTGGGGGGGGGGGGGGGGTTAGATATGTTGTACAGGTATTATATGGGTGGGTGGAGGTATGGGATTGCGGTTTTGGGGATAGGGAGTAGCTTACAGCCAGGGGTGGACGCCTTGGGGTAGGTAAACAGCACAACACCACCCTTGCTCTCATCAACAAGAGCCTTAAGGGTAGTCTTCTTGCCATCGTTGGTCTCGATCTCGCCGCCGAAGCCGTCGAGAGTGATGACATCGCCGACGGCGGGCTGAGAGGACGAGCCGTTGGTAACGCCGGCGACCTTTTCCTTGACGGCTTCCTTGACTTTGGAGGCGGTCGAGGCGGTAGGCTTGCTGGCGGCCTTCTTGCGCGTGGGAGCCGGCGGAGGCGCGGGGGCCTCCTTGCGCTTGCGCAGTTCCATGGGCATGATGGCGACGCGGTTGGGGGTAGGTTTTTACGCGCGGCTTGCGGCTTACGGCTTACAAAAGTATGGAAGGAGATAGAGAGAGGAAGGTGATGGTTGAGGAAGAGTGTGTGGATGGGTGAGAGATTGAGAGGCAAAGGGTCCCAATGTACGGGAGATAACTACGGCGCAGTGGTCGCGAAGAGGTTGCGATCGTAGTGAGATGGAAGTGGAAGGTCGGCGACGGAAAACAAGAAGAGAGAAGGGGGAGAGAAGAAGTAGGGAGTTTGGGGAGGTCAACAGGATGTCGAGCTGGTTGCGCAGGTGCTGACCAATGAGATGCTGGCGCGGCCCCCAGACGAGGCCAGGCCTTGGAGAGACAGGGCGCGCAGAGCCGAAGAAGCAGGAGGAAGGGTACGGGAACTTGGGGGGAGGGGGGACCTAGGTGTGTGGAAGGGCTTGTCCGGTTGCAATGCTTGGATGGAGCTCCGCTGCGGCAGCGCACAAAGGAACCCGCAGCAACGCCGCAGGTCCCAAAAAGGTCCGTGGGAAATGCCGTCTCTGGGGGAGGGTTGGAGGTTACTTCTGATACGAGTAACCTAGGGCGCGGCCGGAAGTCTTGCCTGTGTGAGAGTCACCCCAAACAGCTGGGAGAGACAGACAGAGAGAATGCAGGGGCAAACGGCTAGCCATTCGGCTCATACCCGGGCTACCTAACTAAGCAGTTCTGTAAGCAACGGGCCGCTGAAATTCGTTTCTTGTTCTCTTTTGTGAGTTGAGTTCCACTTTGGGGTTCGGGTTCAGCTCCAGCTCGATCGCCTTTTCCCGGGCGCGCGCTGCATCGGACAACATGGGAATTTTGCCAATCCGCCCGCCCTGCATAAATTTGTTGTATAATCCTGCGCACGATCTCGGTCGTCTCAGCAACCAGGCTGTCAAGCCACGGAACGCACTGAAGCGAAAGACGGAAAAGAGCCTGCAGTCATGTGAGATGGTGTAATTTCGGTGTTGTCAGACCGATGTCTTCGGAAAGAGCGAGAACGGCGTCCGTTTTCACCGGGGACTCGGGAGATGGGGAATTGGGGATGTGGTCCGTGCCATCCCTCCCAATATTTTCTTCTCGCAATTCGCAACTGGTCAATGCGTTCATCAGCCGGCTAAACGCCGGTCTCTAGAGCTCTTCCCGCCAAGCCTACCAACGCCCAGTCTGGCCTGGCCTGGCCTGTGCTCCCTCACCTGGCTTGCTTAGGTTGGAGAGCATTCCAGATTCCAACCTTGAACTACGAAGTCGACCACGCTACGCATACATTCCCGACACCTGTCACCATGGCGTCCAAGACGGCGGCCGCATTGGCGGCCACGACGGGCGGTAACGCCATTGCCATTTCCAAGGTGAGTTTCTCCAAACTCGGGCGATTTCCCCCCAGACTGAGGGGATATCCATCACAACTTCCCATGATCGATTCCAACAAGACTAACCCACACGGCCTCCCCCCTCAGAAATACACCGTCCAATCAGTCGGCATCTGGGAGCGTCTCCGGCGCGCCACCGCCCTAGACCCCAACCGCTCCAACGGCGTCCCGCTCAACCCCTACAACCGCTACCCAGCGCCCGGCAGCAACGACCCCAAGCTGATCGACGACCCGGTGACCATCCCCGCGGGCGACATCGCCGACAACCCGTACTGGAAGCGCGACGCCCGGCGCAACTACCCGCGCCACAGCGTCGTCGGCCAGGCGCAGCAGGTCGCGCTGTTGACGGTAGGCAGCGCTGCGCAGCCGCGGGTTGAGTTGGTGGGCGAGGAAGGGAGCAAGGCATTGGTCGCGGCGGAGGAGGCGGGGAAGGAGACGGGCGTGGCGGGGTATTTGGAGAATAGTGGTGTGGAGGCCGCGAAGAGGGTGTTGGAGTTGACGGGGGGGCTGCCGCCGCTGCCGAGCGGGCAGAGTTTGGCGAGTGGGAGCTGGGATGTGCATAAGTATGGGCTGGAGACGGAGCAGTCTTATACTGAGGAGTGAGTATTCCATTTCGGTGTTTGGGAACGAGTGAGTGAGAGGTCATGCTAACAGATGAACAGCTACCCGTGCCGGTCATTCGCATAAGGGTTGGTAGAACATGGAGGACGTCAGGGTTGAGCATAGGACCTAAACGGATGAAGACCGGTGTATATACCGCAGCAATGGAAAAAGGCGTGGATTCGATTCGATGTGCCCGTGTACAATCGTCAAGCTACGTGATTCCTCACACTAGCCACTGTCTCCCCCATTACCCCCCGTTTCTCATCCAACCATCCGTTACACTTGATCCCCAATACCCGACCGTCTCAAACCTCCAACTCACCCTCCTTCCCAACAACCAGATCATCACCCGGATCATGCCCCTGCCCATCCCCATCCTTACCCCCCTCTACCACTTCCCCCTTCACTTCTTCCTTCACCTCTTCCTTCACCCCCTGGGACGCATCCTTCTCTTTCTCCTTCTCCATCCCACCCTCCCCAACCATCCGCTCAATGACCTTGAACCGCCCCTGTGCTCTTCGCAACCTGTCGTCGAAATCATCGACAGCCTCGTCGTTGTTTTCTGTTGACAAGCTCTCTGTCTCGGATAGCGCGTAGAGCGTGGTGATGTGTTTGGATAGGCGGGGGTTGGGGGGTAAGGGGGGGAGTGTTGCTCTTGTGTCTGTTTCTGTTTCTGGCTCGGGCTTCGTGGGGGGTGTGGATGTGGATGTGGATGTAGATGTAGATGTAGATGTGGATGTGGATGTGGACGCCGTTGCTGCTCGCTGAACCGCCCGTCCTCCCCCCTCCCCCTTCGAACCCTCACCCTTTCTCGCTCCCCCCAACCGATTCGCCCAAACAATAGCCCGCCCCTGAAGCCTCCCAACCTCCGCAAACTTCTGAAAACCGCGTTCCAGCCCCAGCTGGCGTCCCTCAGCACGACCGGCTGCCAGGCCGTCGGCCATGCCTTGGTTGTAGCCTTCTGTGTAGAATTGATCTTCGAGTGTGAGGAGGGAGTCGAAGGGGTCTGTTGATGTTGGGGATGTGGTTGTAGTGGTTGCTGTGGGAGCTGTTGGAGCTGGTGGTTGGGGGGATGTGGTTGCCATTGTGGTGGTTCGGTTTTAGTCTAAAGAATAAAGTGTAGGGCGTGAGATGTCCAGGGAACCCTTAAACTCAAAATCTTGAAAAGTCGAGTTCAAGTCCGAGTTACGGTGAAGATGGTGAGCGCGGTGAGAAACTGGCGAGTGAGTTTCAAAAGTCAAAAGACTTGCGGTGGCCGCGGCCGGTGTCGCTATGGCGGGGTCGGCACTGGAGCGCGGGGCAAAATTTAGACCCCGCATCCTGAGCGGTGGCGGATTGTTGGGGGTGTCTCGCTATTTACAGGGGACCTCATAGGGACATATGGATCTCCAACGGACACCTGGCATATGTCGGTATGGACATCCCCGGGCATGACAAAACACCATGGCTTATGTCGGCCTGGTCATGCAGGTTGGAAGTGGTGACATGTCACATATTTAAAATCGGAAAGGAAATATATTTCATCCTTAACCACAAATTTCCTCTTAGACTTGTCACTAGGTACAGTACATAACAGCTTCAACACCAATTGGATATCACTGAGATCAGTGCATCAACATCCCCCCATTAGCACTCACCACCTGCCCGGTACACCACCCCGCCTCTTCACCCACCAACATCCCAATCACCCCCGCAATCTCCTTCGTATACGCTGGCCGTCCCGCACTCTCCTTCGCATCACGCACCACCTCCTCCGCATCCACCCCTTCCCTCGCCCGCATCAGCGGCGTATGCATCACCCACCCGCGAATCCCCTCCAAAAACTCCGGCGTATTCGACGCATACATCGGCCCTTCCACGGGGCCCGGGTTCACCGCGTTCACCGTCGCCCGCTCCGACAGCTCCCGCGCCCAGGTCCGCGTCATAGCCTCCAGCGCGGCCTTGGTACCGCCGTACACCGACTGGCCGACAAAGCCCGTGGATGATGACACGGAAGAGAGGTTGATGATGCGGCCGGAACGGTCGTGGGGTAAGTACGGCAGGGCGGCCTGGACGACGAGGATGGGGCCGAGCACGTTGACGCGGTAGGTGGCGTCGAAGTCGTCTTGGGTGACGTGCTCGAGGGGCGCGTTGCGGGCGATGCCGGCGTTGTTGATGATGATGTCGATTTGGAGGGGTTTGGAGGCGGAGGAGAAATTGGTCTTGGCCGTTGCGAGGAGGGCGGCTACGCCCGCGGGAGTGCCGACGTCGCCTTGGGCGGGCACGGCGAGGATTTGGTGGGTGGTGGAGAGCTGCTTTGCGAAGGAGGTGGCGAGTTCCGTGGAGGAGGAGGAGGTGTAGTTGAGGAGCACGTTGCTGCCTTTGGAGGCGAGGTTCTCGGCCACGGCCGCGCCGATGCCTGGGTTGTTAGCAGCAGGACCAAGTGTTGCTCTTTAGTCGAGAGTACTCACCACGAGAGCCGCCGGTGACGATGGCGAGCTTTCCTTCGAGGGGCCGTGCCATGGTGCTTGTTGTTACTGTGGTTACTAGGTGAGAGAGAGTACGTAAGAGATCACGGTCGTCGAACTTAGGTAGTAAGCTTCGAGCGTCAGAACAAGTCCGTCAAGTACAGTACACAACAAGTCAAACACAACTGTAGAAAGAGGGAACTATCGTGTAAATTTGTAAATTGATGCAATCCGCCTTATATACAAACACAAGATAACAGGTGGACACAAGAACCCCGCTGGCGACAGTTGTAGGCCCCGTGGAAATTTCCCGTGTGCCCGTGTTGGAGAAGCGAGAGGCTGCCCCGCACCGCGATGTCGGTCGAGCTCTGTCCGCGCTGCCCCGCCATTTGCGCGGTTACAGTGCCCCCAGGAAGCCCCCACAGGGGTTCAAGGGTAGAGTAGGCTGACCTCCGGATAGAGGACTGTAGGGATAGCTCGCTATGGCCAAAAAAAGCGGCAGACCATGGAAGTCCCTGGATAACATCCTTTGCTACAAAAGTGAAAAAAAGACCAAAAAAAATAAACGAAAAAAAGTAAAAGAAGACAGAAAAGAATAAAATCTAGAAAGTGAAAAAAGACAAAAAGAGTAAATCAATCAAAATCTACCAAGATTTGATCGAATCCATGTTAATGAATTGGACTTGAGCTATCTATTTGAGTGTGCCGCTTTTTTTGGCCATTGCGAGGCCCCCCACAGGGGTTCAAGGGCAGAGCAGGCTGTAGCCCCACACCTAGTTGCTCGGCGGGCAGCCGCGAACTGAAATTCCGTCCCAGGTTGCCCCACATCACCACCTGAGGCCACGCCTCAGCAGCCCACTTACCTGAACTGAGTTGAAGCTTTGGCCGTTGAACACCACAGCCAAATCGAAACTCCAAACCCGAGATTTCAAGATCAAACCTCGAAACCACAAACCCTCCTCAAACCTCGACACCAGTCCCCCCCCCGCACCACCACCAAAATGGATATCCGCCTCCTCCGCTCCTCCGACATCCCGCTAATCCAGCACGCCAACCTGGAGAACCTGCCCGAGAACTACTTCCTCAAGTACTACCTGTACCACGCGCTCTCCTGGCCGCAGCTGTCTTACGTCGCCGTCGACGTTTCGCGCCCGCCCAAGACACCTTACGACTACCCCAAGATTGTCGGCTATGTGCTCGCCAAGATGGAAGAAGAACCCGCCGATGGCGTGCAGCATGGCCATATTACTTCGTTGTCGGTTATGCGGACTCATCGGCGGTTGGGGATTGCTGAGAAGTTGATGCGGCAGAGTCGTATGTTCCTTTTCCTAACCCTTTCTTTTCCTTCCTTCGTCTCAACTTTCTGTCGGTTCCCCTCGTTTCCCTACTCCATGCTAACCGCACCCGGTAATATAGAACAAGCAATGGTCGAGTCCTTCGGCGCGCACTACGTTTCCCTGCACGTGCGCGTCTCCAACAAAGCCGCCATCCACCTGTACCGCGACACCCTCAAATTCAAAACCGAAAAGACCGAAAGCAAGTACTACGCCGATGGCGAAGATGCCTACTGCATGAAGCTGGATTTGGATTTCATCCGTGAGCAGATCCGTGAGCAGGAGGAGGAGGAGGCCGAGGTGGCCGAGGGGGAGAAGGGGGAGAAGAAGAAGAAGAAGGGGAAAGAGGGTAAGGAAGGTGAGGCGGTGGATGGGGAGGATGTGGATGAGGGTGAGGCGGTGGGGGATGTTGGGAGGGATCCGGCTGCTGGTGGATCGAAGGGGGGGAGTAAGGATCAGAAGATTAAGGTCAAGGTTGGGAGGGGGTTGGGGGTGGGTGAGTTGGTGGAGAAGGTTGAGAGTAAACGGGGTTAGTTAGGGGTAAACGGCTAAGAGATTAGGGAGAAAGGGGTCAAAAAGGAGTTGGTTGGTTATGTCACGTCACGACAGAAACGCGCATGCCCGGTCACAGCAGGAAAGGTAGAGGATAAAATGTAAACAAGGCAATTTTTCTCTGGATTTTGGTTTATTCGCTTTTTTTGTCGTTTGTTCATATTTCGAAAGAACGCAGTACTAACACAAGAAGGGAGAAATCCCAAACCCCTAATGTCACCAGACATAAGCAGCCAACTAACTCACTCCATCCAAGTCATGTCATGTCATCATACGTATAATGTACATCCATCTCATCCCACTTCCCAACCCCTTATCCCAAACCAGCATTACAGTAACAACAACAACAAGAAAGCCGAGCGAGCGTACAAACCCCATACACTACCTCCCCAAAGCCCGTTCCTCCTCCTCAGCCAACTCCCTCGCAAACTCCGCATCCGCCTCCGTCCTCAACCTCTCCATCGCCAACCCCAACTCCTCAATCTCTTTCTCCACCGCCGCCGCCTCAGCCTCCATCTTCGGGTTACTCCCCGAGCCCTGTCCCTTCTCCTTTTCTTTCTCATCCCCACCGAGTCCTCTAGTCCCAGTGGTACCACTGTAAGAGTTATAGTCACCCGCAATCCTCTCGTGCAAATGTACGAGCTCCGCCTCTTTCTCCACGATGCGGGATTCCAATTCCCACGCGGCTTGGTATTTAGCCTGTGAAGCCGCGTACGCGTGGTCATGGTCGTGGTCGTGCCCGTCGACGGTGACCGAGCTGCTGGGGGCGATACCTTCGTCGTGGCCACTGCCCTTATGGTCATGCTCGTGGTGCCCATGCTCATGGTCCGGATCGTCGTGGTACGATCCCGGCCAGGCGCCCGGGCCGCCCGAGTGCAAGTCCCGTGCCCCTGCGGCTGAGCCAGCCCAGGGGTTGAAGGGCATCGGGGGCATGGGAGGCATGGGTGGCATGGGCGGCATGTTGGGGATGTTGGTGTTATGATGATGAGACGCCGCAGGGTGGTGAGGCATAGGCGGCATGGGGGGCATAGGGGGCATAGGGGGCATAGCCGGCATGGCCGGGATGGTGGGACCGCCACGACGGGCCTCCCGGCGTACGTCGCGGGCCGCACGTTTCAGCTCCCGCTTGATTTGTCGCCGCTCACGCTTCTCTTGCTTCCGGCGTTGCTTGTACTCGCGCTTTAGGTGCTTGCGCGCCCGTTTCTGGTCGCGCTTGAGCTGCTTCCAGTCGCGGAGGAGGTCCTTCACCTCGCGGCGCAGGGCGTTCCTGTCGAGTGCTGGGGCGCCCGTGGCCGTGACGGAGGGGCCTTGCTTGGCGGCTTTGATTTGCTCTTTGATTTGCTTGACTCGCTCCTTGGTGATGTGCTGGTCTGGATGGTGTAAAGTGTCTTGGAGGATGTGCTTGGCCACGGGCAGCTGGGAGTCTTTGAGGTCGTCGTAGTCGGGGAGCGAGCCGATTGAGGACTCGGAGCTGACGGAGGACCGGGAGCTGACGCTGGATGCGGAGCTGGACCGGGAGCGGGATCCGTGGTGGTGGTGGTCTCGGCTTCCGCGCCGACCTCTCCGGCCGCGGCCGTGGCCATGACCATGACCGTGATCGTGACCATGACCGTGGCGGCCGTGGCCGTGGTGGTCGTGGTCGTGATCGTGACCGTGGTGATCGTCTGCCCCATCACCACACCCGCTGCCCGGCCCCTGATTCCACCATCGCCCACCCGGTCCTCCCCATCCACCTCTACCCCATGGACCTCCCCGTCCCCAACCACCACCTCGACCACCACGGCGATCACAAGCACCACCAGCACCAATACCAGTATTCCCCCAACCGCCCCAACCACCCCACCCTCCAAATCTTGGACCTCCTCCCATCGACCCCCACCCGGGCGGACCACGCGAGGTGGCACCAGCACCAGCACCAGCGCCAGGGCCCTTTTCACCCGCAGCAGCAGCATCAGGGTTCGTAACACCCGTACCAAACAGCGGCTGACCACGGATACGGATCCCAGTATTATCAGCCACAATCCCACCGATCTTGAGAGACCCCGTGCGGCCGTCGGCGACGAATGCATTGCCGATGCTGACGAGGTCTTCGCTGATGTTGATACCGCCGAAGCGGAAGCTGCTTCCGCTTCCAGGGGCGTCTCGGTTGTTGGTGTTGTTGTTGTTGTTGTTGGGGTCCGAGTTCCCGCGGTTGGCAAAATGGGAGAGGAAGCCGAAGCCCAGCGGACGACGAGGGGCGTCGTTGGCGCTGCGGTCTTGATCCTGGTTCTGGTTCTGGTTCTGGTTCGGGTTGCCCGCGGGGGGTTGGTCAAACGAGGCATCCCAGGCGCCTGGCATCGGACTCTTCTCTGAAGGGTATGTTTGGGGCTGGGCCTCGTTCACGCCGATGTGAACATTGCTGTTGTTGTTGCTGTTGTTTCCACCAGCGGCACTCGGATCCAAGTCTACCTGGATAGTGACCCGCCGCGGGGTGAAAAAGCCGTTGTTCCAGTCCCGCACGGTGTTCTCGACACTAGGCCGGTGGTAAGCCGGTGGGGGCTGGTTGTTGTCGTCCGCATCGATGGGCGAGCGGATACTGTTCAGATGAACCTCGGCGTGGCTCCGGCCTGAGGACTGGGACCGGGCATCGTCGTTGTTAGAGTTGGAGTTGGTGTTGGTGGCCGTCATGGCTTCTTCGGCTCGCAGTTTGCGGTCGATGATCTGGTCGTTCGCCGTTGCCGCGTGGTGGGGTAAGAGGTAGTTGATAAAGGTCTGCCAGTCTTCGAGCCGGACGTCTCGGGTAGCAAGCTCACTTGGGTACGGTAGAGTGTCCGGGGTCGAGGTCGAAGTGAGGGTGATGGAGTGGACGAGGAATGGTTGGTTGAGCGGGTGTAGAGGTGATGGGCGAGTTGCAAAGTAAGAAGCCGCTGATGAGAATGTTGACAAGTTGCCGGGGTCGCCGTGAGGGTATGAGTGGGAGTGGGAGTGCTGAGAGCTCCGTGGTGTGAGGGGAGGGGTATAAATGACATCCCCGTTGCTCGACGGAGTGGACCGAGACGTGTCGTCAGCCACTTGCGCGTCCTGTCCGGACGCCGAGAATAGGTCTGTTTCGCTGTACGGCGGCGGAGGAATATCCTCCTCCAGGTGAGACGGCATGATGGGAGAGCGGAGTGCGAGGCGACAAGTACAAAGTACAAAGTGCAAGGATGAAGGTGGAAGAGGAAGGAGAAGGGGAACGAGAAGGAGGAAAACGACGCCGTCGGGGGTTGCCACTCGGACGGATTACGCTTTAGTTAAGATAAATGGTCCAGAATAATTCTCCGGGGAGGGTCACGACACGCAAGACACGGGGGAACAAACAAAGAAAGTTGCGAAGAGGGAGAAAGCGGCGCGCGGGACCTAAGGTGGGGAGATATTTGGTTTATTGGATGCCCAATACAGTCCAGTCCAGTCCAGTCCAGTCACTCATGGTGGCCTCCGGGACGCCTTCGGTGTCGCCTGAGGGCCTGAAGTCGTCAGCATGGAGAACCTTAATCTGTTCCCCCCATGCCAGAAGCTGAGCGCCCCATTCGCCCAAGCCCGAATCCCCGGCCTTAAGCGAGTGCGAACCCTGTAAGGCTTGGCTGCCAGCGACCCGAACGACCCCAACTTTGGGGTTCTTTTTAGTGCCCCGCATCCATGTCCCACGCAATCCTGCACGTAGGCTGACGCGGCCCGTGGATGAGGATGGCAAGATGGACTGCAAAGCGACGGTGATACACGAGTGAGTAATCCAGCTTCCAGCGCCGCAAAGACAAACCTGGAAATTCGACATTTCAGTGGGCTGGCCGTGAATGGCCAAAATTCGATCCACTACGGAGGCCGCGAAGAGCTGTCGCGTCTTAGGTAGGCGGCCCTGCGGAGCATGTGCAAAAGCGGCTTCACGGCTCGCCGAGTTGCAACGAGAAACCAGTGTCCTCTGTCTTGTAGTGATCCGCCAGGATATTGGCCAGATGGTGCTGCGTTTGGGGGCCACTACTTGACGTTAATACGGAGTCCGGTCCCTTGTTTCTTTTCTTTTTCTTTTCTTTTTTTTTTGAAAAAAAAAAAGAGATTTAAAGTATGGGGGGTAGTGGGGGATAGACTTACAGGTTGGTGAGGTAAACATCAACAAGATCCGGCGGGATATAATCCGTGACCGTATTCTCAACATCAAGCGCACCCACGGCTGGCCCATTCGCATAGCTCACATAGTCCGAAGGGTTGCCTAGCTCGCCCCGCGATACCTCATCCGACGGATCTTCAGGACAGAACTTATACACCGGGCAGAGGGCAATAACAGGCTTCAGGTACTCGTGTGCAGCCTGAGCGGCGATGCAGGATCCACTATCCACCAGCAATCCGCCGTTTTGGTACACGGCCTTCGCGCTGAAGATGACCTTGTTCACCCTCGGAATGTACGCCATCAACCCGTTGCTAGCGAGGTTGACCGTCTTGACCCCAGCAGAATTGAGCCTCTTGCGCAGCGAGGCGTAGGGGGCCTCCGTGCCAGCTCCCGAGGCCTCGAGGCCGGCAATAACAACCGTGAATCGCCGTTTCGATGCCGCCTTAACTAGAAACCTCTCGACCGTTCTTGAGGGTTGGTAGGCCAGCACGTAGTCGCCCGGGTGAATCTGGATCTCCGCAAACCCCGCGATCTGGTCGTCTGCCTGGTTGATCTCGTCCAAGATCTCCTCGATCCCGTCCATGACCTCAGATCGTAGGGAGTGTATGCTGGCCGGCTGGGCTTGTGACATTGGTGTGGAGGCGCCCGTCATGGGCGAATCGCCAGGCTCGGCCACCGAGAGCAGGTTGAACATGGACTTGGAGACTTGCAGGCCGCTCGAGAGGGCTGACAGGGTCGGCCGGTGCGGGAGGGCGGGCCGTTGTGGTGGTTGTACGCTCGGGTTGGTGGCCGGAGTCAAGGTCTGGATGTCGGAAGCGGCCTCGCTGGCTATATCATCGGCATTTCTGTCCTCGGACGCCTCGTCCCGGATCAGCCCCAACACGCGCCGTACCACATTCCCAATGACCGGCTCCAAGGGGGCAGCCCGGGCCAGACGCGACCCAGCGCTTGCGATCCGGGAAAGAAGTTGGTCGACGTCGTTCCATTTTGCTTTAGCCACTACCTGGCGGAGAATATAGGCCGTTGCCTTTGCGCATTCGTCGCCTTTGACTTGTCGCCGCTTCAGAAGACTGTCCCCCGCGAATTAGAGGACATGTGCGTGCATGAAGCGGGGCTGGTCGCGCAAATGGGACAAAAACAAAGAGCTTACAATATCAGGGACTCGATAGACGCCTCGAGAGATTGGTTGTTAAATGATTTGATCAGGCCGTCTAGGGTTGGCACATGGCTCGCTTGCGAGGGCGCCATGATTGTGCGTGCTTGTGACTCTGCGCGGGGCAGAGGGGATTCCGGAAGCTCGGCGCGGAACGCTCGTCTTGCAACGGACCCGCACGGTCGACTTCAAAAAAGAAGAGATATAATCCCAACCGGTGATGGAGAGGATGGAGCAGTTTCTTGTGTATCGACAACGAAAAATCTAGAGGGTAGTGGCGGAGACGAACTGTGGTATGGAATCGCTTCGTTGAGGACTGAATTGACCCAAAAGGGATGGAGTTTTGTGAGTCAATGGATGCCATTCAGCTCAAGCTCCTGGTTCCTGAGAAAATTACAGCGGGGCAGGTTTCTTGGCTCGTGTGCCCCGCACCCCACAATTGGCGCCGGCTAAAATCCGGCCGATTATTTCGCGCTAAGATAAGGCCGGCGGATCGGCGATACAATTGGCCTTCAAAATTTCATGGCCCGGTCTGCTTTTGGAAAATCTGCGGCAGCAGCGTGAGGCGAGACTCGACAACGAAACATTGATAATTTTTTTTAACGCCAAACTCCATATCGCCTCTCATCGGGAAGTTTGGAAAACCAACCTATTAGGGCCCAATTCCCACGCAATTAAATCCCGACCCTCAATTCCCCCCCCGCGCCACCTAAACCCTCCACAATGGCCGTCGTGGACGTCGTCGACGACAAGAAGTTGAAGAAGGAGAAGAAGAGCAAGGACAAGTCAGAGAAGAAAGACAAGAAGCGCAGCGAAGCCGGTGGCGTCACCAAGGAGAAGAAGGACAAGAAGAAGGACAAGGCGAAGCAGGACAAGCTTGCGCGCGCCCTCGATGCCCACCTCCAAGCCGATGCCGCCGCGTCGTTCGAGGACGACAACGATGCCGCCGCTGCTGTCGACCCCGAGGACATCATCAAGCCCGCCGAGGAGCTGGTCCCTTTTGCGTTGCCGCTTGCCGATGACAAGGTCCACAAGAAGATCTACAAGCTAATCAAGAAGGGTGCGTTCCGTCAATTCCTCACCCTGTAATCACGATGACATTCTTAAAGTGGACAATAACTAACTCTTCCCTTTCACCCTACCCAGGCGCCAAACTTAAGTCCATCCACCGCGGCGTCAAAGAATGCGAAAAGGCCATCAAGAAATGCCCTCCCAAGACCGCCTCCTCCAAGCCCGACGCGACCGCCCCCGGCCTCGTCATCATCGCCGGCGACATCTCCCCAATGGACGTGATCATGCACTTCCCCGTGCTCTGCGAGGAGCACGGCGTGCCCTACCTGTACGTGCGCTCGCGCGCCGACCTGGGCGTGGCGGCGTGCACCAAGCGCGCGACCAGCGTGGTGATGCTCAAGCCCGAGGGCAAGAAGTCCAATGGCGACACGGAGATGGATGATGCGGACGACAAGAAGGTCAGCGCTGAGGAGTACCTTGAGGCGTGGACTGAACTGGCCAAGACGGCGGATAAGCAGTGGAAGATCCAGGTTCAGCCGTGGGTTAAGGGCACGCATCCGCTGCAGATTGAGGACCGCGAGCGTCAGAGGCAAGCGGCCGCGAGTGCTTGAGAGCGAGGGCGCCCTTTCTGATGCGTACTCTTTCTTCTTGGCATTGAGGCGGGTAGCTTTGGCTCGCCGTTTCTATCTGTCCTTGACGGCGTCAGTCAGTCAGGCAGCCGGACCCGATCCCGCTCTGATTGATTGGCCTGTTTTGTCTTGGAATCTCAACAACATGATGTAACACGCGCGGGGGGGTGTATGTTGCTGCTTCCCAGATCTGCTGGCTAGCTGTATGGCGATTGTTGTCTGGCATTTTGCTCTGTTGGCTTTTATGGCTCTCTTGTGTAATGATTGGCGTTTTACGAGGGTACGGTACTGTGCATAGGTTCTTCCGCGGAGCTAAAGGGATATTTTCGTATTTAACGAAATCCAAAAAAGTTCCTCCTTTTTACACTGCCTAGTGAGGGCTATTTTTGATGATGAGGTCACGGTGATGGAAGATGCCTTTGAATGTGATCCAACTATTCAGATTCCCGAATGCTAACACCGAGATATAATTACAGCCAAGGAAAAGTTGTGGTTGTGGTTTCAACCATCATCCGTTCCCGTCCCGAGCTCACTCTACCGGGCGCCGCTCGATGCTATTAAACACAGCCAACTCCGCCCCCAAGCCTATGGTTCATCTCTATTTACTTGGACCGGATTTACTCGGACCGGAAAGGGCTGCGGCCGAGAGGGGTGCCGCCGGCGCCGGTGCTACAGGGGGGCATTAGCATGTTATATTTATTATGTTGCAAAACTCGGCGCAAAGTCCTTAGGTACTACTTACTGCTCAAAGGGGTTGGTGCGAGTTCCCCACCAGGTCAGGATGAGAGACAGGCCGACAGTCTCAAACAGCTTGGCCAGAACACTGACACCGACTTGCTCAAGCGCCCGCTTCTCCACAAGCAGCTGGCTGAAGAACTTTTCCCGATTTGTTAGCACAAACTTGTTAAACAGTTCTTCGGAGAAACGCGGAGATCATACCGTAGGAGCGCTAGTAGCAGCAAAGATCAAACCGCCCAGGTAAGCAGCGCCCTTATAGCTGAGCGTGCCAGTAGCATTGATCAGAGCGCCGACACCGTATGACTGCAGAGCCGAGCCGACAAGCGAGGTGCCCCACGCGACAGCGGCACCGGTAGCCTCCCGCGAGCGGAGGAACTCCTCCTTTGTGTTGGAGGCCTTGGCACGCTGGTACGTCTGGCCGAAGATGGGGCTGAGTACGGCGAGCTCGGTGGTGTGGTTGAAAATCGTGCCGAGGGCGATGGCCGAGGGCTTGACGGCGGGGAGATCTGGGAGTTGGGTTAGCTTTCTGGTGGGGGGAAGATAGTGGTGCTTTGTGTGAGGGTGTTTTGCTGGTGCTGCCCATGCTCCATTGCCATTTCTCTTTCTCATGCCTAGCTCGATAGATGATGGCCTGACGAGACTCGGCCTCGGAGTTGGATTCCCCGCATTTTGGAGGGGATGACATCAAGCAGTTGGGACTACACGAGGCCCGAACCCCTCTTGAACAGCGCCCAATTCGGAACTGGAACTACCGATGAAGCCCAACCAAAACCCAACTCCGAGTTTGAGAACCGACGAGAATCTGCTCGGTAGACTGCGGTGGTTGGGCAAGATCTGACATTGAAGGTAAAGGCGGGAGGGGCAAGGGAAGTGTACGATGAAGCTTCATGCAGGGGGAAAGGGGGTACTGACAGTGCAAAGACATGGTGGTGGTGTTATGTGGTTGAGTGGGTGATACCGAGTCGACTATGTGTCAGGATGTTGACTATTTGTTCGAGAAATAAAGCAAGTTCGTTAGATTCTGTCAATGATAGGAAGATCTATAGAAGGAAAAGAGGGAAAGTTTGTTTGTGTGTGGTCCGAGGGCGGGCTAGTTTATAGCACAGCGGCAGTAGAGTAGCAGGGCAGCTTCCCAGTGTTACCCCCCTGGTTTCCTTGGTGCGTCACAACACATTACCGCCAGGGAAATAGTAGGCGGGCGAGGGAGGGGACGCCGGGACACTGGACATCTGGACTCTCTCCACAACGCTGGCCACATGAACGGGAAGTGTTTTTTGCACTCCATCGCACACCCATTGCATCACATCATCACATCGTAGCTCCCATGGCTATGCGCCATTGAGCAGCTGCGGAATGACGTCACCACTTTGAGATTTCTCCCAAACCCCAAGTAAACTCCCCCCGGTTCGATTGCCCCGCATTGGCCAACGGGACCAGAGGCTTCCGCTGCAGAGAACGACGGGTGGTTCGCAGCTTTCTTGCACGCTTGTGGCTTAGTAGACGGAGATTTAGATTTTGTATGCATCCTATGTGCTAGCTTGTCTTGCCTGCCCCTCAGAAAGTAATGTCATTCGTTGGCGGAGTTGATCGAAAATTGCTGTTCTAGGCCAAGACCGTTCTGCCTGCATACACGTCCGGCCCCAACGGAGATGCCGCAGGAACCCGCTCCACAGCTTTTCAAGGCACAGAAAACTACTAGAACCACTGGATGATTGGGTCTGGAGTGAGATGGCGAGCTATGAACTACCGACCTACGCCATTGTGGCTGTCTCCGAATGAGCAGGTAGTTACGGTACATACCTATGCCGCCGAGAGGTTGCTTCGCTTGGTTGATTCTTGTACATTCGATTCATCACTTCCAAATCGAAAACCGGTTGAGCAGAATAGATATAGCCAAGACTAATGATCCGCATTCCATGACTCTAGCAGGTAACAAGCTATCGAATGGTAATTGATACAACAGAGTTGCCATTTGGCAGCCATCCACCCGAGGTATCTCTTGACAGACGTAGTGTCAATTTCTAAGTTGTGTGTTTGTAACTGCGGCTTGCGCCCAGACAGGCCATTTTCAACAGTCCTACTGGGCAGATAACACAGTTAGCTCTCTCGTCTGTCTACCTCTATACCCCACCCAAACCCTCACATCACCCAGTGCAAAAACCTTGGACTAGAAGTGTGGTTAACGGGAGTTGAGACCTCGCTTTACATTTCCTCTATGCACTTATTCGACTCAACTCAGTATACTTCCTGCTCCAAGATAGGTGGGAATACACAACTAGGCGATGCCCAAGCAATGTTTATGCTTGGCTCTGTTGGCATTCGCTGCTTTCCAGCTCCTGGTTGCCTGCCTCTTTCTCCTGGTCTTCCTAGCCCCTCGCCATATCACCCCTAGGTATTCCACCCAATGCTCCGTCTTCCCTCCTCAGTTCCATCCTCCATAGACGTCTTCTCGCCCCTCCCATTACGCCCCCCGCTTTTGTTCTCCCCTCTCCGCTGCCAATGAGGTATGAATTTCAAAGTCGCAAAATAGAAAGAATAAAACGAAAACAACCCGCAATAGAAAAAGGGCATAAAAACAAGTAAACGTCAAAAACATCAAGCCATATGCTGCCCGTCCTCGCCTCCACGTAGAGCCAAGAGGGCACGCACATCCGACACATACTGCAGGCCTTCGAGCAGGGGTATCAAATACATCAGGTCGCTGTCTGTCGGGTCGCTGATCCAGCCTTGTATCGGGATTGCATTGTCTGGTGGAACGATTAGTATTTTACTCTACAAGGCACGCGAAGGAGGGGAGTCGGCAAGGGAGATAAGATAAACCAAATCAAACTGGGGGAAAGAAAGCTTACCCTGGTGAAACATGTAACTCAGCGGGCTATTATCCAGGATCATAACCTTGCTCAAATCCGGTTCCACCGAGCTAAGGTCCTTGATGAAAGCGCCATGGCGAAACGTGCAGTGCTGTCGATAGTACCGGGCCGAGAAGTACCTACGCTCGGCCTCCAGCCAGTCGATCACCGGGTCGGCATACTCTTGCACCGACGCCGTAAACACCACCAGGTTGAACCACTTGCTGACCCGTCGCAGGAACTCGTCGCAATGTGGCCGCTTGTGGACGTAGTACAGGATGGGGTGCTGTGGGCCGATCGCGGCCTGGCCCCCGGCGCTTTGGTAGGTTGTGTTGAGCCGGACCTCGACCATGTGCCCGGAGCTCATGCGGCCGCCCTTAGACATGCTGTGGATCAGGGTTTCGTCGAGGTCGAGGATGAGCGTCTTTTGGTGTCGCACATCGGTCAGCTCGACGTTTTTGTTGAGGTATGAGGGTTGCCGGCGTGGGATGAGTGGTCGTGGCGGAGATGGCGTCTTGGGGTACTTGGTGAGAGCGCCTACGGGGGACGTCGGAGATTTGAGCTGCGCCGAGATGCTGTCCACGGCGTCACCGCCGCTACCGTCATGACCACCGCTGTTCCCGCCTCGCGCAGAGGTTGATTGCGTCTTCCTGTGCTTCCGTTGCCGCATAGCCTCGTCCGAGTGCAGTTTGATCCGTATTGAGCGCTGTGCCGGCGCGATCTCTTCCGAGTCCGGTAGCGACTTGGAACGCAAGTGTCTCCCGCTCGTGCTCCGGCGGCCGCCGCTGCCCTGCCTCTTACGGTCCAGGTCCGACTCGGATTCCGAAGAGAGACTGGACGATGAAGACCCGCTCGACCCGACTACGCGCAATGACCCTTTGTGATTCTGTCCTTTTCCGCCTCTGCTGCCGGCAGCGGATGCTGAATTATCCGCGCCCTGCCGGCGCTTTTCCGATGCGGCTACCCCTTCGTGGTAGTCCAGCGCCATTTTCTTCGCGTTTCCCCCGTAAAGCCCAAATAGTTTGCCCAGCTGCTGCAGGGGGGCAAAGTTTCCGTTCTCGTCGCAAAAGCAGGCGTACAAGTATACGCCAGGGGCGGCGAGTGTCGACAGCATCCATCGTATAGATTCCACAAAGGCGGTCGCGATGCGCTTGGGATAAGAAACCCATGGGGAGCCACGCGGGCTCAGCTCCTTTGCTTGGGATGTCAAGGGTGTTCGTTCGTCGGTCCGATATTCGCGACCGCGGTGGTCGGCCTCGGTTGCTGTGGTGCCATTGTTATGGTGGTGGTGGTGGTCGTCGTCACCTAACCGATAATCGTCGGGGTCGGCCACTAATGCAGCTTTCTCGTCGGTGTCGCCCGAGGTGTTCTCAGTTTGGTTCTGGGTCTGGTCTTGCGGTGGCCGATCGGGATCTGAATCGGCGGCCAGTCCGAGGCTGGCAAGTGAGTTGGATCGCGTTGGTCCTGGGCTCGGCGGAGGAGAGACTCGGGCCGAGATGATGTTGAGCGAGTTCATCTTGCCGTCGACATAGAGAAGGCCATCAATGACGGGATGCGACCGCGCCAAAGCAACCTAAAGAAAGAGCGGAAGGGGTGGGAGGGGGTAATGGAAGCTTTTGTCCGTAAGCCGCTCGCGAATTCGGGTGCGTGTTGCGGGTTTGCGGCCAAAAGGCCCAAAAGTAAGAAAGAAGCAACGCTATGCCACACGGAGGAAAGGATGTCGATTCCGGCCGTTACTTAGGTTTTCGTTCGAAGTTTTGAAGTTTGCGGAGTCGACCAGGAAAGAACCTGGTGTGGTCGGAGGATGCGGATGCGGGTTGCTGAGAGCCGAGAAAGCGAAAATGGTGAGGGACCACCACTCCAAGGGGCTACCTGCTGCGGCAAAGGCCGGGGTATGCTGCGTGTTCAGGACGGAACGGGACGGGGCGATGACATCGACCTCGCTTCCTCGCTTTCGTGGAAAATTGCAGCCCAATCTTTTTTCTTCTTTTTCTTTACCCGACAAGATCGAGCCTGGAAATAAACTTCAAATGGGGGAATACCTAAGACCAACGCAGAGAATTTTCCAGGACCATGCCAAGTTGCAACGCTTTTGTTGTTGCTTGTGTAGCTAGTTCTCCATGGAGGTCACTCTCCACCCAGCTCCAAGTGGAGGTTTTGGCTTACTAGAGGTTGGCCTGGAGCTGCAGAAGTTGGCGCGCGCAACGCTAAACGGCCGCAAGGTCATGGGCCGAGCCCTGGAGCTAAGCGGGAGAGCGGTTGCTCAACAAAAGAGGCCCCTGTCAAAGCCGCAGATTCCTTCACGTGTAAGTTCGATAGTTAGCGCCGACTTAGCGAATTGGGCAATGTTCAAATCCCGATCCGGAGCGGATCCACCAAAGTCCCCCACCAACAAAGCCGTTGTCTGCTCGGTGTAGGTGATCCGTCAAGCAAGCTTCCCGTTTGTGAATAACAAAAGCCGAAGAGGTTGAAGCTAGAGGCGGGAAGAGAAATGGATCCGTTATTCTAGTAGGAAAACTGCATTTATAGGGGAAAATCATCATCTTTTTTTTGTTGATTTTTTGGTGAATCTCATCCGTCTCAACTTCGACAGCTTCAAGACAGCCGTCCACTCAGGATTGAGTTTACGAAATGCTATCTTTCTATTGGGGGACATGAGAGCGTACTGCGAGAAACTCCCACGGGAGTCATTGGGGGCGTGGGGGAAGTTATGAAACAGGTAATGGAAGTTGACGATGAATATAACTCCTACGTTGCAACCATCGTGCGCGGCGTGTCCCGCGGGAAATACATCTTTCGGCATCTGTAGAACGTATCTGGAGGGAATATGGCGTCAAAAAACTGGCCGTCCAACCGCTTGACCACCTTCATGTGTGATACCGGGGCCTACGAGATTTGGGCGAGGCTTGGTAGTGTGCAAGACAGGTTCAAATCCGGGGTGTACTCGTTTCGCGGTCGCCGAGATCCGGGGAGATATGTGGTAGACGGAGGACTGTGAGGTTTTCACCGTCATAGAGCCTTCATCCACGATGCCCCTTGCTGTTAACTGGATGATGGGAACATATGAAAACGGCCTTCGGTGGAAAGTACACGCAGCTAACCAGATCTATCCTCGATCCTCTTCTGTGATTGATGTACAAAGTGCGTTTTATTGGTCACCCCTTTCCCCTTTGACTGATAATTCTTCGTGGGCATTGGTCCCTCAATCTCTCCCTTACTCCTCGTCGGCAAACTCAGCACGGCCGGCCTTCGAGTTGAGGTAGTGGTTCCTAGTCCTCCATTAGCAACAGGGGAGTCTATATCTCGGGTAGATTTGGCGTACCGGTGAACAGCCCACTGGATAATGTAGTAACCGGCGATAAAAGGAGGCGCCCAGTAGAGAACCTGGCCACGGAAACGCCTCCATGTGTTGAACAAGGCATCATGAGCGGCACCCGCGAGCGGGAATTGGCGGTTGGGCGCAATGCCGTATGTAATAACCCCCTTCTGCTTGGAGCCACCTGCAAAATTTACCGTTAGATAGAGCTCTTTCGTTGTCTTGAAGTTCAGCGTCTCGGGGTTCGGCGAAGGAGGCATCGTCATGGGAGAGCGTGGTCGTTCGCTTTGTCGTTGTCCAACCTCGTTTGCCCCTCCCCTCTCTCTCCATGCAGGTCCATTTCATCCATCGATGTCTCTTTTCGCTTCGGGTCTCACTCACCAAAGTTACCCCAGCCGCCGAGGAAGCTGTAAACCCGTTAGAAAATTGTCACATTAGAGATTGACCGGTCAATGCGCCGGGAAAGGTCGGGACCGTCGCGAGCTTTGGGGAAAACGCGCATGACAATCAATTGGGGGAAAACTGACAGGCCATGCTTGCCGACGAGGCCGCCACCGCCGCCGTAGAGAGCCTGAGTCGGGCGCATCGTGGATCGGAGTGCGTGAGCGTGTGTGTGTCGAGCTAGGAGCGTCGAAAGGTGGGAGTGTGGTCGGGTTGGTTGCGGGCGCAGGCACAAGATGCGGGAGGTCGGCACCTCGAAATTCGGAATGCCGAGCAAGGCGCCCCAAATGTGGCTTGCGTGTGGCTGCAGCTTTTGCTCATTCACACAAATTGTGGGGTTAAGTTAAGTAGCCCCACATTTTATGGAAGCTCGTCCCTCGAGATGCAGAGCAGCAAAACGAAAGGACCCCCTCCCCCACGACGAGCTCAACGCAAGCGACGCCTATTTCAACGCCCTCCCACGATTCGACCGCGCTCCGAGTTGGCGACTACCAGCTCTTTAGGGCTTCTCTAACAACGCTTCACACGTTACGACACCATGGCGGCGAGGGGACTCGGGCTGCTCTACTCGGCCGCGATTCCGGCGGTCGTGGGGTACAGTCTGCTACAGTCGTCGATATACGATGTCAAGGGCGGCACGCGGGCCGTCATCTTTGACAGGTTGTCGGGAGTCAAAGATACGGTGACCAACGAGGGCACACACTTCCTTATTCCGTGGTTGCAAAAGGCCATCATTTTCGACGTCCGCACCAAGCCGCGCATTATCCCAACCACAACGGGAAGCAAAGATTTGCAGATGGTCAGCCTGACATTGCGTGTGCTGCACCGCCCGGATGTGCAGGCGCTGCCCAAGATCTACCAGGTCCGTTCTCCGTTCCGGGCGTTCCGTAGCGCATTCGCAGACTAACCAACACTTGTACGATATAGTCCCTCGGCCAAGATTATGACGAGCGTGTCCTCCCCTCGATCGGCAACGAAGTGCTCAAGTCCATCGTGGCGCAGTTCGACGCGGCCGAGCTCATCACGCAGCGTGAGGCGGTCTCGCAGCGGATCCGGACGGACTTGATGAAGCGGGCGAAGGAGTTCAACATTGCGCTTGAGGACGTGAGTATCACGCACATGACGTTCGGCAAGGAGTTCACCAAGGCGGTCGAGCAGAAGCAGATTGCGCAGCAAGATGCCGAGCGCGCGCGGTTCATCGTGGAGAAGGCCGAGCAGGAGCGCCAGGCCAACGTTATCCGGGCCGAGGGCGAGGCCGAGAGCGCCGACACCATCAGCAAGGCCATCGCCAAATCAGGAGATGGCCTCATTCAGATCCGTAAGATCGAGGCCAGCCGCGAGATTGCGCAGACCCTTGCCAGCAACCCTAATGTTGCCTACCTGCCAGGGAGCGGCAAGGGGACAAATTTGTTGATGAATGTGGGAAGGCCATAAGCAGCGAATCACTCGGCCGCGGTACGAGCTGAGTGAGAGGAGAGAGCGCGAGTGAGTGGAGGGAGGGGATATGGCGGAATGTGCGACGATAACTGGATGAGAGAAGACCCATGTACATTATCCCATGATTGTTTTTTATTCCCCGCTTCGGATGCCGCAACAAAACGGAGTCAAGGTTGTTGAAGCCTAGCATGAGACGATGTCTCGCAAGAAAGTGCCGCATTTTCTTGTCTTTCTGGTTAACCCACATATAATATTGATACGAAGGGAGAGTACAGACTCGACTACCTCTCATGGTCAAGTAAGGTAACGTTAGTGTCGCGTGCGTAGCAGCGTGTCGGGAAAATCCAGTCCTCCCACTGCAGTCTCTGGGGACTTACAGGGATGTGGGTAGTCTGTCACAGCTGTCGACACCCAGCAGCCTTGGCAGTTGGCAGGCCTCATCGGCAGCTCTCTTTCTGACATCAAACATCACTTCAACAAACCTCGCAAAATATTTTCGTCTTCGCCAAGTGCGCTTCTACATATTAGTAACGATTTATTTTTAGCGAATTGCGGTTTGGTATTTTTATGCCAGTTCCTTTCATATATGACACCCTGTTTCCCTATTTTACATCGGCGTCTCGCACCTGCCTATGAATATCTCTTCACTTGCGTTTCAGGCTTCCAGCCTCGGTGGTCCTGCTTGAAAGTGTCTCAAGATCCGCGCTTTCCATCCAATATCCATTGTTACGGGACCCTGAAAGGACGGCGGGCGGGACCAAGCCCATTGTCCTCAGCACACACAAAGCCGACCACAACGCAACCCGAGAACAATCTCCAACACATCCCAAGAGGCACGGCCGCCTCGTCCAACCGGCCTCTTAATCTCAACCGTTTCATTTCGATATTTCGCCGCTCATTCCTCTGGCGTATCCTTTTCGGCCCCGACATCCCTTCCAAACCCTTCAAACATAATTTAACAACAACACAAGAAATCTACGCTAAGTCTAGTTCTCCCGTAGGTTTCCTTTTCCAATTTCGGCTTACCCGATTTATCATCACCTTCAACCTGCATCGCCGTCTAAGAGACCTCAAATTGCTTTTCTGGTCTCCGCGAAATCCCATTTGCAGCGGGATTCATCACATCTCCCCCATGCTTTCTTTGCCAATGGTTTAGCTGTTGTTTTATCCGCTTGCCAGCTTTCCCCATGCACCACTGCTGCTGGCCGCGGGTCTTACACACTAGCACAGCGCGTCTGACACTTTGACAGGCTAGTTCTCATTCAACCACGAATACCATGGATGCTGTTTTACGAAACTTCAAACTGATCCCCTGCCCGGCCGGGGACAGATGCACCAAACCAATCTGCCCTTTGGAACACGCCCAGATCCAGGATTCTGCGGCAACAACCCAAGCAAACGGCGCGAGCCAGGACGAAGACGGGCCACGAAAACGTCGAAAGGTCTCTTCCGAACCTGACTCCGTTCCAACGCACGCCATGCCATCACAATCGGAACCTTCTTCAGCTGGGCGCACAGTGTCGCCGCCGCCATTGAAGCGCAAGGTCCCAACCCAAGCTGCTCCCGTGACAAAGTCAGCCAGACCACCAACCGTTTCCGTCGCATCGCCAGCGCCAACAACTAAGCCTAACGAGAGCTCCACGTCACCAGGCGCTACACCTCAACACACAACACCACAGAAAGCCGCGCCCAGAAAGCCTGAAACTCTTAACCCCCGCCACCTCAAGACAACCGCCCCCGCGACCCATGACTTTCGCTACAAGGCTCTAAAATTACTCCATGACCAGTTCCGGCGTCTCAACGACGAAGTGAAAAAGGACGCCTCAGAAGATGAACAGCAACTCGTTCTGTCACCTCAGGAACTCATTTGGTTAGCGCTAGACGAGGAGCAAAAGATGGCGACCGAGAAGGCTTCGATTTATCAAAACATCATCAAGAACCGCATTATGATCTACAAGCGCATGACACCCGGCCAATGGAGGGACGAGCGGGCCGCTGGGCTCAAAAAGAAAGCGGCTCCAATCACACCGCCATCGAAAACACCGCGAAGGTCGGTCTTGGGGCCTCCAAGGACCATCCAGACTGGCCTGACTCCCCAAGAAGAAGTGAACTTCCTCGAACATCTCAGCACACCTATCGATAAGCTCGCCCAATGGGGCTATATTCCGGTTCCGCCTTCGGAAGCGGAGATCGCCAAAGCCCGTGAAGGAGAAGAAGCATCGCTCGGCTATGAGGTCTGCGATCGGTGCAACACACGATTCCAGGTATTCCCCGGCCGCCGTGAAGAAGATGGCGCTCTCGCATCCGGCGGCAAGTGCCTGCACCATCCAGGGCGACCGTATTACCCGGAGCGCTCTCTTGTTGACTTGGACCGCCCGGCCAGGCGTTACCGTTGCTGTCAACAGGTGGTGGGCGAGTCAGCCGGTTGTGTGGCTGGCAACACTCACGTCTTCAAAACATCGTCGCCTGCGCGCCTGGCATCCGTTCTTCCGTTTGAGGAAACCCCGCCCAACCCGTCAGCACCAACAGACCGCGCCGTCTGCTTTGACTGCGAGATGGGCTACACTGTGCGCGGGCTGGAGTTGATCCGCCTCACGGCCACCAGCTGGCCCGACGGCAAGACATTGCTGGATGTCCTTGTCCGGCCGGTTGGCGAGATCCTCGACCTCAACTCGAGGTACTCCGGTGTCTGGCCGGAAGACATTGTCAACGCCGTGCCTTGGTCCGCCGAGGACACCAATACTACTATACCCCTAGATAATGACGGCAATACAAACAAAGCAACAGATCCTAACGCGCCGAGACGGTTGAAAATCGTCCCGTCTCCGGCTGCGGCCCGAGCGGCGCTCTTCTCCCTCATCTCCCCCGACACACCGCTCATTGGCCACGGACTTGAAAATGATCTCAACGCTGTCCGCATCATCCATCCCACCCTCATCGATACCATCCTCCTCTATCCACACCGCAACGGCATGCCCATGCGCCATGGGCTCCGCATGCTCATGGAAACCCGGCTCAACAAGATCATCCAGGCCGAGACCGACGCTAGCGGGAAGATTACCGGGCATGACAGCGCTGAGGATGCTCGCGCTGCGGGGGAGTTGGTCAGGTTGAAGGTGGAGGAGAAGTGGGGCTCCATGAGGGGACTGGGGTGGAAGTTGGTAGATGGGAAGTTTATAGCGCCGGAGAACGAGGAGCAGGGGAAGGGGAAGTTGAGTGAAGCATTTTTGGAAGGGGGACATGCGCTGGCGCAGGCGCACGCTTAATGGCACAGCATGGCGATAACTTTTTGGCTTGAGTTTTTCTCACTTTTCCCGTCCCTCTTTTTTCCCCCTCCGTTCCTAGGCAGTGGGGATGGGGCTTTCCATTACAGGGGTGGATAGGAACGCGACTTTTCGGGATAGATGGGGGAACGGCAAAGACGATAGGCGGTAGACATGGCATCTCTTTTCTCCCCGCCCACACATACTCTTCAATACCTTGGTTTTCTTTCTTCTTTTTGGTCAGGAGGGAGAGGCAACCACGGTCTTGAGCATAGATGGCAAGTTGGAGATACCTATTCCTATCCCTTCACACAAGGGAAGGTATCCAAGAACAAGAACAAGGATAGAGAGAAGAGAAGAGACAGAAAGGGGACAGGAAATATTCAAAGGAAGGAAGGAAAGGAAGACAAAGAAGGGGGGGCTCTAGGGTGTGAAAGTGATTCCCTCTTCCTCTTACTTCCTTTTCTTGTTTCTTCTCCCCCGTTCTCTCTCGGAATCTTTCTTTCTTTCTTTCTTCCCCCTTTTTTCTCCAGTTAATTCCTGGTACATAGGCATAACTGGAGTTTTGTTTACCAGCGGTTACTTTGCTTGCTTACTTTCTGGGTCTGAATGTGATTGATGAAAAAAAAAAAGATGAAAAGGTGTAAAATTAAATTAAATCATTATGTAATCGGTTAGGTACATTATGTCACTTACCTGGCTAGTACTGTACAGTTACTGAGTAGACAATAGGGACGATGGCATGACTTAGCAGTGGTCGAGAATACCTATAGGTAAAGTTGTTTAGTGACTGACAATACCTAGAGGTACAGTTTAATAATGATTGACTTGTGCTCGCTACTCGCTTCCTGGAGGTTCACACTGACAAATCTGTACTTTTGTTATGCGGCTTTCTCCTCCTACTCCTTGGATCTTAACTATGTTCTCTCGATTTCGTCTTATACTCACTTAGCCTGTATTATGAAAGCTTTTACAGAAAAGGAATTGGTACGTACATCAGAGTTGGAACACAAGTACATGCACAGGTTACACACCCGCGAGACAGGGCAGACAAACCCTAACACGTCGTATCACAATCGACCTTAGTCTCATCACAGTCAATCTCACACTAGGAACGCTGGGAACACCACCGAGTAAATATTACAATATCAACTTTTATTTACGCAATACGCTAGCCCTATCCCCTATCTAGAAGATTTTCTTTTTAACGTGATCGCGTCGCAACATACATGGCATAGTCATGATGATGGATGACCATGAAAGACCGTGTTCATAACCCCCCCATACATGTCTGTCATCCAGTAAGTACTGTGGAATCACACCCACTTCCCACGTCCATTTTTTGTTGTTCGGCTGCTTTGAAAAAGCGCATCTGTCCCAAGCACCCCATCTTGCTGGGACTCGTAATCCCGGGCGAGCCGAACACTGTTGCCGGGGCACGCATCCCAGTGTTGGGGTCAGAGGGTGGTGTGTTACTAGGGGTGAGGTGGTGATATTCAGGTGAGGCGAGGTATGCGATGGTGATGTGTTGGGGTGAAGCGGGTGATAGTATGTAGGTGGGCAACAGTTGAGTGAGTTTGGTGAGGTTGGTTGGGGGTTTGGTCGAGTATGTGTGTCGGTAGGTACGGGTATTTAGGTTGAGCTTGAAAAAACAGGAGACACCATAGCCGGCCGATGATTATTCGAGACGTTGGCGTTCACGGATTGTCTCCTATTATGTGAATTGTGTTGAAGTAGTCCTGAAACTTGAAGTCTACTAACGTTGTGTGCGTCGTTGGGGGCATCGCTGAATCCGGCGCCGAGGTGCCGCAATTCCCGCGTCCGGATCGTTCTTTGTCAGAAGGCAGTGCCCTCACGGCGACCGACCCGAAAAGGGGTAAGCAACGGCACGGCTTCGCGAGGCTCGAAGCACCGAAGCAGGTCCGCCAAGAAGTGCGTAATCGTATCCTCAGATCCGCTGGTAGAACAGCAAGTAGGCGACCTTGTTCTCCTTGATGCTTTCCTTGTGCTGTTGCTTGGCCTTCTGGCCATTGACGGGGCCCGAGGCGCCGTTGACGACGCTGCTCCACTTCTTCCCACCAGCAGCCTGCTTCCAGCCGTCGTCATCACCGGTATCCTCATCCTCAATGCCCTGGAACCGGTTGCCCGAAGCAGCGTTGCCTCCATCCTTCCGTCCATCGGCCTTCCCAGGATCCTCTTCAGCTCCACCCTCCGCGACGTCTTCGTCACGAACGCGCCGGATAACGGTGTCGTCGATACGGATCCACTCACGTCCGTCCTGGCGGCGCACGTCGACAGTGTAGTGACCACCGCTAGCATTCTTGCCGTGGTGGTATACGACGCCAATAAGGCGGTAGCGAGGGGCGCCCGAGTTCTCTGCGAGAATGGTGTTGCGGATCTGGCGCGACAGCACTTCCCGCGGGAACTCGAACTCCAGAGGATACCCAACCTTCTTCCAGATCTTGACAGTCCCGCCATAGCCCTCAGCATCAAACTGGAATCGCTTCAGGTGTAGGATCAGAACCGGCGGCACGGATTCGATAGAAACCTGCTTGGTCGCGCGGACATCCTTGCCGTGGGGTGAGTTGAAGTCGCCGTGAAGCACCTCGGGTCGCGTGAGTCCCTTGAGAGCGTCGATGATGTTGCGGACCTCAGGAGACCCAATGTCGAGCTGAAGGGGCTGGTACGGCTCAAGGGTAACCGAGTGCTTGTTGCCCGGGACACGAAGCTCGGAACGAAGCTGCCCACCAAAGATCTTGGTGATGGGTGATGCTGAGTTGGAGTGCCCAGACGAGCGGGTGACAGCAGAGCGCTGGCGTGGGCCAACCTCGAGCCAGTCATCAGTTCCCTCAGAAGCATCGTTGGTCTTAGCAGAGGTTGGAGACGGAAGTGACGAGTTGGTAGCGGTGGACACGGTGGACACTGGCGCCGCACGCATCACCTGGGCACATTCGTCGTGGAGGCCCTCGAGGAGGAAGCCGAGGAACTCCTGGGCGTCCTGTTGATGACCACGCTGCTGATTGTAAGCACGTGCTCGCAAACCCTCATGTCATCAATATTGAACTTACCCTCATGCTAGCGAAGCGTGGAAGGGTCCGGATAGCCTCGTACACAAACTCAGGGGTGAAGGGCTCGCCGTATTTCTCATACTCCTCGCTCTTCAGGCGCTTTTTGAGCTGCTCAGCGGACACCGCAGCATCGATCGTTTTGAACTCACGAATAAACATGACCCTATCTCAATCAGCACGCCTGAAGCACAAGGCTCACGGCCCTAGTAAACTCACATGGCATCAATCAGGGGCGTTTCGCTTTTGAAGCTATGGGCCGCCTTCTTGCTGACTTGGTCCAAGAAGTCGAAGAAAGGAATGCAGAAGATCAGGACTTGCAGCACCTACGAGATGTTAGGACGTGACGTGCTAAATCGATTGCTGGACTCTTACCGAATTCATGTAGCACATGTTTCCAGTGTTAACAAGGCCTCTTGGCTCCAGGAAAGCAAGCTTATCGGGGGCATTGGGACGGTACGCTTGCAGGGCCTGCGCCAGAGAGCTGGCGTTTGCCTTGGCGAAGCTACCGATCCCCGGTACGACAGCCGTCGCCTCTGCCGCGTTACCGTTGGCATGGCCTTGGGCGGTGGTAGAAGAGCTCGTGCTCGCGGCCGCACCGGCAGGCTTGGAGAACAGACCAGCCCAAAGCTTAGGTTTGCCCCATGCTGGGCCTGGCTGAGGCGCCTCGGCAGCTTCCTCAGCGCTGTCGGTGCTCGGCTTGGCCGCCTCTGCTTGTTGTTCGCTAGGAGCAGCAACTGCCGGCTTTCCTTCGGTAGCATCTTTCGCGGCGGTGGGTCTGGATGTGGGCTCTTTGGGGCTGGGCTTGGGCAGGATCGGGACAACCGGCACTGCAGGCCTCACGGCGGAAGGTGTTCCGGACGACTTGAGCGGGGGCGCTGAGCTCGGGGTGGTCGGCACGCTAGAGATGGCAGCCTCAGAAGGGATTTCCTGCGTGGAAGGGGTCTCGGAACGAGAAACAAGGGTCTCGGCGGCCTTGTGCTCAGGTTTGGGAGCAACACTCGCGGCCTGTTGCACAGTCTGGGCCGGCGCTTGAGCCTGAGGATTCTCGACAGGGGCTTCAGCGCCGGGGGCGTGTTGGCCAGGAAGCTCCAATCTCTCTGCATCGGCACCCAAAAGCTTCTTTTTCCTCCTCAACTTGGATGTGCGCTGTGGGAAAGGGTCGTCGGGATGGGAGAGCCACGGGAGCTGGGGAGCAGACAGAAATATCAGTAACAGTCCTTCACGGAACGGCACCTTGACGGGGAAAAAAATTCAATAACATGTAGACTCCAACACGGAGACTTACGGGTGGCCTAAAAGGTTGTATATAGCTTTGGACAGAAGAAGTCGATGGTGCCTTTGCTACCGGCTGGGGAGTAGGGTCCTCCGGCTCTGGGACGAGGTGCGACTCGGGCTGCGGCTCGGGCTGTGGCTCTGGCTGTGGCTCTGGCTGCGGCTCGGGCTGCGGTTCGGGCTGCGGTTCGGGGAGATGTTGGGGCTGCGACGGAGCCTGGGTCGGGGCCAGATCCGGGGCAGGGGGTTGGACGGCCTCGTAAAGCTGCTGCTGCACGGGCGGGGTCATAGAAGGGGGAGGCGGAACAGTAGCATGGGAGTGTGTGGACGTCGGAGTGTGCGGCATCGGAGGAGCACCAGGCACTGCGGTAGGCGGTGGTGGATGATAGGGCGACGAGACGATCGGGGAGTGTTGCGGAGGACGGCCGTAGGACTGCGGCATGGGGACGAAGTGCTGCAGAGCGGGAGAGCGGACGTATCCCTGGTTGGGATACCCCATGTAGCCGGCCGGGCCGGGTATGACGCCGTTCTGGTAAGGCGGGTGCATGTAGTAGGGGGTGGCGGCATAGGGGTTCGCCATGTAGTTGGCCTGGTACATTTGCTGGCCGAGGTGCTGTTGGTGATGGACATGCTGGGCGTGCTGGACATGCTGAGAATGTTGGGAGTGTTGGGAGTGCTGAGAGTGCTGGGAATGCTGGGAGTGCTGAGAGTGTTGGGAATGTTGGGCATGATGGTTGTGGTGGCCGTGATGACCGTGGTAGCCATGAGCCGGCGAATAGTGCTGGGGCCGACCTCCACGACGAGGGGGAGGACCGCCGGTGGGCGCGGGACCCATCTCGGCACCGTTTTGCCCCTGCTGCCCAGCCGGCAGATGCCCCCTGTTGTTCATCATGCCGGCGTGGGGTATGTGGTGGTGTGGTTGTTGCGGTAGCTGCTCACCGGATGTGAGGGCCACCGCGGCGAAAGGTCGGGAGGCGAGAGCTCAGTGAAGGGCCGAAAGGTCGGAGGATGCAACTCAATAGAGAGTTGTCCGGGTGGAGGTCGGAGGTCGGAGGGCGATGAGGGTGTTGATGGATTCCTGGTGGAAATCCCTAACTCAACGATGACGAGCCGAAAGAAGTGACAAGCAAAGCCAAAAATAAAAAATAAAAAAACCAAATCCGCGAGAGGAACTGTGTGGTCCCTGGTCGGAATGCACTTGCCGCTACTGCTGCGGAGAACCGGTTGCTGCTGACTCTTCGGAATTATTTGCGACGCCAAAATAAATGCTCCTTCTTCTTTCCGCTCGGGCTGTGTTTGTTGCTTGCTGCTGCGATTATGACTTCAACGGGTTGTCGTCGATTGATGCACGTTCGGGAGAACGAAAAGTAAAGACCTGCCGCCCAACTTCCGCCGCTGCCGTCCGCCCTTGATCGATGGACTCGGAGGTGGCAGGTTCGAGGTTGGAGCGCATCGGCCGGGCTCGTCGTGGGAAAGCAAACGCGCGCAAGGGTCCTCCAAGCGGAGGCGGTTTGTTGGAGCTTGTTTGCTGGGTGGTGGCCCTCAGGGTTTCCACTCTTGTGACAAAATTTCCCGTTTTTGCCCAGCCAAGAGCCCACGCTAAAACTTCTTGGGCGGCGGCAACAGAGGTCTTCAGCTGGAGACGCTCGGGCCTTATGCCACCAACAAGAGCGCCAAGAAACCCGTTTCCGCGGCGCCTTCTGCGAATTGCATAATGTACTGTACCAACGTTGCGTTACATATCCCGAGTCCCGAACAAAGGGGCCCTTTGTCGATGCGGTTCTCCGAATACAAATGCACAGCACCTCGAAGTATTCCGGAGAAAACATGAATCTTGTGGGTTCCAGTTAAGACTGATAGAAACGGGATAACGACTTCTCCAATAGGTAACTAGAGATGAAAACGTAGAAAACGCCGAGATAACGGGAGAGTTTTGTAGACCAGAAAGCATCATCATATCAAATAAGTCATTTAAGGTACTTGGGGGTAAAGTTATCCATAGCAAACGCGGCCTGCGTCGCTATTCATCTCTAAACAGCCACCTCCCTCCCCGCATCGCCTCTCGCCATCTCTCCTCCACTACCCCCCTTTCCACCCGCTTCGCTTCCTCCTTATTTTGCTCAATCTCCTGCGTGCTAGGGAAGTCCGGATTCCAGTACCCCGGAGGCGATGGCCGCCTCGCAAACCGATGTCTATGCCTCCCATACCGATCCGCCAGGTCCTGGACCTTGGCCTTGAGCCACGTCTCCTGCCGTTCCTGGCGGGTCATGTTGACTAGCCGGTACGCCTCACCATCGCCCAGATACTTTTCCATCATCTGGATCTCGGCTGGACGCGAGAGGATGGCCGCCCCCCCGGCGTTTAGCTCAGATTCGGCCATTGCTTTGAATTGTCGCCCGCAGCAGTTCGGGTCTGTGCATCCGGCGAGTTCGGCCCTTTCCTCTCTGCTGCGGACGACCTCATCAAACGCGTATCGGTATCCGTCGTTAGACCGAGGATTCACCTTAAAATCCTCTGGCGCAAGTTCGGCTAAGGGCCGGTCGCGCAGCCGGCTGGCTTTGACAGGAGCTTTTCCCTTGGCCGACCTCACCATCCGCTTCATCGGCGTTGTCGCACCGTTCTTAGGCCGCGCGGGACTTTTCTTGGCAACTTTGGGGTGTTGGCCGGGGGCCAAATTCTCGATGTTTTCTTTCTCATGGCTAGAACTTGTAGCGTCCCGGTCGGGGCGGACCGGTGAGAGGAGAGCAGCAAGCTTCATTGGCGAGCCATCGTTGAGCAGCGAGTGTAGGCGGCCGTGTGTAGGTTGTTCCCCCGCCCGGTTTGGCCGGGGCGAGGGCAATGAATCGGCCTCGTCTTCAGCGAGGTCGGCAATTTTAGAACTCAGGGACCACCGCGCTTTGACGGGCGAGGGAGCGTCTCCTGGAGTCGAACAATTCGGCCTAACCGTAGCGTTTCCAGCTGGGGTATTGGTGTGTTTGGGAGCCGTGATTCGGGGAGTATCATAATGGCCTGGTGGAGTATTCCCGCTTTTCTCTTCTCGGAGGAGATACCGCTGTTCCCATTCGGGTTGTTTTCTAGGCGTTGGCATCCCAACTTCCCCCTCGTCCAGGTCGATGCTCTCGTGAGGGCAAAAAACGGGGACTTCGCTGATGATTACCGGCTCGGAACTGGGGCTCTTCTCATACTTGATCTTCCGCGGTGGTGCCGGCATCCCTGTATCATCATCCGCAGCCTTCCTTTTCCGTATTACTCTCTCCGAGACGACGACTGGATCTGAGGATGGTTCTTCTTTGACAACCGCTGTCAGTCCTTCGGGATCTCCAGTAGGCAAAGGCGGCTGTTGCTCTGCCCCGTCACTTCCGTCCTGGGTCTCCTTATCGGTTGAACTCGCGGTCGAATTGCCGTGGTTCCTTCGAAGCTCTGCATCCAGAGACTTGTGAGTCGAGTTGCTGTCATGTTGGGCCTTTTTCAATTTCTCGAGCTTCGTTTCCAACGAATGCGCGTATGTTGTCCAACTGTCCCGCGCTTCGCGTAATCGATTTGCAGAACCGCGCAGACCCTCACACCGCTCTTCCAGTGCCGACTTCTGCACATACACCTTTGAGTACTCCTTTTTCCAATCAATCTGCTTCACAGACGATGTTGACTTGATAGCTCTCGCATCAAGCTGGCGATTGACGGATACTTCCGCGAGTGCCGTACGTGTTGCCCGCGGGAGGGTCTCTTCGGAAACAAGAGGGGCGGTCGGGGAATTAGATCTCCCGTCTTGGGAAGCAAGTTTCTCCCGGAGCTGAGAAAGCTCTTCAACAAGAGACCGATTCTCCTTCTCCAAGTCGTCTACCCTAGCAGCCACTGTCTTCAGCCGGTCAATTTCGCCAAAGAGCGATGCATGTTGGTGTGCAGTTTGTTCCCGGATCGCTATGTATCGTTAGTGGGATTCTCATCAAGCCTCCACGGTGATGACCTACCGGCCGCTAACTGGTCCTCTACTGAATCGCAGACGGTTTCAAGCGTGGCACGGAGCTTCGCCCGGCCCTCGCCTGCCCAGTACTCCATGAGAATCAGTATAATATGGGCAATTGAGCGGGAAAAGGGGAAAATAAGAGGAAAAAATGGAAAGAGCAACACGGGGAGACAATGATCCCATATCCGGTCATGTCATGATGGGTCCAAGTTAGGCGGGGAAGACTGGAACGCGACGCGTCACAGCTCGCGAGTTAACTATGAGGCACGTCCTTTACTTCTGAGAACGGACGCGCCTTATCACGTGACTCATTTAGTGGGCTGTCGGCCCGGCACGTGCGCCATGCATCATCTTTCAACGGTCATGCCAATCAGCTTTGTTCCGGCCCGCAATGCAAGTCAGCCACAACGTCGCAGCAACTTTCGGAGGTTGACAAGGGTCACTCTCCCGCATTCGCTTCTCAACTCGTCCCGAACCTGTGGCTGTTTTCGAAACCAGAGGCCGTCGTCTTCTTTCTTAACCTTTGCTCGTTTTCTGAAGAAAACAACATGACAATAGCATTAGGTTTGTTGGCGGGCTTTACCCTCACCTTCAACCCACGAAAACTCGGTGCTCAGCCGTGACAGAGCTACGGTAGTTGACTGCCTCGTTGTTGGTTGATGTCCTGGCGGCGACTACAACGTAGCATTATCGCAATCGTGGCCTGCCGTTCTCGCCCCCAACATTCTGTCGCCCACCGATGGGCGCTTGGGAACCTTTCCACTGCCACGCGCGCGATTTCAAACCGTGATACTCCGTACTACTTACTGTCTGAACGGACCAATGCGCCCTCCCCGGCAGCCACCGGCAACTGATGGCCCCTACCACGGCGCTAGCTTGGATGTATGTCGCCTTCGAGGGCGAAGAGAGCTTCAGCCGAGACCCCAAGAGCCTCGATCAGCAGGCTGAAAGACTGTTAAACCAACAATGCTGGACAGGGGTGGTTGGTCGGATTCGAAAAGGACTCTGCGTCGAAAGATGCCTGTGATGTAACACCAACCACGATTTCAACTCCAGCCCGTAGACAACTGTCGTGCGCCCCTTAGATCATCAAACAAAGCGGCCAAGACATCATCTGCAGATGTGCTTCTAGCAGAGTTCCAGAATGTCTCCTGGAAAATGACAATGTTACCCTACCCGACAGCATACTCAAGCTGGAGGGAGGGCGGCAGCCCTGGGGCAATCGATGAAGGCGAGCCAACTGACCAGCCGCTCTGGTTCCGCCGATGGATTCCCATGATCTGCAGAGACACCATACCGTCTGCGAGAGAGCATGAATAAGGAGTACCGGCCAACGGCAACAAACCCGAACAACGTCACACATCAAATGACACGTGGTATGAGATCGCAGTTTGATTATATCGGCCGCTGTTGTTGGTAGCTCAATCAACGAGTCAAAGTTGGCTGGGGAAGAACATCGAGGTATCGCGGGAGAAGCTTTCGAACGAAACCTCCCAAGACATTTAAAGCATGAGAAGAAACCCCCGGGCGGAACGCTTCGTTCTTTTCCCACGAGGAAGCAGGCGTAGCCACGTATCATAACCACATTGGCTCCCTGCAGCTCAAGTATTGGTTCAGGGACCAATTCAGACAGACACCGAGGCATGCGGGAGGTTCGAGAAAAACGAGTTGGAGAGCAGGTCAGACGAAAAGATCCGCTTCTCTATGCAGGGGCAGATAGCCCGTGCATGGCTCGGGTCCGCCTATGCTCCGAGATGAGATGGGGTAGAAGGGGAAGAGAGTTGGAGCGGATGTTGAGCGCAAGGTCTTGAAAATGCGCCGTCTGCGTGGAGATGTCCACTTCGAAGGTGCAGGAGACAGATTAGATCTTGAACGGGTCACCCATGAGAGAGACAAAGTACGACAGGCCACGGTAGGAGTATGGTACTTCGTATGTACTCGACTTTCGCATCCATGTCGCAGAAGCTGCATTCAACCGAAAACTCTTGCATCGGAGCGGTTTCCCTCGTCCGTTCCCAGCTGACAACCCCTCCTTCCCCCCCCCAAGATCGGCGCGCTGCACCGAGCCCGGCAACTCTGGCAGAGAGGAGACAGAGGAGGCAAGTTCAGTTGCAGGCTGTGGAAGCATCCCGGGAAAAAGAGAGGAGCCAAGCAACCACGGCAAGCTCAAGCAGGCGAACGAACATCGAGCAAGGGTGCCCCACACAAACTGCCACGTTCAAAAAATTTCAACCACAGCAGACCATTTCCGCCAGGTGAGCCCGCTCCTTCGTTCAATCTGTTTCTCGCCTCGATTCCCTGCCTTACCTGCCTTATCGAGCAATCGGAAACAGTACTTAGTTCTCGATGTCCCTCCTGCCGTTCCGCGGCTTTTCCTTCTTCCCAACCAGTCACCAACCAACTCTCATCAACCGCGTGGACAGTTTGTGTTGCACACTCACACTCTTCCACAAAAGAACAATTTCCACTTTGGTCAGTAAAAATTACCCCACACTCAAGCAAAAAAGAAGCACCCCACCTTTTCTGGTTTTGCGCCCTCCTTCCCAAAATCCCTCCAATACCGAAACACTTTTCCAATTCGCACCCAGGCGATTGGAAACTTCCCCTCGCCACTTACAACCAGAACTGACCCGAACATCGCGTCGCGCAGAAAACTTCACAAACACCACAATTCCGAACTCTAACCGCAAAACCTCACCCCCAAATCTTCAAGATGGAGTACAACTCTTCTCCGGCTCCTCCTCAAGGTCGGGCCTGCTTCACCTGTGAGTTGCCCTAGGCCCTTTTATCTGCCCCGCGGCTCCCAGCGCAACCGCCCTCTGTCGCCGCACCGGCAGCCCATGGACGCATTTCCAAAAGCCCTGCATGTCCAGTTGATGCTTTGCATCGCAAGTTCCACTGCAATACTGGCGGCCCTTGGTCAGGGTCTTCCAATTTGGAGATATCCTGCATGATTTGCGCCGCGCGCAAGAGCAGTTGCACAAGACGCAGACACAAAACATCCAGAGAGAAGGATCAATTCTTGATTGGTTTTGTTTGTGTCTTGCCGAGGCAAATCGATGCAGCAGCTCGAGTAGCTCCCCTAACACATCACCTGCGCCGCCGGAACAGGTTGGAAGAGGAGAGAGAAACGAACCTCGATTCTGGCCATTTCGACCAATGCCCAGAAATGGGCTGGAGAGAAGCTGAGCCTTTCCGCCGGTTTTCTATTTTGCGCTCGGGAGCCAATATTTTCACTACATGACACCATAAACGCCCTTACTATTGGGTTGGGGAGAAAAATCATCTGACACGAGAGATTCTAGGCGGCCAACTTACTCACCAGGTATGCCACACCGTCGGCGCGCGTGGTGAAGGATCAATGTTGAGGAAGAAGTATCTCCGTGTCGCCCTGCAACCACTAACACTATGTTTTTTAGGCTCGTGACTGCCCCAACAAGGGTGCGGCTAAGTGGTAAGTCGTACCGTGTCTCTACCTCAACTATTTGATCGATGTCCGCTAATGATTGCTAGCTACAACTGTGGTGGTAAGCTTATTCGAGTCCATGACGAAACATTGCGACGTGAACATATTTTAACGAGAATTTGTCGGTTTTAGGCGAGGGTCACATGAGTGAGTAACGCTATTGCATCTCCATATCGAGACTTCGACGCTGATTCCAACAATAGGCCGTGACTGCCCTGAGGGCCCTAAGGACACCAAGACCTGCTACCGCTGCGGCCAACCCGGCCACATCTCCCGCGACTGCTCCTCGGGCGGTGGCCCTGGCGCCGGTGGCGGCCAGTCCAGCGCTGAGTGCTACAAGGTGAATATCTCGGTCATTAGGGACCTTGAAACGCCGGATTGCTAATTCGTTTGAATTATAGTGCGGTGAGATCGGCCACATTGCCCGCAACTGCAGCAAGGGCGGCGCGTATGGCGGCGGCGGCGGCGGTTACAACGCCGGTGGCTACGGTGGCGGCGGTGGCTACGGCCAGAAGACCTGCTACTCGTGCGGCGGCATCGGCCATCTCTCTCGTGGGTTTCCATGGAACACAAATCATACAAGCGAGGACGAGGGGCTAACATGCTCAATCTAGGCGACTGCGTGAACGGCAACAAGTGCTACAACTGCGGCGTCTCCGGCCATCTGTCGCGTGACTGCCCCAAGGAGTCCACCGGCGGTGAGAAGATCTGCTACAAGTGCCAGCAGCCTGGCCACGTCCAGTCACAGTGCCCCAACAACTAAAGTGGTGGCAGACGGAGGTGTGAGATGACCGCGGTTACCTTGGACGGCCACCCGGCTTCTTTCGTCGGCCGGCCAGCCTTTTGCGATCTGTTCTAGCTCCCCCCATCATACAGGCGGAGATGAAACGAAGGAGACAAGGGGAAGGCTTGCTGGGGTTTGGAGGTTCGGTTGGGCGGTTGGGCGGTTTCCGGAAAAAGAAATGGGAAATGGGAGGTTGAACAATACGCGGGTGCGCTATACGCTACACTTACTACCTTTTCCGGGTGGAACACTAGTCTCGGGTGCTCACGCGCTGGGAGTTCCACAGTGAAGGGCGATCGGTTTGGTTGTGTTTCGCTGATATCGCAGTGCGGCCTGGATACCCTCTCAGTTGGCAATGTCCTCGCCTCTCCCGGGGTTTTCTCTCGCATCTTTCGGCTAGGTTTTTTTAGGGAGCCACGGAACGTCTCCCCCATCATCACGAGTTGTTTTTCATCCCTTTTTTTCTATGTGTTTTCTCCATCTTTCATGCACGAATCATGGCATGGCCCAAAACCAGATACCTCATGCAGTAAAACGGCAGTCACGACGATCACGGATCCACGGGGCAATGGGAACAAAAAGGAAAGAAAAGAAAAGTTCTGACCACTTTTTATGTCTCTTGAAGATTGGGTGAAATGTCATTTAAGTAGGCGTTTCGGATACCTTGCCCTTGAAATGCTATCCTATCCAAAAAAGGAAAAACCGAACAAGCCCGGAGATGATGGCTATGATGCGATACTACTGAGAAGACTCGAACCACCTACGCCCCATCCTGTACCCGAAACGAAATGTGTATTTACAAGAATGCCGCACAGCTACGTAGGTCGTGGGCCATATTGACAGGACCTCTTACAACACGGCCTTGGGCATAAACTTCATGGCCTGCCTGACGCCGAGGTCACCAAGAACCTCCTCGGCACCGCCCAGAATGGCATCAAACTTGTAAGTCCGGTTGAAGTTCTCAATGACACGGCCCATGCCGGTCTGGGTCAACCCACGGCCACCCCAGATCTGGACGGCCTCGTCGGCAATCTCATGCGCCGCACGGGTAGCGCTCATCTTGAGCAGCGCGATGGGCCCGCCGAGGTGCTTGGCCTGCTCCTTGTAGGCCATGTTGCACATCTGGTAGGTGATGGTCTCGAGCCAGGACTGGTGGGCCTCGCACAGGGCGATCATCTTGGCCAGTTTCTGGCGGATCACGGGCTGGTCGATCAGGCGCTTGCGGAAGACGAGGCGCTGGTGCGCCCACTTGAGGGATTCCTCGACGACGAGGCGCATGTAGCGGATTGTGGCGCAGGCCATGGTCCAGCGCTCGTGGTTGAAGTTGGAGAGGATCACGTAGATGCCCTTGTTTTCCTCGCCGAGGAGGTTGGTGGCGGGGACTTTGACGTTGTCGAAGGTGATGAAGGTAGTGCCGGCGGCTGGGGAGTAGGAGGTCTTGATCGGCTTGGTCTCGACGCCCTCGCCGCGCTCGATCAGGAGAACGGACAGGCCCTTGCCGGTGTTGACACCGGTGACGAAGTAGTCGGAGAAGACACCGTTGGTGATCCACTTCTTGGTGCCATTGACGATGTAGTGCTTCCCGTCGGGGGTCTTGGTGGCTGTCGTGCGGAGACCGGCCACATCGGAGCCGGCAAAGGCTTCGGTGATGGCAAGGCAGATCTTCTTCTGGCCTGAGAAGACCTCGTCCGTGATCTTCTTCTTCAGGGTGGGTTCCTTGCAGAAGTTGAGGATGCAGGTCAAGCCGATCACCATGCCGGCCATGTTGCCGTCCTGGAAGCCACGGCAGGCGGCGCGGACTTGCTCCTGAGCGCAGATCATGTCGTGGAAGTAGTCAAACTCCTTGCCATCGACAGCGCCGTCGAGCAGGTTGACACCGTGCAGGTGCTTTCCGGGGCCCATGCGCATGTGCAGGACGCCGGCCTTGGACATGCGCTCGATCAACTCCTGGCTCACATACTCGCCGCTGCGCTCCTTCTCAAGAGCCTCGGGTGTGATGTATTGGTCGGTAAAGGCTCGCATGGCCTTTTGCAGGCGGCGATGGCTCTCGTTGAAGTAGGGAGACTTGAAGGCCGGGGTGAGCCAGAGCGGCTCGGCGTAGGGCACAGTCGAGATCTCGCCGAGGGCTGGGGTGACGATGGACTGCTTCTCGCCCTCGATGGAGCCGACAGCCAGGTCCGAGTATTTTTGCAGCACCTCGTGCCTGTGGAGGTTGTAGAACGCTACGGTCGCGTCGGTGCCGGCCACCTGTCGGAGGACGGCCTCGCCGCCGGGATGGGCGTCTAGGAAATCCGAGACATCGTAGACAACGGTGTCGATGACGAACCAGATGCTGTCTTCGGTGTTGTGTTTCGCGACCTCTTCGCGAGTGAAGGTCTTGCTGGGTACTTCGAGAGGCATGCTTGCGGCGAACACTCGTCACGATCTACTTCGTTGGGGGGGAAGTATTACTCGGTGATTTTCTGATCAATGACAAACGTGGCAATTAGCGGAAGCAGAGCGACGTCAAAAATTAATAGAGGAACAAATAGGACTCCCTGGGAACAATGTTTGATTCATATCGAGAGGCCGGCGTCACGAGCGCGCCTCGCCGAGTCAGTCAGACTTGCCAACCCGGGGCTTGCTTCGGCTCTCCCTCTCGAATGCCTCGGCTCACTCGGGGGCGTTTTGGAAACCTGGGGCTCAATGTGGGGAATTCCGCCAAGAGATGTAATAACAGTGTTGTGATTGGCCAATATCTCAACCCTTGCTCTCAACCTCGAATGCGGCCCCACTCTTAGCACTTCGACATCTTGACAGGTCCCGTGCCAACTTCTTCAATAGTTTTCACAAGAGGACCACTAGCCTCGGACTCGAAACATCAAGTTCTTATGTTTACTTGGGGATTCATATTACCGTACCAACAACTCGGCGGGATGCGCTTTCTGGTGGCCAATGATGACCTGTTTCATCCAACGGTCACCCGATCCTGCCAGCGCTGACCAGCGATGCCCCTGTAGAAAACCGCCGTCGTTGTGTCGTCTCCCCCCGCCTTGGCCGACGCTCGGCCAGCTTTGCCTGTTACGGAGAGGTGAGATTCGGCGGCCAGCGAAACAGGATGGCATTCCGTGCTAGTTATATAGTACGTTGGCTTGTTGATGTTCGGGATTTGATGAATAAGCCTCAACCCTGAGGTGTAAGCCGGGAGATTCAACACTGTAACTCAAAGACAGCCGACATACGAATACACGAGTAGTAGAGAGCAACGGCGGGGTCTTACGTGTTCCGATCGGCACACTTCCGTGCCCCGCCAAGGCCAACGGTGTTATCAAAGGTCTAGATCTCGCGTGGTCCCTTTCCACCAAACCTCAGATCACAGGGAGATATCTTACATAGTACAATGTATAAATGAGCACCGCCCTGTCGCTATGCCGTCCTCACTTTTTCGGGCTCCAGCGTCTTTCTATTGTTTCTATTCGGTAAGTCGATCTCACATTTCTTCCCAAACCCAAGACCCATCTACCCAGCCCGTTTCCGACGGTGACGCACCGGCGGCCCAGACCTAAGGTCAGATGCATGCTGAGTTGCGCGTTTATCATTGGTCAATCCCCCCAAAAGGAGAACAAAGGCAAGGGACTTGGTTGTCTCCTTGATAGGAGATCTGTCACCTGCTGTTCCAGCATCGCCAAATGAAATGCGATTATTCCCTCACCTGCGTGTTTGTCAAAGCCAGCCAGTAGCGGCATTGCCTCGAACAGACAAGGTCTGCTTTAGTTACGGCGTTTCCTTTTAGTTTTCAAATCGAGGGTTTCTCCGGGCCGTTATCGGTTCCGCCCGAGATGATGATCGATCCCCTCTGAACCCACACCTCCATCATATGGCTCGCGCCCTCGCTCTTGCATCACGCCAGCTTGTTCAATGGGAGGCGGGGGGTTTGGTGGCCCGGTTCCGTCCCGCGTCCCCAAAATGGTGTTTTTCTTTTTTTGGCCAGGCAGTTGCTAGCCTCATTCTATGTGGCTCTAGGCCCATAAACCATCGGGGGAGTTCTCCCCGCAAAACACCGGTCCTCGTCCCGGGGCCTTGCCGGCCTGGCCTCCTCACCTACCTATATAATCCTCCATCGCAACATCTCGCTTGCTGAGCCGCTGCAACAGATTTTGTTCAGTTTCAAGGCCGTATGCATGGCCACCATCCCCCTTTCTTGAGCATAAAAGCAGAAAGTCCTGCCTTTGCTAAGTTTGCGCGTGTCTTCGTTTGCACATACATACCTAATCGCCGACTCACCTCACACCCTCATTTCATTTTCTTTCCGAGTCCCAACTATCGTAGCCTCCAGTATCGCCAGTTGTTGCCAGTATGGATTCTCACTCTATGTCGGTCACTAGTGCCGCTCGCAAAAAGACGTCTAGAATCTACCAAGACCTCAAGACCTCCCGATTTTACGGCGCCTCGTCACGAAAACTGAGCATCATGGATAGTGCCCTTCAGGTATTTGGCCCCCACTCCACAAATTGAAAGATAACCCTCCTACTTCCTCGTATGGTGCGGCATCTGGTGTCGTGACACCAATGGTGCATGGGCAGGATGCGGCGTGGGCGTCCAGGACTGGGTTGCTCCGTGGAAATGTAGTAAATCACCATACTCACATAATTATCTGATGTAGTTTGAGACGCTGGACCCGAACAGGAGGCCACATGTCGGCATTATCGGCGCCGGCTTCTCCGGGTTGAGATGCGCCGACGTGATGCTCCGCAGCGGCTTCCGAGTCACCATATTGGAGGCCAGGAATCGTCTCGGGGGTAGGATATACCAAGAGAGACTACAAAACGGTCATCTCGTAGACATTGGTGCAAACTGGATCCACGGTACAACCGACAACCCCATCATGGACCTAGTCAAAGAAACCAAGACCGCAGTCCGCCTCTGGGATAGCCACTCATACGTTTTTGACGAGGAGGGGAAACTGCTTCCCGAAGAAGAGGGCGAGAAGTACTCAACGATTTTATGGGGCATTATCGAGGAGGCGTTTGAGTACTCCAACAAGCACGGGGCGAGTATCGACCCCCAAAAGTCGCTGTTGGACTTTTTCCAAGAGCATATCGCGGAGAAGATACCAGACACGGAGGAAGACTATGAGAAGAAGAGGAATCTCGTTCTTCGGATGGCCGAGCTTTGGGGGAGTTTTGTGGGGAGTCCGCTTAGCACACAGAGCTTAAAGTTCTTTTGGCTCGAGGAGTGCATTGAGGGTGGTAAGATACAACGTCTAAAATTCCTTTATATTCCTTCTTTCAGGGTCTAACCTACTCGTTAGAAAACCTATTTTGCGCCGGGACCTATAACAAAGTCCTGGAGAAGGTTGCTCAGCCGGCTCTCGACAGTGCAGACATTCATTACCGAACACAAGTATCAGAAATCCATGGCAAATCTACCGGGCCGAACGGCAAGACCAGAGTCAAGACCGCGAAGGGCCAGACCTTTGAGTTTGACGAATTGGTGGTCACCTGCCCCCTTGGTTGGCTTAAGCAGAATCTCCAAGCCTTTTCTCCTCCGCTCCCGGACCGGGTGTGTCGGGGTATTCAGGGTATTGGCTACGGGACTCTCGAGAAGGTGAGCATCTTGACTCCTCGATGTATTACCGTTGAACACCACGCGACTAACGTTCTTAGGTTTACATCTCGTTCCCAACTGCCTTCTGGCTCACCCCTTCTACAAACCCCACAGACGGCGGCCGCACAGTTCAAGGGTTTTGCCAGTGGCTCTCACCACAATATGCGCGCGACAGCAACCCCCACGGCTGGATCAACGAAGTGGTCGAGCTAGGCTCTCTGGGCGAGTCTGCTCACCCTACCCTCCTGTTCTACACCTTCGGCGACCAGTCCAAACACCTCACCTCCACCACCCGCTCATTACCCTCTCAGAAGCAAAAAGAAGCGTTCCTTTACGACTACTTCCGGCCGTACTACTCCCGTCTCCCATCCTACGATCCCGTCAGTCCGGACTGCCAGCCTATGGCTTGCTTTGCAACAGACTGGTCGGGCGATGAACTTTCGGGAAATGGCAGCTATGCAAACTTCCAGACGGGTTTGGTAGAGGGTGACCAGGATATCATGGCCATGCGAAACGGCGTGCCGGGGGAGGGCATTTGGTTAGCTGGTGAGCACACAGCGCCTTTTGTTGCACTGGGTACCGTCACGGGAGCGTATTGGAGTGGCGAGCATGTTGCGAGGCGTATTACGCAGAAGTATTGGAAGGGGAGGGAGGAGAAGCAGAAGAAAAAAGGACAGACGGAAGTCGGGGAGAAGAAGGGTGTTGAGGTTTAATTAGGGTTAGGGTTGAACCAAGCAGCGGGTTGTCACGGCGTTTGGGGGACGGGCGTTTGAGCCGGCGTTCGTCAGATCTTACGGTCTTCTTTTTGGCTTTGCTTTGCTTTGTTGTTCAGCTATTTAACTAGTCTAGAAACAGCCATTTTAGGAATATATAAGCAGTTGAGTAGTGTAACTATGCCGAGGACCCAGTAGTTGCCTTTTCTAGGGTCATTGCTTCCTCTGAGCGGTCGTTTTTCCGCAGTTTCAACGACCCTGGTGTCATCTGATCCCCTCAAACACCGCGATGCCGGTTTGGGCGGTCAGACGCCGCAACGGTTGGCTAAATCCACGGTGTTCACCCACTTTGCTTGGCCCGCCAACGGCTCTTGTCCTCGAATCCAATCAAGCATCTTCTGCAAGGCAGCTGCCGCTGAGGACTGGATGGGGTTGATGATTGATGTTTTTACTCGTTTTCACTTGCATAACTAAGGTATCACTGAATCAGCTCTCTGAGAGACGGGGTTGGTCAAACTGATAGGGGCATGATTCACGCCTGCTGCCTGTTCTCATTTCTCCAACTTTCTTCATCTTTGTTGTAGTCTTATGATTTAATCCTAGCTGATGGCCTCACACTAGCATTACTCATGTCCATAGTTTACAGAGTGCAGCAGTGCAGACTGCAAGCGTCTGAGACTCTGATGTCAGTGGCCCTTGAGCACAGTGAGCACAGTTCATGTAGCACATCACAGCGCGGGGCTCTCAAACACTCAGACCCCCTGTAGGTACCGAGTGGAGGTTCCCCACGCCTCACGCGCTAACATTAAACGATAAGGCGGATCGGCGGCTTGATGGTCTGATTGGGCTCCCCTCCCCAACACCGGATCAGCGAAGCAACCCACTTCAGGTCCCGAGCCACCACCGGGCGATGACCGAGCACGCTCTCAACACACAGGAACTCGTCACCGGGGCGTCCCGCGCCATGTCATGGAACTCACACTACCACGCAATCACATCCCGATAACTCAAACCGCTTTCTTCCTCAACATATTCAGCGCACCGGTGCAGTTTCATCTGCCTTAATCTGCAGCACCTACGGATAACCAAGTGTCCGTGCTGTGTCCATCCATCACGGTAGAACAACAGCAAAACAGCAATCCCCCCTCCCACTTCCTCCTCCCTTTGTGTTCTGGCAACACAGGTCCTCTTTTTGCTGTTTTTCTTCCTCCTGTCCCGGCCCCTCTTTTCACTCCGGGTTTCCAGCTCCTGGTGTTACCATCACCGCCATCGTGAATTGTCGTTGTCGTTTGCCGTTATCGAAGCACGGAGCGTTCCATGCATGCGCAGCCTCCCGCACTGCAGCGTACCATACCGATCGTGCCGAGTCTGTCGACAGACACACGCCATAAATATCAGGGGCAAGGTGTCTAGGTCACTCTACCCGCAGGTGCCTACGTACCTACCTACTCATCCACGACGTATCTCCATTACCTACCCGCTTGTGCATCACCCTCGCCGAGAGATGATGCCCACCTCAACATGACCGCCGCAACTGGTCTTTCCCGTTCTGTGAGCTTAAGCCTGGTGAACGACCATACCGACAAACGACATCGATAAGTCGACTCATTCCGCTCCCGCCGAGCGACTACACTCTCCGATTCTCCGCCTGCGCGCTTTTCGAGCGGTCCCCGCCTCTTTCCTCTCCCTTTCACTCTTCTAGCCCCCGAGTTGAAAGGTGTTGCCCGCCTTCGAATTCCCTCGCACATCCGAGAAATATCGAGCATTCCGACACTCTCTGCCCCTCCGAAACGACTCTGAATCCCCCGTCTACTAAGATCTTTGCGGATTTCAGTACGCGTCTTAGTAGATGTCTCGAAGACCTGGAGCAACACCGATTTCGTCGCATCTCTTTCGTCGCAACTCGGGACTTACTCCAGTGTCCGCCATGGCGTCCTTCTTTCAGTCGTTCCGCAACTCGTCGATGGCGAAGCAGCTGCTTCGCTTTGCGCTTTCGCGCCTCGACCTCCTCGATACGCAGGCTCTCGACCTAGAGAATCTCGACCTTGCGATTGGCCGGAATACGGTGTTTGAGTTTCGAGATGTTGGGTTGATTCTGGAGGTAGGTTTGATTTTCTGATTCGCTACAGGACGAGGATACGTTAGGCTAGGCCAGACCAGGCTATCAAAGGCTGATACAATGGTATTGTTTGGTGTTTGTTACTGACAAGAAGCGGTTGATAGAAACTCGAGCGGCTTCTCGGGCTGCCCCTAGCGTTTACCCTCCAACGGGCCAAGGTCCTCGTTCTCCGAGTTACAATCCCGATGGACTTCTACACGAGTCCTATTACAGCCGAAATCGACGGTGTCGACATCCGCGTCAAGGTCACAACGAAACAAGAGAATGACCAGGGCGACAACGGGGAGGATAAAAATGCCGAGGAAGTAGTGCCAACGGCAGCGGACCTCGCGCAGTCCTTTCTGGAAACACAACCGATGGCGAAAACGAAAGAGCTGGAGCAAGCGCTGGCAGAGACACAGGACCTCGCGGCCTCAGTCGCCACCAGTGAATCCGGGAGCGACGATGGCTCTGCATCTCTAGGCACCGGCCAGGCCCTCTCGCTTCCCACCTTTCTAGCCAACTTCTTGCAGGGCATTGTGGATAGGATTCAAGTTCGTGTACAGGGCGTCACTTTCCAGGTCGATATGACCGTGGCGGTCGATCCCAGCTCCACGACTGCAGAACCCGTTACTTTCCAGCTCTCGGTCGACAGCGTCATCGTGGAGGGCGTGACGGTGACGACAGGGGTGGAGGCGAAGACGGATGGATCGTCCACGATAGTGCCCAAGGAGGGCAAACGCCAGGTCGTGCTGGACAACATCCGGGCTGCTTTGATTACGGAAGCGAACGTGTTTTCGTCGCTGGTCCTAAGCCCGTCGATGCCATCGTCTGCGGCGTCGCGCTCACCCGCGGTGAGCCAAGCGCCGAGCTTCATTGCCCGTGACTTGGCGCAGAGTGCCGGCCTTCGATCAACTGCCGGCTCTGATGGAGAGGATTCCGATCTCGGCTCACTCTCGCAAAGCCAATACCCGATCCACGACAGCGCAGCCGCCTTGAATATTCCCTGGGAACTTGATGACAACGACAGCGATTTGAATCCACCAGCAGATCCAGAATCAACACTGTCAACGCCGAGGGCGTCTGTATACCGAGGCTCGCCGCCTCCACCACCCGTCATCACAGAGCATGCGCAATCGACGGTACTCGAGTCCTCGCCGGCGCATTGGTCGACGACAGAAGCGGACCGTGAAGCGCGGTCGGAGCCCTTCCTACGACCCCCTGAGGGGTTCTCGCTCTCTAACGACCCATCACCAGCGGCCTCGGTGCATTCGAGCCGAAGTTCGCGGGGGTCTGTGGCAGACGACTTGGCACAATCACATATTTACAGCCATGAGGAGGCCGAGAGCATGTACATGAGTGCGTTCTCGCAGACTGGGGCCTCCAAGGTGCGCAGTGGTATGCCGGGTGCATGGGATACGGATGAGGAGGAAGAGGAAGCCGATACGACTCAAACGGCCGAATACGGGGCTACGGCAGCTACAGTATCTTCCCTGCCCACTCCGACGGATGTTCACTCTCATCAGGTGGATGATTTTGAGGAGCAGCTTGCTTCATTCGGCGCGCGACGAGACTCCCAGCTAGGTGAGGATGTGTTACCCGAGGAGTCAGTTTCTCAGGGACATGAAGAAGGGGAAACGACTGGTGTGGACGGCCAAGATGTCCCCGTTCCAGAGCCTGAGCCACCACAAGACGACATCCCAACACCGCGGGGGCCGACCCGGTTGGCTAAGGAGATTCTATCGCTCAGCTCGGTTTCCATCTACATCCCGTCAAATCCCAAACATATCGACGTGAGCGCTCCCGACCTTGGCAAGTCGGTATCCCCCCATCTTCCCGGGGCGTTTTCGGTGCACTCAGGGTCGGTTATGAGCCCCAAGCTGGCCGCAGTGGACGACAACGCCCCGGCGGCCGTGGAAGACACAACAACGGGCGTTGACTCGTCTATTGAGATCATTGTGAAGCCTGTCGAGGTCCGGTTTGACGCTTCAGTTGGGTTCCTTCTGGCCATGATCGTCTCTCGGCTCTTGGAGGCCGCGCAGAGTGAGTCGAAAGAGAAGGGGACGAAGAAGAGCAGCGATGCTGCGACTTCGGCGACTACTAGCGCTCAGCCACAACCTTCGCAAACTCCGGATGTCAAGGTGACGGTGGATGAGTTCTCGGTGCTTTTCCTAGAGAAACTTGCAGGGGTGGCAGATATCCCGCAAAGGCGGCTCGAGAAGCCGGCGAACGATTTCAGCACCGATGTGCTGCTGCAAGCGCAGCTGGTGGATTTACGGGGTTCGCTATCTACGAAAGGTCTACAGAAGGATGTGACGTTCGGCGTCGAGAAGCTGCGGTTTGGGTATGGAAACGACGACATCATCTCGTTCGACCGCTCCGTGTTGTTGTTCGAGTCCGTGGCCAACACATTCCCGTCGGCGGGACAGGATATCTCGATCAAGGCCGCGATCGGACCGGATTCTTCTCGCTTCGACGTCAATACGCTGCCGCTGCATGTCAAGCTGGATCTGCCCAGGCTAGACGAGACATTCAGCTGGTTCGGCGGGCTCAGCAGCCTCCTTAACCTGGGCGCTTCCATCACGTCTAACACATCAGGGGCCGGCAAGGGATCAACCCCAGCCAAACAGGGGCCGAAACCGAAGGGCGTCCGGTTCGACGAACCCATTCAACCCGACGACCGCAGCGCGATCAAGGAGAACAAAACAGACGTGCGCGTCAACGGCCTCCGCGTCGACGTCGTGGGCAGGGAGTGCAGCGCGATCCTGAACACCAGCGCACTTAAGATGGTCAGCCGGGAAGGAGGCATCGGCATCCACCTCAGCCGGGTCCGACTGTCGGGCCCTTACCTCCGGCACTCGCGAGCCTCCGAAGCGCCGGTCGTGGTTGAGCTGGTCGACACGCGGGCTGAGTTTGTTGCCGTCCCTCGGCCTAAGGATCTCGAGAGATTGCTGGAACTCATCACGCCGTCCAAGATCAAATTCGACGAGGACGAGGACGAAATCATGGTCGATACGCTACTGCGACAGCGGAGAAAGGGTCCCGTGCTCTCGCTGACAATGGGCCAGGTCCGTGTTGACGCCGCTGCGCTGCAGCAGCTGGACTGCGTGCCGGGACTGGTGGATGATCTCGCTAAGCTTGGCACTGTGGCCAAGTATCTCCCTGAAGACGATCGACCCGGCATGATGACGCTGTGTCATGTGAAGAATGCCGATTGTCGGGTTGATGTGGGCGGGCGGTTTGGGGTGGTCCAAGCTGGGCTGACGGACTTGGAGGTTGCGCATATTTCGGTGCCGCAGCTGGTGGCGGTTGCGCTGGGGGAGGTGTCGGTTGTACGGAACAAGATTGAGGAGCTTGTGGTGACGTCGCCTGCTCCGACGACGGCTACAACGGCGACGGCGACGGCTCTAGCGGGCGGCTCCACGGAAAAGCCGCCGGTGTTGATGATGCGGCTGATTGATGACATGGAGCCGGTGCTGAAGATCAAGCTTATGGGGCTGGGTCTGGAGTACCGGGTGCCCACGATCATGGACGTGTTGGGGCTTGCGGAGAATGTGTCGCCGGAGGATTTCGAGGCCGGGCTGGCGGCGTCGGTGGCGAACCTCGGGGAGCAAGCCCACGCTGCGATTAAGAGAGAAGCGCCGCTCTCGTCCTCATCGCCGTCATCGTCGACAGCCGGCCCTGCGACCGCGGCCAACGCGAACAAAAACCCGCCCAAGCCGCTCAAAGTGGACGTTGCATTCCGGGACTGTCTCATCGGCCTGAACCCCCTGGCGCTGACATCGAAACTGACCGTCGTCCTCACCGACGCGCATCTCGAGATGGCGCCGGGCAGCGATACAGTGACCGCCGTCACGACTATGAAGCGTGCTGCGATCCTGCTGATCGACGACACTTCCATTCTCGACTCACCGGGCGCACCGTTCACGTCGACACGCCGGCCCCAGGCCACCCCCTCGGCACAGGTTACGGAGCTGTGCGCCAAGGGGTATGTCAACATCTGTCAGATCTCAGCGGCCAAGGCTATCGTTAAGGCGTCCAAGGCCCCCGAGGGCGAAGATGGGAATTCGAGTACGCAGTTGGAGGTGGAAGTGCACGATGACTTGCTCGTGCTGGAGACGTGTGCCGACTCGACACAGACGCTGATTGCGCTGGCCAATGCGCTGACGCCGCCGACACCGCCGAGTAAGGAGATCAAGTACCGGACGTCGGTGGTACCCGTGGAGGATTTGTTGGCGTCGATTCGGGCGGAAGCGTTCGGTCAGGCGGAGGGTGAGTATGACTTTGATAACGACTTTGAGCTTGCGCAGGATCTGGGCGGGGTAGGCGAGGGTAGTGAGGTGGATTTTGCGGCTGGGCCTAGTGAGACGGAGAGTCCGCTGAACGTGGACTCGCAGTACTTTGGGAAGGCTGGGACGGGAACACCGGGCGCGAGGATGACGATTCAGGAGGAGCTGTTTGATGCTACATCGGATTCGATCCTGGAAAAGTTCGGCACTCGGGTCGAGGAGACCAGCGACGGGGTTCTGCTCAGCACGGCGGAGGACGCGCACAGCAATCATGGCAGCAGCGGCGATCTATCGATCCACGACGACTACTTTGCCAAAGGGGCCGCCCCCCACGGCACGGCGCACCGCTGGAACTCCAAGGCCAACCGGTACGATTCCCCCGATGAGCAGCTCACGGACCAGCGGAACCCACTTAAGCTGTGTGTCCGCGACGTGCATGTCATCTGGCACCTGTTCGACGGCTACGACTGGGTGCGCACGCGCGAGGTCATCGCCAAGGCCGTGCAGGAGGTCGAGGCGAAGGCACACGAGCGACGGACGCGGACGAACCCGAACAGGGGCGGAGGAGGAGGAGGGGGTTATGATCTCGAGTTTGATGAGGACGAGGCTGTTATCGGGGACTGTCTGTTTAACTCGATTTATATCGGTATTCCGGCCAACCGTGACCCGCGCGAGCTGACCCAGGCCATCAACCAGGGCCTGCAGGACTTTGGCGATACCGAGTCTGTCGCCACCAGCAACGTGACGACCACGACCCTGCGTGCTCACCAGCAGCAGGGACATCATCGTGGCCGGGCCAAGAGCCTGAAGCTGGGCCGCAGCAAGCGCCACAAGATCACGTTTGAGCTGAAGGGGGTCAGCGCCGACGTGGTCATGTTTGCGCCCGGGTCGGGGGAAACCATCAGCTCGCTGGACGTGCGGCTGCGCGATGTTGATGTCTTTGATCATGTCCCGGAGTCGACGTGGAAGAAGTTTGCCATGTACGACATCGACGCCGGCGAGCGCGAGATGGGCGCCAACATGGTCCACGCCGAGGTCATCACCACCCGGCCCGTTGACACCCCGGCCACGGAACTGGTTATCAGCGCGACGATTTTACCCTTGCGCCTGCACGTCGACCAGGACGCGCTCGATTTCATCACCCGGTTCTTCACCTTCCGCGACGAGTCCGCCCCCGTCCACGCCACCCCGAGCGATGTCCCCTTTGTCCAGCGCATCGTCGTGAACAGCATCCCCGTCAAGCTGGACTTCAAGCCCAAACGCGTCGACTACGCCGGCCTGCGCTCGGGCAAAACCACCGAGTTCATGAACTTCATGATCCTCGAGGAAGCCCGCCTCGTCCTACGCCGGGTCATCCTCTACGGCGTCTCCGGCTTCGACCGTCTCGGCGAACAGCTCAACGACATCTGGACCGCCGACGTCAAGCGCCACCAACTCCCCGGCGTCCTCGCCGGCCTCGCCCCCGTCCGCTCCCTCGTAAACGCCGGCTCCGGCTTCCGCGACCTCATCGAGATCCCCATCCGCGAATACCGCAAGGACGGCCGCATCGTGCGCAGCCTGACAAAAGGCGCCACGGCATTTGCCAAAACCACCGGTACCGAAGTCGTCAAACTCGGCGCCAAACTCGCTATCGGCGCGCAGTCTGCTCTCCAAGGCGCCGAGGGCCTCCTCGTCCCGCACGACTCCGGAGATGGTAACTACAGCGGCGGAATGGGCAGTACCCCGCCCTCCGCAGCAGCCGCAGCCGCCCTGCTAGGCGACGACTGGGACGAAGACGACTACGAAGAGGAAATCCACCGCAAGATCTCCCTCTACGCCGACCAACCTTTGGGTATCATCCAGGGCGTGCGCGGGGCATATGCTAGTCTTGCGAGAGACCTGTCGGTGGCGAGGGATGCGATTATTGCTGTTCCCGCAGAGGTCATGGAGAGTCAGGGGGCGCAGGGGGCTGCGAAGGCTGTGTTGAAGAAGGCGCCGACTATTATTTTACGCCCGGCGATTGGCGCGACTAAGGCGATTGGGCAGACGCTGTTGGGGGCGACGAATAGTTTGGATCCGATGCAGCGGAGGAGGGTGGAGGCTGTAAGTTCTTTCTCGGTCTCTTTCTGTTATCTTTTGGCTTCTAGCTTTTGTGTTGTGTGGGTGAGACTGATACTAACGGTGTGATAGAAATACAAGAAACATTGATCTGCACAATGCAGATGCGACGAACGACGAACGACGAGATACACCCGAGAGAACGAGCAGGATCAGGTCAGATCAGTCAGTCAAGGAGTTAGTTGGGTTCACCATCATCACCATCATCGTCGAGCACGGGCATCAAGCATGGACATCATCATTCCCCCTTCAATCATCATATCATGGGCTGGAGTTGGTTGGAGTCGGCGTTGGCGTTGGGTTTGTTTTGTTTTCTTTTTTTTTTGTTTGCATTGTTTTGTTTGTTACATTCGTTTTCCCAGGATGGATACCGACGATGAATATCCAACGGAACGTGATGGGATGAGTTTGCGAGAGGGAGCATGAGAGTTATCGTTACGGAGACAGATAGGATGAGGCAGGCAGTTTGACACAGGAAGGGGGGTGACACGAGGAGAGTGAAATGGGGACACACAAGACCCAGTTGTTTGGACCATGTTTCGGTTTGGTTGTATGGAGGAGGTTTCTTTCTCCATGCTCACCAACATAGTTAGGTACTTTTTGAGTTTCTGACTTTCTGAGTTCTCCGTTGGGTTTCTGAGTGCTTTCTCCATTGAGTTTATTTGAACCCTTTCTCCATTACCTGACTTATTTGAACCTTTTCCTCGGTCACGTTTAGTTGACCTTCGTCGGTTGATTTAGTCGACTTTCTTCACTCCATCGTCTGTTTCTCGTTTATCATTTCTCATTTTTACCACGCTCGCCGATTATACCACGTTATCAAGTTACTTTATCATTATCATTATTGCTCCCAATTTAATTTGACTTGGAGTTTTGCTTGTGTTGGTTTCGATGAGACTAGGTTAAGCCCAGACAGGAAGGGAAGGATAAGATGGGTAGATCGTTAGACAGATCACGGATTATATTCATAGATCATCACGAGTAAAGGTAGTTGATCTAAAAGGACTACAGTACTTTATAACCACGTTTGGGGTATGTATGGTAGGCGGGCGCGAGCTCCCTTGCCTACTTTATCTATGGGCCTATGTCTTTCATGACGTTGTGTGTGGGATATGGGATATATTGTATACGCAAGAAAAAAGGACAGTAACTTCCAGAGCCAAGCAAGGAGGGAGGAGAGCATGTTCAAGGCCAACCAAGTGATTAGATGCGGGATGTCCAAGCTGTTGCTGTTCAAAGCACTGTCAGTGATAAGCGTGGCGGTTTGGATATTAGCGGCGTGGGGGGTTAACATAAATGTTTAGCCGTTCAACAACAGAACAGAAAGAGTAGTCCGGTGGCTCGTCCAAAGCGGCGTTTGGGAGCTTGAAATGAGGCGTTTCCATGCTCGAGTGGGACAGGGCATGTAAGCATATAGCATAAGAGCCATTTTAGTTTCGTGTCGTACAGCAAGATACATATACACATACATGTATAGCTAAGAGAGCTATCTCCATAGCGCACACTCTTCCCATCCCAGATATCCCAGACCTAGGACTCGGCCTCCCAAACACCATTCGTAGGAGATGCGACTCCTCCGTCGTAATACAAGTAACCTAGTACTTAAACAAATCTCACTGTCCCAGCCAGCCAGCCGCCAGTAGTAATCCCACAACCTTTCCCCTCTCGAGCCATGCCCAATTTATCGAACATGTTCATCAATACCCCCTTTCCTCCCTCCTCTCATCCCCACCGCTACTCCCACCACCCTCCCTCTCAACCCTCTCCCCCGCCTCCCGAATCGCCTCCTCATCCCCCCTTAGTTTCGCAAAATACCCCTTCACATCCTCCGCACTAATAACCTGCTTGCTCTCCGCAAACTGCTGAAAAAACGGCATCAACTTATCCTTCAAATGCTGATACGCCATGACCCCTTCTATCGCCCGCACGCGATCGACGTTGCGCAGCGCTGATTCGCCGCGGTCGTAGAGGCTGCCGCCGCCGTTGCTGGAGCCTCCTGCGCCGCCGCTGCCGGCGGTGTGGTGGCCTTGGGAGTTGTTGTCGTCGCCGCCGTCTTCGGAGACGGGGGGTTCGTAGGTTTCTTCTTCTTCGAGGAGTTGGGGGTGGGGCGTGAGGAGGGGGAAGCAGGAGGGACAGTGGCAGAGGTGGGCGCGGAAGTCGGATGTGAGGAAGAGGGAGAAGGGGGTACTGGATGAAGGGGCTGGAGGGAGGGTGGTGAGTTTGCAGGGTTTGGTGGTGGTCGGCTGGGACGGGTCGGGGGTTTCGATTGCTGTGGACTGGGACGGTAGGTCGGAGGAGGAGTCGACTGTGCCGATTTCGCTTCGTGGGCGCTTAGATGTCTGCGAGTCGGTCTCGTCGTCTTCGGCTTTGCGTTTCTTTGATTCGTTGCTGCTCGGTTCGGTGCTCGTAGTGATAGTCGGAACGACTGGGGCTGACTCGGTCGTCGTCGCGTCGTCTTGTTTGAGGTACACGGGAGCGAGGAACCCCGGGGTGCCGGCGTATCGCTTGATCCAGGGGTTCGCCTCAACACACTTGTAACAAAGAAAACTCTCAAAATCTTCCTCCGCCGGGAAGCCAGGAGGAGGCGGCGGGTCGTTATCGTCATCCGCCTCCTCGGCATCCGCAGCAGCAGCTTGGTCACCACCAGCCTCTGCGTCCTCGGCAATGGTGGGCAACGGCCCGTTGGTATCCTTGTCCTCCGTCTTCACCTTATCCGTCGCCATGTTCTCGAACCATTTCGGACCCAAGCCGACCAAACATCCCGGATGGTACCAGTCCTCGCCACAACCGCCCGACTCATGCGTACCCAACCCCAAGCATTGGAACATGGTTCCCTTCTGCTCAAAAGGATCGTAGTCGCACTCGCAGGCGCAGAAGCGGTTCCGGAAATTCTGGTTGTACTTGTTGTTGGCACTGGGCTCCTCTGAGTGAACGCCGCCCTTGGTGTTGGTCGCCGGGTTGATGCGCAGGTTGCACGGGCTCGTCTCGGAAAAGCGCGTGGTGCCGCAGTCGCAGGTGAAGTTGCGCTTTGTGAAGATTTCGACTAGCGTGTGCTCGCCGTGGCATTGGACGGAGCAGGCGTAGCAGACACCGGCGCCATCGTACGGATCGGACAGGTTGGCGGGGGGTGGGTTGCAGGTTAGACAGGCGAAGACGGTCTGTCGGAGGGCGCCTAGGGAGTTGGTGCAGTGCTCGATGCTCTGGGGTGTGTTAGTAGACAATTTCACCGTGGGGTCAAGTCGTTTCGTACGTAAGGAAGAGCTTCGCGCGCATCGGCTTCGAGCTGCATCTGGTCGCGAATAAAACTAGAATGTGTTAGATATACAGAAATTATCTAGACAGAATTGGCGTCGCTAAAATTGACGTACTCGGCGGCGGTTTGCGAATCGTCCGACCGTTGCGAGATGCTCTCGGTGCGCGCCTTGTCGCGCGCGGCCGGCGCGTCGGTACCTCCAGTCGCAGAGTTCTGCGAAGTCGAGGCGTCCATGGTGACTGAGTGAACTCAAGAAAATATGAGAAACCCAGTTACAACACCTAGGTTGAATTGGCGATGAAACAGGTGTTGAATCGCGATGGTTCGTCGATCTTTCGAGTTGCAAGGAAGGAAAGGTGAGCCTGGAAGCTGTGTAAGTGTGTAATTGCAACCTAGCAGTACTATGTACAGGCCCCACACCCCGCAACCACTTTACGCGACACGCCCGATCAGGCTTAGCGCGTTCGCGAAAGCGCGTCGACTGGACCAGGACGCGAAAAGGAGCAAGGAAGAACAAGGGCTTTGTGGCCCAATTCCGTTCCCCTCGACAACTCCCGCAGCTGTGTTTGTTCGCTCCCGCAACCTGCTGCAACACCAACCCTAGTTTATCCACGGTCGAACTCGGAGTTGGGACCTTCATACATATTACGTATAAGACAGCCCCGGGTAAACATTAAACACAATGAGGTATTATCAATATTTCCCCTGTTTCTTCCCCTTTCCCCGCTACTTTTAGCACCCAACTACCTAGAAGCAAACTGAGACTGACCGATTTAGTTCCCCGCTTCGCGAGAATCCATCCTCGGCGAACCGTGGCGTGCCGCCCGGGAGGGCCGGTCGCAAGCGTGCCCGCACTAACGGTGACGATGCCGCTTCTTCGATCGGTGCTTCGAGCCCAATCCTACCCTCTTCCCCGCCCGCCTTCAACATCGCCCACGGCGGCGATGACGACGACGACATCGAGGAGGACGCCGAGGAGGTGCAGGACGACATCGACGACCTGGACGAGATGGCCGAGGACGACGTCGACCTGTTCCGCGAAGGCTTCGAGCGGGATTACCGCGACCGGGCCGACGACACCTACGAGGGCCTCGATTTGGACGACGAGGGGGACTATGACGACATGAACCTCGGCGACAGGCGTCGTCTCGAGGCCCAGCTCAACCGCAGAGACCGTGAGGTGGCCCGGCGACAGCGGATCCCGGCCGCGTTTCTTCCTGGTGAAGACGACGACCGCGATATCGATCTCACTGCACAGCCCCGTCGTCGCAGGCACCGTTATGATGAGGACCCTGATGAGGACATGGACGCCGACATCATGGACGAGGAGCTTTCGCTCGAGGCGCTGCACGACGTCAAGTCTTCTAGTCTGACCGAGTGGGTTGCCCAGCCCGCTGTGCAGCGGACCATCAAGAGAGAGTTCAAGGCTTTCCTGACCGAGTACACCGACGACAGCGGTTCCTCGGTGTACGGCAACCGCATTCGCACGCTGGGTGAGATCAACGCCGAGTCTCTCGAGGTGTCCTACGACCACCTGTCTACTTCCAAGGCTATCCTGGCCTACTTCCTGGCCAATGCGCCCGCCGAGATCCTGAAGCTGTTTGACGAAGTCGCCATGGATGTCGTCCTGCTGCATTACCCGGACTACGAGCGGATCCACTCGGAGATCCACGTCCGCATCTTCGACCTCCCCGTTCACTACACGCTCCGCCAGCTGCGTCAGTCGCATCTCAACTGCCTCGTGCGGGTCAGCGGTGTCGTGACCAGGCGGTCCGGTGTCTTCCCGCAGCTCAAGTACGTCAAGTTTGACTGCGGCAAGTGTGGTGTCACGCTCGGCCCCTTCCAGCAAGAGTCCAATGTCGAGGTCAAGATCACCTACTGCCAGAGCTGCCAGTCGCGCGGGCCCTTTACCCTCAACTCAGAAAAGACCGTCTACCGGAACTACCAGAAGCTCACCCTCCAAGAGTCCCCCGGCACCGTCCCAGCCGGCCGTCTCCCGCGTCACCGCGAGGTGATTCTGCTCTGGGACCTGATCGACAAGGCGAAGCCCGGTGAGGAGATCGAGGTCACGGGTATCTACCGGAACAATTACGACGCCCAGCTCAACAACCGCAACGGCTTCCCCGTGTTTGCGACCATCCTCGAGGCCAACAACGTGGTCAAGTCGCACGATCAGCTTGCCGGCTTCCGCATGACCGAAGAGGACGAGCACAAGATCCGCCAGCTCGCCAAGGACCCGCAAATCGTCGACAAGATCGTCAACTCCATCGCCCCCAGCATCTACGGCCACACCGACATCAAGACCGCCGTTGCCCTGTCCCTCTTCGGCGGCGTAGCCAAGAACACCCGCGGCGCCCACCACGTCCGCGGCGACATCAACGTGCTGCTCCTCGGTGACCCAGGCACGGCCAAGTCGCAAGTCCTCAAGTACGTCGAAAAAACCGCCCACCGCGCGGTCTTCGCCACCGGCCAGGGCGCCAGCGCCGTCGGTCTCACGGCTAGCGTCCGTCGAGACCCACTGACGAGCGAGTGGACGCTCGAAGGCGGCGCGCTAGTGCTCGCCGACAAAGGCACCTGCCTGATCGACGAATTCGACAAGATGAACGACCAAGACCGCACATCCATCCACGAGGCCATGGAACAACAAACCATCTCCATCTCCAAAGCCGGCATCGTCACCACCCTCCAAGCCCGCTGCGGCATCATCGCCGCTGCCAACCCCATCGGCGGCCGCTACAACTCCACCATCCCCTTTTCCGCCAACGTCGAGCTCACCGAGCCCATTCTCTCCCGTTTCGATATCCTCTGTGTCGTGCGCGACACTGTCGAGCCGGAGGAGGACGAGCGTCTCGCCCGGTTTATCGTCGGGTCTCACAGCCGTAGCCATCCGCTCACCAACAACACCCAGCAGGGTGCCAGCAGTACCGGCGCGACGAACGGCCAGTCCATGGAGGTCGAGGCTGATTCCCTGCGCACCGACACCCAGACCACGACAGCAGCGGGGGCAGAACGTCCCAAGGAGGGTGAGATCCCCCAGGAGTTGCTGCGCAAGTATATCCTCTATGCCCGTGAGCGCTGCTCGCCGAAGCTCTACCACATGGACGAGGACAAGGTAGCGCGGTTGTTTGCGGACATGCGTCGTGAAAGTCTCGCCACCGGCGCCTACCCCATCACCGTAGGTCCCCCTTTTATCTCCCCCTTTCTCAAAGCAACTTACTGACTGACCGCAAAAACAGGTCCGCCACCTCGAAGCCATAATCCGCATCAGCGAGTCCTTCTGCCGCATGCGTCTCTCCGAGTACTGCACCTCCCAGGACATTGACCGCGCCATTGCTGTGACTGTCGACAGTTTTGTTGGTAGTCAGAAGGTTAGTTGTAAGAAGGCGCTGGCGAGGGCGTTTGCCAAGTATACGCTTGCGAGGCCTGGTGGGGGTAACTCGAGGGGGGCGGGTGGGGGTGGTAGAAGGAGGGGGGGCGTGTTGGGGGCTGTTTCGGCTTAGTTTGAGTGTGAGTGAGGGATTGGTTTGGAGGTTTGGAAGGGGGATGGGGGGTAGGCGGGTGGGTGGGTGATACTAGGATGGTTTTTATGAGAGGGCGTTTGGGACGGTGATTTCCTTTTATGTTGGTACTCTTGTCACTTGTGGAATGATGATAAATAAGAACGTGGTAGGTTGGGTGGGGAATGAGGATGAAAGAACTGTCTCAGAAGTAGCATGAAATCTACGTTTGCATTTACTTTGCAAGGCCGTAACATATGTGATCATTAATCCGGTACTACGAGATACTAAGTGCGTGCCTAAACTTATGTGTATTCGCCATCAAAACCTCAATCATCCACTCTAACACCCAGCCCATCCTCCCACTTCCTATGCTTATATCTTCGATCTCCCCCCACCATAATCCGGCTTCACCGGCACCTTCGGATGCCCTCCCGCCAGCCTCAACCCCGTAACCCCCTCCAAAGCCTCCACCGCCTCATACGCCCTCCCCAACGGCACCCTTATCGTCCCAAACCCCACCGCCCTCGCCGCTTTCAAATTCTCCCCGATATCATCCAGAAAGACCACCTCGTCTGCGCGCACGCCTTCTTTCCATCCCCCTCCTCCATTCCCTGGGAGTGCAGCTGCTGCTGTGAGGGCGGCTGCGGCTCGCTGACCGCGTTCTGTATCCGCGTTGGCTCGCGCAAAGGCGTCTACGCGGTCTAGGGCGAGCTGGTAGATACGCGGGTCGGGCTTGCGCAGACCTACGTGGGCTGAGGAGACGAAGACGTCGAAGAGTTGGCGGAGGGGGTCGTTCGAGACGAAGTCTTCTATGTTGTTGTTGCCGGTGTCTGTGCTGTTGCTGCTGGTGCTGGTGTTGGTGCTGCTGCTGGTGGCGGTGGTACTGGTGGTGGTGGTGCTACTCCCTTGGTCGCCGCCGCCCCAGGTAGCCAGCGGGTGACCAGGTGGAAAAATGACCGTGTTGCTGAGCGCCGCAACAATGTACTCGCCGCTGGCGCGGAGTGCCTTAAGCGCGGGGAGCATCCAGGGGTCGGGGGCCGTGGCGGAGGTCATCATGTCGTTGAAGAGCCATTCGCCGTCGAGTTGGGGGACAGGGGGGATTTGGAGGTCCTTAGTCGAGGAGGGGGAGGATGAAGAAGGCTGACGCGCTTGGTGCTGGGCGCGGTAGAAGGCTTCCCAGCGCGCGGGATCGTGCAGGTCGCGGTTGAAGCCCTCGAAGAAGGCTGCGTCGAGCGGGATGCTGCCGGTTTCGAGACGGTGCCAGAAACCCGACGGGGCGGTGCGTGAGATGGAGTAGTTGACCCAGCCTGGGGGGATGCCGAGGCGGAGTTCGTAGTTGAGGATAGATTGGAAGGGGGAGATGACCTGGATGTGGGTTAGAGGCGGTGCCCGGTTCGGAAGATTTAAGATGGTTTGTGAAAGGGGGGAAGTGAGAAATGAACTTCACTTACACACACGCCGCCAATGTCAAACAAAATCACCTTGGGCCGCTTGGGAGTGGAGGATTGTTGCTGGGAAGTGGCCATAGTGTCGATCGCTTCGAGAATGACTTCGGCTGGGTATTCTTCCGATTCCATATCTGGCCTGAGTAACTAAGGGACACCTCGACAGTGATATAAAAACCAATCTCGTTCACAAGTCATGATGGTGAGAGATGAGTTGTCCCCCGGCAACGGTGTTCACCGTGGAAGATGAGAGCCGGGATTGGGTGGGACAGACCTCGGCTCGGCTTCATGGTCCAGAAACGGCAAGCTGTTCGATGTTTGAGAATCTCTGGGTTAGGGTAAAGAAAAAGACTTGGCGTGTGCTCTTGGCGCTTACATAACATTCGTCGCCCACCCTGGCAACCTGGAACAACTCTCGTCCCCCACCTCAATCCAATTTAGGGTTGTGGGGTGGAATTTTTGGCCCACGAAATATTGCGGCCCGCGAAATATCGTTCTCTCGATTTTCCAACCTGTGTGTCGACCCGTCAGAGAACGCATCGCCCACAGACAAGCAGCCAAAATGGTGAGTTACCACGCCGCCGACGCCCTCGTGGCAACATGATGATGGAATTGGAGAGTCAATGCAAGATGCTTCGGAAGGGGGAATATTTCTGAAGCGCAAATTGCTGACTCGAGGATTTTTTGGGATTCAGCCTTTCCACAAGTTGGTAAAGAACAGCGCGTACTACAGGTGAGTATTTCTCTACGGTTTCCCACGTCTTCCAGCTGGAGCAATCCGGCTGTTAAAGACAAGAATCCAATTTGAACAATGAGCTGACCCTCTGCAGCCGCTTCCAGACCAAGTACAAGCGCAGAAGGTCCGGCAAGACCGACTACTATGCTCGCAAGCGCCTGATCACCCAGGCCAAGAACAAGTACAATGCGCCCAAGTACCGCCTAGTCGTCCGCTTCACCAACCGCGACATCATCACCCAGATCGTGACCTCCGAGATCAGCGGTGACAAGGTCTTCGTCGCTGCCTACTCGCACGAGCTCCGCGCCCACGGCATCGAGCACGGCCTGACCAACTGGGCTGCCGCCTACGCCACCGGTCTGCTCCTCGCCCGCCGTGTCCTCAAGAAGCTCGGCCTGGACGAGACCTTTGCCGGTGTCGAGGAGGCCGACGGTGAGTTCACCCTCACCGAGGCCGCCGAGACCGACGACGGCGAGCGCCGCCCCTTCAAGGCCAACCTCGATGTCGGTCTTGCCCGCACCTCGACCGGTGCCCGTGTCTTTGGTGTCCTGAAGGGCGCCTCCGACGGTGGCATCCTGGTCCCCCACTCCGAGAACCGCTTCCCCGGTTTCGACATGGAGTCTGAGGAGCTCGACGCCGAGACCCTCAAGAAGTACATCCTCGGCGGCCACGTTGCCGAGTACATGGAGACCCTTGCCGACGACGATGAGGAGCGCTACAAGGGCCAGTTCGTCAAGTACATCGAGGACGATGTTGAGGCCGACGCCCTTGAGGACCTGTACACCGAGGCGCACGCCTCCATCCGCGAGGACCCCTTCAAGAAGTACGAGAGCGACGCGCCCAAGAAGACCAAGGAGGAGTGGAAGGCGGAGTCGCTCAAGTACAGGACGAGCAAGCTCACCCACGCCCAGCGCCAGGAGCGTGTCCAGGCTCGCATTGCCGAGCTTCGGGACGAGTAGATTGGCTTTCTTTGTTTGCTCGGGACTGGTCGCATCATCGGGGGCTCATGACTGCTTTGTTCTTTAGGAGTTTATTTTCTCATTCACACACACACTGGGCGTGGGGCACAACGGGGTAATGACCAGGGTTCACCAAAACAAAAGCCAATCGACTTCTGACTTGTTCAAGTGTGATTTCAAAGCCGTACATGTTTTAGGTGATGATCATGTGATACCAGAGCCGTTTGTAACCGTGATGTTTCTGATGGGACTGCACTGTCATTAGATACCCATGACACCGCTGTCTGTCCGCAGCGAGACAATGTCAAATTCGGAAACCCAGTCGAGGCCTCTTTTTTGCCGAGAGGCGCAGTGCATCCAACCCTCAACTCTAACCCTAGTGTACGGCGGCCGCTTGGGGGTGGATGAGCGGGTTACACTCGAAGCATCTGGTTGGGCCAACCTCCCCCAGTTTTTCGCTGACAATTCCAGACAGTCTGAGGAATGAGGTCATGCGCCCACAATAGTTAACGTGAGGCCATGCAGACACTTGCCGTATTGGGTGAACGAACGGCGCTGCGCTTCCTCTCCACTGTTTGCTCGTGAGCTTTTCCTGATCCTCTCTGATGAAACTTAGCCCAAAGACTGCTGAGTTTACGAGATTTTATATCCCCATATGTTTGATATTTAGATTTGTGGTCGGCTCGATAATTTTGAGTCACCTTCGCGGCTGTTTAAAGGCCAAGACCGAAGCGAGGAGGGCTTTCGGCCATATTCGGGCGGTCTCGGGCTCGTCGTAGTTGGTGTTAGATAGACTATGCTCGCGCCCAGTGTTCTCTCGCGCTCGCCGGCCTCCTTGCTGCACTTCGGGCTGTCCGGTGCCCCTCGGCATCGAGCTGCGTCGTACAACAGGGCATCGGACTGAAACTCGTCTGATTTTAGACTTATTCTATTTGGTTGAAGAGTCATCCCTCTCAGCTTACAAACTCCAACGGCCGTCGTTACCAAAGACCGCGGGCCTAAAAACTTCCAAGGTTTGTTTAGCAGATCGCACAATCACGACCACCCCGCCGATCTGCACACTCTGGGACAAGCCTTCCCTCACACAACCGTTCCTTAGACTTGTCCGGTGGAACAGCCCCGCGGATGGACCCCTAGTGTAAATTCCAGCAGACCAAGTCAAAAGGGATGAGGTCAGAACAAGACGGAAAAAGTCGAGGATTAGTTATATCCCGAGGCATTCTCAGAGTAACCAGCAGGAAACGCGCTTTGGCGATTCCGCTTCCCACATCCCAACCCCACGGACTATGACGGAAAGTCCCATCCCAGTCGATCTGATCCCGGTCACTTGAACTCGCTCGCTTGGTGGCCACCGGTCAGTTTGCCGCAGCGCCTTGTCCCAAAACGTTCCAAAAACCGCCACTGGCTCGTGAGCTTTCCAAACGTTGCTGAGAAAGGACCCTCAATCTCCGGGCTCCGATCTGCGGCTGTGGTGCAGTTGCGGCGTAAATAATATCACAACGAGCTTCCCTGGGCTTGAGTTCTCGCCAAGCCGGTCCTCGGTTTTTCTTTCCAAGTTGTTTCTTTTTGTTACCAACCTCACGCCGTACCACACCAAACTTTTTAATATAATCCGTACCCTGGTTAGGTCTCCTTCAGTTATTCAAGAAAGACGGGAGCCTCCCCCCGCCACTCGAACAATACCCCGAACCCCGCCAGCTCCCAGGGCAGCGGTACTCGACCTCTCGACATTAGCTCAACCTCAACGTGATCGGTGCGCAAGTGAGGAGCAAGGTCTCAGCTCAGCCGCCACTTCTAATAACTAAAACCGAAGACGGTCCAGAACGTCTATCCATTTCCCAGCAATTGTCAGCCAAAAGGGGGACAAAAAAGAGTAGAAAAGGAGCCAGAGACGCCAAGGCGCATCCCTCGAGCACAAGCACGCGACTGTACACTCATCCCTTGAATTCGACTCGACGGGGTTCGTTTCCCCCAGCCGCACTGACGACACTATTTTGAGCACTGTTATCATCGAGGCCATGGCGATATCCGCTATCACGACACGGCACTAGCGAAGGAGCCCCGCGTTTTGTGAGCCGCAACGACAGCCGCAGATTCTTGGTCTTTTTTACGGCCTTGGCATCGCGCGATTCTTCGCATCATCGAGGAATTTATTTTTGTTGGGCTGTTGCGGTTGCTGGTGGTTTACGGTATTAGTTGATCAACAAACCACAGTGCAACGCAGAAACCACCAATACAATGGAGCATGTTGAGGTAGACGTCAGCTGGATGACCCATGGGAATCCAAAAGGTTTGCCAACTCGAGCGGTTGGGCCGAGGCCCTCAGGGGAAGGTGCTTAGCTAACCCTTGAACCCATTGTCAGATAAAGCTGCAAGAAATGCAACCGGCCGTGCAAGATCACTCTCCAGCTCAGCACGCGAATCTCCAACCGCGACCTCTGGCCTGAGCACATCGCCGACGTTAGCGACAGTCAACAGTAACCCGAACCTGCGGGCAGACCCAATACAACAAAATCCCCTGACCCGATCGAACTCGGCGAGGTCCGCCGCCGAGGAGAAACGACAGCCCTCCGGGACCTCCTCCCCCCAACGGCGGAACTCATGGTTCTCGAACATCTCGTCCAAGTTCTCGTCTAGCGGCAACGCTGCGCAAAGTAGCCCCCCACAAACGAACAATGTTTCCCCAAGCGCCACCGAGTTCTCCGTACCAAAAATCATCCCAGCCAAAAATGCCGTCCTCCAACCCGGCGCGCGGCCAGAAGGCGAGGGTCCATACACACCCGCCCCACCTAAATCGTCGCAAACCGGGCTACTACAGGTATTCCGGCGGTTATCAACGTCCTCCAACGGCGCGCTCGGCCCGAGCTCGAAATCACACAACCACGGGCTGGTCGAGCGCCGCGTGTTGAACGTCGACGCCAACCGAGAGCGATGCGCCATCAACGGGCTCAACCAGGCCAAGCTCCGGAGGGTGGCCTTTTGCGTTGATGTGGAGATTGCGCCCATGCCCAGGTACGCAGACGAGATGGGGGACCAAAAACCGGCCAAGATTAAGGAACAAAAGAGGAAGGTTAAGGAGCGGGGCGAGGGCGAGGCGTTGAAGCACCCGAAGGCGGTCGAGGACCAGAAAGAGGCCAATGGCGAGATCAGGGCGACCGGGGAAGAGGTACCCAAGGAACCGCCAAAAGAGGGTGTCAAGCCCGACAGCCCGCCACCGCTGACTACAGAGAACATACCCGAGAAACCGCCCGCTTCGACGGACAAGAAGAAGGAAAAGAAGAAGAAGAGCGAGGAAGAGAGGAAAGCGAGAAAGGAAAAGAGGCGGAAACAGGCGGAGGCCAATGGCACCATCCCCATGGAACTACACTACGATAGCGACTCGTCCTCCAGCAGCTCGGGCTTCCACCCAGGCACAGGCACCGACACGCCCAGGACGCAGAACGTGCCTACCACAAACCCAGTCCGGATATACCGCCGGTGCTGCCAGCTCCGAGAGACGCCGATTCTGCGCAAGATCACGGAGCAGCTCATGGACCCGGCCAACTGCTCGACGGAAGCGGGCATGGTCGAGAAGCTCGATCTCAGCGGGTACTGGATGCAGCTCACCGATCTCATTACCCTTGGCGACTACCTCGCCGTCGTGCCGGTACGGGAGGTGGTGCTGGAGAACTGTGGTCTCACGGATGAGGGTCTGCGTGTGCTACTTGCCGGCCTACTCGCGGCGCGGAAACCCAGGACCAGGCGGCGCAAGTCTTTCAGCGGTCTCGACCAGCCGGCCGACACGAAACAGGGCGGCGTGGTGGAGAGGCTAGTTCTGAAAAATAATAAGATCGGCCCTGAGGGGTGGAAGCATGTCTGCTTGTTTATCTACCTCTGTCGGACGCTCAAGAGCCTGGATTTGTCTGGGATACAGTTCCCTCGGCAGCTCACGCCGGTGAGCGTGAACGGCAATGGCGCAGTGCCGGCCGGGCTCCAAACACAGAGTCTGTTGTGTCGGCTTCTATCCAAGTCACTCGGGGAACGGCTCGGCGGATCGACTCTCAGCCTACTCGGTCTCGGTCAGACGGGCATCAGCATGGAGCAACTAGGGCTCATCATCGATGGGCTCGTCCGGTGTGGCGTCAAGCGCCTCGGACTGGCTAACAACGACATCGACGCCGGCGGACTTGGGCACGTTGCGCGGTTTCTCAAAACAGGGGTGTGCGAAGGGCTGGATCTGGGCGGGAATGACCTGCGAGACAACCTGGCGATACTAGCAGATGCATTAGCAACAAAGGACTGTCCGCTGTGGGCGCTGAGTCTGGCGGACTGCAACCTAACACCTTCCTCTCTATGCAAGCTGCTGCCAACTCTAGCAAAGCTGGGGCAGTTCCGGTTTATCGACCTGTCACACAACCAGGAACTGTTCAACTCGGATCCCAGCGCCGTCTCGGTTCTGCGGCGCTATCTGCCCAAGATGCGCAGCCTCAAGCGCATCCACCTAGCCGACTGCGCCATGACCCCCGAGCAGGTCATCGCCCTAACCGAGATCATCCCCGAGATCCGCGGGCTCGCGCACGTCAGCTTCCTAGAGAACCCGCAACTAGTCGAGCTCGCGACCAACGCCACGTCGGAGGACAAGCAAGAAGAAGCCTGCGCGCTGTTTGCCTCGCTGCTGGCAGCCGCGCGGGTGTCGACCAGCCTCGTGGCCGTCGACATTGAGGTACCCAGCGAAGAGTCCAGCGACCTCGTCAAGGCGCTCGCGAAGCAGGTCGTGGCGTACTGCCTGCGCAACGTGGAGGTCGCGACGGCGACAGCGGCCGAGGCGCAGGCCGAGGTCCTGGCCAAGTCGGAACCCAAGTACCCCGACGCTTTGCAGCGGCTGGTCGGGCACGACGTGCTCGAGTCGACGGGGCTCGACGCCGACGTGGATGCTGCGCCGGACGAGGACTACATGATTGGCGGGACGGGGGTTGTTCGGGCGCTGGCGTGCTGTTTGAAGAACCGTGGTGATGAATCGAGGCGCCAGTCGGGGGAGTTTATTCGGGATGTTGAGAATGGCGTCGTGACACCCCAGCCGGCAAGGGCTGTGCCGAGCGGTGGGAAGGCGAAGGAGACGTCGAAGCACTTGTTGTTGAGTGCTAGGAAGATTCGGTTGCGGCTGCAGCCTGCGATTGACAAGGCGCGGGCGACGTCCAGCGATACCCATACCTACCGTATGTCTCTCTCTGCCTCTGGGGCGCTCTCCCACTCAATGTAAATGCGGAACTAACCTTTGATAGACCGCCTCATGTTCCTTTCCAACACCCTCAACAACATCATCAAGCGCTTCGAAGACGAATTCCCCGACACCCGTGTGACCGACGCAACCGACAGCGCCATCGACCTCCCCGACAACCCCAACGACGACAACAACAGCATCAAATCCGCCTCTTCCTCCAACGCCGACCCCAAAATCATCACCAGCACCTTACACGTCACAAACCCCACCGCAGAAGACGACGCAGACCCGGCCTCCCCAACAGCCATCAAATCCCCCGCCCTCTCCCGCTCCAACTCCCTCCTCTCCCTCAGCTCCAAAGCCCTCGCCGACGAAGAAGGCCGCGTCCTCCGCGCCGGGCATAAATTCCGCGTCGGCGTCGTAGCCGACCAATCCCCCACCACCTCCTCCTCTACCAACGGCCCCGGCTCCAGTTCCCACCCCACAAACCCACACTCGGACCCAGACCTCCGCGCGGAGCACTACGCCCTCCTCACCTCGGGCGTGGAAATGGTCGGGAACGACCCCAAGCACGTGCGGATCCTGCATGAGATGCTGGAGGAGTGTGGGGAGGAATTGAAGGAGGAGGCGGAGGTGAAAGGGGTCGTGGAGGTGTTTACCACGCGCCGGGAGGAGGTGTTGAGACGGTTGAGGGAAGTGGATCCGGTTTATTGGGAGCGGTTTGTGGAGAGTCAGGAGATGGCGAGGGCGAATGCTGGGTCGGGGGGGAATGGGAATGGGAAGGCGGGTGGGGGTAAACTGGAAGGGGGAAGTGAGACGGCTGTGGAGGATTAGATTCTTTTCCTTATGAGAGGTGGTTGAAAGGAAGTGAGTGGGAATAAAGAGGGAGATGGTGGTGGTGGTTTCAACAATTTCATTTTATGTTCCCTTTGTTTCCGTGTCTTCTCGCGTCTAATTTACAGGTTGTAAGATTGGTCGAAGGACGGGCGTATCCCGGACGGGCGTTGACTCGGAGGATATACCATGACGGACGGACGTCTGTCCAGTGAGGGTTTCTAAACATCTGTGTGTAGCTTGGGTTTGTTGTAGGAAATAAGATGGCAAACCGAACCAGGCCGGGCCAAACGGTTACAAGATTTTTTTGTTAGTTATTTATCCCGCTTTTCAACAGGCGTTTTTTATTGGGCTAGGATAGGGTAGGCTGGGTAATGTGTCAGGTACACTGAAGGGAAAAGGGAAGGGCGGATTTAGCAGATCGGAGATAGGCTATCTCCTGGATCTGGATCTGAATATATGATGGTGTTTTGTCATGCACGTCACTATGTTGTACGGTTGTATTGCAGTATTGCAGTGGCAGGTGTGGATTCAATTGGTAAATGTGAAGTAACATGCTGTAATCATGGTGCTCTTTGTTTGTTTGTGAAATGGTCGGTCTGAAGGGTGTTAGTTACAGTTCGATGTTGGCGTTCACTTAGACTTGACGTTGGCTGACGTTGGTTGAGGTACACGTACTCTAACAGAACAATTAGTTCATGTATTCAAGTTACCAGAGGGCCCTGGGCTCGTTTTCACCTTGGGATCTTGGCTGGTAATTATTAACTTTCCCCAAACAGGGTGTTCCTTGATTAGGCAAAGCGACGTTGTGTTCTGACATTATTTTGTGTACTTACTAAATCTTGTTTTCGGTTGATGCCCCTAAGATACTGATCTTAGCTTGGAGTTCTTTTATATCAACGGCAACGACCGAGGGCAGTACATTTCAACGGCTGATTATCATGGCTCTTGCTTCACTGACGAGCGTGGTAGAATAGTTGTCTCTCTAAACATACACACACACACGTGGTGGTTGGTCTGAAGCTCAGGGGAAAAGCAAATGCTGGCCTGGGTTGCTTTCTCATCTCAACTCCCCCCAAAAATTCACTCCTTCATCACACCGCTCCACCCCATATATCCCCCTCTCCCCCTCGCCCAGTCACCAGCGCCCCCAATTCAACAGGCCCAAAACACCGGTTTAGCTTAACGGCACTGGGGGGCATCACACTGGCCATGCCAACTTCGAATTGCCGAGGCCCCGGTTTCGATTTCCCGGGACCACTGAAGCAAAAGTCTACACCGGTAGACTTTTCGTAGCGACGCGAGTGCTAATTATCCCTCTTCCGGGTCGAGATCCGGATGGGGATAGTGTTCGGTGGTGAGCTTTTTTGGGTTCATTTTCTTTCCTTTTACCCCAACGAGAAACCGCGAAAAGCACTCGACAGACACTGCAACACAATGTTCTATGTCCTTGATTGCCTGGGATATCATAACACGAAACGAGTAAACAAACAGCCTGTTTTCTTCCCAACGCCATGTCCTCCGCCCCGATATACCCCATTACCATGCACCTGCCAGCAGATATCTGGGCCCTGTCTTCAAAGGGAAACAAAAAAAAAAAAAGAAAAAAGACCGCCATCCCTATCAGTACACACCTAATACACACTATACACCCAACGTGACCACAAGCAAGACGCCTACTCACTGCCCCGATGAACCCGTACTGCTCGCCGCGCTTGACGGCCGCGGCGGCAAAATAGGCAATACCGTGACAGCCCCCGAATCCTCCCTCTGCATCGGCACCCCGCCCAAGACCATCCCACCATGTCCACCCGCCCCCGGCGCGTTCGGCACCTGCGGGGGCACCTCCCCATCACTCCCAATCCCGGAGTCATCATCATCCCCATTACTCCCGCTGCCAGCATTACCGCCATTACCCACCACATCCCCCAGCTCCGCAGCCGCAGCCAACTGCTGCTCAGCTGCCAACCGACTCATCTCCTCCAACCTCCTCTTCTCCGCGCCATCAATCAAATCATCATCATCACTCCAACACGGATCATCCTCCGGCAAATGCGGCATCGCCATGCGCTTCCAAAACCTCAACTCCTGCCTCACCGCCTTCGCCTCCACCCTTCTCTCCCACCTCCCCCCATCCTCATCATACTTCCCGCGAAACTGCCGCAGCGCCTCGTTCGCATTTCCCGCGCGCGCTTGCATCTCCCAGATCTGTTCGCGGAGGCGGGAGTTTTCGGCGCGCGCTTCGGCGAGCTGGGATCGGTAGCTGCGGTGCCAGGCGGAGACGTCGGAGACGTGCTTGGATTTGTAGTCGTGGAATTGCTTGAGCATGGTGGAGACCACGCCGGCGTATTGAGAGAGCAGGGCCGCGTTGGCGTCGCGGGAGAATTTGGCTTTTTCGAGGGCCTCGGAGAGGATGGAGATTAGCGTGTCGAGGTTGGAGTCTGCGTTACATAGTGTCAGTAATTTTTTAGGCATAGACATATGGGATAGTAATGGGAATTGAAAAAAAGACGGATACAACATACCCTTAGCCTCATCAGCAGCGGAATTAATCAAATCCTCATTCCCCAGCGCCTGATTCCTCGCACGACTGCGCACCCGGCCCACGCCCGCGACCACCTCCTCAAGCGTGCGCTGGTTGTCGGCCAGCTGCCGGCTCAGTTCCTCCACCATGCCGTAGATGTAATTCAGCTCGGCCTGGTGGCCTGCCGGCGTCGGGTAGGGCACCATCCCGCCGGGCATGTTGCCGCCGTTGATGCCGTTCATGGCCATGACGAGTTGTTGTTGTTGCTGTTGCTGCTGGAGGTGCTGTTGTTGTTGGATTGGTGGGGCTGGTGGGAGTTGTTGTTGTTGTTGGATTAAGAGGGGTTGTTGTTGTTGCGGGCGCGAGGTCGTGGGCGACGGGTCGCTGGTGGATGGAGTTTGGGATGGTGCTGTTGCGAGGTTCATGGCGCCGGCGCTATTGATTTCTTGGTATTCCTGCACTTCTGCTCCTTCTGCGGGCACCGTGTTGTAGGCGCTAAACCCCCTGTGGACAATGACAGGGGCCCTGTGAGTGGCTGCTGTAACCTTTTTTTCTGGGTCGCGGATGAAGAATGCCGGTTTATCGATTTGAGGAATTCGTGTGGTTTCTTGTTGAAAGCAGTCTTTAATAAACTCCAAGTAATGGCAGGGGAGATTCACCTCAAGGTCAGTCAACGAGGCGGAGTCCGCTGAGCGAGCGCAAGGTGAACCATATCCGCTGTCACTTGATTGTGATCTGCTCAATGCATGCCGGGGTCGAATGTTCGTGACCTAGGGTTAGGGTTGAATAGCTTGTCACCTTGTGCACCAGGAGCTCAGCATCCTGACATCAGTTTAAGGTTTAACTCTGTGCTTGCACATTCAATAATTACAGTTTCTTACACACCCAGCCCCAAATCAAAAGGTGGCCGCCTAACATTTAATTTGAACTTTCAACAATCTTGAACAGCAATATTGGGTTCTCCCTCCCTTTCGCAATTACTTTCCGCCACAGGGATCGAAGTGTGAGCAACAACCGTGCTCATGCTCATCCCCAATTCGCAATACGTCCGATCACGATTCTCAAACCTAACCTCGGGACAAAACGTTACCGTTCCTAGATTTCGCGATAGCTTTTCCAGCATTGTCCCGCCATTCTACAAGGCCCAGCCATAAGTCAGCGCCTTCTCAGACATCAAAATGTCAACACCAACCCCCGGCAAAAACCCTCTGTCGCAAGGCAAAACACCCTCTCAGCCCTACCATGGCGCCGCCGCAACCCCCTCCGTCTCAACACCCTTCTCCGCCTCCGCGGCATTCTCCCCACACGGCGCGCGTTCATCACCCCAGCAGTTCAAGAAATCGCCCGCGGCCGGGAGCCTCAACCGCTCCACTGGCCCCGTTAATTTCGACAGCCCGTCGGCGGCCGCGGCCTTGGGTGCGCTGGACATGAACGCCTTGGGTGTCAGTCTCCAGGGTCTTGGTAACCTGGGGCAGGCTAGCGATGATGAGAGGGCGAGGCGGTTAGATGCGGTGCTCGCGATTTTGAATGTAAGGGAGTCCCCAGGGCCGTGGAGTTTATGAGCAACTCAGCTAACCTGGTGAAGCGGAATAAAGGGCTAGTCAGCGAGGCTGGCATAGAGAGGCTAGCTAAGAAATTGGAGCTCGAGTCTTTCTGGGAGAGCTCCATGGGTGGCGGAAACACCAAGAGCTTCATCATGGGCGGATCGGCACTCGAGTTGGATGTTAAGTTCTTGGACAACGTCGTGCAGTCCGTGACCATGAACTTCCCGGGCTCGGCGGAAATCGTCAACAAGCATGCCAAGTCGGGCGGGGAAATCCTCTTGAAGGACTTGCAACTCGCCAAAGGGCAGAACCCACTTACCAAGTCCATGGGGAGGTTCGCTGCCAATTTGGAGCGCCTTGCCATGCTGGATAAGTTGAGTCTCGGGCCTGAACTCAATTTGTTTGAGGCTGTCGCCGGCATCTATGAGTGCCTGTGCCGCCTATACGATTGGGAAATCCAAAAGGTTCGCGAGGACCCCGCAGCCGTGGCGAAAGGAGACGAGTACATCGAGGGCCTCGTCCTTTGCACTCGAAGCGGGAAGCCGAGTATGAATACAAGGGGGCGCGTCGGCATGGTGCTTGACTACTGGAAGACTAGGCGACTCCAGGGTCGGCCCACGGGGGCAGCAGTCGACGAGCAGACGGACGACAACCAACAGCCATGGAGTATCCTGATCGGTTGTGCGCCTTTAAGGGAGATCGGGCTCAACCCTGTTCGCATCTCAGACAAATGGATCGGCCCTGAAGTCGTAAAAATGCCCGGCCCGGAGGACATGCACGCGGGAGGGCCCATCATCGACTGGCAGGAGCCCGAGAGCACCTTCGCCCCGCCGCCCGACCCGTCCAAGGCTGATCCCATGCAGCCGGATCAGTCGCTTCTAGGACCACAGCTCCCTAACGTTGTGTTCCACGCCACGTTCGACCCTCCGGTCCACATTCCGACTTCTCTGTGGGGTCAGATCCAGCAACTGGGCTGTGTAATGGAAGAGCCAGCGCTGTTCAAGCAACTCGCCATCACGACCTTTGACAGCCTCGTTTTCCCCTACCCCGCCGGTAAGGGGCCAGACAGCACCGAGTCAAGGACGGTTTCTTGCAACAGGAAAGTACCGTATCTCGCGCCGGGCCAGACTAAGCTCTCTCTCAAGACGCACGCCAGCACGCTCTACGTCAACAAATCCATCCCGAGCCGGACCCTGAGCGACATGACCTTTTCCCACCCCCAACAACTCATCACCATCCTCCCATACCTCCGGCAGTACGCCTTTCTCTCCCTACTACTCAAGAACACCTTCACCGAGCACACCAGCCCAAACACCCTGCTCGACCCAACCGACGCCCAACAACAACAACACCCCGCAACACCACCCACCATCTCAAAAACCATCACCACCAACCAAGACGACTACAACAACCTCATCTCCCCCCAACCCAAACCCTCCCCTTCCCAACCATCACCCCCAACCCCAACAACACCAACCCCCACGCCCGAACCCCCCCTCAACATCGACATAACCCTAACCATGCTCCCCGTCCCCCGCCTAACCATAATATTCCCCTTCCGCAACCGCACCGCCAACGTGACGCTCGAGATCCGCGAGAACGGACACGTGCGTGTTGAGTCGCAGGATGTGCTGGACGAGGGGAATAGGATAGCGCCGAATGGACGGCAGCGAAGGGTGGAGGATGTTGGGGGGGTGTTGGAGGTTTTGGAGGATGTGGGGGGGTGGGTTGAGTTTGTACGGTCGAGGTGGGTTTAGGGGGGACTGTGTAAGGGCTTAGGGGCTTTTTATGGAAGGGGTTGTGCTGTGGGTGAGTTTTGAGCCGGGGGGCGTGATGAGGTACTTGGTTTGGTGCGGTTGGGACAGTGACTTGGGTTTATGTGAGGCGGGTAGGGACGTAGATAGGAGGAAGGTATGATGATATCTTGTGTGTTTTGCAATCTCAGGCCACTATGGGACGATAGAGATGAACATGTGAATGATTAACTGTTGTTGAGAAAAATGAACACCACTAAATTGATTTTTTTATCTCATTGAAGACTCCAATTCTCTACTACATTATTTTTCTCGTGGGATAACTGTTACTAGTAATTGAGAATATGTCTAGTTAACATAGAGTTCTTAATTGGTGCATCGGAGGTCTGGTGGGATAATGTTGTTGTGGTTGTACTTTAAAAGTCACAACTCTTAATAATTTAGTTGCAACTTTAGAAAACACCACGTCTTTTTAATTTATTTCATCTTTAGAGTATTAATAGTCTCGATACACATTTAATAAGCCCCTTGGCGAGCTGCAAGATATGCCCACCCTCAAATCTTGCCTTTGAACCGATTTTCGGACACTGTCAGTTGATGTTGGTTTTGTTTTAAAGTTAGAATCGCCAGATGTTTACAAATTGCCGCATTAAGAATTCGAATAAACACCGACCATATTTACAACCATAAATAAACAAACAAACCCTCCCCCGAATTCCAATAAAAACCATCATGCGCCGACAACCTCACTTGCACACTACCCCTCCTGCCCCTCTCCCTCTCCAACAGTCTAATTTCCCAGGGGTCCTGAAATTTCAGACCTGGAACTTGGTGATCTGATCTGAATGACGATGGAGGGGGGATCGTTTGCGCGGCGTACGTCATTGGGGGGCCGCTACTTTCCCCATTCGGCTACGCAACCCTTTCATTTCCAGGGTTATGCGAGGCAAATTGAAGGGGGGAGGGGGGTTCGCTTGTTTAACCCTGACCTGTTCGAGAAGAGGCGAGAGAGCTGTTCTGTTCCGTGACTTTCCTGTTTTTACGAGTATGTACACTACACTACTCCGTATCGGATGTCCCGCTCTGTATTCGAAAACCTGCGGTGCTCGCTCGTTTCGCTCCCGTGTAATCTGGTGTATGACGCTGCTGTGCCCTCTCATTCGTTCTCCTCGAAGCGGGTTCACTGCAGTAGTGGCCGTTAATGTGCTGTTACCCGACCCGCCCAAGCCGCCGCCGAGGGGGAAGATCCAACTGGGCAATCTAAAATTAATATCTGCGGCCTTCCCGCTGGGACGGGTCGGAGATGATGGGATGAACGCATGGAATACGGATACATCTCTGGAATACACTACTCTGTACACTAGTGTAGCGTACGTGTGCCATGAGGCCAAATGCGGGCGGGGGGCAAAGAAAGAGAGCGTCCCGGTATGACCTGGAGCTCGACCTGTCGCGTCTGTTTACAAAGTGCATTTCACGGGATATGACAGCAGGAAGCAGTCCCCGCAATATTAGCACAACGGAAAGCTGTCCGGGCCAGTTAATGTTATCGTCGGACGGCAAACCCAATGGGGCCTTGGGGGCCGCCCAACGGTTTGGTTTCCATTCCGGAGGAGTCCTGCCACCCGGCAGGCAACTTTGTTTTGACCCTTTGGCGTTCTGCAGGGGATGAGAGGAAAACCACCCCTTGTCCTTGTTCCCCCGCCTCCAGAACGCGCTGGAGACGCGTGGATTTACAGTCGAACATGGGGTCTCTGGGTACACTATGGTCATGGACTCATGGACCACAGTTTAAATGTGCACGGCACACAGAATGGTCAGCCATGCTGCCGGTTAAAAGTGCGGGAGAGGCTGCGGGATGGAGAGACAGAAACACCATAATGGCACGGAGATGGAGGGTCGCACATGAGAAAAAAATTTGTGCGGTTTCACGAGAAGAGAGACTGATATCGAGCGCAAGGACTCTGGTAACTGGCCGAACGCGTCCCGAGTTGCCGATCGAACCCTTCTTGTGCTTCCCGTTCCCCTATGGGTATGGAGGCGTGTCTGTGCTGGTTTTTCTCTTTCTCCGAAGGATCTCAGGGTCCAGGGTCAATTTGTGGCATCCAGTCGGGAGTTTGGGATCGCCCCGCTGGTGGCTTGAGAGGGCGTGAGAGGGGCGAAAACATTGATGAAATCGCAGGCGTTGAAGAGAAAAAAAAGAGGGGAAAGTCTGCTCGAGGCCCGGTACCATGCCAAGAGACAGGGGTTATGGTGACGATAAAGGAAAAAGGAAAGGTGGAATGGGGCCGTCGAAGCCACCGTTTCTTCTTTCGGGATCAACCTTTGCGTGGGGGACTCTTTTCTGATTTTCGCGTTCCTGGCGCGACTTGATTGATTTTGGTGGGCACGAAAGAGAGAGGAAAAGGATGGTGGTGGACGTGGCCCGTTGTAGAAGAGTTTCGAATTCGGTGGTTGTTGATGTTTGTTTATTTTTGGACGCGTTGGGATAAAAGTAAACAAAACAACAGGAGCTCACAGGTGATGCTTCCTGTGGTCGTGATGGGTGGCGACCCAGGCAGAGGCCATTAGCATTAACCATGATGACACTTCCGCCACTGGCGAAGGCGGCGGAGGCGACAAAACTCTGACTGTGCGCTGAGGGTGTGAGGGTATGAGGCTGTCAATGGTGGGTTGGCCTCTTGCCGTTGGCCCTGACGCGGTCATATTTGGGGCTTGAGGGGGGCACAACACACGTTCTGTGACGCATCCTCTCCTTTTTTTAGGCGTATGACGGTAGTGGGCACACGTTTCAAGCGTGTATTTGCTCCATCTGTGGCAGAGTGCTCTCTCATGTGGGTTCGAATGGGGGTTGTTGGCCTCTTGGCTCACTCGGGACAGGCTGAGAACCATTGACGGCCGCTGACAGACGGGAGAGCAACGCCCTGCAGCGGGTGCATCGAGGAAGAAAGAGAAACATCCAACGGGAGGGCACGGAGCGGTGTGAGGCTCTCAGATCTTGCATTTCCCCACACGCACCTCCTGCGAATGTCTTAGCCCTCTGTCTCTCAGTTGGATGCCGCTGAAGGAACTGCTCAAGGCTGGGGAAACCCCTTCACTACTCCGATGGTTATTGAGATGGAAATTTTCACCGCTCAGAGCTTTGAACGTGGTGGTCTTGAGGGGAGGGGACTTAGATCTTCGGTCCTCTGAAGCGGTGAAAGCAGCCCGCTTGATGAAGGCGAAAGGGGATGATGTGCGTGGGTTTACGACTGCCCAGGGTACTTGGTGCAAGTACATAGGTACATCACTGACCGTCCTCTGAGCGGGGCCTGGTATGGGAGTCATGCACTTCAGCCGTTTCCCATGAAGGGAGTCTGTAAACGAGCCGAAAGACTGCTGGATTGCTGGGTCGTTCCCTCCAAAGTCAAGCAAAGTTCATTCATCAGCGGGATCAGTTATCACAACGAGTTCCGAGCTGCTCTTTTCTTTAGGGTTTCGCTTGGGTTGGGGAGCGGCACAGCCCCACGCTGCTTGTGGTGGTGGGGGAGCACGGGACGCTAACGTCAGGCACGGCAGGGATACCCCCTTGGCCCGCATGGAACGCGTCCATTGAACGCGAAAACGCGTGAAGTAAACAACAGACCCTCCCACCTTTCTGAGGTGCTTCGCCGCGTGATCTACCCACCTTGGGGTTCATCCTCTTTTTGCCTGCACACCCGATTTTACTACTAACCGTTCGTCCCAAGTTTCCCATTGTTCCCCTCGAATCCTTCACAGCCGTTATTATCGATATTGTCCGGAATCTGTGCCTTTCGCCTCTTTCGCAAATCTAGCACTGGACTATCATTGTGTCAACCCCGCTGATCGCATCGCAAAACCGATATCCTGGCGCATCATCCCCCGCCCTCCCACCAAAAGTCGCAAACTGTGCGCTGCGCCGAAAAAGGATACCAGCACAACAGAACTCAACACCGAGGTCGCAACCCACTCGCCATCTCGATCACGCCTTCCAACTTCTGCGATATGAGTGTGGTAACGCCTGGCATCTGAGGCAGGCAGGACCGGAGTTTTGTTGGAGCAACAGGCAGTCGCGACCCGTTCAGAAAATGCCCAACAGGAGCACCTGATCTGACCTGTTCACGCACCGTTCGAGTCGCTTTTCCAGTTTGAAGCTCTTCTTTGGGGCAAGCACGGCCTGCTTGCTTCGTTATTTTCTTTCTCGTTCCAACAGTCGTCGAAGTATTCCAACAATCAAATCATCCGACTTTTGCGCCTAGAATCCTGAGGTTTTGGGTCCCGCGCGCTTCGTTTTTTCCCTCTCTTTTCCCTCCATCATCGACCCGGCCTCGCCTCTTCCTTTTATCGGCCAACATATCTCTTCGCCAAAGGAACAATCGAAATTATCGCTCGCACACCTCAAAGCGCTTATTGCCGCCCGTCTGACCCTCGCCGCTGCTGAGACCCTGGTGGTTGCTCTTTGGAGAATCGTTACAGGTTGTGGTTGTCGGTGCCTGGAGTTTGTTTGGTTCTGGTTATTAGAGCGCAGGAACCATAACGAGGTCCATTGCTTAGTCGCTCGTCACTTTTTTTTGCTACCCTTGTTCGAAGAGGGCGACTCAGCGACTCGGCGCTCGAGCGACTATGTCTTTCTCTAGCGGAAGCGGGGGCACTCTCACTCTACCTTCTCCCACCCACGTTCATCACGTCGACGTTGGGTCCACTGTTCGATCACTGCGACGATCGCTTTCCCGATCACCTTCCAAGTTCCGCCTGTCGGGCCTCGCATCGTCCGTGACGAATTCGCCGACCCTGCGTCAATCACCAGCCGCGACATTGGATGCCCAAGCCGCACCAGCAGCAGCCACGGCCCCTGCGACTCCTGCCTTTGGCAGCGGGTCCTTTTCACCCACTTCACATTCTGCGCCGCCTCAATTTCAATCAACCGCGGCCGCAACTCCCTTCAGATCAAACCTCAAGCTCTCTGTGCGGGCATCTCGGGTGAAGCCGATGACCCGGCCCCTCTCGCGGCCTCGTCTATCGCCAAAGAGCCCCCTCAAACGCGTTTTCGGCCCATCCACCGACTCCGGCAATCCAATTCCGCCCGCAACCTCTTTCGCTGAGGCGCGGGGTCAGGAAAACGCGACCCTTGTGGGCGATTGCCAAATCGCGTTGAGCCCCGCAACGCGTCGTAGCCTCACGAGCCCTTCGCGTCACTCGGTTCATCTCGACATTTCCGGATCGACCAAAAACGGTCTGTCGAAATTTATGGAACTCAACAACGAGCCATTCCCTGCCATTTCCGTTAGCCCGCTCAAGCGGAGCGACGCGGCCATGGGTACCGGTCATACAAGCTTCGGCAGCCCTGTCGCGAAGCGGCGCAGCCTGCATGGGATTTCCACTACCGCCGAACCCGAACCCTCGGTTTTCGACCCCGCCACGACCCCTGTTGGTGTCCCACCTCAGAACTTCGATATCCACGAGGATGGCAATCAAGAGTATCAATTGATCGGCGCTTTCGGCACACCTTTCCGCGATGCCGCCGCCGCCTCACCCACCCCGTCCGCGCTTCCTAAGCGCACTTCATCTCTGCGCAGGAGCACACTGCAGCAGCGTCATGGCAGCAACCAGCCCTCTTTGGGTCGCCGCGCTGGCGAAAAGCAGCTGGCTCAGCTCACCACCGACCCGAGCACCCCGGCGTCTCGCAGCCGACCCCGGCTCTCTCTTGACCAGTATGTGCCGCCGGACGAGCGTACCAACAACCCGTTCTCCCAGGGTGCGTTGCCGAGCGCGACACCGCACCCAGCTCAGCGCGTGACCAACCAGCCGCATCCACTTTCGCGTTTGGTCTCGCAAGCCCCTTCGGGCCCGACTCGCCCGGACGATGAGTTCCCCACGCAGCGGCCGTTGCTCTCGCAGGTCTTGTCAAAGTCACTGCCCCCGGGAGCCCACCCGCCCACCGCTGACGAGACCACCACTCCGAATTACAAGGGAGTGAAGCCGTTGCAGTCTGCCTTTGCGTCGACTGGTCTAGTGTCGAAGATGAACCGCAACCCGGACGGTGGCCCGGTCGAGCATCCCGGTGCTAAGGCGATGCCTATGCCGGATACTCCGTGCAAGAAGCAGCCCTATTATTCGGCTACCTACCCGCCCCAGAGCGGCAGTGGCAGTGGTGGTCGTCGCTCCCGCATCTCGTTCGGCAGCCCCTCCACGCCCTTCGGCGCGCCTGCGGCCCCGGTTCGCGGAAACCTGTTTGGGACTCAGGACAAATCGTGCAGCCTTTTTTTCCAACAAGCTCGGCCCAGCCACACTAGGAAGAGTAGCATGCTGAGCGTGGATGGAGATGAGCTTCCCGAGGCCCACGATGAGCTTCCCCCAACACCCACCAAGAACTTGTTCTTCAAGTCTTTGACTACCCCGTCTGCTGAGACTGCGCAGACTCCGGGCGACTCTCGCTCGTTTGCCGCTCGCGCCCCCTTGTTCCCTCTGGGCAGCGACCCGAGGAACACGAACGGCTCTTCGAGGTTTGCGAAGACCACAACGCCAGACCTGAGTGCGCTGCAGGGCGAGGGTTCTCCTTCTTTTGGTGCATCCGACCCGCGGCCCTCGACTCCCTTCTCGGGCGGTTCGCCTTGCCATGGCTTCTCGTTTGGCCCCTTGGCTGGGAGCCGTTCTCACCCAGTCTCCTTTGCCACACCGGCACCCGTGAGAACTTCGCCTGCTGTCCTTGCGACCTTCAACACCCCGAATGGCGAGTATGCCATGATTGAAGCCCCCACCGCGGCCGTGAGCCCCTCGCACCTGGGATCGATATCTCCTCATACCCCACAGGATCCTGCTGGGTATTCCATGACCCCGCCGGACCCGAGCAGCCTGTCGATTTCCCACCCGCAGGACAGTCATGCCCGAGTGTCACGCACGCCGGCCACTCCCAGCAACTCGGGCTCGCGCCAGCTGTTTTCGAGCTTCGCTAGTCGCCGACTGAGCATCACCCCTCAGAATGGGATGGGCTCGGGCGACGCCGACGAGTCTCTAATTGCTCGCTTCGACAGGTCGGAGCTCATTGGCAAGGGTGAATTTTCCCAGGTCTACCGGGTCACCAAGTCCACTGTTCCACCGTCTTTCATGATGAACTTCTCGACCACGCCGCGCACGCCCTCGAGCCCCGATACCGACCGGGTCTACGCTGTCAAGAAGCTTCGCGCACCGTTCCATGGCGCTAGGGATCGCAAGGCCAAGCTCCAGGAAGTTGTCACCCTCAGGGCACTGCGTCATTCTAGCAAGGTGATTCAGCTGATTGACAGTTGGGAGCACTACGGACACCTCTTTATCCAGACGGAGTTCTGCAGCGAGGGCAGCTTGGACAGCTTCCTCAAAACGGTTGGCCAAGCTGGTCGTTTGGATGATTTCAGAATCTGGAAGATTCTTTTGGAGGCCGCTCAGGTGAGTTTTTACACTGCTCTGCTCTCTTGTGTCCCCATTCCGTTTACTAATTTTACTAGGGTCTGTATGCGATTCACAAGGCTGGTTTCATCCATCTTGACATCAAGCCTGCCAACATCTTTATTACCTTTGATGGCTATCTCAAGATTGGCGACTTTGGCCTTGCCACCACCTGGCCGGCCCCCAAGGACATTGATGGCGAAGGCGACCGTGAATACATTGCGGGGGAGATCCTGCGCGGGGAGTATGACAAGCCGGCCGACATTTTCGCCCTCGGGCTTATCATCCTCGAGATCGCCTGCAATGTTTTCCTCCCGGACAACGGCCCCACCTGGCAGGCTCTCCGTGCTGGGGACCTCAGTGTAGTTCCCTCGCTGACTTGCGGCGAGGCCGGTGCCATTTCGCGCGACGCCAACGGCCTGCCTGTTGCACACGACTCGGGCATCTCTCAGGTGTCTGACAATCGGGACATCGGGCTTGGCATCAACGCTCGTCGCGGATCGACCTCCTTTGGCACGACCACTCACAACCCGAGCAACCTCTTTGGTGCGCCCAAGCGAGCGGAGCTTCAGCGGCCCCCCAAGTTTATGGTGGATTCCAACGACGCGAGTTCTCTTGACAACATTGTTAGGTGGATGATTGAGCCCAACGCCGCCAAGCGGCCCACTGCCGAGCAGGTGCTTGGCTGCGAACCTATCGTCTGGATCACCACCCACAGGGCCGCCGGCGCCACCGTCTATGAGGGCAACTGGGGTCCCCAGATCGGTCCGTCTGTTCATGAACTCATCGACACCGAGATGATGGACGTTTAGACTACTACTCTTACGACGCCATGACAATCTTGGAGCACAGTTTCTGCTCTTGCATCGTTAAAGATGCTGGATATGCCACCGCTTTGGTGAGCACGGCATACCCAGGAAGAATATGTCTCGGCAGTATGGAGTTGAATTGGCCAGCTATCAAAGCTGGATAATCCGCCGTGGAGAGATATACCACCGCGGCTATTTGGAATGGGCTGGATGATCGGCTTATATCGGTGCTGGTTGGGTTTCACGTCCTTGGTTGGTGCGGTGCATTCTTTCAACAGACTGTATACGACTGACTCTGGTATCGACGCCCCCTCATCACGACCGCCCCATCGACCTACTTCCGACTCGGATCTTTTCATTTGTTCTTTCCTTTTCTTCTTTCCTTTGTTTACATCTTTTTCGGCGGTCAACATCGCCACCCGCCCGGCAACATTCCGGCGCGGTTTCTCTCTCCGGAATTCGGTCACGGCATTCTTAAAAGCGGAGGCGAACAGGCGCTCTGGGACGGACGCATAACCTTCCGCGGCGACGGATGGGGAACAACAGCACACATTGGGCGGCTTTAATGTGGGGGACGCAGCCCTTGCGCGCGACCCCGGGGCGTTCGTTGGGTCCGGAGTTACAACGGCTTCCGGGCTACTACCACTTGCACATTTCTCGGCGCAATCTCGTCTCACTGGTTTCTTCATTTTCATTTTACCGAGACGTGTATTATGAGACGGCATCCATGCATTCCGTGTATAGAACTACGGCAGGCAGGATTTTGGCATTGCATTGCTGGCTGGCTAAAGGATTGGCATTTTGTTTGGCGCAGACACTCAGACGCGCACACATATCATCACCATCGAAAATTTGTTTTTTTCTCTTTTCTCTTTTTTCTTTTGTTACGGAGGAAATGGAAGAGACATGGGTAGGAGGAGGAATGGGGAATCAATCACGACAATACGACGACGGAATGACACGATTTAGAGACAAAGAACCTACCCTGTATGTACGTACTACAACCTACCTAATCATTTTCCTTTGTCGATTAAGAAAGGAGGTGTAGGACGGGGGGAGGAAATAGCTATTTGCTCGGATGGTGGTTGATAGTTGCTACGAGCCGAGTCGCATATACAAAGTATTCAACTCTATGTGGTGAGTGCTAGTGACATGTTCGTTCCTTGGTGCTGGTCAAGTCTAGGTACAGTACATACCAACAGCATCAAGCATCCCGCATGATGTCCCGGAGCGTTTCGAACAAGTGTCTAGACGACCGAGGATGGAGGAGACGACGTTGCGTATAATGATCAATGGTCTCTTACTATCACTATCACTGTCTGAAGGCCTGTTGATAGTCGGCTGAAAAGTAAATACATTTCCACCAAGGTGTTATCCGTACATGTAAGAAAACCATGCATTTTAGCTGCCTACCCCTAGAACCCATAACCCTGCGAAGTAGATGAACCAGACGCCGAAGGAATTAAGAACCGCCAACCTGTTGAGTACCCGAGAGAGCCCAAGTAGCCATGTTAAAGGAGACCTTCCCACCCCAGACTAAACTGAACAAGACACCACGACATAAGCTACCCACCCGACCCAACTTGACCCGAACGCCAACCAGCCACATACCAAACCAACTACCTCACCCCCTCACCCTTCCCTCTAGGCTAGGTTACGTAAGGTAAAGGCATCACTCAAACCGCCCCCCCCCAAACAACCCCCCAACAACTTTCCCCCTCCCCTCCGCCCCCCTCATCTTCTTCGCCTCCCTGCGGCGCTCAGCTTCTGCCAGCGCCGCGCGTCTCTCTGTCTCACGTGCGAGATACGACACGCCTGAGCGTTTACCGGCTGGTTTCTTGATTTTCATTGCGCCCGCACCTTCTCGCGTGGTGGTGGTGTTGGTGTTTTTGGTGCTGGAGGTGGTTGATGTTGAGGAAGTAGAGGAGGAAGTGGAGAGGAGGGAGTTGGTGGTTGCGCGGCGGAGGAGGGCGGGGACTTTGAATGTTGATGTTGATGCTGATGTTGATGAGCCGGTACCGGTGGTGGTAGTAGGGTTGGCAGCGGCGGCAAAGGCGAGTTTGCTAGAGGCGGATGATGCCGTGGAGGCGTTGCGTTTTAGGGAGATGCGGTCGATGATGGCGGGTTTGGTACCAGACCCAGACCCGCTGCCGGTTCGGCGAGGGTTGTGGTTTTCTTTGTTGCTTGATCCGCTGGCGGTGCTGTTTGACGATCCCGGGCGGGTTTGGTTCTCCTCATCGTCACCGTCATCGTCGGAACCGAGCTCGGTCGCGGGGATGACGGACCCGCCAAAGGGCTCGTCGAGGAGGTTGGAGAGCGTTTCGCGGATCTCGCCGATGTTGGAGGGCTTTTTGCCTGTTTTGGTGCGACGCGGGTTGGGCGCTGTGATTGGGGCACCACCACCACCACCGGCAGCAGCAACAGTCTGGGGTTGACTATTGGGAATGATGGCGTTTGGCCCAACCATCGAGTCCCGAGACTGAGACTGAGACTGAGACTGAGACTGGGACTCACTCGCCGGAACAGACGGCGGAGCAAAGAGAAAGTCCATCTCATCATCACTCCCACGGTCCTCAATAGTCCGCATAAACGCCTGGTTGCGCGGGTTCTCAGCGACTTTGCTGATGCGCTCGTCGGCGTAGAGGGTGCGCTGCATCTTGGCGAACTGGCGACGCTTCATGCGACGGCGGGCCTCGCCGTCGTCGTCCGAGTCGTCGAGGTCGTCCCAGTCGCCGCCGCCGCGCTTGCGTCGAAGCTGGCCGGTTGTGACGTCGTGGAAGAGTTTCTCTACGCGCTTCTCGTCGTCGGCGCGTTCGCGGTCACTGGACTTTATTAGCTTTTTCCCTGGGGGTTTTTGCTTCACCGTAAAACACGAGGAACTTACGCGTAAAAAGCCGCCAACTTCCTCTCATCACCCTCATTCTCCTTGGTCTCATCGTCAATCATCTCCTTGACCATCTCATCATCCGCATCATCACTGTCCTCCCCGTCGGCACCACCAAGCCCGGCGTACTCATCCTCGGATTCCTCGGCCTGCTCCTCGACCATCTCGCGCGCCTTGCTCTTCTTCTTGTCAAACGCTTCCTTGCGCTTCTTCTCTTTGAGCGCGGCCTTTTTCATGGCTGCCCAGGCGTTGGGACCGTTGGTGGTACCGGTGGTGTTGCTGTTTGGGATGGCATTGAGACCGAACTCGCCGATCTCGATGCTATCATCTTCGCCGGCGCTTCCCCGTTCAACAGGCGAACCACGCGAAGGCGACACAGGAGCAACCATGTCAGCCTTCCGGCGGAGTTTCCCCGTCCGCCGCACCAAAGGCGACTCATTATGCTCATCCGCCTCGTCCGCCTGGGTCTGTGTCCGGTCCACAGGGACCGTGGCAATGGTCGAAGCAGGCCGCTCAACAAAGCGATGACGCAGCGGCGACAGGTCGGAGAACCCGCCGTCTTGCGTGGGCTCGAGTAGATCAGACATCTGCGTCGGGGCCGCCATCTCGTCGAGGAAAGTGTCGAAGCCGTGGACTTGGGACTGGGAGAAGCGGATTTGTATGCCCTGCGTCTCTTCGGTTTGTTGTTGGGTCTCGCGGCCTGGCTGTCGCTGGCTGTCGAGAATGAGGTCGTCCGCCGCATCGCCGCTCTCCCGCGCGGTTTGCGAGAAGTTAGAGTCGGGGAAGGCAGTGGTGTCGTCAAAGGTGGGCCGCGGCTGGGAGGGCGAGGCCTGGGTCATGCCCATGCCCACCTGGCTGTCGTCCATGGTGCCGGCGAAGATCTGGGTGAGACCGAGACCGGCCGGTCCGGCGACGGGGAGGCCGGGGATGAAGGTCTTGGTGGCGGAGCGCAGGACAGATGTCGGCACGCTGGGGGATTCGGTGTTCCGGACTGAGGGCGATTTGGGGAACTGAGTCTTGGGGCGCGGGGTGGCCTGAGGGGCCTGAGTGGCTTTGACAAGTGGCAGCTCGACATCGTCCTCGTCGTCAGAGAGAATGGTGGTTTGCTTTCTGGGCCTGCGTCTGACTTGTCTGGTGCTGGGAAGGTCCTCGTCCTCGCCGGTCTCAGACTCATCCGCAACAGGGGCAACGTCATCAATCAGACCCTCGCCTTCCTCTTCGTCCTCATCCTCCTCATCACCCTCTTCCTCGTCCTCGGAGCCAGACAGTTCAATCTCCTTCTCCTCTCCCTCATCGGCACCCTCATCGGCACCCTCCTCATAATCCTCATCATCACTCTCATCATCCCAACCTAACGGATCCTCCTCCCCAGCCTCCCGCCTCTGCTTCCGTTCCGCCTTAGCCGCCTCACGCTCCCGGTCCATAATCTCCTCCACCTCCCGCCTCGCTTTCGCAACCATATCCTCAACATCCTGCTCCTCCCTCTCACGCTCCTCGGCCGTCTGCACATGCACGCCCTTGGCCCGCAGCATCTCGAGATGGCGGTCCCGCTCGAGCTTGGCCTGCTGCCGGGCGCGCTGGAGCAGGCTGGCGCGCAGTTCGCCCGTGGTCATGGCGACTTCTTGATGCTCCTTCTTGAGCTTGTTGCCGGCGCGCGTGGGGGGCGCGGCACGCTTGTCTGGGTCGTCAAGGTGCGCGAGGCGTCGGAGGATGTGCAGGGTGTTGGCTTGCTTGGCTTGGTTGGCGGGGACGCGGTCGAAGATGGCGTCGAGCTTGGACTTGCGCGTGGGGATGACTTCGAGGTCGTCATCTAAGGAGACAGAGACCGCGGCTCGGTTGGCTTGGAGCTGGGGGAGCTTGACGCGGAAGTTGCGCTTTTGTGGTACGCCGGCGGGGGGTGCCGCTTGCTCTGCGAGATCGGCAGCGGTGGCTTTCCCCTTACCCTTGTCGAGCTGCTTCACCGCGGCTTGTTGGGCAAGCTCATCAAGATCGGGGAACTTTTCCTCGTCCTCTTCCGCAGCGGCCGTTTCCACAACCGTAGGCAAAACACCCTCGGCCTTCTCCTTCTCAGCCGTCGGCGGCGAACTAGGCGGCGTCTCAGCATCCTTCATCTCCGCATCGCTTTGCTGGACAGATCCCGGTGTAGGCGGCCGACTCGAGCCCGCATCCACACCCGCAGCAGGAACAGGAGCAACCTCCTCAACCGCAGTAGTAGTAGTCGTGACCGACCCACCGCCGGGCTTAAAATTAAACCTCTCAAACAACGTCGCCTTGGAAATCTTCTTCCTTACTTTGGCCTCATGCGCCAACTGCAAACTCCTCGTCAACCGCTGCGTCTCGCGGTTCATCTCCTCCAGCGCCTTCTTGCTAGCCTTGCGAGCAGGACGGGAGGCACCAGCCTCCTGCGTCAGCCGACGGCCCCCTTCGTCGTCAGTGATGTTGTCGTCTTCATCATCAAGAATATCATCGTCCGCGAGCATCCCATCGTCGTGATCCTCGAACCCGGCACGTTGCCTGCGCACCGCCTTCTTCCGCGCTTCTTCGGCTTCCCGCGCGAGGCGCTCTTCGCGTTTCTTGGCTACGAGGGCTTGGAATCGCGAGTTCTTGAGCTTTTTGACTGCGTCTTGTTCGTCGTCACTGCTCTGCTCCCCGGAGATGGGGGACGGAGATTGGGGCTTAGAGGGGGAGACGAATAAGCCTGGTGAAGCAGGTGCGTCTTGGGGGGGTTGGGGTCCGGTGGTCTCGGTCTCTGGGGTGGATGTGCGTTCGCGGCGGGCTTTGTTGAGGGTTCTTGGCCTGCGCATTGTGATCACATCTTCGTCTTCGTCGTCGTCCTCCTCAAGAGTCCCTTCGTTGCTCCCTTCTAACCTGACATTCTCTACTGTTGTTGTTGTCGTCTTCTTGGGTGATTTACTCTGCTGAATCGTACCCGCATTTTCTTGCTCGCTCTCGTTCTCTGATTGTGCCGAAGATGATGATTCGTTTTCGTTACCGCGTACTTGCATCCGTGCAGCCATCCTCCCGCGAGGACGGAGAATGCCATTGTCTTCTTCTTCTGAGCTGCTGCTGTCTGAAAGCCCGGCAAATTGATTCCGGTTTTGTTGGATCAGGCGCGTCGTAGCCGTGGTAGGCGACACGCTGCGGGAACGCTGCAGCGATGGGGATGGGGACCTGGACGAGGCCATTGTGTCCGTAATGGGAGGGTATCTGGTGTGGAAAAGCCGAAATACTTAGAATCAGGTTCTGATCGAAGGGAATCTGAAGAGAACAAGCTTGAAGACAAGTCAAGAATTAAGGCTTTGGGTCTGAGGGAAACGGGTTGAAAGGTGGACCGAGCCGTGGCTGAGGTGCCGGGGTTGATATTGGTGGGGAGCGCGCCGCGAGACGCGTTTGGTGTAAGTGGGCGGGCCTGTGACGCGACACCCCTGCCCGCTCACCCGCTGTATTACAGTTCGTCCTGCGGTAAACTGCTGCCAGCTGCAGCTCTGCACTCTGACACTCACTCACAACTGAAACTTTGCAGTAATTACAACACAACTGTCAACTCCATACCGTGCTCAACTTGTCAACTACCTGAGATACCCCATCGGAGAAAGTAAAAGATGAATAAAAAAAGAACTTAATGACCATCTCGGTCCCCTCAACGAAGGGCCTTTTCCGGGTATCGCTCGTTATGATTACAGGTCCAAAAAAGGGAGAGCCTAGAGAAAAATGACCAAAAAGAGAAGGAAAAGGCGCGGCCTCCAGGTAAGGGCCCAGTCAGCCTACATCACCAACATCGTACATGGATGATGACGACGCGAATCACTCCATTCCATCCATCCATCCATCCGCTCTTGGCTCCGCGGCATCTTGCTCAATGCATCCTGCGACATGGCAATGCACGCGAGCCCATCACCATTGCCATCGCCATTGCCATCACACCCCAGGTCCGTCAGCCATCCATCAACACCACTGGAACCACCCTTTTGAGCCCACCTAAGCAAGAAAAAAAGTTATACAGGGCATGCTGGGACCAAAAAAGAGCAGAAAAACCGACCCCAAAAAGGGGAGGATCAGAGGTAGTGACGAAAAGAGAGAGAAAAAAAGAGCAAAGGAAAAGAAAAAAAATCAAGGATAAAATGCCAGTGCCAGTGCCGATGCATGCAATGCGTAGTAAGGTAAGCAGGCCGGTCGCCGTGGTCTCTTTCCATCCCATCCCATCGACCCAATCAACAAACCAACCAACCAACCAACCGAGCCCTTATGCCCTAGTGATTCATGAACGCCGGTTCCCCATGCCAGCCAGACTCCAATGAACTCCGACTCCGGGCGCAAGGATATAGTAAAACGACTCCTGTCCTGTCCTGTCCCGTTCCGTTCCACACACGCTTCCTTTTGGGGGTTCAAACCCCTGTGGTCGTGTGTCGTGTAATAATGGTAACCTCCCTCACCCACTCCAAGATTTGCAAGGTGATGACTCCGTTGATGATCAGATCAACCCACCGCAAGACACGAATCCAGCACCCCATCAAGGAAACTGCTGTCCGTGTTCTCAGCGCCTTCCCACCACAGATCGTCGTCAATATCCATAAGATCGTCATGACCGACCCCATTGGTGAGCAGCTCAGCAGCAGCCGTTTTCACCACCGGCCCGCCGACGCTCGCAGGCCCAGCCCCGGCCCCAGCCCCGGTCCCAGGCTTAGTCTCGTTCACCCCGCCCATCTCAACATCCCCATCCACATCCGTCACCCGCTCCCGCCCGTCCACGTACGTGTAATCATTCCACTTTTCTAGCTCGCCCTCCCGATACCCATAGATAACCGACGTGCTGATGATAGGGAAATTCGCCAACCCACAATCGCCCATCTCCAGTGCCAACCGCAGATCCGCAATCCCCAAAGGCCCACGCTCGCTCGCGGCCTTAGCTTCGACCGGCAGCAAGCCCGTCTTATCACGCGTGACCTCGCCGCGCTGGAACGCCTCCTCCTCACGCGCCAGCTGTCGCCGGTATTTGTGGGTCAGGATCCAGTTGTTGTTGGGGCCGAACCCGGCGTTGCCTGAGTCGCCGGGCGGGTTGCTGCGCGTGCGGCTGAAGATGGAGGAGAGGACTTCTTTGATGAAGGTCTCGGTTGCGATGGACATGAATTGGGCGGCGTCTGGCGCGTGGCCTGATGCGAGGCCGGCTTCGTAGCAGTGGGGGAGCATGCGCGCTTCGATGTTGCTGATGTCGGGGAATTCGCCGGATTCGATGGCTAGTGGTTGGGCGTAGCGTTTCCTAATTTCGAGGTCGAAGTCTTGGGGTGGGTATGTTAGTAAAGTATTGAGGGACGGGGTAGATGGTAGTTAGTTGGGAGGGGGCGCATACTCATTCGACTTAGTGCGCCGCCTGCACTCGCTGGTACCTCGGCTGGTTTAGGGGGCCGTATCCGGGCATGGTCGGTGAAGACGTTGGCTAGGGACTCGAATGGGTCAAACTGTGGAAGCTCATGGTCAGCATATCCGTTAAACCCGGAGTTGTTGTCCAGACAAAACTCACATCGTTGAGAGCAAGGTCCTTGATGCGCCGCCGGTCACGCGCCGGAAGCTGCATGACCTCCCCCTTGAGCCTGCGCTCGGCCGCATCTCCAGACACCGGCTTGTTCCCGCCGGCCGCCGACGGCTTGTCATTCGCGCTGACCCAGGGCGCGAGGCCCTGGTCGGGCATCTCTCGCGTGACATTGCCGTAGATGGCGGCCACAAGCTGGTTGTGGAGGTGTTCTTTGTGGCCATCGGGGGAGGCGAGGATGGGGTCGATGCGTTCGCTGAACTCGACTTGGTTGAGACGGCCTGTACAACACATACACACCACCGGTTAGCAAGTTATTTTGGGGGTAAGCATTTGTATAACAAAGTCCATGGTTTCCCAATTGGCCCACTTCTCCCACGGGGTTCTTCGCCCCTCCCATTCCTTGCTCACCCCCACAATACGCCATCAATGGAATAGGAGGGTAGGCAAGTACCGTTTAGGAAATTGGTGATGGTCTCCTTGTAGACAGGCCATTGTTCCGCGCCAATGCTAGCTTTTAATGGTGCATAGATTGGTTCGAGGTCGATGCGGGCCGGTATTAGCTGGCTGGTCTTGGGGGCTTTGGGTATTGATGACAAAGTCGAGACATTGATGGACTGTTTTGACAGCACTGGCGTCGACAAGCTAATCGAAGGCCGGCTTAGAGCGGCCGGATTGATGTCGACCATGCTGCTGCCGCGTAGGAAGGGGTGATGTTGTGGTTGTGGCCAAGGCCTGGCGAAAGCGGATGCGAATATCGGCGGGCTGTTCGAGCGGTACAGCAGCAGCGAGCAAGACAAAAGGACGAAGCGCGCGCTGCAGCAACAGGGGGGGGGAAAGGGCGTCGTCAGGACCGTCGCGAGCGGGTTGCTGCACAATCGTGGGGTGGAACTGCGTTCATTTGCGCATCAAACTGTAGCCTAGGCTCATGCGATCGAGATTCTGAATTCAAATCGATGGATCGGGCATGGTGGCGCGGCCAAATGGATGATGTTGTGCCCGTCTGGCGGAACGGAGGTGGTCGGTCTTGGGTTCGGTTGTCGTTGAATTTTATGGAGCCAGTGAGCCAGGCGCATTGAAGGCTCAGGTCGGGTCACAGTGGGTGTTGCGCCGGAAATAATTGCTGGTTGCGGCCGTGGGCTGTAGAGGGGTACCTAGGATCTCATACAATTTTGGTGGAGTCAGAGGTACCACTACCCAGCGCTGTGTGGGTGCTGAAGCCAGTGCTTGCAGTGGATGGAGCGCTGCTGAAACCGCCTTGGCATTCTTTCAGAGCCCAGCACTTCTTTTGTTCCCCTCGTCGCGTCGCGTCTTCCGCCCCATTCCCGTTCGGTCATTGGTGTTTCAACAGAGGTCGACAACCTCAACAACATGACGCAGTAAAGGGCAGGACAGAAAAGTTGAGCAGCTCCCACACCCACACACCCCGAACCAAGACGGAATTTAGTCGCGCATCCCACAGCTTGGCAGTTCACCATGCGATCATGGCCAACAACCAGCGCAACCGCGTGGCAAACGCAATCGACAGCCTAATCACACATCTCGTTCCCGCCAATGTCCACGACGACGAGCAGACCGCGCAGGAGAGACACGATGCATCTTTTGAGATCGTCCGGGATATTCTAGACAGGTAGGGAGCTTACTGTGGTTTTCTTGGCTTTGCTTTTGGTCTGGTTTTACTTTGTTTTTATCCCTTTGTTGCTAATACCGTACAGCCCGAGCTCTCCTGGTATCTCCTCCGATGTAAACCACGCCTCCGACCTGATAAAGCGCAAGCTCATTCAGAGCAACCCTAGCCAGGCCCTGCGCTTCTCAAACCTCTACACGCGACTGTTGTCGCTCCCAGTGCTCAACCAGAAATGGGCGATCCTCTACCTACTCTATCAACTCTCCGACTCGCCAGATCCAAACGAACCCCCACCACTAAGCCCACCAAAACCAGTTATTGAGCAGCGGGCTGCTCCGCCCCGACCAGTCGAGAAAGAAAGGCGTTCAAGAGCGTCAACCGTTATTCAAACGCCCGAGGAGGAAGCGGTCAGCGATGCGTTTGCTCCCGGGGGGCTGAAGAAGCTTCCCACAGAGAAGCCAAAGCGATCCGTGGCCGACGACCGAAGTCAAACGGCGTCTGCTCCCGTGGACGGGTCACCAAAAAAGGCAGCAAGAGACGTCTCAATAAAGTCTACGCTTCTAGCGGACAACTCGAACGACTTCGAACCTACTGAGACGGGGCTATTGAGGGATCTACCTTATACTCTCCAGGGACTCTCATCTACTACCCTTCCTTTTGCCAAGGAGACAACGCTCAAGCTACCGCCTACCCTACCGATTCCAATCTTATCTCTTCTTCACACACTAGCCGAACCGTCATTACTGTACCGGGGACTCGCAACCTTTGTCAAGTCACCGGTCAAGGGCCTGCTTGGACAGAGCCTACGGGCAGCTATCAATAATGAGCTCCGGTCCTATCTCACTCTCGTTGCCACCCTTGAAGCCCAAATACGAAGGGCACTCTCCGCCATCGACGAGTCCGCTCCACGCGGCGGTATAGGAAAGGCTGGCGTTACCCTGAAACGATGCGTAGTATGGACACGAGAAGCCACGATGGGCCTGCGGCTCATGTCCTTGATTGCCGAGGAGAGCAAAGCGAAACACGGCGGGCAAATTATCAGCATGATCCACGGTTTCTCTACCTCACACGGCGACCCTGTTGTAGCGGCCTTTGCGGAGCGACTGCTGGTGGACGTGACACGGCCATTCTACGATATCCTGCGACGCTGGATCTACGACGGAGAGCTTTCCGACCCGCACTTGGAGTTTTTTGTGAGGGAGCAGCGGGCGGACGACGAAGACCGTATGGAGTCCAAGGCCAAGGGCCAAGCTAGTGTCTGGAACTCCAAGTACGAAGTCGTCGACGGCATGGTCCCCAGCGTCATCACGGCCGACTTTGCGCAAAAGGTGTTTTTGATTGGGAAATCACTCAATTTCATCCGCCACAGCTGCGGTGACAGCCAGTGGGTGGACGCTTACAGCAAGACATCCTCCAAGCAGCTGAGCTATGGCGATACGGCAACCCTCGAGAAATGGATCGACGAGGCGTACAAGACGACCATGCGCCGCCTCATGCACCTGATGAGCAACCGCTTCCACCTCTTCGACCACTTACAGGCGCTCAAGAACTACATTCTGCTAGGCCAAGGCGACTTCATCGCCCTCTTGATGGAGTCTCTCGCGGCGAACCTCGACCGCCCGGCCTTTGCGCAGTACCGACACACCCTCACGGCTCAGCTGGAGCACGCCATCCGCGGCTCCAACGCACAGTATGATAGCGAGGAGGTTCTCCGCCGGCTGGACGCTCGGATGCTACAGCTCAGCCACGGCGACATTGGCTGGGACTGCTTCACGCTCGAGTACAAGATCGACGCACCCGTGGACGTGGTCGTGACGGAATGGGGCAACCGCCAGTACCTGAAGGTGTTCAACTTCCTCTGGCGCATCAAGCGTGTCGAGTTTGCGCTGGCGTCCACCTGGCGCAAGTGCATGACCGGCGCGCGCGGCGTGCTCCAGACCGACAACGAGGACGTGATCCTGACCTGGAAGAGCACCCGCGGCGTGTTGGCCGAGATGGTACACTTTGTCGGTCAGCTGCAGTATTACATTCTTTTCGAGGTCATTGAGTCCAGCTGGACCGAACTGCAGGCCAACATCCACAAGGAAGACTGCACCCTCGACGACCTCATCACCGCCCACACCAAATACCTCACCTCCATCACCCACAAGGGTCTCCTCGGTGCTCGCCGCCGACAATACCACGACTCCCTCAAAGAAGCCGCAGCAGCAGCAGCCGCCGCAACCAACCAACCAACCACCACCACCAACCCATCAGACCCCAACTCTACCACCACAGGCGATCCCACCAACCCCACGACCAACCCGCCCCCCTCCACCTTCGGCATCGCCGCCTCCGAAGACCGCAACTCCTACATGGTCCAACTCAGCGAACTCCTCCGCATCATGCTCGCCTACCGCGACTCCGTCGACGGCCTCTACAGCTGGTCCCTGTCCGACTTCACCCGCCGCCAAGAAGCCGACGCCGTCAGTCTCATGATGCACCGCAGCAAGAAACCTCGTATCGCAGGCGGCCGCAACCCAACAAGCAGTAGCATGGACCTCGACGACCCCTTCATCAACACCACTACTTCCTCCGGAAGCGGCGGACCCGCCGCGGATGATTCAGGCCATGACGGGACGACGCCCAAGTCAGAGTTACCCGCGCTGCAGGTGCGGTTGAGACAGCTCGGGGCCGGGTTTAAGGCGCATTTGCAGGGGCTGTTGGGGGATTTGGCGTACCAGCCGGATGTGGATATGCGGTTTTTGGGGGTGTCGATGAATTTTAATGATGTGTATCAGCCGGTTAAGCGGAAGAGGGGGCAGGCTTAGGCTTAAGCGTAGGGGTAGGTATAGGCAGGCGCAGGTGCAGGTGCAGGCATAGGCGGAGTAGAGAGCGTGGGGATGGAAAAGCTGTACGATTTATCTGACATCTTTCTGGGCGGCGCTCCGAGGCGATTGTTGGTATGGAAGGCTGTTATCGTTGACATTAGCTGGTGGCGCATCGTAACTGGCGGCGTTTTCAAGTGGGTTATTATCCATCTGGTGGTTAGCTTGATAAGTTGACATTGAAAATAGGTGTTGTTGGGATCTCTTGGACGCATGCATAGCATTACTTACGGCGGTGGGTTGGTCGGTGGTCGGGTTTGAGAGGGTAGAAATGCATACATCTGACTTTGTTTGTTCAATACATGCACCGTGGTATATTCTGGTTATGTGACTCGCTATCCGTACCGTAGCCCCTTTTATATCGACCATCTCACCGTTTTCATTCCCGGTTGTATCCCCAGAACCAGTTTCCCACATTAGTATCCCACATGCCCATCCCATCCCATCACCATTTTAACCCCTATAACCCAAGACCCAAAACTCCTCCATCAGCTAAATCACAACCACTCAACCCCCCACGTCACCTCCCCCGCGCGAAACGGCACAACCTCCACCTCCACCCCGTCCTCACCCTTCCCACGAAGCGACTCCTCGACCCGTGCCGCTCCCCGTGTCAGACGGATCTGTGGCAGACCTGTGGTGGGCAGACCGTAAAAAGCTCGACCGTACCGCGAAAGAAATCCGCTGAGCACGTCGTCGGTTACGGAGGAGGCGGGGATGTCGTTTCGGGCGATGGCTTCTTCTAGGGCTGTGAGAACCTGGGGTTTTTTTCGTTAGTTTAGTTGAGGGGAAGGATGTGGTGAGGAAAGGTGGAAAGGGGGAAGGGGGAAATGAAAGGGGAATATACGTAGCCGAGAGCGTAAGGCTGGGTGAAGACGCCGGCGGCGGTGTTGCCTTTGCCCTTTTTGGAGGAGATGTCATGGGCTGTTTGTTGGTGAACAGGAGTTAGTATCAGGCTTTTTGGTACCGGAATGGGTGATGACTTACGAGCGCTGTCGGTGCCGAGGAAGAACTTGCCGTTGCTTGTGACGACGGCGTTGAGGAGGGCGCGGCGGTCTTCGGGTGTCTTGGCTGCGGGTTTGCAGTAGTGGTGCTGGGGTTCTTAGTTAACTGTGGAAATACATAATGAGGGGAGGAGGGACGTACCACATTGGCGGACCAGTCGTCGACGAGAAGCGAGAGGTGGTGGGCGGTCTTTCGGACCCCAGTCAGCAATTGCGTAACCTTACTGTACTTCCCTCGAGATACGTACGATCGTCCCCACAACATTATCCCCCAGCGACCGTACCGCCTCAACCGCATCAGCCGTGGTGCAGTGCTCCAGCACAATCTTGAGCTTGGGGTACTTCTCGACCAAGCCCTTGAGCACCGGCAGGAACCTGGCCTCGGCATTCATGACCGTCACATTGTCGGCCGCGCTGCTGGGTACCTCGCCGTGCAGGTTCAGCACGAGGCCTTCCTCTTCCATTGCCTTGAGCACGTCGTGGAAGGGGTCGAAGGAGACGACGCCCCATTGGGAGTTGGTTGTTGCGCCGCGGGGGTAGGCCTGGGGTAGTTAATACTAGGGGACTCATACAATCATATCAAACAAGGTGGGTAGGAAAAAAGGGGGGTTAAAAGGGGGGAAATGTAAATCAATACCTTAACACCAAAAACCCCCGCGCTCTTCGCCTTCCGAATCTCCTCAGGCGTAATACTCTCATGCAAATACAGCGACATAAGATAATTAACCCCCGAATCCAGCTGCACCAACGCATCTTTATAAGCCAGGGCCTCATCAACCGACACAACAGGCCGCGGAGCCAAGTTGGGCATGACAAAGACGGTGTCGATGCCGGCCTTGCGGATGGTGGGCGTGACGAGGCTCGCGATGGGACCTGGGGCGTTGCGCAGGTGCACGTGCATGTCGGCTGCCGCCGGGATGATGTAGCTGTCTTTGAGGGCGGGCATTTTGTCGGATTATTTGGGTATTTTTTCTGGTTTGTTTTGTTTTATCCTGTTTTGTTTTACTGCCACTTTGCATGTTGTAATGAACGCCCAACTAAAGCTCTCATGGAGGGGCATGGAGGGGCTCTGAAGTTCATGGTGGGGCTTGTCTCCTTGCCGAAAAGCCTTGGCAGGGGAAGTGTCTCGGCAAGGGTTAGGGTTGATCTGAGACATTGATGGCGATCTCCTGCAGAGGCTGCAGGTGCTTCGTTCCCTGTGCCTCGTGGCCTTTAGTGTGAGTTTTAGAAATGTCACGTCAGCTCTATTCTCCTAGAAACGGACGGGACGGGTTTGTGAAGGTTTACTCTGATAAGGATTGCGTACATGTTGTGGACTTTTGTTCTGGGCCCTTGAAGAAGGACCCCAATCCTCCACTCCCTCCGGAAGCCCTTACAAATCAGGGAACAATCACAAAAAGTCTCCGGAAGGACGTTCGCGAGTCAACCAACAAGACCCCGGACGGCAAACACAATGTGACGGGTAAATTGATACGTCCATTAGGATTCTTCTGTCTTCTCATCTATTTGTTACCTTTTGTCTACTTATTTTTTTCGAATAGTCCGACTCAATTGGTGTCTGCGGACCTTAGGGACCTGTCAAATCTGATTGATTGTTGTACATACGAATACTGTGTATGGGACCGTTCATTTAAACCGAGGTGCAACTGAACATTAACACAATGTCCCACCTCGACACGCGCCATCACGGCGACGACGGCGAGACCGACAGCTCCGTCACCGTCTCACCAACCGCGACAACCACCGAAAACACCCCGCTTCTCTCTTCCGGATCCAGCTCAATCACCATTCGAGATGGCTCGCCCGCGAGAGAGCAGCAGCAGCATCAACCGGACCCCATTGCGGCATCAGAGAAGCGCCTTGGCTGGAAGCGGACGGCGTGTATCGTTTCCAGCATGTGGGTGTTGATCTTTCTGCAGGGTGAGTTCTATTCCCGCTTTGTTTTCATCATCGAGTACACATACCCGGAGAAGAAAACTGACCAACCCAGCAAGCAACATGAGCGGCATGTCCACGGCCCAATCCACCATCGCCGCCGACCTGGACTCCTACGAGTCCGCCATGTGGTTCACCAGCGCCTACATGATCAGCATGTCCTCGGTCGCGCCCCTAGCCGGCCGGCTGTCGATGATCTTCTCGTCGGCGACCATGATCTTGTTATCGTCGGGGTGCTTTGCCGTGGGGGCTTTGGTTACTGCGTTGGCGCCGAGTTTTGGCGTGTTTATTCTGGGGAGGGTGTTGTTGGGGATTGGGAGCGGGGGGATCATGACGTTGTGTATGATTGTGGTCATTCAGCTTACGTCGCAGAAGAGGAGGGGGTTGTGGATTGGGTTGACTAATGCGGTGAGTGTTGTGTTTCACGGCAGGTTGTCAAGTGGGAGTATGCATGTGGGCTGACAATGACATGTGTCGTAGGGGTTTACGATTGGTGTGTCGGCGGGTGCTATTGTGTTTGGAGCTTTGCTGCCGGTCTTGGGATGGGTAAGTGTTCTGAGGGCATAAAGTGTCGTGTATAAGGCTAACGGTCTCAGCGGCTCCTATTCGGAGCTCAAGCACCCCTGGCCGCGATCGCTGGCCTCGGTGTCACCCTCAGCATCCCCCGCTTTGCCACCGACGAGCATGTCAAGGATCGAACGACTCGACAAAAGCTAGCCGGTATCGACTATGCCGGCGCGGCCTCTTTGGTAAGTCGCCTAAATTCTCCCAAGTGGAAAAGTTGAGAAGGGCAGTCTAACACCCCCAGACCATAACAATCGTCCTCTTCCTCTACGGCCTCTCAGGCACAATCCAGCCGCTCCCCATCCTCCTCTCCATCCTCTCCCTCGCCATCTTCCTCCTCGTCGAGTCCCGCGCCAGCGACCCCGTCATCCCGCTCGCCGTCATCCGCTCCCGCGGCGTTCTCCTCTCTTGCTTCTCCCAACTCGGCTTCATGGCCGCCCGCTGGACAGTCCTCTTCTACGCGCCCATGTTTGTCCTCGCTGTCCGCGGGTTACCGCCTGCTATTGCTGGGTCTGTGTTGGTGCCTACCAACGCTGGGTTTGGTCTTGGTGGGTTGTTGGTGGGTGCGCTGCATATCCGGCACGCGGGGTCGTTTTGGTTGGGGAGTCTGCTGTCGCTGGCGGCGTTTTCACTGGCGCTGTTTGCGCTGTCGTTTTTTAGCAAGGCAGAGGCGTCGGTGGGTGGCTATGTTGCGATTTTGTTTGCTAACGGGTTGGGCACGGGTGCCGCGCTCACGTACACGCTTGCTCATCTACTCCATCTCACCCGCCCGGAGGTGCATTTTATCGTCACGGGTTTGTTGTCCACCTTCCGGGGGTTTGCGGGGAGTTTTGGGACGGCCATTGGAGGCGGTGTGTTCACGCGAACGCTGCGGGATGCTCTCACCGAGGGGTTCAGGAGACTAGATGGCGGAGAGCAGTTAGACAAGGCGAGGGAGAAGCTGATCACGGTGTTGATCGGTAGCCCGGCGGCTGTCTGGCAGGGCGGGGTGTTGAATGCGGCGGAAAGAGTGGTGGCTGTGACTGGGTATGAGCGGGCGATGGATGTTCTGTATAAGTCGGCGGCTGCGATGTGCGTGTTGGTGTTGGTCATGCAGGCCGGGACGGGGTGGGCTGCGCCGGCGGGGGTGAAGGATGAGGATGAGGAGTTTGAGGAGGCTGTTGCGGAGAGTGATCGGGCTATGGAGGCTTGATGTTTCTAGAGGGCATAATTGTTTCTGAAGGGGAATAGCCTGCCTGTCTGTCTCAACGAGATAGTTTGTAATTTAAGCAACGTTGTCACTCCCTGCATACGCAGTATCGCGTACAGCCCATGTGGCCATGTTACAACGGCTTGATTTTAGTGACAACGCGCTGAGACAACGCCCTAGGAGAAAGCTCGGACATTCGGCAATACCCACTTCCACTCTTCGCTGAAGTACTGAAGCAGTGAAGAGGCACATTTCCCTCAACACTGCCAAGGATCGCAGCACATGGCCACCGGTCTCAAGATCGAGCACAAGAAGCGCCGAGACTACTCCGTATCGGTGGCCGAGAAGGGGAGAGAGAGATTTGAGAGAGAAAAACAAGCAAAGCACGAGGCCCCTCACCGAAGGATCTCCCCGCGCTTTCCCCGCTGGGACGGCATACATCACATCCCTCCAAGATTATCCCTCCAACATCATCCCTCATCAAGTTACACAGTATAGGCATGTCAAGCATGTATGTCAGTGAGCAGCACCGGCTGACCGGGTCAAGGATCTGAGTGACCAAACCCCCGCCAAGGCAAGCTCGGCAAGCGAGTCTCGCAAGGACTGCTCGCAAGACACGAGCCGCCCAGGACCAGGGGGGGTTCTTTCGAACGGCGTCCAGTGCGATTCGACGCGATTGGCTGGGTGTTTCAACTGACGATGTCATTGCATGGGATTTACATGGGGGAGGCTCGGTGGGTGCGGGGCTCAGCGTTGGGCTTTTTTTATTTTCTTGGGTCTTGGGGGGAGGTTTTTTTGGGCGGAATTCGCGGGGTGTTCCAAATCACGAATCACCAACCAGCCAAGATTCCCAATCACCAGGCAGGCAAGCTTCCCCAATCATCATCATCCCTGTGCTGGAGGCGTCGTGTAGAAAAAGTCCCGCTGCCCAATTGAGCGAGTCTTTTTTTCGTCTTCCCGTCTTTCACTAGTGGGGTGTAGCCCCCATTTTGCCCGGCTTGAGGGCTTACTGTGCAGCTACAGTACTTGAGTACATAGAAGCCATGCCCTCGGTTACCAGTGAGATTCTACAGTTCGGTCATCGATGCAACGTTGGAAAGCGGTGAGGCGGGAATCGCTGCGGGAACGGGTTGGCTTCAAGGATCTGACGACAAGAATTGATGGACGAAGGATGTTGTGGGAAGCAAAAAGGCTGTGGCACTGCCAACTAGTCTCGTAGTGTAAATGGGCCGCGGGGGGCCTTTTTTTCTTACTTACTGTTGCTGGTTCCTTTCCGTAGCTCGTTGCCTTCTTTTCCTATCGTTTCTACTCTTCTTGCTCTTCTCCCTTCTCTCACGACTCACGATACATACTGTGTAGACGATCGTTCAACCTTGGAAGAAATTGTTTGCTACACAACGGCCTCGAACCTTCGATTCCTCTTTTTGACCCTCTCGCTCAACTGGATGCTCAAGAGTACCCACCCTCCTGACTCGCAACGAACAATCATTTTGAAAAGCATGGACATTGTTTGAGTTTCGTCCCATTTCGTCCGATTACACACGCCCACACTTTTCCTTTTGGACTCAGGGAAAGCTGTACAAAAATCATCAGACGGTCCACACCACACAGCAAACTCTCTCTCACAAGTCCTATCCTTCGCATTCAGTCCGAGATTCCGATAAGGCTACCTAGCCTAGGCTGGGCTCTATCAAGCTCTGCCCGAGTCAACTCGACGAAGACGGGACGGCAAACACACACAACCTTTGCTCTCATCATCCACCATCGCCCATCAACCATCCGCCTTGTCTTTTTTTCGTTCTTCTCTAGCTAGGGTTGACGAACAACCAAACCGTCCGACCTTTTGAAGGAAGGGGGACCGACCTAGAAGCGATATGGCCGAGAGACGACTATTATCCCACCACCGGATCGCTGTCTTGCTGTCTGGTCGAGGAACGGCTTATGTGCTGCGAGTGCGAGGTGAGGGGGCTAGGAGAGGTGTGCAGTGACGGGATATATATCTTTGTCTTTGACGGGTGTGTTGAGGGAACTCTCTCTCTCTCGTTTGCTCAAAACACCAGAACTGGTCTGGTCTGGTCTGGTCTGGCCTAAACTAGATGTACACATCACATCACCCAAAGCCAACATGGACACCACCAACCCACGGGACATTCAACCCATAGCCTCAACCTTCCCCGACCGGGGCCCAGCCGTCTTCGCAGTAACAACCGCCACGCTGGGGCTAGCGACCCTGTTCGTCGCCGCCCGGCTGGTCTCACGCATCGGCCTGGTGCGGCGCACGGGCTGGGATGATTATATGATTGTGCTGGCGTGGCTGTTGGCGGTGTTTCTGGGGTTGAGTATTGATTTGGGGACGAGGGAGGGATTGGGGAGACATGATGAGGATATTGAAGACGAAAGAAGGGGGGTGTTGAGGATGTGTGAATATGTTTTTTCTATTCTTTATGTAAGTTCTCACGCACACCCCCACAACGTAAGAAGTACAATGAAAAGGGGTAAGGGAAGACTAACAAAAAAAAGAACCCCGCGCTCATGGCAACCAAAACCTCCATCCTCATATTCTACCTCCGCCTCTCGAAAAACACCCAAAAAGTCCTCCGCCTCGCCTCCTGGGCCGTTTTGGGAGTTGTCAACCTCGCCGGCACCATCCTCACCTTCCTCAACATCTTCCAATGCACGCCCACCCGCGCCGCCTGGGACATCCACACGCCCCCCATCCGCTGCATCCCGCTTCTCACCGAGTTCATCTGCTCAGCCCCCGTCAACATCACGACCGACCTGGCCATTCTAGCTCTGCCCATCCCCGTGCTGACGGGTATGCGGCTACCGCCGCGGCAGAAGACCATTTTGGTGTTGACGTTTACTCTGGGGGTGTTTGTGACGATAGTGGATGTGGTGCGGATTTATTATCTCCAGCAGGCGATCGATCATGTGCCGACCAGTGCATCGGCGGATCCGTCGGCGGCGTTTGGGATGAGTGTGGATTTCTCGTGGAATGCTTCGTTCTCGTTGATGTGGTCGGCCGTGGAGGTCAATGTGGGGATTATTTGTGCGTGTATTCCGACGTTGAAGCCGTTGATTATTCGGATTCTGCCGGCGATGATTATTGATCCGGATGGGACGTTGAGGAGTAGTACGGGGACGGTTGATAGTACTACGGCGAGTGCGAAGGATGAGCGCGGAGGCGTAGCTGCTGGAGGAGAGTCGGTGGGGATTCAGGTGGCTATTCCGGCTCCGACGTTGTCGTTGACACCGCCGGCTGAGGAGGAAGATACGGCGTCTCCTTCGCTGCTTGGTCTGGGGTCCCAATCGGGGTCAGAAGATATCTCGATCCGGGATTTCCTCGCTACTACCTCTCCGAATCCCACTCACCCTTATCATCACCACCACCACCACCATCACAGCCATCATAATCACAACCACCGCCGTTCCATCCTCACCGACACCACAACCATGACGACCACCACCTCAGCAACCACCAACACAACAGCCCACCGCCACTCCTGGCAATCCCGCCACTCCCGCCGATCCTCCCGACAAGTCTACTTCGGCTTCGTCAACATGCGCCCCCCCAAAAACCTCCTCACCACCTCCCTCCGCGACTCCCTGCGGTACGGCACCGTAACCAGCATCCTGTTCTTTCTCTGGGGGTTTTCCTACGGTCTGCTCAATACCCTCAACAATGCGGTGGCTGCGGTGGCGAATATGACGCAGGCGCAGACGCTGGGACTGACGGCGGTGTATTTTGGCGGGGGGTATTTGTTGGGACCGTTGTTGGTGGGCGGGTGGTTGTTGAGACATGATGAACATCATCGGTTGAGGGGGGAGTGTGCAAGGACTGCTGAGGGGGGTCTTAATGGGGATCCTGATCCAAATCTTGGAGGGGACAGGGTGAGAGCCACACGAAGACGGCCCGGACGAAGAAGACCCCGACGAAGAAGAACCGGAGACGAGTCAGTTGGCGGGTTTAAAGCAACCTTCATTGCAGGCCTCTGCATCTACGGCGCCGGTACCATCATGTTCTGGCCCGGAGCCGTCGTGGGATCCTACGGCGGGTTCATGGCCAGCAGTTTCGTCGTCGGTTTCGGACTCGCCGTGCTCGAGACAGCCGCCAACCCCTTTCTCATCCTCTGCGGTCCGCCCGAGTACGCCGATGCCCGGCTGCTGCTTGCTCAGGCCGTCCAGGCCGTTGGGAGTGTCCTCAGCGGTTTGCTCGCTGACCGTGTCTTTTTCGCTGCTCGTCTCGAACGGGGCCACTCCGACTCTTCAACTTCTTCCCCCGGGTCCTCCTCCACCATCCTCATCGAAGTCCAATGGACCTACCTCGCCATCACCTTGTCGTCTGTCCTCCTCGCCCTCTTCTTCTTCTACATGCCCCTCCCCGAAGTAACCGACGCCGAGCTCGCCTTCTCCGCCGCCCACCGCTCCCGCAACCTCCCCATCCCCCCCGAACGCAAATCCGTCGCCGGTATCTCCCTCCGCACCTGGGCCCTCTCCCTCGCCGTGCTAGCGCAATGGTGCTACGTCTCAGCGCAGGAGAACATGTCGCTGTTTTTTGACCAGCTCATCTCGGCGTTTGTGACCCCCGTGAATGGCGATCGGGATGCGGCGTTGGCTTCTCCGCAGGCGAGGGGGGCCGCGGGAGGTGGAGGGCCCGGTGGGTTGGCGTTGTCGTTGCCGAATTACTTGTTTGTGGCGCATACGGCGTTTGCGGTGTCGAGGTTTGCGGCCGCGGGGGTGTGTATTTGGGCTGTGCAGCGGGAGCAGAACAAGTCTCCTGCATTATCCCCATCATCACAAGCAGTATCATCCTCCGGTTCTTCTCCCCCAGCACTACCCGACGACAACCTCACCATCAACCCCCCCAACAACCCCAACACTCACAAAACCAACAAATATACCAACGCCCCCTTGACCCTCCTCCTCCTCTCCATCCTCCTCTCAACCCTCTCTCTTCTCACCGCCCTGACCCTCCACCCCTCAACAACAAACCCTAACCTCGCCACCCTCCCCATCCTCCTCTTCTTCTTCTTCGAAGGCCCCATCTGGCCCCTCATCTTCTCCCTCGGCCTACGCGGTCAGGGAGTCCGTACTAAGCAGGCCGCTGCGTGGTTGACTATGGGGGGTTGTGGGCCGGGGGTGTGGCCTTTTGTTAGTTATGGGATTTTGCAACGAAGTCAGGGAGGAGAAAGGAATGTGCAGGTGTCGTTGGTGGTGGTTGTTGTGTTGATGGCGGTTGCGGGGGTTTATCCGGGGTTTTTGATGGTGGTTAGGGGGGGAAGGGAGATGGTGGGGTTGCAGATGCCGATCTCTGGAAGGTCTGGAAGGGGAGGAAGTGGTGATGATCATGATATGGGTGGCCGTAACGGTAACGGCAACGGCAACGGCAACGATAACGGTAACGGTAACGAAAGCGACGACGACGACGACGACGACAACGACGACGACAACGACGACGACGACGACAACGACGACGATAACGACGACGACAACGACGACGACAACGGCACCACCACCAGCAGCAGCAGTGGTCACAACAACGACATTGGACAGACCCAGCAGCATGACAGCAAAAACCGCGGTTCACTCAGCCAGCATTTGTTTCCTGGCTGGTCGCATCATCACAACACCACACGATCGTCGCACCAGGCACAGCAGAGTGGGCACAGAGAGGAAAAGGAAAAGGAGGATGCGCCGTGGGAGAGTCAGGTGTTGGATACGAGAATTTTGCGGGATATGCCTTAGGTTTACGGGCCGGGTGTTTTTTATCTGTTATTTTTCGGTTTTTTTTTTTGGTTTCTTTTGGTCTTTTTTTTTGGTTTCGTTTTAAGGTCTGTCTTGTTTGAGCGGAGCGCATGTTAGTGAACATTTCGGAGCATGATCTGGGGTTGGTGTAGGAGTTTGGTCGGTTTCATGAAAGCGGATGTTGCGAGCGAAAGACACTGATAGATACCCCAGGGTTGGTTGAGAGCGTTGGTTGCTCCTTACAAAACACATGAAATAACGTTGAAATGACAAGTAAATATAAATAAATAAATAAATACATAATCCTTATGATTTATTCCTTCGTCTGCTGTGGGCATTTATACGAGCTACTTCGTGGACATCATGTTTCGAGCCCGTCGTTTCGAGGTGCATTAGGTATCCCAACGTTGTATCCGTAACCTCTTCTCACCTCCTTTTCTTACCTCAACAAACCAGCACGGGAATACATCCATGTATGTACCCCCATTCCGCTGTTAACACATCACAACATCCATAAAACTCTCACGCATCAACCCAACATCAATGACACAGTAGCCCATTGTTTCACTAACAATCATTTATACAGGGTATCGTACTATTTACGAACAACCAACTCCCCTCTTACCCCCTTTACCCCTTTCACCCCCTTTACCCGGCTTTCCTTTCCCCTTACCCCCCTTCCTTAACCCCCTTCAACAACCCATACACCCCCGTATGTCCTGCCCAGGCCCAGATACTACTATCCCGTATTAGGAGCCCCATTCAAAAAGAAATCCAACTCGGGCCCCACACCCCCCATAAACGACTCATTCTCCGCCAACTGCTCCAACAAACTCAAAAACGGATCTTTTTCCTCCCCCGGCCCCGTCGTCGCCGCGCTCTCGTGTGGACTGGTGTCTTTGGGTGTTGAACCCGTTCCTGCTCCTGTTGCTGGTCCTGCCCCTCCTGCTGTTGTCCCGGCTGTTGCGTTCGCGTTCGCGTTCGCGTTTGGCCCGGCTGGGTTGGGGTTTGAAGTTGGATTTGGATTTGGATTTGGATTTGGATTTGGATTTGGATTTGGATTTGGATTCGCCTCGTCACCGTGCCAGGCAGTCGGTGTACTAAAAGCGTTGGTAGGGATCCCGCCAAACATGGGATCAAAAGTCTGCTGCGGGTGGTGGTTGGTGGGTGTTGGACCGCCGGGGAGCTGGGCAAAGTTGAAAGACCCTGCAAACGCGCCGTTACTGATGCCGTGGAAACCATGTGCTGCTGCTGCCGCTAAGTCTGCCGGTGGGTTGTTGGGATTAGCGGTACCGTTGCCCATGGAGAAGCCCGGTATGCCGTGTGCCGCGGCACTGCTGCCCCCCGGGCCATGCCTCGCGTTTGGTCGTCGGTGTGGTGGGAGCGGGTCATGTGGAGAAGTTAGCGATGTTGGTGTTTGGATGATACTCGGTGAAAAGAGAGGGCGGTCCGCGGTGGATGGCGTGGATAGCGAGGGTGTAGGCGGCGGGTTCATGGTGTTGAGAGCCATCAGACTCTTCAGGTCTGGCCGCGGGCGCCCCGAAGGAGCCGTGTTCTTCCTTTTAAGATTCGGACGCGACTGGGCCCCTTCTGTGGCACTGGGGCGTGGCGCGTGGAGGGTCTGCCCCGGGTATGTATCGGCCGTGAAATCGACCACGACATCGGCAAGGCTGAGGTTGGCCGAATCGAAACTGAAGCTCTGCCCTCCCGGACCCCCAATGTTGGAGTACCGGTCAAAGAAATCTTCTAGGGTAAACACCGGCGAGTATCGCGTCGGACTCTGGGCAATGCTCTTGACGAGTTCCGAGTGCGCGTTGTAGATCCCCTGGAGCGTCTCGCGTTGGTGTTGGACGCTGGCCCAGGCGTACCGTAGCTCGCTGAGCTGCTGCATCTCCCGAGACAAAAAATCGGTCGACGAGCTGAAGACGTTGACTTCTCCAGCGGCCCCGATCCGGCTGTAGTGTGCTCCGTGAATATGGACCGTGCCGGCCGTGCAGATGCAGTATCCCACAAAGGCCGGCCACTCGACGGAGGCCATTTGTTTGCCGAGTTCCACCAGCTCTGCAATGGCGTTGGCGTGCAAGAAGCACATATTGGTGGCTTCGATTTGCCACGACTGGTGCTGCCCAGACCCAGCGAGCTCGGCCAGGTCAATGGGGAGGAATGGGCGGTAGATGAGGCAGTGGATGAGATGGTATATCAGCTTGCTCAAAACAAGCACGGTGGAATCGGGCTGCCCGAAGAGCGACTCCACGCTGGAAAACACGTCCTCACTTCCAGATGCCCACACGTCCAGGTCTTGGCGGATCTTGGAGAGGTTGGACAACGAGTGCCATGGGAAGTGGGAGTCCCCTTTGACGCCGCCGGCTGCCAAGTACTGGTTGGTCGTCCCCAAAATACGGCAAATATCAATGAGCATCCCGTTGCTTCCCTGTGGTTTCTTGCCACCCCCCTGAAGTTGCTGTAGGTTCGTGTAACTCTGAAAGAAGTCTCCTTCCATCGGTATTGAGGTAGGGCTGGGGAACCAACATGGAAGCCGCAAAACTATGGCCCGGTCCGAGATGAGAGAAGGCCTCTTCGACCCGCAAGATAGGAAGCGATCGAGCAGGTAACATGTCCAGAACAGTCGCCGGCGGGTTTCTCGTTCGATTGGCGTGATGCGGGCGCCCATATCGAGCTCTCTGTGCAGCTCCAGGGCCATGGCCATACCGACAGCACTCGCTATTAACCTGTCAGTTAGAACTCACAAGACGCGGCCTTTTGACGAGAAAAAAAAAAAAAGACGTACTCAGCAGCATGTACGCTTTCTTCCCCTTCCCAGAGGCGGTAAAAGCAGTCACAAGCAGCACTAGACCCTGCAAGGCATCGATAGACGGCTCATCCGTGTCAATCTCAAATCTTGCTTTAGCGGCATACTCTTCGCTGAGTTTCACAGCAGACTGGTAACCGCTGGGGTGCGGTGCGTATCTAGAAGTGTTGCGTTAGGAACGAAGGCATTAGCATTAGAAGTTGATGGATTTACCTCGCAGCCACTGCGTAGATTGCGTGAACTAGGTAGCCGGGCACCTGATTCAGCTGAAGCCGTTGTCTCAATGTGGACTCATCAAAGACGTGAAAAGGCTTGTCGTGAAAGCGGGCAAAGTAGATGTCGAGTAAGACATCGGGGTCGAACCCTGGGAGGTGTTCACTGTGTTTGAGTTCAAGTTAGACAACACATTGTAATTCGAAAGTTAGAAAGCATACCTGGAGTGACTCGAAGCCAATGTTGCGACGTCTTGATTCTCTTGGCCGACGTCGAGTTTGAGACCAAGCCCCGCGTCCGACGTCGCGGAGGTGGAAGTGGATGCCTCGTGGTCATCTACCACGGGGGTTTCGAGGGTTTCCGTATCAGATTTTGCCTTTTTATCCTTGAGTCGGGCTTCCAGGCCGTCTACTCGCTTCAGTAGAGCTTCTAACACGTCGGTTTTCGGCCCCCTCTTCTTCGGGACGGCGTCTGCGGGAACATATCAACACAGGCGGCTCATGAGAGACAAAAGGAGTTTTTCGCTGGTTCGGAGTCATAACGTACCGTAAATACAAGGACATTGGAAAACCTGGCATGCCTCACAGGCAGGGCGCAGCCGGTTGCACTTGATCTACACCAAGACGTTAGTTATGCCCTCTAGACGAGAGACCGTGCGGGACCTGGGCCACTCTTAGCCATTAAGAGTACCCCACGTACTTTTCGTTTCCGGCATGACTTGCAGTTCATGGATTCTCGTGGCTCATTGCTCATGCGGCGGGTGGGAAGGCGCTCGATGCTGACTTGTGGTCGCGGCATTGGGGCTAGGGGTAGGCGCGGAAGTGCCGCCGGCGGTCCGGGTTCGTAAGGCTGAGCCATCTTGCCGAGGATAGTGTCTTCAAGGATGCATTGAGTGTGAAACGGTTGGTCTGGGAAGCTGCGGTAGGGTAGACGGTCACCGTGTGGTTGTCGGCATGACTCCTCGGGGCGGACGCTACTTTGTCACAACGTCCCCCGGCTTTGTCTTCACAAAGCCACCACAAAGCCACCCCAACGAGTGAGATCGAACTCGATCCTGGCCGTCTCCGCGTTGTCGTTTTAGTAGCGTGATGATGGGAATACAGAAACTAGGAGGAAGTGTGGAAAAATGAGGGAAGTGGTGAAAGGGGCCAATTGCTGGTCGCTTAGTCGTTATTCATTAATTATTCGTCTTTCGTTATCCGTCCTTCGTTCCTAGTGTAGTTCGTCGTCGCCGTCGTGATGGTGCGTCGTCTCAAGATCGGTGGTTGAGGGGTGGGTTCCGCCAGACTAGGAAGCAACCTCTGCTATGCGTCGTTTCACTTCCCTTGCGGATACTTGAATCTTGACGGAAGATACTTAAAAGAATGGACGTGGGCGCGCCGGTCTTCCAAAGTGACAACCAGCCCGGGAGACGGAGGTTGAGAGATGTGAATGAAGACGGATCTGCTCCGGCTGGGTCGGGGGAAGTCAAAAAAAGAGCACGTTGTTGAGCGAAGCACGCGGCATCGGTTAAGGAGCCGGGTAGTTATGAACCCCGGTCTCGACTCGAACGGGGAACCCTCACTCGCATTCATCCCTGACCAGGGTCCCGGGCATCGAACACGATAACTTTTCACGTTGTCCGTGTACTCGAAGGGGTTATCAGCCGAACCGAATGACAGCAGTGGTATCCGTACTCTGCTAAAATATGATGCCGCACTTATATTATCTGTTTGCCCCTTCTCAATGGTCGGGACGATCTAGGGCAAAAGACAAAAGAGCACAAGAGAAGGTCAATTGCGATGATTTCGAACGGCTGGGAATCTTGTCGACAGGGATCCCGGTGGACCCGGTGAGCGCCGACCTCAAGCTGGGCTCAGTAGCCGAAGCGGCTTTGGAAGACAACCTTCAAAAGTTCAACAGCATCATACATGGAAGCGCCGGGGCTGTCTCCTCTTGCGTCGGGTGTGATTTTCGAGCAGAGCAGCATCGGATTCAGAAGAGGAGCGCCAATGGGTGCGCTTCCAGGTTCTGCTGGAAGAGCCGCTGCAGGGGCAAGCACACCTCCCCAGGCAGTGCGGGGAAGAGAGCTGGAGAAGGAATGTGGGGTTTTTGGGGAGCACCTGCAGTTAGGACGAGAACCGTTCTTGCTTTGCTGCGGCGCTTGATTCGTGCGGACCCACACGCGACCGCAAGCTACATACCACCTCACTCACGTTAGTAGCTCCTTCACATGTGGTACACTTCGAAGTACACTAGCTTCGTACTAGCGAGGTGTTTGCCCTTCTTGATGCCGATTCGGAGTGAATCCGCACGCCCTGGACGATCGCTTCGGCTTGGCGGTCTTGAATGTTCCTTCGAGGCGCTTTGAGGAACGATGCATGTCTCAACGGTTGCCACTCCGCAACGGCGATCGCAAAACCAGGACCACGAACCCGCTGGCGGACACCGACAAAAAAAACTCTAAATCCGAAGATCACTCTCGCCTTGTACATACATACGGATAAGGTAGACTACTTCACAACAACACGCTGCCTCTTCCACCCGCTTCCCTCAAAATCTGACGAGGCACGCAGGACACGCAACTTAGGCGTGCATAAACGAAGGCCGACCGCGTGCCCCACGCCGGGAAGGCAAACCTGGAATTTGGAAGCGACTAAGGATCGTGTTCGGTCGTTCCGACGTGCAAGGCACCACAAGCGCCGGGAGAACAGACAAATCCAACCCGCCCTCTCCGGCCGCAGCCGGTCCTTTGTGCTCGCCCAGCTTTTACTATGTAGCTCTCGCCTCTGTCAAGAGCAAAAGGCACAGCAATGTCGTCGAGGCCCCAGTGTCTGGCTGGTTTACCGCTCCAATAGCGGCACATCTCCTGCGAGGCAACGTCCCGATCCGTACAGATGGGTTTAATCTCATCAAGCTTCTTCCCCGGTTTATCGACACCCAGCTCCGCTTCGATGCCCCAATTGGGCCCTTCTCGAACTGGTTGTTGCAACTTGTCAATCGACGGCGCAAGTGGGCTGACCTTTTCTCGAATCCCCCTGGAATCCCTTGGTGAGACCCGGGCGGGCCCGACCCATCTTCAACCCCCTCTGAAAAGGCAGTTAACACAGCGATCTCCTCGGCAGTTCGAAGTTCGGTCGGTGCTGTTCCATTCTCCCGAATTAGCGGACAACAGTGGGGCGTTTGCAACATTTCAGGGGGGTCATCGCTGCCCGTGCTGCTCGGTTACGCGCCACGCGTGGTCCCCCTGCACCCCGCAAATCTCGGTCAACCAGGGACCCCCTGTGCCCGCTACCCACTGCCGTCGATCCTTTTGGAGATGCGCGGACGTTCAACACCCGAGCTCGCCTCTGTCCTCCTGCTTTGTCTCGAGCCCCGACATGGAACTCGATCTCTGGAACGAAACAATGAAAAACAACTTCACATATCTTGCGCTCAAGGATATCGAGCTGAGGAATTAGGTTTCCCCAGACCCTGCCTCGCCTACCATGTCCGGGATAACGGCGAGATTGGCCCGCTGCACCAAGTCACCCGCCCTTCCAGCTCCCAGAGATCTGGGTTGGTTTCATGGAAAGCGGGCCGTCCAAAACCCACCGGCGCCTGCCCGTTTCATGGTTCGAGAAACCGCCTTGTCGTGATGATCAGCAATCAGGCGTTGAAGACGTGGTTCCTGACAGAGGGATATCCAGCCCCGAAGGGTCAAACACGAGACGTACACTAAACCGTGTTCTGGTTTGAAAAACACGGCTCCGGTGGCTTAACATCTGGTAATTATGGTAAAATTACCAAAGGTACGTGTACAGAGGGTTTCGAGCTTTTGGCTGCCGTTTAACCCCCGCCAAATGGATCGTCCCCCACAGCTTCAGCCCTGTCGTCTGAGTCCCGTGTTTGCATGTTTTTTTTGCGCATCGTCTTGTCGCCTTCTGCCCGAGGCGCGTGCGGAAGAATCTCACTCTATCGGACCGAAACCCCTCCGACCTGCACCCTCACAGAACAGGGCAAGCTGCATGGCTTCGGCTTTCCGGGCGGCTCTCCGACAGAGCTCGTCATGCGAGTTGTCTTAGCTCCCCACGGACCTTCGCCGGATTTTCGAGCCCAGGGTTGTTTGGCCACCGAACTTCGATTGTCATTGTTGTCAGCGATTATCAACTGCACATCTGACACTCTTGAACAGGGATGGGAATGTTCGCTTTCGCTTTCTTGGCGCTACACAACATCTTCGATTCCGACTTTCGGCAGTCTACTCGAGTTACATGTGTAACAGGAAGGTCTAACTGTTACGAAGTGCCTCGGCCTTGAACTTCGATTTCAGAACTCGAGCGGTGAACGCATCATTGCATGCCCAGACAACCGCAACCGTCTAGCTGCATGGAATCTCCCAACGTGACCTCGCTCAATAACTAGTTAAGATCTCGTCAAGGCGGGCCGGTTCCGCTCAAGAGGTGGAAGTACGCTACGGTCCCCTTCGCTACACCAAAACGAGATGCCGCCAAGAAAATGAAATACCGACACATACCGAGAGACTAACGATATCAAGTCGATCCCCAAGATCCCCTCGCCCGAGCCTCAACGGCTGCGCGGACCATACCACCGCCACCGTCGCCTGTTGTGTTGTCACGGCACTTTCACACTTGATCGCTTGGTGCCGGTGTAACAGGGGGTTTCCGGCATGGTCAAGTGAATGAGATCCTGTCCCCCTCGTCCTGATTCAAAATATGCCGGCCCGAGATGAACCTTGACCACATCTCGGCCACGGAGCTTATTCCGGTGTATTCTCTAGTGTGTCTTGGCATTGAGATCGCGTGTCTTTTCCAAAGTTTCAGAGATGCAAATGCTGTCGTGTCCTTGACTTGTCTTCATACCGGCCTGTTATTTCTCTAGGACTTTGCTCAAGTGTAAAAAGATGTCAAACTGCCATGACACGAGACAACTGTGTTTTCCCATAGACCGATTCTCTCATTGGATCTCTAATGCCTTGTGATTGGCGCTGCTATTAGTGTAGCATGTGTGTAGGAAGCGAGGGCCTTTGCATAAGTCTATGTGGGACTGGTGGTGACCTTCACCGTTTTAGTAATTCTCTCCTCGGCATTTATACTGATATCTTCAGAGAGCGGCTTTAAACCGGTTGGGGGGGGCGTGTGAGTGAGGGTGAGGAGGTATATCAAATATCAAGAAATGTAAGGATGTATTTGAGAAAGCTGAACGGGCTGAACATCTTTGAAGTATATCTGCTAGGCCCGTGTTGTAGGAGTGTAGTTTCAACATGGAGGATATATACCTATGGGGACTTGACAACGAAAACCAAGCTAACAAAAGAAAAAGAAAAGCTCAAAGTTCAAAATGCTAAAACATTTAGCAAACCCCCCACATTCACCCATCCAGTCTCAGCCCTCCCTTCCCACCAATGGATGCAATGGCTGGTCAAAACAAACAGACCGCAAAGGGAGATTCACATCCGCCCCACACTCCGAAATGCATGCGTACATGTATGACCCCTTTCCCAGATGACGGGCCCGTCCTGATCCTGATCCTGATGCATGCTTGACGTGACTTCTTTCCTTCTTTCTTTCCTTTCTCTTCCCTTTCAACATGTCTAACTTCCAAACAACTCAAATGCCGAGTCTGCAACTCACTCTACTGCTTCCCAGTTCCGTCCTTCCTGGTCCTGGCCTTGCTCTTGCTCTTGCTCCCCTATTTAACCTAACCGACTTTCTCACCTGCAAACCCGCGGCGAAAAGAATGACAATAACAGGCTAAATGCTGCGTGTGTGTTGTAAAGCGGGCTGTGCTGAGCCCTCAATTCGGTGCGTGCCGTATGCGGTGGCAGACGTATGTGTGCGGATGTGTGTGTGCGAATGTGTGTATACGGTAAACGGGAAGGTATTCGGTAGGCGTATGGGCATGTGGGCGTGTGGGCGTGTGGGCTTGTAAGCCCAGGGTCTCTGCCCGGCCCCATGGTGGTGTTTCGGTGGTGCTTCAGGGGTGCTGACTCAATCCTAACGCCCCGAGTTAACCCATTCAGTCCAGAAGTTCACTTCGTCGTCGATATTTGTTGCCTTTTGCTGGGCGACTTGGCGCCAGGCTTGGAGTTGGGGTTTGCCGGGGTATCGCGAGGGGGCCGAGGGTTGGGTGTCTTCGTAAAAAGGGGGGGGAGCTATCCATGGATGCGTCCTCGGTTTCGGTGCGTTGGTTCGTGGCAGTTTCAGTGACGCATACCAACGATAAACCTCGGCCCGTCGCTTTCGGGGTTGGTCCCCCAGCTCAGATACTTTCCGCCCTATACCACCGTCTGCCGTACAGATGAGACCCTCAAAATAACGTCCGCCCACTCGCAAGCCGAACAAAGCTATAAGGCACATTCTGTCCAACCAACAACCGCAGCGTTTCCACCGTAGTAAACGCCGTAACATCCGCCGCGCCGTACGCCGCAAATCCGCTCTGCTCGGCAATCAGGCCCGGGTCCCCCTTACGCGAAGCCGACCGGTCCGCCAGATCTAAAAACACCTTCCGCGAGTTTGCCGACGGCTCCCGTGACCCAAACAAGCGCACCAGCATCCCAACAAGCGTGCTCTTCTCTGGCCCCAGAGCGCTGACGACGAGGAAGGGAGATCCTCCCCCTCCCATCCCGATGTCCGCACCATTCGCCCCGTTTGCCCCGACCGTTCGTGCTCGTTGGATACTCTCTAAGCTGGTGAAGGGTTCGATGAGGAGGTCTTTGCCGAATGCCGGTGGTGTTTTGAAGCCGACGGTGTAGACCTTGCCGACTTTGAGGGCCTTGAGGGCGAAGAGGGCGCTGGCGGCTTCCTCGGCTGATGACCCGAGGACAACGGCAGCACAGCCAAAGTAGGCTGATGGGGCCAGGTCTCGCGTCAGGGTGCTTAGTATGCCTTTCCAAGAAGCGTTTTCGAGGACGAGAGAGGTGTTGGGTGGTAGGCCGGATTGCGCGGGTCCCAGGGAGTTATACGAGTCCCCGTTTTTGTGCCGCGGGGGACTCGATGGGATGGATGGTGGTGCGGAGGTCGGGTTGCTGGAAGAAACTGGTCGCACGACAATGGTGTCGACCATTCCGATGAGGCGGGCCGCTTCGCTAATCGTCGGGCCGGATCCGTTGTTGAGAGATGAGAGGAAGTTGCTGTGGCTGGTCAAACTCCTGAGCGAGACGGCCGGGTTGAAATAAGCACCACCAAAGTTCCTCTGGTTGCACCACGCCCCAATGCAGCCGTATCCCTTTGGTAACCACTCCACGACGGCAAACTGGTGGGGCATCCCGAGTTCGTTGAAGCACTTTTCGTAAAAGGGCGCTTGTGGCGTAGCACTCCGCATCGCTGGGCTGGTGATCCCGTACATGTTCTTCCTGGGTAGCTGCCCGAGTAATGAAAGCGCCTGGTTGATCTCGGCGGCGCTCATCTGACCGGGGGCCGCGATGATGGGTAAGAGGGGGTGAGTGATTGGCGTGAAGAATTTGTTGAGAGTCCGAGAAAATTGGCCGATTTCTCCCATATTCAAGGCGGACAAGGGGACGGAATCAGGGTATTTTGATTTGATCTTGGAGCGAAAGTATTCCAGCTCGAAGTTCTCATTGTGGTCGTTGATAATCGCAATCATCTTGACACAGTCAGCGTAGCGTTGTGACTCAAGAAATATCGATTCGGCCTGGTCCGAAGTCCATTTGAAGGTCCCCGAAAAATCGTGGAAGGCCGACATGATGCGGCTGTTGCCCCGCTGCTCATACAACTTCTTCCGGATCGATTCTGGGAGCCAAACCTCGACATCGATGTATTCAACACCCCACTGAAGAGCCCGGTAAAGGTATTCGTAATACAGCCCTGGGTTGTCCATCGGAAACCGGCCGTTTTCGTTGGTACATCTTGTCGTCAGGATGATGGGGAGCTCTGTCCTCTGGCGTAGCAACATGACCTGCTCGCCCACGTAGCTGAGGCTGGGAATGTCGGAGTAGGTCCCATCGGCATGTGGTTCTTTCAGGAGATCGACACGAATCTCGATGGCGTCAGCTCCCACAGTCAAGATATCGATATTCGGCAAAGCGGCATGGACGTCGGGGAAGGTGGTCGAAATAATGAAGGTCCTTGGTTTCTCTATTAGCGCCCGGTGGAGACATAACTGGCCCAAGATGTGCGAAGTAAACCGGGCGAGATCCCGACGGAAAAACGGCGTTTCGGTGTATAGAAACTCGTAGTCGCACTGGGCGGAAAGATAGATATCCGGCGGCATGCCCAGGCCGGTACAGTGGGCGTTGACGGAAACAAGGAGGCCTCGATTTCGTGTCGCGATGTCCTCCTTGGCACTCTCCGCTGGAATTCCCACGACACAATTTTGATCTTGCTGCGTCACGTCCTCGAACCTATTCTTGATCTGCGACGGCTTTCCCAGCACTTCTGCGAAGACGTCGACAATCTTCTCTTGTCCTAGGCCGTACACGATGACCACGATCCTAGTATCCCCTCTTTCCGGCTCGCTGCATAGATGCACATCAGGTTGAACCGGCGGAGATGGGTGTTCCATGTCGACATCTTTGGCAAAAATGCTGCCGTCCATACTTTGCGGCCGCCCTAAGGCTGGGACGGGCCCCGGTGGTTGCACCGCCGCCATGACGAGCTGCGTGACCCCCTGGTTGAACTCGACGTGAGGACTTAACGCCGTGATGACCAGTCTTCAAGCACGTAGATAGGCGGTTTGACGTCCTGTTGGCGCTCACTTTCCACCCCAATCCTCACGAAATAGGTCCTCAAAATCCAACTAAAAGATGAACAAAGCTGCGACAGCGAGATCTAGCCAGCATGGCCTCAATCTCTCGATTGAAAACGTTAGTATTTAGCGAGGCCAGGAACTTAAGGTCGAGGCGAGGGCGGTCAGACTGAGAAGACGAGGAGGACGAGAGTATGGCAAGCCGAGAAATGACGGGACCCGATAAGGCGTTGCTGACGGGAGAGGCAGCTTCGTTCCTTGACCTCAGACGGAGTAGAGAAGTCGGTTTCCTAACGATGAGTGCTGTGAAGTTGAGAGATCGGCGGAGAAGAACAAGGTTGAAGAGAAGACAGAACGGTAGCTTCTCGAAGGATGGGGGGGATATATTGCAGGCTTGCTCTTGACTGAACAACGAAAGTGGCGTGTGATGGTCGAAAGGTGCCTGGAAAGAACCGAAAATGTAGCACTGGGATCACAATGCTCTTTCAACAAGGCTTAATTGGTGAGGTGGCCCGGCATCAGAGCCTCACAAAACAGCCGGGAGCCCGGGGAACACGCGACCGGAAAAAAGAAGGACGAAACGGAGCGGGCCAGGGACAGCGCAAAACGACGATCGGGTTCGAGGAGTGGGTATATCACGACACCGGGGCCGGCCGTGGCATGGCGTTGGCGTTGGCGGAACGGATTCCCGGGAATCGAAAGGCCGTGAGGACAGAAGTGTTGCGAAACACAGGCGGCGTTGTCCAGGAGGTTGATTATGTTAGAATGATACCAGGCGTCGCGTCGGGAGCAGATAACCTGAGCGGCCAATTGCCAAGCCGAATGGAAATTTGGCCGACCTTGTTGTCCCGTTTTGCCCAGGATGGAATGGAGGCGTGAATGAGGCCAGTGAGGACACCGAACAAGGGATTGGAACGGTACGAAAGTGAATTGGGGAATCACCCTGACTGGCTGGCAAGACACCGGGGGGGTGGAGTAGTAGTCCAAGTCCCAAAAGAGACGTGGTGATGTTCCGGTTCCACTGCCCACACTGGAAAACGCCTGATTCTTGGATTCAAGAAGTTCCTCTTCAAAAGGTGACTTTCGAAAAGCAAAGGAATACCTCGTTGAAGCCGTGTCACAACCCGCCAAGCTCTGCTACTCAGGTACAAGAAGGGGGGTAAAATAATAAACGTTACAGTACTGAAGCTTGGTGAGAGATCTATTTCATGGGTTCATGTGTTGGACGGGAGTGTTGTTGGTTGCTGCCGACGGGCTCAGCCGAGACCGTTGCAATGGTCGCAAGAAGTGGACTTTGAGGATGAAGCAGGGGAAGCTCCATGGCTGGATCCTGTGGATAAGCAGGGTACCCCGCATAATCTCCACAATTTCTCCAGCCCTGGAGAATTGTTCTACAAAAGTCCGCCAATAACGGTCGCCGAACCGCGTGGCCCGGCGCTCAAATGTGTGCAGGGCATCGAAGGCCCGATTCAGGTGCTGGAGATCCTGATGCTAGGGGACAATGCGCCTGGGACGGGACGCAGCACCCTGAAAGCCCGCTAATTTTGATAAGTTCCAGTGGCAATGTCTCGCCAGGCTCCGACCTCCAAACCCGCTGCCTATCCCCAGCTCCATTTTTCGGTGGGATACCGGGCAGCATGGAATTATCAAGTCCCTGGACGGCACCGGGCGACATGGAGTTGCGAACTCTTCAGCCAGACCCCGCGCACTTCCCGCCTGTCTACCTATCGGACGGCAAGATGACCCCCTCACCCCCAAATTCCTCCGTCTTGTCCTCCAGGGGCGGGCCGAAGACGGGATTCCGAAATTCCATCCACAACTCGACCTCTCCTCGAGGCTTAACTGAGTGGCCCGGGCTGGCTTCTAGGTTGGTTCCAGAAACTCGAAACTTATGACGGAAACTGCTTCGCAAGTTCCCACGTTCCGTCTGAAAAACGGCAGGATGCGGTCCCCGTTTCTACCGTCCTAAGAGTCGCGGTGCTTCAACTCGCACGTCGCTTTTAGGCTGAATAGGGAATGTCAAGTCCCGTCAGAGGTTGACAGCAAACTAACGTTACCCTTAGGAGTGGGGAGCGCTGGTACTCGGCGATCGACTGGTCGACAACCGATTGGCTACGTTTCAAAGGTTGTGTTGTATCACAGGCCATGAATGTGGGAAGGAATCCAAGTAGGCGGATATCTGAAACTCGAAGATAAAAAAAAGAGTTGTTTGTGCAAAGGACAACTGACATCGAACCCACTCGCAGCCTTGGGATGTGTCGATTCGTCAAAGCTCGGTTCCTGTATTGTTGACCAGCCGCTTACAGTAACACACGGGAAAGCCATCCTTGGCGAGAGAATGGGAACTACCAGACAACGTTAGAGACCCAAAGAAAAGAATCGCCTACCCGGTTACCGCGCCGAACTTAATTCTCCGACGGCTGCTGGCAATATCGGTCGAAGGCGGGAAAAGGCTTCGATCGTGACGGAAAAAAGGAAAGAACAAAACGACTTCATCCGTCGCCATCCCGGGCCCGAGCCAAGCTTTGGATCCCGGAGGGTTTTCTCTTGGCGAGAACGGAAAAAAAGAGCACGATATCCGACAAGGCTACCGGGTGGGACCCCCACACCGAACATCATGATCAAGAACAGCTCGTTATCCATCTAGGAGATATTTTCCCACCACCGGAAGACTTCGAGCGCCAACTCTCCTCCCCTTTCAACCCCTGTCTATGCTCAGGAGGTTTGGCCTGCGTGAGCCGCGAAACAGCGCAGGGGTGATGAGTGTGAGGGAAGAGAAGGGCTTGGTCACGAAGCAGGTAGAGAACCGGCGGACGGAGCACTAGGGTGATATCCGTGTGCGTATTTCAAACGTGGAGATCGGGGAGCAGCGGTAAACGGTCAATCCTCTTCGATCTTCCCTCGCTCTCCTTTGGCATGCGGGATGGTGGGTTTCTATGAGCCGCTTAGTCTTCAACGGCATGTGGGCATGGAAGGGAATACCGTACGGTTTCTCCTCGTGAGGCGGTTGAGAAAGAAAATAAGTCCGGGATAAGCCCCAGTTCCACCTCAGCTGCTCCCCTCTCACCCGTCCTTCGTTCACATTGGTAGCGAGACGGAAAAATGGGAAACCGAAATCGAGACCGAGAAAACGGGGATCGACGACTTCCCAACCCTTACTTCAAACCTCTACCTCCTCAATATCACACATATGTTCGCATGATGGAGTCAGCAGGTCATGCGAGCCAAGACGGGCCCATGAAGAAAAAAAAGCCCGTGGTGTGACCTCTGTTCTCCGCCAATACCATCCCCTGTGTTGGTTGAACTGCCTCAATGCTTGTGAACCCCCGACATCCCTCACTTCATGACCGGGATAGTAGCCTAACACCCTAAACCACCTTAAAGTCTCCAAAGCGCTAGGTCCCAAGCTTCCAACGTCCCCCAGGAGCCCCCCTTTGTCTCCAGATATCACCTGCCGAAACACCCCTCTGTCTTTCCCGAACCTCCTCACCACGCCCCGCCCCCTAACGTTTGATCTAAAACCCCCTTCTCAATATCCCCAAACACCCCCACGCCCTTCACCCCCAGCCCGGTGGCTAGGCCCACCACATCTGCTCCTGCTGCCCGCATCCGCCGATACCCTGCAGCATCTGCCACCCCACCTACGCCGATGATCCGCAGGTGGGGGCTGAGCTTCTTATTGTTTTCGCTAGTACTGGGGTGTGATGTCTGAAATCGTTCGCTTAGTAGTCGCCGGAGAATTCGCACGTTGCCTAGAGATAGTGGGTGGAGAGGTGAGCCAGCCATGCCGCCTAAGCCGAGATCCGGGAGTTGGGCGACTAAGGGTTGGCTAAGAGACGAGTCGATGGTTGGTGACGTTGAAGAATCGGATATTGATGATGTTGGCTTATCCGGTAGTGGTAGTGGGGAGAGCGGCGGGTTCTGGAAGAGAAAGCAAGAGCCAAGGGTGTTGGTTGTGGTGATGAAGGAGAGCGGGCAGACTCCGTTTGGCGGAGCGGAGGCTTCGAGGGCGGCGATGAAGGAATCAAACTGGGTAGAATAGGTGTAGGGCGGTGTCTTGACCCCGACGGGAATGCGTTTCGCGCCGGGCGGAGCGTCAACGATGGCTTGCTGCAGATGGGCGAGGTAGGTGGTGAGAGCTTCCTGCGAGTAAGCTGGTGGTGGCAGGTTGGGAATATTGGGACAGCTGAGGTTAATTTCTATGGCGAGGGGAAACTGGACATCTGCTGCGGCTGCTGTGACAAGTTTATAACTTTCCGCTATGTCCTCCGGCAAGCCCGTAACGGACACGATGAACCACTTGTTGTGCCAGTGGGAAAGCTCTGCCGAGATCGAGTTAATCATGGTAAGGTAGGATTCTAATGTGTGTGGGCTGTAGCCGAGTGAGTTGAGACTAGCATTCTGGGCCGTGCCCGTGTGTCCTGCGTCAAAGAAGGCATATTGGTGCTTCTCTGGGTTGTCGTCGAATCCCTTCAGCAGAGATGTGCGAGTGGTGACGGCGCCCGTGGAAGGGCAGAAGTAGAGGCGCTTGAGTTGGTCAATTGTTGTTGCCCAGGGGCATGCGGTGTTGATTAGCGGTGGGTGAATATCCAACGGGGGCAGTTCTTGAGCCATCTGGAAATAACCCTTGAAAAATATCACGAGTGGACGTAGGCGGTTGGGGCTCTTGTGTCTGTTGAGACGGTCTTTCACAGCGGTCGACAATAAGTATGTGGTGTTGAGGGGTTCATGAGATAAGATAAGCCCTTGGGGGGCAGCCCCACGCAAGGCCAAGCAACCAACCTCAAGTGTTTCTTTTTAGTATCGACAGAAATGAGGGGTGCAATAGCCGCTCAAAACATGTCATCAATAGCTTTATCGGAGTCTTGCCTAATCAAATCCACCATACCCTATGCCCAGTGAGTTTGATGGCCGAGATTGGAGGACGTGACGCTTACCCCAGGCATGATGGGCTTCCCGTCGTCACCCTTGACATAACGGAAAGGCATCTGAGTGCTCTCATGCTCGTTGAACTTGAGCTCAGGGTGGTCCAGATAAGAAACCTCCTTCAGGGGAGCTGTAGGCCGGTAAGCGGGCGTTTAACAGTGAGGGCGGTCCAAACATACTCTTGCCCTCGACAACAAGTCTAGTCACTCGCACCGCGGTATCGGTAGTCATCTGCACCGGGCCAAGCCGGCGGCCCTCGAACCCCTTTTTCCGCAACTCCGAAGTGCGGTCTCTCGGGGGATCGTCTCCTACATCGGGGTCAACGAACCAGCTTGAACCGGGTTGGCCATGCAGTTGTGGAACGCACCCAAAATGCCGCCAAACAGGAAAGCGTCAAACTTATCGCCATCCTCTGGCGCTAGATCACTCGCAGCAGCTGGGTCCAGTAGACACACGCGCGACTTGTCTCTTGCATACAGCTCTTCAACACTCCTAGTCTCCGCGGTGAATGCAGGGATGTTCTTCAATGCCTCAGGGACTTGGAAAGTTTGAGGAAGAGAAGACAAACAAAACCTGGCACCTGCATCTTGAGACTCGCGGGCGACGGCGAGGTATTCGAGCTCCGACCAAGTCCCAAGCTCTGGGTCAAGATGCTCGACAATGTATGTCTTTCCGGTGGAGGCCATTGTGAGAAATTAGGGAGATTTGTGATCACGGGAATGCTGTGGATGACTGAGAGACTGAGGACTATGTAAACAAGAAATTTTAGCTTCGAAATGCCCCGCCCTTGGAACTGCACATCGTCCCCAATGCCAAGACGGCTAAGGCACGTCGCTGCGGGAGATCATACCCCACCACGATCTAATGGGGTGTTCCGAGTTTCCGAAGACCTGTCCCCTTTTGTACATGTCAAGTCCGCAATAAACGCCCTTGTTGTGGTGATAAGGGAACCGAATAACATCGTAAATCTCAGCCCAATTGAACCATACTAATAGGAAATACATCTTTTCGAAGGAGCTTGAAATGAGAAGAACCAAGCCATAGGTATACCCCACTTTCTAAGGATGGGGCTTGGGCTAGGCTATTCACATCTTCATGGGGAAGGGGCACAGGGCGAGCTTGTTTGCAGTGCTCCAGCATGATGAAACCGCTTGCGCCCGTGCCTTGGACACATAATCCCATTGACATCTCTAGGGCTCAATTCCGCATCGAGCACCTACCTACCTATCATTCCTCCCTTTTATTGTTTTTCTTTTCTCATCCCTCTATCTGTAACCACCTCTACTCCTTATTGATGTCGTGCTGAGAACCTGTCCCACTTTGGCTAGACCCCGGACGCCAAGCTTCGGTACTCATCATCCCGCCGCCTCAGGACACATTTTCCACACAACGCTGACTTGCTTCTTCTCGCATCTCGGCTTCCACTCTCCTTCGACCCTCACTATTCACGCCGATGCCCGTTGCCGGAACCGTTGGATAGCCAACATTTTGGTCGCCTTCTGGCGCCCTGTACCGACCCTCAATTCGTTTCCCTCCGCGCTGCTAGCTGGGCGTTCCCCCGAAAGCTTGGCGCAGCCGCGCAACACCATGGCTCCTAGCTGGCTATCAGGGGGGTGGCTGCCCGCCATTGCCGGCGCCCTCATCCTCCCATGGGCGGGCAATCTCGCGGCGGCTCAAAAGTCAGCCGGTGACTATTTTGTCCACTCTCTTCCCGGGGCACCGGAGGAACCTGTGGTGAAGATGCATGCTGGGTAAGCTCGCTCGCTATTCCGGAACGTTGTTTCCGGGGTTGGGATTCCTGGGGGGGACAGTCGGAGCTGACGCGGCGATATTGAAGGCACATCGAAATCACGCCCGAACACAACGGCAACATGTTTTTCTGGCATTTTCAGAACAAGCATATCGCAAATAAGCAGCGAACAGTTATCTGGCTCAATGGGGGTCCAGGATGCAGCTCCGAGGACGGCGCCTTGATGGAGATTGGGCCATACCGATTGAAGGATGGCGAGAATTTGGTCTATAACGATGGCGCCTGGAATGAGTTTGCCAACGTTCTTTTCGTGGACAACCCCGTCGGTACTGGTTACAGCTACGTCGACACCAACGCTTTTGTACATGAGCTCGATGAGATGGCCGGACAATTTGTCACTTTCCTGGAGAAGTGGTATGCTCTGTTCCCGGAGTATGAGCATGATGATGTGGGTTGTATCCAGTGCTTGCTCCCCCCTTTACCTCGTCTGACTTAGCCGCCCAGATCTACATTGCCGGAGAATCCTACGCCGGCCAGTACATCCCCTACATCGCTAAACACATCTTGGCGCGCAACAAACTACCCGCCACCAGGCACATTTGGAACCTGAAGGGTTTGCTTATCGGCAATGGGTGGATCTCGCCGCCGGATCAATACGAGGCGTACCTCCAATTTGCCTTTGAGAAAGGACTTGTACAGAAGGGGAGCGACATTGCGAGCAAGCTCGAAGTTCAACTTCGGATTTGCCAAAAGGATCTCGCCACAGCCGACAGCGTCCTTGATAACTCTCAGTGCGAAAAGGTTCTTCAGGACATTCTCAGTTTTACCGTCACACCGGGCAAGGATGGCCGTAAGGAGTGCTTCAATATGTACGATGTGCGCCTAAAGGACGTTCACCCGTCCTGTGGCATGAACTGGCCGCCGGACCTGACTAATGTTGCCCCATACCTCCGTCGCAAGGACGTTATCGATGCGCTTCATGTAAACCCTAACAAGGTTACCGGCTGGGTTGAATGCAATGGCCAAGTTGGTTCCAACTTCCGGCCCAGCAAGTCGAAGCCGTCGTTTGACCTTCTCCCCGACATCCTGAGCGAGATTCCTATTATGCTTTTCTCGGGCGCCGAGGATCTTATTTGCAACCATCTTGGCACCGAATCTTTGATCAGCCGGCTTAACTGGAACGGCGGTCGTGGCTTCGAGGTCTCTCCCGGCAACTGGGCTCCCCGACGTGACTGGACTTTCGAGGGCGAGGACGCCGGCTTTTGGCAGGAGGCGCGCAACCTCACATATGTCGTTTTCTACAACGCCTCGCATATGGTCCCCTTCGATTACCCGCGCCGCACCCGGGATATGCTTGACCGATTTATGGGCGTTGATATCAGTTCTATCGGCGGTGAACCTACCGACTCGCGCCTTGACGGCGAGAAAGGCCCGGAGACAACTGTGGGCGGCACGGCTGGGAACGGCACTGCCAACCAGGAAGCTGAGAAGGCCAAACTGGATGCCGCTAAGTGGGAAGCCTACCGCCGATCTGGGGAGATTGTCCTCGTCATTGTCGCCGTCGCTGCTGCTGCTTGGGGGTACTTCATCTGGCGCGAGCGGCGCAAACGGCATGGGTACCAGGGCCTGGCCGGTGGTGGCTCTGGTCCACCATCAGACAATCTGGGTAGCAGATTCCGTAACACGCGCAGCGGCCGTGATCGCAGCGGAGGAGACGTGGAGGCCGGTGATTTCGACGAGACGCAGCTTGATTCCCTGCATGTTCGCTCGCCGGCGGAAGGGCAGGAGGACGCACGGTACAGCCTTGGTGATGAGAGCGACGATGAGGAGGTAGCGAAAAATGGAACGCCTGCTGGGAAAGGGAAGGAAAAGGCAACGGGCAAGGCAGATGGGAGTTCATGATCTGGTTTGTCTCCGTTTTTCTTGGTTGATCGGTTCATTGGGTAGAATTCTAGCAAGGGGCGATATCCTCGCACATTGTACATACACTTGGCGTGCAATTGGGCGGCCTGGTCGCCCGTGAGCGTTTGAGTAGATATACCATAAACACGAGCGCGAATTCCCGGTCGTATTTCGAACTGAATGACCTAGTCCTGCTTGCGTGATCGATTCGGTGTCAATTGATGGAGTTAATTCCTCCTTTCCAGTTGCCAACTGCTCTGGCGATGGAATCTACAAGGTATCAAAACAAATCAAAGAGAAAGATGTGCTCCCATTTCCCAAATCCCGGCTTCGTCAGCCCGCTAGTCGTCCATGTATCCCGTCTGAAATCAAAGAACGCCAGTTGTTATGGGTTGATGTGTCGCTACATAGTAGCCGCTCTTGTTCTTCGAGTTGCGTGTCGAAGCATGATGTGCAGGTCCCCTCCCTCTATCTACAACTGGACCGCGTTGTTGACAATCTTGACCTCTTCTCCGGGTTTCTGTGTAGCAACGAGTCCATTATTAGTCTGGGGTATCTTCTTTAGGGGGAAAGGGTAGGCAAGAACACGCAAGACGGAGACGTACGAAGGCGGGAAGGCCGATGTAAGGACAGTCGGAGCACCTGAAGGCGTCTCCCAGGTAGCAGCTCCCACACGAGCCCGTCTTACCCTGGACCGTGAAGTCGAGTTCGTTCAGATCCTCCGACTTGAGCTTCAGCGCGTTGTCGGCTTTGGCGCGGCGTGCCTTGTCTTCCGCTTCCATCCGTGCCGCCAGACCGCATGTGCTAGAAACTTTGTTAGTACCGTAGAACGAGGTAGTAATCACGGGGTTGGAGCGAGGTAACTTACCAGTCCTTGCAGGCCCGCCTCTTCTTCCCGGGCTGTGGTTGGCACTCGGGAGGTTGCTGGATCGGCCGACGCAAATCTTCCTCCGTAAGAAGCGTGTCTTCGTCGATCACATCGTCGTCGTCGTCCGCGTCCAAATCCAAATCATCGCTGAAATCCACAAACCCTACCCCCGCGGGGGCCGCAGCAGCGACAGCACCCGTAGCAATAACCGGTGGGACCATACTAACTTCCTCCTTTCCCCCATTCGGTGTCGCGACAGTCACAGACTGCACCGCTGGCCCCGCAGAGCTCTGAGTCTTGTTGTTTGCCCCAGCCTTTTTGCCAAACTTCAACGGCACCACCTCTTCCTCAGCGTACTCGGGCTTCAAGAACCCGCCCTCCTCGTCCCTCACCAGGCCTGCTAGTACCGCCTCCCGCCCCTCAACCCCATTATTCAAATGTCCACCATCTTCACTCCTCACCTTCCCGCCGGCCTTGACCGCGGGCACCAGCGCCGTCCACACCGCACGCTCGGCCAGAAGCGTGGCCGCCTCGGCACGGCGCGATCCATCGGGGTCGGTCAAGACTAGGACGAGGTCGTAGGTGGTGGGGGGCAAAGTGACGAGGCCTGCAGCAAGGCGGTCGAGCATTTGCAGGTCGGTGGAAGCGCGCGGGTGGAGTGCAAAAAGGGAAGAAAGGCGGTCTTCGCGCGAAGCGAGAGATGGGGGGGCGAGGAGAAGAGTTCGTTGACTAGACTTGGTCATTGTGCTACCGTTTGTGCCGTTCGTGCCGTTCGTGCCGTTTGTTGTTGTGGTGGGGGGGGGATTGAAGTCGGGGGTCAAGTCGAGTGCGGGGGCCATTTTGGCGGGGGTTGAAAAGTCGAGGGAAAATCAGGAATCGAGGAATCGAATGGTGTTGCTGAGGGGACAAAGGTAGAGTCACCGGAAGATTGAGAATTTCGCACGGTAGTAGCCTCTTTTTTGAAGACGCGGGCGTGGAGCGGGATGAAATATATTGGGGGAAGCGTGGGAGGGTGGTTGCGATAAGATTGGTAATGGCGAGAATTTCCGTGGAGTTGCTCACTTTTCCAGTGAGCAATTGGACTGTCGTCCAGTGGTACGCATTACCAAGCATCGGGCATAAATCGCCACTAATACAACAGTGGGGACAGCTGCTTCGGCGGAGCCCGGCTTTATCCTGGGTCCTTACGCCATTGTCCAGGACCGGAGCCCGATATCGGCGGGTCGCGTGAAAACGAACAAGAAGCCAAAAGAGAGGTGATCGTATTTGGAGGAAACGACTTGGTTAGCAAATTGAATGCAACTTGCTACGGATCTCCAGGTGAATGGAACCGTTTGACAGGCTTTAGTCATGTCCTGTGAAGACCACCAAATCCAGCCCTCCGACCTTGCCGAACTGGAAAGACTTGGCTCGCGAGAGAGGTCACGAGACCACTTTGACATTGGCTAGTTCGTGGTTCTGTAACTACTTCGTATACTTCAGACCTTTTTCTTTCCGTCGCTCATGTTCTTCTCAGTCCATTGGGATCATTTAGATCAATTGGGCGTCAAGCGGAAAGCAACCAATAACCTAACACATATCTTAGCAAGTCAAAAAGGCGCCTTCGAGACTCAAAGGGGCAGCGGGCCGGCGCTGTGGCTGACGCCCGCGATCTCTTGGTTGGACCTTGCCCTCTGGCTCCATTTCCGACGGTCTCGGAGTCGTTCGATCTCGACTTCTCTTGGTGGGCCTCAGCGTGCCAATGGAAGTACTCGGAACTGGATAGGGAGGCACGTGAGAGGTCAATGCAAGAAAAGAGGGATGTCTAGGCATTTTGGAAGTCTAGTGTAACTGACAAGATTAAGGACTGGCTCGAGACTGGAGCCATTCTCGATCTCCGGCCGTGCCATCAACGAGGTGGTGATGATGGAAGATTCTCGCGCTTGCGGCACTGTTGGAGAGTGTACGAAGTTGTGTCCACAGTCTCTGTCGGCTTCCGTATAGGGGAAGGATCGGCAAAATGCCATGCTTCCCCGCAAAGTGGTCGGTGGGTCCATAGACCAGGAGTCCCTGAAATGGGTGGAGAAGCTGATGTCACTGGTATCCCCAAACATGGGAGGAAACAGGCGGCAAGAGCGCCTCAACAAAGCGGGATGGGAGCAGTTTTGGAGCTGAAAAAGCATCAATTGACAAGGAAAAGATGTGCAACTCGTACTATGGATAAATTGGAAATTTTTGGTCATAAATCCCCCTGTTTTGGGGCAGGTCGGGGCGCAGATCGCGAAATCAAGGGTGTGAAGGCGTCCGCCAGGAGGTGACGAGGGCCAGACGCTCAACGTTCCTGCCATTCTCTAATCGTTTCCGCTTCACATCATATCACGCGACTCTCCCTTAACGGCTGCTTGGCTCCTAATCGCTGTAGTGTCCCGCCCCACGCCCCCCTGCTCTTTCCCCTTGAAGCTGCTCGCCTGACCGATTCGAACGATGACTGGTTGATATCAAGCCACACCCATTGGGATCTCGCCCGATGCTTTTAAAGGCTGGGAGTTCCATCCTCTGCCCGCCGTCACCATTCCTCGTAGAGTCCATACTCATCACACACTCATCAACCAACTGCTTCCACATTTACTACTTCTATCCCAATCCCCGTCAGTAACAAGATCACTACTCCTACGTAGTATCTGAGGCATTGCCTGGTGATTTTACTCCCATCTTTGATATCGACGGCTTCCCCAAGGTACTTCCCCAAGCTTCCACCCCTCAGTTCCTAGGCACCTTCTTTACCCGCACAACAAACCCCGCACTACGGGTTGGTGACTGACTGAGCCCAACTTCCTGTAGTACCATCTTGGACAACCACCACCACAGCAACAAAGCAGCGAAACGCTTTTATATCTTCGACCACAAGTCAGTAAAGAGTAAGGCCAATGATCTACCGCCAAGATAACATTCTAGCAGTGCTAATGATATTCGCCGGTTTGTAGTGACTCGTTCCCACAAGTTCAACGACAAGGACCACGCCGGCCTGGCCGATGGTACGGTCCTGCCGCAGGAGTCGGTTCCTAAATTCTTTGGAAAGCATGGCTTCGCCGATGCCGACCCCAAGAAAGCCAAAAAGAATGGCGCGGGTCGAGCTGGCTGGTAAGTATCCGTCCAAACGTCTCTATATTTATCCAAGGTCCAGACACTCATCGATGCCACGTAATAGGGGCAACGCCGGTGCCGAGGTTGTCGACGAAAACTTCAACTTCCACAACGCCCGCCGCCGTTCCAACAGCAGCAGCATTTCAACCAACCTTGAGAACTTCAAGACGAAGTTCGAGGTCAACGAGCCCGAGCCCGTCTTCGAGGAGAATATGGGACCTCAGGACGAGGAAGCAAAGCCCGAGAGCCAGGCTAGTGACTCAAGCGTTGATGAGAACAAGTCACACTAGGGCCTGTAGGATGTTGGGTGAAGAGGTAATTCTTTGGAAGTGGGCAAAGTCACCTGCAAATTTGCACTGCGGGATTCCATCTTTGGCGGAAGGCGTTTCTGGGCGATCTAGCACGGGCTCCCTTCTATTTGGCTTGCCGCACTAGGTACGATATGTTCATGATTTGGGATGATGGGCGTGACGCTGCAAGCGTACTGCATTGCATGTATGATAGCTACCTTTCAACAACGGACCAAGATCCGATAGTAACATATAATGGTTCCGTTTCGAGCTGTATTATTGTCTCAACAGTGTCCCCTATCCGTACAAGCACCGAGTTTCCGTCCTCGTACGATCTAAGGGGTTACACAACAAATATAACCTTGATACTCACACCTTCGCTTCTAGAACCACCTTCGCAGGCTTCGCGGTTGAGCCCTCCACTTTTATCTTCCCAATCCTCAGCCACGATTGCCTGCTCACCCGCACCGTCACCCCTTCGTCACCCCTCTTCTTCCCTACCCAGTAACCCATTCGCACATTCTCAGTCTCCCATTCAAGGTTCGCCTCGCCTTTCCCCCCCCCGTTTGTCTGCAGTATGGGTGTTTTTTGCACCCACGTCAGCTCCCCATCTTCCGCGCTTCCCTTCCCAACAGAAGTCATTTCCCCAACTCCCTTCCTAGTGTCGACCGCGGGCACCCACGTTCCATTCTTCCAGGAACCAGGATTGGGATTCGGTTTCAACTTAGGCGGCCGCGGCGTGCCGGTCACAGCAGTAAGATCCTCGAGAATCACCCTCTTTACCCGTTCCTCGCCTTTCTCGTTCACGATTAGATGGGTCCATAATGGACCCAGCACGCGTGCGCGACGTATGATGTCCTCAGACGTCAGATTATCGGCTGTCCATAAGATCTGGCGGTCTTGCGGGGTGATCTTGGGGGCGTGCTGAAGCGGTGGTTGGTGTGAGGCCACGGCGTAGCCACCATCATTGGCAGCCTGACATGACTGGTGCGGTGGGACGTGTAATCCTTCTCGGAGGGTTTGGACTAGCATCTTGGCACCTTCTACGGCGAGCTCGGCCTGGAGCTGTGTTGGGGTGTGATCTGGGAGGATGGGGAAGAGGTTTGTGGGAGGGGTTTGTAGTAAGGGTATGCCGTGGTCAAATGCCTCTGTAGAGAGGGTCTGAATGGTGATGCCGGTGTGGGAGTCACCGCGTAGAAGGGCGTGATGGATCGGGGCTGGGCCGCGGAGGCTTATGGGGCGTAAATGGTGAGCAAGGAGATTAACGTGTTGAAGGAACTTCAAATGGGGAAGGGGAGCATGGAGTGACAACATACTCGGGGAGAATTGAGGGATGGACGTTGAGACCGCCATATTTGACCGCATGGATGAGCCGAGGGGGGACGAAGAGGCCGAAGGAAACGGCAATTATCAAGTTGATGGGATTGCTGTCTGGCTTGGGCATCTGATCTGGTGTTAACGAGGATGGTCTAAATGTGCGTAGAGGGGCCGTCACCCACCTCCCAGCCTGTAAATGTGTCTCTCTCATGAATAGGGAGATTAAGCTTTCCAGAAAGCGTACGGAGAGGAACTATTGTTTCATAAGCATTGGAGGTGAAGATAAATTTTAACTATAGTTGAGGGCTAGATTACCCTCTCGCAAAACCTTGTGCCCTCTCCCCGTTGACTTGCTCGGCCTGACCACAACGTCGATAGACTGGATGAGATCCGGGTTTTGTCCATGTTCCTTATACAAAGCATTGAGAGATGCACAGCTAAACTCGTCTGAACCACAAAACAAGATTCGCAGGGGGTCAGATTTTTTCAATGCCGTGCTGTACGATTTTTGCCAGGATATGAATGAACGTTTTGAAAAGTCCAATGCCGGCCGCGAGCAGCGCAGGAGCCGCGGAAGAAGCATCGTGACTAGTCGCCTAGGTCGAGTCGGTTGTGCTTGATCACAAGAAGACACTGAAGTCTGGAATCGAGGCCCTGCCAAGATTGAATCACGACCCACTTTTCTTACACCCGGCCGTTGAGAAGTGTTGCACAACCTGACAACAACCAAGTCAACGAGGGAGCTACCTCGAGTGATAAACTGGTGTATGATACACTGGGGGAGGGTTTCTAACCCTGAGAAATATCCGGAACTCCCATCCTCCTTCGACGGAGTACCCATCCCCCTCAACTACCTCCCATGATCCACAACACTCCAACGATATGCAACCGTCCACTGCCCGTCAAGGTGGACATCCCAAGCAGGTGGTGCAATACTCACAACCGCGCCAGGAATGACCTTCCCTCTATTTCCTTCTAAGCCTTCAAGATTCCCCTCCCCAGCTAAGACAATCCTTATGACCCGGCCATCATCTTGGACCCTGCCGGTGACCAACGTCATCCCAACTCCGCCGCTCGAAACCGCATCCACAGTCACCTGCACCGCACGAGTACTACCCGCAGAAAGACCCGAGGCAGACCATGTAGCCTTCACATCTTCTTTCCCATCAGCACTACCCTTGACATCTACCAGCCAGTCTCGTAGTTCCGCGGCTAGTCCGCCAGGAAGATATCGAGCTCCGCGGCGTTGGGGAGAAAAGATATCCGCCGTGAGGTAGGCGTTGGGATGAATGGGGAATTTGTCTGGTGGCTCGGTGGGCTTGAAGCGAGGGCCAGCCCGGAAGGCGGGGGGAACAGATTTGGAGACGGTGAATCGGGCGGTTGGTTCGAGAGTTGCTGGAGCTGGCGAGGCGTTGGAATCAGCTTTAGAGATGGTGGGTTCTGAATTTACACCTTCTTCTTCTTCTTCTCGTTCCTGCGGTACTTGATCCCATTCAGAACCATATATTGGGGAAGAAGGTTGGACTGGTGAGGAGGATATCATGTGTGTATCCGGGGCAGCGACACTCCCATGGTGGTCCTGGTCATAATTCACCCCGTTCTCTAATTCCGGAGAATAGGATGCGATGCGGTCACCGGGAGCATTTAAGGATGACTCGGGATGGCCCCCCTCAAAATCTTGCGATAATTCCAGCCCCTCTGTCTCAGGCTCAGAGGAGGCTATGGAAATACGCCTGCGTTTGGGAGAGCGGGGGTCCTCGGAACTCGGTGACTGCTCAACCAACGAGGAGTCAAACTCAATGGGTTCGGGAAATGCGCTCCATGCGCTGGCCGATGCCGGCGGTGAACCATCTTCGGGACCCACGGGCGAGCTGTCATCGATAATGTCCTGGGTCGAGCGACTCCTAGGCACTCGGGACTTGATGGCCAATGCTGGCGTCGCGTAGGTTGCTCCTGCCCGGGTTGAAGATGGCCTAGGCGTTGATGTGGCGAACCGGGGAGTGGCGTGGAACTGGCTCGACCTTTGCGTAACGTTTTGATTTGGGGTTTGGGTTTGCGACAGTTGAGTACTCGACCTTTTGGAGGATAAGAACCGTGAGGGAGCAGGTGTCTATGGACTAGTTAATCATCATTCCCGTCTTCAGTCTCAGTCGCGGAGAGTATGTCACACTCACTGTTGGCGGTAAGACCATTCCGGGCAATGCCTAGCCTACTGAAATCCAATGCATCCGTGAGAAGAGAAATGTACAAAGAGGACTAGAACTAACTAAGATGTAAGCGTGGAATGATCGAAGTTGAGACACCAAGGTGCCCATTTGTCGAGAGAAACGTCACAACAACCCTAACCCCAACCCTGTAATTGAGGATGCCTCGCCCCACATTGTACAATCGGTGTGGGTACGGGCATTACATGTATATTACATGATGGTCTGTGCGCCAAAGTTGCCATTAAACAAATTGCGAGCGCGCCGCGCAACAGGCGGCGACCGGCGCGCCGCGAGCAGGGGATCGCGTCTCACAATCAAGCATCCAACACCGTCCCATCTGCGGGCCGTTCGCTTTCCCCCCACCCAACTTGTTAACTTTCAATCGAATTTGTATTCAGATATTCGAGATACCACTCTTCACCCCCTCATACAATTATTCTACAGTTCGGGATCATCTCACACTCGCAATGTTTGCAGCAATGCCGACAACCCCGCCAAAATTTACCTTTGGCCGTCAGACCCAGGGGAATTACAACCACAGGCCGGCCTTCTCCTCGCCTCTTTCCTCATCGCCAATTCGCGCCTCGTCACTATCGCCACCGGCACTACCACATGATCAACAGATGATGCAGCAACCACTTTCACCATGCAAATCCAACTTCCTCAATGCGTTGCCCCGCCAGACTCAGTCCTCCCCGATCATGGACAGCCATCAACAATCGGGCTTTTACAGCAGCGAAAACGGCAGCCTCCAGCCACCAAAAAGCGCCCCAAATAACAAATTCCGTTTTGCTTCTCGCAACCCGCGGCCAAACCCTATGCTCAAACGGCGGGAGGAAGCGCAAGAGGGCCGGCGACGATTGTTCTTCCAGAACGTCCGGCAACGCCAGGATGACAAGCGTTGGGACATGCGGGGTGGCAAGGATGAAGTATGTCTTTACCCTTAGCAAATATAATTGCATCCAAACGAGACACATCAAGTTGCTGACTCAAGGCTTCACCCAATAGCTCTACAAACTTGAATGGTGGCGTCAGCAACGCGAGCGTGCCCTAGCCATGCAAGCGGAGGAGGCGCGCCAAATCGGTTTCTTGGACGCAGACATGGTCGCGCGCGACGAGGAGGAAATGCGCATGCACTATGCCCAGCCGTCACAACATCAACTCGATCACCATCAGCACGCAGCGCAAAACGGGACAGACATGGACGCGATGATGGCCGATGCTATTGCGCTTCAGGAACAGGCCGAGATGGATGCCCTTATCTCCGCGATGGAGAATGGCCAGGATGCCGCCCAGACCCCTTTCAAGTCTGGCCAGTTCTCGGATGATGAGGATGATTATGATGGGTTGTTTATGGATTTCATCCAGCAACAGCAGCAGCAGCAGCACCAGCAGCAAAATCAGGAGAGGATAGGGGAGTCTGAGGATGTGGAAATGACTTGAGTCTTGTCAACTGTGGGAACTATATTGTAATGTACCATGGAGTATGCTTTGGTTGGTTGGGCTGTTTGGAAGATCTCTGGGTTTTGGCGTTCGGGGTTACCATACAGGATGGTTGGCGTTCAGGGGCAAGAGAAATAGCTTGCAATTGTGTTGAGTAGCCAGCTTCCGACATGAAGAATAAATCTTGCATCTTGCATGGGCTACTTTGCTAAAATCTGAGCAAAAAAACTGACCAAGAGGGTAGGGGCCGGTTTAAGGGTCGGGAATTGGAGCCCGGAGTCCCGGGGAGTTTGGCCCTGAATTCGGAGTGCGATGTCTAGATGCCGCCCACCAGCTGCGGTCCTACCGATTTGGTTGCTTCGACTGTGGTCAACCTCGGTTAAACAGTCAGAGAGAAAAGAAGCGATAGGAGAGGGAGTAGCGGTGGCCCGTCCTTAGCATATACGAGGCACGGAAATGTGAACTTTGGGGGATTACACCATTTATTGCAGCCCCCTTAAAACCTCACGGCATGAAACAAAGCAAGTTTGCGTATCCTGAGTAGGTATTGATCTATGGTATCCCAAAATACTGTCGAGCCGGTAAACGATGTTGACTATTGTGGATTACAGGACTCATCTGGCATGTTAAGCACGTCCTGGGCCGAAGGCATGTCTCCAACAAGGTCAGATGGTGGTGACCCGGAAGCTTGCATCTGTTGATATAAGATTAGTTATACCGCACACTGGGATGACAGGCCAGCCCTTTTTTGGGAGGGAATAGCTCACCTTTTGCATCCGGTCGACAATGTATTCCCTGTCCGCGGCATTCGAGTCCGAATACCCAGCCTCCTCAAACTTGCCCACAATCTCTCTCACTAGGGTTTGCTGCTCCTCGTACTTTTTTAAGTCGTCCGCCGGTGTTGTCGCCCGGTTCTTCTCCATCCATGCAGGAAACTTATCGTCAAGTTCCTTCATCGGCTCATACAGAATCTCCTTGTTAGTGAGCTGCTCCATCATGCCCATCAGCATCTTGGAGAAATCCTCCTCATTCCCTTCGCCATCAAGTCCGGCCCCGCCGCTCTGCATTTGTTTGAGCAGCTCGGCCAAGAAGTCGTCTGACCCTTCCGCGGCGGCTGCGGCCGTTGCTTGGTCGCCGGACGTCTGCATGCGTTCCATCGTGCGGCGGATCGTTTCTTGAAAGGATTCGTCGGCGGGGTTGGGTACGGCGGAACCTGAGGGCGCGGAGGAGCTAGCACCGCCTGTGGGTGGAATGGGAGGCGTGGGTTGGTTTGTGTTTGTTGATGCCGCGGCGCCGAGCTCCTTGAATATTGTTTCAAACTGGGCGTGCATATCCGGCTGTGCGCGTGGCTGTTAGCTGTATGTTCCATACGCCGCGACACCGCTGGAGGGGGTCCCCATACCGAACTATCTAACTCTCCAAGGAGATCGGCCATACCAGCCTGAAGCTGCTTCGCGAATTCCTCCTCGGAAAAAGCGCCCTCTTCCGTGGGAGCATCTGAGGGCGCGCCTGCACCCGCACCCGCAGTCGTGGGTGGGTTCGTTGGTGGCGGAGGAACCCGTGACGCCGGCGCCTGTATGTTCACCGCTGAGAAATCGTCCAGCATATCTGAACGGCGGAGTTAGCCTCATTTTCTTTTGTGCCAGACTTTCCGGCCGTAAACTTGCCGTCGAGATCATCGAGATCATCCTCGTCCGGGTCGGGGACATCGTCCAGGCTGTCCGCATCGTCTACCGTTGCTGCGGGGGGCTGTTCGATCTTTGCTGGTGGTGTTGAGTTCTCCTTTTCCTGTGGGACGGTGGCCGTGTTCTCAGTGGCTGAAGACATCGTCGCGGATATGATGATGCTCTTTCGCTGCGGGTTGCGCCCGAGTGGAGGAGGATACTTTTGCCGAGGTTATGGGCAAATGAGTTGGTGTTGTTAGGCTTGGGCAAAGTGTGTGAAGAAAGTCGAAGCGGAAAGGCGGCGAACACCAAAAAAGCCGGAATCCCGCAAGAGCACCGAGTAAATTCAACTGTAGAAACTGCGAGACGGGTTTGGGTATCGTTAGGACGAGATTCGCAGGAGGCGATGGGTTCTGTCGGAAATCATCTGGCATGTGCTTGACGCTCCGAGGCGAAAAGCCCCACCATGTACCCCAGGCCCCGGGCCGCATCTCGGGACATCCCAACGTTACCCTTGAAATCCCCTTGAGCCTCCTCCCCCTTATGTAAATATAGGGGCTTCGGCAACAAAGGAGAGAGTTGGTAAAGGCTTGGATTTGGGAAATTGCTTGAAAAATCACATCTTACTATGATTGAGTTGTGGACTGCATTCAACAACCGGAAGCCATGCTATAATGAGGTTGTCTAGTGGGCAGAGGGCTACCAAACACCAGTTATGCTGTTTGTGTTTCTTTATAGATTAAAGGGCACGGGCTTTGAGACATTGAGAAGTCCTATGATAAAATGGCCAATTCTTTGTTTTGTGAAAAGTTCTGACCGAGCGGCAAGCTTGAAAGGATGTGACCCCGCTGCTCGTCAGGTTGCCGGCCGAAACCCCAAGCCTTCCCAAGCCTCCATTCCCCACAATGAAGCAGCGTCCATGCTGAGGCAGCCTGGTCTGTGCGGACATCAGACGAAGGTTCGAACAGCGCTTCGCGATCCAGAAACTATTCCTCAAACCGAACGGGCGCGCTGCCTTTCCCCCACGTTTCTCACCTTGGAATCTTTCCTTTTGAGCCTTCTCGTGATTCGCATCTCGATTACGCCATACAACGCCCTTACCTACGAGTTGCCTTTTTTATCGGTTCGAGACGGCACCCGATCACCCACGAACCCACTTTATCTTCAAATTAGGCAGCCCATCAAACTGTTTCAACACAAGCACACAAGCACACAAGTCAAGATGTCATTGTGTCAGAATCGCCTCCAAGAAGAGCGGTACGCATGCTATCCGTCTCGACCTGGTTATGGAAGCAACCCGCGTCAGCCTTGCTAACCTCTCGCTCGCTCTACAGGAAGCAATGGCGTAAGGACCATCCGTTCGGCTTCTACGCCCGGCCGCAAAAGAACGCCCAAGGAGTGCTTGACCTCAAGGTGTGGGAATGCGGTATTCCAGGCAAAGAGAAGACAATCTGGGAAGGCGGCCTCTTCAAGCTGGTCGTTACTTTCCCCGATGGTATGTGACGCCGCGGTCCCTGACCCGACCACTTACGCAAATTCATGACAGCAGAACTAACCACCCGATAATCGTGCAGAATATCCCACGAAGCCACCTAAGTGTAAGCCCGATCGACTCCAATGCGCACCACAACTGTTTTGAGCCATGTGATTGACATTCATTCTTGCGCAGGCAAGTTCGTGCCACCGCTCTTTCACCCAAACGTCTACCCCTCCGGAACTGTTTGTCTCTCGATTCTCAACGAGGAGGAGGCTTGGAAGCCGGCAATCACAATCAAACAGATACTTCTCGGCGTCCAGGACCTCCTCAACGACCCGAATCCGGAGTCCCCAGCACAGGCCGAAGCGTACAATATGTTCAAGCGGGATCGGACGCAATACGAGAGGCGCATCAAACAGATCGTGCGCGAGAATGCCGCCCCATAGACAACCATGATGGCGGGTATGGTTCCCGGGTGGTACCGGAGCTGCTGGGGACATGAGCGGGCTTTGGGGTTCGATTTATGGAGTTCAAGGATACCATTGGCGGTGGGCGCCCAAGCGCACGGAGTTCATGTGGTACAATCCATCGGGATAATCTTTCCGCGTTGAATTACGAAATGATTTTGATTTTGGGAACTGGTTCGGGGGGATGGGACCGGGGGCATGGGACCGGTGGGATGGGACAACGGCCAAGGTATGGCTATGTGGCATGAGGGGGCCAAGGGGTTTGTTCGCAAGTACATGCGCAGTTCGGCGGCCCCCGTGCCGTGGCATGTCCCCCAGGGTGAGGCAGGTAGGGGTGTCCAGAGTCTCATGACATGGGCCGCAAGCAGCGATCTTGTTGACAGATGTCGTTCTTCAGCGTCGCATCTGGGGCACCTGCGCACTCACCCCGCGGGGTCTTGGCCGCGGCTTGGCCATTGGCTTGACCCCCACTACCGAACGAGGGAATCTCATGGCCCCCAAAGGTGCTGACGGTCAGTTGACAATTCTTGTTTCTCAATACCTACGTTAATCCCTCTGTATTTCGCCGGAAACAGAAGCTCTCGTAGTCTTGTCACTTGTCGTTTGAGTCGGTGTCTCTCGTCCTCATTCTTTGGTCTTGTTCCTTATCAGTCTGATTTAGGTAATGCCTAAGTGGAACTCAATCCAGTGAAGACCCCTTGTTCGTGGGCCAATCAACAACACACCCGACATCGGCCTCGGTTTCTCTGACTCCCAGTCTTCCTAGCGCTGGAGCTCCGTGCCCATCTTCCTGAGAGGCGAGGTTCTTGGACTGGGATCCTTGGTCATGGAAACGGAAACATTGGAGCCAAAATTTGCAGCTGCCCAGGGGTCCCTTCTCCCGGAGGCGAGAAGGCGGGTGTATCGAATGCAGCCGAATTTGGACACCACACAAATTTTGAGACGTGTGACTCTTTTCCTCTCGCCCTCCACACAACAACTTACTCTTTAACCCATCCGACTTCATCCCACGGAACCTGGCTTGTGTGGCTTCTCTTCTATGTATGAAGATCTCCTTACATCCCACGTTTCTCATCCCAGGCGGTTATCTCCCTCCCACCCCGAGCCAAAGTATAAAGTGTCACCTCGGCAGCTCATCAAACGAACATCAATTAGACCCCGCTATTATTTAAGCTCTGCGAATTCTCATAGATCGACATTCCCCTTGACAATCCTGAGGGAACAGAAGCTTTCTTAAAACCTTCAAGATGTGCGGCATCTTCGCTTGCCACAAGTAAGCTGCCCGTTTCTCTGTTCCTTTTTCTTGTCGTTGGCTTCCAAGAGCGTGGTGCGCAGATGTCCCCGGATTTGGGAGTCATTGGTGTGTGAGATATGGATGGAGGGGTAAACCTTTTGCCCCGCCATCGCGATGCGCATACTTTTCGCGACTCGCCTTCAAGTACCAATTTTTTGTCTCCCTTTAACGGCGCATTCGCTAACAACATCGCGCATAGCCACCCGGATGTGGCCAAATTCAAGCCGACGGCCCTGAAGCTTTCCAAGGCGTATGTGGCTCCCAATTGGCCCTCCTTCGAGTTATCGCATCCCAGAACGAACCGCGAAAATTGACATCCATTTTCTCTTATCTTGCAGTATTCGGCATCGGGGTCCCGATTGGAGTGCGTTTCAACCCCCCTGAATCTCGAGTCGCACGAGATAAACAGAAGAGCAACCACAGCTAACATTTGGTTTTCTCCCAGGCGGCAGTGTCACCTGCCACAACACGAGTATGTTCTCTTCTTAGGGTTGGAAGAATAAAAATGACGGGAGGAGGAGGGGATCGGGATTGTTGACTGACTTTCGGTACAGTCTTGTGCCACGAGCGGCTCAGCATTGTCGGCGTTGGTACGATACCCTATCCTCCATTTATTCGTCGTTGGAGTCGAGGCCGTCTAACAAGAGAGCAGAAAGCGGAGCGCAGCCACTTACCAATGCCGATGAAAGCATTGTACTCGCCGTCAATGGCGAGATCTACAACCACCGTCTGATTCGCAGAAGCCTGAAGGAGCCCTACCACTTCAAGACCGCATCGGACTGCGAGGTCATCATCCCTCTGGTGAGTTTCGACGAATAGAAAGAGAGCGGCGGATATGATCAGGGGGGCAGCGACAGGCTAACCTGTTATACTTTATTCAAGTACATGGAATATGGTCTCGAGGCCCCCGTACACCTGGACGGCATGTTCTCTTTCGTTCTTTACGACAAGCAGCTGGACCGCACCATTGCCGCCCGCGACCCCATCGGTATCACCACTCTTTACCAGGGCTGGTCGTCCTCGCAGCCCGGTACCGTCTACTTCGCTTCCGAGCTCAAGTCCTTGCACCCCGTGTGCGACAAGATCGAGTCATTCCCGCCCGGCCACATCTACGATAGCTCGACTGGAAAGCGGACCCGGTATTTCCAGCCGGCGTGGTGGGATGGCACGAAGGCCCCGGAGACCCCGCTCGACCTGAAGTTGTTGCGTCAGACACTCGAGAAGTCAGTGAGGAAGCGCCTCATGGCTGAGGTTCCCTATGGCGTTCTGTTGTCAGGTGGGCTAGATTCCAGCCTGGTCGCGTCGATTGCGCAGCGGGAAACACTGCGGCTCAGGAAGCTGGCCGAGGAAGCCAAGGATAGCTCCGAACAACCGGCCGACGCGGACCGAGGCGAGGGGCTCGTTGGTATTGACGACGACAACAAACTGTCGACCATGACTTTCCTTCCGCAACTCAACTCATTCTCCATCGGCCTGCCCGGGTCGCCTGACAACAAGGCCGCGCTTGAGGTGGCCAAGTTCCTCGGCACCAAGCACCACGTTATGACCTTCACCATCGACGACGGCCTTAACGCCCTGTCAGACGTCATCTACCACCTCGAGACGTACGACGTCACCACGATCCGCGCCTCGACGCCTATGTACTTGCTTTCGCGCAAGATCAAGGCCATGGGAATCAAGATGGTGCTCAGTGGCGAGGGCTCCGACGAAATCTTTGGCGGTTACCTCTATTTCCACGGCGCCCCTGACAAGGCGGCGTTCCACGAGGAGTGTGTCCGTCGTGTCAAGAACCTGCACTTGGCTGACTGCCTGCGTGCCAACAAGTCGACCTCGGCCTGGGGTCTCGAAGCGCGCGTGCCGTTCTTGGACAAGGAGGTAAATTGATCTCTCGCTTGCCCAGTACTTTCATACGTTTTCAAAGCTAATGATGGTGTGTGCTAGTTCCTCGAAGTCTCGATGGACATCGACCCCAAGGAAAAAATGATCACGGACGAGAAGCTCGAGAAGTACATCCTCCGTAAGGCCTTCGACACCACAGACGAGCCCGAGACGGAGCCGTACCTCCCTGAGAAGATCCTCTGGCGCCAGAAGGAGCAGTTCTCAGATGGTGTCGGCTACGGGTGGATTGACGCCCTCAAGGACCACGCTGAGCTCAACGTCACCGACGAGATGATGAAGAACCCCAAGCCCGAGTGGGGTTCTGATATCCCAGATACTAAGGAGGCGTAAGTCTAAGCCGTGGACCAAAGAGGGAAAGCTTTCACCCCGGAAACTAACACCAAAATCATAGTTACTGGTACCGCACTATGTTCGACGAGCACTTCCCGCCGTCGTGCGCCTCGACGGTCATGCGGTGGACCCCCAAGTGGTCTAAACAGACCGACCCTAGTGGCAGGTGAGTTTACATCTGGGCCTGAACAAAGCTTGAGAGAGTTGAACTGGGGATTAACCACGGATGTTTAGGGCGATCGCTATCCACAAGGCCAAATATGACGATGCGTAAGCCGGATCGTAGAAGAACCGAAAGCCTCAAGTGTTCACTTGCCCCTGTATATAGTTCGGGAAATCTTTGGATGAAATAGGGCTCATCATTGAATCTTTGGCGTCTTCTAAAATGATCACCATGTCCCTGAGTCTTGATCTGTTCTTGTCGAACCGCGACCATTCGATTGTAAAGTGATTTGCTGACTCAACATAGCATTTGGTCAACTTTGGGCGCCGATATAAACGCTCCACTATAGGGATGACTCGTCGGAAGCAAGCCCGCTTGTCGGGCAAGCGGATACCGGCGGTTAATGTTTATCTTGCCGAGACTTCGAGAGCGGCTTTTTTCTTCACCCCACGTCTATCCTGCAAGCGGGGTGCTGATGTTGTTGGCAATAACTCTAAAAGGCTCAGGGTCGGGTGTTTTCAACAGGCGGTAATTCGTCAACTAATGGCCCCTGAGGTTCGGTAATTCGGCAACTCATGGCCCCTGTTCGGGATTGGACGATCCTCAAAAATTGCTCTGGAAGAGGAAATGATGACTCCAGGGCGTTGAAGAGGGTTAGGGTTAGGCGAAAACACCCGTCCAGTGAGGGCCCACGTGGATTCAGACAGCGGGCCACCACTGGGCGCTGCGCTTGGAGAGCAGCTGCCGAGCCGCCAATCACAGGACCCTGAGAAATTTCTTGTAACATCGTGGGCCAATTCCGACACTGTCCTGCCCCAACAATTCCCCCAAAAAGTCAAAGGAGTTTTGGAATTTAGTTTGTTCCTGACCCCCATTGCGCCAGTCCCCTTTCCTCCCACTACATCCCATCTTCACACCCACACCACCAACCACAACAACCCCTCCGCTCAAACACATCGCCAACATGTCTGTCCCTGCCTTTACCGATATCGCCAAGGCGGCGAACGATGTACGTTACAGTTCCTCCGCGGGGCTCGTGGGGAAGTTTTGCGCGCATCCGCGCCCGGAAAAGAAGCGGGATTTCTCGCGAAGCTTACCCCCTGTCTCCCGAGTTCCCCCCGCATCGGGAACAACATGAACGATGGACTGACTGTTGTAACTTGGTCGTCTAGCTCCTCAACAAGGATTTCTACCACCTGTCCGCCGGCACCGTCGAGGTCAAGAGCAACACGCCCAACAATGTTGCCTTCAAGGTCACTGGCAAGAGCAGCCACGACAACGCCACTAGCGGCGCGGTATGTGACAACCCCGCCAAGTTGGTGATGAGGCTATAGGGGGTGGTGTTGGGATTCTAGTGCTGATTTAGTTTCGTTTCCTGGCAATAGATCGAGGGAAAATACGTTGACAAGCCCAATGGTAAACCAAACCATCCATCCCACCACAAGAACACCAACGATTCGCGACATGCGTACCGTCGGCACTCGAGGCCGGCTTCGGTCGCTTGGCGAGGGTACCTGCGCGGGATTCGGGGGCCCGTCATTTACAAGCGCCCCGTTTAGTCGACGGTGGTCATGGACGGGCATGGCTCGGCACAGGCGCTAATTCAGTGGACACGCGCAGGCTTCACCCTTACCCAGACCTGGAACACCGCCAACACCCTCGAGACCAAGGTCGAGATGTCGGACAACCTGGCCAAGGGGCTGAAGGCTGAGGGTATCTTTGCCTTCCTCCCCGCTACCCAGTCGCGCGGCGCCAAGTTCAACCTCCACTTCAAGCAGCCCAACTTCCACGGCCGCGCCTTTGTCGACCTGCTCAAGGGCCCCACCGCCAGCATCGACGCGATTGTCGGCCACGAGGGCTTCCTCGCTGGTGCCTCGACCGGCTACGACGTCCAGAAGGCCAAGATCACCGGCTACAGCGCTGCTGTCGGCTACCAGGCCGCTACCTACAGCGCCGCGATCACCGCGACCGACAACCTGAGCATCTTCGCCGCCTCCTACTACCATAAGGTCAATAGCCAGGTCGAGGCCGGCTCCAAGGCCACCTGGAACTCCAAGAGCGGCAACAACGTCGGCCTCGAGGTCGCTGCCAAGTACCGCCTGGACCCCGTCTCCTTTGTCAAGGTACGTACCAAACCCCCCTCCCCCCTCCCTCGCCCACCACTCCGAGCTCCCATTAACCTAATCTCGCGTGTAGGCCAAGATCAACGACCGCGGTGTCGCCGCTGTCGCCTACAACGTCCTCCTCCGCGAGGGTGTGACCCTCGGTGTGGGCGCCTCGTTCGACACCCAGAAGCTCGACCAGGCCACCCACAAGGTCGGCACTAGCTTCACCTTTGAGTCGTAAGCTGGTAGCTAGCTAGCTGTACAAAAACATAGGAGAGATGGGTAGCCTTGCATTTCGTTTTACCTGTGAAAGCGGAACCTTGGGCCTAGCGTTGTTTTTAATTCGCGACAAAACAACGTCACTTTTACGGCAAAGGTGGTGAGTGAGTGATAATGATGCGTCTGGGTCAGGCGAAACGGACGCGGGGACTTTAAGCCTGTGAGGCACGACAGACGTTGTATAGAGAGGTGCATCAACCCCTTTCTTTCCTCGTACCATATTCTATATGCGTGCATATGTTGAGGGGCATAGTTGTTGGCATCCATAAAGACTTCCCAGGTAGCGTATACAACTTTTATGACCCTGCTCTCTCGTCATGAACTCTTGTTGATGTGTTTGCCTTTTTTATTCAATGAGTACAGTAAATAGACCTCTGGCGATATCATAACATTGCGGTAGTGCTCCACCAAAGCATCCTGTTGAGCCAGCATCAAAACATCCTCATCATTTCACATTCTCCCCCTTTTGCCCCCCTCCCTTCTTCCCCTCCTTCCTCTCCATCTCCCGCTCTCCTTTCCTTTCCAGTCTTGGCTCCGACCACGGTTCAGAAAACACCCACATCGGGCCAAGCACCACCACGCCCAAAATAGCCACAACCCCAAAGAAGCTCATCGTGGTATTAGTTTCCTCATGGTCAATATCCACGCCCTTTTCTCTAGCCTGCTTGTGTGCCCGTCGGTCATCACTCCGCCGTTGCGCCCGCTCGTGCGCTTTACGGTTGAAATGCGGCGTGTCGTAGTCGACATCGTCTTTAAACGGCCGTTGCCCGGGACCCATCCCGCCCAGTCCACCGGTTCCGCTAGAACCACCACCCGGCGGCGGTGGTGTATGTCCCTGTCCACCCGCATTACCTCCCCCTGCCGACGTCTCCCCCGATGATGACTCTGACGACGACGAAGAAGCCGACCCAGCATACCTCGACTCCGCCCCGCCCGTACTCTGCTCATGCGCAGCCCGTCTCTTCGCCCCATGCACCCCCCACCCCCCACTCCGATAAAAGCTCGGCGGCGGGCCCTGGTACGTTCCCCGGCGCCGACTGAGGCCCGAAGCGGGGCGCCCGCCGGCCGGGTTGTTGGAGGAGCTGCTGTGGTAGGAGCCGCCGGGCCGGTTACCAGGGTGGTGGTGGTAGTGTGGGTTGAGGCGGAGGTGGTCGCGGTCGTAGCGGGCGCGCTTGTCGGCGTGGCTGAGGATGGAGTAGGCTTCGTTGATGCGCATGAAGCGCGTGGAGGCGTGAGGGTCGGAGGGGTTGTGGTCGGGGTGGTGGCGTTTGGAGAGGACGTAGAAGGATCTGGGTGGACTGGGGTGTTAAGGGGGGAGGTTCAGAGAAGGGTTCTAGGTTGGAGAGGGATGGGAAATTTGTTTTTGTGATGGCGCACTTTTTAATATCCGCTGGCGAGGCGTTCAACGGGACGTTCAATGTCTCATAGTGGTTATCATGGCCGCTAATATTGGTCTCAAGGCCGCGGACGCATAGAGTTGGGTGGAAGAAACGACGGCAGCCCCATGATGCTGCTCGAGAGGTTTGGGTGATGATGTGGGCGGGCAAGGCAGCGCCGGTAAGACTATAGCGGAATGGCATGCCGCATCCTAATGGGCTCTCACATGGTCTAATTGGCGGTGGGTTTGGAGCGTGCGTGGAATGCCCGCTGGTTGATGATGCGGTGGATGAGTGGGTGAGTGTGGCCCCGTTTCTAGAAACGAGTGACGAAATCGACAAGCGAGACCAAGACGCTTCGATGCCAAGCCCGGGGTGCTCTCGTGCTGCAGGGAACTGTGGCGTCACCAAGGTTTTATCTCATCACGCTCATGCAAGCGCCACATTTCTGCCCCGCCAGGCTCGCTGTAAATCCTCAAAGCCGTTGGTGGGGCAAGGATCCGGAGTTGGTTCTTCAAGTTCAACTCAGGATTTCATTAACCATTTGGTTCTTGGGAACAACTGGAATCTTCAACATGGCGGCTCAAGCACCCCCGACGGAGGAGCTTAGCAAGCTAAGCGGTATGGTGAATTCTTCAAAACTACACTAGACTGACCCCACCAAAATTGCTCGTAGTCTCTAACTAACTGCTTAGTCGAGGACGCGAGCACCAAACCAAAGCCGGATGCGTCTGCGGCGGATAACGGGAACTTGAACGACAGCGACGACTCCGACGATGACGCTGAGGGAGCCGCCCCTGCCGCAGGCACAGGAGCCACCAAGAAAAAGAGGAAGAGAAAGCCCAAGAAGAAGAAGAAGAACCCGACCCAGCAATCCGACCCGCCCCGCGTGTTGATTTCGCAGTTGTTCCCGGATAAGATATACCCTAAGGGTGAGGAGGTTGAATATGTGAATGAGAATAGCTACCGCACCACAAATGAAGAGAAGCGCCATCTCGATAATCTCAAGAGCGAGTTCTTGAACGACTACCGCCATGGCGCCGAGGCCCATCGCCAAGCCCGTCAGTGGGCGCAGAAGAACATTAAGCCCGGTCAGACGCTGACGGAGATCGCCAATGGTATTGAGGACTCGGTCCGCGCCCTTGTCGGGCATCAAGGACTGGAAGAGGGGGATGCGCTTATTGCGGGCATGGGTTTCCCGACCGGCCTCAGTATCAACCACTGCGCGGCGCATTACACGCCGAACGCGGGCAACAAGATGGTGTTGCAGGAAGATGACGTGATGAAGGTTGATATCGGCGTCCATGTCAATGGCAATATCGTCGACAGCGCCTTTACTCTTGCATTTAACCCCCGGTACGACCCGCTCCTGGAAGCCGTGAAGGCTGCTACCAATGCAGGCATCAAGGAGGCTGGCATCGACGCGAGGCTCGGTGAGATAGGCGGAGTGATACAGGAAGTCATGGAAAGCTACGAGGTGGAAATCAACGGCACGACCTACCCCGTCAAGCCCATCCGAAACCTGAACGGGCACAGCATTCTCCCGTACAACATCCACGGTACGAAGAGTGTGCCTATCGTCAAATCCAACGACACCACCAAAATGGAGGAGGGAGACGTGTTCGCGATCGAAACATTCGGCAGCACGGGCGTTGGCTACGTGCGCGAAGAGGGTGAGGTATCGCATTATGCCAAGCGCGGTGATGCATCTAAGGTCGACCTCCGCTTGAGCTCCGCCAAGTCGTTGTTAAGCGTCATCAACAAGAATTTTGGTACCCTCCCATGGTGTCGGCGATACCTAGACCGTCTCGGCCAGGATAAATACTTGCTGGGGGTGAGACTCTTTACTTTTACTACCCCTAGACTGGGAAACGAGGATGTACGCTGACACAAGCTGTAGTTAAACAACCTCGTCGCAAACGGCATCGTTGAGTCGTATCCACCCTTGGTGGACAAAAAAGGCTCGTACACAGCGCAGTTCGAGCATGTGAGTTACCAAAGCCTGCACAAGAGAAGGAGCTCGTAGGAATCCCGCTAACCTCCACTCCTTTCTTCCGCAGACCATCCTCATCCGACCCACTGTGAAGGAGGTCATCAGCCGTGGCGAGGACTTCTAGAAACCACAACCAGGATCGAAGAGGTTATAACGATTATTTACAGGACCCTTGGTGGCGTCAAGTTGCGGAAGCACCGGCAATGTCACCGTTGGGCTTCCTACGTAGAAGATTTAAATGAACAAGCTTGACGAGTAAAAGCCAGGGCTACGAATAGTCAAAGTGATAAAATCATTTGTCTTGTCCCGCATCCCGGTTATAGTTAGTTAAGCCGAAGCCGAGCCGTGGGGCATGTGCCACAACCCCCGCGTTCTCCCCTGGTTCTCGACGTCAAGTTGAACGGGCTATAACGGGGGAGCGGGGGATTTGCTGGTTCAAGATATCGGGCACTCCGTTTCGTCTGATATTTGATGAAGTCTACCGTTGAGTGAAACTGGCTTGCGGGCGCAGCGACAGTCGCAGACGAGGTTTGGCAAGCCGGCGTTTTCCGGATGATGCATGACAACTTCAGACGGTGGCGACAGCGAGATCCATGACCATGGAAAACGGCAGAAATTGATTCCGACACCGCCCGAGCCCCGTTTCACCGTTCTGGCTGGAAGGCCCACCGCCCACCAACCAACCCCTCTCACCGATTGGGCTGTTTGCATCCAGACCAACCAGCGCTGTTCCGAAATTTTTCACCATCCCCCCACAAGCAAGCGAAAGAGAGGGCGCTGGCAGGGGTCGCCACTCACCGTTCCGATAAGACCTGGAGTTGGCGTGCCCAATCGACGCCATTCAAAAAGGCTCACAACCAAAAACTCCCCGTTTCAGGCGGTTGGACTTCTTTGCTCTTTTCTGCATTGTGCCGCACCGCCATTTGGCTTTCTCCCCTAAAAAACAGAAATCCCGACAAAAAAAGCGTCCTTTCTACCTTGTCGACAACGCGAAAGCCGATTGTCGAAACCGCCTGACCGCAACCGCTGGCCTGCGGAGACACCCAAAAACCCTCGTTAAAAATTTGCCGATCTCTTCACTCGACTTCGGCACACGACCGGAGTTCCGGCAAAGCCGGCTACATCAACAATCAACCACCAGAATACTGCCCACTGACTCGACGCTTTCTGAGCCCCGAGCCCCGAACCAGCGTCGTCGAAATCGACAATGAAGGTATTCTCAAACTCGGAAACCTTCAACTACTCCTGGGAGGAGGTATCGACCGCCAACTGGCGGAAGTACTGCCCATGGAACGAAAAATCCACACATGTTGTCGCCGTTGATACCGTCAGCCGGACGGTCGACCCAGCCACCGGCATCCTGCGAACAGAACGGCTCATCACCTGCCGACAAAGCGCCCCCGACTGGCTCAAGAGCCTGATGGGCGGGTGCATGGACGAGTCGCAAGTGTTTGAGACGTCCTACGTCGACCCGCGCAGCAAGACAGTAACCATGGTCTCGGCCAATCTCACATGGAACAACCTGATCAGCGTACAAGAAACGGTCGTCTACCGCCCTCTCAACGACCACCAAACCGCCTTCGAGCAGGCCGCTCAGATCACCGCGCTTTGCGGTGGCTGGCAACGCATCAAGAACCGCATCGAGGACACACTCGTCAAACGCTTCCACGAGAACGCCGTCAAGGGAAAGGAGGGGTTCGAGGCCGTGCTGGCTATGAGCCGTCGCGTGTTTGCCGAGGAACGCGAGCGTGAGCGTCTGATGCTGCTCCAGTCGCAGGCCAGCAACATCCGCTTGGCCGAGGCGGCGACAGCATGAAACTGGACCGGCGGCGGGGCAGACGAGGAAGCTGATGGGGCGGTTCGCGAGCCACCTCATCGCAAACTCCAATGCCAATCGACCTGGACCAATCACCTCACAGCAAAGCTTCAACGCAGCGGTACCTGATACCAGACCGGCGACTAGCCCAACCTAACCCAAAACGAAAAGGCGACCACGACAATGTGCATTCGCAATGGCACCGGCTTCGAGCCAACACAAAAAGTGCCCGACGATAGGGTGGGCGCCTTGCGACGAGAGACAAACGAGTCGCACACACCTCTCCACAAAACAACATTGAGAGATTCATTTTCATTTCCTTCTTTGCATCCTCTCCCGGAAACACCCGGGGAGGCACGGTTAGGGTTCCAAAAAGGAGAAAAGTGCGACGGGGGAATTTTATGATTGGGGTTCATGAAAAACTGGCAAGCATTTAGAAAGCGATGCTTGTGGGCAGCAGGGAGTTCTTTGGCGTTTGGGAAAGCATGGCGTCGCGGTCTTGGCTTCCTTGATTTTTATTTTTTGCTTGTTTTTCTTTCCTCCCATGTACCACCAATACAGGGGTTGGACTGCTTTTCTTCTACATTCTTGGCTTCCGCTTGTCCTTCTCCTGTCATCCACGAAATTTCGGGATTATATTCGTACACTGATCGCTCGCACACATATACCCCCGCAAGCGAGTTGGTGCGCTAGGAAGAAGACTCTTGTGTAAATAGAGGAAAGAAAACGGAGGAGGAGGAAAAGAGGGGAGTGGTCGTTTTTTGTTACGAGAGGCTCTCCACTCTTCTTCCCTTTACTAGTTTTGCATGGCGAGGCGTGATAGATCCTGATCTGGTCTTGGTGCTGTTGAGAGAGATGGGGCCAGCAGAGACGTCCCTAGAATATCGATAGACGATAGATACCTAGCTATAAAGAAGCACGGGATGGATTATTCCTCTCCACTACTTACAACCTATCCTACATTCCATTCACCTCCCAACTTCTCAGAGATGCGCCCTTGGCTGCAACAAGTTCAATTTGAAATGAATTAGAGGCAAATACGCCTTGGAACCATACTACATTAGACCCCAGGCATTCCGTTACACACCCAATATATCACCTATGTACACCCAAACCCCCCTCTCCTCCCCTCCCCCAACCTCGCAGTAGCCCTCTCCAAATAATACCCCAACAACCTCCTCGTCTCCCCATCCACCCTCTTCCTTGCCTTATCGCCAAGCTCGTTGTTGACGCTGTCACCACTGTCCGTATGATTGAGCACGGTTTGCAAAAAGTTCACTGCTTCAGCATACCGCTTGAAGAAGTAGAGCTCCTCTGCAGCGTGGAGAAGGTCTTGGGCTTCGGGTTTTGTGAGTGGGGTGGGTTCTGCTGGTGGTGATGATGGCGGTGGTGATGATGATGGGGAGGTGACCAGCGAAAGGACATGGGTGTGGATCTTGAGGTGAAAAAGTAAGTAAATCCGATATCTCACAAAGAAACAAAAAGGGTTAAAAAAGAGAAATATCTACCTCGCCGTTCTCAATCTTGGGTAGATATGTCTTCTTTAGAGACTGGAACGCTTCTTCTGATAATGCACTGCGTTCGGCACGGGTGGGTCGGTGTTCAGTGGTTGGGTTGGAAGTTGATGAGGGGGTGTCGGCCGGGAGAGCCGCTTCGTCGGGCTCGGAATCGGAGAGGTCCAGGGCGAGGAGGAAGAGGTCGGGGTCGGTTGGTTCTGTTGTCATGGTTTGGGTTTTGGTATGGGTTTGAGTTGGGTTCTTTTTTTTTTTTTGAGGGCGTTGAAGGGATTTGAGGCGTTTATGAACCTTCGGAAATTCTGATCATAAGTTTTGTTACGCCTTGAGGGTTTCCGGGTTTGGAGAATTGTCGATAGTCTACTAATTCAACGTCGAAATGTGTGGTTGTTTTTCATCGACCGAATTTGTAAATTCTGGAAATGGAGTAAAAGAGCTGCGGTATGCCGTGCGGAGCCCACAAGCCGGCAGCCCGGTAACACTGAGCACCGCATCTCCGCTTCTGGTGTTTCTTGATCTCCACTGTTCCCGGCTCAACAACACATGAGTATCCTTGACTTGCTGGAATAGTTTTCGATCTAGATCCCGGCCCTGTCTTTGATCTTAGGGACGGTACGTATTCAAATTTTACTTCTGACCAGTCGGCCAAAGTCTCCGCTGCCCGCAAATCTAACCGATATCTACCCCTTCGAGGTCTGTTTTGTTTGTGCATATGAAAGTCCCTGTTAGAACTGTGCTGACTTATACGAAGCATAGTTCTAGTCGACTTAAACCCATTTCAGCCTTATCGGTTCATTCACTCGAGTATGATGGATGCCACTTTGAGCCGTCTCCTCGACATTGCATGGGACCGGTTCACCAAAGCCCCTGAGAACACACGGTTTTGTAAGTCACATATCTTGACCATTCATGTTTCCCGAGTCGCCCCCTACCCGGTGCCCTCCAAGAGTCTGTTTACTTCAAATATAATGAAGCACACTGTCTCCATGGCTACTAACATCCCTCAACAGTAATCGCCATCGGCGGAATCCCCGGTTCCGGTATACCCTCCTCCCTTTCCCCATCCAAACCAAAACCACAACCCATCCTAACCTCCCCTAGGCAAAACCACCCTCTCCCAACGCCTCACCACCGCCCTCAACGCCCGCCACGCCGCCCTCACCTCCCAACCCCAACAACCCCAACAACCCATAGCCGCCTTCGTCCCCATGGACGGCTACCACCTGACCCGCGCCCAACTCGACGCCCTCCCAGACCCCGCCACCGCACACGCCCGTCGCGGCGCCGAATTCACCTTTGACGGCGCTAGTTTTGTGCAACTCGTCCGCCAGCTCAAACAGGAAGGGGAACCACTGACTGAGGCTACGCCGACGGTGTACGCGCCGTCGTTTGATCACGCTGTGAAGGATCCGAAGGAGGGGGATATTGCGATTGGGGGGAGGCAGAGGATTGTTGTTTTGGAGGGGAATTGTTAGTTGCCAGCCCCCCATCCCCTTTTCTTTTTTCTCCCTTACCTGGGCTATCCATCATCAGCTGGTTCGGTTCATACGTAAGGCTTACTGATTGATACCATCTTCAGACCTCCTTCTCGACACGCCGCCCTGGTCCCAAGCAATCCCCCTCTTCTCACTCACGATCTTTGTCTCCGTCCCACGAGCTACCGCCCGCGCTCGTCTAGCGTCTCGACATGTCGCGGCTGGTTTAGTCACCACTCTCGCCGACGGTGACCGCCGCGCGATTGAGAATGATCTTCCGAATGGGGACGAGATCTTGCAGAGGCGAGTGGGAAAGGTCGACGTTGAGGTGGAGAGTTTAGAGGATGGGGGGTGGGTGTGAGTGAAAGCGAGTTGGTAGAGATAGGTATGGCAATTACGGTGTAGATGGGGAGACAGTGGTATCATGTCACATCAATAGCCCGCGGTATTGTTTTATAGTTTTATTACATCTAACAATCGTCTAACTACAACTACCAAGGCGCCGCTCCCTTGCGGACCTCCTTCTATAAACCTTACCAAAACTCCCGTTATGAGTGTCCCTTGTCCATTATGTCACCTCAATCTCGCACGCAGAATCGCCCGAAGGCTGTGTGCCTAGAATAGTGACGTATGAATGTGGACTCCGGCTTTCCGAATCCGAACTCCGGAAGCATAAACGCAACAAATGAGCCGTGATGAAACCGGAAAGAAACCCCAGATGCTCACCAAATGGTCAGCATCTAAAAAAGCGAGGAGACCCCAACCGAAAATGGCGGTTGAGCAACTGCCACGATGGCAAAAGAGGCGGAACGAGCCGCCCTCAGAACTTTCGCCAGATGTTCATTACATGACCAACAATGTGCCTTCAAATTCCTTTCAACAATGATTGAGCTCTGCCCTACTGGCGGCTCTAACGAGGAAGATGGAAGTTGAAATTTCCAGAGCTCGACGGGGCCACACCGGAGCTGTGCCTCGACGCCGCAAGACCACGCATTTTGGGCACGGCTTGGGGAACCACCTGAGGTGACGGTGATTCCGAGTGCTCAGCGGCCTTTGTCTGGGCCATAAGGGGCTGCAACACCTCAAGAGGGGGCACCGTCGAAGTGGTCGCGGTATTCGCCAACCTACTAGCCTGGGCTGGAGGGGGCGCGTACAGCATTTGTGTCGGGCGCGGTACCTTCTTGACTGTGGATATACCATTCGGCTTAGTCGGCTCGGTCGACGCCGGTTGAGAACACAACTCCATTAGGGCACGGCTCGAAGAGTTGGGCCCAGAAGGTCTCACAGGAGCAACTGTGCCAATGTTTTCAGAACTAGGGGCAGCGGGAGACCAGATTGAGAGACGCGACATCTCGAGGCGTAAGGTTTCCATATTATCGGCCTTCGATGGAGTGGAAATCTCGGTTCCAGTGTGCTCCCCTGGACCCGACGGCGCCGCTGTAGGTCCCTGGTCGTAGCTGAAAAGGGTTCGAGATTCAACAGGATCCAGATGGTGATTCTCCTCCTCTGGGCGTGGAAAAAATAAGTCCACAAGATCTTCCGTTCCGGTGGTAACCGCAACGCCAGGCGAAAGCTGCGCAAGATCGTTCAGATAGCTCCGCCCCCCAACCTTCTCATACTTCGGGCCGGTGAAGTAATCCGGATGTTTGACATCAGCAGTGCCAGACGCCCAGCGGGAGCCTCGAAGTCCCTTGTCTTGAAGACTACTAGCATCGAATGAGCTCGTCTCCGACACAGGGGTCTGACGGCTGGCGAACCCAGATCCAGACGTCTTTTCCTTGTCCTCATCACTTCCACTCTTACTCAAAGTCTTTTGCGTGTCGTCGATGGAGGCTGCAGCCTGTCTATTGGCAGCGTTTTGTCGATGGACGCTGTTCGCCGTCGAGGAGGCGCTGACCTGACGCTTGACAGGTTTCGGTAGGTACGGAATATCTGCTAGACATCCCGGCGGCTTGGTAGCGTTACTCCTCATGGACAACAAGTCCTCGATGGAGTACACAAGTCGCGACTGAACTTTGGACCTTAGGACCTCATTGATTGCATCTTCAAGCGTCTCCAATTCTTTCTTTCCAAGCCCTCCTTGCTTGGCCTCTTGGATCATGTACTGCAGGACGCCTGACTTGACGCCCTCAGCCGTTTCGCGAAATTCATGCTCAGTCACTGTCTTGCCGCCAGCACCACTGTAGCAGAAGAATTGGAACACCGTGCGGGCGGTGTTGACGACGGCGTCGCGGAATGATTGGATTGCATGCCCGCCGGGAGTCTTGTCGCTCGCGTGGTTGGCACCAATGACAGAAAGCATGTCGGACTTCTGGAACAACGGCTGGTCCGGAGCAGCACTTTCGCTGTCCACTTCGTGGGTGGCCTGGGACATCCTATCAAACTCATCCGCAGGAATCGGTGAATCCAACAGAGACGTATCCGCCACAGGAAACCTCTTCGCGACCTCCCTGACGGGGGCTTCGGACAGCTCTAAAAGGGACTCGGCAGGGTCCAGAGCCGATGTCTCTGCTGTGCGACCATTGATCGCCACATGGGCAGCAGGCATCTCGGTGGAGCGCCTGCTTGCGGCCCCGGCCGGGGCCGGGTCCTGTGCCGCGGTCGCCGGAATATCCACGGTGTGTAGATATTCACCGTTCTGAAGATCCTTGACGGTAGTTATAAACTTCACCAACTCAACCGAGGTTTTGAAGTAAAGCTGGTAACCGTGAATGCTGTGCCCATCTCGGAATGTGACGCTCAAGTGGTTGTCTGCCCCAGTGAAATAATCGTCCCAGGTAGCGATAGTCCAATGGCATTGAACACGGCTGCGGAGAACAACTTGAAAGACCCCCATCTCAGGCCTCTTAGCAGCCGATAGCACTGCAACTGCCGGCATCGCAGGATCAATATCTCGGCTTGAGAACCTAACACCAACCCTGTAAATGATGTTGGCGATGTGGACTGGGAGGGGGGTGTCCGGATCAACCCATTCCTTGGAGGATTCAGATATGGTCAGGTTCGAGATGTTCTCTCGGCGAGGAATCTTGGCGGTATTCGCAAGTGAAACTCCCTTCGGGTTGGGCCGAGCTGTTGTGGAAGATGCAGGCCGCCTGACCGTGCCATTCTGAGCGGGAGGGCCCTGCTGTTTAAGGACGACCATATGTAGCTGCTGTTGAAGAGGACTGGCAGACTTCTTCTTCTTTTTCCTTCCGCCGGGCCTTGGATAGTCAGTGTCATTAGTTAGGTAGTAAAAAGGACTTGAGAAGGACCTACTGGGCATTGCGCTGGTTGAGAATGGACATGGTCATGTTGCCCACAAGAGCACCCCGCGACACACCGGTTGAGGTGTTATCATAAAGCCTGCCGCCGCCAAGATCGTCCAAACCCCTAACCCCTTCGGCGTCATCATCATTGAACACCCCGGAGTTTATGGCAGCTCCAAACAAGGTCAGCATGTCTCCAGATTTGGCCTTTTTTTCACCATGACTAACGAACCTTCCCAGACCTCGTCGAATCTCATCCCTTGCGAGGGTAGCCGTCGTGAAGGCGGCGGCGGCGGGTGGTGAAACTGCTGATTTCGATTGCCGGTATCGAGCGGTAGGTTCTCGATGCGCGAAATTCCGAGGTCATCCTAAAAGTCGTTAAGAATAGAACGGTAGAATTACGGATGGGAGGTCTAACCAGCATTGCTCGCCTAGCGGCCTCGTCCTTGAGTTTCATCTCCATATCCGTGCCGGGCTGTTGCTCAGCACCCTGGCTAGAGGGGTTGTTTACCTCCTTAGAGGGCATGGCGACGCTGGTTACCCGTGTGTGTTGTAGGCAACGCAACGCTGAGGAGAAATAAATATGTCCAGCGAACTTCACCCTCTTTAATTGGGGCAGCCCGGTTGTGAAGGGTATTTAGAGGTTGGCCTGAAACAGGTATTTGGGAAAGGGTGCGGTAGGTATCTGAGAGATAGTTAGAGACCGATGGTTGTATCATGCGTGGGGGACGGGCTTTGGTAGAGGGCGGGATAACGTTTCTAAAGGCAAAAGAAAGGAAATGATCGAAAGATTTGTTAAAGTAGAGGAAGGAGGGAAGTACGTCCGGATTGAAACGGTCCAAGGCCGAAATAATGCCGTGATGTGTAATATGTAGCATGGGAAGGTGCGATGGGGACGCGATCCCTCGTTTGAAGGGAAGGCACTGGTGGGTAGCAACTCACTGGATTCCGGAAGACCTTCTAAATGGCTTCGAGCTGGAGAAAGCAATTGGAAGTGAGGGCGGAAGCTCAAGTAGCTTGGTAACCAGATGCTCGAAAGATGATGCGAAAGGAGAAACTTGTCGATGGTCCTGAAGATATGTGTCAATGAACACCGGGTCCGACGGTTAGATGGGTCGCAACTTACCTTGCCACGTGTTTGTCAAGTTCCCGAATGCTAGCACCGGAAGCAAACTCGATCTTCCCTTCGAATTGCAAAATGGCAGTGCGGAAGAAGGTTGATTGTCGCTGGATTGCAGTATTGAAGTGGTCAACACCAGCACCGTTGGTAGCAAGTGAGCTCTGTTGGTGTTGGGGAAGAGAGAGGTAGAAGGAAGAAGGAGAGTGTTCGGAAGATAAATAAAGAAAAGCTTTTTAGCTTTTTCAAACAATGGAAACGTGTGTGGTAGGAACCCGGCCACCAGCTATGGCAAGAGGCAGAGCGGAACTAGGTAGGGTAAACGGCCCTAAACTCCCGGGCCGGGCGGGTATCGAGAGATTCAAAAGACTGGCGGAGGTATTGAACGGTGAGTTAAGAGCGGGCCGGGGCCGGCGACATTGAATCATGAGTTAAGAGCAGAGGCGGGTCCAAGTTCGATAGCGACAGTACGAAAGCCGGAATATCTGTGGCACGGGAACCGGAATATGGCTTCCTCCCACTCATGCCCGAGCTAAGTCAAAGGTGGGATTTGAGGGTGTCATGTTCAAAAGGTGGTTCGTATTCTGATATGGAGGAGACTCGGCGTGCCTGATAAGAGTGACATTGAAACTCCTTTGACACTAAGCAGCTTATACCTATGATAGAATCACAAAACTAACAGTATCGAGCGTGGTGAGTCAAGGATATTGTTGCTTTCAACTGTGTAGTTGTAAGAAGTGGGCTAAACGAGCTGGTGGAACATGTGGTTCACGGCATACAAAATCGTGGCATCTGTCCCTTTCTATCAGAATATAGCTGTGGACTAATTTCCTTTGATTTGCTGTTGGAACTCCCCTCTTAGCATTCCCTCTTTGTTTACTAACTCGTCGTCTTACCCCTGAAAACGATTCAGGGGTAAAATATTGGCCCGTGCACGATACTTACCGCAATACTGGATGGTGTAGCCATTGCCTATCGCACCAGCCTCTGGGTGGTTAACATCATCAGGTAAGGGAGATGAAGAGTTGGAATTTTCGGCTTTCGGGATGGGTTGTTATTGGTTTTGCCTTTGTCCTGCCATCAAGCCCTATAACGAAAATAAGACACAGTCAGATCCTCTTTCAACGGCCAACCCATTACCGTGTTCGTCAACTATTAACTCGTAACAGTTGCGATATGCTATGTCAAAGGATAAAATTTCTTCATGATACAATGGTGACTTCTATGAAATTTCTATATTCCCCGGTAGCCCTAGGCAAAAACAGAGAGCCCTTATGCCCGTGCATCCTTTGGCGGCTCGTTCAGCCCGTCCTTCCCCTGGCGACCAATCTTACTCATATCAACATCCTCCGAAGCCTTGGTCGCAGGCTCGCGGAGACCAGTTGTTGTGCCTGGACCAGTAGAGATGTCACCTGCTGAAACGCCAGTGCTGGCGGTGGTTCTGGCATCGGCTGAGTTGAAATCGGAGGCGGTCGGGGGTTGCTCGGGGAGGGGCAGGTTAGCCTGGGCCTTTTCGATCTTGGATGCTTTGGACGCCATGTTTGGTGGGTTTCGTAATCTTCGAGCTTGTTAGCTGGTATTTAGGGACAAATGCCATAACGGGTATTCTTACTGGCTGAGTACGAAGATTGGGAATTCTTTGGTGATTTTAAGTACTGGGGTTGGGGTGTAAAGAGTTCGGCTGTTGACGATAAGAGGGATAACAAGTTTGACACTTGACTGGAAGAACTTCTAATGATTTCGATCTCACAACTGAGCAGAATGGAAACCGAGTTTATAAGTTTTTAACACGGTATTAAAATCGATAGCGATGGTGAAGAAAGATGGCAATGACGTCACTGACTTCAAGGCACTCCTTGCATTGACCCATATCTGACGCCAATGCTCTGATATATCTAGCAAGTCATGACATCGACGGAAATATGTTGTGGACCGGGAATTGCGGATCTAATAACGTTGGGAAATACGTCGGGATGTCGGACTCGGTCGAGAACCTGGCTGCTGCCACCGTTGCCCAGAGAGCCAGGGTACAATGTTCGTCATGGTTGAAGATTTGTTTATCAAGCGAGCATCATTGAAGCCATAACGAGAGTCCTGAAGTGAATCCACTTTTGTAACCTGACTCATGGGAAACCGAAAGGAGAAAGCTTTGGGACGGTGCGGCGCGTTTAATAAATTAGCTTGCATCAGCCCATCATTCAGTCTTAACAGACAAGCGTCTAATTAGTGTTTTTTTCCGCTCTAAGTCGGGATTATTCCACCTAATCCTACTCTTCACACTCGCAACATGGAAATAAAGGGGTAGTATCGTGGCCGATAGGAGAGACTGAGGGCTAGGGGAGTGAAGCTCAGCGGGGGTTGATGAATGTCAACAAATGCTTAACCGTATGAGCATTTTCCGCTCGCTTCAAATGGAAGAGATCGAGAAACCGTTGTATCGGCCTTGTAAAACGGAGAGGATAGCTAAGATTTAAAAGCATGCTTCAGTATCTCAAGCCCATTCCAACGGAGGAATTATATACTTAACCTGCGTCTCGTCTAAATCCCCTTTTTCCCTCTATCTCCGGTTGTTTACTCACCGTGTTGCTGGGGACGAGTTGAGGACCGGTCCTGAGCCGCTGACACATACGAATACAGCAGTTGACAGCTTGCAGCAAATGCTCACCGGCTTGCTGACTCTCCACTTATGGGGCGGAGACGCGCTCAGCGGATGAGCCTCTACAATCACAGCGCAGCCCGCGCAGCGCCGAACTGCCATTGGCAATGGACAATCTCGTCCAAACAAGACGCTCCCGTTGTCGCCGCCGTCGCAATTGGCTTTGACGACGTGGCGAGGAAACGTCTGGAGGTTGCAACAGACAACCGAGGCATCTTTAAATTTCCGTGCACGTACCGGGGTTGGTTGCGCTCGCCTTTTTCAAAATGGGGGCCGAGACTTTTCCGTTCTCGGCGATAGGCGGGCCAAGTTTGTGAAATTTCTTGCAGGGGGGGCTAACGGCTGCTGCGGTCTGCGGCCAAGTCCAACCACAGTTCAGTGTCTTGTCTCTCATTCCGCTTTGCCAACTAATAATAATTATCGCTGGCTCGCTCGCTCAGCCTGGCTTTTAATCACCCGGCATCTCCTCGAGAAAGAATGTCCGCGCATGTCCGCAACGCTGCGAGGATCCCAACAATGCGCGAGAGACCGATGATTTAGCCCCATCCCGACCGAGCACGATCATGCTGAAACCGAGTTTCCCCCCGTCCTTGATCGCGAGGCGCCTCCTCGGCACCAGGGGCAGCCCCGGTGTTGGTACCGGCCTTGGGAACTGGACTTGCGCCCGGTGCCGTGGCACTGGTAGCGGTAGCAGCAGCAATGGCAGTCGGATCTTTCGACCGAACCCGTCTCGACCTCCTCCACCCGTGAGGCAATATGGCACTGCGAGGCCGTCGTTCACATCCCACACCCCTCCAAAGGGGAGATCCCGGCGGCGAATTACGGCGGCGCTGTTGGCCACGGCTGGGGGAGGAGCCACCGCGATGTTGGTGTCTGTAGGGGATGATGTTAAGAACAGTTACGAAGCGATGGAACGCTCGGGGCGGGTGGCTTCGACATTGTGGCTATGTATTAATGAGTAGGTTATTTGCAATGGGGGTTTAGGGGGCGAGACTTTTTTGAGCGTCCAGAGGCTGATATGGGTTCTAGTTACCGGACGACACTTAATCAGCGAGAGACACTCGAGGACGAAGACGAAAAGGAGCATTTCTTAAAAGCATGCCACAAGCGGTGTGCCGATAGGACATTGAAAGTGTTGGAGAAGAATGGGGGGATATTTATCAAGCTGGGACAGCATTTGGTAGGCATGGCGAAGCCTCTTGGAGAAAGAAGTCCGTACGTACTAACGATCTTCTAGAGTGCGATGAACTACCTTCTTCCCGCCGAGTGGACGACTACATTCATACCGCTGCAGGACAAGTGCCCGGTGTCCTCCTTCGAGTCGATCGAGGAAATGTTCCGCAAAGACACGGGCAGCGAACTATGGGATTACTTCTCTGAATTCTCCCCCGAACCCATTGGCGCCGCATCACTAGCGCAGGTACACTTGGCGACTATCAAGGATACAGGGCAAAAGGTGGCCGTCAAGGTCCAGCATCCAAGCCTACAACAATGGGCCAAGCTGGACATGTCCCTGACGACGTTTACATTCTCTATGCTGAAGCGCTTCTTCCCGGAATACGACCTGGAATGGCTGTCTTCCGAGATCGAGGTCTCACTTCCCCTGGAGCTCAACTTTGTATGCGAGGCGGAGAATTCAAGGCGAACCAAGGAGCACTTCTCGCGCATCCCCGAGCTGCCGCTCGTCATCCCGAACGTAATTTGGGCGAAGCGACGCATTCTTGTCATGGCGTGCGAGGCCGGCCGACGCTTAGACGACCTCGCTTATTTGGATTCGGAAGGCATCGACCGCGACGAGGTCTCGGCCACCTTGGCGCGGGTGTTCAACGAGATGATCTTTGGCGATGATGCTCCGCTACACTGCGACCCGCATGGAGGCAATATTGCGATCCGAAAGAACACGACGCGACGCCGCGGCGCCAACTTTGACCTCATCCTTTATGACCACGGGCTGTACCGTGACATCCCGCAATCGCTGCGGCGATCGTACGCGAAGATGTGGCTGGCCATCATCGACGGCGATATCGAGCGGATGAAGAAATACGTCAACGAAGTAGCGGGCATCGGCGAGGACCAGTTCCCGCTGTTCGCCTCCGCCATCACCGGCCGCGATTTCAGCGTCGTCAGCTCGTCCATTACCGCTCCCAAGGATGCCGCCGAGCAACAAAGTATGAGTGGCGCCCTTCAAGACGGCCTCCTCGTCGACCTCGTCCAGATGCTCGGCCAAGTACCCCGCATCATCCTGCTCATCCTCAAGACGAACGACCTAACTCGCAGCCTGGACGAGAACCTGCACACACGTCAGGGCCCCGCGCGCCAGTTTCTAATTCTTGCGCGCTACTGTATGCGCACCGTCTTCTACGAGCAGCTCGAAGAGATCCGCGCCTGCGGCTCGCTGTACTGGCCGCCCAACGCGTTGCGGCTACTGGCGGCTTGGTTGGGGTATGTTCGAGTGGGCGCCAAGCTGGAGGCGTATGAGCTGTGGATTCGGGTTAAGCGGGTGTTGGGGTATCAAAATGGGATAGACTTGGGTGCTATGGCGTAAGGGTGGGCGCAAGCAAAGCGAGCATTTAGAAATAGAGGGTGGGGGAAAGGTACATAGGTTTGGATTTTCCTTGTTATCTTGTTATACGACATGACATACACATGAGACCACGTTTTGCGTTCTTGTTTTTGGAAGTTTTGGATGAAGCGAGAATTTGTGAAGGGGGTTGTTGCCTGTGGTGATCAGCTAGGCTACCAGCCTTGCGAGTGGATTTTACGAGTATTGGGGTGTCCTCTCAACTGACACGTTGCTAGGACGAGAGGGACAAACGCACACATCCCGGGCGATTTGTGTTGACCGGGGCCCGAAGCGTTCTAATTGAGTATTCTCTGGGTTAACGTTATCGTACGGTCACGGTTCGTTTCTTCACGCAAGGCTCACTGTGATCCTTGGCCCGGAAAACAGGGGTTCTCGATTGAATCTCCATTCTGCGTCAACGGCTGATGCCAAGCCTAGGCGGTCTTCCCAGGCAGGCATCAACACTGCCACGGACGGGAACCAGTCAACCAGTTAAGACCACGGAAAACTGGCCGAAGAGGGCGTCAAGATGCGACGTGTTTGATTCGACGGAATATGCCTTTATATCCCAGCAGTAAGCCCACTTTGCGAATCCCTTTTCTTCATAAAACCGGTACACAAGCCCGAGTAGCAACACGCCTTGGAAGGTCAACCGCGACAATTCTTCAACCACACATTTCACATATTTTTGCCTACTTCACTTCATATCCTCTCTACCTTCAGCAAACTAGACACTACAACAAGGACTCCAACCTATTGGCCCCCAAAATGCTCTCCAAACTCAAATCCGCCATATCCCCCCCACCCCCTCGCAAAGCCCCCATCCCCATCAAAACAACCTACACCTCCCTGCCCATCACCCTCCCCCCATCCTTCCTCACCACCCCACTCCCCGACGACGCCCTCCCCATAACCATAACCCCGATCCCCTGGCCCCAAACCCCCCTCCCCGAATACGCCCCCCTCTACGCCACAGTCCTCGATAACGTCCTCTCCCCCTCCGAATGCGCCCAACTCCTCCGCCTCGTCGAATCAACCGTGCCCCCCCTCGGGGCGGAAGGCGCCGAACTGCGGCGCAGCGAGACAGATCCGTGGATGCCGGCGTTGGTAAATGTGGGAGGGGGGTTTGAGGTGTTGGAGGCGGGGTATCGGAATGGGGAGAGGATTGTGTGGGATTGTCAGGAGGTGGTGGATCGGGTGTGGGAGAGGTGTGTGGAGGCGGAGGGGGGGAGGTTGAAGGGGAGGTTTGCGAGGATTGAGGAGGGGGAGAGGGATTTGGTTGGGTATTCGGCTGTTGTGGGAAGGGGGAAGGGGGATAGGGGGGAGAAGGCGAGGAGGAGGGTGGAGGGGGGTGCTGGTGGTGATGGGGAAGAGGAGGAGGAGGAAGAGGAAGAAGAGGCGTGGTGGGAGTTTTTGAGGGTGAATGAGAGGATGCGGTTCTTGAGATATGGGAAGGGCGGGTTTTTTAGACGTGAGTTTTTTTTATCACTTCTCCCTCCTGCATATGTTTCTTGATCTTATTGAACAATGGTTATCTGACTTCTGACTGAAACTAGCTCACTGCGACTCACCCTACCGAGACGTCCAAGACCCCTCGCGTCGCATCGTCACCATGTTCACCATCCACCTGTACCTCAACGACTCCAAGGCCGAGGTGCCCGGGGCAGACCTCGTAGGAGGGGCCACCACTTTCTTCTCGAACGACGAGAAGCGCAGGCTGGATGTCCATCCCAAGGCCGGGCGTGTGCTTATCTTCCAGCACCGGAGACTCTTGCATTCGGGGGATGATGTGCTGGCTGGGACAAAGTACACGATGCGGACGGATATTATGTATGAGTTTAAGATTAGGAAGAAGCGGAGGGGCAACGAGGAGGAGAGCGATGTGGTTCAGTAAGGGTGACAGGGTGAAATACATGGGTGGGTAAGCGAAGAGTTGGACAAGTCAGGGGTAATATAAAATGGAACTGATAGTGAGATGAATAGCAGATGGCCATAGGGGTAAATATAGCAAAAGCTACTCCGCTACTTAGCTTTTTTTTTTTTTCCCTTTTTTCACACAATCCGCGCTCGGGGAATACACCGTTAAACGCTCCAAATTGACCTCATCTCATTTCAAGAAGAACAGGGCATCAAATTGCTAATGGTACTGTACCCATCCTCTTTTCAGGGTCCATTGCCAAGCTGTTCCTGCAGGTGGAGCACTCCTCACTGCAGGTGTAATACTAAATGCCCCGCGTTTCATACAGTAATTACTCCCGTCTCACAACATCTTACTCCCAAACTAAACCACCAACACCCTCACTTCAATTTTCAGAAACACAACAACTTAACTCACAACAACACATTCACAATGCCCCTCCCCGATTTCACCTCCCCCACCCTCTTCCCCTCCTTCCTCTCCCTCCCCATCGACACCGAACCACCCCCAGAATCTTCCTCAGAAACCTTCCTCCTCGCCCAAATCCTCGAAAACATGACCCTCACCAAACCAACCCTCATCTGCACCGACGTCCACCCCTCATCACCTACCACAAACAACACCAACAATACCCCACAACAACAACCTATATCTCCCAGCAACCGCTTCGCAATCGTCTTTCCCTCCCGCCCCGGTTCCGGGCCGGATACCCTCGATTTCCGTCGGTTGGGGTATAAAAAGGGTTCGACGCTTGTTATACGCGGTGCGAGGAGACGAGTTCGTGGTGGCGATGCTGGTGCGTCAGCTTCCACGGCGGTGTCGGAAGAGGAGTTACCAGGCTCGAACAGCCAGCCGGGCGGGGGCTCAGGTTCAGGCCGTGAGGTTGGGTTTGTCGCTGTGGAGAGGGCTGATGAGGGATTGGTGAGTGTGGTGCCTACGGGCGTGGGGAAGGTACGGGAATTGGGGGTGTGGTTGAGGGAGAGGGATGAGAAGAGGTTGCAGCAAGGGGGAGGTGAGGAAGGAGTGGTTTTTGGGTGTGAGACGTGTGGGCGGATGGAGGGGACGTTGTTGAAGAAGTGTACGGGGTGTGGGGAGGTGGCGTATTGTGGGAAGGTATGTGTTGTTTGTTTTACACTCCGGGGTTCTGTTGTGAGCGGGTGTGTTGAGATGTTTTACGAGAGGTGGGACTAGCAACTGGTTGGACAGCGCTGACGCTTTAGCAGGAATGCCAGCTTAGAGGATGGGACGAGGGCGGACATAAGGGTGATTGCAAGGCTATCAAAGCCATCCGTGCCATCTGGCCTTGACTAACAACTCTCCTGACGGCCATGGATAAATACAATCGTACATAAAAACCCTAGTTCAGGATCTCTCAGCCAGGATGTAAGCTAAGCAAGGTAGGAATGAGTGCATCATACCCTCCGTTTCCAACACCCAGAGATAAGTACAACGGATATAGGCTATGTGGCCCCGTAAGCCAGCGCAAGAAGAACAAGCTATGAAAAAGGCGAAAAGCCGTGCCAAGGGATATGAACACCACTCCGCGTAACCCATTGCACACAAGTGAACCTTAACGCCAGCCCCGCCCTCCCTCAAATCCGTGAAATTAACAGCAAATACCAGAAATCAACACCCTCAAACCACCCCCATCTTCAACCCTTACTACCCCCCTCCCTCCTAAATCCCGGTGCTCATCCACCCAAAAGTCCCCACCGCAGCGCCCACCGTCAAAATCGTCAAAATCCCCGCCCCCGCACGATCAGCCGTGGTAATCGGCTTGCGCTCCGGCATATTATGATCCGACTGCATCCCCGCGTTCGGATCCCCCTTGCTCGTACCCCCCGTCCTATTCGTAACAGGCGGCGGAGCCGACGTGATAAGCAACGACGACACGGCAGCCAGCACATTCATCTGCTGGCCCGCGCCGTGGCTGCCGTCGTACGCGTGCGTGTTCCATTTGAACCCGCACGTCCGCTGGTTCGCTTCGCCCGTACAGGTTGAGACTGCGGCTTCGGTGGAGGTTTTGAGGACGGGGAGGATCTTGTCGGAGAGGAAGGGCGCGATTTGCGTGGCGGTTGCCATCCACCGGTGCAGGTAGCCCTTGAAGCTGAGCATGTCGGCGGTGCAGGACATGTACTTTTCGCAGGCGAGCTCGTAGGCGATGTTGTTGGGGAAGAAGGTCTCGATTGTGGCGTCGACGAGTTTGTCGAGGCGGTCCCGCCAGACGTCGCTGCCTTTGGTCTAACGGATACGGATATGACCGTGTTAGTGAGAGACAAACGGCTGACTGACGTGGGGTTGGGAATGAGACCTACGTAGTTGTACATGTAAGCCGCGCCCAGGATATAGACGGCGTTGTTATAGGAGAACTGGGCTTTGTTGGTATCGGTGCAATTCTTCCCGACGTGCGCGCCGTCATAGATCTTGTATTGATCATCCATGAAACCGACACTCCTGACCCAGTCCCACGTCTTCTCGGCCCAGTCGGCGTAGGATTGGTTGCCTGTGTAGCGCGCCAGTCGGGCCCCGAGGTTGAAGAAGCAACCGTTTGCGATACCTAGTCTTGTTAGCATGTTGGCAGACTTCACAAAGAAGGTGGGTGGCTCACTGTTCTTGTAGTCATAACCGTTGTTCGACAAGTAAATCTGCCATCTCAAACCACCGCCGCTGTTCGGGTTATACGTCAACACACACTTCTCGCAACCAACTAACAAGGCAAAACCCCCCCGTATCGAGACCAACTTACCAAGTATCATCATGCTGCTCCGGAGCAGCCTGGGTCGCAAAAACAGCCTGTGCCAGAGCCAACCACTGAGGCTGATCCGCCGGCGGGTTGGGAAAGTTGTTCTCGGCCGCAAGCATGGCCGACATACCCCAAAAGCCCTGGTCGTCGTTGCCAAGCGAAGCCGTGTAGTTCGGCGGCTTGTAGTCGCGGTTGGGACCAACCTGCCACAGCATGGCCTGGGTGACTTCGTCGTTGTAGGTATCGTCGCCCGTGAGTTTCCAGTAGTCGATCAGCGTCCCCCACATCGCACCCCCTTCCCACCAGTAGTAGTCGCCTGCTGGTGGCGGACCGGGAAGAATACCGGGTGTCATGCCCGTCTCGTTGCCGTTGTAGTATTGGAGGAGATCCCAGGCGACGTCGGCGGCTGTCTTTTTGATATCCGCTAGAGCACCATTTATGTTAGCCGGACGTGCTTTGGCTTTCATGCCCATCTAGGGATTTATGTCGGCTCGGGTCGGTCCGCAGCGGATGACGCACCTGTCGACGCAATACTGTATGCAGCGTTGACGGCCCCGGCCGCAGCCAGGACTGCAGCCGCAAACCGTGTCCCAAGCATGTTGTGTAAATACCAAAAGCGAGCGACCGTAGCGGGAAAGCGGGAAACACAGAAGGCGCAAAACAAACGAGAGAAAGAATAGGACTACGAATTCGATTAGGGAGCGAAGTGCCTTCTTCAAGCCGCGAGTGGTGATTCCCTGGAATCTCAAAAAAGGAGGCGTTGGTACACGTGTAGTGTGGCTCTGTTGTTTCTTGGAGAAAGGAGAATGGAAAACTTGGAATGGGGGCAGTCGGCGATCACATTACAGGTGTGTGTGTACACTATGCAGATACCAGGGGTGGTCCCGGTGATGAGACCGCGGCTGTGTTCCTCAGTTTGCAGTACACAGGCTCTCATAACATCTTGCTGGCATTTCAAGGCACCTGACTAACAGATTCCGAGTTCTGTGGGGATCGTCCGGCGATTTTGGGGGTTGGGATGTGGGTGTGTGTGTGTGTGGGTTCCAAGGTCGGCAGAACAGGAACCTCAAACGAATCTCGTCCAAGAGGAACGCGTGACGGTGGGTTGATCAGTGGGGACTCACGGTTCCCGGCACAAAGAGAAAGGACTATGGTGTTGACTGCGGATTATAACTAAGATTCCACTGGGCTCCGAGTTTCCCTTCTTCAACATTGCCGTTGTCCTTTTCACTTGTCTCTTTTCGACATATCAACAATGACGTGATGCCCCTCTTCCCATAACGTCTCACGCTTTCGCTTGAGGCGCTGGAAAGGGAATCGTTCCTTGGCTCCTTGCTGGGCGCGGAGCTTGTCTCGGAGGCCCCACAGCGATGACGAATGGCTGCCATGCCGCTTTGTTTAGCGAGTAAACAAGCATTGCCAAGCCTACCAACCCGTCAGAGTTCCAAGCTGATGTTTTTCAATGTTTGACGAGCCTTAACACTGCGGACTTGATACAGAGTTTGGGGTCGAAGACTCCGTCCGTGGATGGCTGGATGGACACATCCAGGAATTCTTCCTCCTCGGGCTGGGAAAGACGCGCGAACCCTGTGCCGGGACAGGCTCCACCACCCACGCGATTCGTCGCGCCCTCCGTGAGCGCTGGGTGGAGGAAGTGCAATTTCCGAACAACCGGGCAGGGCTGCGTGGGCTTCCTGTATCCGGCAAAGATTCGAGAGTTGCGACGTCAGTGTCGTTGTTGGTGGTTACTGTACACCTGTAGTGTAAGTCGGCGCTTTAAACGAAACCTGCAACTAAGGAAGAGGGAAATAAAATGTACGTGAAGACTGAAACAGATACATGTGTAAAGCCGGACCCAGGCATGAAAGTTGACCTCCAGTTCAAAATTGGGGACCAACCAATGCGACGTGTGTTGTGAGGTGGTCTTGAAGAAACAGAAAGCGAGAACCCTTGACCTCGATGCCAAGAGATCTCCCTCCTTGGCAGACGGCAACCCCGCAATTCGAAGAACCCTGCCATTATTCGCCCGTCTTCCTTCCTCAGATTTCCCGCTTCCAAGGTTGTGCGGGCAAGGCGGGGTAGTAATTAGTCGCGAAGGAGACTTACTAGCGTCCATGTGTAATTCTCAAAGCCTTTTAGAGCTTCAAGCCTATATGCATTAAACCCAAATTTTCCCACGATGAGATTCCGCGTTACACGATCGCGCTCCATGCATAACTACCTGAGCTGAGGGGCCAATGTGCTCAAGCCCAAGATGATCATCGTCCCAACATTCTGGCTTGGCGGCCTCGCTAATTGAGAACCCCGCGGTGCGTCCACACGTCAGTCCATGGCCAACCCCTCTGTTGTCATTGCCTCGAGTCTGCCTTCAGCTGCGCAACGGTCGAAGCTCCTCTAGAGCAAGAGCTGCAAGCTCCAATTCCTACGAATCTCACCAAAAACCGGCCAACGAACGCCCGTAAAAAGTCACCCCAAAACATCATGACGTCGTGGGTTGGAGCACGCGCGACGGCCACACCAGCCCAGGTCGATGCCGTCGCCCGCACCATCCGCATCACCCCAGTCATCGACCACCATGCCCATCCACTTCTCAAGCTCGAGGCCCAGAGCAAGCAGCCACTGCTGGCCATTACTACCGAGGCCAACGGCGATGCGATCCACGCCGCTACGACCTCGCTGCCGCACTTCCGTGCCGTCCGTCAGCTCGCCTCGGTCCTAAGCTGCGGCTACACCTGGGAGTCCGTTGTCGCTGCCATCGAGGAAAAGCGGCTCGATTGCCCCGAAGACTGGACCGCCGAATGCCTCGCCGGCATCGAGACGATCCTGGTGGATGACGGGCTAGATGGCGAGGACGACGCGAATGCCTTCAGCTGGCACGACGACTATACCCGCAGCCGATGCAAGCGGATTGTGCGCATCGAAAAGATCGCGGGGGATATCCTGAAGCGTATCGGGAGTGGCTTTGACAAGTCGGCCCAAACAGGCGATGTATTCGACGATGCCTTCGACGAGTGGACACAGGAGTTCGATTCATACATCGCCAGTGCCATTGAAGACCCCGATGTCGTGGGCTTCAAATCCGTGGTTTGCTACCGGACCGGTCTTGATATTACGGTCGAGCCCAATGAAGTCCATGAAACCCGAGCCCGGGCTGACTTTAGGGAAATCTTGGCCAACTTCGCCCTTCTGGACTTCAACAAGTTACAAACGAAGAGCCTGAACGACTTGATCGTACATCGCACCGCCCAGCTCATCTACGACAGCCCGTCCCGCCAGAAAAAGCCCATCCAATTCCACACTGGCCTCGGCGATAACGACTTAGCTCTGTCCAAATCCTCGCCCTCGCATCTACAAGAATTCATTAAATCGTACCCGACCGTGCCCATTGTGCTTCTTCATGCCGGCTATCCATTTACCCGCGAAACGGGATACCTTGCATCGGTGTATGAGAATGTCTACGCTGATATTGGAGAGGTGTTTCCTTGCGTCAGTCAGGACGGTCAGGAGCGCATATTGCGCGAGATCCTTGAGCTTTGTCCGTGGTCCAAGATCCTTTGGAGCACGGATGGACATTGGTTCCCGGAGACGTATCTCCTTGCGGTTCTACAGATGCGGGAGGTGTTTGAAACAGTGGGTTTCTTTCGTTTTCGTGCTCATGCCATACACATACACCATGAGGATAGCCGACTAATGACACGCCTAGGTTGTATGCGATTATGTTCGAAAAGGCCACATTGGCTGGAGGGCCGCCATACAATTGATTCAGGACATTTTGTTCAAGAATGCCAACAAATTGTACCATCTTGACCTGGAGCTCATCGAGCTGGAGGAGGAGAGTGGCATATCACAGGGCGCTGGCCAAAGCGATGCTGACCTCCTCCGGGCATTTCTCAAAAACCAAACTGCCCCCGACTTTGTCCGGATTTGTTGGAACGATTTCACCGCGTCACAGCGCATGCGCATGGTTCCGTTCCGAAAAATCACTTCTCTCCTGGACGACGGGAAGGGCTTGGACATTGGCATTACCAAGGCCGCGTTTGGGTTGATTCAGAACGACTGGTTGATCCCGAGTGCTTCTCCCGCGGGCGAATACCGTCTCCACCCCGATTTCTCGTCTCTCAAAAAGGGCCCTATCGAGGGGCACATCAGCATGAACGGCGAGTTTCGTGAGAAGTCCGGCGCTCCTGCACCGTTTTGCCCCCGTTCCGCTCTACAACGTGCCGTCGAGTATGGCGCCGAGAACGACTGCACGTTCCTGATCGGTTTCGAAATCGAATTCCTGCTCGTCCAACGTGTTGATCCCAAGCCAGGTGACACCACTCGCTACGAGACCCTCCGTACCGATGGCCATGCTTGGTCTGTCAGCCGGTACTTTGCCGACCCCAAGATCGCCACCCTCCTTCGCGACATGGTATCCGCCCTCGACGACATGGGCATCTACGTCGAACAACTCCACGCCGAGAGCGCCACCGGCCAATTCGAGCTCATCCTCCCTCCCTATCCCCCGGTCCAAGCTGCCGACACCCTCCTCCACACCCGCGACGTCATGTCCGCCCTCGCCACAGCCGCCGGGTTCAAACTCACCCTATACCCCAAGCCCTTCGCGCACGCCTGCGGCACCGCCTCGCACATGCACATGTCCCTCTCCTCACCCAACGGTAGCCGCCCCGAAATCTACCGCTCCCTCTACGCCGGCGTACTCAAGCACCTCCGCGCCATCCTTGCCTTCACCTACTCCAACCCAGCGAGCTACGAGCGCTCCGTCGACGGCGCCTGGTCCGGCGGCCGCTGGGTTACCTGGGGCACGCAGAACCGCGAGACGCCGTTGCGCCGGATCGATACCCCGCCATCTCACTGGGAACTCAAGACCATCGATGGCATGGCGAATCCGTACCTGGCTATCGCGGCGGTCTTGTTTGCGGGTATCAAGGGTGTGGTGGATCGGGAACCGATGGTGTGGGGGGACTGTGAGGTTGATCCGGCGAAGCTGACGGCGAATGATCGGAAGGAGCTGGGGGTGACGGAGATGCTGCCGGGGAGTGTGCCGGAGGCTTTGGAGGCGTTGAAGGGCGATACTGTGCTGGGAGAGCTGCTTGGTCCGGAGCTGGTGGAGAGATATGTGGCTATTAAGGAATTTGAGGCTGAGTTCTTGGGGAAGATGGATGCGGAGGAAAGGAGGCAGTGGCTGATGGAGCGGTATTAGACCGCGCTGGAGAGTTCCCGAGATTGAAATGACTGGCTGATCTAGTGTTCACCACAAATTCACGCTCAACAACAGTATGGACGGTTATATATATAAAATATTGTACGCCGATCCGATAGTAGCGATGCATGCCCCCGTTTATACCCGAAAAGGGAGAAAAACAGCCAAATCTCAACTCCCAGAAATAAAAAAGAGCAATTATTTACTCTACCCCCCCTGCCCCGTCTTCCTTCCTTTTATTTCCCACTTGTGCCATCAACAACCCTGTTTACTCTTCGAAATGCTCTTCCTTCCTCCCCAGCATACCCTGAGTCTGCCTCCGCCTCCGCTTCCCAAGGACCTCCCGCGCCCAGTCACTCAGACGATACCCCCAGTGCCCAGTGACCAGAACCCCGCTAATCACATTCACGACCTTGATCAAGAACATGAGATACCCATCCCGCGTCTCCACGATATTCAGCAGGATCGGCTCAATCTCATATTTGACAAAAATGCCCGGGATGCTGTTCTCCGCCACGGCGTGGCTCTGTTCCGTGACGGCGTACTGGTTGGTGACCAGCGTCGCCGAGCCGCGCTCGCCGGGGTGGCCGACGCTGTAGGTGGTGGGCACGACGGAGATGAAGTACTGGAAGCGGTGGAAGTTGCCGGGGGCGTCGTTAACGGTGCGGTCGAGGGGGTTGACAAGGGAGGGGAGGAAGGGGCCGAAGGAGAGCTCGGAGATGATGTGGGAGAAGTTGAAGGCTAGATACATACGTTAGTCGTCAAGAAAAGTGCTGTGGCAGGGAGGTGAAAGCAGATTAGAATCGCTCGCCGACTTACACTTGTGATCCAAATGTTCTCCCGCCTCCATGTACCCGTGGCCACGAGCAGTAATATGAAAGTCACCCTGCACCTTATTCAACTCCAAACTCCCATACACCCGGCAGCTGTCCGCCTGCGCGCCCCAAAGCTTCGGCGTCCTCGCCCACCGCGCGCGCTGCCTACCCAACGCCACGATATCATGCACATGTTCCTCGCCAAACCCTTCATCATGGCGCTGCTGCTCGGGCAGATACCCCTCACCCGTAATAACCCTGCCCTGAGCATCCCGCCCCAACTTATGCACGCCCTTGCCGTCAACCCAGTGAGCCCAGCGGGTGGGGTCGCGGTGCAGCGCCGAAGCGGCGAGGATGCGATCCCCCGAGGCGTCCTGGACGTTGATGTGCAGATCGGCGCAGCGCATGTTTACGACGACGTCGAGGTTGATGGGGAGGATGTGGGAGATGCCCTTCTCGACGGCGAAGGTGTGTTGTTCGGTGCCGCGCCACCAGCGGCCGAGTTCGGTCCAGAAGAGGATTGCGGAGATGATGGCCATTGCGACGGTCCATTTGCCGCCGGAGGAGGTATGCGTGACGTATTGTGGTTTGGATTTTGCTGGGAACAAGGAGGGAAGCGTGTGTTAGCAGATGGAACAACACCATAATCATTATGGATGGTGACAAGAGACGAGAAGGAAAAAACTCACGGAACGCATCAAAGGCGCTGACGATGCCACCCTTCGCCCCGAAGGCGTCCTCGTCGAGATGCCGCTTCTCGTCGTAGCCGTTCATCTTGACGACGTTGTGGTTGAGAAGGCTACCACTGTCGTTGTTGTACTCGCCCGCGTAGTCGTCCTCGTGTTCTTAAATCCGAAGAGAATACCTCTGTTCCCTCGCGGGGTTGGTTCTAACCACCAAGACCAAGTTCGATCGCGGCCGGGGGTACTTCGTCTGAATAAGCGCGTGAAAGGGACCGGGCCCTCGATGGGCGATGCGCACGCAGCAAGAAACCAGCGTCTTCGTCGAAAAGGAGTGTCAATTGTACTCAATTACAAGCACATCGTCGATATCAATGTTGTGCGCGGTGGGCGCAAGCAGATTGGGTGTTGGGGTGTCGCCAAAGTGGTGTGCAGGTTGGCATGTCACCTTGCCTTTTCCATCAGCATCAGCACCAACAAGCCGGAGACGACGCCATTGCGAATGCAAGGTCGGGATGAGGACAGCTTGCGCCTGCAAAGCGGGAAACCCGGCCCGCAGGCTGCACCAAAACGTGGGGCACAGGACCCCTGGCGACCCTGGCTCAGGTCCTGAACCCTCATTGGACAGGCCGTCGGTTTCAAGTTTTGGGGGTTTCCGACTTCGTCTGGGAGCTCCTTGGCAAGTTCGATTGGTGTGTTTTCACGTCGTCGATTTGACTCTCGGTCATGAAGTCGTCCAAGTTGACTACTTACTCCGCAGTATGTTTACAATACTAGCAATACAACAAAAGCCCAAACCGCTAGGCCACCTCCTAGACCCCGTCCCGGAAACTGCACCTTCCTTCAAGGCTTCTAGGTTTGACTACCCTCCTAATCATCTCTCACCTCTCCGTCTTCACCCTCATCCTCCTTGACCGCGTCCGGGAGCCTGATCTTCTTTATCATTCGCACAACTCCACCACTACCATCGCTCTCTGACTCCAGGTCCTTAGCCGGGGTATGCAGCATCGTGCCACTATCCTTTTCATTGCTTTCCGAGGACGACAGTGACGACGACTTTCGCTTTCTGCTGGAACTATCGGAGCCGTCGTGCGACTGGTTCGATGCACGAAACGCAGCCAGTAGCTGTTGCCGAAGCAGTTGGCCATCGATCGCGGCAGCATCACTATCATGTGCCATGCCTGTGTATTCCGAAGCTTTGTTCGCCTCGGGCTTAGCTGAGCCCAGGTCCATCGATGCTTCTCTCATGGGGCTGGCATCTAGTTGCGCCTTGTCCATCGACCCTCCACCTTGGCCCTCGGGATGACCATTGCCCTTTCCCATCACTTTGGCCGGTGTGCCTTCTTGCTCCCTCCGGATGCCCAAGTGCACCATAATGCCCCGGCATGCCGGTCCCTTGCACACCGAAACCACTCCCCGGTTCGGGTCAAACACCACCAGGGCGGCCGTGTCATCCGTCTGTACCGTACCCTTATGCTGACACAGGCTAGCGGGAAGCCCTCGCCCGTGGTCCGAGAACAGGTTCTTGATATCCTGTCTAGACATGACGCCCCTACGCATCTCTTTGACGAGGCTATTCAGCCGATTTACCCTCGACCGGCTGGTATGCGCTTTGGCTGCGTCGCTCAACTCGCGGCAGGCTGCGTACGCCTGAAATGATTGGAAGTAATTGCCATGGACGTGAAGGCCACCATCCACCGGGCGGTTATGGATAAAGGCATAGTTAGTGTCTGGCCCCAGCTCGAGCGATAGGATCGTGCCTAGGCCGTCGGCGAGCATAAGGTGCCTTGAAGCGTGCCGGTTAACAGCCAAGAGGAATTCGCGGACTTGTCCAATCTCATGCGTGGACTCCAGAAGGAAGCGCTCAAGGCACGTCACTGGGAATGGAGATCCTTTCCTAGGGATGTAGTCGGCGGTTGAAAGCAGGCGGTTACCAGAGATGACCATGCCATTGGCGCTCATGGCACAACCGCTGATCATGCCAGCCTCTGTTACCATGATCATGTTGTCCGGTTCCTCATCCTCGGGGTACCGGTATTCGAGACAGACAACAAGACCTTGGTCATAGACGTCTGGATCGGCAATCCACGTGTGCGCGAGAACCGGGTTGAAGCCGGCCGTGAGATTCTCCGGAAAATGGGCGCTCACGCTTTCGCCCATATCCATCTTCGGCTTCAGCTTTAGGGCAGCGAGGTCGGTCCAGGCGTTGAGGAACACAAGGTTCTCCACAGGCTCCCCGGAGCCCCACGACATCCCAAGCAATTCGTTCCACCCGTTCGGCCACTGGTTTTCCAAACTCGGTTTGTAGACCTCGTTGACCATTCTTATGCAGAAGTCCCTACCGACCAAAATTAGCTTTGTCCACCCCTACCTTCTCATCTCACCATTGTCGCCCCCCATAAAACGGAGACCGGAGGCGCGGATCGACCGACTTACCATGACGGAAATATGGGACTACCTAGAACCCGGGCTACATTTGCCCTGATCTGGTCGCGAAAATGCATCCCGTACTTAAGACCACGTTGCTGAGCGTTGCCAGTGAGGACGAGTCCCGGAACAAGGTCATCCCGACGGCCATAGCCCTGAAGCTTCGCGATGCTGATAGGAGACTCGGGAGACCCCATGTGGTTCATTGTGTGCTACTTAGAGCGTGTGACTGAGAGCTTTCGTTCCGCTGGTCGGTAGATTTGACGGTCAGAGCCCAGAATTCGAGAAACAGGTTCAGAGAGCTTGTCGCCGGTTTTGTTGACTCGACGGTCGACAATTTAGCGACAAATATTTGGCCAGCTAGTATAGGCGTTGATTGGGGAGGTGAATGTCGTCTCTTCGAGTCTGAATGCCGGCCGAATTCAATTTCAAAGATGAGTTCAGGTTTGAATTTGGGTTTCAAATCCCCGAGCAGGCGGAGAAGGAGCAGGAATAAATCAAAAGAGATGGCGGACCCGCGTTCTCTCTCGGTATTGCCCCTCAGCAAGCCCTCTCCAAGTGTAGCTGGCGGAGACGGGCCCGGGCCTGGGCGGGTGTAGTTGTTATTGTTCGTGTGCGGGCTCCACGCCAGCATTATTTACACTCAACTGGGCTCGCCGGGGACAAAGTAGCAAGGGCAACAATGGGCGGGGGAGATAGACCAAGATGCACAGAAACATACCTATACTGCTGGGTGTATTGATGTTTCGGTGGGTGTGAACATCCTTTTGACCGTAGGCTGTCACAGCACACTCATGTTGTTTACTTAGTTGGTTATTTGCTTGTTCTGCATGAAGTAATGCCATATTCACAGGCTCACTGAGCAGCCACAGTCCTCTCCCTGCTCCAATTCCTAGTGATTGGAGAAGGCACTCCTCAATGTGCCTAGTAGATAAAGAGGCGCAGTGTGGAAGGCGCCCCTGGACTGGACTGGACATCGCTTTCCCGTGCTGTTGTCAGTGGCATTCACTGACCTCAGCAACCTCCTCAAGGTAAAGTGATAATTATACATTCTTATCTTACACATTCAAAGCTTACCAGGTTGGATGATTGAACAATTACTATGGTAAGAACCGTTAATTCACTGTCAGCCCCAATTTTGGGGGCAATAAATCTTTCACGTAACTAACTCCAACATTGTTCCTGATACAGTGTGTCCATGGAAGCAACCCACGGCAACTCTGCTCCGTGCTTAAAGCCATCAAGCACCTGTGACCTGAAGACCTACGTAGTCTAACCTAAACGGAAGGCTGAGCTGACCTCGACTTCACAGTACAAATCACTCTAGTGTACGTGTGCTAGCGCCCAGTCTCTTGGGGTTACTCCGGTTCAAGGGTGCTTACGACTCGGTGGATTTTGACCACGGAAATTCGGAAGCTATCCGGGCCCGGGGAATCCGGACCCAGAGCCTGATCCGGACGTCGGCGCCGGAGAGGGCGGGACCCCGGTGGAAAGACCGCCATATCTAACCCTAAACCTCGCCCATTTCATCAGTGGGCGAAACCGCCAAGTTAGCTGCTGGCAAACGCAGCCAGCGCATCGCTAAAACATCACATTCAGCGTTGAAAATAAACAAAAATTTCACCAAAAATAACCAGCTTCTGGCCCGGGAGCCGGTCTCCAAGGGTCCTCTCGACTTTATCCCGCGACGTGGGCTGCGCGTGAGTCTTGAAGTGGCTCCAATCCGTCAAGATGGATGGGATCGCCAAGACCCGGAGGGCTCGGCGTTTGACACCTGAGATTTGTTGACGACAGCCGGAACCAGGCTAAACTCAATTAGGTCGAGGTCAAGGTTGACCGCCTCGACTGCCTCGATGCAGACAGGCTGTCGGATGGCCCAAGCTCCCTCAACAAAGTGGGCGTGCTTGCAGGTCAGCGGTGCGCAATTGGTGCGTCGGGCCCCAGCAATGGGAAGGACCCGTTGAGATTGCCCGCCTGGCCCGCATCCCCCATGTCGCTGAGCTTGTTCATCTCGTGCCAGGCCGGGGGAGGAAGACAGGCGAGCGAAACCGGCGGTGGGCCGTTGAGAGATTGTGGCGCGCCATCGACATGGACATGGGAAAGAGTTTTCGAAGGAAGGGAGACACGATTGGGATGGGAAATTTGAAAGAAGAAGCCCAGAAGATGAGAAATGGGAAGAACAATCGAGGAGGGGGAACGATCGACGCTAGCATTGGAGCATCGAAACGAGCGTTGAACCGATCCCAGCTGGGAAGTTCTGGGACTGATTCATGGCCCAGGTCAGTCGGAGGTGTCCGCCAAGTGGCCTGCACAATGCAGCGCCGACGGTCAGATCCAAGCTTCGTTGTGCAACCCAAGTTCGAGACCCTGAGACTCCAAATTTAAGCGGCCCACTAACTAACGTAAGTGTCAGGGAGTCCATGAGGTGAGGGGTGCTCTGTGCATGCGAATCGGAAGAGGACATCCCCCCATAACCCAATCCCCCCGAGTTCAAGGCGGATGTCCGCATCCATGGTATCACTTATACCGACCTTCGCCCCGTTTGCACTTGAAGTCGGAGTTTCCCCCCCTCCATCTCGCAACCTCTCGTAAACTGTCCGATTCTGCCTTCCACGCTCATATAACCATCGACTCCTTCTGAATTCCATCACAATAATCATTCACCGACTTGTTTCGCTTTGACACAACCCATCATGTCGTCCCGACTCTCGATGCCCGTTTCCAAACTCACCCGTACCATCAGCACTTCGGCTGCTGTCGCCCGTCCCAGCCAACTCCTCAGCAATGCACCAAAAGCCACAACTGTCACCGGGGCGGGGAGGAAAATGAAGCCCGCAGTTGACGAGCCTTCTGAAGTAAGCAAATAATAAGTCCCCGATGCATATCGTCGAAGTTCCCGAAACCCATCTTTGTATCAGTGGGCGCCGGGGACATTCGATACCTCTTGCCAAGACACACACCCACACCTGTCTTGTCCAACATGACAACCAACCTATTCTACCCCGATATCAGTCAAACCAATAGGAAAACTAACCATTCTCTCTCCCTCTTTTCAGCAGCGTAACCACTCCACCACCACCACCAGCCCCCACCGCCCGCTCGTCCCCAAAACCAACCGCGTCATCCCCTTCATGCAAACCTTCCACCACTCCGCCCCGAAACCCATGGCCCCCTCCTTCAGCACCATGGACCGCGCCATCCTCCCGGACCTCTTCGCCTCCTCCTTCCTCTCCAACCCCGACACCGACACATTCTCCCACATCCCGCATCTCCACGTACCCCTCATGCCCGACAACACCTCCCCGCCGGCCCAATTCCGCCGGCAGGAAGCACCCGACGCGCCGCTGCCGCAGCCCGAGATCCTCGTCGTCGCGGCCAACCCGGAATTGGTGCGCGCGTCGGCGCTGACGGAGGTGGAAGGGATGGGGGTGGACGGTGTGGAGTTGGGGTTTGCACACTTGTTGGGCCGGGAGAGTGAGGCGGTGGAGGAGAGCTATGAGATGGGGGAGGGCATGATTCGGGATTTGTGGAGAGGGATGGTGGATGATGTTTTTGGGGGTAGTAAAACTAGTCAAGCGAACTAGTGTTGTAATGTACTATGTCGTGTCGTGTAAAGCGAACGGTGGGGCGGGTTTCGTGAAAAATTATGGGGCGGGATGGAAAAGCAGATATTGGGGTCTGCCAACGGCGAGGTGGATGATTTAGCCCTGCCTTTTGTTTCTTTTCTTTTCTTTTCTTTTTTGGCTTTGGCTCATTCGTTGGGTTTTGGGAGACATCGTACATTTGGTTGTAATTGCCGCTCGCTTTTATGATACGGCAGCTTGAACGGCAGCCCGGTGCTCAACCGCGGGCTTATTATCTTTGAGGTTGTTATGAAGGACAACTTATTCTACTTCTCCCTCGGTCGGCGCTGCAAGTGCCAGGGGTCTCTTCTTGATATTCCCGGAGGTCTTCGACGAATTTACGACTTGTAGTTGCAGTTATTTATCTCCATGTTAAGTGATAATGGGACATTTGTTATCCTCGGTACACTGTGCTTATGTTCCTTGCGCTTATGGGACCTGCGATGGTAATGCCCGTGGTGGTGGTAGGTGACTAGTTTTTGGACCGCCTTTGTCGGGGTCACTTGTCTTGGTATCTTGACTACATACATATCTCCCTTTCTGCCTCGCGGTTATCATCTCCCCCAGACAACGCTAAGCTAAGAGTTCGTCATCTCGCCGTCGAATACAACACGTAATACAACCTAAACCTCACTTGTCTCTCATTCCAACCCATTCCATATTCCCCCGGCCCGTCGCCTCTCCGAAAAAACAGCGTACCGAGAGGTCGTTTACCTCTTCTTCACACTCGGCCGCGGCTTGCACTCGTCCCCTTGGACAGGGTGCAGCATGATCTTCCTCGGGTACGAGGCGACGTTGCCCTGATAGCCCTTCGACCAATCATAACTAACGCTGTACGCAAAGATAGCGCCAGATTTGTTGAACGCCGTCGCGTTGATACTGCCGCCGACAGTGGGGTAACCCTTGAGCCGATGCTTGGCGTCCTTGTCCCAGAAGTGGAACGTGCCGTCACTACCGGCTGTGCTGAACGTTCCATGTTGCGGGTGGAAGGAGATGGCGTTGAGGGCGTGTACGTTGGTGACGTTGCCTTGCGGAGCGTCGCGGTGGCATTTGAAGGAGAAGTTGGAGCTGGAAGGTTGTATCAGAGGTTAGCCCAGTCTAGCTCGGGTAGTTGTGTCAAGACGGGTTAGTCAGGAGGGAGGGAATCAACGTACGCAGAATCCTTCTCTTCAACGTATTGGATCGCACACCGCCCCTCGATGCTTCCAATCGCATACCCATCGTCGCCCTTTCCTTTGAGAAAGCAGCTTACGACCCGGGTTTGCCACTTCAATGGGCTCTGGATCGTCTTGTAGAATCTGGATGGGTCGTTCATCTTGACAACATTGAGATAACGGTCGGCCGTGCCAACTACCAGTAGATCGTCTCGGACGTCGAGGGCGTAAACTCGCTCCTGGCAGTTGACGGTCATGGCGGGTTGGTCGCTGCGGAAATCCCAGTACTTGATCGTTTTATCCCACGATCCCGTCACTGCCATCGGTGTGCCATTGGCGGTGAAGGTCCGCACGCATTTTACCGGCTGGTCATGTGCTTTTACTTGCGTCGTTTGACCGGAGACAAGATCGAGAACCTTGATGTTGTTGTCGGCGCCGGCTGAGATCACTTTTTTGCCGTCCTTGTTAACGCAAACAGTCAGGTTAGTCCCTTACTTCTGAACACAGCTGCTTGCCCATGTTTGTACTCGAACAGGATCACATCGACTCACCCTGAAGAAATCAACAGAAAGAACTGGCGCATCATGTTCAATCTGTGCCACGCCCTGGTTTTGGCCGGTTGGCGTGATCTCGTAAATGCGCACTTTCTTGTCCCAACTAGCAACGGCTAAGAGGTCGTTGGCTTGCTCCGGGTCCGGGTTAAACGCCAAATCCGAGATGCTGTCCTCGGGCGGGTTGGCAACCTCGACATCGTTTTTGAGGTCACCGAGGCTGGAGCTGCTCGTGGCCGTCGACTGCGTCGATCCGAAAAGGGTCGTCATCGGCGCGACCTCCTGCCGGATAGCCGGACCTTTGTATTATTCTTAAGTTGGTAGATGGGAGATCACGCCCGGTTTAATGTGGATGGGTGTGGTTGGATTTCGGGGTTGGTGTTGTGGTTTTGGTTAGAGGTGTTGAGTGGCCGCCTCTTTCGCGTCGTGTTTGGGCCAGCCGGATGTCACTGTGGTTGCATTCCCTAGGTTGCAAGGCACAAAGCCTGGGAACACCCGACCCTGACTAAACATGAAAAGATGGCCCGTGCTTCACCACATGTTCCCCACTCTGTGCCTAAACGAGAACAACAAAATGTCCCACCTTCCAGAAAAAAATTTCCTTCCTCTTTTCCTTCAAGCCCTCCTCGCCCAAAAAATCGCTATTCGAAGCTCACCCACGGAGAGAGTCGTTCGCGACTCTTTCATTACCAAAAAGCTTTGGGAGAAAGTCCCCGGACATTCAGACCTCTCTTCTCACGAAGACGTCTGTTGTGCGGAAACGCGCCGCCATAGAAGCACTGCGGCTGATCTCGGCCGGCCAATGTTCTCTTGGTTGTCCCCGTACCGCCCGGCCTATCCATTCCAAAGTTGGCTCTAGTCATTCTGGTTTACTTCCTTTCATCGTCGCCGCGCCGCAGTCTTTACCTTCCTTGGGGCTGGAGACCATCATGGACGAAGATACGAGTCCGCGCTCCAGTTTCCAGGAGAGGTCCAGATTTGCTGGTGTTTTGGTCGGTGAGGATAAAGCTGGGAGTTTATGACTGGGTTGGCGGTGGGCTGCCGCTGGTCGGGTTTGCACTGGGGAGCGCCACGGCCTGGCTCGAGACATTTCGTCACGATCTTATAGATATGCGATTGCTCGTTGGCGGGACTGGAAACAGTGTCGCTCCGAGTAACTCGACGGGGCTCATTCTTGGCGCGAGGAGGACTTCACCCAGGCAAAGTGAAGGCTTTTGCTTTCGCTGAGCCGGGTCTTTTTACCTCGTCTTCGTGGTTGTTAGGTATTTGCGCCAAGCAGCAAGACAAACCAAAACTCTAGGCTTCGCGGGAGGTCCTTTTGTCTTTGGTGCTTGGCGACTACCTGTTTGGACCGTGTTGGATGGGACAGTCTAGGTGATGATAAACCTTTATAGAGTCAAGCTCTGAGGTGGAGCCGGTGTAAATCATCGCGCGACCCCGTTGATGACTCAAAAATGCGTTATGGTATCTGATGGACTGTCCAAAGGTTGCTTTCTAAATCTATCATTAAAATACACTTATGTAGCCATCTTGCTCGTCGACCCTTGTTCGACTCTACTGCTCTTTCGCTGTTCCTTGGGATGTTGAAGCCCTGCTCCGTTTTTTGAGGCCCTGCGTATGGTCCATGTGGCGACTGGAGATGGGGGGTTGTTTGCAGCAATAACTCCCCCCCCCGGCGGGCGACCTGTTGACTTAGCGGGTCGCCTCCTTCTTGCGCTGCTCTTCCTCAAGAAGCTCCCGCTGACGATGTGCCGCTTCGAGATCTGCCTTCATCCCCTTCGCCTTCTGGCGCGCCTCGTAAAGATCACGGCTTTGCATGATGCGCTGCACGATGGTGCCGGCATTGACGTTCTCGAACTCGTGGTGGCCAATCTCCCGGTAGATGCCCAGGGCTTTGGGGTCGGCGTAGACGTCTTCGGTGGAAGGCATGAAGGATGTCGGGCCGTGGTAAACGGCATCGGGCGTGCCCCAAGGGAGGGTGGTCAAGTAGCTCTTGGTGGGCGTGAAGGGAGCGCCGAAGACAACGGCGTTGACGTACTATGGTTTGTTAGCAATAACTCCTGGGGGACAGCGTCCAAGGTCTGGAGGACTTACTCGGCACTGCAAAACGCAAAGTCCGCGCTCGAAAATGTTCATGATCGGGTAATTGACCCCCTTCCACTGGTTGATAACCTCGTCGTCATGCACGCCCGCCACGACAAATACCGGGCCGTAGTCCTCACCCCTCCCCTTGCGCTCATTCACGGCCTGCTCCGAGTACCACCCATCTTCCCGAGCTAGCTCCTCCTCCGCCTCGGTCACCAGCTTGAGGAACTCGATATGCCCACTAGAGAACAAATCGAACCCACCATCCACATACACCACCCTTTGTCCCTGTCTTGGACCGATCCCCTTAAACAACTCACGGAACCCGCTTCCAGGCCCCCAAAACCAAACATCGGCCCCTGGCTTGTTCGCGGTCTCATCCGTTGCATACAGCCTCACACGCTCCGTCATAGCGGCCCCTTCCGCTTTGCGCTCGGCATCGGTGCCATGGCCCTCCTGGCCGGCCAAGACTTTCTCTAGAGAACGGATAAAGTGCCCACGGGTGCACAACAGCATGCGGCCGACGAGGTCGGTGGTGGAAATCGACGGTGTCCGCTTGACGACCTTGAAACGTCCTGCGGCTTTGACAAATCGGTAGCAGTCTTCGCCGGAAGAGTCCGACGTGATGTCGTCGCCATGGACGACGTATTTGCAGCCGAAGTGGCTAATCCATGACAGCTGGGTTACGTAGGGGGCGTCCGGGATCGATTTGGTGACCCAGCGGCAGGCGTCGATGGCAAGAAGGCTGGGGAAATGTTTAGCATATATCCTTTTCTAAAGTAGAGCGGGCTAGGTATGAAGAGACAGGGGCAAATACCGCTCTTTCAGGTTCATAACCGTAGGACCTTTGTTCTCGAGGATTGCTTCGTCTGAGTGCACCCCAACGTAGAGCTCATCGCCGAGTTGGCGGGCCTGTACAACGGCGCCGGCATGGCCTAGATTTAGGTTAGCAACCGTCCACGGTTAGGTCCCGGAGAGAGTACCCAAGGAGTCGTGAGAATAGAGAAACTATACCGTGGTGGAAAAAGTCGAAGCAGCCATCAACCCAGAGGCGTCCTTCGAGTAGCTCGGGCGCGGGGTCCCCGGGAGGAAGGATCTCATCGGCAGCAGCCATGGTTGCAACCTAACAAGCTCAACAACTAAATAGTCGAACCCGGCAAGTCGATGCTTTGAACAACCTTCAGGGGTATGCTAGAAGTCAGTTGGCTGGGGGGATGTTTTATAAACTCCCGTAAGTAGTTTGTTTTCGTGGTGGATGACTGTGTATTTGATCTTTTCTCAGGACAATACAACAACAAAAACAACAGTGATTAAGAACGCTCCCTGTTTGCAGTCAACAAAAAGAGCGGGGTGCAGCGGAGAACAGCCCGGAAAGGCGCAATTGCGGATAGATGGCGGTTGCTGCGGAGCTTCTTTAAAACCGCCTGTGACGCCACGACGCTTGCGACCGAAACATGTCCACAGCACAGCAGTGTGTTCAGTGACTAGATGTGACAGCGAATGCCCCGCTGCCGCTAGGAGATGCCCCTCCTCCTCACTGACCCCACGGATTAACTAAATAGAGGACGAATTTCTGCAGCCATAAGGATGCGAACAACGCAGTCGCAGATAATCCGAATCTCAGTCCGATTTGGCCTCCAATTTGGACGAGTGGAGGGTCATAACAAGGCGGAAGGTTCGGGTGTATTTGTTGGCTTTTCGCACCTACTTCAAGGTAAGGGAAGGATTCGTGAATGTATTCATGCTTAAACGACGAATTTTGCCCGTCCATTGACCGGTAGTTTCGCATCTGTTGTTAAAATCGGCCTCTGCTTGGGCTACGACACCAAACGACCCAAACTTAAGGGTCCTGTACAGTACCTACTGTGTAGCAAGTTAACTAGATATTCGCCTGACCTAACCTGGCCTTGTGCATCCGCTGTGAGATAGCGTCAACGGTGAGCTGTCCCGCCCCTGGAGGATCGACATCAACGCCGTCGTCGGAGAGTTTGTCGAGCCCGCTTCCAGCGCTCAAGATGCAACCCATCCACCTCCATCCACCCATTTTCGGTGCCTGCCCAGCATTGCAACGATTCGACGGAACATGGGTCGACGCTTCGATCACACCCAGTCGCAGAATGCAGCACCTGGAAGATCCCTGGACTTGCCCGATGCGCTCCATTGACTCGTGGGATAGGCCCTTGGGAAGTTCATATCATCTAGCAGACCGCTTCTCGTGCCCCCGCCTGTGGTTCTGACCTCCCACATCCCACTTACCACGGCGGTAATGCGCCTGCGGTTGACTTCTCGAGTTTTCTGATTATTTTTCTTTCCAAAGGATCAATTTTTCGCGGAAAGGACCACCCAGACCCAGCCAGGCGGTACCCTCCTGCCGAATTTGGGGCGCTAAGCCGGTCGCAGCAAATGACAGCGCTGCGTTTCGGTTCCTGAACAGGCCGAACGTGGCTGCTTTTACCCTGGAAACACAGCAGCATGCAGCGCTCGGCGACCACTCCGACGCCGCCCGCCGCCCCTTTCTCCTTCTCGTCCCTCTTCGGCGGCGGCGGAAACCCGAAAAACCAACAACAACCCCACGACCCGAACCGGATCCAGGATCAGAACCTACCCGAAAACATCCCGCTCTCACCAACCCAAACGATCACGCAAGCGCAACGGCCAACAAGTTCAGGGAAGGACGCCAAAGACACCAGCCCGCGCCAACAAAAGACCTTGCTCAAGGACCGCAAGCCCTCGTCCGGCCGCAAATCATCGTTTGGCTTCCTCTCGTCGTCTCCTAGCAAGAGCCGCCGTCGCGCCAGCTCGGCCGCCTCCAACACTGCACCCCCGGCCGCGGCCGATGGCGGCGGCGTCCCCGTTCCCGCGCTTCCCAGTCTCGCACACCGTCCCTCTGCGGCCCAACTGCTACCTACCGAAGACGCCGTCCCCCCACTGCCCGAGCCGTCTCCGAGAACTACGACAGCAAATTCCGAGAGTCTATCCAGGATGCTTAGCCGTGGTGCAGTGACCCCCGTCTCGGGGTATCCCGTATCCGGCCCAGTGGGAGGGGGAGGAGGAGGATCGCTGTTAAGTGGTGCCAACTCGGGCCAGCAGAGCGAGCTGGCTCTCGTTCATCAACACATACAGGAGACGGCAAACAAGCGAATATCTACCTTGGACTACCTTCGCAAAGCGTAAGCGCTTTTCTTCTTCGCGTCATTTCCGTTCTTTTCCCCATCAGCCGGACTAACACACTCCAGCCACGAAGGCCGCATCTACTGGTTTAATACCCTTCTTTTTGATAAGCCTGATCTACAACGCATGCCATACTTCGACGCCCGTAAACTCGGCCGCCGTGCCACCAATTATCTTCTCCTCGGCATCTCCCTGCCCGCCGTCATCGACCTCAACTCCAGCCACCCCATCGAATTCCTCCGTTCCTTGAATACCCTACTTGCCGAGTTCGACGCCTTCCAGCAAATCCATACTGAGACCGGCGTCGCCGCCACCTCGCTCACACGTACTCGCATCCCACAAATGTTCCGCCGTGCCGCGGCCCCCGTCTCCAAAGGCCGCCGCAGCAGTTCCGCCGCAGGCCGCGACGGCGACGTCGGTATTGGCTACTCCCTCGAACAAGTCGACAGCAACAGCACCGTAACTGGTGGGAACGGTGGTGGCGGGGGAGCCAACGGCGTGGTCGGGGCTGGGCCCCCTTCCGCTATGGGGGGCCCTGGCGCCACGGTTGGTGGCAGCGCATCTGCAGATGCGGCCCCGGCAGGCATTATGGCCTTTGGAGCCAGCGAGGTCGATCTCCTCCCCGGCGAAGAATACACCTACCTGCTCACACCGACTCTGCCTTTCGACCCGGACTTTTTCGAGACGTTTGCTACCCTGTGCGATGCGCTGATCGATACGTACACTCGCTTACTTAACCTGGTGGCTTCGCCGCGGGACTGTGGTGGGTCAGTGGCGGAATTGTTTACCAAGGCGGATAGCAAGATTCGGAAGTTATTTATTCAGTCGGTCCTGCGTGAATTCGAAGATACCGGGCGGGCTGGGGTAAAAGGGGAGGTGGCTAGTATTGGGAGGGTGGTTTTGAGTGGGTTAATGTGATAGTGGGATTCAGGACGGGCGGGTGGTTTGGTGTTAAGATGAAGGATTATGTGCGCCCAGGAGAAACCTGTTGGCGAGCAAAAATGGTTGTTCATAAGAGAGAGGGCTTGAGGCGATCATGTGGACGGCGTTTGGAGAGTGGATTGCGGTCGTTATAGCATGGTATCTTCGCATCGCGTAGCGGGATGTTCATGGGTTGGAATATGTTTTTTATCTTGTTTTATAAACACGCAATACCACAATCTGAGTTATCGCTCTGACATGGCGTTCCGATACCACGTCAAACAAACTCTTCCTCTTGTTTCGTCTGCAATATCATAATGCATTGAATTTCTGTTTCGTGCCTAACCCAAATGGTGGGCGGCGGATATAAAGATATAAAACGAGACCGTAAGTCGTAACTGACACATATACCATTATTCCTATCCTGCTGAAAACTTGAAGAGAGCCGGGCCAAAATGTTAGAAAAGATAGATAGACCGACGCCGATACGAGACTGAACTTGAGGCCGTATAAATGCAAATACCAAGATGACGCCTGCTGTGTGATAGGGTAGAAGACCCGTCGAGAAACAACTGGGGAAATTGAAGAGGCGGGAATGAGAAAGCCAAACACGGACAAGCAGAGCCGAGGGATACGGTGCCAAGGGAAGTATTGGGGAGAGGAAATGTGAGCGGGTAGGGCGATAGAAAGGGGGTTTAGAAACAAAGTAAGGGAAATGATAAATCAAATAACGGGGGAAGAGAAAGAAACGCCTTTGCTATGATTCGGTATCCCGAATTTTTTCAGATATCCATCCATGCCCGATGCCCATAGAAAAAAGGGGATATTACAGAGAAAAGGGAAAAGGAAGAAAAAAGAACAAAACGCAAATAAGGGGACAACGAATGGTATCCATCCTCCCGCCTTCCCTTACGCCACAATCCCCTCCTTATGATCCTCCAAAAACCGCCGACTCCCCCTCCTCCCAGACAAATGCAAATGATTCACACCACTCCCTCCCCCACTGCTCCAGCTGGCGGTGGCACTCTCCTCCGACATTCCACCCCGACTCCCGCCGCTGAGGTTCATGTTCCCGTGGCTTATCGACCGCGAGACGTACATTCTCGACCGAGGCTCTTCGGTGCCGCTTGAACTCCCACCACTCGATGATGACGACGATGACGCCCTCAGGCTCATGGTTGACCGGGGAGAGGATAGAGAGAGGGGTCGGGTGATGTGTGCGTGCTGGAGTTGGGGGTGGTAGGTACCGGCGTGGTTCTCTCGAGGAGAGGTTGGAGTGTCGTTTTCGTTTTGGGTGGTCTTGTCTTTCTCGGATGAGACGAAGGAGCGGGAGGAGGAACAGGAAGAAGAGCGGGATGAACAGGGGGAGTTGGCGGGAGAGCGGGAGGATGGTCGGGAGAGGAGTCGGGAGGCGCGACGAGAAGGGGAACGGGTGAGTTGCTGGCGGATAGGGGCCGGGGTGATTATTGGCGTGGCTGAGGTTGCTGGCGTAGTTGGGGTTTCTGGGGCTGTCACGGCGTCGATGCGGGTAAGGTTCGAGGGCTGGGTGTTGACAAGGTTGATATTGGTCGTGCTGGTTCGAGGGGGTTGCTGAGCTAGGAAAGAGGAAGACGATCGAGCGGAACCGGAACTCTCGCCGCTGCTGGAGCTGGGGGATGCCGCGCGAGCGTGGGCAAAGGTTGTTGTCGGGACAGTGGTTGTTCGGACGGCACGTACTTCGGCCTCTTTCCTTTTATCGGCTAGCCTCTGAGAGAAAGATTTGGACTCCGACGGCCGCGTTGCAGGTGTTTCGGGTATCGCCGATACGGGGGAGTCTAAGACCGCGGGTTTGGTCGCGACAATCAACCCCCGAGATTCCGGCATGCTCTCCTTGGTCGTCCGCACCTCCATCTCTGCCCTCTTTGATGGGACTGGCTCGGCCTCGGCCTCGGGCTCCGCATCGCACCTCGCTCCAGCCTCCTCATCCCCATCTTCCGACTCGGCCTCCTCTTCCTCCACCTTATCCAACGCCGGCCCGTTCTTATTCAACAACGGTAACTTATCGATATCTTTAACTTTACTCGCCAAGCCACCTCCACCATCCGAATCCCCACTGACAGACGCACCCGAGCTAGTCGACGGCGGTGGACTAGCCGGCTCGTTCCGGTACCGTTCCGCCTCTTCCTCAGCCCTCTTCTCGGCTTCAGCGCGCCACTGCGCCTCCTCCTCCTCGGTACGGAGCCAGTACCGCCCCATGGCGGCCTGGTTCTCCTGGTGACGGCGTAGCTTGGTCGGGCTCTGAAGCATGGTTTTGGGCGCGCCCCTCTGCGTTCCCGGGTCGAGTGGAGAAATGTAGGTGAGTGTGCTTTTGCTCTTGCGTTTGACGGGCATGAAGCGGCGGCCGGGGCCGACTTCTACGCGGTGAATGGTGGCTTTGGCGAAACGGACCGTCGTGCCTGGAGACATGGGGCGTGTGATGGGGGGTGAAGGTGGTGGTGTGGTTGACGGCGGGTCTTTGACGGTGATAGTGTTGCTGGGACTTGGTAGAGAATGAGGTGATGGAGCGAGGCCGGGAGGGGCAGCGTCTGAAGTTAGACCATGTGAGCTGAGTGGACGCGGCCGTTTATAGCCGTCGGGGCTGGAGATCCGGAGAATGGATTTGGGCATAGCGCCTGGTGAAGAGACAGGCCTAGTATAAGATGTTAGCAGATGCCATTTGTATATTGCAAGTTATTTACAGCGTCGTTTCATACCTCGACTTGTCCGCAATATTCTGTGAGCGGAGTGGGGTTGTGTCCTTAGTGTCCATGGTGGTGTCGGTGAGCGTGGCCTTGTTGCCGGCTCTCTCGGACGAGTGGTTGCCCCTGTTGTCATGGTTGTTATTATTGCTGCCGTTGCTATTGCTCCTGCCAGCCTTGGTGGCCCCTGACAAGGCTTTTGAGTCTTGCGTGGCCGCGGTGGAGGTCATGGTGTGTCTCGTCTTAGTACTCGCCCCATCGTGAATGGTTGTCGCAAACGATAACGACAGTCTCCGGAATGCTGTGGAACCTCTACGTGCCTTCGCCTTTGAGTCGGTGCTAGTGCTATGGCTGTGTCTTCGTGGCCTGGAACTGTGATGGTGGGTGCTGTTGCTCTGTGTTGACTGGGATAAGGGTGTGGATGAGGATGAGGAAGTAGATGGAGAGGAAGAAGCGGACACTTTGGGCGTGGTGATCTTGCCCTGCAATACGGCCCACGAGAGCACGGATGATATCGAGTCCTTTCTGTGAGGCTGGCGGACACCTTCAGATTTGTGTCTAGACTCTTTGGAATCTTTGGACATGATGCTGGAGGCCGTGAGAAGAAGAAGGAAAAGAGAGCGAAGGAGGACCGTCACGAATGACGAAACCATCCAGGATTATTTAACGAATAAATTAAATAAAATAGCATTAAAATTCCTCATATAGCAAGGAACATGACTGCTCTCTCGCGACAGGGACAGACGGCGAGGCGCCCTCATGGACCGACCTCAGGAGTGTATTTTGTGAAAGCTGGATTCGGGCATGGAGGTTGGGCCACAACTGCAGCACATCTGCGTTTGTGGTTTGTGGGGGTCCAATCGTGGAGGATGGCACCCCATCATGCAGGTCTCGTTCCCATTGTGCCATCTGGCATCACTCGATGCGGGCGGACTTTACCTGTGGGTTTTTGGTATCCAAATCTGGATAGCATACCACTTCCTCTGGCTGTGGGATTTCGAGTAGCTCCACTCGAACGAGTGCAAGGCGAGTCGCCGGTTGGACGTCTCACGAGCCATGCAACAAGACAACCGAGGCCGCGTCCGATCTGTGATGGACCCGGCAGTTCTCTCCTACCTGAGGCGGGCAGTGTCAACGGGGGAAACCTGCAACATAATTCGGCGGCTGGGCCATTGAAAACACACGCTCGACAAGGCTCTTTAGCAGACCTATGGCATCCATTTGATAGCCAAGGCTCAGGTGTTGTAATGCAAGCGTTTGCTTGCTGTTCGCTGGGGCGCTAGCGAGGTTCGAGGCCACTGTGGTGAGTTGGCGAATGTGTGTCGCCCGAATGCGAGACGCGTGTCAGACTTCTTCAGGATGTCTCGATGGCCAGCACGGTGTGTTCCGCGCTGTTGACGTAGTGGCCCCGGATGTTACAATGTTTGGTAGGTTGGTGTCCCTGTTGCGGCCGGTGAATGGCCGGGGTCCACGTGGAGTTGCGTCGGCGAACCGGGGTGACGGATCTTTGGCGGCATCCTTGATACTTTCTGTTGGCTGTAGTGGAGGTGACTTCGTGGTTAAGGAGGATATTGAAAGAGAAAAGGCGAAGAGACTCCCAAATTGGTCTCTTGTTGAAGTAGGAAGCGATAGCATGAGGTAGGCATCACGTTGTTTAACCTCCGAGCACGACAGCGGGCAGTGGCATGTTAGTCGAAGAAACTCAAACTGAGACAGCCACACACACAACCTCGCCCCGCAATCCGCAATAACGTTAGCCAATGCCACCACCCCGAATGCAACTCTTGAGCTAGCGGTTCGATTGAAGCGGCAGAACCGTCAACTCGCTGATGGGAGCAGCTTCAGTGACCCCAAATCAACTTCCCCAGATCAACTCCCCAAATCATCTGACTCAGAGAGAAAAAGCAGCAAGAAAACTTCGCCGTCCGAACGATGCGGGGCAAAGTTTCAACTTTTTGGTCCTTGACGTGGGGCATCCAAGCACCCAAGTTTTCTTGGCTCACCCATGCGCTAGGGTCTTATCGCGCTTACCGGCGGCTAGTCCCGGACCCGTGCCCCTTTATCAGTCCCCATGACGACCTACAAGAAACGACACCGCTTTCTGGCGCGTTGTATCGGGATTCCATGGACTGTGTGGACCTTGCTGTCTTCTTTGAACCATTCAAAAAACCACCAATTGATCCGCCTGATGACCCGGTCACGCGGCCGGTGATGCGTGTTGAAAGGGATTGCTTGGAATACAACTTGTAACTATTTGTGTGTCGGTAAAGAGTATTGAATGGCCGGGGATGGTTAACTAGTCGGTCTCCACTGGTTCGCGACTCGGCTCTGTTTTTGAGACGAGTCCACCATGAGTCAATGAAGAAAGACCCTTTCGACGAGAACTAACGAATCTAATTTCCATTCAATCCTACCTTTATCAGTCCCAAACTCCGGTCTTCGGATGAATATTAAAAGATAGGGCCGAGGATGCGACGCGGACCACCGCATGCACGACCACAGTGCCTGGGACCTGGCAGCCGTTGGAAGAAACCTCTTCCGCTTTCGAATTACTCCAGCGAATCAAAATGGGCTGAGGTTGACGCATGGCCCCTGGAAGCGGAAACCTCCGGCACACGGAGCCGAAGTCTCGGAATTGGAGGGGGGCGGAATGGAGGTAACTCTGCATGCCAGCAGCAAAGACTGACCTTTTGACCGAACGCTTACGGAAACTACGAGCCCAGAAGTCCCACATAATCGACGAGACTACAGTGCGCCCTATTGTCAAGATGGAATCTGTGTTGTCGGACATACTTCCTATCAAACATCCAACCCCCCACTGCGATCAATTGGCCAATCAAGGTTTCAGGGACCCAAGCCGTCGAGATCGGTGACCCTCCCACGCCCACGGGCGAAAGTCTCAAGCCCAGATCCTAGTTCGTCCCTTCTGTTCGACGGAGATTTTATAGAACTCTTCTTTAAAAGACTTGGCTAGCCCCGTGACTCCTCCTTGTTCCGCCTTCCTCTCTTTCCCCCCTATCTTCTATGAATCACTCACCCTTGGCTGAGTGTCTTAACGTTCTGAATTCCTTTTAAGTGTCCTTTCCCATCCTACTTCCCTTCAACACCACACGGGTTTCAGACTTTAGATTCACTAGATTCTCGTCCCATACCGAGGCACACACATTCCACCATGGTTTCCCAAGGACGTGCCCCCGAGGATCTCACCGCTTCCGCCATGGAGCACAAGATCGCTGAGCAGCCATCCCTGGCTAACGGCATTACCAATGGCCACACCAACGGCGCCACGAACGGGCACACGAACGGTCACGCCAATGGGACCACCAATGGCCATGCCAACGGCATCTCCGCTCTCCCGGCCCTAGACGCTTCCAAGCTGACCATCACCCGTGCGGACCCTACGGCCCGTGCCGTCCCTGACGAAGCCACGGCCTGCTCCGGCAACGAGACCATCTGCACCGATCACATGATCACGGCAACTTGGAAGGCGGGCGCCGGCTGGTCGACCCCGGAACTTAAGCCATACGGCCCGCTTTCCCTCATGCCAACCGCCTCCGTCCTGCACTACGCAACTGAGTGCTTCGAGGGCCTCAAGGCATACCGCGGCCACGACGGCGCCCTGCGCCTCTTCCGCCCAGACCTCAACGCCAAGCGAATGCTCATGTCCACTCTCCGCATCTCCCTCCCTGGCTTCGAGCCAGCCGAGCTCGAGAAGCTCATCCTTGCTCTCATGGCCATCGACGGGCCCAAGTGGCTGCCCACATCCCGGCCCGGGTCCTACCTCTACCTCCGCCCGGCCGTCATTGGCACGCAGCCCCAGCTTGGAGTCCAGGCCCCTAAGGAGGCCCTACTCTTCATTACCGCCTCGTTTATGCCACGTATGGACCTGCCGGTCGGCGGTATGAAGCTCCACACCAACCCCGAGGACATGATCCGCGCGTGGGTTGGCGGTTTCGGCTACGCCAAGGTTGGTGCCAACTACGGCCCCAGCCTGCTGGCCACCCAGGAGGCCCGGCAGAGAGGGTTTGGCCAGATCCTGTGGCTGTACGGGCCCGAAGGGTTCTGCACGGAGGCCGGGGCTAGCAATTTCTTCGTGGTTTGGAGGACAAAGGAGAGCGAGGGGGCGAAGCTCCAGCTGGTGACGGCACCGCTGGATGACAAACTGATCCTGGACGGTGTGACCCGCCGCAGCGTGGTGCAGCTCGCGCGCGAGCGGCTGCAAAATGAGCTTGAGGTTGTGGAGCGCAAGTACACTATCGACGAGGTGCTCGAGGCGGACCGTGAGGGCCGCTTGGTTGAGGCTTTTGCCGCTGGCACTGCTGTATGTTCCCACACCCCACCGCCCCAAGTTTCTTCCATAATGAAACCCTGCTAAACATATCGGCTCTAGTTCTTCGTTTGCCCTGTCTCTCAGATCCGCCACCGCGATCAGGATGTGCACATCCCTATGATCAAGGGGGAGAGTGGCCAGTACACGGCCAAGATCAAGGGATGGATGAGCGACATCATGTACGGGAACGAGCAACACCCGTGGGGTGTTGTCGTCAACGAGGAAAAGCAGTAGACTTTTACTTTATTTGCTTTCTCTCCTTTTTATTGTTGTCTTATGCGATGTTTTTCTTTCCTCCTTCCCTAAGGCCTTAGTCATTGCATCACTGAACGTCTAGCATTGCGAGAGACCAGTTGAGGAAACCTAAAAAGCGGTTTCTGGTTTTGCCGGCACTCTTATTTTGCAGAGCGTGCGGGAATAGGCGTTGAGGTGTTGAGTTGGTTCGGCATGACAAGCATTGTGTGTGACGACAACGGATAGACAGCACGGAGACTCAACGTTGATAGGTGTCAATGCTCGAGATTACCGCACCTAAGCAATGAATGATAAAGATCAATCATAGTATATAAATCGAGATCCCACAGGTCGTGAGTAGGTGCAAGCTATGTGTAAATGAATGCCTTGTGGCATTCGAGACCCAAAAATTCCCCGGACGCCGAAAGATATCAGCGACCACATCCGAGACACCGGGGAAGGCTTCCCCGGCGAACCCCCACCTCTTTTCTCCGCCCGAGACCTCCGCTCGGGACACCTTCAAGGCTCATCGATAGATTGGAAGAAGGTATGCAAATCCGGTAGTGTGGCCTTCCTGAAATTCTGAACATCTGTTAGCCTCTTATCTATTCCATAATGGTTCTCAAGCTCACCTTCTCAATCTCCTTCATCGCACACAACGCCTCCTCGCCAAGGTCCGCAACACCTTCTTCAGCCGCATCAATCTCTCCCACAATCGCCTCTCTAAATCGACTCAGAACATCTCCCGTTTCATCTGTCCCTCTTATTTTCCCAGCTCCACTCCCCCGAGAAACAGCGGCCACCACTTCTCCCACCAACTCCTTCGCCTCGCGTTCCATTACCATCCACTCCTCCCACAGCCTCCCCATATCCCTCTCAAACTCCCGCACCTGGGCCTCAGCGCGCGCCACCAGATCTCCAACCGCGTCATCTCGGGTACGCAAGCTGCCATCAGCACTACGCTGCTGTGATCGAATGCGAAATACGCTAAGCGGCTCGGCAAGCTTGGTAATGTGTGACTCTGTTGCTTCAAGAAAGGCGTCGTCCGCTTTAGTGACGGCTTGGGTAAGTTTACGTGATAGGTCTGCATGCGTTTGATCGAGGCGGATGATGGCGCTTTGGTGGAGCGATGTGGCCGTCTGAAGGTAGTGTTCTGTGTTGAAAAGGGGTCGGGTGTTAGCACGGTTGCTACAGCGACGAAAAGGAGGTACGAGGAGGGGACATTAGGGATGTGCAACGATACCTTTGAGTTGCTGAATCAGGTCATCTGCATCTACGGGGTGTCTCTGACTTGGGCTGTTTGTTTTAGCAGTCTTCTTTGTGTTCAGTGCCGGTTCGTCCGAAAAAGCGGCTTTGGTGCGCTGGAAAAAGGGGGCAACAGAAGGCTTGGCAGGCTGCTTATTGGTGTTGGCTACAATCTCAACAACCGATGGTGGCGCGGGTTTCTTTAGTCGGGGAACTAGTCGCTCTCGTAGGAATTTAAGGGACTGTCGTTCTAGGCTGGCCCGGTGCCCGGCAGGTGATGAGGAGGACGGGATATTTTCTGTACTGCTTGGGTTGGTCGGTTTGGGAGATGGGAGGTCAAAAAGCCGCTGGTCCCCGGCCTTTGGGCTTCGAGACTTGGTAGTACGCAATCTCTTAATCCAAGGCTGCTCAGAGCCGAAGATATCAATGGAACGACGCATGGTAAGAAAGGGTTAACGAGTGTAGGGTGCTGGGTTGTCGTCTCGAAAGCGGTGTGGTGATGGAACGACAGTATAAGAACAGTGAGCGTAGGGCTGAGTCTCATAAGAACGCAGGAGAATTATTATTCCTTTTTGAATCAAGTTCCCTAATTCTTTACCTAGGGGGGTACTAAATTGGTGCGCCCTCTATTACTCAGAGAAGAAGGCGCGATGGAGGTTACCAGGGTCGCCATGCCCTCCCGAGCCTTCCCAAAATGGGATCACAATGCCCACCCAGATTGTTCGTGGTTGCCAGACTCGCACCCTCTGGAATCCAATGCTTAATATTCTTGGTGGATTCATCGGTATCAGCAATTCACGACTTGGTTAGATGCTTGCGTGGCCTCCCGAAATTTTAAACTGGGCAATATATGCTGCTCGCCCGAGCTGTACGTCGATCTCAAGTGCCTCAGTCGCGGTCCTCGGGGCGGCAATAAACCGTAAGAGCGGACGTCCCAACAATAATCTTGTCAGCCTTCATGGGATGGCTGGTGCGGAGGGATATATGTCGCCGAAGGCGGGGCCGGTTGGACATTAGGAGAATCCAAACTTGTATCCCGAGGTTCCATCGCCAATGGTGATGGCTCGTGGGTCGAAGACGGCGGATCCGGAGCGAGAGGGGGGGTCGGTTCAGGTGGCGCAGAACTATGGATAGACACAGGCGGGGTTCGAAAGGATGGAATATCAGGACTTTGAAGGAGGTATGGAAATATCGTTAGTAATACTCCCTAGCTTTCCCGACTGTACGCCACACTGACCTTATATACGATGTACCAGCCACCCAGCCACCATATGGTGACTGCCGGCTGTACCTGTAGGTGACTCCTCTACTGCTACCAGAGCTGCGAGTCGAAGAGACTCTGCTTCCTCCCCGGCTCCCACCATTCCTACGGGAACCGTTCCTAAGATCATATAAGAACACCATAATGAGAGAGACGACAACACCGAGTGGAATCATCTGCGTGGCTGTTGTTGCTTGATTAACGGCTTCTGATATCCCATTCCATTGGATCGTGAGCTCAATGGCTGCAGTCAGGATAGTCGCAACAACCAACCCCCAGAAGGTCTCGATCCCCTTGAGGACTCCCATTCGGGCGCGTCTATTTACGTTAGCTAGATCTCTAGCATCGTAAAGATAGTTAGAAAGCGTGTTTTCATACCTAGATCTACTCCGGGCCCACGGCCCATTTCTCCTCTTCTTTAGCAGAAGACCAGTCTGCATGGCCCCCATAATAACGCCCCTAATAAGGAGAATGAACATCAGGAGGAAATTTAATACTCGAAACCTCGGGCTCCTCAACTCCATTGGACCGAACGCAAATCCGACCTGCTGGGGAGTCTGGCATCCCCCCTGTGCCCCTTCACCTCTCAAGCTCTGGTCGATGTCCTCTGAACTGACACCTGCCACCCAGAACCATATGTGCAGGATAACAACCGCTAGCACAAACACGCACCGAGCGGCTGCCACAGCTCTAGAGCCGCTTCGGTGCTCGCGTGTCCCAATATTTCGCCGGAAGAAACCCAGCATGTCGGTAGTATGTCTCGGTACAAGTAAATAAACGGTTGTTGAGATTAGAAGGAGGGAAATGTAGACCTCCACAGCGAATAGATATCCTCCGGCTGCTGCAGTTACGAGGCCCAGAAAGACCGCGTAGGCAAGAACAAGTTCGAGGGCACGGGGAACCTGAGCGTGACGTTCATGGCAGTGTTCACCTAAGAGTACGAAGAACCAGAGTAAGTAGAAGCTAACACGGATGCCCAAACCGTAGAGATCCGGAGTGCCTAGTATGGCGCATGTGGGAGGCATGATGGGTCGTTTGATACTTTCTTCCTCAGAGCCAAGTTCTGCGAGTTGGGAGAAGTTTGAAGGTGAAAGGTGTTTATTTCCAAAAAGGGGGAATTCCGGAGACCCAGACCTGACTAATTCTCACCTGCGCAACATGCTACGAACATATTGCTGGTAACAGACCACTTGTTGCACCTGCAGAACACCAGGAACCAACTACTAGGCAAATGTGCCCGAATGTGACACGGGTTAACGTTGTACTGCCGTGGAATACTCATTTCTGTCGGATAATTCATACGTGGAATTTATATCAAAACGTTGGGGGAAGGAGAGGTTGAGTTGAGTGTCCCCGTCGACCAAGTAAGTACTTGATGCACGAGACTTCCAAGCCCTTTCACACTGATGACGCGATTATGGAACAAAAAGCAAGAAACTATAGAGACACAAAAAAGTAACGTCAAAATAGCAAAAGCTCACCAAGCAACCATCTCCTGGTGAGATGGGTGCTAAGTTACGAAACCCAGCTGCACCCTAGATATAAGGGGTTGGAACCAATATCTAGGGCGGAGGATTTTGCGTCGCCGGGCTAGCAGGTGCCGAACCTTCCTCGAAAGAAAGTGCACCTCCTAACCGTTAGCCGCCCACACTGGGAGTCGAACCCTCGACCTCAAAGAGGTTACCAGATTCTACCCCAGCGTGGTGCCCTCCCGAGGGCCACCGCCGGTGACCGTTAGGCCATTTGGCCCACCGTGTGGCCACTTAGTTATTGACCTGGCTCGCGGACCTTCTACATATACCCTCTCGCTGGCTGGCGTACCTGGTCACATGCTCGCACCGGCAACAGCCACGATTTTCACACATTGACACTACTGTGTCGAGTGCGTTATGCGTCAAACACAATGCTATCCCAATTATTACGATCCTACACATAAGCTAGCAGGATCATCGGTTACCTTCCGGTGCTGGTGGCAAGTACACTAAGGAGGGCGTGACTAAAAGAATATTGACATTATTGACCGTTGAATGAGAATCCCCGTAACCAAAACCCAGTATCGCAACAAGCCAGCGAGAAATATAAGACGATCACTTTCTAGCCCCAGCCTTTCGCCTTTCCCCTCTTGACCTTTAGACACATCCCGGGTGCCGAATCTCGCCTACGAACTCCTTTGCATTCTCCCTATGCACTCCCCGTCACACTACCATTAACACTCACAACCCCGTTGTCCACCTTCACCACATAATTGCCATCCGCATCCACTACACCCCCGGAAAGGTTTAACTTAGTCCTATTTCTGCCATAAAGTGGCTTTCCCGTGCCCAACCTCTCCTTGAGCGCACGCTCCCAGCGCTCTTTATCCCCCGTCAGCTTCCCGTCGCCCTTCAACCCTAGCACCTCCATCAGCTCAGGAACCTCCACGTGGTCGCGTGTGGTACGCATGCGGTGGCACCAAGTGACAATCTTGTCGTCACCATCAAACTCGTCGACATTACTTTTGTCGTCCGCTTTCGGTCGGGGTTCGGAACTGGGCCCTGTTTCTTGGCCCCCCGCATCGGTCTCCTCCTGGTCTGCGCCTTCGCCCGAGACCCCTATCACCGGCGATTGGAGCGGCGTAGTTTCCGCCCCCAAAGGCGGCTCGAACAAGAACTCGCCCCCGACCTGCTTCATATCCCCGCCCTTCCCCGCCAGCCCGGAACGGAGTTGTTTCAAGCCTTGCCCGACGCTTGTGATGCTGCTCCAGACTAAATGTTTTGACGTATATGCCGGCCGGTCGCCCAGTCCAAGGGTGCGTATCATCCCGAGCGCCTCGTACAGACGACCTGTCGGGTCGGTGAAAATAGAGAAGGGGCAGCCGGACTCTTCGGCGTAGCTGGCGATGAGCCCGGGGTCTCCACAACCAATAACAACGATGGCGGTGGAAAGCAGGGGCTCGTTGAGTAGATCCGCTGGGGTGATGGAGTTGGCGATTGAACTGAGGTATTGTTGGCAGTTCTAGTAATTGTTAGAACGTGAATAAAATCTCCAAGGTGACTGACTGGGCAGTCCGTGGCTTCGTCATAGACTTGCAATAGAGAGAGCCACGCGGGGTGAGAGGCGGGGTGAGAAACTTACACCACAGTAAAAATGTCGAACAAAAATCACCAGTACGCGTCGCGCGATATGAGGCCCGGTGTATATATTACGGAAACGGCAACTCTTCCCATACCGGTCGAAGATAAGAAAGTTGTCAATCTCGCTGATCAACTTCCGTGAAGGGAGCTCGGTGGTAGTGTCGACGGCGCCTTCAAACTCATCCATCCCCGATGCCGCTGCGGCCGATGCGGCCTCTGCCGAGGTCACCTGCGTCGATGCCATGGTAGAAGGAAGCCGGATTATAGAATAAGAATCGGGTCCGCTTCACACCTAAACACCAAGGGAGGTAGAATGAGAGAAGAGAGCGGGGTGGGACGAAGTGCTGGCCGTTGTGGGGTTGAGTCTCAGTACACAGACCGAGTCGAAACGCTTGGCGGTTGATCTTGACGGCCAGCTGAGACGAGTCGCTGCGTCGGGTTGGGGGCGAGGGTGGTCGCCCGATGACAGGACTTTGACTGAAGCGTAGCGAAGGAAATAAAGAAAGCCCTCGCGAGTATAATCGATACTGGGCCCGTCGGGTCACAAGGCAAGCTAAGAACAAACCAGTTTACCAAGTTTACCAAGAAGAAGAGCCAACTCTTTCCTGCTTGTGATGCTACGAAAAAGCACCTTTACACTAAACCGCAGCAGACCCACTCGCTCGCCCAGCCAAGTTCGAGATCTCGCAGGTCCGCCAAGACGAGGCCGTTTCCGTTTGGGATTTTCCTTTCCAAGTCCGATCGTTGTTTATGGTTCGTCGGGTCACCAGGGGTCTAGACCACCCATCAGGTAAAGTAACCCCGGCTTAGGCGGTAGTTGCCTCCAAGCGAGGCCACTCACGGTACATGGAGATGGACCCCATAAGTTAGTTTAGAGGGTTAGGGTTTGTGTAAACAATGTCAAGCGTGCTTGAAAGGCTTCGACCACGACCTACTTGAGGTGCAAAAACGGCCAAGGGGGTTATCAAAATCGTGAATCTAGACTAACGGGCGGCCGAAGTGTGTAAATCGCGCCACATTGTCAGTTGGTAACCGGGTACCTTAGTCGGTAACTCACGTTTTTTTCCGCAACGCGAGGGATATATAAAAGAGCGTCTTGTATTTTCTAATTTCCTCGCACTTATCCGTTATCTCCCTTCAAAATAAAGCAAAACAAAAATGTCACCGGTACCGCTCCCCAGAAAAGAGCGACTAGGGGAGATCGGTGCAGCGACGACGCAAACAGCAGACAAGTGCCAATAACTCTTTCCCTGGATAATAGGAGAAGAAGATAGTTGACGGGTGCCGTTGTTAGTTGAGAAGCGAAGCAAGGTTTTGGGCTTCTCGCAAATGACTGTCTCTCGATTTTGCTCCCCGTAACTGCCCCTCAATTGTCGGTCAAAGCAGGTCGTACCACAAGAGGTCACGGACTAGAAATTCTACCGACTACTCCAATTAGCCGACGGCTTGTTTCTGGTGAGCCTTCCCTCTCCTTAAGTTGTAGGCCAGCTCAAACGAGAGCTTCTCTCCACGAGCTGCCCTGCGAACTATACCGGATTGATCGGGCAAGTTACGGCCGGCTTGTTCCGAGGAAGCCACCGCAAGGAGATAGCCCAGGTGGCTTTGGCCACCAGTGGCCCGGGGCGTACATATTGTTAGGAGCGAGTGTGCTCTTGGAGGCATCAACTCGCTCGGCTAACAGCGACCCCTCAAGCCGGTGGGTGTTTTCGGTGTTGACGCGCTGGTACAACCCTGACGGCAGAGCGTGTGGGTTAGGCTAGCAGACAAGCTGCTACTCCTCGATTTGTTGTGACGGAGAACTGAGTTTGGCCCATTGGGTCTTCCATGTTGGAAGTAGAACACCAACAAGCCATCTTTTCAAGACGCTCAGTCGAACCCAGACCCAATTTGACTCGCAAAGGTGCTAACACTGCCCTCATCATCCTCATAGCGCCGTCCATAGCCATTTCCAGTCCCCATGCGAGCGGTCTCCACGAACTGCTTGAGCCGCTCATCGTGACTGAACGAGGTTGGTCGGGCAGAGTTAATCGCCTCACTCAAGCCCGCTCCTAGGCTTGCGCCGCCCTGGCCGACCCCCTTGCCACCAATGACGCTCGCGGTGGCGTCAGTAAATTCGCTGTTGGCTACGCTCTCGCCCGCGATGCTCTCGGCGCCGCGCCCACGACCCTTGGCACCCAATCGACCGGGCCCGCTCGTTCCCGGCAAGCCAGGCCACTGTTCAGGATGGAAGTTTGAGAACATGTGTGGATAGGATGAGGTCAACCCGGCGCCGCCGAGGGCGGAGCTGTGGAGAGAGGATACATCATCTGGAATGTACGAGAGCATTGACCCAGTATCGTTGTAATCCCGAGTCGAGCCATTCACCCCGCCGAACCGCCCATTGGAGTAGCCGCCGGCCGCATGCGGGACCTGCTGTGGCTGCTGCTGCTGCTGCTGCTGCTGCTGCTGTTGATATCGTGGAGGGCGGAAGGCTGTCTTGGGCCGGCTGAACTGTAGCAGTGAGGTTTGCAGATTTGTCAAAGGACCCTCGACTAGGCACTTGCGATCCTTGAAATGGACCAGGAGATGGTGCCACAACTCATGTTTAGAGAGTACCTTGGGGTTCCCGATGATGACCAGACCGTACTTGGCGCGGGTGAGTGCAACATTGAGGCGGCGGGGGTCGGACAGAAAGCCTATACCCTGATTATCGTTGGACCGCACGCAGGACAGGACGATGAAGTCCTTCTCGCGGCCCTGGAATGCGTCCACGGATGCGACCTCGACCTCCTTATATGTCTCCTTCTTGAAAGTGCCAGTGTTCTGCATGGTGCTGACAATATAGCTGCGTTGACCTTCATATGGGGTGATAACGCCGATATCGAGGGCTTTCACGCCCGCCTTGAGGAAGCGGGTCACAATTTTCTCAACATTGGCGGCCTCAGTCCGGTTGAGGTACGAGGTACCCGACGCCGAAATTTCTTCATTGCCCAGATTTGACCAAAACATCATAGGCATGTCGGCTACCGGCCACGGAAAATCCACATCGGTTCGGAGACGCTCAGAAACCGTCACGCCATTTTGTAGCGACCCGTCGTAAAACATGTTGGACGGGAACTGCGATAGGCAAGGGTGCATGCGGTACTGCACGTTCAATCGGATCGGTGTCAGGTTCAGCTTCACCAGCCTTTCAAACAGAGACTGGTTCAGGCCGGCCTTGGCCGCTTTCTTGTTCATGATGACGGGGCCGAGCTGTTTGTGGTCGCCAACCAACACCACTTGCTTGCAACCGAGAACTAGGGGGATCATACACTCGGGCTCCGCCGACTGTGTTGACTCGTCGATCAGGACGTTCCGGAACTTCATCTTGGCGAGCCTTGGGTCACCGGCACCCACACAGGTACAGCACACAACGTCCGCGTTGTTAAGGATTTCACGCTCGGCGGCGCGCGTCAGCTGCTTGAATTTCTTTTCATCCTGAGAGGAGAGTTCGCCTTGATCCAGTTTCAGGCGCGTAAGCTTGGCGAGCTCCGTATTGGAGTCATTCATCCGGACCTGCTCGTGCAGTGCCAAAAAGCTTACGGACGACTCGACGTCTTCGCGGGACTTGGCGGTCAAACGGACAACCTTCAAGCCAGTGCGATGGATCCGCTCGCACAATTGATCGACCGCGACGTTGGATGGCGCGCATACAAGGACCTGGCTGTTGTTGATCTTGGCTAGGTGATAGATAATTGTGGCCGAGGTGACTGTCTTGCCGGTTCCCGGAGGGCCTTGGATTAGACTGAGCGGGGTCGAAAGTACCGTCTTTATGGCCGTAATTTGACTGTGGTTCAGTTCTGGTAGACCTGCGACGTGGAATTTCTTCGGCATCTGCGTCTTCATCGGGGCCACCGCAACCTCATGTCCCAGCAACTTGTGGAAAATGTACCCCGACAGACTCATTTCATCGACCGCAAAGGTTTTCATCGCCAGCTGCATTCTATCGTAGGAGGTGGCTTTCCACACGTAGTCCGCGGCGAAGTTGGTTGAGACGTCCGTTGGAATTAGTTTGTCGTTGCCGGACTTCCGTAGCTCCAACGTGACCTCGTCCGACCTGTTGTCGGGGATCTTAATCACATAACCGACACCTTCCCATGTTGCGCGGAGATCGCCCTTGTACCGGAGCCTCATTTCGTCACCCACGGCTAACTTCACATCACCCGACTCGATCTTGGGCAGAATAAAGCTGGCCACGTTCTTGTTGTTGAGTCCCACGTCCCAGCGAACCTGAAGGTTGTCCTCTGACTGCGCCTCCTTCAGTTTCTTGTCGTAGTCCGACTCCATCTTGACAAGCGGTCCGAAAATATTCTGATAGTGGTACGGGTCTTCATATTTTAGCAGCACTGGATGCGGGTCGTCGTCGACTCCAGTGCCTTTTTCTAGGTCGGCAACGGTAGCTCCCGGCGTCTCTTTCCACACCTCCTCCAATTTGGCAATCATCGGAGGTGTCAGATGCCTCGCTCGGAGCTGCTCGGTATCGGTTGGCGGTTGCACGAGCCAGTTGAGAAACGACCTATCCTCAATCAGAGGTTGCCACCTGGAGATATCCCAGCTCATATCCTTGGTCGAGGTGCTCGCGGCACACGGCTGACGGCAGAGGAGGACGACAACGGTGTCTGATTTCGCGGGGATAAACCCGAGCATGAACACATTCTTGGTTCCGCAGTTGTAGCACTCGAGGATTGTATCCCCTAGGGAGGATTGTGGGTGAAGCTGAACTTCCTTGTGGCGAGCCCTGACCAGGTGATTGACGATGTGGGAGGAGCTAGAGTTGCCGCGGGCGCTGCAGAACCATTTGTTGCAAGCAAGGCACTTGACAACACTGGCAGGTGAGTGAATGCCGCAGTACCTGTTCAAGCCGCTGTCAGCCAACTGCTGTGCTTCAGAAAAATATAAGGTGCAACCTAGCAAGTAGGAAAAAGGTAAGGTACTCACGCGCAAGCGTGGGCAGGGAGTTCCTTTCCCTCCTCTGGGGCATTCAAACTCAGGGCCTTCACGCCGTCGACCGGTACGCTCGTTACACTCTCATCGTCATCGTCGAAAACTTCAGTCTCGTTGTCCTCATCGTCTTGGCGACGCCTGGTGTTGCCTAGGCCGGTGCGGGTGCCGCGCCCTCCATATACGCCGTACAGCAAACTCTCATCCGGGTCGAGATTGGACAATTCGTCGGAGTTGCCAGCCTTGATTGCGGCCGCCGAGTCCGAAACTAGGTGATTCCCCAGGTGGGTAAACGCGCCCTCCATGTTTGGGGTGCAGAGTAGGGCGACTGTCGGAGCGATGTATCGTCAAACGTCAGTTCCAGAGCTGAAAAGGGTAGAATCAACACATGGAAATATTCAAAGGCACTAATGACGGTGCATGAATGGTCGGAAAGGGTCGGGAGAGCAATGCCCCCGGAAGTAGTGCAGCATGCGACAAAGAGAGGCTGAAAGGGAGGGGCCGAAGCTCACCTTGATCGCCGGTGGTCGAAATAGGATGTGTAGACTGTCCCGATTTGGTGATTGTGGAAGAAAGCAGGGGATGGAAGCGAATACGGTCACATCATCGCTTGTATGAGTTGAGAGAGACACAAACGCGCCTGGCCCTGGCTTCGTTTATCGGTTTCGTCGTGGGCAGTGTTGGATTCCGTGCCTTGAAACTCTTTCGGCTGAGATTTTGGTGGTGGTTCCAATGTCGCGGCTGTTGCATGGTTACTGTGTAACATTCTTCTGGTGCAAGCGGGGCGGAGAAATCGAAAGTTTGACGGCGGGACCCGCTGCGGTCTGTGCTCTGAACTTTTTTTCAGTGGACTTCCCGAAGCGCATCGCGGCTGCTTTTGGGGATTTTGCGCCTCAAGACAATCGAAGAAAAAGACAGAGACCGCTGACACAAGCCAGGATGATCGTGCGTGTTGTCCACAAGAACCACCCCCGATACATCAATACTTCCGCTAACCGTTTTTAAGCGAAAACAAGCACGCCAAAGGAGGGACTACCTCTACCGTCGGGCTCTTCTTTTGCGCGATGCTGAGGTGGCAGAGAAGCGTGCGAAACTCAGGGCGGCGCTGGCATCGGGAAAGCCGTTGGACCCAGAGATTGCGAACGACAAGCAATTGCGCAAAGACTATGACTACGATGCGTCTCGAGACGTCGCTGGCGATTCCTCGCTTGACATTGACGACGAATACTCCGAGTTGTCGGGTGTCGTAGGTAGGTGTCTCCAGATGGTCGGACAAGAGCAGACATAAAAGAAACCGACATTCCGTCTTACAGCTCCTGACTCAATATAGACCCGAGAGTCCTGGTGACAACATCCCGAGATCCTAGCTCTAGGTTGATGTCCTTCTCTAAAGAAATTCGGTTACTGTTTCCGACCGGCATTCGACTCAACCGTGGCAATCTTGTCCTCCCCGAACTCGTACGATCGGCCCAAAGCGAACGTCTCAGCGACGTGATCCTTCTTCATGAACACCGCGGGACCCCGACAGCGATTACCATCAGTCACTTTCCTCACGGGCCTACTCTAATGGCATCATTACACAACGTCGTGTTGCGCGCCGATATCCCGCGATCAATCAAGGGTACCGTTAGCGAGAGCTATCCGCACTTGATTTTCGAAAACTTCCAGTCCCCTCTCGGTCTGCGCATTGTCAAGATCCTTAAGCACCTGTTCCCCCCACGCGACGCCACCACCAAGACAGCAGGCAACCGAGTTATCACATTTGTGAACCAAGACGACTGCATTGAAGTACGACACCATGTTTACGTGCGAACGGGTTACGAGTCAGTCGAGTTGAGTGAGGTTGGGCCACGGTTTACTATGCGACCTTTCTCTATCAACATGGGCACTCTGGAGAACAAGGATGCGGACGTGGAGTGGCACCTAAACCAATACACTCGCACTAGCAGGAAAAAGAATTATTTTTAGTCCGCCATGGCTTGTCTCTCAACAGTCCCAAAAAACTACACGGTACCCAGCGTAAGGACTGAGGTCGCTGGGTGGCTCAGTGGATGCAATTGGTATTGTACATCCCTCAAAAGATCGGCTACCCAATATTTAGTGCTGCGCCATGCTAACGACCTAAGGCAGCACGAGTCACCCGCGTTTCCGTGCGAACAATTACATCAAGAGCCACAAGCAGCAAACGAGGTGCAAGCCCCTTCGGAAACATGGCGGTCGCCAGTGGCAACACAACCTGCCTTCCGAGCGGGCACGGGAAAGACAGTCCTTGAGAAAACGCACGGCTCGAGAGTCAGTTGCAGACCACAGGCACTGGTACCATTGGCGATGAAAAGCCAAACTTTCGCCCCCGGTCACGAGGCTCCAAGATTTTCAGCCCAGCCTTGCATCTCTTCGCCAAATGCCTTGTAAATAGAATACCAAACGAGGCCGGCGGCCTGTACTTGTGCAGATACCCGCCAGCCGACCTGGGACGCGGGGCTCAGTCCTGGTTGCCGTCACTTTGGTATTTCGAAGTATTACGGCCTTAAGTCGTAGTGGACGATTGAGCTCAGGTCCACCGTCCACGCCATGCCATATGCACGGAACGAAACTTTAAGTGGAGACCTGCAGATCCCATCCTCAGCCTCGCTCCGTGACGCCATCTTCCTGTGAGACAAAACGGCTATGTAAAAACGTTGCAGCGACTATTCGGCAGAGGAAGAAACGCAGTTCGGGCTTCCGGCGTTTGACACTGTTTATTATGAGTTATCACTTCTTTATGGTATGGCCCGGCCACCTTCTTTATCTCACATATCTGCTGGAACGGAGAAGCCCGAACGTGGGCCTGAGTTTGTCTGGCCGACAGTGGGTGGCATCTCCAGTGGTATTTATTTGTCCACAGTAAGATCGATGGGGGCCAGGGTGCCAGGGTGGGCCATGAGCCCGACCAATCTTGGCGTGAAACACGGCCAGGCTGCCAGGGTCAGCCATCCCATCAGCAGGGCGAAGCAGCTGTCTCGCAATCTCGCCAAAAAGGTCGGCCGCCCGTCTCTGTCCGACATTTCTTCCTCATCCCCGTGCCACACCCTAGAATTGCGACTCGTTTTCTCGCGACCTTTTACTCTCGCAAGCACCGACATTCCATCCACCCGGTAATTATTCAACAATTGCGATACACGATATCACAGAGACACATTTTCAACGTCACCTCAATCAACGCGCGATGTCCTACAACCCCTACAACCAAGGGCCGGGCGCTGAAGCCGGGCACGGATACGGGCAGCCGGTAAGTTTTTCACCCGATATAACGCTCGGCGCATTTGGTCTTGAGTAGTCCTAGACCACAATCGAGCAATTGGTTCATTTCAGTCGCTAATGTTGGTCGCCCGCGAAGGAACAACATGAAATGCACTCGTACCCGCAACAATCATACGGCTCCCCTCAGCAGCAATATGGACAGGACTATGGGCAGGGTCAGTACGGAACTCACCCCGAACAACAGCAATATGGATCGCCACAACCACAACAATACGGCTCGCCTCAGCCGAATCAGCAACAAGATGGGGCGCCATTCCTTTCGCAAAATGAATTTCTACAACGCGTCTCAGCCATTCGTCAGGAGATCAAGGGTCTGACAACCAGTATCGGGAACATTGCGACGCTGCACCAACAGACGCTCGCGAGCAGCGACAATGGCCCGCGACAGCAGCTGGACGACCTCGTCGCCGCGACCCAACTCAAGAACACGTCAATCCGCTCGCAGATCCAACAGCTCAAGTCAGACACGGAGCGCACCACCGACGGCACGTTCAACCTTAAGAAGCGCCAGTTCGAGACTATCAATGGCGAGTTCAAGGACACTATCCAGCGTTTTCTGCAGGAAGAACAACAGTACCGCGAGCGCAACCGTGAGCAGATTGCTCGCCACTATCGTATCATGAACGCGGATGCCACAGAAGAGGAAGTGCAACAGGCTGTTGAAGCCGACTGGGGTGATGAGGGCATCTTCCAGGCCGCTGTACGTTTTCACCACATAACTTTCTAAATCCCATACATCATAACGGCTAACATTTCCTAGTTGCGGACCAACCGTACGGGCCACGCCACCACGGTGCTCGGAAATGTACGCGCGCGACACAACGACATGGTCAAGATTGAAAAGTCCATCATTGAGTTGCTTGAATTGCTCGAGATCCTCAACCAGCAGATTGTGCAACAGGGTCAGGTCATCCAACAAATTAGCGACAATGCCGAGCAAGCTACAACCCAACTTGGTAAGGCCAACGTGAAAATTGAACAGGGCGTTAAAAGCTCCCGCAACCGCCGCAAGCTCAAGTGGTGGTGCCTGCTTGTCTCCGTGCTCATTGTCATCGCCATTGCTCTTGGTGTTGGCCTTGCCCTGGGGCTCCCGAAGGTGGCAACTGCCGGCTCGGGGAACAACAACAACAACCAATAAGTGCCCGGTATTTTCGTCTTGGAGTGGTGGGAAGTGGTGAGGCGGTAAAATATTCGGCATACTGGCAATTGCTTGTTTCATGGGACCAACAGGAGCGTTTTGGGACCAGCGGAGGTTTGGTTGGGAGGGTTGGATGAGGGGACGGTATGTTCGTTTCCGGCGGCACATGCGCTGCTGTGGTAATGAGCCTCAGACCGATCTGTTACGGTTTATAGACGGGGCAAGGTCCCAAGCAGCGCAGAACAGGGGTTGAGCCTCTTCTGCCTACCGTGTCTTGGTTTTCGTGGCACAAACTGGCGTGCCCACAGGGTCGAGTGATGGGAGTAATGATTTCTTTTCGTCTCGGTGGTTTCTTGGCTCGCTTAACTCATATATTCTGAGAGTCGTCGATGAAGTCGGCGTCAATACATACCCGTCAAAACAAACTTTCATCTTATGTAGCTAGGGAGTGGTACTCAACATTTTATGTACTACGCAGAGAAGCGTCACAGCATGTGGTTGGCGTGCGGTGTGCGGTTTACGTTACTCGGCTCTAGACGGCCAGCTTGGGTAAAGGGGCCGTTGTAATTTTTAGAGGGAAGTATACTATTAGGTCAAGGTACACATTTACAGCTACACTACCGTGGGTGTGGTCTCATAGGCCACTCAGCCCCTTTTTTCTACCGCACGTTGGACAATGATGTGCTCATGGTGGCCCTCCCCCCCTCCTCGAGCAACTAGGAAGAAGCATACTGTACGTACGATGAATGTACATACAGGCGCCCAACCCCTGACCCCCTCTTTCCAAGTCCTTCGGCACACCCCCCGTTCCCGCTAAACTTCATTTATGCTCATTTCACGATAAGCTACCCATCCATATCGTTTGCCCATCCATTCATATAGCCACACTTTCCCATTTTCCCTCAATCGTACAAAGAAAGATGACAAACAGATCCACCAGCCTGACCTACCGCAACCGCAAGACATGAAAGAAAGGCCAAAGAATGCAGCACAAAAGGGAATCCCTCCGGCCGTTCCCTGCCAAAAGCCCGATGTTTGTATATGTTTAACAGATGAGCCGCCCACATGTAGCCTGATGTTCAAACCATCATTTTAAAAAACAAAAGGCCCGTGTTTTTGAGTTCGGGTTTTGATTTGCCGCATTCCGGTTGCGATGCTCAGACACATTATCTCATCATACCTTGACCCATGCCCTGCAACTTGTTGGCGAGCTTCGGGTACTTCTCCTGGACCTGGATCTGAGTGCGGGTTGCCTCTGCATAAGACAGAGCGTTGACCAGCTCGCCTTCAGTGCGAGCAAGCTCAGCGGCACGCTCAAAATACTTCAGTGCGTCCGTCACCTTGCCCTGCTGGAGGAGGAGCTGGGCCATGGTGGCGACGGCAATGTCGCATTCAGGGTCGACTAATAGGGGTGTTAGGATTCATCTTAATTGTAGATTTAGGTATATGGGGGAGGTAGTCTTACTGATGAGCGCCTTGTCACAAAGCTTTTCAGCCTCAGAAAAGTCCTGTTTCCACTGGAACAAGGCGAGTGACTTGTTGATAAGAGGCAGCACGTTCATGCATGTTGGCTTCGTCTCACGCTCCAGCTCGATCGCAGTATCGAACTTCTCGATCGCTTCTTGATACTTGCCCTGGTCCAGGAGCAGCTCGCCGTAGTAGTTGTAAACATCTGGGGTCTTTTCGAAGTTCTTCATACACCGACGGAAGGTGGCCATGGACGACGCGATCGATCCCATCTTATACTGGGTCACACCGAGCTGGATGTGGGAAAATATGAAGTCGCGGTCAAGATCGATGGACTTTTGGTAATCTTTCTGGGCCTCGGCAAACTCGCCCTTGATGAAGTGTAGCTGGGCGCGGTGGTAGAAGATATCGGGGTCTTCGCCGTTCTTGGACAGGGCAACTTTGAAATCCTCCTCGGCCATTTCAGGCGCACCTATGACATGTCGGTCAGCGATGTTGTGGCAAATATCCAAACAACTCCCGAACTTACCAAGCTCGAGGTTCATGCTCGCCCTCTTGATGTAGCTCTGTGTCAACTCGGGATCAAGTTCAATGCTCTTGGATAAATCTGCCAAAGCGTCTTCGTGCTTGCCCTTCAGGCACCGGAAGGTACCGCGGAGGTTGTACGCGTATGCCTCGTACTCCCCGAGATCGCCCAGCTCCAGGGCTTTGTCGAAGGCGTCGGAAGCCTCCTCGTAGCCTGGTCCAGTCTTGCTCTCCAATGCTTTCATTCCCCTCTGAAGTTGACCCGGGCCACTCTCCTCCAGTAGCTCTACCGAGTCCTCTAGCCCAGCTGGCCGCGGCTTGCTGCGGAAACTCTGGAGGTAGTTGCCAACAAAGGTCGAGCTCGGCAACTTGGCGGGCTTGGTCTCAAGAATCTCCTTCGCCTTCGACTCTGCGAACTTCTTGAGCAAGCGCTCAACAGCCTGGGCGCTTTGCTCGTTCCGGAACCCGTCAATGATGCAGCTGGCGGTAAAATCGAGCAGGGCCTCGCTGTATTTGCCAAGGTGATCGTAGGCGTTGGCGCGGCGATTCAGGGCCTTGATGTATTCAGGATCGAGGCTAATGGCGGCGGTAGTGTCCTCGACGACCTTCTCCCACTCGCTGAGCGCGTTGTAACAGGCAGCCCTGTTGGAGTAGTAGACTGGATCCGGCTTGCAAAGAATCGCTTTGGAGTACAGGCCAATCGCCTTCTCATAGTTCTTCGCCCCGTAGGCCTTGTTCCCCGCCTCCTTCAGCTTTTGAGCGTATTCCTTGCGTTGGGCATCTGAAAATGTTTGAACAGTCGCTTCGTCAATCTCGGGTAGTTCATCGGCGGACTCGACGGTGGCACTCTTGGTCGTCGTGGCAGCCCCCGCGGTTTCTCCTGTAGGCGCGGAAGCCTGGCCACCCTCAGCTTCCCTTTCAGCCTGCTTCCGTTTCCGTCTTTCCTTTTTGCTAAGTTTCGGCGTTGTCTCCTGGTGGCGCGCGCGGGGTTAGCATGGCGGGGCTATTTGCCCTCCTCTTTTCTTGGTTCAATGGGGTTCACGGCAGCCCGTCCGCGTGCCGCTTCATAAGAGCGCAAAATTAACCAAGTTCTCACCTGGTTAGGCCCATTGCGGACATAGTAAACAGCACCGGCTGTGGTGACGACCACGGCCACGCCGGCAATGGTGTAGACCACAGCCTTGTGCTCGGACACCCATGTCGAAATGCGATCCCACAACGAGGTATCGGCCGGTATTGGTGCGGAGGGCGTGCCCAGCGAGCCAGTTGGGAGGGACGGCGCCATGTTTGTGATACAAGCCGCAAAGTGGTGGAATTAGGAGCAAAGATGTTGCAAAGATACTGGTATGCCGGCCTAGGTAACGGATGGATACGGTGAGGTGTCGCAATGCTTTGCCAACAATTCGATGATGCAGGAGCGCATCGAAAAACTGGACTTGGACTGGACTCGGCCGGCTGGCTTGTGCGCTTGCTCGGCCGAAGGCGGGACGGGAGCTTGGGGAAAAAAATCGGCGCGCTGATATGGGGCGCCAAGCAAGTGCTGCCGCAGTGGGCCTTGAGAGCTGTTTTTCCGAGATGTGGCGAGCAAATGAATGTTCTCTGCTGGCAGTCCCGGGTGCCGGGGCTGAGTGCCCTGGTCCCTGTCTGCTTGGCTGCTTGGTGGGCTGGTGGGGTAGGTATTGACCGTAAGGTATTGAAGACTGCAAGCCCTCCATGTTCCATTGAGCCAGCCGGGTTGCCATGTGTGATTTGTAATATCGAGAAGCATTGAGGTATTGACAAGAAACACAGGAAACTCAACTTCGAGTTGAATTCATGTTACGAGTCATCAAACCCGCCGTTTCCGTCCTCAAGAAGCTAGAAACGAGGTATCGTTAACGAACGACTGCCCAATACGGATACTGGCTTGACTCGAGCTTCCAGTGTTTGTTCAATACCCACTTCCATCCCTCACCCGCCTAAGTCTCGAAGATGGACAAGAACAACTTCCAGCTGTTCACATCCTTGCGCTATGATCCAGTGCTGTTAAGCGTCCCTACCTCCAACATCAGCTATGCCGGATGGAATTGGGACCATGCGTCCCCTCTGTACATGCTCGACTATCACCGAGATCGGATGCTACAAGCAGCCACCCACTGGGGTTGGGCTGCCGCCATCGACGTGCTAAAGGGAGAGGCCGGTTTGAAAAATCTAGAGCGTTACCTCCTCAGCAACATCGGAGATAACCCTGACGTCTCGCTGAAGCTAAGGGTCGTAATCACCAGAGACGGTGAGCTGTCTATCACCCATGGTGTTGTCCCAGAGACCACCCTCGCGCACCTCCTACCGAGACAGCTACCCACGCCAGACGGGTCTCAGAGTGCTGAGAATGACGACCAAATCCCGAGCAAGTCTCCCGGGTACGACATAGTCGTGGATGGACCCAACACTGCTCGCTCGGAGTACACACACTTCAAGACCACCAAGCGGGATGCATATACCGCAGCACGGGAAAGGGCGCACATCGTCAATCTTGGCGACAAACGCGAAGTCCTCATTGTCAACGATACTAGCGGAGCCATAATGGAAGGATCTCTTACCACACCTTACTTTTGGAGGCAGGGGAAATGGGTCACGCCGGCCGTGAGTAAGGAGTACAGTCAGGAACAAGGCAGTGGCGGCCAGAGCGGCACGTCGAGGAGATGGGCTCTTGAGAGGTTTGTCAAATGTGCCACCACCAGCTTACTGGAGGGCTACTTCTAACGTGACCTAGGGGAGTTGCCGTTGAAGATACCATACTGGTAGATTCCCTTGTCGATGGAGAGGAGTGTTGGTTGAGTAATGCTGTTGGGGGCTTTGTGTATGGGACAGTGAGACTGGGTTGACATGATTTATGCCCATCAAGGCAAGAGCGCCCCGAAAACATCTCTGGTTAGCCGCGTACTTTTCTACAGAAGGCTCGACCGTATGGGGACCGCAAGAAGACACCGAAATTTCAAGCAGGAACCATCCAGTGGTACTCATGCCACAGGGCCGAAACAGCCTAGGAACCTGGGACTATTTCCTGCCTATTCGACGTCCTAAAACCCGCATTTCCATTGGAAGTCAGGCAACTCCCGTCTGTCCATCTCAATGGAAGTTGAATAGTCCCCACCTCCATCCACAGCCTTATCTCGGGTTACGGCCGCCTAAACGAATGGTGGCTCGGTCGAACCCGGCATTAGGGCACTTCGCTTGCCTAAACTATCTCGTGACCTCCTCTACGCCTTCCGCAGAAACACTTGCATCCAACCCAGGCTCTTATACTGCCCCTCGGGCCTTCCATTACGCCAGAGTACCACAATGGTTCTCGTTTGCACTCTGTCCACATTCTTCGTAGCTAATTCCCCGTTGGCTAAATTACCTGCTCGTTAATCTCTCAGATTTCGCTACAATCCAGGGATCAAAGTTTGTCTTTTCAACTATCACCCCTTTGATACCCATTTACTCACCTGCGTTTCAGTCTAACACAACCCCCACGACCTTCTCTAGCGGCCCTTCAACAACGTGCGTGCCAATATGGAGGTTGATTTCCGCAAGCACACTCAGTTCCGCAAAGCTCGTGGCCTGTCCAAGATCCGTCCGCTTCTCAATAACAACTACAGACGTCACGGCACGAAGTCGTATGTCTACGCGCTCAACAAGTTTGGGTTTCAGCCCACCAAGCCTGGCCCTTACTTCCAGAAGTTTGCGAAACTTGGTGCCGCCAACAGAAGGCCTGATCTCCCAGGTGTGAAACCCGGCCTTGTTCGAGAAGGCCTCTACAAGAAGCCCGAGGATGGTGGGGAGCCCGGGAAGGTTACCGCCGAGGACCAGCCGAATGATGCCGAGTACCTGTGTGAAGTTGCCATTGGCTCTGGTAGTGACGCCCAAAAAGTCTTGTTGGACTTTGACACTGGCTCTGCTGATCTTTGGGTAAGTAGTTCGCGCTGGATATGAACGTAGCTCAAATCTGACGGAAGATATTTACAGGTCAACAGCGAGAGGTTCCACTACAAGAAATCGCGAACCTTCCGCCTCCAGAAAGAGAAGACTTGGAGGATTCAGTACGGTGATGGCAGCTCTGCTTCCGGCCCAGTGGGTACCGATTCGCTCACCATCGGCGGGATCGAAGTCAATCCTCAGACTATTGAGATTGCGACTCAAATGTCTTCGCAATTTATGAGGAGCCGCATGGATGGACTTCTCGGCCTAGCATTCAGCAAGCTCAACACCGTCCACTCGAATGGGACACCGGACCCGCAACGTACACCTGTCGACAACATGATTTCCCAACACGACATTCCAAAGCAGGCCCAGTTATTCACCTCGGCGATGTACAGCGGCAGATCCAAGAGCAAGGACTCATTCTACACTTTTGGGTGGATCGACGAGGCCCTCGTGAAGAGTTCCGGCGAAGAGATTGCCTGGGTCGACATTGACAAGACCAACGGCTTCTGGATGTTCCCGAGCGAGCACGCCACCGTCAATGAGAAGAAACTCACTTTCGAGAACAACATGGCAATTGCTGACACCGGTACCACTCTTGCACTTGTCTCCGACGAATTGTGTGATGCTTTGTATGCTCAGATTCCGGGAGCAAAGTACTCAGAGGAGTACCAGGGCTGGCTCATCCCGCATAGTGTCAGGGTACACAATCTTCCCAAGCTCAGCATTTCCGTTGGGCGAAAGCAGTTTTTTCTCTCCAGGGACGACCTGCGCTTTGCGCCGGCGGAGGACAACTACTGGTACGGCGGTGTGCAGTCCCGCGGGGAAAACCCCTTTGACATTCTCGGTGGCACATTTCTCAAGTCGATTTATGCGGTAAGATTGCACAAATGGCAACCCTATCCAGTCCCATACCCAAGTTAAATTAGCTAATGAACTCTGAAAATGTAGATTTGGGACCAAGGCAATACTCGCTTCGGTGCCGTTCCGAAGATTCAGGAAACGGAGATCAAGCAGGACCCAGAGTATGACCTCCGCCCCCTGACGGAAGAGGACCGCGGGGAGATGGGCATCGCGAAGAGCTATGGGGATATCTCTTCGCACTACTTTGAGCCCGTTCACAAACCGAAGGAGGAGTGATTGCACGATGGGGAGGCTATCTGTGACTTCTTCCTTATTTTTGTTTGTTATGCCGAACGGGGAACAACAGTCTCTGGTGAGATGAGATACGAATATTGGTATTCATTTCCTCCGTGTATTAGGTTTTCTTGTTCACTATGCGCAGCTTCACTTAAGTTACTCCTAAACAGCTAATCAAAATACTACCCCAAACCTCCCGCAGGTGAAGGTAGCTGATATTTTCTCTCTTCTAGCAAGAACCAGGACTTCTTGTGTTAGGTCAGCAGATCCCGGCGTTGCGTTACGGCAACCCTTTCAGAATCCTAGAATAATATAGCACCGTAGGAAGGGGGAAGATTGTCATTTTTGAGCCCGCATCACCTGAAATGCATAACAAAAGCTGAGCAGGTGCGATGTTCAAAGACTAGGACGATATCTGCCTATCTCTCCCTTTTAACGGGGTTTCGGCATTTCAAGTGTATCAGGATCTGGTGCCCCGGATCACCTAACCACCCTGCGGTTGATAACACCTGGCGAACTCAAGCTGTATGGATGGGGGCTGAAAAGAGGTGGGGGTGACGGATGGGAAGGCTTTTATGGTTGGGGTTAACCTAAGGAGGACAATATCTTCGAAGGTAAGGTAAGAGGGTGTGCTCTCAGCCTATGGATGTACCCCGGAGTAGCTTAACCGGCGTCAATCAGCCATTGCGGTGTGGGTTACGGAGAGGGCTGAGTGAGTTCGGCAAGGAGCGTGAAAGGGTGGATGTGGCGGGAGCGCCGGAGTAGCGCCGCATAACGATTGAGAGAATATTATCAACATTATGTTAGTCGCTGGTGGGGGGAAGGCTGTGTTCGTTTCCTTGAGCTATCTTCCATACGTATGTACATACCTCTTGAAAGATGTAAAGTCGTTGTAACAGTAAAATGCCGTTGAGTGCCTCCATGCCTCTACCTGGGAAGACCTCTCTACAGGTTAACTTCCTGTTATATCTGACAAGCACTCCAGGCATGAACCGGCAGACCCGACGCGCGACTAACTGAGTGGCAGGCAGGTTCTCTACTTGGATGTCAACAGGGGTGAAACGAGGGGACGTCGAACACGGAATACCCATAAAAAAGCCACGCCAGACAGAGGTCGAGGAAACGTAACCCCACGGGTCTGGAAGCCGCTTCTGAGACCGCCGTGGTTGGTCGGTGGGAGTGCCGTCTCTTTCCAAGCAAAGGCATTGTGCAGCCTCGATTTGGGGTTGGCAAATCGTCGGCCAGCCATCCTTGTGTTGCGGGTTGAAGGCGCGTCACGACATGTGTTCGTCACGTCCTTTGTCGGAAAAGAGTCAAACATAAATAAGTGCTAATGTGTCTCTCAGACTCAATGCTGTGATGCACACCATTGCATGGGCAAGGCGACGGCGGTTGGCTTCGGTCCTTTCGATGCATGACCTCAACAACACGTCTTCTGAATAGCTAATCCTGGATCGTCTGATAACATCGAGAACGTGCATCGCAAAACATCTGGGTTAAACCCGGTGGCCTGTCGGTCTGCAAGCTCCAGAGCTCTGGGGTATCACAACTAGGTAGCCTGAGGTTCCTTGAGTCTTGGAGGCAAGGAATTTGGCGTGTGGTCGATAGCTGTTTGCTGCACTTTTCTGGGTGGAGGTCTGGCGCCCGCTTAGCAATTGAGTGGGCGGTATTGCTTCGGCTTGCTACACCATATGTACTGAGCTGGTAGGCAACCGTCGCCTCTGTACATCAACGCGCGCCCGCACCTCTCGTCGACAACTGCGTGGCCAAGCTCAACCTGGACGCTGGCGGCCTCAGCCGAATGAGCTGATAAGCTGGTTGCGGTCGTACATTGCAAAAGATCCGGCGAAAGATCACTGCCGGTGTACCGTACATGAGGGCAGGCCGCTGCATCGGCTTCGCAGGGGGCTCCTGGGGCGAAAATGTTGTTCACGACGAGGGATGGCAAAAAATCGAAGCTTACTGAGTGTTAATAGCAGGGAACTCGAAAGGAGGAATTGGGGAGTCCCTGCTCTCTTGCTCTCAGCAGATTGATGGGGAAGGGATGGGGAAGATTATCCTTGTCCTCGCGCTAGCTTGAAGCGGCCAGGCACGGATTCTTCGAGCATTGTGCTTGGCCCACTCAGCCTGGAAGTGCCACCCACCCACCACTCCAGGCTGTACTCTGAGTGAATCCAGGCTCAATTCAACGCCATCCTGCGAGGAGTCCTAAAAAAAAAAGACAACCCAACACCATCTCTTCCGAGCGCAGCCTTGTTAACCCAAGACCTCCCCCGAACCACGGCATCTCCGTTCACGCCTTTTCCTGCCCCCCTTTTTGGTAGTGGCTCTTTTTTCTTTCCAGCATTAGAGCATCCATTTGGTCTCGACCCCCTCCGTTGCGCCCTTTGAAGCGCTCTCGCTCCTGCTCCTGGGTGCGCTGGAGGAGCATTCACCACGGTCGCTCGATCGCTGACCTGGTCCGCCCTGCTTGGACCTGGCTCGACCTAGGCTTGCTTAGCTAGTTATCTATCCCCGATCGGATCTCCGCATTTTGGTTCTTCGCTCTAGTTGGGTTTTGCCTTCCTTCACCGGCCTGCGCTTTGCTGGGTTTGCTATTCCTTCGACCTGCTGCTGCTTGATGCCCACCTGGGTTTGAACGTCCCACGAAACCCGACGGCACTGCTTTTCTAACCTCCACTTAATACCGACTGCTTCTGCAACAGCAAGGCATTCTCAGCTGTGCAGTTGCCGCCACCTTTCTCTTCCGGCCGGAGATAAGGCATACGGACGACGAGCCCGAGTCCTTCCAGCCACAGCGCGTGATCGAGCGCTTTCGACGTCATTACATCTCCCCGCATCGCTGCGACTAAACGTCCATTTAAACCCCCACCCGTTATCCCAGACCTTCGATCTTATTTCCCGTCCTCTCACATAATGGCAGCACCTGGTACAAGACGGAGGAAGCTTATCGGGCAACGCCGCCGCCTCGAGGACGAGGGTGAGGATGATGGCGGTCCAGACGCCCTGGCTGATCTCGACGACGATTCGGTAACAGATGGCTCAATCGTTAGCGACGAGCACGACCCCGCCGATGATAGCGACACGAGTAACATTGACGATGCCTCGCCAACCTCACCGAACCTCAAGAAACCCCTTTCTAACGGCAAGCCGAAGCCGGGGTTCCGCCGCCGGACGGGTTCTGAGCCGCTCAGGAGTCCAGCCGCAAAGCCGGTCCAGCCTACAATTGCGGATGCCGAGTCTACGCTGAGCCGGCTGTCGTTGGCCGACAAAGATACTGCGGTGCTGGATGTTATTCAGTTCGATGACGTCCAACAGGCACCATCTGCGAAGAGCGCCGCCCCATTGATCGTGAGCTCGAGTTCTGCCACCCAACAACAGCCACGGTTGCCTCAGCAGGAGATCAAACGGCGGGAACACGAGGAATACAAGCGGAAGAGGGACCAAGATCCAACTTTTGTCCCTAACAGGGGCGCCTTTTTCCTGCATGATCACCGGCATGCGGGCCCGGCTGCGAACGGTTTTCGTCCTTTCCCAAGGGGGGCCCGCGGCCGAGGGCGGGGGGCGTTCGGTAGCCATTTTGCTCCGATCAGGTACGTCGAGGCTACCTTTTCCTCTCTTCCTAGATGATCATAGTAGGCCCTCACTTTCTTTAGCTTTAGTGCTGACATTCCCTCTAGCCAGGTACACAATGCCCCGGACCCCGTCGTGAATGGTCTGTGGAAGCATGACATGCACGAGGCTGTCGCCGCCCCTCAAACACCCCGACAAACTCGCTATCTTCCTCACCATGAGGGTCCCCCGAATGGAAACGGTGTTATTTCGACTGCGCCCACCAGCAAGCTTCCGATTAATAGAGCCATGTCGACTGAGAGGCACATCGGAAACACCACCATTCGAGTGTCGATGCCTGCACTCGGCGCACCTAAATCATTTCCCGGCTTTGCGCTAAAACAATACACCAAGCTGCCTGACCACCGCCCCCCTCTCCGTCGCGACAAGCCTGTTCGGATTTCTATCCCTTACCATGACGCGCCAGTCATGCCGCGATATATCTTCCCCGCGAGCGACCGTTCCTTCATCTTCATTCCAAGGGCTATGCGACCCAATCAACAACGGGCGCGCGGCAAAGGCCCGCGGTCCGTGTTGGGGTCCGGTGTTTTCTCACGCTCCACAAGCGTATGGGGCGGTAGCGCCTACGGAAGCGTGTACTCACCAAGCGTTGCTCTAAGTCGCAGGTCCTCCATTGCTCCCGATCTAGGCCGAGAGTTCATGTTGTCCCCTACAGGCTCTGCTATTTCGCGACCCCCTCTTCCCACAGACCCAGCCCGGCCCATCGTCCGTCTACCCCCCATGGCCCAACCATCCATGACAGGCATGTCCATGCCGCCAAAGTCGGGTGTCTATCAGGCGGCATCGGAGGCTTCCATCAACGAACTACCACAACCCCAGACACACCCGCTTCCTCAGAAACCGACTTTTCAGGAGACTCGATCCAACACCATTCCCATGCACCAACCCCGGCCGCAGAAAGCCGTCTCGGTTGAGACTATCGAGCCGCCGATCCAGCAAGCATCCCACGCGCCCGGGCCCTACCAGCAGGCCTTCCACCAGCAAGTCCCGCCACAGTTACCTATTGGGCCTTCTGCACACGACTCTCACGCCCGCCACCCGTCATATCACTCTCAGTTTTCGTCTTCCACGCCCCTGTCTCAAATTCCCGAACGCGCGGTTCACGCAGCCCCGTTCCAGCCCAACACCTACGCACAGCCCACCTACTATAACCAGCCATACGCACCGGCGCAGCCACAGCAAGGTTATTACGCCCAAACGTATAATCCCTCGATGGGACCCAACGCCAACGCCCCAGCTTTTATCCCAGCAGCGCAACAACAAGCCCCACCGATCCCCTACCCGCAGCCCGCCCAGAATGAGGTACCCGGCCCCCCATACACGGTGCAAGGTGCGGCCCAACAACAAAACATGGTTGATACTCGCGAATCACAGGGCACGGTCTACTACGACTATTACCAACAAGCCCCACCACCGATGCCGGGCTTCCCGCCGGCCTATTCCGGACCCCACTCATATGTTACAGGATCTGGTATGGGGGGTATGCCGGGCATGGGTGGTGCACCGATGGTGGCTCCAAGCCCGGATACGTTTTATTATCAGCAGCCAGTGGCTTATTATCACCCGCAATAGGGGAGAGGAGCCCCGTTCAGAGGTTCCTCGAGACGCGGATGAAATCAGCTTGAATGTACACCAAAATCCCAAAAACAAGGAGAGAGTTGTAGACGGGCGATTCCTGGATGCGGCAGGTACCTTTCTTTCATTGGATGGTTTTGGAAAGAGAAGGACTTGGACCTAACCGCATGGAGTGCGTGGGATCGGTAAACCGGAGCCAGAGAAGGGCGAAAGGACTCGGGAGTGAGGTGACGATGGATGACCAAGTACCTATGGACCCTTTTGGGACACGAGCGACAGCCAGAAATAACGTTTATTACCACCACCCTTACCCAGCGTTTTCCTTCCTCGCGTTCATCATCACCACTATCACTGTTGTTTTTGCAAGCTCTTATACGCCATGCCAATGTTTCATCCTAGCTCCCATTGGGGCATGTCATGGGAAAACCCAACAAACTACTGCTTCCCTTTGTGAAGCATCTCCCGATCTTGAAAAAACAGCTTGCACCCTCGATGCCGCCACCCTCCGGGCTTCTCATTTTGGAGAGAAGCTGATGTGATACCTCTCTCTCTCTCCCAAAAAAGAGGCACGAAAGAAAAAGGGGGAAGCAAGGAGAGTGCGAATTGGGGGATATATGGAAAGAAAAGAATCATTGAAGCAGAGCCCCCGTGAACTACTTTCGGTAGTTGTTGAGCAGGGGTTGATGGGGTCAAGAAGGGGCTTAAAGGGGGAGAGGCCGGGGCTTGGACGGAGAAGGGGAGGCGAGGGGGAAGTATGAATGGTTTTCAGCGATGTTTGGATTTATCCCACTTTGGTCATTGCAAGGAATCTTGGTTATGTTTGTTAGCGGACTTGTAGGCAAGAGTCATAGCGATGGATTGGTTTATGAAAAACTTCCCTGTTACATCCAGTCTACCGTGCCACCGAGACGAAGGCTGCTTATGCCCTCCACACTGCTGTTGCAATCCACCCGCTTGTCTTTTTTCTTGGATCTGGATGGGAAGACGGATGTAGTTATTGTTCTCGGAAACGATCACATAGGTAGCGGAGGTGGTGATTTCTTAGATGGATGATAAGTACTCGGCACTCTCTCTAGGCGCATTTTGAAACCGCGATGTCTGGGTTCACGTATCTCTTTATTTCGAATGCTGGACACTTTATGGCTATTAGCATCATCACACACGCTCTCTCTCACTGTTTGTACCGGACTTACACCCTAGATTTTACTTGGCCGAAAATAAGAAATGGAGAAATACTATTTGTTGGCAGTTGCCTTGATGCCCAAAAGAATTGAGTGACATCTCACAACTCGATGCTTTAATGTAGTGTAGAACAGGAAGTGTGACTTAGGGGTAAAGTGAGACAATGAAAGCCATCTCTCTTTCAATGAAGGTGTCTCGAAAGTGTCTCTTTCATCAAAAAGCGGACTTTCCTAACTTAGCCATTGCGGCACCGTTCCTCCAGATGACACAGTAAATTACACCGTCCGCTGTGGTTACTCCACATTTGGCCTCCCAATTCAGGGGCTTCAACCGCTTACTACTTTCCATACGTATTCGGTGATAATTTCCCTGACCACTACAAAGCGCTGACGTTCTCAATTGTTTTTTTCCTTATCGCGGGCCGCAATTTGTTTGTATTCGCTTGTTCAAAATGGCTTCACCAACCATAACCGATGGCAACGTCACTGTGCCTAAAACCCCGGGCATTACCGTCTTCTCAGGAGGTATGTATGCTGGCACATGGGCCCCTTTCTAGACCTGCAGCAGGCCACAATATACCATGATTAGATGCACTGACATATTGCACCTCCTCACTCGCTCTTTTTCTGTCTAGGCACCGCAGCCAACAGCCTAGTGGACGTGTTCAATCGCATTGTCGAGAAGCGGCGATGTCAGTTACATTATGTCATTCCGATCAGCGACAACGGCGGTAGCTCGTCTGAGTTGATCAGATTTGTTGGTGGGCCGAGTGAGTGCAACTGGGGATGAATTGGGAGAGGACCGATGAATCAAGGGATGAGGGACGAGGATTGAGTATGGTGGTTGAAGAAGATGGGGTTGGCTGACAAGCATTGGTTTATCATCGTCATATCTCAGGCGTGGGTGATATTCGAAGTGAGTGACCTTCAAGCCCGGCAATAACCAACAGTGGTGGTGGACTTGCTTGCCCAAAGGGAGTAATAGTCGCGGGAACCTAACTCTTACGATGTAGGTCGGCTTGTCCGGTTGATTCCCAATCATGAAGGCGACAAAGAAATGTCGGCGGTAAAGCTCCTGTTTGAGCATCGACTAGATGAGGAGCCGACAAGGGCACGATCGGAATGGCTTGACATCGTCGAATCTCGGTCTCTCCTATGGGGATTCATCTCCAGTCCTAAACGAGAGCTCATCCGGTCAGTGTTGAATACACTGAATGTCGAGATCGTCAAGCGGGCGCGGCCGCCAAATGTCTTCAACTTCGCCAGCGCTAGCGTGGGAAATATGTTCCTGGTGGGGTAGGTCACCTCGCCCATGTCCCCCTTTACACACATCTGATAACGTACCAAACTGACTTACCTGCGTCCAGCGCCCGTATCTTCACAGGCTCCTTCGAGTCCGCAATCTACCTGCTTTCCATGATCTGTTCCATCCCACCCTGGGTCTCCGTCCTGCCCGCTGTCAACTCCAACTTCACGCATCACATATCAGCGGGCCTGCGCGATGGCAGCACCATCGCAGGACAAGTTGCCATCAGTCACCCCTCGGCGCCAACAGCCCTGCCCGACGACACAGCTGAGGCACCGGCTCTGACCGCGGCGGATCATGATCGCATCGAGGACGCAAACTTGCCAGGTTCGCTCCCGGCGCTGCGGCGCCCAAACTTGGCCTTCTCTAAGGAGGACGAGGAAGATCTTCCCGCGCGCATCGAACGGCTGTGGTACATCAACCCATACGGCCACGAGATTGCGCCCACGGTTAACCCCCAGGTGGTCGAGGCGCTTGCGGCTTCTGATACCGTCATTTACAGCATCGGCTCTCTTTACACAAGTATTGTGCCTAGCCTAGTCTTGCGCCGCGTCGGCCAGGCTATCGGTGCAAGCGGCAGTGAGGCCCAAAGTGGTGTTGATGGCGGTATCAAGAGGAAAGTGCTTATCCTGAATAGCAAGCTCGACCGCGAAACGGGTCCACAAGACGACCCCATGACAGCACGCGACTTTGTGGCTGCCATCGCCCGGGCATGCGTGGAAAGCTGGAACCCGGAGCTGGTGGGTGAGAGGGATGAGGTCGTGTTGAGGCAGTATGTGACACATTTGATATATCTCGACGACATGGGGCAGGGTGGGGGGCCCAAGGTGGATCGCGAGGAGCTTGCCGGTCTCGGAATTGTTTGCATCAAGGTTTCTGGGAAGCTGGCGGTTGCCAGTGGCGGCGGGGCCAAGAGAATAGATGCCCGGTATGACGAAGAGGCGCTCCGGGAGGCGCTGGAATCGATCATCGGGTCTTGATTATTTTTTGAAACGCTCATTGAGGCTTAGGGGGGTTTGTTGACGTGGTGCCAGCATGCCTGAGCCCATTTCTGGAACATTCCGGGGAAAACCCCCGGTTGGTGGGTGCTCTGGTGATGTCAGCATGTTGTGTAGTGTAGGGGAAGGTGAAAATCTCCGGTGGTCGATTAATAAATATATACCCCATACTCGGTAACATCAAAACTCGACGCGACGGACGTGCGTTTAGGTCTTCGGTCCTCGTGCCTCAATTAAATGTCCCGAAGCTATGCCTTTCCTCGATTGCTAGTCGGAAAGACCACCCTTGATGGGGGGTAAAGCAATTAAGCTCGCAGCGGCTCTACGTCAAGCCGGCATCTCGAGTGTTCTCCCGTTTCCTCCAGTAAACGTGAAAGGCGAGCGGTCACCGAGATTACAGTGGAGGTAAAAGCCCCCTTGGCTGACGCGGATGGAGAGCACAGCAGGACGCCGCGGCGCCATCGACGGGGCATGTTGGGCGACGGAGGCTGGAACCGGCTTGCGTACTGCGTATCGGTATGTCCCACATCTGGCTGCCCTGTCAGCTGCTTCTATCCCCGTCGTGTCAGGCTCGGCGGTCGGATCGGGATGGCCACGGACGGTAGGGGCGCGGGACGTAACGATGCTCGTTCAATTTTCGCTCTCCCGCTTTTCCCGACATCAGTGGCACGGCGGCCGATTGGCTAGGGTAAGGTTTTGGACGACATTTGGTTGTATGGAAGTGAGTCGGTCATTTTAGATCAATCAATCTATCTCTGCTGCACGAGATGGGCGATACCGGCGCGATGCTGCTGACGGAAGGGTGATATCTACTTTCCCTTGATAGTATTCGCAATAGGGTAGCAAGGCCTTCGACCTCTGATGTTGTCACAGGTAACCCGACAAATCCCGACAAGCGAGATCTGAATCCGGCCGGTGGCCAGCGTGCGAGCTCCATTTCGGTCCCGTTTAGTTCGTGGGTTCCTTTGCGAGGCGACGAAAAGCATCCTGCGGTACCTGGTGGTTCTACCGTGCACCTCGTGCCGGAAGTCTCCAAAGTCGAAGGCTACATGTAGGTCGTCGGGCTAGCGTCAAGATTGAGGCACCTTCGGATGCGATGAAAACGACCGAGAAAGGATAGGTCTCGAGTCAAACTTCCGCCCTAGAAGAAAGGACGCAAACGCCCCAACCTTTGATACATTTGTCCACTTGTGACGGTAACCTCGCTCTCTCGGAATTATATTCCGCTGCTCTCAGCTGAGCTCCTCTTCGTCCAGAGCCTGCTTGGTTTGGGACGGGGTCGCTCAGTGGGGTGGCCGCCTCGGCCGGTCACCGAACCCCAATCACTTTTGGCGATTTTCCAGATTAGGACAAAGGCCACGCCGATGCAACGCCAGCCTCGGCCCCAAGTCTCGTCGTCAACATTGCGGCACCGAAACAGCGACGTAATCCCGGCGTCCTTCCCCTCATCCCCGAGGATGGGGTTGCTGATCAATGCAACCTGGAAGCGCGGGTGCTGGGCCAGTGGGGCAGAGGACCTCCACTGGCGGGCCGGAGAAGCTTGCCGCGGGGCTCGGCCGTTGGGCGTCTTCTTGCTGCCCCCGCCTAGAAGAAATGGCCCCACGTGAACGTCCAGGTGCGATGTCCACCACGGGTGCTAACAGCGGCATGGTACTTCGTACTTGTCGCACACCCCTCCTCCCTACTCTCGAGTTGAGATGGAAGATGCCGTGGATGCGTAGGCTTTTTCGAGGCATGATGTTTCCTCCAACTGTCTCGACGGAGGAACAACACGCTCAAATTCGAGCTAACGTTCCGGTGGCGCTGAAAAGTTGAGAAAGTGGGCATCCTCGGAGGTCGGGAGCCCGGCTGGCCCGGGTCGTTGAGCAGGAGACCGGGCGATGGGGCAATGTTCAGCGATCAGGCAACTCCTGGCTTGCCTGGCAGGCGAAAAGCATCCGTGAGAAGTGTGGGTTCACCCGCCGCTTTGGGCCTGTTGATGTTGGTTTGTTTATTGACCTCTGGAGAAGAACCTGGAATGGAATGGCGAGAAGAGCCCGGCATGAGACCCCCTTGAACCCCTCATGCACATCAAAGGTGCTATGGGTCACCGTTGGTTGGCCGTCAGTCCATGCCCAGTTTGCTCGGGCGTGTGAGGCAGTCTTGCAGTTCAGAAAAGTGACATTCGCACTGTTAGTGCCGCGGTGGCTCCATTGGACGCCCGATAGTTACAGGCGCCCAGGACCTAACAAGCCGGCCTTTGCACACTTGCCCGACGCCACAAAGGAAGCACCGACCACCTCAGCCCTGAGCGCGCGGTTCCCGTCCTGCTCGGTCTCCCACTCACCGCCAGCCTTTTCCTGGTCTCCCTCGCCCTCTGGCCCGTTTGCCCCCGAACCCATGAGCCCATTCGCCTGATTGTGGTCCATTGGATTGCCAGGCGCCCTGTGATGACGGATCCTGTTCCACCACCTTTCCCTGACCATCTGTGCTTTGGCCCTTAGGTGGTGCTCGTCACCCGCCCCTGTTCCCGAGCGTACTTGCCTCAGGCCGCTACGTCGTTTGTTGTCACCGCTTCGGCTTCCGCCCTCCCAGGCTCCCGATCCAACACAGCAAAGCAAAGAAGGCTTCGACCACCTTCTTGTTTTCTGTCTCCCCATCCCCATTTTTTCAAAACCCGTCGTCTTTTATCTTTCATCACCCCTTATTCACCTCCATTTCATTTGCGCAGACAGCGCCTCCGATTACTCAACCCCCCCGAGAATCCAACCCCCCCCGACATACACACATAGGTGGTGTAGTCGTGAGATCGCCACCGCCCCCGCTCGTGCAAAGCATCCAGCCTGCCAGTGTTGCTTTGCAGCTCGCTGGGAGACCGGCAAAACGCCAACAGCGCCTGCGAGACCAGAAGTAGCAGAAGCGGCGGCGACATATTTGAGTGAGTCCAGCCCTTCTTTGTATTCTCCGTCCCCTCGCCCCCAGCCTCTCCCCTTGCAGGAAACGCCAACCAGCGGCTGCCTATGCCACGCGTCGGTCTCCGCATTGCCGTCGTCATCACCCAACGTTGCCGCCCGGCCAGACAGCACAACATCTTATCTTCTCGACCCCTCCCACCCTGTTTCCATCCTCATTGTAGCCATACCATCGCTGACCGGTCCACAGTCGACCGTCAAGGCTATTATGGCGTCTGCTACCCAACCCGTCCCTGAGACGCCCGTTACCATCAAGGTGAATATCGATGGCGTAGCCCGTCGCTTCAAGTTGTCGCTTCGTGATGTCGGCGTCAATGTCCTCGAATCTAAGGTGAGTTTCACTCGGTATTCCAACACTGTGCGACTGGTGTATCTCCCGGACGCACAGCCGAGAAGACAGCTACTGACGCCGTTTCATAGCTACGAAACGCCCTGGACATTCCTGCCGATGCCGACGCTCTTTTTGAGCGCTATTCCGACTCCGCTGCCACATATGTTGTCCTGGATCAAGCCAACATCGCCGTCTACAAGCAACTGTACCGCGCCGCTAAGGCAAAGCACAAGCTCAAGCTTCGCGTGACCGTCAAGAAGGAGGGTACCGATAACAACGGGGTTCCTGAAGAAGACACCACGGCGGCAGTTCAGGATGAGTCACTACTGGAGCCGAAGGAGGCCTTCGAGGAACCCATCGAAGATAAAACAAACTCGATCATCGAGCCTACCGATACCGAACGCGAGCCCGATTCTGAGAAGGCGGCCGACACGTCCGATGACTCTGAGCAGCTGATAAAGCCCATGCTTGAGGCTATGACGGAAAAGCTCGGCGCCCTTTCTGTTGATGTGCCGGAGGCCGAAACCTCGGCCACGACGCAAACGTGTGCTGTGAACTGCCCCGCGATTCACGCCAACTATGCCGTTTGCTGCAACAGCTGCGACAGCACGATCCCGGACGCACATTACCATTGCTCCACCTGTGATGATGGCGACTACGACCTCTGCGAGAACTGCGTTGAGCGGGGCGTCACTTGCAACGGGACCAACCACTGGTTGATCAAGCGCTTCGTGAAGCAGGGCGTTATCATTAACAGCACTACCGAGCGCCTTCCTCCCAAGCCCAAGGGCAAACCCCTGCCAAAGCAGGCACCAGCCACTCCGGCGCCGGTTGCTCCCGAGAGAATCATTCCCGTCTTCAATGACAACCTGGACGGAAGCATGCGCACCTGCAACTGCTGTGTACGAGAACTCCCCGAGGCCGAGTTTGTCCATTGCACTTCCTGCGACGACTTCGACCTTTGCCGTAACTGTGTGTCTAAGAACCGCCACGGCCACCATCCCAAACATTCGTTCGTCGTAGCTGTCAAGGGAACCAAGCTCGACGCCGAGGTTCTGGGCCGCATTGGGGCTGGCCGTGGCCAATTCCACAGTGCCGTCTGCGATGGTTGCGACAAGGGGATCCGGGGCGTGCGCCACAAGTGCTTGGACTGTCCCGACTGGGACTACTGCTCTGGCTGTGTGGTCAACGCTGGCTTTATCCACCCCGGCCATCGTTTCGTGCCCGTCTACGAGCCTCTCGAATACGACGGTGGTGTGCGTGTTCGCACTATGAACCGCCCCGTCCACATGGGCATCTGCTGCGACGGTCCGCTGTGCTCCGCGTCCCGCGCCAATTCAAGCTACATCGTGGGCGACCGTTACAAGTGTGCCGTGTGCCACGACACGGATTTCTGCGCCTCTTGTGAGGCCAGCCCTTCGAACTCGCACAACCGCACTCACCCCCTTATCAAGTTCAAATCCCCCGTGCGCCACGTCAGCGTCACTACCACGGGTGAGAACGTCAACGGCCGCCAGATGCCCGCTATGGGCGATCGCCCCCGCTCCCGCCCTTCCATGACTGAAACTCAGGCACGCGAGACAAGCCCCGCGTCCTCGCTTCGCACCGGGATTCAGACCGTTGTCGACGTGAAGCCCTCGTTGCCACGAGTCAAGGTTGAGCAGCCGGAGAAGCCGAGCGAGAAGAAGCCCGAGCAGAAGTCGGCTCTTGTGGACAACTTGAAAGCTGATTTCCTCGAGGACACCGTCAAGGATGGCACCGTCTTTGGCCCCGACCACGTCTTTGAACAGACCTGGATCCTTCGCAACACCGGCGACGTTGCGTGGCCATCCGGATGCTCCGTCAAGTTTGTCGGGGGTGACTACATGGGCCACCTTGACTCCAACCACCCCGCTGCCACCAAAGACGTGGAATTCTCGTGTGAATCCACGATCTGCTATGCCTCCATCCAGCCCGGAGAGGAGTTCCCGTTCAGCGTCCTCCTCAGGACTCCCGCACGGAGCGGTAGGATTGTGTCGTACTGGCGCCTGACCTCCAAGGATGGCCAGAAATTTGGACATCGCCTGTGGTGTGACGTTGTTGTCAAACCTAAAGTGGTACTACCCCCCGTCCAAGCTACCGAACCCGTCGCACAGGAGAAGGAAATGGAGGTGCCGCCTGCACCCGAGTCGGAAGACAAGTTGGAGCACAGCCAAATGATCTTCCCGAAGCTTGAGAAGGAGTCCCCCGTGGCCAGTGTTCACGAAGAGGCCAACACTGAGTCTAATGTCACTGGGGAGGATGAGTACGAGGATTGCGAAGATGCTGAGTGGGCCGAGGACGCTTCTAGCCCGACCTTCCTGACCGACGACGAGTACGACATTCTGGATGCCTCGGATGAGGAGTCCAACCACGGCGGCCGTGCGCACTAGGACTGAACCAAGGCTACTATTTCGGAGGATTGGGACGTTACGGATATTCTGGACTTTGCGGTCATTTTGTTATGTTTGCAATTTTGAGGAAACGGTCATGGATTGCTTTGCTTTTTATTTTCTTTAGTCGGCGTCTCCGTCGGAAATTTTCCTATCTTTCCCCTCCCCATCTTGTCTCGTTTTCTTTCCACACAGAAGCAGCACGTAGTACCTGGAAGTACTAAGTACCAAGCCTCGGGGCGGTCAACTGGACACGCACCAGATTCAGTCTACCCTTCACGACGTGGGCCTGCTCTCATCCCGGCGGTTTGTTCAACCAGAAGCCATCGCCCTCGACTGGTCCGGTACAGACCAAACACACCGTTCTGGCGGGCGACAATACGAGGCGGTCTTAACCTGGTTGACAACCGTCGACAGTGCGCCCCGGCAATTAGTTCCTTGTTCCTTGTTACTTTGCTTGACTTTGGATGTGTCTGCTCCAGGGATGTTTTGCTCAGATTGATGTGTGCTCTTGTCACCACCTTTGTTATGTCTTAGCTTAGGACGGACGGTTTAGGGAAATTCGAAATAAGGATTCTTTGATACAGTATCACTGTGACGTGATGTCTAATGCGCCATCAATGTGAGGCATGAAATGTAAATAACCTGATGCTCTTCCGCCGCAGTGATTCATGATCACCTCCCCGCAAGAGAGGAAACGTTCGATTAAGCCTCACATACAGTACAGAGCTTCACACCTAGCACTTCACAATGCTTGCTGTCCGCCGCGTCCCACCCCCATCCTGCCTAACCCTTTCGCCTCGGGTTCTTTAGCCTCCTGCAGGGCCGCCAAACCTACCAGTGGCTTGGCTCGCTAGCCACAGCTCTCTATCATATTACTCTCTGCCACGCTTAATCGAAAGTAACCTTCTTTCCCTGTGGTGCAACCGCCGCACCAGTCAACCGCGCGACACTGATATCTGTCTGAGTATGGCCGATAGGTTTTGGTTCCTTCCTCCCACTACGCTCCCCAACTTGTCCCCTCTCTCGGGCCGGTCGTTGCCCCTGCCAACCACCCGGCCTTGAACCGTCTTGTTGATTCTGTTCTTGCTGCTGTCGCCTGGAAGCGGCGCCTTTACCGAAGCGTTTGTGGTAGCGGGTCTGGTCGTCTTCGGCAAGCTCGATTTTAAGGTTGCGGCCGAGAAGCTGGTTAACCCACCATTTACGGGTGCGTGTTCGTGCAGGTTCTCGAGTGGCAACGGGGGTGGGTTTCGTTTTAGATCCGGAGTTGGTCTTTTCGGGTTTGGCTTCGTCGTCGGAGTCGCTTGAATCCGAGTCGGATCCACTGGAACCGTCTGCTTCCGCTTTCACTTTCGGTTCGGGTTCTCCGTCGTTGTCGGCTGTGTTTGATACCTTCTCATCTTCGTCCATGAAATCCTCGAGCGTCTCGACGGTTTCTCGCACCTTGACAAAACCCTTGACCGCCCAAGCCGCGGCCTCTGGATCCTCAAAGTTGACCCATCCATACCCCTTGCACTTGCCCGAGTCCTCGAAGGTGGCCACCTTGATCCAGCGAATCTTGCCGCACTTTTCGAAATGCGCGTGCAAGTCGTCCTTAGTCGTGTTGAACGACATGTTGCCCACAAAGATCTTGGTGCTACCACCAGCACCGTGCGCCGCGCTCGTCTTGCCGTCCGCCGGGAGCCCGTTTGCATTGGCGTTACCGTTGGTCCCGTCTGCGGAGACAGGCGCCGGCTCCTTCTTCGGACGCCCCTCGAAACTCTTGCTATCCTTGATCAGTAATTTCCGGCCGTGCCATTCGGTCTCAGAGAGAGCAATTGCTGCGACATTGGCGTCGAAGGTGGCGAAATCGACGTAGGCGAAACCGCGGTTCTCCGAAGGCGTCTTGGGGCCCGGACCTCTAGTGGACTTGCTGGTAGGCATGTGTACACGGGTAATGGCGTCGCCGGGAATGCTTCCGCCTGAGTTGTCTACAAGCCATTGTCGTAGCTCGGGCTTTGTAACGGAGAAGCGCAGGTTGCCAATCCACACTCCATGCGGCGAGCGTTCCTTCTTTTTCTTGTTCCCATCCGGTGCACCGTCGGCCGCGTCAGATTCGCCTTCGTGTCCTTCGTCCTCGTCGTCGCTCTTTGGCTTTGTAGGGAGGGCCTTGCCCTTCTTGAGCGCACGGCGGGCTTTCTTCGAGGGAGGCTCCGGAAGATTAAGGTCGACTTCGATTTCGTCCAGGGCTGGTTTGCGCTTTTTGGAGGCCGGATCGGCCTGCTGGGCGTCGGGGGCAGATTTTTGGGGTTCTTCGATAGCCATTGTGCTTCTGTTAAGACCAATGTGGTTGGTCTATTACGGTAAGGTATTGAATCCGAGGTTGCTCTCGCTGAAAAATCGGTCGACTCTCGTTTTCTTGCCCAGCGCTTCGCTAAAAATTCCCCGGGCGATAAGCGATAACGTACCTAGCGAAGTTCGTCACGCGGGTTTCGGCCCCTGGCTTCCATTTTTAGGGGGTGGGTGCGGGGCAGCCAAAGAACAGGGAGTGGGGCCGCCGGGAGGTCGATAGTCAACACGAAATGGGGGCGCCTCGAAGAAACAAAAGGGGACGGTAGAGAAGGAAAAAAATAGAACCAACCCCCGAAAATTTATGGCGTGGAGGGGGGAAAATAAGGATTGTCAAGTTCCTTCTGTGAACAACCACTTTTGAAAATAGGACTGAAAGTGCCTAACCTCCATGGCGGTACCGTTCAGTCGCCACTTGCTGGGCGTTGCAAGAGGGGAGCAGGTCTGGGTGTACATATGCATAGGTGTCTAAGGCTGTGGCAGGAATACTATCTGGGGTTTCCGGGTAGTTCATAAGCCGCAATTCGACAAGTCTTTTGACTTCACTTCCTCCCATCCTATAAACCCCGGCGGGGCATACTTCTGTAAGCCCATCTGTGAGCAGCTATCGAGATGGCCGGCAGCCCTGCATCACGGAGTGGATACGGCTTAGGTATCTGCCGCTTTGTACCTTAAATTACTGTATGATATTAAAAGGAATCTGTTCTCAGTCGCAAGCTTACCGTGCGCAATCGTAGAACTTTTGCTTCTTCCCCGTTGTCACAGACCTGCGGCTACTTAGTGCCGTGTGTCTACGGGTTGGTGGAAGGAGTGGGAAAAGACTGAGCAGAGGCACTGCTGCATCTCGGAACACTTTATGCGGTATGAAGGCACTTGAATGAGACCAAAAATGAGGGAGTTGAACTCCCATTGCTTCCAGGTAGAAAGTCACAGGACTGGACCTGGATGATGGAGGTGACGAAGCCGTGAGCACGCGCCCCACTTCCCATTTACAGTTAGGGCGGTCAGGCGGCACCACCTCCTAGTCCTGACTCCATGTGGGGGCCTGATCGCCTGGGAGCCTGAGGGCAGCGGGCTGAGCACCCCCTGCCAGCACAACAAAGCCCGAAATGGGCGGCTGGCAGTGGAAAATAACTCTCGGCTAGGGAGGTTCGTCCAGCAAGCCCGGTTGTCAAGGTTGCCCCGGACCGTGATTGCAAGAAATCCACTGCCCCCCGGCTGCTTCGACCACCTCACACACCCTGCCCAGACCGGACTGAGTGGGTGGCTCGGAACGCTCGCTGCCCGCTTAGGTTGCGCAGTACCTCCTCATTTTTCACACCACTCCCGTCCACATGCCCGCCGACTTCACTTCCTCACTTCACTCGCTCGCTCCTGCAGACTTCCGCCGGGTTTGAGCGAAGAGGCCGACGAACCAAAACCGTCGCCCATCGTCACGTCAGCACCGCTGGCCACCCGCCCGCTCTGCTACGTTGCTCCAGTGGACAATGAACGCTGTTTTATCGGCGCAACCCCCGATTTCCCCCCTTCAATACGATCTCTCTCGACTTCCATCGTCGCTCCCTGGTAAGCTCCCTCTCTTCACCCTTGTTTTCTCTACCGCAAAACAGCGCCCCTAGAGATCCCGCTTGGGCATTTTCGTACCTCTTGCCGCATGATGGGAATCAGAAAGCGAATTTTTGCCGTAGCACCGCCATCAGAACCAAAGGTCAAGTTTATTGACCCATTTGCAGTACCGCAGCACAACATGGCGTCTAGGAAGCGGAAAGCCGACGACGACGAAATGTCCGTTTCGCCCCTCAGTTCACCGGCAACATCCTCGAGACAACTAGCGAGGCCATCGAAGAAAATACGAGGTACCACCGACATGGCCGGCCGCCCCTTATCTCTCCCACGCCTACTCGAGACCCTCGACAACACACAATTGCGCACAGTCCTCCAGACCATTTGCATGCGACACCCAGACATTGGGCGCGAGGTTGTGTCGGGTGCGCCACGGCCATCGGTTGCCTCAGCGCTTCAGGTCCTGGGTGATTACCAACAAAAGCTACGGGACGCCGTCCCGTTCGGACAGTCCAGCTCCGACTACACTTATTTCCGTGTCAAACAACCGCTCGCCGCGCTTGTCGATGCCATCTCCGAATTCACGCCACAGTTCCTCCCGCCGGTGGAGCAGCAAGCCAACATTTCATTACAGTACCTAGACGCCGCAACCAGAGTCATCCACGAACTCCCTGACTGGGAGAGTCAGCAGTACCGCCACCACAAGGATAACGCCTATGACGAAATTTCGGGCGCCTGGGCACTAGTCATCAATGAAGCTGCTAAGCGCGGAGGGGGATTTGTCTTACACTCGAGCGGCTGGGACCAAAAGCTGGCTAAGCACAACCAGCAGTCGGGAGGGAAGCTCGAACAAGCGATGGGCGCCATGGCAACCGAGGTCCCTTGGGCTGGCAGTAACCCGGCAGCGGTGGGTGCCCCGGGATCCGGATTATCGGACCCCAACTCAATCCTGAACCAGCTTATTAGCGGCGCCTATGGTTCGCCTGTCCGTGTTGGTCCCTGGTAGATCAAGGTGGTGACAAACGGGGCGAGCCGATCTCTATTATCGTCCGGTTGGATGCCAGTCTCGCCTGACGACGTGACGACTATTTCCCTTATCTCTTCGTTTCGCCATCAAGTAACCGGAGGAATGGTTGGGAGGCATAGACTCTTTCGGGGTGGATGGGGGCCAACGGCGTTCATACCTTCTTCTTCTTGACTCTTTCATACCTCGGATATCCATCGCCGCCAATTTCCTATGTACTAGCTTTGTGGGCTGCATTATCGCCATTTTCCTACGTATTTTCTAGTTGGGGCGGGGCCGTTTGGGAGCCCGAGGGAAGCGGCCGTAGTTTTTGTGTTATTTTTCTGTCTCATATGTTTATGCTAAGGGAGCACTCTGGTTGATTGATTCCTTTTCCTCATTGTCTAGTAGCAGTAGGGTGGGTAGGGACGAGAGCGGACTCCGGCCTCCCATCTACTTCCTTGGTCAATAATTTGTACAATCGCGGGTATCAACCTTTTGATCTGGTTATGAATTTTTTACGCTTTCGGAAACAGGGGAAGATCTCAGCATTCCCCTGTATCATGCCGTCCCCTGTTGATATGGAGCGACCCTAGGTTTAATCACCAGTTGTGTTTTGTTAGCAACCAAGTAATTGGTGATTCACGACCCGAACGACCTGGGTTTCTTGTCTTCACAAAAGGAACGGGTCGGTAGAGCTCATCCTTTGGAAAGAATTTGCAATCTCTAGCCACAAGTTTCCGGTTACACTTATCCATCGATCAAGGGCTAGCCGCGCAAATCAGATCATTCCTGGTCATTCTTCTTTTCTCTCTTCACTGTCGATTTCCTAAGCTCCCTTAGGTTCCTAATAAATTTCGGGGAAGACGAGCATCACTCCCCTAAGCTCAAGGTGACCGCTATTACTTTATGCCTCTTGATCGAAGCCCGCCATTTAAAAACTCGAATCTGAAAAATACGTAGGGGAAGTTGATGAGAGTGGAGTGGTAAATGAAAACCCCTAGGTCGAGGACGAAGGCAGTGCCTCTATTGAAGGGGGGAGACACGCCACGGGACAACTTAGTCCATAGGATTGTGGTATCAGCAAAATTGAACACCTGAAAGTCAACAAGAAAAGTCAAGGGTCGAATACCAAAGACTTGGCGCCGGCCCTGCGATTATTTGGGCGATTTTGGGGCATTAGTGTGGTTGTGGTCCATTTTCGAGCTCATGGACTGCATTTCGTTAAGGCGGGGTCCTCGGGCTGCGGGGCCGCAACCCGTAATCACGTGATAGCCTGTAATCGACGCGCCCCACTCCCTGACTACCGCGTGTTGGGCTATTTCCTGGAACGCGTCGCAACAAACGCCTAACTCCGAATACACAAGCCCCCCAAACCGATTTCATTGAAGCTTTCTCATATTCCGCTCGGTTGATATCTGGCAATCTCATTCTACTCTCAAGTTATTTTACTCTACGAAATAGCTAGAGGAGAGTCGATGACGACGCGGTTGCTGAAAACCTCGTAGTTATGCCTGCGTACGTTTTCCCGTCCCATTCAATCCAATCCATATGAGGGGGATGGCTCAACAATCAACGAACGACTGACACTTCTGCCAAACATATAGACCAGGTGACCAGCACACCGGTTACCCGAACCCATTCGCAGAGCCGCAGCAACCGCAGCAACGCATTTCCGAATTCACCGCCCAAGAGATTGCAACATTGCAATGTATGCTCGAGAAGCAGTTGGGTCCGGAATATTTATCGTCACGCGCCGGGCCGTCTGGATCAAGGCTACATTATATCACGGCGGAGAAATGCATTTCGCTTGCCAATGAGGTATTCGGCTTCAATGGATGGTCGTCCGCCATTAAGGAGGTCCAGGTCGACTTTGTGGAGGAGGACCCGCGTACTCAAAGAGTCAACCTAGGGCTCTCCGTCACCGTGCGCGTCACCCTCCGTGATGGAACATACCATGAGGATATTGGTTACGGGAACATTGAGAACGCTAGGAACAAGGCTGCCGCCTTTGAAAAGGCGAAAAAAGAAGGCACCACAGACGCGCTGAAGAGGGCCTTGCGGCACTTTGGGAACGTTCTAGGGAACTGCATCTACGACAAGGACTATTTGGCGAAGGTCACGAAACTGAAGGTCCAGCCGGCAAGGTTCGATGAGAATGGCCTCCACCGGCACCCTGACTTTGTGGTGAAGAAGGAGCCGCAGGAGAATAGCACGGGACAGAACACAGGGATACCGGCGGTGCCGGCACGGCCACCCCCTCGGTTGCCCGAACCGCCGCAGCAACGACAACAACAACAACAACAACAACAGGTGGCGCCGCCACCTCCCCGACCGCAATGTAAGTGATACGGCGTATGCGTATTTAATGCATAGAAGCTGTGGTTTGTGCTGATCGCATTGATAGTACCAAACTCCGATTCATTTGATGACTTTTTAGGAGGTAAGTGTCAGCCAAAATTGGGTGCCCCCTCAGCGGCGGCGCTAACGGTTCTGGAGATCTGGATGAGGAAGACTTCAACATCGCGGAAGAGCACCATTTTGACGGGGTTCTTTTACCCAACTCCGCCGACACAAGTTTGGCCTCCGCCAACACTGTCCCTAATAGTCATAATCCGCCTAGAAATAGTGTTGCCCCTGCTCCGCAACCGCCAGTCCGCCAGTTTTCGAATCCAAATTCAAAAACAACACACAACACACTACAGCAAGCCCCACAGACTCCCATCCAGCAACAACCCGCGCGGCCCAACGCCAACAACTTTCCCGGAGCCGGCGTTCAAAACAATGGCTCGACCGCCGCCCGCCCACCGCAGCAGTTTTCTAACAACCAAAACAAGCCCCATCCTCAACCACAGCCAAACAACGCCAATCAGGCCCGTATGGCGAACCCGCAGTCCCACATGACCCCTCTTCCCCAGCCCAATATGACCAACCAACCAGACCAACCAGACCTGCCAGGGGGTGACAGCGTGGGCTTCTTCTCCGCTCGCGCTGTGAACAAGTTGCCCGGGAACGTGGCTCCGAATGCAGGCCAGGCGTTCAACCCACGCCTTGAAAGCCCCTCTATCCGCCGCACACCTGGTGTGGATCATACGGTGACCAAGCCTTGGTCACGTAGTGGAAAACACGTGCCCGGCTTGAAAGGAGATGGAGAAAATAAGGGGATGGGTGACGAGGACCTTGCTGCAGCGATGATTGGGCCGGGCCAGAATGCCGCCGCCAGTAATCAAGTCTCTGCCGCTGGCGGAGGAGGCAGTACTGGTGCAGGTCGCGGCGCAATGTCCCGTCCCGGCGGGCCAATTGCGCGGCCGAACAATGTTGTCAATCCCCAACTTGACCATACGCGACGAATCGGCGCGCCTGTTTCGTCTAGTCCACTAGGAAATCGCGGACAGTTCAAACCGCCAACGGTCAAAAGGCCTGCAGCAGCGGATGGCCCCGCTGGTGACACTGGGACTGGTGGGGGTAGGAACCCCTCAGAGAGGGTGCCGTTGGAGGATGTGTCGAGTAATGGCATGATGGGTGGGAAAGTGCCGGATGCAAAACGACAGAGGACAACTTGATTTTCGGGGTTCTAAGGAAACATTCGTTTCATGAGGGCATCGGGTATTGTGCCTTTACATTTCGTAACATAGGGACCATCTTTCGTTTTTCTTGGAAGGATCACGGACGTAAGGGTTAGTTGGTTGGGCGGTGGCATACACTCTGGCTGCCAGAAACCGTCTTAGGGATGGCGTTCTTTGCTTTAGCTACCTCACACGTCCTATGGCCGGGGCTCTGTGGCGTCGTATTTCTTTTCTTTGCTTTGGGCCTTTATCTGTTATTGGGGGATGATACGGGTTTTGCAATGGTGGCGAGAGACATCGCCATTGTCGACGGCATGCTCATAGAGTCCAGTTCATTGGGAGACGGCGATAGTTATGGAACATGATGTGTTCAAGATTACCAGGAGACAGATGCGATTCAGTCGTGAATTCTCACATCGTCTTCATTTACCACACGTTTGAAGTTTGGATGGGGCATAACGTACCTACCCAATGGCCGCATTGTTCAACTTGAACCTTAGGTCAATGCTGCCCTTCAGTCCATACGTTTTACACGTACGATGTACGGGTCCCGAGTGATGTCGGCGGACGAAAGCGGACGATTTGCATTCCTTGAACCATGATAGGTCACGAACGCAACCCTTGACCCGCCCGATTACGGAAGTCGATGGGAACAAAAGATGCCGCCCCGCATATACCCTGCAGCTAAAGATACAGTGCTGTACCAATGGGCACGTGGGTGAATGCCACTTTACACTCAGTTTACTTCGTAAATGCCACGGCAAATGGAAATGATCACTTACGGCGAATGCCACTGTAAAGCGAGGGCAAATGAAAAGTCTGAGCATTAAAACGTTGTACTTGAATTACCTAGTTGATGCCCTACCATTTTTTTAGAATTTTAGGCTCTTCTCCGTTCCGCCCGAAGGCCTCTGCAAGGCATGCAAATTAATCAGTTCGAGTCATGTTAGAAATTTAGCAGATGAGCACAGTGCATGGACAAAGTACACTGCCATGGAATTGTCGGCTTCCCTGCCAATCCTCGACCCCTAACCCCATGTTTTTTCAAGCCGAGTTTCCTTTCCGGAATCGGCCCCGGCCTGAGTGACGGCAGAAGCTTTTTTGACGAATTTATATTCCCCCACCATTCAATGAACCCCGCCACTTTATGAGCAAAGTTTGGGAAGGGGGAGACCAGCCACTATGAGATCAATTAATCTTGCCGGACGTTCGGGCGCAGCCCTGAAGGTGGGTGCCCGGCATATTTTTATCTAATTTTGTTAAGTCAACGCCGCTGAGAATAAAGAGCGTGTTTACTGACGGCACTTGACCACAATAGAGGGCATTCCAGGCCCAGCAACTCGGCCGGATCGGGGCTCCGCGACCTTACTCGAATGGACCCTTACTTACCCCAACCTACAAAAAGCTCCACGAGAAATACAGCGAAGTGCGCCGTGTGCTGGGTCCGCAGCGGCTCACCCTAGCCGAGAAGATCTTGTACAGCCACCTAGACGACGTCGAGGGCTCGCTGCTCTCTGGCACCAACAATGGCCGAGATATCAGGGGTAGCGCCAATCTTAAGCTGCGGCCCGATCGTGTCAACATGCAGGATGCCTCGGCACAGATGGCCTTGCTACAGTTCATGTCCTGCAACCTTCCTCGCACCGCCATCCCCGCAAGCATCCACTGCGACCATTTGATTGTCGGCGAGCGCGGTGCCGACGACGACTTGTCGGCCGGCATCCAGGCGAACCACGAGGTCTTTGACTTTCTAGAGTCCGCGGCGAGAAAATATGGAATCGACTTCTGGCCTCCTGGCGCTGGCATTATTCACCAAACCGTCCTGGAGAATTATGCCCTCCCTGGATTGATGATGCTAGGCACGGATAGCCACTCGCCCAACGCTGGTGGCCTAACCACCATTACCATTGGTGTTGGTGGCGCGGATGCCGTTGAGGCACTCGTGGGCGCTCCATGGGAACTCAAGGCCCCTAAGATCCTAGGTATCAAGTTGACTGGCCAGCTGAACGATTGGGTCTCCCCTAAGGATTTGATCCTTCACCTTGCCGGCCTTCTCACCGTTCGTGGTGGGACGGGTTATATCGTTGAGTACTTCGGCCCCGGAGTCGACACCCTGAGCTTGACCGGCATGGCGACGGCATGCAACATGGGCGCCGAAATTGGCGCTACCACCTCCATCTTCCCCTACACCGAGGCCTCGGGCCGATACCTGAAGGCGACGAGGCGGGAGGAGGCCAGCCGGAACGCGGAAGTGTTCCAGAACTTCTCTGGTTCGGGTAAGGGCGAGGATGCCCATTTCCGCTTCCAGGCCGACGAGGGCGCGCAGTACGACCAACTCATTGAAATCGACCTCTCCAAGCTTGAGCCGCACATCAACGGACCGTTTACCCCTGATCTTGCTACGCCGCTGTCACAGTTCAAGAAGACGGTTCAGGAGGAGCAGTGGCCGGAAAAGCTGTCGGCGGGACTCATCGGGAGTTGCACGAACAGTTCATATGAAGACATGACGCGAGTGGAAAGCATTGTGCGCGAGGCAGAGAAGGCCGGGCTCAAGCCGAAGGCCGACTTCTATATCACCCCAGGCAGCGAGCAGATTCGGGCGACGCTGGAGCGCGATGGCACCCTAGAGACCTTTACGGACGCCGGCGGCATTCTCCTTTCCAATGCTTGCGGGCCATGCATCGGCCAGTGGAAACGTATCGATGGCGTGGAAAAAGGCACGCCCAACGCCATCCTCACTTCGTACAACCGCAACTTCCGCGGCCGCAACGACGGCAACCCGGATACCATGAATTTCCTAGCATCACCAGAAATCGTCACCGCCATGGCCTACGCCGGCTCCACCACATTCAACCCCATGACCGACGCCCTTACCACCCCCTCGGGCGCTGAGTTCCGCTTCCCGGCACCACGTGGTCTCGAGGGGCCTCAGACTCCCTTTGAACAGGGCAAGGACGATTTTGCCGTTGCCTCTCAACCGCCCGATGCCTCCGTGCAGGTAGCCATCTCACCTTCCTCAGAGCGCCTCGCGCTCCTTGAGCCGTTCGAGCCGTTCTCGTCATCCGACTTGAGCGGATTGCGCGTACTAGTCAAGGTTTCCGGCAAGTGCACAACGGATACCATCTCCGCCGCCGGCCCGTGGCTCAAGTACAAGGGCCATCTGCCCAATATCTCGGCCAACACCCTCAACACGGCCGTCAACGCCGAGACGGGCGAGGTCAACGCCGCCTACGACCACCTCGGTGACGGGTCCCGCACCACGATCCCAGAGCTCGCACAGCGCTGGAAAGAACGTGGCCAGCCCTGGCTGGTTGTCGCCGAGCACAACTACGGCGAGGGCTCCGCGCGCGAGCACGCTGCGCTGCAGCCGCGCTATCTCGGCGCGCGCGTCGTGCTGTGCAAGAGCTTTGCCCGCATCCACGAGACGAATCTCAAGAAACAGGGCGTCGTGCCGCTGACGTTTGTGGAACCCGCTGACTACGACCGTATTGGCGCTGGTGATGAGGTTGCGACAGTGGGGCTGCACGAGATGCTGAAGAACGGTGGGAAGGGTGAGGTCAGCTTGCGTGTGAAGAGGCGGGAGTCGGGCGAGGTGGTGGATATACCCGTGAAACATGCGGTGAGTGAGGATCAGGCGAGTTTTATCCTGGCGGGGAGTGCGTTGAATTTGCTAGCCAAGGGGGCATGAGGGGCATTTATGGAAGGGAGGGCACGGCGGTGGGAAACGGAGAAAGCGGCCTTTCGCTTCCACGCAACATTGGAGTCGGGCGTTGTGCTTTTGGGGCCAAACTAGACTAGGTACGAGGGTGTGTGTGCAGGCGGGAGAATCTATGAGACGGTAGGAAAATCTTGGTCGCACAATTGATACCTCAAAAATCGGTGTGGTAATTGTCGATAGAAATACAACGCCTTAAGTGTATTTGGTAGTTTCTGCCCAGGCCTTACCCTAAAATTGTCGTCCTGTGGCAGACCTCGGCCGCGGTTCCATTTGATGGTTGCTTGAGGACGAGAGCTAATTAAGCAATCAACACGCACGAAAACAACCAGGTCCTTGTCTCGTGGCGGTTTTGCGTGTCGATTATTTTGGGAATACAGTATCACTATCGGCCAATATTGCGACTACCAATACAGTCCAATGATTTCCTTAATTTTTTGGTGAGCTTTAATTACTACCTATGTCCAAGTAACGCGAATTGTAATGTAAGTCTTGGCGATTACCTACGGAGGTAATGAGGTATTGTTTCCGGAAGCGATTAATATGCCATTCCATCGTCTTCTCATCCACGCTGTCTGGCACATTGTCCATCATAATATAAACTGTCTTGTCTATCATACTTTCAATCCTGTTTTTGATCGGATAGGTAGTCAAGGTATTTCTTACCCGAAAGCAACCCATGAACGCATCTGAAAAGCCCTACGATCAAAAATGTCCAACTTGACGCAACATGGCGTCCCCGGACGCCAGCCAGTAATTAATTAGACGCTGACGGTCCGGATGTACTAATCATATTTTCGCCAATTATGACAAAAGATGATCGTTTCTCGTCACGGCAAACTGACCGCTTTTGATACCTCTGTGACACCAATTTAAACAAGTGACGGTAACACGAATACTTTTCTCGGCGGGCCCTCCACCTGGCAGGAAATGGAACGTTGACAGTTGGGCCGATCTCGCTATAGCTTGTCAACGAAGTGACCGCCGAAATCGTCCCACAACCACGATGAAGAACTTGGGGGTCCGGATCGGGTGAAGACAAATCGTTCACGGAGAGGAGTGGTGAGAGGCAGAATTGGTATTCCACTATCAACACTTTTGGGTTTCGATTGTAGAGAGCGATTTGTATGTTTGTCGGCGTTGTAATCGCAAAATCGCACCTGGTAATTAAGCTTCCTGGAGGAGAATAGCATAATTGATTCATTACTTCCTTCTGAACATTGGCCGCGAGACTTACATCCTTTCCATCATCACTTGACATGCGTCATGGACCGCTGCCCCGTTCATTCATTCTCGCCACTTTGCGTTTTACGAGACCTGTTGTTACTTAACGGGTTGTTGATTTGGTCTACGTCAAGTTTCACGCATGCACAAATTTGAATTTCTACCTGGTAATACCTCCTGTGCAAGCCGGGTTAGTTGCTATCATGGATACTAACCTCTTGAATGACTATGAATCCCGAAGCCTCCACGCCGCTGTCCTTGTAGAAAGTGCCGGTGGTATGATGCCTTAGACACCTAGGTAGGTAGTCACCTCCTCACCTAGGTTCCGTTACTCTCAACACGCCGATTTCTGTCCCGATCACCCCCAATCTACAACACTCAACTTGCATTGATCAATGCTAACACTAGCAATGTGCCAATTATTTGCGTCATTCATTACACCAATACTAGACATTTCCCACCTCCGCGTGTTTGTTTTCAACAGCGATGGGGGTGAATTTACCAAAACTACTACACATCTCTGTCGAATCCCTTCATTAAGCCATTCAAACCTGTCACAACCACAACGCCTGAGTTCCCAATTCTTTTACTCGCAATACCGCCAGCAGACCCGCGGAGGCCATTACCACCGCTGTGACTGCCATTTCTACCATTTGCTTTCCTCCCCCGCCCTCGCTGGTGATCCTGTAGTTGTGGTTGTGGTTGCTGGCCATTGCCGTCCGGGTTCGTACTTTCAGTACTGCTTCCATTCTCGCATCCAGCGCCGCTCCCGCTCCCGATACTTCGATGTACGGACGCATTGTCGTCTTCAGCGAGTGACGGAGATACCGGTAAGCCTTGCAATCGTGTCAGAGCGCGCACCCAAGCTGGGTTCTCTGCGATCTTCTCTGGGAGAGAATCCTCAAATGGGACGGCAGCGTGTTGCTGTTGCTGCCGGTGTCTCTTCCTCAGTGTGGAGGCAGCACGCCCGAAATTCATCTTTCGGTTCCCGCGGGCTTGGATCTCGGCTTGTTTTCTGGTAAGCCATTCTTGAGAATGAGTTTGGGGCCAATGGATGCGTGGGTCGATGTCTAGGTACAGAGCTTCGTCTTTGTCTTCTTTCAACGGCGCATTGACTGTTGAATATGAATCGGGGGGGTTGACTGGTACTGTGGTGTCGAGGTCGAGTTGAGGCGGCGGGGAAGCGGCGCCTGGCTGAGAGTATATGAGAGAGTCGAAGCGGGAGGAATCTATTGCCGGAACCTTCGGCTCAGGTCCTGATGGAGGTTTGGTTTGTGATGGTCTTAAATGGAAAGAGGGCCTTCGAGGCTGTGGATTTGGGGTCGAATCGTCCTTCTGACAGGACTGCTGGAGCACTTGAATATCTGCCCCTGACTTATTATGCCCTTGGTCGGTTGAAAGCTCAGATAGTCTCCGGGCCGAATTGCTGAGGGGATCCACAGTCTCGATAAGGGTTGTCGAAGAGGCGACACTGCTCGGTTTCCTCCCAACATAGCCTTCCGTCTCATCATTCGGCGTCTCACCATTTGGTGACAAGTCGGATTCCCGGAAGCTTTGCGGCTGGGAATCGGCTCTAGATTCGGTCGCCGTGGAGTTTGGCTGGTCACCTAGCGATACAGGGTCGGGCTCCCCGGGGTCGTCGATAAACCTAAGCTTAGACCATTTGGGTGCCACTTTCCTCAAAGAAGGTTTTGGGTTCGGCTTTGGGCCCGGTCTACCGGCCCCATCTCTTGATTTCCCAAACTGAGATGAGGTTGAAGCTCGGCGGTCCGCCTGGGGGCTCTTCGGCTGGCTCAAATTTTTGCCAAGAGCCGGATCCGAGGTTGAAAGCCATGGCGGGACAACTCCGTTCACTTTGGCCGCCGTGAAAGGGGTTGAGGGGGGTGACAGCTTCTGCCGTTTCCGTGCGGGATCCCCATCCCGAACCGACCCGGGGCTTGCGGGCGGCGAGTGGACAGGAGGACGAGGCGCTAACGGTCGAGAGGACGGAGGCGACAAGGCCGAAACACCGTGAGAAGAAGAGGGGGCGTTGTCTTGGGACGTTGACTGCCGGACCATAAAGTGAGTCGGACTCACTGCGGTTTTGCGTCTCACGAATGGTTGGCCCTTGCCCGATTCAAGCAACAGCTTTCTCGGGTTAGATCTAGTGAGATCCTGAGAAACTGAGCTGGAGGTTCCCGAAAGGCCTCCTGTGAGAATGCGTGTGTGATTTACCTGGGCGTCTTCCGTGCCTTGGTTGGGTTGGGAGAAAATCCGCAGATGGTCCTCACACACGGTCTGGTGTTTACTGTCGATTCCGGTGAGGCACCCAGGGACAGAGCAGCGGATGATGGGTCCAGTAGAGTCGGTTTCTTGGGCCGTAAAAGGTACGGCAGCTGGGAAAATGGTAGCGGCCGCGGAGGGAGACATTCTGGTGTGGTGGTGTTTGTGGAGGGCTGGGATGGCGGAGCTGGGAGGGGTGGCCCGCGATGGGAGCAGCGCCTTGTCATGGTAGAGGTGGCGTCTCTTCTTTACTTGGCCATCCCGGCAGCGCTTGCAGACCCAATTGCAGCTGTTTATTTGGTTTGGTCAGCCACCCAGGGGCCCGACTAGCGAGCTCAATTGAGCATTATCTGAGGTGGTAGTGAGGGTGAGGTGGGATAGAAAACGGGTGTTGGGAAAGCTAGGTAAGCTAGGGCGAGGCACGGTTTGACGGGGAGTGGGAAGCGCGAGGCAGAGCAGAAGACGGGCTGGCTCGTTGGCCGGATGGGAAAAGAGGACCGGGAAGGCTACAAAAAAGTAAGGTGGGGACGCTGGCTGCACAAACCCGGACCTGGTTGGTGAGCCGAGTCATTGGGTACAGGGGGCCGTCGGGGATTGCTACAGGGGGAAATGGGTGTGTCCAGACTTCGACGGCCGGGGCTAGGAAACAGTGCGTGGGTGGGGACGCCGGGACGGAATACATGGCAGGAAATGGTGATGGGGGGAGCGAAGAGGGAACCTACGTGAGTGCCTGTGGATGAGGCCTCTGGCAGCCAGCATGATAGTATTTGCTGCATTGAACGCATTGGAAGAGGGGATTGCTGACCGCCGCCCACCCTTTGCATCGTCTACAGTGGGGTGCCATGAGCTCACCCTCCGGCCTCGTGTGGCCCAATCTGTCAAGTTGAAAACCACAAGTCAGTTAGCGGCTGTCTCCGTTCGAATGAGGCGACGGGTTTGAATTTCAGAAGAAAACCCCCGGCAATATAATCCAAGAATGTGTCTCAGGTCTTTTCAGTTTTCATTTTGGTCATCATCCAGCATAGCTGCAGCGGTTTCATGGCCCCTAAAGCGACGGATAAACTACCTCGCCTACCTATTAGGTAGGTAGGTTGATATCCAGTGCGTTTCTCTATTTGGTCAGGGCTAGGTGGGATAAGCGGTTTGCTCCCCTTAGTCCATCCCGTTGTTTGCCAGAGCCTTTAGGCCCAGCCTTGTGATATCAATCAAAGCAGGACTCCGAAAGTGGCAGCATCGCTAGCATGAGCCAATGATGTGATTCGATGTATCCAACAACCAGACCCTCGTGACCGACGGACTCAGACGGCGCCTGAGAGGGGATATTGGTGATGGGACGCGTTAGGACGCAATGACCGCGTCGCCTGGGGCCACAATACCAGAAGAGCACAAGGCCGTCTGACCTTTTACCAGTTTGCTCATCATCGACACAGGAGGGGACGAGGGGAGCTTGGAAAACTCAAAGGCTGACCACTAAGAAAAATAGGAACTAACTTACTTGATACAGGAGGAACTTCTAGTCTAAAGGTAGTACGACTTGGAAGTAGCGTTGCCCGGACCGACTAATGTCGGATAGCCGATTGTTGGGTGGACGGAAGGCGGCTTGCTCTTTCTCCCTTGTTCGTGGCTATGACCGTTGAATTGCCGCTGAAAATGCGTAGCGCGGAGCCGAAGGTCAAACCTAAATTTAACAGCCCTTCTTAGTTTACAGTGTTTGGCGGCGGTGATACGGAAAAAAAGAAATGGTCGGGCAAATCGTGAAACCCGACGACTCGCGGTGTGATTTAGCCTTTCCATTAAGGTGAGGCGATGGGAAAGAAACGAGGGCCTTGGATGGGTAATGTGGAAGTTCGATCTGCGAGCGAAGTTCAATCCGCGGCAAGCAAGGCGTGCGGGTGGGTCTACTTTGGCTTGCAGAGATCCGTGCGTCGCTGCGTACCCACGTACCATACTGGGTTTAGCGTTCGAAATGCGGGCCGGGGTTGTTCGCGAAATCAAACTCCTGATCGCGACTTGAGGACAGTACAATCCCTCCTATTCTGGACGATTCGACGACGGAGTATAGTGACATGTTCTTATGCCCCACATAGCTCCGGCGCTCGTCCGTGGATGTGGACTTGACCCGACGCCATGGACTTTTTCAAATCGGCCGTCGCCTCGGCTATGGCCAAAGGGCCTCCTTTCCCCTACAGTTTTGGCGATAAGGTGGACCTTGACCCCTCCATTTGGACCCTTTACAACGGCACCCGAAGGGTATGTATGTCTCAGTCGGCGTACCATCATTCACTTTCTCTCCCTGTTCCGGTCCTTCCCCAAGATACGCCTGTACTGATATCGTGATGTAGGAGGACGGTTCCAACTGCAGCATCTTCTCGTTCGACATCACTACCAATCGTTCCGCGCTGCCTCTTGCCAAGAACGCGGTTAAGAAGTTGAGGACACTTCGACACCCCGGCGTCATCAAAGTGCTCGACACAGTCGAGGTATGACACCGCTCGATTTCCAGCCTGGACAACCCATCCAACGGGCGCTAACACGGTGTTCCGAAACCAAGACCGAATCATATATTTACATTGCGACCGAGCGCCTAGTGCCCCTGCGGTGGCCTGTTAAACGCAAAAGCCTTAGCCCCGAGACGTCAAAATGGGGTCTTTACAACGTTGCGGTGCGTGCACTTGGAGGCAAAGCAAAACACTTTCTAGCATGGCACTATGCTGATGAAGAATAGAGAACGATCAAGTTCATCAACGACGAGGCATCCTCTGTCCACGGCAGTCTAAAGGTGGCTTCGGTATACACCACCGAAAGCGGAGAATGGAAACTCGGCGGATTCGAGGTGCTCAGTAATGTTAAAGACGACGAGGCGGTGATCTACGTGAGGCTCCAACACTTCCAGTCAGTCACTGCTCCGTGAAACTAAACGGTCTCTCTAGACGTATGGCAGCCTTGTACCCGACTCGGGGAGGTACACACCCCCTGAACTCGCTAGGTCCGGCTGGGATGCCGTCAAGCGCAGTCCCCACCAGGCTGTTGATGCTTACCAGTTCGGCGCCCTGGTGTTCGAGGTCTTTAACGGCTCCTTTGGCGGCGGCGACCAGGCGGGGCAGACCAAGAACATACCGCCAAGCATGCAGTCAAGCTACAAGCGCTTGACCAACCCCAACCCCAAGTCAAGACTGAGTGTTGCCCATTTCCTCGAACAAGGCCGTCGCAATGGCTCTTTCTTTGACTCGCCATTGATCAAACTTACCGACGGCATTGAAAACTTGGGCGTCAAGTCAGAGGAGGAGCGTGAAGCGTTTCTCGAGTAAGTGCCTGAAATTTTTTTGTGCTCAAAAAAGATGCGGCGAGCTGACCGGTTTAGCGATTTGGAGCAACTCACGGATGACTTCCCCGAGGATTTCTTCAAGATGAAAGTGCTTCCAGAACTCTTGAAATCGGTCGAGTTCGGCGGTGGAGGCCCCAAGGCCTTCTCCGTCGTAATGAAGATCGCCACGAAACTGTCAAATGAGGACTTCGAGGTCAAAATCACCCCAATATTGATCCGCCTGTTTGGGAACCCCGACAGGGCCATCCGCGTCTGCTTATTAGATAACTTACCTCTTATGATTGACCGGCTACCTCAACGGGTTGTTAATGACAAGATATTTCCACAAATCGTGAGTGAATCGCTTCCATTGGCCTTCAAACCGGATTCTCATATTAGTCTAGGTCACCGGTTTCACCGACGTAGCGCCTGTGGTAAGAGAGCAGACGCTCAAGTCTGTTCTCACGCTCATCACGAAACTCTCAGATCGAACCATAAACGGCGAGCTGCTGCGATACTTAGCGAAAACAGCCAACGACGAGCAGCCAGGGATCCGTACTAACACGACGATTTGTCTTGGCAAGATTGCAAAGTATCTTGGAAGCTCTTCGAGGTCCAAGGTCCTTATTGCCGCTTTTACACGGTCACTGCGTGACCCCTTTGTTCACGCTCGTAACGCATCCCTGATGGCGCTCTCCGTGACATCCGAGTACTTCTCCGACGAGGATTGTGCCCATCGCATCGTACCTGCCATTTGCCCTTCCTTGATCGACAAAGAAAAGCTCATCCGCGACCAAGCGAGCAAGACCATCGACGTCTATCTCGCAAAGATCAAAAAGGCGGCGGCCACAATGCCCGAGACCATACTTCCGCCAGAAACCTCGGCTGCTGCTGCTGCTGGCCCTCGGATGAGTACCCCGCAGCCCACGGAGTCGGCCGCTGCCTCTTGGGCTGGTTGGGCCATTTCCTCCTTCACAAACACCTTGTCTAGTGCGGCGGGTGAAATTCAGTCTTCCTCAACACCCGTTAATGGGGCGGTGGCCGCACCCCCAAAAAAGCACCCTGCGACACCCTCTCAGACCCTCTCTATCCCATCTATCTCCAAACCCCCATTGACCCCAACCGCTCTCACGAACAAAGAGCGTTTCTCTCACGAGCAGTCTTTCCACGACGCCAACAGCGACAACGCGGACGCGGACGATGGAGCTGATGCATGGGGCGATATGGATAACATGATTGACGATGATGACACAACAGCCGGCAACAACGATGCCAGCTCAGCGGCCGAACTTTTCGCCACGGCAGGTCCGAAGTTGCTTAGTACCGCGACGTCCACCACCACCACCCCTCCTAAGAGCAGCACTAAGCCCTCGAGTGCTCTTACTAGCGCAACCGCAACACCCTTCGATGATGGCTCGGAACCAGATTTCGCGGGCTGGCTGGCTGCACAAGCACAAAAGAAGGGCGGGGGCTCCGGAAAAGTCCTGCCAAAGGGTTTGTCCAAATCGAGCGGGGCGTCAAATTCTTCGTTAGGCCCCGCTAAGAAGGCGACCGCAAGTGGCGGTGCGGGGAAGACGAGTAAAGTGCTTTCAGCGGCGCCGGCGAAGAAGAAGAAAGCGATTGACATGAAGCCGAAGCAAGCGGATGATGAGGAGGATGGGTGGGGCGGGTGGTGAGAGATGAGTGTAGACACTGAGGGCCGGGAACCCATCATTTGTGGTAGTAGGTACAAAGGAATGGATGGGTAGGTGGAAATATCCTAAAGGCAGGGGTTTTTGTTCATAAAACACGGCATTGGTATTGGGAAGCGTACACTTAGGGGAGGAGGTTTGGCTACAATAGGTGCTTGAATGTAACTACCGAGGAGGTTGATATAGACTGGGTTGGGCCTGTGGACTGTATTCTATTAGGCTGTGTGAAATTCGTCGATTCGGCGTTGATTGTGGGCAGAGGATGCCAAACATCCGAGTTCAAGTTAAAATCGTGTCTCTTCTGGCGCCAGTTCCCTTGGTCTCAACAACACATACCCCGGCTACGCAATCCCAAATCATGAAAACAAATAAAATACGGCCCATCTATACCGAGAAGATTACTCCCGGCAAGCCTACCCCGATACCTCGTCACCAACATTAACGCAAACTGGCCAACAAGCTGTAACCACACGCTCAGGAAAACCGAAATCGGACCATGACAACCACACTACACCAAATCTATCACCACTTGACCTGAAACTTCTCCCCACTGTCAGGAAATAAATGCCAAGACGCGACCAACCGCCCAACTAAGCACCTAACCCACGCTAGAAGACTCCTTTTGCTCAGGCGGTTCACTTGAGGCCTACAGAGTGCATTCACTAGTTCAATCCAGCTCACGCGCTTCTTTCGCTAAAGGAGGAGCAGGTTCAGAACCCGGCGAGCACTTGACCCGAGGCTCATACGAGGGCCGATGTCGATGGTTGATGGTCGATGGTCTGTCGTCGTAGTTGGCCCACTGATACCTTGCTACAACGATGGGGCTTCAGGAAAAGTTGGGCTGATCAGCGTCCTGCAGGATGAGCACTGCTACTGTGGCTGGAACTGCCTTGGCGGAACCGCGACCGCTGCCTCCTGAGGTTGGAGTGGCCCTAGTGACATGGTATCCGATCAGTGCGTTGAAGAGTTGTTCCTGGTCTCGGCCGTCTTGTGCCCGGCGGGGGTCTCCCAATCGGCATACTTGAAGACTTGCATTTATCGACCCTCGGAGTAGTCGTTGAGCGCGACGCAGACTGCGCCGCGATGATGGCCGTTATATTGACGGATAATTTGCTGTGTGTGCAACTCCCACAGACGTGCATAGTGGTCACTGCATGCTGTTACAAGATATGCGCTGTCGGCACTGAAAGCACAGTCCCACACCCAGCGCTGATGGCCCGTTAGGGTGGCTTCGAGAGGGAAGGCTCGTGGCTCTTCGTCGGGGCCTACGGGCTCCATGTCCTTGACTTCCCAAATCTTGGCGGTGTGGTCAGAGCTGCAGGTAGCTAGCTTCTTTACGTCCGGTGAGAGCAAGATGCGCGTGATATATTCCTTGTGTGCCGAGAAATGAGTCAGGGGGACCAGCTGGGTCCGCTCGTAAGCTTGAAGGAGTTGCCAGACATAGACATTGCCCTACTATTGTCAATACTTGCTTTTCCAAAACAAGGTATGGGTGATAGAGGTAACATACGGCGTTGTTAGCGGCACAAAGAAGGGTGCCGTCGGTTGCGACAGTGACACTGGACACAGACACCTCATCCTCTGGGATGAGCTGGTGGGCGCAGGTGTTCTCAGCGAGATCCCAGAGCCGAATACTACCACTCCTGTCGCAGCTGATGATCTCGCCTTGGTTTGGATGAATAACGACGTCGTTGACTGGGGAACCATGGTTGTAGCTTCTTTGGATACCGTGACCGCCCCTTGTGTCCCAGATCTTTACGGTGCCATCCTCAGAACTTGTTGCGATCCATTTGCTCTCGCAGTGGAATGCAACGCCGGTGATATTGCCTGTGTGACCCTCAAGTGTGGTGAGGGGGGCAGGATTGGTAGAGCGTATATCAAATAGCTTCACACTGTGATGGCCGGCCGCCGCGAGATATCGCTTGTCTGGGGAGATACACAATCGGTTGACTTGTGAATCAGGGTGCTGAATCGTCCGGGAGCAAATTCCGGACAACGCCTCCCAAAACCTAGGCGTCCATTTCGGTCAGCAGGGAGCGAGGGCCAAGATTTGAGACCAAGCCGCGCAATGACGATTCCGCGACCTAGAACACCGAAAATCTCAGACATACCGAATAGTGTGGTCGTAGCCAGCTGTTGCAATGCATTTAGCAATGGATTCATTTCGTTCTGGGATTACATTGTCCTGTCGATCTTACCTGTACAGAGAATGACAGACATTCTAACAACCGCGACTATATAATAGCTGTTTAGTTGAGATTCTGAAATTGGACCGTTCTCAGTGATGAACAGTTCCGAAATCTAGGTACGAATGAGTTGAGGTGGGTTGTTGAAACAACATTATGCATGAACCCAATCCCGAGGATTGGTTCCAGGCGGGGCCGGAATTGTGGGTCCAAGTTGACCCCTTGTCTGCTTGGCTTGGCATCAGCTCTGGGTCTCACTAAACTGCCACAAGGCGCAAACTGAACACCAATTTACGAATCTGTGTCAATACTTCAAGTAATCGTGTTGGTAACTATCTAAGAATTAATTTGTAACTCTCTCACCATGATTCTCCATCGCCTTTTTATCTCCCTTAGAACCCTAGAATATCTTGTACCGCAACTTGAAAATGCCCAGCGCTGTACAGCTGCACAGCACAGACTGAGCGCAAACTACTAATTACAGTACTGGTGTGCATTACTTAGGTAGGTAGGGTACCTATCTAGTGCCCCCAACGTCACGGTCACCCTCAACCGAGGTTTGCCAAAGCCGGCGAGGCGTGGAAACAGAATAAATGTAATCAGGCACGACCTAACACTACGGATAGCAGATTGGACTGTTCCACAACTATGACCTGCGCACGCCCCGCCTACGGAAGCCGACGGAGTATTGCGTAGTTATCTGCACTTTGGTATGTCCCATATACGGCAGAGGACCGTATGTATGTAACCGGTTCGGGTCTCCGAGACCCTCCCCTCGTAGAAGACTTCTGAAGCACCAAGACCGGCATCGTTTTGGCCAAGGCACGGCCAAAATACCCGTGTGGGCTTAACGGTTAAGACATACTCCCATCCTCCAGTATCACCACTACGTCACGCCGTTAGACAAACAAATTCCGCCCACCTTCCTTTTTCTGGCCACCTTTTTTTCTCTTTACCTCTTTCTATCGTTTCTTTTCAGCCCATTTTAGAGTTTAGGCCACATCCATGTGAGTGTACATACCATTGCAAACACCAAACGTAAGACCTCCGGGTTTCCTGAGAGTCGGCTGCAGGCAACAAACTAGGCAAATGAACATCTTTGACCTGTGGTTTCTAGAGTTGTGCTTCTTTTATGTAATGTTTTTGGTACATGGGCATTACAGTTTCACGACGAGTGAGGTGGAGCTCGACGTCCGACTTGGGAATCAGTGGCGCTCCAAATCAACGCTCTGATTGCCTACGTGGATCGATAATACTCGAAGACCATTGCATGTTGTGATAGTGATAGGACCCCAATTTCCATAACCTAATCCTCACGGTTCACTAATTATCTCCTTTTCGGGTCTTTTCTAGGAGAAAGTTACGATTTTGGGAAGTAGTTAGTATTTCACCAGTTCACAAAGTTCCGCCGGGTACACACATAAAAAGGGGGAAAGAGACCGAAAGAGTTAAAACATGCTTGTCCGATTTCCTCATCACTAACTAATCCAACAAGAACACAGAAAAAGACGCAGAAGCGCAGATATGTCAAAAACCCTTCCCCGGACTTCCGTAACTACCGACAACCCAACGCTTAATCCACCAATCCCCCGCCCATCAAGGTACCCATACCACTCAAGTCGTGATATCCATCGCTCTTGGATGGTACCCGCCGTCATCTACCAACCTCGTGTACGGTTCTATGATGAGCGTCCTGGGGCCCTGGGAGGTAGTGACCCCCCTAAACCCGCCAGAGCCGACCCAAACACTCGGTGGTGATTACACGGGCTCAACACTACTTTCTTCCCATGGCAAGAAGGGCAATCGCTTCTCGGATTAGCTTTGATTTGACAACAAGTCTCAGGAGGCTCGCCCACTTTCTCATGTTTCCTGCGCACAGCTGACAGCTGACGAATTGGTATAACCCGTCTGGGTACTGGAAACAACCGCAGGCTGAGGACATGACGTGGGACTTGTTGTAGGGGTGGTTATCGGGTGCTGGACCCTTTGAAAAATATAATACAAGACTAATTATGAGGCGCGCTATTAGTAACGGGTCGTGAGTGAAGGAACTAGGTATTGAAGGTGCTTACTACCAGCACAAGATTTCTGAGGAGAAGAGGCCCGGTCTTATATGCTATGATCGAAGCTCATCAACCTGAGTGATTACCTTCGGGTCCCTTACCCGACAGCCTAGTTCATATTGAGCCGCGATCCGCTTGCCCACCACATTGCCGAGTCATCGGTAGCTATCAAGCCAATAATAGGGGTATCATTCCAGGACGGATGACGGTCGGCTGATCTCGGCGACCCCCCCCCCCTCCTCTTAGGACGACCACCTCTAAGTGCCCATCTTTTTGCAACCCTTCCGTTCCGGAAGGACGGCCACTCCTGTGACCGGTCGATCAGATAGTAGGAGTCCTCAGTTGATGTTTAGCCGAAGTAGCTAGCTCTGAAAGGGTTAGCCGAGCCGGCTCGCGCCGAATCTCACTCCTGCTCCTACAACAAACTCAGCAAGTATCGAAGTCTCTATACTTCGTTATAAAATCTCTCGCCTTGAAGGCGGACACACGGAACCGGCACTTACTTTACAGAAGGAAACGGCCTATGAAAATTGAGAACATGCGAGATGTCCTGCGAGTATTACCCTCAGCCCACTGACGTCCAAATTCAGCACGCTCATAGGTCACGTATATCCTTGGCTCCTGCCCACGAACACTTGCCGCCCTTCAACCATGTGCGTCTTTTTCCTGCAGCTACCCGCGTTCCCTCCGGCGGGGAACAAAAGAAGAAGGGGAGATCGCTCGATGACGCCAAAAAAGATCAAAGCCCAATTCATGTTGGGTCTCATCGAGGGCAGTTTGTGCTACCCCCTCGTCCTTCCCTACGCTTTTCATGTCTACCAAAATAGGGTCGGCCAGACCTAGGGAAATTTTGATCCAGGTTTCATGTCGTAATTTTCATTCTCTTCACGGAAGTATACCAGGGGCAAATATCTTGTGCAGATATAAAGTTGTGTTACGCACCTAAGGTACGAGTCCCAAACTTCGGGTGCAAACATGATATGTAATTACCCAAGGGAGCACGCAGCGCTGAGAAGACATCTACTATCCTTATGCGAGAAACCCTGTAGTTGAGATCCTGCAGGTGTGCCGCTTCTTGAAGAATCCGGGATGGGTAAAGGTGGGTGTATTCCCCGTTTGACCGAGGGTGTGACTGGCAGTCCAAAAAGGTCATGAACTCTGGGGTATAGTGTGCCCACGTGTACAGCCTTCCATTACCAAGGACATTCTCGGCATGCCGCTCTTGGAAAATGAAGCACGAGTTTCTTCTTATAACCCCAGAGGTCTGACGTTTAGGGGGAGGTATCCAGCTCGGATATGGTCGCCGCAAATCGAACACTCCATAGCGGCCAGTTGCGAGCTGCTGTATGGAATTTATGCTTACAACCTGTGCATTCGAAACGATTTCGGGGCCCTGTTGGACCCTCGATGATTGCTCTCATGTAGCAATGGTAGAATCAAGCTCCCAACATCAAGGACCGCGGCAGGGTCAGAGATCCCCCACCCGTCGCTCGTTGACCGCCCAGGTGGTCAAGACCGGGACACGGTTGGCTCGGGTACACGAGCAGCCACCCTCCTTTTGTCCCTTCTCTAAGGCTGCAGCTGGGGACAAAACTAAGACATTATCGGAGGCGGAAGCAGATGCAAGCTTACAGTCAGTAGAAACTCTCAAACGAACCGACAGACCCGCGCCTCTCGCGGAGTAAGTGAGGGGCAATGATCACACCGGTTCATCCCGCACGTTCCCTCGATGAGGGGCAGATGTCCGAAAGGGGGAAGAGACAGGAACCTGGGAGCGGGCCGAATTCAAAAACATATGGGCTTACCGAGTACATCAAGACCCGGACTGATCGTCCTGACCGCGGGTATTACCCCTCCCAGCCGTGAGTACTGTGGACTCGAGATACTAGAAGGAGATGCCGATAACCAGCAAATAGCATTTCGGCGTTATCCCCGCTCCCCCATTACCCTGCGTCTCGCAACGAAATCCGAGCTCAGCGCATTCTTCCTTTCCCCGCTGAGGTTATCTCAGTCAGCCCCCCCCCCAAGCTCCCCATGATTGCTCCTGCCCAACAGACGTCGATCCTTGCATGCCCAACATGTGCTTTCGCACTTGCATGTTCATCCCTTCTCCCCACGGGGCGCCCGACCCTAAATACCACGTTATGGTTGGAATGTGGCTCTCGTACTCTGACTTTTCCCCTTAGGGGTCTAACATACTCGCTAGTCGCTACGTAGAGGAAGCTATTGCCAAAAACAACGGGGAAAGCATATCTTCAGCCGTTTTGCTTAGAGGAGACTGGACTCCATGAGCAGTTTGTGTATCACGGATGAAGGTACATGTACACTAGTCGCGCACGGGAACGAGAACAACGGTTGAAAGTTCACCGGTCCCCATCCTTTTTCTGGAGAGGCTGCAACGTAGCACCCAATGGCGCGGGAACCGAAGGGAGATCGCCAAAATCAACTGACCAACACACATATTTCGAAGTTATCTTTCTTCCCTGACAAGTCTTGGTATGACGGGCGCATGCAGACCGGTCCCATAAAAGACTCTTTCCGTTTCGGTCCACAACGGCCAGGCTGGAACGTATCATTGGAAAGGTCGGCCGGGGCTGTCTTTCATCGCCGTGAGAGTGGGAGCGTAGGTAGTACAACCTTTGATGAGGGGTGCACGAGCACGGGTTCTTCGGGCCATAATTCCCACGAGGTTGAGCAGAAAAGTCGGCCGACCAAGTCGCCGCCAGCCGTCTCCTCTTAACTTTTCCCGCCTCCCCTCCCGCCCGCCTTTTCTCCCTGTGTTAATCGTGGTTCGAAGTTTGTAATCGGCTTCCTACGCAGTAGTACACCGTTGTTCAGACAGGGAGAATTTTCTGCTCTAAGATGTCGAAAAGTTGGCCCGCAGATGAATAATAGTCAAGTGTCTCGATCCATCCTCTGTTTAGGGTATGTTTTGCGGAAAGAAGCGCGGGGTTGAAGCTTGACCTGGTCTTTTTCTAGTAATTACCTTCGAGATGTGCTATGATGTGCGGGGTTGAAGCTTGACCTGCTCTTTTTCTAGTAATTACCTTCAAGATGTGCTATGATGTGCGGGGTTCCACTAGCCGTCTACCATTAGGGTTAGGGTTGATAAGCCAGAGTGATGCGATGCGTGCCTCACCATCAGCAGGATTTACGCTACAGAAAAATGCTGCAGAGCGTATCAGCGCGTTGTGAAATACATTCTATCTCTCAGCGCGCCTCAGGAGAAAACACTACGCAAGCCCCTACTGTCGGATTTCGAAAATACCTAGTAGTGTTAGATCTGACGAAACCTAGATGATGTCTGCGCCGTTTTTATCCCTCTCCGAGGGTTGGGAGTTGTGTAGAAGCTAGACTCTTCTACCCGCAACATAAACTTTACGGCCTCAACGCCGCGATACCGAATCTCAACCCACGCTCTGAAGTGGTTACTAATAAACAATTCGTCGGCCAACGGGGCGTCAACTTTCACTAGCTTTATGGCAATACGGTAAGGAGAACTCGGGTCTAAATGCCATATTCACCGTTCCTTGCCAATACGTGATGTTTTTCTCCAGCGTTTTCTTCTTTTCTTCAACAAAAAATAAAATATAGAGTAACATGAGACAGCGAAAGAAACAGACTTCGGCGCCGACCCCCTGCTCAGGCCCTTCGCGAACCACTGCACAGCCTCAAGACAGCCGACTCTCATTGACATCCAGGAACGACAGCCTCTCGCTTCTCTGAAATAGGCTGCTCCTATTGGTGGTCTTCCTCTGCCCCAGCTGTTGGCTGTGGGCGAACATATGCAGACGTGGGTGCGTGGTTCGAGATTGGGGGCCAAAATGGCAGGCCGCAGGCCTGGGGGACCACCACCCAAGCGTTTCCCGGAACGGCTTGCCCTCTTCGCGTGAGCATGGGGTTTGGGCAACTTGTTTCCTTCAAAGACAGAGTGAATGTCACCGGGTCTCAAGTCGCCCATCCACTCCTGGTTTGTTGAGGTTGCTTTCCCAACATGCCGGCAACTTAATGGTTATGGGGTCTTGCCGGCCTGTGCTTTGTTGCACATGTCGCCGCCGACACCGGAGACGATTTCTCAAACAATTTGTTTTCTGACCTTGCACCGTAGGTACTTCCTGCTCTCATACATCACACAGTCTACAGTGGGATGTAAACTGACATTAGATGTGACTATAGGTTGCTGGCATTGTTTGGCGAGAGGGTAACGATGCAGTTTATGAGCCAGGCTACAGGATGGGCTGACAATATTATCCTGGCGATGGCCCCGTTGGGCGTTATCACCGCCATCGTTGGTGCCATTCGAATTGGTGGTCCGCATTGGCTGCGAGCCATTATCGGGAGAGCCAGAGAGAGCCGCGCCACAGTTGAAGCCGAACTCATGTCATAGACTTCCCAGGAAATATGTGAGCTCTGGAATGACTAGCAGATTGTTCGCGTAATGGGGAAAGCCCCAATTCGGGAATTTGTCGTATTGTTTCTTAAAGAGCAAAACCCGAAAAGCGGGGACGATGAGAAGGATGGCTATATCCAAGTCATGGAGTTGCGGGATGGCGAGAGAGAGCGTGAAGAGAGGAAGCTCTACGACAAGTTTCGAAGAAAGGAGACGCAGGAAAAGATGCACGGAAATACAACAGACCATACCGAAGGAAACGAGGCGAAGACGGCAGAAGATGATCCCCGGGAGGATATTGGGAGCGAAAGTAATGGAAACGAGGACAGCAACACACAGGATCCTAACAAGTACCTTGAGAAACATGGTTAATTACTCAATAACCTCCCCAGCCCCAGTTCTCTGCCCATTGTAGCCAATCTAATCAACTCGAGTCCATTAGTACCTCACCTTCGTAGCGCCGCAACAAATTTCTTCAGAGCTGTCGGAACCCTCCTGTCTGTGCTTGTCCAAAACTTGCCTACCGCTGTCCCCAAACTCAAGGCGATGCTGAAAAGGAATACTCAGCGGAGCGGCGATCTTGAACAGCCGCACAAAGCCCGTCAGAGAGCATCAACTTGGAGGAGACTGGCCAGAACGGCCCAGCAAGTTTGGATGAGTGTAATCTCAATCAACCGATCACCGTGATCCAGAACGTGACCGCCCAGACGCCAAACCTTACTCTCAATGTACGAAACAAGCTGGGCCGGGGTGAATTATATTTTGTGGCGGCGACCGGAACTTTCCTACAACTTGGGGTCCTCGTATTTTCCGGATTTACCGCTTATCACCCCCCGTTCAGGCTCGAATGGCTCAAGAATGACATGCCCGTCGCTGACTATGCCTATCCTTGCAATGCCACCGGCACCCTACTCTTAGTAGTTGGCATGCTGGTATGTTCTTACGTTGTTGAGAGCAGCACGACAGAAGACAGCTACCGGCCCGCCGAGCACGAGGGACGTGAGGCTCGTGTGGTCTGGCTACAAAGATCGGGAATAGTCAATGACCAGCGCTTCGAGTCCTTTGCGGTATACCCCCAAGAGCCGTCTGCCTTGATCACAACATCAAAGCGGAAGAGATCTCAGTCCGGCCTAGACCTAGTTATCACCGTGGTTGGAACAGTTGTTAGCCTGGTCGGTTTTGTCTTGCAGTTCGTTGGCCTGCGCGGCTTACACTGGTCTTCCTCGATTGCCCAACTCATCGCAACCGGTAGCATGGTCATGCTCCGAGCTTGGGTCCGCCGTAATCTTGCAACACTGCCGGAGTATGCCCCGCTACTTCCAGGCCATGAACTGGATTGGTTAGCGATGTCCCTTGGGGCGGACACCGCAAACCCCATGTGGATGTCAGGACCCCAGCATGTTAAAATCCCGAAAGATTCCAACGAAATGTCCGCAAAGGAGAGCCCCGAGAAACCCGGAGATAGAGGCCACCAAAACTGGCACTCTAGACCGGGTTCATGGAAGGCTCTTGACGTGTTCGGACCAGAGGCTCCGACCATGGTGAGTGAGTTCGACGATGAGATTTATGATAGGATGTCGGGAGTAGAATACGACAATGACAACAGTTCATTAGCGATGTCGGCAGCAGCGGATGACATGGCCGAGAATTTGGGTCCTGATCAACAAAAGGAAGCTACACCACAAGCCACATATCTTGGAGTCGAGTGCGAAGCATCACCGTTCTCGCAGTCAAACAGGGTGCATCAGTTGATGCTAGTAAGGAGAGACCTTGGCAAGATTTCTGACTAGCAAGGGCCTGCCGCCACTGAGGCCATTGCTCTGACCCATGCAATCGAAATAACCATGGATTCGCTCTTTGGTACCACAAACACAGTCGGAGATGTTATCCGTTGGTCTCTACCGGCCATCGGCCTCCTTGGGGAGAGCTCACACAGTGGCTCTGTCGAGTTCCGCGTGGAGCGAGGTGAGACTGGGAGGTGGAGAGCCTTCTCCGATGAGATTGAGGCCGCACTATCCCTGTGGCTCTATTCAGTGTATGAGGATGAAGACCCCCTGGGGGGCGGAGGAAAGCTGCTGGGGCGAGAAAGTGAGGCAGCGAAGGGCGTACTCGATATCAAGCCTCTGCGCTCCGGGGATGACGCTTGGCTCAGGACGAAAGGGACTCTGGCAAAGCGAAACCTGAAGCTCCTGGGTCCCCATACGTTAGCCCTCCATCGAGACCTTCGGTGGTGGGTGCCCGATTGTGCTGCCCGGGTTGTGGCCGCTTGTGCAGCAGACCCGGGTGTTGAGATCAGGAGATTTCTCGCCCCTGAGCCCAACAAACTGGAAGTTGCCGTCCATCGCGTCGCCGGGTGTGCATCTAGCTGGAACTACACGGAAAAGACCTCGGTGTATACTGCTCCTATACCCCGCGAGGCCATCCCCAGGGACGAAGATATCGATCCTCAATGGACCTTGGCGGTTGAGACGCACACCCCGCTAGCAACTTTATATTCCCAACACCTCCTCACTGCCTTCATGTGGGCTGCGGCGAAGGAGATGCAACCGTTACCCGGCAGTGCGGAGATTTGGCCAGCCCAGATGAACGGCACAGCCGATGCAGGTGCTCCGGAGTGGCAATCATTCGAAGTACGAGATACACAAATCCAGACTCTAGCGGAGGATATCCGAGGTACCGGGATCGGAACACTAGATGATGTCTACCTAGCCATCATTCCCCCACTAAGTATGCACAATAAGCTACCGCAGCCGGACACCAGCGACTGGGCCCTGCGATACGTTGCGGCGGCCCAGCAGAGCGGGCAGTGGGAAGAAACCACCGCAGCCTATCTGTGGCTTTTTCGCGCTGCGAGAACTTTCCCTGGGCACAATTTCAATAGGGCGGTGGTTTTGTTAGTGGTATATTGGGCAACAATCATGAATGGTATCAACCGAAGCCAAGCTCTGTACTTGGACCATCGGGTCCAAGCATATTTGCTCAACGCCCGATCTGCGCTCGAGCAGGTCTTGCGGGAAATCGACGGGGGGGTTCTGAGAACCATTGTGGCATTGTTCACGTTGCAGGGCCGTCCTTGGGAATGCCAGTTGCTTCACCTCGTCAGTGGAATCCCGGAAATAGACGAAGAGGCAAAGACCGTGTGCGAAACCAAGGACCTCCATTTCCAAGATCTACATTGGCTGGCTCTTCGGGGAAGGGGCCTGGAAGTAACCACCCTGTTGTCCAAGGCCGGCGTGAACGTCAACGATCGAGATGTTCTTCATTGGACAGCGCTCCACTACGCTGTCTCGAGGGCTGGGCTGTCCCGTGTCCCAGAATATCTTTTGCATCGACAAGCCGATATCCACGCAGGGGACGTACGCGGCCGCACACCGTTGCATTATGCCGCCTGGTATGGAACGTATTCGCGCGAGCAGCTGTCCCATGCGCGTTCCGGTCTGACGGCGCCAGACCTGAGTGGAAGGATACCGCTCGACCATGACTCTCAACAGGACAAGTACTTAGTTGAACAGCTTTTACAAGCACGCCCTAGGATTAATGACCCAGACATGGAAGGAAGGGCACCATTACATTATGCGCTCGTGGGAGGAAACCGAGGGGCAATGGAGCTGTTGATTGGGGCCGGCGCGGACATCAACCGGGCGGATGTATGGGGGTGGACTCCATTGCACCTGGCTGCCCACAGAGGGAGGAAAGACCTTCTCGAATGTCTCCAAGGAGCAAACTTCAATTTGCGAGACTACGATGGCCGGACTATTCTGCATCTCGCTGCCATGGCAGAGGACGGCGCAGCAAGCGACAGCCCCGAGCTCATCGAATTCCTCATCCGCGAAGCCGGGCTGGACAACGAGGCGCAGGACATCGATCGGCGCACACCGCTGCATTTAGCGTCTGTAGCAGGCCGGCAAGCCAATGTAAAGCGTCTCATCGAAGCCGGCACCGACTTGTCAAGAAAAGATGCGTTCGGCGACACGGCACTACACCTAGCGGCCAAACGAGGGCGTGAGCCCGTCGTCCAATGCCTGGTCGAGGCTGGAGCTTACATAGATTCGAAGAACAGAAAAGGCAACACTCCGCTGCATCGGGCTGCGCAGGAAAAGCACGATACCGTTGTTCGGTGCCTCATTACGAGAGGGGCCGATGCGAATGCGCAGGATGTGTTGGGCTGGACACCGCTGCACGAAGCGGCTAATCAAGGTGATGAAGCTATGTTTCAGTACCTTGTTTGACAAAGGGGGTGCGAATCCGGAAATAACAAACACGGACGGCAAAAACCCCGCGTCAAATACTCGCTTGGAGAAATGAGACGGACAAGATGAATGTCTTCGACAGCTAGCTAGGGTCAGTAGGCAACTAAGGACACATCACATATCGCTCAAGCGACAATAGTTTGGAACAGACGCCACTTCAATGTGGGACGATGAGAAAGCGTGAAATTTATAGTTTGGAAAAGAATATATAACTGGGGAACTAACTATCTCCCATAAAGAAGTTACCCCTCCAACCTCGTGATAATAGAGAATAGTCACCTTATTTTCAGCAAGACGAAAAACCTGACATGCACTGCACTCTTATTAGCCCAAAACATGAAAGACTATATTTGCATCACAAACCTAAGATATACTAGGTCACCCTGAATCAGACCACACGGCCCTCCGGGAACCGAAATAACGATGCGGGTGTAGCAGCCCAAGGCAAAACCACGAACTTGATGCACCACAAAGCTGCGGTTATGAATCAACTTGAACGGGCAACCCTTCCGGACCCGCTGAACATAGAAGACATTATGTCGTCCCTAGAAACGTGGGGTCAAGGAAAGGGGGCAGCATACACGGCCTTCAACTCTCTACAAGCCACAGTGGGTATAGCACATGCCTAAAACACACAAGGCATATCATGAAAGTGATTCCATTCCTATCTTAATCTGTAGCACATGACTCGTCTCAATCTGGTATCCGTCCTTGCCTCGTCACCACGGGTGGAGGGAAACCTCCTAGTTGAGAGCAAGTATAATACGACCATCCGTAAAGCCCACAAAGAATGACCACTGGGATAACGCCCATAACCACCAGAGCACAACCCCCATCGATGCCCGTCGGGAAGCGAGAGACATCTAGCTTGAGCCAGGCAAGATCGCCAAATAAAACACCTCGTCCGAATAAACACCTCATAGGAAAGAATCGTTAGTTAACCCCTGCCCCTATATCCCGTTTCCGCCCTATCCCGTTCTCCAGATCGTGACCGCGTTGGTGTCCCTGAAACTCCAGCGCAAGTCCAACCCTGAGTCAATCCGCAATCCTACCGCCTTCAAGCCCCGACCCAATGCTCCTAAAACCAGACCCGTAGCGACATAACAAAGGAAAAGCGAGGTTTTAAAAAAACCAGTTCAGGAATGCGGAAATCGAGGAGATCCCGGTAAGGGTCACCCCTACTTAGGCAAATGTCGGCGCAGTGTAGATGAGCGTTCCAACGATCATAGCCCCGGCGGTGACTCCACCCAGGGCAGCATAGCCAAGACGCTCGGCAACATCTAAGATACGCTTCTTCTTTGCGGGCCGCTCCGTGGTCGGGCCCGCTGCCTTGGGGTTATCCTCAACGTTTTCAGTGGCCTCTTGGATAGCCACGGGAGGCTCCGGTACCGACGGTTGTTGTTGGCCATCCTCTTCGTTGACCAATGAAGACTCCAAGGCAACCCGGATATCCTCGGCTGCCGCCCATTGCTCCTGTTCTTCCGATATTTCGTCCGCTTTACGCTTTAGACCCTTAGGAACTTCATCCGAGATCGTCTGCGGCAAGGCGGGGGCAATCGGTGTTGCCGAAAAGTCGGGTTCCAACTGCGGGATATCGTTGGCGTTCGCTTTCTCCGGCATAATAGCTTGTTCAGCGGGGCCAAAGCTATAATGACTTGGTACATCAACCGAGTCGTCTTGATTGCAAAGGTCCTGCACAGAAGTAGGCCGAGCCTGTGTTGATCTCTTCTCCAGAGTGGCCTTATTCTCCTCTCTCGCCAGAAAGAAGTCGCTTTTTCCGATCTTAGCCCCGAGAGATTCGGCAAGCTCCATTGAAGTGGGTGAATCAGTAGGTAGAGGGTGCGGACAAGAGGACTGTTGCATCCCGCCACTCAAGGCCCATCCAACACTAGGTTGGCGCAAGCTAGGCAACGGAGCGGGGAGCGTTGACAACGACTCTACCAAAGGCATGATTTCGGGGAAATCGTTTGGGCAGTAGGGAACTCTGTCCCATATGGCCCCAGGGTCGACTGGAAAGCGTAAGATAGTGTCATTCAAGGTCAAGTACGTTAACTTACCCCCAAGGGGCTCAGCACTCATTGAGCCGGTATCCCCAGATTCCAACTCGTCCTCAGAACCCATTTCGAGATCTTCGTCGTAAACCGGGGGTGAGGAGTCATTGTCTTCCTCATCAATCTCCAAGTTGCTCTCATTCTCATCATCCGAATACCCGCTTTCGTAGTCGGCAGAAAGTTCGGACTCGTCATCGTTGTCGGTCTTACCAGACCAGTGCTCTTCAGCCTGAAGCGGATGCCAGGCCGGAACATCAATGGGGCCTGGAGGCTTCATGGAGTACCCGGCCGGGGAGCCGGTCAGGTGGGAGTCAAGTGTGATATCAGGGCTGCGCACGTGATTCTCTGCAGGCTCGATGTTACTATTAATGTGACCCGGGGTCCCAAATGGTGTAGAAAGGTCAATGGTTTCACTTTTCCACTCATTGGTAGTCAGATCGATGACTTGGTCATCAGTTCCTTCATCGTCTGAGCCGTCGGGTACTTGAAAGGTCCCATCGCTAACATCGTAGATTAGAATGTGGTAGCTCATTGGAATTTGGGATTAATAAACTTACCGATTCGGGAATTGTACGCCAACCCTGACGGTAGTTGGTATGAATTGCTCGGTGCCTCGCCAGATCGGAGCACCAAATCGAAGTGAGTCCCCATCCTTGACCTCATATGAATGGTCTTTCGGGACTCGGTCGTTATCATTGACAAATGTCCCATGAAGGGAGCCTAGGTCCCTGATCTGGATCTTCTGGTAGATAGTTAGCAATGCATTGAGGAGGGAAGCACCGAGCTACTTAGCGACGACGAACCTTCTCGTCCATTGTTACCGAAAGTCTGGCATGAAGCCTAGACATTACAGGACTATCGAACCACCCGTTATCCTTGGCTGCAACGAACCCCTTTCGGGAATCCTTTGAGGCTCTCCCAATGGATATATCTAAATGTCCGGGGTAGAGGATTATACGGCGTTCTGGGATCTGGAGGTTGGCACCAGACGCTCCGTCGGGTGTGAGGCTTAGTACAACTAAAAATCCGACCATGTCAGTTGAGCCTCGAGCGTACCACCAACAGTTGGGCAAGTTATAAAGAAAATGAGATAGAGATAGGGGAAACCAGTACGCACCGGACTTGGCGGGGTCAGGAGCTGACGCCATATTTTCTTCATCCGCCGCAAGGACGGTGTGGGCCGTGGGAGGATGGGTATCGACTTGGAGGAAGCAGAATCAACCTCGTAGATGGGGCACGGTGCCAGGCGTAACTACCTCTAGAGAGGATCGCGAGACGAGCGTTGTCGTCTACCGCTATTGGTGGCGTCAAGCCCGTCCTTGCGGTATGCTTATGTTGGACGACTTTGGTTTGCCCGCGAGAAGCGGGAACGGTCGGATACGGAAAATCAAGGTCTGTTTCCTAAAAGGCTCTTAGTGCGAGAGAAACTCAGCAAGAAGTTCCTTGAACACGGCCGTGAAGTGAGGTAGGTGGTGGGGCACCTTAGGCAAAGCATGGAGCCCGGCACAAGGGCTCCCGTCTGTGTGTGTGATCTGACCGGCTGCACCGTGCTCGGGGTGGGAGATTCTGAAAACAAGGGATGGTCACTCCTTCCTTGAAAATCAGCGTAGGGTTTAAATTTGGAATGCCCGGACGATGCGGAAAAAAAGTCATAAATTCTTCAGGCAAGTTCTTGAGTAGGTATCTCTTCTTTCTTTCCTATCGGAATCAGGTAACCTGTTGGTGGTCATGGGATTGGGGCTCTCCAAGCGGCGGGGCGCTGGGGTGGGGTGAGACCAATGCGGGGTCTTTGACCAACGAACTCAGCCAACTCGCAACATCCTCTCTTGAAACGTTGGAGCATTGAAGATGCCTGGCTTCCCGACATCATAATTTATACTTCATATTTCTGCTTCCCTCTTTTTTCTTTCTTTCTTTTTCTTTTTTTTTTCCAGTTCCCAGAGATTCTTGCATTGAGGAAAGCACCCATGAACTCCGCAATGTCGTCAACCGAAACCTCCCTGATCAGGCAGGTATCTTATCGCATACCCTAGCGACATGACCTGGTTCCACTTTCACGTGCGTCCGTTTACACTATTTGGTACGTCCAGCTTGACAGATGCTCCGCGACAGTTTGGGCGCCGTACTGTGGGATATGTACTACCTAAACATGATGATGGCTACTTTCCGAATCTATTTGTTTCATATACCGAAACCTATATACGATTTTCGCAACTACCTAGAGGTTTTCTACACAGGAAGTTCTTGACTGTATGTACATAGTACACTCCCAGTCCATATGGCTACCCATGACCCTGCAATTCATGATCTGGAGCCGCGTGGCACCGTGGGGCAAATCAACCCCGCCATGACAGCGGGCTCCGCACCCGCCCTACAGCATGCGCACTTTCTGAGCAGGCACTGGCAGGCTCGCAGGGCGTTACAAAAGCTTGAACACACCGTTGTAGTTTGATGAATACACTACGAGACTGTCTAGGCTCCCAGCAAGCCTACCTAGTTACGAGAGGCATGAATATACCCTCCGAGCCCGGAACCGCCCTTGCCGCTTCATTCGCTGTGCTCAATTCTCGTCATGTCCTCTTTGCAGTGGCGGTGTTTCATGCGTCATTCAATGCCATGGAGCTTTGTGGGGAACGGCATTCTATTGAAAGCTCCCGAGGTACCCACGTACCTTGCCTTGCTTGCCAAGCTTACCAACCCAAGGAAGAGCACATGGATTTCCCAGAATTCCTTCCACGGCAGCAAGAATTACCAGCTGACATCATCCCAAGCTGGACCTTCGCTCTCACGTCCCCACCAGGCATTTTCTTGAAACCCCAGTGTTTTCTTAGTCTTCTCGAGGCAGAAGAATACAAAATTTTACGAGAACACGGTTTCTGGACACTTTAACATTCACAGCAGAGCACGAACACACAATTTTGGCCCGCTCAGATTGACACACACTACAACACACATACACACCTGGTGTAGAAAGCAAGCCGACTCCCGAACACCCAAACGAAACAAACAGCGACCAGAGTATAATGTCTAGCCTTCACCGGCGGGCTCTTGCCGGGGGCAAGACCGTATCCCGCAAAGCACGCGCGAAACCCGAATCCGGCCTCTCTTCGTCAAACCCCTCTCCGAATGTCTCTCCAGGCAATTCGCGCGCAGGCTCGAGGGCGAACTCACTCCCTGGTAGCCGATACGCTTCCGAAGACGAGTACATGAGCGACCACGAAACTGACGACGTTATGAGGGTGGACACTAATTCCATTGATGGGGACGAGGGCGCCTTTGGTGGGGAGACGAGCAACTGGGCCGAGCGGCTTCGAGACCGAGTAACCGAGCTTCAGGATCGCAAAAGGAGCAATTTACAGGGGCGCGTGAAGAGTTTGACTGCATACAACTTCTTGCTCGAACACAACTTTGCACAACGACAGCTCGACCAGTCCGTCGCCGAACTACTGCCCTTGTTCCTCAAGTTGATCCAAGGCGGCAGCGAAGAAGAGCGCTCGCAAGCGCTACAGGCGTTCACGCTGACGATCCTAACCTGCGGCTCGGACACTGTTTTCGAAGAAGCCCTACCAATATTGGAAGAAGCGTGCTACGATGCAGAGACACAAGAGAATAAAGTCGAGGCACTTCGCGCCCTCTGCATTGCCGTGATTCAGGGAGGTGGGTCACAGGATGCAGCTAAGGATCTCCTCGAGTATTTGCTTGCAATCATCGAAAGCGACGGGGAGTCCGTCAACGCGCTTGACAGCGGGCCCGTCGTCACAGCTGCCCTTCAAGGATGGGCCTTCGTAGCCAGCCACCTCTCTGACCTGACCTTCCAACAAGGCGCGGCCATCGAAGCCTTCGAGGAACAACTGAACAGCTCAGATGCGGGGGTACAAACCGGCGCAGGTGTCAACATTGCGTTGCTCTTCGAGTGGGCCCGGGAGTACGAAGAGGAGACGGGCGAGAGCCCCGACATGCAATATAACCAGCACCGTACCACCACGCGCATGGAAGAGATTGTACGCGACTCGTCCAAGTCTGTCTCGAAGAAAGACCGGCGCAACGTGCGCTCGAAGTTATCCAGCGTCCTCACTTCATTGGAACGTGGCAAAGGGCCTGGTTATTCGACGGCCGGCCGCCAGGGTCCAAACCCACACACAGGCGGGGCGAGGACGGAGGACGAAGGGGATTTCCACGAGTTTGGCTATCGCGAACGAATCCGTATCTATAATCAGTTCTTGCTGATAAATACTTGGTCATTGGAGGCTAGGGTGGAGATGCTGAAAGCGTTACTGAAGGGTGGGTTCGGCATTCATTATCTCGAGAATCCCCTCGTGCGGGAAATCCTGAGCGGCGCAGAGGTCGAGTTTGTCTCGGAACGGCGACCGAAGAAATGAAACAGCGGAGGCACAGACTGAAGGGGTAATCATAGTTTTAGCCCCCTTTCCCTCTTTCCTTCTTCCTACCTCTTTTTGTTTGTTTTTTTCCCTATACCTTTTTTCCTGCGTATCACGGGTATGCTAGTGTGGATAGGCCACTATCGTAGCATGGAGGTATTTTGCACCCTTATCCTTTCTCGACCAATACCTCTAGAGTAGTAATATCAACATCTCTTTGTTGCGCTCGTGTTCACGTTATGGCTGTGTGTTCTCACCAGTAGTTAGCTCTAGGTAGAACATTGTTGTGGGGTGAGGTGCTCGGGGTCATTGCCGGGGGCAACGGCTTCTTGGAATTGTCGCTTGCCACAGCTCACATCTCCATGAATGGAGCCGGGCCCATCCCGTTGATGATTCGTTGTATCAGAATTGAATGAAGCAAGCAGCTTTCCAATTATATTTACCGCTACCGCGGCCTATCGCTGTGCTTCTCGCTGGAGTGGAACGAGACTGCTGGTGGGCTTCGTTCTAAAGAGAGCCAAAAGCATAGCTAGTGGACTTGAAAAGCAGAAACAACGAAATGAGCCTTCTTAGCTGTGCATCGAGAACTCAAAGCGTGATGAGTTCAGATACCGAGATCAATGAATGAATGACGGAAAGTGATACACCAACTGTGCAAGCAGAAGAAACTACCAACCAGCTCTCTTCCTCTCTCGTGATGCGGGTCTTGGGAAACAAGCGAAATACTCCGTATCTTACGCAGCATGAACTTCCCCAGCCCGCGGAGCCGGGATTTAGGCCATTAGAAAGAATGCTGCCCAGAAAATAGACGATTCATTTTGACCTTTTCGACCAAACGTTAAAGTTAGTTAATGAGAGTGACTTGCGTTTGTCGAGGCTTGCTGCGTTTGTGTGGGGTGGTTGGGTGATTCTGCATCACCCATCACCTTTCCTTCCAGTGAGAGCGACTCGCCCCGGCGGGGCTCCCAGTCGAGGCAAAACGTTGGCGGGGCAGGGAGCAGGGGTGGGGAGTCGAATCCTGTTCGTCTCTTCCGATGGCCCCCCGCAGCGATTGAACTGCTGTGGTCCTTGCTGGCTTTTTCTTGGCAAAGAACGGAGCTGAACGTCAACAAACCGCCAGCTCGCGAGCCCAGCCTCCTTGATTTGGAGGTCGTTTCTGTCCTTTGAGTTCCCGATGACCACGCTTTCATTTTTCCCACCTCGGCTCTTCTTTCAATTCCTTTCACTTTTTGAGTTCATTGCATCGGGGGTATCGTTGCGACAGCGGAGCGAAACGGCGAAGCTATCGGCTTAGTACCGATCTACCGCCCGACCTACAGTTCCTTGGGTTAGGTACATACAGTAGTACCCTGACTTTGCAGGAAACTGCTTAAGGCTCTTCATCGATTTTTCTCTTCTTCGTTTTCATTCTGGTTTTTCGATACCTCCTGCCTTCATATCGACGCCCTGCAGCAGTCCGTCTCCGAGCCTCGTCTTTTCTCTTCTTCACCGTTTGCGAGCTGCATGTCGGTGCACCACAGACCCCCGGATTCACGCCCAATTGGCCATTTCGTCAACGCACCGCCAGCGCATCAGGCTTTCCCGGCCACAGTCTCCCCTCTTTTCGCTCTCCCACGTCCCCGTCACAACGCCTCCGATAGGCCCTCCCGGGGTCTGCAGAGCACATCCACATCATCTCTTCCTTCTCCCGCTCTGCAGAGAAGGAGAAACTGTCCAAGACGGCAAATTCCACGCATCGTCGACCCTTCCGACACCTAAACGACTGGTTGCCGACTCAACACCATATTGTTTGCGCCAGTCGTTAACTTGGGTGTTTCTTGGGGGGGCACCCTCCGACGCCAAGCTCGACGTAACATCACCAATAACCAACACATTCTCGCTCCTTCCTCCTCACCTGATCAGTGAGTTGAGTTAAGAGAGAGAGTGAGCGAGTTGCGTAACAAGATAATTGTTGTTGGCTTCTTCGCCACTCAACCCCAAGGCCGATTGGATCGACCGCCCGTTGCGACCTGCCCCGCTGCCACGAATTCTCAGGCGAACGAACAAGCAAACGGACGGAAGAACGAGCTGCTTCTTTCCCGCCTTTTCGTTACTTCAAATTGTTCGTTTTCGGTAACCGTACGTACAACGCGACTCGTCCTTTGCGTGACTTTTCCTTTTCCCCCATACTCTGCGGTCTCCACGGCGACCCTAGTTTATCGTCTTTCTTCTCCGTTTTTCTCTCACCTTGACCTTTCCTTTTCCCTCGTTCGCTCCACTGTTTGGCTGGGAGACGAGCTGTGCAACACACATCCTTGTTTCACGGCGGCCTCTCTCACCTACGGTTACTTCCTCAATACTCGGGATCGCCTTGACCGTTTGCCGGCGTCGGCATTCTTACACCACCAACCAAATACCCTTTTTCTTTTTATCTTCGCTTTTATTTGTCGGACACTTTCGTCTCAACTTGGCCCGTTGTCGTCCTCTTAATATTTGGTCTTGCCCGTTTTGAATGGTTCTCGAGATTGAGGGATCCGTGGAGAGGATTAATTGGGCGCCAAACCCAAGCCGCGCTGATACCTAACCGATCAGTAGGGAGCTACTCACTGGCCACCGGCTCTTAACGCAACCATGGGCATCGAGAGTAGAAACAAGTCAGCTCCACCGCTCCCCGCGCCCACTGAAACCAACTCGACCCTCCTCTCCGCCGCCCCCAGCAACCTTGTACCGAGCGAGGTCTCAACCGACTTGTCCAAGCCCGGCGACGACAAATCCACATACTCACTCCCTGACGACGGAACCCCAGTCACCATCAGGACAGGGCATCGCCAAAGCAAGTCGCAAACTTCGCTGTTGATCGAGTATTTCGAAGGGAGCAAGGCAAGCAGCGTATCCGGCACGAGCGAACGGCGAAAACCCAGCGTCCGAGTCCGTGTAAGACCAAGCAGCAAGCATCGGCACAAGGGTGGATCGGAACGAGACCGCATCAAGATCACGCACACCAAGTCGAGGCGAACGAGTCCAAATCGACGATCGGTTCCTGCTCGGAGCGAGACGGAAGACCTTTCGGTCCTGAGTGGAGACGTGGAGGATGTTGGCTCATATGCGTCGGCGACCGAAGAGAGTAACGTCAGCCGCAACCCAATCGACATCGAGATCGACCCGGGCGACAACATCACACGCCGTCGCCGCCCCGCCAGCCCATTGATTCCTGCCGCTGACGCCAAGGGCAGCTACCATGCGTCGACAATGAGCGAGATTTCAGCGATTCCTGCAGACAGCTTTCTTGACGGTTCCGGACCAGCCACATCCTTTGGCATGTCGGAAGGCAAAAGCACCCGAAGTAGAAGCCCGTCCCGTGGCGGCGATTACCTTCTTGGTGCCGCTGCCGGGTTAGGCGCAGCCGCTCTTGCCGACAAGCACCGAAGCAAGAGTCGAGATGATCGCGATCGAGACAGGGTCTCGGTGTCTAAGACCCGGGACAGCAAGGATAGGGACCGCAAACACAGGTCGAGCAAGAGCCGGACAAGCAGTGTGAGCAAGGATGAGAAGTATTCAGAGCGCGCGAGGTCGCCGCGCAGGAGATCCAAGGGCCATTCCGATTCCCTCATCTCGGGGGCAGACTCTAGCGTAGTCTCCTCTGCTTTTGCGCCAAGCCATCGGTCGATGGACCAGCACTCGATCCGTTCAGCCACCTCCAAGGCATCCTCAATCAACAACCCCAAATTGCTCGAGACGGTCGAAGATGCCATCCGTCGCCTTATTCTGCCAGAACTCAACGCCCTGAAGAGGGAGCAGAGCCGCCGGGGGACACGCCGGGATTCAACCACGTCCAGCACGACAACGGCGTCAAGAGACGAGTTTGCAGCGGAGAGGCGAAGATCGGGTGCCGTCGACAAAGCAGTCGCAACGCCGCGCGACAGCATGAGGAGCAAAGAGAGCCGTGATCGTGAGGCTCGTAATGACTTTGACGACAGCAGCGCTCTTAGCCACGATTCGATCGAGGACGAGCGCGAGCTAGACGACACTCCGGGGCGTGGGATAGATCGTCTAAAAGCTGCCGCGGTTGCGGGCGGTGCTGTGGGCGCGGCTGCCCTGGCTGCCAATGAAGTGTTCTTGTCACCGCCTGATGACAAACAGCGATCTAGACGAAGACGCCGCGCGGAGCTGCGAAGCCGAGGGGTGGGCTCTGATCTCACCCTGGAGGATGAGGAATCGGAACTCGGGCCGCCAGCACCACCCATGCCCTTGATGAGTGACATTAACGCCTCCGACGTGACAAGAGCGTCCATCCTTTCGGCCGAATCGGACCGGCCGCATTCCGCAAGCGAAGAGCTCGCCCCAGGCCGCGAGCTGCTCCTCCAGGACCAAACATCCACCACCTCCACCCCCACACCCACACGAACGCCAGTCACCTTACAAGCGCTGGGTACACAGCACGCCAACATTTCCCACGGAGATCTCAAAACCTTGCCGACCCAACGAACCGGGCAGTGGGACGAGTATATCATTGACGACAACGGCAAGAGGGTGCCGTCTCGCGCCTCCAAGCATTACAAGGAGGACGAGGAGGACTACGAAGACTCCGACTCTGGCCAGCCATATGCACCCGATGGCCCGTACGACTACTACAGCACTCAGGACGTCCCCCCTCCTCTCAAATACGTCCCGTACCAGCCGGAGAGGCGCGGCCTCAGCCCAATCCCGAGCGTTTCGGGCTACACAGAAGCCGGGAGCGAGCTGCGTCATGCCGATTCGCGGGCTTCCCACCGCACCATCGATTCCGTTTCTTCTGTTAGGAAATCGCCGCTTCACGATGGAGTTGCTCAAGGGGACGCCAATAACGGTGTGATCGCGCAGAGCGGCGAGCTCAACCGTATCCCATCCGGCGAGGCCGTTCGCGCGGTGGGTTACAACAACCCTGACTTCGTTCACCTCGCAGGTGTCGAGTCGAACGTGGCATCTCTCATCGACGGCTCGGGAGTTGAGGGCTCTGCCCTGACGGGCTCCTCCAGTGCCGTTGGGAACCCGCTCTACGGGGGCCGAGAGTCGATGGCAACCCTCGACGAGGAGATGTCCCGTGATCCGGGCACACCCACCAAGCGCTCTGTGGCGAACCAGCGCGAAATCGTGGATGGACGGGGTGCGACTCCCACTTCGGCGGGCCACCGTTCCGGTGACTTTGTTGAGTACGAGCTCGATGAATACGGCCGCAAAGTGCCGCAGACTACTTACCGGCAATCCCCGACCGTCTCCGAGGCGGCCATCACCAGCGCCGCAGTCGGCGCTGCTGCTGCCGCCCTCCGGAATCAGACAAAGGAACAGCAAGTTGTTGCGGATGACGAGTTAGATTTCCAGGGCGCAGGCGTCCAGCGGAACAAGTCCTTCAAGGAACGTACGCAACAAGGGCCGCGGCCGGGAATCGATACGGCCAGCGCGGAAGAGCTGGTTCACGGCCAGGATCAAGCCAAGCTGGGCTTTAGTGGCATGCCTGACCCGAACGATCCGATGCCCGAGATCGGCGACTGGAACGACGACGACGACCTCCTCACCAACCCGTCGTTGATTAACGGCGAGGGCGGCCGCGATGAGGAAGCGCGTTGGGCCGGCGACGTCACCCCCCGTCAACACCCCCAAGCGCGTGCCGACGATGTGGACTACCATGACCTTGATGGGGCCCATGACGACGGGACCTTGCCGCAGCAGCGTAGCGGGCACGATCTCGGCATGGCGGCGGGGGCGGCCGCAGTTGCCGCAGCTGTCGGCATGGCAGCGGCACACAACCACAACAACAACAACCAGGCCAGTCAGGAGCATGACGAGTGGTACCGGACGTCCGAGGACAAGAAGCGCGACACACTCATCACCAACCCGTATGAGGGCTCAAGCCCAATCGCCAACATCCCTGGGCTCAATAACAACCTTATGCCCGGCTATGACAACTCGGGCTATGACGATTTGTATACCACCCGCAGCCCGCTTGGGCACAAGGTCGACGAGGGTTACATCTCTCAAGGGCCCAACAAGACGCCGGATCTCCAAGGCAGCGTCAAGGGCAAAGGGCTTGGTGCTGATGCCGCTCCGGGCGCGGGAGCCATGGACACGGAGGATCCGTTCTATGGTACCCCCAAGCAACACGCCGCTCAACACCTTAGTGGTGTGTCACAGGCCATGGGCTCACCCATCTACGATGCATCGACTGGGGCTGGGATCGAGACGATTGAATCGAAGGATATCATTGCACTGATGCAACATGTGAGTTTATGAAGCCCAATGGCAGCCGGCTGACAAACACGGGAAGATTGATATAGAAAAATGCTAACACCGACTTAGTTGATGGTACGCGACGCCCAGCGCAGCGCGCGAGACACGGAGATCCTGGTGACCCTCGTGCGTTCTGCGACCGAGATGCGCAACAACTTTGAAGACATCAAGCGTATGCTGGCCGATACCGAGGACGTCATCATCACCGAGGTCAAGGATAATACCGAGAAATCTGTTCAGCGCGCCATTAACGGCCCCCGTCCTTATCCAGGTAGTGCCCCGCGCTCCATCCATGGTGGCTCGCAATCGGGCACCATCAACGAGGAGATCAACGCCAAAAAGCGGAGCATCTTTCGGCGTGCGCTGAAGGGCCTGAACGCCAAGGGGGCAAACGACCTTGGCCGCATCGAGGACATGCTCATGCAGCTGCTGACGGAAGTGGATGTGCTCAAGGCGCAAACCGCTCCGGGTCAAGGGGGCGCTCCGAGCACGCACGTCCCTGAGCAGCCGTACGACCACTTGGAGCCTGAGGTCCAGAGCGAGCAGGACCACGGGTACGACCCCGAGGGCTTGGCCGGCACTTCGACCGCAAGCCATCCCTCGCATTCGGGGTTCCTTTCCATCCAATCGCGTGGGACATCGGTCAAGCCGGGATATGATCGCAAGGTGTCGGCGAACCGGATCAGCACCGTGCCAGAGGATAACGAAGAAGATTATGACCACGCCCGGCGCAATGACGACAGTCGCTTGATGACGCCCACCCAGGAACGGTACGGCAACCAGACGCCGGTGACCACTCCGCCCGGTGCTGCTGCACAGGCGCAAAACCCTATGAGCAACGAGAATACGCCCCGCACCGAGGAGAGCGGGAAGAAGAAGTCGAGGTCCAGCTGGTTCCGCATTCCCAAGATCTCGCGGTGGTCCGAGACGACCGCGTCGAGTGGTGTGCCTGAATCTCGCCACAGCAAGCAGTCCAGCAAGGAGGAGAATTTCTCTACCTACCCCACAGCAGGGTCTCGCTCCGGGTCCCTCGACCACTACCAAGAGAACTACCAGTTTTCCCCGCCTCAGCCCTTGCAGACAGACAAGCTCCACACCGGTTTCTCGGAGACCAACCTGTCACACGGCGGTGGTCACGGTGGTCAGGATGCGTATCCTGAGGAGCACGACGAGCCGGTGTACAACTCGCAGGTATCGTCACCCTCGCAGCAACAGGGCGGTGGCGCCAACTGGGTGTCGATGAACATGACCCCGGAAGACCCCAAATATAAGGTGCACCGCGACTCGCTTAACCTCGTACACCCCCAGCCTCGCCAGGGCCAGACGGAGCGCTTCAAGGCGGCCCTCGAGTCGCAAGCCCTCGGATACGATTCGGGCCTGGGACCCCGGTCCGCCGATTGGGCCGGCTCGGCTACCAGCCTACAGCGCTTCGGCCAGCCGCAGCAGCAGCAGGGCCACCGTCGTGCCGACAGCTATGGCGATGCGTACCAGCAGCAGGAGCAACACCAACAACCACACTGGATGTCATCCCCTCTGGCCGCTTCGGCCATGACTGCCACATCCGGCGGTGCACCTCCGCGTCCGCCCAAGGAGGCCCTAGACGTTGGGGCCCCGCCCAGCCCGAGCCCGGTACCCCAGCCGCTGATGGCAGCGACCACCACGCCCCCAACCAACAAGCGCATCAGCAAGCTCCAGGGCAAGAGCGGCAGCCCCCTGCCGCACCACAGCGTCGAGAGCGGGTATGGCACCATGACGCACGGCGTTCCGACTGCCAGTTACATCAGCCAACACAGCCAGCATAGCCAACATAGCCAGAGCCAGCACAGCCAGCACAGCCAGCCAAGCAGCCGGGACGGGAACGGGAGCCCGAGGCTGGAGAACAGGAACTTGAGCGGTGCGCATCTGGCCGCGCCCAGCGGCGGTGTCAACAGGCGACCGAGCGGGCCGAGGCCGATGACGCCGACTGGGTCGGGTTCGGGGTCGAGGAGCTTAGGGTTGGAGGATAGGGATCGGAGAAGGGGTCAGTTTTTTTCTTGCTAATCTTCTTTTCGTTATCCCATATTCGAGCCACGAACTAACAACGACATGCACAGATACTTTTGGCTCGCAAGACACGGATACCTTTTAAGGGATATATACCTGTTAAGCGATGAAGTGGGTGCCTCCTTGTCGGCGAGGTGAACTAACACCTGCTGTGGGAAACTAAGACGTGTCCACCAATTCTCGCTAGACACGGGATACCCTTTAATTGACAAACCTTTTTGAGTGATGGGGTGGTTGCCTCCTTAGCGGCGAAGTGATTTAAGCACATCCCGCGGGAAACTAAGACGCGATTACCAATCCTCTCAAGACACGGATGGGTACTTTTTAAAGTGATGGGCTGGTTGCCTCCTTGGTGGCTAGGTGATTTGAACACCTGGCACGGGAAAGTAAGATGTGACCACTAATTACTCACTAGAAGGAAACCAACCCGGTCCACTGACAAGGGGCAGCCTGCTGGTCTGGGTTTCGCCCCTTGTTTTGTTTATCGGTCGTGGTGGTGGAGTGGGCGGAGATCGCGAGGACACTCGATGTTGTCTCGTGTGGTTAAAAATATGAAAATAAAAAGAAAACATAACGCAAGGGATGATTCATTGGGAGGGGGTCGGTGGTGATATGGGTGGGTTCGATTCAAACGGTCTGTTTTCATATAGATGTGTTGTTTTTCTCTACGAGATCTTGGGAGGGATGGGAAGGCTCGGGCTGATGATGGGTTGGCTAGCTAGTAAGCGGAAGGAGGGGGTTCTGACGAAGGGGGGGTAGAGCTGGCTTTTTGTTGTTCATTTGTTCATGATGATGTTGTTGACTTAGCGAGATGTCTGTCATGGAAGCAACGGTGGGACGGAGGAGGTTCAGTGTGTGCTACATAGGAGTAAATGGGACGATAAGGGTGTGGAGTGAATTGATATTGTCTTGTCTGTGGCGTAAACGATGCGATTGATGTGTGTTCATAGGGGAGGGAGTTTACTGAAATGAGAAATGGTAGTCACTATTTGTCTTGCTGTTGTGGATTACATTTTCTGATCCCCGCGCGTGTTTTGTGACTATCGAGTTTGAGGGGATTTCGAGTGCATTCCTGTTGACCCGAGTGACACGCATGTTTTTTGTTTGTCCCCGGTTGTTGAACGTTATCATGTCGGAAGCCCTGGAAAACGAGCGTGGGGGGCGGGTGGTTGTGAGTTGCCTCTTTTCGGGGCTAGCCTGTTTGGACTGACCGATGAGTGAGAGGAAAGGGAAAACTCACGCGACAGATGGGATGGAATGTCTCAGCCGGATGAGGTCAATGCTTTGGAACTTGTCTAGTTTGCGGGTTGAATGTTTGAGGTATGGGTATTGGAAAGGCGAGGTTATGTTTTGGTGTCAAGATGATGAATCTGGAATGTACCAAGGTTCAAGGTACTCTGTGCCGAAGTGCGGAATGTTTACCCCGGCCAAGTCGTAGAAAATGCTCCGAGATGAAATGCTCCAAGATATACTACTAACGGCAGATCGAAAACCAAGCAAACTAATGAACATTCGGGCTCGCTGCGAGCCGCAAGCTATCCTTGATTCCACAGGTTTTCCATCCCATTCCCACTTAAGACGCTCGGTGTGGCCATCACCGGATGCCGCAACGCCCGCTCGGGGCCCCCCGGCTGTCGCCGCCTGTAAGGTGGGGGTTTCGGACGCGCCTGGCCCGCCGGACCGGGCTGCTTGGCACCACCAACCACCCCCGCTCCGCAATCGGGGGCCCCGGGCCCATCAAAAATTCAGTTGGTGACTGGTGATCGCGTGGGTGGGTGACTCTCAACAACACGCAAGAGGATTCGATGATTTTGAACGCTGGGTCTGGGGTATATAAACGGGCGTATACCACGAGGTATGTACGAGTCCTTCATCTGATGTCCCTGGTTTTCCGTTTTGATGACGCATAAATTGGAGAATTAATAGAGTTAACATAACAAACTCCGACAAGCATTTCAACAGGGAAAGTCACCATAATTAATTAATCTACGAAGTACGACCTTCACAGTCAACCCTTAGCACTACGTTTTCCGAGCTCACGCCAACCCGAGATTCATCACCATGGCACCCACCGAGTCTTTCGTCATCAAGACGCCCTGCTCCAGCGCCAACATCGGCCCCGGGTTCGACGTGATCGGACTGGCGCTGTCCATGTACCTGGAGCTGCACGTCACCATCGATCGTTCCGTCGCCAAATCGGACCAGCCACTCAACTGCCGCGTCACGTATGAGGGTGAGGGCGAGGGCACCGACGAGATCAGCCTCGACCCCCAAGTCAACCTCATCACCCGCGTCGCCCTGTACGTCCTGCGCTGCCACGACCAGCGGAGCTTTCCCGCCGAGACTCATGTGCACATCAAGAACCCCATCCCGCTCGGCCGCGGCCTCGGCTCTTCGGGTGCGGCTGTCGTGGCTGGTGTGATGCTGGGGAAGGAGTGCGGCGGCCTGCATGATCTGACGCCAGAGCGGCTGTTTGACTTTTGCTTGATGATTGGTGAGCGAGCACCCAACCACCCACCCGCCCACCTGGACCCCTTCAAGACCTGGCCCTCTTCGCCCTCCAAAGTTCTGTCTAGGGACCCGTAGTACGACGGCTAGCTAACCTCAAACAGAACGTCATCCCGACAACGTAGGCGCGGCTCTGTTCGGCGGTTTCGTCGGCACGTACCTTAAGCCACTGGCCCCCGAGGATGTGGCTCGCGTGGAGATCCCTCTCAGCGAAGTTCTTCCCGCTCCCGCTGGCGGCATCGACACCGGCGCGAAACCACCTTCACCACCCAATGGTATCGGTCACCACATCAAGTTCCCCTGGGCCTCCCAAATCAAGGCCGTGGCTATTATCCCGGAGTTTGAGGTGCCCACCGCAAAGGCTCGCGAGGTGCTCCCTGCGCAATATCCGCGGCCCGACGTGGTACGTTTTGTCCTCTCTCTTTCCCTCCTTCTCTCCAGTTATCGTTGTTGGTTGAGATGGTAGGCAATGTCGGAGAGCTGACCGTTGATGCTGTTTTAGACCTTCAACCTGCAACGCATCGCCCTACTTCCCGTAGCACTAGGCCAGTCGCCTCCCGACCCGGAACTCATCTACCTAGCCATGCAGGACAAGCTGCACCAACCGTACCGCCAGACCCTGATCCCCGGGCTGAGCGAGATTGTCCAGTCCATGACGCCCGGTACCCAACCTGGCCTACTAGGTGTGTGCCTGTCCGGCGCCGGGCCGACCATCCTAGCGTTGGCGACCGAAAACTTCTCCGAGATCGCCGAGCGCATCATTTCTAAGTTCAGGGAGAACAAGATTGTTTGCAATTGGAAGGTGTTGGAGCCAGCCGAAGGGACGACGGTGACTCGGGCGTAGGTACAGGCGTGGGCGTAGGCGGCTGGCTAAACCTTGAAACGAAGAAAGCACAGGAAGAGGAAATTTTGGAATACAATTGCTGTGATACCCCATCATCCTCCAGTACACTTCAAATCGTTTTCTCACTTAAGAAAACGGCCCACATGCTCATTGCCACGCAACACACAATGTGCAGCGCTGACCAAGCCCATCCAATCCAAACCACACCCTCGTATGGCGTCACGCTCCTCCATCAATGAACCTGGGTCCCCCGGCTCGATAAATCCCACTCCCTGTGAGAAAGCAGCCGGGCCGAGGACGCCGAGCAGCGGCTCACCCAAATAACCCGCAGCAATCTCTCCCAGAGGCTGAAGGCAGGCAGTCAGGCAGTCAGGCTGGAAAGGAACCAACAAACCGCATAAACCCTGCATACCGCACAGTGCAAGTGTGTGCACAGAGACAAGGCGCCCTGCATTGCATGGCATGGAAATGCGAGATGAAAACGGATCCCCCCATCCCACCCTTTTTCCCACGAGGTGCACACGAGGCGAGTTAGCCCAGGCGCGTTAGGCGAGAGGAGGCGTACGCGGGAGGAGGCATTGTGTCAGAACGTAAAACACAACAGCTCTGTCTGTGGTTAATTAACCGAACATGCCAGATCTGACACATTTTCGAAGCGAGATTTTAGAACTCACTCGCTTTCGGATGCCAAGTTCTCTAAAAACCGGGTAACTGCAAGGTCTTCCATACCTAACTAATAGAAGAGCGTATACCCTGTCCCGCCCTAGGAGAGACGCCATGACTCCTATACTAACAAGTGTTGTCGTTGTGTACTCGAATTTTCTCATTCAAGGTTAGAAAAACAAAAGGACCAAAAGAAAGAAAAACGGAGCAAGGTAAAGATGAGGATTGGTGGTATAAAACGCGCTCGCTTTCCCATGATGCCCCTGTCAGTACCACGCCGTTGAAAGTAATAACCAGACCAAAAAAGCCAAATGCCCCCCGCGGAGTTTTTGCTCCTCAAAAGATACCCTCATGCGTCAATCTTTTTTGTCCTCCATGATTGATAGTCCTTCTCCCCTTGGCCGCCTTCCAAGCCACGTTCTCAAGGCGGCGATGACCCCGGCGCAGAGTCTGGAGAGAGTTTTTGTTGCGGCGTCGGTGTCGGTTCAGACGATGTCGACCCCCCTGGCTTTCGCGCGTAGACCGTGTAGCTAGGCATGTCAACAACAGAATCGCCAAAGAGGACGCTAGCCCGCTCGGGGAAATAGACGAGAGGTGCGAGGGAGGGGATACTCACTATGGCCAGTACATATGTACGTTTCGGTTTTTGATCTCCTTCCTCAATTCCACCAAGAAAACCTGGACCTGCTCAGGTGTCCACTTCAGGGTTTTGGAGAACAGCCTTGTCACCATGCCGCTCAAGCCAAACAGCAAGTTCTCCATTTCGAACGCCCCGATAAGTTTCAGCCGCTGATCCCTCGGCCACGGACTCAATGGCATCTTGTGGATGACTTCGGTGACGTCCTCAAAACCGCGCTCCTCAAACCAGCGCTTCCACCGCGTGGGGTCGTCAATAGGTGTCCCATACAGGCAGGTGCTTTCGTACATAGCGTCGGAGAACCGGCGCATCGGACTGTTTTCGCGGAGGGTGTGGTCGTCGCAACCGAGGATGCCGGTTACACATTGAAATTCCAGGTAGCCGCCGGGTTTTAGGTGTCTGGGTACAAGGTTAATCATGGACTACCTGGCTGACTTTCTCATTGAGGCTCTGCGGAACTTTAGCGGGGGTCAATGTCGTACCTGTAAGCCTGGTCTATGAGTCGGGGCCAATCCCGAATGGCGAGGATGAGATCGCGGGCGAAGATGAAATCGAATGAATTTTCCCTCCATGCCCACTCCTGCTCAATGTCATCGAGCTCGAACTGGCAGTTTGGTGGGACCCTAAGCCATCGTATCAGTAGCTTGCACGAGTTGAAGGAATGGGCTTCCTAAATCTTCATACCATTCTGGCTGTGTCGGCGCAATATCAACACCCAACACCTGTGAGCTAGTCAGTTACACATAGCCCCTCCCTCGGTAGTACAGCATGCAGCTGTGAGACGTTCATACATCTGCTGAGGGATACATATCCGCCACATCGATCGACCATATGCCTACCAGACAAAACTGTTAGCCACACCACACACACACAGACAAACCTCGGGACCGGATCCCCGGGTCCGTCATGCACGACACCCCGCCCAAGGAACATATAACGTACCCGTCCCGCAGCCCAAATCTAAGATTTTTTGGGGGTTTTCGGTGATTGGCGCAAGAAATCGCCGTTTCTCGAGTAAGGCGTAGTACTTGGCGTGGCACATGTCTAATTCCTCCTTGTTAGTCATGCCATGCTAACCTTTCTCCCATCAAGGTTGCCTAAGGTTTGTCGAAAAATTTGGCTGGATAGGCGAGAGAGCAAACGCGCTGCGTTCTTCAACCCTGCCAGTCGGTCCCGGTTGGGGAATGAAAGAGTTGGTCGAAAGAAAAAGGCAACACCAACCGATCCTGTCCAATTCCACGTCATCCATCGGCATTCCATATTCTGCGCAGCGTTAGTGACCTGCTGCCATTCCCCCGTCCCACATTCCGCGCTCCCCGCGGCAAGAACATCTCACCTTCCTTGCCGTACACGGCATACACACGTCCATCCTCAACCTTGCCTCGGAGGACCGAAGATGTTATGGAGGTCAATGAACTCCCTGAGCTCGCGACATCGGCGCCCTATAGGTTCATCGAGCGTTTCAGCATGGCTGGATCTCTTTCTCCCCCTCTCCTCCCTCGCGACCCCTGCAAGATAACTAAGCGCCGGTGGGAATAAAAACGCTGCTACACACCTCGTCCTCGTCCCATGTCTGTCGCATACAGTTAGCCGGTTCGTGTTGCAGCATAAAGAGTATAAAAGCTCACACCCGTAACGCGCATGGGCAACTCACGTCGTCCGCCTGAATCAGGTTCTCCGCATCTTGTGGGTGCATCATGATGCGCTTCGGTTTTGGTGCGAGACGGCCGAGGGCCTCTCTGTCTGCGGTCGTGCACCGATTGTCTCCGCGGATGTCGGCGCCGCCTCGTTTTTCGTCAATCGGTCATTAATCGGCTAGGCGGGTGTGGATACGGAATGCCCAAAAAAGATTCCACAAGGTATAGTTGATGAGGTAAGGGCTGACTTCGCTTCGAGGAGAAAAGCAGTGTCGAATGCTGCGAATTGCGGAGTTTGTCGGTCGCGGTTGGAAAGACAGAGAATGGACCACACAGTTGGCACTTGCTGGCTTTGATTCCCTGCCCGCGCGCACGGGGTGCATCCCTCTTGGCGTCTATCCCAACTCCAAAGGAACCAGAGGCGGGCTGTTCCCGTTCCGCCGTGGGGTCTGAATGGGAAGGCAGTGTTTGGGGGATCATTGGGGGCTTGGGGCCCACAGGGCGAACCCACTAGCCAGTCCCGGTGAACACAAGTTCCCCATTCCCAGGGTCTTCCCCGTTCTGATTGGGGTTCGCCAGTTGATCGAACCCGGCCAGTTCCAGCGCCAGAGCGCCCCCAATGCCCACCGATTTTTTAAAGTGTTTCTTCCCACCACCTCAGGACACCTGCAGCAGCCGGAAGAAGAGGGTTGTCCTCTTTGGTTGCGTCTCAACCATTCCGAGTGTGCCTTCTTGCCTACGTCCCATCCACGGGTCTGTGACGGGCAAACGGCATACATGGACTAACGCAGTGAGACTTAGCATCATGCGAAACGATGGGGATAACCTCTGCAGGCCCGGGGAACCGGGTGCCATCCATCTCAGGTTTTGTCAGCATCTCGCTCTTCTTTTCTCAAGGTGGACAACCGTTCCTACCAATTCGCCCGGCGAAGCTACACTAAAAAGAGTGGCTCGGAGGTGGGAGGTGGGCAAGCGAGCGGCCTGGCAGGTTGAACACCCAAAAAGCTGGGCTGCCGGGCTCTCACCACCGAGACCACCCACCCACCAGCCCTCGCGGTCCCAGGGAAACGTTCCGAGAGGGGCAGATGGGTGGCTCGGTGGGTCGGCGCCATTCGATGTGTCCATGCAGGCAAGCTCTTCTGATTTAGCTTGGAGCTAGCAATGCCGCTTCCTTGTCTTGAAATTACCACGTTTGTGTTGAGGGCGGAGAGATCTTCCACACCCCTTTCCGCTTCCTCGTCAGCGTCACGCAACACCTCCACCCGCACGGTGTCACATCGCATGTGGTGGCTGGCGGAGCCAGCGACTCGGGATTTCACTTCACCTCCTCTCACTCCTCCTCCCTGCTCTGGGCTCGTTGTGATTTTTTCTCAAGGTCGGGAGACGGGAGGTCGGTTATACTTTCGTATATCACGCTTAACATTACTCTCCGTGCTCGGGAGGCTAGTTGTCTAGGTAGCGTTAACATTAACCACCCCGGGTTTAATTTCAGGAGATTGATAACAAACACGTGGAGTTTCCCTCAAGGGTGGAAGGGGGGGAAGAGCCTCCCGCCAAGGAGCTAGCTTGGCAGCTCGGCTTCGTCGAGGGACAGACTGGGGATAGTTTCGACGGCAATACGGTTCCCACGCTGGATAACGGTGTCACTGGCTTGTGGTTGGCCAAGCTAGGGTTCTTGTCCAACCGAGAACAGAGTTTCTTGGAAACGCAATCGTCCTGCCGAACAAACCGGCTCGCTGCGGGGTTTCCAGGCCCTTGGTTGATGAAACGAAAGGGGAAAAGACCCATTCTTTTCTCCCCATCCTCACACAAAGGAGAACCCGGGCAGCCGGGGAGCTTGCTCGCCGAGAGAAATGGAGTCATGAAAGCCGCCGGTGGGCCCGGGATCTGACACGGGTAGGGCTTGAACAAACCCATTCCTCTGGGTTTGACCCGCCTCAGGAGACGGGATGACGGACGGAAGTGCGGATGTGCGGTGTTCCCTCCACCTCCAGGCCTACCGTTAAATGCTCTCCCGTATTTGTCCCCGGTCACCTTGAACCCAAGCCGGAAACAAGGTGGAATTCGTGATATAGCCCTGGTCGCTTTAGCTCCAGTGTTCAGGTCCATATCAGGTGCTGCTCCGCTCCCTGCCCCTCCCCAACTCACTCCCTCCCTCGAGTACTCAAGAAGAAGGTTCTTCCCAATTCTTTCTCATCAAGCATATTGTAGACTACAGCCGCCTTTCCACGAACCCGTTTTCCCACCTCCAAGTGAGCCAGCATGGATGACACAAGCGCCGCGCTGAGGGCTGCCGAGGAGCTCGTCGATGCCCTCAAGAGCCAGTCCCAAGTCACCCCCGCCCAGCACCTAGCTCTGCTCGAGCGCGTCGATAAGGTGCGCAATCTCCTCGAGACGCCATACGATGTGATCGAGAGGCAACAGGAAGTCATGTGCACCTCGGGTGTCATGTACACCTTGATCATGACCGGCGCCATCAAGAAGGTCCCAGACGAAGGCACCATCACGGCCGATAAGCTGGCAGCGGAGATGAACATGGACGTCTCGGCGATCCAACGGCTCATGCGTGTGGCCATCGTCTCTGGCTTCTTCGACGAGCCAGAACCCAGCGTCTACGCGCACAACGCTCTCTCGCAAGCATACCAGCTCCATGCCCAAGGTCCCTTCTTTGTCCTCTGCATGGACTTCAACAAGATGTGCATGACCCTACCCGACTACTTCAAGACACACCAGCCGGAGGAACTATACGACATCAAGAAGTCGCCCTTCTGCTTCAGCATCGGGCAGGAAGGAAAGACGTACTACGAGGCGATCGATGAGAACGTTGAGCAACGGAATATCTGGAACGCCTGCCTCCAGATCATCGAGAAGAACATGCCCATTACCGGCATGTTCCCCTGGGAATCGCTCAAAGAGAATGTGGAGAAGGAGCCGGAGCGCCCCTTCTTTGTTGACGTTGCTGGCGGGCGAGGCCAGGCGCTGCTAAAGCTACAAGACGAAATCCCTGGGGCCTACGGCGGCAAGTTGATTCTGCAAGACCTGCCCATCGTCATCAACTCGCTGAAGCCCGAGGAAATCCCAAACATCGAGGCCATGTCCTACGATATCTTCACCCCCCAGCCCGTAAAAAGTGAGTATCTCCCAGCCTCCCTAGCACCTCCGCAGCGGTATGAAAGTCAACATGCTAATCCACACCAGACGCCCACGTGTACTTTATGCGGCGACTCCTCCACGACTTCTACCCTCCCGTCTGCCTTGACATTCTCAGGAGCACCGTATCGGCCATGGGCCCCGACTCACGCTTGATTGTCTGCGACATGCTGGTGCCTGAACGGGTCCAGCCTGGGCATTTGAAGGAGCTATACTGGTTGGACCTGAACTTGATGTCCATTAGCGGGAAGGAGAAGACTCTCGAGGAGTTCAAGGAGATGTTTGACGCCGTCGGTTTGGAGTTGGTCAAGGTGTGGCCGTCTGACATAGGGGCGACGGTGCAACTTGAGACTCGGCTGAAGAGGTCATGAGGCGGGGATACGGGGGCGGGTACGCTGGGGGGGATACAGGTTTTTAAATTCCGACTTGCATAGCAATGAAATCAGATTCCCAATTTTGCTAGGAACTCCGTGAACTCCGGCTGTGTGGTTCCAGTAAAACGGAGACTACGAAGTCAGGTTGGACCTGGGAACGGCCATCCGAGGTGGGGGGGGTTTATACCTCCCGGAGTCGGACGTCGGCACATCGTTTTCAAGAACGAGAAAGGAGAAACTGAATGGGTTCCACCAAGATCAAGGTTGCCCTAGACACCGTGGCGCGAAATGCACTTGCCTCTTGTACATTATTCCCAGTGGAAGGCACCATCCTACCCCGTAGTGTAGTCTGATCCTGAACCTCTCTGTGGCTGCAAGGACATCCATCTGTATCGATAACGTTGCGGGATACAATTAACTTCCATATGGACAGGGGTTCTAAAGTGGTCCGAGCTCTTCAACCCCTTGCTTCCGGACCCACCCTGGAGCTCCAGCCAGTCGCCAATGATGCGCCGCGGCAGAGCAATCACAGAATGGCCGTCAGGAAGAACGCGTCGTTATTTTAGACTCTGGGCAAACGCAACTCTCAACACAACTACCCGTCCACAGTCGACACAGCAGGCAAAGCACCCCGTGATTCCCACAATCTCACGTTGTGCTTGTGCAAATACTTTCGACTCACCCTTGTCACCACGAAAATCCCCTCTCAACAGTAACAGAACGGGACAGACACCACCATCACCAAGTACGAGGGCCGAAGGCGACCTGCGGAAGGGGTACAAGGCATTAGCCAGCGATACAACTCTTGCGAGCGAGATCCGAACTCATCCTTAGATACGACGGCTGCATGTTGAGTCGATAACCCCTCAACCAACAACGACAACCCCCCAAACATACTATGGCAGACACGCTGCACAACGCGCCCATTGTGCTCGACAACGGGTCCGGCACCATACGGGCCGGTTTCGCAGGGGAGGACGTGCCGAAATGCCACTTCCCATCATGGGTAGGGAGGCCGAAGCACCTGCGGGTGCTGGCGGGCGCGCTGGAGGGCGAGGTGTTTATCGGCCAGAAGGCGGCGACAGAGCTGCGTGGGCTGCTGAAGATCCGGTACCCACTAGAACACGGCATTGTGACGGATTGGGACGATATGGAGAAGATTTGGGCATATGTGTATGATGAGGGGTTGAAGACGCTTAGTGAAGAGGTAAATCAGCCCTTGAGGTGGCTCTGTATGGATGGATGCCAGGGCAGAAGGCGAAGCAGACGACTGGAGCTGGAAGGAACCACGGGAGAACTAGGTCGGCTGACACTACTATCTGCAGCACCCCGTCCTCCTAACGGAACCACCGCTCAACCCGCGTTCAAATCGCGACACGGCCGCGCAGATTCTTTTCGAGACCTTCAACGTCCCCGCCCTCCACACCTCGATCCAAGCGGTGCTCTCCCTGTACGCGAGCGGCCGGACAACCGGCGTGGTGTTGGATGCGGGGGATGGTGTATCACACGCGGTCCCAGTATTCCAAGGCTTCACGGTACCCAACAGCATCCGGCGGATCGATGTGGCCGGGAGAGATGTGACCGAGTACTTGCAGACGCTACTACGCAAGAGCGGCTACGTCTTCCACACCAGTGCCGAGAAGGAGGTTGTCCGGTTGATCAAAGAGTCGGTCACGTACGTGGCCCGCGACCCTCGCAAGGAGGAAAAGGAGTGGGCAGCCGCCAAGTTGGACCAGGGGAAGGTTGCCGAGTATGTGTTACCGGATGGGAACAAACTCAAGGTAAGCAGTCCGCGTTTAGTAGCACACTCCATCGGCCGTCCACGAAGCTTCATACTGACCGGTGACTCTTTTCTCCTCCCCAGATTGGTGCCGAACGCTTCCGCGCCCCTGAGATCCTTTTTGACCCTGAAATCATCGGGCTTGAATACCCCGGTGTGCACCAGATCGTGGTGGACTCAATCAACCGGACAGACTTAGATCTACGCAAGGACCTATACTCCAATATTGTGCTGTCGGGCGGCAGCACGCTGACCAAGGGCTTCGGTGACCGTCTGCTCTCCGAAGTACAGCGTGTCGCCGTCAAGGATATGCGGATTAAGATCTTTGCGCCACCCGAGCGCAAGTATTCGACCTGGATTGGCGGAAGTATTTTGGCGGGATTGAGCACCTTTAGAAAAGTATGTTGCGTCCGGTTACGACGCCACGCTTTTTTTTTTCATCTACCCCTCCCCTTTTTTCTTTCTTTTTTCCCTTTCCCTCTAGCTAACGAGATCATAACAGATGTGGGTGAGCATCGACGACTGGCACGAGAACCCCGATATCATTCATACCAAGTTCACATGAGTTGTGTTGGGGGTGACGATGAGTACGATGTACTGGTGTTTTTAGCAGCTCGACACGTGGCGTAGTTCGTGTCAAAATTTCTAGCAAATGGTTGCGTAGGATCTCTGCGGGAGGTGCCACGATAGGAGCGCGTCGAAACAGGCCACCTGTCTGTGACAAATGTGGCGGCGAGCTATGGCGGATCATGTCTGACGAGTTGAGTAGTATGGCATGGCGTATGATGTAGTCTGGGCACCGTCTTCATGGTGGGCGGGGATGTGCTGTCTCAACAGGTCGCTGCGAGGACGTTTTAGGTACAACGAATGATACCCAGTTTTGATTCCATGCCTAGAGAGTTAAGTACTTTAGTTACCAGGGATGTTGTAAACTTGAGCACTACTTAGGCGCGGCAACTACAAATTGGAGACCCAAAAGTGGCGGTTTAAAACGCAATGCATTGCGATGAATAATCATCGCAGCGGGGGGTATATGAGTAACTCGTACTGTACAGTCCTCCCTTTTAACTCTCCATGGTGAATGAGAGACAAATCGTCCCCTCTCAAGGCCGCAACACCGAGTCAAATAACTGATTTTTTTCCTTTTTGACCGCCATCCCAAGCCATGACCCATCATTGACCTTTCCCTTTTCCGTTTTTGCCCCGCCTTCCATTCCGTCGCTTCGCCATCGGGATTTCGCCGTCAACCAGAGACCCAAACCAGCCAAAAACGCCATGCTTGCCCCATAATAACACCTTGCTGAAAAAGAAAAAAAAGCCCTAAAGAACCGTGACCAGACCGAGATACATATGGAATGAAACTGAGTGAGAGTGGTTGTGGTTGTGGTTGTTGTTGTTGTTGTTGTTGTTATTGTTGAACGTGGGCCCATTGTCAAATCCCTTTTCCAGAAGCGGCTGTTTTCGCAGGAGCCGTCGCGGCCCCCGGATGATCGACCGCATTCGCAGAACCCGGACGGCTCTACCGCCCAGCGCTCCTTACGCGGCCCCAGAATCCGGAGAGGGATCCCGAGCTGGATGTTGACCGGCTGCTCATATCGGTGTTGGCCGAACCCCGCCGGGCAAGCGTCTCGCCATCGTAGTCATCCCCCGCTTGTTGGGATTTGCCGTTCGAGTAAGAACTAGAAATGAAGTTCCCGGCGCCGCCACGTCCGACATGGATCGCCGAGCTACCGGAGGCCTTCTTGTTTTCGCGCACCTCGGCGCGGGCAAACTCCTCGTCGAAGGACAAGACGGGTCGCACGCCAGCCGAGTGGGCGTTCCCGGCGCCGCCGCGGCCCGAGTAGAATCGTCGGGTGCTGGCGGCGGTTGTGGAGGTCGATGGCGTGGGTACTCCGCTTGGTGCAGTAGTGGCGGGCGCGCGGAAGAAGTTGCCTAGGCCGCCGCGCCCGGAGTGCGTGTAGCTGTTCTGGGCGACGGTTGGGTGTGGCTCAGTGAGAGTGTAGTAGGACGGCATCCTTTCGCGGTTGTTTCTTTAGTGTTGTAGATTTTGTGGTGGAGGGGTGTGGTGTGTGGTGGACAACGATGTGTTGCTTGTTGTATGGCGAGGCTTTCAGCAAGGAGAAAGTAGCACTTTTGGTTGTTGATGGGGTATCGGCGAGGCAGATATATGTATGATCCAAACAAAGCTTTTTGACCTGCGGCGGATCCTGAATTTGGTTGCTGTGGCACTTGTGGGAGAAGAAAAAAGGCTGGAGCAGGAGCAATGGCACTTATAAGACCAGGATCGGTTGTGTAAGTGAGGTGGGTACGATCAGGAGGCAACATGAGAGCAAGGTGGTGCCAGCCCCTCTTGGCGCCGAGACCGAGCTCCATCCAAAGAAAGTTGCACCTCCAACACGCATTCCTGGGCGGGAAAGCCGCATGACCACGACGCCCCGGGCCCGAATCGCGCAATGCACCACTCAACACACCCCAGCGAGGTGCGCCTTCCGGATGAGCCAGCTTCAGCTGCAGGGCAGGTACATCCTCACAGTATCAACGTCTCTGCGGCACAGCTGTGGAAGGAACGCTTGGGGTGAAGCAACCGCCGCAAGCCGCTTCCACAGCTTGCACAGGCAGGGCGGCAACGAGGGGTGGGTAAGGAGGGGCACATCCAAGCCAAGCCAGGCTGGACTTTCTTAACTTTGTTAGTCACGAGCTCATGGCTCCCCTGGCGAAATCGACAGCCACGGCATGCGGCGGGAAGTCGCACAAAAGCTTGGCTCAATCTTTCGAGCAACAGTTTTCGTCCCAAAGTGCCCGAAAACGCCCAATCGAGCTCAACTCAGTGATTTGCCTAGATCTTGGCATGGAAAGTCGCAGCTCGCCGAGGCGATGAGCGCAATGAGCCAAGCACGCCGAGCCGATGCTCTCGAATTTGCCCAAAAATTTGCCGGTCAGCTCTCTCTCATCAGCGTCACCGGGGATAACCCCGATGGCGTCAGGTGCTCGTTTCCCCTTGCGTTGTGGCTCCGGCAGGACGCCAAGCTTGCAACGCCGAGACTCTCAAAGACTCGGAGACTTTGGCCCAGACAACTCACGAGGCTGGCAGGCGTGCTGGCCCTCTGGGGAAAGAGCTTTTCGCTTAGCTGATGAAAACTCAGGGGTGGTCACGCGGCACGCTCCACCCAATTTGTTACGCAATCGTTTGGGTCCTCCAGCGAAGTACCCCTTTCGCTGCAGGCCCAGCGCCAAAGTACTTAACTCCTCCTCGGCGGTGGATTCGATGGGCCTGTCAGCCTGCAAGGGGCGCTGGCCGGCGGTTTCCTCTGAGCTTTTTCACAAGGGACACGAAAAATTCTGTCCGACCACACGCCTGCCGTTGCAACGAACAGGGTTTAGCAACTTGGCTTTGCACCACCTGCAGCCTCCTCACGTCACGTCTTGAGCCTGTCCGATTCGACCGGGAGTTGCTTGCCGCTTTCCAATGTGGAATCGCATCAGAATCGTGACAGTTTGGAAACTGCCCTGAGGATTGCCCCGTTGTCACTTGGTCCCGGCGATTGGGTGAGGAGATGGCGTGACTGGGGAATAGTTCCAAATCCATCTCCATGAAAGGACAGCGCTTCAGGGACACGATTTTTTCTCCGTACCTTGGGCGGTCGAGGTTTCGTGGCTATGGGACCCCGATTCTCAAATCAAAAGTTCAGCTTCGTCATGCGCGGCCATGGCAGACAAGCGTGTTCCCGTTTCCCCTGTGGTTGGGTTCAACTCGAGTGAAAAGATTTTGCCAAGTCTCGAATTGTCGATCGCCAATTGGAGGTCGATGTTTCCAGAAACCCAGCCCAGGAGGCAGCATACCCCGGATTTTCAAGGATCATGGGACCACTGACCGATTCAAGTTTCTGTTCCATTTTTGTCTGCTTCGACGTCCAGCACTGATGAACCAGTCCACCCATGAGCCGCCTACACTACACTAACCATGTGCTATCCGAACTATCGAACGTTGAAGGAGGTTTCCGAACGGGGGACTTTTACAGACCCTTCGCTGGCTCTTTCCCACGGCATCGTCGGTACAGGGGATTTTGGCGGTGAGGACTCAGAAGTACTCGAAAACTCTAACGTCAGTTATATTCACGCCTTGTCAATGTTTAACTTTTTACACTAGTTCACAAAACAATGCCTTTAAACTGTGTTTATGTCCACAATATCGTCTCCCAATTAGGTCCTTCGTGTGCTCCGTTGCTAGGCTTTTAATTGCCGCCCCTTGGTCACAGCGATCCAAAATCTTGATTTTCTACAACTCCTCCTGTAAGATGGATTGCGTGAAATTGTCCTAGGAGGTGGAGGAACCCCCTGATGTTCAGTCCCAATACCTCAACCTCGACTTCAGAACGAAGTCCCGCAGAGAAGGCTATTTTACTAGTAAATCACGGTATGGGGTGACTGCTCGACGCCGCTCTCTTCAGTCCGTCCGGGGCCCGTCAGGGCCACTTCCTTGGGCTTGCAATTTGAGTCAAGTCAAACACCCAAATAATTGCCGCGCTCGTTTGCGCCATTTCCCATCTCTCTTTCCCCCTCCATGCTTGGACGTCGTCATTCGTAGTCTGTCGTAGTCTGCCGTCTGTTTTTGTCGCCGCATCATCCCCTCCCGCGTCTTCCCCGCCTCCCGAACAACCTGCTCACGGTTCACCCGCTCCACCCCTTTTACTCCCCCCGGATATTCCGTCGAGCCCGCCCATACAAGCTTTTTCGCTTTCCACGGAGATGCTTCGCTTGTCCTCCCGTGTCTCAAATGCCGTGTTACCGTTGCTGCCGTTGCTACGTTTCTCTGCAGGTCTTTGTGTACCCGTAGGAGGCCGGAGCCACGACCGGGCCTAAGACGGGCGGAGAGAGTAGAATCTGGGAGAGGAAGGATGGCCTGAGCTCGCAGCATCAACCTGGTAGGCCTGGGTTGAGATTCTATACTCGTATTGTTCCACAGACGCGATTGCCGCCCGCCCAAGGTCGGTGAGCTGTGGGCTGAGTACCAATATCCTACGTTGGCTACCAGTGAGTGTATGGCTAACCCACGCGGAAGGGCTCCCAGTACTCAAGGCAACCTTAAAACGAGACGGGAGGGTGTGTGAACCCATCGCGCTGTACTACATGGGTACGGCCCGTCCAGCGGTCCTTGGTCATGTCCAAACATCGACAAATGCCGACATAGCACTGGAGGTACGGAGGAAACAAACAAGGAATGTATGATAATATGAGAATAATGGAAACTTGGGGTGAGGTGTGAGGGATATTGTAATGATCGTCCGCTTCAGAGCAGGAAGTGAGAAGGCACTCCGTTCCGTTCCCTTTCGACCTACATGCTTCCGGTGGGACGAGGAGGCTACATCTTCCTTCCCCGGCGATCGGCCCCGTCCACGCCGTTGAAGCGGTACTTTATGAGACACGTCGCCTCAGCCACGCTGTGAGGGCCAAACCGGGGTAGTTATTCGCGCGAAATGAGCGGTTAGCCCGCGGTAGAAAGGATGGGGACGTTGCTATCCAGAACTCAGCCCAACCGACACGCGGCCGTCCGTCGATCTTCAACAAAATCAACCAGCTCATCTCAGTAACACGCCCGTTGCCCCTGTTCAACGGCAAGACATCCATTGGCGTTGATGTCAGGCCCCTCTGACCGATGCTCGCGTTACTTTAGGAAGGTCACTCCCAGTCTGTTGGTGGGCTCCTCGCGTAAAAAGACCCCTACTAGAACCCACTGAGGGCGCTCGCAACCTAGCATGACACGGTACGGTAGTCGACGGGGAAGGTTTACGCTCTGACGAACATTCAATCGATCCAATGAACTCGCTAGACTTGATATGATCAAGGGGTATGATTCTTAACATCCAGGCATAGCTCCAAAGTTGACATCATCAAAAACATACTTCCACACTGCCTACCCCTCGTCGTCTCATCTCGTCATCTTCCTTGCCCCTCCGTCCTTCTATGAATGTGTGGACGCCGGGGTAACTCTCAAAACCACAAAAGCCAGCAAGTCGGCCCTCGTTTCACCTCACAACCCAAATCAAAGCTAAAACATAGTCTGCCCCAAGCGACAAGGAAGAAAGAAAAGCAAGCTTTAGGTTGGGAATTTCAAATAAACTGAGGGGTTCGAAAAAAAGGCGAAAAAAGAACGGAAAAAAAAGCGGCCCACTAGGTGTTGTGAAGAGAACTCCTGGTTTCTCATACACCACCAACGCCCCGGACGAGTGACCGGCGCGAACGTGCGAGCGCCCTTAAGCCAACGCAAACCCCCAAAGTCTAAGACTGAATAGACGCTCGTTCCCGCTTGGCGAACAGGCGGTTTCGAGTCTCAGGTCCCACCAAGGGCGGCGGATAGGGGTTGAAAGAAAATGAAGCAAAAAAAAGGGGAAAGAAAAAAAAGCCCTTGAGCTTCTTGCCATAGCAACGCCAACTAGACACCTCTGAACATCCGCACCACCAAGAACCAAATTGCCCCCAAGAACTTGAACGCTGACAGCCCCGCAACGGACCATAAGACCACGCTCAAATAGATGTTTGCGCGATCGCTCTTCAGCTGCTCCTCATCCTGGCCGTTCTCCGGCACAAGGTTGTCGACACCAGCTGTTGATAGCACAACGGCGCACAGCGCGAAGTTCATGATCATCCACAGTAGCACGACCACAGTGCGCACGCCACGGTAGTAGTCCATTTGTTTCTCCTCGAGCTGGCTGGGCGTCGGCGCTTTGACTTCCTTGACCGGTTTCCGGTTGAAGACTTGCAGTTCACGTTCGTACTGGGCGTTGAGATCGCCCTCGTCGGGTAGATCCGTTTTGCCTTGGCCATCCTTGGTGTTGACGGAGGGGAGGGCGTCGGGTTTGTCGTCACCTTTGGTACCCCAAGAGATATCGTGGGTGTTGCAAAAAGCATACACGTTGAGGACGTTGGTGTATGTAGGCGACAGGAGCATGTACTGAACCAGCGAGGTGATCATGTGCCACGGGTCGAACATGAGCAATGAGGCGATGAGCCAAATGCCGTACGTCGACATGACGGAAACGATCAGAGTGTAGAAGACTTTGTTCTTGAAGAGCGAATCAATGCTGAAGCCGTTGTGTTCCAAGTCCGTCATGATGGCGCGGACTGCGATGTAGATGGCTGCAAACATGAGGTACCTGGTCAGGATTGTTAGTACTCTCCCTTTGCTATACAACGGGATAACGCCCAACAGCATTTATAGTCAAAACTTACACGAATAGGATCGCCCAGAAAACAACCATAGCCATGTAGTACGGACCGGACCCGGCTGGACGGTTACCCATCGACAGTACGAAGCACGTCACAAGTGATACGCCGTACAGCCAGGTAAACACCACGCCTAAGATCCGCCCAACATCGCCGAGTAAGGTCGGGTCGCCTAGACTGGTGGTCAAGATCTTGAAAACCAAGAAAAAGTTGCCAATAGCAAACCAGGCGAAGATCATGTTTATGGTGTTGAAGACGAATTCGACGAAGAAGGCAATCTTGCGCAAGAAGGAGTGATCCGAGCGGAAGAACTGGTGGAAGTGGACGATGGCATAGATGGCCGCAAAGAAGGAACCGTTAAGCCAACGGCGACGCTGCAGAATGAGCTCGGTGGCCGTGTCGGGCACATCGGTCTCGCCTGTGGCGGATTTGACATACTGCAAGATCCAGTGGCAATTGCGCTTGGTGACGAGTTCGAAGCAGAGGATACGATCCTCCGCCAGGTACATATTGGCCGTGAAGATGCCCGCGCCAGCGCCATGTAGCTTCTCGCCCGCAAAGTACTTTTCTAAGGGACCCTGCCCGTTCTTGTCGTTCTGGAGCGCCACGTACCGGTAGGCTGAGAAGGCGCCGGGCAGCACGGAAATAAAGCCAAACGCGGACTCGAGGGGTTTGTCGAGAATGTTGCTCATCTTGTACTCAAAGTTCTGCGTCGCAACCAGCGGGTTGAGGAGATTCTTCCCACCGGACCCTAGCATAGCTTTGATCTCACCGCAGGCACCGGCGCACATGGGCTCCAAATCAAAAGCTTTCCACAAGTGGTAAATGGAGCTACCACCGGGCTTGGTACCGGCGTCGATCAACACGCAAATGTTGGGGTCCAAGACCCGGCCGAAGGCTTGGAAGAACCAGCGATGGGAGTTGATCTTCTTTTGGTTCTTCTCCTTGAGGCAGAACAGCATCTGAACCGGCTGCTGCTTGGGAATCAGTTGCACGACACCATTCTTGATGACCATCCCGACTTGCGAGGTGTACTCATAGATATGAGCTGTGACGTCCTTCCCGTTGACTTGCTGCTTTCCAATGCCTTCCTGGTATACGCCCATACCGGCCAGCAGCGCCCTCGTGCGAGGGTTGATCTTAGCGCGACCATCGCTGACGACACAGACGACAATCTTTTTCCACGCATCCTTGCCCCACGTCTTGCTCTCGGCCCGCTTGCACATGTACTCGACGTTTTTGAGCACGCCGATCATGGTGCGCGCAAACAAAATCTCGTCTTCGTTATACATGGTGACGACGATGAAGAGCTCGGTGTGCCGCGGCTTACTGAAGAGCTTCTGGCGCAGCGTAAAGTTTTCTTCGTAGAAGTCCGCGGGGTCACAGGTCGCGGCCGTGTAGCGCATGTGGGTGAACTCGTCGCGCTCGCCGTGGGGGAGCTGGTTCAGCAGCTTCGGGGGGATGGGGCAGTCGAGAACCAAATTGCCGCGGTATAGGAGCACCTGTTTCACCGTCTTCCACCTCTTAATCCCGTTGTTCTTTTTTGGTTGTTGGGCATTGTCATGATATGGGTCGGTCGCGCCGACTTGCGAGTCGTTGTGCGCCAGCATCGGTCGCCGGTCGTCATCGTAGAATGGGGGTTGGTCATAACCCGACTGGCCGCCGTGGTTCGGCTCGTAGGGTTGATTGAAGTACGCATCATGATGCGCCTCGGGATTGACGGAGTAGCTCCCGAGGTTGTCGACGGATTGCTAACGATTCTGTGAGCTTGTGGGCCACTCGCGGTTGTGCTAATGCTGCACTTACTGCTGTCTGCATTTGTAGAGCGTCGCCGGGGCTGAATCTCCCAGGGCCGTGAGGTATGTCGAGTTGGGAATGGCCGTACGGGTTGTCCTCGAGATGGTACCCGTGTTGGAGTGGATGCGCCGGAGAGGGCGACCTGTGCCCCCGGTTCTCCATGGGGTGGCTCTCGTAATAATCGTCGTCTGCACCGCCGGGTATTGTTAGCAAAGGATTCTCCTAGGATCTAGCAGAAACAAGATGGCCAACAAGCCGCAGGCCAGTGTGCGACGGACCGACGGTGGACTTTGGAATACTGGGAAGCCAAGCGACGTGCGCCGTAGAATCTGAGACGTCCCAACTCGGCGAGCCCACGTTGTTGTTGCCGACTATGCTCAACCCCTTTCCGGCACACAAGTGCGGCGCAGATACAACCCTTACGATGAAAAAGAACTGACGTTCGGCCCACGAAAAGCGAACAATAGACAGTCTTTTCCCATCCAAGGCAACGATCAAGGGCTGGATCGCAATGTATTGCACTGGATGGGCACAGAAAAGGTGACCGGGGCGCTCGTGATGAGGCTGGCAGACGGCGAAATCAAACTCGAAACTTGATCGTAGTGTAGGAGACGGGTAGGAAGGGATATCGATGAATGGAAGGGTAGAGAGAAGGGGGGTGAGAGATAACACTTGCCTAATCGATTATACGACATGGTTCCGGAACGCTCACGGGGCCGGTTGATGAAACACAAGGGCCGGATTCGTAGGATATCGAGAAAAGGGAAACGGAGATGAAAGGAGAAGCACGCGGCACCCCGCCGACTGCTTGGCTGTGGAGGGGGTCAAGTCGAGGCAGATCAAGCTGTCAAGGTGTTTATTGAGGGGGCCAGCGCTAACGCAAGAGGGTCGTTTGTTCCCGATGCGGGACACCTGGACGTCTCAGATAATCGATCGCCAAATGCCAGCGGCTCGCTGGGTTGGAAAAAAATACTGTGTGCGATGTTGCGAAAGTGGGCAGGGTGGTCGCTGGGGTTGCTGTGGGTGTATCAAAAACCTTAATCACCCGTGTCGTTGGTTTATTCGGCTCTCTCCTCGGTTCGCCTTGCTTGCCCCTCTCTTTTTTTCTGGGTTCCCCTTTGACTTGCCGCAGCCGCGCGGCCGTCGATCGCTTGGCTGTGTTTCGAGGAGCCTCCTCTTTGCGCGCGGCCGCTTCCTTGCGCCGCCCGGCTGTTTTTTGTTGGGTGTGGAGAAGTCGAACGAGAGGGTTCTTTCAGAGGACGGGCGATGCGCCAGGCGTTCAATCGGGCGTGCGGCGGCAAAAAGGGTCTCGCGGGTGTTCGGGGCGGTTGCGACGAATAGTCCTCTGACTTCCGGGGAGCGATAGCAAATCCAACAAAAAAGGGGAGAAAAGGGACAGAGCAGCAACACGAGCCAAAGGTTGCAGGTTTCAGACTGGCGACGTTCCGACCACTTGCGCTTGCACGGCAGTATTCTCAATGGGCGGCTGGACGGCAACGCAGGGATCTCGAGGAGGCCTGCATTGGACGCGAATGAAGGGGCTTCGGTTGCCAGGAAGATGCCAGGCAGAGCGTGGTGTTTCAGCGTCCGGTTTGGGCAGGCAAGTGACGTCGGACGGGCTGCGGCGCTGCTGATTGGGCGCAGTGAGGCTGCTCAGGGGGCGGTGACAGACGGGAGCCCACACGCCAACCTCCGAGCTCCATTCTGCCCTGCGAGAGGATTCTTACTGGCCGGTTGCCCTAGGAAGTGGGGATTGAACCTTTTTCCTATCGTCGTTGACCATAGTGTTTGTTTCCGCCGGGGGAAGGAATACGGAGTACACTACACTATTATGGAGAGGATGAAGGTAGACAAGACTTCATTGTGTACGTAGTAAGAATTGTGCCTCGTTTCTTCTGTGGATGAGTACGCTGCCAGCGCCGTCGACCTCGGGACCGACGGTACCTCAAGCTGCCCTGAGGCTGACTCTAAACTAATGGCGCCGGCTTGGTATTCGTAATTACCCCAGTTTTAAAGTATCAAAGAGGCGCAACTTTGGTGGCGGCAGCTTGTTGATTCCACAGACGTGACGGGACAAGGGGCTGTGCTTTTGCTTTCCGATCCGGTTATTTGGGTCGAAAGATCGTTAATCTGACGTGGCAAGGTGAATGTTGAAGTCCACCCCTTGATGCGTCACGGGACGCCCAGAAGTCGCCAAATTTCTCGTTCGCCTTCCTCTCTTCGGTCCCCTATCATGAGTTAGTTTACAGTGGTACCTGAGGTTTAGCCAAAAGCCCGGAATTCAATTTGCGTGCATCTGCAGTGTCCCAACGTGCCCCAACCCGAAGTCCCCCGGAGTGGTGGTCAAATCCATGTGTGACGCCTCGTGATCACCAGGTCGGCTTGCGCCACAGCAGAGAGACGTGCGCCACTGATTTGACGTAGGTCGGGAGTCCCAGCGTTGGTGGGGGTTTAGTCCACGCGCGTCTCCCCATTCCCGCCGCCGACCCTTGAAATTTATCGTTCTTTAGACGGGGTCGAAGCCACATATAATCGCCCGGAAGAGGAGGACACGAAGAGAAGGGTCTGGATTCCAGGCTGGCCTGAGGCATGTTTAAACATCAAAGTTGATATTGCATGTCATCGCAGTCTGCGGTTTCCAACGACTGCAACAGGGGAAACCCGTTTTTCTAGCCGCCAGCGACACTAGGGTGCACGGACCGAATGTCTCTAGGATCAGTTACACATGCGTGTTTGTTGTCTACATCCGTGCCTCCTGAAGAACACCCTCAAGATATCTCCCTACCAAGTTTATCAAGTTCTTCCTTGATAAACTGCCCCGCATTCACTAGTTCACTCGCACCGTAAACTACCCTCCTTTTGACCCGGTCACCGGCCGCGGTGCGGGTCGCCCATTCTTGAAGATTCCCGTACTCGTCCATTGACCCGCCCCCAACCATAAACACGATTGCCTCCGAAAAGCCCTGCCTCCGTTGCCCAAAGCTAGCACTAGTCCCGGCCGCTTGGGCGCCAAGGGCAGACCCGGGAAGCCCACCTGGTGTCGTCGCCACGCCGCCCCCTGCACGTAACGCGGACGGTTGTGGCATCGTACCTCGCGCGTTGGCACTCCGTGGGTCGAAGTATAGGTAATTCTCGGTCTTGGCAATCGCGGACGAACTTGCAGTTGATGGGTCCATGATGGATTCAGTAATCTTGGTCACAGTCAGGTCCTTGTCTACAGGTAGAAAGTTCTTGATTCCTCCGAGGAGCGAGGCGACATTGGACGTAAGTGCGTTGGTTGGGACACCTGTCTCCTTGAGCCGGTCTGTCAAGCGGGTAGAAATTGCTGAGAAGCGATTGAAGAGATCTGAGGACCCGGATTGTTGTTGACCCGCTGTCGCTTGACTGGTCACGGTTGTGAGCTGTGTCATTTTGGTTGTTGCTCGGACCCTGGAAAGCACGGTTAGAGATGCAGAGTCTTGGGGGCGGTGCGGGTAATGACTAACTGTCGGATGTATGCGAGGCTGGTCTTGTCACACCCGGCGGCCTCGAGTGCCTCCTCAAACTGGGACCACTCTTGCCTCGACACATCTTGTTCGGTGCTGAGGAACCAAATGACAAATAGCCTTAGTTTATCGCCTGGCTGGCCTTTGCCGTCTGTCTTGATCAACTCCAGCATCTGTGCTTTAGTCTGCTTCATGACGTTTTCTTCCAATTGAAAGTAATTGTCGAGTTGCCGGTTTTGAATTTCTCCTAAAACGGCAGCCAAGATGTTCATGTGCATGTCGAGGGTGGCCTTGCGCTCTCGAAGCTCAGGAAGTAGGGTAATAGCCGCTTTTAGATGCTGCGCGCTGGCACTCGTATCTTGTTGGAGGTCTTCGAAATCGCTGACCCCAGTCTTTTTTGTGATTGCCTCTGCTTCCTCCTTATACTTGGTAAGCTCCGCGTCTTCACCACCGATAAGTTAGCGCTTCGTAACACGTCCTTTTGGCGGTATGATCTCCGGGAACTTAGGTCTCTTACCGATGTCTTCAGCCACTTGGGGGAATGGGAGGCAAGCATTCTTTGCCCAAAAGAAGTCATTGGCGGCGAGATCATACGTCTTTTTCGAGGTTCCTTTTGCCGGGTTACCGGAATCAACAAGCGTCTCAATTGTGATGCGGTTTAGCTCCGACTACGAAATAGATTAGCAAACGCACGATCAATCCTTTGAAAAGGAGAAATTACCTTGAAGATATCAAAACAAAGACTCTGATAAGTCCAAGAGTGAGAGAGCATGGGTATCAAATCAACGTTGCGATCAAGAATGACGAGGACGGGCCGGGACGTAGGGGTTCCAGTTGCCCCTGGCGCGGATCGTGGCTGAGAAGAAAATAGATTGTCCTTGGAGTTCAGGACATGATCCCGGAGTTTGCGGTCCAGTTTAGTGGCAATCATCTCAGCTGCCGCACCCCTTGGGCAGCGGATCTGGCCGTTGGTTGTTAGTACAAGTTGGCACGTTGGCGAATGGTTGCTATCCTCCAGAATACTCAACCTACAATAGGTATCACCCCTGTAGTTGTGTTAGCTTTACCGGGTCGTTGGTCCTCGAGAACTCTTGTGCCATTTACCTGAGGTAACTACGACACTGTACAACCCGCTGACGATACGGTCTATCACGCGGTCTAGCTCTTCATCTTTCGTCTTGGCACTATTCAATGCCCAGTATGTGTGTTCCTTTTGCATCCCCAAGCTGAAAAGATCCGGCTCGGTGACAATGAAATTGAGGTATTGGTCGTAGACCTGCGCAATTTGTTCCGAAGTGCCGGTTGTAGCGGTTTGCGCCGCAAACTCCTCTAGCAGGGGCCGCGGTATCGAGGACAGGAAATTGAGATGGGCGGAGCTGTACAATCCTTTTTGAAGATCATTCGTGATCGCTTGTAGGTTCGCGGCAGTGGGTTCGACAAGGTAGATCGCGGGGACGTCGGGAATCGCGGCCCGCTGGGATCCAATATGCCTTGGCCGACTAGTTAGTGATGGCGCCGAGGGGAAAGGAGGGAGGAACAGGGAGGAGTAGGGATGGGGGGAACCGGACGGGCGCTGCAACCACAGAGAAACTCACATGTGCATCGTCACCCCCATCGACCGCAGGTCTGACACCTGGAGCACTGGGCTAATCACATCACGGCCGAGGTCCTGTACAGAATCAAATCAGCCCATCACTTTCCATCATTCCAGGCGCCAAGACCACGGGACTTCATCATAGACAGTCGGATGAGGCGCCCCTGCCTACGACTGGTCGGTGGTGCTGACATCAAACACAAGGAGCTTCCAGATAGGAACGCCATCTTTCGATATCGGGGCAGAGGTTGCCACCGCGCCATCGGAGGGAGTATCGTCACTTTCGCTCGGTTCGACGGCCTCGTTTAAATTGAGAATCTTCTTGATGGAGGCTGTCCGTTTGACCGTGGTTAGGAAATCTTGACACCAGGCAGGAGATATGGAAGGTAGAGACTCATACCGATCTGCTTGTCGCGCAAAGAGTTTTCCCTGGTAGCCATGATTGACTCCCCGGGACGGTGGCTGGCTTATCCGACTTCTAGAATATGGTTCGGTTGTTGTCAAATCTGTCATGTGTCGGGAATGGACCTCGCCGCTCCGACAGGGTCGTCGGAATTGGCCGCCTCAAAGACCAAGAATAGAAGAGGAAAATTGAAGCCGATGACGCAATTGGGGAGACCAGCAAAACGGGCCTTGTGTCTTTTCGTTTCCGACGAAGCTGTCATGGAGCTTCCCCACAGGCGTCGTGTAGTTCGGCTTCCCGGTTGCCGGACGTCCAAGCGTGAACCAAAGTGGCCTGCCACGCCGGCCACTCCTGCCCACTGATGCATGTTCTGTTTTAGGCTTAGCGGACATGGGCGATGGGAGCGCTTGCCAAGACAAGATGCAGGTCTTCATCAGTGCGAGGCAGGTGGGCTTCGCCACACGCACTGGCCACAGTTCAAGCCCCTGAACCCAACCCTTCATGAAGCGCCGCAGCTGGCCCGCTGGCCTTCCAGCCAACTTTTCTTCTTTCAACAATCAAATCTTTCGGTGACCCTTCTCTTCCTCAACACGCCATCCATCAACTTGAACCACTTCGCCGTGCTTTACACATTCGGCCGTGGATCTTGTTTAATTGCTCATTCGTCCAGCCATCAAATAGGCAGCTTAACCTGCTTCACTGGCGTTAAACACGCTTTTGACTTGCCTTATCCCGGCTGCTCGACTAAACCCCTCTCGCTATTTGCGTACTCCCGCCTTTTCTCAGCACTGTTTTTTCTTTCCTTTTTTTGGTCAATTACTCGGCGTCTCGTGCTTAAATAGACGCAGAAAATGCTGTAAGAGACGGGTGAGCACCTCGTCGCTGCTCTTGGAGGGGCGCCGGCCATGACGTGGCATCGCGACACGAAGGAGTGGACGAGACAAAGTTGCCGATACAGGCACAGCCCAAGGGTATGCATATACTCACCCATTCACCCCCTTGAAAATTTCCAACAGACTTAATGCGTGCTTTTCCCTTTAAAATGCAATGTTCATTTGAACAACCTTAACCTCGCAGCACCCATCTGTGTGCCAAAATGGCTGGGAGAACCGCGTTGGAAATCTGGTTGGAGGCTGGATTACCACCAGCTGCACGTAACACGGACCTGAGTTCTTGTCGCGGGGGGAGACAACTGCAGCCAGCATTGGGAGAGCACCACAGCAGACAGACAGGCAAGCTACCGTGTTGGGGCAACTTGAAACGGCCAAACGGCCACCACAGCTCCGAGGGGAAAAAAGGGCAAATCCCTCCGTCTGCAGGCGCCGGCATTTAACCCAAATGTCGGTTCTGCGAGCAGCCCATCCACCTCACTGTCCCAACAATTCCCTCTGGGGTTGAGACTGAGTTGAACCGCCTAGCATGGCTTGTCAGCTACGTGGGTGGTGCTGCAGGCGACTTGACTGGGATTGGGGAGGCTGCGGGGCACCCTGCGCATCATCAAAACCCAGGAATGGAATGGGTCTCCGATGGGTACATTGCCAACCGCAGATATCGGCCACCAGCAACCGGACTCCTTTCTCGTCAGTTAAGAATGGGACCAGCTCAAACTCACCCGGGTAATTCAAAGGAACAAGCAGAATCCTTTGGATGTGCAAAACAAAGAAATCAGGCTGTGGGCTGAAGTGCTGTCCTGGACTTCCGGGTGCTTGGTGATGCAGACGAGGAAAAGTCTTGGCTGACCATGGGCCTTGGACGACCACCTATACGGGTATCACATTCACACCACCACGGGCGAGCCTTGCCGCACGCCCAAACCGCCCTCCGAACGAACGAGACTGTGGTTGTCTCAATCTCGAAATACGGCCGGAATCCCCCTCTTGAGTCGACAAAAACAATCTTGCCTCTCACTCGCAGTTCTAAACACAACCTGTCGTGCTGCTGGCTGCTCTCCCCGAGAGCTCACTTGTTGCTGTCTGCTGCTGGCCTTTGGTTGCTTGGCTTTCATGACTTGGTGTGGTGCAGTTCGTTTTTGCTAACTCCCCTTCTCCTTAGCTGCCGCACTAAGCCAGATCCGGTGCAAGATCCACCAGCCCCACTCCCTATTTCCCACAAACTCAGTGCTTTCTCTGAAATATTTCGGATATTTGCAAAATTGCCGTTAACCGACGTTTGCACGACACCCCCACCCCGAAAACTAAATCTCTCCCCATTCACCAACTTTGAACGGCACTTCCTTCCACCCCGAAAATTAAATTACACCCCGTTAACCCAATTTCAACACGACACTGCCACCCACAAAATTTTCCCCGTTAACCAATTCTTTTCAACCTCGAACCCCGATAACCCGATACACCAACAAAGAGGTATGTTCTTAACCGAGCCCATTCATTTAACCTTTATTGACTTGGGAGGATTACCCCTGAACCATAGAGTGTTGGACACAATCTCTCACATGGAGTCAACCCACGGCCCAGGCCAAGGCCAGGGCCATGGTTCCGTTTCCTGGGACCCCAGTGGATTTGGTCCTGGCGAGCCCTGGGGACAACAATACGCCACCCCGTTTGATCACGACGTCGGCGCGTCCGGCGACTACCCGAGTCCGGAGTTTACTAACAATGGCGCCCTCAATTCCCACATGACCGGAGCTGTCAACCACGGCGATGGGTTACAGAACGCCTACGGATTTTACCGGCAAGATGATGTCTGGCCGGGTCATCCGCAAGCGACCACTGCGTCGTTCAATCAAGGTTCCCCTTCGTCGCATGAATACCAACGGGATCGACAGCACTTCTCTGGTGGTAACCAGACCGTAGCTGGTCGGTTTGCTGTCGACCTGCCACAGGGAAATGGTTTTCCAAACCACTTCACCCAGGATATGTCCCAGGTAAATCCATGTCTTACCTTTAGTCAAAGCACCACTAATCCCCCATAATAGACCTCTGACGGATACCACCATCAACGGCTAGCACAGTGGCAGGAGCCCACTGATTATGGCTTGAACCAGATGTTCGATAACCCGCTACACGCAAACACAGTGTCGGGTGACGCATCGAGCACATTTTACCCCAATCACGGCCCAGCCGAGTCAGTGACTGCAAGGTTTGAGCCCGACGGACATCAACAGATGCCGGTGAGCTCAAGATCAATCCATCCACAATTTGCACATCAGACAGGACAGAAGCTTGCATTAGAAACGTTCCGGTTCCCGGCTGCTCAACCGGCAGCTGGGCGGCAGCCGATCTTCGACCATCAGCCTCAACCTTCATCCGGTCATCCGCCGGCTCGTCCGGTCGAGGGCCCAGGTAATGTCAACCCAAAGCAGAGCCCAGCATCCCAGATCCAAGTAGCGCCGGCTGCTGTGGAACTCACTAGGGTTCCTACACCCGCTCCAGCGCCCCCTGCCTTGCCGGCCCTGACTGCGGCCCCGGCCCCGGCCCCGGCCGATATCCAACAGGCGGTCGCCGCCCAAGCTCAACCGCAGAGCCCAGCCGAACCGATTTGCAGCATCAACTTTGTGGATGACGAGCTTTTAGCATCCTCAACCCAACCTGGTACAACGTGGCCTGGCGTCGCGCACCTCGTCATTGGCACGGCGCCCGTGAAACTTAAAAACGGGCCCCCTACCAAGCGGTATGTGACCCTCGCGACGAAAGGCGGAGCCAACCCTCTCTTCCCGGAGGCATCGCGGGGTTGGATGCCGGCCGAGATTCTTGGCAACCACTTTAAGGCGTACGAGACGTACAAGGACCCGGTCGACATTGCAGGCCGCCAAAGTGCCGATATTCGTCTTAAACTCGACTTGAAACGCCTCAATATGGGTAGGCATCTTTGCTTTCTAAAGTGGACCTAAATTCCTAAGATGCTGACACAAATGGGGTAGAAATTCCGGGCGATTGGTACAAGAAGGGATTGAAGGATCGCCTCAATAGAGTGGTAAGCGATCCCTACTGCGCGGTTTTGCGACAGAGCTATATCTAGATGTGCTGACCGTCTACAGCCAAATACCCCCATTGAGCCCAAAGAGCCTATGCTCACTGCGTTTGAAGCTATGGAGCTTCTTCGGATTCACCCTGTCCACCTTAGCAACCCAACGATGGTTGGAGACGTCGTCTCCAATTTCAGCACTTTTATTCAGACCAAGGCATCATCTCTCTATCGCCTCCTGGGTTCCGAAAATCCGTCGGTGACGGCTACGCAAGTGCAGCTCGCCAAAACGCAGCTGGAAAGCGCGATTGAACAAGGGTTGAGGGCCGAGCCTAGCCACTTGATCGAGAGAATGAGCGGCAGCCAGAGGATGATTGCCGGGTTGATGAACACGTTGGTAAGACTGCTCAACACGGGTGAGAGACCGTCGTCTTTGGTTCATGCCATACTCCGGTTTTACATCCGTCTTACTGGTGTGACGCCGGCGCAATGGGAAAAGTTTAAGCTCGGGAAGGTCAAGAGGGCGCTGGAGAAACAGAAAGACGAGGTTGGCTTGAGCCTTATTTCTCAGGTGGGCGGGATTGGGGATGAAAGCCCGGAGGCAAGTGACAGTGAGGGCAACAACCCTAGTGCGAGGCCCGGTGCTGGTAGGAAGAAAGCCGCCCACACTTCTGCGCAGACCGTGCCGCCTTCGAAACAAACAACCGTGGGCAGCGACCGAAAAAAGGCGGCCGCTTCTTCCACTACGGAATCCACCACCCCAACCAGCGATCTCAAAAACTCTTCCGCTGCAGTCACCTCATCTAAAAAGATGGCTTCTGGTGGTGAGGCCAACAAGCCGGTCTCTAAGGCAACCGAAAAGATGCCTTCGAACGCGATCGGGGTCAAACGGTCCCGCGATGAAGATCAGGGCGGCGCCGATGCTCGTTCGGCCAAGAAAATGAACAACCCCGCGTCGGTAACCAAGCCTCTGGCAACGTCCGCCAGCAAAACAGCCTCGACAACCCCCACCACGAAGCCCGCTACGGCCGCTTCGTCAACTTCTGTTTCGACAACCCAGCCAAAGCCGCGAACCGGACTTCTGCTTCCTGGAAAGGCTCGTCCCACAGTCAAGCCCGCCCCTAAGCCCCAGCCGACCAAGCCCGAGGCGGCTTCCAAGAGCAATACTGCAAAGCCATCGGCGGCGGCGGCGGCCCCGGAGACCACTCCCAAGGCTGGCGACGCGACCAAGCCCAGCGAGTCAACCAACTCGACTTTCTCTACTTTGATGAAGGAAATCCAGCAGGAGAAAACAATTCGTGCTCCGGAAAGCCACCGGAAGAAGGCCCCGACCGTGGACCCCAACGAGACACCCGAGGAGCGCGAGCGTCGCTTGCGTAAGGAGAGCCGCCGCCACCTTAGGGTCGCCTTTAAGACCGGCGATGAGATGGTCCAAGTTAGGGAATTCACGCGCGAACCCGAGGAGATTGCCGAGGCCAACATGGCGCGTAGCGCCCTCATTGATGGACGCGATAAGAATGCGGAGGAGGCCCAGACGATGAAACGCCATCACAAGGGCGGCAACATCATAGCCACGGATATCAACGATCGCGAGTGGGAGGAGCTGACCCCCATTGACTTCACGACCATCGATGAATCGCTAAGGACACACACCTTCGACACCCGTGGTGGTCTCAAAACCTTTGAGAGCGAGGAGCGCAGGCGGATGAAGGAACGGGAGTCCATCGAGTTGGTGGCTATCTATTCCAGGCGCACCGACATCCCGCCCACGCCGAGGTCGCCTCCTTACGAGCCACCGCTGCCGGCGGAGCGTCTCGAGCGCAAGGAGTGGAACCTTTCGTCCATGCCCGCAATCCATGACGAAGCGAAGTTGAGGGCCTGGGAGTACAAGACCAAGGGTCCCAAATTTGCTGCCGAGGCTGTGCTGAAGCGACTCGAGGATCAACAGCGCGTCCATGACGAGTGGCGCGCTGCCAACCCGGACATAGTCCGAACACGCGACAGTTTCAAGGCGCCCGTGGTTAGAGTCCAGTGGCCGCCGTCTGACACCATCGCCGAGGATCCCCGCACTTGGTTCCACCCGTCCGCAGCCGCGGAACGTGACCGGAAAACGCTCATGGCACTCTCGACAGCCAAAACCAGGTTCTTCCGCGATTGCGACAAGTATGACGAGACTTTGCCGCGCAGAAAGACGGAGGAGGAGCTGGACAACGATCCCAAGCTCCAGAATGTTCTCAAGAATCTCAGCATCGTGGTTGGGTCAATCAACGCCAACAAGGTCCAGAGCGAGGCCGAAGAGAAGAAGATTGGCGAAGCCAAAGTGGCCGCTGCTTCCAACCCGCTGCAGCAAGAGGTCCCGCAGCCTCACCACCAACCCACTGTCACCGCTAGCCAGACTACCGAGCAGCAGTCCGCGGCGCCCGATTACACCGCGGCGTGGGCCCAATACTATGCTAGCCAGCAGCAGCAGCAGCAAAAGCAGCAGCAGCAGGGTTGGTATGCTCAGCAAGCCGCCAACGCTTATGTCCCACCCCAAGTCCCGCAGGCTCCTACTCACCAGCCTGCTACGGATTCCAACAACCAGGTTGCCAGCATCCTCGCAGCCCTTGGGGCCCAGCAGCAGACTGCCCAACCTCCGGCCCAAAACCAATCTTCTGGCTACCCTGCCCCTGACCAGAATCAGCTCAACACTGTCCTCATGGCCCTCGGGCTGCACGGTCAGAATCAAGCCCAGGCCTCGGCGCCGGCCACTCAGACCCAGCCCTACCAACAGTACTATGGCCAAGCTGCGGCGCAGAACTACGGTCAGGGCTATGGCAACCTGTACGGCAATAGCAACAAAGATTCCAGCCAGGATCGCGACCGTGAGCGGGCTCGGGAGAGGGATAATTCCGGTTGGGACCGAAACGACCGTGACCGTGGTGAACGCAACGATCGTGACCGCGACCACCACTACCGCGGCGGGAACACCGGCAACAGTGGCCGAGGCCGCAACGGTGGTAACAGTGCCAACAGCGGTGGTGGAAGGGGCAATGACAACGTCCCCGACCACCTCCGCGGCATCAACCGCAACCTAATCGGCACCAAGGCCTGTGCCTTCTGGGCCAAGGGCCAATGCGCCAAAGGCGACAAATGCACTTTCCGCCATGATTAGAGGGCGGAGTGCTTGTTGAGCCGGCTGTTAAGCGGCCTTGCATCATGCGGCCACAGCTCGGCCAACATCCGCGGGACGTTATTATCCGTACCCCGGTTTTGTTTTCAACCTGTAATTTACTAGTTTTCTCAGGGACGATGGATGGTCCTGCATTTTTCGACCGATGTCATGTTATACTTTCTTTTCGTTGACGGCTGCGGAGGCAATTGCCGGAATTTGGGCGCACGGAGGAAAACATGGAGAATTCCATAACTCTGATAGCCAAGAATAAACTTGCTTCTTAAAATAAGTGGTTTTGTGATTGCAGTGTCGCCATGGGTGGCACTATTCATGTTGTCGCGACGGGGCCGAGCCAACCCAACTGTTGCGTGATCCATCTAGCTTTCTCTAGTCCAAGACCTAAGATGCTAGGTTAGGCCTCACAAGCTAAGGTTGCTCTCTAATCACAGGTATGACAGAATATGACGAAAATGGACTTCACTGATCCGGTTCCCGACAGTATCATTCTTAACTTGGAACGTCCCCGGTCATCGCTCCCAATCTTACTCCAGAAGTTCTCCAGTTGTTACAAGGTTCAAATTCTGCTCAATGGCCGCACAGATGGACTCGACCGAGGCCATAGCACCTGTGTCAAGTCAAGCGGGTTAGTCTCATCTGCACTCCTTCCGTCATCTGGGCATACGCGTAGCTCTCAATCCTTGCCATGGGATCTGAGTGAAAGGAATAAACAACTAACCATCTGGACCGCAGAGTAAACATTAGAGCTGATTCGGTATCAATAAGAGTGCCTGGATGGGTTGAAAACATACCTCCCGTGTCGCCGCAGGCGAGTGTTCTGTGGGCATTAGGTTAGTAGAACAGCCCTCTTGGAAGAGTTAGGAACGAAATGCCGGCAGAAGACATACTTGCTAATGGGCTGAGAAACAATAACGTAGCGAGTTAATCAGCATTCTTGAACTCCAACGGCGGAGGGGGGGCCGAACTTACCGCAATGACCTTAAACCAACCCACGATTGCTCGAGCTTCTCCAGCAGCGCCGACCGCCTCCTCCTTGACACCCCAGTCGTCGGTGAGCACCTGGATCTGTTTCTCCGTGACAGGGTGCCGCCACATGGCCTGGGGTTGCATCTAGGGTTAGTCAAGGTACCTCAAGATAGCAGCAGACGAGGGAATAGGGTTGCTGTTGTGTTTACCGAGTTCATTGCCGGGGCAACGAGAATAATCTTCTTCTTCATGTCGATGCTGGCATCCGTATCCCAGGCACGGATGATCGAGGTGAGGAGATTATCTGACATGCCGTTGACGACCTGCGTGCCGCAAGAATAGTTGTTAATATCTCCCCCTTTAAGAACGGCCGGCGCGCGTCGGTCCGTCGTCTTGGACGAGTGTGCCTGCTGACCTTTGCTAAGGTGTTTGCACTTAATGCTGGCGGGTAGTTAGTGGCCGTGTGTGTATCTTGGAATTGAGAATCCACAAGCTCATCAGAAGGAGGGACATACGGGCAACCACTAATAGATCCGCCCCTGATTTTGACCAATCTCCTATTAGCAGTTATCTCGTGCGGCACACCTCAAATATCTCGGCTTACATCTACGCAGCCTATGCAAAATTACAAAGGTTCATCTTTATCAGCCACTCGTACTCATGGAGAATGAGGTAATCGTCCAAAAGGGAAAGGACTCCATCACATACTCGATGTGCAAGATACTCGCGCCGCGACGCCATGGCCGCGGACCCCATTCATCACGATCCCGGTAGACGGCGTCGACGTTGGGTAGGTTCAGCAGCGAGGACACTGTGGGCTGCTCGGTGCTCTGTCCGCCGAGGAAGTGGGTGGCAGGTTCGGTCAGGACGATACGGATGGACAGCGTGCTCTCATACTTTGCCAGGGCTGCGACGATGACGGGAACTATTGGGGATTGTGTCGCGATGTGTCTAGGTTAGCCAAACCATAATAAAATCGCTATTTAGACTGAATTTCCAATGGGGAGGTTCAATTAGACTTGCTCTTGATGGTAGCTACTGATCCCGATGCACTGATTGAATCCGGTCAATAGATGAAGGCCTGTGAACTCAAGGGAGGGGGCTAGCGATGAGCGCTCACGCAAGAAGCAGATGCTTTCTACCGTCATTCCGTGCTGCGACTAGGGCCTCGATCGAGTTGGCTTGACCGGATTCAAATTGGTCGTCGTGCTCGTTACCGACCGACTGCAACATGATGGGCCGGCCTTATTGCTAGCTGTTTCAATTCGGTGTGTTTTTGAAGTCCAGTACGGATACCGAGATGTGGTCCCGGGCAAGTTTAAGTGCGAGCGATTTGTGCTGTGTTCCTCTCTGACAAATTCGAACACGCCTCGTCATCGATCGTTATCGACCACAAGTATTCAAGTTCATTTGTATTTTCGCTTCTTGATATTTTTTTGCTCGAGCGTATCGCCTATTGTCCCGTTTTCTGCGCTCGCATTGTTTTGAGAGTGCGCCCATCAGGTTTTCTTTCTCAAAGATGCCTCCCCGCCGGCTCCTTTTCGGTTGTCTGACGAACTGGTGACGTGGGGTCGCTAGCCTCTTGCCCCTTCTGGGCTTCGCTCTCCCTTCATACGTATTGTATTATTCCATCATTACCTACCTAGGTACCAAATCCCGGGATGGCAAAAGTGTTAAAAGTCGCACCTTCCCCCCATCTTTATACAAGAGGACCTAACAGTTGGCCCGAGGAGGAACATGCTCCCTACCGAGGTAAGTACCTACCCTCGTATGCACCATATAAGGCGGCAGAAACATCTTATCAGAAACAAGCCAAGCCGCCTCAATTCTCTGCAACCCTCCCTTGAAAACCTGGCAGGTACTCACCGGAGTAGGAAATTCTCATCCCTCTTTCTGTTCTTTCAGCTTTCCCTCTTGCTCCCTCATCTTGTTCTGCTCCTTGACTCGGGCATGAGCTTGAAACGTGGGTGGCCCGCCGTCTTAAACGCAACAGTGCTTGATTGCAATGATTGGCAAGCAAGCGACAGGCTGCCTGTCGACGATGCAGACACTCAGCCACGCTCTGCTGCAAGCCCCTCCTGTAGATTATGCCAACAATAGATAATATATGGAAGTGCGTCCGCGAGGCTCCCACCTAGAACTCACCTCTGCCCGATAACCTTCGCGGGAAATCGGGCGCCGGACGTGCTTCGAAAACATCACCATGGAGGCGGTTTCCGCGGCAGCGAACATCATTGCCGTCCTCCAGCTCGTGGAAAGGATTACATTACTTTGCTCCCGATATGTCAAGGCCGTCAAAGGTGCAAAAAGCGACATCGAACGCCTGCAGCGCGAGCTTGAAGGTCTTAGGCACGTCCTGAATGGCGTGCACCAACTTGTTCAAGGCCCAAGCGGGGCACGGCTTGAAACATCGCAGCTCTTGATGCCGGCGCTCCAGCGGTGCTTCACGGAACTAGACGGGCTGGGAAACACCTTGGAGCAACCTTTGGCACCCGGGAAACGTGGGCGGTTGCTGATGCGTTTTGGGCTCCGCGACCTTAAGTGGCCGTTCCAGAGCGCCCAGATTGACCGGACCGTTGAATCCCTCACCAAGTTCCGGGATACGTTTTCCGCTGCTCTTAACCTGGACCAGACGTAAGAGAAAAAATATCTCTTTACTTTAAGCAACCTCTTGTCATACAGCACACTGAAACAACGTTTCTTAGACGGCTCCTTTCTAAACATCTCGAGCGTGTGGAGGATGAAGAGTGCCGCGAAATTCTAGAATGGGTGTCCCCGATCCCTTATGGAAAACAGCATGATACGGTGAAAGAGGCCCGGACCCCCGACACATGTGAATGGCTCTTACAGCACAAGAAGTTTGGGGACTGGAACACCTCAAGCTCGTCTGTGATTCTGTGGCTACAAGGTTCCCGTCCGTCACCCCATCGGGTTCCCCGTCCATCTCAGTAACGCTTTTGCTGACTTGTCATAGCTGGTGCCGGGAAAACGTTTCTTACTTCCAAAGTCATTGACCATGTTTTGAGCTCGATTGAGAGGTCGCCGGGCGGGGATGGATTTGCGTTCTTCTACTGCAATCGTAATGAAGAGAACCGCCGGAAGCCGCTTTCAGTGCTTCGAAGTTTTGTGCGCCAGCTGGCTACAGCACCAGGTTACCCAAAGGAGATACAAAGGAAGCTACGGGAGATGTGGAGGGATAGGGCGACGCATGGGTCAGAACTCGGTATCGCCAATTGTCGAGTCCAGTTGCTGGAGTCGGTGAATTTGTTCCCGAGGACCACCCTCATACTCGACGCTTTAGATGAGTGTGAGCCTAGTTCACGTTCTGAGCTTATCAGCACCATCGAGTTTCTGCTTTCAAAATCCAACAATGCGCTCAGGGTATTTATATCAAGTCGCCCGGACCGAGATATCCGACGCCAATTCGCCGATAAGCCTAATATTGAGATTCAAGCAAGGCATAATGAAGGCGACATCACAAAGTTTGTCCAGGGGGAAGTCATGAAACACGGCAACTGGAAGGGCATGTCTCAGACGTTACAAAACGAAATCGTGCACACTCTTCTTCAACGTAGCGAAGGAATGTAAGACGCCGGAGCCCCCTCACCGCTCAGCAAGAAGACGAGAACGAGTTTGCTCACGCTGTATGTTTTCAGGTTCCAGTGGGTGTTTCTGCAGACTCAGCAGCTTCTCGAACTCGAAACGGAACCCGCCATCCGCGACCGGTTGGGGAAGATACCCCCTACCCTTGAAGCAACGTACGATGAGATATACAGTAAAATACAAGCCCGGAATCACCATGATCGAATCTTAGCGGACCGCGCCTTTCAGTGGGTAATGTGTGCTAGCACGCCTTTCACCAGCGTCGAACTTTTATCCGCGATCCGATTGGGTTCCGAAAGCGATGTTTTTAGTCTAGAGCCCGAGATTACCGAGTCCCAGCTGCTTCACCTCTGCAACCACTTGCTTCTCATTGACAGCCTGCGAGGCGTCTGGAGGTTCTCCCACCTGTCAGTAGTGGAATATTTCGAAAAGACCCGATGGAGTCTCCGCCAGGTACATTACCACGCGGCCGTGGTTTCCCTCAAGCTGTTGCTTGAGACGTACGACGACGCGAGATGCGGCGACCCAGAGCCACATGATCAGTATTTGGAGCGGGTCGACCGCGAGAAGGCGGCTGTATTTGAAAAACAAATACGTGCGGCAGAACGCAGAAGGGCTGGTATCCAAACAGCGTTCGAGAGGAAGCCAGATGTCGCCCTGGAAGTTGAGGCGGAAGATGATGCGCCTGACATACTCCATCCGCGCCACCCCTTTCAAAACTATGTACACGGTCACCTCCTGCTACACGCCCAGGCCCAGAGAGAGTGGGAAGAACACGAAGCGGAACTGAAACCAGAATTCGCTAAATTGCTCAAGGCCTTTCTTGGCCCCCCGAACAATAGCAGCTCCCAGTACCGACGGTGGCATCGGCAAATGGCGACAAAGGGACAGAGTGCATGGCTACCTGGTTTTCGCGGTGCTACCATAAAAAACATTTCCCCCGAGGATTTCAATGTGTTGGCGGCGTGTTACGGCTCCGTTAGCACCGCAATACACGATTGGTGGGCAAATGCTCCCGTTTTGGATTCGGTTGAGAACGAAGTGGGCGAGAATCTCCTCCTCATTGCGGCCGAAGGGGGGGACATACCCATGGTTAAAGTTCTTCTCGACCATGGGATCGCAATTAACGGACTCGCTAGCTGCGCGCGGGGCCACGCGCTTGCTGCCACAGCCTCCAAGGGGGACCTTGAGATGGTTAAGTTTCTGGTCAGTCGCGGAGCGGATGTTAAGCTGCAACTCAAGGCTGGCGATTGTGGCAGTGCCCTGACGGCGGCGGCTCTCCAAGGAAACTTGGATGTTATTCAGTTCCTCATCGAGCAGGGGGTGGATATCAACGTGGAGGACCAGCATGGGCAGTACGGTAGTGCCCTTGTGGCAGCCAGCGCCCGGAAGGATACCGAGGCCCTTCAGCTCCTGACCCAGCATTCCCCCAACATTAACTTGCCTCTCCGGTGTGGCTACTACGGGAGCGCCCTTGCGGCCGCATCGAACTTGGGTAGGACTGAAGCTGTCCAGCTTTTACTCCAGGGCGGGGCAGACGCCAACATGCAGGTCCGGGGCCGCTGGTACGGGAGTGCTCTGTGTGCAGCGGCAGCTGGCGGAAAGATTGAAGAGATTGGGATCTTGATTCAACACGGGGCGGATGTCAATATGCAGGTTCGACATGGGAGGCATGGGAGTGCGCTCGCGGCCGCAGCGTCTCAGTCAAATACCGATACTGTCGACTTCTTAATCCAACAGGGCGCGGATGTCAACATGAAGCTGCGGTACGGGCCAAATGGCTGCGCGCTCGCGGCGGCGGTTGTTCGAGGACACCACGGAATTGTCCAGTTTCTAGTCGACCAGGGGGCGGACGTCAACTTGCCAAACCGAGGCACCATTTATGGCAGTCTCCTTGACACTGCGTCGGCGATTATTGGGGGTAGTTCTGTACATAAATTCTTGCTCGACCGTGGAAAAGGTGGTGCCACAGAACCGGAAGTTCGCTTGTGGCCAAGTGTCGCCGGAACCGGGTCCAGGAGCGTCGAGATATCACTTGACCATGGCCTCGGGGAGAAGGAGGATGGGACGTAGCGTCAATCGGGCTGTGCTGATAGGAGCCGGCTTCTCGATATTGAGCCAAGAAGATGTTTCGGAGCAAACCAAATTGAACTTGACCGATGAGGCGTACATAACGGTACCGTATGGGTTGATTGTCTTCCTCGAGGCATATTTAAGGGCGCCGGACTTTGAGATAGGAGTATAATCACAGGTGAAAAACAAGAAAACAGGTAATGAAAAGAAGAACGGAGACGAAACTTGAGTGGTGAGGATCCTCCGGGCTGGAAAGCTTCTACTTCTGTCGCTTTGTTTGTTTTTGGAGACATTTCACTATTTGGGAGCAGGTCTTCAAGCTGAATTGGGGTACAGAGCGCTGCGCAGCTCAGGGTTAGGGTCAAAGCGTAAAACTGAGTGGAAGCGCTTTGATGTCGCCTATTACGTCATAAACTTGGCACCAGACCATCAAACACCAGAATAAAGAAACTAAGGGAGTTTTACATTCCACAAGGGGAAATATCAAGCATTGAAGCAAAGAAATAGTAGTGTTGTGCCTATAAAATGCGATGACCTGGCTAAGCGGCTCTGCGAACAATCAAAGGAGGGAGACTTCTTCCGCAGTCTAGCTACTCACTCTACGAATACTGCAGCGCGTCCGGGAAGTCCCACTCATGACACTCCAAGCCAATGGAACGCGTCCCTTTCAAGCTCGGCATTGTGCGCGTCAGGAGCCACGAGCTCACTCCCACCACTTCCAATGCAAATCTCAAGCGAGCTTATCAAGCCAGGAACGTAAACTATCAATTTGGAACTCGGGCCAACACACAAGTCCCGTCTGTGACATCAATTGCGACTTTCCGTGGGTTTTATTCCCAACTTTCATCAATAAAAAGCGAACTTGCATACATCCAACCCCCAGACGCCCGGCATGACGACACCTACACCCGCGACCGGCACCTCGACGCCGCTCAACCTCGACCCCGACGAAACCGTCAAGAGCCTCAAGGTGTCACTGGCAGATCTTTCCGCAAAAGCGACAGCGTTGTACGCTCACAAAGAATATGAGCAGGCCTCCGAGTTGTATGCCCAGGCGGCCGAGATGCAAGCGGAGATGAACGGCGAAATGAGCCCAGACAACGCCGAGATCCTCTTCCTCTACGGTCGCGCCCTGTTCAAGGTTGGCCAAAGCAAAAGCGATGTTCTTGGCGGGAAAGCACCTGAGGCGAAGAAACCGAAAGCTAAGCCGAAGCCCACGAAGGTGGCTGGTGCTGCAAACGGCGGTGCCTCCACGGCTGAGAGCAGTGGTGCTGTTGCTGAGGCGGAGCGGAAGGTGGATGATGCTGTTGGCGACGTAGTCGCGAAAGGCGCTGCCGAAAAGGAGGAGGAGGAGGCACCCAAGACAGAGCAGAAAATGGCCCTCTTCCAGTTTCAAGGCGACGAGAACTTTGCCGACTCGGATGAAGAGGAGGAGGAGGAGGAGGAGGAAGACGAGGGTGAGGATGATGAAGAGGACGACGATCTCGCCGTGGCGTTTGAAGTGCTTGACCTAGCGCGGCTACTCTTTAACAAGCGGCTTGAGGTTGTCCAAGCGGAGGACGGGGCGCAAGAGGGCAAGGGCAAGGAGGTTGCGGAGGCTGGCAGCGACTCGGCTGCGACCAAACACATTAAGGAGCGTCTCGCTGATACGCATGATCTACTCGCGGAAATATCGCTTGAGAACGAGAGGTATGGCAAAAGATGTCGAAAGTGGTCACTGCGAGCTGAAGAAACCGATTTTCGACATGGCCAACTGACATACTCCTCCGCTCTCAAGGTACCCTAATGCGATCACCGACTCACGCGCTTCGCTTAAGTATAAGGAAGAGCTCTATCCTTTCGAATCCGAGATCATCGCCGAAGCCCACTTCAAGTTGTCCCTCGCGCTTGAGTTCGCCTCCGTCACCAAGTCCTCCGACGATAACGCCGAGTCGAATGCTTCTGGTGCGGATCAGGTCGACCAAACCCTCCGTGACGAAGCTGCCTCCGCCCTGGAGGCCGCCATCAACAGCACCAAGCTCAAGCTACAAAACAAGGAGGTCGAGCTAGCCACCCTCCATAACCCGGACGACAACACGGCCACGCGCCGGCAGATTGCCGATGTGAAGGAGGTTTTGGCCGATATGGAACAGCGGCTTGTCGAGTTGCGCCGCCCGCCAGTTGACCTCAACGCGGCGCTGGGTATCGCTCCTGCGCCTCAGCCGGAAGTGTCAGAAGAGGTGAAGAAGAATGCGACCGATTTGTCTGGTTTGGTGAGGAAGAAGAAGAGGAAGGCGGAGGAGGAAGAGGAGAGGAGGGAGGGAGAAACGGTGAAGAAAGCGAAGGAGGCGAGCGGTGATACAGAGATGAGTTAGGGTTTGACTTGCCTCGGTCGATGAACAGGGGCGCCTAGTGAAGCGCCAGTACTGGCTTTTTCCCCCTCCGCCCTCTTCTCATTTTCTGGTCAGCCGAAAGGGTTGAGTTATTCATGATTTTATGTGACGGGTCTTGCCTATTTAGGCAACAGCTAGTGGCAGGAAAGGTACAGACTTCGGTCAGATGGGCTGCATGACATATTGTATGATAACGAAGAGTACGTAGTTTGTCCGATGCATCCCCTGTACCCTCCGCTCCCCTTTCTTTGCCTTGACCACCAAAACGGCGAACTGGAGATAATCCGGGCGGGTTGTTAGGTAGTGGTCCGATGGGAACCGTTCTCTTTGGTTCCCCCAGCTCAGGGAGTGGTGGAACGCCAATGTAGAGCAAGAGAATGCAACATGCTAAGCTGGTTCACAAAAACTGGTGCTTATTATTCCCAAATCCGGGTATTATGCTTATCCTATCCGGCCTGTCATGCGATGCTCGTTCTCCTAGTCTATTCCATTTCTGTTTCTTTGAAACCAATCGCACAGTATTATGTATATGCTCAATCCAGAACAAATTTTGTATGATATGCGTATTCCCGATGTAAGGCTGTCCAGCCAAACACCCTTACTATTACTTAGCAGGACGCGAATCATCCAAGCACAGTTCACAGCTGGAAATTCGCATTCGGCGTCCTCCCTCCAGCCTCCGCCCCTCGAAGATGAGCTGATGAGCCCTTGAACAGACTCTGCCAAATGTAGGCCTCACTGAGAAGGAGTTCAATATCCTTCTCGGTCCAGTCCCGGGTGGGCAACGATTGGAGGAACATCATGATCTCTTGAAAATCCATTTTGACCAGCTTGTCAGACCACTTTACGAGGAAAGCGGCGCAAACGTAAAGGTGGAATTCGGAGAATCCTTGTTCCTCGGCCTAAGGGGAAACTGTCAGTTCAGAGTTCGTGACGTGGCAAGGAAGTAGAGAAGCTCAAAGCAGAGGCACTCACCATATACGTATCCCACATTCGAATTGTGTTCTTCACACTAATTTCTCGCATAAGCAGGCAATTCATCCAGCGGAAACTGAACTGAATAAACTCGACGTTCTCTTTCTCCAGGTGCTTCGCGAGGCCGGCGTCGATGCGGGCGGTGAGGTCGCGTAGCGCCGACACTTGACGCTGGATGCCCGGCTGGGCGACAATGTAGTGATCTTGGATCCCGTCCAATAGTTTGGTTAGGCACCAGAACGAGTCGGCCTCGACCGCATCCAGCACCGCCCTTGGTAACTGCCCGGGATCCATTCCCCGCTCAATGTTTGGGTCGGTGATATAAGTGCCGAGAAAGACCTGCCAGAATGGCGAAACGAGGTCGTTGATGCCTTGTACGTAGCCACTGGCCGGGTGCCGGACGGCCCAGACGTAGAGGATGCGTTCGAGCGAGCGCTGAGTCGCTTCGTAGCTGTACAGCTCGATATGGGGGTTGGTGCGTGGGACATCGATGCTGATCTGGTGCCAGATGGCCTCATCTAGCCCGCGGCCGCCCCGGGCTGGGGGGTTAGGAGTGCCGTTGGCGTTGGTGTTGGCGCCAGTGCTGCTGCTGCCACCTTTGTCAAACGCCTGGCGGACGCCGTCGAGGTACTCCTTTCGTTTCCTTTCAAGCGTGGCCACCCTCCTTTCGCTACTTGTGGGCAGATAGCTGAGGAGGAGCTGCCAGGTCATGGCACGAACCTCTTCCGGCACACCGGACCAAGCAAGCGCACGGAGCTCAGACAGTGATATTGTTGAGGCTTGGAGGAGGCGTTTAAACTTGTTTATCCTTGTTACGCGCGAGTTGATTGCATCGGTTTCTTTGACGCTGGCATTAGGCGGTGGTGACGGATAGTTGATCAAGTGAAGGGCATTCGCGGGGTCGCGGAGTATTTCCTTGTACTGTGGTCGTAGGATCTTGCCCTCACTCTTTTTTGGCATGGGGTATGTTGATGTCGGCCTCTCGATCGCAATATCAGCACTATCCGAGTTCCTCCGCCGTGGTAACGAGGGACCATCATCCATCTCCTCAAGCCCATTTTCAGTTTGCGCCTTGCTTTGCTCAGCTTTCCGCTTTGTCCTCCTCTTCATATTCGACAGACTCGGGAGACCGAAGTCGTCCCCATCATCCGATTCATACTCGTACATATCATCGCCATCGTCCACGGTCCAATCATCATTGGTGTTGGATAAGAAATTCATGTACGTCTTGAACGGCGGTACGTTCCCTTTGGAGCTCGGCTTTCGTGAGGGGGAGATTATCGAACCGGTTCGTTCGTGCCCGGGGGCAGAAGGCGGGGTTCGTGGTCGAGATCCGGAACTGGACAGATTCCTGAGGCCTGTGTAAGTAAATAGGGGGAAGTAGAGGAAGGTCAGGTAAACGGCGCACAAGGAGTCAAGAGTAAGGGCGTCAGCATGAGAGTATGCGGCCCCGACAACTAAACTGGAGTCGCGTGTCTTCTTCGGGGGCGGGGCGTCTCGAGGAGGGGCCCTCCAGAAGGGCGAGGCAGAGCTGCAGGAATGGGGTTAGTATAGTACCGCCGTGAGATCTGAAGACGTATACGATAGACCGCGTGACCTACTCTGACCTATCTGATACAGCAATAGAAGTCACTCAAATTAGCATGCGCGCTCGGTATGGATGGGAAGGGAAGCGGGCAGTCCATACCGACTTGCACCATCTCCTGCTTGATCCCACCAACTGCTGTCAGTGCCCAGGACCCTGAAACGATGAAACAAAGCGCGGTGGCGGGCTTACCTGGGGAGCCTTCTTGCCGCCGCCGGAAGACGAAAACATTACGAGGTCCTGGAACTACCGCCGAGTAATGGCATGGCCAATTTCCTCTTTCCGGTGTTGTCGAATGTTGGAGTTCTAATAACTTGGGGCTAGCTGGATTCTGGGCGGTTTGCTTTGGCCAGAGCCGCTGTCTCACCCGCTAACTCAATGCCCAGCATTGCTCCCCACTGGCCTGCACGGCAGACGGTGAGGTGGGTGGCTCGGTGGTCCACTGGTTTGGGGTTCCGTGCCCCACTTTCATCGACCTCCACAGCAGATGGCCCGGGCTTGAGTGGCGGGGCCTAAGGACAAACTAGAAGGCCGAGAAACAATGACAGGGTCTGCCCAAAGCGCGCCTCGACTCTCAACTTTCAATGCCCACGCATTCGAGACCCAGACCCAAGTCATCCATTGAGAAATCATCAAACCGTCACGGTATTTATCCATCTTTGATTGAGGAGCGGGCGGCCTCCTTTTCCCTCTTATCTCCATTTCAATCTTTGTATTTTCTCCGTCCCTTTGCCGCGTTACCTCATTCACCTGGCCAAATCCTCGGCATCAACTCTAGCAACCATGACAGAACCCGAGAACTTTGACGATGAACTCTTCGCCGACCTGTATGTCCCTCTTCTCTATGCTCTTGGATGCAGCTAATCACTGACTCTGGGTAGCTACAACGATGACGAGCCGACCAGCAAGGCGGCACGCCCCGTCGAGCCCGACGAATCCTCAGCCGCGCAGCCTGCCGCCGAGCCTAGTAATGACTACGTAGAAGACGCCGTTGGCCAGCACCAGGATCAAAGTGGTGGTGACGAAATCAAATACGATGAAGAAGAAGAGGAGGAAGATGACGATGATGACATTGACTTCAACCTCGGAAATGGGCCTCCTACATTGACGACGCACGACGAACCCGAAGAGCACCAAGACTACGACGATCACCATGACCAGCAGGACGAGCAAGATGAGAAGCAGTCCTACGGCGGCCAATCTGCAGCTCTTGCCCATACAAAAGGGCCGAATACCAAAGAAGACGGGTAAGTGTTTTGTTTTCTTTCTTCTCTTTTCACCCTAGATGGGTATGACACACAGGACAACGATCGCAATGGTACACTATGCGGCTGTCGTAATGGCGGTCACCGGTCCTGCATCCAACGTCAATTTCGTCGGCGTATGCTGTACATGCTGGGTGCCTGGGAGCCAAAGGCAAGGGTAATGAGGATAGGATTGGAGGGCTTTGGAGCGGCGGATGGCATTTGGAGTCGCCTCGAATGGTTTCGGGTGACTATGGTTCTGGGTCGTGTTCGAAAACCGTGTTGTGGAACGGACGGCCGGGGAGAGAGCCTCGCTCGCAGGTATACTACCGAGCAATATCTGGGAGGGGAGAAAGAGGGGGATATTGCAATGCCTAAACACACCTTCGCTCGATAAGACCGCGCCAACACGATGACTTGGCAGTTGCGCATCTGTCTTCATAGCCCATCGCAGATAATCTTAGACAACCGGGGGACGGCAGGGCCAAGCGTATGCAGAGTGACCTGCCAAACCCCGGGGATCGAGTTCAAGATTTGGCGGCGATTAGCGCAGCAACCAGGAGACAGCTAGCTTGACGATAGGCAAGAGCACCAGACAGGAACAAGAAAGACCAGTTCGGCGAGAGAGAAGTCATCCGCTGCATCTTTTCTGTGGGCGCGTGGGACCTGCCTGTAGCGTGTTCCGCGTGCGGCACTGCAACACCATCACACCTCACTTACAACGCCCTACCTCGCCTCACTTTATCTTGCCTCGGATCAAACCGCCCACCCATCGCCAAAAATGCCCGACCAAACACACTCTTGGGGTTTGGCCAAGAACGAAGCAACTCTGGCAGCGCCATGGCCCGACTTTATCCCTCTCAGCTCTAGCGACACCCAGATCTCATCCGACGACTCAACAGTTTCGTCCTCGCTCGCAAGCACGCCCATATCTCCCGGCATTCAAATTGAAAGTCAACCAAATGATCCAGCCGAGATTTCTGCCGTCCGCCGCCGCCGAAGGAAGTACGGGCAAAACGGAAGGTCGGGCAATGCGCGAGGGTGCAATTCATGAACCTGGCGAATGCTGGTTATGCATAGTATTTTTATGATGCGCGATCTGTTATCGGCAACGTAAACTGGTTGCTCGGCCGAGGGCTTCACCGTTCTATTGGTGTTGGATGCGGGATTGTCCATCCAGTCTCTCTCTAACTTGTTCTACCCAATCGACATGCCTTTCCTCGATTTAACATCTTTCAGGCTTTATCGTCCGCAGTTTGCTAGTAGTGGGACGCCAGTACTGACTAGTTGTGGTAAACAGGAAAATGTTTATTGGTGGCCTTAACTGGGAGACGACGGACCGTAAGCTAAATCTCCACGACTTGTCTCTACCGGGTTGGGGAAATCTGATGCTAATTTGGTGCCCTAAGAATCATTGAGGGACTACTTTTCACAGTTTGGCGAGGTTCTGGAATGCACCGTTATGCGCGATGGGGCCACTGGTCGTTCTCGTGGCTTCGGTTTCCTCACCTTCAAGGACCCGAAGACGGTGAACATTGTTATGGTCAAGGAACACTACCTCGACGGGAAGATTGTCAGTCACTTTGCTTTTTTTTTCTTCCCTTCTTTCTTTCTTGGTATTTCGTGTTCCCGCCACTAACCTGGTTGCTCCAGATTGATCCTAAGCGGGCTATCCCACGCGATGAACAAGAAAAGACGTCCAAGATCTTTGTTGGTGGCGTCAGCCAAGAGACGACGGACCACGAGTTCCGCGAGTACTTTGCCCAATTCGGGCGCGTTGTCGATGCCACTCTTATGATGGATAAAGACACCGGCCGCCCCCGTGGCTTTGGTTTTGTCACCTTTGAGAGCGAGGCCGGCGTCGATGCTTGTCTCGCTACCAGCCTTGAGATCCACGGCAAGCCGATCGAAGTCAAGAAGGCCCAGCCCCGCGGTAACCTGCGCGACGAAGAAGATGCCGCGCGCCGTGGTGGTGCCGGTGCGGGCGGCAAGTTCGGTCGAAAGGGCCAGGGCATGGGTGGTCCTAACGGCGGCATGGACGACGGCGGACAAGGTGCGGCCGGTGCGGGTATGATGGGCGGCATGGGCGCGGGGGGCGCCGGAATGTCAGGCCAAGTCATGGCGCAGTACTTTCAGCGCATGCAGCAGACCATGGCCATGTTCCAGCAGCAGATGATGATGAACCGCAACATGAACCCAGCCATGGCCCAGATGATGTATATGCAGCAGATGCAGCAGATGCAGAACATGATGGCGCAGCAGGGCCGCGGCGGAGGTGGCGCCGGGGGTATGCCGCCTGGTATGAACCCAGCTATGATGCAGCAGATGCAACAGATGATGAACCAGCAAGCCGGTGGCATGGGTCCCGGCGGTCCTGGTGGTCCTCAAGGCATGGATCCTAGTATGGGCCCGGGCGGGGTTGATCCGGGTTCCAGTGTTTCTCCGGTCGGTAACTCGGGTGGCCAGAACCAGCCCAGTTACAACAACGGGAACAACACCAACAACACCGCCTTTGACCCACAGCAGCAGCAACAACAGCAGCTACAACAACAACAGTCACAACAGCAGTTCGACCAGCAGCAGCCGCCGCAGCAGGGCGGGCAAGGCAGGGGCGGTGGACGTCGTGGAGGCCGTGGCGGAAGTGGGGACATGCATCATCACCATCACCAGCAGCAGCAGGCGTACAACCAAGGCGGTTACAACATGGGCGGCAGCGGTGGTCTCGGCGGCCCAACTAGTTGGGAGGGTATGTACGACGACGTTCCGCAGCCGATCATGGCCCAGGGCGGAGGTAACTTTGGAGGAGGAGCGGCTGGTGGACGAGGCGGATTCCACAAGGGCAGCCGTGGGGGCGGTGGTGGCGGTGGTGCTGGAGCTGGAGCTGGTGGTGGAAACCCGATGGACCCGATGAATGCTCCGCCTGCGAATGCGCCGACGGGGCCGAAGAATGCGGGTCGGCCGGGTGCTAACTACCGTGGGGGTGGTCGGGGCGGGAACAGAGGCTTCCATCCCTATGCTAGGACCTAAGGTGGGCAAAGCGAAAGGTTTTGGTAAAGTGAAAGGGGAAAGAAAGCGAACACACAAGTTATGGTGTCTGGATTTCGGCAGGGGATGGACCTTGGAATGGGCTGTCTAGCCGTGTAATTGTGCAAGCACTGAGGGAGATTGGAGGTTCGCCCCGTCACTTTGCCTTCTTTCTGCTACTTGCACTTTTTTCTTCTTTCTCTCTCGCGCTTGTCGTTTGGTAGTTGTGTTCTTGGGTCGAGCTGGGTTTAATATCATCACCTCTTTGGTCAATGTCGTGCGTGGGTTGTGGTTCGTAGTATGACTAAGCCTAGGCCGTAAGGTGTGCTTACCGTACAGGAAGGGGGTCAAAGAAGAACCTTTATTGGGTGGGACACAACCTCGGACTCGGTACACTCGGAAAAAGGGGACGGGCGGAAAACACAGCGAGGGGTTTTTCTTTCTTCCGTTATCTACCTAGGTAGCTTGTAGTATTGTCCACTATTTCGACCACCGCTCAGTCTTTCAACGTCAACCACAAATGGTGAAAATTTCTGATTATGACCGGCACTTTAAGCATACAACTTAGTAAACCCCTCAGCCGGCGGCTGTAGCCAGTTTCTCTCATCATACTTGTACTCCTCCCCCCCCTCGATAATATGAAATGTGTAAATAACCCTCCCCTTCTGACTCAAGTTCCGCTCACTCTTGTGCAACAAATTCCCATGAATCAACACCAACGACCCAGCCTTGACCTCCCCCGGGACATACGCCTCCTCAACCCCAGTTTTCGTCCCTTTACTCCCGTACCCCTCCCCAACCGGAAACACAGCCCCCTCATTCCCAACCATCACCGTCCCAACCGCTTTCCCCCCTTCATCAACCCGCCTCACCAACCGTCTCTCAACCGGCGCCCAGAGATGCGACCCAGGCAGGAAACTCAAGCACCCGTTCTCTAGCGTGGCGTCCTCTAGCGCATACCAGAAGCCGACGGCGGTGGGCGGGTCGGTGTACAGGAAGGTTGAGTCTTGGTGGGGTGGGACGGCGGCGCCGATTTCGGGCTGTTTGCAGATGATCATGCTTTGGAGGACGCGGGGGTCGGTGAAGTTGAGGGAGTGGGCTATGGAGGCGGGTGTTGGGTTTTGTAGTTGTTGTTGGTCTTGGGCAGGGGGCGAGTGGAGGAGCGAAGCAAAGGGGGGTGAGAGCACATGCAGATAGTGCCCGATCTTGTTGACGGCACGGTGCTTGGGCTTGGTCAATTTCCCGGATTCGTCGAAGGCGTCGTCCTCGAGGAAGAAGCGGATCTTGTCGCCTGAGGTGAGGAAGTAGTCATCGCCGACATGGTCTGTGCCGTCGTCGCCGCCAGTGCGGAAGCAGGTGAGGGGGTGGTTGGTTAGGTCCAGTTCGTCGAGGAGCCGGTGGGTTTCGGTGAGGAGGGAGGAGACAGTGGTGGGAGAGAGAGCATCCGGAATGATGAGGTAGCCGTCGCGGTGGAAGGCTTCAAGTTGGGCGGGGGTCAGGCCGTTGGACATTTTGGGGGTGTTTTCTTGGGTTTACTTCGGTTTAGAGTGGTATGGCGTGAAACGCAGGATGCGGTGGATCGGCGCTGTTTTTATTGAGAAGGAGTTTGGTTTCTAAATACCTATCCGAAGGTTTCAAGGCTGCTGAAGATTGGGATGCTATGTATAAGTCACGTTGATAGTGCGGGTTGACCCCGCTGTGGCCCCTTATCGGAAAGCCCCCGGGCACCCACTTCCAAGACGGGCAGCTCGTGTTCCAAAGAACATAACACCCAATGCAGTTCCGCGACGTCGATTTTGTCCTTAATCAAACTAGGTCGTCTGTGGACGGCCCAAGTTTGTATCAATCGGCATGCCAAGACTTTTAACCTTCTCGTTGCACAACATATCACATTTCAACAAACCACTTGCCGTTGTACGTCACAGTCTGAAGAGTAGGCCAATCAAGATATTCGGAAGCAGTGAAATTCAATTTACAACATATCCGCGTACGGAAGCACACCCTCGGCCCGCTCACGTCCCAAGTCCTCTGAGAGCAGCTTGTCCCGTCTCCAAACTGAGACACAGTGGACAACAGGAGAGGAAGGGACTTGGGACTCGGTAACGCCAGGTATGTCGGTAACGTAACGAGTTTAACTAAAAGATGGTTTGGTATCAGGCATTCGACAATCCAGAATCCCATGACGCCAGTAGGGGGGAATACAAAAAGTGAAGAGAAACCAAAAAATCGTCAAAAGCAGAAACAAGGGGTGGGGTAGATAAAGGGGGATACGGCGCGAGGGCAATAGGAAACCGGAACAAGAAAAGGAAAAAAAGGAAAAGGAAAAAACCACTTCAACGCCTTCAAACGCCCCCCTGAGTCCACACCGACGGCAGCAGGGTGTAAGAGCCTGCTCGCAGCCGCTACGCAACCGACCCCATCCCAGACCAACCGAGGTACCTAACCCAACCCAACCAAGCCAGCCAGCCAACCGCCCCAATCCATGAAACATTCCAAGCGGACCGGGTCGAACCGAGCCGACCCGCGTTCAAAGAACCTTTCCCATTCCATCCAGCTTTTGGCCTCATCCCCAGGTCAATCAATGCACACTGGGTGGGTATCATTACTTCCGCAGCACGGCATCATACACGGCCGTGAGCCCGGAAACAGCAGTGCCCGCCAACACACCGCGCCAGCCAGAGTACAGCGCGCCATTGATCCGGCTAACCGACGTCGGATCAATAAGCCCACCGAACGTAACACCCTGCGCGTACACGACATACGTCACAACAGCCTTGGCAACGCTGAACACGACTGGGTCGACGGCATACTCGACCTGCTCCGCGGCCGCAGTCGCCGCGGTGGACCGGCGAGTACGCACCCCTGGGGCCTTGTGGCTGGTAGTCGCCGCCGCGCCGCTGAGGTTGAAGAAGTACCCGGCCAGGCTGGGCAGGAAGACGGAGGTCAGCGCCCAGGTGAGGGCCGGGGCCCAGAAGCTGGCGGTGACGAGGGCGAACATGTCGGGCAGGTGGACCGGGTAATCCGGCGTGCCGAGGGCGGGCACGGCGGGCACGGTGAAGGCGTAGCGGTCGGGGAGGACCTCCGGGCGCAGGTAGTACAGCTCGAAGAGGGCGATCGCGGACACCACGGAGTGGACGGTGGAGAGCCACTCGCGTGTGAGCTGCGTGCCCTCGCCTAGGCGCGAGCGCTCCAGCAGCGAGGTGGCCTGCGCCCGGAGCGCTACCGTGCCGCGGTCCACTGCGCGGGCGACGTCGGCGGGGGTAGCCGGGAGTTGCAGACGCGCGGTCGCGGCGAGAACGCGCCCGGGGGTGCGCGTCAGCGCGGTGGAGGTGGATTGCGCGGCATCGGCGGCGGCTTGGGTCGCCGTGGTGAGCGCGGTTTGTTCGTTGTCGTCAGCGACCTCCTTCTCTTCCTCCTCTTCCTCGTCTTCTTCTTCCTCGTCCTCTCTATTGATGGCGCATAACGGTCAGTTGACTTGTCCAGCTGGGTTACCGAAAGGGGGGTGGATTCGCGATCGTCTGGTCGCTTTGTTTTGTTTACCCGGAGGGAGATCGTCCGAGAGAGAGAGAGAGAGAGAGAGAGAGAGAGAACGCGACAGATGGACCTTGCGACGAAGGCGCATGTTCCGAATTGGTTGTAAACAGAACAGTATGGGTTTTTACTCACTCTGCAGCAGGCGTGATTTCCTCTACCTGCTTGGGCGCGCGACGGCGCGACGTCGGCTTCAGGTCCGGAATCTCCTTCTTGATGGGCGAGCCGCCGGCGCGGGCGCGACTCTTGAAGTAGTCCAGGAACTTGGGGTCCGACTGGAAGCGCGTCGTGTTGTCGGACAGGTACTCATCGATAGCGAGCTCGAGGTCGGTCTTGCGGAAGTTCTCGTAGCTGTGTTCGGGAGAGAAAGACGCGTTAATTCATGTTTCTCGCAAGATAGCGATGATATCTTGTCGCGTTGGATGCCACGACGCGTTCTGTTCGCATTGCGATGGGAGACGCCTCGGCGGTGTTGGTGTGCGACGATGCGCCGACGCAATGACGACGACACCGAGGTGAGCGGGACAAGATAAGATCCCATTCAATGCCATGTCGCGGGATGCGATGCGGATGCGAGTGTTTCCACAACACCAATGCCATGATCACCACCAAGAAAACATTCCCCAGCTATGCACCCCACCACCCCTCCTTGGTGGGCGTGCAAGGGTGCGAAGAGGAATGCGCCGGGACATGGGCGCAAAGGAAACGAAAACACCAAAAACAACGGGAGAAACCCAGAGATGGAGGGGCAAACAAGACATACTCTTTCAACCCCAGGGACTGCGCAATGTCCACCAGATCCCCCTTGCGCTGTCGCGCGAGCCAACCGTTTCCGCTCATGTTTCGAGGTGGCGAGAGCCCAAAATGGCTTTACTTCAAACAAAGAGGAAAGGAGAAAAATTGGAATCAATAAACGAGACCGGTATCAATACGGTCGCGTAAAGATGGCGACTAAATTCCTTGCTGTAAACAGGTGATGTGGCGATGGTGCACACGACCAAATATCGTGAAATGATTTCTGCGGTGGTGTTTGTTTTGTGTTTTGGAGGAGCTCCGGGAAGCAAAGCGAAGCTCTGAAAGCTGCGGTTTGCTTGGGTTCTAGGGTCGGGGGGTTGTGCGTAGTGGAGGAAGGAGGTGTGAGAGAGGGGGGAGGGGGGTGACCTGTGCGTTGTTTATGTTTCTTTGCCCAACAACGTCGGGTGTGTTTGGGTGTCTGGCGGAATTGGGAGCTCTCTGCTTGAGTTGGGTGATGGATTGCCCTGGAGTGTCCCGTTTAGGCCAACGCTACCCCGAAAATGGGGGGGCTGGGGAGCTCATCAGCACCCCGAAGGAGTTTAGTGAAGGCAAGTTCTGGGGGAAGCGCTCCACTGGCCAATCATGTGTCTCGTTCCGTTTTCCGAGTTGGCTTTGTTGTTGTTGCCCTGAATGCCCCTTCGACGAAAGCTCAACTGTGTTGCTCAGCGCGTAACTCGGTACGTCCATTACGAGGTAGTAGTATCCGTAGAGAAGAAGTTCAGGCCGTCACAATCGCAACCTTTGGGCCATCGAGGGAAATGATTCATGTCCAGAGCTCAGATGTCTGTCATTATTGTTTTGTGTCGTCGTGTCATGGCAGAAACCAGCCGAAAGCCCCTCTAACTCGCAATCAGCCTACACAGTAGGTACGAAGTACCAAACCTCACTCTCTGTTTTGTATGCATCCATTCCAACCTTGAAATTCGTTATTCGCTCCCTCGTTTTCGCAATGAATTGTACAAAATATATACCCACCTCCCCCTTAAGACAGCTTCTCATCGCCCACAAACCTCTCCTTCCCCCTCTCCACAAACCTCACAGGCACATGTTTCCCCCCATGTAACTTGAGCGTCAATAACGAGTTCGCCTGCCGAATCGTCTCCCTACTCTTCTCCTGCGCCTTCGCATACACCTCTCTCCGCGCCTCAGGCCCCATTGCCTCCACCTCCGCATCCGACGCCCACTCGTCCACAGCCAGCTCGACGCTGTACTTTTGGAAAATCACCGCTAGCACCGCGCCCATCTCCACCATGGCAATCCGCCGCCCCAGACATGACCGCGGACCGTCGCTAAAGGGCAGGTAGCTCCCGCGAACCGGCCGGTACAACGACGCCGCCACGTCGCTGCCTTGGAATCCACCGTAGTCGTCCTTGTCGTCGATGTCCTTGTCGCCGCCGCTACTGCTGCCGCTGCTCCCGTTGCTGCTACTGCTCGTGCGGTACCATCGCTCAGGCAAGAAATCGTCCAAGTCGTTAGCCTTCCCCGTGCGCTCGCTCGGGCGGACCGGCCACCACCGCGGGTTGCGCTGCACACACACCGCGAACAGCGTGATGTCCACGAGGGACGGGAGCACATAGGTCTTGCCGTCGATGCTGAGGGTCTGCTCCGTGTTGGGGGGCACCACCTTGGGGATGCCGATGACCGGGGGCATCATGCGCAGGGTCTCGTTGACGGTGGCGCCGACGTGGGATGCCAGCAGTGGGCTGACGCTCTTCTCGTAGTCCCAGGTTGAGGGGTCGGTGGTGCCGAAGAGGGAATCGACGTCCTGTTGGAGACGGCGTTGGGTGGCTGGGTTGGTGGCGAGCTCGACGAGGGAGAAGTGGAGGGTGTTGGCTGTTGTTTCGTGGCCGGCGACGATCATGATGAAGGCGTTGCCGACGATGTCGCTGTCGGAGAGCGAGAACGCGGCCGCGGACCCGGGCTTGGCTTTGGCGCCGCCGGCCTTTTGGGGGCTGTATTGCGATTGCACGAGCTGGCCCATAATGTCCATCCCTTCACGGGGCGAACCGCCGCGTCGGGTTTCCTCCACTTTGTCCTGGAGGAACTCGTTCATGTACCCGAGGTAGTTGCTCTTACCCTTGTACGCCTCCTGGAGCGCTTTAAAGGGAAGAATTCCTGGACGGCGCATTAGCGTTACCTTCAAAAAGGGAAAGGGGGGGATGAAGAAATCAGAACAATGATTATCGAGGAAGTCGGTGTCACATACGTAGCAACGTGTCGTTCCACAACATGATGGTAATAAGTCTCTCCAAAGTAAGTGCCACCGAGTCGGCAAAGGTCAGACTGTGGCCTGGCGGGGGCTCCAAGCTGCCGTACTTGGCGAGCGTGGGATCAATATCCTTGGGCAACGTCTGGCCAGGCCAGAGCAACCGCAGCCCGAACCCGACGTAACCGATAATGTTGAGCGCCCAGGTCATCGTATCGTGTTCCAGTGACTTGATCGTGGGCGTCATGCCGGTCTTCTTGCCCTCAGGCCCCAACCACATGTCGAGCATACCCCTAGTCTGGTTGATGGCCTCGGAAAAGGTGTGCGCCGCGTTCTTCTCGTTAAAACTAGCACTAGTGATCTTGCGGTGCAGGCGCCACAGGGTGCCTTCCGTCGTGAGCACGTTCTGCCCAAACATGTTGAGGAGACCATATTGGGCAATGTTCTTCGGGAAAGCCTCACGACGCTGCGTCACTTGGTGGATGACCTCGGCGCTCTGGCTGTACAATGCGAGTGCGCCGGGTGAGGCGATCAGGAAAGTTTCAGTCCCCATGCGATCCCAGTGGGTTTGGCCGGTGCTGTAAGCCCATTCGGGTATCATGACACTTTAAGGGTGACAGTAAGTTAACTAGGTGTTCCTAATGGTTTGGGGTGAGGGGTGAGGAGGCATTCTTACAATAACCAGTTCTCCCATAATGGCTTCGGTAATAGCTTGATTAAGGGAACCAGAAAGGTGAACGTGAGTTGCCACAATATATTGATAGGTGAGATAGCTAACAGAAGGACCCGGTTAGATAAGTGTATATATGTGGAAATGTGGGCAAGAAACTAGCGAGGCTCTAAAGAACGTACGGACGACGAGATATGGGAGCCCCGTCTTCTTTGCTTTGGCGGCGTTGATCCATAGTCCTGAGACATATTTGTAAAGACCGAGTGCCAGGGTGGCGCCAAAGGCAATAACTATGGTTGAGGTCATGGCGAAGGCCGTGGAGGCACTTGGCGCCCCAGCTTTGGAAGAGTGCTTCTGTCTTCCTAATAGACCTCGACGAAAATCCGCCTTCCGCCCGTGTTCGTGCCCGGTGTTCGTGTCCGGTATTCGCTAGTTCGATGGGGAGTTCGAAACAAGTCCAAAACGCCAAAGAGGAGAAACAACCACAAAGAGGAAAACGCCGGGAAGGGCGGCGTGGCTGTCTTTTCTGTGATGATGTCTCTTCGCCAGTGGGGCGAGATAACTTAATCAACGTGGGCTTGCTGGTAGGTCAACTTACGGCATCCCAGTCTCCCGGTCGAGCAAGAATTTGGAACCCCCAGCAAGATCCAGAACTTAAAATCCGGCCCTCCCGGCCCCCAAGCACACACCCCTGGGAATGGGGACGGGACGGGCGATGAAACGAGCAACGATGCGTTCGACATTGCACAAAAGTTCCACGCCATGTTTCCACACACACCCGAGAAACGGGCCCTGGAACCAAGAGCTTGGCCCACTGGAACTTGTTGCGCCCACCACCCGAAGGCGCGATTGGCTGTGGCCAAAAGAACTCAGAGAACCAAAGAACATGGTGGTGTTCGGGGACCGTTTATCCGAAGACTAGTGTTGTGTAGTGCATGCGAACATCTGCGCTCCACCTGCCGTAAGTCGAAGAGAGATTGGCTCGCTTTCGCTTGCATTGGACTTTTGTGACGCATGTCAAGTCCGACGGGGGAAAGGGCCCGGTGACCCTCCTCCGTTGGAGCACCAGCAACCTACTAGAGCACTTCAAAAACGTACACTCCGCGGGGCTTTTCGAGCGCGAAAGGTAAAAAAAGATATATTAAAAAAAAATCTAATCGATCCGTAAGAGTTGATGAGAGGTTGTGACGCACTCGAGATCAACAGGTGTCACGATAAGGTGCTCGAAACACCTTGATGTCATTGGCTTGCCCGAAACAGCGAGGAAAAACAAGACTGTTGAATCAAATTGCTCGCATGCTGTCGGCATTCTCGCACTCAAAGTTCCATCCTCTAAACTCCTCCGGGCGCAGCTGGAAGTGCCAAGTCGCCCATGTCTGGACTTTTTGTTGATCGGCCTGGGGAAAGTTCCTCCTGTGCCTTTCCGCTTTCGGGTAGACCATATGGAATTCTCCGAGTTTTTGAGCTTCATGCGGGAACTTTTCAACCTCGACCTGGTCTCTTCCCAACCCGCCGGATCTCTGACGAGCCGGATTTCTCTTGTTTTGAGGCCTTTTCTCCCCATCGATTGACCCGGTAGGTCGTTACCTGTCAATTACTACGTGTTATGACCAGATTGTCCTTATCTCCGTCGATACAGTAAGTATTCTGCTGTGTCTCCCGCCCGTTCGTTCCAGAACAGACGACTCCTAGTGTACTATTAGATTGCGAAATGCAGCCCCCAATCCGACAGCCCTCTGATTCCTCAATTTCCTCGTTCCAGCAGGAGGGAATCTTGCTTAAAGCCATCCATCATTCCACGAAGGCGCTTCGATCTCCGGTTGGCCGCTAGGCACCCTGGGCCTGGGCAGGCCCGGCATTTTGGGGTGACACGAGCCCGGGAAATGACCAACAAGGCCGTTGTCCACCCGGGAACCAACAACCGAAACGGATCATCCCGCTGCCGGTTCGCCCACTCCTTCGGCCTTGGTGATTCGCTCCGAGGCGATGGCTTTCGAAGAAAAGGGAATCCGAGCTGGCGGGCCGAAAGGGTTGGGGACCGGGGATGAACAAGAGACCCTGGCTCGGCCAGCGTAGGGCTGAGCTTAACGTTAACGTTATTTATTTTCCGTCAGCTGTGAGCCACCAGAAACAAATTGCTGAAATACCTACATAGCAGACTCCTCGAACCTTGATATTAACTCGTAAAGCCGCGAATTAGGGGTTTCGCGGATTTTGCGATACGTAAATGGCATCGGAACCTCCGGGAATCATCCACATGGAGTCATTCCCGCTAATAGGTGTATCTACATACTGTGACTACCTGTACCCCCCCTTAAAATCATCAACGTTAACCCCGCGTCGAGTGATGGATCCCTCGTCATCCTTTGGGCTAGACCTCGCCTTGCGAGAGCTTTCCCGCGGAACCTACCGGCTAGGTTACGATGAGTGGCAAAAGCTTTCGCCGGCTGATGATAATGATGGCAACGATCTTACAATCTGGTTGATACCACGGTTAACCAACGGTTGCATGTGATTGAGAATGAGATCGAGACGAATTTGAGGGTATGAAGCTGGGACCTCGACGCCATGGACCATTTCCAAGCAGTTGCGAAAGTCCATAAGAGGGGCTTGGACACAAATGTAACGATTGCGGCTCTCGAGTCGCATACCAAGCAAGCCTCGAGCAAGTCTAGAATTTGAGCAGACAGCCGAAAGACTAACGCTGTCACCCCATCTGATCGATCGTCCAGTTGTACACTCCCGGAGGAACTCCCCGTCCGATGATCATATCTCGAGAAGGATGACACAAGAGATGATTTTCTTTGCTCCACCTTGTCCACACAGTGTGTGCCCTACCCGTCATCGGGGAAGGGGTCTATGAGGTAGCATCCGACGAGCTTGTGTCTAGACCGCAAACTCGCTGGGAAAATCCCGTTTACACCATCTGAGCCTATACCTATGTAGTTGGATAAGCTATGGGAGCAGCGTGAAGCATGTGAAGCACCGAAACTATTCCTACTGTTGGGATCCTTGCTTTTGTCTACACATACATGTGTGTCCACTGATTTTGAAGGGCTAAAGAATGACCGACGTAGCGTGATCATCCTGGGGCGAATAAGGGTTGACATTTCGTGTGTTCTCCACGGCACGGTGGTCTGCAACAATACGAGATAGTATATCACTCCCTGATCACAAAGACAAAAAGCGATGAACGGAATGCTTTTTTTCGTGCTTGGGCTCATATGGACCCATTACCACAACTTTAGGGTCCTCAACACCCAGAAAACCTGCATCATCAACTGGTACCCGGCTAGGCCGCCAACCTAGGTAATCACCGCAAAGGAAAAAAAGCTTTTGGTGAAATCATCGCCCCGTCCTTGTCCCATGCACTTTCTCCTAACCCGGCAAAGGCTCAGTCGGCCACATGCTTTTCGACCCACTCAGCCAATACCATCAACGTCCACCAACCGATGCTTTACCGTCCATAACCCAACCATCAAACTAATCCAAGAGTACATTATACCTCATGAAAGAGAGAGAAAATATGTGAAAAATATAACAAGTCATCACCAATCCAATGCAAGCATAGCGGTTCACCGCCCATATGTAGTCATCGTCATCATCGCCATAACACCGTCGTAAGCCCGCATCATAAACCACTGCTATCAGATCACCCTCACAACCATAGATAGTCATAAGCCATGCAGTCACCATCGACGACATAAAAAGCAAGAAGAAACCACGATGAGAACGAGAAAATATAAAAAAAACTGCAACGCAAATTTGTGTGTAAGTAGAACGACAACTAATCCCAGCTCGACCAAACCAACTTCTCGTGCACCCTGTCTTTGGACGATGTAATTACCCCCTAGGTGAGGATACCAAACCCCCTCGTGAGAGGAATGGAGTCCAAGGCCCGACTGCTTGATGGAGTTGGTAGGATGAATGTGACGCGAAGAGGGCTAGGAGCTCGGGAAGGGGGGGGAAGGGTGATGAAAAAAGGAGATATACAGAACGATTCGTACATGTACAAGTGAAGATAAAAAGAATGAAAGAAAGGGAAAAAAAGACCCCACGTTTCCTCTTGTGAGGACTCTCCCAACCCATGTTGACCTCCGTCCCTAGTCGTGATTTTGTCCTTCCCCCCTGAATTTGTCCATCGCCTTGCCTTGCCTTGCCTTGCTAATCTGTTGTCCTCCTGTGTCGACTTTTGTCCGCATTATACTCTTGTGCTGCCGCGGCGGGCACTGCCGGATGGTCGAAGATGGCGATGATGATCTAGCCGTGGTAGGCGGGCAGATAAGACCGGGCAGGAAGAGACCGCTAGGGGCTGGGTTTCTCGAAGGTTGAGGGTGAGTAGGCATATGCCACTCTGGGAGAGGTCGGGAATGAAGAGCAACGTGAACCCAGCTCGGATATGTGTAGCAAATGAACCGGTGCGAAGAAAGCCGGCGCAAAATGTAGATGCGCCGGGGAAAAATGAGAGAAGACGAATAAACCCCGAACGCCGTCCATGACCCAATTTTCTCCTTTTATCTTCCATGCCGAAGTCGCTATTTTCCGTTGCGCCAGTCCGATGTGTTCATGGTTGGTATGTCCCAAACCCCCGCGTTCCATGCCGACGCTGATATAGATGCTCGATGTGCGAGCGATGGTCCCAGTGCCCGGACCACGGATGCCGAAAAAAAGGAAAAAAGAAAGGAAGAAATGAAGAAAGAAAAAAGACCGAGTCGGTTTGTTCGGGGTAGTAGGACCGATGAAAAGCGAAGTATTAAAGGTTGTATGTGTAACGGTGTTCGGCCGGATCACGGTCTGCATTTAGCAAGACCCACTGACTGGCTATCGAAAAAGAAGCGAATTTTTTTAGCCAATTTGTGTTGTTTTTAGATCTTTTTTTGTTGTTTTCCTTTCAGGCGGAAGATATCACACTGAACACTGACATCCGGTTGCAGGTCCAGTTCTTATATGTCGATTTGTTTGTCGTCCGTGTCCTTCCGCTTGATGAAGAATTGTGAGCCAAAGGCGAAGAAAAGAGAGAGAAAGACGAAAGACAAAGAAGTTGGGCCGCTATCGTATCATCATTCGCTCATCATCATCACCCATGATGTCCTACTACCCCTTAACTTGGGACGTTTAAGGTCGGGGGTTGGAAATGGGCGGGTATTCATAACCCTCCGGGCCCGAAGCGCTGGGACCCGAGCCAGGGGCAGAGGGGCCAGGCGGACCGCCGCGGAGGGCAAGACGAGGACCGGTGGTCGACGCAGCGGGGGCGTGGCCCATGGAGTCAGCCCCGGTGTTGACGCCAGGAATCGGGAGACCGGTGTAGGCTGGGTAGCGAGAGGCGGGATCGTAGCGCGGTCGCTGGTCTCGCTCCGAAGGGTAGCCCGACTGGTACATTGAGCCAGGATAGGCGGGGCGATCGTTACCCATCGCGGGCTGGGTAGGGCGAATGGGAGTGCTCAGGTTGCGCGAGTGCTTAGCTGCGCTGACGGGAGGAGCAGGTCCCGAAGGGACACCCTGGTAGCCGCTATCATACGGCGGCATGTAGCCGTTGTTCGGCGGAGGGTAGGAGGATGTATTAGCCTGTTGCAATCTACGCTGGCGAGCATCGTAGTCCGGTGTCCAGTACCCATTCTGGGGCTGGCTGGCCTGGGCGGCGAAATATGAGCCAGTGTTATAGTCGTTCTGGCCATACCCACCATAACCCACTGGTTGCTGGGCATACTGGTTGTAGTTGTTGGTGCCTAGCGAGGCGGAACGATGGTGAGCCGGCTGGGGCGGTGGAGCGGGGTACATGCTCTGGAAGTTCGGGGCGCCGCCGTAGTGGTTGGGCACGGGAGCTCCCCGGGGAGGGAAACGCTGAAGATCACCAACATTTCCGCGAGAACCGTCATCGGGGAGCTCCGCGCGATGGTCGCTCTCGTTAGAGCGTTGACGCTTGGGCTGCTGCACCCTGCGACCCTTCTTGTCGGGGCCAGGGCCAGAGCCTGATCCGCCCCTAGTCTGCCTAGGCTTAGCCCTGGTACCGGTAATGTTGGGGAGGATTTCGATATCCGGGAAATGGGTCAGAATGCCGCCCTCTAGCTCGCTGTGGATGCGAGCGACAATGCGAATGATCTCTAGTGTGGGCTTGCCACTGCCCACCACCGCCAGAATCCACTGCGGGACAAGACTGAGGTCCATTTCCGCGGCGGCCGCCGGGTCCACATCGTCGTCATCCTCGTCAGGAGATTTGCGCTTACGAGACTTGGTCTCATCGTTTAGGCGGAGCTGCTCGCGACGGCGAACAGCCAGGGTCCAATCCACGACGATGCCATCGTCAATGGCACCAGTGTCCATGTTGTAGTTGCTCCAGGCCTCAAGGCGTAGGACCTGGATCTCGACCATACGGCACAACTTTATGTTGTACTCATGATCATTCCGGTAGCGAGCGCGCTGATAGTGCTTGCGGCAGACCCACATCCACACGTTCTCCGGAATCGCGCGGGTGCAGTTTTTGTTGCGGCCAAAAATATGTGACATGGATTTGCGCCATGGGATTTCTCCATTGGCTTCCCTGCTGATGTTGCAATCGTCCATGAATTTGCAAACGCGGGCCTCGTGGATGTTTATTTCGTTGAAGAGGCGGCGGCGGGTATCGCATAGGCGAGGGACCGCCATAGCAATGAGGTTGTCATGAAGACGGAACCCCACCGCCGGGTTGTTGGCCGGGTTGGCCTGGAAGATGGCACCCGAAGCTGCGACAGCCGGTGCGGACTGAGCGGCCAAAATAGGGGCTGTAGCGACGGCGGGAACAGTCGCAGTGGGAACCGCCGCGGCGGGGAGAGCGGCAACGGTATCAGCATTGGAGTTGTTGTTCAGCGCAGGGGTGACCGAGGGCTGAGCGGTCGGCTGGGCATCCGGCGACGACGCGGCGCTCTGAGAAGCAGAAACCGATTGGACAATGGTAGTCTGGTCTTGAGATGGGCTGTTTGGTGTTTTGTTAGCATGGTCCGGGCACAAATGTCTTGAGGTCAGGGTAGGTAGGCATTGATCAGAATTGGTGGGAGGTGAGAAGGATTTGGTAATGGAAAACGGGCGGCGGTGATAGAATGAGGTTTGATGATGGCAAAGACTTTCATTAAAGGCCGCCGCCCAATGCCCGGAGCAACCCGGGATCACAGCCTTTGTGCAGCCATGTTGGTGACCGGATGGTGATGGTGTTTCGGGGAATTGTGGCTTGGGGATCTGCAGGGCCCTGGCCTATGTGGGGCTGTATGCAAGGTCCCGAGCTCTGCAGTGCACTCCAGGCTGCAAAAGGTGGGGCACCCATGTGCAGGAGCCCCACAGATGCAAGATGCGGCTGCAGGAACCCCACCAAGACCGAAGGGGAATCTGAAAGTCAAGATCTTGAGTATCAAGAGGGATGGGATCCCTCATGGTACTTGCAATCCGACGTTTTCAGGTGCTCTTCTGTGAGTCTAGGTTTTTGTGGGCTGGGGGGGATGAATGGGGGAAAAAACGGAAGTCTGAGGATTGCGGGGTGATTGCAAAAGTGATTATCGTAGAGCGATAAAAATGCAACTTGCAGCTGCCGCTGCCCAGCGGTGATGATTGGGGGAACTCGCTATGAATGAGGATGCTCGATAGTGAACTTACCTGCTTGTCTGAGATTGTCCATTAGGCTGTCGGCGATACATGGGCATCGCAAGGTCGGTAGGCGACTCGGCGCGGTCGTCGTCTTCGAGCAAAATGGCGGTTCGATTGTTAAGAGACGGCGGATTGCCCGCTTGGTCGGCTTGGTTGACCATATCGGCCATTTTCTTGAAACGTTCGATGTTATAATGCAACGGAAATGTGCCGCTGATGGAACTTGCGGATGGAGGTGTGGTGGAATAAGTAGTTGAGTAGGAAGTATTGCGAGAATGGGATGCTGAAGGTGGGAGGTTTGTGGAAGAAGCAAAAGAGTCGGTCGAGGATTGAGAATGCGAGTATTTATGGCCGCGGGGACCCTCGCCGATGAGGGGCTGGTGACCAGGCGAAAAAGTTGGGATAGAACCATCTTGCCGTGAACAACCCTCCTGTTCCGGCCTATTCAACAGGTGGTCAATACCTGACGGCGCGCTCATTGTGACTTGGCCAATGAGCTGGCACCGCGTGAGGTTGTCGAGATGAGATAAAAGGTTGACTATGCCGCCAGCGCGCCGGCCAGCAGTGCATGTGATTGATTGTTGCAGCGGAGGTACCGAGTTGAAAGGATAATCGTAATGCGAACAATAGGCGGCCGGAAGGGCAAGAACCAAAACACGATCGTGTTGGTCACGATCGTGACTCGATTATTCGGGAAGGAGGCACCTGGCACCTGAGAGATGATAATGTGAGCTAACTAGAGCATCCACGACAACGACGAGGACAAGGTGAGCCAAGCCGAGAAGAAATAATAGACGACGAAGGCGAATGGAAAAGAAGTAGGAGAGGACTAAGGAAGCTGCATAGGTAATTTAGATCATTCCCGCCACGAAAGCAGCGTCGAAATGTGGTCGAAGGAGTGTCGACCCAACATAGGACGAGGAGACAAGCAGAGCTGAGCCGGCGAAACAAGAAACAGAACACAAGAAGGATGAACTAGACAAGACGGGATGGCCTTAAAGCGCCGCCCTCTCGAGAGCATGAATCGAGGGCACAGTCTGGAAACAGTGAATGTCTGAGCTCAGGCAGTCGAGTCCACTGGGACTGACCCTGGGCGGCGTTTTGAGGAGAGCCAGGGTGACCCGGCAGGGGGCGTGGGTGTCAAGAAGAGGGAAGAAAGGTTGGGATGTGTGTCAAGCATGGGGCGGGGGGTGTGAGAAGGAGTGAGAAGCCCACATGTTAGTACACTTGCGTGATGAGCGCAGTGATACCGACACAGGAGTCGACGGGGGGAGAAGGGGAGGAGTTTGTTTGTCGATTACTGCTGTGTCGAGTTATCGACAGCAGTCGCCACATACCTACTCCACGCGAGGATGCGCCAAAAAAGGAGAGTCGACTTGCGAACGGTAGCGTGATGCATATGAAGCAGAAAGCACAAAACGGGTCGGGTACGGGAGATCGGAGGGTTGGTGGAGCAAGCACAACAACAAGAGTGAAAGAAGGTCGGAAACAAACACAAGATGGGGGAGAAAGAGAGATGAGTCTCACAACTACTTACAGGACGATTTGTTCTCCCAAGTTTCTAACGCCTCCAACACAGATTGAACCATCGAATTACCAAACAGGGCTGGGAAAGGCGAGGGGGTGGCCCAGTCCAGGACGATGCGGGAGGCTCAACAGACGGAAACCCGGAAAGGCCTCGTTCGGTACGCACATCCTACACAACAATCGAACGTTCTCATCTTTGGGACCGCACCGTCCAGACCCGGTGCCTTGTGGGCTCGCAGGCTGGCTGGATGAGGCGTAGCAGCCGCGAGGATCGACGGGCTGAAACGGCTCTTGGAGGGACGCCATGTTTGGCCCCGGAACGGTGTGCGATCAGACTGGGTCAACAGGGAGCCTATTGTCACTGCGACGCTCAGGGCGAAGTCGGTTCATCCATCGCTCGCATCGTGGGGTAATCTCATGTGTTGAGAAACATGCCCGAGCAACCGAAAGCACTGCGAATTCGGTCCCGGTCTCGTGCCCCTAGGGCCTTGTTCCTGCTACGGTAAGAAAAAAAAATAGAAAGCAATGAAGGAATTGGCTCAAGGCCGGGCGTGGCGGAAGGCCATAACGGTCACATGAAAAAATGTTTACTTTTCTCCTTCTTTAACATCTCTTTTGGCGGAGCAGCCGGAGGCCATTCGCCAATCCTAGGACAAAACGATCGAGAAAGTTGTGGAGGTTGGAGGTGGGATGCACAAACCTCCCACTTCCATTGCCTCAGACAGACGTCAACCACCCGACAAGGGTTAGCGTCTGGAACCAAAGTGATCTGCACTGCAGATTCCATGCTGGGCGTCCGGGGTGAGACACAACAGGTAAGTTACACCACACGCAGGTACGGGCCGGGTGTAATTTACAAGCACGAAACGGAATCAACGTTGCGATTGGACACCTATTTTGGTACAACGTTTGGTGGCCTTTAGATCGAATGCGTTTGGAAAATTATTCAGACCACAATTGCTGTGGCATGATTCTGAATGCACGAGGTTTCCCCAAAATCTATGGGTTCTGACTCAGCTTCGGAATGAGGTTCCCTGCAGCTGCAGGGAGGTGCCGCAGGTTTCAAGCACCGTGCCCGACCTTGGGCAACGGGCCAGCACAATGCCACCACATCAACCTACAGTACATATGTCGACACAAAGCCCTTAGTCGCGTTGCGGTGCGTCTTGGTGATACCAAAAACTGGTAATGTGGAACAAATGAACGGTCATCGGGTGGCTACCCACGGCCATCTGGTCACCCGACCACAACTAGCAACCCAAGAATCGGCGGAATCCACACTGAAGGTCACCCGCTGGGCTCCCCGTCTCTATTTTACACACTGAGCTGCGAGGACAAATATTTGGGACGCCCGATCGACACACCCCTGGTCATCGAAGCTTTCGAAAACACCACAGCCGCCAAAGTTACTTAGAGACCGGGATACCGGGCCCGAAAGAACAATCCCGCCGTCGAAACCCCAAGTATAGATAGGAGCAGAGAAAGTTTCTAGCCTGACGTCCGGGACCGAGGGAGGTAGTGATTGAACAAGAATCACGGCAGCCTAGGAGGAAAAGCCACCTTTGGTCGAATCCCAAGTGTCATCAGAACACTAGGCTATAAAACTCCAGGATTACAAATCGAAACATGCTTGGGAGGCGGTGCGAGAACTATCAGGCTGAGGCTCAAGTGCCGGATATAGGTTCACGTACCGTGCCGGAAAACAAGTCGTCAACGTGGTAGAATGTTGAACCTGTGAAGCGTCAACATCAACTCCCAAGATTTTGGGTAGCAGTGGGCGCTGTTCCTTGCCCAGAGAGGTTGGAATGGAACACTGGCATACTGAATTTCGAATACCAGGTCCCGAAGTAGAGAGCGAAATACTATCATAGACGGAACCTACGCCTTTGGATCGAAACAACCGTCTTACGGTGGCCTCGCTACGGATAGTCCGTAGAATAACCCGAGGCTCTTACCCACGAGGTTAAAACCTGACAGCCAATTACAGGAATCAAGATACGAGCCCATAGGTCAATGTCCTTTTTTCCAAGTTTCTTCTTTCTTCTGCCTGGCGGTTTCATACGCCGCCTTCCTTCCGCCAATGAATAAACGGACTGACCTTGGGCGTATGCTTCTCGGGAAGGCTTACCGATCCGAGCTGCCCGAGTATGATGGCTTGCTAACATGCACTTTGTTGATCCTTTACGCCCTCTGTACCGTGACCTAGATTTTGCAGATTCAAGAGCGAGCCATACACCTCGGATAGCACCGGTCTCCCTTCGTCGCGAGGTTGGCCATGATGGGAAATTTGCCGATTGTTTACACGGCGTTTCTCCATTGTACTCTCGTTCATACCGGCAATACACCCTCGCAAGGGTCATGGGCATTTACCGTGATGACCTGCAGTCCCTTAGTGTTATATCGGTGCCTGGATGCGGCAACGGGGACTAGTCGGGTTGGGATGGCCAAAAATAGTGCCTAACGGCGTTCCATGGGGTGGGGTGCCTCGATATCTCGATTCAGACGATCGGCGGACGTGAGTCTGCGGCACAGTCGCTAAATCCCTGCGTTTTCAGTGTCTTTCGGCTGTTCGATTCGCGAGAATTTGAACAATATACATACTGTTTTGAATGAACTTTGAATTCGGCCAGTTCTTGTAAGTATGGACCCATCTTTGTTCTTAATGTTGAACGAGCGCGTGGGGAATTTTCGGGCTGACCAGGGATGCAATGTGTAACCACATGATTCATTTGGGGGTTTTTGTTGGTCACTAATGACCTATTGGAACAACATTTTCGAAACCGAAACAAACAAGACAGTTCTAAAAGAAGAGAACTGTGGCCCTCCGATGATCCAGCCTTCCTCTCAGGCTCCCCTTGTTTCTAACCCTCCGGCTCTCTCAACAACTTCACAACCCTACCGCGATATCAATCTTTGCCAACCGTGCCAAGGTTGAACCGAAATAGGAAGTTAAAAAAACGGAAGCCAAGAAAAGGGCATCCATACCCAGACTTCCTGGCCACACACCGGCTCTTTTGCTCTTCTTTGCCATCAGATCGCACTTCCAGCAGGCACCAACAGCCTCAAACCGGGCAATATGCACAATCGAGGCACCGTGCCGCTCAGATGGAATCTCATTCCTCTCTCCCCGTCTCGCTTCGGCGGCACGGTGGACGGCACAGTACATTGAAATTACCGAGCAAGTGGGTCTTTTTGGATACCAAGACGTAATATACGCACTCTTTCCGGGATACGTGCAGGAACATGATGCCTAATACGCCGTCTTTCCAATATCACCGGAACACATTACAGCCATAACCGTCGAAGGAAAATTATCACTCTCGAGAGCTAAACTGAGCAAAATACGACAAGGTCATGGCTATCGGCATGTTGCACTCCTCTTCTTAATCCAACGGCCCCCATCTCATCTCGTTTCGTCCCGTCCCATCATCGTGGTACGGGTCGACCTGTCCCACCAATGCAGGTGAGCGGGTCGGCGGCATTGACTGAATCGGGGAATTGAATGGTCAGGCTTGGGGCTGGCGTGCTTGATTCCCTTTTCGTCACTTACACGCGGGTGGTGGTTCACCAACAGACCCTCGCGGCCCCCAACTTCTAGTCTGAATCGCCCCCACAATGTCGTATCTTCGTTTTCGGGGTTCTTCTTCATCTCGTCTTCTCATTTCCGGGGTCTATTTTCTTTCTTTACACCGAACTCGCGAGGAGCGTTTAAGTGTCGTATTAGCTGTACGGTTGTGGTTTGACTTCTATTGTGTTCAAAGGCACATTCCCTTGTTTTTACTTTGTTGGTGTTGAACATGTTTCACCCACAGACAAGACCGTGCACTCAATTTGTTGGCTAACATTCAAGCCCAGATCATCTCAAGTACGTGCGCCGGTGTCCCCTGAACTGTATCAGATATGTTTGTTTGTTTAACCGCCAGTTTGGGGGCGAGAAGTGCGAGGTTCCCCTCGTATATGGATGTGAAAGTGCTCCCGTCCCAGTTTTCCCAAGAAGCAAGCCATCTTGTGTTCTCGTTTGGCGGGGTTCGCCGTAGTGGCGGTGGCGCTTTAACGTTAGACGAGACGGACTTTTGTCTCTAGGCGAAATATTGTTGGTGAATGCCTCTCCTTTTGACTCGATATCGGGGGCTGTGCCTTCATACCCACCCACACACCCCCACCCCAAACACGCCTTAACGATGTATTCATGGTTCGGTAGGGATTTAGAATATGGATTGCACACCGGTGACCGTACCCGCCTCGGAGCGATATTTCGGACTGTAAGGGCTTTTGAAATCAAAGGTTCGGAATTAGATGGGACCGGGCTTTGTTGGCCCGCTCGCAACTTTTCTGCGAGAGTTTGCATAAGCCCCATCGCTTCCATCGGTGCTTTCTCCCCGCTTCGGAAGGAAAACGATAGGATCGGACCTTGTGTCAGGGCTATGGAGACGGCAGTGTCCGGCCCTCTCGACCGTGGCTATGATAATTGCGAAAGGGATGCATCCATTCCTTCACGGGACCCGAGGTCGGTATTATCCGTCGAGATATGAAGACGGGATGACGCCCCCCTCCGGAAGATTGCTTCATCTGTGTTTTTGTGGGCGAGAATGTCATTGTTGGCCGGTTGAGAGGATCTAGTTTCGTTAATTTGTCTGGTCCAACCCATCAGCGTAGTCAAGTGTGTAGAAACTTAGCAAATAACAGGCTAACGGTTAGATTCTCAACAGTCACCCCCTACCCACCTTGATTTCTATGCACAGCAGCAATAAATTGGAGATATTGAATGCAGGTCAAAGAGGCTATGAAGCTCTGCGGTGGCGCTCTGAGTTTATGAGCGACGTAATCAGATTAGATGGTGTTTCTCCACGGAGCACTGCCAGCTTGTTGGAGGCCATCTTGTCTGGAGTAAGTTGATGAATCAACCCGGGGACGTGCCTTTGGATGGTTGGGTGCGGTACGGCTCGGGGGATTTATGAGACGGCTCAACACTTCCTGAAACTTTCTAGTGCACCTCTTGTCGTTGTTTGTGACACTAACCGTCATCCAAGAAACGGCATGGCACTTATGATTGACACATGGCCAAGATCCACACCCCCAACATGCATTTCCAGACCTGGGGTTATTCTCCGATTGATGTACGTCAAAAGGCATGCTGGTAACACAACTGCCGGACTAAGAAAGCGAATGAAGTGTACCATGAACGACAGCACGAGGCGGGATTTGACCACGCCGCAGTGTAAGCTAGGAAATGGCGTGAGACCGTCGCACCATGGATCGCGGCTGAGACTAAGGTGCTGACTGTGCCTGCTCCTAAATAAATCCGCTTTTGGGATTTGCTGATGCCTTGTTTTACTTGGCTGTTGGTGCTCGGATTTGTCGTCCGTCTCGTCTCATTGTTGTGGGTGGTTGTGTTGGGCTGTTTGAGAAGTTGAGGTGGCGGGTAAGACGTCCAGACGAGGAAACCGTTGATGGTTTGTCATTGGGAGAGATGATTTGGGATTTGGGACGTCTGGGTGGGCACTTGATTAAACGTATGATTCAAATCACCATTGACGGAGAGATGATGGCGAAGGAAGACGCAAAGAAAGTAACTTAGTTGTCTCTATCCAGAAAAATAAGTAGAAAAGAAAATCCGCAGTCAACCTGAACAAGACCACAATGCAGCCCAAATTGGTCCTCCGTAAGGTATATACAATCACACTTTAGTCTAGCCCCCTCCACCCCCAATATCATCGAACCCCTTAATGGAACTGGTCTTCCGTCACACCCTTACCCATAGCCGCCGTCGAGCTCACACCACCCGTCACCATCTTCTGCAGCTCATCCACGTAGGTCGCACCGCTCCACTTCTGGTGCTTGACCACGTCGACACCAAGCTCCATCTCGGGCTCCTGGACCAGCTCGCCGTACGCGCGCATGCCCTGGGTGCCGTACGCACGCGCGAACCGGTCGCTCGCCAGCGCGGTGGTGTGCAGGCCGGCCAGGGTGATGAACTGCCAGCAGTAGCCGAGGCCGGCAAGGCGACGGATGTAGGTCTCTTGGTCAGCGCGCGGCATCGCGGTCTTCCAGTTGAACGAAGGGGAGAGGTTGTAGGCGAGCCTAGGGGAGTCAAGAATGTTAGTCACAAAATTCAGGGGTAGGTGAGAAAAAGGGGTGAAAGGGAAAAAAGGGGTTGCATACTTTTGCTCCGGCCACACGGCGTGCACGCCACGCGCAAACTCCTCGGCCTGCTTGAAGTCGGGCAGCTTGCTCTCCATCCAGATGGCATCGCAGTACGGCGCATACGCAATGGCGCGGTTGACCGAGCAGTCACACCCGCCCTTGAGGCGGTAGTAGCCCTCCCGAGTGCGCGGCGCATCCCAGTCGAAGTAGATATCCCGGCCCAAAATCTCACGAGCCACAGCACGCGCCTCAGTGTTGGACAGCTGCTTGCCCTTGATCGCCTGGCGATAGCGGTCGGCTTGGGCAGACGTGCCCGAGGCGGCAATGGCGTCGAGCACGGCGTCGTCGAAGCGCTTGATGTCGGCCTGGGCCAGCCACTTGTCCTCGATTTCCTGAAGGGCGTCACCAGCCTTGCCGGCGCGCTCGGCGGCAACCATCAGGTCGTTGAGCGGCTGCAGGTTGGGGTTGGTGCTGCCGAGGATGAAGGCGTGGTCGCGTGGGTCGATGGTCGTGGTGATGAGGGTCGCGGCCTCGGCGTCGGTGCGCGCAATCGCGAGGAGGTCAGAGCCTAGAAGGTGTTAGGAAGACTGTTCATTATGATCTCGTTGGTTAGGAAATGGGAAATCATACCCATGATATCGGCCTGCGCGCGGATGGCGACCAGGCGGTTAATGTGCTCGGAAATGGGCACAAGCACCTTGCCGGCCATGTGGCCGCACTTCTTGGTGCCCGGCGCCTGGTCTTCAATGTGGATGCCAGCGGCGCCCTTCTCGATAAAGAGCTTGGTCAGCTTCATGACGGCAGTCAGGCCGCCATGGCCGGTATCGGCATCAGCGACGATGGGACGCAGGTAGTCGATGTTGGCCAGTTTAGCACGCTGGGCCTTGGGTACCGATAGGCGCTCCTGGCGTTGCTTGCGGTCGTGGAAGAGCTGCGCCATGAAGAGGTGGCCGACCTTGTTGGGAACGGTGGTCTGTAATCGTCAGTTCCAATCTTTCTTCATTTTTAAGCCGGCCGTGACTCACGTAGGGGTAATCAGCCAGATCCGGGCCAGGCTCATCGGACGACGAAGCGGTCGACGACGACTGCCAACCCGAGACGTAGACGGTGTCGAGGTATTTGGCCATTTGGGTGACCGCCGTAGGTTCCAAGCAGCCGTACGTGTAGCTAGCATCCTTGTTCTGACGTTGTAACTGTATTAGCACATTTCCTCCTGGCTATCGATCAGTGGGTGCAACTAAGCGTCCGGGCGCCGTACCTGGAAGCGGTTCTCGAGAATGTTCCACAGCTTCTTGCTCTGAGCGTTGCTGGCGTACTCGATCTTGAGGTTACCGCGCTTGTTGACGATCTGCTCGGCAGTAAAAGGCCGACGGGTGTACCGCCATCTTGAGTCACTCCACCACCTCTTGACATCTTCGACCTCCTTGGCGAAGAGCTCGTCTTCCCGGGCTGGGTCCACGGAGAGGTTGATCATCTTGTTGGTAGCCATGATGGGCGTCACGGTGTTGTTATGGTAGAGAGAGGAATGAGAAGCAGGACAATAGGAAGGCGGTGACGCCAGTGGTGAATGGGTATCAGTAGTGGGATATGTTGACAAAAAACAGTCAACAGAGGAAAGAGGAAGAAAAGGTGAAAAGCGAAGAAAAACAGACCAAAACAATAAAAAGCACATGAATGACCCGAGAAATCTAGCCACCCGTGACATAGGATGGCTGGCCCATCCGAGAATACCTAGGGACCAGACCGGGCCAGTACCGGGGCGGTTTCCGGAGAACGGGGCGTATGGGAGGCCAGGGACCGGGCCTGTGAGTCGGGAGAGATCGGCCTAGCGGCTATTCCCCTGCCCATATTTCCAGAAAGGGCAATGAAGGAAATGGCATCAGGCGCCGCGGACTGGCACATTCATGCCACAAGAAGGGTTGCTTCCGCTCAGTTCGGCCATTGGATTTGGCCAGTTGATGAAAGGACAACTACTCTCTGTAGCCGTTTCGAACTCGAACCTCTATGCCACTATACGAAGAGATCACGACTTACCATAAAGACCGAGTCCAAAGCCCAAGCGCCAACAACATGATCATCCCCCTACCTAAAACAAGTAACAAAACACCCACTGAGTCGAACAATTGCTGCGGTACGTACCTCCCGTTGAGCCGAGCTTCGTGCCCTCGGCACAAGCCCCACCTTAACCGCCAAGTGACTTGCCCACCCCCGGTTTTGTTACCACCGCCGTCGGATTGCCGAGCCCAAGCCGACACCATGGAGCTGGAAGGGCCAATTACTATGTACCAAATCGCTTGCAACAAAACTGTGCTGAGGGAGAGGCTCATGAGTTGCTTGCGTTGAGCCAAGGCGGTTGAGTGATTCGCCGCTTGGATTTGGAGATCTACACAATCCGGGCTTAAGCGATATCAGGACAAGGACAACACCACGAAAGGAAATCGGGTCAGGAAGATAGAAAACAAAACGATGGGGGAGCAGCAAACCCGTATCCCTAATTGCCCTCCAATTTCATAAATTGACGACTTCCCTTTTTCTTTCCTGTAATTCAGGAGGCTCCCTGGCTTGAGAACTTGAATCACGCATTCCTGCGAGCGAAGCATGTGAAAGGGTCGAATGGCTGCGTCATTGGTGTCCAAGCGCGTTCCCCCGCGCCCCACTTTCCATCCAGACCCCTGTTTGCCGTTGACCTCGGCCCTCCACAATTGATTCTGGAGTCATGCGAGCCATGGAGCCATGACAGGTGGAGAAGCCAGAGACAATGGTCAGATATCACATGCAAATCAGCAGGTGAAGGAATTAGGAATGAGCTCCACACGATTTGTTCCTGTGTGTTTCGACAGCGTTGGAGAGGAATCGATGATGGGAATGGCATCAACAGGGGCCATTCTTTGTTCGTAAGTTCGGCCTTGTAAATAACTACATGGGATATCTTCTCTTCTTGTAGATTGTCGTCCAAATTCCTCATACTCCGGCTCGTCTCAAAGCTCATCGTCCTCGTCATCATCAGAGAGAAATATAGTCGTGGATCTTTTGGCTTGCAGTTTCTCTGCTTTGGTCGCCATCCCCGTTGTCATGACTTCCGCCTCTTTAATCTTGCGTGGCACCAACGGCGTGGCCGGGGGTTGCACTGGTGATGCGGCCTCCTCCAACTTGATGACCGGTAAAGGCGACAGCCGTACAGGAGAACCTGCCTTCTTATCCTTCACTGTAGTACCTTTCTGCTCTACCCCAGCCGCACTTGGAGTCTGGCTCTCTTGACTTCTGCTCCCCGCAGTGCTCGTAGTGTCCCCCAGATCCACCCCAGCCGCCTTCTTTTCATCCTCCTCCTTCTTCAGCACCGCCAATTCCCTTTCCAACACCTTCACCTCACGCACCCGGTAAAACATATCCAAGCAATTCCGTCGCTGCTCCTGCGTCCAGCTTTCAACAACTAGCGCAAAGTCCGTGGCGCTAGCAAAACCAAACTCGCGCGCCATCGAGCAGAATTGACGTCGCATCACGTCCTCGGGCGGGTTGAATTGGTGGTGCATTCGCCATGGGTTGCCGTTGCTGCCTGCCCCCACGCCGACGGGAGTACCGGTAGCACCGGTGGTCGGAGTCACGATATTTGCCTGACTGTCCGCAAAGAGTGCGCTGTTGCCCTCCGGGTCTTGGCTGTCCACGGGGTTGTTGGCCACCAGCTCCGCACGGCGTGAGAGCTGCGCCTCGACACGGCTGGTGCCGATGACTTCGGAGTTCTCGTGAGTGTATTCGACGCCGGCAGAAGTTAGGATGCCGGCGATAGCATCACTCTTTGGTTTGTTGGCCTTGCGCGAGCGGATCAGTTCTTCCTGGTTCTCAGCTGTGATGAGCTTGGCGAGCTGGCTCATCCCGCCCTCTTCGTCGTCATCGTTCTCTTGCTTGATGTAATTGAGGTCGTCGTCCTCATCCTTCGCCATTTTCTCAAGATCGACATCCGTCAGTTGGACGCCAGCTTTCGCTTCGGCAATGTTGGTCTTGTTAACAATCTCTCGAAGAACCACTTGATCGCCGTGGAAACTGAATAGGTTACTGAGGCCGAAGATCTCTCCCTTGCGATTACTATCCTGCTGGACGCCCTTGAAATATCGACGCTCGTTGGAGGCATTGTAGCCAATGTTGGCCTGCTGCTGCTTGTAGATTTGTCGGGCGTAAACAATTTCCTCGATGGTCCCCGCCGAGACCAAACGAAATACATCGACATCGCGGACCTGGCCGATTCGATAAGCGCGATCCTGAGCTTGTAGGTCGTAAGATGGGTTCCAGTGTGGATCAAATATGACCACCTTGTTCGCGGATGTGATGTTGAGTCCAACACCCCCGGCCCTGGTGGAGATGAGAAACACAAACTGAGAAGGGTCGGAGTTGAAATCGTCCACCACCTTTTGGCGGTCTTCGTAGCTCAGAGAGCCATCTAGAAAGCTGAAGTTGTAGCTCGTGTTATGAAACAGATGTTGCAGAATACGCAACAGCCGAACGCTATGCGAAAACACCAACACCTTGTCTCCGTTCTCATGCCAGAATCGTAGTAGCTTCTTAAGGATCTTCCACTTCCCACAAAACTCCGGGTTGGCCAGGTTGAGCATGGAGTCCCGGTTTCGGTATAGCTCTGCCCAGTCGTCGGGGACACAGGTCTGGAGGGCCTGAAGCTCCGAGCTCTGCTTTTCATTGGGGTCGGCGGCCAACGGGATTAGCAGCGTGAGGTGGTTCGAAATCTTCTGCAACGTCATGATGCTGGGGAAGACCACACTCATCCACGACCTCCCGTCGGGAAGTGCCTTGTAGCAGCACCAGCCGCCCTTGCGACCAGAGTCACAGTCGCAGGGATCGGACGACGAGTTGATCAAGGTGACCTGGGGGCTCTCAAGGAAGTTTTCGTATGCCTCGCGTTGAATTTCAGTGAGCGGGCAAAAGACAACCTTGTCTGTTTTCCGTGGTAGTTGATGGGCGATAAGGGTCTTCATACGCCGCAGAAAAAACTCGGGCAGTAAATTTTGGACCAGCTTCTTCGCTGTGCTCCGGGCCATGCTGAGCTGCTTCAACGTGGCGTCGTGAGATTGTCCGAGAGTGAGAGGTTTCGTGATGGTGTTGCTCCATTCGGCCAGTGTCCCAAAATGGCCCGGATTTGTCCAGTTCAACAATGTCCAAAGCTCTTCGTATTTGTTCTGAATGGCGGTCCCGGTCAGACCGATGCGGCTGAGGGCGTTCACACAGTCCATAGCCTGTGTTGTCTCAGACCTGCGATCTTTCAGGACATGGCACTCGTCGGCCACAACACAATCCCACTCAACCTCGTTCACAGCCTCGCGCATTTTCTTGTAGGTCACGTAGGTCGTAATCATGATCTCCAGGCGCCCGGCTTTGGCGGCCTGAAGGACGTCTTCCTTTCCAGCCCCATGGTAGGTATCCACATGCCAATAACCCCAGCGGTTCAGCTCATTTTTCCAGTTCTGAATCAGCGAGCCCGGGCACACAATCAGGACTCGTGGGTACCACTGATCGCCAGCCCGACGCATCTTCCTCATTCGTTTGGCATCCCGTTCGTCGGCTGTTTTTCCAAAGGCGGCGGTCAAGAAGGCAGCTACTTGCACCGTCTTGCCCAAGCCCATGTCGTCGCCGAGAATGCACCCGTTTTGATACACGAATCGCTGGTGCAGGAACTTGACGCCAGCAATCTGGTAGTCTCGGAGATACTGGGCCACCGACGCAGGGATAACACCCGCTGAGTACTCGAGCTCGATGTCCTGGTACGGGCGGCACGGCTTGATGCCACTGTTGGCGCCTTCAAATATGGGACGCTCCTCGAGTTTCGATCCATGCTCGTCGTCAGAGAAGTAGATGTCCGAGTAATCTGGGGGTAGCTTTAGACCGGCTTCCTGTAACAGTTTCCTATCCCTGTCAAACCCCTCCCTCCGCTTCCGTAGGTAGTCCGGGACACCTGCGTCGGCGTATTCTTCTTGGGGGCTCGATTCGTCGACGGCATTGACCCAAGCCCTCAGATCTCCAGGCTTCCTCTTTCTAATCGGTTTTGGGCCTCGCGCGGTGGACTTGTTGGCCGTCTTCTTCCCTTTTGTTGATACAGCCCGACGCTTCGTAGATGTTTGTCTATTCGAACCGATGCCGGAATCGGACTCGTCATCCGTCCAGGAAACCTTCTCCTCGAAGTCAACCGTCGATTTCCGTTTTCCCAATGTTTTCGCGCTTGGCGGGGCTTTGCGATCCTCCACCGACGAGGCGGTCAGATCATCATCCGATATCTCGATCGTACTGGCCATGTTTTCGAGTGTAGTGCATCGCGGCGGCGCGGGAAGGGCGAGGATTCGGGCGGGTGGGATGGAAGAGCAAAGTCCCGTCGCGCGTGCAACTTGCTTGAAGTGGGCGCGTTGTGGGGGACCGCAGATGGCGCGCTTGCACAGCGTGCGCACGTGACCGGGTCGGGCGAGGCGCTCGCGTAACGCAACAAGACTCAATCCTTCCAGAATAACTACAGGATACCTTGGCCCAAGCCGTCCTGAGGGTTAGGTTGCTCGAATCTAGCTCTCGCAGCAAATTAAAAGATAATTTCATGGGTTGCTCCTTGCTTGGATGGGCTTTTTCGAGGTTTCGAGGACGCGAGTGTGACTCGTCGAATTTTACGTCATTTTCTGATCCATCTCGCGAGGTACCTCCTGCCATAATGTTCTCACTTATGAAACTCTGGCTTCATTCCGCCTTTATGTTCTGAGGTGTCCTCGCATGGGGGCACAGAATTCGGACCGAAGGGCTCTTACAAGGAAGGAAAGGCCCGGGGCGGACACCTGCAGTGCTCGAGGTCTTCACGGGCCAACTAAAAGTCGCCGGCCCTTTCCGTCGCAAACATTGTACACAGTAACCTGGAAATGAGCGACGTTGCCCGCCAAACCACTCAGATCTCAGATGTAACTTCCTACCTAGGTACCTCCCCGCGGACGGAATTCCGTTTGGGCCATCACCGCCGTTCTGTTTCCAGCTTCTTTTGTCCAGCATCCTGGCTTCCCCGCGTTCCCGGCCCCGTGGATGGCTGATAATCACCGACCAGCTCAGGCCCGAACTGGAAGGCATGGCGAGGCAGTGGGCATGCCGGGCATGGCTCAAGGGCGGACGAGGGGGGGCCGAGGTTTGTGAGACTGGGAACTCCCGCCTATCCTGACAGGGTCCACGGAATTGATTCCGCACCATCACTTGACCACGGGACCATCAGCGTCCACCGCAGCAGGAGTGTAAAGTCATTGAAAACCCCCTTAATTCACTTCCGCCATGGATGTGGTGCCGGTGTACATTTTCCACCACTTCGTCGGTTCCGACAATCGTGGTGGTCAATCGCGATGGAAGCGTCCGGTTCCAATAAGGGGTTCTTCCAGGACCAACCCATTATCAAGAACCAATTTCACGACGATGTAAGCGTCCGACGTATCACCGAGCGTATGTGTTTTCCTCAAACCATCTTCCTCTTCTAAGTGAAGGAGGGGTAGCGTGATTCGAAGCATACTTACGGGGTTACAAACTCAGTTTTCCTCCCATCCTCTGTCCTCGGCGGGATTCGCCCTGATATTGTCCAACTCGGCGATGATGTTCTGTCAGAGCAGATCTTCGATTGGGTAGTCGACGCCGAGCATAACCAACCTTACCTACGCGGCGATGGTCGAGACGCCTTTGGGAAGTCCAAGAGCGAACTGATCGTGACCGAGGGCTGGCGGAAGCTGCAAGAGTTTGGGTATCAAAAAGGGTAATAGGCCTTCTCGTTCGAGTAAGTGTCAATTATGCTTACTTCCTATGTTACAGATTCATCGCTCTCAATTATGACTCCGACTATGGCCCATACAACCGGCTCATCCAGTTCATACGCTGCCATCTTTGGGAGGGCTCCTGCGCCAACACGCTCTGCCCAGCAGCCATGCAGGATGGCGCAGCTCGGCTTCTCCAGCGCCATATCTTCGGGCAGGCGGCCACGAAGTTGTCGTCGACAGAACGCCGAGTCTTCCAAAATGCCTATGATCACCTCACTTCCCGCGACCCTAACAAGACATGGACTAGTGGACAATGGATGACCGAACGCACCGGCGGCAGTGACGTCTCGCAGACCGAAACGATCGCCACCTACGACCCCTATCCAACCTCCTCCCCGATCCCACTCGCGGACGCCCACGAGAACATACCGCTCGGCCCGTGGTCCATATCAGGCTTCAAATGGTTCTCGTCTGCTACCGACTCTCAGATGACCATCCTCCTCGCCAAAACCGACCCGACCAAGGGCGTCAGCGCGTTCTTCGCCCCGATGCGCCGGCACGACCCAATCCACATCTCCGCGACGGGAGTCCGCGGCGGCAGCAGCAGCAGCGAGCTCAATGGCGTGACGATCCAGCGTCTCAAGCGCAAGTTCGGGACACAATCCCTCCCCACGGCCGAACTCGAGCTCAAGAACATGCGCGGCTGGCTGATTGGCGAAGAGGGTAAAGGCATCCAAGAAATCAGCACGATCTTGAACATCACCCGGGTACACACGGCTGTGTCCTCAGTCGGCTATCTTGGCCGAGGCCTCGGAGTGGCTAAGGGGTTTGCGTTGGTGCGCGAAGTTGGCGTGGGCCGTGGCCGGCGAGTGCCCCTGGCTTCCCACCCGTTACATATGCGCACGCTCGCGAACTTGACCGTGGAGTACCACGGGTTGATGCTCCTGGTGTTCTACACCGTCCAGCTGCTGGGTCTGTCCGAAAGACAACGGCAGCATTCCCATTGCTCACCCTCACCCTCACCATCACCATCACCATCACCATCACCATCACCACCACACCCCCTTACCCCACCACCAACCCTCACCAGCCCCCTCCTCCGCGTCTTCTCTTCGCTGCACAAATCTCACGCCTCCGACCGCGCCCTCCCCCTCCTCTACGCCTGCATGCAAGCCCTCGGCGGCGTCGGCTACCTACTCAACGACGAAACGCCGCACGCCAATCTCGCGCGTATCTATCGCGACGCCTGTGTCGGCGCCATCTGGGAGGGCACGACGGATGTCTTGGCGGGGGATACGATCCGGGCGGTGAGACATCCCAAGGGTGGGAAGGCGGTGAGTGAGGGGTTGAGGTGGGTTGTTGAGAAGGGGTTGGGGTATGTCAGGGAGGAGGGCAAGACGGAGAAGGAATGGGTGGAGAGTGTGAGGGTGGAATGGGAGAAGGTGAGGGATAGGATGGAGCGTCAGGGGCAGGAGGAGCTTTTGCCGGAAGCTAGGGGGGTTGTTTTCCGACTGTCGGAGGTGCTAATTGCGGTGTTGTACCTGGTGGACGCCGCGACACACCCGGGGCCGGAGATTGAGGAGATGTGTCGGCGGTATCTCGTCGAGAAGGGGTTTGTCCTTGAGAAGGAAGGGGAAGGGAAGAAGGACTTGGCCATGGACCAGGCGATTGTGTACGGAGCAGACAAGGCGCCTGGTGTAGTGGCTGCGGGCACGAAGCTATGAAGGTTGGTTTCAAAGGCTCGAAATAATAATGAAGTGATGGATAGCTTGAAGACCTTAGTGGGCCAGTTCGTCGAGTAAGCAAACCTCTTTAGGAAATCTATATGTTGCTAAGTGTCTCCCAATGTCTTCCGATATCCCGCAACCTTCGCGCTTCTAAACGACTGCTGAATGCTCCCAACTCCCATGCAAGCTAATAAATAAGACCAAGAGAAAGCCCTCCGTGAAAATTGCCTAAAATCCAAACGGTCATAACTAAATTCCCCCTTTTCCCAAACACACACCTCCCACCTCGCACATCATTACCAAGTAAACATCATAAGCGCCGGATTCAACAACACAGGCAGCGCAAAATGCGACACCACCGTCGCCGCCAGCGGATAGATACTATACAGCGTCTCGATGCGCCACTGGACGGGGAACACGGTGTTGCCACAGATCATGAGGGCGGTGCAGGCGAAGCAGTACAGGAACGTCCACTTGAAGCGGCGGATGATGCGCAGGATTTCGGGACCGAAGCGGACCTCCTCCAGCTCTTTGGCCGTGGCGCCCCAGGCCATGTCGATCTCGAAGAAGTGCGATAGGATGGCCTGCGACATGTGCAGTGAGATGCCGCCGAGGAATATGCAGAACATGGGGATCCATTTGAGGTTTTCGAAGTCTGAGATTGTTAGTGTGTCAAGATAAGAAAAAGAGAAATTAAAATAGAATAAAGAAGGGGGGATATGAGCTTACAAGCTGACAAAAGCGACTGCTCGCTTAGACGATATCGCAACACAGCCAAAGCGAGATTACCCAACCCGGTAAAAACGACAATTATGGAAATGTAGATGGCGAACGAGTCGAGATAATACTTGTCGTACAGACCATAAAACCACCCAGTAATAAAGTAGTTGGCCAGCGTCAGGAGCCACGCAGCCGCAATAGCGTAGTAAGTCCCGATATACGCCAGAATCGTCATCTTCTTGGGGAATGGAATGCTCGACGCGATGAACCGGCGGAACAGCGGCGTAAACGGCCCGCGGACAACCCAGAACCGCAGTGGATGGAACAGCAGCTCGTTGCAGCCGTAGGCATACTTTTCCCAACGGGCGAGCTCGTCGTACACGGTCAGACTGACGCCCTCCTTGAAGCCGTCGCCGGTGTAGGAGGCATAGCGAAGGGTGTAGTTGGCGACCTGGAGGCGCAGTGACATGTCAAAGTCCTCCGAGACGTGCGACTCAGACCAGTATTTCTCGTAGCCATCTTCGTCTGTGAAAGAGGCCGCGTCTTGTAGCGCTTGCCAGCGGAGCACGGCGTTGTGGCCGACAAAGGGGCAGGCATCGCCGGAGGCCACAGCAAAGGTGATGCAGGAGTAGATGAGGCGGGTGAACCAGGTGACGCTGGAAACAAACATGTCATGTCAGCTCATTCTCTCTTTCTCTTTTGCCAGACTCGGAAAATGATAAAGGGGCTTATTCGGTGGTCAACTTACCCATTCTCGAAGAAAGAATTCGTCACATTCATGACACCCGACTGATACTGCAGGATAGCGACCTCCGGGCTCTGCTCCATCTCGCTGACCGCATCCAACAAACAATCGTGCGGCACGCGCGTATCAGAATCAATCAACAAGATGTAATCGCCGACTCGGATATTGCCCTCAGCCCAGGTGCGACCCTCGTCCTCCTGCAAAACATCCGCCAGACAACTCTGGTACGCAGCATTCTCGCGCTCGGCATCCCACTTGTTACCGCGCTGCACGGCCGCCAGCTTGTCCTCGACCCGGTTGCTGACGTGCAGCGCGTAGTTCATATTACTGGCCTTCTTGAACTTGCCGCGGCGCAGGAAGCGCTTCTCCTCGGAGCCGGCCTCCGGGTTTGGGTTGTGCGCGGGGCGTGCGACCCAGCCGATGTTGTGCTCATCATAGAAGTCGCGGCGCCCCTGGGCATCCTCGTCCGAGATCAACTGCATGCCGTCGTCGTTGACAAAGATGTTGGCGGTGCCGCCTTGCATCTCGTATGTGCTGATTGCGGCTTTGAGTGATACCACTGTGGGCTTGATGACGGCCGCGAGGCCCTCCTTGTACACGGGCATCTGAATCGTGACGTGCGGCAGTGTGCCCTGGGCGCGGTCAAGACGATGGGGGGCTCGGCCGCTGTAGTACTTGCTGTTGCTGGCGACAGCCGAGATGGGGCCAAAGACCTGGAACAGGCTCGTAATGATCGACTGAAAGAAGAACTTGTTGCACAAATCCAGTGGTTAGTAAGGATGGCCCGAGCCCCAGAAGATACCCGGCCCCCGTTAAGGAAGATAAACATACCAAGCTAACGAACAACTGCGCAGGACACGCTGCCAAAAGCGCAAACCGTAGATACGTCCCATCCACCACAGTCTGATACGCCAGCCACCGCCAGCCCAAGGCAGGGCACACAATCCACAGTGCCATAGTGAGGGCCACCATGAAGGCACTCTCCAACCGCACCGGCCTATGCTCCTTATCCAAGGCCTCTTCCAGCTGGCTCGGGTCAAGCTCCTGCACAGCAACACCCGCACTGGCACCCTTCTTCTCCCTGTCATCCTCGTCCTCGCCCGCATCATCCTCCCCATTCCCCCAGATCATCTCAATCAACCGAGCCTCCAGCGTCTGCACGCGGCCAAGCAACTTCTCCGGCTCATCATCCCACACAACCAACATCCTGACGTCCTCCACAAACGCCGCAAAATGGTGCAGCTGGCCGCGCGGCAAGTCGGCCATGGTGTGCAGGACCTGAACACGCAGGCCGTCCGGCAGGGGCACGTGGTCGAGGTCGGTCTTGCGGATGATGGAGTCGAGCAAGGCGCGCACGATGGGGGTGTGGACGGTCATGGCACAGCGCACATTCATCTGCGACACAACGGCGTACAGCGAGTCCGGGATGGCGGCCATCTGCGGCGGACAGCAGGTAAATGTGCCGCGGGCCTTTTTAAGCACGACGCCCTCGTACGGGTCCAGGCCGGAGGCGTACTGCTTGCGCAGCTGCTGCTCGTACAGCCAGTTGACCATCATGTCGTTGCGGATCTCGTTGATGGTGTCGGCATCGCGGCTGCGCGCGTCGTGGGGCGGGAGGAAGGAGTGGTGGAGGGACGGCGCGCGGGAGGCATTCGGGCTGGTTCTTGTCGTCGAGGGTAGTGCTTCAGGCGGGTGTAGGCCGTGGCTCGTTGCTTGTTGCTGCTGCGGGGTGGCTACACCTGGAACAGAGAGCATGCTCGCGCGGGCAGAGGCCGGGCCATTGAGGTCCGAAACGGTGGATGGGAGTGGTATTGGCGGGCCGGAAGCAGAGGATCCCCCCGAATCCCTTCCTTGTCGTGGATGGATCGGTTGCAGCTGGTGTGTTGATGTTGCCTTAGAAGTCGACAGTTTTGATCGAGTGCCAGGTGCTGGCGGTTTCTCACCGGTGGTGCCGCCGCTGCCAGCGCCGCTGTTTTCCTTTTTCCCCTCCTCCTTGCCACCTGAGGGCGTGAAATATGACTGGAACTTCTTCATTTTGATAGCGACCGGACCGGAACAAAGGTTGTGTGAGTGTCAGAGAAGGGTGAGTCCCGGAGCACCCTGTCCCCTTTCCTCTTGCGGCCTCGACTCAGTAACACCCCTTACTTAAAACGCCCGTTGTTTTGTTGTATTGCAAGTAAAGTCACCGCTCGAAGGAATGAAGTTCGATTATGAGTGGGGGCAAAGAGACAGTGACCGGAAAGCTGGGTTGTGGGCGATCGACAAGAATAGAAGCAAAATGGAAAAGAAGGAAAAGAAGCGACGCGGGAAGCTGGGTTCACTGATGAGGTGCATCCAGGACAATCAAGTCGCAATGCGGCTGGAAACGGAGAACCGCTCGTGTCTGGAACGAAGAGGCTCGAGACCGTGACAGCACACGAACCCGAAGCCGCGCGCCCAGACTTCCGAGTTGCTTGCCGCCCGCCAACGGACCAGAGCGACGATGGCGTTGCCAAGCGGGGTGGGTGCTCCTGCTACGAGTTCTGGCCCAGCCTCTGGCGTCCAAATCCGATATCTTTTCCTCTCAGCCCTAGTGGGGGTAGAGGAGCGAGGGGGTCATGATTGCCCCTGCTTCTGGGCGCGCATCCCACGCAGTTGCAATATCGCTCAGCCGGGCTTGCTTTGACAACGCAGCAACCCGTGGAGAGGAAGAAGAGAAGAAAAGATGGTGCTTTTTGCGGCCGTCGGCCATCCTTGTCAGGCAGGGGTGGTCGGCCAGCCCTGCAAGCGGCCTCGTTCCGGTGGATATCAGGACAGACAGGGGTTGGCCGAGCGAGCCGGGTTCCCGGTTCCAATGTGCAAACAGACACAACAAGCCGCCAACTCAAGAACAATAGCCCCAAAGACGGAGAGGCGAGTAATCGAAAACGCCAAATTCATTTACCCAACCCATTCATGTCCAAGCTCTCACTTTCAATTCCATCGTTTTTCTCAGTTGAGGCAATCGCAAAGATAACTTCATGTGTGGTCCTTATCCTGCTGCGGGCGTTCTTTGCTGGCGCTAGTTTCTTCCATATCGGGATTAGTACGGCGGCCAGATCGGAATCTCGACCATGCAACGTGTGAGCTGAAAAGCCGATATTGAAAATTGAAAAATTGGTTTCCTTTTCCGTTCGAGCTTTGGCCGTGGGACTGCGCTGGCGGTATCAAAAACCGAAGAGGGGAGGGAGTACGAATATTATTATTAAGGAGGTAATGTACCTAGTGAAGGCGTTCCGACAAATTTAGATCATGGGCATAATTTTACTCAGTGCCTTGGGCTTCTGTTTGTTTCGAGGGCGTTCCTTGCATTCCAATGGTTCCTGTCTATGTCCCCGACAGGCGCGTAATAAACCAGGACATTTCTTCCTCGCCGTGGCGGTTGGCGCATCATTGCATTGGGCGATTTCTGAGGTCTCCGTTCAGCTGGCGGCTCGCGGCTCGCTCTGATATCTCACTCTCGTGGCATGGATCGAACAGGAGCGTACATAACGTTACATATCGATGTACATGCACACATACCACAATATGGATTCATATAAAACGTCGGGGGTCCTCCAGGATATGTCCATGAGATCCTGGTTTCCGTGGATTTCAGCGGTTGACTACACTAGAGCCGATGTCGTGGAATTGGGAGGAATAAAACGTTTTGAATAGCTTAAATACCTATCGGTTGAGTGATGAGAGTGCAGAGTCTTTGCTCCAGATCGTAACCTTCCCGAAAGGGTCGGCCCCACCAAACCTCGTTTTTTTTTTAGTTCGAGCCATCGGAAGCACCAAAGAGGGAAATGATCGACGCAAAGGGTTCGTGTTGCCCATCAACCACAGAGCTTGAGCTCTGTGGTGACACTGACGATGCATCACCCAATTGTTCGAAGTTTGAGGAGTTTTCCTTGCAAATACGATGCAGCACCCCGAGCTCTTCCATGCTACTTTGTTTCCTCTGGTCGAGGGAAAAATCGGGCTAGGACAACCCAAATTAAAGAAGAGCCAAGCTTCGGGTCAAAACTGGGTTTCTTCATCAGAGTCAATTTGCAGTCTGAAGGACTCACAACCAACGTTATCCCACACGCAAACGCCTCCGGAGTTCCAATATAAAAGCCTAAGGGAACTCATACTGTGCTCAAACATTGCTACCTATCGAAGTGTGCCTCATGCACTTACCAGCTAAAAATACACGTTCTATAACTACCTGTTCCTCACCCGAGATACAGCAATGTCTAGTTCTAAAATCAAAATAAACTCACGGGTTCCTGGTCTTCCTACACCACTACATCCCACGCTAAGAACCGAAACATGATAGAAACGATAAACCCTGTGCTACAGCCGCTCTCCGCCCCTATCCTTCTTCAAAGCCTTCACAACTTCGATAAGTACCAGGACCCGCCATTCCGGGTCCGCTATCTGAAACAGCTTCTCGGCCTTGACTATGTTGTGTTGGTCCCGAAGCCGGTCAGTCATGCAATGATACATGATCGGGCTCATGACGGACTCGCTTTTAAGCTTGTGGCATCGCTCAAGGAGGGTATCTTTTAACCCAGCCAGATCGTAATCCTTTCGATCGGCGGCCCCCATCTTGGCCTTTTTGCGCTTCCACTCGTTCCCGTAGGCCCTGGAAAAGTCGAGGACGAAGGCAGCGATCCCGGCGGCGATGGGTGTCGAACACGATGTGCCTCGAACGGTATGGGGTGCTGAGCCCCCGAGACCAACGACTTGTATATCCTGACCAACGACCTGCAAGTCGGGGGAGTCCTTCTGCGGTTTGGGCGTGAATGGGGACGGGTTGCCGTAGCCATCATGGGAGTGTATGCTGAACACCCCAAGGCAACGCGCTGGAAACGCTATTGGGTTGAGATTGGGCAATTGGTCGTTGCCGGCCGAGGCAAAAACCAGCACCTAGGAGGCGATAGACGCCATCCTCCTGCGGACTGACTCTTCTTTTCCATCCAGACTTAGAGAGATACTGATAATATCGACCCCCCAGTTATTTACTGCGTATTCAGCCGCCTTCACGAAGCGTTAACATACATTCTTCCGTGCCAAGGGAAAAATCAGAAGAAGCGGGGCTTAAAGAAAAAGAAGGATGTGTTACTTCTACTGTTCTGACAGCAAAAAAGCCTTGTCGTCTTCTTTGCGAGAAGAAGGATCCTGAACTACGCGCCCAATATAGAGTTTGACATTCGGCATAGTTTTCAAGAACAAGATGGCCATCAGCGTCCCATGGCGCTCGACCGACTCATCCGTCATCCAGGCTTGCGTGTCCCGATCCTCATCGCAGAAATCTTTCCATCCTACAATATCTGGGTGGCGGTCCTGTCTGGAAATTTCGCGCCTAACACCGCCTCAGGCCAAGAAGTGAACATCAACCGCTTTGGCGAGTACGTCAACGCGTGTTAACATACGTCTCGACAAAGGATACGTTGTACCAAGTAACACCAAGAAGAAGAAGAAGAAGTAGTAGGAGTAGTGGTCGTAGTATATTTTCCCCCTCAGTTCTACGACGAGGGGTAATATGGCGTGCCGGCGACGGCGGTCGGCATAGGTGCATGTACAGACAGGCAGGGGAAAACCATGGCGATGTTTCAAGAATATCTTGTCTACGTGCGGGGGGTTGGAAACATTAAGGTCCTAATTAATGCTGAAAAGCAAAGTGCATTTGGGTGAGATACAATAAGGTATTGCACTCCCAGCGACCAGCGCTCGCTGTAGCCAAAAGAAAAGGGGCAGATCAAAAACAGATTACAGATAGCCCGAGTCCAATCCATCAACATTGGATCAAATCTTGAAAGATTTTGATTAGTTTACTCTTCTTCGCGTTTTCTCACTTTTTGGAATTATTCTCTTCGGCTTCTTTCACTTTTGTAGAAAAGTAAGTTACCTATCCAGGGACTTGGTCTGCCGCTTTTTTTGGCCATAGCGAGGCCCGCAATGATTCTTATCGGATCGAGAACGGGCGGCCAGGGACAAAGACGTCACATGGTCAAGCGCAATGGCGTTGTTAGGGTTAATATGGTATGTGCAGCCATTCCTTAACAGGCGGGGCGTGGCACAAGGATGCTGTGGGGTCTTCGAGTTGGGGTGGAAGGAGACTGAACTTTGGGAAGGAGCTTTGTTCACGAACTACGATCCATTCAAGTCGGTTGAGCTGGCATCGAGCCAGCCCATTCATCACTACGATGACCATCAGTTTAATCACGTCGATTTTATGATTCCCTCTCTGTGTTGTTATCATCTTGTGTTGATTCCTTCCCGGCCCTCTGCCATCGGTTCATCCGCTACTACTGGGATTCGATGACACGCGCGGGTCGTGCATACGTATCGTATCCTAACGCGACCAAGTGCTGACTCGTGGTTTTCGAGGCCAATTTCTCATTGTTGCACGAATACTGCGATACTCGCTCAAATCATCCGGCATTGCCTGATGTGGTTGCCTTCATTCTGAAAGAATGGCCGTATTCGTGGATTTGGGTGAGGATGACGGCGAACCTCCTCACCAAGACCATTTGCCGCCGTGGAGCGGCCCGGTCGACGCCATCAAACCGATGGCCGCGATGGGCGCAGGCCGAAGTCTGTCCGGCGATGGTGCCGGAAGCACCATCGGCCATTCTGGAGAAATGGAACGCGAGGAGGAACCTGGGTCCGCCGCGAGGGAGAACCCGAATCTGAACATCGTGACGCAGGCCCTTGGATTGTACCCGTAGGCTGCACCGTTCCCGTTTTACGCACCCCCTTTCCCTTGTGATTTTCTCCTGTTACACGGAGTCACCAACCACCTTGGCAGACCACACCTGCCAAGGACTAAGCCTTACTGACCAGATAAACCAGCATCGTCATGTCGGTAGCCTCCTCGATCGACCTCAACACCCTCGACAACATGTCACGAACGTGTCGCCAGATCCGCGATGGCCTGTTGCAGTACCGCAAAGTGTTGATTGCATCAACGCTGCGCTGCATCAATGACGCCCTCCCCGTTGACCCCGAGGAGACGTTGCGGTACCGCGCTCGCGCCGGTAACTGGTATTACATGCAAGACGCAGGCCGGGGCAACTACAACGGGAAGTCGGGCCGGTGCGCTCGAGACATGGTAGCCGAGTGTCGGCGGTGCGGAGTTGTGGTCTGTCGGGTATGGATTTGGCTAGCACCATTGCGTTGATACCATCCGAGTGGAAAGTTTAACTTATAAATGATTAGAATTGTGCAATCAAGCCACCGGCCCCCATCGTTCTCCGGGACCGTCATCGGCGTCTCTGCCGGGCGTGTGTAGCGGTTCCTTTGGGCTCGCTTGTTAGGCCACGACTTGGACCTGAAGTTCGAATCGACTCAGACGATATGGAACGCGCCATTTGCAAGTGTGGTACCTCGGGCGTTTGGCTTTGCCAGCCTTGTGGGCGCTCCATTCGTGGAGATGACTCCGAATACAAAGGGTAAGACCCCATAACTTTTAACTACTCCTGGCTCTTGCTCACTGTTGAATACCATAGTATCTGGAAATGGCGCAACCAGTACACTGAAGTACTCGGCGGCCTCGGCATCGGAATCGGAGAAGGTGACCGGGGAGTCATATGCGGGCGGGAGAGTTCCTGTTGCGCAGCACGCGAATGTGAACAAGACCTAGATGGCGATGCCGAAGATGCCAGAGAGGCGGAGTATTTTCAGAATGCTACGAGCACACCACACAGCGGCGCAAGCAGTAGCAACAGCCCCTCGCCCCTCGCTCCGCCGTGGGCTACCGCGGCTGGCGCTGGGAGTAGTAGCGCTAGCCTCAGTAGCCTGGTCAGCTCCCCGGGCGGGTCGGGTACCTTGGATCCTAGGACACCGAGTCCGGCATTGAAGCCCGGATATGAGAGACATGAGGTTGAAGGCATTGGTGGTGTGATGAAGAAAATGCGGGTGCGAATGGTGAAGGTCGGTGCGTGTGTGCCCGAGTGGGAGGATGAGAGAGCAAAATCCGAGGTCCTTGCCAGGGAGGTGCATGGTAAACGAAGGAGTTGGTGCGGGTGGTGCAGGAGGGTGATTCCGTCGACGGTGGATTACGAGGCGGATAGACATCCCGAAGGCGCGGGGAAGGGAAAAGAGAAAGATGAATAAGGGTTTTCCAGGGCCACTATGGAGATTATAGGCCAGGGTTCTTTTGGGGATGGGGTGCCTTTACGTCGTCAGGTTTATAAAATTTACAATTGGGAATTAAGTTCTCAAGTTCTGCCCAAGGGACTCTTCTGTCTATCCGACAAGCCAGGTCTTTGAAGTCTGCCGGATCAAGGCTAAAGTCATGGGGGGCACATGAGCGACAGAGTATACAAGTTGTACATGTGTCATGATACAGTGAATGCAAGGCTATGTAATGACTGCCCGCCATACAGAGGACCGCGTCGTCTGATTTCATCTACACATCCAGTCATCCCCTTCCATTGACTCAACGCCCTTGAGCAACATACACCCTCCCAACAACTAAACAACCAACCAACATTTTATATGTGATCGTACATCGGCAAATCGCCTGCCGCAATCTTCCCCCCATCCATTGTCATGCCGACACTGGAGTACTCCGTTAAATCGTTGTGCTGGCCGCGCTCAATTCATTGTCTCCTTCCCTCCACTAGCAATTTAGTTCCAAGACTTTGGAGCAGAAGGGTGACACAAGTGCTAGTTCCGAGTCCCTCCACCTAACACCAAGTCCTTCTAGGAAACCCGGAGGGATCAAATAGCAGGCCAAAAGCTAGCCCAACTTTCGTCCCCCCATGCCCCAGCTATCGCATATTTTATCCACTACACACCCATGCAGAAGCAGGCTGCTCAAAGTTGACCGTTAAACAGTAACCCAAGCCGCGCAGCCCGTTCCTCACGAGCGGCCCGCCGGCGCGGACCCCAGCGCTCCTTGGTCGCCGTCAGCTGGGCGTCAATCTTCTCCTTGTGGCCACGCGGCGCCTGGCACACCATAAGCACAAACAGCTTGCTACACTTAAACCGCTTGGCCAGCGTCAGCACACTGTTGGTTACGGGGTCTTCGGTGCGCAATCTCCGCATCTCCTCTATGTCTTCCTTGGTCAGATGGTGTTGTGGCTTGTACAGGGGCTCGCCATTGCGCTTGCCCAATGCGGGGAAGCTTTCGGGAGAGATTCCCGTGGACGTGACTGTTGGATCTGGCGGGGCTTGTGATGTTTCTGTTGTTGAAGATGTAGGTGTAGGTGCTGCAGAAGCCGGGGAGGGTCGTAATGGTGAGGCGGACGCGGGGTGGGAGACGGAGAAAAGTTCAGAGGCGAGATTGGCACGCCGACGGGGGTCGTTGGTCGGCAGGAACTTGAATGGCGTGTGGAGGACGGAGGCAGCAGAGGCTGGCGGGTTGTAGATGATGTGGTCTGCTGTCGGGCGGGTGGCGCGGTCGGCGGGGCTCCCGTCAGGGCTGATGAACGAACCGTGCGGGCCAATTCGAAGGGCGCGCCGGGTCCGGGCCGACGTCGCCTTGTGTCGGACTCCAGAGGGGAGCATTCGGAGGGCGAGAACAGCCTGCCGGCAGCAGGGTGCCGCAGGTCTTGTGAGGATACTTTCCATCTGTCGAGGGTGGGGGAGGGGGGTCTCCCGATGTGCGAGGGATAAGAGAAAGTCGCTGCCCGAATCGGGGACAGGCTCGGTACCCGCGGCGATCGGTCTCAATGCGGGAAGGGGCGGAGAGGAAGAGAGATAACGGTTGCGATTGAGGGCGAGTATCTGTACCGTCGATGTTGGGGGCCGCCGTCCACACCACCTTCACACACTCGACGTCGAATATGAGGTCGTGTTCTCGAACTCAACTTTTTTCGCCGCGGGCCGGCAACGTCACGTGGAGATTTCACTATCTTGGGATTAGCGTGTGTGGTGTGGGGTTTGGATGGTTCGGCCAATCATAACATCGCCGGGTTCGAGTCCCCACTCTCCCGAGTCTCGCCGGGCCGGGTGGAGCCAGGCCATCGGCCTTCCGCCGAAGAATTCATTCCATCTCCGACCTCCGTTCAAAACGGATATGACCATCGTGCCATTTGCCGTCTTCGGTATCTATTAAACCTCCTTCCAAACTCTTCCTTTGCTGTTTGCTACCCAACCTAGCACTTCCAGCCTTCCCACCTGCGCGCCGTTGCTGGCGGCCACACCCTTGATGATGCTCGCCGGTTGGCGAACCCCGCCATCTAGGCATCGCCGTCACCGGCAAAGACGGGCGCACACTGCAGGACAGGGCTGCGCTATTCGTCAGACGGGGCTCATAACGCCGTCTTCCCCTCCCCTATTTGGTAACCGCTGTAACAACGAACGGCCTTTGTGGGGGCCAAAAATAACCGCCAAGGTCCCGCAATCTATGCAACGGTAGGACGCGCCTGAAATCTCCTTCCTCGCTTGCCGCAGTCAGCGTGAAGATCCCCCTTTCTTGGCGCCGATGTCCGCCCCACCAGGCAACCCGGCCGTTTCTGCAAGAGTCTTGTGCTCGACAATCTCTCAAAACGCGGGACAACCCCAATTGGTGCGACGTTCACTCTTTTCGCGTGCCGTCGGCTTCTTCATGTCGCGCTAGAAGGGCGAAGTTACGAACCCCAATGGCTCTCGCCAGGAGGCAATCGTTGACAGTGCTCAGTGTCCTGAGCCTGTTCTGCGCGCTTGTGACGGCTGTTCTTGAAGTCCCTGCGCGCAACACATTTCTCGTGCGAGAAAAGTCTGCTGGTTCGTTTCTTCCCTTCGCGATCACTCGCGCTTTCTTCCCCATGTGTACAATGATCCTGATGTCTCGACAGCGACCGTTATTGGCGATTATGTTTACGTTGATGGGGGCGAGCTTTCACAATGGTCGGTAAACCGGGTCCGGGAAGGTAGGTAGAGTCTTCTAGACCTCCTGATCTAGCCCCGAGCATACAAAGGGCGGGACAGGATGTTTGAAGTCATTCCATCACGGCTGCCAGCAACCGTCAATACTAAACGGTAAACCCAAAATAGGCATTCCTGCCGAATACACCCTCTCCATCGATATCAGCAGGTCATGGAGCACCAGCGACGCCCCAATCCGCTCGTTTCTTAAAACTGGGCCGCAGAAGTCCGGCCTATCTCTTTGGACAGACAGCCAGGCCGGGGAATTCTACTCATGGGGCGGTCAGTTTCCAGCTGGCCTGAGCGACAATATTACGGCGCCCGCACTTTGGAAATTTAAGGTGGACGGTAAAGGGGGCGGGGAATGGTCTAAAGTGAGAGCAGCAAACGAGGGAGCCTTTCAGGCCATCCGTTCAACCCAACTATCCGCGACCGCCAACACGGATAACACGGCGTTCATAATTGGAGGTCAAGTCGATAGGTTCGCGGAGCCCAATTTAACCGCCGTCGGGCAGGTGGTGGGCGGGATGGTGACATACAACTTGGCGTCACGTGTGTGGACGAACGAAACCGACAACAGCCCGTTTAAGACGCTTGTCGGAGCCTCGGCTCATTTCCTTCCTGGGGTTGGGTCCAACGGCCTGATCATGCTCCTCGGTGGGCTCTCACCCGGCAGAGTGGGCATGATGGATGGCACCGCCCCGGCTTCGGATCTGTATAATCTCACCTTCTTTGACCCGGAGACAAAAAAGGTGTATTGGCAGACAACAACAGGCGAAATTCCACCGACGCCCCGGATGCAGGCTTGTACGGCGATGATTAAATCCCCCGACGGTGGTTACGAGATGTGAGTGTGTGCGGTGAGGCCCGGGTACCTAATGGAGAGCTGGAATGACTGACAAGGCGCTCTAGCTTCATCTCCGGCGGGATCAACCTCCGCGATCTCCTCACCTACCAGGACGCTTACATGCTTAGCCTGCCTGGTTTTGTGTGGAGGAAGGTCCCCGATATACCGTATAGCGCGCGCGGCGACGCCACCTGCGTGCAAATAGGGCCTAGACATGTACTGAGCATGTTTGGGAAAGATATTTGGGGGCTCACGCAGGACCCGGCGCCCAACGGCATGTTGATTTTTGATTTGGTCGCCATGCAGTGGAGAGACTCTTACGATGCCACCGCTGGTGAATACGAACGGCCATCCGACCTGAAGACGTGGTATAACAATGGGTACGTCTCTTCCTTGTGTCTCCTTTCTCTATTGTTTTCCGTGTCTACTCTGTTGGTGTGGTATTGCGGAATGTGGGTCTAATAAAGTACACAGGTCGTTTGACAAGGTGAAGTGGTCCTCGAATGAAATGAAACGGCTGTTTGCAATTAGGACGCCCTCGCCGACTTCGAGCACAAGTGAGTTTCTGGCGCCCTGAAGGTCATTTACTCCACAGCCAGGCGGCCGGCTAACCAGAAGCACAGCCGGAAATCCCGGGTCAACGCCAACCAATACTCCCGGCACTCAACCAAGCCCAACCGGTGAACCCGAGACGTCTTCACCGACTCCGGTCGGTGCCATTGCTGGCGGTGTTATCGGTGGTGTTGCGGGGCTGGCACTCATTGCCATAACAATTTGGTTCTTCCTCCGACGCCGGAAAGGGGGCAGCAGTGCGGGGACAGATCCCACCCTGGATGGTACCGACGGCCCTGGTGACGACAAATACCTTCACATTCCCGGAACCGAGGCACCTCGCGGGCCGACAGAACTGTCCTCACCACGATCCCCAGTTGAGGCCGATTCTCATGGAATGCGCGGCGACATGAGGCACCAGGGGGTGCCTCAAACCCATCATGAGATGGGGAACCAGGGGGCGCATCAAACCCATCATGAGGTGGATCCAACTTCCCACACTTATTACGAGATGGATCCCCAAGCACCGTATGCGTTTCACGAGATGGACTCGCGGCCGCCGGCTGCCGAGATGGATAATACTTCACGTGGCGGGTGGAGGCAATTTGGGGGCCGGACATGACCCATAGGTATATACGTGTATGTATGTGGTTTTCGTGGGAAGGTTGCATTAACTTGTTCGCACGGGCTTAATCGCCGTGTACAAATTTTTGAATGGTTTTAGTTTCGTGATAAAAATAAATGAATCGGGCAACGCAATGCCCCAGTACCAATGTTCATGCCGCCTCAGGGCCTTGTGAGGTGGTCGTGCTTGGTGTCTCGAGGTCACATATTCCAACGTTCACGGTTTCCTGTCGGTTGATAGGCGGTGCGCGGTCAGCGCGCCTAGCTCTATAATACCAAGTTTCGTGGAGGGTGCAAACAAGTTGGCGGCCAACAAGCTGGTGACCAACAATTCAACAACCAACAGCACATTGTTGCTTCGGTTTAGATTGCCGCCTCAAAGCGTCCTTCTTGATCCAGAGTACACAGTGAGGTTGGTTCATCAAGGAACGTATCATGGTCCCGTGTGCAACAAAATACGTCGCGTTCCCGCCAACCACGGCGTCCCCTGGTGCCTGCAGTGAGGCAGCCGTATAACAGGGCTTTGATTCATTAGAGACACGGGGCCCGTGTTTCTAGTAGAGGCCCTTCTAACAGAATTTCGACCACACTGATAGTTACGTACTTCTTGTGCGTTTGTTGACCATCAACCCCTAGAAGCATCTGAACACCACAATAGTTGTGGTATGTTCTTCCAAAAGCAGCCTCGGTACTCCGCCGCGGTTTGGGAGAATAGGAAAACGGGGGTAAGAGGGTACGGCGACGGAAACGGCAATGTTAACGCATAAACGAAAATGGACCGTGGCCAACATTCACGAAATACGGCCAGCGGCGACTAGAGCGTTCCCCTCTCGAACCGAGCCTTCGCATCAAAATATCAATGGTGTCACACCAAAGTTGACTGGCTCAATCTAGAGAAGGCCAAGCAGCAAACGGGAATGGCTTTTGAAGCCATCTCGCCCTCGATCCCCCCAATAGTTGCTCGAGGACTCCGGGCGGGCCCCGCGCTTTTTGGTTATGTTCATGAGAATGGGAGGGTCATAGGGTTTCCATTGGAGAAAATCGAGGGAAGTTGTCCTTTGATTCAGTATCTGAGAGCCTGCGGGATGGCTCGAGGGAAACTCCACGAGCTGGGTTTATTCCATGGAAATCTGGTACAATCTTCTTGTTACCAAAGCAGGGGTGAATCTGCTCGACTGTAAACGCCTTAGAGAAAATGTCAAGGAACTAGAGAGTTGGGACCAGCGGAGGTTTCATGTCCCATGGCGATAGCAGCCGATATTGAAGCTCGAGGCTTATGACATGGGTACTTACACATACAAGCTTACCAACGTCGATGTCCTCCTTGTCGATGCATTTCAGATGTTGAGGGGGCATGGAGGGGTCGTTCGTTATTCCCGGCGCATTACTGACAGGTAGCATATCCCTATACGTTCAGTCTTGGACTTACAATAACCTTGAGGCTGCCTCTACCCAAACTTCCTTTGGGGGAGAACGACCGAGTTCAAGCTGGAAGACAACAAGAAGATTGTTGGTTGAAAGGAGAAAACGGCCGACTGCCTGCCCAAAAAGCCGGATCTTGGCGCTGTGGGCCCCACTGTAGCGCATTACGTCGTCAAGGGACCGGTCTGGATCACACCCCTCTTTTGGCCTTGGAGCGCCGCCAAACAGCGTCATTCCCTGCTGATCGCGATTTGCAGTCCCGAGGTCACCGGGTCGCTTGCCTTCCCAGGCCGCTAACAAAGCAAAAGGAGAGAAAAAATGACGAAGATGCGGAAAGGCGGCGCCTCCCTTCCCTTGTCTCTGCAGCTGACATAGCTAGCCTTTATTACTTTATTGTTCCTGTCCGTTTGTAAGAGTAAGAGAAAGCCACAACACTTCATTCATATCGGGAGGTGCAGTGTCTCTTGTCAGCATTGCGCACCGAGTACTTCGTATCATCCGGCTGTCCTCTTCTCATAGGTACCTAGGTACCGACGGTATCCACGCCCCGCGCTGTCGGTCGAACCGACGGAACCGGGCGAGAAAAAAGGGAGAGGGGAAAGGAAAGGAAGGAAAAGGAAGGGGAAACGACAGTTGGGCCACGGAATCACAGCAGTGGGCGGTAACCTACGACAAGAACACCTCGAACAAATCGGGCTTGGATCCAGGAACGGGAACCAAGCAGGGAACGCCGACCACCTTCCTGCAACCTGTTGCATCGTCGCATCACGCCGCCGCCCTCGTTTCGCGCCAGACCTGAAAAGCGCAAAAGGACGCAAGCAGCCATTCCACTGGGAGGGCTGAGCTTCCCCGCTGAGTGCCGACTTGCAACACTCGTCACGTCCCACCGGTCTCGCTTTCTTTTTTAAAGTTCGCAGTTGGCCTCGAAGACTTTTTTTTCTCCCAACGTCGCACGGAGCTAGCACTGGAAGAATAACTTGAGCAAACCAACATACATGTAGGTACGTTGGTCCCTTGGTAAGTCGGTTCTTAAGTCGCGAGGGACTGACTGGAGGGCCGGTTGCGCCCACCCCTTTCCCTTCCCCCCAATTTCCTGGTCATTGGTCCGACCACAAGACCACTTTATCATTGATATATTTGCGGCGGAACCGGACATCTGGCCCAAGGGATCACACACTCAACACACTCATCGTGTGCAACCTGCTTGTTAGCGGATACGGCTCAGCCGTTTGCACACGTTTGGAATTTTATGACAACGAGGGTTTATCAATTAACGTTAAATCACGGCCAGCGCTGCTCCACCGATCTTCAGGGTCTGCATTTGCTAACAAACTCCACTATCACTTACAGGAGAGTTCGGACGAGTTTCCCAAGCTGCAACCCTGCGCAAGGCCTTTTCGCTTGGCCCTTCGATAAAGCGACCGTCCGCATCACTAATTAGGCTCCGCCTTTTTTGTCTTGCGCCCAACAAGACGAGATGAGTCTTGCCTCGGAAACGCCCTCGCTGGGCAACACCACGTCGATTGCCGCCCCAGTCGACGCCAAAGGCAAGGAGAAACTGCAAAAGCCGCCCTTGGCCGCGAAACCTAGGGCTGGCGAAGGGGAGGAGAAAAAGAAGAGACGTAGCCTGTTTGGGCTTGGGAGGAAAAAGGCAGACGACTCTTCTGCAAACAAGTCCAACTCCGCCGTTAAACCCACGACAACGACGACCGCAACATCGACGCTGACCACCGGCCGCGCCAAACCCTCGTCGCCTATCCAAACCGACCATGCCCGTATCCCACCATCCTCGCCCGGTGGTCGCTCCGCTTTCGCATCCTCGCCACGACTAGCCTCGCCGGCCGGCTCGCAGATCTTTGAGCGCGACGTCCAAGAGAGCACTGCTGCCCTCCTTCCCAGCTCGCCCAATATTCCCTCGCACATCCAGACTGAGAACTACATCCCGCCCGTACTCGACGCCTCTTCCGAGGCCATCACCGACGGCCACCTCAGCCCAGACACCGTCGAGATCATCACGCACACCTCACACCAACCAGCAGGCGCCTCGCTTGCTGTCGGTGGCTATGGACACGGGTCTAGCCTTGCCCTGAGCCCACAATCCGCCGTCGCCACCGAACCCCCGTTGTGGACAGACGAACTCGACGCCTTCTCCACCGGTAACAACACAAACACCAACAACAACACGGCCACGACAACGACAACGACCAGCGCCAGCCCAGACACCGCGTCCAACTACGGCTCCTTCGACACCACCGACGTGCGGCGCCTCTCGTTCATCTCCTTTGCCGATGTCGTCCAGGCAGAACAACATCACGGCTCGCCGCCCTTCCCCGGCAGTAGCGTCACGGGCAGCCCGCCGCGAGATCGGGATCGGGATCGGGATAGTGTCCGTCTAACGGGGCTAACATCATTGTCCTCCTTTGGCGGGAGCGGTGGGAATGAGCTTGGGGTTGGGGGCTACAGTGGGAACGTCAGCCCCCCATTAAGCAAGGACGGATCCGTCAAGGGCTTGGAATTACACGGTCTCGGCGTTGGCGCCGGTGGCGCCGCGGCAACGGCACCGACGGCAACAACCGCGGGGATAGGCGCTTCGCGCGTGCGGGCGTCGAGTCCCGCCAGCGGGCATAGCCTTAGTCACGGGGCCGGGGGCAGATCTCTGGCGAGTCCGGCAAGTCTTGTCAGCATGCAGCTCCCTGGTGGCGGTTCGGCTGGTACCGGCGGCGGCGAGATTGCGATCGAAACGATGAGCCAGGCGTTGAGGAAAACGGGCAGTGGGGATTTGAGTGTCGGTGGGGTGTCGGGAAGTGGAGGGGTCAGGAGTTTCCCGACGAGTCCGATCTGATCTGGGTTGCGGGCGGAAGGGGGAAGGTCGTCAGTTGAGCTGTTGCTCTTCTTGAGGCTGCCATGCCGGGTTCGGGAACGAATCAGGGAAACAGGGCGAGAGGTGTTGCGGGAGCGGATGTTGTGAGGGAGGTTGCTGGATGCCCTCACCAGCTGCAACCGAGCAGCGTAACTGGTCATTTCGAGCAAGCGAGGAAGGGAGGCCGAGGGTGTTTACGCGATCAACTTGTTGAATTTTATCCCCCCTGGGCTTCGACGACGGAGACTTATCGCTTGGATTTCTCGCCCCTGCCTCGTTCTTGGCTTTCATTTTTCTGTGCGTTGATGCGATATGGAAGGTTTACCCTGTCTGAGTTTTGCTTGCTGCCATGTTTATGCTCAAATACCAATTGTGTTTTGTTCTGTTTTTGTGGTTTTTGTGTTCCTCTTGTGTTTTTCCTCGATTCGGGCTAGTTAAGGATAGGAAGGTAGCTTTTCCTAGTTCATGGTTTCCCAATGTGACTGGTATCGGGAGCTTGCTTGGTGTTGGTACAGAAATTGCTCGGCTAGTACCACTTTGGAAAACTGTCGGTCTTCAACTCCCAGCGTACAGGAAGGGTGAGATGGTGGATCATGGTTGAAAAAGATATATAAATGTCATCCTTCGATGTGGGCACAGGGCTTTTTGCGTCAGTTGAGGTTTACCACCTGGTTGGAGATAGTGTCTGTCCTGTGCCAAGTATTGACGTGGAGTACTAGTCCCTAAGATCATGAGGCAATACCCTACCCCCTCGTAACCCCCTATTGCTCAAACTCCAGAGCTTCTGAAAGTCCCTCAGGCGGGAAATACAGGCTTGATCTTACCAGCAAACACGATGAGCCTGGCGACGGCGCGACGGATGTTACGGTCAGTATAAACGAGGGTAGGAGCATTGTGTCAATAGAAATGGGTATATTTCCTGCCCTATGCTTGGCTAAAAGTCTACCCGCGTAGACCGTCCTTCCAACATGGCGAAATCGTAACCCCTGAACCTAAATAATCATTGCCCCCTTACTTAACCCAGCACCCATCCATATGCAGCTCAGATCTGACCAAACCTCACTACCACTCACCCAACCTCCTAAACCCTCACCTCCGACTTGTCGTCCTCCGCCAATTTGGCCTTGGCCACTTCGTCTCCAACCTCACCCTTAGGCAACATATTCAGTTCATCCTCCTGCTTATCCAAATGTCTGAACTGAATCCAGAACATGGTCCCTCCAATCACCGCCAGAATGGCCACCGTCGCGTAGTTCCACACGAGGAGCGGGTCATCCGCCAGCGGCACCAGCGCAAATCCAATCGCCGACGCGATGGCATTCATGAACAGCGCGACCGACTGCACCATGGAGCGCATGTTGGCGGGCGCCTTGGAGTGGGCATACTCGAGACTGGTGATGGACGCCATGATCTCGGAGAAGGCGATCAGCACGTAGGAGCCCGTCTGTGCCCACATGCTGATGTCGGCATTGGCGCAGTCGCGCTCGGTGCCGTCGGCCATGACGCCGTTGGCGTAGTTGCCGCACTCGCTGCGCTGGTAGATGTAGTACTGGATGACGCAGGCCCAGATCATGGCGCCGGCCGCGACGTAGTAGCCGACGGCGATGCGCTTGAGCGGGGTTGGGTTGATGCGGATCTTGCGCAGGGCAGGGTAGATTACGGCGTCGAGAAGGGGGATGAGGATGATTAGGGCGAAGGGATTGAGGTTAGTGAGCACGTCGTTGGGGACGCCACCGACTTTCATGGTTGCGGCTTGTGAGATGAGGTTGTTGTTGACTGGAAATAGTGTCAGATGATGCAAAGATTTATTCATCGGGACTGAGGCAGACGAGTGGTGAATGGCAAGCAGGGCAGAGTCAACTTACTTTGGTTGTAGCAGAGCCAGAACAACGGATACCACAGGAACACAGCGCACGCATTGAATCCACGGTGAACCTCGTCCACCCAAGCGTCGTTGAAGTCCATCCACTTCGGTCTGGTGGCAGCATCGAAGCGCGACGGTTTGACATTCTCCCAGAACGTGCCGTCATGGAGTTGCCGATATGTCTTGACCGGGTTGATAGACCAGCGGCCCTTGTTCGCGAGCAGGAACAGCTTGAAAGAACGACCGAGAACGGAGCCTTGCGGTGGCACGCGCTTGTATCTGTGTCGGCCCCAAAGCAGGACGAGCGGGCAGAAGCAGAGCAGGATGGTGGGCAGGCTGTAAGACAGCCAGAAGCCGACGTAATGCTCGCAGTAGACCATAGCGAGCTGGCCACACAGTGCGCCGATGTTGATGAATAGGTAGAAGTAGTGGTACACACGCGAAGCCGTTGCCGCAGGGTCGACAATGACGCGCTCGCCACTGGGAAGCGTTCTCACAATCATGCGCTCCAGGTCGAGTTGCTCGACAATGAGAGGGTTCACATTGGGCTTAAAACCGCCCGTGCCAACCCCCATGAAGATGATGCCGATAATAAAAGCGGCAAGGGAACCGTTGGGATTCTTGATGACCGGTGGGAGCGCGGAAACGATGAGGATGAGGTGGCCCAAGATGTCGATGACAAGGGCAGCGCCGATGGTCCGGTAACGACCCAGGAAGCTGTCGGCAACCCAGGCACCAAAGAGGGGCATTGTGTACTGCCAGAACGAGTTGAACGTTGTTAGGGAGAAAGCCGTCCGTTGGCCGAGGCCAAGAGCACCCGCCTGGCCATTGTTAATGTCGTAGCTGGCACCGGTGGACGAGTACTCGGGGCGCGGCTGCTGAATAAAGTTGGTAAAGACCGCCGTAGTGCCATAATACGAGAAGCGCTCGCACAACTCGATGAAGGCGATAGTATAGATGTTCCAAGGAATTTTGTCAGGTACTCGTCGTAGCGTGTGTAGCTCCTCCTCGGTTGGGCTTGCGCCGTCAGCGGCGGCTCTTATACCGACCTTCTCTTGTCCTTGTCGAGAAACATCGGAGTCGACAATGGTAGTTTCCTTGTCTTTGACAACGGCTTGGACATCATCGCTGACCGCGACGCTGGTGGGATCGGACGCCATTGCGAAGAGGCAAACACATCAGTGAATCCGAAATATTTGGTTGAGAGAGGAGAAAAGAGAGATTGTGGAGAGAGACGCGTGAATCAAATCCTCGAGTGCCCGGCACGTCATTTATCTTTAATATATAAGACGTGCATGGGGCACACACACCACGTCACAGTAACGCATGCCCCGCATGGGACCGTTCAATGGGGCATGGCAAGATACCCTTCCGGGATAAGGGTTGAACTTTCCAAATTCGCAACGTCTCGGGAGTGGATAGGCATGGAACTAATTCTGGTGTAGTTGTGTAACCCTCAGGTAAGAATGCGTGCTGGGAGGGGCCGGCCATCCAGCGAGCACACGAGTGTTGGAAAGTGCGTAAAAGTCTTGGAACTCTTGTCACCTTCCAAGATGGTTCAGAATGCCAAGGGAGAGACAAGTGAGCGGCAGGGTTTGACCTCCGGTTCCCCAGCCCCATATCAGATTGGAACAGAGCTATGAATGGGGAAAAACACGGCGTTGTTGAAGAACATCTAGCTGGGCCCCACGAACCTTACGAAGTTTGACATCTAACCGGGTATCTTCCCCTAGCCGCTAGAAAGAAACAACGTCGTTGCTTGACCGAATCTCTTCGAATATTCCGGCGGCCGCGAGAAACACGACGGGCAACCACTGGGAGTCCAATCGAGGAACTCTGAGGGTGTACTTGAGGAGACCGAGAGGTGCAGCAAGGTAACCATTTCCCCGCGGCTCAACAGCCAAAAACACCAACGCCCAGCCGCTTGGCAACTCTCGTTTGACTGGATCGATAGGCCATGTTTGTCGTGCGACGCTTGGCGTGTCTTGTCCGGTGTCCGCCAAGCGATGCCGAGCCGTGCCGAGCGCGGTGGAGGAAGCTTCGCTTTGCCGGGAAGCCGTCTGCAACCGGAGTTCTGGCCGATTTTGTCGGGGCACTTGTGGCCCATCCAGTGAAATTGATGCCGGGCAGCACCCGCCGCCGGCCTTCAGTCGGTCCCTTGGCCCTTGGCTTTACCGAACGTAGTGAACAAATCCGGGGGTATTGATTTGACATGCTGCCACACAAGGAGCTCCCTGCAGATAGAAGATAACCTTGGATGGAAATATTTATCTTTGGGTTTTGATAGTGCTTGCCCAGCCTCATCCTCGCCATCCACATGTTTGGCTTGCTTTGTCTCCTTCCCGAACAGTTGCTGGGTGTTTTGGCTTGACAAACACTATCAAAACCACCATCGGTTAGCCATGTAACTGCACTTGGTAAAGGATTTGCGGATGGATTCGGCCCCATTAGGCGGCCGAGAGGCAATTTCCTGTGCCTTTGTTTGTGACCGTCGGTTTGTGAAGAAAACCTGAGAGGGGAGACGAGATGGGGAGGAGAGAAACGTAGCATGTCCGCTCCATTAGGTACCGAGCTACTTTGCTTCGCTCGGCAGTGTAGTGTCACGTTGACACCCTTGGACGGTCGGTATGCATGGTCAGCATACACTAGGTAGTAAACCTCTGCTGGTGCGGCTCGGATGCTGTCGTTGGTGGGTATCTCGTTTGCTGCAATGGCGAGGGGGTGTGGGGAAGGTCGTGTGTGGACAGAGGTCGACCTCCAAAGTCCAAACGCCCCAACCAGTGCCAATCCTGTAACCTTTTCTCGACAATTTTTCCCCTTTCCCAATTGGCTGAAGAGGCAAGGCTGGACAAGAGACCGGCAATCCTCTTTGCACCTGCCAATTTGGGACGGTCGGTCGAGGTTGAGATTTGGTTGAAGTGGTACTCGGGACTTGTGCCTCTGTGGCGCAACAACCCGAAAAATTTATCCGCTCTCTTCTTCAACCTCGGGATGTTTGCTTCGTCGTCGTGCGTGTTGCAGGAGGTCTCGCGACAGCGATTTTTCTAAAGTAGCCTAGCCCGTGAAAAGGCAAAGAATTGGATTGCACTTGTGTCTAGGCATTCGAGCTTCTAAAAAGTTGAGAGAAGCCAAGCATCTTCAAAATATTAGACTATCTGGATTTGCACTTCCTCTCCTCGAACATAACACCAGCACCACCTGTTATTCAAGAGTGTCCATTTTCTGCAGCAATAGATATTTGCCTCCTGCGTCAGACTGTTATAGTAAGGAAATAACTAGTTCATGTGTTGGGCCATTCCGACGACGATGGCAGGAACTTATACAACCCTAACCCTCCCTTTGCACCCTTACTGTTACACATCACATCCTTGACATCCTCGGCTCTTCTTCGCCCGACGGCATCTTCACCCGGATCGGAAGCCGCAACGGAAGTTTTTGCCCCCGGTCTATCTCCGGCATGAAGATACAACCTTGCGAAAAAGTCCGTCATCGCACACAATGTTTGCCATTTGTTATCCAATATACCTTATCACTTGGTGGGAGGTGATCGCACAATACTTCACAGAGCCTGGATAGGGGTGAAATCTTGAGTTTTTCTCGGCTATTACCGCTAGTACTCGAACCTGAACCAAAGCCGTGGGCTATGACTGCTCCTGAACAAGTAACTAGCGGTGGTGTGCAAGATGGGGCCTTTTTTCACGAGGAAGGGGAACCTCCGCCTACGGGGCGCCAACTCCAACCCTCTCGGGCACCACCTATTCCTGACCTGGACAAGTTAGAGCCAGTCCTAGGCGAAGAAGCTCAAAACCGCCGTAGTTCCTCTCCGAAAGACCCCGCCTTGGCCCCGGGACCGATAACAGGGCCAAGCCCGGCCCCGGATCCGGGCTATGACCCAGAAGCGGACTCGATTCACCCCGCCCCGAAATCGACAGCATCAATACCGACAGCACCAGTACCACCACCCTTACTAGATGATCATGTCTCCGTTGGTGAGCATCTCGCGGCCGCCGGAACCCATGCTTCATCGCACATCTCCATCCCGGACGCAGTATATGACCGGTTTCCACGGCACCGCAAGATTGTCATCGTGGCTCTGCTCTCGTTCTGTTCGTTCCTATCGCCTGTGTCGAGTACGTCCGTGCTAGCCGCCACGCCTGAGGTGGCTGCCGAGTACGGGACGGATGGGACGGTCATCAATGTTGTCAATGCCATATACATGCTCATGATGGGCCTGTCACCGGTGGTGTGGGGGCCAATGAGCGAGGTTTACGGGAGGCGGCGGGTGAGTTATACCTCGTTCATTTCATTTATTCCTCCCTTCCTTCCCCTTATTGAAGGAACAGTCTCACTCTAAACGCGGCTGGGGTTGGATAGCTTGAAAGGAGTCTTTGGGACTCAGAGGCTAGTCACTAAATATGGGGTGAAGGAAATGAAACTGGACAAACAGCTCACATAATCTGCAGATAAACCAAATAACGGCAGTTCTTTTTTGTGGGTGTAGCATTGGAACTGCTCTAGCTCCGAATCTTGCCTCATTTTTCGTCTTTCGAGTCCTCACCGCATTCGAGGGGACGGCATTCATTCTGGTTGGGTCAGCTTGCATTGGGTGAGTAGCCCCGTGCTAAGAGGTATCTAGGGAGCTGGTCGAGCAACTATAATTACTGGAGTCGGCAAACTAACCCTCTATCTTTTTACCATAGTGACATTTATCGCCCAACCGAACGTGCCACTGCTCTTGGCTGGTTTCTATCGGGAACATTAATCGGGCCCGCCTTTGGCCCCTTCATCGGCGGCATCATCGTCACTTACACCTCGTGGCGCGTCATATTCTGGCTACAGACTGGGCTATCTGGTCTCGCGGCGCTTTTTACCTTCACCCCCTTACTCCCCGAGACGATTCACCACCGCAAGGTAGATGATCTTGAAGGCTACTCGTCGCGCCAGCGGTTCTCCGTCCTCTGGAGCATGGTCAACCCAACACGGGTGCTCCGACTCTTCATCTACCCCAACCTAATCACCACCGGCCTAGCTTCTTCGAGCGTCGTCTGGAATATGTACAGCCTCCTGACACCGATCCGGTACGTGCTCAACCCGCGCTTCCACCTGACCACGCCGATGCAATCTGGCTTGTTCTATCTGGCCCCCGGTACCGGTTACCTTGTGGGCACGTTGGTCGGTGGTCGGTATGCCGACCATATTGTCAAAAAGTGGATTGTCAAGCGCGATGGCGTGCGAGTACCGGAGGACCGACTACGCTCGGCGCTGCCGTTTATGGGCGCCGTAATCCCGGCGTGTTTACTCATCTACGGCTGGGGTGTAGAGAAGGAAGTTGGCGGGATTCCGCTAGCAGTGATCACCTTGTTTGTGCAAGGTGTAGCGCAGCTGTTTTGTTTCCCAAGTCTCAACACGTATTGCCTCGACGTCATGCAGGGCCGTGGGGCCGAGGTCATAGCGGGCAACTACTTTGTGCGGTACCTCTTTGCGTGCGCAGCCACGGCGTGTGTCCTACCGGCCGTCCAGGGGATCGGGGTGGGTTGGTTCTCAACCATTACCGCGGCGTTTCTGGTCATTAGCACGGTGGCTGTGCAGGCCACGGTGTGGAGGGGGAGGAACTGGAGGGAAAGTGTGGACCGCCGGCGTAGGGCGAGGCGGATGGGAGAACAGAGCATTGCTAGCAAGGAGCTAGATCGGTTGGCTAATAGGGCGTAACGTCGCTCACTGGAGACCTTGGGGCAGCAAACTACGGCGAGAAAGTCACTAGAATAGACGCGCGAAGCTAGATGTGCAGGTGAGTATTTTGGTTACTCCTAGGACGCGCGAGGGGACTTGGGGACGGGGAGAGCAGGAAGAACAGAGGACCCTCAGGGTTGGATGTACCGATGTACGTAGAAATAACTAGCATCCGTAAATGCCTCATTCCCTTATGTTGACCTGTCCGGAGTTGCTTCGGTTTATAGCTGAAAGTCTTCAACCAGAACACCTACGTTATACTTGCATAAACATCTTCGACCCTTAGGCGAAGCAATACAGCGTAAATAAGATCTGCTCCGCGGAAAAGATGTTAACCTCGGCCCTTAGGATGGATCTCCGGTCCGATGAGAATCCTAGCTTCTTGTAACCCGTGCTAGGTTGTCACCGCCGCACGTAACACCGACGTCGACAGGTGAGCGAGGCTTTGTAGAGTTGCCTTGAAGTTTGCATTAGAGCTCTAGTTGTCGCTGGGTGGGTGTTGGGTTGGAGCCTTATTATGCATTGTTATCACTGACGATCGGTCCAGATTCCCGCTTTTAAGGGTGGCGGGTGCGGCTAGCTAGATGATTATGAAACAGACTCGGCTGTTACACTTCGGGGTATGCATGTGTGGTGCAGTCGAAAAATTGTTGGGATGTTTCATGATTTCATTGATGCCTGAGTTCGCCGCAAAACGCTGTGACCTACGATAGGTGATAAAAGTCCGAAGTAGGCAACTAGGTAGAAGAATGGAATTATCCGTAGATAAAATAAACAAAGGGGAGGCAAACCGATGATGCTCGAAGAATGCCCGAGGAACTTGAAGCCGTTTTTGGTTTGGCTGCGAGTGCCAGGGTCCCCCGGCACTTAGAAAGCTTGATTCTATTCTTGGCAGCCGATCGGCAACGCTTTGAGATCCTGAGACATCCTCAGCTTTCGAGTGCGTCACTGGAGTCAGAATGAACCCTTTTTTCATCGACAATGAACTGGCATTGTACATTCAAGATCCAACCCTTTATGGACTTGTTCTTGTTTCTGTTACAGGATTGGCCAAAGCCTTCGTTTAGCCGTTCATGGATCTGAAAAAAGCCCCCAACCCGCCATCAAAGCCAAATTCGAGACTCAATGGCTGGGGTGTGGGGGTCGGTTGATCCAAAACGACCAACCGTGGCTTCGTTGTTGGGCGCCGAGGCCGCCGCGGCGACTTTGGGGGGGTGTTTGACGGTTTGTTTCAAGTCGCCGTCTGCAGCACTTTGTCGAGTGTTACGAGGGCGTGGCTACTCGATTTGGGTGAGGATGAACTGTTGGTGGGGCGAGAAAGTGGGGTCAGCTAAAATGTGTGGAGTTTCGCTGAGTTCACCCCACCGTTTGCCAGGCACGGCCATCTCAAACCACGCAACCTACTCGCTCAGACTTTCGTCCACCCCATCAGTTCTGTACCTCTAATCTTCCAAACAAGTTCAATGACTCCCATTCACCCTGCCCCCCAAGTAACTGATTCGACTCCCTAAAATCTGATTCCGAATTTCTGGAATGCCGTCAAATTTTCTTTCTCGATTTCGCTTCAAGGATGTCACTGCCTGCCGCACAGCCCTGTTGGTTTTTGTTGCTGCTTGGTGAGGTGAGCGAGCGATCCTTCCCAGATCAGACCGCATGCCACAGTCCTCCCACACGCCCGGTCCGTTCGCACTGCGGCCGGCGTTACGGGATGCGAGGATGTGAGAGCAGCCCCGCGGTTTCTCGGCTCACTGCGAAGTTCTGACACAAACGGCTGGGTTGGTCCGACAGGGGAAGGCATTGAGCTAGTTGCCGATCCCTTTACTCTCACACCCTGGGGCTCTAGAGTCTTGAGCTCCATTTCTCACCTCACACCCTTCCCGTTAACGTTTCTGGGAATACTGGGGATGGGCTCGTCCATTAGGTCCCTGGCCGCACCTGGCCCCCGGAGTCGTCGGGACCGATGCTGAAGGGGCGTGGGCAAGGCGGTTCGAGGGGAGGTGGGTGTCTTACGCGGGCCCAGACAGCCGCAAGACGTGCGCTCTGATGTCTTCTTCCCAATGCCTGTCTTTGTTGCTGCGTTTTGGGCACCGCCTGTTTGCATGGTGGCTCGCAGTGCGGTGGCCCTGCCGAGCCTGCTTTAAAGTGACCGGTCCGGTTGGCCTTCGCCCTCGGCCGTCTGATACTCACTCGACCGCCCTGTGACGTATGCCCTGTTTGTTACGTCTCTGACACGTCTTCTTTTCTTTTCAAGATGTACGGATCTTTCCCGCTTTCCCTTTTCTCTATGGCTGGAGGACTGTCATGCTGTCATCCTTCCTGTTTCCGGATCTCTTAACTTGGCATCCGTTCCTCCGATGCCATTGTTCTAATCGATACTCGGGCCACATCTTCATGTCAACCTCATCACCACACGCTCGTTAGACGCTGCCTGTTGCTGGCCAGCAAGCATACACACCATAGCCCTCGAACAACGACCGGTTCCCACTCCTACTCATAGAGTCCTGAGTGATGGAACGCCGCTCATTCCTACCGAGAAGCTCCTCACTATCCACCCTACTCCCCACCAGCGATGAAAAGTACTACCTGCCCCGCTCGGTACAACAAAAGCGCAGGTTCAAGTTACGAACACTGCTAGGCCATTGCTTTTACCGAAGGGTTATCCTATGGATTCTTGCAGCCCTCGCACTCTTGATTCTCGGCTTGTCCACCACAAGCGAGAACGGACTTCGGCGGGAGAGGTTACTCGAGCTGGTACAATCTAGGCCGTACGAAGAGACTCACGATGTTTCTGAACATGTTGTTGAAGAAGAAGCCATCGTTACGGGGAGTAGGAGGGAAAAGGTCATGGTGGTAACAAGTTCGGAGAAAGCGCCCCCACCAGCATGGCGTGAGGGTATGCCATACTGGCTGCGATTCAAGCAGTGAGTCCACCCCGACACCCCCGTATCTTCTGACTGTCACCGGTTCGAAATGCGTTCTCTAACTCAAAACAGCCTGGATGGATTCTTTGTTGGCCTCAAGGCCCTCGTACCGGCTCGAGAGTATCAGCCCGAACACCCCCGAAAACCGGGGGAGGGCTCGCCGTTCCCACTTACGATATCCTACACGGGCTTGCCCACACCCACGCCCTATGTGCCCCATCCAGATTATGAGTCGGAAAAGTACACCGCTGAGCATCACGAGGCCCAACCATGTTACCTTGACAAAGCTAAGCAGATCCCCGTCCCCGAGGTCTACGCATACGACGGCATCATCCAGGGCCAGTCGGAACCGGTGCTCGGCTCGCATAACCTCCTGGGGCTCCGCGACGACGTCTGTTTTGACCGATTCGGGAGGTACGGTCCGTATGGCTTGGGATACACCTTTGAGGAGGGTGGTGTGGAAGTTGGCATGGACACAGAGCGGACAGGGAACGAAGTAGTATGGGAGAAAACAGGAAAGATCAACTATGACACCATCGACTGGGCGGAGGCGCAAGCCCGGTGCTTGGATGCTAACAAGAAGAGGTTCCGCGATCCTGCCGACAAGGACCAACCATCCACCACGACATCATCGGGGAAGGGTTCTGGATCGGGAAAAGCCAAACAGGACGGTAGTAAGCAGGGGGCTCAGGAAGACCCGACTTTCGTTCACAGCGAACGACCCAAGAAGAAGATTGGTCGCACCGCCGTGGTAGTTCGAGCCTACACCGGGTACCAATGGACTCACCACGCAGTTCTGAACTTTCGAGCTATGATTTCAGAGCTTTCTCTCCGATCAGGCGGAGAATATACCGTGCATTTCCTTCTGCACGTACGCGACGGCAACGAAGCGATCTGGGCAGATCCTATTACGGCCCAACGAATCCTCGACGACAACATCCCGCCCGAATTCCATGGCCTCTGCACGATGTGGTCGGAGGACCAGATGCGACTTATTTATCCCGGCGGCTTCGGGCGCAGCTTCTCTAACCCCAGCAGCGGCAGCATCCACGGCGTGTATCGTAGCGCACACATGCCGCTGCAGTATTTCGCGCTTAACCACCCCGAATACGACCACTTTTGGAACTGGGAACTCGACATGCGGTGGTTGGGCAACTACTACGAGCTATTCGACCGGTTGGGCAACTGGGGCCGCGAGCAGTCGCGCGTCGGGGCCTGGGAACGCTCATCCAAGTACTACATCCCACGATACCACGGAGACTGGGCAAACTTCACGTCCCTAGTCCATAACGAAACCGCTGCCAGCGGCCGCCCGGCCGTCTTCGGCCCCGTATCGTTCCCCGGGCGCGTCCCCCTCCGCTCTGAAGCCTCCGGCGAGAGTTTCATCCCCCGCTCTTGTGCAACCCGCGCCGACCCTTCCTGTGGCGTGGGCGAGGACGCGGATCTCATCACGCTTAATCCCCTCTTTGACGCCGAGGACTCCGGCTGGGTATTCGCCTCCGACGTCACCGGCTACAATACAGCACTTCCCCCACCACCTCGACGCTGCGCGATCGTCACCGCTTCACGCCTTAGCCGCCGGCTACTCGGCGTCATGCACGAAGAGAACTGGCGCCTGCATAACTCCATGTTCACCGAGATGTTCCCGGCTTCGGTAGCGCTGCATCGAGGACTCAAGGCCGTGTACGCGCCGCACCCTGTGTTTGTCGACCGCGAGTGGGAGCTGGCGGCTGTGGACAAGGCCTTCAACGGCGGGCGCGATCACACCAGCGGCGGACGCGGCAGTCCGTTCGATCTGCGCAATGAGCACAACCACAAGGGGACAAGTTGGTACTACCACAGTGAGTTTGCGGGCCTCTTGTGGCGGAGGTGGTTGGGGTATGCGCAGTATGATGGGCGGGGGCCTAATGGAGGTCGGTCCGGGGAGGGTACTTTGAGGGGGGGTAAGGTCGAGGAGGAGAGGGCAAGCAGTACAGGGAGGATGTGTTTGAGGAGCATGTTGGTACATCCGATCAAGTGGGAACATCCAAGCGAGCTGGAGGACCTTTAAGGGTTTTCTACATAATAGTATATCCTTTTTCTGTTTTGTTACGTTGTTGGGTTTTGCTTCTGCTTTTCCTTTGCCTCGGTTATCCTTGGGGTTTTGTGTGCTCTCTGTATGTCAGTCACTAAGGCGTTTAGAGGGTCGTGTTTTGGCTGGTTGCATTTTTCCTTTGTTGTACCATTTTCAGGTAACATCTTTACAGAACCACAAAATGCGGGGGATACAAGTTTGGGGGCTACGTGGGCATTGGCCGGATCGAGGAAAAGATGATGATGGCTTGGAACAGCCAACATCCTTCGGGTCGAGGGGCGGCGTTCGGTCGGACCTGTTTCAGATGCATGTCCAGGGCGGGAAGGGGAAGCGTGTGTAATTATCCGTAGACACTTTTAAATCATATGTTGAGTAAGAAAATAACAGGCCCAGCGCAGACGCAAGTTGAGAACCAAAGCCACCAACACACGCACAAACACTCTGTCGAGTGCAGAGGGTAAAGCCTTGTTGAGCGTGTTGCTCGAGGTCTGTGATCGCTCACCGCACCCTTTTCCGGCCGCACCCCCACGCCTTGCTAATTTGAAGATTGCCTGATTGGGGCTAGTTGGCGGCGAGCGGGTGCCAAGCTTCGAGAACCATGGGAAGAGGCGCTAAAAAAGGTCATGTGAGCTTTTTCAAGGGTGAGATGAGAAGATTAAGCCAGGTTACGACTGGGGGCGATTGAGAAATATTTTGAGGATTGTCGAGTTTCGGCGTCACTTGGTGATACAATTCTATTTGTAGTCATTATTCAATCTGTAATATCCCTCATAAAGCGAGATTAACGAGGGGGTTTGCACTACAACATGTACTCCGTATAGTCCATTATTTGGAGATGCTCATTCGGAGAGTGGGTGGGGTGTGATCGGGGATGAAATCGGGAACCGAGAAGATGGTGTTCAGCCCTGTAGCACAGGGTCCGGCGGTCGGTAACACGAAACTCCGATACCACCTCATGCTCCAAGGGCTTCCCTGAGCTTTTGGGAATTCAAAGTTTAGATTTCTTGTTCACTATTGTCGAAAAAACAATGGGGACCCAGGAATTGGAAGTAAGCCGGACATGGGAACACAGGTGCACAAGATTTGGGCTGCTGTCCGCCAAAATGCGAATGTACATACAACGGCTTCGTCATAGTGGACCCAACTGTGAGTGCCAGCTGCATCCGCAGCGATCCGCAGCGTCATCGGCCCCCACTCATGCCTCCAGCTTGTGACAAGCCGTGCCCAGTGTGTTGGTATCAGGAGGACGCAGAAGCTGTGAGTTGGCTCAGCTGTGGGGTGTTTTGACTCCCGTGGACAAGGAAAGTCACGAACGAAAGGCATACTGGTCAAAAACGTAGAGATAGAGATAAGACACTACTTAGAACTTTCCAAGTCAATAGCTGTTTTTGTGTCCAGTGGTCGTTGGCTCAGGTTCGGGGAAGCGCAATCAACGACCAATTGACGTCAAGCAATTGACGATCTACATGCAAGTCGCCTTCTTTTCACCTCGAAAAGATCGTGAGTTTGCCACGGAATCCGCGCACACCCAAACAACCCTGAACTTAGCAGTTGTTTGGCCTCCAGTAGGCTCACAAGTGCTTCTCACTTCAGGAGTTTGTCTAAACACCAAACCAATCCTCCACCGCTCTTTATATACCAACGAGAGGACAAGCGGCTCACTCCGCCTGAATCTGTGTCGATACCCGATCCTCGGCAGAGCCCACTCGAAGCAAAAATCCCTTTACGCTCTGCAGCCAACCCACCGACTGATGCGGCACCGATCAACCCAACGCGGCCCTTTGTCCTAATAAACGAGCGTCTGGGAATATTTTTGGAGGCTGTAGCAGCCAGACCTCGCCTTTCTCAAACCATTGCCACCCCAACCAACCAAATAACCAGGTGCAATATCTTTTTTTTTTCCAGGTGCGCGTGACCGGATCCCAATCTCGGGCGATCCCCTGGCGAATTTCCAGCATTCGGGGAGTTAAGTGGCACCCGACTTGCACTTGAGTTAGCCGCTTCTAGTGGAACGCAATTGTGAGACAACACTCCAACTTCTCCTAGCAACGCCACAAACCCGAGCGCCTTTCCTGCCAATTTCCATCCGACTTCCCCATTTTCTTTTCTTTCCTTCCCCCAACAGAGAACAAAGCAGCTATTGCAGGCCTTCTCTTTTTTTTCTCTCGGGCCTGCTCAACTAAAATTTGCACCCGACAGAAACCCGAAAAGCGGCGACGAACGAACTCGGGTTTAGACCAACCGACCAACCAACCGGCGTGGTAAAGCTTCGTGTTATTGGGTGCCGCCTGCAAATCAACCCATTAACCAACCAACCGCTCACCTCCCCTCGTACCCTCGAGTAGTACCTCATACCCTCGTCTTTGCGCCGAGCCTCACAACTCTACCAAACCCCGCGATGCCCATTGTTCCGGATTCCGTGATGGGCGGGCCCGCCCCACCCTCGGCGGCCACTGCTTCGGCTTCCGCTTTGGGTTCCGCTTCTGCACCCAGCGCCTCGGCTCCGGGTGAATTGAAGAAGACCCCCGGGTCATCCGACGACCTGCTTAACGTCTACGATGACGCGAGGACCTACTACACCGCCGAGGACCGCCATAGGAACACCCGTGCCGGTCCAAGGACACGTACCTACTCTCAGGTAAGGCAGCTTCCTGCTGGGGGTTGTCGAGGAGGGCGATGATCGGAATTTGGCGATGTTTTGGCCGGGGGGCGCTGAAGTCGCAAAAGCCGAGGTCGGCTATGTTTGTGCGCTTTGTGACAATTGCTGATTGGATTCGCGTACTACAGAATAGTTTGCTGAGGCAGATGGAACGGCTGGTGGTGCCTGAGCCGTACAGGAGAGGAAGCCATGGTAGGTATTGTTCTATCAGTCACGATCCCAACGACGATCAACTACTAACCGCAATTGCGTTAAGATGAGAGCACCATCCCCCATTCCCGCCGCTTCCTGATCCAGGTCGAGCCGACACTCCAGAGTCTACAAGCACAGGAAGACACCGACCAGAATATGCAGATTACGATTGAGGATGCTGGACCCAAGGTATGCCGTGGGGTTTTGTCAGCGGGTTCAGGAGGAAGTTAACCGGTTGTTCTCTTTCAGGTACTCTCGCTCCGCACAGCGGCCTCTAACGGCCACAACCGATTCGATATCCGTGGTACCTACATGCTCTCCAATCTTCTTCAAGAGCTCTCACTCGCCAAAGAGTATGGTCGTAAGCAGATCATCCTCGACGAAGCCCGGCTCAACGAGAACCCCGTCAATCGCCTCTCACGGCGGATCCGTGATGATTTCTGGGAAGGCCTTACCCGGCGCATCGACGCCTCAAGCATCGAAATCGCCGCTCGCGACCCCAAGGATTGGACCGACGATCCCCGCCCCCGCATCTACATTCCCAGGGGTGCCCCGGAGCAGTACGAGTACTACACCAAACTAGCTGAGGAGAAGCCCGACATTCGCCTTGACGTCCAACTCCTCCCCGAGAAGATCACTCCCGAGATTGTCCGCGACATGAACGCCAAGCCCGGCCTGTTGGCCGTGGATATGGAAGAGGTAGTTGATCCCACGACAGGGGAGAAAACGATGCAAGGGAGACCGTTTGTGGTCCCCGGCGGCCGTTTCAATGAGTTGTACGGCTGGGATAGCTACATGGAGTCGCTCGGTTTGCTAGTCCACGACAAGGTCCATTTGGCCAAGTCCATGGTTCTCAACTTTTGCTTCTGCATCAAGCACTACGGCAAGGTTCTCAACGCAACGCGATCCTACTACCTCTGCCGTTCGCAGCCGCCGTTTTTAACCGACATGGCCCTCCGAGTCTACGACAAGATTAAGCACGAGCCGGATGCAGTAGAGTTCCTCCGCACCGCTATCCTCGCTGCTATCAAGGAGTACCATAGCGTCTGGGTGGCCGAGCCGCGCCTAGACCCTGTCACCGGGCTGTCGCGATATCGCCCGGAAGGTCTCGGCGTCCCGCCCGAGACGGAAGCTGGCCATTTCGTACACATCCTGGAGCCGTACATGGAGAAGCACGGGATGAAATTTGAGGAGTTTGTTGAGGCATACAACACGGGCAAAGTTCACGAGCCCGAGCTCGATGATTATTTCATGCACGACCGAGCAGTACGCGAATCTGGGCACGACACCACGTACCGCTTCGAGGGCATCTGTGCAGACCTGGCAACCATCGACCTTAACTCGCTGCTGTTCAAGTACGAGACCGACATCGCGCGCACTATCCGCAATGTTTTTGGCGACAAGCTCATCATTCCTGCCGACTACTGCGTCGGTGACATGGTTCCTGGCCAAGTCGAGGCCTCTGCCATCTGGGACCGCCGCGCAAAGCGCCGCAAGCTGGCCATTGACAAGTATCTCTGGAGCGAGACGGAAGGCATGTACTTCGATTACAACACCGCCAAGCGCCAGCAGTGCAGTTATGAGAGTGCCACAACTTTCTGGGCTCTCTGGGCCGGCGTCAGCAGCCCCAAGCAGGCTGCTGCCATGGTTACGAAGGCACTGCCGCGGTTCGAGGCTTTCGGTGGCCTGCTGTCGGGTACTAAGGAGAGCCGTGGCGAGGTTGGCCTGGAGCGGCCCAACCGTCAATGGGATTACCCGTATGGTTGGGCACCGCAGCAGATGCTGGCATGGACGGGCCTGTACCGGTACAGCTTCACTGAAGAGGCTGAGCGGCTGGCGTACAAGTGGCTGTTTATGATCACCAAAGCATTTGTTGATTTCAACGGCGTGGTGGTGGAGAAGTACGACGTGACGAGGCCTATTGATCCTCACAGAGTCGATGCCGAGTATGGCAACCAGGGCCTAGATTTCAAGGGTGTTGCCAGGGAGGGGTGAGTTTTTAATTTCTCCTTTATTCTTTGCTTACATGCACCCGAGTCAACGATGTTTCTAATATTCTTCCACAGATTCGGCTGGGTCAACGCAAGCTACATTTACGGACTGCAGATTGTTAATGCCCATATGCGCCGCGCCCTTGGCACGTTGACCCCCTACGAAACCTTTATCAAGGCAGTTGAGGAAACCCGGGCCAAAGCTCTTGCTGAGCTGGTCTAGCATCGAGATTCCTTGTTCTTTCCCGCCTTTGGGGGGTTTCCTTTTACTCTTTTTTTTGGCCCGCCTCTGGCCATGGGCTTGGTGTTGTTTGGCCATTAGTCATCAGGGTAATCGGGGGCGGTTAAAGTCACTTTACACATACATGGCCCCTTCACACCAAGCATATGGTGGCGTTTTGCAGCGAGGTCTATCGTTACGGACTTCGGGCTTCATGGTCTCCCTTTTCACCCTCTTCCTCTTCTTTCTTGCCACAGCCCCTATTTTTTTTTGGCCAACAAGTTTTTGGCGATTTGGCCTCGACATGGGGTTGAGGGCAAAAGACAACATGCAACCGGGGCTAGGACCAAAGCTACGGCAGCGATCCTTTTGTTTCGGTAATCATGCCGCTGTTTTATTGCATATCTGCCTCCTCATTTGGGAGCGGACTAACTGCATATGGTGAGGAGGGGAAAAAAGAGAATGGGAGGTGGATTGACAGAGGTAGTTTGGGAGATGGACATTCTGGTGGTAGAGGGTACCAGACATTCATAACCCCGGGGCTAAACGGACGGAATGACGGTACTAGGCGGGCACGGTACTTGGAGGGAAGTTTATTGATCCGCGATCCCCAGTGTACATACCCAAAGCACTGGGAGTGTTGGTCTAGGTAGGCCTTTGCCAGATAAGCCTGGCTATCTAGGTTACCAGTGTAGGAATTCACATGTGCATTTTTAATATTTGTTAATAACTCCTGCTTTAAGCGGTGTTATAAGAACATTTCCATCTGGCTAATGGTGTTGTCAAGCTTTGTACGGGAAGTCTTGTTAGCTTCTATCCACTTTCTGATTCTTTTCCGGACACCTTCCTCAGGATTCGGGGGCGGCTCACAGCGGTTGAACTCGCCCGTCATTGCCGGAACGGCGGCCAACAGATAAGCCCAGATAAGAGCTGCTAGCGGTGCCAAGAAGGCGACAGGACAGGGTTGCCCCGCAATGCTGAGTGAAAATGTTCCCGTTCGGTCTGTCCCTCCAAAAAATTTTCCCCGCCATCCACATGCCTCTCGGCATGGCAAGCAGGCCCAGGAGAAAGTATTTATGGAGAGCTGCCGCTGTCCATCCTTTGATGAAAGAAGGGAAGTAAATCTTGGTTTTTAGGAAGATGGCAGGTTATTCGAGTTACCCACATAATCATCACTTCCCCACCTTGTTCTCTCTTTCGGTCTTCCTACTACCCCAGCGGTGAATGTATCAGCATCGTTGTTGTTAAGGGTGTATGACCTGAGAGTGTCCCCAAAACTTCTTTTTCGCTCACACTCCTGCTCCAAAACACGGTGCTTCAGGCAGGCCGGTTCCCTGCGACAAGCTCCTGGGAACTACCTAACGAACCGTGCGCAAAGTGTGGCCAACGGAAGGGAAAAGAGTGAAAAAAATACTAGGGGTCCTGTCCCTTGGTCCAGAGCCCAGACCGACTTCGGCAGCACTCCACCAAGAGGCACTTTAACTTTAACCTCTGCGACTTTTCCACTGAGCCCGATTCGGACCCTTTGTTTCGTACTCTTTCTTGTCGTTGTGACACTTTGTGACGACGGCAAGAGGGTCGCCGCTAGTATTATTCCATCCTCGTCTCCTCCGACCACTTTGTCGTTCCTTTCCCGGTCAATTGGCCGGCGGACAGCGCAAAGATGTGCGGCATTCTCGGCCTCATATTGGCCGACTCGTCGAGCACCGACGCAGCGGTCGACCTGCACGAGAGTTTATACTACCTCCAACATCGTGGCCAAGATGCTTGCGGCATTGCGACATGTGCAACTGGCGGCAGAATATTTCAGTGCAAGGGCAATGGCATGGCTTCGAAGGTGTTTGAAGACGGCCGCCGTGCCGCTGATCTGCCGGGGTACATGGGCATCGCGCATTTGCGATATCCGACTGCAGGGACGAGCTCTGTATGTTCCCTTGTCCAACTCTTTTATCCCTATTTCTTTTTCGCTCCTACTTGCTTTTACACGCTGAATGTATGGCATTGGCTAATCGGACGGTAACAAACAGAGTGCCGAGAGTCAACCGTTCTACGTCAACTCCCCCTATGGCATCTGCTTTGCTCACAACGGCAACCTGATCAACGCGCCCGAGCTGCGTCACTTCCTCGACAAGGAAGCGCATCGCCATGTTAACACCGACTCGGATAGCGAGCTCATGCTCAACGTATTCGCCAATGCCCTCAACGAGACCGGTAAGGCCCGTGTCAATGTCGACGATATCTTCAGCTCCCTGGCCCAAACATACCAGCGCTGCCAGGGCGCCTGGGCGGCCACTGCCATGATAGCTGGCTTTGGCATTCTCGCCTTCCGAGACTCCTTTGGCATCCGCCCCCTGATCATGGGCAGCCGGCCATCGTCCACGATCGAAGGCGGTACGGACTACATGCTGGCTTCGGAGAGTATCGCACTCCGACAGCTGGGGTTCCGTGACTTCCAAGACATCTTACCCGGCCAGGCCGTCTTCATCCAGAAGGGTGGAAAGCCCCAGTTCCACCAGGTTGTTCCTGCCAACGCCTACTCGCCCGACATCTTTGAGTATGTCTACTTTGCCCGCCCGGACACGATCATGGACGGCATTTCGATCAACAGCAGCCGTCAAAACATGGGTGCCAAGTTGGCCGACAAGATCCGCGAGGTGCTCGGCGACGAGGGGATTAAGGAGATCGACGTCATTATTCCCGTGCCAGAGACGAGCAACACGGCCGCGGCCGTTGTGTCGGAGCGTCTCGGCAAGCCCTTCTCCAACGGCTTCATCAAGAACCGCTATGTATACCGTACCTTCATTCTACCCGGCCAGAAAGCCCGCCAGAAGAGCGTACGCCGCAAGCTGAGTGCTATGGAGTCTGAATTCCGTGACCGTGTTGTCTGTCTGGTGGACGACTCTATCGTCCGTGGTACTACAAGTCGTGAGATTGTTAGCATGGCTCGCGAGGCCGGTGCTCGCAAGGTCATTTTCGCTAGCTGTGCTCCACCCATCAAACATCCTCATATTGTAAGTTCAGTCTCCAAGCGACCCAAACTACCCGTTAGCTAACCTCTATCCCAGTATGGTATCGACCTCGCGACTCCGCAAGAACTCATCGCCCACGAAAAGACACGCCAGGACATCGCCCGCCACATTAATGCCGACGACGTCATCTACCAAGATCTGGACGACCTCAAGGCCGCCTGCATGGAGGTTTCACCCGACGGCCGCGTCGAAGACTTTGAGGTCGGCGTGTTTTGTGGCCGCTATCAAACCGAGGTCCCCGAGGGCTACTTTGAGCAACTCAACGCCAGCCGCGGCAAGAAGCGCAAGATTGCTGAGCAGGCATCCGCCGCGGGCGGTGAGGGCAACGGTAACGGTGGTGATAGTGCTGCGCAGGCGGCAGATGCGGTGGTGGGCAACGGTGGGCCAGTCAATGTTGCCAAGCGGACGCTGGTGGACAACGGGGTTGACGGACCGGCTCCCTCCAATTCGGGCAGCGCCGGTGTTGCCAGCAATGGGCTAAGGCAGACAGAAGCTGTCTTGTCAGCCGAGGCAGCTCATGGGGAAGACAAGAACGCGGGGATGGCGAACCCGAATAACAGGCAGGATATCAGGTATGTGTGACACCCTTGCATGACTCTTTCGCCTTACCCATCTACCAAAGTGTGTTTTGCTAACTTGACGGTCTCTCTAGTCTCCACAACTGGGCCACCGAACCTGCTCCCCAATAAAAGTCACCCCCTTCCTGCTTCAGTTTCTAGCGCTGTTAATATTGTGTTAACATCGCGATTTGACCCTTCTTTGCTTCTGTTAAAGCCTCGTTTACACTCATAAGGGAAGAAGGGGGCTTGTTCTGTGAAAAGAATGGCTGTGCATCGAAATAGACAGGTAGAGAAGGACCAAACATCTTTTTGTTCATTTTGTATCCCTGTCATCTTCTCAGGTTGGGCGGTATTTTCTGTTACTTGAGCACCCAAGGAGAGTTGTCCTTTTTCATGTTTCCTTCACAAGCCCATGGGCGGGTTGCTATTAGTTGGGATGGCGACCTGATCGCCCAAGAGCAGGCAAAGGGCTGTTATCGGGCCAAAAGGGCGAATGGGTATGCCCGGGTAGCGCTGAAAGGGCCGCGAGGACTGGAAAATGATGTGACCATACCGATATTCATTGGGACAGGCGGGGGCATGTTTTGCTTCGTTCATACCTGATTCGGTCGCCTTCGAGGAGCGGGTGTGGTTATACGATGGGTATCACTATACTGTATACAACGATGAAGTAGAAAGAAGAGCGCTTGCAAGAGTCAGGAGTTCATGATGTGATTAGAATGATACGTGAGGTGAAGTGATGGTCTAAGTCTTGACCGGTCAGTTTACACACCCTTCGACATCCCAACAACTGCAGCTTTCCGCCAGCCAGCCAACCACAAAAATCAGGTTCATGAGATGTCACGCTACGAAGTTGATGTATCATATTACGCCACATTATTTTAGCAATGTCAAAAAGAAGAAATCTACCTACAAAGACTGAGTCATACCCCTCACACCCAGATCCGAAAAAATGAAGCTCTAGCTTTCTTGCTCTATGCGGTTTATGTGGATCGAACACATGACCTTCAGATAGAATTCCTGAAGTTTTTCCTTCAGTCTGACGCTCTCCCAACTGAGCTAAACCCGCATTGATTAGTTTGTTGTGTGGCCGAGAGAAAAAGATGCATTGTGGATGGGAGGATCGTGGTGGAGTCTAGAGCGGGTAGGGTTGGTGGAGGAGTTACGATGGCAGGGGATGGCTTTTTTTGTCTCGCGCGGCTGCATATTTCGGTCTTCGGCTAATGACAAGGGTGGAGCTAAGACCGTCGTGCAAACTGGCTTGAATTTGACAAAATCTTTATTCGGGTGGTGGGAGGAAGCTGGGATATGACCAAGGGAGGTATTGGATTTGGCATGGGGGTATATGGTTTCTCGCTGGGAAGCTTGGGTGTCTCTCCATCCAGGCGAGGAGGGAGACTATCTCGCCAGTCTTGTCACATTTTACTAGGTACCTAAAGCGTTTCTCTCGGAAAAATAATACAGCGACATTACAAGAGCGTAGATACACACTGAAGATATCGTCCTTTTGTGCGTCTCTTGCATCCCCTGCCAAGGAGTCGTAGGGCAAGTCGAGATAAACGATGATAAACCTTGAACTCCACCACAGGAAAACCACAACCCTCAAAAGTACAAAAGTTTAACTCGCGAAGTGTTTCTTTTCCAGGAAGCTTCGATCATGCTGGGATTCGAACCCAGAACCTTTACCAGGTGGGACAAACCGGAAAGTAACGCGCTGCCATTGCGCCACACGACCAATAGTTGTTGATTTGTTAAAGACAGGGGTCGTGATGATGCATTTGTCAATCGGGAAGCAGAACTGGAGGAGGAGTGCGGAGAAAGTTGAATGGGTTGTGGGGGCTTGGGGGGCTCTTTTGGGAGGAAATCTTCAAGGTGTTGTAAATCTCACTGGGGACTCTTTTATTTGGTGCGGATACATGATTTTCCTCCTCCCCAACAAAAGAGTCCAATGCCTCGAGATTGGCGAGGAGTTGTTCAAGGCCTGCTGAATTCTTTGGCGGGGGTTAGGGTCTAACCAAAAACAAAACCAACACCCTTTCCTGAACGACACATCTCCTGGAGCTCGACAGGAGGAACCCAATAGAAGCGGGCAGCCCGCCGTGGTGCGCTCCATTGTGGTGCAGGAAGCAAACCCCGCCCTGGCTGATGAGCGTTGGTTGGTGTCAGCATAACATCAGAGTCTACGGGCATATGGTCTAGTGGTATGATTTCTGTTTTGCAATGATCCATTGATTACAGACGGTCCCGCGTTCAATCCGCGGTATGTCCAACGCACTTGATGTGTATTTGTTACAGCAAATACCATCCTTTTTCACCTTTTCCTCGAATCTCCAATGTAATTTGTCCCCTCTCATTTTTTCCGCTCCATCATTTAGCTTTTACTTCTCAGGCCTTGCCTCCTTCGGTGAGTGGGGTACCTCGGGGCCAAATGCTGAACATGAGGGTAGGTTCTTGTACCTGCATTGATAGCTATTAGACTGGAAGAATCTCCATCTAAAAAGGGCCTGTTTGTGTATGTGTTGGCAAGTGGTAATCAGTCGAGAAGTGACCTAGAGCTGTTTCGTTCTGGGCCCAAGACCTAAAAAGGGGCTTTAACTCCCAAAATGGGACCAAGACAGCTGATGTTATGCTATATCATCGAGGAGAAAGTGCTTCATTACCCGCTCTTGCGCCGGCCGCGATATCGTAAAATACATCGTTCCCCCCATGCTCTCATGTACTCATATAGCCGTTGTGACATGTAAGGAAAAAAGAAAACGAAAAACAAGCTCGCCGGCTTCCGCCAAATACCGAAATCACCATAACTCCTACCCATCCATTGTGGACAATGAATGACCCTAAATGGTAACCTTGCCTACCAACGGCAAATCGCGACTACTCCCACCCACTTCGATTTTATAATCCCCCTTCGCCAGTTTCCACTTTTGCGCCACCACATCCCACACACTCAGGTCTCGCCTCGTCAACTCGAACTTTACAGTCTCGGTGGCCGATGAGTTCAGAGACACCTTCTCGAACCCACGCAGCTGCCTCACCGGAGTGCCGTCACTTGGAATCCCCACATAGACCTGCGCAACCTCCGCCCCGGCCACTGAGCCTGTGTTGGACAAGTCCGCTGACACCTCGACCAACACGTCCCAGAGGTCCTGTTGACCACCTTCAACCACGGGACCGGATGGGTACGCCGAAAAGTCCCCGTTGTCAGTTTTCTTTACGGCAAGATTGGCATAACCGAAGGTGGTATAGCTGAGACCGAAACCGAACTCATACCGCGGGGTGATGTTGTGGGCGTCGAAGTGGCGGTAGTCAAGGAAGACACCTTCGGTAAAGTTGCTCTGCGGGAAGCGAGCAAATTTGCTGCCTTTAGCCGCTTTATCGGGCCCTAGGACCGGGTAGTCAGATTCGTTGCGGGCGACTGTGTAGGGGAGTTTGCCGGACGGGTTGGCATCGCCGTAAAGGAGGGCAACGGACGCCCGACCAGACGCCTCGCCGGGGAGATGAGCAAAGATAAGGCCCGTGACGTTGGCGTGGTCCACGAATTGGTCGACTAGCCGGACCCCGGCGTTGTGGAAGACAACGATGGTGTTACGGCACCGGTCCGCCACGTGTTTGACCAGCCCGTCGGTGTAATCATCATGCGTGGCCGGGCGATCTGCTGCTTCTGTGGCGTATGCGTTCACAAACACCAAGCACGCGTCTGACATCGGGTTGACCCACGGAGTACCGCTGACAAAATCCCAGAAAAGGGCGGTATCATCGTCCCAGGCGCGTTGCATGAGCGCATCAAAGGGGGAAGCAATAGTGGACTGCGAGGTGGCGCCGGAGCCACCGCCCGAATATATGGTTCCGTTATAAGCAATATTCGTGTGCCCATACTCGCCGGTGTAGCCGAAGAACTGCCCGCCAAACTCGGTGTAGTTGAAGGACTCAGAGCCCCAGAGCCAAGGAGAAAGTCCGGGCGTGGGGTTATTGTTGTCCGGATTCTTGGCCGAGTAGCCGAAGATGGACAGCATCTTTGGCTTTTTCAGGGGCAACGCGTTGCGCATGTTTTTCACCAGCACATGGCCTTCAATTGCACCGTCGGAAAGGATTGAGCGGAAACTCGAATTCCTGGCATCCACAATTTTGTGTGGTTGGGTAAGGTCAACGGGCATTCCAACGCCAGGCTTCGGGAAGTCTTGGTCCTGGCCCAACAAATACCATGTTGCAACCGTCCTATTTTTGTCAGTCGCGGAAGTTGGTGATCACAACGGGATTTCCTTACCTAACAACCATGTCGTCAATACGAGACTCCGCTATGGAGCCATTGTTGACGGCATCTACAAGATTAGTGCCCCAAAAGTTACTGCCGCTCGGCATGGCGACGTCCATGCCTGCCGCAGCAGCAGCCACACCTGCGTGTTGGGCGCCCCAATCACTGACAACCCAGCCCTGAAAGCCAAGCTCTGTCTTAAGGAGACCGTTGAGTGATTTGCTGTTCGCGCAGCCGTACGAGTTGTTAAGACGCTGATATGAGCACATGATATTGGCGCTTCCAGCGCGAATAGCGTCCTGAAACGGCCTGTGTGTCTGATCAGAACAAGGTGGGATCATAAAAGGTAGCAACCTAACTTACCAAAGATAGAATTCATGCATGGTTCTGTCGTCAATGTTGGATGACACGGACTCGGTTGTCCCCGATGGATTCCGGTTTGTTTCTTGCTCGTTCGCGATAAAGTGCTTGGTACTAGTAATAACCCCAGCAGCTTGTATCGCTGTGACGGTCTCATGGGCCAGAGCCCCCGAGAGATACGGGTCGCTCGCAAAACCTGTTACCGATGTCAACATTGGTTCCAACATTATGGACAAGTGAAGGGGCGACGTACCTTCCCAATTCCGCCCACTAAGCACAACACGGCCCGCTGGTCCAACAACTGGTCCCAGCAACACATTCACACCCTTGGCCTTAAACTCGCCTCCCATTCCCGAGCCTCGTTGTCGAGCAAGCATTTTGTTCCAGCTGGCACCAACGTGGATGCCGCTTGGCCAGCTGCTCACAAAATCTGTCCCACGAAGCCCATTTCCTGCGTCACTTAAGCACATGCCCGGGAAATTAAGACGCGGGATGGCTGGAATAAATCCGGAGCAGCCGGTGTGAGAGCTGGCGCCACCAGTCAAGCTGACCTACTCGCCTACAGGTCAGTACCGCTTCATCTCTAATGTTCACAAGGGGTAAAAGATATCGAAGCGTCATAGTGCGGATTGTATCGTTACCTTTTCCTCGAGCGACATCTTCTTTACCAGCTCACGGGCCTTCTGTGTCGCATCCTGCCATTTCCCCGTACCCGGAGTGTTCGCTGAAGATCAATTACAGTCAGCTCGTTCATTCCAAAATAGCCGGGCCTGTCCCATCCCCTCATCACAACGACCTGAAGAAGCAAAGGCGTAAACACGCAAACAAGGAGTATCACTCACGAGAAGGATAGACCGCCGGTGACTGTCCATAAAACAGTGTATCATCTGTAATGACTCCATCACCATCCCCCTCCCCAGCTCCCGCGGTATCACCACTCTGGCCTCCACCCCGGTTACGAAGCGCAGCTAACCCCGCCAGGCCACCACCGATGATGACGAGGACGACAATCACTGTAATGATGATACCACGTTTCGTTCGGAAAAAGGAGGGCCGTTGCGTTGACTTGGGCTTTCCGACGGTACTCTTTCCGCCTACGATATCTGCAGTGGCAGGGGTGTTGGAATCGGCTAGGTTGTTGTCCCCTATGAGGGGTTTGGAAGCGCGACTGTTCGTCGCCATGGTGAACTTGGAGGTTCTCTCATAGAACAAAAATCGGCCTAGCTTTGAAATGGTGGTAGTGAGGTTGTTGCGTGAGTGCAGTCAATTGAGGTTGCCCTGGAGTCTGGGGCCTCAAATGTCTATTTACACTAGGTTGGGGTCAGTACACCCAACAAACAATGGAAGGCGGGGTAAAACCCGAAGTAGCCGAGAATATTGTCGACTTTTTGATACCCGAATCGCATAGAAGTAGGTGCGGTCTGGCGTTCTGTGTGTTTTCTGGGATGGGGAGTTACATCCGATTGTGAGGGGTCGTCGTGAGGAGGAAAGAGGGACCGGCGGCTGTGGTTGTTGGTTGTTTACTTGGGCCGTGCGGGCTAACACTGTGCTCACAGCTTCCAGCACGGCACTTGTCAACTTGGCTATATGCTTTTTTTCTTATCGACCCCTTTTACGAAGCTCAAAATACTCCTCTGTAAGAGTTAGGTACATTTCTAACTTTGAGAGTGGAAGCTATCTTGATTTCGTGCACGAGTTGTTGGTCAGCTGTTACCCGTTGTATGGCGAAATCATCAAGCCATCCTGGACACGAGTTTGCGCGCACCTAACTTTGCACATGTTTGGCTTCAACAGATGTTGCCGTATTGAACTTTAATTTCATCTGCCTAAAACAGCTCCGACTTCAAGTTTTTCAAGATTCATTTTGATGGCAGGTATCCATGTCGCTTGATAAACCCCTTTGATCAGATACCGACGCCGACTCCTCGCTTCTGTCGACCACACAAGAATCTTCTCTAAAAGTGTGTATCAGAAGATGCAAATTGACGAAGGTGACGCAAATATCACTAAGATGTATCAACACCCTCTAGTGTGAGTTGCGTCTATTCTACATGAAAATGCGAGTTACAATGCGGCAACATCTTCTCAAGATGGCTTGACGGGTTCACCGTGCAGCTGTCTTGTCCCGCACGGTACTTGAGGAGAACTCGTGGTTGGCGGGGTGAATTGGAGGAGGACCAACACGCGAGCTGAGCAGACCAGCCCTGCTCGGCAATTCACCATTAGCACCAACCAACATCGGCACTCCGGCTGTGGCGTCATGCATGGTTATTTTTGCGGTTGCGATGAGATCCTGCAAGAGGAAAACATGACGCCCCGTGTCTTAGGCGAGACAAACATCACGTACAGTGTTTTCCTACCAGCATCTTCAAAAACACATCAAAAAACGTGCGAGACCCATTTATCGTTTCTTTTCGGACAGGGGCCTTGCTGCGAACCAGTGCAAGATTCCGCCATGCAACGGCCGCGGCCGGAATCCACGTGGCCGCCATCCAACAGCCGATCCAGGTGCCGGGGAGCGGTCTCCCACGAGACATCGCGCTGCATGAACTCCATCGACGCCAGCGTGCAGTTCTTGAATTGCGAAATGGTTCCCATCCCACCGCAAAACGGTCGTTTTTGCCCCCATTTCCTTGATTCGGTGGCTTCTTTAGTGTACCCTCCGTTTTTCAAACACGTTCTGCAGGGGAAAAAGCAAGGTGGGTCTTCAAAAATGAAGAAAAAGCAAAGGTCAACGGTGACAGGTTCGCGGGAAATCCTCCCACATCCGGCCGGGGAAGCCCGACCCACTGCTGCGAACTGCGAACCGAAAGCTGTGTAACCTCCGAGAATCATCCTGCGTGAGCGAAAGGATGGAGTCAGCATGCCTGCTTACTGTGGTACGAATAGTGTAGTCGTAACTTTGCAAACCAAATCGAGTAGTATAGATACACTCGAAAAGCGAACCAAAGCGCGTACACTAACACAGTTCTGCCTCCCTGCCCACCCGCCCGGCATATGCAAAGCCGCTTAAGGATTAACATTACCGTCCAGCAGATGATCCAGACTTGTGTTTCTCTGGTACCTGCGAACAGACGTTGCATCGATTCGGTATTCTGAACCAGTTCCACCAGTCCTTGGGAGGTCATTCTCCGGCTTGCCCCTCTTCACCCGGTCGTGTAAACCCACCGAGTAATTCCTGTTGCACCCCCACGACCGTCACAGCAAAGTCGGGGGGACGCCCAGCCCCCGAACACCCGGGCTAGTTAATTCAAATCACAACGAACAACAACGAATATCCGGAGCGGACGGGTCGACCAGGCTCCCAAGCTGACCGCGTCAAGTCACGAACGCAGAAAATGTACGAAGTCCTATTCGTACCAGGAGATAACATTTAGTGTAGTCATCCTTCATCACTCAGGGGGCCTGGCTCGATTTGGGGAATCTTTGGTCCAACGTTTTACGGCCCCAGCCGAGACTGCCGATCTCCTCCACAAATTTCCGACTGCGAAACCGAAATAAGCGAGGAGAGATGTTGCCAACACCGTCGCTTCCCGGAGTCCCCGGCGAAGATTTGGAGATGTTACCCGTAGAAGAAATAAGCTTAGTGAAGAGAACGCCGACGAGTTCGTTGACGCAGCCGACTAACAGCAAAGAAAGCTGTTTAGGAATCCTGGAAGGTTTCCTTGAGGAAACCTTGATTCTGCCCTCGTGAGTGCCGAAGTGGTTGCGGGCGCCCGGGGGGGGGGTTTCGACACTCGGTGTCTTAGCTTGCAAGGGTGAACGGATTACGGGAGGAGACACCTGGACCAGGGCGGACGAGGGGATGAGGATTTGAGTATCATCCTTCTTGCGTTGGAGTTTCTTATCTGGTAAATACGGGGTAACACATTCCCACTCAACGAGTCATCCCATCCACACCTAAAATTTGACCAAAGATAAAAGGAAGAATATTCCATCCGAACAAGAGATCAAGTGCCATCAATCATTATTCCATCAAAGAAAGGTTTTACTCAAGCTTTTCCTCCATTCCCTCAACAGAAAACATGAACCAAAAATCGTTTGCCGAAGACCAACTAGTTAAAATCCTCCCCGCACTGCTTCACCACAAACTAAGTTCGAGGGACAAGAGACGAGGGAAAGGGGGAGGTCAACTCAGGCCAAGCGGAAGGATTCCCGGGTTGAGGTTGCTGGGCGGGATTGCCTGTGGTTGGTGGGGGAGTGTGCGGCTGGGCCGGACAAGGGGCGGCGTAACGGTTTGCCCCCATCTTACTGAAGTCGGCTGCCCCACATCGTGACATCCGGCATTCGGCAAGGGGAGTGGTAGCAGGGATAGGATATTAACGTTTTCCTCGCTTCCCCTCGACGCTTGTCGCCTTCCCTTTCACTCTTTGTCGTGCGCCTCGTCCCCTTCTCTCGGAACTCTTTCCGCAGAAATACGGAAAGGGAAAAAATAAGAGCTGAGACACAGAAACGGCCGCCGGCGATTTTATAACTCCAAGTCAGGGGAGAAAGCCGAAGAAGACCCACTCCTGATGGGGTCCAGAAGAGACGCGTTTATCTCTAATTGCCCTTCCCACCCTGCGCTCGTTTGGAGTCAGTTAGTCCTCAGAAGCTGTCCATTCTCTTGCCAGTCTCGATTCAACTTTTATTCTCCTGTGAAAAGCAAAGAGAGGAAACCATCCAGCTGCGGGAATGCGGGTCTCAGTTGCCGTCACAAAAACCGTGATCTTGTTGATGGGGAAGGTGATGTCAGTCTTCTTTCCGGCCAGCTTGAATCACCGCACTGGCCCGGCACCCTTCGTGGGTATATCGGTAATAGAAGAGCGGTGACCAGGAAACTAGTTTAAGAAGAAAGGGGAGACTCGACAATGATATGTCGCCCCCCAAGTAGTAATGTACAACGAATTAAGAAACAGGGATGTGAAAGAGGTTGCCATCCGCAAACAAAAGGTCGCTCGTCTTGAAAACGGGAAACGGACGGGCTCGGTGGCTGGGCGTTGCGTGGGTCGTGAAAGCCACATTTCTCGGTCGGTTTGTACCAGGTACCTTGAGAGGTTGGGTACTATGTATGAAGAGTAGAAGTGGGGGGCGCGCATTTAGACCCTATCAACAGAAGTCACAATTGTTAGGACGGATTATCATTTTTAAATAAAAATGCCAAGGTAGTAAGTAGCAGTAATAACATAATAAGCGTTTTTGTGGTATCATAACGACAAGATTGATGAAACAAGGTAACGGGGGTCTGGTGTGGGGGAGGGGTGTGCGACGGAACGGTTGCGTTCGTTTTCGCAACGGTTCTCGATCAAGTGCCAGCATACCCGCAATTGGATGCTTACAGCAGGCAAGCCGCACGAGCTTCACGCCGCCGGACCCCGATGACGGAGGGAGTAGAAGACAAAAGAAAAACCCCAGCAGGAAAGGCACGAGCATGCAAATATGTCGATTCTTACAGAATGAGCTGCTTCAGGTTCCGCTGGATGATCATGTCCTGCACGGATCCCATCGTGATCTTGAGAAGGTTGGTATCGGTTGCGTTGGTCAGGTGATGGTAGATCTCTTTTTCTGGGTTCCTGTTCAGTGCCCGAAACTTGTCCGTGAAATATTTGCTGGCTTTCTCCCAATTGTCTGGCGGACCGTGGTAGTCGGTAAAACCGTAATCTGTTATCGGGCTCTTGGCGAGCTTCTCCTTGAACAGGTCGATCTTGTTGAGGAAGAGGATGAGCGATGAGTTGGTGAACCAGTGGGAGTTGGCGATGGACTCCCAAAGCATCAGCGCTTCGTTCATTTGGTTCTGTATCCCATGCTGTTAGCTTCTGTGCTCTTTTTATAGGTTCGAGTAAGAGGGCTTCGGGAGGGTAACACATACGCCATCTTTATCCTCGACCAAACATTGGTCGTACCCGGAGATGGCGACCAGGAAAAGCAGACAGTTGACGTTCTCGAAGCAGTGGATCCATTTTTTTCGTTCCGACCGTTGGCCGCCGACGTCGAACATGCGGTATGTCAGCTGGCCCAGGTCGAAAATGGTCTCCGTGATGCCTGTGGTCCTTAACCTCGATCGCAGAAGATCCTGATCTGTGGGGACGTAATTCTTGTCCCAGAGACGCTCCACCTCGTTGCAGAAACTTGTAACTCTGGGTTAGCCTTTCCACAAGTTGAATGGGTGTCGAGCGCAACTTACTAGTCTAGGTTGTCGTGGAGAGCGTATTCGTTCCCCTTTTCCATGGCCTTCCTGACGCCCGAGTCCGCCCAGAGCTGCCTAACTGGCTCCAGATATTCTTGTGGTAGAGGCTCGTGTGGCGTCATCTCATATTCTACCATTACCTGAGCCATGTTTTTCTGTGGCGAACGAGTTAATAAATCAGGTCAGATTGGGCGGCCGGAAGAGAAGGGGGAGCTTGCCTCGTTGTCCGGGTTTTCAAATGTGATACCCAAATCGTTCATTGCATCAAAGATTGTGCGGAACGATTGGAGGATGTTGGCAAACACCACGGGCTTCCACTCCAACTTCTCATTTTTGCTGAAGCCTTGCGCGTAGATGAGTTTCATCTGTTTGAGAACTGTCGATTTCCCGGATTCGCCGGCTCCTGTACAATCACACGCGATCAGCTCTGCCATCTTGTCGATACTAAAACCAATTTAGCCGTACCTAAAAGCAGGAGCTTCACTTCTTTCGACATGCGCTTCTCATCGGCGCGAATTATTTTATCGAGCTCTCGCGACCGGGCGGCGCCCGCTTCGTCGCCTTTGTCGCGGCCCCCGAAACACATGATTGCGGTCCCAATTGGGCAAAAAAGAGATTTTTTTTTCCTTTTTAATTGTGCTCGCCTTCCGAGCAATATTGGGAGACTCGATGCCCCGACGATGCCCGCTGACGTCGTTCGGTGGTCGGTGCGGAGCTCCCGGCGGGCAGCTGTTGGCGTGGGTGGCGGGGCAGCCAACTAAAGAAGGCTCCGAGAGTTATGTCAAAACCGCAGCTGCCTCGCCCTTCCAAAACGTCGAATTTTAGACGCCGAGAAGAGCTTCAACACCGTTGAGTTAAAAGTTGTCGCAACCGAGGAGCGTGCAAAGCCCGGTTGTTGAGGAAAAAACCGAATCGAAACGCCTCAGCACAAGGGGTTGTCGTGTGTAAGCCCCAATCTCACTCCTTTAGATAGGCGGTGGTCGAGACTGAGCGAATGTCGCCGTAATCAAGTCGGTCGGTTGCCGAGGTGGGTGGTCAGGTGCAACAAACAGAGACGGCGAGCCGATTTTTGAACAGCGGAGGTCCTGGTTGAGAAAATGCACGAAGTGACGGGGCTTCGACGGCGGCGGCGAGGTACAAAAAGGGCGAGTCGGGCCCTTCGCATCAGACGGCGGAAATAAGTCGACAGATCAAAAAGAATCCTCTGCTTCGCTCGATATGCATGAAACGGTGGCTCGGGGGCGCAGAAGCAGCAGTCACGAACGGGGCTCTCCGTCTTAATGAGTTATTCGCCTGCCTCGCTGCATGGTGCAGGGAGGGCAGCCCGAACCCAGACCCGCCAGGCATGGCTTTCTCGGGCCTGCTTGCCCGGGCTTGGTGTGGGGCTGGACTCCCTGCTTCTGCATTTCGCCTGCCGCTTCCCAGCTCCCACCTCGGTGCGCGTTCTCCCGTCCTGGCGACGAGGAAACGCGACGATCGACCACCGAGAGCAACTCAATCGCAGCTTCCAAGGTTTCGTTATAGAGAGAGGCGCCCCGACGACCTGTCACCACACGGAACTGATACTTGACACCACAATCACAATACCGAATCGACACCCCCCTCGGGCCGTCATTCGTCTTCCATGGGCCGGCCGACTTTTAACTTCGTGATCGGGGGCTCCCGCACGCGCGGATCCGCAACGGCGGTCGATCGCAACCGGATTAGCTCCAGTTTCACCTGAGATGGGCCCCATCAGAAGCCGTCGATGTTTTTCTTCCTTCGCTTCGCAGCACACCCCTGAACATTTGGTTCTGCCGATTGTGGGTTGGCGCCATTCCGCGACATTTGAGATCCGGAGAGCCCCTGATGAACCACGAGGCGAGATGTTGGAACTTGGTCCCAACCAATACCTCGAGCCACGCTCTTCTTCTCCGAACTCTTCCCAATTGTTTTGTCACCAACCGCCTTCCTCGGCGCGTCCTTCGGAAATCGATCGACTTACGAGGCCCGCAAGTAACTAGCCCTCCCAGTTTTTTTTTCAGTCCTGTGAAAACACTGTAAGATAGACCATCGCCCCATGAAACAAATTCCCCGGTTCTGCCTGCCTGCCCCTATTCTGACGGCAGACCCTGTTTGGAACCCCTTGAGAAAGCACCAAAAAGGTGTGCTTTTGGAGCTCCTGCAGCTTCGCTAGGCCGATAAGAGAGAGAATGGAGTATCCGAGGGTGTCAAGCCAATGGCATACCTTGCGTGAGGGTCGCGGAATGCGGCTGGTGGGAAGCACAGACGCAGCCTTGAACCGGCTCCCATGCGCCCCATGCATCGACATTCCGTTCTGAGCCTGGGGGTTTGAGGTGCGAGCTGATTTCCCTTTCAATCCCACCTTTCGAAATGCCGGTCATGATTGGTGCCTTGCCACGCGGCTTTCTTTTTCCCCCGAAGGGGCCGGCGAGGCCGGTCAGGAGAAATGCAACATTGCAACCCGGCTTCTCCTTTGACTCCACGTAATATTGAGCCGAAAGACAAAAAAAGCTGTATCCGTAGAACGTTGCTTTCGCCCACGCATCAATTTCCATCCTGATGGCCTTTTCTAGTTTGCATTGGCATGGCGCCCCCTTATTTATCATGCTCGACCGATGGGCGGTGCCGATCCATTCGGCGGGCTGAAAAGAATGACAACATCTCAAAAGAGCCTTAGGCTGAGGCGTCTAGCGCGTATCTTGGGGAATCAAAAGGTCAAAAACAGAGCCCATTGGAAATAGTTAACGAGGGCCGCCAAATAGGGGATGACGACGATATCCAGCTCTTGTGCTTTTTAACTAGTTATGCGACGGAAATCGACACAACTCCCTGCGAGGAGGTCTTCCCCTCGAACTGCCACGTGGGGTATAACGTTAACTTAAACAAGTTAACGAGGTGCCATCAGCAACACTCTGCACAACTCAGGGGAACAGCCACCGGCACTGCACTTCGATACGAGGGTATGTACGGATACATTCTCTTTCAATCCCATGTGCCGGCGGCCAAGTTGGTTTAAAGACCTTCAATATCTCCATACAGAATCCTCCAGTCCAATCGCAAAACCTACCTACTATGTAGCAACCTCAATGTTTTCCTTCCCCAGCTCGCAAGCCCGCCCCGTCCACGGCCGGACCCGGCATCTTCGACATCAGGGGAAAGGTTGCAACGCGCAAGAATAGAAACGAGGTCCGTTCGCAACCATCCGTGCGGTTGTCCTATCATCAAATGCTTCACACATTTGACAGCAGAAGCACGGCACCGTCGAAAACGCATTGCGGGCCGAATTTGTCTCCTCAACTAACGCCATTGCTGCCCGTTGCCTGTTGTGATATTTATCATCGCCATCGGCGCCGGTGGCTCGCCACGCCCGCCCATTCGCGGTCAAAAGCCAGCCGGGTGGTCGCCAAGAGATGTATCCACTCGATCCCGAGGCCGTGCCGTGTCAAAACACTTTTCGGGGACGAAAACAACTGGGACCGCAGTACCTCCGTAAGAACTTTGATCGGCGACTTCCTCGTGATGGGATTGCGCCGGAAGTTACATCTTAAGTCTCTACCTTTGCAAGGGGCCATACCCGTGTAGTCCGAAAGAAGAGTCGTGCTGTCCCCGACAAGCCGTCACATGAGTCCAAAAACACCGTCTCGTCACAACGGGATGATGGTTTTCGAGAAGCACACGCCCGCCTCTGGCTCTCCACATTTTGGGGACCATTGGTCCCAAGTTTTGGGGGATTCGACGTTTTTATTCGCTCATACTGTCAGTCCCGGTGTTGAAGGCGGCCGAAAATTTTCCAAACTGCGCTACCACTGGCAAAGAAAAAAAAAGTGAACTGCTGCAGACTTTCGACCCCGCTTTGATCTCGACTTTCCTCCAAATCGATCTCAAGAGAAAAAAAAAGCTGGCTGCTCTGATTCCCTCGTGGCGTTTACTCTCCAAGTCCCTTCGAACAACGTTCAAATCCCCTACTTTGAACCCCTTTCGTCCCAAACAAATCCTCAAAATGGGTGACATTACACACGCTACCATTCAGGGTATGTTCTTGACTTCCTGAGACCCGTTTGTTGATGCAGCGTTTTTATGACCTCATTGCCCCTCATCACCCCCCTTCGATGTTCAAGTCAAGTCAAGAAGCACAAAATGCCTATTTATGACCCGCGTATAAAAACTCACTCTCACCCAAAATTGGAAAAAGAAAAGGAAAAAAACTTTATTTTTCCCTCATAGCTTGATGCGTACGGGGTGACACCCCTTTGACGCCGCTAAAATATTCTGTCCCCTTTTTCATGCAAACTTGGGAATGCTAGCAGCGCTCCATACATCGATAGCCGTTACGCGAACAACATATACTGACCCAAAATTTCATTTGCAGATGGCTGGTTCCGCGAGATCTCAGAGATGTGGCCCGGTAGGTGCAATCACTAGTCGGTCTTACCCGGGTCATGCCCACATTCCTAACACTTCCCAGGCCAAGCCATGACCCTACGAGTCAAGAAGGTGCTGCATCATGAGAAATCCAAGTACCAGGACGTCCTGATCTTCGAATCCACCGACCACGGCAACGTGCTGGTTCTAGACAATGTGATCCAGTGCACAGAGCGGGACGAGTTCTCGTACCAGGAGATGATCACCCATTTGGCAATGAACTCGCACCCTGACCCCAAGAAGGTCCTCGTCATCGGCGGCGGTGATGGTGGTGTTCTCCGTGAGGTTGTCAAGCACGAGTGTGTCGAGGAGGCTATCCTCTGCGACATTGACGAGGTATGTATGCCCGGTCTAGGGATTTCGAGCTTTGCTACGGCGTCAGTGGCTAGTTGACTGATGGGACACCATCTAGGCTGTCATCCGCCTCTCCAAGAAGTACCTCCCCCACATGTCCTCCGGGTTTAAGCACCCCAAGGTCAAGGTCCACGTCGGCGATGGCTTCAAGTTCCTTGATGACTACAAGAACACCTTCGACGTGATCATCACGGACTCTTCGGACCCCGAGGGCCCGGCTGAGTCGCTCTTCCAGAAGCCGTACTTCCAACTTCTCCACGACGCTCTGCGCGATGGCGGCGTCATTACCACCCAAGGTTGTATGTCTCAATTTACTCGAGAAGGTCGAGACCTGGGAGGAATGCCCTCTTTCTCCGGGCCAGGCAACTCAACATTGCCTGATCCAGCGTTGTATCTCTCAGGAGGCTACCAAGTGGTAGTTCGTCTCGGCTTTCCCTTGCCACGAATTTCCTCCTTGCTCTTTATCCCTTTCTGGGGCACGTATGCCCCGTCGCCTCATCTCATTTTACTTCATGTATTGTTTTCTTTTTCTTCTCCTTGTCACCCACCTACCATCTCATAAACAAAATAATATCCCGTGAGAGATAGACAGCCAACTAACAGCTCGAATTTAACAGCCGAGAACCAATGGCTCCACCTGCCTCTCATCACCAAGCTCAAAAAGGACTGCGGCGAGATCTTCCCCGTGGCTGAGTATGCGTACACGACCATCCCGACCTACCCGTCGGGTCAGATCGGCTTCATGGTCTGTAGCAAGGACGCCAACCGTAACGTGCGCGTCCCCGTCCGCTCGTGGACTAAGGAGGAGGAGCGCAAGCTGTGCCGGTACTACAACGCCGATATCCACAAGGCCAGCTTCGTCCTCCCGACATTCGCTCAACAGGCTTTGGAATAAGCAGCGTTCTGGTAAGGTAGTCCGATTTTGGATGGGTAGTGTTAAGGAAGGACGAAAAAATGTCTTACGGCCATATCCCGCCGCGAGGTGTTGGGAGAAGCCTGGGTATAGGGGGGCTCAGTAATCGCTGCAATAAATGCGATGCGTGCCAAGGTGCACAGGGGATGGAAAATCAAGAGATAGAGACCGGCCAATACCGGTCCGATAGATGGCCATATCCCGGGGAAGAAAACCCCATAGGCGGTTGAGGAGAGGCACAGCCCGGAATAGACCGACCAGCTTCCCCCTTCCAAACAAACCACCGACCACCAAAAGTGGAACGCTCATCTTGTGCGTGTGCAAGCCAACAAATCCTGGGCCTATTTGTGTCCCGGAAATTTCACACCGAGGCCTCGTATACCCATCCGCTCGTACATACACAGTATAAATACGAATATAGCCCCTTCCCCCTAAAGTCCTACAATCAGTCAACCTTAGCCCCCTCACTCACATCAGGGTACACATCAAACCGCCGCTGATCCCGCAGTGGGATCCCCCTCCTCGTCTCCTCGATCTTCTCCCCACTCAGCTCGGCAACCACCACCGACTCGTCCTCACCGGCCTCCGCCAACACCTGCGCCATCGGGTCTACCACCAGACTATGCCCCCACGCATGATAGTTTGCATTGATATCCCTCGCGGGACTGCAGAGCGCCACGTAGAGCTGGTTATCTACCGCCCGCGCCCGCGCTAGCAAAGACCAATGCAGCGGGCCGGTCGTCGTGTTGAAAGCACCCGGATAGATCAGCGCGAAGCAGCCGCGCCGGGCAGCAATGGTGGCGAGCTCGGGGAAACGCACGTCGTAGCAGATGGCGATGGCGACACGGCCGTAAGGTGGAAGGGACACGATAGTGAGCGAGTTGCCCGGGGAAAGTACGTCGGATTCTCGGAAAGTGATTTTGCCCGGGATAGAGATGTCGAAGAGGTGGACCTTGCGGTGGGTGCCAAGAAGGTCTCCGGCGGGAGAGAAGGTGAGCGAGGTGTTGTAGTAGGTTTTTGTCGGTGGTGATGTGGTTGAATCTTCGACAAGCTCAGGGATCGATCCACCAATTAGATAAACGCCGTTGTCGCGCGCCATGGCGGCCAGTGCATGGTAGGATGGTGATTGCTCTCGTGACGGTGGTGACGGCAATAAGGTTTCGGCATAGGAGGGGAAATAGTCGCATCCGTAAGGAGAGTTAAAGCATTCCGGAAGTACGACTATTTTGGCACCCGTTGCTGCGGCTTCGCGTACTTTGTCGGAGGCATGGGAAAGATTGGCTGCCTTGTCGGCCCCCGAGGCAAGTTGTACACAAGCAAGCCTCACGGGCTGGCTCAACACGATAGGGTGAGACGTTGACGACGCCATGGTGCGGAAGCGAGAGGCGATCGTCGGTGGAACTAATAGTTGCTTGAAGGAATGAGGGGTGTGTGGCTGGAAGAACCGTTTCGTGAGGACATTCAATGTCCTCCAGGTTGATGTCCGCATCGCAAACACTCAGCGGGAGGGGTGAAACCGAATCCGTCCCCAGTGGGTTGCGGGTTAAAAGGGCATCGGCGCGGGGTTCTGATAAGTTTAAGTGGGCCCGGCGTCCCGGAGTCCCCGACATAGGCGCCGGTTAACGGCGGAAAGAACAAGCCGGTCTTCCTGGCTCTCTTTCAGGATATTCGTTTTGAAATGAACCGGGACGGCAGGAGCGGTCAATGTTGTAGTCACTGATCCGTACTTCCTGTACCATATCTCCTGTCTCCTCGGGTTTCCCAATGTTGATAGACCTATAACGGCCCACGCACCAAGTACATGTACATACCTGCCCTACCTTTGCGTATGAACTACTTGGCGACTTCTTAAAGTTGCGGCTGCCTCGACAGCTACACTGAATAGAGAAAACTCTGTTTTGAGACTATGAGTTTCACAGCGCTCGCCAACATGAATTGGACTGAAGGCACTCTCTACCGCTACAATCGCGGCCGTCAGCGAAAGATCAACCCAGCCCGCCAACGCCAGAAGGAATATTTCGCACGCGCCCGCGCCAGGGCCGCGGAGCAAAGAGCCGCAGAGGAAAATGGCCCTCCACCAATTTCATATCTTCAGTGTTCCGCATCGCCGTCGTCTCAACGCTCCCATGCCTCCAACAAGTCCGCCACTTCCGCCAGCCGTCGAGTTCACGCTTCTGGTCAGCACGAGGCCGGTATGCCTAAACACCGGTCCAAGCCCACAGAAACCCCTGACGACACGCCGTTGCCTACAATAAGTCGTTTCTTTCAGGAACGATGTACGGGGCAGAACAGCTCCTGCCCCCGCGCTGAATATGACGAGGAAGCTCTAGAAAGAATGAGGCAAAAGTTGCTCGCGAAAGACTAGGGTATCATTCGCGCCCCTTTGCCCATCTCTTCCAAAAGACCACCAAGTGCCAAATCGCAAGATCGAAGTTCCAGCCAAGGCTCTCAAAGGAGCAGGAAAGTGCGGTCACACATTCTCGGACAACACGGACAAATATTGAAGCGCAAGAAACAAAGTGCCCATACTCTTCGCCGTAAGGATATACTCGTCCAGATCGGCAGCCAAGAAAAGCGACCAGGAGCAACCTCAAGTTCCCCTAGATCAAGAGCGTCGCGTTCAATTCGTGGATCTGGGGCAGAGCCCAATCGCCGACACAAATCGCTAGGCTCCAAGAGTATTATTAGTATGTGATCCCTGCCTCACCTGGATATGAGTGTGTTAACAGATTGTCGTTAGGCGAGAAGACGGGCAACCTTCCCCAAACCGACAATGGCTTCCCTCGTTCCGTGCTGCCGATGAGGGAGTCATCGAGTGATCGGAGTGACAGGGGTGAACAACGCTGTTGCATATCTAGTGACGCCGAAGGCCGAATTTTGGCCTCCTATCCTCGACTCTCACACCCGCTCTCGATACGGCCCGTCCCCCATTCGTTCTACCAATTTCATGAAGTTGATTCGGATGTAACCGGGACTGCTATTGCTCGAGTAGGTCAAGCTGTCTCTGCCGTGCCATCATCCCAGAAAGCCGACAACAATACATGGTTTCAGTGGGTAGGCCAGCCAAGCAGCCCCATCAGTAGTCACATCGCTGTTGAGGGCAGCCAGGTCTCGATCGAGCATAACATCAGTCCAGGAGTCAGTGAAATACCGGTGACTAGTTTCGAATCCTTGGCCCCCTTGCTTCCGTCGAATGTCCCAACGACTAGCCGCACGACCCAATCATGTACAAAAGAACCCGCAAGTATCAACACCATGCCCGGCTCCAGCGATACTTCGGAGATCTTAGCTCGGTACGAAGGACTTGTTACTCGGCTTCACCGGCTCGAGAATGTCGGTACAGCCGTGGTTCACCCACCGGGAAAGAGCAATTCTCGAAAAGATAATGAGTTGTGTACGGCTCGCACTAGGAGCGCCGGCCAGAACACACAATCATCGTCGGGGTCCACAGCCCAAGAGGGACATGCCTCGACGGAAGATGGCGCCCAGCACACCATCTCTCCTATGTTACCGGAAGGACTCCCCTCAGCTGGAAGACAAGTTTCCCCAAAGTCAGATGGTCCTGACGCGGACGAGGCGTGGAAACTGTTTATCTTTGGTGATGACAAGAGTGAGGAACTTGAGAGGCAGGTGTTTGAGGAGGCTGAACGCAATACCGTACTGGACGTACAAACCTCAACACTCACGGATCCATTGCAAGGCCGCGAATCCGACGAAGCCAGTAACGTTGCGACTGTGGGCACTGGCTGCACCGGCAACAGCGACGAGATACCAGCTCCCCCAGAGACTTGCTCAGGCTACGAGAGTCCTCGAAGTCTCGAGGTAGAATACCAACCAACTCTGATTCAATTAAATTCACGTTTCCCAACGTCAAACAGTTCGGTCCTCTCACCACACCCAGGCGCCGAGGTGGATACCAAGATGATCGGTCTGATAGAGACGGAGAATTCCGTCGACACTTCTCACGATGCCTTTGAGAGGCACGAGTACTCCGACAGCAGAGATTCAGGGCCAGACACCGCCGCACCTTCGACAACCTCGCTAGCCGTCGAAGTAGGCACCGCGACAGAACAGTTCCGCTTCGCCCAACCTAGACTTTTTGTTGGTAGCCGCTCGACTATACCAAAAGCAACACACCTCACCAGGATTAGACCCGGTATCAGTCTTACTAAAAAGGGAAGGGGTCGGGCGAAAAAACGAGCCAACGATGGTCGGGCAAACATTCGGGCTCTCCCAAACTACAGCAGTGACCCTATTGAAGATTTCGAGGAGTATGGACGGGCTCGTAAGGGAGATAGACCACAAAACTCCCTATTCCCCGCTCTCGAGCTCACTTGATGGTGCTGTTTCTTTTCAAACGGAATCTTAATACTTGTTCAAAGATTTGCGTTGTGGATGGGACGAAGAGTCACAGCTATTTACTGTTATCGTTGAACTTGCTTCCCATCTTAGCTTCATGTACCGTAGCTTCTATCTACCCCTAAGAGGTGTCTTCCAGCTGGTCACAAATGAGATCCAACAAATTGGTAATAATCCAGACGTAGGACTCCTTGTTACTGAGTTGGTGTGATATTTGCTGACCCGTGTTAGACATCTTTAGCTTATCCGCCTCTTGTCATTTCTCCAATGCCTAGACCTACTGCAGGCGACTTCCAAGCTAGTGGATCGACAGCACCCGGACAGTTCAATGATCTTTCACTTCCATGGCTCCTCCCTCGGTTCCAGCCCAGCGGGGGCCATCGTCTGGGGTGCATATCATGTGGAGGTTTTCTGACCACAAAATCACATCACCCATCCCTGATCCCTAAGCTCCGAGGATGCTCATCGAGCATTGCGGTTCAACATGCTATGGAGTTATTCCCGACTTGAGCGTTCCCCCATGTTCCGTGCCGTTAACCATACGGCGTTCTCCGAAAGTCATGTTGAAGAGAAAAAAGAAACCGGTTATGTAAAAATTTCTGCTGCTTAAACCACATAGTTCTCTGTTGAGGAGTTTAGCCCACTTCCCCGACCCCCACCAAAGTACAGGTAAGTTCAAACCTCGATAAAGCTCGAGAATGTTGGAGAGAGATGTGGAGCTGAATATCTGCCGGGAGTAAGTCGATATGTCCCCTAGATCCCGGACGTTGAAGTCGGCTTCTTCCGTCGTCCTACATCCCGTTGAAAGCACAATGTTCCTTGTTACACTCGTGCTTTTTGCAAAACCACACATCCCCGTTTCCTTCGGGCAACCCTTCTTTATTCCCTGAGTCTGGTTGTGGCCGGCTTATCACTGGTAGCCCCGTTCAACGGCATTCAACGGTGGAGGATATCATGGTTCTCCTTGGGGAATCTCGAAATGTTCTTTGGACTTCCTGAGTTTCAAGTGCCGGCGGATCTCTAGGGGTTTTCGAGAAAGAATTTTCGAATTCGGGTTTCGACGAATGCTCGGTTGTTACTAGTCTAAGCATGACTGTTGCATAACTGTATAAACCTCGTTGTTTGTCCCGATTTGTCCTTCGCAGGTACACGTTGTTCGTAAAATGGACCTATCGGACCCGACTACCAATCGGGAGATACGTGGGATCGAGTCAGAGTCGATGTCTTTCAGGTCTCGTTTTCCGTACTCAGAGTCACCTTCTGGCCCATAATCTCTTCCATTTTACACTGCGAAGGGTCGGAACCGGACCTGAGGTCCGAGGGGTGGTGGCAAGGCGTTTCCTGGACCTGGGACCCTGGGCTGGCGGGCTAGTTATGGACGACATTCTCAAGGACAAACTGACAAAGGGAGGGAACGATGTTTGCTACGAGTGAGGGGAAATAAGCATGTGTTAAGAGGTTGATAGCAAAGAGTGGGCTGCGCAAAAGTGTCAAAAGCTCGGCCATCAAGGGTTCCTTGTCATGCTCATCTTCTCATGGAATATTCCGAATAGATCCTGGACATTTGCATGTATTTTCTTATCAATAAGATGTAAGTAAGCTGTAAGCCTATTGAACGTCCGTTTTCACGCCTCATCCCCCTTCTGCTGAGGGTGCACAGGGTGTTAACCCTCCGTTCCCATCCGCCCCACACTCCCTCGCTATCACACCTCCCCTGATAAACTAAGAAAATAAAAATAGAGTAAATAATAACACAAAAATGTTGAATTATTCTCCATCATCCTTATCATCGGTATATCGTTCAACTTTCCTTTGTTTGCGCTCGCCGTGATATCGCAAGGGTTGGTTGGTCTTCGGCCGTGACGACATAAGTATGAATGAGAAATTCGTAAAAAGGTAAACAATAGGAAAGGAAACTACCACCAACTCCAGGGCCCATGGGTATGCTGAACTCCAAGTAAAATACAGAGAATAAGAGGAAAGAATAAGTAGAAAAACAAGCAAGCCGGCCCAAAATAAGTATAGTAATGAAAAAATTAAACATTTGAAAGGAGCGTGTGCCTTTAGAAAAGGAAAGGTCATTAATAATAAACCATAAACGCTGGTCGTGATACAGTAGGAATCGTGAAACGACGCCAGGTAAGCGTCGGGGATGACATGGTCTCGCCAGGCGCGACCATTGGATGTGAGGATAGTCCGTGACATGCCAACCAACGCGGTCCTCAGGGCTTGAAGACAGCATTGGTGAGGAACAGTTCCTCAGCGGCCGGCTCCGTTGAGAGAGTGGCGGTGGTAGAGGACAAGGAAGATAATGACGGCTTTTCTCCCAGTCCCAAAGATGGTAGGGGCTTGTCGACAGGGGCACCACCACTGAGAGCATCGTGACTGATAGTGCGGCAGATCTTCTTCCGTTCAGCGTCCGGCAGCTCCGTACGCGGGTCCTTGCCTTTGGGCGATGCGTCACACCCGTTACCCATGTTCGTGATGGTGTTCTCCACGTCCGCAAGAAGGGCGTACACGTCGTTATCGGCATACACTCGGATGGTCTCAGCTCGGCGCAGAGCCGCGGCTCCCTTTTCTGCTTCTTGGGTGTTGTTGTCCATTGCGGCGGCCTCTTCGGATAGGGGTTGTTCCAGGATCGTCGACGGCACCTGGGCTCGGTGAGGCGACGGCGATGAGGACGGCGGCGGGGCGAAAACAGTCTTGACTGGGCTTCGTGGTGGTGTTGACAGGTTCACGCCGTGGTGAGGACGCGCGACGCCCAGAGCGTACTGTAAGCTCTCGCTGACACCCACGACGCCGCCATTGGCTGAAACACCCAACGTGGCGGCGGCAGCGATATGTTCAAGGAGCTTCTGGCGAACCCGAGTGCGGCGATTCTCAGCCTGCTCGAGCTTGTTGACCCATTCGTCGATGGAGGTGTCAAGCTCCGCAAGCGCTTCCTCCTGCTTGAGGATGGACTCGGGGCTGAACCTGGCCATACGGGGAGATCGAAGATACTGGCAGATGCGCGTATGCAGGTTGCGTCTTCCCGATCGGAGCGACGTGTAGGTGTGGCGAAGATACTCAGTCCGCTCGTCCAGATGGCGAAGCTCCTAAGGACCGGTCAGAGTGAGTGCCCACTATGGATGGTCGATCTGAGAGATCTAAGAGTGTACATACCCGTGAAAGACTGTCAACGTCCTCCCTTCGGAGGACCTCAAAACGGGCCGCCTGTTGAAGCGCCTGTTTCTGCAATGCCAACACGGCCGGTGGGCTAAGCACGTTCACAGCCTCGCTTGCTTTCCACCCCTTGGGCAGCTGTTCAAAGGCTTGCCTCTCAGAACTCTTGCTCCTCTTGGAACCGGTGCGCTTCAAGGTTGGGATGATCTCGGACCGTTTCCTGGGCCGCCCCCTCTCCATGATACTCCCCGATTCCGACTGATGCCTCCGATGGGTGAAGGGAAGATTTCTGAGGGGCGCACCGAGTTCCAGCTGGAACACAGCAGAAGGCCCTGTGACACCTTCCACGGGTGTCGCAGTGGCGGCATGCACCGCGGGCTTTTCCCACGGTACCGGCGATTCCCTTTGGTCGGCCGGCGCGGAAAGGGGGGTTGGTAAAGTCGACGCGGTGGTAGCGGTGGTCACTGTTGCGGCCGACTTTGGGGTGCCTAGTGAGGCAGAGATGGGCGTGAAAGGTGTTTTCGCCCGTGGAGAATCATCGAAGCGTGCCGGCCGAGGTGGAGGCTCAAGGGGGGCGCTCCCGGATCGAAGCCGGTTGAGAGACAACTGGCGTATCAGTCCGGAACCAGTCGGCGTCGAGGTTGGGATGACGAGGGGCGTCAGATTCTTGGGTGACATGGGCGGTCGTGGTGCGTTTGCAAGCCGCTGTAGCTCTTCATTGCTCTTGTGTGCTGGCCGAAGCTCGGGCCGTCCATCCAACGCCCTTGGCTGGCCCAAAGTCACGCTTTCGGTCAACTGATGCGGTTTCCACGAGCTTCCTGGTGCGCTGATGGACCTCTCATGGACAGCCGGTCGCCCTGGGATGGTAGCTAATAATCGTCAGCTAAGGTTAACCAATGCTAGGGGGTGAAGGGGCCGTTGAAGGCTGAGTGCATACGAGAGTCCATGGCCGCTTCTTGCACCGTCGTCATGGGACCAAGCTCCGGGACGCTGATCTTTCGCCTGCGGATGAGATTGTGTTCCTTAATCCGCACCCTTAACCCAGCCACAGTGGGCATCTTGTCAAATTTATCACCGCTGTGCCCCATTGCCAAAGCGTACGCCTGCTCCGGATCGAGTGCTTTTCCCGGCGCCGCGCCCGCGCCCGCCGGTTTGTCCTTTGGGAAAAGCTGGTACTTCCTCTCTGGCTGCTGCATTCTCCAAGCAAAAGGTTTCTCACCCGAGGGTGATGATCTACCCTGATATAGTGTAAACAGTATGTCAGCTCCGGCCAGCGGTTATCGACGGTACGAGTATTGTCTGGTTCAGGTGGGGGGTGCGTTAAAGTGGTTGCATACCAGATCATTGGGATCTTGGGGCGAGACCGCCTTTGCTATATAGTTATTAAGGCCCAGGGCGAGGTCCAGGTCGTCTGGGTCCGTCTCCAGCATGCAGGAAGCGATGTGAGCCATTGGGGCGGGCAGGCGGGGCCAAGTGATGTGTTAGAGGTAGATGGGTTTTCACTGGCCCAAGGGGGTGCGGTGCGGACAAGAGCCGGGAAATGCTTTAAGCTTCCCGCGGGGACGAGCCGGTCGACGGTTTTTGAGGCCACGGCGAGGATATATAACACAAGGGATGCAAGCCCAAACCCGGACAAGTCCTTCCCAGCCGGCCGCTATATGGAGGCACGGTTGACGTGGATCACGAAGGTCGCGAAGCCCCGACCATCAGGGGCAAGGCACAAAGCTGGGTCGCAGAAGGGGGCCATCCCAAGCCATGTGGTCCCATGCAGGCAAGTGCAGCATCGCCGCCAGGAAACCCGTTGCTGGGGGAAAGGGGGGGTGGCGATGGGACCTCGTCTGGCACGTTGGGGTTCGAGCGAGGGCAGCGGTTCTCCCAGAAAAGTAGGGTTCCTCCGGTGCCCGAGGCGGCGACAAGCCAGGGGTTGTTGAGACGGCCCTCTCTTTTTGGGAGGGCACGGCCATCGTCTTGGGGGCGTCCAGTGGAGTTGCTCTCAGCCCATGGAGATGCAGCCTGGATGGGGTTGGTTTGCCGTCAGAAAGAAAGCAATGCTGTGACCGATCCCGAAAGGTGCGAGAAGCCGTCTGCATGGGCAAACGCAATGAAACCGCTAAGACCCTTTCGAGCGCCGTGGCAGACCCTGGCCCGCTATCCCTGTCAGAACAGTACGTACTTGTCAGGGGTCCTTGTCGCAGGGGTTTCCCATCGCATCCACGCCTTGTCCATATCGGGGGGCCGCTATGGACAACGCTGCAACCGACCACCACAATCAGGCCAATGGTGACTCGTTTGGCTAAATCGAGAAAGTGCGGATGCAGTCGAGAGGTCATGAGCAAGAGCATTGACCTAAACGAGACGAGAGGAGCGGGCGCGGCGCCGACATGATGGCCCAAGATTCAATACTATTTTAGATTGCCATGCGGTGAAAACTGATGAAGTGATGATGGGCTTGAAAGAGCTCTCGTTACACAGCCAGGCCGCCCTGAGATCATGACGTCTGGAGATTCGGGAGATCGACCATAGGCTAGGCGCTGAGAATGCTTGCGATCTCATGCTCACTTCTGCCAATTTCTTTCTCTTTTCTGCCCCGCTGTCGAAACAGTCAAAACTTTCAAAAGCAGGCCGTTTGGGGGGCCGCAGATTCTTACACTAGGGTCTTAAGTAGGTAGGTAATCGGTAACATCGCAGTGAGGAGAGCCCAAGAAGCTCTTTGTCAATGACCCCGCGAGCCCCGCAGCCATGAAGAGGCCCGAGAGCGGCAACCCCAATCCTCTCGTCCAGCGGAAACCGGGCCGGCAGCAACCTTCCCTGCCGCCGTGCTAATAATTTCCGAGCGGGCTCTTACTCCTTCAGTACAATACATCGTAGTAGTGTATGCGCCAACACGGTCTTTATGGAAGTTGGCGGAGATCGACTTTCGTCCATGCACACTGGCCTTTGCACGGTCGTCTCGATGAAAAACAGGAGGGGACGGGTCGGAGCCGCTTGAGCTGTCTCGCTGTTCAAGTCTGCATTGACGGCATAGACCGTTGTCCGCTGCTCTGTTTCTGAGAACCCAACCCAGGAAAACGAAGTCGCATGATGGCGGTGGCAAACATGGGGCAGCAGACAGCCTTTTGAGAGTCATAAGACGAGCGTGTTGATTGAAGTTGAGACGCCTGACTCAGATCGGCGTCAAGCGAAGCGTTCGACTTTTCTAGAAGCCTTGCTGAAAAGAACTACCGAGTGTTCATCCCAGACATTTTGCGAATCATGTGGAAGGAACTACCCAACACTCAATGAGGGGCGAGGTCCGGGCACAACTACGCCGGGGGGCACCTGGCTGTGCAGTTTTCTTCAGCCAGCCCGAGTCCTCAGAAGACTTGCTACATCGAACGAAGATGCTTCAGCAAGGACCTACCTCCGCTCATCCTAAACCCTTCAATAACTCCCACCGCCGGCCGGCATACTTACACTCCTGCTAACTCTCATGATTCGAAATTAACACATAGGGCCGTCGACCTTGTTCCCTCAGCCGATCTCGGTTGACAACTGCATGATATTCTTGGAGATAAATTAATTCGTGGGCCAGTGCGCCCGCTAATCCACGCCATGGCGCTTGAATACGACTTCGCTACTTGAGAAACTTGCAAAGAGATGCAATCCTCATGGTGCCCCCGCTTCTCCGGTATCAACGAGGACTGGGAACCCACCATCTACAGGATTCGAGGTAGGGAGGGCAGGCTGTTTGCTGATAGGATCGGATTCTCGTGAAGCTGGACAGGTGCAAGTATGCCGTCCGGCCGCGTCGCTTGGCGTTTCGTCCCATCTCTGAGCGCTCAAGAGCCGGCTGCTGGTCGTCGGAGGAATTGGAAGTTCTCTCGTCAATGCTTGTTCTCCTGTAACTGCAAGGAGATCTGCGCCCTTCACTGGGCCCAGTAACTTGACCTGGACGTTTTGAACGTCAACTCGAGCATCATGCGGTTGCATCGACGAACCTCCTCTGCAGCAAAGAGCTCCCTGTGGCATTTCTCATCACACCGCGTGCTTGCTGCCGTTTCTGTCTCTGAGCATCTGGCCCAAGTGGGAAGATTGAGAGATTGGTTTTCCTAGGTTGGGATGGGTCAAGTTTTCGCTGTTGGCTGCTTCTGGGGACTGGTTGAACACATACCATAGTAAGTACAGCAGGTCAACTTGAGGATATACTTCAGAATCCAGCTAACGTATCAATGGCTCTCTTAATATCGTCGCCGTGGCTCTTTCTGCGAATAACGCTCGTTAGGTCACCCTAACTACCCTCACCACCAAGTCGCGATGGCTGTCACTGTCCTCCCGATGGGGACCTCGCAGTGCGTGATCTCAAGATCGGCTAGGGAGCTACTGCATTGCGGCAAGATATCCACGACTCCCGGACGCGTGAAACATTCGACCAGCCGCAGCAGACAGGAAGCCTGCATGGACACAGGACGATTCTTACGCGATCTACTTGCGAGATTCCAACGAGGGATATACCGTGCCACAGACTCGGAAGGAATCAGACTTCCCGACCACCACGTCGGTGGGTAACGCATGTTGAGAGTCGAGGACATTCGTGGGTGGGGGTGGGGGACCAAGCAAGCTTGAGCCCCTGGCAAGGTCGGGGCGCTGACGTTCTGGAGGTTTTGCCGTTTTCGACATCTCAAGTTAAGCGAGAAGTCAAAAAGCACACCTAGACCACCAGGATGGTCACAAAAACCCCGAAACCGACAGGGATCTGGTTGTGAAGCGTTGCGTTCTGGAGTCAAAGAGCCGGACTGATGCTGACTGTGGACGTAGGACGGTACTCGATGGCTGTTATGGCTTCATGCCTCTCAGTTGCTGGGCTCGAGCCCTAAAACGGTATTACACCTATTATCCGTATTAGGTGGATATCTTGTTAGGAGGGAGTGATGATATTTCATGACCAACCCGTTCATACCTGGGCGAATTCCTTCAACTGTCATCTCTTCACGTTGTGAGGAAACAGATCAGAACCAGGCCCGATATGGCAATGTGGGTGAACAGCTCCCCGCCCTAAAAACGTGGAAACGAAACGATTTCCCTCACAAGCGGATTTTTTTTCCTGATTCCGGGGCAACGGCAAGCTCCCACCTGACAGGGGTCCGAGACAGCTTCGTCCCCCTTATTGAGCTTCTGATTCGTCAATCGCTCAAAGCCCCTGTTGCTCCCCTGTCAAGAACGTCAACGGTCCGAATCTCCTGGGAACACCGGAGCAGTGTCCACTGCATCCCAAGGCTGCCCATACCAAAGCTCCTGGTGAAGGCGTTTTGAAGAAAAGGTGGTGTTGGTTACAGAGGAATGAGAACATGTGGGGGTGGCTCAGAACCTGGTTTCATGGATTCGGAGTCATCATCGTGGGAGACTCGGCGCCTTCCTTTTTTTTCTCCGGGCTTCCCCCTATTCCTCTTTTCCTTGATGAGCCCTGCTCTCCTTGCTTTTCCCCAGGCTTGTCAAGAAGGGGGGAAACGACGCCTTTCCCGTAGGGTGAAAGGTACGTCTCTTTTTTTCCCCTTACGAAGCAGTCAAAGTGTGTAGATTTGCTTTCCCGCGCTTTAGGGTTCTGACCCTTTACCATGTCGACAGACTGCGGGGCAGGCTGCGGGACGGCGCTTGGGTGCGTTTGCTCAACGACACGGGAAGGGCCTTGTCCCTTACCCCCCCTTTTTTTTCCCCTTCTCCTCTTTGGCAACCTCCTTCATACAAGTTTTAACTCGCAGGAAAGTGTACTGCAATATACCATTGCTGAGCAGCATGGCTACCTTTTTAACAGCTTGAGGATCTCCGTCTGATGCGATCTCGGAAGTTGTTCTTTTTCTTTTCGTCATGGACATGGGGTCCAGATCATGTTGCGGGAGCACCGTGACGCCCAAAGCCGCCAACAGCAGGATTTCTTGGAGGTGTGATGAACCATGAAACACGGTGAGGTTTTGCCGTGAGGTACAAATCGCCTTCCTACCCTTTCTGCTGGTGATTTACGCATTTGATGTACAACCCTCCGTGCTCAGCCATTCCATGCCGTGCCGTCTATTGAAGGCATTAGTCTATCTGCCCCGGGCATTCCGGATGTTGCCAAATGCGGCATCTGTGCAAGGTGAATTGCCGCCGTAAGTCACGGGATGGCGAAGTACTGTGCGTGTTGTGTGCTGCATGCTGTGTGATTAGCTCCTGAGGTCACAAACCCATGTATGTACATGCGTTCGTCCAGCACACCGGAACCCAAGTGGGCATGCTTGCCTCGCTTAACCACTGTCGCTCCAATAACGAAATTCTGCGAGGTATATCGGTGCCCGGGCTCGAGCCGGGCCCCGGCGCTGGGACGGCCGGCGTCAAGGTGGCGACTTGTTGGTCGAGTTCCGGCCACCCGGACCTGGGCCATCGTACGATCTTGGCCTGGGCATTGTAGTGTAAGGCCTGGGTGCTGTCAGCGGAGGGATGCATATTACGACGTACCTAAACGATGTCACAATAGTTGCGGGCGAGGAGCCAGGGCATTAGGAGCAGGGTCCTAGTAATTTGTAATGTTGATTCACTTTAACTCGCATTGAATGCGGGCTCCTATATGAGATCAACAGCACGAGGGACAAGCAATTGTACGAGAGTGCCTGCCGGTATCTTAGATATACGGTATGATAGCAAGCTTCCCTTTCTTGCACCACAAAACACACACAAATAGCGTTAATCACCTGGGTATTGATAACGTCATGGCCCATCACCGACGGGCTAGGGCTATGAACCCCGAGTCTGAGAATGCGATCTCTGAAACTGGGCCTGGTCGTATCCGTTATAATATTACCGACGTTGTTTCCTAAGCATGAAAGGTGTAATGTGTATTTTGGACAAGAATTGGTTGGGACAAGAGATGCCCTGGAATACACTCCTTGGGAAGCAATCAAGGGACTGGATGGCGTGGGGGTTGACGGTGTTGATCACCGCGACCCAAAGAACAACGTTAGAAAAAGTAAACGAGAGTCTAGTTACTGCGGAAATGGAAGCAACATCGCTCTCTGGTCAACCGCACCGTCTCCCACCTCTCGCTCGAAAAGTTCCTTCGGGTATTTCAGACGGATGATGCACTGAATATATCGTTGCCCAAGGCATTGTATTGCTTCGCTCCTCGATTGCTCAATCCTGTGTAGTTTGTCAAACAAGTGAGGGCATGCCTATAAGACGGGCATTAATCACCAAGTGACACGAACTACGGATCCATGCCGTGCCGTTGAACGAGACCCCAGTAAAACGGCGAAACGGTCATGTCTCAGTTGTTTGATGCGGGTTGGTGATGTGATAGGGTGGATTGTCCCAAGCTCAGTAACGGGAAAACCTTATTTGGAGTTCCTCGTGGTCTCGGTTGACCATCATCTCTCGCCTAGACTAAATTGGTTTCCTTTGTCTCGGCGCAACGACCGGTGTTTGGTCAATATGACGAGGAGGGGTACAGATACAGGACCCAAAATACATCACCAGCACAGAGAGCTCATCCCTTGGAAATCCCAGCCCCCTGCCATTTAACCCCACAGAAGGGGGCCGGGCGAGGGCCGGGTTTGTGGGATCCTGTCCTAAATCGATCACACATATTGGTGTTTTAGGAGGTGGTGTTTTGAATCCGCTTTCGTCATTTTGGAAAACGAGTGAGAGAAACGGGCATCCAAAGTAGGGCCGCGATGGTTATTGTCCTTCAACGAGCCCACCAAGAAACAGGAGAAGTGGGTGTTTATTCTCAGGGGTCCTAGCACAAACTTGTCTTTCGCTCAAGGACGACTGCCGGAACAGGGATCTAGGCAATCTGTAGAGCACCGTTGCTGTCTGAACGTACACTACATCGGTGAACATATCGAGGGGTCCAGATTGATCATGCCGTGGCATCCGGGGACGAAAAAGGGCGACACCACTACATGGTATGCGGGCGCTCGATATTCGCAAGGCACCTGCTGGTGTCTGTGCGAACCTGCTTACATTGGGGAAGAAAGATCGAGGTGCGATTCCAGGTGGCCGTTCAGCCCTTGGACCAGAGAGTGATTTGCTGGAAGCAAGCAGGACTGATGTTGCTCTCATGATGCATCGATGTGCTCCAAATCAACCGTCCACGATTACCTGGATGCATAAAGGGACGTTGAAAAGGGCCCACGGGGTCGTGGTCCACTCTGCACGGCAATATTGGGCCAAGAACAAGGCCTGAGAGCGGCTGGGGATAAGAGCAGGAATGATTGTTTCGCTGTCGAAGCATAGTGGTCATTAGGGTGGGCTAAAGCGGTTGCGTCCGTCGCGCGAACGGACGTGGTCGGACATTGTTTAACATCTGGCCGTGGGAGAAGTGTTCAGCGGAACAAGAAACCGGGCATTTCTGGCCGTCGTGCCAAAGGAAGCGGGCTACGGTGCAGGCTAGGAGCTTGAGGAAGACACGAACAAGCGTTGCGGCGAAAGTACTTGGGGGTTTTTGATGTTGGGTTTTTTTTTTCTGTGGCGGTGCAAAAGTTAAGCAGTTCGGTAGGTAGGTTCGTCAATGGGGAGGCACTGTGGGCCCAATCGATCATCAGCCGCGGATTCCCGCTCAACCCAGGCCCCCAGGTCATGTGGCCAATAGACGTAATCCTCACCAGACCTATCAAATGGAACCTTCCAACACCCATAGGACAAAGGAGGAAGGCGTGAGGGACAGCTTGGGCGTCAAACTGCAGCTGTGAAAGTGGAGCGCCAATGTGGGGTTTTATTCTCCGTGGGAGGGCAAAGCTTGCTCAGGAAGCAACAAACTCGGCGATTGTTCGAAGCGCGAAGCCCCAAGAAACCAGATCTCTTCCCCCCGGACTCCTGGTACTTCAACGCCGTTGGTATAGCATCAGTACAGCAAGAATGGCGCGCGTGCGAGACCCCAACACTGTCTCCAACTACGATCAATGGCGTACCAGGCACACCACGGCCAACCTCCACGTCGATTTCTCCGCTAAGCGTTTACGCGGGTCGGTCATGCTCGAGCTTGAGTCGCAGACGGACAAGGCGAGCCAGGAAATCATCCTTGATTCCAGCTATGTCGACGTTTCAGCTATCAAGCTCAACGCTGCGGCGTCTAAATGGGAGGTCAAAGACCGAGCGGGCCCCAACGGCTCGCCCGTCCACGTTGCCGTGCCTGGCGGCGCCAACAAGGGCGAGGTCGTGAAGCTCGAGATTGAGCTGTCAAGTACAGAGCAGTGCACCGCCCTGCAATGGCTTACTCCAGCCCAAACGAGCAACAAGAAGGCGCCCTTTATGTTTAGCCAGTGCCAGGCCATTCATGCGCGATCCATCTTTCCTTGCCAAGACACCCCAGATATCAAGAGTACCTACGACTTCACCATCCGGAGCCCCCAGGTGGTCGTGGCTAGCGGCGTTCCGGTGCCCGGCGCTACGGAGGATGCCGGTGAGGACAAGATCTACAAATTCCAGCAGAAGGTTCCCATCCCGTCGTATCTGTTTGCCGTGGCGTCCGGTGACATTGCTAGCGCTCCCATCGGACGCTGCTCCTCGGTGGCCACAGGCCCCAACGAGCTGAAGGCGTCACAGTGGGAGCTTCAGGATGACATGGACAAGTTCCTGGATGCGGCTGAGAAGATCGTTTTCCCTTACCAATGGGGGGAGTACAACGTTCTCGTCTTGCCCCCTAGCTTCCCCTACGGAGGCATGGAGAACCCCATCTTCACGTTTGCTACGCCCACCATTATTAGCGGTGACCGGCAAAACATTGATGTTATTGCTCATGAGCTTGCCCACAGTTGGAGTGGCAATCTGGTGACGAGCTGCAGCTGGGAGCACTTGTAAGTCACCTTTCAATTCCCGAGGATCCGGGGAGCATTCCCGCTAAACCTAAGTAGCTGGCTGAACGAGGGATGGACTGTGTATTTGGAGCGCCGCATCCTTGCGTCCATTCACAAGAACGATGCTTACTTTGATTTCTCTGCCATCATCGGCTGGAAACACCTCGGTTAGTAGGGCCACGTTTCCCTCTTGTCGCTTGTATGCATTATGTGTTACTGACCGATGTACCACATTCAGAGGAAGCTATCGAGGAATTTGGTAAGGACCACGAGTACACCAAACTGTCCATCAAGCATGATGGCATCGATCCGGATGATGCTTTTAGCACAGTGCCTTATGAAAAAGGATTCCACTTCATCTGGTCCCTCGATCGCCTCGTCGGCCGAGAGAACTTTGACAAGTTCATCCCGTACTACTTTGGCAAGTGGCAGAACAAGTCTCTGGACTCGTTTGAGTTCAAAGACACCTTCCTCGAGTTCTTCAATGCTGCTGAGTACACGGCGTTGAAGAGCCAAATCGCCGAGATCGACTGGGACGGCCGTTTTTTCAACACTGGGCTGCCACCAAAGCCCGATTTCAACACGTCGCTTGTCGACGTCTGCTTCGAGCTTGCTAGCAAGTGGAAGAGCAAGGAGTACTCGCCTAGCGCATCGGACACGGCATCTTGGACGGGTAACCAAGTTCTTGTGTTTTTGAATGCGGTGCAAGACTTCGAAGAGCCTCTCACGGTGGAGCAAGCAGTAAGTGCCCGAATTCTGCTGCGTCAGTGTCCTGTGGGCTAATTATTTGCAGCAAAACATGGGCAGAGTCTATGGGCTTGTCGACTCGAAGAATGTCGAGCTCAAAGCTGCTTACTACCAGATTGCGATGCGAGCTAAGGACACCAGCGCCTACCCCGGTGTTGCCACGCTCCTCGGAAATGTTGGCCGCATGAAGTTTGTCCGCACACTGTTCCGGACCCTCAACAAGGTGGATCGTGACCTTGCCGTCAAAACCTTCAAAGAGAACAAGAACTTCTATCATCCTATCTGCCGCCAGCTAGTTGAGAAAGACCTAGGGCTGGGCGATGGGAAGTAGGCTTGATGGTATCATTGGGGCATTTTGTCGGTTGATCTATGAGTAACGTGGCGAGCCCGGAAAATGGAGGCAAGACGTTGGACAGAATATCTAAGTTGGTTACATAGAGGAATCAACACAAACTAACGACGTGTATACCGTTAACACCATTCACTTTCTTGAAGTGAGGTGTTTATCGTGATATTGGGGGTCCATTATGCATAATGTTTCGCTGCTCAATATCCGTAAACCATGCGGGAAATCTCCGCGAGCTGGGGGAGTGAAGTTGAGATGAAAACCCCTGACACGTGAAGGAACCGCATTGTTTCCCAAGTGTTTCTAGCGATGACGCACCGCGTCCGCCAATGAGCGGCCATTTGACCCCACTGAAATTAGCCCTGTGTCAATCCACACCCCTGTTGTGGCCCGAGTGGCGCGCGCCGGCTCGCGTTCCCCTCTGCCAGGCCACCTGCAACTCCCGAATTTGTTGACACGGAGGCGCATTCTCGAAACCCGCCTGTGCCCATTCCTTCTTTGCGCCGCCCGCTGCAGATCAACAACGACCTGCCAACACCAAGACCTGCATTGTCCCGACGACATTCCGGCGACAAAAAAACAACACACCAACGGCTCCCCCGCTTCCCCCCACCCCCCGGGGCTCGTGAAGCGTCCCAACGTCGCCTTGTGTTTACACCATTAAACAGACAGCTCTGCGTTAGCAAAGCGCCGACTGAGGGGACTGGGCCTCGACAAATTCGCTAGCGTTAGCGCCAGCCTCTTGACCCTCGCGGGCCTTTGTGTTGGATTGTTGTGCGGCGGGAGGATGTGTCTGGTTGCTGCACTGCAGGTCAGGAACTGCATTACACGCATGCTGCTGCTGGGACCCCGAAGCGCTGCGCAGTAATATTGTCGCACTGACTCTGGGATACTCGCGGCTGAGGCCGAGGCTATATTCGATCCGACGACCTTGATACGACCCGACGTGTGACGACCGGCCATTCGAAGGCTTTCGAGGGCTACCTCGGTCGGCCGAACCGCTCCACTATCGTTGCTCCCGCAGAGCCGTTTGCAACACTCGCAACTATGGCACCCGCTGCGGGGCCCCCCGGTGGGGGCGGGAATATCAAAGTGGTAGTGAGATGTCGGCCGTTCAATGGGAGAGGTAAGTTGTGCGCTCGTTCGTTCGATGGTTATTTGGGGGGGTAGACTGGTGGCATTGGTGACGGTAGCAGCGAGTTAGCTGGGAAGTATAACTGATAGTGGTGTCTTCTGAAAGAACATGACCGGAATGCGAAATGTATCGTGGAAATGAAAGACAACCAAACTGTCCTAACACCTCCCGATGGTGCCGGGAAGACGGGCAAGGACCACGGCCAGAAAGTCTTCGCCTTCGACAAGTCGTACTGGTCCTTCGACAAGAGCGCGCCGAACTACGCCGGGCAAGACAATCTTTTCGGCGACCTGGGCAAACCGCTGCTGGATAACGCCTTTCAAGGGTACAACAACTGTATCTTTGCCTACGGCCAGACCGGCTCGGGAAAGTCATACTCGATGATGGGATATGGCAAGGATGCGGGTATCATCCCAAATATCTGCCAGGACATGTTTCGGAGGATTGGGGAAATGCAGCAGGATAAAAACCTGCGTTGCACCGTTGAAGTGTCGTACCTCGAAATTTACAACGAGCGGGTGCGCGACCTGCTCAACCCGGCAAACAAGGGGAACTTGAAGGTCCGAGAGCATCCGTCAACGGGTCCATACGTCGAGGACCTAGCGAAGTTGGTGGTTGGAGGCTTTCAAGAGATCGAGCACTTGATGGACGAAGGCAACAAGGCCAGAACAGTGGCGGCTACCAACATGAACGAGACGTCGAGTCGAAGTCATGCCGTGTTTACCTTGATGTTGACCCAGAAGCGCTTCGACCCGGAAACAAAAATGGAAATGGAGAAGGCAGCCAAAATCAGTCTTGTTGATCTTGCAGGGTCGGAAAGAGCCACTTCCACGGGCGCAACAGGCGCCCGCCTAAAAGAAGGCGCTGAAATCAACCGTTCGCTTTCCACACTTGGCCGAGTCATTGCGGCCCTGGCGGACCTGTCAACGGGGACCAAGAAGAAGAAAGGCGCAGCGGGTCAGGTCCCATATCGAGACAGTGTTCTGACGTGGTTGCTGAAGGACTCGCTCGGTGGTAACAGTATGACGGCCATGATCGCTGCGATCAGTCCGGCAGATATCAACTACGACGAAACGCTGAGCACGCTGCGGTATGCCGACTCCGCAAAGCGTATCAAGAACCACGCGGTCATCAACGAGGACGCCAACGCCCGCATGATTCGCGAGCTCAAGGAGGAATTGGCCCTTCTCCGCAGCAAGATGGGCGGCGGAGGTGCCACCGGAGGGGCGCCAGTCCCTGCTGAGGAAGTGTACGCCGAGGGCACACCGTTGGAAAAGCAAATCGTCAGCATCACGCAGGCCGACGGCTCAGTCAAGAAGGTTTCCAAGGCGGAAATTGCGGAACAGCTGAACCAAAGCGAGAAGCTCCTCCAAGATCTCAACCAGACGTGGGAGGAAAAACTGACCAAAACGGAAGAAATTCACAAAGAGCGGGAGTCTGCCTTGGAAGAATTGGGAATTAGCATCGAGAAGGGCTTCATCGGCATGTCCACGCCCAAGAAGATGCCCCACTTAGTCAATCTTTCAGACGACCCCTTGCTGGCGGAATGCCTGGTTTACAATTTGAAACCCGGCGCGACGACTGTCGGCAACGTGGAGTCTAATGCGGACCACCAAGCCAACATTCGTCTGAACGGGTCTAGAATCCTCCACGAACACTGTGTCTTCGAAAATGCGCAAGATGGGACAGTCACCATTCATCCGAAGGAAGGTGCCGCGGTTATGGTGAACGGCAAGCGGGTGACGGAACCGACGAGACTGCACTCGGGACACCGCATCATCCTAGGGGACTTTCACATTTTCCGGTTCAACCACCCGATGGAGGCGCGTGCCGAAAGAGCCGAAAGGCAGGAGCAGAGTTTGCTGCGCCAGTCCATCACGGCAAGCCAACTGCAGGCACTCGAGAGGACGTCGCCGTCGCCAAGCCCGAGGCCGGGTCACGATAGGAGCTTGAGTACGGCTCTCTCGGAATTTAGCGACAGCCGCCCCGATTCGCCATCACCCTTCCAGCGCAACGCAAAAGAGTCGGACTGGTCGTTCGCCCGACGGGAGGCAGCCCCTGCGATCCTAGGCACCGACCAAAACTTCGCCAAGCTCACAGACGAGGAACTTAACGCGCTCTTCGAGGATGTCCAGCGCGCAAGGGCGGAGCGTGTCATTGGCCGGGAGGGCGACGACGACATGGAGTCCATGGCCTCGTATCCGATTCGGGAGAAGTATTTGTCCACCGGCACCATCGACAACTTTTCGCTTGACACGATTCTCACCATGCCGTCTACCCCTAAGCAGGGTGAGGCTGAGGACCGGCTGCGCGAGATACGCGAGGAGATGCAGAGCCAGCTGGAGAAGCAGAAGGAAGAGTACCGTGACCAGCTCAAGAATGCCGAGACCGCCAATGTGGAGGTGGAGGAGATCAAGAAGGAGAAGGTCCGCATGGAGGAGACGCTCGTGCAGCTCAAGGAGGATATGCAGAAGCAGCTCGAGGTACAGCGCCGGGATTTTGAGGCAAAGATTGAGAGGTTGGACCCTCTCAAGCGGCCCAAGGCCAAGCCGAAGCTGTCCGAAGAGGAGATTGAGCGGGCCAAAGTCGCCGTCAAGCACTGGCGGAACCGGCATTCGGTGCGCATGGCCGAAGCCGTTTTGCAGCACGCTTCGACGCTAAAAGAAGCGCAAATTATGAGCCATGAGTTGGACGAGCATGTCGTGTTCCAGTTTACGGTGGTCGATGTTGGCCACGTGGTGTGCTCATCGTATGACATGGTTCTCAACGGACTTACGGGAGAAGGGGAAGACATTGCGCTTGAGGACGCGCCGAAGCCGTGCATTGGCGTCCGCGTCATCGACTACAAGCACAGCGTGGTACATCTGTGGAGTATCGAGAAGCTCCACGACCGCGTCCGGCAAATGCGCCAAATGCACCAGTACCTCGACCAGCCAGAGTATGCGCAGCATCTGAGTCTCGACAACCCCTTTATCGAGACCTGCATGCCTCAGTTTACGCTTGTCGGCGAGGCTGACGTGCCCCTAAAAGCCGTCTTCGAGAGCCGAGTACAGGACTTCACCCTTGACGTCTTCTCGCCCCACACGAGGCATGCTATCGGGATCATCAAGCTTGCACTGGAGCCGTCCAGCGCGCGGGCACCGACTAACACCCTCAAATTCAACATTGTCATGCACGAGATGGTTGGCTTTGCAGAACGCGAGGGCACCGAGGTGCACGCGCAGCTCTTCATTCCCGGTATCTCCGAAGATGGGATCACGACAACGCAAATGATCAAGGACTTTGACGAAGGGCCGATCCGGTTCGAGAGCGTTCATAGCATGAGCGTGCCGCTGTTCGCGCCCCCGCAGACGACGCTGCGCGTGGCCATTTTCGCCAAGGCGTCTACCATGCACCTGGATAAACTCCTTAGCTGGGATGATATGCGGGATGCGGTGCCCAGCTCGCAGGGCAAGAAGGGCGCACGGATTAGCGAGTCGTACTTTTTCACAGAAGAGAAGCATGACCTGCTGGCTCGCGTTCAGATACTGGAGATGAATGAAGAGGGCGAGTATGTACCTGTTGAAGTCAACCAGACGAGTGAACTGGACGGGGGCACATATCAACTGCATCAGGGCCTGCAGCGGCGCATTTCGATTAAGCTTACCCATAGTTCGGGGGATGCGCTGCCGTGGGAGAATGTCACGGCCATGCGAGCTGGCAAAATCCAGTTGATGGACAGCGCGGGCAAGACGCCCGACATGGGCTCGACTAGCCCTGATATCCCGCTGAAGCTGGCATCTGCGCCGTCGTTCCAGACCAACGCTAACGGCACTCGGACAGCGACGATGATTGGGCAGTGGGACTCGAGCTTGCACAATTCGCTGCTCCTCGACCGCGTTACGGCGGATAAGTACCGCGTGCAGATGGCTGTGTCGTGGGAGATCAGCTCAGAGAAGCTGGCAGAGCCCATGAAGTTCTCCATGAATGTGTGTTGCCAAATCCTGTCGCGGTCCTTCGTCCGACAGACGTCCATGTTCTCGTCGCTCTTCCAACAAGTTCGCATCGTGCACGCAGCCACAAGCATCTTTACGCTGCAACTGCGTCCCGCACCCATAAAACGCGTGGGTGACCTCTGGCGCATGAGTAGTCAACACGACTATGTCAAGGGCGAAGAGAGCCTGACCACGTGGACACCTCGCGGCGTGTCCCTGGTGGCTGATTATCTTGCTTCGCGCAAAAAGCTGCAAATGATGGCGGACCTTGCGGCTGTCCAGACTTTCCTAAGAAAAATTGGCTTTCGGGATAAGCCTGAAAGCGTTGAGGAGCCTGAGGACCTGGATCTACCACCCCGGCCAGCTATCAACTCGGACACCGACTCCATCGCGGAGCTGTTGAAGGACGATACCCCGGAACCATCGCCGACATCATCCCAAGAGTTGCCTTTCAGTGATCTGCCCCCGCTTCCTGACGATGACGAGGAAGATCTATCTGCTCCTCCTGGGTCCGACGACGAAGCAGAAGTGGGAACGGAACCGCAAGCCAACTCATCATCACAGTCGCAGTCAGCACAAGAATCACAATCTTCGGAACCCCCCGTCCCAGATCGCCAAACGCTCCTCCTCGAGAAATGTCTCAAACTCTGGCTCCGCTACCCCGACCCAACCCTCCGGCTACTCTCCCCCGCCAACACCGACCCGCCCGAGGACGGCGTTGTGAGCAGTGCGCCCTCCCCGTCTGCCTTCTCACGCGACCAACACGCCCAGGAAGAGGAGTACCAGCAGCCACAGCAGCCCACTTCGATCGCAACTGTCGTGCGCGTTCCCAAAAACCCGGCGCTGCTCAAGGGCGGGCTTTTACTGGTCCCTAACGCCGACGCCACGCGATGGGTCAAGCGGTTTGTGGAACTGCGCCGGCCGTACCTGCATGTACATACAGTCGGGGATGGGGAGGAGGTGGGTGTGGTGAGCTTGAGGAACGCGAGGGTGGATAGTCAGCCGGGGATTTTGGGCCTGCTGAATGTCAATGCCAATTCCAACGGGAATGCATCGGTTGTGGGAAATGGTCCGTATGGCCATGGGGGGGACGCGAATCGTGGTGAGGGCGTGAACGAATTTGGCACGCCTACTCGCACGTTGTCGCCCACCCCCTCATCGCGCTCGCTCTCGCCTCACCCTATGCCATCAGCGGCTAGCGGTACCGGTCGGCTGATTGCCTCGCTCTGGCCTGGCGGTGGTGGCGGCGCTGTCGGTGGGGCTAACGGCACCAACACCAGCGGTGTCACTAGCGCACCGAACGGTACACCAGCCAGGAGGAACGGCGCCGCCAGCTCTAACGGAGCGACCGGCGCTAGCCCGAGCGGCGGTAACACAAGCAGTGGCGGGGTCAGCCGGCTCAGCGAGCGGCTGCAAGCGGGGGTGTTTGCGGTCTATGGGACAGACAACACCTGGTTGTTTGCGGCGCGTAGCGAGCGGGATAAGATGGACTGGATCATGAGGATCGATCAGAGCTTTACGATGGGCAGCGGTAGTGTGAGTGCAAGTGTGAGTGGGCTCGGAAGCCGCGGCGGGAGTGTGATGGGGAGTGGGATGACCAGCCCACGTCTTCCTGGTGGCAGTAGTGGAGGGTGGTGAATCTGATGAGAACTTGCTTGTTAAACTTGCTTTGACGGAAGGGCATGGAAACAACGGCGGAAAGCAAGGAAAGGGGTTGCGTTGCTGGCGATAAACAAAGACGGCGGTGCTTATAGATGATGACCGAGGCTACGATACCCAGGGGATGACAGAGAAAACCCCCTCGCTTTTTTCTTTGGTTTATCAACTTCGTACCTATGTATATATATAGACAGAGATGGCGTTCCTCTCGCTTTAACGCAGGAGGCACATGACTGGGTGGGCACGACTACACGCGAATATAGGACCGGTTTTCATTCCGCTGATCATTCTTCTACACCTTTTCTGTCGGTCTTCACAGCCGTCCACCTCGTGCTTTTGGTGGCAGCCGTGGTGAGTGAGAATATGGCAGTTGACCTAACGGGTATTTCAAGCTCCGTAAAATAACTTACGGCAGGGACAACTGAAGCGATCGCAGGGGTCGCGAAGGGGAATAAGGTAGCCTCGCTGGGGCCCAAAAAAACGGCAGACCGAACCAGATACCTTGAGTATCTTAATAGATTTTGACGATTATAACTGGAATAGCCGCCTAAAAGCCTAATATCCATAGGATCATATTTGTCACAATTGTGACAGCGGAGGTTCATGGGCACAACTCTTAGTTTGACGCTTGACTGGACAGTTCGAACCACGGCTCCTCGTTTGAGGATGTTGCGCAGTGGTCAGTTGCGCCCATCCGTGACGATAGTATTGTTGTTTAGACTCTTGACTTGACTATCAATGGGTTTCCATTTCACATGAAGGCGCCTTGACCACGAATACATCGGAACAAAGCTAGCTAGCTATCTGGGCTACAGTACCTCGCTGTGGTCGGCGCTAGTCCCATCTTTTAGACAAATGAAAAAAGACAAAAGAGAATAAATCAAGCCCGAAAAACTTCAGGAGCCAATCCCACTGCTTTTCGGCTCGCCCGCCAGGCGAGATGAATTAACTATGCTGATTGTTGTGCCGCGGCCATTGCGGTGGGAGTGGGGAATGTAGGCTCCAGATCCATCGCCGTCTTTCAATCAAATGGCTGGATGGCCGAGTGGTCTAAGGCGGTAGACTCAAGAAATTGGATTCTTCCCCGAAAAGGGGTGTATTCTACTCTCGCAAGAGGCGCGCGTTCGAATCGCGCTCCAGTCAACTCGCTTTTTTCTGGTTTGTAACAACACAGGTTCCTGAATTTTTTTACTACGAGCGGGGTCGGCGGGGCCATTGGCCGGAGACCCGCTCGGGAGCCTTGGCAGAATAACCCCTGAACACCTTTGACTCCTTTACACTGGAATAAACCACCAAGAGACCATATATTTGTGTCGAGTTGTAAGTCCCGTTCCCAGGCTTAACCGAGGAAGGAAAGGCCGCGTGTAATAACTGGGGACGTTCATAATCTTTGGTGTACTGCATAGCGCCTGCCATGCCCAGCCTATTTCGACCAAAGTTGGCAACGGAGGGTCATCAACTGGCCAGAGGAAGGAGCGGGATGAACATCGGGCAGGTGTTGCCGACTTGTTAACGATGGGCCAACTTGGGTGGTTAAGAATTTTAGGGCTACAGGATACAACCAAGTCGCTGGCACTATTTTCTCCCTTCGGTGTGCTTCGAGGGCTCTAGTTCGTCCGGCTCGAGTTTCTTCCCAACCAAAGAAGGGGCATAGAATACGGAAACCGCTCTGAACTAAGACTCAGTGTTCAAGCCACCTACTCAATACAATTTTCTAGCTGTGACTGGTAGCACCAGTTGTCCTGCCCAGAATTCCAACAAACCTTCAGGATGTCTACCCCCCAGGTTCCCCAGAACCCAGGCGAGGAGACAACGGATCTCAGCAAACGATATGACATCCCACTCGGCCTCGCTCACACCACCATGCAGGCGCTCAAGGACCGCATCAAGGTGCATTACGACCTGGCGAGTGACTACTACTTGAAATTATGGTATGAACGATCAGAATCCCTCTAGCAGCCCGTTGGCTTCAGCATATATCCCCTACTTACACTCGCTCATAGGGGTGAACATATTCATCACGGATACTGGCCAACCGCCGCCTCTAAAGCTACCGAGTCCAAGGAGACAGCTCAGCTCAACCTCATCCATTTGCTGTTGACAACGGCCGCGGTTACAAACGAGGCCGTTCAGGTCGAGGCCGCTAGTCATGCCACCGCTGCTACCGCAGCCGACACCGGCACCGCCGTGCCAATTGCCGTGGCCAACGATACCCATGTGGCCTCGACAGAAAGAACCCCCCAACACCCCCTACGCATTCTAGACGTTGGCTGCGGAGTGGGCGGGACAACACGGTACCTCGCCAAGGTTCTCGGGGCACAGGTGACGGGCATCACGATTTCGGGGAAGCAGGTGCAGATTGCCCAGAGGCTAAGCCGAGCTGCCGCGATTACAAAGAGCGGTGGAAACGTTCTATCAAACGATGAGGGTGTAGTCCTGAATCGGGCGGATGGTGCGACCGAGACCGATGCAGAATTCATCACCATTGGTGAAAAAGGTGGGCAAGTGAAGTTTGTCGAGCTTGATGCTGAGAAGATGGGCGAGTACTTTACTGCTGAGGCTGGAGATGCCCAAGGCTTTGATGTTGTCTGGATCAGTGAAGCTCTGTCTCACTTCCCCAACAAAGCACTCTTCTTTCAAAACGCCCATCGGCTGCTCCGCCCAGGAGGTAAGCTAGTGCTGGCAGACTGGTTTAAGGCCGAGGAGCTTGGCGAGGGTGTCTTTGACGCGGATATCAAGCCCATTGAAGGTCTGTTTTCCCTTTGCCCCCTTGCCACCCCATTTACCATTGACCAACTGACACCGACTCTCCCAGACGGCATGCTTCTTCCACCACTTTGTACCCAACAAGACTATGTCAACCTAGCCACCACTGCGGGGCTACAGGTCCTCGGCGGGCCTAAAGATATTAGTCTGGACGTCAGCAAAACATGGGATATCTCTTGGTCCCTCATCCAAAACCCTTCGCTTTGGGCCTTCGCTTTTAGCCAGGGGCGCGACGGCATTGCCTTTCTACAAGCCTTCCGCGCCATGCGTCGGGGATATGCGAATGGGAGCTTCCGATATGCGGTCATGGCGTTCAGCAAGAATGCGTAAGAGGGCGGGACGTGCGAAACGAGTCCATGACCCAAACCGTCTAGTTGGGGTGGGACGAATCCCAGACTAATGCTTTTGGAGTGCTTTGTGTTTCTCAAGAAAAGGATTTCTTCATTGCTCTTTCCTGCTTTCTGGCCTGATAGTAGCTTCCTACTGGTGCCCACGTGGACGCATAGCAATCATAATACATAATTTACAACGCCTCAAAAACCACCTGCCCAACCTGCCCAATTCCGTGAGCTAACGGCGATGCGAATAAAACCCTTAGAGCAGGCAAGATTTCACCAACCCAGCCTAACTCCGACCCATGCCATCCCAAAAAACAAGGTCGTTCCCGATGATACGCCATATATGCCTGGCGTTTGTACAAGTTCATAGTATAACCCAACAAAATAGCCCCCCCCCCCCCGGTGAATTACCTCGATGAGAACCTCAGTCACCCATGCGTATCCCCCATCTCTCATCAAGCAATGCTTAAATGAGCAACCGACGCTTGACAGGCGCCGGCGCAGACTTGTCGCCCACTGTTTCTCGTTCCCTGAACAATGCCGCCTTGCCGAGGGCCTGTAGTTTTGTAAGAAGATTGCTGTTGATAAGAATTAGCGTGGGTTCCTGGTTAGTTGGCCGAGGGGTGCGGTTGCGGGATGGCGGGGTTGATATGATACAGCAACTGGCCACTAGCTAGCCTAGGTGCCGTGCATGCAGACGACTAAGAGAATAGGGGGAAAGTAAGCGTACTTGATGGGCATGTGGCCGCGGCTCTCTTTGACGGCGAGGTTAATCTTGTCAGCTTGCGCCTCGTGGTCGCGGAAGTGTGCCTGTATAACTTCTTGCGAGTCGTGCTCATCGGCAGACCGAACGACATAGGTACACCCTTCCTGCTCGCAGGTCCAAGTACCGTCGGCGCCTTTGGGGGATGATGTAGGGACTCGCTCAGCATGGACAACGACGCGAACCACACCCTCGGGCAGAGGAGGCTGGGAGCCCACCGCTGTCTCCTGGTCGACAGCGGAAACATCCTCATCGCTGGTATCCTCTTCAAACTCCTCATCTTCAAAGCTGTGGTTGACCTTAGTTGATTTCCTACCGCGCTGGCTTCCAATGCTTTGGTCATCAACTTCCGAACGTGGCCGCTTTTTGGAACTGGTAGCGAGGCGCAGAGTGGCCCCCTTGCCAGACCTCTGATTCCGCGGCGGGGGTCGCGATGCGATCCGGCGCAAGTCTGCGAATTCATCATCCTCCCAGTCGCTTTCAATTTGCGCCTGGGCGGCCGTGACACTGGCTTTGAAAGTAACAGCAGGAGGAACCCTGGCTGTTTTTGCCGCTGGATCCTTTTTCGGAACCAACTTTGTTCTCCGTTGGGTCTGTTCCGGAATTCTCGCTGGATCCAGGCCGGGGAGTGGCTCCCATGGCTTTGAACTGGTTTCTTTAAGCCATGCCTCCATGGGCGAGTCGTTCCACGCCGTGTCAAGGAGGGGGAGTAAATCTTTCGCATAAAATGCGATGATATTGTCGCGTTCATGGTAATTGCGAATTTTACAGCGGAAGAAGATATGGCCACGGATCGAGGAAGCACTAGACTTCTTGACGTTTCTCTCTTCGGCGATTTCTTGGAGTGTCCCGAGAAGTCGATTCACTGATTCCGCATGAGTCTGGGATGCATGCGCAACGCCTGGCCCTTCAGCATCCGAAGCTCTGGAAGGAACTGGAGATGCACTAGCAGCTGCTGCCGGACGGGTAAGCTGACGATATTTCTCGGGTACCGGTACAGGGGTTTCGCTGATTTTGGGTTTGGCTCTGCTCGCAAGCGTTTTCGCCTTCGGGCTCTGAGGACGCTTCGATGAATTGCCTCGCACCCCTCCAGTATCAGGCCCACTATCTCGGCTGCTCAGCGTGCTTTCACTGCTGGCTCTTGCCGATCGACTCCTCCTACCCCTGGCAGGGTGCGAGTCGCCGAAATCAGCCTCTGGCGGGGGAGGCAACGGAGGAATCACCCCCCTCGCAATATCATCGAGCCTTTTCTGCACATCCTACTCGTTATTAGCTGTGCGTCCATCATTTCTTTCTACCGGAAGCAGCCAGAAACATACGGGGTGCAACTTGCGTAGCCACTTCGCAAATTTAGTTGGAGTCCAGTCCAGCTCAGCCTCCTTGTCAAATTGTGGGATCAAAAAGTCCGCCCACTTGCTGCACAAAGCCTCGACCTCGTCGCGGACAATGCCATTTCCGGCCCTAAGGGCGTAGTTGAAAAAAACGTCGTCGAGAGTGGGAGCAGCGGGCCGCTGAGCCTTCTTTTTGCCCTTGCACGCTTTGATATGGCGCTCGTACACTTCGAGCGCGCTGTAGTAAAGTGATATCGCCTCCTGAGCTTGATCGTACATCCGCTGGTACCTAAAGGATGGTCGGATCTCAAACCAGCCAGCGGCACCCGAACCCCAGAGGGTGAGGGGACCGTAGCCGATGGAGTATCGCTCAGAATGGGGGATCTCGATCTTGGCGGTGCGGAAGTTCGGTTTGACGACTGGGAAAGGTGTGTTAGCCTATAAGGATGCAAATATAAATACCCTAGAGCTAGAGCGTACTGTTGGAAACTAGTGCTTCCTCGACGTCGTCAACGTCAAAGATACCACGAATGACGAGGGGGCCTTCGAGATGGACCAGCAGAGGATTGGCGAGTGTTTCGCCGTCTTTTCGGTAGATTGTGGCATCGCGCAGCACGTAGCAGGGCCAGTCGCTATCTGGCACATCTTGCGGTGCAGGTTTGAGCACTGTCTGCTCCTTAATCCAGCGAGTCGGTCGGCCAGCCATGGATGTTTGCGGTCGGGAGAGGAAGTTGGACTAGATCAATGGTAGGCGCGGCGGCGTTGACGATTGACCATGGTCTAAACCAGGTGCGATCATCCGAGTTTAAAAAAATTTGGCGGTGCGCAAAATTTTGGGGGGAGTTTCAGCGGTTGGAGAATTGCAGTGCGGTCGTGTTGGAAAATAAGAAAGCGTGGTTTCGCTACTGGTGGGTTTCGCGATGCGCAGCCCTTTACGCGGTTCGTGATGGGAGGGAAGGTTCACCTGAACGCGACTTCTGCGGGAAGAAGTGGGGTTGGCTCCCGGAGCGTTCGTTACAAGTCCTCTGAACCTCGCCTACTGTTGGGGAGAGGACAAGTAAAGCCCCCGCTGCGCTCTACAATCTACACCTAGTAGGCTCAATATACCTCTGATACATTGGGAGGAGCTAAAAGACCTTTATTGGGCTGCACTTTGAACCCAAGCACCGTGTTTTCAACGTCCGTACAATCTTGGAGGTTCTTCCACGGAAGTACTAGTTACGTCAATGCAACTTCCAATCGATAAGGATCAAGCAAGGGTGCCGGGGAGGATCCGCCCCAGTCTCCCGCAAAAAATCCCAGCCTGGCCGACGCAATCTTCTCACTTTCACATTGCTGCTTCAACAAGGGGGGCCTTTAAATTGATGTATTGGTCGTTGTGGTCCTACTGTATGAATCACCGACCATTGAATCTCGGCCGATGAGGTTACCCGCGCTCACCAAGATGGCCGCGGACAAGGTTTTAGAAGGCGTTTTCGGTACGTTCTCTTCACGATCGCTCTCATCCGTATCTTACCTATATGACCTTCAATGGGATGGTTTGGGTTGATTCTGATACTCCCTTCAACCTAGCCATCAACAAACCGTTTGGCATGAGCTCTGCGCAAGTGATCCGCGATTGCCAGGAGTACTTCAACCCGTCGGCTGTCTTTGGGTCCCTGATGGAGCAGGATAGGAAACTGCGCGAGAAGGAGTCCCGCTACCAGAAACGACGCCGTAGTAAGGCGAAACAGGACATCCGAGTGAAAATGGGCCACGGCGGCACGCTGGACCCGTTGGCCACGGGCGTGCTGATCTTAGGCGTTGGGAGGGGGACCAAGTCACTGCAGAACTTTCTGACCTGCACCAAAACCTACGAGGCCGTCGTCCTTTTCGGCGCCAGCACCGATACGTACGACCGCACAGGTCGCATCATCAAGCGCGGCAGGTATGATGATGTGACCCGCCAGGCGGCCGAAACGGCGCTAAATGGTTTCCGGGGCAAGATCCGTCAGATGCCGCCGTTGTACTCGGCACTTAAGATGAACGGAAAGCCGCTGTATGAATATGCCCGGGAAGGGCGGCCGATCCCACGAGAGATTGAGACGCGCGAGGTGGAAGTAGCCGAACTAGATCTGGTTGAATGGTACGAGCCCGGCACGCACAACCACCGGTGGCCTACGGACGAGGCTGAGGCAGCCGAGAAGAACCTGGTCGACTCAGTCTGGCGTGTGGCCAGACGGCAGATCGCCACGGACGAGGAAATCACCAAACTTACGCCCGAGCAACAAGAGGAAGAGACGCGTGCCCGTGACGAATACAACACCAAGAAGCGCGAGGCCGAGGAACGAGTCGACAATCTCGTCAGCGAGGAGCAAGACCAACCACAACCCCCGGCCGCTAAGCGCAAAAAGACCAACACCGGCGCCCCCGCTGCCACAGCTGCCGAGCCAGCCCTCATGTCTGGCGCCCTCGGGCAGCTACCACCAAAAGGCAGAGGCTCCGACTTGATTGCCCCGGCCCCCTCAGCTGATACACCTCCACCTTGGGAAGGCAAGGGTCCCGCAGCGGCCAAAATCCGGATGACGGTCACGTCTGGTTTCTATGTGCGCAGCCTGTGCCACGACCTCGGCGAGAAACTAGGGTGCGGCGCCATGATGGCTGAGTTGAGCCGCACCCGGCAAGGGCAGTTCGTCCTAGGCGGAGCAAATTGTATGGAGTACGAGAATTTGCTCAAGGGTGAACAGGTGTGGGGGCCGCAAGTAGAACAGATGTTGAATCTATGGAACGATGGGGGGGGCAAGGTAGAAGTCCCGACTGTTGGTGCTAAAACGGACGCTGGGGCCGAGAGCGCGCCCGCCAGTGAGGGGAAGGATATTATGGAGAAGAAACAGGAAGCGACTCCACAACAGATTTCGCCGCCAGCGGCAGAACCTATGTCGTTGAAGCAGGACGGGGCCATTCCAGAGCAAGTAGCGGCAGAGGAAGAAACACCGGTGGCAGCGGCGGCCGGTGCATAGCTGTGCCTTCTGTGAGGGACATACCACAGATTTAAAATCGAGTCGCTGGGTGAGTACCCGGGCAAGGCCAAGCAGAAATGGTTGGAAGGGATCCAAAGACGTTGTCGCCACGTGCGAGACCATTCCCGGGCCCGGTGTATACTCAATAATGATGAGACGAAAACGTTGGGCTTTACCCATGATATGTAACATATATATATGTACCTTGCTAAAGCCATCCTACGCCATGCCGATTACTAAAACCTCGAAGTAGACCACCGAGTTCCTTTGCGCCGTTTGTCCATGATGTACCATTCCGCCCTGTGCCTATTCCCATGCTAATGCCCAATTGTGTAAAGAAGTATCCCGACCTACGCCCAGCCGTCCAAGTTGTTAAGGCACCACGTTCTACTCCCAGGTTGTTTCAAGAACGCCCTATGATTATCCTCCCATTCCTTTACCTCTTATCCCCATCTCCAAGCCTCCCTGCCTCGACTTCAGCATCGACGTCCGCCAACACACCCCTGACCCTCTCTATCCGCCCGACGGCTCTCTCCAACCTCTCCAGCCGCCCGCGTTTCTCGCTTTCGCGACGTTCTAATTCACCCACGCGCGCCTCGAGTGCGGCTCGCGCCCGTCTCTCTGTCGCCACCATCTCATTGGCCTGCTCGAACAGGCTGGCGCTGAGCTCTTCCACTTCTCGGCTTGTTTGGGTGAGGCGTCCCTCGGCTTCACGTCGCAGGGCTTGTTCACGAGATAGAGCTCGGAGGAGGTCTGCGGGGGAAGGTTGTTGTTGCTGTTGTTGATTTTGGTTTGATGGGCCGTGAGTTTGCGTCGGATGGGGTCCCGCCGAGAGCCGGGGTTGGAGGGTAGTGGGTGTTGGGGTGGGTGTTGGTAGCGGTGCTGCTGGCACGGGCGTAGCTATGGGTACGGGCGGTGATTTGCGAGTTAGTAGTGCGGAAATACGACTTGCGGCGCCTGTCGTCAGGAAAGAGGTTCGTGAAGGTGATGGAGAGGGCAGGCCGGCTGCCGAGCTTGGCGGGGTCGGGAGGGAGTTTGGTTGCTGGGAAGGATGTAATTGTTCGTGGCTTTGGCCGTGTTGGTGCGGTTGGCCAGTGGTCGAGGACGGGGTCTGGGGGCGGGAAACGCCGAGTTGTGAGCGTAGTCGGGCGAGCTCGTCTTCGTAGTCCGCCCAACGGTCGACGGCGGCGGTCGCTTTCTGGTTGAGGAGGCGGACTTGCGCCTGGAGGTCTGAGATCTGCTTTTGGGCATCGAGCAGGGCCGCTTGTGTGTTTCCGAATGGCGCTAGATCGACTTGGAGCCCACAACCTGGGCAGCTATGGGTTATTGACGTTGTCTCTGTTGTTGTGGTCACCGCTGTAGGCCCAGCCGTCAGGGTGCCCGAGCTTGCGGGGGCCATCGCTACAACGGTTGTCGTCATGGTGCGAGGCTGGAAAAAAATATCCGAAGTGTTTTCTCACGCGAGCCCCATGAAAGAAGCATCGGTCCAGCGCGCTGTCGATATTCTGGGAACCCAACCCAAGCCCTAGTGCCGAAGCGCCGTCGTTAATTGTTGTTTGAGACAAAAAGACTGAGCCGCCACCAGTGGGATTGATGGAAAGGGTCCCAACAATGAATAGCAGGGAGGGGTTGCAGTGGCTGGAAACTTGGTGCCTCCTTCAAATGGGAGGGGGGTTGGTTGGTTTGTGGCCCACAATCGACGCACCTGTGGCTTCTTGGCGGGGAGCGAGCAGGGATCAATCAGTGAGGAAGGTTGCTCTGACGTTCCAACCCAAAGAGCCACTGAAGACCGTTGCAGGTGGTTCCAGTACAACCGAATGGGGAAGTTCACGCATTGTTCTGCATGGCAAAGCCCCCACGATCTGCACCAAATACCGAGGACGCGCACACATAGAGCTCAGCGGCTAGGGACAAGATGCAATACCCGTGGAAGACTGGGCCGCACGTGGTAGTATTTACGGAAGGCAAAAGTTGCTGCAGGTACCAGGTCGTGCCGTTGATTAGCGCGGCCGGGCGATCTCAAGGCCATGAACCCAGAAATTGGGGTTGGACTTCCATGTTTTGGATGTTTCAGCAACTCCTAGAAAGTACATGTTTGTCATGCACGGTGTGGACGCGGACAAAGCATCGCCGTGGTGCGATCATCCGTTTCGGCCACTCAACAAACTATCTGGGTCGTCATGGACGACAACTTGGAGCTTTAGGATGACATCGATCACCGGTGGCTAGCGCACCAGAAGTGCCTACCTTCTCCGGATAAGGTGTCATCGGCCCGCTCTGCGTAAACTTTGTCTCAGCCAGATCATCGACCCAACCCATGGGGACGTGTCCTCGCGGTGAACTACTCCTCGTGTAACCGCTGCGGCCCTCTGAGCTGCTTCGATCAAAAGTATCGTCTAACACGACTGCCGGGGCTTGATCCGCGAGGACTAATGATGCAATAGTCCCACACTAGATCTAAATCAAGCTTGATTAGCCAGTAGTTTACTCTGGCTGCGGTTGCGCTACCTTTCTCAGCTCCATCGCGCCTGTTTCAGGATCCCGGAATTCTTTCCAGCTAACGGGCTGCATAGTGTTGCCCGCCTCACTGACCGCAAGCACCACGCCCAACTCGTTCCTTGTCGTCGATAGATAGTAGTTGGTCTGGTCGCCGAGCGAAATCTACTACCATCAGCTTCTCCCCTGGGCCCAGGCCGGAAACAAGTGTAGGAAAACGCAGAGAAGAAAACTTACCACTTCTGCCCTAACCACATCCCCCGGCCGAAAACTTTCATAAATCTTGACCCGATCTTTCTCCGTCGCCCGCACGTCTTGCACCCTGATCAAACCCTGCCACTCCGCCTCCAGCACCGAGTCGCCGCATACCAAGATCGCTACCACCGCTTGCCGCGGCGCAATCCGTATCACCCGGCACAACACCACATCGCCCACCGCGGGGAGTACCTCCCTCCGTTTCTTCTGTTGTCTCTGGCGCTCCCCGCCCTCGCCCCCTGGGTCTTGCCCTTCCGATCCAGCCCCGGACACAGACACCGAAATGACCGGCAAGTCCGTAGCCGCTACAGACACTGGTGCCGACGCGGGAACAATCCTGTTCAGCCGCTTCACAGGTCCCGGTGCTCGTTGTGGTGCTTGCAAACTGGTTTGCGTTGGTGGTGCTGGAGGGTGCGTGATATGGACCTGCCCCAGCAAGGAGGCGTACAGGTTCGCGTCGTGTAGGTGAACCCCGGGCCCGGGCCGGTAACGCGAAGCTGGGCCGAGAAGTTGGCCGGGGATGGCGAGTGTTGGTGGGGCAGCGGTCGTCATATCTGGGAATTGGTTTTGAGGGTGTGTTGAGTTGAGGTGAGTGAGGCAGGTCAAAAGACTGAGTGAAGAACAGGGCTCAGGTCGGTTTCTGGGAACTGTGGCTATGATGGAGAAAGCCGTCGACTATCCCAGGGCTTTGTTTTAGTTTTTTTGTCTCGGGTTCCGCTCCTAACGCTGGAATACTCCGGATTGGTCTCTCCAAAGTCGCCGTTTGGTGTTGTTGTGGTGGTGGTGATGCGCTCACAAAACCCACTGAGAGATGAATTGGCTGGGCTTGGCGCCTGTCGGCAATTCTTGACCCGGATGGTTCGAGAAAATAATGTTGGCAGGCTCTCAACGAAATTCTGCCGTGCAGGGTGCTTCTTGAATTTCCCTGCAGGGAGAGAGACTGGTATCTTATTTGTCACAGTGCGCTGCAGACCCACCGATGAGCAAGATCACCCCAGGTGCAGCCCACTCACCGCCTTCCTATCATGTCCGTTTTTCCCCAGGCACAAGCTTTCGTTCGCTCTCTCGGTGCCACGGAGTTCTCGGGGTTCAGGGGTGTGCTGCCGCGACTGGGAACAAGTTCTTTTGCGGTGGGCAATAGGCGACGCGCAATTCTGAAATCTCCATAAGAAAACAACAATCCTCATTCCCTTTACCTTTTCGTGGACCCTTTTCCCTTTCATCACCCTCCTCCCGGTTTCTCTCTCACGCCTTTGTCATCCCAAAACACCCATCCTACCCGGCCACAATGGCACCCAAATCCTCAAAGCAGTCCTCCGGCTGCTGCGCCGGCGGTCTAGGCGGCTGGCTCAAGTTCTTCGCCATTCTGCTGGGTGTGCTAACGCCCGTTTACTACCTGCTGGAGCAAAACCTGGAGCGATTCTACATCTTCAACCTCGAACAGCTACAGGACGTGTCGTCCCGTGCCATTGCCGCTCATGGCGACGACACGCGCGCCATCGTCCAGTTCATTGTCGACGAGCTGGCCGGCCAGGTCAGCCTGACCAGCTTTGTTAACCGCGACGAGGAATGGGTATTCAACAACGCCGGCGGTGCTATGGGTGCCATGTACATCATCCACGCTAGTCAGTATCCCTCTTTCTCCCCCTCTCGCAAGAGAATAAGAAAAAAAAAAAACGATATAGGGCTTGTTTTGGCTAACAGTATTTGTTCCTAGGTGTCACCGAGTACCTAATCATCTTCGGCACTGCCGTCGGTACCGAAGGCCACACCGGCCGTCACACCGCCGACGACTACTTCCACATCCTTACCGGAACCCAGACCGCCTACGTCCCCGGGGAGTACGAGCCCGAGGTTTACCCTCCCGGTTCCATCCACCACCTTCGCCGTGGCACCGTCAAGCAGTACAAGATGCCCGAGAGCTGCTTCGCGCTCGAGTATGCTCGCGGGTGGATCCCTCCCATGCTGTTCTTTGGCTTCGCCGATGGGTTGTCGAGCACCCTGGACGTGCCGACTCTGTGGCGCACCACCTGGATTACGGGCAAGCAGATGATCGGAAACCTGGCGCGGGGGAAGTTTTAAGAAAGCTCCCGCGCTTGCGACGAAGAAAACCATGGTTTTGTTAACGAAGAAGATGTTGTGTACACGCGAGTCATGGAACCCATCCGAGGGGCATACCGCTCGTGGTGATGTTATAGGCACGGACCATTTGAAAGCTGATAGACGGGAGGTTCACGGATACTGGACCCCATACCTAGACTTACACGATCATATATATAATCCATAATGAAATATGTGTGTGGTGGCGAACGCCGACTCTCGCTAGTAAAGTACGCTATCGGTGGTTCTCTTTTCGAGCCACGACATGAGTGGTGATTGGACGGCGCGTTTCTGATAGGTAGCCGGTGACATACCCTTGGACAGCATCTCAGTCCCTGAGTTAAGCCTCTTTAACTAGACCTTCCCCTCCAGTTTTCCTCATCCGGGTTCCCATCCCAACATCTTTGTCAACCCAACCAACCCCGGAGACATACCGAACATGAACGCTGCCCCGGCCCAATTTCTTCCAACAAAAACATAAAAGGTCCAGTCCCCGTTTCAAGAGCACAATCAATCCCACCAGTAATACCACCTGCCGAGAAGTTCATTGAAGACAAGTTGACTTTTACTTTTCTTGATCAACTCCCCGTTACCCGCCCCCTACCCCCTTTAACACGCCTTAAGAACGCCTATGGAACACGATGGGGGAAAACAAAACAACCCCCGAAAATAATAATGGATGGTTAGATAACAATTGACACCAGACCTGATCTTAGCTGACCTTTCATATCACCCGGCTGTGGACCACTTATTCGTTCGTTCCGTGTACCAGCGGGCTGCCGAGTCCATTTGACCCGCCAAATTATTTCATTCGTTTTCAAGTTCGTTGCCGTCGCAGCCCTAGACCATGGTTTTTGATCGCGGGTTTCGTGTTCCCTTTCCTTTTTTTCCCGTTTTTTGTTGTTCATGAAGAGAGGGGTGTAGTGATTTTGACCGATGAGATACGTGAAGCGGAGCGTTGCCACATCGAAGCGGCAGCGACTTGTCAAGGCCCGCGACCTACGCGAGCCACTCTTCATCGTCCCGTTTGAGGCCCCTCATAACCAGACCGTCCTCCTCATCCTCTCCATCCGATTCAAGTGACACCTGTTGAAGGGTGGTGACATAGCCGTTGATGTGGTGGGGGTGCGGTTGAGGACCGTGGCTGTTACCGTTTCCGTTCCGGTGTGACTGGCTACTGCTGCCGTCGTTGTCGCCGTCCTCAAGCATCCATCGTAAGCCATTTGCCTGCTCCTCCAGGGGAAAAACCTCTCGTGCGTATTCTTCCAATCCCCGGGGGCCTTCCCAGAGCTCCAGCGCTAGCCGAGGGCAGCTATTCTCGAGCTCGACATCGCCAAAATAGGGGGGTTGTTTCTTGGGGTCATCGTGGCCCAGGCCGAACAAAGTCTCCAGCGCCTCCAACTGTGCGCGGTAGCCATCCGGGATCGTAGTCTTGATTTCGATCGGCCCATGTATGTAACGGACCGGCCGACCCACACCCCGAGAGAAGACCTTGCACGCTTCGGTCGGAGAGAGCATCTCATACGCGAGGCCGATACGCTTGCCTCCTCCCCACTTCTTCACGCCATCCTTGAAGATTTGGAGGATGGCCGGCCCGACGTCGTGTTCCGCGTCTAGCCAAGGCAGCTTGACGTGTGGGTGGAAGGGTGCTTGCCAGATCCAAGACCCATCCCTTTGGAGTTCGGTGCAGAAGAGCGGGTAGGGAAGGGAGGTAAAATTGTTGTTATAGATGCCGGTGTAGACAAAAGTTGCGGGCAGTCCGATCTTCTTGATGTACTCCTCGACCTGGTGCTTAGAAGCCCAAAGCGGCAGTGATGGCCATTCCTTGTTGTAAGCATGATGGTCGGGCATTGACGAGTAGACGTAGTGTTGGATGTTTGCCTTTTTAGCCGCATCAGCCAATGCCTCTCCGATGTGTTGCTCGTCCCCATAAAATGTGGTGTTAATGAAGGCCAATTGCGCCCCCCTGAACAACTCTGAGATCAGTGTGCGGTTGATGCCAATGCCAGAGATGGGGCCATTGCGCGTCACGTCGACTTGTGCTGTTTCCGCCGGGCGTTCCTTCGTGTATAGCTCGCCTCGAAGGACGGTAACATTTGGATTTGTGGCCACTTCGGTCGCCACAACGCCCTCTAGATTCCGCAACTGCGCTCGAACATGGTAACCAACAGCGGTAGCTACCCGAATAAACGACGCGGCTTGTCTCCCACTGGCGTTGATGACGGCAATGGTCTTGTCTGGAGAGGGCATTGACCGTTTCGCCGGGCGAAATGTTAGGGAATTATTCCGGGATGTGAGAGGCGAGGCTTCTGAGTACGACGATCGCGAGTGCTTGTGCCGCCGTTCTTCGCTGTTGGTGTTGCTGACCACTCTGATGTCCCGCGGAATCGGCCTGATGGCGAGTTCCGAATGCAGCTCGGCCGCCATCGGAGAGAAGGCTAGGGCGTGACGCTGACCCAGAAATCTTCCCAAATTTTAAGCCAGTTTGGTGGTTTCTCGTCCCCCTCCGAAGTCCTCTTGAAGATCTCGGGATTAGACCTTGATATGCGCCCGAGGGTGGCCACGAGTGGTTTGTTTTCTTCTCCTTTTTCCCTGCGTTGGGTTCCCGTATGGCGGAATGGCCCGAGCCTTTGGTTGTAGTGATACAGAATGCAAGGGCTGGCTATCTTGAGTGAATCTGCAGGTCCATGCACAGCAGAGCAATCACGGACAAGCGGCAGGAAGGCGTTTGGTATGCTGCGCAGGCGGTGGTGAGGAGTGAAGGTAGCGAAGTAAGTGAACTTCACCAAGGTGAGAAGTGGTCCGCAATCGCAAGGGCAGATCGATCGAGGGCCTTGACGGGTAGTTGGTGCTGCATATCATCAATCGACCAGTCAAAGCTCGGCGCAGAATGGTGTATTATTCTGGAATCGCGTTTATCTGTTAGTGGGGTTCTTCCCCGAATTGCGGGGCAGTCAAGGCTGCCTGCATGACAAGGAACGCTGATAAACGTTGGACGGGAGCTTGGGGCAAAGAAAAAAAGGGACTGCACCTGACCAACAACAAGAGCAAAGGGGTGGACGGAAGGGAGTGGCCGAGGGACAGAAGAAACTCAGGCACGTTGGGAAGGACGTCCTGTAGTATCAACGACATGTCCAGCACATTAACTAATGACTAAATTGACCGGGAGCCTAAGGCCACAAGTTTGTCCACATGACGAGCCGCAGCCGGCCGGGATGGAGACACTGTTCTGCGATTGCAACGGTCATGCCCCAGCACCGATCGCGTCCGGCTGACGGGTAACATTTGCGCCCACAGGTGATACCGAGCAAAAAGAAAAAAAAGTACACAGGTATGTTTCGATGGAGACTGGCTAACTCGGCTGCCAGATGGCTCCACCGCCCACGTCCCCATCGTGCTCCTGTGCAGGTTCATGAAGAAAGGGGGTCCCGGGACCCCAGGGGGGCACGACAAACGTGCAAACAACGAAGGGGCAACGGGAGAAATGGAAACCCACCGTCCCCACAGGCTTCAAAGGCTCAATCGGCCATGAGTGAAAAGCTTCATTGAGACGCTTGGCAGCGGGCTCATCCAATCGGGAAGATCGCAGAGGCGGCGTGTGGTGCCGTCGGAGGATGGGAGAAGGTTTCGAAGAGGGTCTCCAGCAACTAGGCGGGCACCAATTCAAGCAGAACACAATGGTGCATGGTCACCGACTTCGGCCAGTGGGCTGCGAAAAACAACACGCAGGAAGGACGCCAGTTTGTCACAGAATCAAGGGTCCGAATTGCTCATGCCGTACGGCAAGTAGCATCCTGCTTCGACCGTGGCCGAGGAACGGGATTTGGATGACCTGGCCATGCAGGGATGTACATGAAGAACGGCCAAAAAAATGGATCCCCATCGATAACAGCGAAGCGCGCACGAGGCACACATTTTCTAGTTTGCTCCAACAGCACCAGATCAGATGGTGGGCTGCTTGCGGCGTTGTTAACGGTGTACTTTCGACAAGAGGTGTCACACAAGGTGCTGGGGCCGGACGCGCCTCCCAGTTGACGTCCACTGCCTTCCCAGGTTCTTCCGGGCTGGGCGCCTCGCCGCTTCCTCATTGCACTGATAAACTCGGGCTGTCCTAAAGAGGCAACTGCGGCTGCTCGGCACTGGTTTTCGACTTGGCCCTGTACTGACACAATCACTGCGCAGGTGGTAGGCAAAGATAAGACTCCCACCGTCAGCGTCCGCACGGATGGCGTCAATTTTCCCATCCACCATTCCTTTCCCCTCCCCCCACAAGCAAAAATTGTTTGGCGATCAACTGGAACTGGGCCGCTGCGAACTGTTGGGTCCAAGGCCCCGGTTTCGCCTGCAGCTAGAGGTTGTCGTTACTTGATGATTACCTCCCAGTCTCCGCGATTCATATCCGAGGATGATTTTGTTAGCAATAACTCTTGGCAAGCATCGTGGCTGGACGAATTGCATTTGTGATCCGGGAGGCATCATCCCTCCCTCTCGTCTCTATCGACGACTTCGAGAATGAGCCTGAGCTCCAAAAACGCGGAACTGCCGCACGGGTCCCATCCCCAGGTGCTGGCTGGTTAGATTTCCATGTCGCTTGCTTCCTGGGGTGCTCGATTTACTCGTCCGTCTCCTTATCAGATCGGCTACATTTGATACGCAGTAAAAGGAATTCGGGCTCAGGGAAATTGCCCTCTTTGATGGCGGAGAGTTGCAAGATTCACACTTCCCATTTCCCATAACTGCGGCTATTCCGCTTTCTCTGGCTCTGAGGGGATCGGGCGAGGTATCCCTCTTGGTGATACGAGTGTCGGGTGGGAAGGGAGACGGGGCGCTGGTGTTAAGGAGAGCCTCCACCGTAAAAAACCTTCAGGGTTTTCAAAGTTTCTCCTCCGCCAAGCCGGTCACGAACTCGGGCATGATTCCGCAGTGGACACAATAGTTACCTGACATCTCTTTGCCCCGCGATCTGGGGGATATGGGTGAGCTAATGATGAATTGCGGGGAAATAACCTTAGGGCTAGCGTGGCCCCTTTGAAAGTTTGTCACGGGGAAGCGAGAGGCACGCAGTCGTTAATCATGCACAGTTTGTCGCTTGTCCGTTGATAGACAGGACAGCAATCGCGGTGTTTGGCACAGGAGAAATGATAACGTTAACACCGGTTTACAGACGGTGTCTTCCGCGGAGATGTCAGGTTTTGCCCTGGTGCGTGGTGCAACCCAGAACTTGTCGGAAGAGGGCCCAGGCCGGTCCGGAAGCGGACTAGTCGTCCTATTTGTACGTAATTGAAAAGAAAGCCAACGTCCCAACTTTTTCAGCGCCAGCGGCCACAGCATGGACGCAGCCCACCACACAACTCCCCAGCCGCTCAGCACTGGTGACGAACGAACGCCCGAAACCACCGCCGCATTTCGCCATCCACCCCTTACCAGTTGACATGGAGCAAGATACGGAGGTACGCTGGCGATGACCGACTCCAGTTCTCAGCCAACGGTGACGATTCAGTTAGAGCCTCGCTCCTAGTCAACGCTCATCAACTTCGAAAACCTTTCCCCACGGCCCTCGAAGCACTACCGGATCAAGCTCTCCTCAACGGGTTCTTCCGTCGCGTTTAACCAGGCCTCCAAGGTGCGCCCTTGGTGGCTGGTGCAGCGAGCTTCACCCGCGTTTCGATGTGGCTGCTCAATGGCGTGCCGAGCGAAGAGGTGAGGATACTTATTTTTCATGGTGATGACCTTCCGCCATTTTCGAAACACCGGTCTAAGTATAAGACCCGCGCCGATTGGGTCATCACACACGAGCGATGGGGACTGTGTAGACGTGGCTATGTCCTTTCGTAGTTTTATCCGGTCCCCGAAATTTGATTTGAGTCTAGCCCATTGTACAGGTCTTGATATTGGACAGTATTAACTTGGTCCAAGTACTTGTATACGGGACAACCCGCATCACCGCGATCGTGGCCACAACAAACGCGACGCCTCAGTGATTGCGCCTTTGCTCTTGTAGAGTCGGACGAACATTTCAAGTCAAGAGTCTAGGAACTCCGACAGCAATCGCTCACCTCAACACTCGTAGTGTCTTTCGTGCCGTCCAAGATATAGCTGTTGTAAGCCATGCTTACTAGGCACAAAGTTTCGGCCCGTAGACAAGAGGACAAGTCCGAGGATTAGGTTGAATCTCATAGGGGCAACTCCCCAATATCCTCAACACAAGGCTCGCTGATAGTTCGACTCGGAGATTTCTCTCGTTGGGCACGGCACCAACAATATCGGGCATGGGCCAGGAAGGTATTATCTACGACTGTTCCCGCAGTTTCTCCTTATAAGATGCGTTGCCCTCCTCTTTCTCACCCCTATTCCAGCTTGCCAAAACTGCGTCCGGGGCCAAAGCACAACCCTTGAAGCTGAAAAGGGGTCGAGAACGAGAGGATAAATGTTCCGGAGGGTGGAAGCGGGTATTTCAACCCAAGTGAGAGGATAGCGAGTGTATCAACAACCGGGCCAATGTAGTTATCGTGGAGTTGACTTTTTTTTGCGCCTAGCCTCACCTTTTCTCCATTAGGTTATTATCAAAACTTATTTGTTGTCCGAAGTTCTGCGATTAAACGCGCTAAGCGAGATCCGGCTGCCTTCCCCTGTTCTCAACGCGCTGATCTCCGCATGGGGAACGAGGAACGCCGGGACTGCATTCGGGAGACACGTCCAATGACGGGGCCATTCTGCACGGTGATGTCGATAAACTCCCATCCGTGCCAGGGGGTTCGGAGTCGGGTTTAAGGGGGGCAAGTGCGGAGTTAAGACTTCACTTGGGCCATGTTTTGGATATTGGGATATCACTGAGTTCCTGAGATGGCGGTCAGTGGTCTTAGACAACAACGTCGGTGTGGTTATTGATCAAGATACCGCCAAACTAGTTGGGTGAAACAGTCGCAGTCCGTCTCGGCGGAACAGGAGTGAAAGATATTGATGAATTTGTAAATTGAAACCGTGGCTCCCTACACCGTTTCCCCCCAAAAATCTCCGCCTTTGATGGCGGGATGCGTCGCTTGCTTTGCCCGAGGGTTCACGCAAGCGGAACAGCGCATCCGCCGCCATGGACCACGAATCCCGTCGTTTTCTTGGCATAAACCAGCCGACTCAACATAATCCGTGGATGCCTATGTTCCCCTCTGCCAGCTAAAGTGGCTCTGCATAGGAAGTTACCCATGCCTTCATTATCATCATCTTCACCACCAACCAGACCTGGTGGGCTTGAGAAATTCGGGCGTACGCCCTCGCGTCCCCAAGAGACGGACGTCCCCAGGGCATACTAATGCCCCGCTCCACGACTCGGCGCTTCATTACTTCTTGGATCGCTTCTTCGTGAAGCTGGTGTTTTATGCCTGATCACCGGTGGGTGTCTCATGTGGCCGGGGCACCCGGGAGTCTCTCAATAGCGTATTTCCCCTTGGTGACAGACATGATAGGAACACCGGGGACCTTGCGAATGCGCCTTTTGAGGTCACGATCGTTTGCTGCGACGGATGTTAGGGAGACGCTTTTAGGCAAAAAGGAGGGGTGTACGAACTCGCAACGATATAAATACGGTGCTTTTGTATGCGGTCGACGATGCACTTCGTCCGTTAGCTGATTTGTTTCGGGGCCAGGAGAGTTTAGAGATGGCATACATCATCGGCATATGTTCCCTTGTGGTCACAGGTAAGGCGTGTCCATCTCTCGTCGCGGGCAACTGTACGGTGGTTAGTTTCTTAGCCCGTCAACAAGATGGTTCGGTCACACCCACTCATTAACGCCACCCGGTACTTTGTCCCAAGCTTTTCCAGCTCACTAGACATCAATTGTCAGGAAAACAAATGGTCGACTTCTCAGGGTAGTAAGACTCACGCCATGACGCAAGATGTGATGATGATGTTGCACGAGGCGTAGAGGCAGTCCATTGCCTTTTGGCTTAGTTAGCGAAATGCAACGAGTTATTCATGAGGAAAAGCTTACTGATTCCAGCAAAGGAAGCTTTGCTCCCACTGTCCTAGAGATAAAGTTGGTATCCTAGGGTGAGTTAGCCAATATCCCGGTTAACCACAACTGAATTGGCCCAAACGGCCGGCTCGACGTACTACGATGACTTGGTACGGCTTTCAAGAAAGGTCAGCGCTATTCCGGTTCATAGATTCTAGGGTCACGGTACTAACAGGAACCAAAGCTGTGTTGTGCTGAAAAAACATAGATGAAGGCATCTGGGGCCTACAAAGTACATGTTAGTTGAGACAAGAGGACATCGTCTTGGGGCTAGCGGTAGAACGAGGCAACTCACAATTCGCGGACAGCCTCCTCCTTCTTCTTCTTCAGCTCCATCTCGGCTTTCTTGACGGCGTCATCCTTCCGACGGTCATCCCGTTTTCCAATCATGCGCTTAACCTATACGGGGGGTTAGTGGTGGTTGTTTCTGCCATGAAGGTTTCGCGAAGGATGAAAGTCACGTGCCGTTGCGAATTTTCTTGTTCTTTTGGCGACGCCCATCTTGTGTTGCGGTTGTACTTTGAGGAAGTGGCGAGCGGCGCAAATTTGAATTCCTGTTGGAAATGTGGCGAGATAAATGTCGGAAACGGGTTGAGTTTGTCGAGACGGTGGGAAATGTTTGGACTTAGTATAGTTGCTGGAGACGTCGTGTGAAAATTATATGCTGCAGACGCCAGCGCTTGAGTTGCTGTGTCGTCGTTGCAGCCGCAGGTTCTGAGTGACCCAGCGCTGGCAGCTGACGGCCACTGCCGGAGGAGCGAACGGCACTGCGCGACGGGCCAAGTCAAGGATCAGGCTAAAATTGGGGTTCAGATTTTCTTTGTGCCAGATTGGGAGCGACCTGAGGGCACAGTATGAAAAGTGGGCGATCGAACTGGGTCACTGGGATGTGGCACGCCCGTCATGCACAGCTTTTCCTTGTCAGACATGCAGGAACCACGCTTGGACAAGCGCGATCTCTCAGGGTTGTTCAGGGTCCGCCAGGGTCTTGGAAAAGTGCAGTTTGTGGCCTTGTGTACGGATTCTATGCAACACCCCGTTCGGTCCGTCGTGTCGGAGAAAATACGTATCCCGGGGCTTGCTGAGTTTTACAATCCCGCCAACATCGTATTCAAGAATGCCCCGCTGAACAGCCAGTCACGCAAAAGTGGTCCCGTCATCTTTGAAGGATTGGAGGTGACCGTGTCCCCGCACCACCCATACAGTGCTCGCAGGTTCTCCTTTGGGTAGCTGAGACAGCGGCAGAACAGGGTGCGGCATGGGGCGCTCCTTCAGCCAGGCGCCAGGCGCGAGGCGGGCCCAGCGAAAGCAGGCAAGCAACAAGCCGGACAGGGGCAATACCTTTCCGTTCACGAACTCCTTTTTCCGCGCTGCTGCGCCAAAGCCAGACACAGCCAACCCACTTCTTCCATCGCCAGATCCTGCGCCTTTCGCCCAGTCGCCGGGTGGAACTGAAACCCCAACACCGACAGTTTTTTGCCTGGTTTCTCTCCCGGTCGACCGTTGAAATGCGTGTTGTATTCTCTCGTTCAACTTTGTTTTGAGATTGCCGCACAAGACCAGCACAGAAGCTTTTGTTCCGTTTTGCCCGTTCGGTCGCTCGGCAGCAATTCGGTCTCCGGAACCCTGCTGTGATACCCTTCCGCAGCCCATCAGCAACCAGCCGCTTTCCCCAGGCCACAGATCCGGTCGCTTCGCTCCTCCGTCTCTTCTTCGTACACCTCAATCTCGGCCCGCCGACCGGGTCGCATCGAGAAGCCCCGCCGTTGACCAAGCACCAGTCTCTACCCGTCGCCTCCGCGCGACGACACACTACCGCGGCCATGGCACCTCATCTTTCGCTGAAGCGCGCCTTGCTTCTCACCACCTTCCTAGCTCTCCGAGTCATGGCGCAAGGCGACAACAACAACAACAACAACGGAGGGAACAATGGCGGAAACAACGGGGGAAACAATGGGAACAATGGGGGCGGCGACACCGCGACGACGGGAGACCCCGCGACGACTGGTGACCCTCCTCCGCCTCCGCCTCCCCCTCCGCCAACCACTACCTCAGACACGACTACACAGCAAACGACATCGACGGAAGAGACTTCGTCTTCCTCATCCTCCACGTCAAGCCCCAAGCCCACGCTTCCCGGCCTCACCAGCACCACGAGTACCACTACTTCTTCCTCTTCCCGGGTTGTCCCAACGAACATGCCCAAGGTTTCCAAGACGGCCAATACCGATATTCCGGAGTACCCCCCGCCGACGGTCCCGCCGACCCACAATGCCCCCTTCATGAACCACTCCACACTCCCCGACGGTACCGTGTTCATTGCGGTCGGTGCTATCCTTGGTGCATTCGGTCTTGCCATCTTGCTCTGGCGTACCATCGTTGCCTGCCTGCTACATCGGTCAGTAGAGCGTGCCGCTCTAGCCCAGCACGCCGCCAATAACGGCCGCGGCCCGACCGACAAAAACGCGGCCTCGTTTCCGGCACCTCCGGCCCAGTTTTATAAGTATATCGAACGTGAATCTTCGGCCTCCCTTGCTGGTGCCGGCCTGGGTGCTTCTACGGGGCGGAGAACCAACCGGGGCCCAACACCGTCGGCCACACCCAGCCAAACGAACTTGTTCTTCTCGCCTACTGCTGCCGGCTCCGCTGGTGGCGCGGGTGGCTCGAACCGTGACTCGGCCCGCTTCCTCCCTTCCGGCTTCTACGCGTCAGCCTCGCCTGTTGCGGGCGGCCATTCACATGGCAATTCGATCAACATGAGCACGCTGCGACCGTCTTCACGCGGCCGCGGTGGCCAACTCGGCCCCTCCCCGCCTGAATCGCCCGACGTCGGACCAAGAGCAGCCTCCAGGAATTTCAGCACGAGCTCGCTGAACTTGAACCGGCCGCCCAGTGCCGGAGCGCGGGCGCCTAGCGCGTATCTGGACGACTTGCTTGATGAGCAACCAGGCTTGTTTCCGCCCGCCCAGGGAACCCCGCCGCCCCAGCAGGGACACGGGAGTCAGCGCGGGAGGTACTGAGCACTGCATTGAATGGGAGTAGGGTTGTGGGGGCTGGCGATGGATTGGGGCAGTGGTAAAAATATACAACTAATTGGGTTTGGGTATCGGCTTCTCTTATTGCACCGCGGTTGGATGTGCGTTTTTTTGGCTTCTTCAGTGGCCGGGTTGCCTTTTCCCCTCAATGTGGGAACCCATCTAGCGGCTCCCAAAGGAGGATCGCGGGCATCGAAAATTTCTTGTGGTCAAGGCGTAGCAATGTTGAACGGAGAGTTATTTGCAGCAGACTTTCTCTGTTGGTCCAGGTCTCTTTACCCGGGAGACTCTCTATTTCTCTTCATCCGGCATTAGATGGTGTTGTAGTCAGCTTGACCAAGCCTGTCTCTTTTTTTCTTCGCGTTTTCGTTTCTTGTTTCTGCTCTCACCATCCCCTGGCTCCCCTCTCTCTGCACGTACATACACACAGTAGCTCTGGGTCTTTTTCTTTCTTTCTTTCATCTCCTGTTCCAGCATCCATTCGCCTTATGCTTTTCTTGCTAGTAATGAACATACCATACAATACAGTACTTCCATTTTACCCACGCAATTCGAAGTCTCATTCTAGAAACACGACAAGCATGCTGTTTTGGGCCACTCGCCCCCGGCGTAACTGAGCTTTTTGAATTTGAACATCATGACACGAGGTACCGTGGTTAGGTCACTTCGGAAAGTAGATAAGAGGGCCCGGCAGCACGGGACTGTGTATGTACATGCCATGCCCTATGTCAGACATGCTCTACGTCGTGCAGATCTACCCGACCACCCACAAACCAGGGTAAAGCCAGGTAACTGCTCCATTCCAAATGATTGTTCCGGCATAGCTGTACCGTACCCCCGGCCTGCCGTGAGACATGTTACAGTGTAGTTAGTCCGGAGAGATGTAGTACAGCCACTGATGTCGTGGAACAAGGAGCTATGCCAGATGATTGTGCCGATTCGTGGGCGTCTGTCTACACGTGTGTGTACACGGGTACGTGCTAGTTGTACGAGTGGGCGGGAGGGTGCATGGGTGAGGTGTGTAACGGGCGGGTTACATAGTGCCATTTTTTTTATATTTGGGTAGGGGAGTTTATCTCCGGTCTTGTCGACTAGTTGCTATCATGTGCTGAAACGGTTCACAATATATCAAGGTTGTGTGGCCGTGTGGTACTCCTTCACAATTCGTATTCGCACCACCTATATCGTCAAAGGTGATGGGATGTTTGAAATTATACCCTGTGTTTTATTTGCTCGGTCGTGGCATCCACGACACGTTAAGGTTAATAACATTAAGACTAGAACAAGGGAAAACAGAAATCTAAGTATGCACCCGTCCACCCAAACAGTCCACCACCGCTAAACTTTTCTATCCACCCGTTTGTACCCAATTTGATGACAGTCCAAACAGTCCATTACAGCCCACCCAAAAAGTACCTATGCATAATGAGTATCGTCGCTTCTTTTATTTTTGTTCTTTTCCCTTTTTACACATCCCTCCCAATCGTTACGATGACGGCCCCGCAGACCCCAATGCCTCCAACTCATCCTTCGCACCCCGAATATCCTCCATCCTAATCCCGCTCCGTTCACACATGCCCCTGAAAATACCGCCTTCCATCGCCCACAACTCAATAGGCGGCCCCATCTCCGCGATCTGGCCCTTGTCCATGACACAGATGCGGTCGTAGCCAATAATGGTGCGCAACCGGTGAGCAATGCACAGCAATGTCTTGCCCTTGAAACCCGTGGCGATGGTGGCTTGGATCTTGTCGTCCGTTTCCATGTCCACGCTCGACGTGGCCTCATCGCAGACGATGATCTGAGACCCACGCACGAGGGCACGCGCGAGGGCCATGAGCTGGCGCTGGCCGAGCGAGAAGTTGAGGCCATCTTCTTCGACAGTCGTCTCGAGGTGAATGCGGGACGTGTCCTTGGCGGCGGGCGCGGGAACGGCCGGGTCTTCCGGTGCACCGTCGGCCTTCTCGTCGTCATTGCTATTGCTGTGCGCAGCGCCCTCTGAATCCGAGCCCGATGAGGAGTCAGACACGAGATCAGCTTGTCGTAGGGCGGACCAGAGCTCGAGATCGGTGTGCTCGTTGAAGGGGTCTAGGTTGCTCCGCACAGTGCCGCGGAAGAGGGTAGGGTCTTGCGGGATGATGGCGAGGCGGGAGCGCAGGTCGTGGAGGCCAATCGTCGAAATATTGAGCCCATCAATCGTGATGCTACCCTCAGAGAGTTCTACGAGCCGGAAGAGCGCCGACATGATGGAGCTCTTGCCAGCGCCAGTACGCCCGACGATACCGATGCGCTCGCCGCCTTGGATGTGCATGCTGAGGCCCTGCAGCACAAGCGGGAGCCCAGCACGATACCGCATCTCGACGTTGTCAAACACAATCTCGCCCTTCTCCGGCCACGAGTCACGGACCTCGACCGTCTTGAGGGGTGCTTCCTGCTCAAGTTCGTTGCCGTAGTACCGGAGACGCTCCACAGAGTTCATGCCATTTTCGACCTCGGCCAGCTGGCGCACGGTAAACTGGATCATCTGGACGATAGCGAGAATGTACGAGAGAACCAGGCCACCGGTAGACGGATCGACCGAGAATCGCGACGTCACAACCAAAATTCCCGTGGTAAAAACGAGGCAGTTTCCTATCATGTCCAGTCTCATGGACAGCCATCGCTGGTTGGAATACGTGAGGAAATAGGCGGAGTCCACATTGTCGATGGCCTTGCGAATATCGACAATAAACCGGTCCTTGAGCCCGTAAGCTCGGATGCAGGCAACACCGGACAGGCCTTCGGAGAATTTGGCCGAAAGGGTCGACCTAAGAACCGATTCGATACGCTTTACCTCGCGGGCAGAGGCGCGGTAGTAGCTGGTGGCGAAGAGGAAAATGATAGCCAACGGCACCAGGGCGATGACGAAGTAGTAAAAATAGGCGATGATGAGAATGAAGACGGAAAAGATGCTGGCGATGCTGAAAAAATACATGCGCAACGCGTCCGTGAGGGCGTTATCCATGACATCAACGTCGCGGCTGAACCGGTTCGTGATGCGGCCGAGCGGTGTGGTGTCGAAAAAGGACATGGGTGCCCGCAGGACCCTCGAGACGGCTTGCCGCAGCATCCCCTTGCTGGCCTTGGTGCCAAAGATGGAAAGAGAAACCATGAAGAGGAACATAAGACAGGCCTGGACAGCGCCGAGCCCAGCATAGACGCCGATGTAGGTCCCCATGCTGTAACCGAACCTGTCCGCAGTCCACCAAGACAGCCATAGACTTGTTGAGATATTGGCGCCCTGGGAGATGACTAGGAGACAGAAAACGAGAGGCGCGTTGAGAATCGAACCGGACGCCCTGACGTAGGAAGTGTACACTGACCAGGGAACGCTGGCCACGGCACGCTCCTCGGTTTGCATCAGAGCCGCCTTGGTCTTCTTTTGTTTCTTGGACTTGTCCTTTTCACCGGGGACACGGGCGGCCACGCTGCCCTCTTCCTTCTTCTCTTCGACGGCTGTCGACTCCATAAGCTGCTGGAAGCTCGTGGAATTCTTCATGAGGTTATCGAACGTGTCAACAGCCTGGATTCTGCCGTTGTCCATCCAAATAATGCGATCGCAGCGGTTGAGGACCCATAGTTGATGTGTCGCCAGAATTCGACACTTATCTTTGAGTAAACCTAGGATAGCGTGGTCGAAAATGTGGCGGCCAACGTGAGCATCAACAGCGCTGAGAGGGTCGTCCATGAGGACAATGTCCGCATCAAAGTAGATGGCACGGGCGATGTTCAGTCTTTGCTTCTGACCACCAGAGATGGTGATGCCCCTCTCACCGATCTCGGTCATGTCACTGTTGGGCAACATATCTAGGTCTTGCTGCAGCGCGCATCTACGGGGTGTCAGTTAGCGGGCGTAGGGGGTACGCAAACCCTCAGGAAAGGAGGTGCTTGAAAAACTTACGCTTTGATCACGTCGGCATACCATTCCTTGTCCATCTCTTTGCCGAAGAGAATGTTCTCTCGCACTGTAGCATTTTGGATCCACGCGTACTGGGGACAAAAGGACCGAGAGGCACCCAAGATGACCTCCCCACTGGTCTGGCGCATGTCGCCGGCTAAGGAAGCCAAGAGGGAAGTCTTGCCACTCCCCACGGTGCCAATGACAGCGACAAGTTCGTTTCTTCCAATCTCGAAATTCAAATCTCGGATCTTGAACGGCTCTTGCTCGCCCCCCTGAGCGCTATCCGGCTCGCTGGGGACCGTTGCCGTACCCTCGTGAGATTTATCCGCAACCCCCTCGGCCGGGGCTGCTACGGCCGCAGCTGCTGGTTTGGAACGGGTAGTCTCAGTGTCCTGGGTCGGCGTCCTCTCCCAGGTGAAGGACGCGTCGCGCAACTCGACCGCGCTCACGGCATCGGGCTTTTGGATTGCCTCGTCCTCGCGCTCCTCGGCGAGTAGGAACTCTTGGATACGGCCAACCGAAGACATGGCGTCGGTAATTTGGCCGAGAACGAGGGGTAATATGTTCAGAGGCATCCTCAGCCCGTTGAAGAGGGCAAGTGAGGAGAACACCTGGGCGGGCGCGAGGCCGTGGTTGGTCAAGGAATAGGTGATGAAGGACAACATGGAGGCGAAGATTGGTAAGGAAATGCCGACGGCCATGATGGCATTTCGAATGCCCAGCACAACTTGAATCGAGGAGATCTCTCTATTCCTGAAATCGTCGATGCGCTTCAGGAACGATTCCTCCCAGCCGAAAAACTTGACGAAGCGAACGGATTGCAGAATTTCCTGTGTGAGGCTCACTCTCTGATCGGTAATCTTATTGATGTCCCTTCTGCGAGCAAACAGGCTCTGGACGGCCTTGGACAGTAGGGGTAGCATGACAACTAACAAACCGAAGCCGGCAAGAGCGCTGTAGGTCAAGTTCACTAGCAGCATGGCGAGAGTGATGAGGATAGAAAGGGGAGCGGTCCAGGCGATGTGGAAAAACCCAAAGGCTTGGTCGATTCGATATGTATCGACGCTCATCAGAGCCATCTGCCTATTGATTAGCACGGGGAGTATCATCGCGGAGAGCAAAAGGGTGGTCCAGCTCACAATTCTCCCATTATCCCAACCAACGCCATCACCGGAAAGAGCCGCTTGCTTTTCTGTCGGTCCTGCGCCCTTGGCCTTCTTCGCCTTCTTCGCCGCGTCTTTCTTCCTTTGGTCTTCGGCAGCTCTAGCAGCAGGAATATCTGGCAATTCTGCCCCCCCAGCTTTGGCACGACCAGAGATTACCATGGACTTTTCGTAGATCAGACTGATCAATGCAGCTCTGGTCATGCCGCCCACGAGCATGCCACGGTACAGAAAGTGGTTGGTAGCCAAGCTCTGCACAACCTGCATGAGTGTGATACCAACGACCAAGCCGATCCCGTGACCAATATTCGGAGCTGGGAGACCTCGCAGGCTGGCGATGTAGGCGTCGGCGGCGAACTGGATCAGGTACCGAAGCACGAAAGGGGACATGACTTGCATCACGGACGAGAGGAGGGCACAAGCGCCACCGAACCAAAATTCCCGGAAAAAGGTCTCGTTGATGGCCCACATCAGGGGGAACTTGTCCCCTTCGTTAAGGCGGCGCTTGAAAACGGCCCGGAGCTTGTCGGTCATGGGGTCGACGGCCCGGTCAGGGTTGACACTGTATATGTCGTTGAACTCGAGAGGCCGTTTGTAGCCTCGACTCATCAGCGGGGCGATCCATTGGAAGATCAGGGAGCTGAAGAACCCGGCGTTGTACTCCGGGCAGACCTCTTGTTCCTTGGGCACGGGGGGGATCTTCCCCCACCGGAGGGGGTTCGGTTGCTTGTACCATGGCTTCTGCTCGGGCAGCTGGTTTGTTGTTACTGGCGTGGCGCTGGCTACGCTGGTAGCGGTAGCAACGGTTCTTAGTCGGTCCAACTCAGCTTGCCTAGTACCATTGTCGGCCGCTTCCTCCGCCGTCTCTACCCTCTGCAGCTCGTCCTGGCCTTGGTCTCGTCCTTGATCGTCTCCGTGTAAGGTCTCCTTCTCTGCGGATGGCGAGGCGGAGCGAGGTGATGGTGTCCCGGTGGGCGATACAGGGCCGGCTGCAGCCGCGTTCACCTCTTTTTCGTGCGAAGGGTCTGTCATGGCGGGCCAGTGCAAGCGTCGAGGACCCCTTTCAACGTACGGTTTGCTGGTTAGTAGGTCCCGGGCTCGTTAGAGAGCAAGGCGTCGTTGATTCGGTAATACCGGCTGCTTTATGCGGCCATGGGTCACGGCGTGCAGGTCCTGGGCCGAGGCGGCTTGTGTGGTTCAAGTGGGGAGCAGCGAGGGGCCCGTGGTGCGGGAGCGGGCGCGGACGCTGATAGAAATGCTGGTGCAGACGCTTGTGACAAGTCCTCCGTTATTCCTTCTATTGGTATGACGGGGCGGCGCAATGATATTAACGTGATGGACATGCGAAATCACAGCGGTCGGTGGAGAGCACGACCAGGGAACGAGGAACAAGCGAGCGAGAGAATGGCCGTCAGGGTTGCCCTCCGGATTCTATCACGAAATAGTAGACAAATAGCCCAACAGAATCATGGAGGGGAACACGGCTAAGATAAAACGAAAGGAAATAAAAAAAATGCAGAACTCGGGAAGGCGCCCGGAGAACTTGACCAACAACCCCATTTTGTTTCCGTGGTTGCCCGCCCCCGTTCCTTCCTCTTCACCTCACCCCTCCCCAGCAACCTCATGCATGGTCGGCCGAGTGTAACGTTCGAAAGCTTAACACTAGCGCTGGCGACATGACATAGATGAAATGGGATGTGGGCGCGCCAGCCCATCGGCGCACGGCGGTTTCTAACGCCGGCGGCTGTGGGGACTTCTCGGGCTTGAAAAGAAAAAACGAAGCCTTCTCTTGGCTTCGCCTATTGCGGCCCCTGCGCTTGGTGAGTGTCAAGAAAGTTGCCGGCCCACTCACCGCTCTCGAGACCACGGACATAACAGGGAATTGACCTCTTGGCTCCATTTCAATTTGTGTCATTGGCCATCATTCTCGCGACCTGCCTTCTGGAATTTTTAGGCATGTCGCGCACCACGCGGCTTGGCTGCCTCGTGGAAAGACAGGTCACTAACTAGTAACTACCACCAAGGCTAGGTACCTACACTCAAGCTGCCTATTTAAGAAGCTCTCGGCCGGGCTCGCAACTCCTGCACAAACAAGGGAGTCATTTGAACTCAACGCGGTGGTTGCGTCGGGAGACAAGGCGATTCCGCTTCCGGCTTCGGAAACAGCTCTCTCGGCAAGTTCTATCCGTCCATTAATAATGTCGGTTGTTGATTGGCCCATGATCAAGCAAAGCAAACCTCTCCCGGCCCATCGCATGGGCCTCGACCTCGACCTTTAGCCCATGTTTGTTGCCGGCAGATGTCACGGACACTTGTCGCTGTCTTTCATCAGAATTCGAGGGTTAACTCTCCGAGGAGGAAGCGGAGTTGTTTAATGGCCAACGGGCATACCTGGCCAATATCCTTTGAAACCATATTTACCACAGTATCTTTTACACTGTCTACTGAATGCTTACAAACCTTCGCAAACAGCTTGTATCCAGGCCATCCGTGATAACTTCAACAAACAGATCCGCTTAGCCAGGGAGGTCCGCCTCAAGCCCTAACTTACCCCAACAAGGGGAGTGGTTACACAAAGTCTGCAATGGCGGTTTATCGGCCTTGATTTTTGACTCACCAAAGTAAAAAAAGCAAGGCCGACGAGGCGCCATGCTCGGTTCCAGTCTCTTCCTACACTTCTCGAGTGCTTAACCGAAACCGACGCAGCCTCGTCATCACTTCACCCTCCTCCAAATGACTTCCCCACTTTCCTGAACATGACTGAAGTTACATTGAACTTAACCTGTGGGCGCTGTCACACTTTTCGTGCCTTAATTCAACCTTGACTTGTCCACTGAAACCACAGAATGATCCTTCTTTGGTTCGGACTTGTTTTTCCTTTTTGGAATGTCATTTCGGGGATCGGGGCCAACGCACCGTCTTATCTCCGGCACAAGCTTTGCGCTCCAGACCCCCCTCCCCACTTTCTCGGCCGGTATCACAATCCTCCCGACGGGAGACTCGGCTTGGGAATGTAGGTGGGATGTACGTAAAGGAACGGGGTTGTCAATTTGTCATCCTATTGAAGAAAATTCCCGTAACGGTTCGCTCTTGTTTGTGCTCGGATTTTGTTCTCGCTTTCTCGTGAGGGAACAGTTGATGCCCTCCCCTGGCCGACGTTCTTTGCCCGTCAGGTCCGCCGACTCGTGTCATATACGACTTGATATTGGGGCAGCAAAAACAGGCCAGAGCCGGTTGGTAGTATTTCAGTATCCTATTTCTATGGACTATCTTGGTTGAAATGGTATGCGGTGATACCTGTCATTGCCTCAGACCATATTGCCCTGTGCCTGGTGGGCTTGTGAGGGTTGAAGAAAAGAGGAAACTAGAAGAAGGATCGCTTGATCCTTTAAGAAATGGTGAATCGGGCAAGGACATTCAACATGTCAAGAAAAATGAAGTCAAACACAACAAGGACCCACCTAGACCCGACTCACCGGGCCCAACTCACCGGGCCCAACTCACACCTGACCCAGCCGGCCGGTACCGACCTCCCCACAATAGACTGAGACTAAGGGGTTGACCGAGCGGGTGTGTATGGAACGGCCGCAATCATTGCCTTCCCGCCGTGGCAATCGCATCTCTCGGATGCGGCCGAGATCCCTAGATCGATGGGAAGAGATCGGGCGAATCCTCCTGCACCATCCCAAGCAGCCCGATAACGGCATGCTCCCAACCGGCTGAGCCGGACCCAGGGAACGGGAGAGGCACGCGACAGTCCCGTCGCACGCAAAAGCTAGGGGTTAAACACGCCATAGCCCGAAGGTAAGGCATGTAACGCCTAACGCCAATTTGTGTCGCATCTTGAATACATAGGTGCATATCAGCCCTACGCGGGACTGTTCGCTGGGCAGACATCAGGCCAGGACGAGAAGTGAAAACAGAGAGACAGTAATAGGCTGCACTCCTTTCGCAATGCGAAATCCGTTCGAATAGGGACCCGCCTAGTACAGCCCCTCTGCATTACGATGCACACCGGAATGAACTAGAACAAAGACGTTAGTAATTTTTGTACTGAAAAATTCCCTACCTGATTCAGCCAGCCGGTGTAATGTAATGCTTTCATGCCGGAGCCAAATGCCGGCCACCGCAAAAGTTAAGTGAGGCGAGTTGAATTAGACCGTTCGACGTCGTCACCATTCACGGAATGGGATTAGGCGGAGGGGACGAAGGCGCGGGCAGTGAGCGAGTTGCAAAATTCACGCAAGGGACGACGGGATCGAGGGTTGCAAAATGATGGACGACGAGAATCAACGAGCGGATGAGGCGAGCGACAGTCGCAGTTTACAAGGTCGGGGCAACAGGCCGTGTTTGTTTTGTTTCCTGAACGGGCCGATAGTTTGCCGGCCGATCTGAGAAAGGCGCTTCCACGTATTCGAAGCGGATTCATTAGGCGCGTGTTGAATTTTTGTCACAATTAGGACCTGTTGTGGGTTGATGGTTGTCTTCGTATCATGTCGACTACGGAAGAGAAAGCCTCCCCCCGGCGATGAGAAAGTTGCTGCTGTTGCAGAGTCGTCACGGGTATGTGATGTGATGTGCCGCAGTAGCGTAAAGGCGCAAAGAGAGAAAAATAATCGTACAGAGGCGGCTCCCATCTACCCCGTTTTCCGATCCAACTGAAGGAAGCGAAGGGACAGTTTTGAACGGGCGCCTGAAAAAAAAGGTCGGCCAGTAACTGCTGCAGATTGAGCCAGGTCCCATTTGCCATCGAGAATGTCGAGTGCCGCACCATACATGGCTTAACGATCTAGGGAACCAGTCTGATGAAAGGCGATGTGCCGAAACAGGGCCGTTTAAACCCCCCATATGCCTGCCGTGAACTCCAACCGATCGAATTTTTGGGATATCCGAATTCTGTGCCCATGCCAAACGCAAAAACGAGAGAGAAAAAAGGAAACCCGTGCTGTGACTCGGTCAGCTGGCATATGCAGCCATACTTAGCAAATTTCGGAATCGGGACGGATGGTTTAACGGCCACCTGCTGCAATCAGTTATTACTTGTTGTTACCAAATGGCAAAGCGGGAGCTCGGAAGGGGGGTTACCATAGGGCTCGCGGGTATCAGCACGAGGAGCGGCATCACCGTAGCCTCCAGTGCCACTGGGGGCGGACTCGCGAGGACGGGAGTCGCGGTCGCTCGGGCGGTCGTAACGCTCACGGTCATAGCTAGGACCACGACGGTCATCACCACCACGGCCACCATAGCTACGGTCGCGGTCCTCACGACCACCGCTACCATAACGGTCAACTCGGCTGCCGTAGGCCTCATCTCCGCGCTCACGACGCTCGTAGCCGCCACGGTCCTCACGGTATTCGCGGCTATAGCCTCGGTCCTCGCGGTAGTCCCGTCCGCCACCACCACCGCCGCCACCACTGCCACCATAGCCACGGTCGTAGCCACGGTCATATCCACGGTCATAGCCGCGGTCCTCGCGGCCATAGCCACGTGGACCACCGCGGTACGAGTCATCACGACCGTAACCTCCACCATAGCCACCGCCACCGTAACCTCCACCACGTCGGCGGTCCTCGAAACGACCTCCTCCACCACGGGGGTCTGTCATCTTTTTAGTCGTGGACGATTCAGACGTAGGCGAGGGGGGGATGCTTGGGTTATTACTCACCACGCTTGGGGGGACCAAAATACTTGCCGGGTGTCGGGGTGCGCGGGCGGACACGGCGCGCCTTCTCGATGTTAAGGGTGCGGCCCTCAATTACCTCGCCGCGCAGACCCTCGATAGCAGCCTCGGCTTGCTCAGAAGTGACCATCTTGACGAAGCCAAAGCCACGCGACTCGCCGGAGTGAGGGTCCTTCATGATCTGGCACTTCTCAACTTCACCATATTTCTCAAAAAGACGAGTGATCTCCGACTCCTCCAGGCGGGGGTGAATGCCGGTCACGAACAGGTTGGAGCCTGGGTTGCTGGCGCCATCGTCATCCTGTTTACCGCTGTCGCTCTTGATCGGAGCGCTGGAGGATATGGTAAGTCAGCAGGTGGCTACTATTATTGCGAGTATGTCTAGGCTGTGATCAATCGCTACGTGATTGTCTGCGGGCGCGTGCAACGTACCGGTCGTTACCGTTGGGAGACATGGAGCGACGACGAGAATCGTGGCCATCGTCGCGGCGCGGAGACGCACTACGGTCGCGCTCGTAGCGGGGGCCATCATCTAGTCCCAGCGAGTTAGTAATGACTGATTGCAGATGCAGGATTCGTGATGAGTGGTGGTGGCGACATGGATGCTAGCCGCAAAGCACGCGTGTCGCAATCGTGGCCGCGGGTGGAGAGAGAGGGAAGGCTGCGCGCTTACCGTCATAGCGTTCGCCAGTGGCCTCGTAATCCATCGAAGTAGTCGCCATGACGGCTGATAAATGGGAGGCGTGGTTCGGTTGGATGGGAATGGAAAGGAAAGAAGAAGGTTGAAAGGAGCTGCTCGACTTTACGAAGTGGAGCGGAGCTGGGGAAGTGGTGTGCTGTGTGGTTTGAGGGAGAACGGAAAAACAACCAGGCTCCCGGGAAATTATTTGACTGCAACACCTGAATTATCAGGCTCTTCCCAATGCGGGTATCCGCCAATGGGAAACAACAAAGAAACTCAGGGTGGTGCAAGAAAATGCTTCGGTGAATGGCGAGCTCAATCTCAGCACGGTAGGGAGAGAAAAGAAGAGAAGGGCGAAATTTTTGGAGGCGAGAACGATGCATGCAAACCACGTTACCCGTCGCGCTTTTGCCCTTGTTCTTCTTGTTATTGCATACGCAGCAGTTAAGATGAAGCCAGCTGGGAGAGAGGGAGCTAGCCTGATCGAGCTAGTTAGTCAGCTGCTGGAATGAGGCTTGGCGCTCGATATTCACAGCTCGCAAACATTCAACTCTGCGCTCCCTCCTTTCAGCAACATGAGGAACTCTGCTTTCAGGAATCGGAAAGAGGGCGGTTTTCAATGCCCATGATTTTAATACCAAGAAATGACAAATAACCTAGAATCGGGTTCATTAGAGCCTCTGAGACCTGCAACCCAACTTCTTTTAGCCAATCATGCCCGAAACGCATTCTTGTCCACAAGAACATAAATCCCAACTGACAATTGGTCGCCCTGGCTGTCCGGGACAGGAACGCTGAGTGAATAATGTTGAAGAGCTTATAACAATGCGGGGGCAATGCGTGGGTGGCAAATGGGAAAACCACACTCAGGCTTCAATATGTTTGTCATACGGGTCGCGGGGGGTTCCTGTGGGAGCTGAAGCAACAAGCCCTAATACTGTCGACCGCTAGCGACACCCTCATTATCGTACAAAGCAACGTACAAAATCACCCGGCGCTCTCCTAGAGATCCTCCCACTCGTCATCACCGCCCATCCCAACATTCCGCTCCCCTTGAAGCACCTTATCGACATTGAGCGCAGCTGGAGGTTTCTCGTCCAAGAACCGCAGCGCCTCGACAGCCTTTCCACCACAAGCTCGCTCCAGTGCTAAAGAGGCAAAGTGGCCGCCTACGACCGGCCGAGCCATGAAACGAATGTTGTTAGGGAAGTTCCCATCGCCCTCAGTTTCGTACAAGTCGGTGAACGGTCGATCTACGAGGCCATCAGTCTTGTTCAAATATATGTTCACGCGCTGGGGTACTGTGTGCTGTAAGCAACAGGGAGGAATAAACATACCAACGACAGTCTCATTCACCCACCGTGCCACGGCCGTCAGGATCTCCGTCCGGGTTTCCCTTCCCGTTACCGCCGCCGCAAAGAACTGCCAGTCGCTCTTGGTGTACAAGTGCCTTGAGTCAAGGGGTAGGCCGAACTTTTGCAACACGGCATGATACCAGTCGCTCTGCATCTGGTAAACCTTGTCGGGGATAAATGCCGTCTCCTTCCCAATGTCGCCTCCGATCGGCTTCTGGCCGACTCTTCCGATGCGACCGTTCCCGGCTTTGTTCTCATCCTCAACGTGGAAGCATAGGAGCGAGTCGGCGTACAAGTTGTAGATGGTGGTCCATGAGCCGTACCACGTGTATGCCAACTTGGCGTGCGTCCCGTCGCGTGATATGCCATACTCCTGCCACTTGTCGATGTAGTTATCGGCGATGTCCTTGTAGCGCTTCGCATCTTCGTCCTGGCCGACTAGGTCCGCGATGTCGCTCATGGCCCTGATCCCAACAATGCCCTTGAGCGCGAGATTCGTCTGGTTGGCTAGCCAGCCGGCGAAGTCGTCGGTGCAGAGCTGATTGTGCGGGATGAGTGACTCACGGACGAGGTAACCTGTCCACTTAGACCAGAGTTTGTACGAGCGAGAGAGCCACTTTTCAGCGGTCTTGCGCCCTGTGGCCTTGGTAGTGGTTGCTTCAGACTCCTGAGTTCGTGACACATCAAAACCGTGCTTGTCGACATGACCTTGCCATTTGGCAAAGGACGTCAATTCTCCTGCCTCGCTGCTCACCATTGCTTTCGCGAAGGCGGGCTCCGTATCGTAGCGAAGCGCATTGGCGAGCGCGAGGCCCATGATGAGCATGTTCCCACACTCCTCGACGGGCATATACTCGTCCCTCCCGTCCGAATGACCTGTCGCATTGGGGAAATGGTATCCGAGATCGTGCATGCTGTAGTCGTTCGGATATTGGCCGCTCAGCTGATGCTCAAGTAGTGGTTCCAGCAGGTACGCCAGCCACTGCGGATTGGTGTACAGGAAGAAGGGAAAGGCCGGGAAGATGACATCTACGGTCTGAAAATTGCCGTTGGATGAAATCTCTTTTAGAAACAAGATAGGGTTGTCTGGCGTTCCGGAGAACTGGGTAGCACCCAGAACCTGGCGGGCCGAGAGCGCGGCGATGTCCTGGTAGTCTTGCGAGCCGGAGCGGTACGCATCGACGGCAAGCGAGTCCGAGTAGTTCTTGGCAAGTGTTACAGCGGTTTCAAAGTCATTGTAGTGGTACTTGATCAGCTCGTTGGGGTTGGAGATATGTGATTCCCAGAGTGGCTTCATGTGTGTTAACCCCTTTGCTCTTGCGAACTGGACCACCGGATCTTGGATGAGGGCGAAGGTGAAGGTGACGCTCTCCGTTTTCCTGTGACATTTCCCTTTCTTGTCACCTAACTTGAACGACTTGGCGAAGGCAAACACGGGTTCCTGGTCCATAACCGAGCGGAACTTCTGGTCGACTTCGTTCTTCAACACGCCTTTCTCTGCAAAGTGCTGGCGCAGGAGCGCGGATGTCCCGCTTTGATGGTAAACATCAGCGGGTCCAGTGAAATGTAATGTTCCCCATTCGGAGCGGTCTGCAAACTCAGTAAAGAGCTGTTCATGAAGCCTCGAGACCTTCCAAGTCTTGAGCACCGCATTTGCATTACTGCCACTACTCTCGTTCCCGGAGCGGCGGTGCTTGTGCAGTTCCCATTGTACCTCGTTGCCTCGATTTCCCGTAACCCATTCGCCGTTGGTGTCGGTGTAGATGTTAACATCAAGACATCCCTCGACGATCACAGTTAGGTAGGCCGCTGGGATCGATTGTCGGAACGTGGATGACGGGGTGATTGGAGATAAGAATGACAGCGTTAGCCGAGCATTCTTATCGGACGATGTCCCAGACACTTGATACGTCAAGTTCGTCGTTGACGCATCGAAAGCCGCACCGAGATATTCGGGGTACCCCACTTGGTAATGTTCATGGTCGTGCCGGAGGGAGTCATGGGGCCGCCCGAGGAGAGGATAGACTTTGCCGGTCTCTGGGACGGAGACCATGACGGAGAAACCGACCTGCGATCGAGAACGTTTTAGCACGCGGGCAAATAGGGACTCAATAATAACAGTAATTGAAATCATTTTCCTACATGGGCTCCAGTATAGAACACCGGCCAATTCTCCCACGGCGCATCGCGGGCGTTGTATAACCAGGTGCTCAGGTATGGGTTTCGGACGATCAACGGTAGAACATTGGGGGTGAGGGTCGATGCGCTGGCCAGAACGACCAGCGCCAGGAAGTCAAGACGCATCTTCTTTGGTGCCTGGGTCGAAAGTAGCAGGTAGGAGGTCGTTAACTGTAGTCGAAACTAACAGCTCCCCATTGCACTGCGCCGCCTAGCACCGGTCCTGTTTCCGGTCGGGTACGAAGCGAAGCTTAGCCAGGGAGCTCAAGTGTTGTCAAATCGATAATCGAGGCGCCCCTATGGCTGTGTCTCCGGCCGTACGTAGTACCTATTCGAGACAACAGAAAAGATACTAAGTAATGATGATAGCGTCCACGCTAGCTGGTTAAGACTTCGAGAATGTCTAGCTACGGCAGCACTGTTTAAGATGTAGATGGGATGAACCCACAGCAAAGAACGGTACAAGATAAAAAAGACCCCTGGAGTTTTCAAGTTCCCGGTTTTTTTTTTGGCAAAAGGAATGAAAAGGGGGACCTTAGCTCCAGCTCCTTTCCATCCTCGGCATGCTGAGCAACGCTTGATGACGACGCCTTGAGGTTGATCGCTCGGTCCTTCCAATGTTCCATGAAGCCCCTCGCCCAATCGCTAAAAGCTGGGGAATCGCCCTAGGGGGCTCCATTTTCAGGGCTACTGGCGCGCTGATTAACCCCGCAGTTTCGGAATCTTGGCGTGCGCAAGCTGAGTTGGTGGTCCCCACCACTGTGTGGGGACTTAGGTGTGTGTTGAAACGCACCCCGCAGCACCTCGACCGCAGGTGGTCACCCATTTCTGAATGAGAAGCGGCTGGGATGGAAATTCGGAGATACTTGTATGGATGGGCTGAGATGGAAAACCTAAACGAGCCCCTCGAGCTCGAGAAAGGGCGGGTTCATAAAGAGCTCAGTCGTTTACAAATCAGTTTTAGAAAGTTATCTATAGGATGTACATTTACATAACCTGGTGCCACCCAGGAGATTCCTTAACATGCAAAGTCGCCTAACCGACTCAACAACCACCTGACCCCCGCCATCCACGTTGTTCTGCCTTCTTGACCTAGAGCAAAAAATAGAACGTCGCGCTGAGGAAATGAAAACCCCCAACTCCGCAACCTTGTCTCCGTATATCCCATACATATCCATCCCCCGACATGACCTTCGTAATCCCCTTGGCACTCAATATTGGCCTCGGGGGCACCGGGGGGGGGATGATCTAATGCGCTAGTGAACAAGTGCTAGTAAAAATGGCCCCAGGAGCAAAGTTAAAACGAAAAGCGAGCGTAAGCCCGAGCAATACAACCCAGATCGATGAGGGAGACCTTGTCCAGTGGGAAGGAAGAAGGAATCAGCTGCCGCGGAAGAGGAACTGCAGATCCTCCGGGCTGAGCGAGTCCATCGCCGCATCATCAGCATTGATGGTAGAGTTGATCATGTTTGTCTTCTTCTCTTGTAAGAGGACCATACGGCTCTCAACGGAGTCCTCAATACACAGGCGGGTGATGGTGCATGGACGGGTTTGCCCAATACGATGGCACCGGTCAGCAGACTGCCATTCACTGTTTCAAACTTTGGGTTAGCATTATGTGCCGCAGGGTGTGACGAGAAGGGAGGTCAAGTTGGGGGCTGGCAAGAGGTGTGATGGCAATAATACATACGCCGCAGGATTCCACCAGGGGTCGACGATGAAAACCCGAGAAGCCTCGGTAAGATTCAGTGCTACGCCGCCAGCCTTGAGTGAAACTAGAAAGACCTCGACGTCGACATTGGTCATGAAATACTGAATCGACGCCTGCCGTTGAGCAGGGGTCATGCTGCCATCAAGCATCACAGTTGTGATACCGGCACGACGCAGACGCCACTCGATCAGCTGCAGCATGGTCGTGAACTGGGAGAAGATGATGGACTTGTGTGACGAATTGTCGGAGCGGAGCTTGTGGAGCTCGTGCACGAGTAGCTCGATCTTGGAGGACGACGTCCAATCCTCCATTTTAATCCGGTTGATGATAGACGATTTTTTGACCTGGACCTCGTCCTGCTCCATCTCAGGCTGCTCGAGGTCAATGGACAGTGGGATGTGACACTGCGGACAGTTCGGCTCTGTCGTCGAGTTCAGGTAGCTCTTGACGCACATACGGCAGAAGTCGTGTTTGCATTGGGACCGGATCGCGTCCTCGGCTGGCTCGTCGCAAATGCTGCACACGAGTATGTTTTGACCGCCCTCGCTGTTCTTCTTCAGGATCAGGTCTGGGTGATCAGCTACCTGGCGCATCTGCATAATGAGACCAAAGATGTTGGCGTAGTTGTTGAGGAGGACGCCGCTGGCGACGTAAGTATCGAACTTGCGTTGACCATTCGTCATGATACTGTTGGCAAAATCGTTCTCCTCTTCGCCAAAAAACTGGCGCTCCACGTTAATCTCCTTCACTGGAAGCTCCATTGAATCCGTGTGGTCTTTCTTGAGACGGCGAAGCATGATTCGATCCGTCATAATACGCAGTTTCTGGAAGGCCGCGGCGCCAACGCCCCGATTGCCAAACTTTTGAATGGGGTTGAGCAATTCTTGGTTGAAAACGGATACATGGCGCATGCCACCGTGGCCACAACCTGTGCATCTGTTGTCGTCGTCCATCTGCCACTCCAGTGTGGAGCAAGGGCACTGCTTGCACAAGTAGCAGGCAAAAGGGCGGATGTTGAGGAAGCGAATCAGGGAGAAAAACTCGCCGATGCGGTTTTGGAGAGGGGTGCCAGATAGGCACCAGCGGTAGGTGACCTTGAGGGCAAAACAGGCCTTGGCTGTCATGGTCGTTCTCGTTTTGATGCAGTGAGCCTCGTCGAGAATCACACGGTGGAAGCTGGTTTGGTGGATGATTGACTTTTCTTTGAATAGGCCGCCCTTGCGCTTGAAGCCCTTCTCCTGCTTGCGGTACATCGACTCTAGGCTGTTGTAAGACATGATGATGACATTGTACTTCTTGATGTCTTTAGCCGTGAGGTTTTTCGATTTGGAGTTGGTTCCGTGGAGGACGAGCGTCTTCAGAGTTCCGTCCGTGTAGGACTCGATTTCCGTCATCCACTGCATCAAGGCGACGGGAGGAACTAATACTAGCGAGGGCTTTTTGGCCGGAAAGTCAGACATGATGAGGGAGACGGCCTGAATAGTCTTGCCGAGGCCCATCTCATCGCCGAGCAGGCCGCCCTTCCACTTTGTCTTCTCCATCGCCATCATCCAAGCTAAGCCCTCAAGCTGAAAGGGCTTAAGGTGGCGAGAGATGGATTTTGGTTGATTTGCTTTGCCAGCTTTCAAAACAGGCATGTCTTCTAGTTCCTTCCACATAGTGGTAAGTTCTGGGTGGTGCGTTTCTAAGCGAATCCGGCTGATCTTGACACGACGCTGGTCAGCCTGGGCGCGGTAGGCGCGGCGCTGGGTCATCGCGTCTCGGAGGCCGCGGCGGTGGGCCATCGCGGCCTGAAAGGCCGTGTCTAGTGCGGCTAAATGGTCATCATTGTTGCCGTTGTCGTTGTCCACGAGGTTGCCGTCGGGGGCTCCGCCAGCGTCAGGATCGGCACGGCCATCGTCCCCAGCGTCGGAAAGATCACTGTCCGAGATCAGGTAGTCGGACCCAAAGGCGCTAACACTGGCGTCATCATCTGACAGATCATCACTGTCGGGGAGTGCCGCATCCTCCTGGGGCTTCTTATTGTGCGATCCTCGTGCTTGGGCGGGTGGTGCCCCAGGTTTGGTCGTAGAAGCTTTTCTGACAGTGGCCCGCGATCTCCGCAAAGGCTCATCGTCACTCTCATCCTCATCTGAGGGTTGCTGAAGATCGCTTTGTTCGCCTTCGGAATCTGGTACGGCGACGGCCCGTCTTTTGTTTCGGATCTTAGAAGAGCTAGCGGGTCGCGATGGACGAGCGGCAGGCGGAGCAGCGGCGCGACGTCGAGTTGAGGGGCCAGATTCAGAAACAGAAGGCTTGTCAACGTTTTCGGCGGGGGCATACTCTTCCGCCTGTAGTTTCCGAGCCATGGCCGCATCCGGGGAACTGTCCGAGAATTCTTCCTCGCTATCCTGAACCACGGAGCGTTTCCGCTTCGTGCCCATGGCCAAAAGACTATTGTCGCGGTTTCGATGCAGTGGTATCTTCGTAGATGGGAGTACCACTTCAATCCTATTGACTCGCTGGCCCGAAGGCTGCTGCAGAGGCTCCTTTGGGGTCGCCATCTCGGAATTGCTAGTCAGAGGGGTCGTAACTCCGCTAAGAAGGGAAGGGGTGGCGGAGGTAAAGACAGTCGGTGAGTCGGACGTCACACTTGACCTGCTGCTCTGGCCTTTGGGCCGCTTAGCGGGATCCAAGGGGCGAGGCTGCGGAGGTGCTACTAATGATTGAATTAGACAAAGTCGTGAATCGTGATGAAGGAATGAAAAAAATCAAGGCCCCAAAAAACAAACTAAAAGAGAACAAAGGAAACAGCCCGAGCTAAAGCGGACACATTTTCAAAAGCGAGGAGCCGGAATCAAGAAAGGCCGGAGAAGGCCACATACCGGCAGTGCCGTCAGCCGCGGCTAGGGACCGCCTCGTTCGAACCATGACGACGACTTGGGGTTGAAAGGGCGAAAACCGATATGTTTCAAGATGCACCCTGATTAAATCATCAAGGATTGGTCTTTGAAGTCTAGATGAAAATGCTGTTCCCCCCTAGAAAAAGGAGAACGACTAGAAGTTGGGTGCCGGAGTCAGGGCCAACACCACCAGCTTGCAGCCTAAGGTTGTCCACACTTTTAGCAGTTTTTAGCAGTGGAAGAAGACGGTGCGGGTTACTTCTTGCTTCGCGGAGTTGCTGACGTAGAATCCGAGAGAGAGATTACGGAAAAGAGTGTCAACGAGTTGGTGGGGCAGAAATGTTCGATGGTTGCGACGCAAGGGCGTAGAATTCAGCGAAAGGGGGTGGAGGTCGCGTTTCCTCAAACGCGAAGGCACATGACTTGCGGATCAATTTTAATGGCTTGCTTATTTCGGGCCCCAGGCAGCAGCAGGCAAAGGCAGGATGGTCCCTGGTCTGTGAAAGGTTGCTGAAGATGTGCTCGGAAAATAAGGGGATCTTGACCACACTATCGACACTGTGTTCCTCTTCTCTTTCCACTTGATAGGATGAAGATGGAATGTGTGGATTGAATTTTTCGTAGAACTTGCCACCATTACCTGGTGAGTATTATGTCAAATGTGCATACATGCCATCATGCCTCCTTGCGTTGGTAAGTGGCAACCGGGCAACCAAATCAGGTCCTTGCCTCCCTTAGTTGACCTATAGACTACACGAAGTCTTTTTGTAGGGTTTTGTGAGAAACTTTCCTAGCGTATCTTGCGTATGTAGTGTTTCGACAAGAAGACGACTTCTTCTTCCTGCTTTGGTTAGTGCTTTGTCTACTTAGCCGCACCGTGCCCTTCTCCTCCCCTTACTGTCTTAGGCCCAGGTCAGGTGCTTTGGCGTTGCGGTTTTCTTCAATTTGCCCCTCTTCGCGTCAAGACGTGTCTCCGTGCACTTTCCACCAAGGCAGCAGAGGCTCAATCGGCCACTTTCCGAAATTTGCGTTTTCCGCCAAACCCGAAAACTTAGGTATTCATCCCGAAATACCGCTTGAGGGCTCTCGCATCAAAACCGTCTTCTCATACCAACTTACCAAAATGTATGCTCCCGTACCCAATAGAATTACCCAAGGCGATTTCACTAAACGAAAAGTAGGTCTCGAAACACGCGACCGCAACGTCGTATCATGGGCCCGTAGGTGTATTCTTAGCATGTGATCGATGCCTCCAAATATCCTAGCGTTTTCCTGACACCGCTTATCCTTTAATGCAGACAGTCGGCTCTCACTGATTTTTTGGCTGTAAGTTTTGGTTCCCTTCCTACATGTTGTTCCAATCGCTAATCGGCTTGTCCCTAGTCCCACAACATCTCGGCCCATCAGATCCGCCTGGATGCCGATGCCCGCCGTAGGCAAGCTCAGAATAACGGGGATGCACAGACCGATGAGAACACCCAGGACGATGAACCGGCCACGGTTGATCCACCCACTGATGCGCCCACGCCGGCCACCAGTTCGAGACCAGCCACACGAGCAAGGCGCTCAGCAGCGGGAACGGTAACGCAGCGGGACGAGGAAGCCCGGAAGAAAGAGCAGAAGGTACTGGAGAAGATCAAGGCTAGCAAAAAGTTTCAGAAGCGGAAGCGCGGTCTTGACTCGGATGACGAAGACGATCTTGCCCGAGCTCTTCTTCAGAGCTCTGCGCCCTTGCCCGGGCAACAGGAGAACTGTGCGAGCTGCGGGAAGCGTTTCACCGTAACCGCGTACAGCCGCAATGGGCCAGAGGGAGGGTTACTTTGTGGTCCTTGTAGCAAGGAGCTTGAGAAGGGCGATGCCGCCAAGAAGAAGGCACTGCCTAAGCGGGCCACGGGCGGTTCCGTCGGCAGGCGACGACAAGTGCAAAGCAATATTTTGGATGGGACTTACGCGCTCGGTGCTAAGAGCCTGATGACTCTTTGCATTGAAACCTTGGCCAAGAACATCGACCTTGCTGAAGACTTGGGTGATCTTCCGGAGCCTATTATCGACAAGATAGCGCGGAAGCTTTCTAAGCATCGCCTTCTCGACTCGAGGACCCTCACTCTTTTTCTACAGCCCGCCGCAGAGGAAGTCCGAATATACGACGGAGCCAAGCTCAGCTCGAATGACTTCATACGGATCTTTCAGACAGTGCCTGGCCTCAAGAAACTAAAGGTAGGTCGACCTAGTTGAAAACAGCGGGCCTCGAGATATCAGCCCTTACGCAACTTTTAAGATGGAGAACACTGACACCACTTTAGATCCGCAACGGGATTCACTTCAAAGACGAAGTCGTCGATTATCTCATGTCGCGGCACATCGACCTTGAAGATCTATACCTTCACGGTGCCAACCTAATCTCGGAGGGGAAGTGGAAGGAGTACCTTCAAAAGAAGGGCGGTTCTCTCCGCTCCCTGCGTGTCTACTTCACTGACAAACACTTCAGCGACGAAGTGCTTGCTCTCATGCCTACTACCTGCCCACTCCTTGCCCGCCTTAAAGTCTGCCACAACCAAAAGGTCACCGGCGCTGGCGTGGCGTCTATCGCACAGGTCAGCACACTCCGGCACCTCAGCCTTGATCTACGCAATGAACTACACTCGGATGTCTATGTCGACCTGATCACCCGCCTCGGCGTCAATCTCGAAACACTCTCCCTCACCCGCGTGCCCGGCGCCGACAACACACTTCTCGACGCGCTTCACTCGCACTGCCGGCAGCTATCTAAACTGCGGATCACCGAGAGCGAGGAGATGACCGATGCTGGGTTTGTTCGACTCTTCCGCGGGTGGGCCAACCCTGGCTTGGTGTGGCTTGACCTACAAAAGTGTCGCCAGCTGGACTCAGCGCACCCGCGTGAGAACCCGGACGGGCTTGGCCTGTGTTCCGGCGGGTTTCGCGAACTGATGGATCATTCAGGTGCTAAGTTACGTGAACTGAACGTCCACGGCTGCCGACACATAGAAGCACAGGCGTTCGAGGAAGTATTTCGCGCCGGGGCCGGGGAGAAGGTGTACGAGGCGTTGGAGAAACTGGAGATTAGCTTCTGTGAAGAGGTAACCGACTTTGTGGTTGGTTCCATATTCCGCAGCTGCCCCAACTTGAGGGAGCTCAACGTGTTTGGGTGTATGAAAGTTCGGGATGTGAGAGTACCCAGAGGCAAGATTCTGGTGGGGGTACCGAACGCCAAGGGGATGGTGATAGAAGGAGACGACGATGTCGACGATGTTGTCATGGGTGATGCTTAAACATTTCGGCGGCTAGAGCGAGTTGCCCGTCAGCAGGACAGAGAGTCTAGGTCGTATCAACACGCCCCTGTAGCGATAGCTTTCTACGTGTAATTTGAACAGGATCTTGAGAATAATTCGAGTCCCTGTGAGACCCAAGCAGGCAATCGACGAAGTCAACCAGCCGTGGCTGTGAAAAAGGGGGACCTTGACTGGATGAACCGGAAAGTGCCGGACAAGTAACGAGTAAGGAGAATCGGGGCGCGGCTATTTCTCAATCTTCCACCTTTCGCCGCGCTTCACGTGTTTCACGTGCTTAACAAGGCACAGACCCAAAGCCACCGATCTCTTGATGTCAGTCATGGAGGTGAGTGGGGTGGAAGAGAGTCCCATCGGGCGGGTCGAAACTGGGGAATATTGACTCATTCACCACGGATACCCCCGCTTCAACTTCTCATCATCAGTTCCTTTCATCACCAAACCCCCTCCATCTCCGATGTGTGATCTTGTAGATTACCGAGATCGACAATACCGAGGCTACTGGCGACCAGTCGCGAGGTCATACACCGGACAGAGGTTCGGTGTTGACCTTTTTTAGAGACAGCAAATCTCGATCTACATAGTATAGCAATTTGCCCGACAAACATGCAGCAGGACCATCGCTCTTGGCCCATCCCGTCATTTAAGACAGGGCTTGGTTCCCGCTTCTTGGCTCTGAAGCGTGCTGCAGGCTATGGATATGTTGTATCTAAAAGTCTGGGGGTGGCTTGGTGATGAGGAACAGAGTGTAGTCAGCTGTGCCCGGGGTCATTGCCGTTAACCGGGGAAGGGAAGCGGTGAAGTTCTCGAACCTCGCGGGGACGGTGGAGCGTGGCATGCACAGTCCCCGGGAGCCCTGCCGAACCGTTTCTTGGCCCTGTTGTCTGGAGATTGTGGAGTCTGGGGAAGCCTCGCCAGCCACCGCTGGTGTTTTGGGATAGCACCCTTGTCCTGAGCATGAACACAGCAAATGTTGGTGTTTTGCCAGCCTGCTATAAGCTGGGTCCTACATAGTACACCCGCCATCGTGCGAATACAGCAGATCCTCGCGAAGCTTGCTTTCATGTGCTTCCGACATTCTCCGCCGTGTCCGATACTCGGAACGTTGTGAGGCACAGCGGGAGAGAGAGATGTTGAAAAAAGGCCGTCCCATAGCCGACAGGCCGATTACCGGGCCGGCGTGCGTGTGGAGAGCGGTGCTGGGCTGGGACGGCTACGGCTACCGCGGCGGCATTGATGAAATGAGCATGTGCAAAGTACTTCGCACGAATCCGTACACTCGCCCTGGCCAACCTCGAACAACTTGGCGGGTACGAGGCCCCGAGAAGGTGAAGCTGCCGAAGGCCACGGACAGGGCAAAGAAGATCAAACCAGATGCCGAGTTCCTGCGGTTGGATGGCAAACTTTTCATTTCCCTCTCGTCTCGCTTGCTCAACCTCTGCTACTGAGATAGGAGTCTCTTCTTCCGTTACCCTGGAAGGGGGCTTCGTGGTTTGGAGGTGTGGGGGCATGAGCAAGGAGAGGGACTTCAGACGCCCCCATCGCGAGCAGGAGCTTGCCCGCGCTTAGCGCGCAAGGCACACGCCTCTGCCCGTCGCAGCATCGTGAAATCCGACGACAGCTCGGCCAATTGTTGGGCAGCAACCGACAGTCAGCCCGCTCGTTTCGTCTGAGGGCGGTGGAGGCGGGCCGCTGGCCAAGGGAATATCACACACGGGTGTGACCTGTTTCATCCCGAGCCTCTGTTATTCTGGAAGCCTTCTCGCTTCCCCAAAGCTGTGTCCGGGGCACCCCCCGATGGGCAAACTTCCGGTCCCAGCTGTGTCCCTCCCTCGTGCCTTTTCTTGGTGTTGCAATCGGGAGAAGTCGGACGAATGGCTGGCCCCTCGTGTCTTTGCCGGGGTGCCCGGCCATGCCCCTGAGAAACACGACCCACAACCAGACCCACCAAGTCCCGATGCCCAATGCTCCACTGCGGGTCTTGCTGGGCATCCTCAAGTCCAGGTTCAATTCAATGCTTTGCCGGCCCGTCCATCACCGGGACAATATCCGCGTTGAAGTACCTGCATGCGTTTGCAACTCGATTTTCAAAAGAACGACACTCGCTTCGTCTGCAAGGACGGGAGTGATCATACCCACGGTCACAGATCGTAGGATGGCGTAACATTTGATTTTTTCGAGCCGGACCGGCTTTTGTCGAGATAGGGGATTTCCCGGCGACCGAGCGCCGAGCGGCTAGTTAGTCGAGCGCCACAAGACGCCCATGCCGTACCCCGAGACAGCGCTGCGTAAATCTTGAGTTTTTTTCTTTTGGCCAGGAGACCAAACTTCCCGGCACATCGAGATTATTATTAGGTAACAGACAAAGGCGGTAAGGCCTCCCAAGAAGATCGAGGGCGCGTGCCCCTTTTCCTACTTCTTGTCGGAGACAAGGGGAAGGGCAAGGGAAAGAATAATTCGTTTGTGAAGGCCGTTCAGGAACCATCAACACGCAGACAACCGATCCCGAACGGCCATCCGGCGGATCGGGACGTGGTCTTAGCCAAAAAAGGCAACCTGCTCTCCATTGCTCGGTGTGTGATTGGGCGGATGACGGATGGATCCCAAGCTGTCTTGAATGGTGTTTACTTGGGTGGCCCACCGACTTTTCCCCAAGACCATCCCGAAGACATGTCTTGTGACCAACGTCGGTCTGAATTTGATGAGAGAGACAAACGACAAGAGCAAACAAATCGGAAGCTCGGGCGTGGAACAGGTGTTGATGGGGATGTCCGCCGCGAGAACCTGAATGTAGAACGAATGTCCTCGATTTGAAGGAGCAGCAGGCTGCTTGGTGCTTCCCTTGATGCCGCATGGAAAACTTTGGCAAAAGGGCATTTGCTGATGTCGCATAACAGTAATAGTACAGGGGTCACAGTCAGCGATCCGTGAACCCCAATCCATTCAACCTTTCGGGGACCCCCCAACAAAACAACTCAAAAAAATCAGGTGATTTTGACGGCCCATCAAGCAGGCATTCAGAACACAACTGGAATCTGCGCAGCTTGTTAGTGGCCGCGCTGCCTTCCAATTTTGATAAACATGCATGGTTCGATTTAATCGAACGGCTAGTTCGGGCATCCACTCCGGTGCCCACCCGGGATGTCATCTCGGTGACTCCTGCCGCTGGGGTTACTACCGGTTGGCCCAGTTCGCGGTGTAAGTGCCTTCCCCAAAAAGAGACTTACGACTCGCAAACTGCCCACCAAACTCGGCGACGGGAAGGAGCCATTGCTTCCTCGGATCGTGTCTGGCCTTGGTACCTGTACCCGCCGGTTCTACCAGGGGGCCCGGTTTGCTCTGACATCGTGATTGAATCTTCCCACTTTTTTTTTTAATTCTCCCGCGCCCCTTCCGACCAACTGAAGGAGGCGTGTCCGGCAAAGCGCCCTCAACGCCGCCAACCCTTGAAACGTGCGCCGAAACCTCACAGAACAGGCCTCTGTCGCATCAACCACCCTCAACAGCATCAACTCTTTTTCACGTCCTTTTTTCGGGCTGGGTATGGGAAAACGGGGAGCCAAGTGGGCGCTGGTCGCGTCTCGAGTGGCCGGCGCGCAAAAGCTTTTAAACCAGCTCGCCCTCACTAACCGGCGTGTGGGCAAGACGCTCCAACTGTCGCTTTTCCTGACAAAAGCTCTGGTGGCCCGGACAGCTTCCGCAACCGCGACTGCGCCTAAAAACAGGACGGCTGGACCCAGCCATCGTCGTAATTCTAATAATATTGCTAGACTCACGCCGCAGGGGGCACTTCTTTTGCACCTGGTCCAGCCCTGCCTCGAGCTTGCCCCGTGGATTTACACTCTTGTTTCCCTCGTCCGACTTCCCTTCTTTCCTCTCCCGGCTCTCACACATGCAATGGCGTCTTATGCGTACAGCACTTCCAGCTCCGACATTTCAACACCTCGGTCGATCTCCCCCTCTTCCTCCGTGGCGTCAGGCCGGTCATCGCAATCATCTATATCTAGCTCCAAGCGCATCTCCATCTCGTCCACCCGCAGGATCTCCGCTGCCAACCCAATGTCTTCCGTCGACATCAACTCTATTGAAGAAGCTATGAGAATGGCGAATCTCGACACTCTTCGCGGCTACAGCCAAAACCATTACGGTGAGGTGCATCAGGAGACCAACACCGAATACCTGGGCCAGACACAGGCTCTTGGCTACCAGGTGCTCACCGAACCAATGTGGAATAAAGGTGAGTCAGCTTTGTGGTCCCTCTGTTTCTCCGTCCTCCTCCCTTTTAATCACTACTTCATCGTCTGCTCTTCCGTCCCAACTTTTCTACCCTTCCGATCCCCTCCCGCACAATTCGCCTCGGCCCGCCAGAAGAGTGCCAAAGCGCTGCATGTTGATGTGTAGCAACGTCACCACCGTTCAATACATCTCCTACAATGCCGTCGAGTTCACGGGCTGTGTCCCGTCTTCGTAAACTGGCTGCTAACTGTGCCTCCTCCCCTCAAGGCCTCTCTTTCACTCCGGAGCAGCGCATCGCCAAGAACCTGACGGGTTTGATCCCGCACGTCATGGAGGACAGCAGCAAGCAGTGCGAGCGTGCGCTCAAGATGATCCGGACTCGGCAAACGAACATTGACCGGTACCTGTACCTGTCGTCACTCAAGGGCCAGAACGTAGACCTCTTCTACCGCCTGCTCATTGATAACGCAACCGAGCTGATGCCGCTCGTGTACACGCCCACTATTGGCGACGTCTGCCTCCAATACTCTACTTTGTACACGCGGCCGGAGGCGTTATACATTTCCATTAAGCAACGGAAATCGATGAAGACCATCCTCAAGAATTGGCCGTATCCGAACCCGGAGATTTGCGTCGTCACAGACGGTTCCCGTATCCTCGGTCTGGGCGATCTTGGCGTGAATGGCGTTGGCATTCCGGTAAGTTTCCTCGGCTGAAACCAATTGGCCCCCACCCCTCGGCGGTTGGCGGGGTCCCGGGAAACAGGTCGACTAACATGCAACGCAACACAACAGATTGGCAAGCTAGCGCTGTACACGGCGGCTGCCGGCATCCGCCCAGAACGGACGCTGCCGATTGTCCTCGACTGCGGCACGGCCAACGAGACAAATCTTAAGGACCCACTGTACCTTGGCCTGCGCGCAAAGCGCCCTTCTGTCGCAGAGCAGCAAGAATTCATGGACGAGTTCATGCAGGCTGCTGCTGAGGTTTACCCCGAGATGGTAGTGCAGTTTGAAGACTTTGAGAGTGAAAAGGCCTTCAACTACCTCGACCGGTACCGCAACGGCTACAAATGCTTCAACGATGACATCCAGGGGACTGGTGCCGTGGTGCTTGGCGGGTACGCATGGGTCTGCCCCACATAACTTTCTCGCTCCCAATCACTAACACCGGTTTGCAGGTATATTGGAGCCGTCAACCTCTCGGGCGTTCCCATCGAGGAGCAGCGCCTTGTCTTCATGGGCGCCGGCTCTGCTGGTGTCGGTGTCGCGAAGCAGCTGGTTGAGTTCTACACCAAGCGCGGCTTGTCGGAACAGGCAGCGAAGGACAAGTTTTGGCTGGTTGACACCAAGGGCCTTGTGACCAAGGACCGTGGTGACAAGCTTGCTGAGCACAAAAAGTACTTTGCTCGTTCCGACAATAACGGACACCAATTCCGCAACCTGGAAGAGGTCATTGAGTACGTCAAGCCCACCGCTTTGATCGGCCTCACCGCCACCCACGGCGTCTTTACCGAGTCCGTTATCCGCGCGCTCAAGGCGTCTGTGGATGCGGGCGGCCTTGGCCGTCGGCCCATCCTGTTCCCGCTCAGCAACCCCCTCACCAAGGCCGAATGCACTTTCGAGCAGGCCGTGACGTGGACTGACGGAACCGCCATCTTTGCTTCCGGTTCGCCCTTCTCGGCCTTCACCGTTAAGGGTACGGACAAGCCTATCACGTACTACCCCAACCAGGGCAACAACGTTTACGTGTTCCCTGGTATCGGTCTTGGTACGATTCTTTCCAAGTCCAACCGCGTGACCGACAACATGATCTACACATCGGCAGCTGCCCTGGCTGGCTCGCTCAACGCCGAGGAAATCCACAAGGGCCTTATCTATCCTCGCATTGAGCGTGTCCGCGAGGCCAGCCTCATCGTCGCCCGCGAAGTCATGAAGGCCGCGCGCCGTGACGGCGTCAGCCAGCTGCCGGAAGAGCAATGGCTTGAGTGGGAAGAGTGGGGTGACCCGGCTCTGGACAAGTACATCAAGGCCCGGATCTACGATCCCGAGCTCTAGGTTCCCGAGGAGTAGTCTCTTTGGCTTTTGAGTCTTTTCAATTCGGCTTGAGCAGTGCCGCGGCACCCCTCCTACTTTTGGCCACGCTGTGCCTTGGTACTTTTTTTCGTTAATTATTCATTCGAGTATTGATTTTCAGCGTTGTTTCACGCTCAGATAGCGCTGCCCAGGGCTTTTGTCTCTGTGGGCTGAGCTGGGAAGTATAGGATCTTGCATTGGGACTCGGGATGGGAAACGCTACACGGATCCTGCATTGTTTCGTTTTCTATGTGGCGACCAGAGGTCGGCCCCTGTTTTGAGGGTCGTACCTGCAATTTGGAAAAGGAGGGGGGAAAGGGTACACAGTAGAAGGAGGAGCAGCGTGAATAGATCAGCTGTAATTAAAAAGGAGGATGTTTTCGATTCAGTAAATGTGCTGTAAACCATGGTGTAACGTTTAACATCGTTTCCGTGACATTGTCTGTTGCCCGAAGGAACAGAGACGTTGTTGAGACTCGGAGTGTGAGCGGGAGTAATAGGTTTCGTAGCTTGGTGTTATCTCTCTTGCGAAAGTTCCTCATCTCATCCATCGGCTCAGTTGGCGAAATACCGAAGTTGCTTCGAGGTCTTGTATTTATTTCTTCCTCCTGCGAGTTCTATGGCTCATCTCGGGGGAGTCTTGCTATCTCAACCTATCATGTAGTTGACGGACATGTCCAACTCCAATCCCGACCAAACTTCATGCGGCAACATTCAAGTAGCACGAAGACAATAACAATACACGAAAAAACCACACGCACCCATCAATCACTTCGCCTCCGCCATCTTCTGATCCGCCTTCTCCAGCTTCTTCCGGGATGTCTCATCCCCCACCACCAAGGCAAACCACTCCTTCATCGTAGCCACATACCCCACGTACCGCTCCCAATCCTCCACCGGCGGACCCCGGATTTGTGGCGCTGCTGCCCCCTGGCTGGTGGCCCCCGCTTCGTCGGGCTTATCAAGAGAATGATGACCACCCCCTTCCCAAACCGCCCACGCGCTCTCCATGCCTGTCCGCAACCCCCACTCTTTCTTGGTCATGGCTTTCACCTGGAACCGCTGCAGTAACACGACATCTCCCGGCGCGACTACGGGCAGCGAGTCCTTGTGCGGACGGTACATCTGCACCTCGATGACAGCGCCGGGGGCCGCTGAGGGGTCGGTGGCGCGGAAGGACATGAAGAATTCGCGGGGACCGCCGTGGGCGCGGGTTGGCTGAGTGGGGCGGGAGGTCACGACGACGATGGTGTCGAGGAATTTGTCGGGGTGATTACGCAGCGCCTTGAGGGCGACGCCGCCTGGGAGCTCAGACCGCAAACGCTTAGTAAGGTCGGCTTTGAGAGCTGCAGCGGTCGTGGGGCCTGTTGAAGTTGTGGAGGTAAAGGAGGTGGAAGGGTCGGTGGGTTCGGCCTCGGGGCGTTTGGAGGGTGATGCTAAAGCTGATCTTGCGAAGCTGATGCTGGGGTCTTCTTTGTCCTTCTCGGGTGTGCCGTTCGTCGTGTTGGATCGGAAACTACTAGATCGTGCACGGGTAATGCGAGCACTCGTTCGGACAGGCTCGGCTGCTGCCTTCTTGTTCCGCTTTGATCCGACACTCTGTCGTGCGAGCTGAACGCTGAGGTCGGGAGTGGAAAAGCGGCCGGATATTTCGGGCTTTTCGTTCTTTTCGGACGAAGCCAGGTCGGCAGTTGCTGGGCGCAGCTTGGGGGTGGATGCGTCACGGGCTAGTTGGACGCTAAGATCAGGGGATTGTGGTTCATCCACATGCTCATTATCCTCCCGATCTCCAAGTTGATCCACGTAGTCAGACTTGTCCTTACTCTCAAGCTCAACAGAGGTCCCGTCGGACTGGAATGCAATAGCTTGCCGGGCGAGGTCCACGCTTAGGTCGGGATTTGGGGAAGACGAGCGGTCTCCTTCGTCCGATACAACCGATTCAAACCTAAAAGACTGCTGTTGTTCCTGGGTGAGTTGTTCCAGGATCAGAGTTTCGTCCTCAAGGTCCTGCTCTGCGTCGTGCATCATGGGCTGCTCAACCCCGCCAAGCTCCTCTTGAGAAGAGAATTCCTCAAGCTCCGACAATTTCTCGTTTTGTTGTTGGTTATCCTGAGAAAAGGGCACGGAAGATGCATTATCATCAACCGTGCCGTCCAGCCACGGTGATCGCGGTGAGCGAACCGGGGCGGAACTTGCTTCAACCTCGACAATCCCCCCGGCCTCCAAAGAAACAACGGTGGCCGCAGCGGCTGCAGCAGTCTCATTGACGCCGATATTTTCATCAACTTCCTGTGGAAGTCCCCTTGGTATCGTGTCGACCTCTTCGGTCAGCCGCATCGTCGTCGACTGTTGTGTAGATTCCACCACCTCCTCAACCGCAAGATCCACCCGTGGCTTGACTAGCACCGGTGTAGGTTCAGTGTCAGATACAACTTCCATCATCTCATCTGCGGCAGTAACTGGCCCTTCATCGGTCGCAACAGGGGTGAGTCGTTCCTCTTCTTGAGTAGGGGTCTGCGCATCCGGAAGAGATTCGTCTGCCGAATGGCTAGCCGCAGTTTGCGACATATCATCGGTAACCATGGGATCGGCGATGCTGGGTGTTGATTCCTCCTGATTATCCCGTTGGGGGCTTGTCATAATCTTGTCTGGCGATGCCGACTCGACTCGTGCTGAGGAAGCATCGATCATATCGACATCATCTTCGGAGACTACCATCACGTCATATTCGCCGGCTGAGGCCTCGCCTTCTTCGTCCACACTCATGTGGCCATCATCGCCATTTCCAAATTCTTCTGGGGCCTCGACCTGGCTAGCCAACGAGAGTGTATCCGCATCTGGTAAGCTCGAGTCATCGTGCTGTGCGTCGCGTAGTGGTGAGCTCGTAGCGCCCTGCTCCCGTTCTCCTACGCTCTCGAGTCCGTCTTGAATCCCATCGTGCCCCAATTCATGGGCGCTCGGATATTCTCGCGCCGACTCATTATCGGTTCTACAAAACTCTTTCGTAGAGCTGACACTCGGCAGTTCGCCTTCTGTGCCCGGAGATCTGGCGCGCGGCTTTGATATGAAGAGCCCTTCAGAAGAACTTTCACTCGGCGTAGACTGCGATCTTTGTTCTGAGGCAACTATCGGGTCGGGCAACACTTCGCTGGGGGCATGTTGTTTTTTAGGGGTGGGAGTCTCGTCCCGAACGCTTGACGTTTCAAAGGAACTGGAAGCGAGGCTAATGACCGAGGAGTTGTCGGTGCTGGTATCCAGCAAATCAACCACTGCCGCCTTTGCCTGCACACTGGATTGCTGGGGAGCAACTGTTGCAAAGTCGACAACGTGGGTTTGCCCAAAAATCCTATGCTCGTCGTCCGCAGCCACGTCGTTTTGCTCCGTCTCTTCTACGGCCCCGATGGTTTCACGGTGGGTTGAAATAGTTGCTTGGGATGGTTCAGACGACATCAGAGTCTGTGGTGGGGTCCCTTTGCGTGAAACCGTCTGGGACTCTGTCTGAGTGGGCTGAGGCGTAGGTGATGTCGTGCGAAACAACGTCTGGATAGTTGTTTGTGCCTGAGGCGGGGACGATCTCTTCGGCGGCGGCGGCGGCGGCTTAGGTTCCTCCTCTTCGTCCTCGGAATCGGAAAGCAGACTGATGACCTCTGGGGGGCCGGTTTGCGTTGGCGGTGCTTGTCTCCTTGGCTGGTACCGGCTCACATCAAATCCCTCGCTACCATCCTCGCCTTCCTCTTCCTCATCTTCGCTTTCTTCGTCCTCCTCTTCCTCCTCATTCCCTTCTTCATCTTCTCCTTCTTCGCTCCCGTATTCTTCGCCCTCGTCCCACTCTTCACCCTCGCCATCTTCGTCGTACACTTCCTCATTGCCGTAACGCTCCTCCGTTTCGAGCTCAACCTCGTCCTCCTCCTCGGAGAGGCCTTCATCGTCGTCTGAAAGAATGTCGTACTTGCGCTGGTCGTAGTCGCCCTCTTCGATTCGTTCGCCGTATTCATATTCGTCAGCTTCGGAGTCTACATCTTCCTCCTCTTGTACGCCAACTTCCTCCTCGCTGTCGCTATTCACCTCTTCGGCAACCGGTTCATCGCTGGTCGGGGGAGGGGCTGGCGGGGTTGGGTTCTCCTGGCCATCCTCAGGTAAACTTTTCTGCCCGTAGCTCGCAAATCCTTCGGGCACCTGTTCGGGGGCAATGTCGTCCGCATGGAGAGATGGTTGCTCAACCTCAATCCTTGTTCCTTCGTTAAGAGCGTCCGATCCGAAATGCCCGCCTTCAACGGGGTTGTAGTGAGGCGACTCGGTCGACATTTCCCACTGGCGGCCCCCAAACTGCTGAACGGTGGGTGGTTCCGGCGCTTGGGTTTGGGCCACTTCCGGTTGTTCATCCGCCGCATCGACATACGTGCCCATGTCGGCAAACTTTGGAGGAGCTGAGGCATCAAGATACGCCGTTGGGTAAAGTTCTTGTGGGCCATAGGCGGGCTCCGGGACGTGTTTCGGAACGGGCGGTGTTGGCGAGTAACTGGTCTGTGGGACATGAGAAAATCCGAACCGAACCTGATCCGCAAGGCTTAGATTGGATTCTACCTGGTCCGACGCCCCAGCACCAAACGCAGAGAAACTGTCAGAAAAGGTATTCGAGCTAAACAGGGTATCACTGCGGGTGACGGCGCCAAGATCCGGTGGTGGCGCCTGTTGAGAAGGAATTGTAACGGGTTGTTCTCTTTGTTCCTCGCCATGAAGCACACCGGTGGATTCCTCGTGCGGTCCTATAGTGAATGCCAAGTCGGTAACGGGGGCAGTGGCCTCGGGTTGTGAAATTTGGGCCTCGTTGGATTGCTCGTGACGAGACTCGGGCTCAACAGCGGGCGTCGATATTCGGGGGGCCGGGCTTGAATCCCTGGGCACAGGATTCGCCGAGAGGCGCTGAGGCAACGGGGTCGAGGGTGCTGGTGCAGCAGGCGCTGTATCTCGCTCCAGGGCGATGTTTACCGGTTCTGCAGCGGCCCGAGGTGCATCCACATCGAAGTTTTGTGAGCCCCAGTTCCGTCGCGGCGGTAAGGGCGATGGTTGGGAATTTATATCTTCGGGTTCATCTTCGTCCATTGCGTCTTCGGGCGTGGGACTAGGCTCGGGGCTCGGTGACTGACTGGTGTATCGCCACGCGCTGCTATCCCGGCCGAATCTGGTTCTTTTACGACCCTTCCCTTTTACCCCCCCATCCTCTTCAAACAGATCGAAGCCGCCTTCGAACAGAGCGCCGTACGATATGCGAGCCCGTTTAACAAAAGCCGGCGAGGGGTATTCGTTTGCCGTGAAGTCCGAAAGTTTGCGAGTCGTGGTTGGAACTTCGGATATGACTGGCGCAGGCTCGGGTTCTATCGAGGTCAGTCTCGGTGTCTCGTTCCCAAGGCCATCTGGTTGTTGTTCCGCTGGGTTGTCGATGTTGATGAGTTTCACTTCGCCGGATTCTCCAAATTTGACCTGCAACTAGGTCAGCACTACGCGGCAACATTTCCATCCACAAACACACACCTGCAGGTCAATCCTACAACTAAACTGTAGCTGCCATTCCACTCTTGCGCCGGGGATGCGACCGGGGGACGCATCTTTGGCCCATTCTACGCCAGCCAAGCTGAAGACCAACTCATCACCCGCCCCAAGTCCGCTTTCCGCCGCAGCTGTCGCGCTCGGCCCCTGGAGCTCTACCCGTATTTGGCCTCTAGCACGGCGCAGGCGCACATCAGGTTCGGCGATGAGGAAGGCGAACCTCTTGGTGACGGAGTTGTAAGGCCAAGTGATCGTGACTTCGCCGCGGACGACGCGTGAGGCTTGGTCGGCGAGGTCGGGACTTAGTTGGGCAATTGGGGTTGCCGCCCGCGACGATAGATCGGAAGCGCCATCACCGTTAGCCGCCGCCATGTTGGAGAGTATAACGCAAAGGAAATGCAGCTATATCATGAAATCGGGTGTCGCTGGGACCTTCGTTGTTCGGTCGTCATTTGCAGTTCGGTGGTTGGAATCAGACGCCTTGTCGCAGTAGTGGAAAGGAAGCATAGACTGGGTGGATGCGAAGTTCTAGAAAGTGAAGTGAACGATCCTTTCATCCCAACCCGAATGTAGGCTGTTTGCCGAGTTGGAGTTGTTGGTTGCATGTGTTGGACGGGAGCTTCGAAGGAAAGCGCGGCAAGCTCCTGGACCCATGACGGCAGCGACGCGATAAAAGTGGGTCAAGATTTCGTTACAGCCTGACGTAAACGGTAAGATGTCAGATCGCTGTCGAACCGATTGGCGTACGAATACGTAATGTTACCCCGGGTACCTGTAATTTACGGGGCGGACCGTCAAGGCTTCCGAGAACGCTAACGTTAATCACACCATACAATGTACTGGATGGGCAGACTGCCCCTCAACAGCATCGGCCCTCACGGCGTATAGGTAATGTGACTCTCGACCGTGCTCCATGTGCTACCGACAATTGCCGCGTCTACGGGACACTCACACAACATTTTCTCCTCTTCGTTTTAGTTATTTTAGACGCTATTTCTTTTGGCATACCATGGGTTCGCAGCTACCACCCCGGTTTGACGTTAAGAAGGTGGCCATCGTGGGGGCTGGCCCCTGCGCGCTTGCGGCGGCGAAGTACCTGCTTGCCCAAAACGCGTTTGAGAAAATTGATGTGTTTGAGCAGCAAGCCGAGGTAGGCGGAGTCTGGAACTACAGCCCACAACCTTCAAACAAGGTGCGTGTGCCGCAGTTGAGGGCCGATGGCCCGTCAGACCCCCCGCTGCCTTTTGACGGGGAGGATGGAGAGAAGCCCATCTTTCCGTCGCCGATGTACGACGTGTTGCACACCAATATCCCGCGGGCGCTCATGGAATTCTCGGATCTCCCATTACGAAGGGATACGCTGATTTTCCCCTCCCGCGAGCACATCCAAGAGTACATAGTGGAATACGCAAAGGATATCCGACATCTCATCCAGTTCTCGACCCAGGTGGAGGATATCCGTCTGAGAGTTGTGGATGGAAAGGATCACTGGGACGTGGACACGGTGAACCTCGTAACGGGGACCACGACAAGTGCCACATACGACGCCGTCGTAGTGGTGTCGGGCCACTACACGGCGGTTTACATTCCAGACACGAAAGGCGTTCGCGAATTTCACAAAGCGCACCCCAACATTATCCGCCATTCCAAACATTACCGCACGCCGGAGCAGTACCTTGGGCAAAAGGTCATCGTCGTGGGCAACGCCGCTTCGGGCATCGATATTGCAGCACAAATCAGCCGCGCCTGCAAAACTCCACCATTACTCTCAGTGCGGTCGCCCACCTCCCCAGCGCAGCTAGAGTATTCTGGGGCGGAAGAGGTGCCAGTCATCGAAGAATTTCTGCCCGAGGAGCGAGCCGTGCGGTTCCAAGGCGGCCGCGTCGAGAAGGACATCGACGCCATCATCTACGCAACAGGTTATCTGTTCTCCTTTCCCTTCCTCCGCTCTCTCTACAAGGACACCCCATCGAACCAACCGTTGGCGACCAACGGCCGCAAAGTGCACGGCTTGTACCAGCACATGTTCCACATCGAGCACCCGACCCTCGTGTTTACGCGACTCCCAGTCAAGGTGGTGCCTTTCCCCATCGCCGAGAGTCAGGCGGCTGTGTTTGCGCGCACATGGGCGAACGTGCTGCCGCTGCCGTCGACGGCGGAAATGTGGCGATGGGAAGCGGAGGAGACGGAGCGGCGCGGGTCTTCTAAATACCACGTGTGGCCCGAGGGCGGCGACGCCGAGTACATCAATTCGGTGTACGATTGGCTAGCGCGGTCAAACACGCCCGGGAAGACGCCGCCGTTTTGGAGCCCAGAGGTTGTCTGGCAGCGACAGATCTATGCCAAGGCGAAATTGCAGTTTGAGTTGGACGGGCGCCGAGCGAGGAGTTTGGAGGAGTTGGGATTTGAATATTCGCCAGAGCAGGAAGAGTGGCACGAGAGTCAAGCGTGATGCTTTGTATGGTCGTGTGCGATGAGCGGCTGCGAGATCGATATACCCCAGGTTTTTGTGGACCTATTTTCGGGTCTTTGCCCCAATCTGTTTGATGAATTGCACGATAATTGGCGGTTGGGTGATGTTGGTTGAATTATGGTTGGATCACACGTCTCAGCTGTCTCACCCCGCTGCGGAACTACATGCATGTCATGCGCGGAACGTCGTTGTCTCGCAGCGGGATCGGCTAACGTTAACGAGCCGTTGGACGATCGGAAGCATCGAGAAAAAGGGACGGGGCGAAGTCGGGCCGAGACCGAGGCCGAGGACGCCGGTGAGGAAACATTTTTGAGGGTATTTATTCAATCGGCCCGTACATAGGAGTTGAGTCGTGTTTGTACCAGCGGCCGCGTTGACAATCAACACGGTACTCCAAGTGGGGACCTCGAACCTAGCTCAAGTTTTGGTCGAGGTCCTTCGGAAGGTGTGATAAACCTTCCGGAACCTCTGAGGGGTCGAAATTTTGGTTCTGGTTCCTTGCTCTGCTGAGCGGCTGGGGGCTAAAATTTACAAATCACACTAGTCGGCGGCTGCAGGATCCTGTGGAATCCCACCCACAGGTTCTCCAGGGGTACAAGCTGCCTGCCGCCCAGCTTGCATATTAAAAACGACGCCCATGCCCCGAAAACCGAACTCTTCCCATGTTTGCCCTGCTGTTTGCTGTCTGTTCACCTTAGCCGAGGCGGCACTCCCGGGTCCAGACTTCCCCAGTGGGGTTAGCGGGTTCGATGAAGCTGCCAAAAGGGGACTCAACAGGGCGTCAGGGACGGGCATCCTTCTAGGCCAATAATGGTTCTTTTTGGCGGCTTGCTCCTCCACTAGTGTAGTTCCATAACGAGAGCCTAGCAAGGCGGAAGGTCGGCCAAACACGGCGACGGGCTAATGTTGGCGGGATGACACGGTGCCCGGCGATTTATAATCGCCCACTCATGTCTCCGTGACGGCTTCGCGGGTGTGCCTGGCGTGCTGGCGGCTGCAGGAGCTCCTCCAATGTCCACAGCGGTGTCATGTTACGAACTTGTGAGCGGGGATCCTAGCCTTATCACATTCCCATCTGATACGGATATCTGAGTGGTTCTCGCGGAGCCAAGGTTGCTCGCTCCATCTTATCAGTTCCGTCCGAAGCTGCTTCCTCCTCTTTCCTCGGCTTGAACCAAGAGAGAAGAACTGGTTCACGCAACAGATGAAAACACACCAGACGACACTATTCACGTGTTCATAACGCCACAATTTTCTCTCAATATTTCTTATCCGATTTCACCATCGGTACGCCAAGATGACTCCTGACTCGCATCGTCGTGTCCGTCCGGCCGGTACCGAGAAGCCTGCACCTTTGGACCTCACCCATCACTACTCTGCCGTCACCAAACGACGAGTTCCCTCTAAAATCAAGGAGGTGTACAAGTTCTTTGGGATTCCGAACATTCTGAACCTCGCAGGAGGTTAGTGTTAGAGTCTCATCTCTATATCATGTCTCACGCATCTCTAATTCAACCCACCAGGTCTTCCTCATGTTGATTACTTCCCTTTTGACACCCTCGAGGCCCAGACGGCAAAGCCTGAGAGGTGGACTCCCACGCCTAACTACCCCGGTGAGAAGACCGCGGTATCTTCATCGTCATCGTCACCAACATCGTCATCGGGTCCGGCCTCAGCCGCTCACATCGTCGTCCCCAAGTTCGTCAAAGAGGACGATCCGCTGAAGAAGGTCGACCTCGACACCGTGCTACAATACGGCCTTGCGCCCGGCTACCCGCCGTTGCTGTCATGGGTACGCCAGTTTGTACGCGAGAACCTTGAGCACACGACGCTCTACAAGGGCGGTCCGGGCGTCGTCCTCACCTGCGGCGCTACCGACGGCTTCTCCAAGTGCCTCGACCTGTTTGTAGACCAGTGGACAGAGGGTGTTAATGCTGTCAACACACGGCCGGGTATACTTTGCGAGCCGTATATCTACAACTCGATCTTGAGCCAGGCCGAACCCCATGGCGTCCAGTTTGTGACGGTAAATACCGATGTGGCGGGCATGGTAGCCACGGGGCCTGGTGGACTGGAGGATATCCTAGCAAACTGGGATCCATCCAAGGGAAAGAGGCCCCATCTGTTGTACACTGTAACGTATGTTCATTGCCTTCGCCTTGTTGTTGATCCCCCTATTTTCGAAACTATCATGACTCTTTCTTTACTAATTCCCTGTTAGGCTTGGTCATAATCCTACGGGCGTCGTTCTTTCGGTCGAGCGCAAGAAGGAACTCTATGCCATCTGCAGCAAGTACGACGTGGTCATCATCGAGGATGAGCCCTACTGGTATCTCCAATTCCCTTCCGCCAGCATCGAGGAAGCCAAGTCCCGAGGCCTTCCCATTCCCCAACAGCGACAGCGGCAGCAGTCTTCCTATTCGAGCCCCTTTAAATCCACTTCCTCCTCCTCAGGGTATGCCTTCCTCGACTCACTCACTCCATCCTTCATCGCCCTCGACACCGACGGCCGCGTCGTCCGCCTCGACACCTTCTCCAAAACCGTGGCACCCGGCTGCCGCCTCGGCTGGATCACCGCACAGCCAGCCCTCATCGAGCGCTTCGAGCGGATCAACGAGTCCACCACACAGCAGCCCTCTGGGTTCACCCAGGGCCTCATCACCGAGCTTGTCCTCGGCCCGCACCAAACCAGCAACTCCAAGGCCACAATCAAGAACCAGCAGGCTCGATCCGCCTTCGCCCGCCTTCGAACCACCCGCGACCGCGCCGCCTTTTCCGGCTGGGACACCTCCGGGTGGGTGCGCTGGCTGGAGGGCCTGCGCGGCAACTACGAGCGGCGCATGGTGCGCATGTGTCGGGCGCTAGACGCCGGATCAACACTCATCACGACCACGACCACGTCCGACGACAACGACGGTGACTCCGAATGGGACGCCGTCACCGTGACCACCACGCCGCTGTACACCTATTCCTGGCCGCGCGGCGGCATGTTCGTCTGGCTGCGCATGCTGTTCCATTCGCATCCGCTCTGGAACCACCCGGCCGTCGACGGCCCGACGCTCGCCCGCGCGCTGCAGGTCTGGCTGACACGCAAGCCGTTCCTGGTGCTGGTGGGGTCGGGTACCATGTTTTCAGCGACTACCAAGGTGGAGCGTGAGGAAGGGTGGACGTTTTATCGACTGTGTTTTGCGGCGGAAGCTGAGGACAATATTGGGTTGTCGGGAGAACGGTTTGGGGAAGGGGTGAAGGCGTTTTGGGAAGTGAAGGATGTGGATGTGATTAGGAAGTTGTTGAGTGAGGTAGCGCTGGAGGAGGACGAGGAGGGCGTGAGCCAGTTGGCGTCGTATATGGGCTGTTGATTTATGTATTTCGAGAAATCAGGTTTTGTAAGATGAGAGAATACATCGGATATGGAAGATACGTGATGCGGATTTTGTTGTAATGGTGGTATAGGGGGTATATTGTTCCTATTCCTTTTCGACATTCGATCGAAATTCCTTGTGCCAACCAAGCTACACACAACTATTTAGCTGCCCCTGATTTGTATTTGGTTGGGATAATAGGCGGCCCCAGCTCCCGTCGGAGTTCGTCGAATTGCTCGATCCCGTTCTTCCATTTGCCCTTCTTCACCCGCTTCTTCCCAAACATGGAATAGTCCCCGAGGAATTCATCCAACATCCCGTCAAAGTCCTGCCGCGTAGTTCCCTGCACCGTCGACATGGTTGACACGGCCGACACCGACCCTAGGTCGTCCATGTCTGCATTGTACTCCTCGTCTAGCTTCTCAAACCGTGCATCCAAAATGCCCAGCTGCTCTGTCCTCACCAGCGACGACGACGTCATCGAGTACGCCGACGGGTTCGTCATGGCGCCCTTTCGTGTCTTTCTCCGCCCACCGTTGGTGGTGGTGGTCCATATTGATGATTGCATCTCGGATGGTGCTGCGGCAGCCCGGGGCTTTTTCTCGGCTTTTTGGTCGCTCTTAAACTTCTTGAACTCCTCCATCCAATCTTCCGATTCGCCCTGAGCACCATTTTGCTTGCTTGTATCGGCGAGCGTTGGTGCTTCATCGTCCTCTGTGGGCTGCTGCTGTTGTTGTGGATGCTCCTCTTCCTTCTGTTCTCCGCCGGCCTTGACCGTGTGGTCTGACTCCCACCCCTCGTCATTCTCAAAGTCGTCATACGACTCCTCAAATTCGTACTTGTTCAGCTCGTCTCCATCCTTGGCCAGCTCCTGGAATATATCCTCGTCGCCGTTTTCGTCCACGTATGCATCATCCTCGAGCGCCTCTAACACTTCCCGCAACCGTGGGTCCATGTCGGGCTGGAATCCAGCGATCGCATCTGGCACATCTTGCTGAGCCTGGTATGTCAGACGCTGCAGGTTTTTGCTAGGCAACATCTCCTCATCGATCAGATCCTCGCTCTGATTCTTGAGGTCTAATTGGCGCAGCGCATCCTCAAGCGACGGGCCCTTGGCCTTCCCCTTCCCCTTGTTGCCGGTCGAACTCGCTTCAACGAAGACGGCCTCCCCGGTACCCTGGCCCAGGTCCCGAAGATGCTGCATGTAATCGTACTCGGTATCGTCGAAGTAAACGCCATAGTTGGCCGCCTCGCCCTCGTTGTCACGGATGCTCTGAGCGTCGGAGCCAAGTTCGGATGCCAGGTCGGTCAGCCCCTGGCCGTGCGATGACTTGTTGGCGCGTTGGGTTGGATTGAGCACCATGTCGGGTGCCGACTCGTCGTGGATGAGCGGGTCATTTTGGGGGCGGTAGACGAGCGTGAAATGCGTCGCTTTCTTCTTGTCGCTGGAGAAGGGTGAGGTCAGCCACGAGTAATAGCTAGGGCAAATGTGTTTGGAATACAGGAGGAAGAAAACGTGTCACATACATCCACTTTCCTTTCGGCATTTTGGTGGCTGGAGACCGGGCAGGTCTTGTAATATGTTGATGTGGAAGGTTGAGGATGGAAACTCCGGAGTTTGTGGGTTGATAGAGATTGAACACTCACTCTTTGGAGAGCCGGATGGCAGTGTGCGAAATGGCGTGCCTTTATGTATGACAAATTAGTTCGTAAGGTGCTTCGACTCTGCATGTGTGAAATCATCCGAACAAGTCGTCCCTCCAGGTTTCCCGCACTGGTAAATTTTTGGTGGGGTAAAAATCTTATCGCCTTATCGGCAGGCGGTTTATCTTCTGGTAATTCCGTAACTTACGCCGTCGAGAGGCCCGTGTAACAAAATTCGCTAACACGGAGCAAATATAGCAGGAGGAATTAAATGGTAAGACTCAAGGTTACAGCAAATCAGAGTGATGGTACATGAATAGAAACCACCGGAAGATATCAAAAGCGCACTTGAAACGGACCGTTTGGCTTACACGCGACATACTAAAGAAATTCTTTCGTCGGTCCTGCTAGAAGAGGCTGTTCAGGTTACCTACTAAATACCTCCCTTGGCAAATTTGCCCCTCCATTTCCCTTATTTATCAGCAGCAACCAGGAAGTCTCGTCAACAAACCAAAGCCCCGCCTATCCTTGATAAGAATTAATATTTCGGACATTGACGATAAATTTAAGCAGCGTAACAACTGCGACCGCCCCGAATCCAGCAGACTACCCGATATTTGACGCCAAAACAGTCCGCTGCCCAACATGGTGCTAGCGAAGTCCAAAAAGTCCGTCGGACTGGGCAACCAGTTAATGAAGGATCGTTTTGGCAAGGGCAAGGGCGGCGATCGCAAGCGCGTGGGCGCCGTTACTCGTATCGACCATGCGACCGGCCAAGAGTACATTACCAACGACCGTGAGGAGGCCGGTTGGGTGAAGATGCGCTCTGTTACCGAACAGGGCGCGCTCGACGAGTTCCTGGCTACTGCCGAGCTCGCGGGCACCGACTTCACAGCCGAGAAGATGAACAATGTCAAGATCATCCACACCGACCAGCGGAACCCGTACCTCCTTTCCGCAGCTGAAGAGCGCGCGGTTCTCGGGAAACAGCGGCAACACAAGGCCCGGTTGACGGTGCCAAGGCGACCGCAATGGGATTCGACGACAACCCCCGAAGAACTCGACCGGTTGGAGCGTGAAAGCTTTCTGCAGTGGCGCAAGGGCCTGGCTGAGTTGCAAGAGACACAAGACCTATTGATGACGCCGTTTGAGCGCAATCTTGAGGTGTGGAGGCAACTATGGCGTGTTATTGAGAGGTCTGACGTCGTCGTTCAGATCGTCGATGCTAGGAACCCGCTCATGTTTCGATCCGAGGATCTTGAGACATATGTCAAGGATGTGGACCCGAAGAAACAGAATCTGTTGCTTATCAACAAGGCCGATATGATGACATATGCTCAACGGAAAGCATGGGCGAGCTATTTGAAGGGCGCCGGCATTGCCTACAGGTTCTTCTCGGCCCAGTTGGCGAAGGAGTTACTCGAGACCCAGGAGTCTGAGAGCGAAGGAGAGGATGAAGGGGAGGAGGAGGGAGGGGATGAGAGTAACACAGCAGCTGGCCCAAGTGGCAGTGATGCCCCATTACAGTCCGAAGAGTCGGGCGAAAAGGGAGCCGACAGCGGGGAGGAAGAGAGCGAGGCGGACACCAGGATTCTGACGGTGGATGAGTTGGAGGACATGCTTCTTTCTTATGCGCCGGAGGATGCAGGTGAGTGATGTTTTCATTCCCGGTTATTGTTGATTTAATGAGAGCCGGACAACGCTAACCTTATGGCAGGACCGGATCGGAAACTTCAAGTTGGTCTGGTCGGCTACCCCAACGTCGGAAAGTCCTCGACTATCAATGCGCTGATTGGCGCCCACAAAGTGTCAGTCTCGGCCACGCCTGGCAAGACAAAGCACTTCCAGACTATCCACTACAGTGACAGGGTCATTTTGTGCGATTGCCCAGGTCTCGTGTTTCCTAACTTCGCCAGCACCAAGGCCGAGCTCGTGGTTAATGGTGTTCTTCCCATCGACCAGCTGCGGGAATACAGCGGGCCAGCCACACTAGTTGCTAGCAGGATTCCACGGGCCTTCATCGAAGCGATCTATGGTATCCAAATACGCACTCGGCCTATCGAGGAAGGCGGAACGGGGATTCCCACCGGCGATGAACTGCTTAGTGCCTATGCCCGCCACAGGGGCTTCATGACACAGGGTCTCGGCCAACCAGACCGGTCCCGTGCCGCGAGGTACATCTTCAAGGACTACGTCAACGGGAAGCTGCTGTACGTCACCCCACCACCGGGGATCGATGACAGCCAAGAGTTCAACCGTGAGCTCTACGACGTCGCTCATCTCCCCGCCAAGCGACAGGCTGCTGTGGCGGCTGCCATGGAAGAGCTTTCGGTCGAAGGTGATGACACCGCCTCGCTCCTGTCTGACATGCTCCCGCTCCCACGCGGCGCCAAATCCCAGAACCTGGACAAGGCCTTCTTCAAGGCCACCGAGAACAGCGCCGGTCACCTATCGCGACCGTTCAACTACAAGTACTCGGAGCAGGGCATGGCTGAAGCGGCGGAGGGCAAGCAATTAAGTGGCCGCAAGCTGCGGACCATGATTGCGCTGGAGAAGGGTATCGACCCAAAGGACGTGCGAGTCGGATCGAGCAAAAAGCACTTCAAGGGCGGGCAAAAGGGGAGAAAGAACAGGGGGCCGAAGGAGGATGATGAAGACTAAATGATAGATATGCTGGGAAGATGCCGGTAGTTTATCGATCATAAAGATTTTTTTCTTCTACACTGACGGCGTTCGAAAGGCCGCAGTATCCTTCTCTCCCCGCGCCAGTATGTTCCAATGGTTAACATACCGTGTACGGAGTAAGGTTGAGGTCCTGCAACGGGAGACAGAAGGACTGCAGATTTGTGAGCTCGCCACACTAAATATAAGGGAGGATGAGCCTTGTAACACCGAATGGTTCCCGTAAAAATCGACTTGCCCTTGAAATAATTAAAATTCGAGGACGCCATCCACCTATAACCGTTCTGTGAATCGTCTTTGTGTGGCTCGTTGGCTACTACAACCCTAACCCTTGTTTCGGCCCCGCAGTTGGCCCAGAAATTTTACCTTGAACGGAACTCACAGATTTGATCTAGGCATTGGATGTCGGTCACCACAATTCTACTCAACCGACATGGCAAGCCTCCGCGGGCTATCGAGACAGGCCCGCGGCCTTCCGCTGCCCCAATTAGCACGCAGCCCGTACGCAGTAGGGCCACCGTCACGATGCGCCTCATCACAAGCCGCCGCCGAGTCACCATCCGCCCTCCACGACCTCGAGAACTCGACGCTCACGAGGCAGCAGTTGAGTGAGGAGGAGAAGAAGCAGTTTAGGCCATGGAAGCGCGCGGCCGACAGGAAAGGATCACTTCCCAGCTCGAAGTAAGGACGCTCCGTAGCCACAAAACTGGCAGCAGTCACTGGTTTCCCAACCCAGCCCACCATGTATAACACTACTGACAAGACCGCGCGCAGTTACCAATACCACCCGCCCAAATACAACCGCGGCCCCCTTCACCCCATACAGTCGCCTCCCTCCTCAGATCCGGTCGCGCGAGACTTCGTCCCAGGACCCTTCAACCACCCACGCCTTAAGCAGACCTACACCACAACCATTGCGCCCGATCTCATGACCCTGGCGTACATGCACGTACCGCCAGGCACACCTAAGAAGGAGCCAGCACAGCGTTTGCGTGGATGGGACGGCTCGTCTCCGTATCACAAGAATCGTGCGCTGCGCGGGCCTCGTGGCGGTGCGGCTCTGCCGCTGATCGAGCGCGATATCACCTTCACAAACATCCCCGCCATCCGCGAGATCACCGTGGCGAGCTACGTACCAGTAGCGGTCCAGGATCCGGATCACCTGCTGGTGGCGCGGACTGTGTTACTGGCGATGACGGGGACGACGCCTGAAATTACGAAGACCAAAAGCAACGTGGTACAATGGGCGCTCCGGAAGGGCGAGCGTGCTGGTGTGAAGGCTACGGTGTACGGCAATGATGCGTATGAGTTCCTAGATCGGTGTGTACATTTGGTGTTTCCGAGAATTAGGGACTATATGGGGATTAAGGGTGAGTTTTCTTTGTCACCCTACGACAAACACCCAGACGTGGGTGAACAGCGACTGACTTGAGAATAGCATCGACGGGTGATAGCTCTGGTAATCTCTCGTTCGGCCTGACGCCGGAGGAGATCAAGTTGTTCCCAGAGGTGGAAGCTAATTACTGGGTGAGTTACTCGCCGAGATGTTCCCGGTTTCCATAATTGTTACTTCCGCTAACCAAGCTTGCAGCTGTACCCGCCCAAGATGATTCCCGGTGCGCGCATCTTCATCAAGACGACTGCAACCTCGGATCGACAGGCACGGCTTCTGCTGCAGTCTTTCGGTGTCCCCTTCTACGGCAAGATCCGGAACTAGAGGAAGGACGACAGCAGTGAAGGTGTGTGTTTGTATAATACCAGATGTGTATACGAAAGATTTGTAACACCAAGACATGACAAGATGGGCCATGCAGTTGTGTATTGAATCTGACGGTGGTTTGTTCTGCGAACATCTGACTATGTATTCATTCCCCTTTTTTCCGCCCCTTAGCAGTTGGGTTTCGTCCAAATCATGTCTAAATACGAGTGAAACCAGCCAAAACGCCACCCATGCAACAAGACATCGCTCGTCTATCGCTGTTCTAGCCCTTTGCGCCACTACGTTATCGCTGACTACCGTAGCTTATCCCCCCGGGCTTTCAACACTCATGCCTTGCCCTTCACCCTTTCCCTCAACCAGTCTATGACCCCATCCACAGCATCCATATCCGCCGCGTCCACCTTCTCCCCCCTCCCATACTTCGCTAGCCCCTCTACCACCACATCCATGGAAGGTTGATAGTTTCGCACCGCCGAGCTGAGGGCATAAATCGACTTTCGCCTCACGCCCACATCCCCGTCCTCTGCCGTCGCTAATTTTAATAACGTCGGCACACCACCCATCGCTAAGAGTCGCTCTTGGCTCTTGACGTTATTCTGCACCGCCGTCCCCACACACCAGGCAGCCATGCGCTGCAGCTCGGGTTCGTACGTTTTTATCTCCTCTTCTTCTTCGCTCTTCGCGGGGGTTGCTAGTACCGAAAGCAGCGGCGTCCAGAGACCCAGTGGCTCCAGGTTGTTCGCATTGTCCAGCGACTCGATCAACTGCTCGAAGTTATCAAACGCGATCAGTTTGTTGTCGAGGGTCGCTGTCGGGTCCGTAACGACCTCCATTGCGGCACGCATCAAATCGGCTTCGGACGGCCCGCCGAAAAGCGCAGAAAGAAGTTCCGGGTTAACGTTACTGGCGGGCGGGGCCGTCGCCGCGCCGGTGGAAGGGGTGTCAGACGGACGAGCTGTAATGGCGGTCGGTCTGTCAGCACTATCGGTACTGGCGGGCGTGGTGCTGGAGGGAACAGAGTTCTCGATGCTCCATTTGAGCAGGTTGTTGAGGTTTCGGTCCATGGTGGGGGGGACGAGGGGTCTTTTGCGCAAAGTTTGCGCCGAGTGAAGTAAGGTAGATGCTTGGGGAACAACCTGTGACGGTAGCTTTGGAACAGACGGCGGTTTTTGTATCCGGTGTGACGGCAGAAGTGAGATATGCCAGTGACAGGTTGGTTGGGAGGGGAAAAAAAGGAAACTGATTGTCTGTATCCGTATATCTGCCCAAAAATTATTGCCTGCCGCGATGTTAGTCGCGGCGCTGACCGCGATCGCACGAATGTTCGGGAAATTTCCATCCGGAACGGTCTTAGTGTGTCCGTCACGTGACCTCCATACTCCTTCGAACCCGACCTGTCACGGTTGAGGGGTTTGACAGGAGGTAGGCAGCCAATAATTCGGACGTTTTTCTCCATTTTAACCTTTTAGAACTCGAGAATTAATCTCGTCTTGTGGTTTATATCGCCCTTGGGCAACACTTCCCTTGTCAGATATATTCATGGTGGTCTATGCTTTACCCCTCCAAGGCCAAGAAATCAAATTTGCCCCACTGAACTACCCCTCGTTGCCGCCGGGCTGAGTAAAACTTTGGGATGCCAAAGGCGGCAGAGCTAGGTGCCCGAGCTTCTAGAACAAAATTGTGGAAAATAATGCCAAAGGCGAAGCTTCTTGGACCTGCGGAGGGTGCCCCGCTCCCAAACCCTTGATTGTCCTAGGACAAATATCCGGCGAGAAACTCTCTCAGAGGACGGCGAGATTATAGATCGTCGAGCTGCCCCCAAAGGTGGAGCTTTGCCCCTGATATCACTGCCTGGGTCAGGTACGTCAGCCCCTTTTTCTGCCAACCTGGGACACGCGGTTTTGGTTCCGGTGGTCTCGGCACGGCAGCCGCATTGTGGACGATGGTCCCACCTGGTGTCAGGCTGCTATAAAATTCCAGCATATGATCTAGAATGTTGTTTCGACTATTTAGTTTTTTTGTGTTGTTCAAGGGCACACGTACACCTCACTAGGCTCCTGAGACGCAGACCGGATCAGACCAAAGACTTGGGCGGAACAAGAACAGTGCCTGCTTGGCAGAAGAGCGAGTTGATCATGCTTGTTGATGTAGCGAAGTTCTTCATACACTACTAGTAATCTTCTGCTCTTTCCCCATCACCACTATCGCGGACGTCTCCGGGGAATACTGGGGAACGTCAGCTGGCCCTGGTTGACTTATGAATGCACCAGGTCTCCGGAGCGTATTGCGGCGTGGCAATGCCTTGCCAAGAAATGGGATACTCGATGTCGCTGCACCTTGACTGTTGTGCCACGTACTATTCGATTGTTGATGAAAACACAGGGCAGCAGGACGGCATTGATGCCTTGGCGAATGCTAACCGGCCGTCGTTGGCAGTTTCCCCGTTGCATATCCGATCGTTAAGTCAGACGTCGTGTCCCCAAGGTTCGCGTTGGATACCTATTCTTTGCTTCGGCCAGGATGGTCAGAATCACAGCCACAAGCGAATTACGAAAACTTGTGGCCAACCTCCCGTCACCCTTTGAACAAGTCCCGTCAGCGCAAAGGCGGCAGGCGAATTCCCAATTTGTGCCAATGAGGCAGCTGCATCTGTTCCCAACAAACCCCACCAGCTCCCACACCGCCCACTGCCTGCACTTGCTTGATGCCCCACACAATTTCCAGCTTCTGAGGACATGGGGCGCAGGGGGGCCCAAGTCTTTCCTTCCTCCACCCACATATCCCCCCTCTCTTCTTTCAACCCACGCCAACCTAAGCACTGACCTTAAATTCACCTCCCTTTTTTCCAACCTCGCGCCGCGACTCCAACCCTCTCTCTTTCTTGCTCCGGTGCGTTACATGCGATCAAATCCCATCACGTCTCCTACTGACAATTTGAGATCGCTCGAGCAGATTAATTAATCCTCCTTTCCACCTTTGCACCTTTTCCAGATCTATCAAAATGGAGGGTATGTTTCCCTGCAGCAGCTGCTGCTCCCTGTGCTTCCCGCAAAGACGCCCGACCTCCGTCCACGGGCGGTCGGGCCCGAGCCGGCCGGCATCACGTCACGCACCGTATGGAACAAGCTGCTGACCGAGTCTCCGTCATACAGAAGAAGTTGCTGCCCTCGTCATCGACAATGGGTAAGGCCCCCGACCGACGATCCCCTCATCTCACCGACTCGGCGACAGCTGGCGGATCATCCTTACCGACGGCCCCACCTAGTAACACCATCGCCGAGTCAACGGATACACATTTCTTTCCGATTGAAATCAAGCGGAGTTTGCACGGGATGTAATTATGGCTGACATGCGTGTAGCTCCGGCATGTGCAAGGCCGGTTTCGCCGGTGATGATGCGCCCCGCGCTGTTTTCCGTAAGTTGAGCTCGAGAGAATCTCACGGTTGAGTTCGGTCGGCGATAAGCCGAGCTCTGGCCATCTGTTCCATAGGAAGGAAGTAACATGCGAGCTAACATTATTCCTTGCCAGCGTCCATTGTCGGTCGTCCCCGTCACCATGGGTAGGCTTATTATTGAATATTTCCTGATCGTGGTTCGGACTGATCAGGCTGACACGCTACTAGTATCATGATCGGTATGGGGCAGAAGGACTCGTATGTCGGTGATGAGGCGCAGTCCAAGCGTGGTATCCTCACGCTGCGCTACCCCATTGAGCACGGTGTCGTCACCAACTGGGATGACATGGAGAAGATCTGGCATCACACTTTCTACAACGAGCTCCGTGTTGCCCCTGAGGAGCACCCTGTGCTCCTGACCGAGGCGCCCATCAACCCCAAGAGCAACCGCGAGAAGATGACGCAGATCGTCTTCGAAACCTTCAACGCCCCCGCCTTCTACGTGTCCATTCAGGCCGTTCTCTCGCTGTACGCCTCCGGTCGTACCACTGGTATTGTGCTGGATTCTGGTGATGGTGTCACCCACGTGGTTCCCATCTACGAGGGTTTCTCGCTTCCCCACGCCATTGCCCGTGTCGATATGGCCGGTCGTGACCTGACGGATTACCTGATGAAGATCTTGGCTGAGCGCGGTTACACTTTCTCGACCACGGCCGAGCGTGAAATCGTCCGTGACATCAAGGAGAAGCTCTGCTACGTCGCCCTTGACTTTGAGCAGGAGATCCAGACGGCGGCGCAGAGCTCCAGCTTGGAGAAGTCCTACGAGCTTCCTGACGGCCAGGTTATCACCATTGGCAACGAGCGTTTCCGCGCCCCAGAGGCTCTTTTCCAGCCCTCTGTCCTGGGTCTGGAGAGCGGTGGCATTCACGTCACCACCTTCAACTCGATCATGAAGTGCGACGTCGACGTCAGGAAGGATCTCTATGGCAACATCGTCATGGTGAGTCCGGCTTTTCGAAATATCGACACAAAAGAAGAAAGAGGCGGCTAACATTTGTCACTAGTCTGGTGGTACCACCATGTACCCTGGTCTGTCGGACCGGATGCAGAAGGAGATCACTTCTCTTGCTCCTTCTTCGATGAAGGTCAAGATCATCGCTCCTCCCGAGCGCAAGTACTCCGTCTGGATCGGTGGTTCTATTCTCGCGTCGCTGTCGACCTTCCAGCAAATGTGGATCTCGAAGCAGGAGTACGACGAGAGCGGCCCCTCGATTGTGCACCGCAAGTGCTTCTAAGGTATGAAATCTCGGTCCTCATGCCGTGGCTTGAGTTAGGGCATCATCGACTGACCGCTTATGGTGTATAGCGCAGAACAAGGACGGCATTCCGGACCGCCGCACGACGAGGCCGACCGTGCCGCAGAAGGCTCCGGCGTCGCGCTTGTGACTCCCGGGCGACTCTCGCACCTTAAAAAAGTTGTGACACTGGTCGGGGGTTGGTGGGCATTTAGCATTCTCCGTTTTGGCACATGCGGATGCGCGGGTGGTTCTAGTTTTGGGGCGGGCGGATGCGTAGTACGGCAGGTGGGAGAGTAGGCTAGGGCCTTGATACATTTTGTTACTGTACCTGCGGTGATTCGTATCTTGGTAGTCGGCCATCATAAGGAATCTTTGTGCTTATGGCAAAACTCATTTCTGCAATGGGGTACATTGCCAGTCTGGGTTATTGCCGTGCCAATTCACACGAAGGTCCCCATCTGACCCGACCATATCTGGTTCCAAGTTCTCTACTCTGGGTATCATTTTTTAATCTGACCATCTTCCCTTTCTGTTTCATCTGATTCTGCTATTTGCAACTTCGAGAGCTCCGCGTCGTTGACCTCTAGGGGATCCGCTCCGAGCTGCTCCTTGTTAATCCCCCCTCTCCATCCCATTCCACTTCTCTTCCTTCTATCCCCTCTGCACCCTCTTCTCCTATATCCCCTTCCCCCGTAGTTTGGCCCTCTGCCAGCTTTCTGTATTTCCGTCTCGCCTTCTTCGATTTACTGTCCGCTCTCTTCTTTTTCAAATCGGAAACCGCAGCGGCTCGGGATTGAGGGCCCCTCGCAAGCTCATCGAGCCGGAGAGCCAGTAAGTCGCGTGCGATTTTTCGATTTTGAGAACGGGAACGGGTCGCTTGGGATTTGACTACGATTCCGGTGGGTAGGTGTTTGAGCTGGACTGCGGAACTGGTTTTGTTCTGGCGTGATATAGCAAGTCAAAATGAGGCAAGACAAGTCCAACAAGGAGTACGGGTACTATGAAAGAGTTGGGGAGGAAAAGGATAAGGAGGGCTTACAATCTTTTGTCCACCTGGGCCGCTGCCTTTCAAAAAGCTCTCGTCAATCTCGGACTCGGGAGGGTGTTTGGGGCGTGGGGGCAATTGAGTCTGTTTGCCTTGTATGGAAGTTGACGTAGTAAAGCTACTCGTCAACTTGGAGGGGTTCGTGATCGTGCTGCTGTTGCCGCGGGCGCCTTGGGAATAATTCGGAGTTGCTACGGTCCCAAAGAGCATACGCAGACGGGCCAGGGGGCGGATCATTAAGGACATGAGGGGCTATTTCCCATCCTCTCCCAAGTCATATAGTATTGTCCGGTTGAGCTGGCGGTGGACCTGTTGCCGTTATTGCCGTTAACATCAAACTCGAGACGGGGGACGGCCGTGCATGCTCCCGAGCCAGGGGTGGGACGAAATTCGGGGCCCTGTAATTAGCCAATCAGAGCGCGACCGACTCTTCCGTTCGGCAGGCAAATGCACTTCCAAGATTCTGCCATCTCCCTCTGACCCTTGACTTTGTTTTACCATTTCAGTTTCCCTTCACCGAGATTCACACAGAACTTTTGATTCTTCGACAGCCCCCACAAACCAGCGAGCGACAATTCAGTAGCATAAGTGGCACACAATCGAGAGCGAACGCGAAATTCTTCCCCAAACGAACCCCGACCGACGAAGCCAGTGCCATTTAAACCCCTGAACGCGGCCGCGCCATCTCCGTCGCATCCATCATCCCTTTTTCGCGACTCCCAGCATCAACCCCCAACCCGCCCGCCATGGCCTCCACGCTCGAATCATTCAGCAAATGGCTGCAGCTGAAGATCTACCAGCTCGAGGTGACGATGAGCGTGTACATTTATACACCTATTGAAAAATTCATCTTCTGTACGGTTTTTTTCCTGCCCACGTGGTAACTTCCTTTGTCACTCCCATCCATCCATCCCTCCTCAGGAGCTCAAACACTAACCTCCCCATCCCACAGATTCGGTCCTCTTCCTCCTCTTCTCCCTCACATTCATCGCCACTGTCCTTTACCTGCCACAGCACTTGCAATTCATCGTTAGCCGCGCCTGGTTTTACATGCACGGCGACTCCTTGGACGGGGGGGTTGCCAAGGGGGCTATTGATGTCGCCGCTGCGACGACGACAGCGGTGGGAGAGGCCCTCACATCGATTGCGGCAGCTGCGGCGGAGAGGGTCAAGGAACTTTAAGGACTGTGGCTGTTTGCTTGAGAGTTACCATGGAGGGGGTCAATGGGGTTGACTATGTGCGCGACGGACTTGCGGATGGGACAGGCCTCAACATTTGCCGCCTGTTGCCTTGTCCGTCTGTCAATTTGTTCGCCCGAGTTTTCGGCAGCCCAAGGAGTTATGGTGTATGAGAAGGATGTACTGGCGTCAGTAATAATGAGGTGGGACCTACATATGGGTTATTTGGTCGGCGCTTTGAACGACAGGGCGCATATTTTTGGGGGGGCTACGGCCGTTCTGGCATTGGCGGACGACTTAATGATGGGCGGATTGTGTTTATGTGGCGCGGGGGAGAAGTGGCACGAGCGGGAGAGGGTTGATAATAGCACCATGGGGGGCACGTACAGGACTGGGATAACATGGCGTTTACAGAGGACATATACTTGGATACCTAATGAGCCCAGCTGGGCAACAATAAGTTAATTCATAAGCACACCTTGCGATGGGTGGTGAACACCTCGACTTTGAGCCTTTCCACACGCAGCCAGTGACCGGCTAGAATCTGTAGTTGCCACTAGTAAGTAGTCTTCTAAACATTGTAAATATCATAGGAGAGACGAGAGACGTATGCCTCGTAGCAATCGTCATTCGTACAACCGCTTGCAACACTTGTCCTGTCCACACGGCCAACATTTCATGACCTCCAGGGGTCTATTTTCACTTCGAATTTATTCTCGGACAACGCCCCATTGGCACGTGAAACCCATCTATTCATCCATACCAGCGCAGACGTTTTTTATTTTCCTACCTACCCTCCTCGCAACGACTTAAAAGCGTAGATCCTCAACGACCCATCTTCGCCTGCAATAGCCAACTCTTCTGTACTTTTGCTCTCCTCCCGTACCGGCCGCCAGGCCAGCTGTGTCACCGCTTTTGGCAAAGACAGCTCGTTTGGCACCTCTAGCGTCGAGACAACCTCCACACTCACTTCTCCACTAGACCCGTCAAGCTTGACCGCCAGCGCGAAAATCGAGACTTTGCCCGCCTCCGTCCCTACCGCTAGTTGGAGAGGCTGCCCGTCTTCCGTCTCAGGAATGAAGTCAAGTGCCGTGACCGGATGATCTCTGGGGATTGCCTTAGCTAGCTCAAATTGGGACCCGTCGCCGGGCTTCCGGAGCCAGATCTTGACGAGTTTGTCTCGGCCCGCTGTAGCAAAGATTCGAACGGTTTCTTGGCTGTCCTGCCCTAGCTTAACGGCTGGGGCCCAAGCCGCATCCAGAATCATCCGAGTGTGGCCCTTCGGGTTAGCCTGTACTAGTTCATACCCGTCCTCTTCCCCTTCCTGTCCACCTTCACTAGCCGTCTTCCCCGTTTTTCTCCCCCAGACTGCCCACCCTCGATCCCGTCCCACGCTCACCAGGTAGCTATCATCCGCGGAGAACCGAAGCCGCGCCACGGTCAGCGTGTGCGCCTGCAACGGCGGCCGGATCTCGGTCCACCGGCGTGTCTCAAACAACCGCACGACGGCGTGGTTAAGCGAGCTAGCCTTGCACGCGCTAGCGACAAGCCGACCGTCATGGCTGGCGGCCAAGCACGAGATCTCGTAGCCGTGTCCGTACAGCTTTTCTATCTCGGGCCAGAGGGTGTGGCGAGACAGGGACTCTTCAAAGGGCGGGTGGTCGTTGGCGAGAGCAGAGGTGCGGACGAAAGTGGCCGGGTCTGGTGCGGTGCGGTCTGCTCCTATTGGGTTGGAGAAATCAGGAGCGAGGGCAGACAGGTCGGCGTCGTCGGGGATGGTGTCGATGGCTTTGTTGGAGAGGCCGAGCACGGGCATGTTGGCTGCGTCGGGGAGTGCGGCTTCGGTTTCTGGGGTTAGGGGCGCAGAGTTTGTTAGGCGGCTCAGCATGCGGGCAATGGCTTTGGGCTCGGTGAAGACACGCATGAGTTTCTCGTCGGCGCCGGACACGAAGGATGACGGGCCAAGGACCGAGATACAGTTGAGGTCGTAGCCGTGGATTTGGGGGCGAGACATCTCGTGCCAGGAGTGGGCGGCGCCCAGAGCCCACTCGGCGTGTAGCCGCGTGGTTTGATCGGAGCTGGTAGAGAGCAGGTAGAGGCCGTCCCTGGACCACGATATCCCCGTCACGGCGCGGGTGTGGCCAGAAATGGCAAAGTTCTGCTTCCATGTATCTTCAGCTGTTCCGTAGTCCCAGCGTCTCCAGCTACCGGTGCGGCCTAGAGTGATGACAGTTTCCCCTAAAGGCGACCACAAGCCGGTCCAGAAACCGCCGATGCTCCCTGTAGCCGTAGTAGCCCCCTTTTCGCGGCTGATCTCTCCTAGTCGGGCACCGGTGATCCAAATGCCAGACTCAGCGTCGGATTCCCAAAGTGATAACGAGTTATCGGCCGAGGCTGATAACAGCTGTAACCGACCATCGCTAGCTGCTCGAGACCAACGGGCGCTATAGATCCAGTCTTCGTGGCCGAGCAGGAGCGCCTCGAACATGATACAGTACTTAGCAGCGCCATCGCCTGTCCCAACAGTGAGTTTGTGGATCTTGTTCCCCGGTGTCAGAGAATCGGCGGACATGTCGAGCCCCGCGGCGTTCAGGGCAGACAGGGCATTGCCATGGTGAATGCGCCAGATCCGGATATACTTGTCCTGGCTGGCTGAAGCCAGAAGAAGGTCACTGCCCGGCTCCAGCTTCTCGCGAGTGAAGTCAAGCGAACGAACCCAGTTTTCGTGGCCAGGAAGCGTCGCTTGCAGAGTGAAGTCGATAGTAGCCCCTGAGTCACCACCTCCTGGCATGGCCGCCGTGAATATTTGGATGGTATTGGTCGTCCCAGCAACAGCTAGTACGAGACCGTTCCCATCACTCCCCCCTTTGAGCTCGCTCAACGCCACGGCCAGGGGCATGTATTTTCTCGTCGTCTTGATCGTCTGCAGCAAGGTCATTTGACCGGCAGCCTCCAAAGCCCACACCCTGACGGTTGCATCGGCACCCCCTGTGACGAAGAGGCACCTCCCAGATCCTGTCTCCGCAAACGCAGCTGACTTGAGGGAGGCGATGCAGTTGATAGGCTCAGTGTGTTCCTGGACCATCTGCGTGCATAAAGCAGTGCGGGTTTCCAAATCGATGGCCCAGAGCCGGAGTTGTTTGTCGTCCCCGCCCGTCACCAAGTGAGCGATCTTCTTGCCTCCTTGGTCTGCTCTGTCATCTGCATTTTGAGGCAGGAACTTCACAGCACGTACATGAGCCGTGTGCCCGCTTATGATATGTGAGATGCCTGTTGAAACCTGAGAATGATATTATTATGACTGTCTCGTTATTTGCGGTGGCTTTTCCTTTCCCAGTTCCTTCGCGTGTAATAAAATACAAGCTTGTGATATGGAACTGACTCAAAAAGTCTCATCTTCTCGGAATTCTTGACGTACCGTTGGATCCCAAAGGCAAACGTTTGCGTCAGAACCAAATGCGACGAATCCATTTTCACCCCAGTCTGCGGCGGCAGTGTACCGGTTTGCTCCTGCCGACAGATATCGACTTTCAACGATGGCATCGGCCATGCTGTCGTTTGTGTCTCTTTGGCTCCCACAGTTTGTGTTGTATGTGATTGGCCCGCCGTGTATCAAGAACCTTCAAGTTTTTAGTGAGGTTGTTTGGTTTCCCATTAGGTACCGTGTGTAATCCAGAAGGGTAAAATTTGACCGAAACACACCGCACTTACACGTACGGTACGTGACTACCAGCTTGACAGGCCCACTTCCCCCACCTGCCATGTCCCGCCCGCTTTCCACCCACTGATCTCATATTTTGAGACTTTTTGCAAAGCTTCCACGTCGCATCGTGTGTATCCAAACGGGTTTCCATCGCTGCGTATCTCACGAACTAACATCGCTCACCCCTTTCAAGTTCCGGATTCCCACATCCTACATCGTCACCCTACGCCTTGTCCCTGGCTCCAAGATTACCCCGCCTCGCTACCAGCCCTTTGAAACGGTTTCGGGCTCATTGGAAAGAAAGAAAAAGAAAACTGTGGCATATTATTAGTCAATCCTTCAAGATGGGAAGTGAGTCTGCGGCGACGATTCCCATCACGGTTGATTTCTCGTATGTCAATTTCTCTCGTCTCCTGCAATTTTGCAAATATTCCTATGCCCCGCCTGCCCCCTCGTTCGCGCGTCCCCCACTTTATAATCCTCCTAGCTCTCATAAGGAGTTCATATCACATCTCACATCTCATATTTCACACAATTACACCCGCACGCCAACGAAACCAACCCCAGACCCCGGATTCTCAACGGCGTGGGATGATTGACTGACCCCCATCCACAGCGGCGGCTTAGAGATGCTGTTCGACAATCAACGCCGCTACCTCATCTCACTCCCTGTCACCGACGAAAGTGGCAAGGCAGCTAACATCGCCTTCCTCATCGAACACCTCTGCAAGCATTACATGAAGGACCCAAGGGCCGACTTGTTTGTCCTCGACGGCCACATGTAACTATCTGATGCCCCTTCTAGCTGCGAGATAAACAACAGATATGCTGATTCGTACGCGCGCAGCCGGCCCGGCATCCTCGTGCTGATCAACGACGCCGATTGGGAACTTGAGGGTGAGGAAGCCTACGAGATCAAGTCGAAGGACAACATCTTGTTTGTCTCGACTCTCCACGGCGGCTGATCACTTTGCCCTCAAAAGTTCCCTCCAAGAAAACCACGTTTGGGGCGGCCCCAGGAAGCCACCCCCATCTCAACGCGCCAACGTTCGCCAATCCGCGTGTGGAAGGCGCCGTTTGCTTGAAATTTTACGCGCGTCCAGCCGGCTTGATTTCTTTCCGAAATCACGCCCCGCTCCCGTGAACGGCACCTGCTTTTGAAGCCGTGCCGCGCCCACACGGTGTAATCTGCCAGATGGCTCTCCTGTGATATCACCCTCGGTCAGACTCGCTCACCATCACACAAGCCCCTCGTGTTTTCTTCCCCGGTCAGGAACAGCAGGGTGAGCCTGTGAGGGCATAAGTCACCTGACCTAGGCGAGCTGCAAGCCCTCACGCCGTGCAACCACCATCGCCATGGGTCATCAGCTTTGGATTTCTTGGGCCACAGGGGCCCCTGGAGAGACGGGCAATTGTGTCAGTCAGCGGCTCAACGGTGAGCCGAGGGCCGCCACTCAAGACAAAGACCAGCGCCACTCCAGAACGTGGTCGACACGCTGACAGGATCCACCGCGTGCCTTGCACGGATGATCGCCCTGGGGAAGAGTTCCAATTTGGGATCCAAGGAGGATATCTGCTGCGGTTTGGGAGTGTATGGAGCAAGTGGGTTTAAGGAAGGTTCCGACTGGTCGTCAATACGAGAGAGAACTTTGGACAACGGTCATTGTCTTCGACAGATGTTCTGTGGTCTTGGGCAGGTTGTTGGACCAGGACGCAACAATGCAATGAATCCTTTATGCAAACCTCGCAAGCCTTGGACTTCGCGTCCCATTGTCCCATCTCCTGCATTATCACCCGCCTGCGCATCTGAGAAGACCCGCCCAAACAATGTTGTGGAATGTCACGCAAACGGGGACGCCCTCGCCGAAACACCCATACTGCGACACACACACCACGCACACCGAAACCCTCTCGCTTCCCTCGCCCTTTTAGGACTGCTGCTGCAAAAATGATAACGGGTCTGGTTACCCGTCGGCAAGACGCCGAAAATGGAGAGTGTTGATGTTGCTAGCGGCCGATCCCACCGATTTGCGTGCGCACTACGACGGTAAGAGTCTGGTTGACAAGACGCCGTCTCCTCAAACCGAACACTCGGGAGCATCCAGACCACGCTACCTCGCATCGCATCACTGACCCGGGCCTGCGTCTCTGAATCGTTCTGATCGCTCCCCACCACTCACTTCAAGTTTCTAGGGTGTGCGCGGAGTCGGATTCATCACCACGATTAGGGTCGCAGAAGGAACCCACCTCCAAACCGATGAAGACGACCTCCATCATCAGTCCCCCCTCCCCCTCTTTCCCTTACCGTCCACGCCCAGGCTTGCCCCAGCCCGGGTCCTCCTCCCGGAACTAGTGTAGAATTTGTTTTCCTTCCCCCCTCCATCAACTGCGGAAACTAGCCGTGCTAACGTTCCTACGAAGTGGTTAGCCAAAGTCCACTAAAAAATCCAAGCACACCAAGATTTTGACTCCCCGGCTTAACCGAATGTTACTCGTCGTTTGGACAAGGATTCAACCGCAGCGGACTCTTCCCCGACTCGCCCACCGAACCCGGGGACGTGGAACGCAACAATCAACCTTCGCTCTGACCAATCCCAATCCAGTTCCATTCCAAATCCCAAACCCACCCATGAAGCCACCCCACCTTCATCCCAGCAAGTTATCCATCAAGCCATCGTCCTCTCTCTCGCTCCCCACAATGAGACAGACACACAGATCCGGCACACCACCTGCTCGTCAAGCTGGGCTAAAACAATGGTCAGGGGAGGCGAGACGGTGGGCGAATTGCTCCGCCGACAGAGCACCAATGCCAGCACCAGGACGACAACGCTCGCACAACGCTAAGTCACATCGGGGAAATTTTCCTATTGTCTCCCCCAAAGGGAAGCAGAAAATAATTCCCAGATTCGGGCATTTTGCCCGTCAGTAACACCACTCCCAGCCTCCACACACTCCCTCCTTGCCTTTTTGCCCCTTTACTATTATGGTACTCGTCCCCTTGATAGACGGCAGTTACCGAGGAAAAATGATAGTTTGTACGGAGCTTATGCAGCTGGAACTGCACTAACTAAACTAGCTGAGGTTGATAACGACGGAGGTTTGAAGAAGAAGCCCGGGTACTTCGTCCTGAGGACGTCCGGACAACGTTGGAATTCGACAGTTTTGGTAAATTACCCCTAGTGATCGACAGAGCTTTCCCCTTTGCGGGAATCTCCACAGCGTGCCCAAACCCAGCTGGGTCAAAGACATCTTGAAAAGTTTTCCAAACGGTCGTCTTCAGTCGCCGTAAACTGGACTCAATAACTCGTGTACCGCGTCGGGTTGAGCGCGGAGCGGAGCGCATGCAAATGCAAGTGCAAACTGCAAATGCAAGTCAATTCGACCCGGCTGGTTGAGGAAAGGCCGTGCATTAGTGACGCAGTACACTATACTCATTATATTCATTGTTTAATCAGCCGATTCCTGCGTCTACGAACGACAAATGTCGTTGGTCAATCAACCACCCCCCCATTCTTCCCCTGCTCCCTGCTAGCTGCCCCTCCTTCGTTCCCGCATCCCTGGGCCGACCCTGATCTCGAATCCTCGGGACTGGATCCATTCGCATCGATTCGCGCGCATCTCTTGTTCTTAATTCTGAAGAGGGTAAGTGTAAGGCGAGACATTATTCCCTGCGCCTTCAAAAAGTGAGGCTTCAACTGCGACATTCCCCTCTCAGACCGTTCGCCCAGCCCCAGGACGCGCGAGTGCAAGGACTAGCACCAGCACCAGCACCAGCACCAGCACCAGGGCCAGGACAGGGACAAGGCCACAACGCGACCGGCTGTGCCCAGCCGGCGGGCTGGCTCGAGGAACGGGAAACCCCTCTTTTCATCTTGAATCCTCGTCTTCAAAGCGGAGAAAAGGACCCTTTGCATTTGTGGAGAGACGGAGTTGAAGGGGGGGAACTACCGCTCATTAGGCTTGGCCCGTGGTTCCCCGTGATTCCCGCCTGTAACTACACTACCTTTGTCAACACCACTGAAGATCCCCAGTCTTTGTAATGTATGACATCCCCCTCTTGTAGACCCGATTCGTATCCCCAGAGCAGGCGAGACGACGGTACCAAATCATCGCTAATGACTTAGTACCGAAGCTGGCTTACACTAAAGCTCATGTCCCTAGGAACGGTGATGTCCAGCTGACAAGCTGGCCGAAGGGCTAAGGCGGATGGTATGGTTGTTAACTAGCTAACTAGTTACCCCAGAACAGCGAGCTAAGTCTAATCCGCCAGTCCGTGAGTAAGCCGGTGCCTTTGTTTGTGGATGCATGGCACAGATACGTCAACTCACTAACTGCATACATAGAACAACACAAAAGATGAGTTTATGAGCAACGCCCATCCGGGCGTAGGTATCCATCTGCCTGCATAGGGGGTTTGTGTTTGCTGTTTCCTACGCTGGACCGCCCAGCTTTAACCCCTCGGAAGTCTCGAGGCTGCCGAATGACCTGTGTTGGATCGCATCTTGCAGCATGCACGCACAGACAACTGCGGGGCGATTCTGCACTTGAAGTTCAGCTAGACCAAAAGGATCTATTCTCGTCTCTTTTCATATTTTTTTCTCTCGTTTTTCATGCCTTCCTGTCCCTTCTCGCCCATTTCCTTGAAACAAACGAACAAAAATGACTCTAGATGAGGTGATCCATGTAAGTGATGGTGTGGGCGTGGGGAGTGTGACCTTCTTGGTGCCCGGGCGGGTTTGGTGTGGGTAGTATTCGGGCTCGACACCGCGCATCTCCGTAGCCCCGGCGACCTGAGGTTTCCCCCCAAAGCACCCACACAAGACGCGAGCCCAAGGCAACTCCGTCTCATCCCATCCGCCCCGACACCCGCCCCTGGGTACTTGTTTACTCCCGCGGGATTGGTTTGGGGTTGCAGTCAGGGTGCGGCACAGGACATGTATTGGATGGGGCTGGAAATGTCCTGGCTCCAACCGAGGGGGTCAGTCCTTCAACCTGCCGGATCTTGCATCATGCGAAACCGGCGATCGGTAAATCCCTTAAGGTGGGGGGCGTGCGTGTTCGAAAACAATCGGGTCGGGTGATGAGCGGGAGAGTCCGACAGAAAATGGGAGGGGAAGTGGGAGGGAGGCACAGTTGGGGGTTGCGTTTGCGTTTTGAGAGAAGTCATATCATGTCTTTATCAATATAATACAATTCGTGGGAGTGCTTTGCGTAGTGCAAGGTACCTCACTTCTGAGGAAGGTACTTCCCGGTATGCTATCCATGTTCCCCCACGAAAGTCGCGTTCCCCCGCTCTCCCGTCTCCAAAACGTAGCCCGCTTGTATTGTTTCCATCACCCGAGTATTCCCCTCCTCTTTGTAGTATTGCAAGAAAAAAGACAAAAAACCTGTAAAGCGTTAAAGATGCGAATTCCAGTACATCGCCGGCCCTCCGTAAATGCAAAAATCAGACCACCGACCAATTCCCCACACCTTTTCTTGAAAATTGTTGACCACCATCGGGTCGACGTGCTGTTGTCTCCCGTCGTAAGAACATAAAAAAGGGGGGAAAGCATAAGCCAAACATAACAAAACTTGCACACTTGAAAAGACAAAAAACAAGGATCGAAACAACAAACCAAACAGTTACACTGTGCCCACTCCCATGAAACAAAAACAGGCGTCCCCTTCGCTTGTTGGTAAATAGATTTTTCGGGCCCCTCTTTTTTTTAATCCAAAAATAAAACGTGAAATATAAACCGATTTGAAGAACGGTAAGGGAGTGAGCACAAGAAGAAGGCGGCAAAAAATGCATGCATATTTCGAAAACATGTTCAGACAACCGACCCATGACATTAATAAAAAAAAGGGAGAAAACATAACCAAAGCTCGAGATCGTAACGACTAGTAAAGCCGTTCACTGAAAGTGAGCTCACGGCCATGCTCGTCCTCATAGGTGTGCATGACCGGGGTCGAACCGTGCACACTGCTCGCGTCGCTGAGTTGGTCCGAATCCATACCATAGTGGTACGGGTCCCGGGTGTTGATGCTGAGCGAACCGAATAGCATATTTGGGCCTCTGCTCATGCTGTATGCACTCGGGTTGCTTGGGCCGTAATAAGGAAGGCTGGAGTGTGTGCTCTGGTGGTGCTGGTAGTGCTGTTGTTGCTGTTGCTGTTGGTGGTGGTGCTGCTGAGCGAGCTGGATGTGCGAGAAGGAGTGGGGAATAGCAGACATCGGATAGGAAGCGCTGTTTTCGCTGGAGGTGCTGATAGGACTTGTAGCTGGGGATGACTGCTGCTGTGGCGGGTGCACCAGCATAACCCGCTTGACTTTGCGGCCCTTTCCGCGGCCCTTGATCCCCTTGTTGGCAAGGTTGTGCACCTCAGTCAGGTACTTGGCCATCTCCTTGTCTTCGTCGGAAATCATACTCTCGTCCTTCATAGAAGCGAGCTTGTTGTTGAATGCATCGATCTCCTCGGCGTGGTAGGTGTTCTGGTGGGCCTGTGTATCAAGTTAGACTTGTGGTCCCGTAGTTGGTGAGGAACGGGCATACCTTGAGGTTGCCCTTAGCAGTGAAGGCTTTCGGGCAGTTGGCAAATCGGCACACCCAGACGGCCCGCAACTCCCTCCTCACATGTGTCTTCATATGGGCCTTCACGTTGGAGAGCTGGGGAAAGCATTTGTCGCAGTCGGGGCACTCGTAGGGCCGCTCTCCGGTATGGCGGTTGATGTGGGTCTGGAACGGGTCAGACTGCTGTGATGTGTGCTAGTAGGAACACGGTAACGTACCTTGAGATTCACGCTTTGTGTGAAACGGCGCTGGCAGTAAGGGCAGACCTTGAGGCGTGTGAGAATATGATAACCAATAAGTAGCAGGGAAGGAAATACTTACATATGGGCTTTCGCCCGTGTGAGATCGGCGATGGGTGTCGAGGTTGTTCTTTTGAGCGAACATCTTGGAGCACCCAGGAATGTCACAGCAGAAGCGCTTACGCTTCGCCTTTCCGCGAGTCCTTGGCACCTGTGCCTCCTTGATCGCCTCCTTCTCTTCCATCTGAACCACAGCCCCTTCGTTTGCGGGGCCGAGAATCTCGCGCTTGGACTCGATCACCCGCATCACATTGTCGATCGCTGTGTGAAATTGGTGAACTGGAGTTGCTTGTGCCCGAGGCTTGGAGTCGGTAGCCGTAGGAGACGGCGAGTTAGGTAGAGTGGATGGGGCCTCGCTCTTGACATGTGGGCTGCAACTCCGCTTGGCGAACGGAAGCCCGCTCACATCGTCTTGGCCCTCTTCTCGGCTAACCACTGACTCGGACACCACACACCGGGGTTGGAGGCGCTCCAGCGCTTCTTGGGGCTTGAAAGGGGCTTCAAGGATTGGTTGGGCGCCATACGGGTCGTACACCCCATAAGAGGCCGGGGCGTGGTACTGAGGAGAGGTAGGCGTGGGCATCGGGGTTGGGTTGAAAGTGGCCGGGAGGAAATGGTGGGACATGTCAGGGCGCGGGACATGGGCAGCGGTTGTTGTCCTGCAGTCGTAAGGAACCATGCCGTTCTGCATCATGAAGTCGGCACCGTCGTGTTGCGGCTGAGGCCAGCGGCCCCAAGTCTCTGGGGCGGTAGGTAGACTGCCGACAGCCATCTCGTCAAGGGCGAGGTGAGATCAGATATGTACGGTGGATGCTGAGCGGAGTGTTGGTAGGTCGTTCTGGAGAGAATGAAGTGGATGTGGTGACTTCCAAAAGGAAGAGCAGAACTGAGATATAGGGAAGGGATATATGTATAAAGGGTGTGAGAGACACGGGAGAAACTGGCAGTGCAGATCAAGGGGAGTTGTGTCAAACCGTTCCGTGCTGAATTCTGGATCGTGATCGAGACAATGAGACCAGAAGGCGTTTTGGGTTGGGGAGGAAGGCCTGCTATATCAGTCAACAGAAGGGCAGGGGTCGCGATCGGAACGAGCCAGAGAGCCGGGTCACCACAGGTCTCGCAGAGATCTCATCAAACAGAGGGGCCCATGGAGTGGCGCTCCACGCTCAAGGTCGAGGTCCCTGAATCCAAGCCCATGACTTTCCGGATCCAGTCTTCCCCCTGTGGCTCTTGTTTCCACCCGGGGAATGGACCAGGAACCGGGACCCCCACTAGAAAAGCGGGGCCTGACGGACGGCAGAATGAGCCGGGGTTTGTGGTTGTTGAAAAGGACACTAGGGACTTGGGCTGGGATCCGGGGGGAGGGGGGTGGTTATGGGCGTGTTTTTTCGGGGAGGGGGGTGGACGTTTTGAGGAGGGTGTCCAACGGATGGGCGCCGCGCCCTCGATTTGCCCGCTTTTGAGCCCTTGTACTGAGACATTTTGCCCCAGTCAGTACCGGGACCGGAAGCGAGGAGGGGCGAGACGATGGCCGGGACCACTGTCGTTTCCAAGTCCAGACCCAGACCTCCCTCAAGAGATGCCGCTGCTTTCTTTTTGGTGGTGATGGTGTCAAGCGGACCTGCAACCTGCAGCTTGTTTGTCCTGGCGCCCGCTTGGCGCTAGACCAAGATCCTGCAGCAGAAATGACGACGAGATGGCGCGAGTTGAGATCTCTTCAGCGCCCCGTCCTCCTCTCGTTGTTACCTTGTCCTCCTGTAGTGTACCTCCGCATCTCCTTTGCCTCGGGGAACCAAGGGTTTGCGAGAGCGTCGAATGTGCGTTGCTTTGCTTTTAATTTCATTGCTCCAATCGCAGCCTAGACCAATCCCGCACGCATGGTGCCATTTCTAGGACCGGATGGACGGGTCCTGCGCTGGAGAGCATGAATTACTCTCCAGAGTGTTACGTCCCAGGTTGCGACGATGCGGTGTTTAGTTAGTGTAGTGTACGGAGTAAGTCTTCAGCTCGGCGAGCCTCCGTGGCAGGAAGACCTACACAGTACGAAGTACTAACAACAGATAATGTCGAATAATCTGGGGGTATGAGGAAGCGTTGAGCTTTGAGTGTGGGAGCTGGCCCCGAACAACGACAAGGGTGCTGAGTGGAACCTCTTCAATCACTGGCGGGCATTCGCCAGACGTGCCGCTCACGACGTTGAATCGTCGCTTCTCTCCCGTGGCTCCGGAGGCCCACGGCTACACAACATAGTACAACCAAAATCCTCCCCCCCCCCCAAAACCCAAGGACAACACCCCGCTAAATTGGCATCTCTCGCAGGGACTTACATACATAATCTACCACGTATCTCCCACACTCGTACTCCCATTGCAGCTTGTGTCCCTGCTCCTTCACCATCTATGTACACTACGCAGTATGCACATTACGAGCGCGGGCGAGGTCTCGCCGTCCGAAACAATCTTCCACGCTCGCACCTGTTCTCTTTCTGCAAGACTTGGCTTTCTTTCCCAACCTTGCTCCGCGCAAGCTGTGATGTGGTGTAAAATGGACATGCTCGGTCGATCGATACGTGCGCTTCCTGCAGCGCACAGGCCAACGTGCCCGTCTGAATTCAAACGAATCCCAGCGCGGCACTCGGTTTCCCAATACCACGGTTGCTGACCGCACCATCACGGTACCGGGGCACCGAGGGATACATCCCGGAGTGGGCCGTGCATGCGTCCCTGCTGTCGGGACCACATCCATTTCAGCTCGGTTCTGAGGCTCTGACTTGGCACTCCGCGGAGGATGTTAGCGGGCGAAATACGGATACCTTCAAACGTTTTATGTCGGGGACAACCTGCAAGCAACCTGCAAGTTGCCACCAGTTTCAGCTCTTCAAAGAATCTCAAAATCTTGATTCTTTTGGAAGCATTCTGTAGGAGGTAATTCCTCGACGAAAAACAGAAGGGACGGCCGATCCCCAAAAGAGATGAAGTAACGGTGTGCACGTACCGGCGATCCATAGTTACTAGTACAAATGGGAATGTGGGGAACTAACTAACCAGTTTTGGCGTGAGCACACACTTTTTGTTGGTGGAATACGTTCCGGGTTTCCATGTCCTCGTAACAACGCCCACAAACCCCCCCCATGAACCCATGCCCTGAAATGCAGGGATATATCCCGGTGCTTTGGTGGACGAAGTACGAATAGTGTACACAGCAGTGCTTTGATACAGCGACATACAGCGAAGCAATTCAAGGCTCTGTTGTGATATAGTCAGAATACGGACTGGCTTCTGCGTGATTAGGGATGGGGCCTCCAGACCTGGTGTAAGTAGGTATGTATGTAGCCTGTACAAAGAGGTGCGTGCGCTCCCGCGGTGGCCCAACCATTCTCTATTATCATGGCCAAGGTTGGGAACACAACATTGCGGTCGGGCTAAAGGCACCGTAACCTAACAGCTGAGTATAGTAAGCCCAACAGCAAACGTACAAAGCTCAGCGACACAAAGTTGCAGAATTGCCACGCTTTCACTTAACCCTGATCCTTCTTTTCCCCGGCATCCTGCTTCCAACAATTGGCGGCCAGCATCCCCAGCAGAACTGGTGTTCAAGCAGCGGGTTCATGCTCTCAACAGCAACATTTGCAGTGCATTCACTTTGAAGTCCCAATGTTTTCGAATTCTTCACCTTGTCATCTGAGGGCTCTCATCGAGAAGAGATGAGTCCAGTCCCCGGGATTCCGCACGCGAGGACCACTCGAGAACCATGGACCGCCTCACCGCGTACTTTGCTCATTTCAGCTCCTGAGTGAGGTCTTGACATAATACACCCCCGAACGATGATGGGACTCTCTTGCCAGACACGGGCAGGAACTCCTTGCAGCGCTTTTTTGCCACACTCTACTTATCCCAACTCCACGGTTCTGGGTTCTTGCTCCCACTGCGAAGTACATACTAGTTCTGCAAAGAGGAGGGGCTTGAGGGGGAAATCGCAGCTGCTAAGTCGGTAGCACATACAGTAGTCCAAAACTTGATTTTTTTTTAATCGCCCCGGAAGTCTGTCCCGGCCGCAAGCCAGAGTCTTAGCGTTTTTAGGTCCGAACTCTTCCCGCCGTGATCCGCGAGCTACTCGGCAAGATGCAGGTCGAGACTGATGAGGCAAGTAAACTCGACTAGTCGGCCGGCCTTATGCGAGCAACAGTGCGGGCGGAGTCTTCAAGAAGCCTTTTGTTGATGTTTCGCGCCAATAGACGCCTCACGTCGCCACGACCAGTGTTAGCGTGGTCGACCATTAGTGTACACTAGATGCTTCCCAGAACGATGGACGTTTCAGCCGGTGACCCGCTAATGGGGTCCGCTCAAATCGGCGGCGATGATGATCCTTTCTCCGGCACTCCGGGTCCTTGGGGCAAAGGGCGAGCGCCGCCAGGCCGAGCATGGCTTGAGATTTCAAGAGGCTAACGCTCATAACAGGCCATCCTGGAGGGGGGTTGAGCTCTTCGGACAGAACGATCTACCGAATATGGCCAATCAGCATCCATATCAAAGGCAGATGATATTGCCCGCATGCCCAAAACATCATCGTACATCAACCGATCGATCGAGGTCGAAAAGGGGCCCGACCAATGTACGCTATCTGGTGAGAAGTAACAGGGGAGTAGGCAAAGTTCCCTTGTTCCACACACTCTTCCCTACTCGCTCCAAGCCGATCAAAGAAAGCGGCATCATCAAAGTCTGAGCTTTGGTGGTGGCCTTGGTGGGTACGTTATGAAGTGATCGCGAGAGCCCGACCTTTCCCTTCTCCAAAACTCCACCACACATTTTTTCCGCTTCAGGGGTAGCGTGCCCCGAGGAAAGGCCCCCGGTCTTTTTAGCAATTCCAGCGCTCTGGTTTTGTGGAAGATCCCCCGTGTCAGGCTCGGGGTAATCTTGCGCGGTCAATTGGTCCCCACGACAAAGTCCCACTCAAAAACTTGGAGAGCACTTTCCCTCTTGCCGACGGGCTCGCTTCCACAATGATGAGAGGACACGTGCGTGCAACGGCTTTAGGTAATGGTGGGCAGCAGCGACCGTTCTGTTTCTGTTACGTGTGTCGACACCGTCCTTCTGCGCATTCAGAACTATTAACGCCATTCCCTCTAAAAGAAAGAGCGTTGTGCTGCTCAAACGGCCAGCATCAACAAAAGAGGGAGCGGCTCGCAGTCCTTGCACTCGGGAATTGCTGTCATCTCGGCGTGGGGGTTTTGATCCTCGTCCCATGTCGCAACGGCAGTGGGTTTTGACGACGCCGTTCCTTTCCGTTGACTCTCCATCAATCATCCCCGTTGCGAGCTCGCTTCTTGCACCGGAATGCGGGCGGTACCGCTCCCGTGTCCGCTGGCCGCCACCGTTACCGTTACCATTACCGTTACCGTTACCATGACCCTTTGGAAGTTCAACCACTCAAACCTCGCTCACCATCACCGAGACCCACCAGCGGGATCGCTCCTTCTCCACCATCGTATCGTCAGCTCAATGGCGCGTCGCTCCTGCGCTTTCAGCAGCGAGGGCAAAGCCCGGTGTTTCTCTGCCAAATGCCGAAAGAGATGGATGTCCCGACATCGCGCACGCACACATTTCTCGTTTCCGCGAGCACCGAATCTCGATCCAATTTCATCTTGCTGCAACCGGTCTTGCCCACGGAGCTCTTGGCGAGGCTGATCCCCAACGATCCCCTCCAGCCTGGGATACTCACCACCCCTTCATCGCAAGAAAGCGCCCTGTCAACTGTCGCCGGGCCAAATGACACGCACCATGGGCTAGATATCACACTTCCCGCGCCCAACTCCTACAAGTAAAAGAGCGGCGAGGGGCACGGGATTCACCCTGAGCGTTCCGTGAAGTCTTGGAGGGTTTCGTCGCTTGGAAGCCCCCTGCCCCCCAGGGCCGCTCCGCCATTGGCTCCCAACCTCGGGTGTTTTCGATCCCATCGGTTACAGCCGCTGCTTGGGAAATCCGCGCTAACATTATCAGTCCTATCCTTTCGTATCGGCTGGTGTCGGATTATGGTGGGTGGATGTGACCCAGTGGTGAGCTTGACGGTCCATCGAACGTCCCCGTTCCATGTCCGCGGGTCAACGAGCCAACTTGCTGGCACCGCCAGAGAAATTTGCGCGGTGTCGCATCATCCGCACCCCCCACTGCTCCTCATCCTCCTTCCCCCGCTCTCTCTGCCCTGAGCGGTGAACCTGATGAGGCCAAGGAGTGAAGCCCCGCATCCCGGCGATAACAACCCCCAATTCCTTCCTCCCTATCTATGAAGTTTTTTTTCATAGGGCGGCAGCGAAATGCAGGATACCGGCTTCGGCGGGTCAACTTGGCGGAAGGGGTTGCACGGGAGAAGCTCGTCGAAACACGCCACGGAGTTCTCAGCAGGATGGCCTATCACTCCCAGAGTCCCAGAGCAGCGTTCTCCGCGACCGGGACTGTACTCCGCGGACGTGCCACGACAACATTGACCCCCCATCTTTCAGGTCCTGGACGCACAGCATTGGGCCTAGCATGTCAGGGAGCCAAGACACCGCGGCGTCCCACAACCGATCATCGCTCTCTGCAGCGTGCATGTTTAGCGACATCGTCATCAGCTCCAACAGGTGGATTAGCACGCCCATGTTACAGCCAGTCTGCCCATTGTCCTGATCCCCCAGCTTCCTCGGTGGGGGCGGGGTAAAGGAAAAATATGCGTACCCTGACGGCTGCAAGACGGGCCCCGGTCTGTCTCTGTGGTCGGCGACAATAACATTTGAGTCGCCTAGCGCGGATTGCGTATTTTCGGCTGTCCAGCGATACCGGCGGCGAGTGAGACGGACGCTTTGGGTGTTTGGTTCTGCAATCCGGGGGAGCAGCAAAGCATCTGCAAGATCTGATCACGGAGGACAGACGGGTTCCAGCATCGCAGTATCGGAAATGTCTTTCACGGACACAGGGGCACAGACTTCATCCAGGGGGGCGGGTCACGGTGGGACGGACCGTCCGGGAATCAATCCATTGGCAAACCCAAAGACCCCGGTTGTCCGTCCCTTGGCCCGCTCGTTACCCGGCTGGCCGGCTCCTTGAGAAGCACGGACCCTCGGTGTAACGGGACACCGTCAAACCGGTATTTTCAGCCCGAAAGTCGAGATTTCCGAAAGTGCTTGCAAAAAAATGGCCGGCGTCACCACCGGGCCGGCTGAGACGGACTTGGGAACACAAATGGGCCACTAAACCCTCATACGGTTTGGAATGCCGAGGCAGATGATAACACCGACCCGCCGGGCCATTCTCACCCCACTCGGCACTTGCATTTTTCTTCCTGCATCTGATGTAAAACTCGGCCGCGCGGGGGCGCAACGCACAGAAGGACGTCTCCGGGTGGGCGTTGGGCTTAGAGACCGGCTTTTCGATGGATTCTCATCGGGAACAGGCCGCCCCCAAGATCCGGCAAGCTCCCGGTCCATCACAATTCCGCCACCGCACCCGGTACCTGCATCCGAGCACGGACTGCATGCTGTGTTGCGTGCCACAACCGCCTTTTTTCGTTCGGCAATGTCTCCGTCTCAAGCATCCCTTTGGCCTGCCGAAGGAGCTTGGTGACCACTAACGGGCTCCTGCAGCAAACCCATATTCGAGTCGAGCCCCACGAAAGTTCCCCGACAAGCCGCAACTCCAACGACACCAGATCAAGGGCTTCCAAAACAAGACGCCCCGGAGTGACGCCCCCAGAACCCTCATCCCTGACGTTTTACCCCGGATTGGTCAAGATGCGGCTCGAATCTTTGCTCAATTATCGGCAGTGGCGGGCGGTGGCGGCCAAGGTCCACGGAGCTGGGAATGGAGATCGACCGGGGCGCGCGGCCGTTTCCCTATGAGCCCGAAGAACTCTCCGGGCGGCTCGCTTCATCAACAACTGCTCCCTCGCCAACAGACACAGCACGTTCCTAGTGGGGGTTTGCGGCAGACGCGGTGTTGACGTTGGCGACTCAGAGCTTGAGAGTCGCTTCCCAACGGGCAGAGCCGCCAGCCGCAGTGGGCTCGGGCTTAGACTTGACTTGTTGCGGGCTGAGAGCTCCATGCCCCAGTCTGGGTCGTTTCTACCGGGTCATCCCTGCGGGCGGGCAAAGTCAAGATATCGCAGACCTCGAGTATCCACAGGGTAGCGGCAATGGCGTTGATGATGAGCCTCTAGGATGGCGAAATCGCCCCTCATTTGCTTCTTCCCTGCTTGTGTTTTTCCGGCTTGTTTTTTTATTTTATGTTTTCAAGCACACACTCCACTACCAAGTATTTTCTCCCCAATGCACACCCGTGGAGCGAGCCAAGCATATCAAAAGCGGACCCACAACAGATCTCCAGGGTCCAATGTCTTGGCACACTCTCATGTCTTTCCCCCTTTTGTTTTCACCCACAGGACGCTACCCAGCGCTAGGGTGTTCATCAGCCGCGCGCCCATCCAACTAACTGCATTCCGCTTTCTTGACGCTCCAGCTTCCCTCAGGTGAGTGGAGTTGAACCACAGCGAGACGAAACAATGCCGTGTGGGAGATATTCCGCAGTGATCGACCGCGCTATTCGCAGCGCTGGGTCCAGACGACGCATGGTTTGCGCTGGACCAGGGCTCGCGGCCTCTGAGTCCGGCACCACTACCCGAGTGGATTGTGTGCAGCAACGTTACTCCTTTGCCGATACGGGCAGACAAGTGGACGAGGCACTGAGGCCACTCAACGTCCGAACGCATGGACGTCCACAAACTCTGCCCGCGCGCCTGTCAACTGCCCGCCAGATGACGGGCGGTTGTGCCTTTAACTCGCCCCCTGGGGTTGTTTACGTTGTTCTTACTGGGCCATAACAACACGTATTGTGAACATGGTTACGAAGTTACAGAGGCAGTGTAAATACCGACCACCCTCCCCCCCTGGCCATCGATCCCATTGAAGGACCTCCGCTGCACGTGCCTGGTCAGCCCACTGCAAAGAGCTGGGCGCCGCGCCGGAGGATCTCTCGACCCCAGCCCGCCAAAGGTGTCTCGATTCTTGAAGTCCAAGATGCAGGCGACGGAAACCGCTGCCGGGTCTCCTCTCCGATGCAGGAGCTATCTCAGGCCGTGAGACACGCATTCATGATTCAACTGCCCTGTCTTGCCTCGTTTTCTCCCGCTACCCTTCACCCACTACCGCGACAACGAGTTGCTAACTGTTTCGGTCCGCCTCGCCTCTTGTTGTCTGCACTCTGCAGGTGTCGCTCGATGCCAGACGCCGAAGTATCCGCTTCACCAGCTGACTAGAGGACGCACTTGGGTACATGACGCTAAAGCCGGACTGACTTCCCCGTTTCTTTTCCCTTCCCCCCTCCCCCCACCTAAGACGCAAGCTGCTCTTCCGACGACTTGTGGAGAGGGCCGCCTCTTTCTATTTCTCTCTCGAGAATGTGTAGCATCGTGCCGTACCTGCATATGCACATGGCGGCGGTGAGACTACGTGCAGAATCTTGCTCCGCAGCCCCTGCAATAGAGATCCTGCGGTACGTCTGGCTGTGTGAGCCGATGGTTGGAGGTTGGGAATGAAAAAGAAGAAAGGAAGAAGGAAGAGAAGAGGGGCCACACGACCGCACCGGCGGCGAATCGACTATGCCAGTTTCAGGATTCTCCCGCAGTAGGCCCAAAGTCTAGCTCTGATACCAGCCGGCCCGTTCTGCGGCCGCACGCCTTGACCAACACCAAGTTACTGCAGACATACCTCCACACACACACATACACACATACTAACTGCACAAGCACACAGGCTGTATCCCCCCTCCCTCTTCCGTGGGTCTCGATGCCTCCTTTCGTCCAAGACTTTCCTAGGTTCATTAAATGGACTCGGCTTCTGGTTCAAGTGTTCCCTAATTCGGATGAAGAACGACGTCGTACATGAATGGGGCTGGCGCAGGACGTGGCCAACAACACTCCATGCCGGATCCCGGGGCTCGGGGTGGTGGAGAGTGTGTGTGAAGGAAGGGAAATGGGGGACATAATTGAAGTTGAGAGTGGGCAGCGGGATCGTCAATGCGTTGATGGGGGGCGTGTGTCCACGCTCCCACGGTACTTGCCTACAGTAGCCGTACGTGCGTGCGTGTGTGCGTACGGTGATGGTAGTGGTGGTTCTGACGATGATGGCGACAACATGTGCTCCTCAGGTTGTCCTGACTCTCGCCCCCCCTCCTCTTCCTCCTCCTCCTCTCAGCTGCTCTTCGCATTCCCCTTTCTATTCGCCCTCTCTTTCCTTCGCTTCCTTCCGCCGTTTCCGTTCCCCCGGGTCCCGAGCTCTCTCTGTCTTTGCCTCCCGGGAACCATTTTACGTTTTCGCCTCTTGGAGAATTTCCAGACGCAGTTAATTACTCCCGTGGTCCCCGCGTCAGCGACGTTCCGGGGTGTCACCGTCGGGAGAGGTCGATCCTCACTCGAGAGTCTAAACATACACCAGAGTACGTGGGGGGGAGGGGAAGCCTCTTATCCCGTCTTTGAATTGTCCTTGCCGAGGTGTATTTCGTTTAGCCGGCCATGTCTGGTCATCCTCACCTTCTTGGTCTCTCTCCAACTGTCCACGGTGGAGTTGTTGCGCACGCAATCCCCGCTGTCGTTCCCGTGCCGTTTCTCGGGTCGTCCCTTTTGCACTCTTTTGCTTTGTTTGCCATGCCGCGCCCAGGCGGGAATGGGCCCCAGGGGCCGGTTCCAGTGCTCGAAGACCAAGCGGATAAGGGCACGGGAGTGGGCTGTTTTGCTCTCTCTCTTCATTGTTTTTCCATCTGCATCTGCATTGGAAATAACTGCGACCTCATGTCAGGACATGGCTGGCTGTGAGTACGTAGCTGCGTACCTGCATGAGAAAGAAACAATAAAGGATTGATCGAAACACAAATCCATTACGAGTGGAACTCACGAGAAACACGGGGGAGGTCAGACGGGACGAGAGTGGGAGGCGCCGTGTGGACGGCCAGGGCTGATGATGGGCGATGATGATGTCGACGATGATGATGATGATGATGGGGATGATGATCCGGCGAACGCTATCCGATCCGGAGACCGGCAGCAGCGACTAACCCAACTCATCCATCAAGTGATCGACTGGCGGAGTTTCTGAGTGTACACTCATGACGTGAAGGAGTCGGACCAGTTAGCGTCATGGGCTGATTGTTGTTGTTGTTTCTTTCTCTTTCCCGAATCGGGCCTCGTTTCGCGACTTTTCGCCCGGTTTCTGGTCTGGTCTCCTTGCTCTTCCCGTTTCATCGACTTCTACTGGAATGGGAAGAAGGGAAAGGGGAGTAAACAAAGGACCGGGCCACACCTGCTTCGGAATCGGGCAGTCTCCCGTCTTCCACATGCCATCTTCGTCCTCCTGTTCTTGTGGACCATCCTTCCTGTGTTGTTTTTTTCTCCCCTCTAGCCTAGCCTCGAGGTCGTATCGTCCTGCAAGCTCCTTAACTCGAGTGGAGTCCTCCTGCTTCTGCTTTCTCCCACATCCACCGAACCCCTTTTTCTTGCTGCTGCGTCTCCTCGATGGATGAAACTTGCAAGATAGTTACCCTTCTTGGGGCGAAGTCCTGGCTATTGTCGGACAGATCTGGACCTGAACGTGGACCTGGACCTGGGGGAAGGGGGGCAACGTTGGTTACGCCGGCGAAAGGAAACTGGAGCCGTGAAACCAGGTGTGTAGATGAGACCGCCGCCCAGGCTCGTGTACGTACACACGGTGGCCAAATTGCCCTCAGGTTGTCTGTCCCTTGCTCCTCCCGCCCCTCATTCCCCGTTCTCCATTCCTCGTTTCTGGTCTTCGGGCTCTTATTTCGCTCTCCGGCCACTGAGACGAAACGGCACTGCCGCCGTTCCCCCGCGGGGTGTGAATCTACCCTACCTTCCCTACCTACACGTACCTGCCCAACTACCCATTTCATGCTTCGGGTGGCGAGTCGATGGGGGGAAGAGGTTTTTTTGCGCGTGCCGCGCTGAGATGATGGTAAGCGGGCAAGTTGACAAACAAGTGGATGAGCGGGCGGGCGGACGGGCGGCATGGCAGCTTTGTCTCGGGAGTTGTGTTGATCACTATTACGAGAACAGAGAGAGAGAGAGCAGCGCGGGTATGAGATGGGTATTGTGGCGTTTTCTCCCTTCGTGTTGTTTTTTTGTTTCGTTATGGTTTCTCCCTTCTCCTCCTCCTCCTCCTCCTCCTCCTCCTCCTCCTCCTCCTTCAGATGAGCCGCTCTCCCACTCTTACCCCCCTTCCGGCCCCACCTGGTTCTTGTTGATGTTGTTGTTAGTCGGGATGGTGGTGATGGTGGTGATGGTGGTGGTGGTGGCGGCGGCTGTTGGATGAGGAATCGACACAGGGTAAATTGGCATGGGGGTCACTCGGCAACTGGGGGTTGTTAACTAGGGGTAAGTCAGTCAGTCCGGCCGGCCATGTGGTCGAGGTGTCTTGCCTCGTTGTCTAACTAGCTTGGGCGGCTGAATGGGGAAGATATTCCAGCGACAAGGGCGAGGCAAGTGAGGCGAGAAAAAAAGGCCCGGTGTTGGGTGTTAGCTTGATCTGGCCGAGTAGACTACACTAAGTTAGTCAAGACATCTTGTCTTGTCTTGTCCCGGGGGCCGGCCTGGGTCTAGGGGTTTGCGGTCGCCGGGTGAAAAGCCCGACGCTTAAGGGTCCCATGGGGTTCTTTTGGGGGCGGAATGAGGGATTTGCTCTATGTTTTGGGATGATGCTTGAAAAGACAGGCTGGTCGAGTGTTGGAGCAGGCCGGCGACGACGTTGGTGTTGTGGCGGCCGGGGTAAACGGGCTGGAGCGCTGGGGTCCCTGAGCAGTCAGCGGGGCTGCGCAGGCCTTCACATCAGGGGATATCCTTCAGGATCCAGGGCAAGTCTGATCCAGTGAGATCTTGTGTTTTCGTTTTTTGATGCCTGGTCCGCTGGGGGTGGAGATCTGTCTTGGCTACGGTACCCTGGGATGAAATGCGGAGGGCGGAGGGCGGATGCTTGAGAGGGAGTTGTGAACGATGGACGGTGGTCGGGATGGTCCAGGAGAATCTGGGAGCGAGGCATGAATCATGGCCCTGCCAAAATGGAGGGACTATTGAGAGACAACGTTGAGCTAAGTGGTGAAAGTTATGCTGTTGTGTTTGATGAATGTGTTGGACACCAACGGAGACATATCGCACGTCTTGCCTCAGTTCTTATCCAAGCTTATTTTCACAAAAGGATATGTGAATAACAAGAAAACGATAGTCATTTACGCAAGAAGACCGAGCCCTTTCGGCTCTGAGAAAAGAGGAAAATTGTGGTTTGAAGATAGATAAGGGCCTTTTTACTAGTGGGAAGAGAGGGTCTTGCCGTGATGATACACCGAGGTTAGACAAGAAGCTTTTGAGACTTTGTCGTTGACATCCAATGCATCATCAGTGCCAAATAAGAGATACTGTAAGCATTAAACTAACTTTGCCGTGAATGGAAGGCGGTTTGATATCAGCCTCGTTTTGGTGTTTTTGCATATGTTGATCCTTGTGCTCCTCTTAATATTCTTATGTTGTATTCGTCTCGATCTTAAATTATTTCAGTGGCTTTTATTGGGTTGGATTTACGCCAGAGGCACGGTGGAATAGAACAAATCGTACGTAGACGTAGAAACGAAGAAGGTTGAAAACTCGGCAAAGGCCTTGATCTTTTACGTATTGTAGTTTTCGAATGTGGTGTTGAACAATTTTGATAACTGCTTATTTTGTCAGGTTTATATCCTACGTGACTTGTAGGATCAGACTCGTACTCTGACCCAGTACTAGACTTGCACCTCTAAACGAAAACATGTTTTCAATGTTGTACAATTTGGGAGCGGCAATCCGCGGGTGATAAACTCAATTGACATGATATCCACGTTTATAACATGATAATCAAGTGTTTCGTGTATTTTCCATTGTGTCCTCTTATATATCATTTACTCGGGCTCGGAGGATAGAAACTGACTTCAGTATCGTCGGACACCCGCAGAACTGGTGCTACTGTTCCTACGGTAGCCTGGGGCCGACTCGAGCTGTTTCCCTATCTGTTCCCCAGTATGACAAACATAACGGAAGCTTCGGTGTCCTTGAGAAAGAGACATTTATATCCGCGTAAGAGGCCATATAAACCAATCAAGCGTGGTTACTTGGGAGGAACGTCAAATAAATACGGTGAACTCCCAGGACGGGTATCTTGTCAATGGGATGGATATCTCAAGATCCATCTCCAATCATATTATTTCCAAACAACACAAATACACTCAACCTTCTTATCTACCCAACCTCTAAACCACCACATCACCCTGCCCCCCACTCCGTGCCCACCGAGGCAAATAATACCTCACATTCTCATACACCAAAAAAGTCACCCACGTCGCCGGCAGCACGCGGAACACGCCAGGCATAACACCGCGATAAAACCCGCGGATCCCCTCCTCACGCCACAACCTGCGCACCACGCCCGACAAGCCCCGACCAAACTGAGCCTCGGCATCGTGCTGTTGCAACCGGCTACGCAGCACCTGCAGCGGGTAAGTCGTGGCGCCAGCGACTAGCTTGGATACAGTAGAGAGCACGACTGTCGCCTCGTTGGATACGCTAGCAGACCCCTTGCTCCCAGCACTGCTGCTCCGGCCCCCTCCCTCACTCTCACTCTCCTTCCCCCGCTTAGCCAAATAAACCCTCTTCAACGGATCATACACAGCAAACTGCACCGCCCCATGGCTCACAGCCAGCATACCAACCCCGAGGCCTCGATAAAACCCGCGGGGCCCTTCCTCGCGAAGCAGGCGCACGGCACCGGCCCACATGCTGGGGTAGGCGCCGGCGGCGGAACGGTCGGAGGAGAGCATGCGGGTTTTGAGGACCCAGATGGGGTTGGTGATGATTTGGGTTAGGGCGCCGGCGCCGAGGGAGGCGAGGAAGAAATCGAGGGGGGTGAGGCGGTGCTTTCTGGTGTCGGTGCTGGGCTCTGTGGTTGGGGAGTGTCTGGTATCATTTTGGGGTTCTTGTCTTTTGGCTGCTGGGCTGGGTTCAAGTTGTGGTGGAGCGCGGAGGTGGGCGATGGCACGCTCGAGACGGGACTTGAAGAAGAAGAAGGAGGCCCAGGAGGTGGCGTTGCCGAGGAGGTTTGGGGTCAGACCACGGTAGAGAGCGGCGAGTGGGCGGTCGGTTGCGACGAGGGATCGGATTAGGGAGACGGTTGTTGGAGGGGTAGCGGCGGATGTTGTTTTTGTGGTTGTGGATAGGGTGGTGCGGTAGACTGTGGGATTGTTAGCTTGTTAACTTTCTCAAATTGAGAGAAGGAAGGAAAGGATTGATAGGGAACAAGAGAGGCTGACTCTGCATTCGCGTCTTGACAATGTCGAGCGGGTGGACAATTAGGGTGGCCATGGACCCGGCCGAGAGCCCGGCTACGGTCTCGACGAGCGCGGGGGACAGGCCCGCATCTTCGGTTCGTGTCATAGAAACGCCAGCAGTGGTTGCTACATGCCTGGCAGAGAAATGGTTCCTGTTTTCATGGTTTCGTGCTTAATGTTTGCACATGGTGGGTGATCGCAGATGTTGAATGCTACAAGTAGGATGGGAGAAAATAAATAATTCTGGGTATGACGCAAGGGTCCTGACAAAACATTTTTAAGCCGGACCCCTCGGCCGAACTTTGTGGAAAAGCCGAGGAAACTCAGCCTCGGGTGAGACCATTTACACAGCATACTTTGGGCTTGAAAAAAAGAGAAGAAATTGTCCTGTCTATAACTCGTTTGCCCCTGTGGAGTTTTGTGCCCATAACTATGCTGTACACTTTGGTCGTGGTATCCTACGATCTACCCCCCCTTCCCCCGCATCAATTCCGTTCGCCTGTCCCATGTCCCGTCTGATCGTTACGTCGCTTCCCGTTCCATGAAAAGCGTGGCTTATTAGGCGCGGTTGTGTTGGTACAAGTATGTGTGTGTGTCGTTGTTGTTGTGTGCTTCGCTAGCATCCGCGTTGCGGTACGGAGTCTAAGAGAGCGGGGAGAGAAGGCTGCATTCGAGGTTAGCATGGACTGAAGAACGAACAGGTCGCAAGACAGGCAACACTGCGTCGGACATACCGGATAACAGACGGCCGAGGGTCGCTGCGAGTGTAACCTGTGGTCGGATGTGTCAGTATTGTCATCTCGTCGTGGATGCTCATGGTCGTGGAAGGCGGCGTACCAAGGTAGAGGATCAACGGCAGGTAGCCACTGTGGGACTAGTTAGCACCTTGGGTCTCTCCAACAACTATCACGAATAGATGGGCGGCGTACTAGTGGATCGCAACGCGCGAGATCTCAATGATCTTGCCAATGCGCTCCTGTTTGGGGTGTTAGTGACTGTACGGATAGGCGTGGCCCAAGTCGTGGGATAGGTGGCGGACCTTGGACTCTTCAGAGAGGGCGAACATCTTGAATGCGATTCCAACGAGTGGTATCGGGCTATGGTGTTGCTTGTTGGAGATGGTCGATAGTACCGATGGTTAGAATCTTTGAAAAGCTGTACCTGTGGCTGTGGGGGGCTGTGGCGGCCGTGATAAGGCTTTTGGTGGTGGATTTGGCGTCGATGAAATGCGGCAGAATGATTTTTTGGATACTCGCAAGGTTCCACTGTGAAGCCCCCCCCTGCACGGCCCCACCATGCAGCATGGCCAGCCTCGTTACAGAAAACTCCACCGAGCTTGACGCGCTCGTTGATACTTCTGTTGCAGCTTCGCGACTGGCCAAAAAGTGACATCTCCCACAAACGTGACCCATTGACAGACACGACGGTATCTCGTGTGTAGCCAACCGCCACAATGTCAAAGCATTGGTAAGTGGTTAATTTAATTGAAGCTATATCTCTGTTTAACTTCTAGGATGGAGGAGAGAAAACAAGGGAAACGGAGCACAAGCAGGGCAGCGCAGAGATCGACGAGACTGACCGTCGCAGGGAACAAAATAAGGATGCTACCGTCTACGTCGGCAACATCGACGAGCGCTTCACCCAGGAGCTGCTCTCGGAACTCATGGCCCAAGTAGGCCCCGTGCGTCAGGTGCACATGCCACAAGACCGCGTGTCGCAGACGCATCAGGGCTACGGCTTCGTCGAGTTCGACACGCCCGCCTCGGCCGAATACGCCTCCAAAGTCCTCAACGGCATCCGCATCTGGGGCAAGCCCATCCGCGTCAACAAAGCGAGCGCCGACAAGCAGAAGACGGTCGATATCGGCGCCGAGCTGTTTATCAACAACCTCGACCCCCAGGTCGACGAGAAGATCCTCTACGACACCTTCAGCCAGTTCGGACAGATCCTGCGCCAACCCAACATCGTGCGCGATGACAACAATATTTCCAAGGGCTATGGCTTCGTCAGTTTCGACTCCTTCGAGGCCAGTGATGCCGCCGTATCCACCATGAACGGCCAGTACCTCCTCAGCAAAGCCATCACCGTCGAGTACGCCTACAAGAAGGACGGCAAGGGCGAGCGCCACGGCGACGAAGCTGAGCGCAAGCTCGCTGCCGAAGGCAAGAAGCACAACATCGTCCCAGAGCAACAAGTCCTCCCGCCCGCTTTCCACATGTCTGCTGCCCCTCCCGCTGCATCTGCAGGCCCAACCCCCACCACGGCCACGCAACAACAAACACAACAACAACAACCCCCCAACATCGACCCTTCAGCCGGTATCCCACCATCCCCCGTCGCCCCTCTCAGTGCTGGCATGCCCCCTAACGGCCCTCCTTATGGCCCTCCCGGCGGTGGCCTTCCCCACGGCGGCCTAGGACGCGGTGGTCCACCACCCTCATTTGGCGGCGGCCACAACGGACCCCCAGCTCGTGCCCCCCCGATAGCTTCCGCCGGCCTTCCCCCCGCTCCCTCCGGTCTCCCCGCTCGTCCCCCTCCAAGCCACGCCGGTTTTGGCGGGCCTGTCGGCGGGTTCCCACACCATCATCCACCACCTGCAGGTTTCCCAGGTGCTCCAAGTAGTGGCGGTCCCCCGGGTGCTGGAGGCCCCCCCAGTGCAGCTGGACATCAGCCGCCCATGTACCCCGGCATGCCGCCACCCGGTGCAGGGTTTCCTGGCGGACCACCACCGGGATTTATTCCGCCTCCTGGGGCTCCTGGAGCTGTCCCTGGAGCGCCTCCGGGGTTTGGGGCTCCACCGCCCGCTGGGTTTGGAAGGCGTTAGGGTCGCTAGATGACACGGGTGTGCAGACTGTTGCTGTGCTAGACCACGAACGGGCCATGGAATAGATGGAATATCGGCATTTTCAACGCACCTTGGGTAAAGACGGTTGGAAATACATGACCAATAATGAAAGGGGAGTCCCACTGACCGGTCGAGCATCATGGATTCATACCTTCACCGCTCGGGCCTCCACTCAAACAAGAGCAACAACCCCAGTCACCGTCCAGGGGAAATTTCAAACCAAGGCGATCATTATGGCAGTGGCGAACACTCCCATCCTTGTGGCCAGCCAGCCAACGATCCCGTCGTCCAACTATCTAAAACTACTTTGAGGGAAAAAATAATGGTTAGAGGAACCACTTCAAATATCATCTGACAGAGACATGGCAGGCAGGCTAACAAGCAATCAACCGCCACAGCCACCGTCTACTCTACCGCCTTACTGCGTCTTGTATCACCTTCGTTTCCGGCGAGGCAGTCCGCACACCTCCCTTACAACATAAACACTTGTTTTCTATAGCTCCCCGCTTTCGGGCCTGAGCTCTTTGGCGTCAGATGTTGCGAGAAGAGTTAACGATGAGGACCGAGGAAAGGAAGAGGAAGGGATGCCAAGCAAGGAGCGAGAGGAATATCCTCGCTTTCGATTGAAAAGGAAGCAAGTGGGGTCGGTGATTAGACATAGGATCGGTATTGAAGAGTATTCACACCCTAAGGTTGAGCGAAGGAGGACAGGAGGACAAGTAAGATACCCCCGAGAAAGACACCGAGGCCATCAAGGTAGAAAAAAACCTTAGAGGCTTATAGTTAGAAATATGCAAATAATTTGTCTTGCTTGAAACAATTTCTCTACGAAAGTATTAAGGTATTGGTGAACCCATATGAAGACGATAGTTAAAGACAAGCCAAAACATAAATTCCAGATTAAAAGAAATCAACATTTCAACACCGGAGTCATGTATGGTAGACATACACACATCCATGCGTACATACAACTTAATTAAGCAAGCAGCAAACCGCAAAGTCAACAATAATTTAGAAAGTTGTGCTCCGTCTTCCCCTTCGTGGCGTGGCACAAGCAAAAGATCAGGTGAAACGAATATATTTTCCCATTATCAATTGATAGAAGGAGTTAACAAAATCACCGAATTCTCCACGTCATGTCCATCCCCCCATCTCCCTTCCATACATACCACCCATCCATCTATCTACCTATGTAACTCCATCCATCTGCGCAAGATACCACCGTTCCAGACGCCACCACTCCAACGTCTCTTAGAAGAGAAAGAGAGGCAAATGCAGTGGCCACTGTCCTGCTACGGGCTGAATCAAACCGTGAATCTCTGACGCACGGCTCCGATCTCGTCTACGATACGCGGACGGGGTCGATTAGCGGCTTTCCACTATTTCTGAGGTAGCCATTTCTTTCTCCGCTCCCTCATTCCGTGTTCAACAAGATGAGTTGACCGCCTTTAGTAGTACCATTATACGGCTGTGTGAGCCTCGGCCCGAGCCTTTTTTTTTCACCCGTTGCTTCTTTTCTCCCGTTCCCACTTGCCGTATGTATGCCCGGTGCCGCATCGCCCTCATGTTCCTTGCTTAAACACCGCGCAAATCAAGGCTGTCTGTCAACCTCCTCACTGAATCTCCGCCTCGGCATCCATCGCCTGCGGCGCATCGCCGTTCTGCTTCACCTCAGCGGCCTTTCTCGCACGTTCCTTCTCAGCTTCTACAAGGAAAGCCTCTTCAATAGCTGCACGCCTGCGGAACACCCGCAGCCATCTCGCCCCCCACTGCCGCACTAGCTTCTCTCCTTCGCTGTTGCCTTCACCCTCACTCGCCTCGATCATCTCATCCTTGCTGCCTGTCGCCCATGACGCGAGGGCGTCCTCAATGGCAGCGAACAGGTTGCGCATGGACTTGATCTCACGGTCTCGTGTCTCCGTCTCGTCGGCGTCATCGGGGGAAGACGGCTTGACTACGAGTTGCCGCACGCGGCCCGTGACTTTGATAACGGTGTTAAACACCATCTCGTAAATGTGGGCAATCGAGAGCGCTTCGCCTCGTGTATTACCCGCACGGCTGACCAGGGCCCAGGTAATAACCGTCTCTGGCGTGAGGATGCTGTAGTTGAGCAGCTTCTCGATGATGGAGAGGGCGACGCCCGGGTGGGCGGACCAGTAGGCCATGGTGGCGGTGATAATTTGAGCACGCGCAGCGTCGGAGGCAGCACCGGCATCAGCAAGGCGGTCCTTGGTCCGCTCAATCGCGGCGAGTACGTGCGAGAGCGACTTGCTACCCACGCGCAAGACGCAGGTGACAAAAACATCGGTGCTTGCTACTAGTGCGTCAATCTCTCGGTCAATGGCTTGGGATTGGATACGCTGGATGATGGCGTCAATCTCCTCGTCCTCGGCCTTGCGCTTCAAAAGGCCGGCAATCTCACGGCCCTCAGCTGCGAAAGGGGTATCTGCATCCCGTTAGCATTTTAAACCTCAAGTCTTCTCAGCATTTCATACTACACACCATCGTTAGCAAACTTGAAGTCTGGCATATCCTTCTCCTTTTCGGGGCTAATAAGCGCCTTGTACGGCTCTGGTAGTGTGTTCTTGATGCGCTGGGCGAAGCTGAGGCGAATCTCCTTATCGAGCGAGCCAGCAATGAACGCCTTATGAGGATGTGCGTCCGGCAGGAAAACATCATCCACCCACTCGGTCCATTTCCACGTAAACCCAAAGTTGCTGAGATGGTGGGCGAACCAGTCCATGAAGCGGGATGAGAGCTCAAGATCAAGGCGTGGCGTATTCCGATACAGATAGCGGATAGCACGACCCAAGCTCGGAGCAATCGCAGCTGGAGCGAGCTTGCACGACTCAGTGAGAACAGAATGGTAGTAAACCAGCTTCTGCTCCGGAGTTGGCAGTTGAAAGAGCTGCGAGAATACTGCATCCACCGCAACATCCTCTGGCTTCCACGTAGACTTGTTCGGGCCAATTTCCCGCAGCTTATCGAAGGGGGTGGCTCGCGCCGCAAACGTCCGGGGAGAGAAGTAGCAATCCAGGTCGATCAAGTGCCGCGCGGTGATGTTGCGGTTGAAGTGTAGGACGTTGATGGTGTCCACTAGTGCGTCCCGAATCAACGACGCGGCCACGTTGTTAAGAGGCGGTACGGACTCGACCTCCTGGTTGGCGTAAACTGAGAAGTAGATTTCCGGGAACAGCGGCCGTGGGCCGGCAACGACCGCCTCTGGGATGGTAATGGTGGGGAGGGCATGCTTGGTAGCGTCGTCGAGCTTGGATCGCTGCTCAACCTCCTCGATGGGAAGATCCCAGGGCCTTGGGAGACAGGATAACGCCCAGCCATTGTTTGCCTCGTTCTGGAGCTGGCTCTGCAGAAGTCCGATCAAGCTCTGTGATTGGGGTGGATTCGGTTCCTCCCCCTCGGGCTGATACGGCTCGATGAGCGCTTGAAGGGTCTGTGGTTCCGAAGCGATAATCTCGGTCTTCTCCATGAGGTCCGCTGCCTTTTGCACCCACTGCCCGGGAGCAGCGGCCATAACGTATGGGAGCGTCAGCAGGATAATCTTGACAATTTCTGTGCCAATCGTCTGCATATCAGTCAGTATGGAGCGCCGGAACCATTTCCACTTAGCGTGTATGATAAACTCACATCCTCCGAACTCGCCGTTTGCAAGTCCACCGCCCGCGCAAAAAGCTCCTCCAGCACGGGAAACACACCCTCGCCATCCAAGCAGTTTTGTAGGCACCCCAGCAGCTTCAAGTAGAGCTTCACATCTCTCCACTCCCCGCTACCGATTTTCTCCTCCACCAACGCAACAATCTTCGCCAAAAGCAGATCCACGACCTCCGGCCGGGTGGTGTTGGCAAGCAGCACAACGGCCGCAACGAAAGGTGTCTTGAGAGGCTGCTCGACGGCTAGCTGTAGCACCAGGTCGACAAAGTTGCCCCGCAGCAGTTCGTCCTCCCAGTTATCGGTAAAGAGCGTCGCTATGCTCTGGACTTCCTCGTGCCACGGGCGCATGGGGTTCTCGGCGATGGCGATGAGCTGTTTGCGCACGCGCACGTGGGGCGGGGCATCGAAACGTCGGCGGGGACCGCGGCGGTCGTGTTCATCATCATCTGTTGTGTGAGGGAAGAGTATAGGTTAGCCGGCACGCTGTCTGTTATTTGAAACAGAACCAGGCAGGGCGGTGGAGGCCAGTTGAGTCGATGCGACTACCGAGACCTTCCAACCGAAAACAAGTTCATCTCGGTCGTTTGATCTCAGTCTGGATTTGAATCCAAACCCGGGCGCTACCAATCCGGATATCCCATATCCAGCCTATCCCCGGCCCCAAATCCAAACCCATGACTGCAACGGATGCCCATTCCTACTCACCTCGAAAACGGCGCTTCTTGGGGTTATGGCTGCCGCCACCTCTGCGATCGTAGTCGGCCATTGTGGGTCGACCTTCCGCGGAAAAAGGTATTTGAAATCGATTAACGCAGCCTTACGTAGCCGAAGGCGATGTTCCCACGACAATTGACTTCGAAATCGTTCGTATTGTTTGGGGGTTCCGATTGATGGATAACGCGGTTTGCTGACGGGGATTGCAAAAGTGGAAAGCGGAAACAGGTGCTTGAGAAACACCTTCGCGAGAAGTTGCAGCGCCAAGCGCGAATTGAGAGTGGGCCCTCAGACGCGAGGCTCGCCCTATTACATGAGGTCTCAGGCGTTGTCAGCCGGGAGGCGGCAGGCTACGGCAGGAACGGTTTCTAGGCGATGTTTGCTTGGCTATTTTTACCCTACAAGCCTGCCTTGCCTGCTTTTCGCTGTCACTTCGCCGCTTAGGTGCTGCTGGAGGGATTAACCGCTCGATAATAGCAGCTCCATGAACACAACATTACATTTTGGGACCTAGTGACGTCGGGAAACTGACATGGAATAAGTTACGGGTTGAACGGCTAGGATACGCTGAACTGAAACCCATAACGAAGCCAGTCGCTCGTTACTCGCTGTCCGCACGGTTATCCTCACACCGTCACGTCACCACTATCACCACACAAGTCCCGACTTTGCGATACCTATCCCGTCATAATTCTTCTCTCTGTTTTCTTCGTCGCTGTGCTAAAGTAGGTCATCATCATCCCACGCTACGCGCCTCGGCTTGCAGGCAAACAAGCAACCAGCCAGCTGGGCTGCCCAAACCAGGTAACCCTTTCGCTTCCTCTCCCGAGGGCCAGACACCCGAGAGAAATCGATCCGTCTGACCCAGCGGGCTGTTGAACCTTTCAAGTCCACAACTTCCTTTTACCCAATTTTATCCTCACCCTTTACTCTCGATCGCTCGCCCAGAGAAGAGCCATGAGGGTAGTGGGGGTTCGAAGGGCATAAAGCAAAAGGGGCAAGGGGTCAAAACCATCGTTTCCGCCTCGCAGGATTCCAACCGTGTTGCGCCACCGCACCATCACCAACAAAAAAACCAAGCAAAAGTCATATGCCATGCCATGCCGTTCCATTCCATTCCATTCCGCTGCCAATATTCCCGCCTAGCAAGCACACAACCAGACTCGCCCACAGCGAAACGGAGATTGGTTGCTGCCTTTGTAAACGAGATCCATAGGTGCCGCAACGGAAGGTAAATGAGGTTTGGAAGTCCCAACCGCTATGACCGCTGCCAACTCTTTCGTGTGTGCTCGCCGGCCCGAGGAAAATCAGGCAAAGTGAAAAATCCACTGCCCGAAAAAGACAGACGTCGGTGTCGTAGATCGTGGATGGAGCGAACGCCATCTGGGTCATGCAAAACGAAAACAAGACGAGCTCTAAGAATCGAAAACAAAAAAAAGCGAAGAATAAAGAAGAACAAGATAAAACCAGGTTTCAAGGCACCGTTTTCCTCTTTTCCTGAGGCGGCCCTCCTCCAGCAGCCCAATTCTGTGCTTGCCCATGATTGCAAAGGACGGCTGTCCGTAGATGATGGCTGTGAGCGCGCGTCTTGACCCCCTCCGTCATACTACCGCCTCTGCACGCATCTCTCGACACAGCTTCGTTGGGGAACAGTTGTTCGTCGGAGGGACTCGAGGCGCATCACCCGGGTGGTAATTTCTGTTGATTTTTCTTTTTGAAGGGCCATGTTCCTCGGTGTGGGTATCTTAATGGCAATTCTTGTCATCATCATGAACGGAACGAGGTACCGGGAGTCGCTAGCGTCCGACTGAAATCAAGGGCATGATACGTCTGCTGGCGAAGTACAGCATAAACTCCCAGTATAAACCGACACTATTTTGGCCGTGACTTGACGGAGCGAAACAAGTCGAGCCGGCCAACTCAATCTAACTTGGCCATCATTTCCTGCTTTGTCAACGGCGTGAAGTTGTCGATATCTAAGCCCTGCTGGGCGAGCTCCTGGACCATATGAGGTGGTACAAGCTGGTGGTTGAGCTGAGGAGCGATCGACAATTCTAAAGGAACGAAGGTGATCAGCGTGTGGCCTTGGGGCAAGTGGATGCAAGAAAGCAGGGGGAATGGTGAGAATGGGGTGAAACGGGAACGTAGTCTCGTTGACGGCCCGCAAAAAAATCTTACCATGACGCGAGAAGTTGAACAACGGCGGGAGGTCCCGGACTTGGCCCGTCCCGTGCCTCGAATCAGGAAGCTTGACGTCGGGTGTCCGGAGCTCGTCAAAGAAAGGATGCACCATCGCTTGGACGGCGGCTAGGCGCTCGGTAGGGGTGTACTCGAGTAGTCGGGCAATCAGGTCCAAAGCATTGTTATCGGCCTTCCGGAACACCTTACTGAACGGGTGAGGCTTGATCTGGGGAAATTTGTGTTCCATGTAGTTCGGGTTCATGGTGCGGATCTGCTCGCGGGTCGGCGTGCCCAAGACCTTAATAATCTCAACGAGCTGGTCGATCCCAGATTCGCCAGGGAAAAGGGGTTGACCCAGCATGAGTTCTGCCATAACGCAACCGGTGGACCATACGTCTAGGTCGTAAATGTTAGTTCGCTACGCATTGAGAAGGGGTACAGGGAAGCGGAAGCCGTGGCGGCTGGTACCACTCCCGTCATGGGCTGACTTACCGATCTTGGTGGTGTAGTTGGTCGCACCAAAGATCAACTCCGGAGCCCGATAGTACCGGGAGCAAATGTACGAGACATTTGGCTCGTTCTCGACTAGGATTTTAGCGCTACCAAAATCACAGAGCTTCAGGATTCCCGACGTGGGATCCAGGAGGAGGTTCTGTGGCTTGATGTCGCGGTGGCAGATGCCTTGTGAGTGGATGTATGCCAGGGCCCGGAAGAGCTGGTAAATGTAGAGCTTAACCTCTAGAATGGGCATGGTCGTCTTCATCTTATTAAAAAACCGCGAGGCCCTATACACAGTCTCGGGGACGAATTCCTGCACCAGGTTCAGGTACACCTCGTCCTTCTGTTGTCTCGGTCAGCCAGTGGTCCGACCCCGCCTCGAATGTATACGCGTTATAGCAGGTTGACTTACGCGCTCGCCGTTTGAGTAGTAGAAGGCTTTCAGCTGCACAATGTTGGGGTGGCGCACAATCCTCATGATCTGCAGCTCGCGGTTCTTGAATCTTTTATCCTGAAGAACGCGTTTGATAGCTGCATCCTCGTTGGAGGGCGACAACTTCGTTTGAAAGACGACACCGAAAGACCCGTTGCCTACGATCTTGCACTGGGTGTACTGCAAATCCCTGGTCTCGCCAGTGATGCCATCTTGTACTTTTTCGCGAATAACTTCTGTTGATCGTGGGCACCCATTAGTTCTCGTTCTAACTCTGCAGGTTACAAATGCACGAGGCGAATGGAACGCTTTGCTCACCACCCATCCGCAAGGTGTTAAAAGCGGCTGGCCGATTCGACGCCATAGTTGCTCGAGTACGCAAACTGGGTTACCGTTGAAGACGGCAAAACAGTGTTGGCGGTAGGTGTGAGGAGGGATAAATCGGAAGATAATCGGCGCCGGCCGTGTTGGGCAAGAGGGTTAGTGAAAGTTGAGAGAGGGGATTGGCGAAGAAATGGGTGGGGGGCGTCGCGGTGGTGGTTTTGATGGGTTTCGAGTAATGGGGCCTTGATTTGATTGCGTAGCTTCCAGTGCGGGCAAGCGCGCGGTTCGAAGTATCGAATCGACGGAATTGTCCAAACTGTCGTAAGGCTCGCGTTTGGGTGCTGGCGGTCCGTTGCCCGATGCCGGGGGGGTCAGTTCTTAGGCGGGAGCGATGCACTTGGCTGGCGTCAAGTTAAAATCTGGGCCGGGAGCTGATGCAGACTGGAGCGCTGGTGCTTTCCAGGTCGCGGCTGGGCTCCTTAATGTGGATTCTGGAGAGGGGCAACTCTGTGCTGTTGGCAGAGGAGGGCCCTAGGATGTCAGATGAAGCTTTGGGAAAGCCCGGGGGCCATGCAATCGCCTGGCAATGGGTTGAGGAAAGCGAGGCGAGGTGATTCCTAGCCTAGGGTGGAGACCGAGCGACGGTTTGCGGGTGGAAGGAAAGGGTGCGAGAGCAGCAAGAAGGGGAAGGTTTAGATTTCAGCGGCCGCCCAGGTAGAAGTGAGGTTTTGGAGGGGCGGGCAACGCTAGCTCAAGTGAAATGACGGCGGGGAACAACAGGGCACTTGTGGTGGCGACCACCCACAAGGGCAGCCTGGCGTGTGCGCTGGCCAGGGTCAAGTGGCTCCCGCGAGGATGCGAGACGCATGGACTCGACAACAGGGGCGGCTTGATTTGGCGCTCGGCTGCGGGACCTGAACCACCTCCCAAGGAATTGCACTGCGCTGCAGCGCGCCGCAATGGAAGAAAAGTCCAAACGTAGTCTAGGTGACCTGACCTCGAGGGAATGGCCCAAGCCGACCGGGCGGTTCAGTTGCCCGGAATCATGCAACAGCACTTGCTGTACCTAACTAACTATGCTCTCGCTGGCTTGTTGTCGGCCGACGGCTGCAGGAAACCTGAAAATGGGGAAGGAGAGAGACGGGAAAACGGAACGGCGAGCGAACTGGATGAAGGCCCACCAAGATCGACGTGCGCAACGCTTCCAATCTGCTTCTGATTTATCTGCTTTCACTGCTGCAGAAGGAATTCCTGCCAGCCCGACGACGGACATCGCATGCTGCTGTTGCTGCTGCTGCTCCTGTTGCTGCTGCAAGCCGGCGCATCTGGTGAGGTCAGATGGCCAGGGACTTGGCGCCCTGTACGATCGCTGCAGCCAACCAGGGCAGGCCAAATGAGGGGTTGGGGCCAGGAAAGGGCAAGGATTGGGAAGCAGGTGAGTGTTTTGGGACAGCTCGGTGAAAGGCGAGACGAGGAGGAGGAAAGGGGCGCAGAGTTGAAACCAACGATGGGAGACCTCAGACACTTACGCGCGCGTGTTTTCTCGCGTTGCAGCGAGATTGTGTGCAGAGCCGTTGCGGGTTGTGGATTGTGGGTTGCCCGGAGGAGAAGAGGGAGGGATTCTGTTGCTCGAGGTCGCGTGGTGAGGGGTTCGCTCCGACCCGTCGTCACTTTTGGGTCGGGTAGGCAGGGTTGGCAGGTTCGCAGGCTGGCTCGTGTGCTCCCAATGGAAGGCGGGCGGGCGGACTGGACTGCGGAATGGAAATAGGTGGCTCCCGTTTGGTTGGTCTGCCGGAGGCACAGATTGTCAGTTTCCGTTGTGTCAACACGCAATTGTCAACTGGCAGGATTGTTGTGGTGGTTAAGGATTGATGTAAAAAGGGCAGTTCACCAGAGCCTTTATTGGTAAACAAAAGGTAGACTGGAAGGAACTCAGGTGGTAGATAATGCGGGTCTCTCTTTGTGCAGATGTTCCGGGTGTCGGTGCTTTGGGCAGCTGACGGCCAGTGCAACAACTAGGGATGGCGTTCACTCCAATATAACTTCTCACGAGCGACCCGCGTTACGTTGGCCTGCTGGAATCGGTAAAGAGAAATACAAGAAGAAAACAGGAGGAGAAAGCTTTGAACAACCAAAGTTGGCTGTCCTGCCCATCCGTAGCCACCACACGATCGAGGTTTAGTCTCGATAGGCCAACGGCGGTGCAGCTTCCAGGTAGGGGCCTGTGACGTGACCCCAAGCGATTCTGGGAGGATCGTACCTGACAGGGCTTTGGAAATAGCCTCAACAAGGCGAGCCAGCGAGCTCTGGTGGAGACTCACTGTCAGGCCGTTCGCCGGAGGTTCTCGAGATGTGGATCATTGATTCATTGTCGTCTTGCTCGAGCACACCCTTGAGCCTTCGTCCCCTTGCCCCAAGCCCGATGTGGGGCAGGGTGGGATTGGTCACCTGCTGCTCTCGCTTCAAGGATCTTGGACGCAAATAGCTTCTGGGGTCAACTGTGAAGTTCCACGAAAGCATCAAAGGACCTCAACCAAAACGTCGAAAGGCATGTTCACGATTTCGATGGAACCAAAACTTGTCAGACAATATTTTGACTCTGTTCTGATTGTCATTGATTTCAATATTTTAACAACGAGGCTAGGTAGCCATTACTGGGCGCCCATGTGATGCGTATCGAGCACATCTGAGGCTCGCTGTGTTGGTGGGCTGATCAGGGCCAAAGTGGCAACGCCAGGCTCTTCAAGCACACTTGACCCAACGACAAGAAGAAAAAAAATTGCAATGAGGATGGGGGATTTGCTGACGCACAGCAAAACATAGCTCACGTGGTCTCTCGAAGCTGAGAGAGAAAGGAACCACAAGTGGGAACGGCTTAGGCCCCATAGGTCCAGACTTACCAGCCATTGTCTCGCAATTGGGGCCTGGTGCCATATCTCGTCCAACATTGCTCGTGTTTTGGCCGGACCAGACGTGCGAGAAGTCTAGAAAAGTTGAATGGACAGACATGTTGGGACACATGTGTGGGTGACGATCTCCGCCGGGGTGCTCACTGCTGCCACCGAAAAAGAAGTGCGGATTCTCGCCCGCATATATCCACAGTTCGCATGCCGTCCTTCCACTCTCCGACCAAAGGGACGCTGTTGATGAGCGCTCCCGCAACACTCACCCTTGCTTGGACCCCAAAGCTGCAGCTCGATGATGATATTTCATAGGTTTGTCCCTGGGAGCCGGGCCCATTTTCCCCCATGTAAGCTACGCGGGAACGATCGTGGCAACCTCGTCGTCGTCCTTTTTGTCGTCGGCGCCAAATGGCAACGAGGGTGGGGCCATTTGCGCATTGGTTTTCCGGGTCGACTCCCCCCCTCTCCTCCGGACCTCGACCGAATCGTCCATGATCAGCCATTACCCGCCGTGCTCCACCAAGGGAGTTCTGCCATTGCCCGTAAATTTACACGGGGCTCCGTCGTTGTGGTAGACGAGTTGGCCCTCTTTAGAGGCGGCTTCTCCGGCAACTCTGCGTCAGCAAAGCCTTGACCGTCCGGGGTGTGACGGTTGGATATCGCATCTGCGGACTTAGATCGATTGAAAGGGTTGAAACCGGCGTTTGGGCAGAAGTGATTGACATTACATACGGTCCGTTGACGCACCGAGAACCACCGTGGTGTTCGTTGTGCTGGGCCGCCATACAAAATCAAGATCCCACTCTGTGGCAAGCCTTTTCAACCCCCCCATGCGTCATCGAGCTTGGTCAAGTAGTGTAAAACCACCCAATCGGCCAAATGAATCTCGATGCTAGTCCGGCACCACCACTTTGTGCCCAACGCGGACCGCATCACCAGTCGCTCTTCGCATGCAACGCGCAGCGACCGTCGTCAACGTCTATCCTGAGAGCGCGGGTGGATCTGCCGAAGCGCTTTGTAGGTCCCATGACCACCTCAGATGGGCGAACCCACCGGCCTGGACCGGGAAGACCGTGGCTGGGCCGGAATCCCGTTCATTGATCATCTGGAAAGGAAAAAAGGGGAGGAGCATCATTGACTTTTCTTGGCAGCAAGTCACTGGCTGGTGCATTGACGAATGGGGGGAGCGGTTCCATGCAGGAGTTGCTGGCGTGGTTTTGCTCCGTCACGGATAGAGCCCTCGCCGCCAGGGAGAAAAAAGATGTTCAGGAGATTGGAGACATTGGCCGGAATTGGTAAAGGGTGAGAATCTGCTGTTTGTCGGTAGTGTCCGGCTCTGAGATCTCGTTAGCGCCCGCGCGGATGAGTGCCGCTGCAGAGGGCCGCTGCGGGCCTGAGATGATAGAAACGACCAATGGTCTTTTGTCCCATCGTTGCGAAACCCCCAACCCTCGAACAAAACAACTGATTTTATCTCCTTCGGGTTGATTTCTGTCGTGGGCTTTTCGTCGGCTGCGAGATGGGGGAGGGAGGTGATCCTCCTTTCTTTGTCTATCAAACCGTTCAATTTTTGCGTTTTACACTACTTTCTCATACTCCCCACATTCCGATCTTATATTTCTGCCCGGTTTTCCTTGCAAAGTTTCGCCGCTGCTCCTCTGTTTACCCCCTCTTAGCTACAAAAAAGGTGTCAATAACTCGCTCTAGAGATATTTAATACTAATAAGTCGAGGTACTGTGATACGGCGTCGGAAAGGTAATCACTTGTGGCGCTCAAAATCAGCAAGTGGAAGACATGACTGTGGGCTGTGAGCGGTCATTGTGTTTGCTGAGGGCGAATGCAAGATAGACGGTCACTTCTTGACATATCTTGGGAGCCAGCCTCAGTAATCTGCAGGACACGCCGGCGCTGAAGAGTTTTTCACTTTTTTTATTACTTGATGATTCCATATAAGGTGAGTGTGGTTTACAAGCGGGTGTTTTAGCCCGTAGCTCGGCCATCCAATTTCTACGACCCAGATGGGCTGAAGGCGGACTAACAAGGGGGGAACTGAAGGGGTACGAGGCGTCTGGTTTATGGAGACCCTTGAAATAACGACAACGATGGGATGGTAGATGTTGTCGTGATATCCTCCACGGCTGGTTTGTGAAAAATGATATGATTGAAAGATACCGGGTGCCCTACATCATACATACCACCCGAGCGCCCATGCCGAGGAAAAGTGCAGAGAAACGCCAAACCCAACGCAACCGCTGAACGTCCTACCCATCCATTGCATGATCAGCCAAAAACTAACTGCGACGTTGAACCTCACAACTGCCCATTATACCTCCTGGAATCCGCCTCTTACGCGACTTAGATATCCCGATCACAAGGAGAGGTTGTATGAGTACTCATCCTCCATGTTCTGGCTCACCCAAAGGACCACAGAGCTGCATAAATTCTCGTTAGCGTTTCGGGGCTCCATAGCATGCGGGGTTTATAGAAGGGAAGAATAAAAGCAAAAGAAACTCACCTCAACCCCACCAACGCATTCGCAACTACATTCTCAACCCCCATCCCCATCGCCGGGAACGGCACACCCGGAACCACAAACTTCAACACAAACACCGTAACACCCCCCGCCATGCCCCCCGCGAGCGCCGCAAACCCGAGAAACAGCACCACACGCGCCTTCCACGCAACGCCAGACCCGGAATAGCTGAACGAGTCAGCCGAGAGCCGCGCCTTCTCGACGCTGTTGATGATGAGCATGCCCAGACTTGAGAAGATGAAGGGCAACCAGTCGACGAAGGTCACGTGCAGGTCGGAACCGTTGAGCGCGGATTTGGACCACACGGCGGAGTCGAGGAGGGTGTAGAAGGCGAGCGAGAACTGGGGGGATGAAGAAAGAAGGGTTAGCTGGTCTGTGCGTGTTTATGTGGTGCGTGCCTGTATGTGGTCGGAGAGAAAGGTTGGGGGCTAGATCATGGAGCCTGGAGACGGCAAAGCATGACCAAGGAAAAGCCGAAGGAGGTGGTGATGGGATAGAATCACGTACGAATGCGCCGGCGGCATAGACGCCCGCATTACGCGCCCAGATGCTATTGAGCCACTCCGGCCTGCGGAACTTCCAGAGACGGTCCTCAGACATTGTCGCTGCGATGGAAGATTTATTGTTTTGTTTCTGCTCGGTTGGAGGGAACACCCGGGCGATTGCGCACGAGAGAACGGAGGTTCGTCGTGTGTTGGTTCGTTGAGCGAGGGAGCTGGAAAAGTAGATCGGATTCGGCCGGGTTTACAGCAGCTGCAACGGATCGGATGCTGCTTTCTAACGCGTGGGTTAACCGGCTTGATATTCAAATGTTTGCCGTTGGGTATTCGTGACGGTAGTGCGGAGGTTGTTGTCTATCGTGTGCTCGTTTGATGCTCAAGGCTCAAGCTCAGCTTGCGCCTGCGTTGGAAGGATGACGACGTTGGGACCCCAGGCTGACAGACCCACACCGATCAGCCCAGCCGCCAAGCCAACAACGCGCTGCACGTGATCGTCTCAATGCATCCGTTCGAGTGAAGAACATAATGTTAGCAAGCAGCCACGACGAGATGGACGATGCACTTGGGTAAGTAATAACAGGAAGATAATTTCGACAATGTTTGAATTTCGCAACGCCTGCATGTTCAGTCGTATCAACACTTTGCTTACAGTCAACTAACAACCCATCATGGTACGACGGCACATGCCATTCGTTGTCTATCACGATCAACCCCTTCCTCTCGAACCCTAATTCTCAGCCGTCTCTTTACCCCTACCCTTTCCCATTCTTCATCTCTAAGGACGTCGTTCCAACCTCTCTTAAATGATCAAACGCCTTCGAATCATCACCAGTCCCATAGCTCGGCCATCCACAACTAAGGAGAGTGAAAGAAAACGGCAGAAGCCGCATTAAGTCGTGGTAAAATAAACACCACGAGGGAAAAAAAGACTATAATGTACAACAGAATAACAACCCCTCTCACCTATTATTCATCCTTTTCCCAACCTCATACCCCGCTGCCAATATTGGTGTCAAGGACTGAGGGCGGGTAGGGAAAGCCACCGGTATGAGGAGGTGGCGGAGAAAGGAGGACGAGTGGGCAAGAGAGAAAAACCAAGTCGCCAAACCACCGCAACGAAGAGAAAGATGAAAAAAGCTGCGCGGTTAACCCCCGGCATGGGCGGCCGAAACAGAGCGAGTCTCGAGCCATTGAATGGGAAGAACGGAAATGTGGTCAAGTGACATGCTCCAAACAAACGAGCAAGGAAAATCGAAACTCGGGTCGGTTTATTGTTTGCCCCGACTAGGTCGGGAAAGAATGACAAGAAGCAGAAAGGATAACGCCAGCAACGCCAGGAGTTTGGTCGACCACTCCAACCCAAACGGGAATGATTGATGTAGAAAACTGATCATCTTTGCCAACGGGGAGCTGGGGGGACATGTAGTTTCCTTGTCCGATGGTGCCTGTGCCTCGCTCATTGCCTTTATGTATGATGCGGGCTGGGGGCCGTGGGCTGCATGCCGGCTTGCGGCTTCATCATTCGTTCGTAGCGTAGACGTCTTCTTGCATGCTGAGGGGAAAAGGAAAGGGAGTCGCTTCTTCTCCTTTCTCAAATCTCGATCGTCTTCATCGCCCCATCATCCTCGTCCTCATCTTCCACCGTCACGGCAGGCTTCTTCCCACTCGCACTCGCCGAGCCGTTCGCTTGTGTTGCCTCGGGCTTATCAGCATTGTCACCGGCAGCCGACGCATCGCTCGTGGACAGGGCCGCCGATCTGGGTGCTGCGTCCTTGCCATCTTCGTTGCTCTGCCTTGGGGTATCAACTTCGACCAGCTTCTCGCCTGCCTTCTTGCCCGTCGGGTTGGCGGCGGCTCCTGATTCCTCCGCCACGCGGGCCAACGGGCTAGGCTTGCCAAATCCGGGGCGGGCCGGGCTGGGAATGGGGGAGATGACGCCGGGTCGCTGCATGGACCGGCCGCGGTGCTCGCCGCCGGGCTCCGAGGTCGGGTTGGTGTAGGGCGAGTTCGGCGCGCTTCTGGGCGAACTCGCACCCGGCGCCATCGACTTGCGCTTGGCCGCGGTGCGCCCGTGGCGTTGATCCGTCCGCCACCGTAGGATGTCAAAGTAGTTGGGCTCAATGCGGGCTTGTTTGAACTCGCGCAGCTTCAGCTCGCCCGAGTCTTCGTCGACAAACCACCTCCCGCTCTTCAGATCGTCGGAGACGATGCCCATGAACTGGGCCCAGGACCGCGCAACCACGTACTTGGTGTCGTAATCCCGACCGAAAAGAATCACTTGCCCCCAGTGACCCTTGGGGCCGGGCGCCAAGTCAATGGCCAGGTTGTTTCCTCCCCAGTCGCGAACGAGGGGAATCCAGGCTGGGTGGGCGTACGCTTTTTGGATAGCATGTGGGGGAACACAATCTTGGCGAGAGAGTAGGTCCTGCCTCCAATTCGGGTTCTGGGGAGATGTGGGGGCTGAGCTGGTCGAAGCGGCGGCAGAAGTAGAGGCCTGGCTCGTGCTGCTATCGCCCGAAACCTTCGGCGGTACTGCCGGTCGGGCTGCGGGGGGTCGTTCGGTGAGGAATTCCTGGTTCACCTTCCGCCAGTTCTCCCATTCCTGCACAATTTCCTCACAGTCCAACAGCATGGCGCTGAAAATAATGCCGGTCGGGGTTCCGCCGCGCTCCTGGCCGTCATGGGCCTGCAGAGATTCCCGGACGTCCTGCGGGAGCGAGCAGTCGAGTTGGTACTCAAGATCATTGATATCATTGGTCGTGCAGCCCTCGCAGAGTTGGTCGAACAGTTCAGGGTAGTTTTCCTCGGCCCAACTGTCGATCCTGTTCCACGAACTCCTCACCGGTGGGGGTGGCGGCATACCATCATTGAATGATTGCATGGGGATTTCGCCCGTCGGGCTCTGCATCTCAAAACCGTCGTTCGCACTCGACTGTCGGGCGCTTTGTGATCTCATTCCCGGGGAGTAAGGTCGGGGGGATGCGGCCGGATTCCCGACGGTATCAAACGTAGATGTTGACTGGCGGCTGAGTTCATCGCGGTAAGGGGAGGTGATATCGGGCCGGGATTCGCCAGCGGTGGCGATCGAAGTCAGGCCATCCCGAGCATTTAGGGGAACGTGACGCCCGGTACGATAAGGAGAATCGTGGTTAGAATCTAATCATGGTTAGCAGGCAAAGCAAACGGGTGTGGTCGGAATTGGGGAGCGCCAACGTCGATCATCGCTTGTCATGGTATGCCAAAACGATTTGAAAACGGAGCCTATCCTGTTATGCCAGAGGTCGTCGTCAGCAATGGTGATAAGAAAAGGAATTCCAAGTCTCGCGCCTCCAGGATACGTACGAGTCCATGTTGGGCGATCGGTTATGAAGCGGAACCAACGGCGGCAAGAAGGCGGCGAGGGAGAAGACGGCAAAACGCGTCCCAAGCGGTCGCACGGAGTAAGGGAGAAGACCCGACTAAACTGGCGGACGTCCCGAGTTCCGGGAAGAGAGAAAGAGGGAACGAAAACCACTGGGCAAAAAGGAAGATTGTGTGTGCCTTTGTAAACGACGGGAAGTGTGGTTGTTGTGTGTGTTAACCGAAAGACAAGGTGAATTAGACGTAGGGTGTCACCGAAGAACAACAAAACGAGCGGTGCGTCTGCACTGATGATGTCGTTGAATGCGCGCAGGCGGCAGGGGAACAAGAAAAAAAGGACGGCGCGCGTCAGGAAGGGGGTGAGGTGCTGTGTGGCTTCCAAGCTTTCTAGTGTCTCCCGTTTCTCTTGATGGTTGGGGGGGAGAAAATCAATCAGCCAATGTAAAGACCTTTTTGCTCAGAATCCCATGGTGCACCGACTTCAGAGAAGACGCCCAAAAGCATTTGACTGGAACGGGGCCTTGTTCAGGGGCAGCCGTTCCCACTCTGGCGCGTGGTGGTGGGGCAGCGATTTGACCACCTCCGATGCCAAGCCGACGGGAAGGGAAGGATGCCGGTTCTTGATTGGAGAATTCTTTTTTGCAGGCTTCCTTTGGAGAAGTCGCCTCCAAGTGGGGCAAGTCCCGGTATTTATCATCAAAGCCGGCAGACCAAGTCCATGGATAACTCACTTTGCTACGAAAGTGAAAAAGACCAAAAAAGAATAAACCAAAGAAAATGAACAAATACAGAAAGTGAAAAAAGACAAAAAAGGGTAAATCAATCAAAATGTATTAAGATTTTATTGAATGTTATATCTGTTTTAGTCTGCCGCTTTTTTTGGCCATAGCGAGCCTGGCTTGAATTTGGCAGCACCTCAATTTTAGTCAGTGTATGAGCGGCGATATTTTTAGACTTTGAAACCATGGTACGAAATTAATAGGAGAGTCCATAGGCTCCAAATTTCTTGTATTTAACGACAACATACTTTGGCAAATGTCTCAAAACTCAAACCTTAAAACTCAAACTGTTAGCGCCAATTTCACTCATATACTCCCATACTCGCACTTTCACCTCGCTCCAAAAAGGGAATGGAAACCCAAACTGGGTGGAAACGAGCAACTTGCAGCTGGCACCGGGTACCCACGGACCAAACAGCAGTGATATTTGATACCGTTCAGGTAAAAATGTATGGCTGTAACTATCTAACTCGAATTATCAACGTATCGTCATGGCGCATACAATAGCAGTGAAAACTATCCAACGCCTCCTTCACGTTTCTAGATAAATCATTCTTTAGCCAGAGAAAAGAAACACCAAACGCCTATACGTGTTGCGCACATCTATACGTGTTACGCTCTGCTCTTGGGACGGCGTCGTGGCTGCGTCGCGGGGGCCGCCTGGGCATCACCCGTCACGGCTACCGCAGCCGCCTTACCGCGACGGGCAGTTTTCTCCCTTTTGGCCGGCGCAGTGGTTGGTTTCTGGATACCACCGTCCTGTTTCTTTCGTGGTTGCCGACCTCCTCGCTTCTTTGGTGCGGCGTCGGTGGACGGAACTGGCGGTTGCGGTGAGGCAGGATGTGCCCTTTGCGGTCGAGTCCTTCCCGCACCTGCACCAGCTCGAGTGGTTGGTGGCGGAGGGGAGTGTGCGGCGTTTCTTGCCGCTATCCTGGCGCTGCGTCGGGCTGCTGGTGTGGGTGTTGGTCGAGGTTCAACGGCCACTTCTGCTGCTTGTTGTTGTTCTAGCTGGTATTCACGGTGCCGAGGGGTTGGCGGGAGTGGGAGGAGCTCGGATTGCTCTGGTGATGGCGAGGAGCGGCAGTCGATGGCGTCGAGGGCGTCGAGTTCCGAGGGCGTGAAGTCCAGGCTTTTGGTATCTGAGTCATCCATCTCTTCGGTTTCTGAAGAGGACCTCTCGTGACTCCATTTCCACCCTGGGCTCCATTCCCCCCTTTCTTTCCACCACCTGGTGACTTGGCCGTCCTGTCGCAGCAGCAGCGGCAGCAGCAACACCAGTGACACCAGCGACACCAGCAGTAAACGTCCCGGCCGTAGGCGCCACCCCCGGGAGGAGCGGCTGGCCTCAGCCCCGAATCGCGCTTGGAGCCCCAGCGCCACCGGGAGAGGTGCGGATGTGGCAGGGACGAATTCCAATGCAGACACCACCGGCTGAGACGCCAGGAAGGGAGCTCGTGCCAGCAGGACCACCGATTAATATGCCGCCGACGCCAGAACCCGAAAATGGGCGGGTCGTGATAAAGCGGGAGGACGTAGAAATGGACAGACCGCGGGTGCCAGCGCCGATGCCCAGCCCGGAACCGACTCCTGCGCGGGAGTATACCATGATGGATATTGATTCCTTCTCGGAGGGTTACCCGTTCCGTTAAGCTATGTTTGTTGATCACGCTCATGGGGTCAGAGTGCTTTTCTGTTCCTGAGAGCTTTTTAACAAGGGGAATGGTTATGAGCATGCTTGCTCTTGTATGTGTACGTATCCCCGGCCACACTTTATGAATTACGACAATCTCGGGCACATGGGGGGCAAAGTCATTTAATGGTCTAACCAGCTCTTAGATATGTGTACATGTACGGGCGAACAACAGCCGACCGGCCTAATTGTTGGTCCTAAACTCTTTTTCTTTCTTTTTTTTCCCCTCTTGGTTTCGGAATGGGCTGAACCCGACGTTATGCATCGGCGATATATGGAGTGATGAATACGGGGTGTTTTGTGATTACTTTCAGGGGCATACGGGACTGTAGCGGGTCATCCTAGTGAGATATGGATAGATTTCTTCTGCAGTTATTTAGCCTTTACAACTGCATCAAGCCCGTCATTATAATCACTGTACTTTTGTCATGAGATATCTCGTACCAATGAAGGCACAACGTCCTGACATCCCACATGTGACTTCTCTTGCATGGTATTTCATGAGCGCTACACCTGGTTAAACCAACCTCGGCTCCCCAACAACCAACAACTCCACAACCTATGATGTAGTCCAAACCATGTCGCTTTCCTTCCCAAGCAACGCTACACGCCTGCTTAACTCTGCCACATATGCTCACTCAACCCCAACAACTTATCCGCCAGCTGCCGTTTCGCAGCCGCCGCCACGCCGCGCTCAGGGTCCGCCAACTGCTCGCTGTACCACAGCTCCAGCAGCGCCTTGAGCTCGTCATAGGTGAACCGCACCCCCCCATCGTTACCAGCAACACCACCGTTAGTGGCCTTCCGATCAGCCTCGGCATCCTCCTTCGCCTTATTCACCACCCCATCCGGCCCAGCGGCAAACAACTCAAAGTACTCCCGTGCGCGCCTCAATTCCGCCCCAGGGCCCTCCTCCACATTCTTCAAGTTCTGCTGCAGCACCAACACGTTCAACCGCATACGTCCACACCCGCGCGCATTCATCGGGGCGGTCATGGGCGCGTTCCGCACCAGGTATGCGTTGATCAGCAGACCCAGCCCCGTGCGCAGGAAGCGGACTTCAGGGGCGCGCAGGTAACGCGAGGCGGTCTCGTCGAAGGCGACCATTTCGGCGTTGAGGGAGAGGATTTGCGGGTCGGGCTCGGCGACGTCTTGGTCGAGGAGGTATGGGGCGGTTTGGGACGGGGAGAGGGCGGTGTGGAGGGATTGGAGGATGCGGCAGCGGATTTCGGAGTGGAGGGTTAGGAGGGAGGTGGTGGCGAGGGAGGTGTAGGAGGTTAGGATGCTGTCGAAGGATCTGGAGAAGCGGGGGGTGTTAGTTAGTGTTTGTATTGGAAGGGGTGGATTGTGAGGGGGGATCATCATACTGGACGGTCTCCTGGGTCATGGGCAGGTACACCGGCCCTTCCTCAGCAGCAGCTTTATTTGGGTCGTTAAGAAGGGTCCAGCGCTTCTTCTCAGGCTTGGGCAATGCAGCGGACCGCGACGAGTCGGTCTCATTCTTGGTGATGTGGCGCAGGCCCTGGATCTTGACTGAGAGCCACTTCATGCTGGTGTACAGTAGACAAAGCGAGGAGATGGTGTCGCGGTCTTGGATGATGTCGCTGTGCTCCAGGTGCTTTTCATTAGCGTGTGCCATGAGCAGGTCGACCTCCTTAACGAGCAGCTCCGCATCGACGGTCTCGCCGGCATCCCATATCTTCTTCATCATGTCGTGGATGACGCCGGGCTCGAGGGCCATCACAGCAGACGCCCGTAGCTCTTGCGTGCTTGACGCCTCCTCGGGTGTCTTGGTTACCAAGGCTTTGTACCAGTTGAAGCATCGGTCGTAATACCGCAGCATCTGGGTGATGATGAGAGCGCTGAGCGCTTGGTCGTGCGGGATAGTGCCCAGCATCCGGCAGAAAGCCGTGACAATGGTGAAAAAGGCCGTCGCACCCTTGAAGACGGGACGCTTAGCGACGCGCGCCCACTCGGAATCCTGGAAGAAGGCGTCCGCCTCCCCAAAGACGGTGTCGCTGAGCTTGCCAAGGGTCTCGTCGAGTTGCGGCTGGAAGACGTTGACGAGGAAGTTGTCAAGGAACGATGTGAGGGTACTGGTGGCTAGATCCGAGCCTGGTGGCACAATATTCTTCAAGCGCTGGAGAAACACTAGGGTGGGTGGAAGCAGCAAGCTCATGTTAAACACGCTAGGCTCGACCAGCGATTTGTGGGCGTTGCTGCCTTGGTTGTTGCTACCATATCCAGCAGTGCTCTTTCGAGAGGACGCGCGATCAGAGCGTGGGACGACGAGGCCCTTCTTCCCGTCGCCCCCTTTTCGTGAGTCGGAAGTCAACCCGGGGACCGCGGCTTGGATGATCCCGTCCAGGGCCTCGTATTCGGTGGCCATTTCCACTGATTTTGAGTCGACCTCGGAGAACTTGAATAAATTGGCTCGAGCTGCGTCTTGTGCTCCATTAATTCCCATGCCAAACCCGGGAGATGAGCGGAATTGGTAGACATCGGCATCGGTTGTGACGTAGTGATGAAGGAGGGAGCGAATCTCGTTCTGATAGAGATTCCAGAGCTCTTTGAAGCTACCCAGAAGCGCAATGTTGTTGCCTGCACCTTCGCGGCGGATGAGGGCTTTTATGGATTCGTGGAACACACGGTGGCCTTCTGCGATGGCCTCAAACTTGCCATAGAGGGACCATAGCAGATCGTAAATGACATCCGCCCTCATTCTGGTCTCGCGCTGGCCGTAGATATGCAACCCGTGAGAGCCATGAGAGCCGCCTCTCAGCGAGCTGGGGTATTTTTGGTCAATGTCATTAATGGTTTCATTGACGACTGAAAACAGTTCCACGGGTAACCTCTGCTTGAGCATATCAACAGCCGTCTCCAATCTCCCCAGCCTGTTTAACGACTCAACAAGCAGGGTGACGTAGTAGAAGGTGTCGGCCTCGGGGTTTTTGTGAGGGTCTTCTGTCACCGACCGATCCCAATCAATGGTATCAAGTACCGAGTGAAAAGGCGATACAACGGGGGCATCCTTGAAAGCCTCGCCGAGGGCACCCTGGGACTTGGCGAGGTTCTGCCATCGCTCCTGGCAGTATGGTGATTTGAGGTAAAGATGTTCATGCAGCTCCTCGACCAGGATATCCATGAGGGCCGTCTCTTGGTTCGCTAGATAGTTACGCAGCTCTCCTAGTGCACCAATATCGTCCAGCTCGGGCTTCGTCAGCTTGCGCAGGGCATTTTGTAGGACCTCAACGGCGGTAAGGAATCGCTTCTCGGAAATCCTGGCTTCGAGCTGATCGGGTACAGTACGCAGATCGTCCAGCTCGTTTAGTGTCTGCAGCACTCCATCGTACATGTGTGAGGTAGCGTGTAGTTTCTTGAGCTCCGGGTCGGTGGCGCAGAGGGCGGTCTTAGAGCCGGCCAGCGACTCTTTAAGTGCGCGCACCTTCTTCTGCGAGGTTTGGATGCTGCCCTGGATCTTGTGAAATGTGCCAATCGAACTGTTGAAGCCCTGATGATACTCGTGGACGATCTTCTTGAGCGACTCCTGCAGGTACTGGTGGGTGCGCTGGAAGTTGCGGTACTCGTGGGCGCGACCGACGGAGCTGTCGTCGAGTAGCTGCAGCGCGAGTTGGACGGGGATGCAGTCGTTCTCGCACATGGCGGGCCACTCCTGCTTGATCAACTCAAGCACCTTGCCCATCTCGCGCTCGGCATTCGTCTCCTGGACGGCGCGCTGGGCCGATCGTGGCGGTGGCCCTGCGTTGCGTGCGCTCGGCGGGGGTCGGGGGTTCGTTCGTCGAGGCGGTGGTGCATACCGGTCGCTGCCATACCCTTCACCGTATGGATCGTAGTCTTCATCCTTCCGGTCGAGATTCCCGTAGCCGCCGCCACCACCACCACTGCCACCACTTCCCCCGCTCCCACCGTTGCGGTAGGCCTGACCGTATCTACTGGACATGGTCGCTTCCTTCGTGCTATGGCATCGGGTCGCTTGTCATTCTCGATTTCGCGGGGTGTGGCGTGTCGTAATGTGGAGTTGTTGATCGGGGTAATCAATCCTGGCCGTGCCGCAGCGTACCGCGCTGGGTCGCCTAGGTTGTGCTGGTTCTCAAGCGACAGTCGAGAGGGTAGACGATGTTTCGCCGTTGTTGTAACTTTCAAGGTTTGGAGGGGACACACATTGCGGCCCTCGAGCCGCTCACAAGGATGGAGACCCGCAGCAGCTCAAACCCCTGGCAAGGACAGGGGGTTGATACATGTACTGTACAGTACCTCCTGTTACGTGAGGGGGGCTGTCTCCGAAATATGTAATTCCCAAGACTTTAAGGAGCCTTTCGAAATGTGCCTCACCGTGGGGAAGAAGAAAGGAAGTGGGAAAAATGGATTTCCAATGAGTTTCCTCTCGATGCGGCAAATTTAGTGAAGGTTTGGATTAAATGTGACCGTTAGAGGGGTATTTTTGTAGATGTGTAAGTCTACATGATGTATTTTTGTGACAGGTTACCAGCAGCCCCACACCATGAGCAGCTGCTCTTAGAATAATTCAACCGGCTTCATCACTTGGCCGGATCACTGGCGGCCGGATTCTTGAATAGGTATATGGTGCTGTGGTGTTTTTCTCTTACGTGTACCTTCCGAAGAGGGAGAGGAGCCAAGCTGCTACTCAAGAATCACGCAAGTTCACAGCGCTACCAGGAACAATCGCGGTGGCAACGCCGATATACAACAACCACCATGGTCCTACAATTCCCAATTCAACCGCCAAATAATTACAGCGGCGCGAGCGAACCGGTCAAAAGGCCAAAGGTATGGGATGTCGGCTTTTTTTCCCGGCCGCCTGCCATCATTGTCTATCTCGTCGTATTCCACATCCCTGAAACTATAACTCATCATCTGTACATATTCTAGGAGTTTGCCTGCTTCTCTTACGACAAGGACCATCAGTTCCGCCAAGATGACTCGTCCATGAAATGGTACTACCCGCCCGATGTTGGCGCGAACCTATCCAACGGATACGATGGTTTTATCAAGCACGACGACCGAATTGATGAGCATCTAGACAGTCTTCTCCGGACTATGACGGACCATGAAAAGCAAACGGGCCAGCCCATAGATGCCCACATCGTCACTTGGAGGGGTATGTTGACAAAGGTACGTATCTGCTCGATTTCGGTCTCATGGTTCGGATATATGGAGCTCTGAAGCAGTTACTAACTGGAGTTGATAGATCATGGCTACGCCGTTTGATGATGAAGGGTACGGAGCTCAATTAAAGCTGTCCGCGCAGCCGCACGTTACTGAATAGTTTTCTTCCAGGTTCGAGATGAACGCAACACTCTACCGAGTACGCTGATTTGGCCCTTCCCTCCCACTTCATACCGGCTAACCTGCTTAGGATTGCATGTAAGCAACCTGATGAACATCTCAATACTACTTACCCCCTGAGCTCAACTGACGGCCTCTGAGATTTATCGAGGAACATCATGCGTTCAAAGAGCAAAAGCGCCAGTCAGAAAGCCACCAAGGGAGGGGCAGAATACCGCTTTCCCTGATGCAATACTGGGGTGAGCTTTGCCGTTCATTGGTCTCACTTATTCACTTATCGTATCTGACGAGTTAGGGTACAAATTCGAAACCTTGAGTACACTGCCCCAGCCTTGGGGCGAGACATCGAGAGAGTACATCGAAAATAGGGACCAAGAAGTAACCAATAACAAGGAGCAATATTGCTCTGTCGTCCGGACGGGGTTTGGCAAATCCATAGTTTGTCTTGGCGGCGAGGTCGACGCAAGTAAGAACCAGCCTTCCGACCACCAGTGCTAAGCAACCTCTACGAGCCATGATACTGACAAGCTACTCATTAGTCTGGGACAAAAAGCCCCAAACACCCGGAGAGCCTATTAACTGGGTCGAGCTCAAAACGAGCGCCGAGATCCGCGGGTCCAACGACCAGTTCAAGTTTGACCGCAAGCTGATGCGGTATTGGATCCAGTCCTTCCTGCTCGGCGTGCCCAAGATCATCGTCGGCTTCCGCAACATGGACGGTATCCTCACCCAGGTCGAAGAGCTCAAAACAATTAGCATTCCGGATGAGGTACAGCGTCGGGGTATGGCGCGCTGGGACGGCAATGTGTGCATCAAGTTCACCAGTCTCTTCCTGGAGTGTAGGCTCTCATTTCTATTCCGTTCGCTATTGGCCCCCCTAACTATAGCTTGGCTGACTTGGTGGCAATAGGGCTCCGCACCAGCCTTAACGACGAGGGCGTTTGGAGGATCAGGCGGCCGCATAAGGCGAGCTACATTGAGCTGTTTAAAGTTGAAGAGGTTGGCCACGGGAACCTCATCACGGACGACTTCATGAACTGGAGGATCAAGCTCTCGCTCAGCAAGGACAGACCGCCAGACGCGCAGGAACCAGCAGCAGAAGCCCCACTCGAGGAAGAGGATGCTACTGCGAGGGAGTGAAATGATGCAACAAGTGAGAGATCACTATGTAACAGTGGCCCGAGCTGGGTCTGCGGCTCATGGTGTTGTTTAGTCTAGACCCCTTGACAAATCTCACAAACTTCACTGTATATTGACAACCCACGAATACTCTAAGTGATTTATTTCTCAATCTCCATAACAATAATATGTGACACCGGGAAATGCCAACAACCCCGCAAGGCCATGCACGCCCAAACGGGCTAAAAAGTACACGCAACAAAGATATTGTGTACGGTATGCGATGCTGTGTCAGTCGACGCCGAAGCCATGATGTGGCGGATGCCAAGAGGAAAAAGAGAAGAAGGATGAAAAATGGACGAAAATGGGGGAAAAAAAGCAAAGGAAAAAAAGGAAACCGGAAACCAGCTTGCCACCATTTCCTATCCGGGTTCCGCATTATAACCGATAGCTAGCCCACCGGCTGAAGCTTATCGCCATCGCTGCCGCCATTCCCGTTCTTTCGTACTCATCATCATCCATCAATCCGTATGTGAAATGCCATGGTCTCGTTCTCCTGGTTATCGTCCAGGTAGACCCATACCACGCCGCGCTGTACCCGGGGACAAAACGAGCAAAAATAAAAAACCAAATAAGAAAAAGGGGAAAGGAAGAATAAAACGCCCGACCTGTCCCCAACAATAAAACGACACAATAAAAAGGCGCCAAGGCAGCCAAAGCCGAGCGTAAATCCCGACATTATGATCCGCCTGTCGTCGAGATAGAGTCCTAGACCTGGTTAAAACAGTCGAAAGACAACGGGGTAGAACACAAATGCGCCGTTCTCTCTACCCCGCCATAACCCCCCATCGCGCCCTCAACCCATCCGTCCAGCGGGCATACAACATGTCCGACAGCGCCTTACAATGCTCCATGCCAGGCCGGGCAGCGCGCCCGGGGAACTTGGCCTCGAGCGCTTTTTCTTTCTCTCGTTCTCGTTCCCGTTCCCGCTCCCTCTCCCTTTCGCGCTCGCGTTCCTTCTCCCCCCGCCCTTGTTGCCCGGGAAATCGGTTCCCGCCTAAAGGTGACTGTGACATGATGGGCGAGGTCGGCGAGGTCGGCTGTGGGAGCATACTTCCGCGGCGACGACGGTGGCTCATCAGGTGCGGGTTGTCGCGGCTGATGATGAGCTTGGAAGGGCTGCCTGGTTTGCCGCCTCCATTGGCAGCAGCCGCAGCAACAGCGGCGGTAAGGGCGGGTTCGACTGCAGATGCTAGAGGCGGCGTGCCGACGAGAGTGGTGGCTGCTGTGCTGGGGGCCGTGGCCGTGGTGGCAGTGGACGGGCGGGATTTGATTACGACGGTTCCTTGTTGCTGCTGCGAAGCGGTGCTGTCGGTTGGAGAGGGTGTTTTGGTCGAAGAGGAGGTTTGTTGCTGCTGTGGTAAAAAGGCGTTGGTGAGTTTCGTGTCCTGGGATACGGCCGAGACCAGGTTCCGCAGCAGGTGATATGCGCCCTCTGGATCGACGGAATCGAGCAGGGAGAAGGCGTCTGATAAGCGGGCGAGGGCCTCGCGTTTCGACGAGCCGGCGGTCTGGGCGTGAAGCTCATCAAGACACGGCTCGAGGGCTTTGGTGTACAGACGGCGGCCGAGCAGGGCCTCTTTGCTGTTGGGTTCTACGGGCGCGTGGTATGTCGGGGGAGGTTGGTTCTCGTTGGCGAACTCGGGTGGAGTTGATCCCCCAAAGGTGCCCCCGGCACTGCCGCTACCAGAGTTGGAGCCGTCGGAGGGTACGCGGCGGAAGAGGCGCATGGTCGATCCGGAGTTGCCGAACGACAGATCGGGTTGTAGGGCCCGCTTGGGACCAAGGGAGGGCCGCGGGGAGCCACCATTGGAAGCACGGCGACGGACGACGGTGGCTGAGGGCTGACGGCGTGCTGTCGCTTTGCGGACTGTCCCTGGCGTATTAGGCTGCAGGGGCCCATCCTTGAGATCGAGCTTGCTCATCGCGTCCTCGACGACATAGACGGACGACGACTTCCTGGATCGCACGGTGCCCCGTCTCGCGGGCACGACAGACTTGACCGTGTCGAACACCCACTCGTCGGCATCGTCCCTGGGTGAAATGTTATGAAGGGTTTCCTGGTAGTACACCGGGTGTTTGGCGTTGTCGGCGCGGACATCGGCCATGCGCTTGCGCTGGATCAGTTCCTGCAGGGCTTCAACCTTGCCGGCAGAACGGATGAAACGATGCCTCAACAACTCCTTTGCGGTGGGACGGAAGTCCGGGTCCTTGACGAGGCACTGTGAAACAAAGTCCTTGAACTCCTTGCTGAATTTGCCCTCGAGCCGGGGTGGGGCGTTCTTCGGGATGTGGAAGAGAACCTTCATGGGGTGGAGGTTGGCGTGTGGTGGCTCGCCCCTGGCTAGCTCGATAGCGGTGATTCCTAGAGACCAGAGGTCGGCCTTGAAGTCGTAACCAGCCTGTTGAATAACCTCGGGGGCCATCCAGAAGGGGGTGCCGACAAAGGTGTTGCGTTGCGACTTCATGTAGGTAAGCTGAGCTGCGACGCCAAAATCGGCCAATTTGACCTTGCCGGACTCCGACAACAGCACGTTGGCTGCCTTGATGTCGCGGTGGATCTTGCCCTCGGAGTGCAGGTATTCAAGGCCGAGTAGCAGCTCACGACAGATGATGGCGATTTGGACTTCGTTGAAGATACCAACTTTGAGCTGCGCTTGTCAGCACCCGTTCACCATCCTGCTTTGGATACTTAACTTGAACATACCAAATCAAGACAGGACCCGCCGCCGAGATACTCCATGACAATCCACAGCTTGTGGCCGCGCAGGAAACTGGCCTTGTACTGTGTGACAAAACTGCTAGCGCAGGTGCTGAGCACCGAGATCTCCTGCTGGATTTCTTGAATATCATCTTCGCTAGACTCAAGATCAATCTAAGAGAGCGTCAATTAGTTGCGCCACCAACGGCTAATGTGAGTAGAGACAAAAATAGTCACAAAGCGACAAAACGGGGAATGCGCACATGCTTGATCGCCACAACTTCTCCAGTGGCCTTGTCGATGCCCTTGTACACAACTCCAAAGCTCCCGCCTGCACAAATTCTCAAAACATTAGCCAATTGCCTCCCAGAAGAACCAAAAAGCATGCGCGCGGTATCGCGGACTCACGGCCTAGTTCTTCTAGCACCTGATAGCGATTGGCGATGCCCTCTTCGGCCATTTTTGCGGATTTTGATGTTGCTGTTGATAAGGTCGATGGGACCAAGCGCATGCGTGGGTCGGCCATGTTTGATACCAGCCGCCTGGGTACCGTATGTATTGTACTGCGTGGTGTTCAATCCCGACAGCCTGGAATGGGGGAGACACCGAGATCTTGGACACGGACGGTGGAGCCGATGGGGACAATGAGCGACAAGAGCCAGGAAGCGGCCGGGGATGGCGATGTCGGGAATGCACCGGCGTGCAAAGAGTTGCAAGTCCCGAGAAGCCCTCAAATTCTCGACTTCTCAGGTTCTTGTTTGGTTGATGGGCGAGCGCATCGACTTGGGGACAAGCAGCAGCCTGCTTGCTGACGGAGGTTCCTAAGCTGCAATCCTGTCGTGTCTGCTGCCCTCTTGGTTCCCTGTGTGCACCCTCTTAAAATTGTCGTGTCGCAGTCCCGCACAGTGTTTCGGTTGTCCGGGTGCTGGGATGATGGGCACGGGCCATTGTTTACTTTGTGATGCGACGAGATGAACCCTGGCTGTGGGGAGCTGAACAACACAAGGGTTCACCGCTCTCGAGGGGTAATTGTGTGTGCGCGCTGGGCAAAAGGGCCCGGGAAAAGGAAGAGAAAGAAGCTAGCGGGATACCGAACTCCCACAATTACAATTGAGGTTATGGTGGTTTTGCTCTGAACTCAATTGCAGCATGGCTTTTCTGCAGGTAAACTTGGAAATAAGAGGATCCAGCGCTCTGCATGAAATGCCGTAGCTGTCTGGACCTGACTTGAGGAGCTGAGTTGCAGAATTGAGCTCCGGATCCCAGCGGCTCATTGCTGCAGCAGCTGAACAGCCGCCGAGGCAGGCCAATCATACATCGCGCCCGGCACTTGCACCGTGGAAAGCGAGCGCGGCTTTCGGACCCCGCCTGTTGGTCCTGATTGGGGGGGTCCGGCGAAGGTGGGGGAAGTGTTTGGTGGGGCAGCAGCTCCGTTGCCCCTCGCAACCGTTGTTCGGCCGGGAAGGAGCATGGACCCCAAACCGTACACTGGGCTCTTGCCTTGTCCGAGTTGTCGAGCGAACGCCCTCTTCCGAGGCGCTTGGGAGCACGGAGTCTGGAGTTACCTTGACCGGCGCTCAAAAAAATACGCCCACAAGTTACAAACCGATTATCTTGCTTTTCCCCGATTTCCACTCCCACTCCAACTCCAACTCCGCTGCCGGTTGTGGGGGAGCCAGGACACCCCGTCAACACCACGAAGACTCGACATATTCCCATCCCCCCCAACTTTTCGACGTGGGCAGACACCTGAGTATCCAAGATATTACGCGGAAAAATAACGACCCCCCGACATAATCTCCGCGCATTTACCAACCGGTTCACCCACCCACCACATATTCCTAGGCATACCCTGCTATTTTCACTGGGACGACGCAGCGTGCGCCCCGATCGATTTTCATCTCGTCTGCGGTTGTGGATGGCACGATTCGATTGAAACTCCACTTCTTCGACTTCTTACCCGGCAATTCGAGAGGCTGGTGCGGTCATAGCTTGGCCACCTTTTCTCAGGCTGGGAACCTGCGCACACTCAGTTATTTTTCTTTTCTGGCGAGAAAACGCCAGGCTTGCCGAAGTCGAAGAACCGAGACGGCCACAACAATGGTTTTGGCACCGCCGCCACTGCCGATGCGCTTCCCGTGCTGGGTGCGCGCGGTATACTCTTGGGGAGGAGAGGTGCGTGTTGTGTTTTGAGGGGAGGGATGGTGTTGTGGTTTAGTGGTTGATATTGTACTAACGCTTCTTTTGCTTTGTTTGTAGTCGAAGCGGGACCTTGGGTTTATTGAGGGCGATTTGATCGAGTGTCTCAACGCAGGAGATGGTTCGTGGTGGACGGGCAGGCTATTCCGGGACAGGAGAGCCGTCGGCTTGTTTCCCTCAAATTTTGTCGAGGTGTTGCCAGACAACTTTCGCCCAACCACCAGATCCGTCAGCCCATTAGCCGCTCACAGCAACACGCCGAGTCCCAAGGGCGGCACTCCCCAAAAATCGAGGACCTTCCGCAAACCCTTCGAGGCCTACGCTAAAGCGCCGCACTACACGACGGCCAAAATCCCAGAGACATGGAAAAACGGCGTGAAGCCGACCGATACGTCGCCCAATCCCAAGGAAAATGCACCGCGGCCGCGAGAGACGCCTAGGAATTCTTTCGACCACACGAGTGCAGCAGCTCCCCCCGCCGTCGACCACAGGTTGGCCCATTCTCCCTCGCGAGCCCCGAGCCACCTTGGAGGAGGGCGAGATCCTTCTCCAGCTCCCTCCAGGGTTCCTCATCATTACGTGGGACAGGATCATCCCTCCCCGTCCCGAACTCCCAGCCACATTGAAAGGGATCACTCGCCCGGACGACCTCCGAGTTTTATGGGGCGGGAACCTTCTCCACATGTTCCTATGTATGCGAACCGGGATCCCTCACCTTCCCGAGCTCCCGGCCACATCAGTAGGGATCCCTCCCCTTCCCGCGCGCCTAGTTTCGCCGGTTCTCGAGGGCCGTCCCCTGCACCGTCGTACATCCCGTATCGGCCACCGCAAACCCGCCAACAACACACCTACCATCTCAGCTTAGACCAGACGGAGCCCTATCGACCCGCAGTCCAGGGAGGTGATTCTCCCCCTCCTCCACCCCCACCGCCTCATCGCTCCAAGCTGGCCCGGCACGGCGGCCAGGCTTCGTACGACGAGGGGTGCTATGGCGCTCTGTCGAGGGAACCTGGAGGACTATCCAGACAGCACTCCACCGCCTCGTATGGCTATGAAGCCCAGCAACCGCCAAATCATGAACCATACGATGACCATCAGCAGGTCAACACGGGTTACCAGACACCCCGGATGCCGTCGCCGGGGCCTGGACCCCCTTCACCGGGAGGGTTCACACCGTCTCCCCTCAGAGAGGCCATGGACGACGTAATGGAGCAGCTTGACGCGCTGGGAGCTGGGAGGGAGGCCGAATCTCCCGAGCCGGAGTTGGACCCGTGGTCGCCCGAGTCCTTTGACATGGTACAACATCTGTCTAGAAAAAAGCGGGACCACCAACAACATTCACAACCTGCAACCGTAACTTCCTTGCAGGTCGACGAAGGCTACGAGACGTACAGCGGTAGTGGGTCGTCGCAAGAACCCACCCCCATGGACTCGTACCATCGTCCGCTTTCACAGCTGAACGATCATGTTGAACGAGCAGAATCGAGCTTGAAGATAACGTCTCAGCCGGGTGACATGTTGGAAGAGGAGGAAGAGGAAGACGAAGCCCCGCCGCCTCCTCCCAAGCGCGGCCGGTTCTTTGAGCGCCCGAAGTCATCCATTGATGTCACCGCGCTGCCTGACCAAAAGCTGCGGCAGAAGAAATCAGCTTACGAGATCAGTCGGCAAGTGCTCAACCGAACGTTCACCACGAAAACAAATTCCACCAACAGCTCGTCGGCCACCCAAAGCACCGACCGCAGTCTCATGAGCGGCGTGTCGGCGGGAGGAATCAGCGCTACGAGCGCGGGGAGCTTGGCGAGGAAAAACCGGAGTAGGGCTCAGAGTGCCCTCGCCATGCGGGATCTTGATGCCGACCGCCCAGGCACACCGTTCACGGGCATCACATACCACAGCAGCCACGCCTCGGGCGATCAGCGGCCGAAGTCTCAGGTGGGCTTCCATGACGACCCTATGGCCTCGGTGGGCGGGCTTGTCACGCCGAAGCCTAAGAAACAAAACTTTATCAAGCGCATTCTAGAGTCTGCCAAGACTGGCGTTGCTAGCACTCGAGGGAGCCTTGCTGCAGCCAGCTCTGCCACGCCATCGGGTCGGTCGACACCTGTCCTGCCTTCACTCTCCGCGCCCTTGTTTAGCAAGACGGGTCGAGACCACGGGAGAGAGATGGGACTTAGTGGCGGCGTCGACTGGGTCCAGGTACGACGAGACGTGAACCGGTCAAACTCCTTGAGCCAGAATGAGCTGCTAGAGAGACGGGAGCGTTGCCAGATGTTGGACTATCCGGCTTTGGACCCCGTTGATGAGTTGTACGACAATATTGACGGAGATGAGGGTGCCGATGGGATGCCGGTGCCCGATCCAGTCAATTACAACGCCATAAACTTGAGCCAGGTCGACAAGAACTCACGCTTCTTGGCCAACCTACCCCCTACTACGACACCAATCACTTTAGCGACGACATACGTCTGCCGACCGTACCGCAGCGATGTCCAGCGTTTGCGCTCCATTTTCACTTGGGTGGCCGAGAAAATCATGTGGGAGGAGGACTTCGACGGCCCCATCGACACACGCCGTGTTCTCCAGACGAAACGGGCATCTGCCGAGGAGTACGCCAATTTGGTCTTGGAGATGTGCGCAGCAATCGGGATGACCTGCGAGGTTGTTCGCGGGTATCTCAAGACACCTGGGGAGATTCCCGAAGTTAACATCATGCCTCGGTCGAACCACTGGTGGAACGCGGTGTTGGTAGACAATGAATGGCGTATGATGGATTGCTGTCTGGCTAGCCCATCTAACCCGCGGAGGATCCAGTACTCGAGCCACAGTAGCTCATCTGCGGATCCTTGGTGGTTCCTGGCACGCCCGACTGAAATTTGCTGGACGCATATCCCCGAGAATCACGAGCAACAGCATATTTGCCCGCCCGCGGCCCATGATATTTTGCTCAACTTGCCTTGCGCTTGCCCGCCGTTTTTCAGGAACGACTTAGACATGGTCGAATACAACACCTCTCTGACTCGGATCGAGGACCTTGAGATGGTGCACATCAAGTTCAGCGTCCCGGCAGACATCGAGGTAGCCGCCGAGGTTGAGGTACGCAGCTACGCGCGAGATGCAGACGGCGACTACTTTGAGTCCGGCGACATGGTCAGGAAGCGAGCACTGGCTCAGGCCGAATGGTTCAACGGCACCAAGCGGTATACCATTAAGGCCTTACTCCCCGGTGACGAAGGAACTGGCACGCTCAAAGTGTACGCCGGCAAGCGTGGCCTGATGCACAGCATCAAGGACATCCCACACCCATTAGCCTTTGCTCTGCCCATCATCCACACGGGCGAGAACCCGCCATACGAGTTCGTAACCCGTCACCCGACGCCACACGCCCAGCGCCACGACATCTACGTTGTCCAGCCGCAGTGCCAACGGCTCGCGCTCAACAACACCTTCGTCTTCGCCATCCGCCAACACCCAAGCTCCATCGGCTCATCTTCATCGGGCGCATCCCCCATGACACCGTCCTCCAACCCCGGCAATGCCTCGCCCATCCCTTTCATCCGCCCCACCTCGGCCATGAGCATGACCTCCAGCGCGGCGGGTTCCAACCCCAGCACCACAGCCGGGGGCAACGGCTCGTCTTCTTCGTCCAAGAAGCCTGCCAAACTCGCCATCCAGACCCCGGGCGGTAAGATCCTCCGCCTCATGCGCAAGGAGGACAAGCGCGGTATCACAGGTATCCTCAACTCCAACGGTGCTAGCAACAGCAGCAGCGCACTGCGTGGTGTTACCGGGCAGGCGAACAGCCCTGGAGCGCCGCTTCTGGGCGAGGATGAGGCAGCGGGCGATGGTGGCATGTGGGAGACGATCATCAAGTGCAGTGAGAGAGGCGTGTGGAGGGGTCTGGTGCTGGCTGACCGGACGGCGAGATGGTGCGTTTTTGCGGAGTGGGTTTGTGAGGGTTAAACGGGGGTTGCTCCGTGGTCGGCTGTGTCGGGAGAGCCATTGGGGTGGGTAATAATGTTTATTTGATTTGGATTTGGAGGAGAAAATTGAGTGGATGGGAGTAGGACCGGAGCGTTGTTTGATCTGGTAAAGCGAGAGGGAGGGTTATATGACGGATTTGTGTGGTTGATGATGACGATGGCAATGGGTTAGGATGGACGTGTTGACGAAGGGGCGACGAGACGCAATGAAAAGATGGATGAACGAAGAGATGAATGGAATGGGGCTGGGTGGGCGGTTGGTTGATCTGATGGATGGCAGGTGGTTTGTTGGAAGAGTCTCTGTTGGGTTTATGTCGAGGATGGATGGATACGGTGGCGGGTCATACTCGATACCATTTCTTTTTCCCTTTTCTGAATTGCTTTGTCTTCATGTTTGTTGAGCTCTCTGTTTGTTGATTTACTTGTCAGGATATGGCTGGGCCGTTCCCTTTTCTCTCTTCATTTTCTAGGTACATGTATTGTGTGTACCTTGGGTTCTGGCGCATGTAAGGATAAGCGAGCGTGGGTATATCATTTACGAGGAGTTAACTTCTTTTATATGCTTCATCTAGTCCCTGAGAATTTGGCATGTATGTCTTCGTGCCCATAATTACCCTGGTCTTCAACAGTGAACCAATTAAGCGAGTTGGCGTCGTCAACTCTGGGCGACTGATTCAGGTTCCAGTCACGGGCTAATCTCGGTATCTCGGAAGGATATGGGTAGGACTCTTTGAATTACTGCATACGTATATTTATGAGCTACGCAAGTTGACGTGGAGCCCTATGATAAGTCGTTCAGGGAAATATTGAAGTTCTGAGACCGGAATGGGAATCTTTCCCGTTCAGGCCGGGCAAGAAGTCCGTCCCGTCACGAATCGGAATTTTCATGGGGATTCCCGTCTACACCTCATTGTGCAGGTGGGGTGTTAGAAGGTGCGGTGCCACAGTACCTAGCCCCCTATATTGTATCGACCGGGTGCACATGTGCTAACCTGCCGAAATAGGGCTCGCATCTGCGGGCCCTGCCGGATTAACTCCAGCGCCTAGGGCGTGGATGGCAGGCCTAGCCTTTTCGCTCGCGGGGTTGTTTGTCAGCACCTCCAAATAAATTACAACTGCCGACGACCTCATTGATGCATATCGAATCCCCCACCTGCCAAATTCGTGACCTCACCCGTCGAGTCGCGTTGAATAGGTTCCGACTGAGCTCGGTTTCTTCATTTTGATTCATTCAAAGTCTGTTTGGGGCTCTCTATTATCGGCGAGACATAAAGATATAATAACACTGCCGGCGACTTGATACATCGCAGTTTTTTCCTGCTTGCCGCTCGATCACCCCGCAACACCACGACCTTGCCACCAAGGGCAATATACAAAATAGCAAAACATCACCACCCGGTCAGGGACAACCCCCCAAGCATTCCACCATGAGCAGCCTACCACCAACCCTATCAACCCACAGCCTCACCTACACCTTCCAAAACCACTCCACCGGTCTCTCCAACATCTCCCTCGACCTCCCCGCCCGGTCCCGCACCCTCCTAATCGGCGCCAACGGCGCCGGCAAAACCACCCTCCTCCGCCTCCTCGCCGGCAAGCGCCTCGCGCCCGAAGGCAGCATCCAAGTCTCCGGCGTCGACCCCTTCAAGAAAACCCCCGAGGGCGTGACCTACCTCGGCCTGGAATGGGTCCTCAACGCCATCGTGCGGACTGACATCGGCGTGGACGAGCTGCTGCGGTCGGTTGGCGGGGATACCTACCCGGAGCGCCGGGATGAGTTGGTTGGTGTGCTGGATATTGATACCAGCTGGCGCATGCATGCTGTGTCGGATGGTGAGCGGCGCCGGGTGCAGTTGGCTATGGGGCTGATCCGGCCGTGGAGGGTGTTGTTGCTGGATGAGATTACGGTGGATTTGGATGTGTGGAGTCGCGCGCAGTTTTTGGGGTTCTTGCGGCGGGAGACGGAGGGCCGGGATTGTACTGTTGTGTATGCCACGCATATTCTTGATAACTTGGCGGAGTGGCCGACGCACCTGGTGCACATGCACCTCGGCACGGTGAAGGCGTGGGGCCCTGCGGAAGAGATGTTGAAGGAGGTGGAGAAGAAAGATGCGGATGAAGGGGATGGCGTGGTGGGTGTGGCTGGAAACAGTAAGCTGGGTGAGTTGGTGCTGCGCTGGCTGAGGGATGATTTGAAGGAGAGAGGTCCGCGGAGCCAGCACAAGCGTGGGCCGGAGGGTTGGACGTATGCCGTCACTGGTCTCGGCGGTTATGGCTTTGAGCCTAAGGGCTCGGATGGGGACAAGGAGTAAGATGAAAGCGGAAATACTGGAATCTGGTTCAGGGCCTTGCTGTGGCAACACAGGAGGGGTGTACTGCTGGCATGGCAATTTCTTTACACATTTAACATGATACCCAGGGGGCATTTAACATGGGTTTGTAACAGGATCTGGAGTTTCAAAAAGGAGGTATGGATGGCATCGGTCGGCGCTTATGTGCTCCAACTTTCGAGATAGACAGTCCATATCAACATGATTGTCTGTTGTCCTTGATCATTCCTCCGGGTATCTATTTTTGCCATAACAGGGAAAGAATCACTTGCCTTCCTCATTGCTGCCGTGCCCTCATTAGATTCTTCATCGTATTGTACATCAGCTCTGGGATACCAGGAAACCCCTTGGCCTCTAGGTGCGTGAGTACCCCTGACTTATAATCCGCCCACGGCAGATTCAGACCGCCTCGGCTCGCCAGCCGGGCCAGCGAAGCCTGTGTCACAGGGCCGGCATGCCTGGCCCTCAGCTCCTCCATCTGGTCGTCCTCCAGCCTTCGTATATACTCGAGTGATAGCTGGCACAGCAGCGGCGAGTGCGACAGACCGAACGCCACGGCTAATGATAGGTCTCTGTCCGAGTTTGCCGCGGTGCGCACGTAGCGGTCCAATGCTGTCTGGACTGCGGTTGGCACACGGCAGCCTTGTGCATTGACGTCGGTCGTGGAAAACGCGCGCCCCCGCCATATGCAGTTGCACAAGTCCATCAAGAAGCCATTGAAAACGTTAATTTGGTCACGCTCGCGGCGCGTGAGAGGCCGCGTGACGGCCGATGACATGACGGCTTCCCAGGCCCGCTTGTAGGCGGCGAGAATGCCGCAGAGGCGTGACACCACGGTCAACGACGGGCTAAAGTAAAGGAGGTAGACAAGTAAGGGTGGCGGAATACTGATCTCGACGCGCTGGAGGAGACGCGTCTCGGAAAAGACGGCAGCCGCAGCCTCGTAAAAATCGAGGATATCAAGGCACGTACCGACCCTGGGTGATGTTTGGGTCAAAGTGAGTGTGAGTTGGTTGACATAGTCGATGAGCCGAGAAACTGTGGCCATGGGAAGGGGGTCCAGATCATCTGTGCTCTTCATGGCAATGGTCCACCGCCGGAGAAGGAGCGTATAAAATTTCAGAAGGGAGAGTTGAGAGCTCGAGGTGTTGTCTAGCACCGCGCCTTCTAATACTTGAAGAATCGCATACAATTCTTCTAAAGCATTAGCTTTATCTTGATACGACAGGAGTTGGGGGTTTCGTACCTTCGAACACGAGCATAGGGGTAAAGCTCAATGTCTCCAAGACGATGTCTCTTTTATCCGAGCCATTCCATGTGCTTAAAAATTGGGCAAAAAAGGTGAGCAAGATGGGAGGGAGGGTCTATAATTTGTTAGCCACACGAATAGAGCCCAGGTGTCCAAGTTCCTGGGGAAACACGCACCTTTGTAGCAACTGCATAGCTGTTAATCACCTCCACCATTTCGAGAAAAATCTCAGAATCCGCGTCACCGCTAGACACATCGCCCAAACATGCCATCAGCCAATTGCTAACCCGGGACGACGCCTCGGCATCCGGCCGCAGGAGTAGGAACTTCTGCAACAGTGGATCTGCCAGGACAGCCACCAACTGCGTGGGCAGCTCGATCCTTTCGAGGTTCTTGACGAACGACTCCGCGTTGTCAATTTCTTCAAGGGTCACCGAGTTCTAGCACATAGTTAGAGAGACAGAATTCACACCAAGGCATAAGGTGGCATCGGTAGCGGGCGTTACCTCTTGAGCATGCAGCGTACGGACAGCTGGAACTGAAACGTGTAACCCCTTCATCTGCCGGCCAAGCGTATGACTGACCGCAAACCCGTTTCTCGTGCCTGGGTCACATTGACCGTTGAATTGCCGCTGTTGGATCTCGTCCAATTTTTCTCGCCATTGGGGATCAGGGTGCTGCTACGTGTAAGCTTCGAGTGTGGTAAAACAAGGTGGCTGATCCTGTGAAAACATACTTTGAATGATGATGCTCGCCCCTTTGTGATATCGCCGACGATAATTTCCGGGTAGTAGTTTTTGAAAACTCGGAGGAGGCCAGTCAGGTTTGGGTCGCCTCCTGTCTGTCGAGACAGACTGAGTCTGAAACATCAAGTTAGATTGCCCTATCAAATTTCGAAAAGAATATTGACTTACATCCCCTGGATCCGGAACGGCCTCACATGCTTCCTCCTTGTTATCAGTGCCAGGAGATGACACAGCTGGGGCCTGTCGAGGAATGAGCGGGGCAACACAGCCGTTCGTTCTCAACAAGCCTTACCTAATAGCGGCGGTATCGAGAAGGTTGAACAGGACCCCGTAGACTTGTGACAAAATAGCCGGGTTTTTGATCAAGTGATACACCATCACCAGCCACCGGAGAAACAAAGCCTGCAACGGAAAAGAAGCCTTCAGCTGGCCATGGCCCAGGGCCGCGACGAAACGTAACACGACGTCATCATCGACCTTCCCTGTTGGATACAGGTTCCGCACAATGGCGCCCAAACTAGCCTGGTCGAGGTGGTTGCGAATAGTCAGGAGGTCGACGAGACGCGCAAGTTCTCCTGGTAGGGCTCCCCTCTCGAAGAGGAGTGAAGCCGTAGCCTCGACGGTGGGTTTGATGGAGGTCTGACGCCGCTTTGCTGGCAATTTTGAGGCTAACCAATCGTCAGTCTCTTCTACCCAATTCTGATCCAAGTCTGGGAGTAAAAATACAAAACAAAAGGGTAGTTCTCACCTTCCTCGAGGTCCCCGATAAGACCTTCGAGGTCATCGTTGATTGGCGGCGATGTCATTGTTTATCATACCCCCAGGTTTAAATACACGACCGAGGGGGGGTTTCATTAGCCTCCGGGTTACCAAAGGGCTGAGTCCGGAGAATTCAATTTCTCAAGTCTCGAACACATGCAATGTGCGGCGAGTTTGATGCCAACGAGTGCAACACGCGGTGGAAGAAGGATGGCCAGTGGGTGAACGCGATGCCCCACGCCTTGGCACGGTGCAGATGTCCGTATCAAAAGGTGTAATATTACGCATGTGGGGGTCGAGATACCTGTTGCCCGGGCGTTTTATTGGATAGGATGTCTTGCATCGAAACAGGCTGGACGCTTCGTGACCGTACCCACTTGCCAAATCGTGTACCTGCCAGCTGCCCATCTTCACCCAACTTCCGCTCTCTCTTTCTGGTTGCCCCTTTTCTCCTTTGTCAAAGTGATCGTAAAATAGATAAACAAACACAAATCCAGCCGAAATTTTACACCATTTGCCTCCTTCACTCTATCTTTCCAATGCAAGGCCGTGCTATTTTATGTTTCTTCGGTTTCCGCAACCTTAGTATTCACTCGTTTTCTAGGATTACGCCTTCCCAACTCGACAGGTTCTCAAGCGTCGCTGCCTTAACGTTATCGCGGTATACAATGGGATCAGCTTGGAAGCTGCCAGACTCCCGTCGCCGTTCCTTTCCCCCCATAAACTTTTCTTCGTTTCAGGGGTGGAAAAGCCGGTTCCTTTTCTTCGGCTTTTTTTCTTACCGCCAACCCAGCCCAAACTACTTAACCTAGCATGTCTTTCAGCTCCTACATAATCCGCTTCTCTTGCCTCATAAGGTCCTTTGTTTGCTTCCAACTCGGCTCTGCTCGGCCAAATCTACTGCGTCTGGTTCCTGTTTGAGGTCCCAAGTGGGCAAATCATCGCGAGTACTGGCAATTTTCTTTCCGATGCACACCGTGTCCCACCGAACCCTCTTCCGGGCGCTCGGTCAGCAAGGAGGATTTGGTAGGGTATCAACCGCATATGTAAGGCCCCCTCGATTGGATCGGGCTTTGCTATTTGACAGGTCACAATCCGGCTAGCCCCCCGAGCCAGGCGGACTGCAGTGGCATGGTGGTACAGCTCAACCAACTCCCGATACTACCTCCGAGCCTCCTTCTGCCCGCCAGCCGCGGTTCACACGCCCCCTTCCCGGGCCGCCTGCAAGGCAGGGTAGTGAACCGACTCGTTGTCCTTGCTCCGTCGGGGAAGGCTGACCTTGTCCGGGGGTGAAATGCCTGCCGTGATGAGATTCTAGCTTGGCCCGACAAGCGGCGCATGGCTTCTTTTATCAAATGTTTGGTGGGGATTGAGCGATGGTGGGGGCCTGAGGGCGTGGTGGACGGAACACCAGTCCTTAACGCATTATCCGCGCTTCCCTTTGTACAACCCCAAGTTCTTGTTCTTTCAAGGCACGCTCCACAATCTCCCATCGTAGACCCGAACAAATACGCACATGGCCAGGCGTAATGTTGTGCCATGCAATGTTTTCTTTAAGCTTGTTGCCCATTGAGCTGAGGGCTTACATGTGCTGGCGAGTCTGCTCCCCTAGTACGCTCCGTGAGTTTGAGGGCTTACCATGAGCAGAACCCCGAATTTACCAACCTCAATTTCATCCAGGCTCACAGCAGGCGGCACCTTTTGTCCAAGTACACCTTCTGAGCGCCGGCTAGTAGGCGACACCGAAGAGCTTGATTACCCCCTGTTGTGGAATTCTTGGCCTCCCAAAGATTCCGAAAGGATATAAACCCCGGACGGAGGGCATTACCATACGTCGTTGGGCAAATCCACCCAAACATTTGAAGCATTTCATTGCACCGGCTTGCCCGATAGCATCCCCGGTGTCGTGGACCTCCTATTTTTCGTGTGTTTTCCTAGGTTCGTTTCATTCTCCCATTGGTTCTTGGGTCCGCCTCTCTTGGGAGGTGGTTGTCCGCAACTTGCTGGCCTGGAACACGATAATTACCAACACAGCGTCTCAGCCGCTTGGTAAACTTATTTGGGGGCAACATCAAGACGGTCTGCCCACTTACGTCTCGTGTTTTGGTTGCCACCTCAGTACCACTTAGACAGCGCGCAATCGTTGCAGCGCTGTTGAGTCTTTCAAGGGCGGCTGAGCCTGATCCATCACCGCAATAGGCTCGTCAGTTACCTCAAGGGGTGCCAGTAGGTAAGCACTGCGGCTTTCGAGGCTGGTCTTCCCTCCGCTCACCGGCTCCGTTCTTACTAAACCAGAAGCCCAGACCCGTTGGATGCCCCTGATTCTGCTATAAACTTACCACCCGCCGCTGAAGGCAAGCAATGATTCTTCAACTGGGCTCAACTTATCCAGCCGACATGGAAACCACACCACAGACCAAATCAGTATCCATTCAGGATTCTCAATCATGCATTCCTCTTACCGATTACCTTGAAGAGAGTGATCTCATAGTTCTGCTGACACCGGCGATCATCCCGGGGGCGAGCCCCTTGAACAGCAACTCAGACGTACCGCCCAGCGATCCCTTTGAACCTTTTGGCCAAGCGTTGGCAAAACATCACTCCCGGGTTCGGCATGTCCCATACACCCCCCGAGGCGGAATTACCGGCACACACAAAGCACATATCGACTTGGCTGCGATTGTCATCTTCGTCATCTCCGGTCCGTCATACCAAGGGCAGCCATCTCAAATTGCCCTAGCGGAAGATGCCAGAGCCCTTTGCAAGAGCCAACCCATGATCATCGTCGCCTGCTGCAGCCCGCATGAGCTAGACTTCCCTGAAGCTTATTTTCCAACAACATTGGAGATACCCAGTTTCAATCCCTCCGACCTGGAACTCGCGGCCAGCGCCCTCTTTGAAGCGACAAGACCAAACTTAGAAACGCCAAACGTCCTCGCATCACCATTATGGTCCGTTCAAAGATGGAACAAAGACCGCGACCCATCTGAGGTGCTCGACCTTTGGAACCAGTGTCTACCCAAAAAATTCAACTTGAATCTGTTCAAGTTCCAATCACTCCTCCGCCGAGATGGCTATGCAATGCACTTCGTTGTCCGAGAGCCCGAGACCACAAAAATTCTTGGATTTTGCGCCGCTTATACAGCATATGCTGACAGCGACGGGGAGCGTTTGCTTGGTTCTTTGGCCGTTCTCCTTGTCCAACCCGCGTACCGCCGCCGGGGTATCGGCCGAACTCTTCACGATCACGCTTTGCGAGAACTCAAAAGTGTCCGTGGTATCTGCCGTCTCCAACTCGGCAGCACATTCCCCAGGCTTCTGTACGGACTTCCGCCAGAGCTGGAGTGTGAGGACTGGTTTCGACGCCGGAAGTGGCGGATCGAGTCCGCTTCGGGCCCCTTGGAGCCAGGATTGGGGCAGGAGGCATGCGATTGGATTCTCAGTTTTGAGAATTGGCCGGCGACTGGCTTCAAGCTGCCACATCTTTCGTTTCGACCTTGCGAGCTCTCCGAACTTTACCTGGTTTTAGAATTCGTGGACAGGGAATCGAAAAAGAACGACAACCTGGCGTGGTACGATCAATACGCCAAACTAACTGGCACCATGAACATCATGGACATTGTCGTTGGTCTCAATAACGGCGCCATCGTGGCGGTGGCTTTGACTTATGTGAAGAACACCGGGAGCCCTGTAGAGGAAGACCTCCCCTGGGCCAGCACCATCGCGGAAGACATTGGAGGCGTGACTTGCGTGTGTCTCAGTGGTATGTAGCCCATGATGACTACAACTAAGAGATGCGGCTTGAAGCTAACCACGATCTGTAGATGAGGCAACAAGTACGAAAACACAGCGTGACGCCGTTGTTACGGGCCTTTTTGATGCTTGCATTCAGCTCCTCGCTAAGAGTGGAAAGAACAAGCTACTCGTTGACGCTGTCAAGTGGGATGAGGATGAGCTCCAATCTTTAGGTAGGTCGAGATCTCCAAGTGAGATAATTCTTAAGGAAATGCTGACACTAACTCTGCCGCAGGTTTTCAGAAATGGGCGAGTTATCGAGAGGTTTGGCGGAATGTTTAACGCCAGCAATCTATCGTCACCTCTGTGGTGGAACGGCAGGTAAACAGTTATACTCTCCTATCTGCATCAATCAACTTAGACGCAAGGCAAGACACAGGTTTGGGTTTTCTTTGAGGTTTTCTTTTCTCTGGATAGGGGTATCAAAATATCGGTTTTCAATGGCTTAGATCTTGGATAGTTTGTGAATCATAACGCAAAGCTTCAGCTTCATCTAGCACCATACGGAACGAAGTATTCAAGTTTATACAAACGACGAATCAATTCATAAATTAACAATCGAGTAGCAGCGGCGTCCTCCTTCCCACATACGTCCTAAGAACTGTGAGGCTGCTGGATGTTTCACGGCTCCCACTAGGGGCTCGATTTCGTTGGCATTGGGTTCTCATCCAAGCAGCCCCCTCGCCCCTTGAATTCAGTGAGGCCCGAAATCAAACCCCAGGGCGATGATGTCGAGAGCCTCGTACATCGGTGTAACACCGGGCTATATTAGTTCACGTTACATTAACTCACCTACCTACGTCACAAGGACATTGTCAACAACCCACATATCTAAATCTCTCACCCCACAAGACCAACTCGGAATTTTTTATCGCCTTTCTCGGGAAGAAAATCCAACTCATCACCTGCCCTCTTGCCATCCTCTCAGTTCTCTAGAACACCATTAACGATAGCCGAGCCATCCGCGGATACCTACCTGACCGCTTAATGTACGACAGACAGACAACCCGCCCACTGGGCCACTACAAACCCGCGACTACCCACTTACCGACCCCCCTGTATGATCACCACCACGCACGTGCTACTATGGATGTAGGAAAATTTTCGTCCTGCTGTCCCTCCCACACCTCCTACACACACACACACACACACACACACGCACACACACGCAACTTCAACCCAACCTAAACCCCGCGTCCGATCCCGCAGGCTCTGACTCTGACTCCCTCCCCTCCATCTCGGCTGGATCAGATCCCGGCACGATGCGGCAGTGATAGGTAGTGTCGGGAGACATACATTATCGCGGTTACACACACATTCTTTCTTGTTTTGTTCTGGTGTTATGGTGTGTTGCGCAACGTTTTCGTGGTATGTGACCATGACCATGCCTGCAGTCTTTGTGTCACTGTGTGTGGACGACTAATAAGGTGGGGGGGACGGGGGTGGGGGGGGTTGAAAGTATGCTATGCTCGGGAAGGGTGGAGATTGGATGGGAGGGGTCGGGCCGAGATGGGGATCGGGAGGGCGGTATATGTCTGTCTGAAGGGGGGGATGTCGGGGAGATAAAGGTGGGATGAGATATTTTTGGGTGCTGGTTCGGCTCAGGGGTTTGTTGACTCCGTCGGAAGAGTATGTGGTATTTTCTGTCTTATTTTTCCTGCCTGTGGCCGGCTTCCTCGTCCTTCTTTGGTCGACAATACCTACAAAAAACCAGGTTAATAGTTCGGTGGCTGTCCCCTAACCTGACATCTCAGTCGAGGTGGGCGGTGTTACACAACGAGAACGGAAATGGATACGGAATATGCATTGGGGGCCTAGAAATGAGTGATCAAAGAGGGGAACCCGGGGAGTCGGACCGCAGTGAAGACATGGAACATATTCCGAGACTAGTCGTACAAAGACGGACGGGGTTCCGAAGGGGGGTCTATACTTCCCTTTGCATTATACCGTATACCCGACGGACCGGCATTCGTTGAAGCCGTGTCTTACTATTTATTATGTGTTTCTGCTCCCTTTTGTAACAGGGGTGGGGAGGAGGGGGGGGATATGTTGTGCAACGTCGCTAGCGAGTTGTTACCTGTTCTTGGGGTCGTGGCAGTTGAGCAGTCGTGTTGCAGTTTTTTTCCAGGTGTGGTCGGCGGGTAAAGATTTTCTCGGTGGGTTTCTCGCTCCGTTTATTTGTTCGGGGGAGCGCAGAAGGTTGTACATATTGTTTCTCAGCTTATCGACTGGATGGGAAGAGTGAGTGGTGCATACTCCGGCTCTCCATGTGCAAGGCTGAGGATGGTTCGACAAGGCAATACGCAAAGACAGCAGAAATTTGGGTCAACCAAGTCTCATATCTGTTTCGAAAAAGGCCGGAGAACTTCGGTGGGGGCGGCGTTGGTACCTCGAATCTCCTGGCAGAGTTTGCATGCGAGTGGTAATTGGATGTGTTACACAACATGTTGATAGATCCGCCCAACAACACCGATCGCGGGGGGATCACTTACCTGGCACAGGAATGGTGAGCCGACACCTCACACTTCTCAGGTGACGGCTATCGTGTCGAAGTTCTGCAGGGTAAGTTTCTCATATGAGTGTGTCAAAACTCAAGGCTGAGAGAAACCCGAGTGGTCTCGGGAAAGCCTTACGGAATGTTTTGTTGTTGACATAGTAGCACGAGCCAGCTCTGTCCAGATGTTCATACATACCCCGGCCCACAGCAGTTTCACTTTCTCCCTTTGGAATCAAATGATGGGTTCCGCAGCAAACAACTACCGCATTGGGGGACCCTGCCTGCAGTTGTCACTTCTTCATTCGCAATAACATCGTTCGTTTGCCCACCAACCAGATCACAGCTCCCGAAACTCCCCCCCACGACACATGCACTATCACCATATAACGCCAACAAACATCACTGACTGACCATCATCTCCCCTCTCCAGGAGTGAGGGGAGAAGAAAAATTCCCTCAGAGCTTTTACTTTTTTACAAACGTGTGATGTCTCGATGGTGGGGCCAGATTAGTCGGGCCGCAGATGGGCCTATGGCTCGCTCCTTCCAGTCATCTCTCTATCCTATTGTACGATAGATACCTAGACATATTCGCTGCCCTACACAGGAAAACTTTTGCTCTCTAGCGTTGTGCCGTGTAACGTCGTATCAACAAGGTTTCAACCTTACTTTGCCTTTCTTTTTTTTTCTTCCGCTCCGCCTTTTTCTTCTCGGTTAGTTTCGGCCCCTTACACCCTTTCTCCTGATTTGCAGCGGGCTCGGGCAATGCCGCAGTCGGTGCGTTGTCTCTTTTGTGGGTGACACAAAATTAAACGGCAACGTTATGGGGGATCATGTGATGGTGTGTAAGAAGTTTGAGGTGGACGGTGTGTGTAAAAACGACGGTTACATGAATACGACCTGGGAGTGTTACACTCTATGGATGCTAGCCATACGAGTTCCTTCGTAACGGCAAGGATATATACTATGCTGCTGTGTATGCCTGATGGTTATCACTACGACGGCAGAGACTGTAGTAGTCGTGTTCTTGTAGATGGTCGTTTCCTTCTAGTCGCTGGTCGCTAGAAGACACACAAACATGATACAATCTGAGTAGTAAAAAAAAGAGACAGAATTCAAGGACTTCCACTCGAACTGCAATCCTGGACAGAAACAATTGAACAAATCGATATCATTTCTTCACATAACATTCAACATTCTTTCGTTTCTTTTCATCTCTCCCCCTTCGAAGCCTTTGAACCCCTTGACCCAACATGCTAAATACATGAGTAAACGCCACCATCATCAATGAGACCAGCGCCGCAAGGCACCTGGTAATGTCTCCTGAAATCACCGTTTTGTTTTGATACGCCGGACCTTCCATCCATCCTACCTGTCCCAGATCATAACCGAAAGAAAAGAAAAGAGAAGAAAGAAAGAAAGATGATAAATGGAGGTTTACACTACCTCACGTCGCCAATAAAACCCAGACATGTCCGCCATGCAGCACCGAGATTTTGTATTCCCCATTCTCGCACCATTCTTTATTTCCCCTTCAGCCGAGTTCGCGCTCAGAGAAGCTCAAAGCTAAGCCCTTACTCCCTTCCCTCCTCTGTCAGAATTTCATACAATCCATGACCCGGTCCACGATCAAGTCCACTTCGAGAAATCAACCGAATCCACCAGCGCCTCCGCCGTACTAGGCTGATGAATCTCATTGGCATTCTCACTCGTGACCGCCGACAACATACTCGACCGATGCGACTGATCAGCGCTGGTGGCATTAGTAAAGAAGGTCGCCACCGACGACCGCCGCAGGCTGCTAAAACTATCCCGCATACCGGTCGGCCGCACCGTGCTGCCGCTGCTGCTGCTGATGTTGTTGAAGCTGTTGTTGTTGAGGTTGTTGTTGCCGCTGATGGTGTTGTTGTTGTTACCGCCGCTGATACTGCCGCCCACGCTGCCGTTGATGCTGTTGCTCGCGCTGTGGAGGAAGAGACCGTGTTCGCCACTGCCGATACTATCTCGCGCGCCGCTGATGCCCTGCCCTGCAGCTCCCATGATCCCACCGCCCCCTCCCAGGCCGGTCAACGACCCCTGTCTGTCACCGCCACCGACACCGCCGACACCGATGCCAGACTGATGGTGATAACCGATGATGCTCTGGTTTACCCCACCCACGACCGACAGCCCGCCGGCGGCAGCAGCCGTGGACGCGGCCGTGGGCGTGGCGATGGCGCCTGGAGGCGGAGACGGCGAGACACTGTGGCCCTTCTTGGTGCCGTAGCGTTCGCGAAGGACGTTGATTTGGCGCAGGCGCTCACGCCAGGACGATACGTGCTCGCCGGCCTCCCTACGGGACCAGACGTGGGAGAAGACGGACGCGTTGAGGGCTAGGAGCCGGACGAAGCCTGGGAGTGCCTCTAGGCTGATCATCTTGGGTTCTGCCGCGGGGGAGATCTCGGGGAAGCCAGGCTTGCTCATCACTTGGACCATGCAGAAGCGGGGGACGTCGTCTTCGCGTGGCACGCGGGAGGCTGCGAACGGGAGGTGGGGGGTTGGGGTGATGACGATGTAGACGTAGTTGAATTGGGAGGGGAACGTGTCGAAGTGGAAGGGTAGGCCGGAGTCGTTCCAGACGATGCTGACGAAATCGTTGCCGATGTGCCGTTTTTTGAGTGACAGGTACTCGTCTGTTGGGGAGTTGGGCATTTGGGTTATGATGTGGAACACAATCTCTGTGACACGGTCTCGGAAGCAATAGGTGTACTTCCCGTCCATGTTCTCCGAGCGGTCAAGACCCTGGGTGTTGAACGTGGCGCCCTTCAGCTTCGTCAGGGTTCCCAGGCCCTTCAGAAAGCGGTGATAGTCGGGGCTACCCGTTGTGTTGGCCAGAATTTCGAGTTCCTTGGTTTGGCCCTCTTTGACATAGATGACGCCCACCTTGTGCCCATCCACGGGTGAGACGCGGTCAAAGGTCACGATGGCTCGGTCGACCGCGGGCTCGTTGGGGAGTGGGATAGGCCGGATGGTAGGGTCGTAGAGCTGCGGCATCGGGGCCAACAGCTGCATCAACAAGTGGCTAGGGAAGATGGTCTGGCCATCCTGGAAGCGTCCATCCCACGCTGCTGCATCGGAACCGTTCGCGGCTGGCACGTTCGGCAAGGGACTGTACTCGACTCGAAGCGCATAAGATGATGTGCCGGAAGGGTAACGACGCGTGATCTCGGCCCAGCAGGACTCAGTCGCTTGCCGGATGGTGAGGATGCTGTTCCCGATAATCCATCGCCTCTTTTGGATCTCGCCAAAGTATTTCTCCTCAAAGAGGGGGTCTTGCGGGGAATCGCCAGCGTCCGAAAACGCGACACGCTGCATAAAATCGAGTGTGATTTGCGCGTGCTCCTCGGTGCTCGCACTCCCATCAACGTCCGTAAACAAGTTCTTGGTGATCCACCCAATCTGGTTCGGCCGGTCGGGGAGCTTGACGGCAAGGAACCAGAACGTAATGACGTGGTACGCGAGGGCGTAAACGTACTGCGGGAGATCGTCACCACCAGCTTGTTGGTTGAGAAGGTCTGACGGGTTTGCCGGACCTGTACCCGGGGTTGGCGGTTCGCTCGTGATACTGCCGCGCATTACAAGCTTTTTCTCTCGAACGGATTGCAAGTATCGGAAACAGATCCCTAGCACGATCCGGTAGTCGTCATCGCGGAAGTTGGAGTACAGCGAGTGCAGACGACTGAGACAAGCGAGGAACTCGAGAATGTGCATCGCGACCATCGGCTGGGTGATGATCTGCGACATCTTTTGCAAGATAGGGACCAGCGACTTTTTCACCGCCATGGGCAGTTCATGGCAGCAGACAGAGAGGGCATGGATGCATGTCTTGGCCGTCTTGTCGGATATTCCGTGCGTGAACGTCCGGACGAGCTCATCCTCCTCCGTCTTTTGTTGGAAATGATGGTGATAACTGACGATCATGATGAGCGAATGGAACACACAGTTTGCAACGTCGCTCCGTCGAAGTCCCGACGCGTGCGGGGGTTCCTGGAACCCGTTGGTTCGCACCATCTCACAAAGAAGCCGCCGCATCTCCTGAATGTGGACGACGTTATCCCTGAAGATTGGGTGATTGCTCAGTTGAGCGGGGAGATGGATGAGGATAAAGCTGTACACCTCCCAGTCACATCCCTGGTGGAAAAGGCTCAGAATGGTCTCCAGCCACGGCGCCATAGTCAAAACGGTCGTTGCTGGCCCGTTGTCAGACGAAGCAGTCTCACTGGCCGTTTGACGACACGATACAAGAATCTGACTTGAACTCTCCGAGTGTCGCTCAGGGAGGGCCTCAGGGTCCGGAATAGACCATAGTCTAGGGGTCGGGTGACTGTATGGCTTGGGAGTGGACGTCGATCGCGCGGGAATCCCTCGATCTACCGGCTGCCCTTGACTAAAGGATATGCCACGACTTGGACGCCCCGTTGAAGGGTCTGGTCTTGCCAGCCTTGGGGGTTGTGCCGCGTCCTCGGCGAGTTTGCGCGCAAGGGATGCCTCGGTCCTGTACAACGTCCCAGCCAACGCTTCGCTGTTCGTCGAGTTGATGAGATAAACGCGGTGCTCAAAGTCCGCCCGGAGACGAAATAGCATCTTCATGGCTGTCAACCGAGCGTCCACTTCGCAAGAGTTGGACCGAGCAATGTGCACAAGGGCCGAGTAGGCCTTGACCGCCTTAGGCCCATTGGTGTTCATCGTTCGGATGAAGACTTGGACGTAACCCCTGGTGACCACATTGGAGACGCTCTGCTTCGCAACGCCGACGGTTTGGCCTCCTTGCTCCTGCTGCGCCAGTCCGGCTCTATGTAGAGCCGGCGCAGAGAGTGGTACTCGGGACATATCCCTGGCGAGTACGCCTTTGAAGGCGTCCAGGATACTGTCGAATAAGCCGATAGGCGCCGTTTCGGCGACATTTACCAAGAAGGATGTAGTTTCTTGGAGAACGAGATTGTCATCTTCCGAACAGAGCCCCGTAAGTACCCGCTGAATCAGTTTAGCGACCCCATCGCCGTCCACCAATCCCTCGGCCAAGCACAGGAAATCATACACCTCAATGATAACCTCCAGAGCGCGCAGGCGGGTCAGAGTTTCGCGGCCCCGGTTGAGGAAGAAACAATCCAAAACGAGGCCGAGACTATTCTGCCAGTCCACTTCCGACGGAAAGCAAGCCCGGGTTTCACGGAGGTATGCAATGACGAGGGTGGCAGCCGAATCTGGAAGAAAGTGTTGGACTTCGGACAAAAATCCCATGCATTCCTCCCGCTGTAGAAACCCAGGATCTTTGTGAGCCAACAGCGTCTCGATCCGCCCAATCAAAAGCTTAAGCTGGATGGCAACAATATCCTCAGGTTCCTTCTCCTCCTTGGTGACGCTAGTTGGCGTGGGTGCGCTGGGCTCTGGGGTCGGTGACAATGGCGGTGGCTGGATCGCTCGTGTTGCACTTTGCGCAGCGACCGAGAAAATGGGCGCCCAGCTCTCCTCCACAACGATGGCATTGATGTTGCCATCACGCCCCTCAAACAGCGAGTTGATGAGCTTCAGAATTTCCGTCGCAATTCTCGTGGAACTGCTCTTGGAAACCGTGGCCAGCCCGTCCACAAGGAGGGCTAGGGGAACCGTGGGGTACCCCTTTTCGGAAGACTTGGACAGGAGTTTCTTCAAGACGGAGAGCGCGCCACGAACGTCCCTGACGGAATCCTTGTCTTTGTCTTTGTCCTTGTCGGATGAAACCTGGTACGACCGCAGTAAATCCAACAAAATCCGGACCGTCGATTGGCCATGATGGGACCTGCAGATGATAGATATGGTGTGCCAGGCGTCCTTCTGCAGCTTGGGAACCAGACAATGGATCGAGCTGAGGATCTGAACGCAATCCTTCAACTTGTCGTTCGGAATAGCGCCGAAGGTTACCACAGTGTCCACCACGTTGATACAGGCCCATAGGTCATCCTCCACGCTCGTGTTCATGCAGATCTTGAGGAGGATAGCCATCAGGTTCCCAACCACGCTGTCTGTAGCAAACTTAAAGTTGAACTTGATGACGTCCTTAAGGAGCCCAAACAGCCGGGAAAGATTCCTGTCCTCGCCCGTTGATAGCGTTGTCCCCTTGGGCGTCTTCGGCCCCCGGGAAGCCTGTCTCCGGGCGGCTCTGGCAGCCCTGTATGCGTCCTGTAGCCATTGGGTCAGAAGCGGGAAAATGTCGTAGTAAAACCCGGAGATATTGCGGCCGCGGTTCGTAAGGTCTTCGAGGGCGGTGAGTTGAAGATAGAAATCCTCGGGCTGGGCTATTGCGGTGACTGTGCGGAAGTATTCGCGGCGCTCGAGCTCGGTCGAGGCTGGGTATTTGATGCACTCGGCCAGGAGCTCCCATGCGACCTGTCGTGCATTGGTGGGTTTCCCAGGGTCGATAAGGTCTTTAGCGGCGTGCCATATATCGCGAACCTACATACACATATCTCTGTTAGATAAGGCTTATCCAAGCTGCCTTCCAACAATACCAAGCTGGTACTGAGGTACCCGGAAGGTCTTGAAGAGATACAACGTACAGGATTGAGGGGGAAATCAGCGATTGAACTCCGCAATGAGCTCGCTGCGGCGATCCGCTCGTTCAACTGCCCATTTCGTAGACGCACGAACAACTCGGCCTGTTCAGAAGAAAGCCCGTAGAGGGCAGATGCTGGGGGGTTGGCATCGGATCGCTGGGCCAAGGCTGGAGAACTTGACATCGATGGGAACGGCTGCTGAATAACCGGCGGGGATTTGGTCAGCTTGCTGCCGCCAGCAAGGCCTTTGAAGACGCCGGCAAGACCACCGGAAACCTTGGCCTCCTGGGGCGGCTGCTCATCTCCGGGAGAGGGCGACATCGGCTGCTGGTCCTCTGCGGCCGAGTGGCCTAGAGAAGCTAATCGCCGCAGCATATTAGCAGGTTGTTCATGGGTGGCCTGGGAGTCGAATCCGGTTGAAATCACGAGGGACAAGAAGAACAAGAACAGAAGAAAGGAAAAGAAGGGTTTCAAAAGATTCGACGTTCAAGCGCAGGTCCGGAAACCAGAAGACAGCGGTTTCGCCGTGCAGGAACGTGCAGGAACATGCAGCAGCCGCATGCAGGGCAACTCAACAAGTTCGGGTCGATCGGTGGGAGGCCGACGGGAGTGTGAGCTCGAGTGGGCATTCGGAGCAGTCGGTGGCCGCCCAACACGGGGGACATGTACAACAACACGTGGGGCCGGGCCGGGCCTGAGGAGGGGGCTGGGCGACGGTGCTCTAGACCACGGGCAGTTGTTTGGGGAGGGAGGGTAGATAACTGAAGATGAAAGAAGATTGCATGAAACAACAGGGTAGAGATATGAGATACGGGATGGGACGTAAGACACGAGACAGCACTCACACGCTGGACTGCTAGTTGCATGAAAGGTGCAGCAAAAGCCTCACCAATGTCCAAGCAGAGACAACGACCAACAGGTTTCTAGAGGTAAGGGAGGAGGCCAATTGCCAGACGTCCGCCACGCGACCCTCGGCGTGTTGTTTGGTGGGCGCCGTGGGCGTGGGAGGAGGAACAGATGAGGGGAAAAGCGCGGTGCCAGCCTGCGTATGAGCTTTTCCTGGATTCCCGCTGGAATCAAGCACCACACACCATCTCAAGCGTGGGATGGCCGCCACGCACAAAAGGCCGAGCCCCGATCGTGATCAGTCCGTCGTCTTGTCTTCGATTCTGCTTAGGTTTCGCCCTCTGGCCTGTCGATCACCGAGGTCGGGTACAGATGCAGGAAGCACAAGGCGAGAAAATAGGAACAAAAAACAATAAAAAAAAGTGTTGAAGCTTGCTCTCGGTCTGCATCGGCCAACCAAGCAGACGGGATGACGAAAGGCCTGTCCAGTCAGAACCTGGGGTCACACGCAAGGGGAGATGGAAAAGAGTGGGTCTGGGCCCTGGGGTGAGAAACCAATCACACCTTCTTCTGCACCTCTCGCTGCTGGACAAGCTCACGGGATGCTGCCTGTCTGATGAATGTGTGAAATGCGTGCAATGGCGCAATGAACTCAACATAATCAGACAGAGACTCAAGGCCAGAGTGGTAGGATAAACGCATAGGTGGCTTTAACTACAGAAAGCAATCTGGAAGTGGACGGGACACTACTGGGGTACGAATAGTTACCGACCACCTAATCTCTAATCACTGGGACACATTCGAAGAGAATGAGCAACGCCAAGAGTGTCGCCTGCAACGAACAGAAGGTCCGGCAGAGCGGGGATCGAGGTTCAGGTTGACAAGAGTGACCCGATAGATAGGGAACAATATTTAAATTTTTGGTTCCATGAGCAACACCTACCTAACATTAACGTCAGCGGTTGTTCTGTGCTGATTGTGCTGCTTGGTGTTCCTGATAACGTTCTGTCCATAGAATGGAAGAACAGGCGGAACTTCAAGAAGCTTGTGCTCCACTTTTCTTTCTTTCACGGCAGGTGCCGGGCCCCACCTCAAGCCCGCCAAATTCCCCTACGCCCTGTTTGCCTGATCTAGCCTGCTTCTGGATGCGGGAACCCACCAATAACTGAGCAACCAGCGATTCTATTTTCTGGTGTTTTGTTTTCCTTCCTGTCCCCAGCCAGTGAACCGAGCTCACCATCACCACATCGCTCTCGCCAGAAGGCCTCCGCACCATGGCTTCAACCTTGGATCATCTTGCACAGCTCCTCGACGCAACTCTAGATGCGCAGCACCACCGCAAAGGCAAGTTTTGGACCTTGAAGCCCCGAGAAACACCCCGGTCTGCCCAAACCAACCCCACTATACTTGCGCCATTGTCGCAAGCTCGGGGCGACGCTCGTGGTTTCAATACTTGTGGCCGTCGGCAGGCAATGCTAACATATCACGTCCTGTAGCGGAGAATGCGTTGAAGGAAGAGGCTAAGAAGCCGAAATACTCTTTGTCGCTTCTCAGCCTCGTTAGCAGCACAACCGCCGCCCTCAAGACCCGCCTAGCCGCCGCTTTAGCCTTCAAGAACTTCATCCGTCACAACTATGTGGTGCGTGGCACCGTCCTCGCGATCGAGAAGCTAAGAATGAAGGATTCTGACCCGAAAATAGGACGAGGATGGAAAATACAAGCTCCCCGAGGATGAGGTACAAACGATCAAGCAAGAGCTCGTTGGGCTGATGATTTCATCTCCGCCCACAATACAAACACAGCTTGGCGAAGCTATCAGTTTAATCGCGGATTCAGACTTCTGGGAGCGCTGGGATACTCTGACCAAGGTGCGAATCGACGGTGCTCTGGCAACGACTCACCAAAAGCATACGGCTAACCCAGCTATCATTAGGATCTCGTCAGCCGTCTCTCCAATACCGACTTCAAGGCCACGAACGGCGTGTTGGAAGTTGCACATTCGATCTTCGTGCGATGGCGGCCACTTTTTCAGTCCAATGATCTCAACAGGGAGATTATACACGTTGTCGGCGATTTTGGCGAGCCCTTTGTACAGCTATTAAGCGTGAGGACCATCCTTCCGTTACTTTTTAAGTCTTCGCGATTGGGGGTCACAACTAACCCGGGCCGTGTACCTCTTAGATTGCCGACGGCCAAATCGAGGCGAACAAAACCAATGGCGACGCTCTCAAGGGATGGCTCGAGACGATGAGCCTGTTGATCCGGATCCTCTACGATCTCTGTTGCCAAGATATCCCGCCGGTCATTGAGACACACTTACAGCCCATCAGCCAGCTCCTCCACAAATACATCGTCTACACGAACCCCATCTTTGACGACGAGGACGATGAGGCTACACCGCTCGAGATACTCAAGTCTGATATCTGCGACGCCCTCCAGCTGTTCACGAACAAGTACGACGACGACTTTGGCAAGTATGTCCAGGAGTTCACGAACAACGTTTGGAACGTACTTTCGAGCGTCGGTCCCGAGAAGCGATATGATACCCTCACGTGCAAGGCGTTGCAATTTTTGACTGCCGTTGCCTCAGTACGGCGGCACGCCGAGATCTTCAACAACGAGCAGATCCTCAGCACCATCGTTGAGAAGGTCATTCTTCCCAACGTCGCACTTCGGGAGTCGGATATCGAGATGTTTGAGGATGAGCCCATCGAGTTCATTCGACGTGATCTAGAGGGCTCGGATACCGATTCGCGGAGGAGGGCAGCCACGGATTTCCTGCGGAAACTCTTGGACAACTTCGAGCCCCTGGTCACGCAGGTAGTCTTCAGGTACATCAATCACTACCTTGCCGCCGGAAAGTCGGACTGGAAGGCAAAGGATACCGCAGTCTACCTCTTCCTGGCCGTTGCCGCCAAGGGCGCGGTTACCGCTGCTCACGGTGTAAAAACCGTCAACAGCTTTGTCAACGTCGTCGAATTCTTCGAGCAAAACATTGCTTCAGATCTTCTCACAGAGACGGACCAGCCTATCTCGAAGGTGGACGCCATCAAGTACCTGTACACCTTCCGCAGTCAACTCAACAAGGCCCAATGGGCCAGCGCCATCCGACCGCTCATCCAGAACTTGGCCTCCTCCAACTACGTCGTCTACACCTACGCAGCCATCGCGGTGGAGAGAGTACTTTTCTTAACCGACGAGCAGGGCCAGCACTTATTCCCGCGGAGCGATATCGAGCCGTACGCCAAGGATTTGCTTGAGCACCTATTTGCCTTGATCGCGAAGGGCGGAACGGCCGTGAAGGTGCAAGAGAACGAGTTTTTGATGAGGTGCATCATGAGAGTCCTGATCGTCATGAAGGAGGGCATCCTCGATTATGGGGCCGAAACCGTCTTGACCCACCTTATCAACATCACGAATGTGATCAAGGAGAACCCCAGCAACCCTCGCTTCTACTACTACCACTTCGAGGCAATTGGTGCACTCGTAAGGTGTGTATTCTTCTCAGTCCTCTCTTTTTCCCCTCGTCGGTGAGAAGGGGGGGAAGAAGAAGTGTCTACTGGATATAGCTAACACGCTATAGGTACTGCAGCAATGCGCCCAAGCTCAACCTGCTTCAACAGCTGTGGACGCCATTCATTGCCATCCTTAACGAGGATGTTTCTGGTGAGACATATGGCCCTTTGCGAGGGGAAAAGATTATGTTCATGGAACTATTCTGACAGCCGCCACAGAATTCGTCCCCTTCGTCTTCCAGATTTTTGCGCTACTCCTAGAGCTCAGTCCATCAAACCAGGTGCCTGGCGATTTCAAGGTTCTAATCGAGGCCGTTCTGGCCCCGGGCCCCTGGGAAACGAGGGGCAACGCGCCGCCCCTGTCCAGGTTCATCGCCGCCATCATTCCCAAGGCCGCCGAGGAAATCAAAGCGGAGAAGAAACTAGAGCCCATCCTCACTATCTTCCAGCGCTTGTTGGGCGGGAAGAAGACCGACCAAAATGCCTTCGATCTTCTGGAGGCCATCGTTGGCACATTTCCTGGGTAAGCTATGAAATGCCAGAAGCCGTTCTCGAACGTAGCTCTAACTTCTCACCTAGGAGCGTCTTGGAAGAGTACTTTGGGACCATCCTCACACTCATCTTCACTAAACTCCAGGCGAGCCCCACTGACTCATACAAGTCGCGTGTCGTCCGTTTCTACCACCTCGTTTCAGCGCGCGCTGGCGACGGTCAGATGGGTGCCGACTATTTTATCACCCATGCCGAAGCCATCCAGCAGAACGTCTTCACGCCCTTTTATCTGACCATCATCCTACCCACAACAGGCCAGTTCGCCCGCCCAGTGGACCGGAAGCTCGGTGTTATCTCGTACACCAAGACGCTGTGCGAGTCGACCAAGTTTGCCGAGCGCTACCAAAAAGGTTGGGGCTTCACTTGCAACAATCTGCTTGACCTGCTCAAAAACCCGCCGCGTGTTACCGCTGGCTTTGGTGACGCCATTGTCAACGAGGCCGATGTGGATGACATTGGTTTCGGTGTCGGCTTCACGCCTCTCAATACCTGCAAGCGCGGGCCCCGCGACGACTTCCCAGAGATTCTTGAGGTAGACAAGTGGGTTAGCCAGTACATGAAGGAGGCAAATCAACGCCATGGCGGTGCCATCGCGAAATTTGTGGGGGAGAGGCTCTCCCCCGAGGCCAAGGCCGCTCTCGCGCCGTACCTGGCTTAGGTTCCCCGGAGCACGAGTGCTGCGGCCTTCCGAGGGCGCAAATCGTTACCGGCGGTACCTGAACATGAGGTGTGTTAGGTATTTACCGAGTCCATAAATAATGAACTCGTGAAACAAACCCTAGTCTTTTTTTCCACCATGTATATCCCTCTTTTTTTCTCTTAAAAGCAGCAAAAGGGGCAACGGGACATGGATGAATATGCCGAAAGAATTTTTTTTTCCCAAATGTTGGATGATATGATGTGATGTTCTTATTATTGAAAGGTTCCTATCGTTGAACTCAAGGCAGGCCGGAATTTCGCATTCCATACGTGATATGGTGGATCGGCTACACTAGCTTCGACGTTAGGTATCAATACCAAGAGTTCCTTTCTTGATTCGAGTAAGCCCCCTACTCCTAGCTTCCAATTCGCTTTTAGCTTAGTAGTCTACCCAGGCCATGGCCGCGTCATGGGCATCACTCTTTTCTCGTAGAGGGTACAAGTATAACAATATACTACACCGGACCCGAGACGATCATTACTGGAACAACCCAAACGATGGCGAAGAAGTTTCAACATCAACCGCAACGACACCACGTTGCCACCACCAAATGACCCCACCCAGCGATAAGGACGGCCCGACCGACCCCGGTGGAAGGGATCAGTTCGAGACCACCTCACCTGGGAATCGCTATTGGCGCTAGGGATGCCGCAATAGCGCGCCCCTCACTAATCGTAACACCGTTACGGGTAGGGGGACCACTTTGCTCCATGTTGAGTGCCGAGGTGTTCGAACTGATTAAACATGGCATATAGTGTGTATGGAGTTGACATTGGCCACGGTCTCTCTCTCACCTGATCCTGGGAATGCAGAGGTTTGAAACACAGGTATGTGTCAGGGGAGTGTAACACTGAAAGTCCTCATGTTAAAAAGGCGCTTGCGTAACGAGCAATTGGTCTCGAGATTTGCTCCAACTTTGCTGCTACGATCTTATTCTAAAGAAATGGTATCCGCTCAAAGATAAATAGCCAATAGAAAGTACAAGTACATTAATAAACAAGTGTAATGATATGAATGACGTGCCAAATAACTATTGTGTTCGCCTGATCCTTCCATAAAATTGATATGATGATTGATTCATAAGCCTGTTGTCAAAAGGAAAAAAAAGATTCCTTGGGGGGAACAAAAAAAGATGTTCACTGATCCGAGAAGAGGGGTATGCTAGTGAAGCAAGTAGATTTCTACTTGCCGTTGCTGATGATAGCAGCGGGGATGAGGCAATGCTACCCAAGTTGACGAAAAGATATAAGGCTGATGATGATGGGTACCTGAGGGTGATATTTCCTTTCAAGGTGAATCCCGAAAACGAAAAGAACGAAAAGATACTAGTAGTAACGTATTTGACGCCAAGAAATGCCACCAAAAAGATCATAAAAGCATTGCATGTGGATAAATGCAAAGTGAAGACCACATTCCCATGCAGGAGGGGAAAGGAAAGCGGCAAAACCGGAACCCAGTTCGGCGCCCGACGCCTGCCCAAGTGCTGCCACTTTTTCAGACAAAGCCACCATCGCCAAACACGCCCACGCTGCCGCGCCAACCGCACCTTTCACTAATGGAAGAAGCGGGCTGTTGCGGCTGGTGTTGCTGTGCCGTTGGTGGGCCAGCCCGGGGATGGAGGTGGTGAAGATGTTGAGGTGGTGACTGCGGTGGGCTCTGAAAGTCCATGTCACTGTTGCTTGCGCGGCTGCTGGCGGGTCCGCTGGCATTTGACTGCATTAGCAGCAGGCTACTCGTGCTGCTAAGTCGCTTGGTCAGTTCGGTGAAGCTGAGGCGCTTCGCACTAGATACTGAGCGTCGCTTCTCTGCCGAATTCCGGTTGACGATCGACGGGGAATTCGGAGTGAAGCTGAATCCTAGCCCGTCCTCTGCTTCTTCGGTTGTGTCCAGAGGCGTAGATGAGGATGCCATCATTGTCGCAAGGTGTGGTTGACTGTGTGTCCGCTGCGCCATACCCGGCCTATTGCGGTTGTTGGAATAACCCGTCTGAGGTCGGGCCTGGGAGGAGGCTGGGCTGGATAAGGCGATGAATGCTTCCTGGTTGTAGGTAGGTGGGGGAGACCTCATGACCTGGTATCGTGAACCAAATTGGTGTCGCTGCGGAGCTTCATGTCTTCCCGTCATAAAATCCAACGTCCGCTGAGCCGACCTTGAGGGGGGGAAGCGGTCTTCAAGATCACCCTCCCCCACAATGTCACTGTCCTCGTCTTCCTCGTCCTCATCTTCATCATCGCCCTCATCGGAGTCGTCGTCAAATGCGCTCTTCAGCTCGGACCCCGATAATCTCGCCGAGGATCCCGCGGTCGCCTGTGGTCGCAACCTGGCTTCTTCCGCTTCCCGTTGCTTTCGTTTTTCATCCATCTCACGCATTAATGCATCAAACCGCGCCAGCGAACTGAGTTTCTCCTCCCCGGGGATCTCGCGTTCGGAGCCTGGAATGCAGCGCAGTTGGAATGCTCGGTCGAGGATCGTTTCACGTGGTCCCGACGAGGAGTTAGAGTCCGGTATCGTCGAGAGCGACGTCGGTACCTGGGAACTAATACTGTTACGCTCCCTCATGGGTGAGCTAAGGGCCGATGACCTGCCCTGGGCTGATGTCCATCCTTCGATCAATTCACCCTGGTACTCGCCTACTGTAGTGGCCGGGGATGGAAGGTCGGCGGGAAACATGTTGGAGTAGTTATGGAGGCCCATGTAAGATTGTGTTACTGAACTGGTCTGTGACGAGAGGTCGCTTCGTTTTGACCGCAAACTGGGGGAATCCGAAAACGTGACGGGCCGATCGCGGGTCGAGCTGGATTGAGAACTGTTCTTCGTAAAGAAACCAGGTCGGCACGCGCCCCTGCTTTCCGGCCGCTGAATCTCGCTTGGGTCCCTCGACCGGGGCGTGAAGGGGTTGATGAAAGTGGGTGAAGCTGGCGTGAGCGGGCTCATCGGAGCCCTGTCGAGACCATGGGTTGGCTGAATGAGTTGTTGAATAAAGCGCGTCCACTCCTGGAGGTTCTGTAATTCATCACCTGGGCGGAACAAGAGGGCGGTTGGGCCGGTTTCCCTCGGCATTGAGAAGGCGGCGGTCCTACTGGAGCGTCGTTTCCGGGCCTTGTCTGAGGGCGGGTCTGGTAATATGCTGAGGACCATGGTGGGAAGGACGGGGCCTTGTTTGCGGTGGGCTAACAGCTGCAGCTGGCAGTCCGCGATCGAACTGATAGCATGTTGCTGGATCGGCTCGGTATCTTCCTGTTGTGGATTGCGTGGTCAGGGCCGCTAGGAGCACGTAGGCGAGCGTGACTAGGCCTACCTTAGACTTGTAGATGGAAAGGAAGAGGCCTTCAGGCGCTTTGCTAAGTTCCTTGGCCGTCGAGGAACGGTTCGACGGCATGCGGCTGGTGTGTCCCTGCTGAGTTCGGACCCGATCCACGTTGCCAATAACCACATATCGAGCCTATTAACCGGTCAGTTAATTCGCCCGTCAATACCTCCAGCGTTAGCCGCAACGCCGAACGTGCAGGCCCCCAGCGCCATCACCCACCTTCCAAACGGCCCTGCCAATAATGGTGCCCCTTTCGGGGGGCACGCTGAGGAGACCCTCCATTGCGATTGTTCGGCTGCTGGTGTCTTGTCGTTGACGAGAGTCGGGAGTATTAACTATTAAAGGGTGGGCATGTTGAAAAGAAGCCGAGTCGAAACAGATACCACAAAGCCGAGAGGTATGGGCGTCGCTTGTTGTGTAGTGAGGAGGCCGAGTTCAGAGCAAACGGAAAGCAGTCCGGAGCTTGAACACCAAATGGGAGATGAGAAGATGAAAATGGAGGCGCTGCTCTGATAATCAAGCGCGGGCCACATCCAACTCAACCCAAACGCCACGCTCGAAACACTCCGTCGGGAAAAGCGGGAGTGGGAGAAGATCGCCAAGCGGAAAGCCAAAACCGGGCTCCAGCACATCCAAGTTGGAACAAAAGATGGACGTGCCGGTCCCCAGGAGCGAGATTAATGAAAAACGCCCGTGCTGAGAGGACATGGACTAGGGCGCCTGCAGCCAAGGTGAGCCAGGGGACATTTTCTAGAAACAAGCTGCGCTAACTCCGAAGAGCAAGCCGCCGTCGGATTTTTTGTTTTAATTTTTTGACAGCCAGAATGGAAGTCAAAGGCATCACGCAGGGGCAGGCAAACGAAGTGGAGGGGTTGCGATAGTGAGCTGCAGGCCCCAGTAAATTTCGGCACCGCTTGCCCTTTCCACTTTAGCGGATTGGGTCGTTCCCCCGCGGCGTCGCAACCGCAGGCATCCTTTTGTTCTTTCCTCCACTATATTTTCGATTTGACGGCTCTTTCTTTCTTTGTGGTCGCATATCTAGTAGACATGAGAGAACACCGATCCTCTTTTCTCCCTCATTCGCTCAATATCTTATCCATCTGTTCTGTCAAGCCCTGTTTGTTTCAAATGTGGTCGGAATGCTCTCAAGCACGGACCGTATAGCAGCCCGCTGTTATTGTCCCGAGCCCGTGGTCTGCAAGGCCTTTTCAACGATTCCTAGACGGCGCCAATCCCCCTTTGGCCGGCGCAAACCCAAAGAGGCCGATATATCACTCTGAACCCCTGCCCGGTCGCTAATCGAGGGGTGTGGATCTCAGGCGAGGTTGTCACCGTGCGTTCGGCGACCACGCGACACGGACGCCAGAACAACGGGAACAACTTTTACCAATTTTTCATATTATTACACTAGCTGCTCGTTTGTCGGCTGCCGGTTGCAGCGAAATGATCTGTCCGAGAGTTTTTCGAGTCTGCTGGGAAGCTACGCCTGGAACAGAGCTACGCCTGGAACAGATGTACGCAAGAACTGACGGTTGACGCTGAGAGACGAGCACACCAACTAACTGACTGGATGTGACACTGCACCACTATCAACCGTTCTCATCGCCCTTCCGAGGGGCCGAGTTCGGGAATCTGTCGGAGAACGAGGTCCAAAATAGTGGAAATCCCCCTAGTAGAGGCTGAGGAGCGGGGCCCTCGCCTGCATCACCCCGCCTTCCCTTTCTCTCATCCTACGAATACTGCGTACAACAAGTGAATGTTCTGAGGAGGGCGTCACCCCCAAAAAGTTCATGTTGCGCTTCCTTGGCGTGCAGTCGGGCTGGAGACGCGGGCCAGAGCCCGCTGTGGTTGGCGCGCGTCCTCACGGCGACGATGGCGGCACAGCGTCGGGCGTGCCCCTGGCTGAAAACCATGTGGCCGACCCTGCATGAGAACCAACCTCTCTAGCCAATCCACTGGAGCTGGTGAAACGGGCCAAACGCATTTGCGGCACACTATTTTCTTCAACACATCGTACGCTCATAGAAAAGAGAAGAGCATCGCTTCTTCTTTTACACTTACTCCGTATAGAGTACACGAGTTATACAACTCCACTCATAAAAGAAACCAGAGTTCTGGTTGGTGTCTTCGATGTCGAGGAGGTAAAAGGGCAGATATCGTCCCCCGGGCCTCGGCTGCTTAGTGGTTCCCTTCCCCTCTCAGTCTTCGCCGGCGACAAGATGCCGAACTTCTGCTTTGGCCCGACTTGATGTGTCCCATCGCTAGCTTGCATGCGGGGGTTGGCCTACCCTACCACTGTTGCTAATGGAATGTAGACCGCATTTTCATCGGTCACCGAGGTACCTGAATGTGTCTCGGGGCACAAGCCGCCTTCGTTGCGAGTTGGTGACACGAATTACCAACACCAAGAAACAAATTCCGAATGACAAACAACACCCGGCTTCGGACCCAAGGCGCGCTTCACGGTCTTATGAGGGGACCACCATGATGAGAACAACCCACTCATAGGCGGCTTCATGCCAGCAGCTGTGTGGCCCAGTGGTGGTGTGTTGCCACTGCAGATGGGGCCGAGTAAGTTGCTCGTCTTGTGACCTCCAAAAGTAGTGTTTTATTGAATTGGGGTTGTGCAAGCCGTTATCGCGGCTGCATTTGGAACAGCTGTCATGTCATGGCTCCAAGACGCTTCCCTTCCCAGCGAGTCAGCAACCTAGTGTAATTCGTACATTTCTTGCATCATGCTTTCCCCAGTGTGAAAGGGGATGATCGACTCGGCTCCAGGTTTGGGGCGATTGAGAACAGCAAAGTCAACTTTCTTTTTTTCTCCTGTCCCGCCCGTGCCGTCCCGTTGCCAAACGCCCAAAAAACAGTTTATCCCCGTCACTCTCAAAAAGCTCGATTCACCTAACCGAATGCAGTATCATATCCGCCCCAGGGGCCGTTTCTCGTTTCCTCCCAGCAGGTCTGTGCGCCTGCACTTCTCAAGTGTCGTGGCCAACTTTGGCAACGGTTCTTCCTCAAGCGCATCGATTCACCAAGTTGAAGGTTAACGTTACCGTCGCGAGAAACGACCATTTGGGAGATGGTGCGCACTGGACATCAGTGACCCACACCTTGCCCCTTTGAGTCTGCCCTGCAGCACCTCATGCAGTAGGCGGTCTGGCCGACACCGACGGCGGCGAGTCAACTGCAAGTTGTTCAAACCCACATCCGCCAGAACGGGTGGTTTCCATGTTCAGATTGTCACTTGTGAACGTGCGGGCCGCCATCTCCCATCTTTGATCTATTTCTTGTCCCATTCTTTGTCTAAGCAGAAGACCTGCAGCGGGCGGGATTGACGGGAGGAGAGACGAGATGAGACACATTGCTCCTAAGTTGTGGTGAACCGCTTGGCCGCATGCCAGCCGGCAACACGGGACGAAAGAAGGCAGCGGGAGGCGACAGGCGTTTTTGCATTTTAAGCGATGTTGAATAGGCGCATTAGAGCAACCGCGTGTCAATCTTCCGTTTCCTCGTCTTCAACCCAAGCCTGCTGCATCGCGGCACCTCAGTAGCCACCCGCGCTTCGGGCCTTCTCCACTACAAGGGCAATGAGAAAAGACGCATGGTCGATGGGCTTCCCCAGGGCATGCGTCGTACCCCATACACTAGACACAGAACATGGGGATTGTGAGGTCCGAGGCTTTTCGGGATTATCGGCGTATTCTTGATCGTTGACCGCCTGGTTTCTTTCTTTTTAAATGTCGAACATGCAAGACAGTGCAAGAAGCAAATCGACGTCTTGGATAACTAGTGTACGTACCTCAACCAGGCACAGCGGGAGTCATGCAAGGTACGGCCGGCGCACGACCTCAACATCTCAAAAAGAAGCAACCCCGGCGAAAGTGTGAGAATTCGACAATATCTATGCAGGTCCAGCGGTCGTTCCTGGCCGCTGATTGCTTGGGTTTTTCTTCACCGAACACCGAACCCAAGGCCGATCACCCAGAGGTTGCATTTGATCTTGCCCGCAGCCCGCCACCGGAACCTCCATATCGAGTGATCGACAGGGTAATAATTCCGAGCGGGCTGGATGGTAACAGTAAACAGAGGCACAGAAGAGGCTTCCTCCGGCGCCCCCCGGCCCGGAGTCGTCTCTCTTGTTGAGAATCTGGGGACGGCAGGTCAACCCGTGTCCTCAGAATCTGGAAGCAGAAGAAGCCGCCTTGGCACCTCCTGCCGTCTCTTAGCGCCACTGTCGGTCAGAACGTTAAAAAGAAGACAGCACCTGCCAGATGAAGTTACCATCGCCAGTCGGCTATTTGACTTTGCCGCCCTCATCGGCCCTTGTCTGTCTCGCGGAAATCGGGCCTGCTCGAGTCAGGTAAGAAAGACCAGGAGAGAATTTCGCCGTAAGGAAGGTGGGAGGTTCTTTTTCGAAACTGGAGCCAAAGTGAACGCCCCTCATGTGATTGATACGGTCTAAGCTCAAGCCAGGACGAGGAACTCCTTCCTTCGCTCGCGAGGTCTCATCCCGCCCCGATTCAGCAAAATCTGGCGGTGGATTTCCGCTTTGAAGACGACCAACATCTCAACCCCCACAAAGTGCCCGATATAGCAGAGCGAGAAGGTACGCTAAGGCGTTAGCGTCAAGCTCGCCTCGTCCAGCTTTGCAACGGCCCTCCAATATTGCATGATGATGGGCGGGGTCTTCCACAATAGCTTCGCAATAGTACCACCGACCGAGTCACGAGGAAATCTGCTCCCCAAGTCTGAGATCAAGGCCGTTTGCTTCCCGGAGCACACCGGCCGCCGCCAACCTCTGTCGATGATGATGTGATAGGCCAACTCAGAGCGGCCCGGGCGAATTCCACCGGCAAGATCGACGATCGTGCTTTTTTTGTGTGTGGTATCGACCCAAGCGAACGAATGGGACGGAGGCTGGTTGCAGCAAGCACAGATACAGATGTTGTCACAACGGAAGATGCCGCAAAGCGACATCCTGTTTTCCATCCTTCCCACAGCACGCAAGAACAACAGGAGCGAAGGGAGGTCAACAGAAAATCTGACTTGACCCAGATCACCGGACTCCTCGACCCCAGATCCTGTCAACTCCACTGTAGCCACGCTCGCTAACCGTGCTAGTTTCAGCGTGCGTCGTGCACGGTGCGGCGGAGTTGAAAAGCCAGGGATAAAAACATGCTAAAGACGCGGGCCGATGCCTCTCAACGACGGCTGCGGCGCTTTCTTGCGTGGCCTCAGGGACCGAAACCACTCCAGGTTACTTCGCTTGGTTGTGGGAACCTGTCCCCGGTTGGGCGTGCTGTGCTGGTGCTGGTGCTGGTGTAGTAAGACCTTTGGCCGCATCATCACATGCCACGTGGAACGGGAGGAAGAAAGGTGATGATGTTGAATGGCGATTGGATTTTTTACAGGGCACCGCCGAGAGCCATATTCCAGGAAAGTGGGAATGGGTTTGATGCTACAGTCAGGTAAATAATGTACCGCTAACTACATACAGTACAGAGCTCTCTCATCGCAAACCTAAAAGCGGGAGAACCAAGCAACACCTTCTCACTAAGGTATTCAAGGGGTCCGGACGCAACAGCCATCTGGGCGTCCGCTGTCCACTGTTTTGGCTAGTACATAGTAGCATCCCACTTACACTTAGATAATGATGGGTGGGAGCGCAAATGTTGGCGAACTCTAAATTGTCGTAAAGCCCGAGGCACCGTCTTTCCCCGTCATCAATGACGAGCTTCGGCGTATAAAGATTGGCTTGAGTCACATCATCGAGCGCCCATCAGGACCGAAACACCAGCTCTCGGGACTCCCTCGGGCCGAAACCTGCAAACCTGAAAAAACAAAGTAGTATAGTCGCTTCGTTTCTGTTTTCGGGTTTAGTTCTCACGAGCAATAACTCCACTACTGTGTAATTGGATTGAGTCTCATTTCACAAAACAAGGAGAGCTATGACGCTAACAGAGTACACTAGGTACCAAGATCAGTAATCAGCATGAGAGAGGAGCGATTGCAGAAACCAGACGATCTCACGATACCCCGGCCGACCGGGTCAACGAACGATTGGACACGAATGACCGAAATACGTCCTTCATATGAGAGCTGCTTTTTCTCACTTCCCCCTAGCTCCTCCCATCACATGCCCACCCAGTCCCAACAGGACCAAACACTCGCCAATCTCAAACAGAGATGCGATCCGACACCACTCGGCCCAGTGGACCAACCAACCCCACGCAAACATGGCCGGGCCGTAGTTAGGGTTGGCGTTATCTCCTTGACGGAGACAATCCCGAGGCCTGGGTGACGGGCTGCGACAAATAAGTTTGCAGGCGGGTGGCACTGTGGATGAGTGGGTTAGTGAGTGAGTGACCGAGTGAGCGGGATATGGTTTTGAAACAGACGCAGACAAGCTCATTAATGTACTCATCACTCCCCTCTTCACAGGTTATCACAGTTTAAGCCCCCACGTATCACAATACATTCTTCTTTTTGAGATATCTAGTCCTGATGGACTGTGAACGTAAGGTCTCCAAAGGGGCCGGGGTGTTTTCCGTGTTGCAAAACCTGTTACTTTTTTGGGATTGAAGCAGTCGGCGTGCGGCCCGTTGGGCGCTAAATTCCATAGGCAGCAGTAAGCAAGATGCCCCGTGATGGCGTGGGAAAACCAAATATAAAACTACAGCTCATGGTGTTTGAAGCCGTCCCGTGTTCGTCTGTGGTGAACCAATTTACCTGGTGGGTGCCGCGTATAAGACTCAACTATGATATCAAGAGAACCTTCCACATGAACTTATTAGAAAGCCTGGGCACAGTATAGTACAACGCTTCTTGTTCTAGAGTTGAAATATATCTACGCTTGTTCAAGTGCCATAATGGCCTACTTTCGCTATCATGGAAAAGCAGAATTACGTCCCAGTGGCTGGCATCACAGCGAGCAACCCCTACACGAGCCCGGTACAGTGTAAACAGTTCCAAAGAATGTATTCCCAGGATATCCCTTCAACGGCTCACGCCATCCGTCCAAAGCGCCTGAGAATTCCACCTTCACCATCACCAGGTTACCTTGTCAAGGCGTTTGAACTCATACCCAACAAACGGCAGCTCGGATTCTGATGGCATCCGTTGGCTCATTTCTGGTCCCGGGTCTGTCTGGACGGCGGGAGGAACAACATCGTCCATCGTTAGTCCTGCTATACCATCAACAACCTCATCCACTGGCCCACCATCCGGCGGCTGCCTGTTTGCTTCTGTCCGCTGCCCGGGCTGGAATGCCTCCTCAGGGATGGAAGAGGTATCAATACCCAATGCGAGGCTTGGCTTGTACGGCGGGGTGTATGCTAACAGTCTGTCGAAATTGTACCCTTGGAAGAATGGGTCTATGCGAGGCTTAATGTTAATTTCAGGGAGTTTGGAGAATCGGAGCAAGTTTATACGTACGTGCTTTGATCTCAGCTACCCCGTTGCGTCCAAGGCGGTCCTGACAATCACATAGCAGACTGGGTGGGGTTTGTCAGCAGGTTGAAAGGTATCAGAGCCAAAAAACACCAATCAAAGATCTGGGCCAACGCAACTGGGCTACCTAGTGATGATGGGGATAGGGGGAGTGGAATTGAGGACAACAATAACAATTTGGTGACCATGAAGGAATAGGGGCGAGACCTTAGTATGATGTTCTTTGCTTGGTCAGTAAGAGCGCAACCGTCATCATTCACCCTATTTCCCAAAGACAAGTTCGTCTTCCAATCCACGATCATGGCAATGAGATCATCGTCGCTGGTGTCAGACCAGAAGGGCAGGTGGCCAAGAAGAAGCAGATATCTGTGCAAGCATTTAGTATACCCAGTCAGAGAGGGAGTAACGGCTGGGTTAGACTTACATGATAACCCCCAATGACCACCAATCGGCCTCAAATGAGTATCCCTCCCCCGTAAAGGTCTCTGGCGCGGCGTATTGGTAGGTACTGACGGCTGTGTACGTAGTGAAGGGTGCGGCCGCGCATTTTCCAACACGCTTCGCTGAGCCACGCTTCAGGTGAAAGTGTTTGAGCCTCGGGCGCTGTGCGGAGCCCTTCTGTCCGCAGGCGTGGAGTAGAGGTTCGTAGTAAGCGTAGTCGTGAGCGGCCCGGGAACTTTTCACAGTTCCGAAATCAGCAAGTTTGAGATGGCCATTGGAAGCTATCAAGACGTTGTCCGGCTTGAGGTCTCGGTGCATGAAGCCGAGCTGGTGGAGCGCGTCAACCCCCATGATGATTTCGGCTGCATAGAATGCTGCGCAGCGGTCCGAGAAGGGACCGTTCTTTGAAATCAGTGATAGGAGATCACCACCGGGGCAGTATTCCATGACAATATAAAGGGACTCTTGGTCCTGGAAGGCCGCATGGAGTCGGACAACCCATTCGCTGGTACACTCAACGTGAGCATCCCGTTCAGCACGCGCCCCCGCAAGCTCGTCCCCAATCTTGAGCTTGGAGATCTGCTTCAAGGCGTATAGCTGCTTATCATGCTTGGTACGGACAAGGCTAACCTTGCCGTGGCCGCCTTCTCCGATGGGACTCAAAATGTCGTAGTGGGACAACTTCTCAGCAGTTCGAAGAAACCGAAGCCGCCTCCCTTCGACTACCCCTAGCTCATCCTAGAGCCGATCTCGGATTGGCGCAAGCTCCGGGTCAAGGAGATATCTCTCCAATCTTTGTTCCCTATAGCTTCTGTGTCAGGAACCGTGCGGTGTCGAATACGACAGAGCCCTCAACATACCGTTTATGTATTTGTCGGGCCCTTGTACGGGCCTCGACGATAGATGTGAACGTCCTCTCATGACAGAGCTGTAGGTTGAGAAGCACATTAGGGCTACGTGCCCGACGTGCCCTTCTAGGTGGTGGTGAGAAGTAAAGTGCCATTTCTGTGGCTATAAAAGGACGACAGGAATAATTTCAGGGGGTGAAGCAAGTAAAGGGTGTCGAGCCGGCTAGGGTTAGCTTTAGTTCCCGCCGAAACTCTTTGATGGGGGTATCGTAGGTTGCCTTAGTGTTAAACCCGAATCGAGGGGGTACAGTCACCAACCTAAGAAGGTCATATTATTTTACTCCCGATTGGCAAGACCGAACGATCCCTTCTGCCAGCCGGTCATGGTGGTCGCTTCTTGACAGGCCGGACAACCCTGCCCCCCGGGTCTCATTAGACGGCATTTTTGTGCACAGATAAACGAAGTTGAGGCCCCTCTTTCGAGTACTTAGTGAGCCCAGTCTTCTTTTTTTTAGAAGTTTTTCCCTATATCCTAATCGAGGTCAAGTTGAACCTAAGAGTCTTGTTCAGTTTTGAGGAGTTCCTCGGTTTTGCTGATGCTCAGCGTGGGCGCTAACACCCCACGTCCTTTGGAAGACCCACTGTGACGTTTGTGAGTGTGCCTGAGCCCGCTGAATGATGAGTGCAAAGCCAGCCCAGGCGGGACAGACGGAAGCAGAGATGGGAATATCGCGCCCGTCCTGGCATGGGAATTGATGCGAACGACCACCTGATCCATCATCCCTTCTGATCGGGCCCAAAACACCGAACGTTATCCTATGTTGCGAACCCCGTTTTCTTTCTTTCCGGGTCAAAGCCAAAGAAGGGAAAGCACAGCCCAGGCGAAGCATCCCCTGCGTGCCTGCCGGGAGGTCCTAGCCGCCCGCACCAAACATTCACCGCCTACCAATCGCAGCGGAAGCCAGCTCCCTATCAGCGGACCAAGCACAACCGCCTGATCCGCTGCGTTTGTTCCCTGAGCACCCGAGCTCCGAGGTCAGCGAAACAGCCCGTTTCGTAATTCTAGCAACACCCTGCCTTCCATGTTGAAGTCGAAAGGAAGTGACTCGGTGAAGCACCTACGAGGTCCGGTTTCCTGCCCCGGTGCCTTCAAAATATCCCGAACTCTTCCGATTTATCATCATCTTTGCGAGTGCACGGCCCCCGAGCCAGACGACCCGCGGACGTGAACGTATCCAGTCCTCCTCCCCATCTGCCCGGGTAGTTCGCCGTTCTACTAGGCAACCTTCCGACAAGGTGTTAACTGCCCGAGCTTGCCGCTCCCACTGATAACCTGCAGGCGCCTCGGCGACCAACCGCTTACAGTGACGGCCGATGACGAGATAGGGCCTGGAGCTTTCCTGGTCTCGGTCAATAGCTGGCCACGCTCGACCCACAGCCTCCGTCTACTCTACAGCTTCAATCATCGACACTGTCAACCGGCAGTTCCACATTTTGGCAATATCATATTTATCGACGACACCTGCAGTGGCCAGGTTTTCTCTTATCCCCCCATCGCTCGCTCTCCGCCCACATTTCTGCGGGATCGGTGTCCGTTCCCGCAGAACCGAACTCGATCGCCGTGGCAGACCAAAACCCCAACGAACCGCCTGCCTATACGCCGCCTACTTCCAGTCTTGCCCCCCCTCAGCCGCGGTCGGCGACATCGACTGCCGTGCCGTCAATCCAACCCCCGGCCCCGCCGCACCTCCCTCCGCTTCTGAGCCGGAACCCTTCGCCCGACGACGCCGGTTCTGCCTCGACGTCCGCCCCTCGTCCCCACGGGGCAGTCGTGTCTTCCGATAGCAATCCCTCCACGCGCATTCTTGGTAGGAGACAAAGGGCCGACTTCGAGGAACAAGAAGAGGAGGGAGAAGCGCAGAACGCAGCTGCTACACTAAGCACCACTGCTGCTTCTCGTCCCGACCCTAAGCGGAGACGCCGTGGAAGTATGCTAGCAGAGCTCGGCAAGGGGGAGGGATCATCGGCTCGGTCTTCACATTCGGCATCTAACGGGTCTCGAGCTAGTGGGGGAAACCCGCCAGCAATCGCAAGCACAAGCACAACCGCCAAGGCACACAGTGGCACCATGCACAGTTCCAAACCTAACGGGGGCGGTCCCACGGCGGGACGACCGGCCACTTACTTTGGCCATAACCGGGAAGAGGTTACACGTATCTTGATACAAGCGTTACATGATCTGGGCTATCATGCGGCGGCGGACAATATTGGGGAAGAGAGTGGGTTCGAGGTCGAAAGTCCCGATGTGGCTGCGTTCCGAGAAGCGGTGCTTAACGGGTCATGGAGCAAGGCGGAGGAGTTGCTCTGCGGCGACCGTAGGGGGTCACGAGGTGCTGGGCAAGCGGCGGCCGGAAGGGGGCTTGTCCTAGCCCCTGGAGCGGACCGCAATACCATGAGGTTCCGACTGAGGCAGCAAAAGTTTCTGGAGCTTTTGGAGTTGCGGGACACGGGTCGGGCGCTGGCCGTGCTTCGAAACGAGCTCACCCCTCTGTGCCAAGAGCAGCACCACACGCTCCAGGCTTTGTCGCGGCTACTAATGTGCCAAGACGCAGAAGATCTTAAGAGCCGGGCGAGCTGGGATGGCGCCAACGGCCAGTCGAGGCAAATATTATTGACGGTCTTATCGGGTATGTTGGGAAAGAGTTGTTCAAAACTATCGTATGTTTATCCCATCCGAGGTTAAGTTGCTGACAGTTCTTTTATAGAGTCGATATCCCCGTCTGTCATGCTTCCAGATCATCGACTAGCCGTTCTTTTGGACGGTTTGAAGCAGAGCCAGATCGAGAGATGCCGATACCACACGGACAATGTGTCGCCATCACTATGTGTTGACCACCTGTGTGATAGGAACCGGTTCCCTACTGAGGTGGTGGCGGAATTGTTCCACCCAACTCAGGACCCATCATCGAAGAGGACCGATGAGGTCTGGCAGATCCGGTTTTCCCCAAACGGCAAACACCTGGCATCATGCGGAATAGGCGAGGCGGTCAATATCTGGGATGTTGAACGGCTTACTCTGCTTCGGCAACTTCGTGGGCATCAGAAAGCCGGAGTTGGCAGCCTCGCTTGGAGCCCTGATAGTAAATACTTGGTTACCTGCAGTTTTGACCACACCGCCAAACTCTGGAACATCGAGGTAGGTTGTCAATCCACAAAATGGTCTAAATTGCGCGTGGAACTAATAGTGGACTAGACCGGCGAGTGTCTGAGAGCCTTAAACGAAGTCTACGAGGAACCAGTTAGCGGCTGTGCCTGGGCTGCAGACAGCCAATCATTCGTCACTGGGTCGTTTGACAAACAACAGTCGCTGAGGCTATGGAACCTTCGCGGCGATTGCCTACACACATGGCCCAACGCACATCGGACGGAGGATCTTGCTCTTTCGCCTGACCAGCGGTGGCTTGTTGCCATGGACGAGCAGTGCAACATACATATCTACAACTTTCTCACCAGAGAGCACCTGTACGACTTGGCCCTCCGCGCAAGGGCGTCTTCGGTCAATATCAGCAGCGATTCCCGATTCGTCTTGGTGAATAAAGCGGATGGCCAGGCAGTTCTAATCGACCTTAAGAGCCGTGAAACGATCCAAACGTACAAGGGCCACTTGGCCGGGAACTTCACCATCAGAAGCAATTTTGGCGGGGCGGACGAGAACTTTGTGATAAGTGGTAGCGAAGGTAAAAACACGCTGTGTTTCTACAAGGCGTTTCTAAAACTCACTTGCTAACCGTTACATTTATAGATGGGCGTGTGCTCATTTGGCACAAATTGACGGGAGTATTGGTCCACGAGGCTGAAGCTCATCATCCTGCGAGCTGCAACGTCGTCGTCTGGAACCCAACCAACCCATTCATGTTTGCCACGGCCGGTGACGATGGGAAGGTCAAAATGTACGTCCACCCTTCTCTCTTGTGCCCTGCTTCCGAGGGTTAAAGCATAAACCATGGTTGTTTAAAAAAGTGGCTTCTGACTAACACGGTGGTTTCTGTTCCCAGTTGGTCAAACAGGGAGCGAGCCAGAGCCTTGAACTTGGCAAAACGGCAGTCTAACGGACATCATCACGGGGTTACTAACGGTAACTCGGCACCAGCAAGTGGACTATGGCCGCAATAGGGCTGGGGCTCGACTACAGACCGGAAACAGTGGGGTTAAGGCGGTGGTATTCTTTCGATGTTATCATTTTCATGGGAGTCCTTTCTTTCTACCCTGCGGAGGTCATTTCGAATATACGGCATAGCATGGAGCGGCGAATTTTCGGGGCTTAGGGGTATGGCGCGTCATCCGGGTTAGGAGGGTGACCGGCGGAGGTTGTATTCTTTTATTCTAGAAGACGACGTCTTCTCCTTTCCTTTCCATATCCTATTCACCCTTTCGCTTGGAGCTTCTTGCCTTAGGGACGGCTATGCGGCAGACAGAACGAGAATGCAATGATAAACCAGTATCAATTAAGATTAGGAACTAGGGAGGACAGACACAGTGCGTTAGATGAGACAGTGTATGACATAGCAATGGGCGATAAGGTGGAGGTTCGGAAATTCAGCCCATGGCCGTTGGGATAGATACCTGAGGTAGTCGGGGGCATTCTTTTCTGATATAAGCATTCAGTTCAGGGTACGCGCGTTTCATTGTGGAAGAATCAGTTTTGTAGTTTTCAGTTATTATGAACGACTTGGAGTAGAATGATAGTTCCACCGTCTTATCACCCCCTCACTTTTGAGTGTTGGACGCGTGGCACCCTCTTGGGGATTGAAGCCGCGTCAACAAGAACCACTTGATGACGAGTCCTTTTGTCGAGAATGAAGGAAGTTTAGGCAGCGAAAGACTTGGATGTAATGGCGGATAAAAAAACTTCTGGCTGAAGGAGCGCTAGAATAAAGTATTGAGCAGGAGTTTTTGTTTTTGAAAAGAAAAAAAGAAGAGACGAAACGAGAAAACCTCGGCAGTGAGTACTCACTCATACACCCTAAGGAGTTGCGAATATTTCGTCCCTCGCCTCTGACCCTAACCCTCGTTCTTGCTGCTCAAGATAAGCAGGGATCACGTGTGCTCCCCGGCTCAGTTTGCCTCGCAGCGCGCACAGACGGGAGGCTGCGACAGTGGTGGGTCCCCACGTAAGTTCGTTGCTCTGGCGCAGCGTCCTGCGTTGCCAGTTCAATCGTCCACCAGCCCAAAAGATTCCCACGATCCCACCCACCTGCACGTCCTTTACCGTAGCGCAACGTGAACAAGTTTGCTTCCTCTTGTCCCGACACCGAGGACGAGTTCGACCGTTTTAAAGTCTCGACTGTTGCGCCACGACGTTCCTCCTGCGTCGATTTTGTCGCCTTGCATCGCCGCATCCTTGCGTCTCCTTCGACCTCGTGTGTATCCAACAACCAGTTGACCTGCATCTACCATCGCGAACGAAGATATACCTCCCGCGAACATGACGGTCGACGCACCAGGATCGCTCGCAACACCCGGCGGCATCTCTGACCCCGGGCTGATCAAGTATGGCTTGCCCCCCCCCTTATTTGCCCTTCCTTCTGTTACTTTACACTTTTCTTGGGCGTCGTCGTCAGGCACTGACTGACATGTGCCCCACACCACTCACAGGCTCGTCAACAAACTTCAGGACGTCTTCACCACCGTCGGTGTCAACAACCCTATTGATTTGCCCCAAATAGTCGTCGTTGGTAGCCAGTCTAGCGGCAAGAGCTCTGTATTAGAAAACATCGTCGGCCGCGACTTGTGAGTCCTGAACGCTTTCTTTTTTGTTCTCCCACCCCGCCTCGTCGACCCTTGTCACCGCTAGCCCGGCCCCCATGCGAGGTCCCTGCTTCACCGACTAATACGGAGGTTCAACCCCTCACCACCAACAGCCTGCCCCGCGGTTCCGGCATCGTCACACGCCGCCCCCTTGTTCTCCAGCTTATTAACCGACCCGGGCAAGGGCAAGCGAACGGCGAGAAGGAGATCACCGACACGACCGACAAGCAGGCGAACGCGGACGAATGGGGCGAGTTCCTCCACATTCCGGGACAAAAGTTCTTCGACTTCAACAAGATCCGCGATGAGATCAGCCGTGAGACGGAAGCCAAGGTCGGACGGAATGCTGGTATTTCGCCGGCCCCCATCAACCTGCGCATCTACTCGCCGAATGTCCTCAACCTGACGCTTGTCGATCTCCCCGGTCTAACGCGCGTGCCCGTTGGCGACCAGCCCCGCGATATCGAGAGACAGATCCGGGATATGATTGTCAAGTACATTCAAAAGTCTAATGCCATCATCTTGGCCGTCACGGCCGCTAACATTGACTTGGCCAATTCGGACGGTCTGAAGCTGGCAAGAGAGGTGGACCCGGAGGGTCAGCGGACCATTGGTGTGCTCACCAAGGTGGATTTGATGGACGAGGGGACCGATGTGGTGGATATTCTGGCTGGGCGCATCATTCCGCTACGGCTGGGCTACGTCCCGGTGGTGAACCGCGGGCAAAGGGACATCGACAACAAGAAGCCTATCAACGCAGCGCTCGAGGCGGAGAAGAACTTCTTCGAAAACCACAAAGCGTACCGTAACAAGAGCTCATACTGTGGCACGCCGTACCTTGCGCGCAAACTCAACCTCATCCTCATGATGCACATCAAGCAGACGCTACCGGATATCAAGGCGCGCATCTCCAGCTCGCTGCAAAAGTACTCACAGGAGCTCGAATCGCTAGGCCCGTCGATGCTCGGAAACAGCGCCAACATTGTACTCAACATCATCACCGAGTTTACCAACGAATGGCGCACCGTGCTAGAGGGTAACAACACAGAGCTCTCGAGCACGGAGCTGTCGGGCGGTGCGAGAATCAGCTTCGTCTTCCACGAACTGTACTCCAACGGTGTGAAAGCCGTGGACCCGTTCGACCAGGTCAAGGACGTCGACATCCGCACCATTCTGTACAACTCCTCGGGTTCCTCGCCCGCGTTGTTTGTCGGGACCACGGCCTTCGAGCTGATCGTCAAGCAGCAGATCAAGCGGATGGAGGAGCCCAGCCTCAAGTGCGCATCGCTCGTGTACGACGAGCTGGTGCGGATCCTCACGCAGCTCCTTGGCAAGCAGATGTTCCGGCGGTACCCGCAACTCAAGGAGAAGATCCACGCGGTGGTCATCGCCTTCTTCAAGAAGGCGCTCGAGCCGACCAACAAGCTGGTGCGCGACTTGGTATCGATGGAGTCCTGCTACATCAACACGGCCCACCCGGACTTTCTCAACGGCCACCGCGCCATGGCCATGGTCAACGAGAAGCACAACCCGTCGCGGCCGGTGCAGGTCGACCCCAAGACGGGCAAGCCCCTGGCCTCGACGCCGGCGCGCGCTGCTAGCCCCACGCTTGCGGTCGGCGGCGAGGAGTCGTCCAACTCGGGCTTCTTTGGGAGCTTCTTTGCGGCCAAGAACAAGAAGAAGGCTGCGGCTATGGAGCCGCCTCCGCCGACCCTCAAGGCGTCGGGGACGTTGTCGGAACGGGAGGGCATTGAGGTTGAGGTTATCAGTGAGTTTCGGCTTTCTTGCTGTACGATGGAAGATGATTGACTGACTGGTGTTTGTTTGCAGAGCTGCTTATCTCGTCTTATTTCAACATTGTCAAACGCACCATGATCGATATGGTCCCCAAGGCCATCATGCTGAACCTCGTCAGGTATGTCCTCACATTCTCAACCCCTCCAGTTTTTAACCCACCTCCCCCCCTTTTCCCCACGATAACAAAATTGATCCTAACTGGGAGGTAATATAGCTTCACGAAAGAGGAGATGCAAAAGGAACTCCTGGAGAATATGTACCGCCAGAGCGAACTCGACGACCTCCTCAAGGAAAGCGACTACACGATCCGCCGGCGCAAGGAGTGCCAGCAAATGGTGGACTCGTTGAGCCGGGCCAGCGAGATTGTTAGCCAGGTGCAGTGAGCGAAGAACGTGTGGATGCCTTAATGCACTTGGACTGCACGACGATACGTAATGGTTTGAGCGGATCAAGGGAAAGTGGGAGAGAAGGTGTTGAAGCTTGTGTCCGGACTGTCGGTTGGAGCGGTAGTAGGTCGACCTACTCTGTTGGGATGACTGTGTTAGGTCAGGCCAGTCAGGTCAGGTTAAGCGGATTAGTCGAGTGGGTTGGTTGAGGAGGTGGGAATGGGCGGAAATATTGAAGTTTTAGTTTATTTTTTTTTCCCTACTCGGTGTCGGGAGGTCCTGATTAGGTGTCTGTGCGTGTGCTATGAAATGAATAGAATGAAATGATATCAAACGAAGGGTGGAAAGGGGTTCATGGCGGATGGTGATGGTGGATGGTTGTTAGTATTGGTGTTTGTGTTGGTTGTTGGTACTGGTGTTGGTGTTGGGCGTGAGAGAAGGCGGGGTTAGTTGGGGTAAAGGTCAGAGCATAGCGGGCGGAAGGAACATGGTATGGTGCTTGCTTGCTGGAAGGTGGAAGGTGGAACGAAGCGAACTTCTAGTATTTCCGTATCTTTAACACCACCCGATTCTTCTCCTTTTCGATACCATTGGTAGAGTTACGAAAGACGGTCTTCTCCCTAGTGTCTTATTTGGCTTAAGACGGTCGTCTCATGTCTCCTAGATAGCTCCGGATGGTGAACTAACTGTAAGGCCGGTGGGTTGTCGAGGTATGGGAGCCCAGGGGTGGGTAGATAGGTAGGTAGGTAGGTGGGTAGGTGATGGTGGTGGTACTGATGTGATATGATGTGATGTGATGTGATGATGTTTTGTTGTTGAGTGCTGTGCTGCTGTGTGGGTTTGTTGGTAGGTCAGGTAGGTAGCACAACGGCCATCGGAACGGGATGGGGGAACACTGGTCTATCTCTATTCGTCCTCGCGGAATGGAGCTTGCTTCCCGGAAGCCTTGAGTGATACGATACGGAAGGTCGTACAGGGCATTGATGGAGTGTGGATATCATAGCAGGGTTTGTGGGGTGAATGGGTCTAAGCCGGATATCTTCCGATGAAAAAAAAAGAAACCCAGAAACAATGGGTAACCTTCACCTACCTTGATGAGAATACAGTTGCTTATTGACAGCGAAATCGGAGGAAGTCCAAGGGGGGGATCCGATCCCGTTTTCCGGCCGTTAATGGAAGCTGCACGGTTTGTGTAGCCCAACTGCTTTTGTTGGCTTTTCCGATCCGGGTTCCCCGAGAGTCATGTCTTGTTTTATTGTCTTGTTTTTTTTTCTATCAACACCATCTATGCGCCTCGCTTGAAGTTTAAGGTTTCACGAGAAAGATAACCGTAAATCTAGGGTAGCCCTGTGTACGTACAGATGCGGACGCGGTTGGTGGTTTGTTTCGTGGCACCGTTCGGGGCCGAGGGAAGGGCGTACACATGTATCGCGACAGCTTCGAAGGTCGGGTATTTTGGAGGGGGATCTTGTTTTTTTTCTCGTTTTTCTTTAGTCGAGGTAGGAACGAGGGTCCCTGGACTAGATAGCCGACAAAATAAACCATCGATAGGAGCGTAGAAAGTAGGATTTAACCCAGGCCCTCATCCTGCAAGATGCTCACGACCTTTCCTTCCTTGTTATGCAACAACGGTCGAGAAAATCATCCTCTTATCATTAACACCTCTGCCCGAGGCCCGAACATCTCTAGCGGTCGCCACCGCCCATCGGCATCCTGTCTTTACCGTTCTTTACCGTTTGTTAAACATATACCCTTTTCCCGTTCAGCATGGCCAGTAATTCTCGGGATCCGTCGCCGGTACCGCCGCCGAATCCGCCGCCTAGCCCGGCGTAATGGGCGGTTAGTCGGGGAAATGTCAAGGTGGGTTTGGGGAGGATGAGGGCTAGAGGGGGGTAAGTCTTCTCATGCTCCCGCGGCGAAAGAAGCCGACTTTGCTGACTACTGGTATCCAGGATATAATGTTACTCCACGTTTGAGCGGCTGGAGAGCGACGAAGGGGTTGCCGGGTCTGGTCTGAGATCATGAATTCTAGAGCGGATAATGGACATAATTATAGAGGGTATCATGTACTTCACTATCTGACTAATTTCCAATCACAATTTGCTGTCTAAAGCTTCGCCGTATCCTTCAACACCAACCCCCCATCTCTAACCTCAAACTGTTCCCCCCTCGACCAACCCATCCACTCCTTCAACCTCTCCTCCCCACCCTGCCCCGGCTCCAACGAATATCCCACATACCCTTTCCCTTCCACACCGGGTCCCTGCCCACGCGTGATCTCATCCCCCCCTTCCCCCCTCTTCACCGCTAACCACGGCGTATCCCTCAACGTAACAGCCGGTCTCTGATCCCCCTCCTTTGTTTTCCCCTCTTTGTCGTTTCCGTCTTTCTCATTTTCTCTCTGGTCTGCCTCCTCCAACTCCCCAAACTCATAAACCGGCGAACAACAAGCATCACTCCCCTCAAAAACCCCCTCCCACTCCCCCCTCGTTTTAGTCAAAAAAACCTCCCTCAACTCCCCCCTCAAAACCCCCCACCGCCCCCTATCCCCCCCCCCCCCCCCCCCCTCCCCCCCCCCCCTCATCATCCCCCCACCCCTTCCCCTCCATCCCAGGCAGCCGCCGTATCAACTCCCCAAAAAACTGCGGCTCCAACGCCCCCACAGCCATCCACTTCCCGTCTTTAGTTTCATAACAATCATACCAGGGACATCCCGAATCAAGGAGGTTGGAACCGCGGGGTTGGTCCCAGAGGGGGGTGTGGCGGGCCAAGCGGGCGAAGGAGGCGAGGTAGGAGGCGCCGTCGACCATGTTGGTTTCGAGGACTTGGCCGTGACCGGTGTGGGTGCGGACGAGGAGGGCGAGGAGGATGCCGAGGGTGAGGGTGAGGCCGCCGGCGGCGAAGTCGGCTAGGAGGTTTGCGGGGGGGGTTGGTGTTGCTTTTGAAGATGATGGGGATGATGATGGAGATGTTGGAGAGGAGGAGGTGGTGTTGTTGTTGTGGTCGCGACGACCCAACAACCCCAAAACCCCCGAAACCGCCAAATAATTAATATCATGCCCCGCCATCTTGGCAAACCGTCCATCTCTCCGAAACCCCGTCAGCCGGGCATACACTAACCGCGGATTCGCCGCGCACAGGACATCAGGTCCTAAACCCAGCGATTCAAGCACCCCCGGCCGGTACGGATCGATGAGCACGTCGGCGTGGCGGGCGAGGGTGCGGAGGAGGGCGGCGCCGGCGGGGTCTTTGAGGTTGATGGCGAGGGAGGATTTGTGCCGAGTTAGGAGGTCGGCGGTTGGTGGGGGGGAGGATGACGACGAAAGGGGTCGGTCGATGCGGAGGACGGAGGCACCGGCGTCGGCTAGGATTAGGCCGGCGAAGGGGCCTGGGGGGGTGTTAGTGAGATTGGAACGGATTGAGAATGAGAGGGGGGGAAGAGGAAGGGAGTAAAGAGAGAAAGAGACGAACCAGGGGCGAGTCCGGCGAATTCGAGGACTTTGAGTCCGGTTAGGGGGGGTTCGTTGGGCATTTTGGTGAATGGGCAAGTTGGAGAAAATAGGTGAGAATGCCAGGAAATATTTTATAAAATCTTCAGACTTGACGCCTCAGATGGTGAACCGTGCAAGTTACTGTGTGGTTCGTCAATGTCAATTGTGATAAAGATAAAGGACAAATGAGATGAGATGCCTGCCGGAAACTGAGCCGAGGTTCCCCGGCCGGGGGAGTTTGCGGAGAAGTGGGGACATCGGATCAGTTCCGTGGGGTAAGTTCGGCGGAGTCTCGGAGTTCACCCGCTGTATCTTTCCGTAAGAATCCCATAATGTAAAGTATGTGTATATGCATCAATGTATTCCGTATATACCACCTAAATATTAGATTATTATTCCCGTAATTTATGAGACACCACCTGTAAACCTTAGCCCTCACAGCAGCGAAGGCACCTGCGTAACGCTCGCCGTAACCCCCGGCCAAATGCCCTCCAAAATCCCCATCAACTCCTCCCACACCTTCCTCTGCACAGCGGCCCCCTTCTCCGACAACACAAACGGGCTCGGATCCCCAATCACCCCGCTGTCCACATACTTCCCATGACTCGCCCGACCCCCTTCCACACCCGCCATCAGCGCCCGGGACCCTTGCTCAATAGTGCGTCCGACAAAGAAGGTTCCCACGGACACCACGAATTGGCCGAAGGAGACCAGGTCCTGGAACAGGTTTGACTTGCACAGGCCTGGGTTGACGGCGTTGACGATGATGGGGTTGGTTTCGGGGTTGGGCTGGGCGGCGGCGTCGAGGCGGGCGGCGAGTTCGCGGGCGAGGAGGAGGTCGAGGAGTTTGGTGGTGGCGTAGCGGTCGTTCATGAGGCCGCCGGGACGGAAGGCTTCGAAGATTTGCGGTTCGTCTTGTTCGCCGAAGGGGGTCTGCAAGAAGTAGGTCAGCATTCTACCGCAAAGTCCAGGAAATAGAACAGAGAAGACAGTGAAACATACCCAACCATGCGCATCACTAGACACGACCGTAACCACACTCTCCACATTCCACTTCGCCGCCGTCCTTTTCATAACCGGCAACAGCGCCAAAATCATCAAAAACGTCGAAATCACATTCGTCGTAACCTGCCTCTCATACCCCTCCACCATCGTCCCCGGCCGAATCGACAACACCGCCGCATTCGCCAGCAACACATCCAACCGCTCCAACTCCCGCTCCGCACGTTCACAAAACGCCCGCACACTCTCAAACGAACAGAGATCCACCGGCCAGACCTCGATCACCGTTTTAGCTCCGGAACCTGAGGCTTCGTCACCATCTGCCCCGGAATCCGGGGTAGAAGAAGACGCAGAGATAGACCCCTCGATATCCCTCCTCGCCCCCTCCCCCTTCTCCTCGTCCCGACACGCCAAAATCACACGTGCCGCGCCCAGACGTGCCAAATGGCGCGCTGCTTCGAGACCCAGACCGCTGTTGGCGCCTGTCACGATGGCGGTGCGGCCGGCGTAGGAGTGGCTGGGCTGGGGGAGGGTGCGGAATTGGCTTAGGAGGGAGCGCCAGAGGATGGGGAGGGTTGTGATAAGGTGTTAGTGAACTTAGGGAGTTGGGGGTTGGGGGGTTGGGGGATAAGAGGGGGGGGACTTATATGTTTGACATGGTGGTTGGACGACGGACGTTCCGAGATTACGCGATTAAGGCAATTAAGCAGGAAAGGATGTTTGTTTAGACGAGGAATTGAAATGGCCAAGAAATATGTGATTATATAGTACAGAGTGACGGTTGGTGCTGTACCTGTCGATCTTTGACACGCGCCGAAATCTAAATTGTGGTTGGATGAAATACTTTAAATTTTGTGATTGATCTTGCCATTGAGCCTGTGATTGACTTTACAGTGCTCTTTACAGAACGTTGAGAGGACCCCAGGGAGCCCAGATCCAGCCATAAACAACCCTAACCCCGAAAACTGACATCATCGCCCATTACCAATCGCCCAAAAACGATCCCGCGGAAATCGGCGAAACACTGAAAGTTCCGCCCTGAACAACACCCGCTCAACACACACGGTCACATCCAAGATGTTTTCCAGGACGGTATTCCAGGTGAGTTCTGCCCCCCCCCACCCCCTTCACTTCCACCCTTCCAGAGATATATACTAATCTTAAACCCCTTCCCAGGCCACGCGCCAAGCAGCCCGCCGACCCTCGCCTTTCCTCACTCCCTTCTCCCTCGCCCCCAGCTCAGTCTCGCAACGCCGCCTCCTCTCCGACGTAGTCCGCCAAGCAATCGACAAAGCCGTCAGCTCAGCCCCCGTAGTGCTCTTCATGAAAGGCACACCGGAAACCCCGCAGTGCGGCTTCTCGCGGGCGAGTATCCAGGTGCTGGGCTTGCAGGGAGTGAATCCGGAGAAGTTTGCGGCGTATAATGTTTTGGAGGATCAAGAGTTGCGGAATGGTGAGTTTTCTGTGTCTGTCTCTGGTTAAAAGAAAGGGGGGGGGGGGGGTTAGTTGGCTGACGAAGAAACAGGGATTAAAGAGTACTCGGACTGGCCGACGATTCCGCAGTTGTATGTGGACAAGGAGTTTGTGGGGGGGTGTGATATTATTGTGTCGATGCATCAGAGCGGGGAGCTGGCGAAGATGTTGGAGGAGAAGGGGGTGGTTGTTAAGGAGGAGGGGAGTAACGAGAGCAAGCCGGAATAAGGTTTACGGGAAAAGCGAACACGACTTGTACAGTACGCACGACTGGCTTACTTGAGTTGACATGATAGATCACCATACGCGCTGCACGCTTGGCATGTAAATTGTACCATCATTCCTCTACGCTGCTCATAACTGCAAATCCCAACTAACCAGTCCTAGATACTTCCCTTCATTTACTGTATATATTCATGCCATACACCAATGCCCTCAAACAGGATAAGCCCCCCCATCCCCCCGCATATCACTCCCCCCCGACCAAACCCCCCGTCCCTCCACCTCATCCACCGTCCACCTAATAACCTGCCCCCGTCCAAACATCTGCCTACCCATCCCCCCCCACCCCTTCAAAACCTTTACATTATGCCCTAACCCTTTCAGTCCCTCCACCGTTTCCTCGGGCATCCCATCCTCCACATACACCACTTCCCCCCTGACATCGCCCACATCGGCCATGCCGGCGCCTACACAGATCCGCGGCGCGTCGAGGGCTTGCTGCGGACTGAGTTGGCCCGCGATTTGGCCGAGGAGCACTTGGATGTGCCCTTGGGGTTGCATGAAACCGCCCATTACGCCGAAGACGGAGTGTAAAGAGCCGGTTTTGGTGCCGTGGGCGCCTTGCTTGGTATTACTCGCTGGTTTCTCACCAGTACTACCACCAGTCTGGGAAGAAGTGGAAGTGTCCTCATCAAGATTCGTAACCAACCCCGGAATAATAGTATGATACGGCCTCTTCCTCGGCGCCAGCGCATTCGGATGTCCCGGCTCCAGACTAAAATTCGCCCCTCGGTTCTGCAGCGTAAACCCACACCCGCGCGGAACCATCGCCGTGCCGAACCCGGCGTAGTTGCTGTTGATGAAGGAGATGGCGTTGCCCTGCGCGTCTGACACGGCGAAGTACACTGTATCACTAGACCGCAGCGCTGGGGAGGTTGACCAAGAGGTTGGGTTGGTTGGGTCGCCGTGGGTGAAACTGGGGGTTGCTGCGGAGGGGTTGAAGAGTTTGGCGCGGGCGGCGAGGTAAGGCTGGGAGATGAGTTCGGCTGCGGGAACGGGGTTGGTGGACGGGTCGGTGACAAACCAGTGGGCGTCGGCGAAGGCGATGCGGAGGGATTCGATGATGGCGTGTAGGTAAGGGGTGGTGTTGTGGTCGTCGGGAGTGAACGTCGGGATCGTCCCCGCGGCTTCCAGCTCCTGGAGTATCCCCAGCGCCATCAGCGCAACAATCCCCTGGCCATTAGGCGGGTGTTCCCATAACTCAATCCCGCCCCCACCACCTCCCGGAGACGACCTTGGGGCGGAAGCGCAGCCCTGGCCGCGGAACTTGAGGGAGATGGGATCGACAGGCTCGCTACCGCCTTGGTCGAGGTGGTGCCGGAGGTCGGCTAGCTCGACGTGGCCGCCGCGGTCGCGGATCACGCGCACGATTTCTTCGGCGATGCGGCCGGTGTAGAAGCCGGGTTTGCCTTCGGTTGCGAGGGTGCGGAAGGTGCGCGCCAGGTTGGGATTCTTCATGATGTCCCCGGCTCGGGGGGCGCGTACGCCGTCGGGGGCGGACGGGTCGGTTTTGAGCATTTCGGCGAAGTTGGGCGAGGCTTTGCGGAGGGAGGCTTCGCCTTTTGTCCACTGGGGGAGTTAGCTGTCATGGACCTACGGTAAGGTGTTAAAAGGGAGACGGGAAGAAAGAGAGAAAAAGAACATACAAAAAACCCAGCATCCTCCGACACAGGAAACCCCCTCTCTCCCAACTCAATCGCCGGCCCCAAAATCTCCTCCAAGCTCAATTTCCCACTCCCAAACCGTTCCACCGTATCAACCCACCCCGCTGCAGCCCCGGGAACCGTCGCCGCATGCACACTCGTCAAAGGTATCTCCCCAGCCTCACCCTCGGCCAGCCCCAGGTCGCCGCGGATTTTTTCGAGAGTGCACGCGGCGCCTGACCGGCCTGAGCCGTTGAGTGCGGACACGGTGCCGGCTGCGGCGTCGTAGAAGAGGCAGAACATGTCGCCGCCGATGCCGGTGGATGTGGGTTCTGTCATGTTGAGGCCGGCGGCTGGGGGGTTGTTGTGTTAGTTTGTTTACTTGTTCGGGCTTGCTTTTCAGATTTAGGGGAATTCAGGGGTAATCAGGAGTAAACAAACATACCCACGGCCACAGCGGCGTCCTAACAATACAGTCTATCAGTCAACCTGTGTTTTCTTCCAGCATTCAACAGATAAAGATGAAATAAACACCCTACCGCTGCGTTACCCCCCCCGTTCAACACTTTCAGACCACACTTGGCCGCCAAGGGCTGAGTACATGCCACAATGCCCTCGGTACTGTGGACTACGCTGCGCCGGCTCGGCCATTTCATGAACTCGCGCCCCGCCGGGGGGTATACCGAGGGGGTGGTGAGAGGGGCCATGGTGGTTGCTGACTGTTAGCACTTAAGAATACTTCGTAGAGGTGGAGTAATAGCCGAAGAAGATGTTAGTTTATGGAGAAGTGATTTGCGTGTATGATTAGTCCCGGTGAGATTTATTTTCTCAAAATAAATAAGTATTATTCAAATTCCGCTCTAATAGCAGAAGAAAAGTAGGACTGAATAAATATTTATACTTGACTCCCCAGTGACTGTTCGGGATGTCTTCGGTACGTTCGCCGGTTGCCCGAGGCCGATATCCGGCCATCGGCTACCTACATAGGTACCCGCGTGAGGGGCCGAATAATGGAGTCAAGCACCCCTCGCAGCACCCTAAATTGTACGCCCCTGCGGCCCCTCTTCTTGCCCCTCGGTCCCTGGTGGGGTTTGCGGGGCCGAGAGCCGCCCGCATCGGACCTTCCCGATGACGTGCTGGCCCGGGCATGGTATCTGATACTGTAATTTCGTATATGGTCCTTTGTTTGTGACAGTTGAAGATGGGTTGAAAAGTATGTAAAGTAATGACTTGGCCTCGGTTGGGAAACATAGGTCTGATGGTTGCACAACGGGATTTTTTCAAACGTTCTTGTTCATATTTCTGTTCTTTTTGGTCTCCAGATTAAGAATGTGACCAATGACAATCGTTTGTTGCCGTCGATGTCTTGTGTGACAAGAAAGTTACCAAAGCCATGGTCTTTAAGTGTTTCAAAGTGGTGGCTAACAAGCTGAAGAGATGTGAGAGAGTAGTCTAGTTTTTTTGAATATTTTACCATCAATTTATCTAACCAAGTAGAAAAACAATCTAACACCCCCCGAACGCGAGCCGAATATATGACCAAAGAAAAAAACCAAAAAGCTCACCACCAAGCCCTATCCCCATCCGGAGGGATAGCGGTTGGTGGTTACGAAAATCTTTCCCGTGAAAGATTTTGCTTCGCTGGCCCTGGGAATCGAACCCAGGGCCACTTCGATTTACGACGGCACCGGCGATGCTCCTCCCAATACCGCTGGGCCAAACACGCTGTTTGGCACATTGGGAGGAGCTGGTGACTGTTTCGCTGCGGGATCTAATATATATAGTGCGGGAGGGAAGGTACGGGATTGTACTATGTAGAGGGGCTGTTTGGTGCCCGAGGCTAGCTGGGAGGTCAGATGGGATAGAATCTAACCTGGACCATGTATAAGAGTAAAGCCATATGTTAGAGTCAAGCCGGTTCTTATAATTGAACTTGTGGAACTTGGCAGCTTGTGGCAGATCTGTTAATGATTCGGAAGCTTTGGATTTGAGCAGTTGATGTATCTTCCCCAGCTTAGAAGAAAAGGGGTAAAAACAACGACCCCTATGCAGTCACCCCCAAAACCTCCACCACCTCCTTCCCCCTCCCCTCCAAACACTCCCTCTCATGCACCACCTCCCTCGCCGTCTCCCCCCTTGCCGCATTCACCCACTCCACCAACCCCTTAACCTCCCCCCCAACCATAAACTCAACATACCCCTTCGCCTCCTCCCCTAATATTCCATCCACCCCCTCCCCAAAGACATACGTCCCCAACCGCAACACAACCGGCGCATAAAACGCATCCACCGCCCCAAACTCCCCCCCGGCCAAAAACGGTCCCCCAAACCTCCTCAACCCCTCTGTCCACAACTCATCAATCCTCTTCAAATCCGCCACCAGCGCCCGTCCGGCTTCGGAGTCAGGGGAGAAGGCCTCGGGACCGAGGCGGATGCGTATGTTGAGGTTGAAGCCGAGTTGGGAACGGATAGCACCGAAAGAGGAGTGCATTTCGGCGACGGCGGAACGGGCCCAGGCGCGGGCGGGGGCGTGGAAGGGGTAGATGGGTTTGTGCGGGTGGGTTTCGGAGAGGTATTCGGTTATGGCGAGGGAGTCCCAGAGGATTAGGGGTTCTTCTTTTTCTTTGTTTTCTTGGGTATTTTGTGACTTTGGGACCACGTGTAGACAGGGGACGCGGGCGGTGGGTGAGAAGGCGCGCCATTGGGGCTGGGCAAAGGTGCCGGAGACCATTTCGTGGTATTCTTCGACGAAGGGGATGTCGAGTTCACGTAGGAGGAGCCAGGGTCGCAGGGACCAGGAGGAGTAGTTTTTGTTGGTGATGTGGAGGTGGTATGTCATTTTTGCTGATGAAGTGAAGGGTTGTTGAATGGGTGGGTTAAAACGGTTCTAAGGATGTGTACTATCCGGGGCCGGATGGGATTGCTTCACCGTCGAATATTGGCTGATGGTGATGAGGTGAGTCACTACGGTTGAGGGCTGAATCACCAAAAAGGGGCTCTTATACGTTGTAAATATACACGCCCTTTCCTTGATTGACCCCGCTCAGTTACAAGTCGTCGAGCGGGTGGGGCCGGGATAAGAATAGCCCACAATAAACTACACGCAGATACAGAGATAGCATAACGGCACAACATGAGATAGATGCATCAAATCCGTTCGATATGGTACCAGCCTACACCAACCCCACAACGCCTACGCAGCCGGCGTCTGCTGCTCCGCCTTCTCCTTCGCCTTCTGCGCCTTCTTGGCCTCTATTTGCTTCTGCTTCTCCAGCTTCTTGAGCTGGTTCTTGGTCAGCTTGCCATTGCCCCCCTCCTCTCCGGCACCAGCCTCCCCCTCGATCTTGGGTACAACGATAGGCGCCCGTGGGTTGCCTTTATAATCAAGCGGCCGCCTCTCCATAAACAGCTTGACGTCCTCGTCACTGACTTTGGCCCGCCGGTCCTGGAACGCGGCCACATATTTTTGAAGCTCCTTGATGCAGATCGCTTTGAGCTCGCCCGTGAGGAGCTCGCCTTTTTCGTACGATACACGGATCTTCTCGAGCTCCTCGTCGTCGTCGAGGAAAAACCGGAGGTATTGGAATGATACGTCTACGTCTGTGTTGCCGCCTTGCTCACGGTGTTCCTCTACTGAGACCTTGCCGCCGGAGAAGGCGTACTTGTTGATCTTGTTCTTGATTTGGTTCGGCGTGTCCCTCATGAAGACTTGTTCGGTCAGAAATGGCTGCTACGCAGTTTCTCGGGTAAAACACTTACTTGCAGACTCATCAACCGAAGCGGACATCTTGGTACCGGGGCCTTGAAGCGCCGGCAAGAAGAGAGCGTGGATAAGGGACGGCTTGGCGTACGGATGGCCCTGGTACTTTAGCCTGGCTGATACGTCTCGGGTCATGCGAAAGTCTAGAATCGTCAGTGATAACCAATACGAAAGTTCGGTTTTGGGTGCTTACATCTAAAGCCTGTTAGTACAAGAGCAACCACGGAACAGAGATACGGGCACAAAAGACAAAAGTAGCGTAACCCAAAAGGCAGCCATTTTACTTACGGATCTTGGTCAATGGCGCATGGACTGCAGTTCGTTAGGTCCTGACTTGTCTACCACAGCATCTTAGACTAGAATACTCACATGAGCGCCGGTATCCCCACGGTCTTCGTCTCATCCTCGCCAAAGATGTGTGGGAACGATGATGCCCAACTGGTTGCACCTTCACGAGTGTTAATCCTCATCTAGACATTTACCAAACACGGCATGAACCTACCCTGAATGCTTCCAAAGTGGATCCTCCCAATGTTGCTGCTCTCGTTGAACCCAAAGATCGCGCGGGCCTGGTTGAGCGTGATGTGCTTTGAGAGTCGGACAATGTTCCTGTAGAATGCGCCACCAACGTAGTCAAACTAACTTCGTTAGCCGAGAGAGTTCACATTCAAGTCCCGCCGATTCCCTTACATCTGAAAAAATGAACGTCTTCGCTGGGTCGAAACCAATGGCGATAATGTCCTTGGCATTGCTGTTGCAGTACCCCTGCACTTCCTCAATCGTCCGCTTCTCCGAGAACAGGTACCTGGGGGGGTTAGCAGAGTCCTCACCCTAATCTTCAAGGAGGGTTCTCACTTCTCGTCATCCGTCAACATGATGATGAGCTTCAACATGTTAGTGTCGCCATAATACACCCCAAAGTCATACTTCGCATCCACATACCGGCACGTCGAACGTATCCTGAAGCCCTGCTCATAGTATTAGCCCCTGTCTACCACATCCCGCTTTCCGAATCCTCTGTCAAAACCAAATCCTCTAGCAAGTCACAAACATACATTTTGTAAACTCAAACGGAATAGTATGCCCAACATGCACACTATCCGACGACGGACCACGACCAGTGTACAAATAAAACGGCTCGCCGCGCTCATACCGGTCGAGGATGAGCTCAAAGTCGCGGTGGGAAAAGACAATGCCGCGGCGGAGGAAGTGGTGTGGGCGTTTGCCGGTGACACGCTCAAAGCGCTCGAGTAGCGCCTCGTCGATTTTCTTGGTGCCGAACTCGTCGACTAGCTTGTTGTAGTCGATCGCTTTGACTACGCCGTCTTCGCCGACTTCGCCGGAGACCTGGGGCGGACACAAGGGTTAGAGAGGGTGTATGGGCGGAGGGAGGGGGGTTGAGTTGGGCATTTGACGAACGTTGTAGGGGTCAATGGTCTGTTTTTGCTGTTGTGGCTTCTGGACAGACTCGGGGGCCGGAGACTCGTCGAGAGCCGCTGGAGGAACGGTGTTTGTCATGTTGGAAAGTCGGCACTAGGGGTAGGTGAATTGTGTCGAAGTGTTGGACTATTCCCAGGAATCAAATTGCACGTATTAGGACCGACACCAAGATCCTCGTTCCTAGCGAGCTTCTTATATCCAGGTATAGGTGTTCAAAGGCCCAGTGAGTCAATCACGGGGGCTTCTTCTAAAACCTGCAGCGCTTGGTCGCATTTGTGACATGGGATGGCGGGGGAGGGGCATCGATTACAGGGATTTACCACTTAGAGAAGGCGGGAGAGCACGGCAGAACGAACTGTGCCTGCCGAGACAAGTTCCACAGCAGCAGGGGTCCGGAATGTGCAAACCCAATCTTTTTGGTAAAGAACCTCAGGAACCTGCGGTGGATTCTTTCGACCTGCATCTTGGTTGCTCTCGAGCGCCGATGCTTCTTCTCCCGCAACCACGCCTGGTGCTCCGCAATTATGTTGGCAGCACCATGGGTGTGCCGTAGCTGCATGGTCTCTCTGAGGCGTGTCGGCCGTGCGCAGTTTATTCGGCGATTTAGTACAGGTATTACTTCGCCGCATCTTTCTAGCAGCAGATGCTACTTGCTTTGATTCTCTTCAATTGACCGGAATTCGAGTTAGAATCTGCGCCAAACCTCCCACCCGCCCTCCTCGAACGAGCCCGGAAGCTCACAGTCGAACACGACCAATTGACCGCGGGTCTAGAAAATGACTTTGATCCGAAAAAGGCGAAACGGATGGGCGAGATCTCCCGAGTTGCTAGCGCACTCAAGGAATTCGAAAAGGCCAAGGCCGCGTTGGGGGAGCTCCACGGCCTCCTAGAATCCGACGATGCCGAGATGCGGGAGCTGGCAAAGGACGATCTCGCCGCGACAAACGCCCAGCTCGCCGAATCGAGCCACAACCTTTCAGTCGCCCTGACCCCCAAGCATCCCTTCGCCGACATGCCGTGCCTTCTCGAGATTGTGCCCGGCCCGGGGGGCACCGAGGGCCGCTACTTCGCCGACTCGCTGTTCCACATGTACAAAACATACTGCGCGAATAAGGGCTATCGCGCACGGGTTGTGAAGTACGAAGCTTCGGACAGCGATGGCTCAACGGGGTCAGAAGGAGAGATTCCGCTTCAGGAAGCCGTGTTGGAAGTTCAAGAGCAAGGAGCGTATGATGTCTTTCGCGGCGAAGCAGGCATGCACCGGGTACAGCGCGTGCCAGCGACAGAGAAGAGCGGGCGCACGCATACGAGCGCGGTGGCGGTATGGGTGCTCCCATCGTTCCCGGAGAGCGACGTCACAGATTTTGAGGCAGACTGGGACAAGCCGGAGAGCGACTTCTACATCGACCCGGGCGAAGTCAAGTCCGAGAAGATGCGGGCGGGTGGCGCCGGCGGGCAGCACGTGAACAAGACCGAGTCGGCGGTCCGGCTGACCCATATCCCGACGGGCATCGCGGTGAGCATCCAGGAGTCGCGGTCCCAACAACGCAACCGGGAAATAGCGTGGCGGCTGCTGCGATCTAGGATCGCGCAGAAACGGCGCGAAGAGCGAGAGGAAGCAGCGCGCCAGCTGCGGAACAGCGTCCTGGCGAGCTCGCAGATTACGCGCGGCGACAAGATTCGGACGTATCAGTTTCAGCAGGACCGGTGTACAGACCACCGCAGCGGGGCCAACGTTCACAATCTGCCTGACGTTCTCCGCGGCGGGGAGACGTTAGGGAAGGTCATGGAGAGCGTCCAGACCTGGTTGGTCAACAAAGACATTCAGGGGCTCATCGCTGATGAGGAGGCGGCGGCCGTTGTCGAGAAAAAGCGCAAGTGATTGTTGTTTCGGCATAATGTGTTACGAAATCCTGTACATTATGGATACACCAGATAAATGCATAGTAGATTCCATCTTGGTAACTCACACTGGACGTTCAAGCCTTCATCGATCGTCCCGTCTCGTCGGCAACCGGCGCAAGCCGTCGGACGATCAAGGCTTCTTTTCTTTCGTCCCGAATCTACCTTCTCGAACCGAACGAAATCCACTTAGCTCGGTTCAAAAACATGCTCACTTTCTTACTTTCTCACCGAGAAGCTTTTCCAGTCGATGGAGTCCCGAGTCCCGCGCTCCCCAGACTTTTTGTTTTTGGCCCTTGGGAGCGCGGGCTTGCGGGCGCGCAGAAAAAGCGGAGAACCGGCTTCCTGCCGAAGTGTATGGCCAATCAAACCCCGCTGCTTCCTCCCGCACCTCCCTAATTGGGACGGCCCCCAAGGTTACAGGTGCTTGGGTCCTTGGCACCACCATGTCCTGCAGGCGGCCTTGCCCAACCTCCTGTCGTTTGGCAAGCGGCCGCTCGGCTTCACGGGGATCGGCAGTGAGAATTCAAACAGGGCAAGCAGGAGAATAGTGGAAGCCTCGGCCGTGGTGTTTTGTTTCACTTTGGATGTGTTGCTTGGAAGGCAGGTAGTGCTTCCAAGGCCCGAATTATCATCCCGATCCTCGGATAATGGGGAATGAATGAATTGCATGGACGCCAGATAAGGAATACCCCGCAATCCACCACCAGCAAATTTCCCAGCGGGCTGTGCATTGGTAACTTAAAGACCAGAACCGCGGGTGCTTCCAGGACGGGTAGGTGCGAAACTTGAACTTTGACACCCCGGAATAAGCGGGCAGCCAACAAACAAACGCACCGAACCACCCGCCACGTACACCTCGTGGGAAAAGGGTTCATCTCCCCCGCACCGTCGTTTAGCCCGGCCATTTGCTTCCATTGGACCGTTGCTTTGATCCCTCTCCCCAGCTTGGGAGATGATGATGGAGCTTCGAGTCTAGCGGGGCGGTCCTTTTCGCATGTCCGGTTGGTTGGCGCGGTGGAATTGAGAATTGAGGGATTGTTGTTTACGGATAGTGCAGGCCACTCGGTGTCTCGTTGGGGGCGCAAAAGTACCCTATCTACAGAGGTACTGCCTATCCGGCTGTTTGTGCCGGCCGGGGGTTCCAATCGGTGGGTGATTCGGTGATACAGCGGCAACGGAGTTACGGTACCTTATTGTCCCCCCCTTGCCCGCGTTGAAGCCGTACCATCTGGTTAGGATTGTTGATCTTTTATTGTTTTATTTTTATCTCCCCTCTTTCTCTCCTCCTCCTTCTTTCTCTCTCTTCTTTCCTTCTGGATCCCACTTCGGTCCAACATCGGTGCCATTGGTGTTTGCGGGCGGTTATCAATACATGGTAAGGATCTTCGTCCGTCCGAACTATAAGATCCATTTCCCCTGTACCCCCAGATACATACACAAACACCAGTTCTGTCATCCTCGCACGGCATCGTTTTGCCCAAACACCTGACTAAGGTCGGCAACCAAGATGCGGTGGACGACTTTCCTCTCGGCGCTGTTGCTCTCCGGCACGGCCGACGCCGCCGGCCGCAGCATCGCACATGCTGGGAAACGCCATGTCGAGCACGCCGCGAAGCGTGCAAGGTCGATGGTGGGCGCCGACTTCCAGCCCCCTGTTGTCGAGCGGGATGAGAAGGCGGAGCACAAGTTCCTGAACGCGAATACCACGAGTGAGTTGTGCCCGCGAACCACAATTGAGGATTCAATTTGGCTTTCTAGTTGATCAATTGGGCAATTGATGCTAATACGGGTTTTATAGAATTCGCTGTTGATGGCAAGGGCATTCCGGATGTTGACTTTGACGTGGGCGAGTCTTACGCTGGATTGCTGCCCATTACGAGTAAGAAGGATGAGGAGAGCAATTTGTTCTTCTGGTTCTTCCCCTCGACTAATGAGGCGGCGGATAAGGAGATCATTATCTGGCTGAACGGAGGTGTAAGTCATGTTTTTCATGTGCTTTGCAAAACCAGGTTCCCGTGCCCCTTTATTAACGTGTTATGATTTGTAGCCGGGGTGCTCGTCCTTTGAAGGCCTGTTGCAGGAAAACGGGCCGTTCTTGTGGCAATATGGTACCTACAAGCCGGTCAAAAACCCCTGGAGCTGGCACACCCTGAGCAACATCATCTATGTTGAGCAGCCCGTCGGCACCGGCTTCTCCACCGGCAAGCCTTCCATCACAAACGAGGAGGAGCTGGCAGACCAGTTCAAGGGGTTCTGGAAGAACTTTGTTGACACTTTTGGCCTGCACGGCTACAAAGTGTACATTGCCGGCGAGTCCTATGCGTATGTCTCTCTCTCTTGGTCTCTTTCAGAGAGAGGGTTACTATGTACAGTGTGTGAGCGAGCATGGTGCTAATACTGTTTCAGTGGCTACTACTGCCCGTACATCGCCCACTCCTTCGTTGAGGACGAAGACAAGACCTACTTCGACCTCGCCGGGATGACCATCTACAACCCGTCCCTCACCTTCGACGAGGTCCAAGAGCCCATCCCAGCCGTCGCCTTCACCGAGTACTGGGCCGGTCTCTTCCCCTTCAACGACACCTTCCGCGCCGACCTCAAGCGCCGCGAGCAAGAATGCGGCTACGCCGACTTCCTCGCCGAGTACCTCGTCTACCCCCCCAAAGGCCCCATGCCCAACCGCCTCCCGGGAACCGACAAAACCGGCACCACCCGCGACGAGTGCTGGAACATCTACTGGGACATCTTCGATGCCATCAGCCTTCTCAACCCCTGCTTCGACATCTACCAAGTCGCCACCACCTGCCCCTTACTCTGGGACGTCCTCGGCTTCCCGGGGTCCATGCCCTACCTGCCCGAGGGCACCGACGTGTACTTCGACCGCGCCGACGTGAAAAAGGCCATCCACGCGCCCGAGGGCGTGACCTGGGAGGAGTGTTCATCCGACGACGTCTTCGTCGGCGGATCGGATGGTTCCCTGCCCTCCACCCTCTCCGTCCTCCCGCGCGTCATCGACGCCACCAAGAACGTCATCGTCGGCCATTCCGCCCTCGACATGATCCTCCTCGCAAACGGTACCCTCCTCTCCTTTCAGAACATGACCTGGGGCGGCAAGCTGGGATTCCAGAACCGGCCGGACCAGCCTTTCTACGTGCCGCATAACAACATCACCGGGCTATCCACGCTGGCCGGCGCCGGGGTGTTCGGCAGTTTGGTCTCGGAGCGCGGGCTGACGTTTGTTGGTGTGGACCTTGCTGGGCATATGGTCCCGCAGTATGCGCCCTCGGCGGCGTATCGTCATGTTGAGTTTATGCTGGGCCGGGTGGACTGCATGAATTGCACCAAGCCGTTCACGACGGACCCCCAGACGCCGCAGAGCGATGGTGACTTGGGTTTCGGGACTGCGCCGCCTGGGTGGAGTGGTATTGATGGTGGGAAAGGGAAGGGAAAAGGTAAGCCGCCCCGTCGGATTAGGAAGTGATGAAGTTAGCTGGTCATGATGGCAGTTACCTAGATAAATGATGACATGTATAGCCAGCAGTGGCTGGTTCAAATATCACAAAAAGACCAACAAGTCACGTTGAGTGAAATCGAATCATGCGAAGGAGAAACAAAGTTTTCGAATTGGCATCGAAGTAACGACTGTGAATCCCGTAATGCGTTCCACAATACCCCGAACCTATTCCATCTCGCCTTCTCCATCCGCTCGTCCTTCGCGTCCCATAGCTTGACTAGGCCGAGCTTAAGCCCAAGTCAGACCGCTGGGACCTCCTCCGTTGTGAGTATCATACAAGCAGAAAAAAATACACAAAGAGTGGAGCAAGAGAACCCTCCCTCACCCCCTTCCCAGAGCCCTTGGAATGTACCACCCGCCTCATCACAATAAGGAATGTCCAACTCCTCCCAATTTTCCGGCTTCCTTAAGGCTAAATTTGTTCGGCCGTTACATGATCATGAGCGTGAGAAAAAAAAGCCTCCTCGCAAGAATACGTAGAGACCGAAACAACTGGTATCCGTTACGCCGTGCCGAAAAAAAAAAGATAAACCGAAAGAAAAAAAAAGGGCGTTGAGAAGGGGGTGGGTCGATGTGGAAAATATACAACACGAGAGCCAATGCGGCACTGTGTGACAAGTCCGTCCCTAAAAAGGAGACGGGTAACGTATTTGACATGGAAGTCGGGATAGTAACTTTGGTTCCGGTTCGCTGAATACAGGGGGTATCGTTGTCGTGTGGGTATATGAGGGGAGTACTAGGGCGTCCTCGGTCGACTCAGGCGGACAAAATTCGGAAACCAGGGCCGTGAATAAGTGGTATCACGTCGGCGTTGACGGCATGACATGGGCGAGATATTTTTCAATGAGCCGGCATGCCACTCTGGTTCATCTTGCGCTGCTCCAGCACGCCAATGATACCCGTCTGCCGCAGCCTCTCAAGGATCATTCTCATGCCCTCGCGGCTCTTGCCGAGCTGGTCCTGCGTCTTGGTCGACGCCAGCGTCTCAATGCTGCGTTGGATGCCCCGGGCTCCCAACCGCGCGAAGAAGCCGTTACCCCCTTCGTTGTTCGACGCCGCCTCGACCTGCGCGGGCGCCTGCGCCTGGCCCAGCCGGTCGCGAATGCGGTCGCCTAGCCGCGAGCGGAACACCACTTTCGTCTCCACGTCCGTGTTCTCCGCCGCTGCCGTAGCCGGCGCACCCGGCGCCGCCGGCGGAATAGTGTATAGCTGCTTCTCCACGACGGAGAGCACGCCAACAAAGTTAAGGTTTCGGCTCTCCGTCGACATCCATCCCTCGCGCATGTCGACAACGCTGGTCTCGAGAATGTACGACGCCTTGTCTGAAGTTCCACCGGTCAAAGTGGACGGCAGCAGTTTCATGATGCTCGGTGATAGGCGTGACTTCTTGAGGTGGATGCGAGTCGTGTGGAGGCGGCCTGTGGCGGGGTCGACACGCGAGTCGATGGTGTCGGTGCTCAGGACATGGTTGGCGAATGGGTTGAGCTGCGGCGAGCAGTACCGGAGGAAAAAGGCAAGGGTCACAGTCGGGAGGGGATGCGAGTAAGTATGGAAAGTGGTGTGTGTGAGGACCATGTTGACTTCTTCTTTCGATTATGGCCTATGACCCAATATGTCGTTTGGAGTTGGCCAAGCTGGCTGTATGTATGTAGCGTTGGGACTGTGCTTGTCGTGGTGGATGACGACGGAAGGCAACGTAGAGGAGCTTGGATCCCAGCTTCAAGGCGGGGGCGAGGGTCGAGTTACACGGACTGGGACTGATGATGTCCCTAGGGAATGCGGGGAGAACGGCTCATGCAAGAAGCACAGCTCAAGGTCAGATGCGTGGTGCGTGGTGCGTTGGAAAAGGGTCTTGTGTGTGCTTTTGGGGTCGCAAAATTGCCGTTCAAATTTCGGCAGCTCGGGAGGGGTTTCTTCGGGGGAGAGCGTGCTCCGGCGAAAAGGTTCGCTCGGGATGCCCCGAATTGGTGAACGAGGTTTTTGCAATTGAGGAGAACGGGAGAAAACCAAGTATTCTATCAGTCGAATTGGGAGGAGTTCCCGGGGAAAATGCGGGTGGCCAATCGAGCCATGCAGAGTCGAAAGTGGGACGCAACCTCTGACGATTCCGGGCTCGCTCTCCGCAAATGCTGCTGCAACTTTTTTGGGTGGTTGCTGCAGTTGACGCGGAGGCGGAAGCGAGGCGGGGGGCGACGTCACGAGACCATCTAGACAGCCAGACCACGCTATCTCTCTGGCTTATCTAAGACAAATTGCTGAGTATTGTTTCTTATAAAGCCGAGGCATATGTCTACTCCCTGGTTTTTAGAGGCGCTCTAAATGAATATATTCGTATTATGAAGACTTTAACCCAATATTCTTGCGAGAAATGGAAGCTACCTTATGGCCAGGTGGTAGCAATGAAGGTCTCTCAGGTTAAGTGACAAAGGTGGGGCTGGAGCTTCCTCATGCTTCTCGAATCTTTCTGCCTTACAGCCTGGTCCAGCGGATTCGATCTCGTCAGGCAGCGAAACCTTAGTAGCGCTTAGTCACCAAAACAGGCACAGAACCCTTAACTGTCGTGCACACCCCTCGAACCTCGAACGCAAACCATTCCACCTCATTTCCTTCCCCTTCAGATTTCGTCGCCCATTACCGTTGAACACACCCCGATCGCACAACAGCCTAGGACCCGACGAAACGAAAGCAGCTCGCTGCAAGTTCCCTGTGAACGGCAACCCCGCGCTCGCTTTCTTCGACTGTTGTTTTTCGCTATCTCTGGTGAACAAAGTCACCGATTGACTCGGCAAACAACGAACCCCTTCACGCGACCACCCATCAAGAAAGCGCCAGCGGCTCCTCTTTGCGCAGTCGCACTCATCACAGGACATCTTTCGGCCTTTGGCCCGTTACTAACTGGACTTATCTGAATTGCCGGCCAAGGTGGTGGTGCTATTCAGGCGGGGATCAATTGCGATTCTCTTGTTCACCCAGTTTTCTTTTTCAATAGGAGGCCAGTGTTTTTGCAAAGGGAGGGCTTTGTATTGCAATTTCTTTTTTTGCTAAAACCTCTATTCATGGGGCTCTTTCTGTTTCTCTGTCTTGAGAACATTCAGAATTGACTGCATCCAAACCCTGAGCTGAAGAGACGAGCACATGGTGGCCGTGGGAAATTACAAGAACAAGAAAAAAACATCGAGTCCTTTTCACTCCCAATTTTATCTATCGTGCGAAACAGGCCGCGAGAGCACCTAATTTAGTACGCCCCGATTCCGGGCACCCCAGCATTCTTCGACCATTCTCAACGCTCCTAGCCCCTACAACATCACCGTAGGACGCCTCAGGCGACCACAACCACACAATGGCGTCCTCTGTGTTTTTCAAGTTCAAGTCGCAAAAGGAGCCCACACGTGTGGAGTTCGACGGCACAGGCATTTCCGTCTTCGAACTGAAACGTGAAATTATTTTGCGAAGCGGACTCGGCGATGGCACCGATTTCGACCTGGTCATCTGTGCCGATGAAGGCATGAAAGAGGGTAAGCATTTGAACGATGACCATAAACCTCAGGAAGCTAGAAGTACTGACAATTAGACAGTGTATGATGATGACACAACGATCATTCCCCGCTCGACTACCGTTATTGCCCGGCGCATGCCCCCTAAGATCCCCGGTAAAGGCGGAGCCGCTCGCTATGTCTCCGGAAAGATGCCCATACATGCGAAGAATTCGTCGCGACGGGAACAGGTGGCAAAGCCCGCAGCCAAGGCGCAGTCGAATACGCTAGCACAATTGAGTAGCGCCATGACAGAGGAGGAAAAGCTGGCGGCTGTTTTCCAGGCCCAGACGGAGGGTTTTGCCTCCAAGGAAGAAGAGATGTCCACGTAAGTCGCATGTCTGACTCCATCGTTGTTACATAGTAGAATGCCTGATGACTAACACTTTTTAGACAACAATATGTCGCCAAGGGTGGCCCCAAGAAACCGACCCATGTCCCCGACCATGATCCTCCTCAAGGCTACATCTGCTATCGTTGTGGTGAGAAGGGCCATTGGATCCAGCTCTGCCCAACCAATGACAACCCAGAGTACGATAACCGCCCGCGTGTCAAGAGAACCACGGGTATCCCGCGGTCGTTCTTGAAGACCGTTGATAAGGCTACTGCCCTGGGCCAGAACGCGGATGGTGATGAGACCAAAACGCCCTCCGGCATCATGGTCAATGCGGACGGAGAGTTCGTGATTGCTGAGCCGGACAAGGCATCCTGGGAGCAGTTCCAAGCCAAGGCCAAGGCCAACCCCGCTGCGCAAAAGGCTGCTGCGGAGGAGGACAAAGTTGTCCGGGAGCGAGGCTTGGAGTGCCCGGTCGACAAGAAAATGTTCATAGAGCCAATGAAGACTCCGTGTTGTGAGAAGACGTATTGCAATGATTGCATCACTAATGCTCTCATTGAGAGCGACTTCGTTTGCCCGGCCTGCAAGACCGAGGGCGTCCTGATCGATGATCTGAAGACGGACGAAGAGGCGGTTGAAAAGATTAAGGCATTCCTCGCCGAGAAGGAGGTGGCCAGCAAAGAAGGCTCAAAGAGCCCTGCACCGCAGTCACCGGCGGCTGCCGCAGGGACGGATGGAGTTGAAAACAAGGGGGACACAACTGCTAAGCCCAAATCCAAGTCACCATCACCATCACTGGTTCCAGCATCGGCTTCGGCCGCGCCCGCTACTACTCAGCCCGGCCAATCCTCAACCTCTACCCCACAAAGTGCCACAACACCAAACCCCGGGAACACCCAGCTTTCCAAGAAGCGTCCAGCTGATGACGTGCTCGAGAACCCCAAGATTCCCAAGGCACCCAAGGCCATGCAGAAGGCGCAGGAGACCCAGCAGCAGCAACAAAACGTGATGCCTATGATGAACGGGATGAGCGGTATGAACGGGATGAACGGAATGAATGGCATGAACGGCATGGGTTCGATGGGAATAGGCGGCATGCCCATGATGTATCCCGGCATGCCCATGATGGGTAGTAACTTCAACCCCATGGGCAACATGCCCAACATGAACATGGGCATGATGAACATGATGAACCCCATGATGGCCGGCCAGATGGGCGGTGGCTACAATAACAACAATATGGGCGGCGGTGCCAACGGAGGCTACAACAACGGCGGCGGTTGGGGCGCCGGTAACATGAACGGCATGGGCGGTGGCATGAACGGCCCCAACGGCGGACGGATGAATGGGATGGGTATGGGCGGCATGGGTGGTGGCGGGTATGGTGGTGCTGGTCACCAACAACACCAGCAATATCAACAACGTCACCAGTACCAAAACGGCCAGGGACAACAAGGCCATCAGCAAAACTTTGGCCAACCCAATTTCCACAATAATCAGCACAACAACGCCATGGCGTTTTCTCACCAGCAAACCGGGGATGAAGACGACGCCTACTTCCGAAAGCCGGTCAACCCACACCGGCACCAAAACCGGCAGCGCCGGGTGCGGCCAAGCGATTACCGTGAGCTATGAGGGCGGTTCTCTGCAGCGTACATTACTGAGACCTTTCTAACGTATATACGGGACTGGTATTCACGGCGTTGGTTCGGTGGCCCGATCTTACATTTCTGAACGGGCTCATCTCTTCTACTTTCTCTTCTTCATTTTCTTGTTAGCTTCTTCTTTTGCCAAGGGCCCGGGCTAGAAAACTGGGATAGGGGCGGCTTGTCCCACGGAGATAATTCATGAGGAAAGGGAGGATAACCTTCGGCATAGCCCAGCTTTTGTGGCCCATTCATCATTACGCCGCATATTTGGCGTTGGTTCGGCGTTGTTACGGATGGATGTATGTCCTTTTTAGGGGTGCTCCCTCTTGAATTTAGGGGAAGAAACGTGGTTAGGGATAGGGAATAAAAATACAAACCAATAAAGTGGTCAGATTCCAAAAATCACTGTATCATGTCGTGATGCAAACTCCGTTCAGTGTTTAATGTTCACACCAAATTTCATTACTCCAGACCAAGCCGAGGCGTGACTATCTAATTGTGTATAGCCCCCAACAAGAAATACAATCCGGTCTTAATCACTCCTTTCCTTCTCGGTATCCAGCCGGCTCAGAAACCAACTCCTCTAATCTCCCCGTTAAGACTCCCCAGCCACAAATCGCTGATGACGGCAAGGGGTATCTTCAGCTTGCTCTTTTCGCGCTCCCTTGCACCCTGCAGACTGGCCGTGCCTCCGCATATTTATCACTTTTCTCTTTTTTTCTCTGACCTTGAAGGTCTGTCTACCTTGGCCCCCAGGAACCACTCACGCAGGCGGCACAAAGGGCTTGACAAGCATCTCACTAAAGCGCTCCAGCCTTTCTTTCCCACGGACCTCCTCCACCAGCAGCGGCATCTTAACCACATTGAACTCGTCATACAGCTCCTCGATTTGCTCCAGGTACTTCTTTTGCATACGACGGCGGGCAGTACACTGCTCGCAATCGGAACCAGCCTTGGGGAACAGCAGCTGATTGACCACAATACTGTGGGTATCGATACCATAGCTAGCAAGCTCCTGAATCATGCGCTCCGTCTCATAAAGCGACAAGAACTCTGGGATACAAACACACACAAAAGTAGTCAGGCGCTCGTCTTTAAACTGCGTGTTGACCTCGGAGATGGTGGCGCGCAGCGCCTCCAGCTTCTCCATCATCTCGCCGAGGTTCTGGCCGTTGGGCAACGTGCCGTTGCTGCCGAGGAAGCCGTTGAGGAGGGGGCCGTACTGGCTGGAGAGCTGGGAGACTTTGGCGAGGGCTTTTTCGAGGACGGAGGGGAATTGGAGGAAGCGGAGGGTGTGGCCTGTTGGGGCGGTGTCGAAGATGATGGTTTCGTAGGAGAGCGACTTGACTTGCTTGAGGACTTCGGCGAAGGACATGGCTTCGTCGATACCGGGGATCTAGATCGGGGGGAGAAAGATTTAGTGTTCGTCACGCATACATACACCGGTGTATCCAACGGAGGCAGCAAGAGGAAAATGGAGTAGTACGTACCGCAAAAGCCAAATCCTGCATCATACCACCCATCCCGCCCATATCAGCCGCTCCATCGCCCTCGCCCTGCCCAGCCAGCAAATCTTGGATGCTCCCATTAGGGTCGATCTCCATGGCGCTGAGGTTCTCAAAGCCGTCGATGAGGCGGGCCTCTTTGCCGAATTTTTGGCTGAAGGCGTCACTGAGGTTGTGGGCCGGGTCGGTTGAGATGAGCAGCACGGAGCGGCGCACCTTGGCCAGCTGGATGGCGAGTGAGCAGGATGTGGTTGTCTTGCCTACACCTCCCTTGCCGCCGACGAAGATCCAGCGCAGCGAACGCTGGTCGAGGATCGACTGGAGGGTCGGCTCCATGGCGTCGCCGTCGTCGACGTTGATTAGTGTGGCCGACATCTTGGGATTCTGGTAAAAGTCGGGGTGAAAGAGGAAGGTTATTGTGATCGTTGTCAAGGTAGTTGGGATCGCGGGGTAGATCGGTGGGAGGTTTCGAGAACACCAAGAGGGTGGGTGCTGTACACGCCGTACTCGAGTGAGAAGTCAAGTGTTTACGTGTTCGAAGGTGATGTTGTATACCTGCAGACAAACACAGGGATCTCGGGCAGCGGTGGTGTTGTTGATTCCGCCTCTAGAAACTCTTCGAAGGCCAAAGTCACATCCACCGCCCTGGGGTCTGCTGGCCGCAACGTCACTGGCATTGGTGGGGTAAATTTAACTGGTTACAGGGGGCATCGATCCCGCTGGCATGTGGCCATCAAAGAGCCGGCTGAGCACCCCGCCAACCGCCAACGTCCACCCGAAGACCTCCTCACCAGGTCCTAGGCCTAGACAGTCTCACAGGACCACCTGGCATTCAGCACCGATGAAGCTGAGAACTAGACCTCCATCGAGAATGGATACGCTCGGTGTTTAGCCCTTCAATAATCAGAAGCGAGCGGTGAGGTAGCATCTTGACCACTGGGCGCCACATTCAGGCATACCAATAAATTCCGTTGCTGGTGACACTAACGATAGGTTGGGTTCAATATCTTGATTTCGCATTCAGGGCATCAGCCGCACCCAAGCACCTTCCCCTGGTGACTGACGGAATCGGGAAATACGCAAATGCCTCAGGGCAGGTGGCGATCTTCCATTTGGGCCGCCGAGTAGGGAGTCCGTGTGGGGGGACTTCGAAAGTAAACAAAGTATCCGATGGATAGGTACCTTGAGTGTGGTTGAAGAAGAAACTTTGGTTTTTTTTAATGATGGCTTGCCTCAGCATCAGGAAGGAAAACAGTGATTTTGTGAAGAGTATCTCCACGTTATTTTTTTCCCTTTTTCCAACCAGACAGTCTCCCGGGTCGACATGTCGGAATTGGCCGTTCGCAGCAGCAACGCCCCCGGGGCCAGCCGCTGACGACCACCGCGGGGCTTAGCGAAAGTGGGTTTCAGGGGGGCGTTCAGCAGCCCAATCGCCCAAGTATTTCTCCCGATCATGGAGGGCACCCGCCGTTTCTCGGCCTGCAGATCGCGTGGTACGAAAACAGGCAGCAGGGAAGGTAAAAGAGTCCTAGATCTTGTAAACTTTTCAGTGCCGAAAGCTCCCCTGAGCTCGTCGTCTTTACATAAAAGCGGTGTTGTTTCTATAAATTTCGTGGTGCCTCGCTCCTTCTGGTTGTACATACATACGCCGTCAGTGTGAGCCGTTACCCCTCACCTGCAGGTGGGTTTGGGAAACTTAGTTAAGTGCGAGCTGTAAACCGAGGTTTCGGCATCACAACTTCCCGTCACAACCGTGGACATTGCTCAAACAGAATCACAAACAGCTGTCAAAGGGCGGGTTTTAATGTGAGTCAATTTAAGGATTCCCAAACAGCTTTGGTCCCCCCCTTCCATGTTTACATAAATTCCATGCTTTCCTTCCCGAACCCCTTTGCCCATCTGCAGCTTCCCCCCACCCCGCAACACCAAAACCAATCATCGTCAACTACCACCCAACCCAACCACTGACATCATACCCCCCATAAAGAAAACAACCTCACCTCCCGCTCAACAAACCCAAAGCAACCAACGACAAAGAAGAAAAAAACCAAAGCAACCGCCCAACATGGCCCTCCCAACCCCCGAAGCCAAAGACCGCATCACCTGCCACGTCCTCGACACCACCCTGGGCCAACCCGCCCGCAATATGCGCGTCAAGCTCGAGCTCATCTCCTTCTCCGGCAACCCCTCCTCCACCACCTCCACCTCCACCTCCTCCACCACCGCAGCAACAACCGAAGCCACAACCAGCGCAACCGCCTCCCCCGCCGGCCCCCCCCCAACCCCAGCCCCCAACCGCATCTTCGAATCCCAAACCGACGACGACGGCCGCATTAAGGTATGGCTTCCTTACTCGTCGGCGACTTCGTCGGGCGAAGTGCCCGTGTACACGCTCGAGGACGTGTTTGGCGGGTTGCCCCATAGTGAGAACAATAGCGGTATTAGTCGGTGGACGCTGCGGTTTGATAGCGCGGGGTATTTTGGAGGGGTTGATAAGACGTTTTATCCGGAGGTGGAGGTGTCGTTTACGGTGCGAGAGGGGGAGCGGTATCATGTGCCGTTGTTGTTGGCGCCGTATGCGTATAGTACTTATCGGGGGAGCTGAATGGGCGTGGATGGGCGAGGATAGGAGGATATGATGATGAGGGAGGTACCCGACACTCGATGAGAGAGAGCATTGATAGTTATGGTTGGTGTTGAGGGATTGGTGGTTGGTTTGGGTGAGAGAGGGCTACGCTGTGAGCTTTGGGAGAGCCGTTACAAACCAAGTTTTTAACTAGTCGTGTCATAGGACTCATCGCAGTCAATGGGCCATGGGCATTTTTAAACAACCTCTGGCAGTAATATGTTTTTTTCTTTCTTTTTTTTGGCTGATTTACCCCTATCTTTGTATATACCCTATGTATTCCCCATCCTGCTTAACCAGACATACCCCATTTCTCCCTATGGCCGTATCCCAACCTAAACGAATGCAATGCTGTGCTGTCGACAAGTAATGTCGCTCCTTGCCCGCAGGAGTTTGATGCCGTGGGGCTAAAACTAATAATAGTGGTGGTGGTAATGATAATAATAATGAGAGTGGTGACAAACGAGTGACTGTTTTCCTTTTCCCTGCTGTGTGTGGTGTTCGCCCAGGAACACCCCCAATGCATATGCCCAACCTCCCTTGCAATCTATCGCCAGGTTACCCTTATCCAGTCGTCAACAGTCGTTATTGCCAAAATGCAAGCTATGCAAATGCACCAAAACAAAACAAAAAAAATACCCATACTCCTTCCTCCCTGCTGGTTGTAGATATGTGAAATAATGCAATACCGGCGAGTTCGAGAAGAGAACGTGAGGTGAGTGAGGTGAGTGAGGTGAGGTGAGTGGCTTGATGCTCATGTATAGTTCACCCTGGCTTCGTGGACAACCCGCACGCCAACTCGCCCGCAGTCTCCTTTATAAGGCGGCTATGACCGGCCTAGCGGTGGATGAACCTGCCCAAAAAGCTGCTCCTCCTGCGTCGCCGGCCCTTTCGAGGATCCTGTGCTTCAGACTCCCGAGGGTCGACCTTAGCGGTGGGTGGGCGGTCAAATTCTGTGCCGCGATGCCGGGGAGACTCTGGGTCTTGGCTGCTCAGTCCGTCGCTCGACTCTTCGGAATCACCATCCCTTGATGGCATAATCGAGTTGATGGCCATCTGCCTGATCGTGGCGAAGGTGCTCTCTTCTGGGGGGTTCGGCGAGTTCTCCTCGATGGTAGAGGTGCGGCTGGCGGCCTGCCGGGCCATGAAAGACTCGCGGTATCGATGCAGAGCCCGGGCCGGGTTGATATCGTCTTCGGTGAGGCAGGCATCGGGCCCGAAATTCGCTTCAGGGTGCGGGAGTGATGTGTTCCGGGCTGCGAGCTGGTTAGCTATGACTCTTTTTATCACCGGCTCGCCCGTTTGGTGCGTTGAACTTACTGCCACAGAAGGCGTCTGGAAAGCCCGTATTCCGTTCACGGAAAGACTCCCGCGAGGGACTCAACATAATCGGCATCATGTGTTCGGGTGTGGTGTACTTAGAGGACGGAGACCTCTTAAGCCTTGGTCTGCGCATGGTGAGGAGAGGTTTAGTGTTTGTCTTTGAGAGTTTGCCGGTGGTCTGTTTTCTTAAGAATCTGGTCCGACACCGAAGAGCCCTTGCTCTTTTGTGGCCAGGAGCGTTGTGGGGACAACAACGATCAACAGAGCCGAAATGAGGGTGAAGTGAATTTTAATACAACAACACAATATGAATAAAAAAAATAAGAATAAATATCCGGTTGAGGATAATTACCCCAGGTAATTACCGAGTGCCCGTACAGAAAATCATGTGCCGCATAAAAATAAGTCAACTGGGGAATGAGGTTGAGAAGTTGCAAGGGAAGGAAGGCTTTGGGGAGTCTTATGAGCTGGCCTCGACAAAGAGGGTTTCATTGAGGGCCTGTGGCATTATTCTGCTGTGCGTCATCCGGCCCCGTGAAGCGGCCACAAACTCGAACTCCAAGGCTTCGGAGGACACATGATCTATGAGTTTGAGAAGAGTGAAGCTTTGCCGGCCCCAAGTCTAGACCATTGCGTGGCCGCCCACTGGGCGGTTTGCCGCTTGGTTCTGGTCTCAAGTTGCCGAATCAAAGGTGAACTGGTGGACGAGAGACCATTTCGGCTCACCTTGGCTGAGCTAAAAATGTGGGGCGAGCTTTCCACGGGTCACTTTTGAGGCGCGCGGCAGGCCGATTTACGCCGGCCAATTGACCATCAAGCGTGCGTACGTTTGATTTCCGATGAAAGAAACGCCCTGCCTTTGACTCGGTGGCGAACGGTATGAAGCGTGGTGTGTAACGGAAAATATCTGAGCCCGAGGGTGAATAAACACTCTTTGTGTCTGTAATGGGCCTTGTCGTCGACTGGATTTCGAAGGAACCTGCCCGAACTGAAAGAAAAGAAACTCAACGCCAAAGGCGACCGTCTAGCTCGTGGGTGGCCTGGCTTTTTAGAACTTCAGCAAGTGACAAGTCAAAGCATTGACTCCTCCGTGCCAGGACTGGTTAGCCCTGGATGCCGCACCTGCCTGAGCAACTCGGTGGGACTGGGAAGCTGGGTTGGGATTCGCCCCGGATGGCGTGGGCAGCTGCGTATGCAAGGCGGCTCAGCCGGTGTGAACCACAACATCCGGCCGGAACGGATAACTTGTCCCCATCGGACTTCATTTAGTAGCCAGTGGCTGCTCGAATGGGTTGCGAGCTGCATCATGCACCGCTAATGAATGGGATGAAGTCCAGACTTGGAGAGGATCTCGCTCACGAGTGAAGCCAGGTCGGTCCGCATCGACCACGCTAAAACCATCCGCTGTTCCACACCCGAGCCCTTGTGTTGAGACGATTTACGGACTACCGGCTTTTTCCTCTGCCCTTGAGACTTGAAGAGGCAGTGTTTGGGGCCGGTATCATCGACTTGGCCCCCGACGGGCCATGTGGGCAACCGGCCTTCCCGAACGACCGTGGCCTATACCAGCGGCCGCCACTAGCCAGCGGCTTGCATCTGCATCCCCTCATCGGACATGCCAAGTGGTGCAAGGGAATCTGTGAATACACATTGCCGATGGCAGAATTCCACCGAAAACTTTGACCCCTCACCGCTGCTCGGCGTCGCTCATTGCAGACATCAATGATGGCTCTGGAGCCAGTCGTGAAGGCTGCATGTCTCAGCTCGGGCAACCCAGGATCCGAATATGGACCCGCTCAACATCCTTTCGTGAAAGCTCACTGTGCCGAGGGTGGGGGGCTGCATCTTGAGAGGCATTTGCGCCCTAAATGGAAAACTCGGACAGTGCGGGGAAACCAACGCATCAATAGGTTTTTTGAGTTGTGAGACTGTGATGGTGGACAACTGGACGGTCAATGGTAAAAGGCGCTCATGAACCTACCAGATGAGACTTGCTCGATGCTGGGAAGTCAGACCCTAACGTTACTTCCATGTTGGACAAGTTGGATACTTCCTTGCCTATCATATGGCACTGAATCAATGCAAGGGTATGTCCAGGCAAGTCAAGGAATCGACATCATCTTGGTCCTCGCTGGAGGAAAAAGACAAATGAATCCCTGGGTTGATGTTCAGTTCGTGAGTGGGGAAGTTCTCTGCATCCTCCCCAGGAGCGAGAACTGCCCTCAGTTAAACCCGAAGCTATTCCGCCCGGCTTGGCACCGCCCAGCTTCCTCCGCCCCATTTCAGCCCCTAATCCAACGCACGAGCCACTTTTCCAATCTCCAGGGCCTGGATCGTTCATCAGGCGATGTGGCACATTGCATTTGGCACCGCCAAGGGACCAGCGAATTGACAGCTCTCCAATTTACGCGACGCAGACCTCCCAAAAGCTCGTCTCGCAACACCTTACACCAACGTCTTTTTTGCACGCCAGCCACGCCCCGTTCTTCTCCATCCCCTCCTTCTCACCTTTGAAGTCCAATTGCTTCTATCTTACCCACACATCCATCACAATGGCCGACCAAGTGCAAGAGTTCCTCGAGGTGCCGCGCGAGTTCCTGAAGGACGGCATCCAGTTCATCAACCGTGCCCAGAAGCGTATGCCTCCCTTCGCCAGCGTGCCCTCCAAAACGATACAATCATAAAAAAAAACTAACGCGACCTAGCCGACCGCCGTGAATTCATCAAGATCTCCCAGGCCGTGGGTGTTGGTTTCCTGGGTATGTCTTAGTTTACTTACTCCCCCTTTCTTTGGTTCAATCCAACCCATGACACGCGATCAACAAACATCGAAAACTAACACATATACTATTAACAGTTATGGGCGCCGTCGGTTACTTCGTCAAGCTTAGTATGCTTTCCCCACGATCTCTCTCCCCGATCCAAAGTTCAACAAACTTGATATCACCGCCGTCCCGTCCTTCTCACAAGCCGACACAAAACTAACCCATCCCCCCCTGTTTTAGTCCACGTACCCCTGAACAACATCCTCGTCGGCGGCGCGTAATCCACCCATCCTCTCGAACCAGCGACCGCAAAGACCCTACCTGCCTCAAAGAAAGACGGCGCGACTAATACAAGGGTTTGCGGCGGCGATTTAATAAACTGGCACGGCAACACGAAGACAGGAGTAAAAATATCGAGAGAACAAAATTCACGAGTGAGCGGCTTTGATTTTACCCCGGTTTCTTCTGCAGAACAGAACAGCGGAATCAGCAGGACGAACGAATGGCATAATGGCCGGTGTCACTCGACTTCACGTATCATCATCACACTTTGGAATGGGAACGGAAATGGCATAAAGGCGGTTCACGACGGGGTTTAGATAATAGGAGCAGAGTACAGAAGAGGGGGTGGGTGAATGTACATGTACAGATTATGTATTTATGTGCGTTTGGAGTTTGGTTGGGTGAAGGGATTGTGAAGTTGGTTTGGAGGGAGGCGAAACAAAGACGTGCAAAGGATGTTCCCCAACTTATCGCACACATCTCTCATTGTCAGCCTTGGGCAAGTGTGAACAAATATGCTCCTCGTTTGGACGGCCTATTCGCATGCTGGTGTTGTTCTATGGTCCGATGCATGTTGGAGCCCTTCGGTTCAATGCCAAGTACGAATATGACAGTGAGGTCTTCAGGAACCACTGCTCCGTGTAATGGTAGAAAACCCTGGGATAGCAAACACTTCAAACGCAGTAGAACTGTGCTTTGAAATTCTGGATTTTATTGACTCAATGAAGCAAGTCATGCTCTGGGTAACTAGCGATCCTTGACTCAGCTTAAGGGGAAGCCTTCTCGCTCGACCACCCAGCTCCCTTAGTTACTGTACTGTTATGTGTGGAACGCAATGCAACTCTGTTTTAGAAGGGGGCTTTTACATTTCCGCTTGCCTAGGCATGCCCAGAGCCATGCACCCGAGAACCAATTCCTTCCACCCGTCTACCGCCTGACCTGGAGGTACTGGGCTGCCTTGTCCCACGCAGCGCGGTCCGCGGCTGGGATATCCTTCGCGCCCAGCTCCTTCACGCCAGCGTAGAGCGCATCAAAGAAGTTGCAGGCTACTTCAAAATCCTGAGCAAAAGACACGGCAAATGGAACGTAGGTTGCTGGGAAAACCTGCAGCTTGTGCTCCTTATTAGGGTCATCGGGCAGCATGTCGTCGAGGTACGTTTTGACGGCGATTCCCAGGGCCACGTCGGGATCATAGAGGAAAGGGAGTCTATGAATGTGTTAGTTAGCCTCGTTCAAGTTACTTCAAAGTAGCGGAAAACGTACTGGTGGCTCAACTCCCAGCTGTCATTTCGGTCCCGCTTAGCCTGTGCATACAGGAACACAGAGGCGAGAATGGCCTCAATGAGATCGCGCTCGGCCGACCGTACCTCCGAGACGAGCGACCGGAAGGCCAAAAGGTTCTTGCTTAGCGGACCCGTGTAACCATTGGCCAGGTGCCTGAGCTTAAGCAAACTCGCGGCCCTGCTAATCAAGAGCAGGCTTGCCTGGTCGGTTTCGGTGCCGTTGAGTGGAAGCCCACGCAACTCATCATGTGGGTTCCTGGTGTTGAGCAGCTCGAAACGAATCAACTCAAGCGCCACGATAACAGACTCATTCAAGTTCGGCGACTCGGGGTACTTGGCTGTTGTCGGTTCGAGGGCGGCCAATGCAGCGGCCAACGCGTTGCCCCATGATGTCAGCTCGTGCTGATCGTTAACGTAGCCCCGGACGTGCAGGAACCTCCAGATGCAAAGGGACTTGATCAGGGCAGCGGACTCAATGCCCTTCAGCTTCTCCTTGGGGTTGGCGCGGGTCAGTGCGACAAAGTCGGGGTTTTTTAGCGCCAGGACTTCGGACAAGATGGAACCATGAGAAAATTTGGGAAACTTCTCCGCAATCGCTGCCTCCCGGACAGTCCAGCTCGCAACCTGGGGTGCAAAGTTGGCCTTAACCCCCTGGCGATCCCAGACTGAGGTAGAAATATTCCGATCATACCAGACCTTCATGACGATGTTCTTATATCCGATCCCACGGTTTAGGCGGGGAATGACCAAGCTCAAAGCGGCCTCCTTGATGCGGACAGATTGGGTTGTAACGAGTTTCTTGTATTCGTCCGACGCTACCCCATCAAGCGTCGGCATGACCTGCAGCTGGCCGTGGGTGATCCAACTCAAAATACGCGGTCCGATCAGGCCAGTATTGAGGTAGTGGAACAACTCAGACGGGAGCTGGAGGCCAAGGTATTCGTGGTTATCGCCGGTCAGGTGCTCGTAATCGTGGACCTTGACCTCGCCATTCTCGGCGATGTACACGAAATGGTCAACGGCCATCCGGGCCTTGCGGTACTTGTCCAGCCAGTCAGGGTCCTGGCTGCTTAGTATGTCTTGGAAGCTGGAGCAGACCAGCGTAACCGACTTTTCAGCCGTACGCAGCATATTAACTGCATCAGCGGCAGTATGGGGTTGTGTTTTGATGATGGTTTGGTCGGTTAAGGGTGGGAATGGCGGCAGGAAGGAAGTGCCGGTCATCAAGAAGGCATCGACAAAGAGAGACTCGCTGACGTTAAGAGTCTTGAGGATGTGCTTCTTTGAGATCGCGTACACCAACTTGTTTTCCCAATCAATGGTGCGGATGACGCAGTCACGGATGGGGTACAAGAGGAGCTCAGAGGAACCCATGATGCCGGCGCACTGGTCCGAGTCGATCATTTCAAAGTAGGCGATCTGCTGAAGGTTAGAAAACGGTCACCATGCGGCTGCCAAAAGGAATAGTGGGCTTACCTGGCCAGCGGCGTTGAAAGGGGGTACCAAGAAGTGTAGGCTGCGCTGCTTCAGGATGGTCTGCAAGAGAGGGAAAAGCGCCTTGGTAGGAAACGCACCTAAGAAAACGAGTCGGTTAACCTAGCACAAATGATGATTACTATGAGTATGTTAAAAGTTAACGTACTAGTGCTCTGACCAAAGGCGGACACTGCCTCATCGGCGCGACCGTTGAAATATAGATCCCAGGATATATCGGCCTTCAAGCAGTTCGCTAGGCCATGCTTAACGGCCGTCTCGTCCTGGCCAACCATTGACTGGCCATCAAAGATGAAGAACGGCGTGATGCCGTGTGCCTCCCACTGGTCCAACTCATTCTCAATGCGGCCCTGGATACCCGTCAGGCCACCGAGGGCAGGGAGGAGGGGCTCATGGCCGGGGATGACATCGAGGTGAAATTGGAGATAGTATGTCGCATCGATGGCGATCGCGCAGCCTTCGAGTTCGTTCAGGGGGTAGGCCCTATAGGTCGGGAATCAGCGACGAGATGTAGGCAAGGGCAAAGAGATAATGGGTCGGGGAGAGGGAGCTCGGCGAGCAGGGCCAACGTACACAGCCTGGTTAAAGATGAAAGGATCCCCGATTAAGTCTTCCATGTCCGTGTTAGCATCGACTCAGTAGCGTCTGGCGGCGAAAATTAAGGGCAATTGTGTTTGAATCGGGTGAGGTCGGGCGCCTGCCCAGCTCCCTCCCGAAATGTTGAGCTGCTACTACCCAGCTGCAAGCCGTGAGTTCTCGTGCCCAGCTAATTGTAAGAGAGGAGGGTGTGTATGTTGTCTTGTTGTTCGGGGAGCGCAGTAATACCGTCCGCGTAAAGGGGGGTGTCGAGAGCTCTGGTCGGTCAGGGGTGAGGTCGCGAAGCCCGGGTGCAAGAAGTGTGTGGTCGCCGGTTCAAAATAAATAACTGGCGGGGCGCATCGGTGCAATAAAAAGGCGCTGGCGTGGTCTCTCGTCGCAAGTCGTGGACTCTCTCAGCGGGCACGAGTCACCAAAGTCGGCCGGTGGTGTTGCAAAAAAAGTGGCAGCTGGGCACGTAGCAGGGCGGGGCAAATGACCAAAAAAGAAGCAAGCTACTTCGTAGAGTGGTGAATACACAACAGACGATAAACGACTTACTCGGCATTGTGAAAGACTTCCTCTCAGATCCAGACGAGGGGTCCCACAAGAGTCGCAACAAGCTCTCTCCCGTGCGCGGCTGTGGCCGGGAAGCTGGGGTCTCCTTTCCGCCGCCTTGTGAGGGCCAGAACTTGTGGTGGAGCACAAAGGATCCGACCGACCGACTTGCGCTTGGGACAAACGCAGACGCGAAAGAGCGTGGCACGCCTGTGAACTCGGTAATTATCAAAGTAACGGGGAAAAGAGAGGTAAAAAGAAGTGAATGGTAAAGGGGTTCAATGAGTGACTTGGAGTTGGTCAACCGCAAACACTGGCCATCATCCGACCACTGGATCAAGGGGCGAAACTCTCGTAGGGTTGAAGAGAAGAGGAATGGATGTGGGCTTCCATTCAGTTGGAGATGAGGCTCAGGAACGAAAGGTGCCACTGCTGGCTGGTGGAAACTCCCACCATTGCTCCTGCAGGTGGCTCGAGCCAAGTCGCACCGTGCGTCATATGTGCGAATACTGTATTGCACACGGTGATCAGTTTCGGTGAGTGGGTGAGTGGGGAGCTCTCAAAGCAGTGTTGTTGACCTGATCTGTTTAGGAGCGACAGAAAGTAGGTGGGAAAACGGCTAGGGGAATAAATTTTAAGGCAGGGAAGTTATAACAAAGTCTTCATCTAGTTTTGTTTAGTTGTATTGGCTAAAATCAAACATATCACAAAACAGTAAAACTAACACGAGGAGGTAAGGAATATATATACCTTAACTTATAATTATGTGTTCACGTCCCACTTCCGTTCTCTTGTTGTCTTTGTTCGCTGGAAGAAAATAACAGACCAAAATTTTAGACATGCGGAAGAACTAATCCATAGAAGTAGTTCCCGAGTGCTCTGCCGTCGCTTGGTAGTAAAGCTCAAAGATCAACTTTAGGTAATAAAACACTTGACATGCAATTAGCAACCAAGACAAAAAGTGAGGGAGTACAGATATACACAGGATTGTGCGGTCTACTCCTCTCCGACTGGAAGATCGAAAAACTCACACAAGATGATTGTCTTAGTTCCCCGGGCAACGTCCACGTTTACCTTAGATTCCAAATCCAAAGAAGGTTTTGTCAAATCAAAGCTCATGCATCGTATAGCGGCGCCGTCAACTCCAAGTTACGACTTATAATCCCGTTCGAGTTGACCTTCAGCATGGGCTAAACAAACACCGACTCACCATGTAGATGCTAATTTTGGATGCCAACAGCTTAGGCATCATTGAAGACACATTTTTTGGTAACCTAGGGAGATTATGTGAAGTCGATTTGTGCTAATCCTGAAACACCGAGTTGCACAGGCACAATAAGAGTCAAGAAGTGAGTTTGGGGGCGGAAAGTGTCTTGGCAGGGCTCAGGGCTGAATCCTTCCGCCACAACTCAGAGGTCAGAAGAGAGCAGACTGCATGTTGATGACAGGCAGCCTCGGCTTATTTTTTTTTTCTTTTGCTAGAGGAGGCCTCACCGACTCGTTTGCCAACCTATTACTCCAGGTAGAAAACAAAACCTGGGTCTTAAGTTGAACAGGGATAAACGCAATGTATGACTGAGCGAACGAAGCAAGTAAGAGGAAGGATTTGTGGATGATGAAGCATAGTACCCGGCTCGAGAGGACCAAGGTCGAGGTGAGGACCACAGGTGAACGATCGTGCAAGACTCCAACATCCCCGAGTGAAGGATGCCGATGCCTAAGCCACATCATGAGGACATTGGAAAACACGGAGAATTGATCATAAACCAAACGAACTACCCAATGGTATATTTGGGGAAGAGCCCTCGGATTATCGGATTATCGAGAAGGGAAAAGCTGGCCGAGACTGACAAGATCTGATGAGTTATCACTGGCCCCCAAGTGGCACGCTGTCTCTAGGCACCATCCACATCACGAGGACGGGCTTGAGGTTCTCTGAAGCTTGGCCGACAGCGATACCATGAATGATAGCTTAGCGCAATTTCTAGTCGTGGTGGAGGACAGGGACCAAAGGAACAACACGCCAAAGACGTTGATGAGTAACACACGGCATATCGCCCAATTCGGTCAATTCCTCGGCCTACCAAGTCGGGCAAAGCTGAGGGATCCGCCTCGCAGCGGCGTCGATAGCTTAACCAAAGAGCATGGTTTCGGCATTCTCAACATAAAAGAATCTAAACAGAAAAGCGGCAGCCTAGAGGCCGGACAAAGGGAACTCCCGCTAACTCACTCATCGACTGAGCTGCGTTGGACTTCTTCATTTTCTCTCGCCTGCCAAGCCCAATCGACCGAGCTTCTCAACCATCACTCTCAAGAGCGGCTATCCATCTGAGACGTCACCGATTGAGGACAGTCAGGGGACGGCACAGCGGGGTTCAGCTCGGAGTCCCGGCCCAGCCCGGCGGTTTCGAAATGCTGTTTCGCACGTGGCGGCACATCTCATGTGGCCACACCTCCAGTACACGACATAGTATTGGGGGGGTGCCACCCAGTTTCCTCATTTGATGAATGGTGTGGCCGAGAGGCGGCATGCGGCAGAGCAGCAGCACAAAAGAAGGGATGAGAATAGACCGACACAAGGCACTCATGTTCATTGGCGGTCTGGATTGTAACACCAGACCCCAAAGAACATTTGAGTTTCAGGAAGTAAGCCACCGGAGATCTTTCATACCCGTCTCGAACACCGATGAATGGGCAATTACGTGTAGGCACCTCTTCACGGTTGCGGCGCATTCGCGTGGAGGAAAACGAACCTTTCCTCGGGAAGGCTTCCCCGGAGCGGAAAGGAAGCCGGTGCCGACACTTTTGTCTTTCCACGAGCTGGCCCCACGGTAACCGCGCCGCGGCGCCAAAGGATTTCCCCGACTTATGTACCGGAGAGGACAACCCTTGGTTCTAGGCGTAGTCAGCAATTCTCGCTTTTAAGGACGGAAAAAAGGGATCCTCTACTATGTATTCGTACTTCTTGTACACTGTCAATGACGTCCGATAAGAAACACAAAAAAACAGACTGCGGCGGTGTTCTCACACCGCTCATGACTCTCTCGCCGGCGACAGCGGGTAGGAGGGAATGCAAAGTTCGGCGTGAGCGAAAACGCAACGGGCGCGTGATGCCCGGTTGGTAACCAGGACGGATTCCGGAAGAGCTCGGGATTGGTTATTGGTTACCAAGGACACCGAGCCCTTTAACTGTCAACTTTTTTTCTCCTGGCAATATGCCTTGTGCTGCTCCTTCGTAGTAGGTGCGTTCTCGGCACGCATGGTACTCGCGTCGTCCAATGTTTCCGCTGCCTGGTGCGTCGCATACAGCGCCGCAATTAACTCTAGGTGCCGAGCGAGCAAAAACAAGCGATTGCGCCCTTGGGAGCGGGTTGGTTACTCAAGGCCAGAGAGGGAAACGCACGCGCGTGCGCATGCGACCCTGCCAATGCGGGATGATCAGGAACCGAGTGATCGGGCCATGGGACGGGGTTCAAACAGACCCACGACGACCGACGACAAACTTCCCTGATTTGTGTACACGTACATGAACAGGGACTCGGCAGAAGAGAAAGAGGCTTGGCTATCGGATGGATTGGACCCGGCCCGATGGCAGTGAGGCTCGGAGCGTCACGCTTAGAGCTGCCATGCAAAGCATAGCCCCCCGGAACATCGAATCAACCTTCCTCTTCCGGGTTCGATTGAGGACAAGACGGCCCCCTTCTGCGTATACTCGAGTGCGGTATACCCGGGCCTTGGTTGAAGCGTGAGACGTGACGTATCTTGGCTATCCTACCCCGGTTTGTGCGCGGTAACCGGTGTGATCAGGGTGTCTTCTTCATCCCCTGACAATTGACTCATTTGTTCAGTCGTGGGGATGGGAATTCGGAATCAAATGAATGGTCCGGTTGGCCGCAACACGTAGTATGTACTCGTGGGGGCTCGCTACGCGGATCCTCCGGTACGCCGGTACCACGAGTTCGGGGAAGAAGACGGTCACTGTGTGGTCACTTCCAGGTTGCTTCGCGATCGCTTGTTGCGGAACCTGATCCAATCCCGAGCCTGCCGTATCGACTTCAAGGTGTTCGTTGTCGGCGCCCTGAGCTAAATCTGGCGACACGAACTCCACCGCGACTAGGGTAAAAACAGAGAATAGAATGGTGTGTCTGGGAGCTTGTCGACATGTTGGTCGACAGGCTAAGAACACCATACGAAGAACTTACTGGAAGCGAACAAACGACGACAAAGCTTCTGTTCCACGAAAAGAAGCCCAAGAAAACGGGATGCCTAGGCCGAGCGGTAAACTTTGTCAGCGAATGGAAACCCTGGGACGGGCGCGGATTGGTGGGAAAGGGTCTTGTGCAAAGCCCGAATTGGCGCTGACACAGCGGCCAGGCATCCAACTTTTTGCCCCGGCAGCAGCAGCTCAGCCCTAAGAGTGGCTCAAGCGCCCGGTCGTTGAGTGGTCCTCGAGCATCCCAAGTCCTAAATTCAGCCCCCACAAAGCCGTTTTTGGCCTGTCTCAACTGCCTGTTTCATACAAACACATGCAGAAACAATCACGACCGAGAGCTCAGTCCCGGGCTCGGTTGGAGATCACCACACCACACACACTCTGTACCCTGCATGCCCAGGCCTTCGGATCTTGCGGCTCGGGGGCGCTGCATCTCCTTCACACCCCCGTTTTTCCAATTCCGCCCCCTCAAGATGTATCATTCTGTTCAGTATTCGTCTCACACCGCTGGTCCGCAGTCCTTGTCTGCTGTGTGTACATACCTCCACTGGTCCGGATAGCAGAACCGCATCACACCCTAGGGTGCGTCCAGACCCCGAGAGGCTCTGAGGCATCCGGTACCTGCTAGCAGGATCTCGAAATACCTCCCTGCCATGTGGGGATGGCAGGTGAGACGTGAGTAGCAAGCCTTATGTCATCCACACTGTCCTGGGGGCCATGAGGCATCGCCGCAAACGCCGACAGGGCGAGTCGAACGCGGATTGGTGATGGGCCAATGTGTATGTAGGCGTTTAGAAGTCAATGGCAATGCCTCAATCATCTATATAAGTTCCCCGTGATGCCCGGTTTCAGGGAGTTATCTTTCATTATCATCATCAGCATCAAGAACCTCATCCTGACAAGCAATACTAAGCTCTACTTGAACTAAACACCAGCACGCTTCTCTCACCACCATCACCACCAACAACACAAACTAACAACACCACATCACCTACAAACCCTATTTTACCAATTCCAACCAAAACCAATACAATGGCTGCCACTACCTTCTTCACCACCAGCGCCCCGGTCAACTTTGGCCGCTCCGGCTACAACAAGTGAGTCGCCAAGCCTTTCACATTCATCTCCACATAACTAACATATCTCGTTCAGGGGCAACTCCGACGATGATGAGGAGAACAAGCTCGTCAACTTTGGCCGATCCGGCTACAACAAGTGAGTTTTCAATCTGCCGCTTCCCCCCACATCCCCCTTGAAATCACAGAAATACTAACACAAACTTCATCAGGGATGACAAGGACGACGAGGAGACCAACAAGCAGCACTAAGCCCCCAACACGGGGATTGTCGCCAACCTTTCCGCTTCTCTGGAGTCATTTTGAGCAAAAAGAAACCGTCCCTTTTTTAATCGCACACACGAAATCGACGACATCCACCAACCACTACTACTCAACGTCCAATGCCAAGAGGCTACCGGTAGCCGTCTTTTCCAAAGAGCCCGAGGAGTAATCGACAACAAGGGGAGCGAGCGAGCGAGTGGGCAACTGCCTTTTTTTCTCTTTCTTCGGCCTTAGATTTCCTTTCTTTCTTTTTTTCTCTCTTCGGTTCTGCTTTTCCAGACGCATCTCTCACGAGATTTTCCTTTCTTCCTTCTTCTTCGCCATTTCTCCCATTCATCATGGGGGCGCATCTCTCGGGAGTTGGGATAGACCAAGGCATAGACAACACTTAGACGGGACTGGCATTTGTACGATCATGGGCGGGTGGGCATATAGACGCGGAGGTCAGGGGTTGAGTCCGGGCAGTCAGGGGTAGAGGAGGAGTTGTCGTTTCTGCTTCTGGCATTGCGCGGCGCGGGATAGACGGGAAGGGGAGGATCATGTATCATTCACTGTACGACTTGATGATTTAACGGGTACGACACGGGGGAGGTGGCGGTGGTGGATGGCGGGCTAGCTGGTTTAGTTCGCCGATGGATGGATTAGATTTCGATTATTTTCCCCTTGTTTTCTCTTTTGTTAGGTATACATGGTTACACGACACAATCAATTATTTCCCCACACAGAATCTGCTCGGAATTGATTAGTCGTCAAACGCCTTCGGTAAAAAAACCTCCCAAATGTGCGAGTAAAAGGAAAGTGGGGTTAAATCGATATCAAAACGTGGTTCGGACATACTTCTCAAAAATCACACCCAACACCTCCTCTACATCACCAGACCCGCCACGCCCTGTGATGGATGCCAGCGGAAGCGCGGCGAGGCGCAAATGTTCCGCGGCGAGGACGACATCGGGCTCGCCGCCCAAGGGGTCGGTCTTCTGTGCCACACCCATGAAATCTCTGAGGTGCTGCTCGCACTCGCCGAGGAGCTGGTTCTGCCGCTCCGTGACACCGAGCAGGTGCTGCATGTCATCCGGCAAGGAGGTGAGCTGGGAAAATGATTGGGCCAGCTTCTCCGTGAGTGCATGGATCCCGCCCGCGTCGTGGTTCTTGCCGCGGTCTTGGGGGTCGTTTTTGTCGGTAGGAGGAGTCAGCCGTGCAGGAGAACCTGCACCTGCAGCAACACCAGCAGCAGCCTTGCAGGAGATGGTCAGCGGCTCGACGTCGCGCATGCCGCCGATAGCCGTCAATGCCGTCGATTTGAAATCTTGTATGAGCCGCTTAAGTGACTCGTGGTGAACCACGTCAGCCTTGTTGACCGCCACGATGCACTGCTGCGCATTTGCTGCGAGTCGGAGCGTCTCGGCGTCGTAACTAATTCGATATTCCCTCCCAGATTCGGTCGGTTCAACCGAGGCTAATACAATGATGACGTCCGAGTCGAGGGCCTTTTGTCGGGCTCTCCGAATTCCTTCCTGTTCGATGGCGCCGATGGAAGATGCTGTGATACCATCGGCCTGCGTGGAAGAGGAGTTTGACGTCTTGGTCCGGATGCCCGCCGTATCTGCGAAGGCACAGAGATATCCCCGGATATCAAGGCTCGCCTCGACAATATCCCTCGTCGTACCGGCTTCTGACGACACAATGGATGCCTCGCGGCCCATAATCTGGTTCATCAACGAGCTTTTGCCCGCGTTTGGCGGCCCAAGCAGAGCAATGCGAATTCCGTTCCGAAGAAGCTCGCTGCGCTGACTCCCTAGCTTGTGAAGCTGGATCGAGTCCAATATCTCCTCAACCAACTTTCGCACGTTGGCGAGCAGCTCCACAGGTGACTCGTCAAAATGCTGGTCCTCAGAGAAGTCGATGAGTGCCTCGATCTCTCCGCGAGCGAGCAGTAATGTCTCTCGCCAGCCATCGTAGGTCGCTCCAAGTGTGCCCGAGGTGCCTCGGACAGCTGCTCGTCGCTGGTGTTCGGTTTCAGCCGCCAGTGTGTCACCTAGAGACTCAACCTGAGCGAGGTCCAGGCGTCCGTTGATGAAGGCCCGTTTTGTGAACTCGCCGGGCTCGGCGTAACGGACATCTCCCGACGGCGAGGTTTTTCGTACCGCGGAAAGGACAGCTTTTACGGTGGCAGTGCCTCCGTGAACGTGGAGCTCAAGGACGTCTTCCCCTGTGACGGTTTTCGGTCCGGGGAAGTACAGAACAAGGGCTTCTGAATCGATTACATTGCCATTGGCCTTGTTATCGGCCTGCTCCGGTTCGAAAAGGGTCCGTACCCCGGCATATCGTGGCCGAGGAGTAGGCTTGGCCGGACACAGCCCCTTGTAAACCTGTCGGGTGTGAGTAACGGTATAAGAGCACGGTAAGGAAGGTGAAAAGAATTGTGAAGAAAACAGACATCAAGACATCCGGGGCCGGAAACACGAATGACGGCTATACCAGCCCGCCCGGCGCCTGAGGAGAGGGCATATATGGTGTCATTGCTCGTGAATGATATATCCCCCTGGATTGATGGGATATCGTTGCTGGAGTCATGAATGAAACGATGAGAACGAGGTAACGTTGGCGCTCGAAAAGGCGCTCGAAAAGGCGCTCGCACAAAATTTGGGCCCCGCTGCCGCTGGGTAAATGCTCTCCTCAGCGCATAGCGGAACATTGACTCAAGGGACAATCAAGAATGTCTCTTGGAAAAGAGATGCTGCAAGTATCTAGGTAGTTTCGCGACAAATTGAAGGACAAGAACCATGCCAAGTTATGGCGACGGTGATTGGCTGGCCAGGGGTTCATCAGCGATAAGATAAAAATTCGTAGCACAGGCCAGTCCCTGGACCAAAACTTCGAGTCCCCAGATTTTTTTTCAGAATCGCATCTGTAGCCCCTCCAATATTGAGAAACGGACGTGCATCGAGGCATTGTTGCCGCAACTTATTCAACAAATACTCGAAAGCCATATATGTTTTTGCGACATTCACCCGAGACGGCACCATGTCTGACGAAATCGTGTGGCAGATCATAAATCGTGAGTTGTTGCTTGAGCCGACGGCACGTGGATGCCCAGCTAACCTGGCCCATAGAACAATTCTGCGCTTTCAAGCTCAAGTAGGCGTCGCCGCTCGCTGATCATCCCCAACTTGTCTCTAACACTTTGTAGAACCACCAAAGGAAACAACTTTTGCAGGAATGAATACTCGGTACGCACCTTCTTGAGCTTCAACGAACGGCGACCATCCGCTAACTACGAAAACAGGTCAGCGGTCTCTGCAACCGGCAAAGTTGCCCCCTCGCCAACAGCCGTTATGCGACGATAAGGACGTCCCCTAAGGGGACTATCTATCTCTATATCAAAACCGTAGGCTCTGCGCAACTCCGATGGGTAATAGGACGACAACTACTAACCGGCCGGCCAATCCCAGATCGAACGATCGCACATGCCGTCGAAATGGTGGGAAAAGATCAAGCTTTCCAAGAACTACCAAGAAGCGCTCCAGCAGATCGAGAGCCGACTCCAATACTTCCCCAAGTTCCTCCTCCACAAGTGCAAGCAACGTCTCACCCGACTAGTCCAAGTAGCGACGCGCATGCGCAGGATAGCGGCCGAGGAGGCCCGACTCGGGGAACGGCTAGTGCCGAAAATGGCGCCCAAGATCAAGCACCGCGAGGAAGCCCGCGAGCGCAAGGCGTTGATGGCGGCGAAGCTGGAACGGACGATCGAGAGGGAGCTCCTTGAGCGGCTGCGGCAGGGCGCGTACGGTGACATGCCGCTTAACTGCAACGCCAATATCTGGAAGAAGGTTTTGAATGCGCTCGAGACGGAGGGCGAGGGTGTCCGTGACAAGGACATGGACAAGGGCGTTGAGGATGAAGAGGAGGAGGCCGAGTCGGAGGAGGAGCTTGAGAAGGAGGTGGAAGAGGAGGATGAAGAGGAGGAGGACGGCGCGGTGGAGTATGTCTCCGACTTCGACGAGAGTGATGAGGAGCTGGCCGACATTGAGGATTGGTTGGGTAGCGATGAGGACGACGACCAGGAAGACGATGACGAGGAGGACAGTGATGGGGAGGATGACGATGAGGAAGACGTCAAGAAGAAGAAGGCGGGCGACAAGCGGAAGAGGGGCAAGGCGGTCAAGCCTGCGGCACGGAAGCGGAAAGAGTTGGAAGTGGAGAGGGAAACAGAGCGGGCGAAACTGCTTGCATTCTAGGCGCTTGGGTTTTGGTAATCGTCGGCTTATTGTGTCCTTCGGCGGCGCCGTGTCAGTTCCTGATAATTCATCAAGCATGGGTTGGTCCGGGCTTTGGACTTGAGAATATGCACCCAATATAGGGAATTAATTTCTGCCCCCATCCTGGACTAAATGGCTTGCTAGCTAGATCTATCTCGAGTTCAAGTCCACCTAAGACCACACTCCTCCCGAATAGCTTGTTCGATGTTGCCAGGCGCGCCAGGGTTATTGCTGTGATCTCAGGGTTATTTAAGGTGACATAATTATGGGTCCTTCTCTTGAGAACCCCACAAGACGAAACGCCCCTTGAAATGCGACAAGGAAGTGCCCCGACCAGGCTTCGACAATTCAACTTACACCCAAGAGCTCTCTGTTCCGCGAAACAAGACAATCCAGACGGATAACATCACAGGTAGCTTGCGCGCGAACGTTACTCTACTTCGAACGCTATAAGGAGCTCACAGAGCGACGGGCTTCCATCTGCGCAAAGGCTACCGCACTCCGACCCCTTCGCCGCAGCGATCGCATTTTCCCCAACCGAAACCGAAACGGCCCCTTCAATTCAGTCGGTCACCGCCGCTCGACGATCCTTCCACACTCTCCCAACACTGTCACCGTTCCCGTTCTCAACAACGACAGCCGTTCTCTCCGAACTACCTAGTCCATCCGAACCCCCCTACCACCCCGAGATAATCAACACACACACATCTGTCATCTCACCTGGCGATCCCTCGGTTAACCACCGACCATGGCCTCGTGGTACAAAGGTCTCCTAACCAACGCATCCTCCAACATCTCCAAATTCCAACGCACCTATTTCGGCGGCGAATCCGACGGCGACACCGACGACGACACCCACGTCTGCCGTGTCCTGCGCGGCTACTACGCCGAAAAGGCCCCGCAGCAGCCCTTGCCTAGCTGGCTGCCGCCTGATCCGCGCGCGCCGCCGCCTGTTGCGCAACAGCAGCAGCAGCAGACGGTTTTTGCGAATAGTGGGCGGTATGGGGGGTTTGGGGGTGGGCAGCAGGGCCAGGGGCAGGGGCAGCAGGGGTTGAGTAGTTTATGGGGGGATGGTGGGGGGAATAATGCTGGTGGTGCTGGTGGTGGACGAGGGCAGTTTGTGAATAGTCGGAATCCATTTGCTGCGGGCGGTGGTGCTGGTGATGTTGGGCAACGACCCGGGCTGGCGGGACAGCGGGCGGGGAGTTACCAGCCGCCTGGGAGTGGGAGGACCGACGCGGTGAGCCCGTCGGCGGGTGGTGGTGGTGGGACTGCGCAGGAGAAGTTGAAGCAGAGACTATGGGGTGGCGGTGCTAGGACGACTAGCCCGGGCACTGGCGGACCGTTCCAGCCACCTGGGAGTCAACAGCCACAGCAAGCGTCATCGCAGGCGTCGGGGAATAGATGGGGTTGGGGGAGTCAAGGACAACAAGGAGGAGGAGGAGGTGGTGGTGGTGGTGGTGGTGATGGGGGATATGGCTCGCAAGGTGGGAGACAGGGGAGTCGGCCGGTGATGAGTGCGAACGCGCCTTGGGCGGATGGGGGGCTTGATTACGCGGGCCCGGGGACTGGCGCGGGGGGTGGAGGGAGGAGTTATGGACTTCCGAGTGGGCCTAGAGGGGGGTTGCCGAGTGGGCCACGGCCACGATGAGGAGATTAGTAGAGTGGGTGTGAAGAATTCGACGATGGAGGGGTTTAGCGGTGAGCAGATCAACGGGCCAACAGGTCAATGGATGAACGGGTCAATGGGTTGCCAACGTCAGGTATCATTGAAGCCCTTGCCCTCTGGATCTGTTTACGTACGGTACGCTAAGGATGTGCATCTGGAGTAGCAAGCTTGGGGCAAGGTTGCGCGTCCTCAGTACGAGTGCGGGGAGGATATCTGGTGGTGTCGTGGCTACATCGGAGCGAGCATCACAGATTAGTTTCGGCGGGGACATCCATTGGAGTCAGGCGATGCCCAGGACTAGACGTTTTGGAGCAGAGGTTCGAAGGAGTAGGAAAGGAAGACGTGATAGGTATATAAGGCAGCTGGACATATTAAGTTTCACCATAATCACATTACCCCAACTCTTCTGTTTTGTGCCACTTTTTCTAAAACATATTTCAAAATTAATCCTAGTTGCAATCTGGCAGACTGTGAATTTTCAGTGATATCTGTTTTGGTGCAGATGACGACGGGCCGTTACGCGTCAGGGGCAAAGTCTCGAATGCGCTTTGTCATGAGCGGGCTAGTGGAGGTATCAGTACTAAGAACTTGACCAAATCTGGTATGTGAGATAAGTACTGGTACTTCGTTAGCGCCCCGCCTTCAGCTGCATCATCGACCGCGGGGTCGCTCAGCACATGCCACGCCGCTTAAAACCCACCTGACACCACCTGCACCAACACAGCACTAGCTAGGGCATGCGCTCATTGTCATAGCCTCCATCACGCACCCAACATCCCGCTTCAGTCCCCGTGCGGGCCACAAAGAACGGCATCAGGCAGTCTGCAAGGCAATCCCCAATTGAGAGCAGCCCGTTTAGCGCCGCAGCGGGCAGTCAGCAGAGCTGCTTTAGCTACGGTTGTACGCTACAAGCTTTATCGACAAACATGACCCGGATCCCGATAATGACGTCGTTGCCGCCGCCGTCGTCGTCGTCGTCAAATTTGGTGTCGTCCACGCAACAACAACAACTGTCGTCTGCCCAAAATCAAAATCCATCACAACAGCCGCCGTCACAGCCCCAGCCCTCGCAGCTGTCATCTCAAGCCTCGTCGCAACAACCGACCACAACCTCCTCCTTCTCGACCATCTCCCATCCACCTCGTCCAGCCTCTCCTTCGGGAAGCTTGTACGCCATGAGCGACGACGAAGAAGGTGACTACGACACCATCACCCACACCGAAACCGGCCGCGGCGTCAAGCTACTCTTCTCCAAGTCCAAGGTCTACGTCCACCCGACACCCTCCGCCCGCGACAACATCCCCGGTTACATTGCCCTGTTGCAACAGAAACGCCCAGCTACAGCAACAACCACAACCACAACCAACGACCGTCCCACGTCTTCCTCCTCTTCCTCCTTCGCCCCCCTCCCCCTATCCCCCTCCAGCTCCCACAACCCCCGACCAGGCGGCCCAAGCGGCCCATCCTCCTCCGACCTCCTCCTCGCCTGGCTCCCCGAATCCGCCCTCGGCGACGCCGCCTCCATCTACGTCAAAGTCGACCTCTGCGACGCCGACTCCCCGCCCAAACAATCCTACCTCGTCCCCCCGCCACCCACCGTCACTTCCCACCCCGGCTCCGGCGCGGGGCACTATGCCTTCGCCGTACCCGTGTCCGCCGTTTATAGCTTGCTAGTGCGTCCGCCGAGCGTGGGGTGGTGGTACGGGAGTGTGATTATTAATTCGCGCGCGGGGGATTCGTTCCCGCCGCTGTTTTTTCATGATAATGAGTGTCAGAGTACGATGTTGGCTAAGAAGCGGCGGGCGAGGGATAGGTTTGATCCGTTTGGGGAAGGGGGGGAGATGTTTTGGGGCGGGGATGAGGTGTTGAGGTGGTTGAAGAGGTATGTGGCTGTGGAGAGGAGTGTGGCGGAGCCGAATGTGTATTTGTTGGAGCCGAGTGAGGAGGATAGTTTGGCGTTTGGGGGGAAGGGTGGGGGGAGTTATAATACAGCCGTTAGCGGTGGTGCGCAGGGGGTTGGTGTCCCGGGGCCATCGAGAGGTGCAGCTGCTGCTGCCGGGAACAACAGAGACGGCGGCATGGATCCGTTCATGAAATTCGTCAAGGAGACCGGGTGGAATATCATGGAAAAGTTCAGCAAGGTGACCACCTTCACGCGGCAAGCGGCGCAGGACGTGCTGGACAACCCGCGCATGCCGCCGCAGGTCAGGCGGCTGATGATCAACCCGGAAGTGCAGACACTCCAAGAGGAGTTTGATAGCGCGCGCATCTACCTCGCCCGGTGGGCTATGGGCATCGCCGAGCAGAGCGAGCGCGACCGGAACCAGCGGATATGGACTGCGCGCGAGGTCATGGAGCTTGAGGACACGGACGTCGGGGAGTTTGAGCTGCTCGACAGTACCAGCAGCCTGACGCTGGAACAGCTGAGGAAGACGGTCACGCTGAAGGAGTGGAAGACGTTTTTTGATCCGCGGACGGGGCGGTTGTCTGTTACTGTTGACGAGGTCAAGGAACGTGTGTTTCATGGTGGGCTCGACCCGGATGACGGCGTGCGGAAGGAGGCTTGGTTGTTTCTGCTGGGTGTGTATGAGTGGTATAGCACGGCGGATGAGCGTAAGGCGCAGGCTGCATCGTTGAGGGATGCTTATATCAAGCTTAAGGGTGCTTGGTGGGAGCGGCAGATCGATAAGGGTGGTGAGGGTGAGGAGGGCGAGTGGTGGAGGGAGCAACGGGGGCGGATTGGTAGGTTTCTTTTGCTATTGTTGTCTTTTTTTTTTTTTTTTCATCTTCATTTTCCGTGTTTAAGCAAAAGACTAACTCGCCCCAGAAAAAGATGTCCACCGCACCGACCGCAACGTCCCGATCTTCGCCGGGGAGGACATCCCCCACCCCGATCCGGACTCCCCCTTCGCCGCCGTCGGCACCAACGTGCACATGGAACAGCTGAAGGACATGCTACTCACCTACAACGAGTACAACCGCGACCTGGGATACGTCCAGGGCATGTCTGACCTGCTCGCCCCCATCTACGCCGTCCTCCAGGACGACGCCCTGGCCTTCTGGGGCTTCAAGTGTTTCATGGACCGCATGGAGCGCAATTTCCTCCGCGACCAGTCCGGCATGCGCGGCCAGCTACTTGCGCTCGACCACCTCGTGCAGTTTATGGATCCCAAGCTGTACGCGCACCTTGAGTCGGCGGATAGCACGAATTTCTTCTTCTTCTTCCGCATGCTGCTGGTGTGGTATAAACGCGAGTTTGACTGGATGGATGTGCTGCATTTGTGGGAGGTGCTGTGGACGGATTATTTGAGCAGTAGTTTCCATTTGTTTGTCGCCCTGGCTATCTTGGAGAAACATCGCGATGTGATTATGACGCATCTGAAGCACTTTGATGAGGTGCTCAAGTACAGTATGTCCCAATCCCACCCCCCTCATCTTTCTTTGCTTCTCGAATCAACGCTACCTCTTCCTTCCTTGACCTCTGCTTGTCCCGCTGACCATCTCACAGTCAACGAACTCTCCACCACAATCGACCTCGAATCAACACTCATCCGCGCCGAGGCCCTCTTCAGACGCTTCCATCGCCTCGTCGACGCCATCGACAAAAAGGATAATTTCCCAGCACCCCGGCGGCGCATCTCGCAACCACCGCCATCCGAGTCAGCTGTCACTGACAGTGAAGGTGCTTCTACCCAACCCGTACCCCAGAGCGAAGTCGCCAGCGGGAGCGGAAGCGGGAGTACTAGTGCAAGCGCAAACGCAAGTGGTGGTAGTAGTAATAATGCGAAGAAGAACACTGGCAAAGCACCCGCGCAACAGTCACCGCCAAAGGACCAGCAAAAGCCAAAGCAACCGGAAAGGGTGCTCACGCCGGAGTTGAGGAAATTGTTGAGTAGGGAGGTGGAGGTGTTGCCGAGGAGGGAGGTCGCTAGGAAGGGGGAGGGGTTGGGTGGTAGGGGGAGGTGATCTTTCTCTCTGGCTTTATGGTTTTCTGGTTTTCTGGCTTTCTGGCTTTCTGGGCTTGTTTGGGGGGTGGGGGGTTATATTTTTGGGGGCTTTATAGGATAGGTATGGGATTGGTACATGGGATCATGGGTATTGGTCGAGGGTGTGCAATGGGTGGTATAGGTTTATAATATGGGTAAAATATTGGGTTTACTTTAACGTATGAGAATCCGTTTTGCATGGATGTGTACCTGTTGTGTAGTCGTGCTGTGTAATATGTGATTGTCCTCTACTTTCTCAAAAATATAATTAAAGATGGTTTCTGGATTCTTCTTATCTTATTCCTAGGGGTCCTTCGAATACGTCAGACGGGTACGGTACACTCGAAGCCATCTGAAATCCAGTCACAAATTAGATCGCATCTGCAACATTGATCGGGTGGGGGAAATGAACTCTAAATCACGCTTTTTGTCCTTATTTGAAGTCTTAGCCATACAAATATATACAACGCCGCAACGCCTCAAGTCTAAAAAGTTGTCAAGACACACACATTAACCCCTTGTACCCCCTTCCCCCTCAAAAGCCTGAAAAAGTATGACCCCCCATCTACGACTTACGACCCTCCATCCTTTCCTCCGCCGCCTCCACAGCCAAAAACCGCCTCGTAGACAAACTCACCGGCCGCGCAGCCCCTTCCCCACCCACACTCCTCCCACCACCCCCATCTTTCTCCGAGTGCAAGTGTCCAAACAAACACGTCCACAAATCCGCCTTGTCCACCGCCTCCCCCGAGATCCCGTCCTTGCCCATCAGTTTCGACAGATGTGCCTGCTGCATCTCGAGTGCGTTGGCTTCGTCGAGTTTGGCGTCTAGTAACTCGGGGGTTGGATCCTTGGATTTGCCTTTGTCTGGGCTGTTGTTGGTGGTGTGGTTGTTGTTGTTAGTGTTGGTATTCTGACGTCCCATATGCTCCATACGCCGCTGCACTGACAGGCGGTGGATGGACTCCTCGACGGTGCCCTCGACAATGTACAGCCACACGGTGGTCTCGCTCTCCTGGCCGATACGGTCGACACGCGCGATGGCCTGCAGCTCCAGCGCCGTGTTGAGCAGCGGCTCGCACAGGAACACGTGGCTGGCATTGACGAGATTGAGGCCGCTGGCGTGGGCGCGCGCGTGCAGGAGGAAGACCTCGGTGCCTGGGTCTTCTTTGAAGCTGGCGATGCCGTTGGCCTTTTCGAAGGAGGTGTACCCGATGCGGTAGCGCCGGAAGGCGAGGGCTAGCACGTCGAGGAATTCTTTGTACTGGGAGAAGACGATGGACTTGGCTCCCGGGTCGGACTGTCGGAGCCAGAGGAGGTGGCGGACTAGCATGTCTACTTTCGTGGTGAAGCTCGGGCCGTCGAGGTCAATGTCCTTGATCTCGTTGAGTTTGTCCGTGTGGAACTCTGAGTAGATCGTCGACACCTTTTCGGGCCGGGCCGTGTCTGTTTGCTTGGGATTGTCCCCGCCTCTATCGTGCGCTTCCGAATGTACCTTGAGCTGCTGGGGTTTCAAGGTGATGTCGTACAAGTTTGACTGGGTCAAGCGTTTCTTGCACATCGGGCACGTTCTGTGTGCCCGGAACCACAGAGTGATGCATTCCTTGCAGAAGAGATGACCGCAGATGGTCAGGACACCAACTGAGAAAGCCGACTGGCAGATGATACACATCCGCTGCTCGCCCGAATTGGACTCTTGTTCCTTCAGAAACACCACTGTATACGGTTAGCTAGTACTCTTTTTTGAATCAGACACGTCACAGTAACTTACAATAACGATGCTTTGCCGCGGCAGCGTTCAACTTTTCTTCCAGGTTTGCTTCTTGTTTCTCCGATTCCTCCAGAGCGGCCTCCAGCGCCGGGGCCTCCAGGGAACCCTCATACTCAGCAACCGTGTCGGAAACCTCCTGCAGCTGGCGGTAATATTCGATCCGTGCGTTCACCATGTCCATGAAACGCTCAATCTCCTTGTCCATAGCCACGGCCGCCTTAGTCTGCTCTGTCTGATAATCAAGCGTCGACTTCAGCAGGTTTGTCACCAAGGCCAGCTCAGTGGAAGCTCGAGCGGACCCTGTGGCTACCTGGTTGCGGAGCTGGACAGCAAGGACTCGCAGTTCAGAAACAATGCCACGCATCGACGTCAGGGGGTCTCGCTCGGCGAACGGCGGCTTGATCTTCGCACAAATCGCAACGAGCTGGAGAAACTTTTCCGGGAATGGGCCCTCCCCCGCTGCGGCCATCCGCGCGGCCACCTTCATCTCGTGTTCCACGAGGAAGTTCTTCTGCCCCGTGATGGCGGCATGCCGGTCCGCAACGGCAATCCGCAGCGCCTGGAGGTACACCAGAATCTCATCCTGTAGCTTGGTTGAGTCCCCGTATTCTTCACCGGTGGTTTCCTCGCTTTCCTCGTCGACAAGGGGCTTGAGGAGCAGCTGGATGACATGTTCACGCCAGTTGTCAAGCTCACCAGCTTGATCGTCCAACGCGCCATTGAGCTCCTCGAGGGCTTCCGCAATTCGCCGGGTTTCGATCCCGCTCTTGTCAATCTCCTCGAAAGCTGGGATAACCGCGAAGGCTTGTTGTTGTGCTGCCTTGGTAAGCCGCTCCATCAATTTCTTTGCTTTTCCATGGCTCTATACTGTTGTTAGTCGGCTAGATTTTCCATTTTGGATCAGTCCGACAAAAAGCCAAGCTTACCTCCTGAAGAATCTCTCTTCGCACCTCCTTAGCTCGGTCATACGCGGCGACCTCCTTCGCCTCCAGCGCCTTGAACTCGTCCGAATCAGGCGGCACCGTTTCCCCCTTAGACTTCATCGAGAAGTATGCATTCCCGCAAAAGAATATGGCGCGGTGCTGAATCTCAAGTACCGACCGTAACCGGCGACGAAGCTCTCCGGTGCGCAACGCTGTTACATCCTCGTGGCCCTCCTCATCTTCGTCCCTTTCCGACACTCTGCGCGACTCTGCCTCAATCTCTAGTTTCAACTGGGCCCGCAGTTCAGTCTCTAACTCCACGCTTTCCTCGACAACCTTAGACCACACCGCGAGGGCGTCTTCCGCCCGGGTTTGACAAGCGATGACCTGCCCCTTATCCACCTTGGCCGAGAGCAGTGCGCGCTGCTCCGCCCTCACCGTGGTGTCGGCTTGTTCTAGCATCGCATCCAAGACCTCAGTGACCGTCCGCATCGGGCCGGCCTTTTGTCCAAACGCACGCCTGTTCCGCCCTCCCACTTCAGGGTGCAATACCGTCTGACGGAGTCGGTCGAGCGCGACGCGCATGTGGCGCTGTATAGCAGGGTCTTCCGGGTCCCAATCACCCCGCAGCGGGTTCCCCTTCGGGTCCAAGCCACAGGTTTCGGCGAGCTGGGAGACGAGACCTTGGTAATGCTGTTCCTCGACGGCGGTGAACGGCATGGTGATGACATAACGCCTCTGCTGCGGGATCGCGATCTCATTTCTGACGTGGCTCTTGCTGTGGCGCATCGATATCGAATTGAAGATCTTTCGGAATGAGTCCTTGTCGAAAGTAGTGAGCGCGTTCCAGATCTTGGTGTTGGAGGCATACGGTTCATGCCGAAGAAAGAGCAGCAAACCCCGAAGATCTGAAATTATCATGTCAGTTTGTACCCTTCTCAGAAAATACGATTAGAGCAGTTGTTTTCCCACCTTTCTTGACATCATCTTTGACCGGTGTGCCTGTGACACCCCAAGCGTTGACCCGAGGAATCTTCCTCGCAAGTTTTGCTGCATTATTCGTCCAGTTCTCAACCATCTGCGCCTCATCAATGCACACTCGCCACCAAGAGAGCTGCACTAGTGGGGACCTGATACGCTCGTATTGCTTCTCACCGCGTAGAGACCGAGTTGGCTCGTCGGCGGCCGCCCAGATCTCTCTGCGAAGAACCTCATATGTGGTGATCACCACGTCTTGCTCGGCTAGGCTCTCTGCGGAAAGCCCGTCATCGTCCTTCGCCTTTGATACCGCCTTGACTCCCGGATAGATCATGACTTTGAGGCCCGGTGCGTGCCTGTTCAGCTCAGAAATCCATTGGTCGAGCAGTGGGGTCGGCGCAATAATCAGGGTCGCCGAGGTTGTGAGAAGCTGACGTCCCAAAAAGTAATCAAACAGCATGACAGGCCCTTCAGGGCGCCGATGCAGGAGTATCAATGCGATGATTTCCAGTGTCTTCCCGAGTCCCATCTCCTCGGCGAGAATTCCACCGCGAATTTCCTGGAGCTGCCGAATGGGCGATGTATTTTTGAGAGCCGCCCCGAGTAACGAGCTCAGATAGAAGGCATTGCCATCAACATCTGCGGCTTCCGTAAAGGAAATCGGCTCCGTGATTTCTTGCGGAACGTATGGCTGGATGCCTGGTTTGTTGCTCGAGAGATCTTGACCCCATTTCACACCCTCTCGCTGCAAAAGCCATTGGATTGCCCGGGTCTGAAACGGATACAGAGTCGCTTTCAAGCCCGGGATGTCCATGGAATTGAGTTCAGCTTCAGTTCCAATCTTGTCGGGGACGTAAGCGGCCTCGTAGAAATCCTGGGGGGACCACGACGGGGCCTCTCCATCGCTTTGCAAACGAAGCTCCGGATACCAGACTTGGAAGATTTCATCTCGTAGGGCTTGTTGCGGATTCGAATTCCACCCTTTACTTCCCCATGCTGTCGACATTCCATTCCATCGGACTTCAATCGACATCCTCAACTCGGTTGACTCCCCGTTTTGATGTGCAGTAAAGTCTATCGCAGCCCATAGACAGCCCTCTTCGCCGGGGTCAAAAGCCTGCACCTCGGCCACTCGCAAAGCTGCTCTTAACTCTGCAGAGATCCTGGTTTCTCCCAGCGAAACCAAGACCACAAACCCACGAGTGCGGTAACTGCTTCGTGGCTTAAGTTGTAATTGCCACTCGCCAGGCATTGGCCCCTCTTGTCCTGCCTCACGAAGCCGAACGTCGAACATTTCTCCGACCCCGCGCCTTGATACAATCGGAGGTCCATGATACCCCGAGGCACTGCTGAGGGTAACAGCCAAATGCTCTCGCGCAATGGTCACTGATGCCAAGACCCCGGCCGTCTTCGCCCGCTTTGCTGGACGGACTAGAGGATGCTGACTCGCTCCGTCAGCCGTGGATGGAATTGATTCAAGGCACTCCAAAAAGGCCGCAATATCATTGAATCCGGTGTTATTGTTGTTGCGAGCCCCCTGGGTCCCCAATCTCCCCTTCGATTTGGCACGGGGCATTTTAGGATGTGGGTGTGAGGTTAGCTGTGCCCAATGTGTCGTAAGTTATTGTTGGACGGTGATATCAAATGCCGCGATGATACGCAGGAGATGGCCGTGAGCAAATGATGCGAGTCGCAAGACTTGCGGTGATTAAATTGGTGGGACCTGGCGTAGATATATGAAGCCCTCAAAATCTAGTTGGGAATCATAATGTACTTGATATCAAATTGAAACTTGATCAAATAACCGTTTATGACCGCTGGAAACAGTTTGCTCGTCTCCTTCAATGGGCGTGTGGATCGGAGGGGGGTGAGAGATGACCGCATGTGAAGACACAGCGCGGAGTGTGGTGTAAAGGGGAAAAGTGTTGGGAGGAGAAGGTCTGAGGACGTCCTTGGTAGGGCTAAGGGCAACTTACACCCGTACGGGACCCGCAACGGCCAGTGGCAGCCTTGGGGAATGCGGGCCGTGATTGGTTAGACTGGCAAGCTAGCGTTCCTAGATAGGCTAGAGTCGCCCCCACCAAGAACAACGGACGCTTGGGCCATCGTGCGGCCCCGACTTTAAGATTTTGGAGCGACAGCGAAAACTCTCCCCTCGGCCAGACGGTTCCAGGTGCGTGAACAAGCTCTCGAGCGCATTGCTGCAAGCCGTCTCAACCTCTTCTGGCGTGCCGCTCGGCATTCACCAGAGGAAAGAAGCATTCATTCTACATGTGAGTCCAACCCGCGTCGATTGGGCTTGTACTTACCCCGCCCATGCTGGTCAATTGGTGGACAAGATGCATGCGAATTTAAAACCTACAACTGGGGGTGCTGACGGCCGTTTCTACTCCAGACAACACCGATGAAGCCTCTCCGGTTACAATCCGCCTTGGGGCTTCTGCTCCGGCCCTCCGCCTCTACAGCATCTACCACGGCCCCCATCGCCGGGCTCCAAGCACAAGCGCGATGGGCGCATAAGACCACAACAAACTCTCAGCTACCCCTCGTCCCAGCACCAATCCCGCTCGTCCCCGACGTCGAAACCTTCTTGACGGTCATCGGCCGCGGCCTCAAACAACACGCATCCAAATTTCCTACGTGGGACGCTCTTTTCACCCTCACGTCCGACCAGCTCAGAGAACTCGGCGTCGAACCACCACGGTCGAGGCGGTACTTATTGGCATGGCGGCAGCGCTTTAGGGAAGGAAAATTTGGGATTGGCGGCGATCTTAAACACGTGGAGGATGGCGTCGCAGAGCTGAGGATTAGGGAGGTGGACAAGACCCCGTTGATCCGACTAAGGCAAATCATCAACGTCCCGCCCGGGAAGAGGGTTGAGGAGCTGCAGTCGTCGGAACTAGTCCGCGTGCGTGGTTTCACGGCACAAGGGGTCCGCAGCATTTCAGGGCCATACGCGTTGCCTATGAGGCACGGCGGTGCCCGAATCAAGGTAACGGAGGGTATGTGGGAGGACAGGAGGGGGCATAAGGTAGACGGTGGTGAGCGGAGGCGGGATATGATCCGCTTCAAAAAGCGGGTGGCGGAGCGGAAGGCCCTTAAGGAAGCACAAGGCTTTTACTAGTGCGGCAGTATGACCCTCATGGCGGGTTGCAAGGCAGAATGCCTGGTGTAGGTGTACTGGGAACGTCACGTTACATAGAAGATGGCGGTTGGTCCGCGGCGGAGGGCACGCCGTGTGTAGAATCTGTATATTATTGGATTTTGGCGGCGAGCTGAACGGCAAGACACGGTGAAGGACGCCTTATTCATAGACGATGAGCCAGAAACAGCGATAATTTCGCCGAGGAGGCCGTGCGCGTTCGCTCTCCGCGGTTCGGACTTAACGCCTTCTGCTCACCAACACCCGGGGATAGTGACGCATCCGGCAATTTGGCAGCCGGACCGTCCGCGGAGCGGCTTGTCTGGCGGGCATACTTTGTTAAACCCCGCCATTGGGCCCGTTTGCTGCGACCTTCCGGATGGGTGGCGTTCCGCGCTTGTCAGCCAAGTTCGCCCAAGACTTGCTTGTCAGCGTTGACTAAGGGCCGGGAGGGCCCCCTCCACAGCGCCAAATCTCAGGAAACAAAAGCCATTGCATCTGCTCTCTGCTTTTTACCCCTTTTCCCCGTCAGATCACCGCTGGGTTTTCTCGAATTTACACCATCCCGTCCGATTTTTCTTTCAAGAGGCACAGTCGAGCTACTTCAGACGAGTCGAGCTGCCGGTTTCAGGTTTTCGAAACAGTGGTCTGCGGCGCTGGCAGCCCCCAAGCGCTGCTGGAGAATCCTGAGCCACTGTGAACTGGGCGGAGCAGGCTCCGTTCCGCATCCCACAAGCAGGCAACAGCGAAAAGCACCCCGACAGCCAAACAATCGCTGGTGGTCCCCGCCAAACTTGCAGTTTGCTTCGCCATCAGCCGTGACAAAGCACACGGATACTTATACGCCGATACCCTCTATTCTTTCATCGCTACTCTTGGTCTGCAATTACCAACGTCTAGTGGCTGCCCCCCACTCAACCACCCGAGCGATCCGATATGCTCGAAAGCAGTCATCGACACCATCACGGGTGTTAAATCAGTACCCGAATGATTAGTAGGCGCCCGATATTTTCGGCAACTTTCTGGGACGGGATGAAGGCGGCCGGATTGCATGGATGACACGAAACACGACGAAAACCGACGACATTCGCAATGGATGGGTAATTTTTTGGTTCACCGGCTGCGCCCACGCCGATTTCCGATCACGCCCACACCCACACCCACGCCCACTCACCACGTACCACTCACCACCACCGATACCGATGCCGGCGCCGATGCCGAATTTGAATTTTATCCAGATCCCGATTCCGATTCCGATTCCGACTCCGACTCCGGGCCCCGCCATCGAGAGTGACGAATCACACTCGACGAACCACATGATGAAGACGGCGACTTTTTGCACTTTGCTTGCCGCACTAACCGAACGTGATGCAGGTGCCTGGCGCTCCCGTCACGGTACAGCTCAGGTTCATTGGCGGGATTTACCTTTTCAAACAGTGAGTGATGGGGGGCTTGGGGGTAACGCAACCAGGCAGGCCAACACGAACCCCGGACGGAACATGCTTCCCACATCCCCGCCCCTCCTCAATCAAGGGAGGCTGCACAGGACGGTGGGGTAGGTTTCTTCGAAACGATATGCACCTCGAATACGATCCCACCTGACCATATCGAATGTCCCTTGCAGCGACAAAGGTCACCTTGTTTGGGGTGGTGCAGCGGATGCAGGAGCGGGAATTTTGGAGGCGCAACATCGCGTTCATCAAGAAGGCAAGGGAGCGGGTGCGGGAAAAGGGGACGGGAGAAGCCTGCGCGTGGATACCGGGGTGGTGCAGGGAAGAGATGGGATGGGGATTTGAAAGAGGTGGAAAAAAAGAAGCACGGGGGGCAGAGGGGGGGGATATGGTGTGTGATGAGAGATGGAGACGCGGGGCTGGAAGGGGAAAGGACAAGTTGGACCGCCTGCGCAACATATTTTTGACTGCCGACGGAGTTTCGAGCCTCGGCTCGGAGGTCCCGTCGAGGTTCGGCCGTCTCGACATTGGCACTGACCTAAACCGTTTTGGAACTGCCCAGGCGTTTGGCGGAAGAAGGGGACTAGGCGACCCACTCGGACCAGAGAAGGCCGAACGCGCCGACAACAGCAATGAAATGATGATGAATGGAGAGCGCAGGTCCGAATATGCGAGCAGACGACGACCGACGGGCTGAAGGTGGCCCGCCTCAGCAAGAGATGGGACACTGAGTTCATCGCATCGACGAGTCGAGCTCTCCTGGGTGCGGGAAGCTTGGAGGGTTTCTTTTGCCTCTGCCCAGCGGAAGACGGGGGAACTTGCTTTGCGTCGGTGTTCTTACTATTCCGCAGAAGCCGTGTGAGGCGAGATGGTGGTGGGCTCTGAGAGGTGAGGTGTGGGTAGGGTGACGAAACTGATGATTATTTTGCTAGGAGAACGCGGCGCGATTGAGAATATCCAAGCCGAAATGATCCGGACAAACCACACGACAATTACAATCGGAGTCTCCACCGACGACTCTATTTCCAATGCAGACAAATGGCAAAGCCGTTCCCCGGTCCTCCTTCCCACGATGCCGAAAGCCAAAAAAAGTGCGGCTGAAGGTGTTCCTCATCTTCGGGTTTCCTCGTGGTGTTTATTTGGAGGGGGGTGACTAAGGAGCTCAGTCACTCGGCTGGGAGGTGTGCCCATGGGCTGCGGCACAGTTTCGCAGGGGTTTGGTTCGCCCACGCCGCTCCGGGAAGCTCGCCCCAGAGCCCCTCCAGCTGTCGACAAGTGCTGCGGTTGCATTCCACGCCTTGCGCGTGCTTGGCAAGGCAGATTTTCGATTCTCCTCGTCGGCCGCGTTGGTGAACTCGGCTGACCCGACAATCGCATTGCACCACGGCCCGATCGTGCAACTGATAGGCGGCTTTTCCCCGACACTTTTCTTTTTTAGCGTGCTCGAACAAACAATTTTTAGGTTGTGGGTTCTTTTCGAGATGAGCGAGTCACTCGGGCAAGGTAAGGAAACGGCTCAGCACCTGCCGAATTCGTCAGCCTCTATTTTCCTTCTTCCGCGGGGGAAGGCGTCGTTTTACACCCATGATTGGCGCGAGGTTTCTCCCAGTATCCATTGAGAGACCTCCGACTTCCTAGCCTCCCTGTCCGCCAGTATCGAATTCGGCACTGGTTGACGGAAACCGTGCGTCTCAAAAGAACGACCAAGGCCTTCCATGCCAGAAGGAGGCGCGGACGACCCCACTTAGTCTTGGCCGGGGTTAAATTTAGACTTAACCCCCGGACATTTTGGCTAGCGGCATTCTGTTTGAGACGAACCAAGCTTTCCACGGTCTGAACATGATCACGGCAGCAAGGATTCATCGCGCACCATGGTGAGAACCCAAAAAAACATCACAGGCACAATGTTTACTTTCACTTCTGTCGCTTGAAACGCGCCGTTCTTTTTCTTCGCGGTCACAACTCGAGGGCCACATAATTTTTCCGATGGCGCCAACTGGACGTTTCGCTTTCAAAGTTTTGACCTCGGTCTAGTTTACCAAGATATCTGTTTTGTCAAGAAACAAGAAATAAACTTCGTGGTTCCAAGTGCCATCCCAAAATAAGCTTGAACATCATCGCCGCCCTTTCTTTAACATCACCAATCGGCAGCGATAGAATATTTAGAAAAAGAATAAAGTGGGGGTAGAGCTCCCGAAATACACTACTTGCTGGAGTGCCCACCCGAAACCATTCACACTTCTGTCACGTTGGGAGCTGATCACTATTCCGCAATACTGCCCGTTGGAGGCAGGCGATGGAGATACCCCTGCGCTCATCGGGGTTACTTTGCGAAAAGTGGAAGAACTCACGTCGGAATCTTCCAAGGGTTAATCGTCGATAATGGACACCGTTGGATCAGAGAACCAAGGAGGATGGACCTCTCGGGAGTGGTAATTCAGCATCTCCAACTAATCTCTTGAGCGGCGTGGTCGCGCACAAGAGACTCATTTAGGAACACATGGCTAGAGTCGCACGCACACCAAGAAATCTCATTGGGAAGACAGAAGCCTCAGCTGAAATACAACGACCCACTGTCCACATGTCGACTGCAAGCTCTTCACATATTCCGTGCGACAACACTGACCGTGTCGTCGGGGCCCTCGATGTTTAAAAATAAAAATAGCCTCAAGCGAGCGGCGCAAGTGGGTCACCATGCGGATCTTGGAAACCCTTCGAGAAATTGATCGTCTGTGCGGAATGCGGGCCACAACAAATCCCGGGTGGGGGAGGAAGGGGTGCAGATTTCCGTTGCTTCTCGGTATTTTTTTCGACCTTTTCGAATCGCAATGCGACGGAGGAGTGGCGGTGCATCAAAGTCTCTTTTTTAGCAAATCGAGCACGGGCTCATTGGGCCCTCAAGCCCTCCGCAAAGAGACAGCTTCGTGACAGAGCATGGCCCGGCATCCAATGAGCGTCGACACCGAAACTATGGATGGTTGTCAACACCTCGTGAGTATTGAGCCTGCAAGACCACACGAAGAATCAGAGAAGCCATTTTCGGTATTGAAGAGACGAGAAAACGCAAGGGATGTGGGGCTTTGGGGTGGTCAGATCGACGATAGCCATCGTCGTCTGTCGAGCGAAGAGCAAAGGACAAGACCAAGCATGCATCTCTTTCGTCCTTCGTCCGAAATACCAACTATTGACACCCGGGTTTTCGAGATGGTTTATTTTGGGGGTCATCTCGGCGATTGATAGCTGTCCCTTCAAACCTCGGGTTTGGTGCCGTGCCGTCCCGGCAAAGCAAAGAGACCATGCCGTCCATCTTGACCGAGCTCTTCCCCAACGTCGTTTTTTACAGAGTGGGGTGAGAGAAAGGAAAGTTCTTGTGGATTTTCGAATGCTCACGTCGTCACCCACGCCCGAGGATTCATCTTGTTCATGCTCGATATAGAAGCAAAGGACAAATTAAGGTTCTCAGCTCCCGATCCTTTGTCAACGTTTGGCCTCATTCGGCATAGGGCTTTTAGGCGGAGGTGGGCCAAAAGAGATAGCCAAGGCACACTGATCGGCGGGACGGTTGGCCCGAGACAATGGGCGTTCGCTTCGAATCATCGTTTCGCGTTAACGTTAACGTTATTTTTTTTGTCGACTCCAGTTCAGGTGCTGGGAATGCAGGCGTTCCATACCGGCCAATGCTAAAAATCGAAGCCCTGCTGCTCCAGTCGGGGCCCGCTGAAGGGCCCACAGTTTCTGGGGTACCCTTGTCACGAGCAAGGAATGGTCAAAGTTCCTCTCTAACTGAGAAAGGCAAGTGGGGATACATTAACGGTTATTCATTGGCTCGTTCGCCAAAGCCAAAATTTGCAGCAAGTCCTTCCGTTTTCATTAACATGAGATGGAGCTTGGGGAAGGAACTACGCGATAGCATTGGCAATAGGACGCAACAGGTTGGTTCTTTTCGCCAACGCTCTCCTTTCCAGTTTCTGTCCTCCGACAATGCCGGAATATTGGTGTCACGCATGCTGCAAGCGAAGTTTTGGAGATGTGCGACATCTTTTCCACACTCCTCCAAATGCTGACAGACCCTCAATTACAATCAAGATTCAGCCCTACACCCTTGGGATCCTCCAGCCTGTTCCCCATGTTTGCGACCGAGATCGCGGAAAATGTGCGCCATGCCGAACTGGGAACCAACTCGCCCACCACCTTTCTGTTCCCCACCACCTTTCTGTTCCCCACCGACCTGCACCGACCTCGCCGCAAGCTCGAGTTTCCTGACCCTTGCTTCCCCAAAGTTGCATGTTCTTCACCAGCAACCGAGTGTCCCTGGCCATCGCTCTTTTGAGTGGGGAACATGGGAGGATCTCGAAACGACTAGACTCGACTTGTGACTCTTCTTTTATTTTTATCTTTGAACGATTGGCTGATCTCGCCTTTTTCTCTTGCAAGAAGCCTCCCATCGGTTGGCACACAAGTCGGCAGGCAGAGCCTTGGCTTTGGCGGGAACTGTGGGCCGGTGTGCCCGTATTTTTCGCGTTTGTTGAAGCCACTAAGAACGTGTTCCAGCACAGTGCCTCGTCTGAGGCGAGGTTGACCTGGTTACCTCATCCCTCTGCCGATCCCTCAGTTGACCATAGCGAGACTCTCAACGCACCGTCGGCTCTCAGCACGTGAGGGAGGACAATCACATCGAAGAATGAGACTGGACCCACCCTAAAAATCGCAGCTCCATGCCCTCCATGAGGTTCTGTGCCTCTACCAATGCGCATGCCCATGCAAGTGCATGCCGTGCCGTGGTCGCCGCGAGGCATATCTGGACCTGGGGAGGCGCGGAAAGGCCAGTCATTCAGAGGTGAACTAGGGGGGCCCTGTAAAGGTTGATGGAGGGGTGTGGTCGGTGGGTGGGATACTTTCATCTCCCGGGAGGGCACTGTGCATCCACTCGACTGGCACCCCCCAGCGGATGAGCGCATCGTCCCACGATGGCCACGCGCGGGCGTGGTCCTGACACCCCGGCATCCCTGTTCCTCGCCTGGCCATGGGGCAATGAACGGGTGCGCCGCAAGCGCAACCATCTCATTCTCCACCAACCCGCTCTGAGTACCCCTGGGCCTTTTGGGCCTTGGGATGGTGGCCCAGGCTGGATGGGTGGATGCTCCTCGAAGCACACACTCGTCGGGACGTTGGAATGCTAGCAACTCAAACCACCCCGGATCAGCTCCACTCCTCGACCCAGCAGGTCTGTCCCCTCACTGACACCACTTCCAGCTGTGTCCCCCCCCCTTCCTTTCGGGATCGCCCGTCTTACAAGTATATGGGGCACGGAGCTTTCGGGCGCCATGTATCCTCCGCTCGACTTCCTGACTTATCACTCATCCGTACAACGCCAACGCCGCAAATAACGGTCGTCTCGTTCTCGACCAGCACCTTGAACGCTAAGCCCCTGGTCACTTCCATCTTTGGTATCCTGTCGTTCCGGCTCTTCCTCAACAGGGCATACTTGTCAACGTCGGGCCCGCCTCGAGTCTCAAGTTCAGACCGTTAAACTAGTATATAAGTGATCGCGACGTCCCGAGTGGACGCCACCAGTCCTAGAAGCAGGCACCAGTTCGAGCATCTTTCCCGAATCGGTAACCAGAAGCTCAGAGGCATACAAGAAGCAGAGCAGACCCCCGGCCTGTGAGCATCTTCCCCTTCTTTTGTTTTCTTTTTCCCTTCTTTCGAGATGTCCTCATACCAACACCCTGAAGAGAAAGACTACATAGAGGTCATCCCCCTTTACGACGACCACAACGAGACCACTCACTCAAGGAAGAGTCGCAGCAACAAGAAGTACAACAAGCACATCACGACTCCCCAGTCCGGCTCAGACACCGAGAAAGAACCCTCCAACATGTCTTCAAGGTCTTCCAGACACTCTTCGGGGTCCATCTCGAGGAAGGAGAAGATCTCAGCATCCAAGACGAAAAAGACGGACGACTGGACCGAAGTGACGGAGCCTGATGAGAGGCGGCGCATCCAAAACCGTATTGCCCAGCGCAAGTTCAGTACGTCGACCACCAGCATTACCATGATGCACCACCATCGTTCCCATCACAGCACTCGTTCTCCCCCCCCACTCCCAACCGAGCCGCCTCTAACCTAGATGAACAGGGGAAAAGGCTCGTGAGCAAAAAGACCGCGCCGCCCGTGACGCCCAGAATCAGCAACATGCCGGCTCGTCGTACCATATTCCCGATCCAGAAGACTTCACCCTCGACGATGGTGGTGACCTCTCGGGCCTGCCTTGGGGCGGCTTGAGCATGCGGCACGTCGTAACCCGCGGCCACGCTTCGGCCAGCACAGGACACCACACCCACAGCCATCACAGCGGTAATACGGGCGGGAGTAGCAGCATCATCCACCAGGCAACAAGCACGCCGGGCCCTGTCGACCAAGCGCTATATCACATGACACCATATGGCTACACAGCGCCACCACCTCACCAGGCACATCCTACTATGGTGGACGCCACGGGGGAGGTGTATCATGGGTATGACTCGCCATATACCACGGGATATTATGCGTTTGACCCGGCTGGGGCAGATCCCACTCATGGGTTGTAACTCACAAACCTGGGTTCAAGGGGTATGTTCCTCTCTCTCTTCTCCTTTGAGCACGTTTTTCTTTCCTAGGGACGGTGTTGCACTTTTTGGTACTGTGTTGTCTCTCAGTTTGTCTCATCTGCTGGAGATGGCCGAACCCGAAGTTGTGAAACGTTACTTTATTCGGAAGGTGCACAAGGGGATTTTTCAACTGACGGGTTCACGTTTGCAGGGGAATTGTTGTCGATCGAATGAAATGTTTCTGTCCCTTTTCCTAATGCTGGAAGAGGGGCTGAAAGGGCGGTGCTCAGGTTTCTGAGAAAGGGAAAGATTTACTCCCCATGTTTGCCCGGCTCAGAAACCCCCTTCACTCCTATCCTCAACACCCCCTTTTCCCTGAAAACTTCAAGATATTCTTCACAGTACATATGTTTTCTACCCTTTGGGAGCGTGGGATTCCCGTTTTCTTTTTCTTGCCTTTTGCCGGTTTGGGTTTTTTTTCTGGTTGGTCAGAAAATGAGGATCAAGACATGGGCGGTGGACACCCACTGTGCTTGGAACACTGAGACGGTCTTGGCATAGACAAACGGCGATGTGCCTCGTTTTCTTCCCTTTCAACCCCACCTTTTTTGCCAGCAACTTTTGGCCTTTTCTGTCTTTTCATTTTCTTTCACTTCGCTGTTCATTTTTCATTCTCTTCTTGTTTATCTTTTACTTTCATTTCAGAGTTTTATCTTTTGCACATACACCTTCTCTCCCCTTTCACTTCTGCATATACCCCCCTCCTCTTGGGTTAGACTTAGCGTTTTTATTCCCTTCTCTCCTTTGTTTGCCCGGGTTGGGCGGGGTTTGGGGGTCATCGGAAGACAAGAGCCGGTTTCGGGAAACGGGATGGGAAACGGGGAGGCATCTTGGTTGCATTTTGGTTGCCTGTTTATGCTCTTTTTTTTGCTTTTGCTAGCCCTTCCTGGCTTCTTCTCGAATTATGATGATGGGTTACGAATACATAGAAGCTGACATTTCGCTCTTCAACCTCTCGCCGTCTTCTTTTCTCCAGACAGTCTCGTCGCTTGGTGCCTGGTGGTGGTCGTTAACCCGTAAACTCCACTTACCGTCGTTAGTTGGCCTGTCGTTTTCCTCGCGATGGTTGCTTAGCTTGGATGATGACACAGCAGTTAACTAATTGCATCCACATTGCAGCGCGTTCCTGTACGACAATAAAATGCGGTGCTGTTACATTGTGCGGCAGAGCAGGAGAAGGGGAGCCTGCGAGCCTGGGCTTTCAAGTCTTGGCACTGGGACCTTTTTCTCCCAGCGCTGTGGTTCATGGATTTGCAAAAGTGTGAGAGATGTGCGCGGGTTACGCAAAACGTTTTTTTTTTTAACGTTCGTTAGTTAGTAATCATCCCCGGTTTGGTCTCTAGCGAGTTGCTATGGAAGTCGGAAACATTAGGGCTGGACCATGTTGACGTACTCCCACTGCGCGGCCGTACGTGTACTTTGTAGCGTTTTACTTTCTTACCATAGTTAGTAGTTAGTTTATTTCTCGGCTTGCGACAACAGCCTCATTCGTCGTCATCATCGTCATCACCATCATCGAAACCGAGGAGAGCACACGAGGACGCTTTCTTTCTGTGCTTTCCCCCCCCGAGCCCCCCGAGCCGTCCGTCGCCTGTGCTTTGCTTGGCTCGCCTTGGCTTCTGGGAGAGAAGGGAACAAATGCCGGGCCGGATATGGCGAGCTTGGCTGCCGGCTTCGGAGTCGGGTCAATTGCACCCTAGTGATGACAGCCATATGGGCCCCCCTTCCCCCCTCCCCCCTCAAAAGTGCTCCCAAAGAGAGCCAAATTCGCCAAATGAGCCCTTGCAGATTTTGACGAGGATCAAAAACCTCCCGCGCTCGTTTCGTGCCACGCGCGTGCGTCGTCAGAACTTAGGCCCACGCGAGAAAACGTGACCGCATCCCATGTTCTTGATCCGCTTTTGTTGTTTACATCGTACGTCTCGGAATAAAAGGGGGGAACAAGGAGGAGGGGAGGGGAGGGGTCGCATGAGATGGTACTCCGTGGGTTATTCCCGGCACACACACATCCATAGTACAGCAAGCATTCGCCAGCGTGCCCCCATCATCCATGCAGCGAAGCACCAAAGGAACAATAGGCTAAGGACGATCTTGCGGTGCGAGTGTGGCTCAGGTGTGAACGTGTGGTGGGAAAGGCACTGCACAGTGGCATTGGTGGGGCTCGTGAGCTTTCTTTGTCTTCCCGGCCTTGGAGAGTGGGAGCGTGTGGTTGTGGTGCAGGATAGAACAGGGGCTGTGGAAGATTGTGGAAGGGTCACACAGCCACAGCGCGCCCTTCATGTCTCTTTCTTTTCACCTTTGAGTGTTCCATTGTCAACCCCGTCGAGCCAGCCCGTGGCATGGCTGGTCTGGTACCGAAGCAATTAGCCTTGCTTTCCCTGTGTCGGCTGGCAGGACGGGACACACGGGGTGGTCCGGCGTCGACTCCCGATGGGTCTCCACCATCACCAAGGCATATCTCTCGGTCACAGATCTGGGAGACCACTTTTTTTTTAGCTTAAACGAGACGACCCATGGTTGAGAGGCGGCAAGGCGGCTCTGTCGACATGGTCGGCGACCCCCGACTGCCTCGGCCGACCTGGAATGGGTGGGAGGGTACTCGAGCTGCGAGGTTGCATTGTGCTTTCGCTTGACTACACTACCTTGGTCGACTTTGGTGGCCTCAAAAGGGTTCCCCAGCGTCAAAGTTCTTGGTAGTGTAGACTTTTGGCGAAGCTCTTAAAGCCGAACTGTTTTGAGTCCAGCCATTGCCGAGAAATGGACGGCGAGCTCGCTACGAATAGTGTACATGTACATACAGATCGCCTTTTGTGATGAGGGGGAGGTAAAAAAAGAACCCCCTGATGGTTTCTCATCCATGTTCTGGTGTTCATGGTTGTGATCGAACAACCATTCAGTCTCCTGTAGTGTAAATTCTCCGAACCACAGGATTCTTGACTTGGTCGAGAACTGGCCGAGAAGGAAAGCTTCTTTGGGCGGAATAACTATCTGCCAGGAACCCCTCCTGGGCCGGTTCTCGACTCAAGAGACGAGTCGACTGTGTCACTAGAGTTCTTGGATAACAGGCTTTGGAGCCCCTGGTTGGGCGCCACCAGACCGTTGACTCGCTGGATGCAGCAGATCCTTGCCCCTTCGACGCTGAAGAAAGACTTGCTGGCGAAAATGGCCCGTTATCCTGTTTCACCCCACGAACAATGGGAGAGACAAGAGACAGCCTCCGCTGGGGTTCCATCCCCAGTCTGGACTCAACTGTCCGACTGATCTGTCTCTGCATTGAAACGCAACCCCTTCACTCACCCCCGCATCTGCAACCATCACCACAGCCCACTCCACCAACGAGTGTATCTCCACGATGGCAAGAGGTACTATGTAGATCCCCGGTGAAGTCCGATGCCTCGGGGACCATCAACGACGCCGCAGTCGTGCTTGACGCTTGACCGAGAAACGTCGAGCCACACCTTGTTGTCTGGACTCTCGATTCGTCCATGCTCCTCCACAAGCCGACCCCCCTGGCCGCATGGGTGGGTTTGGGGTGTGTCCGGGTGGTTTGGCTTGCACCTTTTTTCGTCCGCCGAGTTGGCTGAAATGGGCAGGAATGGCACCCCGATCGATGGCGATAGGCGGTTCCTGCATGCAACACGAGGCAAGGGACAGCAGAATCTCGCCACCACCTTCACTATTCTTTTCTAAAACGAACGTCCCCCTTCCTTTTCCTTCCTGCGGGGTGCTCAACGCTAGCCGCACACTGCATGTCTGCAGATGCAGGTCGCGGCGTGCCGGGCCACCCACCCAAAACTCGACCGTCACAGTCGCTACCAGCTCGACGCAGGGGAAGCGTGCGAATGAGGAAGCACAACGAGTGTACTTGCCCCACGGCGGGAAGCCTCTCTGGCCGCTGTGGCCACCAGACCACAAGCCCCTGCCGACCGGTGGCACACACGGCCGCCATGTGGTGGTGTCGTGGGTTGTGGGTTGCTTGTCGAGTTTCATAGAGAGGTCGAGGTGGCCAAGAAAAACGTCCGATGATGGTGTGGAGCTCGAAGCACTCCGGCGTGTTTGACACACGGCGATGGACCCAATCACCTCTGAACTGAACTCCCGTGCGTCTTCGGTCACGCGTCAGTTTCCGTGTCCCACTCCCCCTTCATGACTCCGAGCCGCTCCTCGATGCCGTCAAGACGGGGCCCACATGTCTCCGTCGGCGAGTTCTTTTCCCACTCATCGGCCGCAGGAGAAGTTCGGCATGAAATCCCCAAGTCCGAGTGCCCCGAAGACACACCAAAGCCGTCATATGGCCGTCCGGCCCAACTACCGTCGGTCGGCCGATGCTTCTGGTCCAAGATAAGCAGCCACGTGTTGGAGCATCCTTGGCTCTCGCTCTCTTTGGAAGTCGGATACCTTTTGGCCGGCGAGCGCCCTTCCGAGAAGGGTATGTATGTATTCAGTGCATGGTAGCCACCGGCCCCCTTGGCAGCCCATCTTTCGCGAGGAGGCGTTCTTCGAATTGATCCGGGCCAGTCCCATGTGTCTCAGCGTCCCATCCTCCTCATGCCCTAGAAGCCTCATCCTCCGACCTTCCCCTGTTCAACTCTGCCCCAACTCCTTGCCAAGGGGTCGTGCATGAAGGCCGCCAAGGAAGGTATGAATGAGGTAATACTACTCCGTAGGCGCGCGTTATCGTGCAGGAGGACGAAGACTTGAGCGCAGAGTGCATTCGGTGACACCGGCCGATGTACCCGCATCCGCGTGTCAGAACTTTAATGGAGAAATAAAGACCCCGTTTCCCATTTTGTTACCGCCGAGACGGGATCTCCTGGACGGGCGAGCAGTCTAGCCTGGGTCGTCGAGCCTAACTACCTGCCGGTTTGTTGACAGTCGTTTGAACGGAGTTGCTACAGTGAGGGGATGATTGAACGAGCTGGAAAGTGGGGCGATCAAGCGAGATTCCACTTACACCCCCACGGAATCTCGATGTCAATGACCCCCACTCGGACCGGTGGGGGCTCACCCAGCTCCGCACCTGCGTGTCGCCTGGTGGTGTGGGGAAGCCGTGCTGAAACGGCCCGCTGAACGGATGCCAAGCCGTTTTGGGCCGCAGCACGGACCCGGATTTGGAGCTCCCCTGGCCGAAAGATGGAGGTGAACGTGTTCCTAAGAGCCACCACCAAACGGCGAATGCTCACAAGGCTGTCCGCAACGGTACGGTCCGCAACCCAGCCTCACGAGTCCAGCCAGCCCGCCATGACGCGATAGATGACGTTAATACCTTGACTGAAGCTACCGAAGACCTCCCGCCATGGCATTGGGACGCCAATTGGGCCTGATGTTGGCTTTGTGCTGGTTCCATGCTTTGTTTGTTTCCCTCGGTTTCTCTAGTACTGCATCGGCAAGCACCCCCGACGACGGCGAGTCTATTTTACACAGCGAGTTCGGCCGCCAGAACAACCAAAGTTTACTATGGGGCCCATACCGGCCGAACCTTTATTTTGGGGTGCGCCCCAGGATCCCACAGAGCTTGATGGCCGGCTTGATGTGGGGCAAGATTGAGTCGTACGCCGACTTCCAATATAGTCAGTTCTTCCATCTTAGGCACATTCTTCTTTCTATTGGCTATTTGTTCAGTCTATCCATGCTCCCGTCTTCTACGGCTTCCCCTTGCTGACCAATGGCTCGTGTAAACAGCGGTCCGATACACCTGCGAGCAGAATGAGGGCATGAAGGGCTATGGATGGGAGGAGTACGACCCTAGGAGGGGCGGTATCCAAACCATCCACGACATACAAAACGGTCTCGATCTGACCACCTCCTTCGTAAAAGTCCCCGGGGGTGCCCACGGTGGCAACTGGGCGGCCCGGATCAAGGGCGTGCTAAACGACGATGCACCGAAGGACCAGAAGACCATCTTGGTCTTTTATGTGACACAAGAGGGCAGCGACTCAGAGCTCCAGGCGCTTGAAGGCGAGGATGAGAAGGGATATCATGGCGATGTTACGCTACAGGGCCGATCGGACTCGCTCGGCAACTACAAGCTTGTCGTGACCAAAGGCGAGGGCGTCCAGCCATTGAGTGACCACGATCTGTCGAATATCCGGGGCCCGGGCCAGACTGTAGTTCAGTCGTTGACGTATCCTGAGGAGCATATCTGGCAAGCCAAACCAATTCTATTTCGGCAGCTCAAAGAGGGGGTTGACTGGCTGGTGGAGAACAAATATGATGTGCAGGACCCCCCGCCTCCCTGGCAGGTGTACTTGCTCGACAACCGACCTGGCTCCGGGAACGTCCATATTGTGGAGAAGGTTTTTGAGGGAGATTTTGAGTTTGATGTCCTCTTCTCGAGCGAGTCGGTGGGCAAGGACATCACGAGTGACGATTTGTCGCGGGAAATCAAGCTGACGACCGAGTCCTTTGGGGAGCGTTTTGCGAGTATTTTCACACCCCAGGCGCCCTTCACGGCGGAAAAGTATAAGAAGTTTGGCCGTAGCATGTTCTCTAACCTGATCGGCGGCATTGGCTATTTCTATGGCGAGTCCGTGGCGGATCGGTCTTACGCGCCCGAATACGAGGAGGAGAACGAGGTCTTCTGGGAGGAGACCGCCGAGGCGCGGGCTCGTAACCAGCAGGCACTAGAGGGCCCCTATGAGCTGTTTACCAGCATTCCTTCCCGGCCGTTTTTCCCGCGTGGATTCCTCTGGGACGAGGGCTTCCATCTGCTTCCCATCGCCGATTGGGATATCGACCTTACCCTGGAGATCGTGAAGAGCTGGTTCAACCTGATGGACGAGGACGGCTGGATTGGCCGTGAACAGATCCTCGGTCCCGAGGCGCGCAGCAAGGTGCCGGCCGAGTTCCAGACCCAGTATCCGCACTATGCCAACCCGCCCACCCTCTTTCTCGTCATTGACGCCTTTGTCGAGAAGCTCCGCAAGACCAACGGGAGCCTTCCCCCTTCTGGCACCCGGGAGCGTCTGTCCCAGGATGACGGCACTCTTGCTACTGCCTCTCTCAACAACCCTGACGTTGGGCTGGAGCATCTCCGCCGCCTGTACCCGCTCCTTCAGCGCCAGTTCAACTGGTTCCGCAAGACCCAAGCGGGCGACATCAAGTCGTACGACCGCGAGGCTTTCTCGACCAAGGAGGCCTACCGCTGGCGTGGCCGTACGACCACGCACTGCCTGACGAGTGGGCTGGACGACTACCCGCGCCCTCAACCACCCCACCCGGGCGAGCTGCATGTCGACCTGCTCTCGTGGGTTGGTGTGATGGCTAAGTCGCTTGCCAACATTGGCGATGTGCTCGGCCTAACTGCCGACGTGGACGATTACCGGAAAATCCTCACTGCCATTGAACGCAATTTGGACGATTTGCACTGGTCCGAGAAGGATGGCTGCTATTGCGACGCGACAATAGACGACTTCGAGGAGAACGCGCTAGTCTGCCACAAGGGATACATCTCGCTGTTCCCGTTCCTGACGGGCTTGCTTCCCGCCGATAGCCCGCGCCTGGCCAAGCTGTTGAAGCTCATTGGTGACGAGGACGAGCTCTGGAGCCCGCACGGTCTGCGCAGCCTAAGCAAAAGCGATAAGTTCTACGGCACTGCGGAGAACTACTGGCGCAGTCCTGTGTGGATCAACATCAACTACATGGCGGTTGTGCAGCTTTACGTATGTTTGGTTTTCCCTTTATACCTAACTTCCAAGCACTAGGAGGACCCAGCTAACGAAACCAAAATAGAACCTTGCGAAACAAGACGGTCCGCACCAGGCTACCGCCCGTGACCTGTACTCGCGCCTGCGGAAGAATCTGATTGATACCGTGTATGCCAGCTGGGAAGAGACGGGCTTCGCCTGGGAGCAGTACAACCCTGAAACGGGCCAGGGTCAGCGCACGCAGCACTTTACGGGGTGGACGAGTCTAGTGGTGAAGATTATGGCGATGGAGGATTTAGAACAGGTCGGGGGTGATGTGCGGGATGAGTTGTAGATATAGTCGGGGCACAATTAGATTGCGAGCAGCCTGATAAAGGTTGCGAAAAGGGGCGTTGATTGCTTTTGAGTTCTTCCATCCACGACGGTAACTGTACACGTATTTTTACCATCCGAGTGGTGTGTCATCCACGGTTGAAGCCCATAACGTTACTGCGTAATTCACCCACCATTCACCCCTGCCCAATACCCCACATGCCAGCGTCCACCCATCCTCCTCGAAGCTCCATCTCACCAGCGTCCCGCGTTCTCACCGAGATTCTACCCTCCAATCCTCCAACGAACCCAATTACCCTGCTTCGCTTTAAGGCAGTTTTACACCTTACCATCCTAATGGCATAACGAACCTTACGGGACACGATTTTTACGCGCTGTATATACCAAATTCGATTACGCCCCAACGATAGACATCCTTCCTCCTATCCACCCACCCCTTCGATTCGATCCAAACAAACAAACAAACGGGCACGAGCTATCCAGAATACGACACACTTTCGAGTGGAACATAGCCGGCCATGTCCCTCCCTTCGCGACGGCCGGGCGTCGGCGGCCCGGCAACCAAGAACAGCATCCTCCAAACGCTCCAAGCCGCTGAAATGATTGACAGCAAGGCGGTCTTGCCGGCTGGTATGCCCCTCCCCCCCTCCATTGCCCTCTCCTTTTTTCGGGTGGGAAGAAGACTAATACCCTTGCCTTAATTGTGACGCTCCAGAAATCCTCTCCACAATCCTCGACTACCTCCCCGTATCCGACCAAATCCGCTGTGCCCGCGTCTCCCAACGCATGCGCGAAATGGTCTACGAAGACTCCCGCTGGGTTGCCAGGCTGCGAAGTATGGGGTGCTGGGACGAGGCGGCGGCGCGTCGCCGGTTTGACGAGGCGATGAGGCGGCGGGCGGCGTCGAATGCTGGGTTTGCTGCCGGGAGGGGGGGTGTTTCTAATAATGCGGCTGGTGGTGCTCCTGGAGCAGGCGCAGGCGCTGGGAGGGGAGGGGAGGTGAATAGGCAGAGTTTGTTGTTTGATGCGGGGTTGGAGGAGGAGAGGAGGAAGGTGTTGGAGGAGCAGAAGTTGAAAGAGTTGAAGGAGAAGGAGCAGCAGCAACAACAACAGCAGCAAATAGCGGAGGTTAGGGACGGGTTTGAGACGATGAAAGTTGCGGGGACAACACATCCGACGCATCATGACCCGTCCACAGACCCGGAAGCGTTGCTGCAGGTTATCAAGAATGCGAGGAGCATACGGGGCCTGGCGAGGCAGGAGTATGGGAAGATTTACGGTGCGCTGGCGCCTTTTTACTTTGATCTTGTGCGGGCTAAGACACACACGGATCCGCTGGTGTTCAAGGTGTTTCGCGACCCGGAAAGACAGGCACAGATGCTGGCGAACCTCCGGGCGTTTGCGAGGAGTGACTGGGCGGAAGGGGCGTCGAAGCGGGAGGAGAAAGTGGACACGATGACGGGGATCTTTGAGAGCGCGGTGCTGCGAGAGTTTGAGCAAGGGTACGAGTTCTGGGACGTGGACGGGCGCATGAACAAGTATGCTCATGTGCTGGCGGTGCTGAATGAGAGCAACACGGCTGTGGAGCTGTTTATTCAAAAGCACCCTATCTTCACGGACCGCGAGGTGCTGGCCAACTCGATGGACTGCGTGAACCAGGCGCTGGCGGATAGTATCACGTTGGAGCCGTCACGGCGGTTCTTTGAGGTGCTCGCGGGGAAAGTTAACGAGCAGGCGGGGATTATCCAGCGCATCTTTCCCAATGCGGGAGATGTGTTTTGGGCGTTTGTCGACAAGGTCCGGGAGGATATTGTGATGGAGTATGCTACGCCATTGTTCGACGAGACACATGAGCGGAGTATCCCCTCGTACCTCAAAGCTGTGTCTGGCTTGTTTGAGCAGATGCTGCAGTTTCTGCGGACAATAACACCGCCAAAGGGCGCCGAGGTACAACAGGGGGTCAAAGCGAAGGAGCTGGCCCTCAAGGCGTTTGAGCCGCATCTCGATTTGTATCTGCAGGATGAAACGGACGATTTCATCCGACTGGCAGAGGGACAAGTTGGGGAATGGGAGAAGAAGCTGTCCGAGCAGGAGGCCAGTGCCGAGTCGTTTTACATGGGCAGTTTTGCCAACCGACAGGCGGATAAGAAGGATTTCCTGACGTCGTTCAGAAAGGTCGTCATGATGCCTGTGACGGTCCTTCCTACGACCCTCACGGCGTTTTCGCTGCCGAGTCTCCCGCTAGGTTCGCCTTTCGCGAGCAAACCTGTGTCGAGCACGGCCAATGGCAGTAGTGTCTTGACGCAAGAGACGGCGTACCATGGAGCCCGCGTCCCAACTCCGCCACCAGCTCCGACTCCAGCCCCGGCCGCGGCCTCGGATGTACTGTCGCCGCCGTCAACAATAGACCGGGACAGTAGCAACAGTCCGCTACCGGACAAGGCACCGACGGACGAGCTAGCGGCGAAAGCGGCGCTTATGACATCCCGGTTGGAAGGGATCAAGTCGTTGTTCAGCATCGAAGTAGCGTTGAGCCTTGTGCACGCGGCCAAAGCCAGTCTGGGGCGAATGGCCGTGTTCATCCAGCTGGGCGGGCAAGCGGGCGAAGAGGCACGCGAGCAGTGCGAGACCATCTTCGTGGCGCTCCTCCGCATCCTTGGCAACAAACACGTCAAGCCCGGGTTCGACCGGGCCGTGGTGCACCTATCGCAGTACAACCCGCGCGAGGTGAGCGAGCACGACAAAGGCGGCGTGGCGCCGCTGGTGACGTTCATCGAGCTGGTCAACGTGGGCGATCTGATCTCGCAGATGATCGACGTGTTCTACGAGCAACAGCTGGCCGGGCCCAAGATCGCGGACCGCAACGACTTCATGGACCCGGCGGGCCTAGCCAAGAAGAAGTTCGAGCAGATGCTAGACGAGAGCGTCGCGGCCGGACTCAACAAGGGCATCGACGTGCTCATGGACGAAGTGGAATACATCTGCGCGACCACCCAACTACCCACCGACTACAACCCCGGAGGAGGAGCCGGAGCAGCAGCAACAGCCGCAGGAGGCACCATCACCCCAAGCGGCGCCAACACCCCTGACCCAACCTCCACCACCTTCGACAAACGCGCCTCCACCCTCACCTTACCCCCGGGCACCCTCGACATGGACATCGGCCCGACCCGCACCGCCCAACGCATCCGCGACCTCGTCGCCTCCCACACCTCCATGCTCGTCGGCAGCACCGACAAGTCGATGCTAGATGTCTTCAACGGCGAAGTCGGCCTCCGACTCTTCGCCGCCGTGTGCAAGCACCTCAAGCGGCAGCGCATCAGCACGGAGGGCGCTATCAAGCTGATTGCGGATATGGCGCTGTATTTTGAGTATATCCGCACGTTGAAGAACCAGGATCTGCTGGCGTATTTCCGGGCGCTGCGCGAGTTGAGTCAGATTTATCTGATTGATGCGCGGCATCATGCCAAGGAGATGGCGACGATTATTGCGGATGGGGATCGGTTTGGGGGGATTTTTAGGGCCGAGGAGGTGTATGAGTATGCGGAGAGAAGGGCGGATTGGTTTCAGGTACGGAGGGATGTGGAGAGGGCTATGTATGGGTTGGAGTGCTGTTTGATGTAGGGGATGAGTTAAGCAGTCATGAATGGGAGGAGAATGAATAGATGCATACGTTACGTCACATAGCGAGCGATTACACACTGCTTTGGGAAAAGGACGGGTTGATTGGTTGGGTTGGGTATTAGAATAAAGAATTGGCAATTTATCCCTTGGTTTTATTTTATTTCCATTTTCGTCCTAATGACCCGATCGCTTTTGATGCCCGGAATATCATTCAACGCCAGAGGATCACCATGAGATGATGTTTCCCCTCCATGTGTCCATGAACATGAACATGAACTCCTCAACGCCGTAGCCGGTTAACGCCGTTGGTTCCCTATGCACCAGAAAAGGAGAGGCAGAGAGAGAAATCACCTAGCCTGCCCAAAATCCAACTTCCTCGCCACCTTCGCCCCCCTCCCCCCATTCTTATTATTCCCATCCTCCTCCACAATCCCATTCCGCCTCTTCAAATCCGCCCCCATCTTCTCATCCGCATCCGCGCCCGCACCCCCCGACTTACGCGGCAGGTCCTCCTTCTTAGTCGGCTTCGGATCCGTCCGCCACCAGCGGTGCTCCAGCATCTCCCTAGCCGAAATCCGTTTCTTCGGATCCAGCGCAACAGTACGCACAAGCAAGTCCACCCCGTCCGCCCCCACCGCCCCGAACCGGCCCATGTACGCATCCTTGCCCCATACGGCGACTGTGTCTGAGGGGACGGTGTACTCCCGCAGACTGGTCACCCCGGGCCAGTTGTCTTCAGTGGGGGTGCCGATCTGCCGGCAGATCAGCGCGATTTGCTCGACTTCGGTGTTTCCCGCCAGGAAGGGTGCGCGGATGATTAGTTCCGCGAACACCATGCCCACAGACCAGATGTCGACGGCACCGCTGTAGTGGCGGGCGCCGAAGAGGAGTTCCGGCGGCCGGTACCAGCGGGTGATGACATTGGCAGTCATGCGACGGCCGGGGTCGGCAAATGAACGTGCAAGACCGAAATCAGCGAGTTTGACCTCGCCATCGGCGGCGATGAGTAAGTTGTTAGGTTTGATATCGCGGTGCAGGACGAAGTTGTCATGGCAGAACCAGACAGCGCGGGCGAGCATGCCCATCCAGGCTTTGATATCCCCCGCGCCGTAGCGGACGCGGTCGACGTCGCGGATGAGCATTTCGAGGTCGCCGAGGGGGAGGTATTCGAGGACGAGGTTGAGGTTTTGGTCTTTGGAGCTGAAGACGGAGAGGAGGGAGATGATGTTGGGGTGGTGCAGCTCGCGGAGGTATTTGAGTTCGCGCACCGCGTCGGGCGCCATGCCGTCTTGGTATTGTTGTTGGACTTTGATCTTTTTGATGGCTACTAGGAGGGTGGGGTCGCGCCGGGCGTGGCCGAGGTAGACGTTGGCGTAGGTACCCTCGCCGAGTTTCTTGCCTTTGATGTATTTGCGTTTCTCGTCTTCGTTGAGTTGTTCGATGGGGTCGAGGGTTAGGCCGGCGGGGGTGGCAGTGCCGGCGCCGGTGCCTCGACCGGCCCTGTCATTGTTGCTGTGGGGGAAGAGCCCGGGCGTGCCGTTGGAGGAGGGGACGGCCGATGGTTGTCGTTTGAAGGGGGATGAGGTTGTTCGTGTGGCGTGGAGCGCGTCGGTCGGGGGTGCGACGAGCGGGGAGACGGCCATTGTGGCGGCTTGTCACGTTCGTGAAACGTCCGTGGATGATCGATCGGCGGGTGGTTTGCCAAAAGGCAAGAAAGATGGAATGGATGGAAGGAAGAGAAAGTTGAAGATTCCGGTCGAGGTCTAGACAAGGCTGATGGATGGACAGGGGTGTGTGCACTCGCACCCCACAACGGCTGCTGACAACTGCCGATCTCCGGTGCAGGGTTGTGTCGTTTTCAAGATTCAGGGTTAGGGTATTTATAGCACGTGACCGTGCAAGGATGGGTTGGCAACGGGTGCCGAGTTGTTGCCGCTCCTAAGTCCGCGCTGACGTCATGATACCCGGCGTTGCAAACCGTCCGAACCCCCGAGACTATCCGTATATCACCGATTTTCATCCCAACCAGCCAGCGTTTTCCGATTTCTTGGTGAAGACGCGGCAATCGTGGCGCATGGCAAGCAAGGCTGTATATATTGGCATTCGTTATCGTTGAGGCATAGGACCACATTTACTTGTCTTGTCTGTCAAGTGCTTGTTTCACTCTCGTTCTTGCTCCCTTTTGTTCACTTCTGGTGTTTTGAAACAAATCCGCGATCCTGTGCAACACCTCGCGTTGGCAGCAGTTTAAGGTCTCGGCTTGAGAGCGGCACGGCAGAAAATACCCGCATGGCCCGGGCCGTCCACCAACCAAACTCCAACTTACATTCTAAGCTTCAACTCCAAGCTCAACTCTCACGATCCCGGGCCAAGTAGTTACTCGAGGTTGCTGGTGGGTGAAGTTTGAGCGAGAGATCCCAAGAATCACACAACAACTCATGAACAACATTATATCAACACCAACATCAAAATGCCCCGCCTCTCATATTGGGTTTGTCCCCCTTCTTCTTTTTCTGTCTAGTAACCCGTAACCCGTAACCCACTCGTCTAACACCCCCAGGTCCTACCCATCCTCGGCGGCCTAGTCTGGCTCGCTACCCTCCTCGCCCTCCTTCTCTACTGGATCGTGTCCACCCACCAGACACGCTACCCATCCATGGACCCCGCGCAGACAATAGCCTACATCAGCGACGTGGGCGCGGCCGAACTCAAGCCTTTGTTCATCACCGGCTGTGTGCTCACCACCGTGCTGCTGGACGCTTCCTTTGGGGCTGATCGCTGGCTGCGGCACCGCGGCCGGCTGGCGCCCAATACCACGACGGGCGAGAAAGTTCTGTCCGGGTTGACCATTGTGTTTGCGATTGCGGGGACGGTGGGGTTGATTTTGTTGAGTATTTTTGATACGGCAAGGCATCCGCGGTTGCATGATGGGTTTTTGTTGTTGTTTATTGCTGGATATGTGCTGTCGGCAGTGTTTATCTGCTGGGAATACCACCGGTTGGGGAAGAGTCAGTCCCCCCATTTTTCCTTTCCCTCACACCTTTACACACTAAGTAAATCCTTGATGTTAACGATATCCCAGACTACCGCGAACACCGCATCCTCCGCCTCTCCTTCCGCATCAAACTCGCCTTCGTCATCATCGAAGTCCTCCTCGCCATCGCCTTCGTCGCCTGCACCTTCACCTCCCACTTCCAGCCGGGCGCCATCCTCGAATGGGTCATCGCCTTCATCTTCTCCGCCTACGTCTTTTCCTTTTTTGTCGACCTCTACCCAGCGGCCGCCACAAAAAGCCCACAAGCCCGCTTCACCAACGGCCGTGCCGCAAATGGCGAGAAGCACCAACATCGTCGTGCCGGGAGTGATGGGGGAGGTCTCGTCCCTGGGATGGGTACATCGCCCAAGATGCGGCTGACGCGTGGACGGGAAGGGTTTGGAGGGGTGGTGCCTGGGCAGGCTACGCGGGGTGTTCCGACGAATGGGTATGGGTATCGGGAGGCCGGGGAGATGGAGGAAGGGTCGAGTGAGGCGGCGTTGAATGGGAATAGTGCGCCGGGTGTGACGTCGTTTGAGGCGGCACGGGTTGCGCATGGTCGGCGGTCGGGGTCTAGGAGTAGGGTTATGGCGAGTAATTTTTAGATGGGGATAGAGGGTTGGGACTGAAGAGGGGCTGGTAGAGGGTGTATTGGTTTGTGAGGTTAGGGTTGTTTATGTAGAAGTTTGTCGGGGTACTCGAGGTCTTGGTTTGGCGTTTGGGTGAATCAGGCTTAGGGATGTGGACGATGGTGTATGATTTGGAGACTATTGGATACTTGTATGTACGATGCGGCGGGTGTATGAAATGGATGGTTAAGTCGATTTTAGCGTATTAGACGTGTACTTCAAAGTCACAACCGTGACAACGTAGAAAGTTGCGGAGCGAGGCAAAACCCCTCGTCAGGTGATATCCGGCTTGAGGCCATCCAGCACTAAGGTACCAATCTCATGGTCCTTCCCTCCCCTCCACCGAGGGTATATATACAAGATCCACGGGCCTCCTGCCACCGAATCCCCCAGCAGTACCAAGAACTGGTTGCATGGCGCAGTTGGCTGGGGGAGGGCGGCCCAGGGGTTGCCTCACCCCTCGACAACCGATCGAGAGGCTCTCAGCTCAATCCGGAGAATAACCCACCGGGGGTTTTCGTAACCAAGCACCCTTCTTCAGCCGGTGAAGAGGGTCGGCTGGTGATCTTTTTGGGATTTCCAACATTTGTTAGCGGGTGCTATTTCCTTTTTGCTTAATTACCTTATGAATCTTACCGAAAGCCATTGTAATTGGGAACGTCTCCCTCAAGAAAAGAAAAGAAAAGAAAAGAAGACTAAGAAAAGAAGAACGAGCACGGTACTGAAGCGGGAAAGGTGCAGTCGACGGGGCATCTTCACCTGTTACGCCCCACGATAGCATCTCCAAGAAAAGCAAGTCCTCAACGGTACTACAGATAGCCAAAAATGGATTGCTCCGTATTGTCTTGTCTCCAACCAACCTGACGGCCCGCTGAACCATCGAAATACATTCACTTCGTCCCACCACTACCACTCTTCGAAGCAGCGACCCGACATATCCCCTTGTGCTCCTTAAAATGCGCAACTTGACACGTCCGCCCACAGTACGCAACCGATTTGCATCTCCCACACAACATCAACTGCGCCGGCGCCGTCCCGCAGTTCGCACATTGCGACAGCGAACCCGCCACATCATTATCACTCCCACTCTCCACCGCCGATAGCAGCTCCTCCGCTCTCTTTCTTGCCAACCTCAACACCCGCTGTTCGCCCAAGCTGACGTGCGCCGCGGCCCATGCGTTCCCGCCTGGCGGGTAGACACCTTCGGTGAGTTGCTGTTTTAACTTTTCTAGTTGGGTTCCGAAACTGTCGAGGAGATAGGAGAACGATTCGGCTAGGAACTGGAGGATTTCGATTTCGTTGGATTTGCTGATTTTCTGGTTCGTAGCGCCGCTTCGTTGGGGGGTGATGGTATTAAGATTTGATTCATCCAATCGCTGGATGCGGAGATATCGAAGGACGTTTCTTGGTAGCGGATCGGTGAGAGTGAGGGGGATGGTAGTGGTTGAATCGAGTCCAGCCGATGTCCAAAGCTTTTGCTTTTGCTTGAAGAGTGGTGCGCTAGGGTGGGTTGAAAGGACTAGATCATAGCTGTCGTTGGGGTTATCGGGCAAGACAAATCCGTACAGCCGTAACAGGCGGCTATTGGGAATGGATCCGTAATAGATAGAAACCTGAAAGGATGATCCCTGTATTAAATATATGGCCAACTGTTGTCGATGAGCCAAGGCGAACATACCTGATCTCCGGCTTCGTAATCTTTTCCTGCTAGGACAGAGAGATTCCCGGATGAAGGATCGTAGACATGACATGGTTTCACGTCGGGCGAGTGGTTTAACATATCCGCAAAGGGCGCTAAAAGTCGAATCGACTTCCCACCGGGGAGCACAAAGTCCATAGCACGACTCCACACGGTGCAGAGAGCCCATTTGTACTAAAGCCAGAGGAAAGAAGGGGTTTAGCAGTTGGGTTGTAACATCTATCACATTTGTAGAACGTATATATAACACCTACATCTTCAAGCGTAAACTTGTCCAGCGGAAAAAGATCTGGATTCAGCGCCAGCAACCGCACGACTAACGCCCTGTGATCCTCTTCGATCGACTGCTCCAGTTGCTTCGTGATGGTGTACAACGACGTCCCGGCGCAAACCTCCAACTCGTCCTCCTCAAAATAGATGCTGGAAGAATAACTCTCAGGTAACGCGGCCACATGGCTTCGCAGGCCCTCGTACCCGGACTCGCGGGCTCGGACGAAGAGAAGGTAGATAGCCAAGGTGTCCTCGACAGACAAAGGTGGTTGCGCAGCGCGCAGAGCGGGTCCGAGAAGGGGATCAGCGTGGGCATGTTCGACTGTCCAGAGGATGCTGGAGGGGATGGTGAGAATTGTCTCGCCGTCTTTGAAAGGTTTTAGGGTCTTGACGCCGCGCCCGGTGAGGGGGAAATCGGCGAGCTCTAGGCTGTTTAGGCCTACGGCTCCGGATTGTCGTAACCAACTGTCCATGAGACCGGGATGAAGAGATCGGGTAGCTGTGAAGAAGTATGGGCCAGATAGTAGAGCATTAACCGCAACTGGATAAACGTCAACACTCCATAGAAAACGGCTTTCTTTTGTTCAGGGATTGACCCGGATGAGTCAAGATGGGATTCCCCGCGGACGGCCGGAACAATCAACCGGGCCGGAGAAGAGTGGGTCAGATAGCCCCTACTTTTTGTTCGAGTACCCCACCAAAGCACCGTTTTGCCCCGCCATCAAACAAGGTGCATCCCTGCACGGCGAAAATAAGTGCCTCGGGCATACGACCACAATGTCGGCTATGGATATTGTTTCCACGGTGAACATCCTCATAAATTTAGGGTTGGAAATCCAGAACCGTTTGGATTCGCTTAACCAGGCCGCTGAAGAGCTTCAGCTCTTGACCACCAACCTGCAACTTTTGTTGGACGTGTTTGAGAGCCCCGTGAACGAAAACATCTTCAAGGGCAATGTGTCACAGTTCGTGACCATACTGGATGTTCTGCAAAGCATCGCACGGTCATGCGCAGAATGTGCAAAGGCGTTGGATATCGACCCGGCTGGCGCCACCATCGCGGCAAAAACAGGGTCGCGTGGCAAGAAGTTTGTCAAACGATTATGGGCCTTGGGCAGGATTCCAGATCTTCTCGCAGAAATCCAGCGCAAAGCCGAACAACTTCAACATGTTTACACCGCAGTGTTTGCTGTGCTTATCCAGGATATGCGGGTACAGCAAGGAAGAATGACTGGGAAGGAACCCGTTGAATCTGCCATCGTCCAAAAGACCGCCGTCCCTGAAAATATGCTCGACTTCAACCTCAGCACGGACTTTGCCAGCATCGATCGGATGGTGGGGAGCCTTATGAAGGAATGCGAATACCTCCAACAACGGCTTCGGGAAGCTACTCTAATTCCGGACGCATCGGCCGTTCAGGATTACCAGGCGCAGAACCCAGAAGCAGCATCGTTTTGGAAGGACCGGTTCCAAAAGGACGGACTCAACGCTTCCGACCTTCGTTACGAGGTAAGCAGGCTCAGACTTACATACCAGATTTCTCGCCCCATTCCATTGTTTCATATCACAGAAAAATTTCACACATATATTCAATATCATCGCCATCGCACCTTACCAATGTTTCGCTCTCTCCACAGGTGCTATACGTTTCATGGGCACGCTTCGTCCATGCGGTAGAAACATCTTTCGTTCTTAAAAAGATACCGACTGGAGTGTTCCAAGCCGAAAACATCGACCTTATTCGCCAACAAGGATCCCGCTATTTCATCGACCAAAGAGGCACACGCTGTCTTTCCACCATACGACCTCTCTGGCTCCCCGCTCTACGGTCTGCTCTCGATCCTTTGAACAAGGGTTACGTCAAGCCACACGACTATTTTGATCTCCTCCATGACACCTCCCTGTCCAACACACTGCGAAGGCTAGCCCTTGAAAGCTCCGGCTACGGGACGATCATTGAATGTGAAAGGTCAGCTAGCGATCTCTCCCTACCCGCGGCAATCGAGTCTCCCAGGGACCATATCGGCTGGATCTCCGCTCAGATCGTGGCTGTTCCAACCCCTAAGGAGCTCGGAATCGTTCCAGATCAAGAGGTCATCCGATCAAGCAGCGAGGCCCTCCTTGGGCATTTCAACAATACCGCCCAAGATATCCACGTTTACGTGCGCTACCTCCAGACCGGCCAGATCGAGCGGAAAAGTCTCTTGAGGCAGATCCGTTCGGCTGGGGGCATCTCGCTCGGCGCTGCGGTGTCCGTCCGGCGGGAACTGGAATCGGGCGGTTATGCGTGGAGCGATGACCTTCATATCACTGAGTTCCAGGCATGCTACGGAGGGCGGTATAAGATTACGGCGGGTGTGGGCTCGAGTGCGGTTGTGTTTTGCATGAGACCGCTGAAGGGTTCCTTTGATAAGATGCTGCGGGACGATGAGAGCTCATCAGATGATTCTGCCGTCCTGGAACTTGAGTGTATGCTTTTGGGGCCATCGAAGACGTTCATCCAGCCGCCGAAAGTAGGTGAAAAGGTCCAGGCATGTATCACCTTTTCTATCAGCCTCCCTGACGGTACCTGTAACCGAGACCTAATTCGTGACATGACCAGATCGAGCATGAAGGGCTCTGGCACGATGCAAGAGTTACAATAGTGGACGGGGATGAGATAGAATACACCGATTGGGACAGTGTACCAAAGCAAGCCCCAACCGACGATACAAAAGCTCAGGACGATAGTGAAGATAATGACACCGGCAGCGACGGCTTTTTCTTCCCTGCCGAGCAATTAACACAACTCGGAAAAGGCACCCGGCGCCTATGGCAACCATGGCGGAGGGACCTCCAGCGATACGACGTTCGACCTTACCGTTGCTTCCATATCGGCGATTCCATCGAGGCACCGGTCATGTACCCAGACTTCCGATACCGCTACCACCTCCCCGACACCTCGGAACTCTACCTCCCCGCTCGCATCGTCGACGTCCAAGGCGATCAGTACGTGGTCGAATTCAGCCCGGCGCTTTCGGTCCATGGCTGGTGGCCGGGGAGGATACCCAGGGGTGAAGAAATCGAGCTGTTTCCTGGGTCGGGTGTTAGGGTAAGGAACCCGGTTGATCTTAATCGTGTGTCGGTGGGCATGGATCGGGTCCGTCCTTTGTCTGTTGGGCCACGGCCGGTGCTAGGGGTTCAGTCGGCGAAGCCAGCGGGATGGAGTTCATTTCAAGGTGTTCGTCTCGGTAACCTTGAGGAGCTTATGGAGAGGGGTCTTTGGAGCGATGGTCATGATAGTCAGGAAGCGGGTGGCCAGAAAGGGGAGAGCTCATGAGAATTACTTTGAGGGTTGGCAAAATGCGGGGCAGTCTCAAACTTCCCCTGCTCTGTTCAAAACGATCCAAAACCATGGTGTGGAATATTAGTGCGATGCCATGTCAGCCTTAATTAGGCGCTAACCAGTTGTGTTTAGCGCTGGATTTCTGGAGGGTGTCACGTGTAAAGATTTGTTGACAAACCCTTCTCCCCAGCCTGCACGTGTATTTGCTCCTGTCCCCTTGTTTATGTCTCATTCTTGACACCGTTATCTGAATTCTTCTCTTCAGCTGGCGTTGTTTTTGAGCGATCTGATATTTTTAGAATTCTTTGTCTGGACTGTCCATGTGCATACCACGCTAGTACATTTTAGGAAATCTCTGCAGTGCCGGCGGCCCGCTCTGCATGCGGAATGACGTTGTTCGGCTTTCCCCAAAACATGGAAGCTGGCGGCGGGATGGTACGATGGGCGATGGGTTAGGTACCGAGGGAGCGAGGCAACGCTGGTCTGTCCACTTCTGGTCCCTTTTTGGCCCTTCTCCGAGCTCTCAAGTCGAAGAATGATGTCGCTCTTTTCTTCTCGTTGGATTGACCATGTGATTTGAGGCCATTGCCAAGTCCGACGGCCGTGTCTCGGCCTAGACTAGACGTGAATAAGAAGCATTCTGAGAAATGCCCGCCGTGCGCCGGCGGCCAAACCAAGCCTGCAAAGTTAATCCCTTCCGGGTTTGAATGATTTCCCTGGCGATCGCGAAATCCGAGACCAGAAGGACTGGCCCGATTCAAGACCCTGACTGCAGCTGGTCCCCGACCACCTCAGCCGACCTCAGCCAACCCCATGGTCCATGGAGTCGGCATGGACCAAGCAAAACTCCCAAATTGCTAGCACTAACGGAAAACCGGACTTTTGGTGCCGCGCTTTCCTGACTCCGGGGTTGGCTTGCGGGGGCGCGCATCACACAGATTGATGCTAGATTTGCTGATTTACCGAGATTTACCGGGGTGGTCCCCTAGTCCCCCCCCATAACGACGGAATACTTGGCTGAGTTTGGGGAGGGATCCTCCCGCTAACTTTGTACCGCCCGGCTGCTGTCAAGTGACTTGAATTCCTGTCTCGGGATCTCAGCCACCGACCCCATATCAGCTCAATCACTTCTCTTCTCGGTCATTGTCGACAACCCAGTGCGATTTCCCCTCGTCTTTCCTTTCTTGACTTTTGTCTCTGCATTTCGCGTTATTTGCAACAAACAAGAGTTTTTGACGCTTTTCCCACTGCGGGGAGAGTGAGAGTACGGAACATCGTTCCTTTGAGTCGCTCGCTGTAATTTTACGACTCAATACATCGGCCACCAGCACATTCGCGAAATATACCCTGCCTTGCAGCGCACGCGCCTGAAATATCGCGTTACATCACCTCGTCCACACGTTGCAGAACCCGGTTCTGCACCCTTCCGGATGGCGTCCGCATCTGCGGCTGCTCCCAGGCGCGCATCCCGTCCTCTGGTATCGCCTGGTACGTTGATTTCATTACTCTGGGCCGCCGTCTAGTTACCTACCTATGACTAGTACCTCCTACTAACATATCAACAACCGCCAGGCCACAGCCATGGACCCTTAAAGTATGCCAGCGCCCAGGATCTCCCCAGCTATCCGTCTCCCGGTCTGAAGCCGGGGGACGCGGCGGCGAGTGCCGCAGCAACCTTAGGCTGGGCGAGTAACGCTACCGATGCCCCGGTTTCCGGCTCTCTCGCAGGCTCATCGCCTCGAGACCACCACCACTTTGAGACGCCCCGCTCGGCCGACGCGTTACTAGCGGCCGGGTGGGCACAGCGGCAGCAAAAGTCTCACTCGCCAGCTTCTTCTTCATGGGTATCCACGGCTGCGAATCTGGCTTTCCAGGGGGCTAAGGCGTCCCCTACGACAGCGGCGGCCACGACGACGACGACTAGTAATGGTAGCGGCGCCCGGCCGCGGTCGAGGTCCTCCCCGCAAAGTACGACGGAAGTTATCGGTCTGTCGCCAGTGGAGGACTCTGACCCGACTCCGGGGTACGCCTTGAGCGCGGCAACGATTGCCCACCGGCCATCGATGCGCGCCCATAGCATCTCGGCCGCAACAGCACTGGTAGGCGGCGAAGGGGGTGCCGTACCTTACACGACGATGGACAGGCAGATGTTCACGGCGAACCCCCCCGTGAAGCCTGAGACGGACGAAAGGAACCGTGCTTATGTGTTGCATGCGTCGGCGCTGGCTATGGCGAGGAAGATGTATGACCAGCAGAAGATGATTGATAAATCGTCCCGGGCACATGTGCGGTCGTCCACGTTTCCTGGTGGTGATGTTGCCGGTCTTGCGGCGTCAAAGGACGATGAGACGGAGCAGCAGCAGCCACAGCAGCGTGGAATGTACACCAGTCTTCAGGAAACAGCCTACCGTCTAGCCCAGGAGCGTCTCAGCAAACTCCAAGAGGAGCACGACCAGCAGCGCGGCTTCCACGAATACTACACCCCAGCACCAACTGGCACTCCCTCAACCGCGACACGAACCAAATTCGGCAGCCTCAAAGGCAAGCTCTCCCGCCGACGATCCTCCAGCGACGGCGACCTCTTCCGCCTCCGAAACAACAACACCAACAACCCCAACAACGAAGGCGGGGGCGCAGAAGACAAACAACGCTCCGACCGCATCCGCAAACAAATGTCCCTCCTCAACAACCAACTCACCTCCATCGACGAAGACAAGCGCACCCGCGACCGCCAGGCCGTACTCGCCGCCGCCCAGCGCAACGTCCGCGCCCGCCTGCAGCAGATGGATGACAAGGTGCTTTCTGACACGGGCCGCGTGCCGAAGAGCACTATGGATGATTGGGGGCGGAAAGCGCTGGTTGCTGCGCAGGCTAAGGCGGCTGCGTCGGGGCATGGGCTTACGAATGGACAGGTGGATGTGGGAGGGGGAAAGATGGTGGAGAGGGCGCAGGTGGATAGGGTGGCGGCGAGGAATGTGCAGCCGTTGTTGGATGAGATTAATGAACTTGCGGAGGCGGAGAGGGTGCGGTTGGAGGAGGAGAGGGTTGAAGAGGAGAGACGGAGGGAGGAGGTGGAGGGGGAGAAGATGAGGGAACGAGAGGTGCAGGAGATTCATCGGAAGTTGAAAGGTGAGTTTCTTTTTTTTCTTGGCCCTAGGGGTTACTGATCTGTTAAGATTGGTGCTAACGATATGACAACAACAGAACAACAGAAAGAAGACGAAAAAGCCCGCAAAGCCGGAATCAAACACGACGAAAAGGTCCGCAAGGAAGAAGCCAAGGCCATCCGGGCCGAGCAACAACACCAGCACCAGCACCAGCACCAGCACCAGCAGCAACCCACCGCCAACAACACCCCTGCCCCGGCTCCAACAACAGCCGAACACAAACGGCTCTCCTCCGTAGGCGGCCGCGTCCGCACGCTATCCCTCAGCTTTGCCAAACACCGCCGCAAGAACTCGGACGAGGACAGCGCCCCTTCGCCCACGACCAAAGTCCGCACCTGGCTGTCGTCCAAGTTTCCTAGGGCTAGGAATGTTAGCGGGGGTAGTAGCAAGTCAGTTGCTCCTGAGAACGGTGGGGGTAGTGAGAGGCTTGTTGAGGAGGGAAAGGAAGGGCGGTTGGGGGGTCATCAGCGTGATGTGAGCAGTGGTGGTGGTTTTATCGGTGGTGTTGCGCTTGCTCGGCAGAAGGGGACTGCGAACTCCGAGTCGAGTATCCCCTCGGTTGCGACGGCAAGCGATGGGAACGGGAAGGCAGCTGGAAAAATAGCACCTGGGACTTTAGAAGGAAAACAGGCCGCAGACTTGAGCACGACTACCACCACCACACCCCAAACCGGACACAACACCGAAACAACCGTACCACAACCACAACCACCCTCCACGCCCCCAGCGAAGCTGCGAAAACCCCCTCCTTCCCAACCATCACCAGAAACCTCGACCCCAACCTCAACACACCAAAACCACGACCGCTCCGTGAGCAGTCTCAGCGGTGCAACCAGTAGTGGAAGCAGTGGTGAAAACGGCACAAACGACGTATTTGTCGAGGCGAGAAGTGAACAACAGCAGGAGGAGGAAAGTTCCCCGCAGCAGAAAGTTGGCCCTAGCACTGGTCCTAGCACCGGCACTGGGCTGGGTTCGGGAGCGATGGCGGTGCCGTTGGCTGGGGGCAGACGGAGGGTGAGTCCCGTTAGGGGGTCGCGGTTTTCGGAGGTTTTTGAGTGAGCAAACGAACATGGGAGCGAATTGGGATGGGGATTATGAACACGGGAGTCGACATAAGGGCGAACATGGGGATTATGAACATGATGGGGATATAATGAGAAATGAGGGATGGATGTATGACTTGATGTGAGCTTGACGAACCTGACGGGATAACGAAAGGGTGGACTATTTGCGGTTTAGCAGTCTTCCTGGGTTTATGAGCGGGCAGGTGGAGCGGGCTTACGCAAAGGGGGTTGTTTGGCTGGTTTTGATTTTTATGTATCGGGCGGCTCTGTTATGTAACATGATATTTCATTAGCGTGTAAGCGTGGTTGCAGTAGGACGCGGTTGAGGTTTAGAAGACGAAAGATTTACTAGTTTTGATCGGTGAATGTCCATGGATGTTATTTACGAGATGTTTTGTTGGGAACTCAGGTGAGATAAACGAATGTGAATGTTCCTGAGCCATGCATGGTAGGCTATCACGAGGTTGCAATATAGTTACTGCATGTTTTGGACACAGAACAAGCCTCACTCGGCATTTACCCAGGTGGCGCTTGGTTTGCAGATGAAACTGTGATAGTGTAGCGGGTTCATGGGCGTAACTCCTGGTTCGACTGGATACTTCGAACTACGGTCCTTCTTTTCAAGGTGTTACGTATATAGTGGTCAGTTGTGCCCACTCCCATGGCACGTGGCTCTTCCCTAAGTAAGCCAAGGGCACCAACATACGGCCTTAAGGTTCAGAAACCTTCTTCACTATTATGAGGCGTCTACTCTCTGGGATCGAAGCTGATTCCCGTGTTACTTGATTTGTTAGTCCAGCATAGCATGGAAATGACGAACAGTGAAAAGAATGAGGTTCGAATTACGACACGCCCCCTATTCTGAGGAGTTACTGTCTGGGCTAGAACCCTTCTCGGCAACATAGTGAGTGGACAGTCACGAGGAACACCATACACATTGGGCACGTAGGAGCAGAATGTAAAGCAAAGATTGCTTGTCCGGTATCAGAATTGATTGATGTGCGGTGTGCACATATTTAATCCATTACGCCGAGGAATGTACCCGCTACCAGTCCCGTTCCTTTTCATCACAACAACCCCATCCATCCATCGACCCAAGCTTACACCTCATGGAGCTGCTCCTTGAAGGCAACAGTGGGCTTCGGGGGCTTGCCCTCCTCGGCCTTGGCCTCGCCCAGCTTCTCCTGAGCAAAAGCCTTGGCGTAGGGGTTGAGGCGAAGCTGCACCTGCTTGTTCTTGAGCGGGTTCTTCTTCTGCACGGCGCCGCGCTTGGTGCGGGCCTCGCCCTTGGGCGCACGGAGGACGCTCTGGATTTCGGAGCTGTTGATGAGACGGGTAAGATCGGCCTGGGCGACGACGCTGGTGGGCAGGAAGAAGCCCTTCTTGCTCTCGTAGATGGCGTCGAGCTCCTTGATAGCAGCCGAGGTCCATACAATGAAGCGGCCGAGGTGGCCACCGGGGGCGAGCTGGAGGAGGTTGAGCGCGTCCACGGGCGATGTCTCGACACCGGGGATGTTGCGGAAGCCCTTGACCAGGTCCTTGCCGTCGGCCTCGGCGCTGTAGACGACGAGGGGACCGCGGCGCTGGCGGTGGCGACGGCCCCTGAGCTTACCCTTACCGGCACGCACCTTCTTGGAGCCCTTGACCTTCTCGATATCGGCACCGGCGCCGACGGCCTTGAGGAGGCTGAGGGCAGCGGCGGTCTTGGCGACGGCCTCGCCGGCAACGGCCGAGGAGTCGATAACGAGGGGGACCTCGGGGACGGTGGAAACCTGGTGGCCGCGGGCGAAGAGGAGAGGAGCCACGGCGGAGGCAGCAAGAGCGGAGGCAGTAGCGAAACGCCTATCGTAAAATTGTTAGTCCTTCCTTATCCTCCCAATCCTCTTCATCAACCACCACCTCGAAATCGGTATCACGTACTTCTGGCCCTGGTTGATCTTGACGTGCCACTTGCGCCAGACCTTGGTAGGGGCGAACATGCGGCCGGAGCGGCACATGTTACCGAAGGCGGCCTGACCGGCACGGTGAGTACCACCACCGGAGACACGGGGGATACGGGCGACAGCGCGACCTGTGTTTGTCCATCGTCAGCAAACCGTCTTAGCCAGCAACAATTCGACCTCAATCCCTTCTTTTTTGTCCTTTCCAACATCCAACCAAGTAACCCCTCCCCAACTATTTCACGAAATCCCCCCCCGCCAGCAACCCTCCCCCCATTATCAATCGAAAAAAATTATTCCCACTTACCAGTACCCCACGACTCGGCAGAGGTCTGGTGGCCAGCCTTCTCGCTGACGGAGTACGGCTGCCTCTTGTTCTTGGCAATGCCGGTGTGGACGTGCTTCACGATATCCGGGCGGATGGGGGCGCCGAAGACCTTGGGGAGGACCTCGGTGGCGCCGGTGGCCTTGCCATCGGCGCCGATGATCGTAACGGTCGGGCGGGAGGCCATCTTGTCCTAGTGTCGGGACAAGTTTGTTTTCGGCTGTGGAGGAGAGAACTTGTCAGCAATCAAAAGTTTTTGAGAAAGGTTCGTCGTCCACGGAGCGGTTGGAAGTTTGGGAACGGCGGGATCTCGAATCGGGCGGGCGTAACTCACCTGGTCGTTGGGCGGGATGTTGGAAGTTCGAAAATTCGACGCTCACGAGAGCTCCAATTGAAATTTTGCAATATTCAGTGTGGTTGTGGGGTTGTTGCGCGCCGAGTGGCCCTAATCTGCGCTAGGCCGTAATGGGCAAATAGTGGGGCAGTTCCGTCGCAGCTGCAAGAGCTTCAACCACCATCTCGAAGCCAAAGCGTCACGCGATAGAGTTGAGATCGTCTTTGTACGACAGACTCACGATAATATGAATGGACTCTGGGTCTGAGGGTATGAAATTTGACGAGAATTCAAACCGATGGCTTCCTCATTTCAACACGTTTCACGCAGGATGTATCCAGTTCGGGAGTCCAATAAAAGACAACATCCTTGTCATCATCAACTTTCACCACTCCATACACACTAATTGATGGTTCTCACCCGAGGCTCGGATTTTGTGGTATTTAAACATAGTTTTTCTAGATCTCTTTCTTCATCAGCCCTCCCGCACCGTCCACGGCCCAGGCTACCCAGGCCCGGCCAGACCCAGTCGGCCACCCCGCGGGACAATCATACATTCCCCGACAACTGCTGGGGCTGCGACCCCGGACACGGCCCGGTACAATCAATCCCCATATCAGCCTGGTTCTTAATATTCGAGCACAGCACCTTGGCGGCCCCCCCGCCATCCTTTGGCCGGATGTCGATGTTGTCAAAGTGGAACCCCTCACACGGAGCTGCCGCGCTGCAGTGGATGCCCGCTGCGACGTTGTACCGGCTTGTTCCCGTGATGTTGGACCAAGTGATGTCGCTGATTTTGAGGCGGGAGGAGTCGCAGTTGTTGTAGGAGTCTGAAGGGGTACTTAGTAACGGTCGCGAGAAGCGGGATGAAAAGGGGAAAGACATACAAATGCATGAGGTCACGTAGATGGGCTGATTGACGTCCTCGAACTGGATGTTGCGGAAGGTTACGTTGCGGACGTAGCCGTTGCCCGGGTAGGTCTTGATCCAGGCGGCGTTGCTCGAATGGATGGCCGTGATGTTGTCAAAGACAATGTTCTCGACGTAGTCGGGCTGCGCTGAGTTGGAGCCAACGCTGCCGATGGTCATGGCGCCGGATTCGTGGCAGACGACGTTGCTGACGTGCACGTTGCTGCTGTTGCCTTTGACGCCTATGCAGTCCTAAGAGGAGTAAGTATGTGTATCGTCGACTGCATCTAGGGGTGCTTACATCGCCGCATGTCACCGTCCAGTTGGAGATGGTAATATCCTTGGAGTTCCACGTGTTGGTGCCATCTGTATTTTGCGAGCTCTGGCTGTTGGACGAGTAGGTGCTCATATTGAGATTGGTCATGGTCACATTCTGTGAGTGAGCAACAAAGGTATGCCAGAACTGTGACATGTGCCTATCAACACAGGTGTAAGTAAGCAACTCACTTCTTCCCCCCCCATTTTTGACGGCTGATGGATAATGGAAGTAAACAAACAAACTCACCAAGTAATCCCATCAATCAACACATTCGTCCCATACCAAACCGTCAAACTAATCGGCCTCCCCTGAAAATTACTCGCCCCCGCCGCCAAATCAATCCACGCCTGGCCATTCCCATCAAACAAAGCCTTCCCAAACCCACGCACCGCAATATCCCTACCCCCCAACCTCACCGCCGTCTGCCTTCCCGCATATGTCACTGCGGGACTCGCCTGGCGCCAGTAGGAGAGGTTATCCGCGCTCCAGATGAGCGTACCGTGAATCTCGACCGAGACATTGCGCAGGTTGGTGAGGTCCATGACCTGCCGGATGTGGTAGGTCCCCTCGCGCAGGATGATGGTGCCGTCTTGCCCGCACTGCTTGAAGGCGTCTAGGATCTGGGGGGTATCGTCCGGCTGGCTCTGGCGTGTCTGTACCGTCTGTACCTGGGCCCGGGTGTCTAAGTTTTTGCTGTTACGGCGACGGTGACCCGCCGACGACGACCCCGGCTCAGGCCTTGGAAACCGACCCAACGCGCCCGGCGATCCCGGAGCCGGCTGTCTATACAGTTCCGGATCCGCCGGGTGAAAGAAGCCCGGTTCCTCCCACCCCCACTCAGGCTCGGTCTCAGGCTCCCCATGATGATGATCTTCGCCTTCGGGCGGGGAGTACAGGGACGGGTCACTCTCTTCGATATCGCCTACCGGGACGGCGAGGGGGTTATCATCCCGGCGACCGACGACCACTGGTGCGGCGACGGCAGCTTTTGAGGTGTTGGAGATTGGGGTGACGATGCATGTTGAGCCGTCTTTGACCAGTTCGGCTGATGTTCCGGGTAGGAGGAGGAGGAGGGTGCTGGACACCAGGAGCAGGGAAGACGGCCACATCTTCTTCCGCATGGTGTACACTAAAACAAAGGCTTGTTGTCGTTGTCAGCTTTGTAAAGAAACGTAATGTTTACACCCACTCAGTACACAAGCTAGAGAAACAAGTTTCGCCCAGCCATGACAAACCCGCTACCATCAAGGCACATTCGTAGTCAAACGGGCTCAAGACGGTATATGATCTACCCAAACCCATTTTATCCTCCCATGCCTACCCATATCTCGCCCATTTTCATAGGTGGTTTTGCTCCTTGTTATTTCTCCACTGCAACCAGCTTGGACGGCTACCAAGTTTGGTCCCCGGTTCCCACATGGATTCCCCTTTAGCCACCTGATGATCTACTCTTGAAAGGAACTCCCGGCTGATTTCCCCAACACCCCCCTTTTTCTTGGCACGACATACGACCGCACCTAAGAAGCCAAGCTGGGAATATTCCGGGGCATCTTTTCTAGATGGTGTCGATATTGCTCCTAAATTCAAGATGGAAGGCTTGTTTTTGGGAACACCTTGAAGCCGGATGGGAATTGGTGGATGTTTTTTGTACATACCGTTGTGCAACGTCAATGTGTGACGGAATTGGTGGATGTTTTTGTACCGCGTTGCAACGTCAATGTGTGGGGGAAGATTGAAGCTGCTCCCGTTTCCCGGTTCGGCTCCTCTACGACTCGAAAAAACACCCGATCCGTGCTTGACATCTGACAGAGTCGTACTCTTTTGAACCTGTTTCTGAATTCCACGCTACAACTCCATTCGCAGTTACGAGGGTGCCTACCCAGAATGCTATCTCCGGGCCCATCTCCTTTCCGCAACCGTCCAACCTAACCCCCGCGGCCCTCCACCGGATTCCCAACTCATGTTTAAAAGATAAAGTAAAGCAATAAAACGAAAATAAAAAAGGCTTCTAGGAATTAATAACCCACCATCTGACCAACGACCTGCTCAACATCCACAAGCTGCTTGCTCAAATCCTGCAGCAACTCAGCCGACTCCGGATTCCCGGACCGGGCCGACGGCATCAACTCAATATACCGATCCTGCAGCGGAGCCAGGATGCTGATATGCTGCTCAGTATACGCATCAAGGTAGTCAAAGTCGTCGTACTTGCACGCCTTGTCGAACGCGCGGCGCAAGCGCTCGCCGCTAAGCAGGCAGCTGGCCCACGAGCGCTGCTGTTTCTGCTTGTAAAAGTTGCGCGGCATCTCGCTTTCGCTGTCCTTGTCTTCGATCATGGGCCAGACGACGTCGTTGAAACATTCCTCGCAGACGGTGAAGTTGGGTATACGTTGTAGGACGTGCCATTTGCGACCCGGGACTGGAATGTTGCCCACGCATTCCTGGTGTATGGAGATTTCCCGCACCCGGTCGACGAGTTCGACGAGGTTGGGAGCCGTTCTGTTTGTGAGGGCCATGTCGGACGTGTCGTTCATTTCCTCGATATAGTCAAAGAACCGCTTTCTCTCCTCGACAAAGTGCAACTCGCAAATGCCCAGCTGCGTTTCATGAGGATTAAGAGGCACAAATAGACTGGCGAGCTCAGGAAAGAGGACCCCGACCATCCTGGTACAGCTGGGGCAGACGTTGAACCCTTTGACAGGACGCCGAGCACCCGGCGCCATCATGCTGTACCAGTTGCGTGCTACAGTACTTCTCCCGGGACAGTCTTGTTTGCGGGCCGCAACGGATGCTATCCCTTGCAGCAGGCGCAGGTCTGGAAAGTCGTGTTTGAGGGTAAGCAGGTAAGCGATGCGGTACCAAACCGAGGACCCGAAGTCGCACGAGATGAGCTGAGTGCCGACGCGCGAGCCAGCCATCACGAAGAGATTGTGGTACTCGGTGTTGGCAAACAACGCCCCGAAACAATCAGGGCAGATCTCAAAATTCTCGGCCCTTTTTAATGCCCGAAACCCATCACCCCCCAACTGGCTGAAATATGACGTGGGAGTTTTCCAACGGCACTCAGGTAGCTTTAAGAGGCCCACGCGTATCGCGTCGTCGTCGTCGGCGGCAACCGCTCGTCCCCCGGGCTGAGTGGCGGTTCGGCCAGACTGCCAATACAGCATGGGTGATTGCGCTTCGGCGGCCGTCAGCCGAGCAACAGCTGCTGATATGCTTGGTACCGTTCGGTCGAGGGTAGACGGCCGCGGAGCTTGGGTGGGGGGTGGTAGAGGAGGGGAGGACGTTGACATAGAGCCAACGCTGGGGTCACGGGAATGGCGTCCCGATGGCCCGGCTTTGGTGGTTGGTGCGGGCCTTCGGGATGGGGAAGCGCTGGCGGCTGTAGGAGGCGAGATAGAACGCTCGCCGCGGCTTCTGCTTTTATCGGACGGGAAAGTAGCACTCCGCGGACCCGGTAGGAGGGGTTCGTCCGAAATGGGGGCTCCCAAAGGCGGAACGGCTCCGAGCCTGGAGCTTGTCGGGCGCCGGCCTTGATCTGCGGATGAAGCGTCCTGTTCCCCTACAGGGCGTGTGGGCAATGGACGGCTGCCCCAGTTAGCGCGCCTCTCCCTGTAGCTATCATCGCTGGAGTATCCATCTCGGTCTCTCCCTCGATCTCGATCCCGATCTCGATCTGGCTCCCGATCCCGCGTGCTAGGTCGAACCTGACGTCTACGGCTCGGCGAGGCATTGGGCATTTCCCTTGCGCCACGGGGATGAGGAGGAGGCGATTCATTATTTAAAGCTCTCCTAGGAGGCGACACCTCTCTTGTTGTCGGTTTTCCGGTCATAAAATCGTCGCCTGGTGCCATAAAAGCGAAGATGTCTTCGGGGTCACCATAGCTGTAGGGCTGAACGAGTGCGGCTCTATCGACATATTGGCCGTCCCGCGTCGGTACAGTGGTCGTAGATGAGGCACGATAGTGAGTCGACGAGCTCGGCGTGTACCTCGACGAGTGGGGGGCGCGCCTCCTATCGGATGACACTTCGATTTCGGGATCCCTCCGTGTGGATGGGCTCCGGCCCAATCTTGAAGCGGTGTCGGATCTGACGTCTGAGTAAGCCCTCTCACGTCTTCTACTACCGATTTTGACCGATCCAGGTAATAGAAAGTCGCCGTCGGTCGGCCGAGTGTTGGATCGCTCGCGGGTCGTATCATGGCTCGGGCCTTGAGCTTGAGCCTCCTGGTGCACAAGCGGCTTCTCTCGGTCGCGCCGGCTGTTAGACCGGCGAATTTTCGGCTCCTCTTCCTCTTGGAACTCAGTGTTGAGGCGTGGCAGATCCTGGTGACTTCTCCGCTTCTGAACTTCGGCCGGGTCTTTGCGACGTTCGCGGTATTCCTCATCCCTAGGAGAACTCTCTTTTGGCGACCCTTCTCTTGGCGCATCAGATTTATGCTTATCCCCCACGTTTTCACTTTCCCCGCTCTCTGTCCCTTTTTCGGAGGGCACAATCACATATTTGCGGCACGTGTTGTGCTCGTACCGTGCCTGGGTGGTTTTGGGGGCGTCTTCCCCTTCCGCAGCACCAGGCACAATAACGAAGCGGCGTTCGGGGTTATTCTCGTGCACCTCAAGTATAATGGGCTGCTGGTCAATCTCGCCACGGTGTCGGGCTTCCTCATCGGGCGAGGATGGCGTGGCTTCTCCTTGGTGCTCTTTCGCCAACGACTCCTCCTCGTCCTCACAACATGGCGGCGGCGGGCGTTTGCGGCGTATGGGGGGCTCGGTCGGTCTGTAGGCTCTGTTCCCGCTGCTGCTTGGCCGAGAGTCTCCGTAGGTCCTGCGTGAGTCCCTACGTGGATCCTCGTAGGTGCTACGTGAATCTTCGTAGGTCTTGCCCGAGTCTTCGTAGGTCCTGCGTGGCGAGTCGTAACTGTTTCCAGCGGCGGGCACGTTAGCTGGAACTAGATCGGCCAAATCCAACGGACCAACATGTTGATCATCCGCGCGAGAGGGAAGGTAAATCGCAGGGAGGAACGAATGAACACAAAAAAACATACGGGTGAGGGCTCCTGGAGCGGGTGGTCCTCCAGGAACCCGTTTTCAGGAGTGTCTCGATAGCGTCTCTTTCAACCATGCTGGCGTGCAGGGCCGATCATTTCAAATACGGCTTGGAGCGGCCTGACAGGATTGCGGGGGATGACAACGATCTGAGGGCGGGGCAATTCGCGACGCGGGCGCTACAGGCGAAGGTCGATTTAGTTCGCGCGATGATATTGCGATCGGGTTACCGTCGGTTGATTCGGAGATGGAGGTAATGGGAAACCGGCGGCTACATTCGATTGGGAACGCCGGCAGGAATTAGGAAAGCAGGCAGCGTGCAAGGCTCTAGCTGCGGAAGGAGGCACAGCGTTGGATCGCGACAAATGGAGGGGAAAACGCTGGGCTGGGCCCCCAACTGCAGCGTTGCAGCAGGAACCTGGAAGTGGGGCTCGGCTTGTTCGCTCGATCTTTCAGATGCAAAGGAAGACAAAACCAGTCGGGGGAACTGGTCTGGGGAGGTCTGGAGAGGCCAGAAGGGCACACTAGAAATTCAGAAAAATTTGCGGACGCTGGCTAGTTTTGGGCATGTTTTGATTCAAGGCAACACCAGATGTGGCGATGATATCAGCGCTTCCAGGCCAGTGTTCCACGCGTCGTGCGGTTACACCGGACGGGCGTGATGCCTGGGAGTGGTTCGTCCTTTGCTTGGAAGCTTGGCTTCAGACAGCATTTCCAGGCGGGCATGATCCCCCCAGCAACTTGTCTTGTGGTTGGTACCCGTGGCTCAGGTCGCCCCACCTCCCATCCAGCACAGACTTTCAGGGTTCAACGCTTGGGTCCAAAGAGCGTTCGTTGTTATGCGGTTCCTGGGAGAAATGGTTTCTGCAAGTTGCCTTTGTGCCTCTGGGGACGCAGCAGCATCGGCGGCGTACAGCCGCTGGATTGTTTTGTTTGCTCGTACTAGAAAACCAGATGATACATTCGCTTCAAGCAGAGTCCTGGCCGCTTTGACTCTTGGCCTTGTAGCTCGGCATGGCTCACCAGGCTTGGCCCGTGTTTTAGCCAATAAGAGAGAAAAGAGGTGGGAGTTTCCGGAATGTTGCAGCTGGTCTCTTGGTTCACGACCTCGAGGTCTGTTTGACAGGGAAAGCTGAGACAGGGCCGCGGGTCCGGTCGAGCCGGCCATTAACCTTAGGTATTTTAGAGATGGGATGTTTATCGGAACAAAAGGGAGGGTCCGAAGAGAAACAGAGAAACAATTTCTTACTCCGTGTTGTCGATCAAACCATCGACGTCATCTTGCTGGGAAGCTCAGCCCTGTGGCGCTAGCCGCCTTGGGTAGCTTTGAGCTCTCATTGCACTCTCATCGTACAAGATCGAGACTGTTTACCTCTACCTAGTTACTTGGTACTCCGTATGTTTCTGCGTGACCAATGCTGATTGCCAGTTGCCCATTGAATCTCGTGAATGACGACGCGGCTGCCCGGAGTATACAAGCTAGTTGTTGTGGTCTGCGAGATGTATCACTCGGGGCCAGGGTTGTCTCTCAGACCGGACCGCCTCAGGAACTTGCGCACCTTCCTTCCTGCCAGCACCATATATGTTCAATTCTCTGAGCACACTGTCACCGACCCTCCCAAATGAGCACAACACACCGGTGGATTGGCTCAGCGGCATTGGGAGTAGGTCTGGGCGCGCCACTACCGTCGTAAATCGAAATGGTCCCGGGTTCGATTCCCGGGACCAGCGAAGAAAAAGCCCTTTGGGGCTTTTCGTAACCACCGACCGCTATTCTTTCGGATGGGAATAGCGCTCGGCGGTGAGCTTTTTGCATTGTCGTTATCATCTTACTTAAGATACTTAGTCTGGTATAACTCAATTGATCGTCGTGAAAATGGACCAGGTTGGTCTAATGAATCGGTCTTGTTGACTTGCTCCATGACGGGGCATCGTTATGTTTTTGGTTTTCTTTTTTTTTTTTTTTTTTTTAGCTCTAGGAGCTGTGGATTGGGGCCGCCTCAATAACAAAACCGGAAACCAAGATTCAAGAGAACCAATACTGTCAGTCATGCCTGGCACCGGTGATGTTTTTTTGGTGTTGAGGTTCGGCTCGAGCTCGCCCGAGCGACAGGGTTGAAGCAGGGGCCAAATTAACGAGTTAAATGCAAAGGCCCGTTTTCACATTCCCTGCAAGCACCCCCAGGACCCACCAAAATTTACTGATCCCCTCCGTCCATCCGATTTCATATCAGCTTTCCCAACCTACGGTCGAACCCCTCACGAGACCAGCAGTCCCAATCGCAATGGATATTGCGAGGGCAATGTCGGCCCGCCGGCTGCTGGGATGGCAGTCGGCATTGACACGGCCGAGAAGAAGCTGGGTCTGTCAATCCTGCCGCAGCCATATCGCCCCCGCGCCCCGTCGCTTCTTTTCAGAGCAGCTGCCGACATCAACGACATCAACACCAACACCCACGACGTCCACGTCGTCACCATTGCCGCCACCGCCGGCCGACAAGCCCTACTATATCACTACACCCATCTTCTACGTCAATGCCGGTATGCTCTGCTCCTAAGCCATCACCAACACTATCTGCTCTGCCTTTCAGAAAACAGCATCACACAGCATGTAAAACTGACCGACGGGCTCTCCCACAGCCCCTCATATCGGCCACATGTACACGATGCTTCTGGCCGACGTATTCAAGCGTTGGCAGACACTGCTCGGCAAACGCGCGATTCTGTGCACTGGCACCGACGAGCACGGCATGAAGGTGCAACAAGCCGCAGCCTTAGCCGGGACCGATCCCAAGCAATTCTGCGACGACAACGCCGGCAAGTTCGCTGAGCTGGCCCAGCTGGCTCGGATGGACTACGACCGATTCATCCGCACCACCGATGCGGACCATGTGCAAGCTGTCGAGCACTTTTGGTTCTTGCTGCGCGAGCGGGGGTTCATCTACGAGAGTAAACATGAGGGCTGGTATAGTGTCAGCGACGAGTGTTTCTATCCGGAGTCGCAGATCGTTCGAACGCAGGATCCGCATACTGGGACTGTGTTTATGGCATCGGCGGAGACGGGGAGTAAGGTGGAGTGGGTTGAGGAGAAGAACCTCTGCTTCCGCATGTCGGCACTCAAGGACAGGCTGCTGGAGTTCTACAAGAACAACCCAGGTTGGATCGAGCCCGCTTACCGTATGAATGAGGTGACGGACTGGGTGAAGAACCACCTCGAGGATCTGTCCATCTCCCGGCCCATCCAGCGGTTGTCATGGGGGATTCGGGTCCCTGATGACCCGGGCCAGACGATCTACGTCTGGGTAGATGCCTTGATCAATTATATCACCGCAGCTGGCTTTCCGAACTGGCCGCCCGGCGAATCGCACAAGGGTGGGTGGCCGGTGGATGTGCAAATCATCGGCAAGGACATCCTCCGCTTCCACTGCATCTACTGGCCGGCTCTGCTTATAGCCCTGGATCTTCCGCTCCCACGTAAATTCCTTGTCCACGCGCACTGGACGTTGAGCAACAGGAAGATGTCCAAGTCGGTCGGCAACGTGGTCAACCCCTTGTTTGCCATCAACCGCTGGGGGATTGACACGATCCGGTTCTATCTCCTCTCCGAGGGCGGGATTGCCGACGACGCGGACTACAACAATGACGTGATTGCGACAAAATACAAGAAGGCTCTCCAAGGGGGGTTCGGGAACTTGGTTGGGCGGCTTGTAAGAAGCAAACTGTGGGACACGCGCGAGCTCGTAGAGGAGGCGTTCACTCCACGTCTTGGTAACTTTAAGCCCGGTGGGGTGTTTGAAGAGTACCCTCTGCCTGCTGACGTGCAGGACGCTCTGACAAAGTTGGAGGCTTCGTTGGCGGACATGGCGCCCACCACGGCTAGGCTTATGGAGGCTCATAACCCGGTCGGGGCCATCCGCAAAGTTTTGGAAATCAGCACTTTGGTAGGTTCTTCTTCTCCTTTCCGCGTCCAAGAATGCTGTCTTCTCTTGCCCTCTAGCTAACACAAAATCCACCCCCAAGTTGAACGAAATCCTGTCCCGGATAGAACCCTGGGGCCTAGTCAAAACAGGCAACCCAATCGACACATTAACCGCTCACAAGACGCTGTTCCTAGTCGCCGAGGGCTTGCGTATCGGCGGCATCCTGCTACAGCCGTTCTTGCCCGACAAAGCCACCGAGCTGCTTGACTTGATCGGCGTTGCTGCTGATAAGCGGGGGTTTGCCAACGCCATGATGAGGTCTGATCCAGACTATGGCAGCCCGATGCGGGATCCGGGTATCGGCGCGGCACAGGCGCTGTTCCCGCCCCTTGTTGAAGATGTCAAGATTGATTATGGAGGGACGCCGCGGACGAGGGAGAAGCAGAAGAGGAGGGAGAGGTTTCCGGATTCGGAGTGAGTTGTTACCCTGGGGATGTCACCCCGACGAGGGTAGGTTCTGTGGGTAAAGAGGAGTGTATGACTTTATGGCATATGATGTAAAAGAGAGTAGATGTAGGACTATTTGGAATACCCATAATGACAATGTACGACAGTAAACATCGGTGGAAATGTAGGGGGCAGATGAGAGTGATCACAGCGAAGTTGGTGCTCAATTGTAGCAAAGCCCCGTTAACTGGGTGAGATATTGCTGTATCGCACCCCACAGCCATCTCATAGAAGTATTCACGTTTAAACATACCACTTCACTCACGCATTTATTTCCTGACAGCGTTCAACAATCTATGTCGGGGCTCGCTAGAACAAAATGAGGTTGAACGAAAACACCGGTATGTTGATCACCCCCCTCCTCTAAACTTGAACAAAAATCCCCCAAAAAATATCTAACCCAGCCCGCAGCCGTATCCACGGCCAAAACACTCCTGGTCCCTTACGATCCCCGGCATGTCCCAACCTACCACGCCTGGATGGAAGATCCTGTAAGGGGACCCAAGTCGAAAAAAATAAAATAAGAGTTAGACTAACTCATCCCCCCAGGCCATCCAAGCAGCCACAGCCTCCGAACCCCTCACACTGGCCGAAGAATTCGAGAACCAAGCCTCCTGGCGCGCCTCCCACGACAAGCTGACTTTTATCGTCTGCCAGCCTCTTCCCGGTATCGGTACTGGGTTAGTGGCGACGACAACAACAGAAACAACGGCAGAAGCAGCAACGGGAGCAACAACAACGGGGACAACAACAGCGACACCAGCACCAGCAGCAACAGCACCACCCCCAGCAAAACCCATCACCCCCGGCATCCCAGACAGTCCAACCCACATGATAGGCGACGTAAACCTCTTCTTATACCCCTACGAAGAAGAGCCCGACGAAGAGGACGACGACGACGATAATGTAGACAGTTCCGAGATCATTCCGAAAGCCTGCACAGGCGAAATCGACATCATGATCGCCTCCCCCTCCCACCGAGGCCAAGGCGCCGGGCGTGGCGCCGTGCAAGCGTTTTTGCAGTATATTTTGCGGAATGGAGAGGGGATTATGAGGGAGTATGTGGAGGATAAAGGAGCTGACGCTGGAGGGGAAGCCGAAGGTACAGGTGAAGCAAGGGTGGTAACGCCGCCGAGACTAAAGATGTTGATGGCCAAGATTGGGCAGGGGAATGAAAAGAGTCTGGCGTTGTTTAAGGGGTTGGGGTTTGTGCAGGAGGGGGAGGTGAATTATTTTGGGGAGGTGAAATTGGTGTTGAGGGAGTGGGAGGGGAAGGTTGGAAGAGTACAAGGGTATGAGGAGGTTGAATATTTAAGGGGGGAGGAACAGCAGTAGCAGGAGCAGCAGCAATAGGGGGACGGACGGTATGGAAGGGGATAAAGGTAAATGGATTCATTAAACGCCTGTCTGTCTGCTTTTGTTGGCCCATGGAAGCATATAATTAAAACAGAAAAACGACCAAAATCACAAGGCAAGAAAGCAAGAACCAAACAACTCCGTCTATCTCCTTATTCCAACCCCCCCTTAACAGCCGCCCCATACGTCTGCTTGTACCCTTCCAAAATCTCCCAGCTCGTGTTGGACCCGCCACACACAATCAACACCACATTCCTCCCCGCCCACTCCTGATCCGACAACCCCTTACCCAAATGCCGCCTCAAATCCCCATTATACGCCGTAGCCACGGTCGCACCACACGCCACCTCAATCATAATCCGCGCATCATCCAAAAACCGCACACACGCCAGCGCAGCCGCACCGTCCGGCACCGTCGAGAATGCCATGCCCTCCGGCCCGGCCTTGCGCACCCACTCCCACGTCTTCTCCGACACCCGCCGTGCGCCGAGGCTGGTCGCGATGGAGGTGATACCGGGGAGCGTCACCAGCTCGCCGGCCTGCACGCTGGCATACAGGCTGTCGGCGCCGACGGTCTCGACGGCGAGGACTTTGGTCTGCTGGGGCCCGCCCGCGGCAGTCATGCGCTTCCCGTTGCGCTCTAGCCCTTCCATCACGCCGTTGAGTAGGCCACCGCCGCCGACGTTGCACACCACAGCGTCAAGCCCGCCGCGGCCAGCGAACCGCCCACCCATGCCGAACTCAAGGGCGATTTCGTCCATGATAGTCGCTGCGCCAGTCCAGATGTCCGGGTGGTCGAAGGGCGGCACATAGACCTTGTGCAGGCCGGGCTCTACCTTGCTGAGGAAAGTCTCGCGGAGGTAAGCGTCGGCTTCGGCCCACGAGGCGCCGGTTTGGACAACCTCGGCGCCGAGCTCGCGCAGCTTGGAGACCATGAAGGCGGAGGTGGCGGTTGGTACGACGATGGTGGCGGGGCGGGAGAGGGTGATGGCGGTGGTTGCGCAGGCGAGACCGGCATTGCCGCCGGAGGAGCAGTAGAAGTGGACATCGTCCTCTGCGCGGGTAGATTCGAGGGCTGTGAGCATCATGTTGCCGATGCCACTGAGGTGTTGTTAGCGTTATGGACTGGGAAAAGGAAATGTACAGAAAATGAAAATAAGGCGGCCGGGCCGACATACCGGCTCTTGAAGGACCCCGAAGGCTGGGCATTTTCAAGTTTGAGAAAGATGTTGCACCCTGCAGAACGCGACAGAGCTGGCGAGAAGATAAGAGGCGTCTCGACCCAGGGCTTGGGAAGGTCGGCGGAAACGGAGCCCATTCTAGTTTGTGAGGGTGTTGGTGAAGGTGGTTTATTCGTATCGACTATCGACGGTGATGGTGATGTTTGGTTCTTGGAGTTGAGGGGCAGGTAATGAGTGGGTTGTTGAAATGGCTTGGCAAGTTTGCGTGTAAGTCGGGGAGATGTCTAGAACTCCAACCGACCGCCGACTGACCCGCCTGGCACCCGGCTCTTATACTCAATTGCGAGCTATGGAGAGTTCAGGAACTTGCTAGATTGACCTCCAGAAAATATGATAAGTAACCGTTTCGAAGTTGGAGATATTTTTTTCGCAATTCCGGTTTGCAATTGCCACGCCCTTCCTTATCTGTACCGGGTACCTGACGGGTACCTCCATCTGCGGTGTGCTGTCAGTGGCCGACCGCCTGCCGCCCAAGTTGCGGTACCTGGCGATCCCGGACCCGCCCGCCTTCCACAAACGCCAAAGCCGTTACCCAAGAATTACACCACGTAAACTCGGGCTTTGGTCTGGTGATGCCTCCTATTACCCTAGAGAAACCGGGGGCTAGCCAGGGGCTTCCACACCCGCGGCCACCGGCTAGGGTGTCCCCGAACAGAAGAGAGGGGACCGCTTCCGGCACTTATCCCCGCACACAGGCCCGGTGGAGCGCCGCAAGTCTCTGCAAGTCTGGTGGACCTCACTCCCTCAACAAAGGCTCGAATTCTCCTCCGGGAAGGTCGGCCTTGCCAAGGAAGACGTCTGCATGCAAGATTTAGGGCGTGGCCGCATCGGGAGCTTTTCTTTGGTTGGCCCATAGGCCGACGATAAACGATAACAATTCCGATGCGCGGTCCCTAAACCGTTGACGGCAGCCCGAAAACCGGCGTTACATGAACTTGCCGCGTGGATCCACACCCGCCCCCTAGCAGCTCCAATAAATCCGGGGATCCTTTTTTCAAAATCTTCGATGCCGTGCAGAAACCGACCGACCGATCCCGCTATTGGATCGGATGCGGGCACCGAGACAATACGGGGGTGTATTGATGTTTGTTCGTTGTTCTGTGTTTAATGTTCCACCGGTTTGCTCCTTTCGCAGCCCTTATCGTCAGCACATGGCACATGACCTGGGGAGAGCATGGATCTGGATGTCTGGGGAGGTCTAGACTCGACACCACCGACTGATTGACACCGCACCGCCAGGTATCGTGGAATTTTTACGAAGTCGCGGTCTTTGAACTCAGTGTTAGCCGCACGCCCTCGGTGGGCGTTTGAAACACGAGACTTGGTCTGGTGATATCAGTGGGAAAGGAGTGGTTGAACACCTACCAGCCAGGAACCAGCCGAGCCAGCCTCCCATCGTCGACCGCTCGACCGCTTGCTGTCTGAGGAGAAGCATCAAACATCCGGAACAAACCGGAGGGGCCCGGGCGGGATGCGTGTTAGCGTCATGCGACTTGTATTCCGCACGGAAATAGCTCCGATCGTGGTGTCATGGGTGAGCCGGAGGTTGAACCGCGACTTGGACGGAAATCTGTGGCTGAACCTGTGTTGACAGGAAATCCCCGGGGATCATCGCCCCATTGAAAAGAGTACCCCAAATAAGTGGATGCGGAGGATCCACGACTGTTGGTGTTGGCAATGCGTATCATAGATGGCATATCTTGCGAGCCCAGTTGGAATGAAGGATCCCTCGCAAGGGCAACATCATCCACAAGAATCTAGCGATTAGAAGCGCCCGTGCTCACATGGTACGTACAACTCTGTAAAGGACCTGCCTACGTGGGAAAGGATCTAGAAAACTCTGAAAAATTGTGGGTAGTGGAGGTGTATGTCCATTGATAACGCTTGGAATGACTTTATGGTGCAATGTCGTCTTGCTGCACGGGGAATGAAAGAGTCAATTGAGAATGGGATTTCACCTATTCTAGAAAAGAATTATGGAAGGGGATGAACTCCAGTTGCTTGAAGTCAGAGAGGAATTTGAATTAAGCGGCATGTCTCGAAGGCGAGGTCAATTCGGATTAGCTAGGCAGGTAAGATCGAAGGGGCGCCTTCCCGACTTTTCAAATAATATTTAGTTAATTAGATGCTCATGGTTGGATTAAGTAGTATAGGAAAGAGCTACTTAAAAACCCTTCTCTTCTTTGTTTTTTAGACCTCCAGAGTGAAAACACTTAGTCATCACACGATTACATGTCACTTATGAGCATGCATCTCGAGGCCACATCTTGTTAACATAACATTGTCACAATATTGGTGTCTAAGCTACGTGAAAGCAATGTGCTATCTGATTCTTGTTCATTACACCATTAACACCTGTGTGGAATATTTCTTGCCCATGCTTTGAGAATGAAATCTTCCCTTATTTCGAATACTCTTTGATTTTGTTTGCCCCCTTGTGTACAACCCAACCCCTTTGCTCTAGTCACGACTCCAAAATGTTGGTGATATCAAAGTGTCGTAGCCCTTCCCTAACTACGTATCCAACATTTCCAATGTGCTCATGCCATCCCATAGTGACAACACTGTGTTATTTCTCTGGTGTTTAGAAAGAAGAACGCCGAGAGACACCATTCCGGAACCCCCTCGTCGTCGTCCGGCCGCCTCGGCCGCCCTCGTGGTTCCGCTTATTCTTAGGGCAACTTGGTTTGTTATGATTTTATTCCTCCCACGATTTCAAAACTCCAAAATTCACTTCCCACGACTTTCCTCACTTTTGTTGTTAAACCCTGGCTGCACTACGATCCTCAACCTTCTTGGGCGCCTCAGGTAGCGCCACCTCGCGTTAGTTGGTTGATATCTTGAAGGCACTATTTTTTTGAGACTGTCAGACCCCCCTTTGCATCCTTTACCTTCAAAAGTGTAAGTTTGCTTCTAACACCCATCGTTGCCCCTCGTTCCCTTGCCCTCGTGGCGATTTCGTTCACTCCTTGGCGAGCTGCCTGGGATTGTACTTGATCGGGATCATAGCCTTCATCTTTGGCCGTGCTTCGTCCAGGGAGAGTTCAAGTTCGCTTCTCGCACTCTTACTTTGTTCTCGACTGAGAACGGCTGGTGGGTTTCAACTAACCCTCCCAGCTCTGCGAGACTGTGTTTATCGCAGCCGCATCACACCAACCTCACTCTTTGTATTCAAAACAAGAGCAAGACCATTTGTTTTGGTTTCTTTACACTCAGGTGAGCAACCCGCTGTTTCCTTCCCCTAGTTGATTCAATCAACCACCTGCCCGCCCCATATCAAGTTCAAAATCATCCGGCATGAACCGGAGTGACTGGAAACCCGGCTTTTGAATTTGGACCTTCGTCTAACCTTCTTTCCATCCGTAGGCACGCACATCTTGGGATTTCTTTCGTAACAGGAAGTGGCTTCTCCCGGGCTCGAAGAAAGAAATGCTCTAAGAAATCAAAGTTTCGAGAGCAAATTGTCAAGATTGCAACCCGAACATCCTCCCAAACTCGACATTACCAGTCGAGTTCAGTTCTGCCTTTAACTTCATCGTCTGACACAAAACAAAGTTCGGCTTTCAGAAAAAGCCAAGAACCCAAATCAGCCACCATGGCTGACAACCCTAATCCGTTCATCCTGGCCCTGGGCAGCACCAGGAGCCGGACCTTAGCTGAGATTGAAGCGGCAAACAGGTTGAGGTCGTGTCCGAGCCTGGCTATCCGACCATCGGGTAACGAATCCACCGCCACAGAGCGGCCCTCCCAGCAGCAGCATGCTGTCGATTTGAACAATGGGTTTCCCATCCCGATGAACCTTGACCAGCCTAGGACGCCGCGCTCAAACCGTCATAACCCGATCGTCATCAGCGACGATGAGGACCAGGAAAATGACGAGAGACCAGTCCGACTACCCAAGACGCAGCGGCCTATCAAACGGGCACATAAGGGAAAGAAAAAACGGCACCACACAGCCCCTGACGGCCCTGCGTCACGGACCCGTAACTTGCTACTCGACGACTCCATTCCCGCACCCAATTTCCCGTTCGATTCCAAGGGTGTCAAGCGTAAGGTCTCTAGGGGTGACCCCGACCGAGATGTCTTTCGTGATTTCGAGGCGGAGAGTTCCAAGAGCAAGAAGAACCGGGGCTATGATCCCGCTCAGAACTCAGGTCAAAACTTGGCCCAGAACCCGACCCACGATCCGAACCGAGACCAGAGCCGCCATCATCGGCGATCGTTCCGGGGGCCGGTCATCATCGACCTAACCAATGGCGTGCCCGACCACATCTGGCAAGACTCGGAAGCAGCCGAGCGCCGGCGTCTCCGCCGTAACCGGGACCAAAATGTCCTCGTTGCCGGGACCCCGGCCCTTGACATGCGCCGCGAGCTGCGGAAGCTTGCCGCCGGCCTGCCGAGGGATTCTAACCTGGGTATTCCTGGTGCTTCTGGCGCTGATAGTATCCTTCCTGCCCTCAGACCCGTTGATATCGCTGGTACCCCTGATGATGTCGGCGCCTCTGATGATGCTGGGAGCAATGACAACAGCGGTAATAATTCTCGACCGGGAAAGCGTCCGAAGCGGGGACATCCTGGCTCAGTGGCTGTTGAGAGTCCGGCTAGACGACAGCAGCAACAGCAGCAAGTCGAGGAGGTGATTGAGGACGAGATCGTCGTTGCTGGGTCCGTGGATGAAACCACCCCCAAGGCCTGCAGGACTCGAACCAAGGCGAACGCCAGGACAAACACCGAGGGTAACAATACCTTGGTCACCGATAGCCCGGTGCGCCGCCGCCTCACCTCCACCATTGACGCCGGCACAGCCGCACTCCTAGAGACCGTCCAACCGGTCTGCCATTTCTTCAACCTCTCCGTCGAGATCCGCGACAAAATCTATCGCTACCTCCTCATTTCCGCTACACCAATCCAAGTCCAGCATCTCTGGACCCAAGTCGCCCGCCGCGCGGTCGTGCGCCGCACCCGCCGAGGAGGAGGAGGACGCAGCGGCGGAATCGGCGCTCCCAACGCCGATGACACCATTGATAACCGTGTCATGTACGCGTGTCGCCAGACCGCCGTAGAGGGCGCCCGCATCCTCTACTCGGAGAATACTTTTTTCTATCTCCTACGCGATCCGGAGGTGATCAAGGGGCCGTCATCGTACTACCTGCCCGACTCATCCCCCACCAATGCCGCACGTCGCAGCAGCCGCGGCCGAATGTATTACAACAGCAGCCAGCGTTACGGACTGGGGTCGACATCCACTTCGCCCAGGAAGAACGGCAGTAGCAGCCGTAGACAAAACGACAGCCTTAACATCAATCTCGCCCGCTACGGCCCACTCATCCGGCACATGGCCATCGAGCTGGAACCCAACCGCTCATCAGAAGGCTACGAGAAACTCATGGCCGCGGCACTCGAAGTTCTCGGCCCTGTCGTCCCCTCAGCTGGAAGCACCACCACCCCTAACCTCCCCCGGCCGGACAACTACCCCCCACAGCCATTCCACCTCCACCTCCACACCCTCACCATAACAATCTCCCCGCGCCCCGAAAACAGGCGCGTCTACCGCGGCCTCCGCACCGAAGACGGTCGCAAAACAATGGAGACCCAAGTGGTGCTGAAAACAGCAGATTTTTTCGAGCCCGGCGGACGGGTGTTGACTGCGCTGCAGAGGCTGCAAGTAGGCTTTTTGAGGGTGTGTTTGCATGTCAATTCGGATGTGCGTGATGGTGCGGGGTTGGGGAGTTTGGAGGGGGATACGACTGAGGATGATAGTGATGATGGCTATTATGAGGAGGGGGATGGGGGGTATGTTGATGATGATGATGACGAGGGCGAGGGGGAGGAGGAGAGTGATGAGGACGAGGACGAGGAAGAAGAGAGTGACGAAGACGATGACGACGACGGGACGATCCACGTGACAACATCCAGCACATCCGGCGCCTTCACCGGGCCGAAATATAAGCATGTCGAAACCACCATCGACCTACGCCGCGTGCCGGAAAACTCCGTCCTCGCGACCGCGGCCGCACAAGCCGGCCCCACGGCTGATCTCCTCTCCAACGACAAGCTCATGATCGAACAGCGTCAGCGCGCCGGCGCCGAGGCCGCACATACCCTGGCTACTCTGCGCCAGCACATCGAGCAGGCGTGCGATTTCGTTCGTGAGCCGCTGCCTGGCGAGCCCGTTACGGCGGAGCAGCAGATCCAAGCAGAAGAGAAGGTTGACTCCGACTCCGACTCGTCCGGGAACAACTCCCCGTTCATGCAGTTGCTGCGACGACTGAAGAATGCTAAGAAAACGCGCGGGATCTGGACCGAGCACAGTATCGCTGAGCGAAAGCGGCGCGAGGCGAAGAGGAGGGAAGAGGCGCGGTTTAATAGGGATGCGTATGAGGATGATGAGTATGATGGGGGTCTTGACTTTCACGGCCATCGGGATAATGGGGATGAGATTGCTGGGGCTGGCTGGGAGTCGCTCATTCTTTGTATTGGGCAGGTGGGCGAGGAGGTGAGGGTATATCGCGCCTAGGTCTTTCTTGGTCAAGGAGCGAGGCAAGAGTCCTAGAGACGAGATCCATGAGATTTCAAGAGAATTAGGGACATCCAGTTTGGACCTGGACTCGCTCGGGTTTACACCAAATCGGCTAGCCACCTGTTTGCGTCAGAAAAAGAGCGAAGGTTTGCTCGCTAGCTCGTTCTTTTGCTTGCTCGCGCATTCGCTTGCTTGCCTTGAGTTTCAAGGGTTCTCTTTTCGTCGGCCGGGGGGTTGGGAAACTTAAGGTTCGCAAGGTCGACACTCCGCGGTCGACAATCGACGGTCGATGGAGGATCGACGACTGCTGATCCACGGTGGCATTGGAACGGAACGGAAAAGGAAACCGGATCATGGTACAGATGAGAGTCTCGGCTGAGATACAGAGACACTTTGATCGTGGGAGACCAATCTTTCGAGGAGGGAAAAATCGGGCTTGATATTGCGCGCGGTGGGCTCTCTCGCAGTATGGCGATCCCTTTCCGCCTGCTTGCTTGCATCAGTTCGCCGGGCACCATTCTGGCCCTTTTCCCCCTGCCTTAGGCCTCTCACTTAGATCCGCTTATTAGCTGAACTGCTAGCTTATTGTAGAGTACCAACAAATTTATGCACTGATTTTCACTTTTGACACATCCAACGTCTCGGTGTCGATCAAAACGATCTCCTTGGTAGCAGCGAACGAGGGGACTAAGACCAACCGCACCATCTGCCCTTGGGGACCGTCGATGATTTTGGTTCCGAACTCGGGTTGGCATCCGATAAAGTAGAGGTGTGGACATGTTTTCATGACGAAGGGTTCGTCGTCTTGGAAGGGGTAGGACCCTGGTTGGTGTTAGTGGAAAATTAAGTGTAGAAAAGTCACAGGTTAAGGGGGAATAAGGTAAGGGCCAGTGAAACGTACAGAGGGTGTCTGGCGCTGTTGGCGCACTGCACCGCCACCGGCACATAGCCTCCATCATGCCCAACCGGTCTGCGCTGTCGACATATCTGCATATGTCGTCCAGGTTTTGTCCACCCGTGCCGAGCACCCGCCACCCTTCTACCTCGCCCTCCCACGGATTCGTCACCGCGTCCAGCCACCCCGGTTCATCCGACGCAGACGGTGACGGTGTGGGTTCGGCGGTATAGGTGCGTGCGCTGGGAAACATGGCGGCGTGGATTGGTTGTTGCGGGTAGCTGACGTTTGCTGGGTCTTGGACGCCCGGGAGGAGAGTGATAGGTATTGTGGGGAGCAGCGAAGTGAGGAAAGTGTCGAGGAGTTGGGAGGGGAGGGGATTGTACGAGGAGGAATCGTAACCGTATTTCTTGAGCGCCTTCTTATCGGTGGCCGGGTCGTGCTCCGAGGGTTTGGCGATAGAGTTGCCGGCTATGAAAAGGCGAGATATTTGGGAAACGTCGGACTGGGCAGTCGGGTCTAGCGCTTCGCCGAGGAGATACTCGAGGAGGAGGTTGAGTTCCATGGCGTAGGATGTGTCGGTCCCAGAGAATTCAAGACCAGAAACGAGGGCGATTTTCTTGGACGACTGGGAGGGCGAGGAAGAGTCGGTCATCTCGATGTCTTCGCTCTTTGGTTTTGGGATTTTGGGGGCTTTGGAAAGAGACCAGCGGTCGGGCTGTGGTGGGAGGTCAGCGAAGTTCAGGTCCAGGACCTCGAACTCGCCGTTGATGTTCTCGGTGCCCATCACGGCAATGATGCACCCGGTGACGAGGAAGTAGTTTTTGAGGACATCGCCCACGAGTTTGAGGCGGCCAGACTCGTCCTCCAGCATCAGCGTCTCTTCGCCCGTATTGGAAAAGTAGTTTTCGACTGTCGTGGGACCTGAAATCCAGCGCTGGCCTCATGTCAGCAAGGGCCTATCTTGCCGAGGGCCATATTCTTCCCCAATATTCCCCCTAAAGGAACTCACATCCTTCGACACATCGTCCAGCACATTCGGCTTGAGAGGCATGTCCATGTAGACCGTACCAGCCACCCAGCACAAGTGGCCTTGCCGCACATCCAACACGCGGTCCACCTTGGTGGCCTTCTCACCGCCGAGGACCGTGTTTTTCCATGCTGCTGCGGCCACCTGCTCGACGGCGGGCTTTATTTTGGTAAGACGGAGGAAGTAGACGTCGGCGAATTGTTGTTGGTAGCCCCGGTCCTTGGGAAGGGCAAAGCTGTCGAGGGACTTGTAGTTGGACTCGGCCCGTTCAACCTGAGTAGGTGCTGTGTCTCTATTGAGTTCAAATTAGACTTATCCCCACCTAAGCCCACGGATTTTCTTGCTTTATTTAGCATACGGGACGTGACTTACGAGGGCTTTTGCAGTAGGCCGTTGCCTACTAACTCGTCGAGAGTCACCATGGTGGTAGCTGGTGAGGCCGGGGTAGCCGTTGTCTTTTGGAGGGTCTTTGATCAATTCGACGCGCCTGGGAAGCTTAACGCGGTCCGAAGTCGTGAGACCCTGGAACAATTAACGGGTCGCGTCAGGCCATGTGCCCCGCTAACTGCAGCCAGCAGTGTGGGTGCAGGGGTGCGATAGCGGTGGTGGGGTGCCTTATCGGACCTGGACTTTTTGCTGCAGGCCTAAAAAGGAAAAAGAAAAAAAAAGTTCAAGATCGATCTGAAAATCAACAATCCAGAGACGACAACAACGCCGATATTCCACATTTCTCACAATTCCGCAAATTGACGACGGCCACCACCGAGACTTCGGTTTACAGTACGATCAATATAATCAAATTTACAACGCAATGGACGAACCAATGGCAGACGCCCCCGGGGCGCAGGTCAGGGTGACCTTCACCACCACCGAGGCCGATCTCGAACTGCCCGAAAGCAAGCGCCAGCTCCTCGTGCCCGCCGACATCCGCCGCTACGGCTTGTCCCGCGTCCTCAATTCAGAGTCTATGCTTGACACCGGATCGATCCCCTTCGACTTCCTCGTCAATGGCAGTTTTCTCAGGACCAGCCTCGAAGACTACCTCACAGCCAACGGCCTCTCGGTCGAGACAAACCTCTCGCTGCAATACGTCCGCAGCTTAATACCGCCAGTATACGAGGCCAGTTTCGAGCACGACGACTGGGTTAGCGCCGTCGATGTGCTCTCCGCAAGTTCTGCATCCGGTCGCTGGTCCGGGGACAACTTTCGCCGCGGGCAGGACAGAATCCTCTCCGCTTCCTACGACGGCCTGCTTAGGATATGGAACGCTTCCGGCCAGGTCATTGCAACATCCCCCTCCGGCAGTCACGGCGGTCACACAGCCAGCATCAAAGCCGCCAAGTTCCTCTCCAACACCCAGCTCGCCTCAGCCGGCATGGACCGCACCGTACGCGTATGGAAACACACCGAAACCGACCAATTCTCCGGCGACCTCAAACCCACCCTCGAACTCTACGGCCACACCGGCTCCATCGACTCACTCGAAGTCGACGGCCCCTCCAAACGCATCCTCACCGCCTCCGCCGACGGCGCCATCGGCCTCTGGAGCACCTCCAAAACCTCCGCCCCCGAACCCGACGCCTCCCTCCTCCCAGGCGCCCACACCTCCAAACGCCGCAAAACCACCACCTCCGTCACCTCCGCCCAACGCGGCCCCCTATCCCTCCTCCCCATCCACTCCGCCCCAGCCTCCGCAGCCGTCTTCGACCCCCGCGACCGCACCGTCGCCTACTCCGCCTCCCAAGACCACACCCTCCGCACTATCGACCTCACCACCGCCACCGTCGTCTCAACCCTCACCACCTCCCACCCCTTGCTCTCCCTCACCGCCCTCTCCCGCTCCGGTTCCGGCTCAGTAACCGCCCCGCTCCTCGCAGCAGGCACCGCAGCCCGACACGTAACCCTCATCGACCCGCGCGCCAGCGCCGCCACAACCTCCGTCATGACCCTGCGCGGGCACACCAACAAGGTTGTGTCGCTCTCCCCTTCGCCGCATAACGAGTATGCCCTAGTGACGGGGTCGCACGATGGGACCTGTCGGGTGTGGGATTTGCGTAGTGTACGGCCTGCGACGCAGGAGGAGGGGGGGTTGGGGAGTGTGAGTGAGCCGGTTTATGTTATTGAGCGGGAGAGTAATAGTAGTGGTAAGAAGAGGCCCGTTGCGGGAGAAGGGTGCAAGGTGTTTGGGGTGGTTTGGGATGGGGAGTTGGGGATTTTGAGTGGTGGGGAGGATAAGAAGGTGCAGGTGAATGTTGGGAGGGGGGTTGTAGGTGAATAGGAGGCCCATGAGGAGGGTTTTGAAACACCGCGGGAAAATGTGTGTGTGGGACAACAAAGGCGTACAAAAACATCCAGGTTATTATACCCAGACAGATTTCATTGATCACAAATGAATCGATACAATAAGTACCAGCAGTGTTGTGCATGTTGGATGGGTTCGTATATAGCCCCTGTCATTCCTTCGTTGCTTCTGTCATCATGTATCTATGCCTATCATGCGTTGTGTTGTGTCTGTGTATGTAACAAAATCCGACAACTCTACAAAGTGCAGTACATGACCTCATGATGTGCTCACCAACTCCCTGCTTTCCAGTGTTGGGTCAATATGTTGGGTTGGCTACCATCCATGAGATTCAACATCCAATTCCCTCTAACGCCCATCCTAATGGTTTCGGGAATCTTTCCACAGGCATCGTGCCTATGTGTGTGTGAGTAATCTGGCTGTGAGGGGTTTGCCCCCCCGAGTAAAGGCCTCGCAAGGCCCGTCATATGTATCAGGCGGCATTGTGCCATGCCTTGAGGGAGTTGTGACGTCCCGCTCAGTTGGTGATTATATTTATGGTGGTTGGTCTGAGATTCCGTGAGTTGGTGGGTTTGCTCTTCTTCTTTCGTTTCGGAAGCGGCCGAATCCCATCTGCGATACGGCCCCATCCAGAGCCAAGCCAGAAGGACCACGGCTGATAGATTCATGATTTAGCTGGCCTCTGCGTGAGGCTCACTAAACAATGCGCCAACACCCTGAGGTGATGGTTTCGCAACCAACTTGATCTGTTTGACGGTTGCCTTCCGCCTGATTGTCTTCTTGGGTGTGACGGTACCCTCTTCAGCCTCAGCCTGGTCGGTGACGGTCGAACTTTCCAGTTCGGCCGGCTTGCTTTTGGCTGCCTTCTTAGGCGTGACGTTTTCCTCCTCGCCTTCAGCCTGGTCGGCGATGACAAGGCTTTCGACTTTGACCGTCTTTCGGCGGGTTGTCTTCTTAGGCGTGACGGCGTTTTCTACAGTCTCGGTTTCACTTGCGATGACCAAGCTGTCGACTTCAACCGTTTTCCGTCTGGTTACTGTCTTCTTAGGCGTGGTGGAATCCGCGCCAGCTTCAGGTTCGACGGTCGTGAGGGTTTCGACTTCGACTGTCTTTCGTGTGGTTCTCTTCTTCTTGGGCGTGACGCCATCCTCCCCAGTGTCCACCTGGTCGGCAATGACCAAGGTCTCAATTTCAGTCGCCAAGATTTCCTCAGTAATGAGCCCATCCGCCGCTGCCGTGGCCTCTTGATCCTCCGTCTCCGACTCTTCAACCTCAACAGGTCGCGCAATCGGGATGGGAATGTCGAGTTCGGCATGGTGGGGCAGATCGGGTACGGGATCAAGGGTGGTCTGGCGCAGGTGATTAAGAACGGCGTAGAGCTGGACCGAGGCATACACATCGGATGCCGAATCTGTTGGTGTCAGCTGAGGTGCCAAAGTGTTTGATCATACATCGTAGTAGCTTACAGAGGATTTGGTATTCATCCAGCGGTCTTGACCAATTGCCCATTCGCACGTCCTCGCCTTTGAACAGGGGAAGGCCGAGATAGTGCTCAACTTGGGATCTGAGGGCGACCAGCTTTTTGTTGATCAGATTGTATTCGCCGGCCTTGGAGTGCGTGAGCTGCCTGTAAAGATGGCTAAGCTCGAACAAGCCACGAGACTGGATGCCGAGGTATTTGGACATGCGTGTGCAGTCGCCCTTGATCCAGACGCCAGCCTTGGTGATTTCAGGGTTTTCCATCACTTTCTTCAGAGTCGGCAACTCGATCCTCTTGCTTCTGTCGAACATGGCGACGTGGAACAGCCCAATGCGGGTGGGAGTAGCAAGTTGGATCAGGGAGACATTCGCTCGCGCGCCTAGGCGCGGGTAGGCATCTTTCATCCACTCCAAGTCAAACCCAAGCAACTTCTCGTCCATGAAGTGCAGTTTGACAACTTCTTCAGTCTTGTGAGCGCTGCGGCAATAATGAACCTTTACCTTAACGTTCGGCTCGCCATCTTCATCTGGCCCGCGGTACTTATCGTACGTCCAGTAAGACTGGGGGGTTCCCTCGGGTGCATTTTTTGCTTCCTGGAAGACTGAATCCGGTATCTTGAAATTCAGTGGGGTGAAGGGCGCAGTGGCCTTGGTAACGACGGCCTCGTTGGGAGATTTCACTTCGTCGGTTGCGGTCTGCTTAGGATCTTGTCCTGCTCCGGCGGTCACCGCCTCAGAGTCCGGGGTTTCCGCATCGTGCGAACTCGCAGCCTGCGCCGGGCTTGTGGTCGACAGAGCGTTGCGAGGTTGCACTAAAGGCAAGCGCGAGCCGACCACCCTCCCGCCTGGTGCGAAAACGATGCCATGGCTGAGATTCCACAGACCCTGTGCGGTCTTCCGGGCGCTCATCCTCCCAAAATTCCGGCACCGCCTTCATTAAGTTAGCTCAGAAAGCTTTACACAATAGATTCCCTCTTATGGGGCGTGTGGACCTACGGCGAAGTTCGCAGCGGCGATGACGACGAGGAAGCCGGATCCCGACACCGCTTCAAAACGCCGGCACGGCAAATTGTTCGGGAAAGTAAATGAGAAAACGACCGGAACGGCGGCGGTCGAACTATCACATTCCTAAATGAGAGGACGGCGCCATAGCTCCACGAGGGCATAACGCTGAAAGGGAACCACCACCTTCGATTTGGTAGTTGGTTAGGCTGTTGACTCCCGAGTGGTAACGAAACCGGAGAACTGTAAGGCAGACGCGCTCACAAAAGTGATGAGGCGCGACCCCTGTCGCCCACTTTAACAATAAGTGGGTCGTACGTTTGTGTAATTTTCGGATGGTAACAGGATAATTACCTAAATTACGCCCTCCTATCCCAACAGTATCGTAAGGTACGGTATCATTGAAACCTCGAATTCCCCAACCCCACTAAAGCTCAGCGCTGCCCGCCTACAACTCACTTCACTTGTGAAATCCACCAGAAGTTCCTTCGTCGTTGAGCTGGTAAGCCCAACATCACAACCCACGCTATGGCTTCTCAACTACTCCCCCTCGGTGAGCGATGCAATCCTTCTAAGACGGCCAAAACAAAACAACTTGAAGTACCTACTTATTCCCAAGCACCGCTAACCCACCCCCCTAGAACTCATCGACAAGTGCGTTGGCTCGCGCATCTGGGTCGTCATGAAGGGTGACAAAGGTATCTCACCCCTTTCTCTACATATCCCCCCCGATGTCCCCGACACGATTCAACTCGAGGCTAGTCTACAAACAACTAACCACTCTCTCAGAATTCACCGGGACGCTAGTGGGCTTCGACGATTACGTCAGTAAGTCTGATATCCCCAGACCCCAAACGAATAAACTCACCTATCCCACCCTTTACTTTCTTTTCTCATCACATGAACCAGCCCACTGGGACTAACACCGTGACAGACATGGTTCTTGAAGACGTAACCGAGTTGTAAGTATCTTGAAACAACCCGGTGATATGCTTCGGTCAAGTCTGACATTCACATTCCCCAGCGACTACTCTGGCACCCACACAAAACTTAAGAAGATCCTGTTAAACGGGAACAATATTTGCATGGTGAGTAGATAATGCTGTGCCCTGAGATATCAGGTCTAACCCAAAACTACAGTTGATTCCCGGTGGCGAAGGGCCAACAGGTATAGCCGCATCATGAGGATGGGAAGGGGGAGGATAGTACCATGGGTAAGGCCGGGGCGGCTGGTAATGCGGACTAGGGAAAAGATGGCAGTGTCAAGGCAGAACCTGAAGGCGAAGCAAGATGTTTGCCTTGGGCTACGACGCAGAATATCATCACTAGTCATCACTACACCCGGACACCTGATATTTGCCACGATCGCTGGTTTCGGGACGCCTGCCCACCACGATATTACCCGAATCTACGGATCGCTCGAGCATATTTGGCTAGTCCACCAAACCATAAATGAACCATGCCCTTTCTACCCACATCACCGTCGGCAAATGAAGAAATGTCCCAAACAGCAGGTGCCCTGTATATGCCCCAAGCGAGAAAGACCACCTCAAACGCCTCCAAAACGCCGCCTTTTTTCCGTTGGCCCGAAAACAAATCCCCGCCTTCATGTCTAGTAGTCATTCTGGCCAGAGGGACCCGCACCACCGGCACCGCCAGCACCACCAGCATTCTCGCCTTGGTCGGCATACTGGCGGAGGGCCAATTCCTTCTGGAATTCCCGGCCCAGTTGGCCGTACATGGCGACTAGCTGCTTGCAGACGGTCACAAGGGCCTCGCGAGGGGTGATCGTGCCGTCGGTCTGGACGCGTAGGAGAACCTCGGGAACGTTGGGGTGACCGACTGTTGCAAGTGTGTTAGTATTCGAAAACAGGGCAGCCCGGGCGGAAGGTGTTGGGAAGCTGGGACTGGACTTACTCTTGTAGCCCGACATGAGGACGTGGGGCGCCATCTTCAGATAGACACTAAGAAGGTTGCCCAGGGTGTGGTCCTCCTTGAGCATGATGAAGTCGGAGCAATTGGCCATGCCTAGGGGTAGCTGTTAGGGTCCAAATTCAGAGCCAAAGAGGGGCGATCTAAGTACATACCGCTCACGACCTTCTCGGTAATCTTCTTCTCACCATCAGCGAGGACGAAGAGCTCAAACCTGTGACAATCCCAGTCAGCATCATGACCTCCAAATACCAAAATAGCCACTGCGTCGAGTCCCAACCCAGTTTGAAGATTGTCGTCGTGGCGGAAGTTGACTGAAGCCATTTTGCTGAGAGATTCCGAGGCAGAATATCGGGATAGACTGGGAAGAGAAGTGCTCCAGATATTCGAAGTATCTGATGTTGCGATGGTCTTCAAGTCCAGCACTCAAAGACGATGATCTAGTCGGGTTGGTTGTCTTCCGAATAAATAGAAAATTCAACACCGAAAATTTGATCCGGTGCATCGTCCAGTGTACCCGGTGCCAGCAGAGGAAGGAGCAACCTCAAGCCCTCACGGCCGCACGTGACAAAGTCACTTCCATGGACACATACCCATCATCCCCGTTGTCGTCTCCGTCCAAAAGATGTCGATTTGTGTGCTGGATTATCCAGGCTGGGGTTTGGTGCCAGGTTTGATGGCCGGGTGGATGAATCTCGTGATGGCTGAACGCTCCCTTGCTGGCTCCAAACCCCGTGTCTTCCTCCATGACCAGAGTCATCTGGCTTGTCACCTCCCTCTTTAAAGGAGACCCAAATCCCAGGATGAAAGATTGTCGAAGAGGGGTCCAAGGACAAAGGAAAGGAACAAGCGAAATAAACCAACCTGTCAGGGGCGTTCATGGTGGACGAGTAGCAAGCGAGAAGTGCGGACGATTCTAGCAATTTTTGAGAAGCAAGTGAAGAGCAAAAGCAAAGCGGTCAAGAAATTAAAAACGCAATAGGTAAGAAATATTAATAATGATGTCGGGTTTGATGAGCGGGGCCGTAGGATAGGAAAATGTGATGCAAGGAAAGTCGTCGAGGTTCCGGATGCTTAGATGTTCAACGAGAGAGTGGATTGGTGAGCTTCTCAACAGAACAGTGAGTGGTGGTCTGTGCACGCAACCTTACAGAGATGTCCGTGAGCCACTCACCACCACCACAAAAGGATCAACCACCACCATGCCAATTGACGTGTTGTAAGATAAAATGTGTGAAAGAGGCGGCAATGATAATGATATAATAAGAAGATAGTGTATTGCATCCATTCTATCCACTGCTATCCTATACCCCTGGCATGAGCCCTGACGTGTAAACAACTGTAGATGTCCCAATTTGGCACTCTCTTACGTTGGTACTTTCTTTCCCAGCTCTTTCAAGTTATCTAGGTCCCCATAATGGGCCTTCTTCTCATACACCAGAAATACATCCCGAACCCTAAAACTGAACAAACCCAAAGCCTGCTTCAACACCATAATGCAGATAGATATAAGAACACCCAAGCTCAACCGTGCTATCACAACGGCAAAAAAAAAAAGAGAAAAATAACGCTGATGGCTGGTCTCGCGAAACAGCGTTCCTCTACTACCCCTCTTACAACCCCTTGGGGTCACAGTGGCTCGGCAGTCCGCCGCCCTCATCATTCGCCCAGCTCATAACCGTGAGGCTAGTAGTGTAGGCCATGGCGACAAATCCAAAAACGCACAAGAAAATATCAGACCACCGCTTGAACGTCGTCCGGGCGACACCCTTGTAGTGGAGGAGGGGCTGTGATAACATAGTTAGCACAAAGTTTTTTGGGGGAGAGGGGGTCTAAGGGGGACAGGGGAAACTCGGGGAACCACGTACCGGATAGATGTACACCAACGGGATGCAAGCAAAGTTACCGACAAGAGCAACAAACTTGTCTAAGTTATCCGCACCACCCCAGGCAATCAGTGCACACAGGGCCACCATAAAGAAGCGGAACACATTCTTCTGCCACTTGATATACGGGTTGTACTTGCCACTCTTGGTGAAAAGCGCATTCTCCGTGATGCGAATGGCCGGGAAGATCTGCAGCGGGGTCGAGAGCAAGATAGCGAGGGAGTAGAGGAACTGCACGCCATTGACGAGCTTGTCGTCCTGCGGCAGGTTGAGCAACACGACGGTTTCCGTCTTGGAGCCGTAGGCGGCGTACGAGACGGCGCCCATGACGATGAAGAGGGTGGTGATGATGACCATGACGATGAGCATGACCTTGGGGAACTTCTGGGGGTGGCGCATGGATTCCTGGATCGGGATGATCAGGCCGATGCCCTCGAAGGTGAAGATGGCCGTGCCGATGAAGAGGGTCCAGTCCTTTTGGTTGAACATGATGATGTCGGCCAGACCGCTCGTGTTGATGGTCAGGATGTCGTAGTAGAAGAGGTAGGCAAGACCGATGACGATGAAGGCGTCGGCAATGAGCGCCGTGAACCCGAGCTTGCCAATGTCGCGCAGGAGCGAGAAGGGCAGGAACACCACCATTTGCATGATGATGAGCCAGGTCACCGGGATAAGAGACTTGCAATCGGTAACCGCGAGTATGAAGGCCTGCAGATTTTGTGAGGTGAACACGATGTAGGCCGCAACGAATCCCAGCTGGCTGATGACGATAGACGCCAGAATCAAGTTCCTCATCCATTTGCCGTAGAGAATACCGCCAATATCGCCAAAGGAGCCGTTAACCTTGAGCCGGGTTGTGACAAGCAGAACGAAGCAGTAATAGCTGAGCGCGGCCACAAACAGCAGCACTAGGTTACTAAACAGCATCCCACCGTTTAGGTACGCGCGTGGGAGGAACAGGACGCCAGTACCGACAAACGACTTGAGGAGGAGCAAGGTCGCATTCATGGGGCTGTTTTGGCCACTACCTCCGCGCTCCTTTCTCCTCCTCTTCCGGCGTGAGGGCGTGAGTAGGGCGCTCTCCTCCATGGGCTCGTCATCGGACGCCTCGTCATAGTCGTCGCTTTCTGAGCCAGAAGTGAAGTACTCGCCGGGGTTCAGGACTTCGTCGTCTTCCTCCAGTTCTTCACCAGCGAAGTGGCCGTACAAGCTCAGGAACTCGAGGAAGCTGTTCGTGAACAGGGGAGGTTGCGCCTGTGGCTGGCCGTAACCATCGCCTTGCTCCAGCTCGTCCGTATCCCGAGCGGCGCGTCGGATAAAGTTACGCCGGAAGCCTCCGGGGACCTTGATATTGTTAATGTCAAGCTCGTCCGTTTCCGGGTCCGGCCGCGTGACGCTAAAGCTCTTGCTGCGCTGCATCTTGCCCCGTTGGTCGACTTCTTCCGTCCACTTGTAGATCGGTCGCGTGATGTCGCCTCCCTGTAACCTCAAGCTCGAGAACTCGTCATCCAGGCCGGACTGGGCCGCGCCGGCGGGCTGCTTGCCCTTTGAGCCATTGGTATCACTCCCCGATCCATTATCCGAGCCCGCATCGCCTGGCTGAACAAGATGCCTCTTGATAATTTCCGGATCTTCATAGGCGCCTCCCGCTTGTTTCCTCGCATCGAACGACCCGTAGTTTGTCGGTGTGCCCGAGGCTGGCGCATTGATAGCGGCGAGCGCAGGCGAGGCAGTTCGCACGGGCGGCGTGCCGAACCGAGGCGGGGATGCGCCCAGAGAGTTGGAGAGGGCAGCCGCAAGAGCGGACACACCGGGCCCAGCGACGTGTGAACCAGGCCCGGGGAGGGGGGTCAAATGCCCAGAGCTCGACTCATCGCCTGATGGGGGCTGCGGACGCGCCGCGGGGGAGGTCCCGAGAGCGACGGGTGAAGCGAGACGGGCGATGGACTCGGCGCGGTCGTAGGATCGGCCGCGATAGGACCCGGGTGACGTCCCCAGTGTCTGCTGTATCGGCGGGGGGGAATCCTCGCCGGAGCCTGGCATTGTCGGTCGACGGAGGGTTTATGTCGAGTTGGTTCAGTGTGGGAATCGGACCTTGCGGTCGGAGTTTGCGACGTTGAGTCAGTTGCAGTCCTGCAGCTTTCGCTCGTCGAATGGGCCGATTCGGACTATCGGGAAGATAGATAGGCTACCCGGAGGTACGCTGATCGACTGGGCAGTCCCGAATGAAATGGACAGGAAATTCAATATCGGCGAAGGAAATGGAGAGTTCAAATTCCACGGAACCTCGGAAAGGAACAAGACGAGAGAGTGATGCTGAACAGCGACAGCTGACGGAAGCCTGTGACCTTGCAGATCGACCAAGATAGCCTCCAGGTACGACAAATGGGGAACCACAGCGAGTTCGGTTTGGCGGCCTGCTGACGGGATAGGTAACGTTAACGGTGGTTAACGGCTCTGACTGGTAATGGGCGGCTGAAGGCGGTCGGCGGGAGCCCCCGGGCCCACCTGAAATGGCTCAATGGGCAGGCACGTGGTAGGTCAGATGCCCCACAGTTAAGACCCCGATAGGCTCTCCGCACGCCCTGTTCGGCTTCCTGCCTTCAGACTGTTGGGGGGTTTCACTTCTCCGATGATGTGAAGCTCTGAGAACTGCAATGCATCAATCATCATCAAGAGAACAGACAACTCTCCAATGTGTTTCCGATCCACAAGACGTCTGACTCGTGTATTCTCCCCGTTTTCTGCCCCAAGCGCCACAATGAACATCCGATCAACCCAGGAACCGGGTTGTTTGCCAAGGTTGAAACCGACGCGACCCTGGATCGGGGATGGCGTGTGCTGTGATCTGTGAAAATACCAGGGGCGGTCTAGGTGAATTGGAGTTGCTCGTCTGCCTGAAGAGAACAACAACATGCATGCCAAATGACATCAGATGTCCCCCAGCAAACCGGCATTCGCGCCTTCCTCAGATAGCTCGAGCACACTCAAATCTTTCTTTTATTTTTCGTTCTTAGCTTGTCGTTCCCAATTCTTTTCTACTGCGAAGCCACTGGCCGTCGATCGTAGAAGGATCCCGCTCCCCGCCGTCAACTAAGATCTAGGCCCTGCCCTGTTGGCCAGCGATTGTGACCAGAACCGCAGCGACCTGCAACCCCGGTACCGGTTTCAGACCGAGACTTGCGGCCTCTCCTCCTCCACAACTACCCCCCACCTTTGTTGATGTGCGGAGTTGGTGGACTGTCCAGCAGCTGGCTATTTCTTCAATACATCGTACCAATGTTTCTTTGAAGGTACACTAACTGGCTGTTTGTGACACTCCGGTGCTGCCTATCTACAGCTAGAGAGGCTGAGACACTGCTAGAAAGGCCAAGCCAGAAGGGATCAATCCATTGGCTTGTTGGTAATAATAGGACCTGTCAAGGTTTTTTCTGTTCGGCTTTCTTTTCTTGGTTATGATGTTTTGTTAAGACAAGGCGGGAAGGAGAAGTGCAGTGGTTAGACGTCTTTACTTTCGTCTTAGCAACGTCCTACGCCCACATCGCCCGAGATGGAGCAAGAGTCTATTACCAAGAGGCATAAGCTGGGGGCGGTCTCGGGTGTCTACATCCCGGTCTGCCTCAACATTCTCAGCATTCTCATGTTCTTGAGATTCGGCTTGATTCTAGGACAAGTCGGACTGCTCGGGATACTAGGTTTGTGGGAATGCTATTCCGTGTCAACCACTACGCATCTACTAACACGGTCAGGTCTCATGCTCATTGCCTACACCGTCGACTTTGTCACGACTCTCTCACTCTCCGCCATTGCCTCAAATGGAGAAGTTAAAGGCGGCGGCGCCTACTACCTTATATCGAGGTCCCTCGGTCCAGAGTTTGGAGGGTCCATTGGCATTCTGTTCTACCTTGCGCAGGTCCTCAACACGGCACTCAACGTCGTGGGGTTGATCGACTGCATCAAACTCAACCTCGGCGACTCTATGCCTGTGGGATACTGGTGGGACTATCTGTTCGGGACCATGGCTCTGATTGTCTGCACTGGGCTCTGCCTCGCTGGGAGTGCCATCTTCTCGAAGGCAAGCAACGCTTTGTTGGTTGTCCTAGCCTTCTCCATATTCAGCATCCCGCTCTCTGCGCTGGCGAAGCCCGCGTTCAGCGATCCGGACCGAGGCATCGAGTTTACCGGGGCCAGTCTCGCCACTCTGCGGTCCAACCTGCTCCCACACACCTCCGGGACCGAGTTTAAAGGGTTCGAGACGTTCCGGGATCTCTTCGGCATCCTGTTCCCGGCGACCTCGGGCATCTTTGCGGGCGCGTCCATGTCCGGAGACTTGCGAAACCCCAGCAAGGCCATTCCGGTGGGCACGCTCTGGGCCATGCTCTCCACGTTTATCATCTACCTGCTCGTCATCCTTGCGCTGGCATCGAGCACAACCCACGCCTCGTTCCTCTTGAACGCCAACATCATCCAAGATACCAACATCTGGCCCCCTATTGTCTTCGCGGGCGAGCTGGCGACGACCTTTTTCTCTGCCCTGATGGGCGTCATCGGCTCGGCCAAGCTGATGCAGGCTCTTGCGCGGGACAAACTCTTTCCCGGGTTGTCGTTACTCGGAAAGGGCACAAAAAAGGCGGATGAACCCATTTTGGCCATCTTCCTTACGTATTGCGCGGCTCAGCTTGCCATGTTTGCTAACCTCAATCAAATCGCCACGCTCATATCCATGGGCTACCAGGTAGGAATCCGGAACTATGGTGGTTGCGTGCTTGCGTGCTTGAAATGGCTCTAACGGATGACAGATGACCTTCTTCGTGATGAACCTCGCGTGCTTCTTCCTCAAGATCGGGTCGGCCCCCAACTTTCGACCAGGGTTCAAGTTCTTCAGCTGGCAGACTGCTTTCATCGGCAGCGTCCTCTCCGCAGCAGCCATGTTCTTCATCGACGAGACATATGCCACGACGGCCGTTTGCCTCTTGGTGTTTCTCTTCCTCCTCATCCACTACCTCAGCCCACCGAAACACTGGGGAGACGTGTCCCAAAACCTCATCTACCACCAAGTGAGGAAGTATCTGCTCCGGTTGAAGCCGGAACACATCAAGTTCTGGCGGCCCCAGATCATCCTCCTCATCAACAACCCAAGGCGACAAACCCGACTGATCCAATTCTGCAACTCGCTGAAGAAAGGAGCATTATACATCCTAGGGCACGTCATCGTGACCGACGACTTTGCATCCGGCGTGACAGAGGCCAAGCTCCAACAAGCGGCGTGGACCAAGTACATCTCTGAGTACTCCAGGATCAAGGCGTTCGTCCAGTTAACCATGTCCCCCACCATCACATGGGGGGTACGCAACCTGGTTCTCTCGGCCGGCCTAGGCGGCATGCGACCCAACATTGCCGTGATGGGCTTCTACAACATGGACGATCTCCGACGCTCGCAACCAACCTCTCAAATTCCCGACGCTCCCGTTTCTCCCGTCGCACCGCCCCTGCAAAGCGACTCGAAAACAACAACAACAACCGAGCCCAAAGTCCGACGACGGCGCAGAGGCGACACGTCCTCGCGGATTCTCGAGGGGATTTTGCCAACGGATGCCATCAAGAATGAGGAGATGATGTCGGCGACGAGCTATGTTACCATTCTGGAGGACTTGGCGCTGCGGTATCGGCTTAATGTGGCGATTGGGAAGGGGTTTGAGACGTTGGAGACACCGCGGCGCGACGGGAGTAATACGAAGAAATATATCGATCTGTGGCCGATTCAGATGTCGGCGGCTATTACGGCGGATGGGAATAATGTTTTGACTACGAACTTTGATACCTGTGAGTTTTCCGCCGGTCAAGTACTGATGCGGGGAACAAATACTAATGCGAGACAGACACGTTAATTTTGCAACTGGGGTACATTCTACACACCGTCCCCGCGTGGAAGAAGGCGTTCGACCTGCGGGTGATTGTGTTTGTCGAGTACGAGAGCGAAGTGGAGGAGGAACGTGGGCGAGTCAAGGCCCTGCTGGAGAAACTAAGGATCGATGCTCAGGTTCTGGTCTTCTGGCTTGCCTCGGGAAAGCTCTCAACCTACGAGACGATCATTCACGGCCACTACACGAACCCGGAGACGGAGAACCTCGTCAACGAGTGTCTGAAGAAAGAAGAGTGGTGGGAGGACCTGCAGGCCTACCGAGGCAGCCGTTCCATGACCGAGGCCCAGGAATTTGCGTCGATCGCCCAGGTCATGGGCTCTACGTCTGGCCGGCCGGGGTTGTATAACCCGCACAGCGAGCCCATAGACAGAAGACAAAGACGCCATAGCCTAGCCCAGCTGGAACTCCCCAGGAAGCCGTCCATGTCCCAGTTGGTGAAACTGGGCGTGAGCATGGGAATCCATACGCAGAATCTACCCACCAGTGTCTTCGACAGCAGCGACTCCGATCTCGATCCCGGCAGTGACTCGGACAGTGACTCGTCTGAGACGGGGGCGCATTTTACCGACGCGGGCAATATCACAGGCGGCGAGGACGACGACGCGAGGAAACCGCTGTTGGCTGCGGTCCGCCGGCGACGGAGCTTTGCGGATATCTTTGCTTCTAGCGCAAAGAGCCCTCGAAAAGAGAAGAAATCAAAACGAGCACAATCACCCTTGCCACCGCCCTCGTCCTACGGCACCATGGCCGGCACCATGGCGGCCGACAACAAACGCACCACCACCACAACCCCCACGACGCCCGCGACCCCCAACGAAGCCGGGATCCTCGAACCAGGCCCACGCAGCCGCAAAGGGTCCGCCTCATCCCAATTACCCCGGGGAATCCTCAAGCCCGAACGGCCCCCCTTGTCACGACACAGTTCCTCAGCGCCTCGGTTCTCCAGCAACCTCGTCCCACAAACAACCATCACCAACGAAGACGGCGCCGGGCCGAGAATCATGTTTGCCGAATCGGACTCGCCCCGCGTGGAACGGCCGCCGTTGTCTAGGCAATCATCGTACGGCCGCAACACGGGGACGGGGACCAACACTGGGACAGGCACGGAAGCCAGTTCGGGCGCGGTGACGCCCACGCTGGATAAGCGGGTGTCTTTTGCGGAGGTGGACACCCGTTCGCCGGCGCGGTCGAGACGGAGTTCGTTCTCCAAGGACGGTACTAGCGCTGGTGGTGGTGATGTCTCGCTCAACATCCCCGAACTCCTGGCTTCTTACCACCACTTCCCCGACGACGACAACAACAACAACAACAACGACCCAAACAGCGCAGCCACCTCCCCCAACCCCGGTCTCGGCCTCGGCCTCAATCCTGGACTAGGAGCAGGAGGAGGCGCCGGATCAAGCTACTCAACCCAAGGCCTCTCCCTCTCCTTCAACGACCTCCCCAGTCGAGCGCAGCATCTCATTCTGAACGAGCTCATGCGGCAGGCGAGCGGTACCATCGACAACAGCAGTGAGGGCAGTAACGGCGGGAGTGGGAATGGGAGTGGTGAAAGTGCGAATGGGAGTGGGAGTGGTGGGGGTAGTGAGACGGCAGTGATGCTAACGACGCTGCCGATTCCGCAGGAGAATACGTGTCAGAGTGAGGAGGCGAGTTTGGCGTATTTGTCGGATGTGGAGGTGTTGTGTAATAGTTTGCCGCCGATTTTGTTGGTGTTGAGTAACCATATGACTGTGACGGTTAGTTTGTGAGGTTGTGGAGGGGGGGGTTATTTTGGATTAGGTTGTTTGTTTGGGCGTGTTGCTCGCTTGCTTGCGGACACGGTGAGGCGGAGGGGGATTTCCTTGTGGTGTTGTTATCTTTGATGGATGGGGACAAAGGGGGGGTTAGTACAATGAAACAAACACGTGGAATGGGGAACGCAACCGCTTGGTTTCGCCTGACTCTTTTTTTTGAATGATTATGACTATGAAAGGGGGAATGAAGGGCGGGGGGAGCATACAACAAAGAGCGAGCATAATTCCACGTTTTTTCTTTCTATGATTATCTTTGTTGATTATGTTTTTGGTTTTGGTTTTTTGCGGCAGTTCTGCTTGCTCAGCTCACAATGCCTACTGACCTCAACCGTAGTCGGTCTCTTTCCCTGTCTCCCTTGTTCTCGCCAACATCCCGCTCACTCGCCCGCCCCTTATCCACAATAGCAGCAACAACAACAACAACAACAACAACAGCAACAACAACAACTCTAGCTCTCAACATTCGAACCATGCCGATACACTCCCCCGGCACAACTGGGGCATCATCTACCGGGTTCTCCCACAAATTCCGCAGCTTCACGCACCTATCCAAGAACAAGAACAAGGCCAAGACCACCGGAACAGACCAAGACGAAGAAGGATTAGGGGGAAAGGAGTTTGAGATAGTCAACACCCCGGACCGGCCAAACCAAGTGATCTCGACTGCGGAGGTGCCCACGGAAGAGGAGTGTGGGGAACTGATTTTGAGGTGGCATTTGGCGGCGAAAAGGAGAGAAGTGTGTCTTCCTCCTCCTTGGAGTGGTGGGGGAGGGTATAGCCGGGTGCTTATGGTAGGTACAGGACATGTCCGTGGTAGGTAGCCTCGTTGGAGGCGTGTATGGGTGTGTTTGTAGGTTGGACAGGTTGGACGAGTTGGGCGAGTCAGACGGGAAGGGGATACAAGTTACAGAATGGTCTAACAAAGCGTGTGTTATAGGATACACCGTCCAACGGCGCAGCAACGCACAACCTTCTGTCCTCTGGGAAGAAGAAGAAGTCGGAGAAGACCCAAGAGCGAAGAGAGACAAATAATCACCAGATTCGCCGAGGAGAACCCCGGCGCAGTGAGATCTTTAAGCCACGGCCGTGGAAACACGACGAGCCGTATCCTGAGCCGTATCCTGAGCCGTATCCTGAGCCGGTTGTTGTCAACAGGCCGTATCGCCGGCATCAGGCTTGGGTGGACTCCAGTTCGCCTGTCAGTGCGGTGGGAAGTCAAGGGCGTGCGGGTTTTGACATGCCGGCTATCCCGTTGGCGTGTTCTGGGATCGGCCAAACACCACAACAGTCAGGAGATCAGTTTTCTCGTTTTGGCCATACTATGGCGGCTGTCCCAGAAGGAGGCCAAGACACGAGGGTCCAAGATGCCAGAAGCCGACCAGATCAACAGGACCGGGATTCCGCAGATGCTCCTCCTAAACCACCGCCGAGATTGTCCGAGAGACCCTTCCTCGACACCAGCCTCCCACCAGGCACTCACAGACGGCCGGCGCATGGTCTCGTCCGGCGACCGAGCGTGCCAAACCTCAAGGCTCAGGTTTGGACCCAAGGCCGAGGAGAACACCACAATCAGAAAAACGGATCGAAGACATCGACATCACCAGCCCACAGCAAACCCACCATCCTCATCACGCCCGTCACGCCAATAACAAAAATAACCCGGCATCATCCCCCCGCCCCCCGACAAGTAAAAACAAACAGTCTCTTCCCGCTAGCACACAACCGGACCATACTCCCCTCTCCGCTGGGGATGTACGATTCTGCTCATCCAAGACACGAAAGACAGGTAGAGAAACCACTCCCGGTGATCCCGCCTACCGCTCCGCTTCGGTCGCCTAGAAGACTAAACCAGGGCCATACCCAGGCCCAGGCCCAGACCACAACGCCTCTTACACCCCCTCCTCGCTCGCCCGCTCGACTAGCCCCTATCTCGCCTGCTGCGGTTGTTATTGCGGAACGGCATCATCAGTTGTACACCCCAACGAGCCATGAGATAACAGGGAAAAGGGGGGAAGAGGAAGCACCACGACAGGATATTTCTATTTTGACTCCGCCGCCTAGGATATATCCCACTACGGCCGCAAGTTTGTTAACGACAACGACAAAAGCACCAGCAACAGGAGCACGAAACTCCTCACCACCCAGCACATCCACATCATCAACAACATCAACAGCAACAACACCAAACTCCCCATTAACCCCAATCCCAACAAGAAAAGCTAAACCCCGACCCAGACCCCGATCCGCCACCCACCGGCTGAGCGTGGATGATTATTCCCACTTTCTAGCATGGAAGACGCCAGAGGAGAGAGCGCAGTTTAAACGAGCGTGGGAGAGGCAAGATAGAGAGAAAAGGAGGACACAGAAGGGGGCATATGCGAGTGGGTGTGGAAGCGGGGGGTATGAGGATGATGGGGATGATGGGGATGTGTTTATGGAGATTTTGAGGCATTATGAGGAGGGTGGGGAGGATATTCCAGAAGGTGGTTGGATTTAGGGGGAAATAGCAGGATTAGGTTAGTATGGGTGCTCATGATATTGATATGGATGGGCTGCTTTAGAGGAGCAACAAATGATATCATAATATAAATTCAGGGGCATATTCAGCTCCAGCATAAGCCATAAATTTGCAAGACCGCTGTTTATATTCTAAGAATGCTGGTCATAATGCTTCTTCATCTGCCTGAGAAAACAACCGGAACGCCTCTACTCTACTCTAATTCACCTTGGTCACCGTCAACACCCCCTTATCCGCCCCATCCAGTTCCAACCGCCCGCCCGCCTCCAGCTTCTTCTTCCACTTAGTGCTCTCATACCGCGCCAGGATAATCGTCATCCTCAGCACCGCCTGGTCGCTCGACGCGTGCTCCGCCACGCCCTCTGCCACGGGTGTAAAGGTCCACCTCCCGAACGCCCAGTTGAGGATGTACCTGTTGGATAGCTGCGAGGAAGCCGGTATCGCCACGTCCTGGTCTGAGTTCTTGACCGTCCCCGATACTGTCAGCACGGCCTTGATGCGGTATACCTCGTCCTTGGGTGCCTCTTTCAACAGGCCCATCAACTTCTCCGCATCCACCCCCGCTGTGCTTTGTGCTCTTTCTCCCTTCAGCTCAACCGACAGCACCTCCACCTCCGACTGGTGGTGGTCGTGGCCCTTCCCATGGTCATGATCATGCCCACACCCCTCACCACCACCACCGCCAGCATGTTCACATTTAGATGCTTCATCCTCCTCGCCCAATCCCCTCGCCAACCCCCCATCAACCCCAAACACAACCCCCGCATCCACCCACCCCCTCTCACTCTTCACCCACGCCACATCCACCTCCAAATCCCCCAGCCGATCCAGCACCTCATCAAACCTCCTCTCGCCACACTCTTCCCACTTATTAAACACCACCAGGTCCGTATACCGCGCCTGCAGCCGCGCCGTGTAGCTGGTATCCTCGTAACCAGCCCAGTTCTCCACGTCGATCACGCTGACTACCCCGTCGAGCACGTATTCGCCGCCGGTTTCGCGCGCGAGCCGGTTGACTTCGAGGGCGAGGGTGGCGGGGAAGGCGCTGCCGCTTGTTTCGATTATCACGCGGTCGGGGGCGTAGGCCACAGCAGCAGCAGGCTTATTATCTTCTGTACCGGTAGTGCTAGAGGCGGGAGCGGCAGCAGCCCCACCAGCGCGCAACTCAGCCAGCGCCGGCCCCAATTGTCCGACGAGATTGCAGCAGATACACCCGTTGAGGAGCTCGGTGACGCCGGCGATGGCGGAGGAGGCTGCGAGCTGTGAGTCGACGGCGAGGTCGCCGAATTCGTTTTTGAGGAGGGCGAGTTTGTAGTCTGGGTTGAGGGCGCGCAGTTGTGGGAGCAGGTTGAGGATGAGGGTGGTTTTGCCGGCGCCGAGGAAGCCGGTGACGATGGTGATGGGGATGGGTTTGTTTGGGGGGTTGGCGTCGCCGTTGGCGGTGTCGGTTTGGGTCATGGTTGTGGGTGTTCTTTTTTATTTCGTTTTTTTTTTTTTCGGTCCTGCTTTTTTATTCAATATCTGCCCCGAAGATTCGGGTACAACGAGGGGTATTAAAAGAACGTCGATGAAGGAATGGATCCCGAAAGTCCAGATCGGCCGTCCGTCAAAGGCCGCAACGTGGGGTACCGATTGATGAGGGGCACTCGCCGATCTTGGCAGGGGCGTCGAAACGGTGTTGCTCCTTGGAATATCCCAGGGATTTTCTCAAGCATGTGCTGGGTTTGAAGAACAAACCGTAAAGTTTTGGGCATGGCCAAGCCTTACACTAACTGCTCGAGTGTCAACGGTTTTGTATTTGCAGGTTATTACGGTTGCTGAACGCCCACTATCCTTCGTCACCAACCTGAACCAATCTCCGGACTATGAACTGCGAGGAACGTGGACAGGTCAAGCAAGGATAATTATAACATGAATTTGTGGACGTTTAAACGTTTAATTCCAATGTCGGCCATGAAGGGCATTTCCTATCGCCAGTTCTAGCCTCCTAATATTACATCCCGTCTGAGCTGAATCTTATGAGTGACGTCATCTCCTCAGGGTCTTCCCTTAAAGCATGAACAACCATCAAACCGCAAGCCGACCCAGCATCTCACCCTCACTGAGAACCCGAGCGGAACGGCACCCGAATCGTCTCCCGAGACTATGTCCGAGCCAATTCTAGAAAAACAGAGGGCTCCGTCCCACGGCCCCGACTACAAAGCCCAGCTCGATGAGATTGCAGACCGAGAAAAAGGAACCCGGGAGGACCAAACCCAGGCACAGGAATCGAGCGGCGCCAGTGGCGTGATCAACAAAGGTATGGATGGTACTTCCGAGGACCTTCCGAGTCCGCTCGACCTGACATTTTCGCAAACATTCACGGCTGACCAGCCCGGTTTCCCAATATGTCCCCGCAGCCGTGAGCAAGGTACTTGGGTCACAGGAGAAACCAGAGAGTAAATCACCGCTGCCAAAGGACGTGCCGGGACCTCCAGACCGGCCAGCAAACGATACCCAGGTTGAAGAGTTCCTGAAGGACCAGCACCGTAGCAGGAAGATCCTGGGGATAGAGGACCCGACGGATACTGATCCTACGGCGGAGTAGTTATATGTGGAAAATACGGGGAAATGTGCTTTCAAGTTACTAGCTTCAATGTAGAGCATGGCACGAAACATATGGGTGCGATTTCAACGGATTTTCTGGCTCCGAACCGCCCATTCAAAATTCCACAGCGTTGGGCCGTCGCCGTCCGGGCATGGCAAACGCCGACGTTCGCATTAATGCGGTGTTGATCGCGGTCCGTAGCAGTGCCCGGACTCTGCGATACGGACAGGATCACAGGGGGTTTTCGCAGCATGCTATTGCCATTCAGAATCCTTAAATATCCAGGAACCCGCGGCGACTTGCCCCATTCATCAACGTGCGATCCCAACTACAACGCGTGTTGAAAGCAAATCGAAATGTCTCCAATCATTCAGCATTTCTCACCCAGATGGATACGAGTGAGAAACTTCCTATCAAGGATATTCGTCTCCGAAGTAGACACTCATCTGAGGTCAGGCAACCTGGCACCGTGGGATACTAGTGGCGGTCGTGGCAACTTCGTGTTATACTTTTTGATCTAAGGAAGGAAAAAGAGAAGAAAGTTCAAGAAAATTTCGGCTGCTCGCAAAAGTTATAGTCGCGGCGGGTGGCCGAAAGTGGGTCCGCTGGTATTTTTTTCACTGGCAGCCCGCTATCGATAAGAGATCCCTGCAATGATCCTTACCTAATCAGTAACCGTTGATGAACCGCGACGCCAGCCATTAAGGTTCCCTTCACATCACCAACCGCTTCCACAAACCAGACCATGCCATCCGACGACTACAGCTCAATAGCCCGCGGCCCTCTCCGGCTCAAAGGCGCTGCGGGCGTCACCAAGAAGAAAAAGAAGAAGGACAAGAGCAAGAAGGATTCCTCAACCACCGATCTCGCGAAGAGCCTCTCGACGGGGGACGACGAAGCACGGCAAAGGGAAGCTAGGTCGAGGGAGCGGTCGACGGATGATACTGGCCGTGGGGATGGTGCGAAGTTATGGGAGGAACGGGAGGATGGCGAAGGGGCAGATGCTGGGGAACAGGGCGATGAGGAAGACGAGGAAGCCAAGACGGAGACGGAGAGGCGCTTTGCGGAGGCGAAGAGGAAGAGGGTATGTTTTATTCTTTGTCAAACCTTTCCCCAGCACCCCCATATTCTCCCGTTTGAAACCACTAGAGAAACACAAGACATACCCAACGTAACTAACACAGCCATTTCTCAACCACAGTTAAAAGAACTAACCGAGTCTGGGCGCATCCGACCCGAGCTGCTCAAGACACACAAGCAACGGGTCGAAGAGCTCAATGCACATCTAGCCCGGTTGAGCGAACATCATGATATGCCGAAGATTGGGCCAGGGTAGAGAGTGAATACACAAGAAATATTTTGGCAATTTAAACGTTGTTATGTTCACCGTTCCGGTTTCGTTGTTTGTCGCTGATTTGCTTGTTTTTACCGCCCTCATTGTCCGCTTTCACCTTTCTCTTGCCCATGTTTGCTTTCTCCCACACCTATCTCCGTTCTCCTCGTAGTACATACCCCCCTCTATTCCCCAAGCTACAGCACCCTTTAATACTGAACTCGCGATCCCACGTTCAGCCATGCCGGTTAGGGTGCATCGCCCAATTCCTCCACTACATGCCTCGCCCCTACATCTTTGCCCGTTTGCTTGGGCTATCCTTTCTGGCGTCCGGGGTTTCGACCCGGCGGGCCGCGATCACGAGGTCATCCAACTGTCGAGAGCTGGACCTGGAGAAGCCGTGGGGTATAAAGCGGTGGTTGGAACCAGGGAAGAGATAAAGGAGCAGTATGAGGTAATCGGGTGAAATAGTTTCCATATGTAGCTGTCTATTAAATAACAGCACATGTGCATGAGTCTGGACGAAAGGGAATAATGCTAAGTGGAGAGAGGAAGATAGAATATTAAGAAAGGAAGGAAAACAAAGTAGGAGGAAGGGGAAAAGGAAGAACAAATCAATACGAATGGAAGGGGAAAAATAGAGGGCGAGAAAGAGGAAAGCGATTGAGAGGGAAGGAGAAGGAGGAGGGATAGGAAGTAATAAATAAAACGACAAAAAACACCTAAGTGTCGTGGACAATAAATCGACAATCGCTTCCCCTATTGACCGCCCGTTACATGAAAGCATTAGGTTCAAGAACGTACTTAGATTATAGTACAATGTGAAGATATCAAAAGATAAGGCACCAGGACGAAGTATTTCTATGCCCAACTTTGAATATCCCATACGACAAATTGCCTTCTATTAATTGCTTGCTTCCTCCCCCAGGCCAAGCATAACCCATCCCTTCAACCTCGCCGGTCTATATACAATCCGCACCACCAGCACGCACAGTCTGGCTCCATACCCCGTGTCTATCCCGAATACGATCCCTTCCCTCCCAAACCTCCGTTCCTTTTGACCGCATCAGCGGCTCTATATAAATGAGTGGTATATCGTGTCGTGGTCATCATCTCTAGCCGCTATCCGATATATGCGAATGCTGTACTGTGTGCCGTACCCAGTGGCGTGTGAAAGTATAGGTTTGTGTAAAAAAGCAAAACAAACAGACGATTTTTCCAGCCTTCCCTTCCCGTGAATGAATGCATGGGGTATATCCCGAGATGAGAATGGGATGGGAAAATTAAAAACAAGATTGAAAATCAGAAGCTAGCCCGAAACCCCGCGCAATGCAGTGCTGAATGCCCCCGGAACTCATGGGGTGAAAAAAAGACAAGGAGTGGACGGATAAATGAACGAATGATGTGGCGATACCGAAACAGACCGTTCCAGGTTTCAAGGTGGGCGAGAGAGAGGGAAAAACGACGAAAATCCAGCTGGCCTAAGCCAGACTAAACAACCAAAAGCATAACAGCAAACCCAATCACACCAGCCAGAACAGACGCGCCGGTGTGGCGGCGGACAGCGTCGTTCTGCAGCGAAGGCGGGGAGCCAGTCTGGCTGGGCGTACCCGTCTCGCCTGCATCGCCGGGCACGTAGTTGGTGCGGGTGACAACGACGACGACGCCGTTGGGGGATGTCGACGTCAGGGTCTCGGTGGTGGCCCTGGAGGTCCGCGGGGGTGGAGTGTTGGAGGGGGATTTGGTGGATGTTGTCAGGGTGGTTTCTACGTACACACGGGGAGTTAGTTACTGGTTTAGGGTCCTGGGAAGGGTTGTATTTGGAGGTTGTCAGGATGGAGGGAAGGAGGTTTAGTGGAGGTCGGGACGTACCTCCGTCGATCGAGGAGGACTTTGATGTTCGAGGGGGGGTAGAGGACGATGAGGTGGTGTGGGTGGAGGAAGGTGTATGGGATGTCGACGTCTCCGAGCCTGAAGAAGAAGTCTGAGGAACTGAAAGGGATTCACTCAAACTGGACGACGTACCAGGTAGGGAAGATGTGGAGGATGAAGAGGAGGAGGATGAGGATGAAGATGGGGGAGCAGAGGTCGAAGTACCTTGGGTAGACGAAGAAGTGGTCGAGGTGGAGCTCGGGGTGGTGCTAGAGCTGGTAGACGAGGGCACGCTGCTGGTGGTCGGGGGCTTAACGCTCGTAGTGGAGGAGGAGGTGGTGCTTGGAGGCGGCGGCGGGCTGCTGGTCGTCGAGTGGGTGGTCTCTGGCGGGGGGGTGGAGGTCTCGGTGGAGGTCTCGGTGGAGGTTTCGGTGGAAGTTTCGGTCGAGGTCTCCGTTGCTGTCTCCGTTGCTGTACCGGTGGTGGACTCCTCGGTTGATTGATCCGACTCGGGTGGGGGTAGAGAGCCGGTGGTGCTCTCAGCCGAGTCGTCCCGCTTCCCTAGATGCTGGATGGGCGTGATGAGCGCAGCATCCTCGTGGTGGATGGCGTTCAGCTTCTCCGAGAACGAAACGGCCGATGACTCCATGGTATCGGCTCCCGGGTGCCGGCCCGTTGCGCGGTGATGACACGGCATACCAACGGTGGTCAGCCCCATGAGCGCCAGCGTACACACCAAGAATACCGTGATCGTCCTCCGAGTGCGGATCATGTTGGCAACTGATGAGGGTTGTGGCCGGTTGCTGGGCGTCGACTGGGTCTCGCCAGAAGTCTTCTCCCGTGTGTCGATGGGAAGAAGCGCTTCGGATGAAGGCGACTTGCTGTCCCTGGCGGCGTCCATGATGGAGGAGGAGTATTAAAGCGGCGACGAGAGGATACTGGAATTAGGGTGTGTAGCAGACAACAAGCCCACTGTAGATGCCGCACCGGTTGAGTGGTCGAGCTGTGTGGTGGTCAGCAGCTGCGACTGTTGAAAATTGTGCCCGTCTTTGGTGGTGATGATGAGGAAACAAAAACCCGAGTAACGCGATAACAACAAAAGGGAGTCTCCCTCGAGCAAGCAGAAGTGGGCACGAAATGGCAAAAGAAAACAACGCGGACCACGGCGCTTGTGTTTCGGGCTAGTCCATGTTTCGGACGAAGCGGACCACGAGTGGCACAAGAGACGCAAGACTTGCGAAGCCAGTGTCTTACCAGAGTACCAGAGATTTCCAATGCCTGACCGTTCCTAGCTTGCCTCGCACAATTATTGACGTTGCTGCTGTCCAAGGCGAACCTCCCGGCGGCCCCTTGATAGCCCCTCTCACAAGCAAGAGAGATCGTGGCACGATATTTGTATCGTGATGTGTTGGGAAAGGGTTTACCGAACAAGGCGAGAAAGGGACCGGAACCGGGGTGCCAACAGCGCCCAGAAGATATACCGAGTATAAATATGTGTCCCAACATGTCCCCCAGCACAATGGCGACCAGGTTGCCGTTGAGGCGCTCACATCCTGGTTCTTTCAGCGGGGCTGGCAGATCGGATCAGCTTGGAATGACGCTTGCAAGGGTAGGGATCGCGACGGTTGATAATGGGCGCCAAGACGGTCGGCGGCCACGCTAACAAATGTCCCGGGACGGGTGTTCAGCGGCGTGCTCTGGGCTGTTGGTGGCACAAACCCAACCGGATGAGCTTGTCAAACACCGGTTCGGTTGTGCAATGATCGGCTTTTCCAGGCCGCTCTCCAGATTCTCCAGATTCCATATCAACTTTATCCAGTTTATTGCTCCCTTTTTGCAACGGATTCTCTCTCTCTTCCTCCGTCCCCCTCCATCTTCTCTCGTGTCTCTCGTGGTTGTTACGTCTTGCTTTTCGTGTTTGAAGGCAGCGGGCACCTGGGCGCAGGACTCGCACCCATTGGAGCCGCATGTCGTGCACAGCCGCCAGCCATCGTCTTTTTCGATGTTTCGCCATTGGCGACCCTCAAGGGGGTGGGGGGCACACAGATTTTGGCAGGTCCCCACCAAATCAGCACGCATCCAGCTGAACAACTTGTGTCGAAAACGTCTTGGCGTGGGCAGACTCGCAGAGCAGCCTGAGACGCCACCCGAATCGGTCGCAGAGAATGCTCGATTTAAAAAAGATCCACGGAAGAGCTGCCAAAGCCGCAAAAGTTGAGGAGAATTCGGGTTCGCTTTCCGCTCAACTGCCTAAACTTACCACTACCGCTCGGGAAAAAAATGATGGCTGGAAATTTTCCTCCGAGATAAGGGACATGCCGGTATCGCCAACACCGGGATAACACGCTGTTTATTTCAAAAACCTTCCCCGACGGTCTCGCCCGCTCTCCGGCTCCTTCCTGATATTGCTAGTTGATTGCATCTCGGTGGTGGATGCCTCTCTCGTATTGCCGACGTCATTGACATGAAAAAATTGGTGCTCCCCGGGCCCTGGCTTTTTTCTCCCGGATATTCCGTGAGCCGGGTTTGAGAGGGAGTCCAGGCTTGAGACCGGCTTGGCACCAACACGAGGTCTTTTGGGTTTTGGAACGGACAGGCGCCGAACGAGGCAAGGCCGAACGAACGACCGCGTCAGGAGGGTGGAGCATGCCTCGTGCGTGTGTGCGTGGCTGGAGTGTGCTTGAACTTGAACCATCCGGTCAACGTTCATTCGTGGGAACACCCTTTGGCACTTGTTACTGCGTTTGCGGTCTGCAAAACGGTTTCGTTGCTGCAACATGGCGCCTCGTTTGGGTTCGCTTGTCGGAGCAAAGCACCCGGACTTTGGTGGGGCTTCGTCAGGCAAGCCGTAACCCAAGCTCGAAAATGAAAGATGAGGTGAGAGGGGGAAGTGAATATGGACCGATAACGAGCTTGACACTTGAGAGCTTCCAGAAGCACAGAAGTCTGATGGAATTTGACAATGCCAAGAACGAGAGCCATGCACCGCCACGATTGATGATACGCCACATATGTGGCTCATATACACCTGATAACAAACCCCAGCCCTGGCGGTAGCGTACCCGCTGCTGACGCCGGAGCTGGCTGCCGCTCTTTCATGTGAAGATCTGGCCCTGAGGAATGTCGCATGTTTCGAGCTCCAAGCAACGCGAGCGTCTTTCTCCCGCGCGCAGCACCAACATGCGGGAGCCCACCGCGCGAGCCCAAATTCCAACATTGGCCCTTTTGAATTGGTGAATTGCCGCAGCGACTACGCAAATTCCATGATTGCTCCAGATCGATGCCCCCGTCCAGGTCGTCGTCGTCGTCGTCGTAGCTGTTGTCATTACCGTTGTCGTTCGCTTCCATCTCCTGAGCTCCCTTCGACTGGCCATGCCTGAGCATCTCCCGCTCCCGACACCTCCGACCGGCCCCGCCAGCTCCGACGAAGACCATGACCGTCTGAGAATTCTATCCCGCTCGCCGCATCCGTATCACAGGCTCAACACCGAACTCCTCGAGCCCTCCGACCGCTTCACCTACCCAGGGCCCACTGCGGCGGCCTCTGACGGGACTATCGACGGGAAAACCGACGACTTGAACGCCTCAAACGCCTCGTCATTATCTGCACAGCCCTTTCCCGCATTCGCACGAGACTCCCCGCTCACGAGCGAGAGCGGCACCGAAGCCGACGATGAGCACTTCCTCAAGGGGCTACCCGCGCCCAAGGCGAAGTCCTCCAAGGGACTGAGAGGGAGGAACGAAGTGTTGTCGGGAACTTCGACGCCACTACCCTCTCCTGCGGTGCTGGAAGAGGAGGGTCGGAAAAAGAACCTGCAGGTTAGCCATGTGGGCGGATACGAGCGCAACAAGAGGAGTGCGGCGGACAGGGTGCGGCGCCGCAAAGAGCTGATTCGGAGAGCGACCGAAGTGCTGCTTCTTGTGTGTCAGGGGGGCATGGTGGCGTCTAACCCGGACGCACGGCTGTCTCTCCGATTGTATCACAGAGGTATGTTTTTTTACGCTCGAATTGGTTGTTTGGGCATAACCTAGGAAACAAGTTCTTGAGCCAGTTGACTGACTGTGATTTTGTTATAGAGCTACTGGTTGTTGGTGGGGTATTTTGCAGTCTTGCTGCGGCGTACCCTCTGAGGCTCATCGCGTGGGCATATCGTCAGGGGAAACCCCAGAAGCGGGTGCCGATCCGCGTTCCCTCCAGCTTCGATCCCGCCCCATTGCTCTACCCTCCTCTGGTGCCGCTCCTTGTCACGCTGCTCATTGCGCGGAATGTCCGTGGTGCTGTCATACCGAGCCTGGTGCTGAGCATCTCTACCCTCCCTAGGCCATTGATTCCCGGCGCGCGGCACTGGGATTACTTTAACAGCACGCATTGGTTGTTGTCATGCGTCCCATTTACCCTAGACGCACTTGTACCCACGACAGAAACGCTATCACCAGACGAAATCCCACGCGAGGTCCTCGTCTTGCTCTACCCGTTACACCAGACACTGTGTCTGGCCCTTCACCACCTTACTACAACGAGTCTGTTGGTTTCCGAGCTCCAGCTGCTCTCAGCCAGTCTCATCAGCTTGCTTTTGCTTGCCAGTTCCCCTCAAGCGGTCATCTTGAAAACGGTGCTCTGGGGAGGGGGTCTTGGGCTTGCCGTTCTATGCAGCAAGGTGATCCAATGGGGCGTATCTCTGGCCCGCGTGCCCAAGTGGCGTTTTCGGCGGATTGTCCCCTCCAAGGACGAGTCCAACTATGAACGACTCCGGCAGCTTTTGTCTTTTAGAAGACATCGCTCCGGCTCGACGGCAAGCTACAGGAGTGTCAACTCCAACCATGATTATGCAACAGACGAAGAGGTAGACCGTCTACCATCCTTACCTCGAATCGCGAAACAAACAGACAGTCTCAGCGATACCGAACCCGTGCCTGGCGCTCTCGGGAGGGCCAATACCCAGGGAGACTCAGAAGAACCATTGCAGCAGAATCCAATACGGAGACACACGCTTCCACTCACGGGACAAGCACCCGCTAAACCTAAAACAACTACGACTATCAACACCACCCCTTCTGGCCGTCGGAAACGTGCCACTTCTTCCAGTGCCCGGGCCTTCTTCTCACTCACACAGTCACAAGCCACATTCCGCAAGTGGCTCTACGCCGGCTACGTCTACTTCTGTCTCGCCTTCATCATCCTTGTCCCCGTCCGCATCTACATCCAGAACTACGCCCTCGCGGGCCACGAACCGATCGGCTGGGCCCTGGCCTACCTCTTTGGCGATCTTCCGCAGTTCCGCTTCCAAGTCGTCAAGGCCAACCTCGAGCGCTGGATCCCCCTCCCACCTTTCCTGCACTCTACACCAGCAACCTGCGACGCCGCAGGCACCACTGACTTCGTTGGCGGCTGGATCAACCACATCCGGCTAACCTCCTTCGGCCCGGGCACCACCCGACTGATCTTATCCGCCTACTTTGCCACCACCATCCTCGCCGGCCTCGCCGTCGTCTTCCAGCTCTCCCCCATCTTCGAAGTCGACACCCGCCGGAAAGTCTTCCACTTCATGATGGTCGCCATGTTCCTACCCGCCGCCTACGTAGACCCGTGCTACATCGCCTTGGCCCTAGCCCTCATGCTAGCCATCTTCCTGGCCCTCGACCTGATCCGCGCCAGCCAACTACCGCCACTCTCCCGCCCCATCGCGCGGTTCCTAACACCCTACGTCGACGGCCGCGATCTCCGCGGGCCCGTCGTAGTCAGCCACATCTTCCTCCTCATCGGTTGCGCCATCCCCCTCTGGCTCAGCCTCGCATCACTCCCACGCTCATCACCATCATCATCATCCGTCCCTTTTGCCGAAGGCGCCACCAATCCCAATTCCAATCCCGACCCCGCTAGTTCCGGTTGGGAACTCCCCGTCCGCGAAATCGCCATGGTCTCCGGCGTGATCTGTGTCGGTCTCGGCGATGCCGCAGCCTCGCTTGTCGGTCGCCGCTGGGGTCATCGTAAGTGGCTTTGGGGCGGTGGTAAGAGTCTTGAGGGCAGCGCTGCGTTTGCTGTTGCTGTGTTTGGGGGGTTGATGGTGGCGGGGGTGTGGTTGCGCGTTGGGGGGTGGGCTGTTAGTATCGACGACAGCATCTTTCCTAGCTTGGCAACGGGTGGTGGTGGTGGCACTACTACTGCTCTCCTTGACCCGACGCGACCGCAGTCTGGGATGGACAGTCTGATGAGCGTGCTGGACTTGAGGCAGCTGGGGCCGTGGATGGTCGGGAAAGCACCGCAGGCTGCGGTGTGTGCGACGTTGGCGTCGCTGACGGAGGCTGTTTTGACGGGGGGGAATGATAATGTGGTCGTGCCTGTGGTATTGTGGGGGTGTGTCAAGAGTTTGGGGATATAATTACGATGGCTGGGCACCATGGCGTGGGGTTTTGTTAGGGAGAGAATGAATAATTAGAGCTCAAGGGGTTTGGTTGCCCGACCTTTTGTATCATATCATGACTTGGACGTTTTTGTGATGATACCCACTGAAAAAAATAGACAGCGATACCTTACCAGCCCTTGATTCCCCCCGCGTCTTCGCCACTGTGTTTATACTCGTCAGTGTGCCTACTGTCCCCGTGACAAGAGAACATCACAGAACACATAACAGCATCATACAGTCCATATAATTTCATGCACGAACGGCCCCCCTTTTATCTATCTTACATCTTAACCCCAGGTCTAACAAACTCATTTGGGTCCTCCTCTGTCTCCTCATACACCCACTTAAGAACCGTCGACCCCCGCCCCACCGTCTTGCGATGCAAAATCTCCTCCACAATCTCCCTCACGCCCTGCTTGTTATTCCGCTCGTGCAAGAACTGGTTGATCAGCTTCTTCCCGTTCAACAGGCCACGCGCCACCTTATCCTCGACCTGTTTCTCCGTAGGGATCCCAAACTTCTCCGCGAACGGGTACTCGTCAAACGTGCCTCTGTTGAGTAGCTCCAGCCGCGGCTGGCCGGGGGGCATGACGAAGTAATCGCGCGTCAGGGCCTTGCTGTCCTCCTCGGAAATGTCGGCTAGCGACGCAGGTTGCCAGTTGGCCGGGCGCCGCTTCTCTTCCAGCAGCTGCGCGCTGACCCCCTCGGTGAAGTCGTGGCCCGCCATGAACTTGGCCGCGATGCCCAGCTCGCGCTGGAAGGTGGTCGCGATGTCCCATTTGCGGCCGATGCGCATCTGTCGCAGCGTGACGTGCACGGCGGTCGGGGAGCGCTGGTTCAGCGTGGCCAGGGTGTCCTGCGCCCACTTCTGCGTGTCGCCGGTTTCTTTCTCGAGCGCCTCCTGGATGGCTTCGATGCTGTCGTGTGAGAAACACCGGTCGATGGCGCGGCGGACGTCGCCTGCTAGCTGCATAGGCTCGTCGTGCGGCAGGCCGGTGGTGTACTCCTCGATCGTGTTGTTGACGAGGGTTAGGCGTTGTGAGAGCGTGTCGAAGTCGTTGAAGCGGAGCTCGGCGAGGCGGGACTCCAGCTGCGGGAGGGTGGTCGAGTGGAGGTAGTGGGTTGCGATACCAGCGTAAAAGGCGTTGACGCCCTTGAGGCGTGAGCTGGTTAGGGCCAAGTAAGTGCCGATGGAACCGGGCAGGCGGGGCAGGAAGAAGGAGCCGCCGACGTCTGGGAAGAAGCCGATGGTGGTCTCGGGCATGGCGAAGAGGGTGCGCTCGGTCGCGATGCGGATTGGGGCGTGGATGCTGAGACCAACGCCACCGCCCATGGTGATGCCGTCCATGAAGGCGACGTAGGGCTTTTGATAAGTAGCGATCATGTGGTCGAGCTGGTATTCCTGGGCGAAGTACTCCACGGACTTTGCCTGGCCCTCGGGGCCCTCCTTGTTCCATTCGGCTAGCTGGGCCACGTCGCCGCCGGCGCAGAAGGCCTTGTCTCCGGCGCCCTTCATGACGATGACGTTGGCCATGTCGGATTTATGCCACTCGATCAGGCGGGGTGCGATTTTGCGGATCATGGAACCGTTGAGGGCGTTGTACTTGCGGGGCCGGTTGAGCTCGATCGACCGGAGGCCATAGAGGCTGTTGAAGAGGACATCTTCCGGCTCGTCGCCGTCGCGGGGTTTAAAGTGTTCGTATGCTTCTGTCGCCGACATCTAAAGGGGTATAGTCAATATCGCGACATTCTCTTACACTCCCACTATTTCTGCCCATCCACCCTCCCTTCTTGCGCCTAACTCTCATCCCCGCTTCCTCTACCACTTCCTCCAGTATCCCACTCTCTTTCTTTATATCCTCCCATTCCATGACCCAGCCTTCGAAAAATCGAGAGTTGAAAGGCGAGTAGACGTACCATGCCTCGTGTCTGTGGCTGCTGCGGCAACAGCTTGGCTCGGAGTGGCATGGCGAAAGGAGTTAATGGCGGTCGTGTGCAGGCTTTACACAATATTGAGGGTGCTGCCAGCACCGCTCGGCTGGTGATCGTGCGGGCGGACATTTAAACCTCCCCAAAAATAGAGTACAAGAAAAAAAAGAGGAAAAGGGAGAGAATCTGGCCTTGGGAAGATGACTACCCCTCTCCGTTCGGCAGTCGACCGGTTGACTAGGGGAGAGAGAGTGCGCGCCGAGGTCCAAACCCCAGAAGATCACTTGCTTGCTCTGTTGTTGCCGTTCTTTTCCTCCCAAGCTCGCTGCAATTGGCGAATGCACAAGCAGCTTTTCCTGCGCCCGCATTTCCTTTGCTGGGCTGGGCCGAAGGTGGGCGCAAATCGTCGGTTCAAGGGTAGGGGTCCCTGGTTAAGATGACGTCTGCTGGCAGTTGTTGACGGCTGGTCAGTACAGGATCCAGGACATCGTCCTCCCAGTTACCCCTGAGCGCACCAAACCGACCTGCCTACTTCCACGGAACGTTGGACAAGTTGGAGGATATCATAAGAATCAAGTAAGTGTGACAGCAAAAAAGTAGAATGGGACACATTATACCTGTTAGAGTCATGGTTATGAGCCCGTTACTCATCACTGACCATCTTGTTTGTTTCGCTATTTTATCCGCATCCATCAAATACATGCCAACGTTTACAACCTATATGCATCGAGTCTTCCACGCCCCTAAACCATTCACGCCCCAACCTCTCACACCCTCTCCCACCCCTCATCCACCCTCTTGATCCCAGCCAGCCCCAAAAAGAAGCTCGCCAGCCCCCACGCTCCCGGATCCGGCACCTGCTCAAACCCCGACCCGCCAATGTACACCGTCCGCCCCAGGCTCGCCCTCATGCCCTTGGTACCCTCAGCCGCGTTCTGCGCCGCCTCGGCCGCTTGCCTCACATCTCCCGTCCGCTGCAGCACCTCAACAAACGGATAGAGCGCGTCCACCAGGGTGCGGTCGCCGGGTCGTGCCGGTGTGTACTGGGCGAGGGCGTCGCAGCTGTCGCGGAGGGCGGTGGCCCAGACGGCGGGCTGGGAGGCGTCAGCTGGGTTTTGGCCGTGCGATTTGAGCGACGCGAGGAGGGCGTTGAGGAAGATGGCGTACAGCGCGCCGGAGGTGCCGTCCATTTCTTTCTCGACGACGGGGACGATGTGGGCTAGGTCGACGACGGCGTCGCCGGAGAGGGGGCGAGCTTCGAGGTGGTTGAGGATGGCTACCGCGGTTTGATTAGTCTTCCGGTCTCGGTAGAACGATGAAAGGGAGATCGTCAGTGTCTTGCTTACCCTCAGCACCCCTCTTCAAACCAATCCCGCAGTCCCCGTCTCCCACGACGGTATCATACCGCGTGACCTCAGGCTCAACGGCAACGACAGCTTCTAGAGCCCGGGTGATTGTTTTCTGCGCCGCTGGGCCGTCGAACTTCAACCCGCTAGTTTCGATCTCACCGCCGACCGATGCATCCTGCTCTCGGGTCGCCGTGTTCTTCTCCTCCCACGTCTGCTTCGAGATGGGAGTCGACCACCCAACGGCCTCAGAAGGGTGGTCGAGCAACTCAATCATGCCCGGCCCGCCAATGTCGGTGTTCACCACATTCAAAAGCGAAATGCTGAACCCCAACCCGTTGAGACTCGTCATGAAGGTCCCGCTAAGAACGCGCACAGGACGGATGCGGTACTTCTTCTCAAGCTGCGCCACCACCTCGGCCACGATCCCGCCCAGTTCCAGCACGCTGACCCCCCCTAGGTTGTTTACCAAGAGTACCACTTCATTGGAGTTGACATGCACAAATGCCCGGTCCTTGTCCTCGCGGTCCAGCATCTGCGCCAACATCTTGCTCACCAGTTCTGGCAGCTCAACCACCTCCCGGCCGGACCCTTGTTCATTGTGAATACCCATGCCAATCTCAACCTCCCCATCCCCCAGCTTCCCTTCATCACTATCACCCGGCCGCGCCCTGCCAGGCACATGGACATGCTCCAGACTCGCACCAACACTGACCAGATTCTCCGCCACCAAGCGAGCAACCTTAGCCACCTCACCCAACGACCGGCCCTGCGCAGCCAGCGCACCACTAATCTTATGCACCAGCACAGTACCCGCAATACCCCGACGCCCAACCTTCCCAGCCTGCGCGCGACCCACCCCCACATCATCGCCAACAACCACCATCTCCACCGGCACGCCCGCCGCGCGGGCTTTTTCCACGCCCATGCCAAAATTGAGGACGTCCCCCGTGTAGTTCATGACTGTCACCAGGACGCCGCCTCCCTGGCCGTTTTGGCCGTGGTCTACCCGGTTCATAATGGCCGCGCGCACTTGCTCGGCACTAGGACTGGCAAAGATGGTGCCGGCTACGGCGGCGCTCAGGAGACCTGGGCCGACCATGCTGGCGAAGGACGGCTCGTGGCCGGAACCGCCGCCGGAGATGATGTCTGCTTGGTGTTAGCTTGATGTTACTTTGGTCGGTTTTAAAGGGGTATATGTGCAAGAGGATTAAGACCAGAAAAACGTACGGACGCGCTGGGAAGAGGGTCCATAGCCGGGACGACGGTAGATGACCTTGTTGGGGGCGTCGAGAGCGAGGCCTGGGTTGGTGAGTGTGAGAGAATGGAGAGCGGTTGTGACGAGGTGCGTGGGGTCGTTGATGAAGTGTTTCGAGGACATGGTGGATGGTAAGGTGGGTTGGATGAAAGTAAATGGTCCAAGACAAGGAAAGACGAGAAAGAGGAATCCCAGTTCAGGGAGTTAAAGGTATAAGCTGAGCGATGAGGCTGCTAGCGAGTATTTTTGGGTGGGAGCAGCTATAATATTCTGTGCCCCCTGTCCACGGTATTTGGAGTCGTTGCGTGTAAGTGCCTGACGTTAGATCTTGTAAATTGAGGGTACGGCTGCAATAAACTTTTTGTTATTAAACAGAGGGTGAGTTTACCACTCTCATTCCGCCGTACGTGATAGCCAAGGGGTAAGTGGGTTCTTGAACTCGGAACAAATTCCTAATTCTTAGAGTTAGTGACGGCAAGTGCGTTCGGGAGAGGTTTCCCAAGATGAAGACAACTCGGTACTCCGAATTGAGGGCGGGGTGCGGAGCGGGGCGACTGGTCGCACCTGCTCCCGAACAGGATTCGGACTCCATTACCTCTGACCTCATTTTTGGCTCCCGATCATCGCCTCGGCAGAAACTAGAACACTAGGTGGCCCAGTCATAACGTCCAGAGGTCCAGGAAGCATGTGGTTCAACTTGATTATGGATTAGCGTTCACCATCAACCCATCAACCGTCCGCTACTGTCTGTGTTATCTGCCCCTTATCTTATACAGCTACAGTAAAGAGACGGTATAGCGGAGATCTAACAGTTGCGATACAATGCCGCTGGCTCTACTGTCCATGTAGCCCAACACCCAATAGCCAAGCACGAAAAGCACCCAGCATCCGACTTCCAGCCTCTTAGTAACCCACTACAACGTGGATAACCACGATCCAGGATAACGGTCGACCGGTACGAAGTTTTTCTGTATTTAAATTCTCCTTTAATACGAAATTTAATTCAATTTCGAGACAGTCCCGTATGACATGCCACTTGGTTGACGATCAACTTCCCAACCTTTCGTAACCCCTATTCCCGAACACATGCAGACCTCAAACCAGCTCTCAAAGCCGTAGTAGATGTAATCCAGCATCCAAAAATGCAGCCCCCTCAATAAATACCCCCCAAACTCCATACGATCATCGAAATGCCATGCAAATAACGCCGCAAGTCATAAACCTCACCCCCCTAAAATCTTTTCCCTGAATCCAACAGCCAGCCTCCCCCCTAAACAATAACAAACGCACACCCAGCCACCACCCCCAACGCAATAGCCGACGTCGCAAACCCGGCCGCCACCCGATCCCCCAACGTAATCTCCTTGAACCCAAACCCCGTCAACCGCCCAACCTGATCCTCCTGCGTTCCCGCAGCCGGATCCCCCTTCGAGGTCCCCCCGGTATCAGCCGTCACCGGCGCGCCCGCCGCGGCCCCCCCCGTCGCCCCGGGTCCCCCGTTCCCATTCCCATCACCGGTTACAAGCGTGTACATCACTGCGCTCAGCGCATTCATCTGCTCGCCGACCCCCACACTCCCATCAAACCCGCCCGTTGTCCAGCGGAACCCGCACGCCGTGCCCGGCTGGCCTTTGAAGGCCGGTGCTGGAGGGGAACCGACACAGGCGGCTGCGGCGGCGGAGGCGTCGGTTTCGAGGAGCGGGCGGATGGTGGATTGGGTGTGGGGGGCCATTTGGGCGGTGCGGGCTAGCCAGCGGGTGAGGTGGCCTTTGAAGCTGCGTTGGTCGTTGTTGCAGAAGCCGGAGGGTTCGCAGAGTTGTTCGACAAGGACGCCGTTGGGGTTGTTATTCTGGCTGGCATCGGTGTTGGGGTTGGTGTTGTTGTTGTGGAAGAAGGTGGTGGATGCGGCTTGGAGGAGGCCGTCGACGCGGGTGCGCCAGGTATCGGCGCCGACTCCGGGGGATGGGCCGCCGTCGGCGGTGTAGTTGTACATGACGGATGCGCCGTGGAGGAAGATGCCTGAGTTGTAGGTCCATTCGTTCTGGTCCATGCTGGCGCAGGTTTTGTCGGCTGGGTTGATGTGCACGCCGTCGCGCACCGTGTGGTCCGCCGCGATCAGCCCGACGGTCTCCTGCCACTTGTAGATCTTGTCGGCCCACTCGGCGTATGTGGCGTTGCCCGTGTACCGCGCAAGCCTCGCGGCCACGTTGAAGAAGCAGCCGTTGGAGATGGAGTTCTTGTAGTTGAATCCGTTGTTGAACGTGAAGATCTGCCAGCGTAGTCCACCCCCGCAGTCGGCCTCGTCCCATCGTGATGCGTACTGGTTGAATAGCGACTGGGCCATCGCGAGCCACTGCGGCTGGTCTGAGGGGGGGTTGGGGAAGTTGAGCTCGGCCGCGGACAGGGCTGCCATCCCCCAGAACCCTTGGTCATCGTTGCCGAGCGTGCGAGTCTGGTTTGGAGGCTTGAAGTCGCCCTTCTCTGTGGCCTGGTGAAGCATTGCTTGCGAAGTGATGTCGTTGTACGTCTCGTCCCCGGTCAACGCCCAATATTCGATCAACGTCCCAAACATCGCGCCGGCTTCCCACCAGAAATATGGGTCGGGGAGGTTGCCTGGCGTATCGCCTGTGTTGTTGCCCGTGTAGTACTGTCATTGTCAGGTCAAGGTTTGTGTGGGACGGCTTGAAGGCATGGATATTTACCTTGACCAGCCCGAAGGCTATTGTGCTTGCGGCGGATTTGACAGAGTCTAGAAGAAATGTTAGCTCTCAGAATGACTGACGAATATCTCACGTAGCATAGGTATAACCTCACCATAGTCCCCAAGAACTAATTCAACCGCAGCCCCTGACTGCGCTAGCAGACTTAGAGATGCTACAAGCCCGGATACCCTCATCCTTTCAGAGAAATGGTCACAAATAAGAGCGTGCCAATATGGGCGTTCGATCCGGTATTTAAGAAGCGGGCAGCATCCGGACGGAGGAAGAACTTGACCCGTGAAATGAGTCGAGGAGAAACGATCGGTTCGAAGTGAATGATATCGTCAATTGGAAAGAAAGGCACCGAGATCGACTCGAAAGGGAGGTCTAAGCCGAATCGTGGAAGGAGTGTGCACAACAAAAGAAGGGCCCTGCCTCAATAGAATCAAACGAACAATAGCGTCCAAGGCGTCTATTGTGTCCCAAACGGGATAAGAGAAAGTGAAGAAAACGAAGGGAAAAGGAAGTCTACAACCTGTCTCCCATACGTCTTAATGGTCAAGACCTTCCTAAACCAGAACAACGACCAAGAAAAAAAGGTTAAAGTGTAAATACAAAAAAAAGAGTTGACGAGAAAAGAAAGAAGACAACCAGAAACCTCCCACCAAACCTAACAATCCATCAGCCACACACACCCATCATGCAAAGAAACAACTTCCCCAGAGAAAACAACCCAGGGAAGGGCCTGCAATCTCTCAACTGGCCCAAGCACACTCGGAACGTACGCGTACCGTCGGGCGGAGAAAGCTTCGGGAAAAGGAAAGAGACAAAAGAGGTACGTAGTCGGTTGAGACTCGGAGCATGGCTGAAACAGTTGCGGTTCGAAGATTCACCAGGGGTGGGCCCCACCCCTTTTTAGACTTTGGTGTGTCATGATTCGTGATTGGGGGAAGGGAAAGAAGAGGAGCGGGAAATCATGTTTCTTGAGAGATCCAGGTGGGAAATAAATTGATTTTCGAAGAAACTCATTCTAATAAGGGAAGCTGCCTTGAGATTTCCGGCGATCTCTGCTATTTGTGAGGCTTTCTTTGGGGCTTAGATGTGTCGCAGGCGGAACTGGCTGTTGTGGTGTTGAGGGGAACACAACTTGAGACGTCTTGGCTCCCTGTTACCCGGGAACCCCTTGAATCGAGGTCAGCGCCAAAGCACCGCTTTGCATGTTTCTAAAAGATCGGAGAAGTCGAAGCGGAAACCTAAATTATTCAATGAGCATACGATAGAGTGCACGCAAAAGTCAATGTAAACGGACGCTGATGATAGGCGAGGGAATGTTGTGTTGCGTTGAGAGCTTCAATCTGCCCATCCTAACTATCACTTTCCTGAGCCCGGTAAGCCCAGCCAACCCGCTGAATTTTGTCTATCCGTCATCATCCCAACCACGCGTCTAAATCATAAGAGTCCAAGAAGGGTATATGTCATCGACCTCACTGTGAAAAGTCCCCTGCATATCTTGCATTTGCTTAGTGCTTGCAACCGTGGGCGCAGGCGCCCTTGTGCTTCTTCTGCGGGCGCGAAGCACCGGCCGCCTCCTCCTCATCCTCGTCCTCCTCATCATCATCCTCATCAGTCTCAAAGTCGAGATCACTAAGCCCGTCTTGCTCCTGAGCTTGGACTGTAAAGTAGTTAGTAACCTGCCCGCATGCCAGGAAGAGCTGGACACAGCGTAGACTTACTGAAGTACTTGAGGGCGCCGGGCCAGAGGTCGTCAGCGATAGCCATGGCGACAGCATCGCCCATAGGGAAGATGTCCAGGTCATCATCCTCTTCCTCATCGGCGTCCTCCATGTCCTCATCCTCGTCCTCGTCCTCGTCCTTCTTCTCAACCTCCTCACCAGCCTTGCGCTTCCGGCGCTCCTCCTTGTCCGCTGCAATCGCCTCCTTGCTCTCCTCAGCAGTGACGTACTCGCCAATGTAGCCGAAGAACGCAAAGAAGCTAATGCCGCCCATGCCAGTCTTCTCCATCTTCTCTTTGAGCGCCTTCTGCTTCTCCGTCAGGACGACCTTCTCCTTCATCTTGTCCTTGGGGTCCTTCTTCGGCTTGGCCAGCTGCTCGTCGTACACGGCCTTGACTTGCTCCAGCAGGCCATCCGTCAGGTCCTTGCCCTTCTTCCAGTTGATTACCAGGGGCTCGCTGACGAGGCCGGCAAAGCCGTCCTTGGTCTCGCGCCAGTAGAACTTCTTCTCCAGCACCGAGTTGTCAAAGTGCTCGTTCTCCGCGAACTCGAAGCGGATAGAAAAGCTGCGCGGGTCGCCGTTCTTCTCGTCCTCGTCGAGCTCGAAGCGGCTCACCGAGAGATTCTTGAGAGAATGCAGGAGGATGTTGGAGTCGGTCGGCTGGATGTACTCGTCAATGTCCATCGGCGCCTGCTCAAGGACGAGGGGCCAGAAGTTGGGGATCTTGGCCAACAGCTCGGCGCGGCGCGCGTAGAGCGGCTTGGAGAGGGCATATTGCTGGCGGACTTTGGAAGAACAGCGTTAGCAGACTGAGATCATTACCCAATGGCTTGTATTGGAGCGAGAAGAAAAGAACTCAAAACTCACTAATCTCGGTCTCGACATCGTCAAACTCCTGCTCGAGATCCGACAGCTCCTCGTAGCTGATCATGGTCTCTTCCAGAGGGCTGGCCATTTTTCTGGTGTTCTTTTTTCTCAAAGGTTATGCGAGAAGATTGATAGAAGGAAAATTTCGAAGTCTAGGAGGGGAATCCTAATTTTTATTGAAAATTGGGTCAAAGAGGGTAGGATGAGAAAAAAAATTCTAATGGTTGCTCCGCGACTAACACGGTACTGGTCCCGCACCTTGCAGAACTGATGAATTATGTCACAGTAAAGGCTTGGCGCTGGCAATTGTTGGCGGGGTAGGAAAAAAAACTGAGCGCGACCCTGCCAAGACGTGGGGCTAGAGGTGCAGCTTTCTACCTAGCTGTAATAATGTTTATGAAGAGGCAGCTTTGTGCATGCCACCTACCAGTTTGATTTGTCCAATTTCTGTTCAAGCATGAATTTCCCAGGTTCAATTTGAGCCAATAAAACTACCTAATCGATTTCGGATTTTGGCCTGGCCATTCGGCGGCTCTTTCGGTGACCTCAAAGAATGGATGTTCCTTGTATGGAGCTCAGAACAGCACTTCACTTTCCAGGCCAAGCCCTGGAATCAAGACGGACGGCCCCTATGAGATGGCAGCAACAAACGAAGAAACGGAACGGGCAGCTGGGCAAAATCCTTCTGTTGTATCTGAACTTACTATGGCCGAAAAAAAGTGGAAGACCAAATCTCTGTATGCCCCATTTCTCGACAAAGTGAAAAAAGACAAAAATGAATAGATCAAGCCACCAGTGGTGTAAAACAAGATTTTAAACAACAATCTTTTAAGCATATGGATACCAGGCCTTTAGGCAGCTATTCCAGTTATAATCGTCAAAATCCGTCAAGATTTCATTGAATGTTGATGGATTAGACTCACGCTATCTGTTCTGGTCTGCCGCTTTTCTGGCCACGGCGAGCTACATATCACACAACTATTCGACTTCCTTGGGGCTACCTCAACATAGATCAAGAAAATTCACCATTTTCCTGTCCCACCCGCCCGCCTGGCATCCACTATCGGCTTTCCGAGCTCGTCTCCCGAGTGGTTCATCAGACGCGCAAACAAATTCAGTCAAGTACCCAAATCTGACGTCTTTAAATCCTTACCGAGCAGTCCTGTGTACACCGCAACACGCTGAACAATGTCTCAGTCATCTCCAGACATGACAACCATGCAACCTTAACAATCACCAGCCCGAACCTGAAGGGAAACGATGGGGTAATACGCCCGAGATCGGTGCACCCATACCCGTCGCGCCCCCGGGCCCAGAATTTTTTTTCTCCCATGAACAAAGACCAGTCCGGCCGGCTGCCAACGGCTCTCTCCGGACCCTAGTCCCGTCGGTCTGACGAACGGAACGATCCGCACTTTTGAGCTTTTCTGTTAGCTAACAGACTACACTTCGTCTGGGTATCGTTGTCCGCGTGACTACTGCCTCCTTTTCAATTGTGAGATTGGGTTGCTTTTTTATCATCGTATATTTTTGAGGTGATCCGGTGTGAGAAAGTGTTTTCGGGCAGCCGATATCTTTGATGATCCGGATCACCGGATCTGCGATTTATACTTGAACCACGTGGGAACGGAGATACGGTTATCTCACCTCCCTGAACTTCGCAAGTCTAGACCGAGGGCCACCGTCAACCACTTGACTATTTATTGAGGAAGGAATTGCATCACAAACAAAGGAAAGGTTTTTCTTCCTTCATCTTCTACTTTAATATCGTACAAAAACACACGCAATAGGCAATCCTGGTCTTTAACACAATCGATAAACACCGGAATACATCCTCGACCGGATACCACTAAGTGGTCAACATTCTCAACTATACAGTCACGATACGCGATATTCAAAAAATACGATCAACCCAATACAGCAATAGAAACCGAAAAGATGGGGGCGCTTCTCATGGAGGGGGCAACTCCCGAGTCCAACTTACCGGAGTCGCGGGTGCTCATCATCATGACGGGCGGGACAATTTGCATGCAACCATCCGCGGACGGTTTGGTACCCATGACAGGCTTCCTGGAGAACGCCATGGCGCCTCGCCCTTCATTTAATGATAATTCGACTCCATCAGGTATGTCCAGTGAATGAAGAGAAAAATCAAAACTAAGAAACACCTGCTTGAGGGTGAAATGGGACAGTCCTGCCTCACTGACTAACACGGGATCTAGTCAAAATCCACGCCTACAAAAATGGCATCAAGCTTGCACTCGACAGCCTGCGTACACCACCAAGCGCCTACTCAAGGCACATCCGCTACGGGATCCTCGAGTTTCAGCCACTCCTAGATTCGAGCTCCATCTCGTCGATGGGCTGGACCGAGATCGCTAACACGATCAAGGAGAACTACCACATCTTCGACGGCTTCGTGGTGCTACACGGGACCGACTCGTTGGCGTACACGGCGTCGGCGCTCTCCTTCATGATGGCAGACCTGGGCAAGCCCGTGATTCTGACGGGATCGCAAGCGTCCATCTTTGCGCTGCAGTCCGACGCGGTCGATAACTTGCTAGGCTCGCTCATCATTGCGGGCACGTTCGTCATCCCAGAGGTGTGCCTCTTCTTCCACCACACGCTCTTCCGCGGGAACCGCACGACCAAGGTATCAGCGTCGTCGTTCGAGGCGTTCGACAGCCCCAACTGCGCGCCGTTGGCCAAGGTCACTTCGCTCGGCGTTGACGTCAACTGGGCGTTGGTGCGCCGGCCCACGAGCATCGCTAGCTTCTCCGTGGCCAAGTATCTGGACACGGCGCACGTAGCGTGCCTGCGGATCTTCCCCGGTATCAAGCCTGAGATGGTGGATTCTGTGCTTAGGGTGCCGAATCTGCGCGGGCTGATCCTGGAGACTTTCGGCATGGGCAACGCGCCGGGTGGTGTCGATGGCAGCCTGACGAAGGTGATTCGAGAGGCAGTGGAGCGTGGCATTGTCATCGTCAACGTCAGCCAGTGCACCAACGGCTTCGTCTCGCCGCTGTATGCCCCAGCCACCGCGCTCGGTCGGGCCGGCGTCGTCTTTGGCCACGACCTGACTACCGAAGCCGCCTTGACGAAGTTGTCGTATCTTCTAGCTTTGCCCGGGTGCGAGTACAGCCAGGTCACAGCCAAGATGGCAGTTTCGCTGCGCGGCGAGATGACCGAGATGGCCTTGCCGTCGTTCTCACACCCTGCAGGGAGCCTCGATTCTGCCGTGGGTAGGCTGACCGCTGCTGGTAAGTACTTTCGTTCGTTGGGATGTTCTCCTCACCTTTTCCCACGCGCACAGCCTCCGCCAGTCTCAGTCCTGTCATGATCAAACACGTTTGAACTGACCCTTTGTGTTACACAGAAACGGCGTTTACTGCATTGGGGTACGCGATCCGGAACGGCGAGCTGCGAACGGTGCGGGAGATCCTCGAGGGGGATGAGGTGAACCACCAGTTGCTCAAGCGGGCCGACTACGCGGGCAACACGGCACTGCACCTGGCCGCTGTTGGGCCGGAGCCACTAGTGCTGCGTGACTTGCTTACGCGCGGTGCAAGCGTCCACGCCCGGAACCGGGCCGGCAACTCGCCTCTGTACCTGGCCGAGAAGATGGGCAACGCCGAGTGTGTGCGGCTGCTCAAGGACGCGGGGGCCCATCTGTGGCTCGACAATGAGCTCAAAGGCGAAGGGAGTAGGGTGCCCAGCCGAGGGGCCAGCAGGCCGGTGTCCCCCGATCGGACTGCCGCGAACGGGAGGGGGGAAAGTTCCGAGAAGGACGGTCGTGGTGCAGCAGGGAAGGGCAGTGCGGGTGTCAACACTGGAGCAGGAGTTGGTGGGGCAGGAGGCGGTGGTGGAGGTGGTGGAGGTGAAGGGAATAGTCATGGTAATGGTGATGATGACGGCAAGGCTGCGAAGATGGGAAATGAGGGTCGCATTGGACCTGTTGGTGCCGAGGCCGAGCCGGTTCGGGCGCTGTTGACGGGGGATAAGGGGAAGATCGTTGGCTGATTCGCGGGTGATCGAACTGCTAGCGAGGCTGTTGGGAGCAATGGCGCGAGCAGTTGGGGCTAACCATGCGTCAACTAAGCTGCAATAGTCTGCAAGTCAGCTGCACCATGCATTCATCGTCGAGATCTCAGCGTATCAATCCACCGTGGCCGGGTTTCGACCCAAGGCCGGCATGAAGTGCCATGAACCCCGGAAGAAACACGAGCAGAACCCGTGCTAGATAAGAAAGAGAGTGATGTTAGTCCGATTGTGTCCAGACCAGGAAACAGGATGTAACCGGACGCAGTATGTGTGCCTGACTGGGTTGTCTCTCGATTGCTGTCTCACGATGAGGTTCTGGCACGGTGCAGCATGGCCGCATCGTCCCGGGCAAGTGTTCTGTTACGCTAATGGGCGAGGCGAGGCTTCTTGCATGTCGTCGGTGATATCTGGTATGGTTTTGGTGTTCCTGAAGTTGTCAGGTCGTTCCCTGGGTGAGGAACGCGGGGGTCGCGTTTCATTCATGCGTAGCCACCATAGCCACAGGGCATAAGTCTTTCGGCTGAACTGGTGGCCACTCGCGGCCAAGCTCATGTCTCCTCGCCCCAACCGGCCGTTTGAGATGGGAGGAGGTCAGTTTGGGGCGGCTTGATTGGAGTCGAGATGGACTTGGTGGTTGTTTCAGCGAGCTCCAGTGGCCTGGTTAGCCCGACGCCCTGGCCAACCTGCATTCGGAGCAGCCTGTCCTGTTGTGGGGCCAACCTTCCAGTGGATCAAACAATGCAGTTGGTATCCTAACAGTCCGCCATCTAATTAATGCGACTAACTGTTAGTCAGTAAACATTAATACAACACCAAAGCGGAAAGAGCGACACAGCTCTCCAAGAGACCTTCCCCGGACGCCCTCCAATGCAACCATCCCTCTTTCCATCTTTGGCCTATCGAGCCCACTGCCGCCCACCTCGCTCTTGAAACTCATTCCCCGTCTCATCGACCTCGCAAGCCTCGACGTCCATCTCCTCCCATACGTGGCGACCTGCATCCAACTTAACCAGATGAACACAGCCACAGGTACCGTTGGGGGCCGCTGCTTTTATTGGTCACCCTGTCGCTCAGCTGCGAATAACTGCCTCCCCTCTGACTGTTTTGGTACCTCTTTTCGTTACGGAATGACGGCCTTGGCCATGGCAGACAACCTGGGTCTTTGTCAGTGACTGACGCGGTCCCATTTGACCTTTCCGCTCTTCGCAGCGTTCAGCCCCCCAACCCTCCGGGTCTGCCTACAAGGGGCAAAGTTGTTGGGGTGTTAGTCGCTGCTGGCTGCTTCCAACTCGTTGCCAACGGGCCGGTAACCCAATTTCGTTGGTTGGAATTTGGTCCCGGTGGTTTGGTGAGACCCCAGCGATTGACACTGAGCCAAGGGGAAGCGCCAAACCTTCCAACGACATTAAGACGTGGACATGGGCATGGGCCTGGAAGCGGACGTGGACAAGCTGGGCAGGCCGGTGCCCACTCCGACCCTCCGTAACGCACCGAAAATTAGTCATTGGACGGAGATTATCGCCCACATGGCCGTTCTTGTGCCTGTCGATTGATCCCAAGATGACACCGGCCGCCTGCACGAGGACCCGGCCCCCAAAGGCAACAAGATGAGACGGCCCAAAAGGTCCTTTATGCCCCCGTTCGGCCTCTAGGAAGACCTCCAAGACCGTCCCTCGGCCACACGCGATTTGGATGAACGGACGACTCTGGATATACGCCCGCCCGCGTTCTGACACATGGTTGGGGCGCGTGTCATCATTCATTGTTTGTTGTTTGTGTCGCAGAGTCTGGTTCGGCACCCGGAGGCAGGCTGGGCAAAGGGGCTCATTCAAGCCCAACACGAGGAAAGGAACACTATACCTTTGATGCAAGTTGGGCCCTCAACCTTGTCTCCGTTGTGGACGGAGTGAGCAGAAAGGCAAGACGCCGTGGGGGGTAGGACGACTTGTGGCCGCTGGCTGCACCAGCCCGCGATTCCCCCTTTCCCGACGGTAGGAAGCGCGAGCACCCGTTCTCTCCCCCTTCTTCTGTATTCCGTGCTGAATATGCACGTTTGTGTGCGTGTGCAACGAGTTGGAAGATGTTACCCAAGTATGGGTACGTTTAGCATGTCTCCCAACTGTCCGGTGCGCCTGCGCTTCCCACATTTCTTCTCCTGGCCACGAATAGTTTGGGCCGTTCCAGTCACGGCCCAAAGATCGCTGGCGGCCGGCAACCAAACCGGGAGGTAGCCCTTTCGAGCTGAGACTGCCCACGCGGTTGGCATGGGACAGATAGACAAGCGGTTTTCTGTCCGACTGTAGACCATAAAGTCTGGCCCCAACCCCCTTCGATTTGGTAACCGCTCTTGTTCAAGCACAGCACTGCGGCCCTTCGCGAGTCGTTGTGGCAAGAAGACAACCTAAAGGATATAAATCCGTCGACCACCCTCCGCACACACCTGCTCGCCGGGTCCGCGCCATCATGGATTTTACACGCTTCATACGGGGCTCTACGCCCAGCTCTACCACAGCGAATGCCACTCATGAGGCCAACAACTCGGCCGAAGGCAGCCTTCCTCGCGACCTGCTCGATACGCTCTCGCCCCTGCTTGGGTTTCAGTTCAACCCCTTGATGAAGTTGTTCATGATTCTCTACGAGCTCGTTGGCAACAGGCTCGGCATCGATCCCACGTATATTCTGACGGCGATCGGTTTGTTCTGGGCTGCGAGCAAGCTCTGGGACCAGCTATACACGGCCTTCTACGCACTGGTTCGACGGCATTTCATGTCCAGTATCGAAGTCAGCAGTTCGGACGACATCTATCTTCACTTGATGAAGTGGCTCGCTGCTCAGCCTGTGATGGTCAACTCTCGCTTGCTGTTCGCCGAGACGGCATCCGTAGGCGCTTGGGAAGAACAGGACGACTTCGATGCTATGAACCCGCGGGCTATTACGCAAAACCCCAGCGGCTTCCTAAACTTCTCGAGCGAGGAGGCCAAGGCCCCCCCTCGCTTCACGCCCGCTCTGGGAACGCACAACTTCTGGTTCAAGGGCCGATATTTCGGGCTGTCCAGGAGGAAGGAGTCGCTTTTTGACCCGAGTGGTGGCACTCACAATAAACCCCAGTACAAGGACAAGGAGAAACTTGTGCTCACCTGCTTTGGCCGGTCTCCCGAACCCATCAAGCGGCTGCTGAAGCACGCTAAGGAGCATTACTACCTCGACCACGACGCCAAAACCATCGTCAGGCGCCCATCACAACAATCTGTGCGCCGCTACAGCCACGGTCCAATGTGGCAGACGGTCGCTGACCGCCCGGTTCGCCCCATGCAGACGGTCGTTCTTGACGACGAGCAGAAAGCCCGGGTCCTTCTAGACATGAACGAGTACCTCCACCCGGCCACGCCACGGTGGTATGCGAACCGCGGTATCCCCCTACGCCGCGGCTACCTGTTCTACGGGCCGCCCGGGACTGGCAAGACGTCGCTCTCTTTTGCTCTTGCTGGCGTCTTTGGTCTAGACATTTACGTGATTTCACTGTTTGACCCCGGCCTGAATGAGGAGGATCTCCTAGCCCTCTTCACATCGCTCCCGAGGCGCTGTGTGGTGCTGCTTGAGGACATCGACGCGGCCGGCTTGCGACGGTCGGAAAACAATGAGTTCTCATCCCCCTCCTCCTCTGCAGAGACGAAGGAGCAGAATTCGGAACAGGAGCAGAAGGATAAGGACAAGGACCAGGACAAGGACAAGGCTCAGGGAACGACTCAGAAACCCAAGAAAAAAACGGACTGGGAAGTTACCGACCTCGCCCGCGAGCTCAGGCGGGTCAGTTATGCCGCGCACTTCGACAAAAAGGGCATCACACTCTCCGGTCTCCTCAACGCCATCGACGGCGTGGCCTCCCATGAGGGTCGCGTGCTCATCATGACCACTAACAAGCCCGAGACCCTAGACGAAGCCCTCATCCGGCCCGGGCGCATCGATCTGCAGATCGGCTTCTCCGCTGCCACGCAGGCGCAAGCCCGCGAGCTTTTTGTGCGCATGTACGAGTCCGAAGACGCAGTCGCGAGCCCGCCTCCCAAGTTTGCCGAGTTCTCTCTCAAAGACCACCTCTCATCGTCGCCTCTATTGCCGGTAACCCCTTTCTCCGAGCTTCCGCCGACGCCTTGTTCTCTCTCATCTGACAAGGACGGCAACATGACGGATGTCTCGGGCGTGACAGAAGTTGAGGCCGACGACGAAGACGATGAGGGCAACGATAGCAACAACAAGAATGATGACCTGGATGATGTCCCCAAGTCGCCCGCTTCCAACCCTAGCACCAAAAGCACAGGCTCGACTGTCACGGGCAAGAAGCCCAGCCCCTTGTTTCTCCGCAACAACAACAACACCAGGAAGCTCAATGGCAGTACCGCCTTCAACATCGACAACAAACCCATGACCCACGTCGAACTCCTCCATCTTGCCGACCAATTCGGCTCTCGCGTCCCTGCAGGTCAGTTCTCGCCTGCTGAGCTGCAAGGCTTTTTGCTCATGCGCAAGAAGACACCGCGCCGCGCTCTGGCTGAGATCGATGCGTGGGTGCAGGGTGTGCTTAGGCAGCGGGCGGGAGGGTCGAAGGTGTTGAGCTTGTCGGTGCAGTGAGTGACGGGTTTGCAGGGCTTGGGATGGACGGGGTTTACTTTTCTTAATGCAGGTAAAGGGGGTTGGAAAAGAAGTCGCGTTGTGCCGGAAGGCCGGCAGATGGGTATGTGGAGCTACCAGATCGCATGTTCGGTTTTTCTCTGTCTCTTTTTTTCTTGGCTAGATATGGGCGGATTCACACAACCTGACGGCAAGGCGCTAGTTTCTAATGGAGGGATAATTGGGCGGCTGTTTGTACACTACGTAATATTGATCTTGCATTGGCAGCAGGCTGTGTCTCATTGATATCTGAACTCGTTTCCTCTCCACAAACCACTCTCTACCTACTCATAATCATTCTCATTCCCCCACGACCGCGGAAACCCTTGGCCTTCTTCATCATAATCGTCCCCTTCCTCTTCCTCATCTCCATCGTCCTCATCCCCTTGCTCTTCCTCCTCTTCTTCGTCATCTTCTTCCTCTTCCTCTTCCCCGTCCATATCCTCCTGATCATCTTCATCCGAGTAACCCCCTTCTTCAAATTCCTGCTCCAGCTCGTTCTCCAATTCCAAGGCAGTCTCCTGGAACGGTCGTTTCTTCTTGGTCGGTTTCCCACCTTCGTCTCCGCTCTCTCCGCTGCCGTTCTCTTCGTCGTCTTCGTCGTCTTCTTCTTCCTCCTCGTCTTCTTCCTCGCTGCCTTCTTCATCCATATCTTCGAGGATTTCCTGGAAGGTGCGGTTTCCTCGTTGCGCTTGCTCTCTACCTTCTTCTTCTTCGTCTTCGTCTTCCTCCTCGGCCTCATCGTCCCTTTCCTGGGTCTCTGTACTGGGCAGGACAGTCCCATCCCGACCGCGCCGACCATCTCTCACACCTGCGCCGGGGACAGTCGCACCACTAGCAGAAGCATCAGCAGCAGCAGCAACCTGCACATCCTGCCTGTCCTGCTGATCCTGCGCATTCTGCGTAAGCAACTTAATCATCTTGACCGCCTCGCGCTCTTCCGCCTCCTTGAGCGGAATGCGCACGCGGTAGTGCGTCCGGCGCCGTCGGCTCATGCCGTCCACGACCTCCCGCCCGGACGACTTGATGCCCGGCCGGGGCCGGTACTTGCCGCCGCGCAGCTCGTCGTACTCGGCTGCTGTGAGACGCAGGTCGGGGAGGCTAATGCCGATGCTGTTGTTTCCTCCTGGTCCGGTGGTGACGCTGCCATTGTTGTTGTCGTCGTTGTTGGTGGTGTTGTTGGGGTCTAGTGTGGCCGCGTTCTTGGCGGCTTCGAGCGCGGCGCTAAAGTCGTCGTCCACTAGCGTGCGGTTGAAGCGGATAGCGACCATCTTGCATTTCATGATGGCCTTGGCCACGGACCACAGCACGCGGTGGTAGTACCCGCTGATTTCGACGTCGCAGTCCTGGCGGATCTCGGCGCCGGCAAACAGCCGGGCCAGCAGCGGGTCGGTGATGTCGCACACCTGCCAGACCTTGCCGTCGGTGCTGAACGACTCTCCGTTAAAGATGTGCGTGTTGAGCACCGCGTCGTCGGTGCTGTTGCTGTTTCTTTTGCTGACGCCGACGCCGAGGTCCTTCCAGGCTTTACCGAAGTTCGACACGCCGATCTCCTTGCGCCGCAGCGCTTGCCACGAGCGGCCCACGGACCCGATCCGCGTTTTGTGTAGCTTGAAGATGAGGGTTTGGTAGATGCGGTACTTGGGATCCGTCCGCGGGTCCAGGCCGTATCGCACCAGGGCGTCGCGCCACGGCCCGCCCTTAAACTGGTAGCCGGCGTATTGCAGGCAGTGGCGCACGAGGCCGCCGTTCTTGGGTAGCTCGGCGAATTTGGCCCCGAGCCGGTTCCACATGCTGCGGCGGGTCCAGATCGGCCGCTCCTCCATGGCCAGGTGCATTTCGTTGATGATGGCGGCGACTTGCGGGTCGGACATGTCTGGTTGACGGCGTGGGCCTGCAGGGACTGGGTATTCGTCATGGGCGATGAAGTAGCCTGCGGCGGGAACACGGGAGGTGATGTTGACGATGCGGTCGTATTCTTGGTCTTCTGACATGTTGCCAGAGGCATCGGAAGGGCCGGGGCTGAGCTGTTTTGTGTGTGGATTTTGGGCGTAGTTGTACCCGAAGGGCAAAGTGCTTGGAGTGAAGTAAGGGGGTGGTATCAAGTCAATGTTGGGCCCAACCTCGATGCCCGGCTGGAGAGAAAAGTCTTTCAACTTGATGACATCGCCAGGGAGGACCTTTTCCACGAATTTCTTCATGAACTTGGACTCCCCTAATGAATACTGGAAGTCGGCCAGGCCTGTAACTCGTCAGTCGATCAGGTACGATAAAGTGTGAGGAGCAAAAATGGATTCATACCTCTGTATCGGTGTGTACTGTTTATCACACCAATTGGTTCGACCACATACTTCCCAACATTGTCCTGCAACTTGCGGCGGATGACTTGCGGCGTGTCAAGCCGGTCCCTTGAGGAAACCTCAGGGTCAACGGCTGAAGATCCATTCGCTACATCTTGCTCAACCTCCCCTTCCCAAGGGCTGTCAGTACCCCGTTTGCGCTTCCTCCCCGTACGCTTCGGCACGGTCACCTTCAAGACAACATTGTGCGTCAAAGCATTGTGCGATGTCAATGGTCTTGCTGTTGGGTTGTCATATCGCAGATACAACGGGACAGCAATCTGGGGACTGGCCGAGTCGAGGATCTACGACATGTCAGGCTCGCTTTCTCAATTAATGGCTTGAGTGGGTGGCTTACAGCTTGAAGGGCACTATTCTGGCCAAAGGTCTTGATGGCTTTGTCAAGATTCTTGATGATCATGGGATGCTCTAGAGCGCCAAGCCGTCGAGAAGGAATTGTGTATGCTGGCGCAGCATCTTCATCGGCATATCCCCCATCTTCATTGTTTCTTGTGGACATGGTGAGTACTAGATATTTCTAGATGCCGAGATGAATTGTCGTCTGCTGTTTAGGAGCAGTGTTCGGAGAAAAGTTGATGTGCATTGGGGAGTTTAGATTGCAAATTGTGAGGTGTGAAAGTTGGAAAAAGTTTCTCTGTCAATTGAGAGAATCAATGAAAACGATCAATGATCTTCTGTGTGTAGTTGCTATTGTGCAACATTTGTGAATGGAATTTGGTGGTATTGTTCGATGGTGAATGCCCTTCCCCTTGGTCGCGAGGTCCATCCAGGAGTTGAGCTGTGTTGATACAGTCTGGTTGTAGTGTAACTGGTAAATTACACAGTGCTCTCCATTCGGAGCCTTTTGACGCGTTGATCAGGAACTGATAAAGACCAAGGTTGGCTCGTGCATGGGTACCTGGCAGGGATGCAGGGTGAAATGACAGAATTCCTGCAGTGTTGACTCGGCAGATGTCGCGTATCGTACAAAATACAATACGTCACACACCCTTTTTGTAACAGTTTTCGCTTTCACGATGACTTAGGTACTTGACTTAATGACTCGTTAAAGTACATTGCGGATTACTTAGATTGCCTAAGTCAATTTATCTAAGATAGAAGTTTATGATCCCCTATGTATGAAGTTCTGGTATCGATGTTTTCTTTGGGGCCTGCCCGCATTGCAATACCCCGAGGTACTTGGTATTTTACCCGATTTCCCAAAATGGAGTGGTTGGATTGGAACGAGCAGTGACGACCCTGACGCCCTAGCTGTTAAGCATCAGCACAGGGTTCCGCATCGGCACTAACAACCTAGATGCAGGAGCCCATCTCGCATCCAGCCTCGTGCTCGCTCTCTCTCAAAACCCGAGACCAGGTTCAACAACGAAACCCTTTTTCTGGGTTGTTCTAGTGAGTTTACACACAGCACACCTTTTCCCGCAGGGTCCCAGTGTGCACATCGCACGCACGGCACACTCTCTGTTCTTCTCTTTCCCCTGTCTTGAGTGGCCAGTGCCCGCCTCCCTGAGCCCACTTTCTCCATCCCGTCTCTCTGCAACCACTCACGACCCAACGGGCAGCCGAACCCGGGCCGCTGAACTGGCAACCCCCCGACCCCTCAAGAAGCTCGAAACAGGTCGCTCCAGAAATAGGAACTACATGCGCCTGGGCACCCTCGAGGCACTGCATCATATTGTGCAGCTGGGATTTTCCAACTGACCTTCTTACCTATCAATAAGGAATACTTTCTCCCTTTTCAGACCACGCGGACTCGCAGAGCCCCAGCAACCCTGGCACTTGGCGGGCCCGCGACTCCAGAGCCCCGCAAAAACACCTTAGCACACGGGACGTCAGCTCGAAGCAGCGTCTCCATCTCCCAAACGCCCACACCAGCGCCGCCAGCACAGCGATTCACTGAGAGTGCGTCTTGCCCTCCACACCCTGTGGACATTGACAATCCGCAAACCACAACAAACACCGGGATTCTAACCCTATCTAACCCGCGTCTAGGCATTTTCAGATTGACAGCGACAGGGCCCTTGTTGCATTCGGTCTCAATTGCCGACCTCCTTCAATCCTCTTTCGCATCTTCCTCGGGCTTACCTAGGTGCCAATTATTGTTGTCGTTAAGTTAATTGTCGTCGCTTCTGCAGCCCGAGGCACGGCCCAGGGCAACACCACAACATAGGCACACGCACAGAACAACAACGTTGGTAGCCTTCCCGACTGTGCCGCTCTGACCATCTCGGCGGTTACAACCGTGCCTTGACAACAACACCACGGTTACTTTCAGCCCGCTGCCTGTGCGGCCAATCGCCAACCTCCCCCCAATACCCGACTTCATCTACACGTCTACACGGTGGTTCAGCCGAGCCGCCAAACGAGGGATTGTATCGCATGACGACTGCGGCCGCTCCGCGTCTCTAATCCCTCCCCGCAACTCAACCGCCAATCTCGCAAACCGCCCGCTTCGGTGCGAAGAAGGGTCGAGCTGGGCGCCTCTAGTCGCCCCACAGAAGAGAAGCTGTTGTCTTCAAAGATGAAGCGTTTCGGCGCCCGAGTCGTAAGTCGCGACCTTTGGAGCATTATTTGTTCCCCAACCCCCTAGGCCCTTCCAATTTTTGTTGCTGACCTTTGGCTTGTCCCACAGCTCTCGCGAGGCAAGGACTCGAGCAAGTCCTCTAAGAAAAATAAGGATTCGAAGGACGGAACAGCGTCGCCAAACGCGGCAGCTTCCAATCAATCGCCTGTCTTGACTCCGTCATCCTCTACCTCAACCCTCAACGACATTCGTAACAAGCCGCTGCCGCCCAACAGCGCTGCCCATCCCGATCACGCCGCCCTCGGTGGCCAAGCCCAGCCCGGCAACCCCGCCGCGAACCCCGGTGCACAGGATAGATTCAATGCAGGCGGTCCCGGACAGGGCGCTAATGGCGCCGGTACACCTGCTCGGCATGGACCTCTCCCTCCGACCGTCATAATCAGCCCAAGTGCTCCGGTAAGATGACGTTTTTCTTGACCCCGTTCTGCTTCCAGGGTTCAAGCAGGCGACCCTGCATTGTCACGGACAGCGGTACTAACCTCTCAATGATTTAGCATGTCCCACCACCGGGTGCCGCCGAGACCATGCCCCACGACCTCGCCCCGCCGAAAGCTGGTCAGAAGTCGTTGATGTACGATCGCCTACAGCAGACTCCGAAGGATGTCCTCGAAGGTCCTAAGACGCCGAGACGGCAGCATTCGTCCCGCTTCGACATCTCGGCCCACCGTGAGCTGGAGAAATTGCCCGGCTTCCACGAGGTGCCGCCCGGACGCCGTGAGGACTTGTTCATGAAGAAGATCGAGCAATGCAATGTCATTTTTGACTTCAACGATGCGAGCGCCGACATGAAGCCGAAGGAAATTAAGCGATTGGCCCTCCACGAGCTCCTCGATTACGTCGCGAACAACCGACAGGTTATCACGGAACCCATGTACCCGGTCGTCGTGGGCATGTTCGCCAAGAATTTGTTCCGCCCCATCCCCCCCCCCATGAACCCCCAGGGTGAGGCCTTCGATCCGGAGGAGGACGAGCCCGTGCTGGAAGTCGCCTGGCCGCACATCCAGGTCGTTTACGAGTTTTTCTTGAGGTTCATCGAGAGCCAGGACTTCAACACAAACATCGCAAAGGCCTACATCGACCACAGCTTTGTGCTCCAGCTCTTGGAGCTATTTGACTCGGAGGACCCTCGGGAGCGGGACTTCCTTAAGACGACCCTGCACCGGATATACGGCAAATTCCTGAACCTCCGGTCGTTCATCCGCCGCTCTATCAACAACGTCTTCTTCCAGTTTACGTACGAGACAGAGAGGTTCAACGGTATTGCTGAGCTGCTGGAGATCTTAGGCTCCATCATTAACGGATTTGCCCTGCCGCTCAAGGAGGAACACAAGCTTTTCCTTACTCGAGTTTTGATCCCCATGCACAAGGTGAAGAGCTTGAGCATGTACCATCCCCAGCTCGCCTACTGCATCGTGCAGTTCCTTGAAAAGGATGCTTCACTGACAGAAGAGGTATGTTATCAATGTGGTTTTCTTTGTTTTCTGTGGAAACGGTTAGTGGCTAACGCTCGCCGCCCACCTTAGGTTGTTCTGGGGCTTTTGCGCTTCTGGCCCAAGGTCAACAGCACCAAAGAGGTCATGTTCCTAAACGAGGTTGAAGACATCTTTGAGGTAATGGACCCGGCCGAGTTTGCCAAGGTGCAGGAACCGCTTTTCCATCAACTCGCCAAATCCGTGGCAAGCCCGCATTTCCAGGTCGCTGAGCGTGCTCTATACTTTTGGAACAACGAGTATTTTTGCAACCTCGTTAGCGACAATGTGGAAATCATCCTGCCGATCATGTTTGCCCCTCTCTACGAGAACTCGAAGGGTCACTGGAACAGGTTAGTTTACCCGCTCCCCCGTTATGGGTATTCTTGGCCTTTTCGTATTTTCATAACTGACTCAAATCCACTTGGCAGAACCATCCATGGCATGGTGTATAACGCCATGAAACTCTTCATGGAGATCAACCCCCAGCTCTTCGACGACTGCTCGCACGAGTACACCGAGCAGCAAAACAGCGCTGCGTCTAGGGAGGCCCTTCGCCAGAGGAAATGGGCCGCCATCCAAGACCAAGCCAATCGGAGGAACGGCGTCAATGGAAATGGCAATGCCAACCCGGCTGCCGGCGCACCCGCCGGAGGGGCGTTAGCATCAGCACAGTGGGTCGCGGGCTCAGGACTCCCCCGCGTGGACGAGGCTGACGCAGCCGAAGACAACCAGAAGAGGCTGAACTCGCTTAAGCTGCAGGATGGTGACCGAGCGGGCCGCCGACCGGATATGCACGACAGGCAGAACTCGGTTGGCTCGGCCCGCAGCCGGTGATCTTTCCCAGGGGTTCTTTTTCTCCAATCTTCTTTTTTTCCTCTACGCAATGGCCATGGCTGTTACCATAGTCGGTGCTGTTATCGCGGTATGCGGTTTTGCCGTTGCTGGTCGGGGTTTGGATTCTGTGTAGGTTTTGTTCGGGTATTATTGGTACTGGGGAGTGTGTGGTGTTTCTCTCTGCCCCCCCTTGGTCTCATTTTGAGGAGGAAGAAGTAGAACGGACAATCTGTTTACTGCCCCTCTCTCCTCTCTCTCTCTTTATCCACCGCACCCCCAGATCAGCTTTGCTCATTCCCCATGCCATGGGATGCCCGCCGACTTTCTTCATCAAGCGGATTCAAGCGGATTTGGGTGGGTTGACGCACTTTCCACAAGCCTCAGTTAATTGGAGCATTTTATTTTCGAGGGAGGGGAAAGGGATGAGAAAGACGGGAGACGGAGGAAGGGGAATGGGAAAGAGAAAGAGGCGAGAGAAGAAGAAGGCGAAGGGAGCGGAAGCGGGAGATGAAGAAGAAACACGAAGGGGGCAAAATGGCGTCAACAGATCAGTGCGAATTCAACTCTTTTTTTTTCTTCTCTTATCGATATGGTGCAGTGGCCCGCTCGCTGCTCGGTCGATTCGATTCCTTTCCGGATCTGGGATGTCGTCTGACGGTTCCATTCTTTTGCGAGGGACTGATTCACGGCCCAATGTTGCGCTTCTTTTCTTCTTCGGCCTCTTGCTCTTTTTCTTCATCTCATTCTCTTCTCTTCTCGCATTGTGAACGGGAGCGTGGAAGGGCAGTTTCGTCGCGCTCTAATCTTGGCCCGGGGGGGCACGTTGGGGTTATTTGATGTCGGATTATTATCGTCTGGGGGAGAGAGAGGAGGTGCTGGAGAGGAAAGTGGGAAAGAAGGAAATGAGGTAGTTTAGGCAGGGGGTCATTGGCCTCCCGGCGCTCGCTCACTCAGGGTCGGAACAGGACTTGGGTGGGTGGGTGGTTAGATGTTTGTGTGTGTGTGTGTATGGGTGTTCTGTGTAAGGTGCTGTTGGGAGGAGGTACGTACGGGGTCAGGATTGTGGTGAGGCTTTTGCTTCGTCTGTCTACCTTGCCCATGGTGGGAGGCAGGTTGGAGAAGGAAGTGGTAAGGGAGCGAGTGTGAGGGATGGGATGGGGGGTGTGATACACTGGGCTGGCTGTTGAGTGAGGGGGGAGCCGAGACGGGGTCTCGTTCTCTCTTATTTCTCTACCTCAACAACCCCCATCACCCACCCCATTCTACCCTTCCTCTCTTCTCTGTACTTGGGCTTCTGTTGTGTGGATTACTGTCCAGCGTATCTCCTTACTCCCTTTCTACTGTCAATGAACTTTTTCTATTATTCAAGTTTTTTTCTCCCCCCTGTCCTTTCCATGTGTTCTTGTTTTTTTTTTGTTCTATCATCGCTTTGCTTGTATCCATCCCCTTCTGTTCCATTGATGCCTGGTTACCCGACTTACTATCACACAAAAGTCTATGAAGAAATCGGACTGCCCTTGTTATTATAACAGGACCCATTTACGATCACAGCAAAAGAGGAGGATCAGTTTTTGCCTTTATGGTTTTTTTTTTCTTTTTTCGTTTCTTTCTCCTTGCTTCGTTCGTTAAGGGAATTCAGTGCGCATACGCTTGAGGCGCAAGTTGTTTATGGGTATTATTTGTTGAGGTATGGTACTTGAATCATAGACGGCGGAAATCACTCTTGCTCATTTCATCATCGGTGTTCTTGTTCTTGTTCCGTGTGAATGTACAGTGTTGTATACGTGAAAAGTAATTATATTTTATGTTTGATTTCCTGCCGTCGCCCTGGTAAACGGTCTTATACGGCACATACACATTGGCCGCCATATCTATGTACGTCTCGCGACTGACAAGAACATGCCCATTCATCCAATCACCGCCACCCACCTCTTCCATACCCCCCTCCTCTCCCCTGGTATCCTCCCCTCCCTTGTCCCTGTCCTTGTCCACCATGTCCCTGTTGATAAAACCCATTCTGATGCCCACCAGGCGGCGGAGGTGGTCCCGAACCCGCAGAGTGTGGAGGAGGCGGTACCCACCCTCCCGCAAACGGCATCGGCGGTGGTGGTGGTGGTGGCACTGTATTTCCACCGGGCCCGAAGAAGTTCTGCTGTTGATGAGGCATCATGGGCGGTGGAGCGGGTGGCCAAGCGCCTTGGTAGTTTTGCGGTGGGGGAGGGGGAACTGGGAAGCCCATGCCGTAACCGGGGTGTGGTGGTGGCTGTTGTTGTGATGGATGGGGGTGGGTGTGAGGTCCAGCAAAATGCATATTTGATGGTGGAGGTGGAGGTGGGTGTTGTTGACCCCAGGTATTCGGTGGTTGTGGCATGAAGTTGTTTCCTGGAGGGTAGAACGGTTGTTGTTGCTGCTGCTGATGATGATGATGCTGCTGCTGCTGGTTGAATCGTAACGGAGAACGAGAGCGGCTCCCGGACCGGCTCCTTGAGCGTGAGGAAGAGTAGTTGGGGCTGCGTGGTTGATATTTCCCTTTCCCGTCCTCGTTGGGGTACGCTTGACCGCGAGAGCGGGAAGTAGAACGAGACCGGCTTCGCGACCGCCGGTAACTGCGGCTCCTGTGCCGACCTGACCTGGAGCGATCACTGGAGGACCGGCTTCTGCTCCGGCTGCGGCGTCGGCTGTGCGGAGATGGGGATAATCGTTGGCGTTTAAAGGCGGGCCGGCCAGAGCTCTGATCGGAGCTGCCGCTACGACCATGACGGCGGTTCGGAGAGCGGCTTTGTGAATGACTGTAGGAACGTGACGACCGTGAACGAGTCCTTCCGCGATCGCCATCACGATGATCATTGTGTCCACCGCGGCCCCGCCGACGGCGCTTCATCCTCTCGCAGAACGCGCGAGACCAGCCGTAATACGTATCCCCATCGATAACTTCTCCAGTAATCTCGTCAATTTCGACCCGTTCACCCATTTGACCAATGTTGGGAGGCGGGCCGTCGCCGTTGGCTTCCTGTTTTGTGTAGATCTTGTCGATATCCACGAGAAGACCTTTGACCGCTGCGATGAGACTCTTGTCGGCAGGGCCCTGCGACAGAACCAGCGGCTTAATCATGCCTGGGTTCATCGGCCGTGTAGAATTCGGTTCGAGGACTGGAAGCCAGTTCCCAGCGGGCAAATCGTACCATGCCGTCGAAGGGTCGCCGTGCGTTGCGGGCAGAACCCACGGAGCATTCTTTGCCGCCTTGGCCACAGCACTCGCTGAAATATCCGCCTCTTCGCCGGCCTTGTTTGTCTCCCCCTCGCGAGCCGATGGGCCTTCCTCGATCGCGGTTCGTAACTGCTGAATGAGGCCGCGAGAAAAATATCCATTGTCCTCCCACAAGGTGACCAGATCTTGGAGTTTACGGATGTGTTTTGGGCAATTCTGAAAAGCTGCGGCACTCCTGACCAGGGACGGTAGCGCAGTTTCCAGTTTCGGGGCAAACGTTTCGTCTCGGGTGCGGTACTTGGCGTGGTAGAGGATGTCGTTCAGAATGTATAGGACATGGAGGCGCCGGCGCTTGGCAGAGGGCACACGGCCGGTCTTGCTCGATCCCGTATCACCGGGGCCCTTCTCCCCATTGAACGACCTTGAGAGGGCGACCAAGTATTTGCAGAAGGGGGGCATCCGCGCAGACGAGGGAACCAGGTTGGTGAGAGCCCATTGCTTGCATCTCTGACGAGCGCGCTTAGCTGATGGGGTCCACACAAGAGGTAAAAGAAAAAAACAGCAAAGCGCCGAACAAGGAGTTCGACGCGGATGAAGCGTGTGTTCAAACCTGGACATTGGAGGGCGAGCATTCGGAAATGGTCGAGTGGATGAGGGCGAGCATCGTCTCGATGTCGTCGCGCGAACACGGCCGCGGGTCGGGGCGGAAGAGGGCTCCCGACAGCGCCGTTTTGGCGACGATCAGCTCTGCCGCGGCCATCACGAGTGGTACCAAAGGAGGTGTCGAGGATGGCAGTGGTGCGTTGGGATTTGGCGCAATTACCTAAGAAGGTATTGGATGTTGGCTAGATTCATGAAACTCCCCGCGCAGTTGGGCGCTGCAGTTGTGTGTTTGCGGAAGAGCAATGGTGGAATGGACCCTTGAAAGATTCCTGTGGCTTAACTAAAGTTAGTGGTTCCTGGTGCCGCCAAGGCTGTTAACGCGCCCAAGCTTCCGCCCTTGCAGGGTGGAGCGCAGCGGACCCACACAGGCCGCCATCGAAGAAGCGATGTCGCTAAGAATTATTGATAGAAAATCTGGTTCTCGTCTTTTTCTGCATATGCGAGCTACTGAGTGAGGCAACAGAGCCATTGTGTAACCCGTCCTCGCTCTTATCTTTCGTACCCTCTCTCTATCCACGCCGTGTATCCCAATCTAGCTCAAAGTAGATAATGGCCTCCCTAGTCCCACGAAGAAGAGCAATCTGGATTGATAGATAATACAAAAGCGGGTTGTGCTGCATGAGTGGTTTCCCCGCGCGATCATCACATATGGGGAAAAAGAACTCAGAGAACTCAAAAATTGAGGGGAGATAGTGGCCCGGCGGTGCTATGGTGCGGGCTTATAAGCTCATCCATAAGCTCGTCCTTAAGCGCACGCTCAAGAGAAGCGATCCCCCTTCGTGCTCTTAAACGGCACGCTAGACTCGTACTTGCTCTTCTCAAACACCCTTTGGGCCTCAGTGGTTGGTGCGTGTCTCGTGGGCGCTGGGTCACTGCTAGATTCCTGGCTCGGCGAGCCCGCCGTGTCGGTCCTTGCTGGGGTGTTGTTTGACGTTGCTCCTCCGCCCATCGTGGCCGACGATAGCGGTCGTGTCGGGACGTTCTCGGAGTATTCGAGTGAGTCTACCATGGCCTTCTTCTTGCGCTGCTCCTCAAGGCGGGATTGGCGGTCGGCGTTGATGCTACGCTTCGCGAAGTAGTATGCCGCGCCGCCGGCTAAAGGAGGGGAAAGAAAATGATAAAGCGTTAAGCCCTCATGCTCATGGTCTGCGAATAGGGGGGATAGCGAGGGAGATTTGCCTACCGACACACAATGAGCCCCAGCCCGCCCTACATGGTGTCTCCCGTTAGCTTTGAAGGGTTGATTTGTCTCGGACGCATCGCATAGATCGGTGGCTTCCTCACCAAAAGGATTTGATCTGGAGGACGAGTTAGCGTTTCCATGCAACATTCAGAACGGAATTGACTGGCGGGGAACACACCGTATTCATGGTTTTTTCTTATTTGGATTTATTGGTACCGTAGAATGAAGCGGCTATCCTCAACGGTTGTCGTGGCGAATGTGAGCTTCTCCGGGCTAGAGAGACTTTATCGGTTGCGGCTTGTGCAGCGAGTGATGCAATCGATAAGAGCAGCCGAGTTCGTCGACTTGGACAAGGATGCGGACTGGCTGGTGCCGGGCTGTGCCGCAAACGTTGTGCACAGTCCAGACTTTGCACGTGCTGGGCTTCCGGTTCGCCAAGGCTACACAGGCTGTGGCGCATGCCCGTGATGAGGGTGACATGCCAGCACAAGGACAGTTGGTTGCAGGTTTGCAGGAAGATTTTGCCTGTCCCTGCTGATGTTACAGCGAGTCCAAGTTGAGACGTCCTTTAACTATCAAATTTAGAGAATGCTAGAGAAGTGGTTTGTATCTGTACATACATGGTCAACACAGACGAGCTACGTCTCGAGTCCCGAGAAATCATCAAGCCACAGGAGCCACACGACACAGAAGCAAAGGAAGTGACCCACTGCATGAAAGAAACCAAATTCGTTGTCCTGAAATTCGGATTCCCGACCCCCTGTCGTTGAACTGCCGGACGCACCAACACCAACCAACAGGCCACTCTCACCTTGAAGCAAGAGCAAGCAAGCCAACCTGTAGCTGGGCGTGACAGCAATGTGGCAAGATATTTGACCGCCTATCTCGTCCCCAGTACCTTCTTGAGCCTCTCAAATTCTCCAATTGAGGTACCCAGCAACAAGTTCTCAAACCAAAATTTGGGGTTGTCTCTCTCCTTGTCTCTCGTTACGTTCTCTCCTCTCAACGATTGTGGGGCCACCCTCCAGGAACGCCCAACGCCCATTGCTCAGGGCTGCTGACAGGCCCCCGGATTCGTGCAGCCAGGGTTCTGAATCACCAAAGGGGAAGCCCATCGTCATTTGCTGACTGGGGAGTCGTGTGCAGCAAGCGACCTTCGAGTTACAACCAACCCAAACGGCCCGTCAGAAAGCTCCAGGGAAGTTCCCTCAACACGCGACGCACTGCCTCATCCCGTGTTGCGACCTTTACGACCGCAACTGTAGGCTCCAAAACTTTCAGGCGGTTCGTACGGCAACTCTAAACAAAACAGATCATATGCCTTTTGAAAGACAAGAATCTGGAAACTCAAAGGGGGCCACTACCTACCCTAGCACCCCCTTGACGGTGCCCACTCGCACCCATTAGCCATCTCCCATCGGTGTGCCCCGCGGCCCGCAGCGCCCACACCAACGCCAACGACGGGAGTCCCGCACCGCCTAGGCTCCGTACGGCTTTCTGGCAACAACACAACGGAGGTCTTGGCCCATTTCCGGATGTGCATCGTTTTATGACCCAAGGAGCTCCCCGGCCGAGGGTTGAATGGGCGGCACAATCTCGAAGAATCACGCCTGGCTGCTGTTCTCAAGTTGGCCGCAGTAACGTTAACTAGCGACCATGGACCCGCCGCCAAAAGACGGGCCCGATGGCTCATCCCTTGTGAGCAACCAAAAATTCCCCCGGTGGTTGTGGTGGGAGTTGGACATTGCTGTGGCGGACAGGACGCCTGGTACCTACCCAGATGAGGAGGGTCGAGGCATGATCTCAGGGGTGGCTGCTGACAGATGGCTAACTGACTACTTGCTTGTTTCCTCCAGAGACCCGTATCCTCGCTGCTGGCCAAGTTCGAGGGCCTGAACAAAATCGATCCCTCCCAAGCGAGCTCACAAACCGGTCCCTCCTCACGTACAGCGTCACCTTCACCTGCGCCAGGCCCAGGCCCGGCGCCGGCGCCCAAGCCCGTGCGACTGCGTGATCGCGAACCAAGCCCTTCAGCGGGGCGCGAACCACCTCCCGTTCCACCGAGTCGCACGAAGGAGAGGTTGACGGTCTCCTCCAACGTAACCCCGACTCCGAGCCATATCAGCCAGTCGACATCACCCACGCGCTCTCTCCCACCTCCCATCAACCCCCGGCCTCCTCCCACGCAAGCGCCATCACTAACAGTCGAACCTCCACACTCACCCCCAAAACGAGGTGTCGGGATACCAACGGGCGACCGTCCGGCGTTCGTTAGTACCGATTCGGTGGTGGCACAATCCGCATCGCCAGCGACGGGGTCTAAACAGTTCAAGATCCCCAGCCGGCCCCGAACACCGGTCGAGTCCCGCGTGTCAACACAACCCTCCCCAGCGCGACCTCCTTCCCCTCCTCCACCACGCCGATCTGGAGAGCTCCGGAGAGAGCGGGATACGAAAGAGACCAAAGACACCGGCCGGTCTGCTGTTCCACCTCCGGTTAACCGCGCCGAGAAACCTCTGATCGGGGCTGCCCGTATTTCACTCTTCCAACAACCCGCCCAATCGATTAGCGTGCCGAGCCGCGCAAATGACAAGATCTCTCCGTTTAGCAGTCCGCCACCAAGTAGTAACGGGACCACGGACGATGGAATCCCACCTGCATTGCCGTCGCGGCCGAGGATGGACCCCGATAGAAGTCATCGGCCCCTGAGTTACCAGCCCGTCAGCGAGCCGTTTGACCCCCCACCATTACATCACTCAATGGCTGCCCGGCGACTAGAAAGAGACGGTATTAGTGGCAGGGGGGGTGATCCCCTGAGCCCCCAGTCCACGGGGGATCAGCCGCCCGCCCTTCCCGCGAGACCCCAGAGCTTCATAGACACCTCACGTTCGATGCCCTCCGCCTCGGCCCCGCCACGGCCGCCTCGGCCGGCAGTCAATACAAACACCGCGCGGCCACATGAGATCGGTGCCATGGGAGCTGCGGCGCAAAAACGAGTAGCATCGACACCCACGGCCTACGGGGCACCACCAACTATCCCGAGACTCAACGGGAGATCGATGACCATGGGCGTGGAGCGGTTACAGAGTAGAATGGCCGCTGAGATTCGCGCCCCCACCACCCCGTCCACTCCCATAGAGTCCTGGCATGCGGACGCGCCGGGCGGAACACCTTTAAGAGGCGAGCCATCAGCGCCTCTGAGGGGCGAACTATCTGCACATGTCACCACAGCCTATCCCGACACGTCGAGAACGAACCGAAGCAAGCCATACATTAACAAAGGGGTGCACGAGATCGCGACCAACTATGACGGGCGGACGTTCGATGTCTGCGGCCAGGTGGTATGCACAACAGGCTCGTACACGAGGGCATGGAGCGTGCAGGACGGGGAGCTCTTGATGAGCCTCGCGATGGGCGAGAATCTGAAAGGCTCGGCCGTCATCTTCAAGCCCGGGCAGAACGTGGACGAGGAAGGCAAGCGGGTCTGGGTCGGCAACAACCACGGCGACCTGCTCGAGGCCGATGTCTACTCGCAAGCCATTCTGAACCAGAAGGTCAGTGCCCATGGCCGCAGCGAGATCATCAAGATCTACCGGCACTACAACGAGCTGTGGACGCTGGACGAGGGCGGGACCCTGCTCGTGTGGGGCCCTGACGAGGAAACCGGCGTTCCGAGCCTGTCTATGGCGCCTGCCCAGTCGTTCCGTGTGCCCAGGGGCCACACGTTCTCGATGGTGGTGGGCGACGAACTCTGGCATGCGACAGGGAAGGAAATCCGGGTCTTTCTGCCGACATTAGACGGGCGGGCGCAGTTCCAGGTTCTGATTCGGCCGCTCGTGCAGGACAGCGCGGGCGAGGTCACATCGGGCACTTTGCTCGCGTCGGAGCCGGACAAGGTGTACTTTGGACACAGCGACGGCAAGGTCAGCATCTACTCGAGGAAAGACTACTCGTGTCTGGGCGTGATGAATGTCAGCCAGTACAAGATCAACTCGCTCGCGGGCATAGGCCGGCAGATGTGGGCGGGGTTCAACACGGGAAAGATGATGGTGTTCGACATGAGCCAGACGCCGTGGGCGCTCAAGAAGGACTGGCAGGCGCATAAGAACCCCGTCATGCGAGTGGCGGCGGATCGGTCGAGCTTCTACAAGCTGGACCGGTGCCAGGTGGTGTCGCTGGGCGCGGACAATATGCTGCGCACCTGGGACGGGCTGCTGCAGGACGACTGGCTGGAGAGCGAGATGAAGCTCAAGGACGTCGAATACTGCAGCTTTGAGAAGCTCAAGGCGCTGGTCGTGACGTGGAACGCGGGTGCGTCCACGCCGCACAGCCTGCGCTACACCGAGTCGGACGCGGCGTTCGTGCGCGACCTGCTACAGAACAGCGATTCGCCCGATATCATCGTGTTTGGGTTCCAGGAGCTGGTGGATCTGGAGGACAAGACGGCGACGGCGAAGCGGTTCCTCAAGCCCAAGAAAAAGGAAGGGTCGGACCAGGAACGCATGAGCCACCAATACCGCGACTGGCGCAAGTTCCTCGCGCAGAGCCTGGACGACCACATGTCCAGCGGCGGGCTATACCACATCCTACACTCAGCACCACTCGTGGGGCTCTTCACATGCATCTTCGTCAAGGCCGACCTCCGCGAGCGCATCAGCAACCTCAGCAGCGCCGAAGTCAAGCGCGGCATGGGCGGGCTGCACGGCAACAAGGGCGCAATCGTGATCCGCTTCATGGTCGACAACACCTCGCTGTGCTTCATCAACTGCCATCTCGCCGCAGGCCAGGGCTCAGCCAACGCGCGACACAACGACATCGCAGCGATCCTGGAAGCCCAGCTCCTCCCCGTCGAGCGCGACCCGACAGCACGCTTAGACAGCTTCGTCGGCGGCGGCGACGGGTCCATGATCCTAGACCACGAACTGTGCCTCCTCAACGGCGACCTCAACTACCGCATCGACACCATGAGTCGCGACACGGTAGTCGCAGCCGTCAAAGCCAACAACCTCGCCAAGCTCCTCGAGCGCGACCAACTACTCGTCGCGCGCCGGCGCAACCCCGGGTTCCGACTACGCGCATTCGAGGAACGCCCCATCGAGTTCGCGCCGACGTACAAGTACGACGTTGGCACGGATACGTACGACACGAGCGAGAAACGGCGCAGTCCGGCGTGGTGTGATCGGCTGCTGTTCCGGTGTGGTGGGGGTAGGGGGCGGATCGAGCAGCTGGATTATCGCCGGCATGAGGTGCGGGTGTCGGACCATCGGCCGGTGAGCGGGCGGTTTCGGTTTGAGGTGAAGCAGGTGGATGCGAGGAAACGGGCGGTTGCGTGGATGGAGTGTCAGCAGAGGTGGGAGGATCGGAGGGTGCGTGAGGGGGAAGAGGAGAAGTATGTTCCGTTCCGTTCCGTTTCTCGTTACTGTCCCCTTTACGTTTTTGTTTAATCTCCGAAAAGGAGAACAAAGAAAACAAGAACCAGTGCTAATTACTTTCTAGGATGTATTACCTGACAAAAATAATCGGCTACGACAAGGCTACAGCACAACGTCTAATTCAAGAGCGGGCGCCAAAGAAAGTACAACGGAGTGCGAGTAGACATAGGGAGTAGAGTCACCCATAAGTAAACGGGGACAATACAAGGACAAGAGTAGGGGATGATGACACAAGGCGTAAAGGGGGAACTACTATCTGGGACACACCGCACCCCATCCACTAATAATGAATGGACGAGATGGGACGGGGCGAAAGGGGTGTGTTGAACAGCGATAACGAAGAGCAGCAGCGGAGACAGGGAGACAGGGAGACGGGAGTCATGCGGGAGCGGGCAATGTTAGAGAGGAGAGAGAGAGACATGCATACATACATACCCCACCGGAGTTGGGTCTGAAATGGATAATAGAGGGTTTTTTGTGGTTGTTGTTTTGTTGTTTTTTGTGTGTGTTGTTTTGCGATGAGGAAAATACATCGAGGAATCCGAGTAATCATTGTGGGATTCGATTACCGTCTGGTGTTGTCTTGGAAGCTGAGGAGTTGGTCATTAGTAAAGCGGACTTGTCGGTTGTGGTAAGTGACTTCCTTTGGTACTGAAACTCACCCTAACCAATCAGTGTGTTGGAGTTGTCAGTCTCATGTGCTTTTACTCAGAGAGAGCGCATGATGTCATTGTTACAACATCTCCTGACAAAGCTCCTTTACTTCACCATCCCAACTTAATTTTGGACTTCCGAGCCTAGCCGGCTTTTGTTCGAGTATCCCCAGATCGAGCCTGCAGGCGATCGAAAGGAGTTAAGGTTAACTCCAGCTACTGTCCCTGGTTTGGGGTAAAAAATCAAAAAAACGATTGGAAGACGGTTTTCCGACCAAGAGCCGAGGAGCGAGACAATCCCCGAGCGAGCTCGGCTTTCAGACAACGAGAGTCTTTTTCTTTTGTAAGAATGACAAAACATATTCTGGTTTTGCCTGTCGATCGAGGCTAAAGAGTGTAGTGAATTATTAATACGATTGAGGTGACGAGGTTCAGATTTGTCGCATTCATCGGATCTGTCGTTGTGAAGGACACTTACACCTTTGTAGTACACCCACTACGATCTCGTCAAGCTCATATACAGACCAACCAACCCAAGGTTGTGAATGCGAGCCTTCAGAACACCAGTCTCCAGCCTCAGGGCCTTGACCACACTCACCACCACATCAGCTCTAGCTAGACGATCCCGCCCAATATCCCTTACGACCAAGATGGCGTCCGCTACTTCAGACCTGCCCTACAAGATGCATGTCACCCCGGACAACACCGGGCTCTGGCGCATCAAGCAGACTGAGGAGGCGGCTCGGAAGGTGTCTGAGTTGTTGCAGGTTGATATGGAGGTATGTTCGCTCATGTCTTTCTCTCTCCTCCTCGGGTTCTCTCAGTTTACTGATGATCTTGGGATAGAAACACCATGTATTCTTCAACGATGACGGGTTCCACAACCATGTATGTCCA